GTGTGGTGAAGTTCTTTGTGTATTCCAGGGAAGCGCAAATAATATTAATAGTAATTCAAATAATCGAGACAGTAATCAACTATAGTCGATAGTATAATTACTAAAACGGTCTTATATATTAAGCGGCTTATATCGAGCTAATGTACTTATTCGAAGTTACTTGACTTGTTACTTGCTTGTTCTATTTTGTTTATACATAATATATAAATTATTTACAAGAAACGATTATGGAAGATGATCTTTTATCTCCTGAAAACGTTGTCCTTTTATATGTTTTCTGGAGCTCGATCGATTATTCAGATTACTACATTAATGACTTGACTGATTCAAACCCTAAAATTTATTATATTAATTTAGGTGCACTACTGGATTAGAACTGCATCCCAATTCTCTAATCATGGTGATTAGTAATACACGTGGGACTTAATAAAACAATAGGTAAATTCTAGATTTGCCAAGATCTTATGTAATCCAATCTTTTTATTATGCAGCATCTAATGTTGTAGCACATGTATGGCTTATTAATACACTAATTGGTTCTAGATTCATTCAGGATCTTATGTAATCTTGATGGTTATAACTATTCTATTCCACAACATCTTCCTCTCTCTCTTGGGAACCTTGTTTCCATAATTGTACGAAATTGTCAATTAAAGATTGACCAATATTTGTTGGGAGTAAGTTAAATTCTTCTACTGGATATTCTACTGTAATAGTCGGATCAACATCTTCCATATGACAATAAAACACTTTGTTATCTTTATCGTAACCGACTACATTAATAATTTCATGTACTCTTAATTTCCTTTCGGCAGCAGTATTAGGCGGATCTTTTGGATAGCGGTCTTTTCTACGTTTTAACGGTTTTAATTTCTCAACATTAATAACTCTGTGAGTCTTTTTCGTCGAAGGTAAATCTAATTCGTAAGCATTGTCATTTATTTTCTTAACTACCTTAAATGGGCCAACGTATATGGGTTGTAGCTTTAGATATTGACCTCTCTTAAAATAAGCATCACGATGTAGCAGTACAAAATCACCAATTTCAAAGGTAACTTCCTTCCTCCCTTTGTTATGTGTAACTTCCATGTTGATCTGATTCTCAGTTAAGAAATCTTTTGTGCGTAAAGTAAGTGCTTTCAACTTTGTGGCTAGTTCTTGTGTTGAATCATGACGGGAAGAAACAGCATCTCCTGTAACTATGATTGGTTCATTAGGGATGTATCCAATATCTACTTCAAAAGGAGCTGTCTTGGTTACGCGATTGGGAGTAGAGTTATAGACGAATTCGATGTGAGGAAGTAAACGATCCCATTGTCTATGATTGTTACCAGTATAAGTCTTTAATAACCTATTAAGGATCTGTATTGTACGTTCAGTTTGACCATCTGTTTGTGGGTGATTTGCTGTGGACATTTTCAATTTTATATTCAACCTTTTTGCCATTTCTTGGTATTCTGTAGAGGTAAAACGAGGGTCTCTATCTGAAGTAATGGAATATGGAAATCCATGGTAAGCGAAAATATAACGGAATAAAGCATTAATAACGGAAGTAGTATCAAATGGGTAACTACCAGCAATTAAGTGAGTTCTTTTTGAAAACATGTCGACTACAACCATAATCATGTCGTTACCTTGTTCTGATTTAGGTAAACCAGATACAAAATCTATGCTAATATTTAACCATCGACCTTCGGGAACTTCAGAAGGCATCAATAAGCCCTGTCTATTAGGGCGATGAGATTTAATCAACTGGCATTGTATACAGGAAGAGACATATTCATTAACAGAGTGGTGTAATTTTGGCCAATAATAACGACTTGCAATTTTATTGTATGTAACGGTTGAACCGAAATGACCACCATAAAGGCCATGGTCGTGATATATTCGAAGGACTTCATTTCGTTTAGCGTCGGGAACAACATAGCGTTCTTTAAAGTAAATAATATTGTCATTAATTGTAAAACAATGGCGAAAGGTTCTTGATAAGTTCAATTTCTTCATATATTTCTTGAACAATGATGAGTTGCAAATGGGTAAGTCTTTTGTATCAAGTTTGGTAATATAAACAAAACAGGCAGCACATAATGGGTCAGCTAGGTATTCTTCGTACCAATTTTTCGGATCTAATGTGACGGCAGCATCTTCAATAGCAGCAATATTGTAATCTGCTCTGGAAATAGCATCAGCTACTACATTCTTTGGACCTGCTAAGTATTCTAGTTTAAAATCATATTCGGCTAATTCATTTAACCATTTAATTACTCTACGAGAGGGTTCTTTGTTCTTTTGTGCCGTTAGTAAACTAATATGGTCTGTTCTCAATATAAAATGCATGCCATGAAGCATATATTTAAAATGTGATAAGGCTTCGACAATGGCTAGGAGTTCAAGATCTCCAGCAGAGTAATTTTTTTGAGCGCCTTGTAAAGTTTTTGAAAAATAACCCACGACCCCGAGAATTTTTCCTTGCTCATTCACTTCTTCGAGTACAGCACCTAATCCATTCTTTGAAGCGTCGGTTGTTAATCTGTAATGACCATCGTGTTTAAAGGAGACTAATATTGGGTTTGAGATTAGGTGTGACTTTAATGTGTTAAAGCTCTCATCTTGATCCGTCGACCACTTACTTTTACCATGTATGTAATCCTGAATCGGTTGTTGGATGTGAGAGCAGCGGGGTATAAAGCGTCTATAATAGTTTATCATACCCAAAAATCTTTGAGCTTCTTTAATTGTTCTGGGAGTGGGAAATTGTTCTATAGCTGCACATTTCGAGATCAACGGTTGGATTTTATTAGCAGAGATAGTGTATCCCAAAAATTCAACAGATTTAGCGGCAAAGTTACATTTTTTCTTTTTTACAATTAATCCTTCTTGAGTTAACCTTTGCAATACGATGTCTATATGTTTCCAATGTTCATCAACGGAACGGGAGTGAATTAAAATATCGTCGAGGTAAACACAGACATATGGTAAGTCCCTAAATAAATCAGCCATATAACGAGCAAACGTGCTTGGAGCATTAACGAGACCAAACGGCATGACGGTATATTCATACTTTCCATTAGGAGTAACAAAAGCGGTTTTGAAACGATCGTCCATTTTCATAGGTATTTGGTGATACCCTGAGTGGAGGTCCAAAGTTGAAAAAATGGTTGAAGAGCCAATCTTGGCCAATAGGTTGTCGATTCTAGGTAATGGAAACGGGTCTTTGATTGTCACAGTATTTAGAGCTCTGTAGTCCACACATAAACGATATGTACCATCTTTCTTTTTAACTAGAACCACTGGTGAACTACAGGGTGACTTGGAGGGTACAATGAATTTCTTTTCGAGAAGGTCGGCAACGATCAGGTTTATCTCTTGTTCTATTTTTGGTGTCGTCTGATATGGCTGTCTTCTAGGCAGGCGTGCACCCGGCTTAATTTCGATCTCGTGTTCAACCTTTGGAGGTTCAGCGAATTTCTTAGGTGGTAAATCATCGCGGACCGTAGCAGAATATTTCTCTTTTAACCAGCGAGGTAGTTTATCAAATCGATCATCTGTATCTGTTTCAGAAATCTTTATAGCAAACACAGCAGCAGCATTTTCAACATCTAATTCTTCGGTATCATTCTCGGTAAGTACGGATACAATGTATTCAGGGACCGGTTTCTTGTTATTTAATATCTTGTGGAGCAGCGGGTGAGATGATATAATCGGGTGTCCTATTATGATTTCAAAAGTAATAGCATCAGTTATGTATACGGGTGTTTTAATTTTTATGTCATCGAGTTCAAGTAAAATTTCGGTGGATTCGTTAGTGTATGACGATTCGGATGATACAACACCTCTAAAACGGAATGGCGGAGCGGTAGAACGTGTTAACTTGAGGTTGTCAGCAATATCGGCTCTAATAAATGATGTGGGGGAACCAGTATCCACTAAAACATTGACAGGTTTTTCTTTAATAAACATTTTAATTTGGCAACTGTTGCCTACGAGTGGATGGGGAGCGGACACGATGGGAGCTAGTGTGACGGTGTTGTTGTGGAATTGTTTTTCATTTGGGACTGCTCGCCTTACGGTTAGGGCAGTCACTGTAGCGGTGTAATGGCTTGTAACAATAGAAACATAAACCATGATCAATACAATATTGACGAGAGGGACGCTTAATTGGTTGTTTGTTTGCTTGGGAAGATTTGTGATTTCCCTTTCTGCCCCCTCTTCCGTGTGAACGATAAACAGCAGCAACTTGAGGATGATGATCAGTAGTAGAGTCCATAGGGACTGGGTTAAGAGCAGCGGTCATATGGATGTCTCCATCCATATCATAGGTGGTGAAGGTAGGAAATGAACGGTTGGTGATGGAAACTGTTTCACTGGCAGCTTCCATAGCAGCATCAACAGTGGTAGGGCGAGCTAGAGCTACCATACGGGCAGTATCAGGAGTAAGACCGCGATAATAAAAAAGTAATTCTCCCTTGGGAGTCCAAATGTTTGGAGGCATCAAAGCTAATAGTTGTGAAAACTTTTGATTATAAGCGTCAATGCCAACGGTAGCTTCCTTCAAGCGTTGGAACGCATTGAGGATGGCATGAGGGTCGATCATACCAATAAACTTATTTTTAAAATCCACAAGGAATTGTTCATAGGAATGTTGGTCATGATTACGGATCCATTGGACATACCATTGAGCAGCGGGTCCAGTTAAGTTTCGGCCAAAAAAGCTATACGATCCACATCTGTTTGGAGGTTTCGAGCATAAAGTTGTGCTTCGACAGTAACAAGGAAATCTGGTAGTTTAAATAAATCATAGCGACCAGAGAAGCGCATTGGAGCAGTACTGTAGTATTTGGAATCGGATGGGACTGGAGCAGGAGCAGAAGTAGGGTCAGCGGTTAGGTTAGTAGTTGGAGCAGGAGTAGTGGTTGGTGCGGCGGTATGATGTTCTGTAGCCGTAGATGCATCAATAGCGTCTAAAAATTCGTTCATATTTAAATTATTCGAGGACATGATGAAATAAACGCTACCAGTTGTTGTAGTATGGTGTGGTGAAGTTCTTTGTGTATTCCAGGGAAGCGCAAATAATATTAATAGTAATTCAAATAATCGAGACAGTAATCAACTATAGTCGATAGTATAATTACTAAAACGGTCTTATATATTAAGCGGCTTATATCGAGCTAATGTACTTATTCGAAGTTACTTGACTTGTTACTTGCTTGTTCTATTTTGTTTATACATAATATATAAATTATTTACAAGAAACGATTATGGAAGATGATCTTTTATCTCCTGAAAACGTTGTCCTTTTATATGTTTTCTGGAGCTCGATCGATTATTCAGATTACTACATTAATGACTTGACTGATTCAAACCCTAAAATTTATTATATTAATTTAGGTGCACTACTGGATTAGAACTGCATCCCAATTCTCTAATCATGGTGATTAGTAATACACGTGGGACTTAATAAAACAATAGGTAAATTCTAGATTTGCCAAGATCTTATGTAATCCAATCTTTTTATTATGCAGCATCTAATGTTGTAGCACATGTATGGCTTATTAATACACTAATTGGTTCTAGATTCATTCAGGATCTTATGTAATCTTGATGGTTATAACTATTCTATTCCACAACATTGCCTGTTGTAGTATGGTATGGTGAAATTCTTTATGTATTCCAGGGAAGCGCAAATAATATTAATAGTCATTCAAGTAATCGAGACAGTAATCAATTATAGGCGATAATATAATTACTAAAACGGTCTTATATATTGAGCGGCTTATATCGAGCTAATATATTTATTCAAAGTTACTTAACTTGTTATTCTCTTTTTGTTCATATATAATATATATATTATTTACAAGAAACGGTTATGGAAGATGTTCTTTTATCTCCTGAAAACGTTGTCCTTTTATATGTTTTCTGGAGCTCGATCGATTATTCAGATTAGTACATTAATGACTTGACTGATTCACCCTAAAATTTATTACATTAATTTAGGTGCACTACTGGATTAGAACTGCACTCCAATTCTCTAATCATGGTGATTAGTAATACACGTGGGACTTATTAAAACAATAGGTAAATTCTAGATTTGCCAAAATCTTATGTAATCTAATCTCTTTATTATGCAGCATCTAATGTTGTAGCACGTGTATGACTTATTAAGACAATAAATAGTTCTAGATTCATTCAGGATCTTATGTAATCTTGATGGTTATAACTATTCTATTCCACAACATTGTTAAAATATGAGCATGTTATTGGTATTTTGTTAAAAAGTCTTACTACAGAGTTATTTCTGAATGTTAGTATTATGGTACAGTTGAAAAAAGAACGCTTTTAAGATGGATTATATTTTAAGAGAGTAGAATTAAGAAAGATCTAATTATTCCTATTTATAAGCATATATTGTAATTCCTTTAGATGAATAATATTAGTACATGTCTTTAGCGTCAGTGATCATATTATATGTTATTATTATGTATTATTATTATGTTAATATGTAGAGTAATTTTCCCTCGATCTCTTAATCGGGAATTAATAATTATATAAATATAAAAGAAACATATGATAAAATGTATATATATTATTCATCCAGATTGGAAAATTAATAAGTAAAGTCGTCTACTTATATATGTTTACCTTTTGGCAATTTTTCATAATATATTAATTTATTTTGATTCTGTTTGATCTTATCTCCGTAATATTGAATGTGTAAAACAAACATTTTTCCTCTTTGATATATTTACATGTTACCCAAACTGGTAATATATCATTCCAGCAGTAATTATATATGTTGGAATTTGGAGCCCTTAGCATCCATAGTAATGGTAGACATCATTAAGTTATAGATGCTTGTTTAGTTTTGTATTAAATACATGTATATACTTATTATATAGCGTATACATTATACATTCTTTTATTTTCTTCAAGTTTTCTTTTAAGTTTTTCATTCCTTTTCAAATCTCTGAAAAATACTGTTGATGAAAAATAAAATGTCTTCCTGATATTATGGTACATCCGTACACCACATAACATACAGAAAAACTAATTAAAAATAATTCTTATGGAAATCACAGTAATAAACTCTCATTTTCCAACAATTTAGTATAAAATACAACAAGCATCTATAACTTAATGATGTCAACCATTATCATGAACGCTAAGGGCTCCAAATTCCATCAATAATAATTTGTTAAATTGAAATAAATATAAATTTTATAGTTTCTTTTTATATTTTATATATATGATCTAATAATATTTAAAGGAATGCTTTTCTGTATCTTATTTATTTATTTTTTTATTTATGCTTTTTTGTTTTTAGTGTAAAATACTGTTACTGGCAAGAGATAAATTTACTACCAAAGGATAGTTCTACCATGATAAATATCGTGGAAATAAACTAATTTATTGAAATGGGCAAACCAGTAGTTATCTTATTGTTAATTGAAGGGACCCCTGGTATTAAGTTCACTCATTTAAACGTATTTAAAAATACATAAGCGATTCATCTTTTCATACTATTAAATTTTGTAAATAGTATTTTGGGTTGAGGGGTTTCAATTGTATAGTTTAGTTGAATTTTTTTATGTTTAACGTTATTTATTTATGATAAAAAGGAGTACATTGTTTTATAGTTGTTTTGTTTAACAATTTAAAAGACGTTATATTTAATCTAATGTATAGACTCCTTTGTGAATAAATTTTCCTGAAAAAATTATTGAAATATAAAATAATGGGTTTTGACATTAAAGAATAAGTTCCTTTATAATATCTTTGACTGTCAGGTGTTAATTAGGTATAAAACCATAAATGTTTGTGATAAAATCTCAGTTACAACCCTAGTTTTGACCTTAAAGTTAACCCTAATGTCTCGATACAAAAAATCTTGATGCAAATTTGAAAAATAAAAAATACGAAAAAAATTATGTGTGAGAAAAATAAATACAGTAAGTATTGAAGGTAGAAATAAACCATAATAGGTGGTGGTTAGGTGGGATAACGGTTGGAGTAAAGTAAGGTTGCAAGCATTGTTCTTGTTATTGGATTCTGTTTTCGGAGCAAAAATCTTGAAAATATCTCATAAATAAGTGCTATATTCATACAGCACGTCATAAACTAAAAGATCTCTTTTTTACAATAAAGAACAATAAAATAATATATTTACATTTAAGATAGAAATTAAGAGTCAATTATTTACCAAAACAGATACAGTAAGAATAAAATTTAATATAATTGTCGAATTCAGATAAATTTTTTGTAAGTTTTTACCTTTTTTTTTGGAAAAATGATAGGGCGACAAGTGGAAAGTAGTTCGGTTGATCCGGTAACTATTATTATTAGAGAATGTATCAACATGTCATCTGCTATGAGAAAATATAGTAAATTATCTTCTCAAACTGGAATAACTGCATTATTAGCTGGAGGTGGAGATATCATTCATAATCAGGACGAATTATCAACGAATAAATTTAATTCTCTCTCTACTCATAAAAATAATGATCCATTTCTCTTAGGTTTTATCCAATTAAGGTTAATGTTAAATAAATTAGACACTTTAAACGATGTTGATTCTTTGACAGTACTGCAACCTTTCCTCTTAGTGGTTAGTACAAACACCATATCTGGTTATATTACATCATTGGCTTTGGATTCTTTACAAAAATTTATAAATTTAAACATTATAGACCAACATTCTAAAAATTATGTTAATGCTTACAGGGGCCTTATTAATGCATTGACTCATTGTAGATTTCAATCATCAGATCAAATTTCTGATGATTCAGTCTTATTAAAAGTTGTAATGTTACTAAATTCAATAATAAACTTACCTTCTCAAATATGTGATTGTCTTTCTGATTCCATAATGTATGATGTTATTCAGACTACTCTTTCCTTAGCATGTAATAAGAGAAGGGCTGATGTTTTGAAAAAGGCTGCAGAATCTACAATGATATCAATTACTTTAAAAGTATTTGGAAAATTAAGGACAGCTGAACCGGCTAACTTATTGCAACAATATATTAATGATGAAAGCTATTCAAAGGATAATTTGAAGGATGATGTCATTGGTACAGGTATAGCCAATGAATTGCAGTCAATAGAGTCACTTACTCTTCAACAACAGGAAAGTATTAATAATTCCGTGGGCGATGCAGAGGACCCTATGTCAGATATTAAAGAAAATAATAACCAGTTTTCAGATTCTGAATCTCATGTAGTTAACATAGAAAATTTATCTAATACTGAAAGTGATCAGGTTGTCTTAGATAGGAGTACAAAACAGGACAATACAAATATAGAGGGAAATCATACTTTTGAATCAAATTATGGTGTAACAGTGGCAAGACAATACTTGACTTTATTGTTGTCACTTATTTTACCAGAAAACCAGACAAAACATACCAATTCGACAAAAATATTTAGCTTGCAACTTTTAACAACTATAATTGAATTTGCAGGTGATAAACTTCCTTTGTATCCCCGTTTATTTTCATTAGTAGCAGATCCAATATTTAAGAGTATTTTATTCATTATTCAAACGAACTCGAAACTATCCTTATTACAGGCGACTTTACAACTATTCACTACATTGGTGGCTGTTTTAGGGAATTATTTGCCAATGCAAATCGAATTGACCTTATCTCGCATTTTTGCAATTATGTTGGGGGGAAATCATGATATTACAGAAGATAACACCAGTGGAAGTAGCAGCAGCAACAAAAATAATAATAATGGTAGCGGTAATAGTAATAGTAATATCAAGACTACTAAGAGTATGAGTATCTTTACTAATCAAATACCAGATTCAAGTGAGGCAGCCAAGAAGGAATTATTAATTGAACAAATCTCTATTCTTTGGCTTAGATCATCATCATTTTTCATTTCAATGTTTGTCAGTTTTGATTGTGATCTGAACAGGGCAGACCTTGCTCTCGGATTCTTGAAAATGTTGACTAAATTATCTTTGCCAGAAGCTGCAATAACTTCCACTGAAATTGTACCACCTATATGTCTTGAAGGTGTGATGTCACTGATTGATGATATGTTTGCTAGAATTCGATCGGTTCCCGAATCAGTATCTACCAATGATCTTAAGCAAAATGAAGTTTTGAGACAGAGAGAAAGAAAAAATGAATTTATTAATTGTGCAAACGAATTTAATATAAAGCCAAAAAAAGGTATTCCACTTTTGATTGAAAAAAAATTTATTGAAAACAACACAGATAATGCTATAGCCAAGTTTTTATTTGAGAATAATGGTCGTTTGAATAAAAAAACAATTGGGTTATTATTATGTGATCCAAAGAAGACTTTATTGTTAAAAGAATTTATTAATTTGTTTAATTTTAGAGGGTTAAGAGTAGATGAAGCGATAAGGGTTTTACTAACAAAGTTTAGGCTTCCTGGTGAATCACAACAAATTGAGAGAATTATTGAAGCTTTTTCTATTGCATACGCAAAAAGCCAAGATAATAAAGGAGGAAATGAGATTATAGATAACAGAGCAGAGGAAACCAACTTAGATACTACTAATACCGAAGCAAACATTAAAGAAGAAAATAACGAAGAATATGATCCTGTTATACCTGACTCAGATTCTGTATTTGTATTAAGCTACTCCATTATTATGTTAAACACTGACCTTCATAATCCACAAGTTAAAGAGCATATGTCTTTTGATGAATATTCAAGTAATTTAAGGGGTTGCTATAATTCCAAAGATTTCCCTCATTGGTATTTAGATAAGATATATTGCTCCATTAGAGATAAAGAAATAGTGATGCCAGAAGAACATCATGGCAATGATAAATGGTTTGAAGATGCTTGGAACAATTTGATTGCATCTACAACTGTTATGACAAAAATTCAGAAGGATAATGTCGATGTCATTGATAAATTTTCACCAATTGATTTACTAGGATTTGATAGAACAATATTTAAACATGTGGGACCATCTATCGTTAATACACTCCTTAAGATTTTTGTTGTAGCATCAGATGATCATGTTGCTGGTAGGGTGTTAACTTGTTTAGACAAATGTGCATTTGTTGCAGAATTTTTCAAAAACAAAAAATTGTATAATAATATTTTAGATACAATTGCCAAATTCACTACAGTTCTTGGACCAAATTCATACATTAAAGAAGCACATGATAATTCCTACTTTAATTATGAAGATAATATCCCATTAGTTGAAATAACTGTAGATGAAAAAACAAAGATTCCAGTTAGTAATTTATCTGTAAGGTTAGGTAAATCTTTAAAAAGTCGATTATGTTGTTTGATGTTCTTTAGAATTTTGCAGAGAACACGTAATGGCAGTATAATAAGCTCTGAATTATGGGATAATATCATTAGCATCTTGAAACAATTATTTGAGAATTTACTATTAAGCCCAGACATTTTTACAGATTTACAAGAAAAATTAAAGTTAGGCCATTTACCAAAACCACAACCAGATATATCTATTAATAAAAGTATAGAGAATAGAGGTTTGTTATCTACCTTTGCATCGTATTTGAAAGGTGATGAGGAACCTACTGAAGAAGAAGTCGATTATTCAAAGAGGGCCTTAGAATATATAAATAAAAGTAATGTGGCTGCATCAATCGTTGGAAATGAAAATATTATTACGCCTGGGTTTATAAAATCTTTATTGGAATCCTTAAATGAAAAGAAGGATGAGAATAATTTGAAATATTTTGAAGCGGAGTTATTATTCATAACTGAATTAATAGTGGCTCTAACATTATTCTGTAAGGATGAAAAGGAATTAAGTAATATAATATTAGATAAGCTAAGGATAATGATTAAGATGAGTGGTGTAACAAAGCGAACTATTCGTCGTTTACTCATGTATGAAATTTTATTGATTTCAGTTATTAATGGTCAAGAAAATAGGATTTCAACATTAATTAAAGATCAGTTGTTAGGTATGCCTGAGATATTTAATGAAAAATATTTTAGCACAAAACAAGGTGAAGAATTAATAAGAAGAGTGTTATCTTTGACTGATATTGCAAATTACAGGCAACATATTCTTAAAGATGAATATTTTTGGAGATTTTTAAGATGGTTAGCTTCGATGCCAATACATACTAAAACAACTTATAATTATGTCAAGGATCTTTTTGAAGCTAACAAGAATTCTATTATCTCTCAAAATGATGTATTTATGTTTGTTTTAGGTTTACTTGACGAAATATCCTCGATAGGAGCAGTTGGAAGTAGATGGGAATTAGAATATAATAAATCAGTGGAGAGTGGACATAAAGTGAGTAGCAATAATCCATATCAGAACATAGTTGAAATATCTTTAAAATCTATTAATATGACTGCCACATTAATCGAGAATAGGAATTTATCTAAAAATGAGATGGTGGCAATTATTCAAGCATTAGTACATCAGTGTATGAATCCCTGCGAACAAATTAGATCGTATGCAGTATCTAGTTTGGAGAGTTCATTAACGGAAAGAATTCAATTGAGTAAGCCAAAATTAAATTCTGATTCAAATATAGGCGGGGAATTGATTAAATTTGAAGACATCATTAACATTGGTATTGTAAGTATTATTAATATGAAAACAAATGATCAAAAAAAGGAAACTGATGTAATTAATAATATTGGTGATGATGGAGCCCTTGAAGTGCCAATTACTACTCTATTATCTGTAATTAGTAAGGCATACTTATATCATTTGGAAAAGGGTACAGTTACGAACGAAACATTTGTATACATATTAAATGTATTTAACGGATATGTGGACAATCCAAAGATTGAAACTCAACTACAAGAATTAATCCTAAAAAAGAAAAGAATAGAAAAGAATGGTGCTACAACTATGAAACAATTAAATTCGATCTCGATGTTGAAAGAAGAGGATGATGAAAACGAAAAGGCAAAGGAACAAGCAGATGAGGCTAGAAATATGAACCAAGAATAAAGCTTTTTTTTTTCTTTTTAATTTTGTTAACCAATTATATTTATCTATATATATGTATATATATATATAATCAAGTCTTCATAGATAATCATCAATTAAAATATTAAGTAATAACTAATAAGTATGCTATAGCGTAAAGAGTAGGGTTAGGAGAAGAAGATGGAGCTGTCCCTTGGAGTATTCCTTTTTTTTAATTTTTTTCTGAACATTGAAACCTTTTATATTTACAATTAATATAGTTGTATTGAATAAAATAAAACTTTCGGAGAGTTCCGAATTTTTTTTTCTAATAATTATTTTTGTGTTTATGAAAACAATGAGAGAGACAATATAAATCGAAGAATTGGAAAAAAAAAAAATTGAAACTTTGAAATATTTTCTAGGAAGAAAGAGAAGATCATTCGAGCAAAGAGGGACAAAAGAGGACGAAAAAATCGAAAATATAAGAGTAGATGAAATTAGAAGGGAGCCAACCAAAAAGGGGGAATCCTTGAAATCTGTGTACTATTTGTTTTATTCATAATCTCTTGAAACGAATTATTACTATTAAAGAAGGCACTCGATAAAAAAAATCAAACTTGTTCTAGTTTGTTTTCTTTTGCTTGTTCGTTTACCTATTGAGATAGTACATATCGCCAATTATCGTGCAATAATATCATATTACGATAACATCAAATAAGACAATATAAAATAAAAAAAAGAGGGAGACAAAAAAGATGTCTAGTTTAACATATGAAGAGAGAGCAGCCAAACATCCAAGTCCAGTTGCCAAAAGGTTGTTAGAAATCATGGCTATAAAGAAGACCAATCTGTGTGCATCCTTAGATGTCCGTACCACTTCAGAACTATTATCTATTGTAGAACAAGTTGGTCCAGATATTTGTCTTTTGAAGACACATGTGGATATCTTAGATGATTTCAGTATGGAAGGCACAATTAAGCCATTGAAGCAATTAGCTGATAAGTATAATTTCTTGATTTTTGAAGATAGAAAGTTTGCTGATATTGGTAACACAGTGAAATTACAATATTCTTCAGGTGTCTACAAAATTGTTCAATGGGCCGATATTACCAATGCACACGGTGTCACAGGTGAAGGTATTGTTAAAGGTTTGAAGGAGGCGGCAAAGGAAAACACAGATGAACCTCGTGGTTTATTGATGCTTGCTGAACTATCTTCGAAGGGATCTTTAGCACATGGGGAATATACAAAAGGCACTGTGGAGATTGCCAAGAGTGAGAAAGAATTTGTTTTTGGATTTATTGCACAAAGAGATATGGGTGGTAGAGAGGAAGGTTTTGATTGGTTAATTATGACACCGGGTGTTGGTTTGGATGACACTGGCGATGCTTTAGGACAACAGTATAGAACAGTGGACGATGTTGTGTCCACTGGTTCGGATATTATTATTGTCGGTAGAGGTTTATTTGGTAAGGGTAGAAATCCAACAGTTGAAAGCCAACGTTATAGAAAGGCAGGATGGAAAGCATACTTGAAGAGATGTGATAAGAATTAGATTAGTAAAATATGAGTATATAGTAATGATTATTTTGAAGGTATAAGAAGGAAAGTCATAGTTATTTTTTTTATAATTGTTTCTCGTTGTATATGTGGATTTGTGTAGGATGTATATAATAGAGAGGATTGAAATGGGAGTAGAATAGTAATAAGTTGTAGGTGTTTTGAAGAGATGTTAAAGGGTATATTTAGTGATGGCTTGCGTACCAAATTTACATGAAAGGTAATAGATATTGGTAATTTGTGTGAATTGGATAAATATCATTTTAGAATGTTTTTTACATTTAGTAGAAAGTGATATTTTAGTGTTCTATTTTACTTAGAAAAGAAAAGAAAAGAAAAAAGAAGGATCGATATTTAGAAGACCAAGAGGGAAATTTAAAGAATAAAGAGAAGTTAAGAGAAATGGAGAGAAGGGTAGTGTGTACACTGTTGTTATTATTATCGATTACAACTAATAAAATTCCAATTTCATCAAGTTAAAGGTGGAAGGAATTGCATGTTGATACTGTTGTTGTATTAAACAGAAACAAAGAAGACTCAATTATAAATACAAGTATAAATATAAATATAAATATTATTATTATCATGGATGCCTTAAATGCAAAAGAACAACAAGAATTCCAAAAATTAGTAGAACAAAAACAAATGAAAGATTTCATGCGTCTTTATTCTAATTTGGTAGAAAGATGTTTTATGGATTGTGTCAATGACTTCACTTCATCTAAGTTGACTAATAAAGAGCAAACTTGTATTATGAGATGTTCTGAAAAGTTTTTGAAGCATAGCGAACGTGTGGGGCAAAGGTTTCAAGAACAGAATGCAGCATTAGGCCAAGGTTTGGGTCGTTAAGGTTGAGAGAGGGTGTGTTACAAATATATATCATTTGACATCATATTCTACATGTGCATACGTATATATATATATATGTATGTATATGTATGTATATGTATGTACATGTATATATTTATAAATATACATAAGTGTGCGTGTAAGAAAATGAATGGATCTGTATACCTCTATATATAGTTAGCAATAATACATGTAAATAATAACTTCCTAATTTTTTGGATAAAGAAAACAATGATAGAAACTTTCCAAGTACAGATGTATATATGTATATATGTGTATTGTTATGTATATACAAGGCCAGGGATAGTATTAATATAAAGAGAAGAAGGAAAAGGAGCAAGAGAAAAAAAGGCATGTATGTGAAGGACAGAGAAGAGAACCTCACATAAAAAGGAAGAGGAAACAACGGCAGTAATCGGTATCGGGTTCAAATTGAATCATTTGCTCTACGATTGCACTCAACAGACCTTCAACCATTGACGGATAGCAACAACCGTAGATGGCAAGTCAAATGGACCGACCGTTGTCATTCCCATCAGAATCCAGAACGTAGAGAGAAGGAAAAGAAGGACACCTGCGCGGTTTCCTGTCCTTCCCTCCCCCCCCCGATTCCAAACCCTGGAGCCCAACAAAAGGGTTGATTTCTTATAACAACGCTAGACTCGGTTCCCCGAGTCCCCCTCACAGGGTAACCTTGCCGTAGACGCAGGCGTAAACGCAAACATCGTCACGGCGGGGTGTTGCGTGAAACTCAGGGGGAGAAGAACGGAAGGGAGCAAAACTCGCGAACAAATTTCACACCCTATTTCCTCCTCCCACCCAGGTTCCAGGTCCTCTGCGTTTCACCGAATTTCCCACCTGCTGCGAGGAAAGAGAAGGGGACACGTGAGACTGGGTTTTTTCAGCCCCCCTGTTCCACTTCATCCTTTCATCTCGTTGAATCACATTCCGTTTCCCAAAAACCAGTCTGCATCTCTAGCACATACACACGCACATGTACAAGCAGTCGTAGCCCTACGAACAGCAATGCGCAGGCCCATGGAAGCTGCTGGTCTTCAGCAAGACCTGAAAGCGGAAAACGAGGATTCTAATTCTGCAAACAGGTCTCTAAATCGTAGACGCTGCCATTGTTTCCTGAAATAACAACGACTGCACGTTTTTCCTTTCTTGTCATCGCCTGCCGTTCGAACCCTTGACGCGTTCTCTCAGACATCCAATAACACCGTGCGTCATTATAAAGATACTCGCAGGGGTGATGTTTGTTTTGCTTAAATTTATAGAATAGAAAGGGAGAAGAAAATTGTTTTTTGGTTTACTGTATATTTCATATATATAAGATGTATAAATAGAATTTACATAATATTAGTATATAGTATGTCGCTTACTTTCTTTTTTTTTTTTTTCTTGACTTTCCTAACTTTTTTATTTTTTGTTACTTCTTCTTCATCACAATTTAGCATTAGGTTTGTTTTGCCATGCAAATCTAACAGTCTTATTATTACCATGGGAAATTATCACATTTAATAATGTAGTAACCCTTTTGGTTCGTGAGTCCACCAAAGCTTTTCTAAAACCAACCTTCAATTCATCTAGGGTGGTTATCAAATAACCCTTTGAACCTAATCCCTTTGCTACAAGATCATATCTACAATGTTCAGATAGTTTGGTAGCACTTTCAGAACCACAACCATGGTATATCCCTGAATTATTCATTATCACTATCACAATACCCAATTTTGATCTAGTTATAGTCTCTAATTCCATTCCGGAAAACCCAAATGCTGAATCACCTTGTATTAATACCACATCCTTCTCTTTGGAATACAGCTTGGCTGCAATCGAATATCCAAGTCCCACACCCATTGTGGCGTTGGTTCCTGCATCAAGTCGCGATTTGGGTTTTAGGCATGGGAATGAGATTCTAGCTTTATCCATTGTATTAGCTCCCTCGGTGACCAAAAAAGTGTTGGTCAAGTCCATTAACTCTCTAATTGTCCTATAAACTGAATGATAATTCATTTCCATTTTTCCCTCAGCATTATATAATGCTCTACACGCGCTGACCTCCAAATCTGTCAATCTTTGTTCATTTGACTTGATTTTGTCTTTAATCTCTTTTTTTATCCCATGGTACTTGAAATTTAATCTTGTAAGTTCAAAGATCAATTCTTTCAAAGTTAAATTAATATCACCGCACAATGAATACTGCAATCCTGCTATATTGTTATGGCCTAGAGTCTCCGGTGTATGATCACATTGGACAAAAATTGCATCAGAATTCCATCTAGGTGATTCTCCGTAGTGTAATATCCAATTCAATCTTGCTCCAAACACAAGCACTAATGTTGCTCTTTTCATCACTAACGACCTTGCACTAGATACATTTAACGGGTTCAGATCAGATACCACACCTTTCCCCATCGGTGTAGGTAAGAAGGGTAACTGGAATATATTAATGAATTGGTTCATTTCCTTAAACGCAGGTTGACTACCTTTCCCTACGACCACCAATATCTCTTTGTCTCTATGTTCTAATAATAATTTACATACATTCTTAACAATATGCGGATCAGGACAATATTTAATTCTCTTGGGAATAGGTGGTAAATTTGTCTGTAACCGTTGATTGCTTCTAAGATCATTGGATCCTATTGATAGATCTTCAATCAAGTTACCAGGAAAATCAAGGTATGTGACACCCAAAGTACCTTGGATAGACAAATTATAACACTGGAATAGAAGTTGTTGGATATTCTCTGGATTTAACCTTCCACAGAATTTAACATATTTATTTAATAACGAGATTTGGTCCAATTCTTGAAATGCACCCTTGTACTGATCATTGGAATTACCGTTGCTCCCTGATATTACGATCATGGGCCACCTATTATTAATTGAATTATATATACCAGACATTGCATGTATTAATCCTGGTCCACCCACTGTTAGTAATATCCCTGGTTTTCCAGTCAAATATCCATAAGCAGAGGCTGCATATGAAGCAGCTTGTTCGTTTCTAAAGGATACAAATTTGATACCATTTTTTATCATATCATTGGCTAACGTTACTATTGGGATCCCAACAATCCCAAATACAGTATCAATTTCTAGGTATTTTAATGTATTAATAAACTGAGTCACAATCTGATTGGTTTCTACTGGTGTATTCATTTTTTTAAAAATAAGTATAAGATTGAGGAAGGGGCACAGAGGGGCGGGACGTTAATTTAAAATCAAAAATGTAGCAGTAAAATCCTTTATTGAAGTTTGGATATTAATTGTATCATATGCAGTACTTGGTTGCTATGAGTGTTTTCACTGAGGAAAATATATTTCATTCAGTAGGAAAAACCCAATTTTTTGTTAAAACTGTATATTCTTATATACAAATTTCTCTTTTTTATATTTCTTTTCTTGTTCTTTTTTTTTTTTTCCCTAAATTTTTAATTAATATATATTCACAAGAGATTGTACGTATCTAAAGATGCTTCTACATTAAAAGATATATGGTCGTCCCTGTGTATATATGTATATATATGTGTGTGTGCGTGCGTGTGTGTCCGAACATATGTCTGTATCGATATATATATATGTATATATCTTATGAAATCAAATTATATCAATTGAATTAGAATCGGAATTAGTCTTTTGTTTTCTCTTTAATGACATAGCAATTTGACATCTTAATTTCATAACTTCATCTATTTCAAAATCACTAATTGAGACAGATTTACTACAACCAGTTTGCGGACAATCTTTACTTGCTCTACTATGTGGACCACCAAGATAAGTTATAATCCCCTGTTTATCAAAAGTATGTCCACATTTCTTAGATATCATCGGTATCTCAAAGGGTTTACAAGTGATTGGACATATTAATTCAATAGAACCACCTTCGATTTTTATATCGTCCTCTTCCTCATTAGTTGATTTATCATCTCTGATCACTGCAGTTGGATCTTTCCATACTTGTGGTAATATTTTAAGCAAAGTTGCGGTCTTATCCTTTTCATCCAACTTTGTTGTTGATAGTGTTGTGGATGACTGATTCTTATCTAAAGTTTCCTTATAATAATCCAGTAAACTTTTTGGACCCTTTAATGTGTTTTTGGGATTAACATAATTTTGCCAATCAGCTAACTCTGTTATTCTCTCGTATTTATCTGAATCATTTCTATATTGGTTTTTCGCTTCTTGTAACGTGTTTTGACTAATTTTCCATTGACAATATTGATCTTGTAAATTGTTGTTTGCATCCTCTAAACTTTGTAATAAAGCACTCGGTAAATCATCATCAAGGAATAAAGTTGTGTCGATAATCTGATTCAAAGTCGAATTTAATTCTGTTTGACATTGTTTAAGATACTTACTGTAGTCATTCAATGTTACATCATGTAAATATCTTGCTGCTTTAGGATGAATAGGTAAGTTTTTAGGTAATGTATCTAGACTCATTATAGATTGAATAACGTATCTTTTGTAATGCAGATCTGTATGTTTATGTAGTAGTAGTAATCTGGATAAATATTTATATGTTTATGTTTGTATGTAAAGCTTTATAAATCCCTTTGTTGTATCTTTTATTGGTTGGGAGAAGAGAGAAATAAACAGTGTTAACTTTAAAATTTATCTTCACAGTTATAATCAAAAAAAGAAAACTTAGTCAATGTTATTAGGTAGTGTTAATATTTTTAGTGTTAAGAATGAATTTGAGGAAGAATTCTTATTAACTGTAAGAATAGAAGCTCAGAAAGGTTAATATATTTCAACTTTTAGTATTTAGTAAAATAAAAAAAAATATTTGAATCTTTGAATATTAATATCTACATTGGTCAAGTTGAAAATAGAGATACAAAGAAAGATATATAAAGAGACAGAGTTTTATGAAATAGAGTGAAGAATTATCTAGTGGTGTGCAAGGTTACAATAATAGAACAAATGATAACAAATAGTTCAATGAAATGATGAATCCGATAGTGAAGGAACTAATTGTATTACAAGTAATTTACGCTTTGATTATACCACAAATTCAAGATATAGATATAAAAGATAGTAACAGTATTAGTACTAATGGTGATGGACCACATACTACCAAGGATAATACCATAAATGGTTATAACAATGATAATAGTAATAATGATAATAATTCCATAATTAATAATAATCAAAATAATAGTAAAATTAATAACGGTAATAATAGTAAAATTAATAACGGTAATAATAGTAAAATTAATAACGGTAATAATAGTACTGACAATAATCCCAGACGAAGTCCTACAAATCCTGATATGACAGATAATTTATATTTTTATAATAGTATGATTGAAAATAAGGTTATCAGCAGTAACATTAAATTATCTTTAGTAAAGATCACTAATGAAATTCAAAATAGTTTACTAGTTAATAAATTAATGGATATGAACAATGAAGCAAAGTTAACAATTAAGGATATATTGAGTATAATTAGAGATCTATTTCCATTACAGAGAACCATTTTGATCGACGGCCAATTAAGTTTTCATAATTTAAAGATTAAAGAACTAAAGAATTTAATAATAGTTAAATATAATACGTTTAAGGAGGACCAAATACGGTTGATTAATGAATATGAGAATCAGCTATTAGGTATGATTCCTTCTAATACACAAAATAGTAACGGTATTGATGACAATAATGGTAATGTAGTTATAACAGGAGGTGAAAATATGTTACAAGGTACTCAAACAACAAAAACCACAAAAACTACAACAGCAACACCATTATCATCAAAAATGACATCTGTTGTATCTAATAGAATCAATGCACCAAATGGGTCTACAAGTACAGTGGTTAATGAATCACCAGTAAAGTCTACACCATCATTTCTCACTCCAACACCAATGGTATCATCCACTACTAAGTCTAATATAAACGTAAGAAATACAACTCCTACACCACCATCTGCTACTACTACTACTACTGCCTCCACCACAACGAATGGCACGGTAACAAATAAGGATCCAAAGAGAGAAAAACTGTTACAATTATATAGAGACACCGTATTGAATAAATTACAATCAAAAACAAAGATTTTGGATAAATTGTACCAGAATTTAGATCCACAACTATCAAATAAGATAGTGTATAATTTGTTGGAATTGGAAAAGATTAAGAGTACAACACCAGCAAGTGTGCATCATTTACAATTGATACTACAAAAGAGCGTCTGTGATGGAATGATGAGTAGCCGTACAGGTAGTCTTACATGGCAGATGGCTCGTCAAGTTCAAACTGAACTGGAGGATACTGTTCAATTCATGAGACGAGCACTAGAATGAATTGTGTATGCATATGTGTGTGTATGTTTCAAAGATATATTATTGAAATTGGAGTCCCCCAATTTCCAGTCTTACTCTTAGGAGAGGCTTATTTCATACATAGTGTACGTATTATCTTAAGTATTTTAGAATATTAGAATACAGCTCCATAAAAATCCCAAAGATGCTCAGTACTGTTATTAAATGATAAATGGTTTATCTAATGAATAAATTACATTCTATTTCTTTTCAACCCTAAATCCAATTTTCCCTGATGTTTGTTATTTTTCATCACACGCCTGTTTTTTTTTTTTGTTGGTTTTCTTAGGCACACTCCTTTCTATCATGGAATACGACAAGCTGTTCTTTGAAATAATATGTTCCTTTCTTGGTGACATTTATATAAGAAAAAGATAAACAGTTAAAATGATCAAACCAAAAAGAGATTTACTTTATTTTATTTTCGGTCAGCAACGTCTCCAATGGTTGCTTATTTGTAGTTAAGTAGGTGGGTAATAAGCAGATTATCCTAATTTTACATAATATTATTGCATATATAGCTATTCATTTTATTAGGTTTAATATTTTTTATTGAGAATATTTAAAGAAAAATTTGAAAAAAATAAAAAAAAGAGGTGAGGGGGAAATGGCTGCATCTAAAAAGAAATATTCATTTGAACGTTGGAGAAAGATCGATTTATTAGATTTAGCAGATAAATTAAATATATATATTGCTACCAGTGCTAAAAAAGACGATGTTATAAAAATTTTAGAAACATATTTGGACTCTCTCGATTCTCCATTAGATACGTTAGAGTATCCAGAATTATCGCAATATTATAGTTCCTTTCGAGATGATGATTATGATTCAGATTCTGAAAGAAGTAGGTTACGACTAAGACCTAAAGTAGAAAATACAAGTGGTCAGGAGAGTGATGAATATGAAAATGAAAACCAAAATGAAAATGAAAATGAAAATGTTGAGTTTTTATCATCTTTAAAAAATATACATGATAATAAATCTTTTGAAAAGTCAGAATTGAAGGATATTTTGGATAATGAGAACAAGGAAATTAAACACGAACAAAATTTAAATAAACCTCCCTACGTTCAAAAAAATTATATTAACAATTTGTTCTTTGGTGATGAAAAATCAGATGAGACTGTAAGAAGTTTCAAATTTAATCTCCATGAATATTTTACAGATATTGTTCAAAAGACTTCAGAATATAATGAAAATATTCAATTATATTTGTCCAATCTAGAAACAGTATATAGAATCTTTGCTCTTGTGGAATTCATGTCTCTCCTTTATGGTATACAAAAGGTGGTTAAAAGAGATTGTCAAAATGGACATGAACTGAATGTAAAAGAACATTTGACAATGGATTTTACCCCACAATTGGAATATACGGAGATTTTGATTATTTGTTTAATGTGGTTAATTAGTTACGTTGGGATTCCAATTCTGATTGGTTATTATTTCAATTTTGCTCGTGAAGTCTTTGATTTATCTGTTGATCAAATGGTTTATAATTTAGCGAAATTATTAGTGATATATTTCATCCACTCAAGTTCATTTTTTACCAATAGTTGCAATGCTGACTATAATAATAGTGCCAATGATTTTGTGAATTTTGTCAACAATCTTATTGGTAGACAACAGACATACTTGAATAGATTTGGGTATTATGTGAAAATAATTACAGTGTCATTAGGTAATGCACCATTTGTTTTCACAACTATTTCATCTATACTAACAATTTATGTTTATATATTGTATGTGTTGTAATTTTAAACTTATTAGAGTTGAATACAAAGAATGTAAGGAGGTCATAGAAATTGAATTGATTAGAGATAGTTATTGTCTAATTAGTTGTTTTTTTTTGTAGTAACTTTTTGTGATTACGCTTTGTCTTCTTTTTTTCATTTTGTCTTACCTTATTTTACATTCTTTGAGTTGTATTATTTTTTTGTTTGTTATTAATATTTATATTGGCAAGTCTTTATATATATCAACTATATTTTGGTGGATTAAGAACTATGAAACTGGCAGCACTGTATGTATAGTAAATATAAGTGAAGTTAAGATATGATATACATTTTTAATGATCATTGTAGATGGTTATGTATGGTTCTCATTAGTTTTAGTAAAGAATTTTTGATTAAAAAGAAAAAGGGAAGGAAAAAGCTGATGCCATTCTCTTTTTCTCCACGGGTTCAATAATATACTATACTAGTAAATTACAAAGATATAAAGAGAAGACTGTTGGGTGTTTGTAAGCATATTCTGAGAGCTAAAGACTTTCTATTTTATGTAGTATAGGTATTATGTGAATAAATAAATAAAAAAGGCTGATGATCTAAGAAGTCATAATCGGAAAATTTCAACTATATGGTCTTTGACTAATGTTGAATGCTAAGGAACAGGACTTAAAATAGTTAAAAATCTGGGTCTAGATTATGAATATATTCAATTGGTTGTCAGATTAACGTTGTTAATAAATTATTAGAGGAATTTATTTAATAAATTTTTTATTATTGTCGAAGAGTGCCAAAAATAATTATTAGCATTAACACACCTATTAGTATTTCTCAAGTAAAATCTAATAATAATAATAATAATAATAATAATAATAATAATAATAATAATGTAGTTGATTTACTAGTTTAGGATTAATGAAATTTTATAGTTTTAATATATTGTTTAAAATAACTCTTTATAGAGTATAAAAAAAAGGATATTAAAATTGTTAAAAGTACTTATTTTTTAACAGATGGTAAATACCTTTATGAAAACTTGATATGTTTAAAAAATAAACAAAATAAAAAAACTACTCTCATAAGAATGAAGCCACTTTAAAAAAATTCAATATATAAGGAAATTAATCTTAATTAATGACAAGACACACAACAATTTAATAAATAAATAAATAAATAAATAAATATTTGAATAATCTATTATATTTTTTATACTTTTTATATGTGGGCATTAAAATTAGTATTGGTAACTGACACAGAAAGAAAAAAAAACATTAAAATATGAATAAAGAGATATTTGATACACTAAATTCATTGCTCTAGAAGACTAAAAAAATCACAAAAAATATATATATCAAAGAAGACCTCAAGTATAAAATGATTTGCACTGTATATTATAACTTCTATATATTATATAAGATAGAAAAAAAAAGTCAGGTGATGTTAATTAAAGTTATAATACCACTAAAATTACTTTATAAATAAACCAAACTCTTTTAATATAATCTTAATGCATTCATAAGTTTACTATCGCTTCATAGCGTTAATTTGATAATAAAATTTCATAACGTTAATGTTACTAAGGTCTCACGTCAACATGATAAAAATAAAAAAGATAGTTTTACCGAAGAAACACAAACAGTATTTAGTACGATAACAACAACAATACACATTCATCTAAAGGTGTAATGCATATAGATAGCTCTGGAGATTGGTCTTTGACGTTTGGGATTCGGATGCATAGAATGCAATATTCTGCTCACAGTGTTGCATTCTTTTTTTCTTTTTTTTTTTCTTTTTGTTCTCTCTGTTTTCCATTAATGAAGGTACGATAGAATGAAGCTGCAAAAAAAAAAAAAAGAAAAAAAGAAAAATAAGGGGGGGGAGAGGGAAAAAAAGAAAAGGACAGTGGGGACGGCAGAAAAAAAGAGAAAAAAGGCTTACTTTTTGCACCGAGAATATTGATTCATAAAAGGATAAAAAGAATTTCCAGTATTAGGCATTGAAGTAGTAATGAAGAAAAATAATTATACCTATTTACTTAAACTTAAACGTTGCTCTCTTGTATAATAATTATAAGGATTTTTCACACAAAATACACACCCACGTAAACAAAGAAAGTTAGTTATAAAAAAAAAATGAGTAATAATTCAAAAAGACGTATTGAAACTGATGTGATGAAATTATTAATGAGTGACCATGAAGTTGAATTGGTTAATGACAACATGCAAGAGTTTCACATAAAGTTCTGTGGACCAAAGGACACACCATATGAAAATGGTGTGTGGAGATTACATGTGGAGTTGCCTGACAATTATCCGTACAAATCACCAAGTATTGGGTTTGTGAATAAAATATTCCATCCAAATATAGACATTGCATCTGGGTCCATCTGCTTAGATGTTATAAATAGTACCTGGTCTCCATTGTATGATCTGATTAATATTGTTGAATGGATGATACCTGGTTTATTGAAAGAACCAAATAGTAGTGATCCATTAAATAATGAAGCTGCCACTTTACAACTAAGAGATAAAAAGTTATACGAAGAGAAAATAAAAGAGTATATATCCAAATATGCCACAGAAGAAAAATATGACGCACAATTTGGAGATAATAGCAGCAATGATAATGAAAATCAAGAAGATGAGTTACGAACTGGTAGTAATGGAGAATTGAGTGAAGAGTTGAGTGATATTGAAAGTCTTTCTGATGAAGAAGATGACGATGGATCATTAAGTGATTTAAGTGACTTATCATCAGATGAGGAAGAAACTATTTAATGGAAAATAATATGAAAATAAATATATTTTCAAACGAAAAAAAAAAGAAGAAGATAAGACACATAAGAATAAAAGAAGAAGGAAAAAAAACATGTGAACTTTAAAAATAAAATGAATACACTTTTCTTTTTCTTTTCTTTTCTTTTTTTCCTTTTTGTTTTACAGATTCAATTATCCCTCCCATATAGATATACATTTCTGTATTCCCCTTGTATACTTATATTCTTATGTGACTATAAGATTCGATTGAGCTGTCAATAATCCAACAATCATATACAAATATTATTCTAATAACCACCATATACAAAATGAAAAAAACTCCGACCTCACCCCTTTCACTCTCTTCCTTCATATATTACCCACGTAACCCACAAATATTAACATAAATATACATGTATGTATGCATTAACGTAGCGAAATATTTGTACATTCACGAATAAATTGAGGTTTAAATCTAAAATTGAGTAATATATATATATATATTTTGTATATATCATGTACGGAGTGATGCCCCTTTTTTTAGGTCACAGAGAGAAAAAAACAATTAGCCCTGTCCAACAAAAAATTATCACGAAAATAATGTCAATTAACCATCATTTTTCCAGTCAACAAAGTTTATTATAATAGCAACAATAACCATTCTCCTTCCAAAACTACAAAAATAAAAAAAAAAAGAAAAAAGAGAAAAAGAATGAAACAACAGAGTGTGTCAAAATTCAAAGATAGTTTTAATTACCAAATTCAAACACTCATAAACATTATAACGCAAAGATAACCGAGAACCGTATGTGTGTATTCCTGTAAACAAACAAACAAACAAAAGAAAAAAGGAGAGGTGGAGAATATAAGGAGAAAGGAAAAGAAGGGAGGGGAGGAGAGAGGAAAATAGGAAGGAGAAAAAAGAAGATGAAGTAATGTAGGGTTAGCAAGGAGTGACGTTTCTTTTCCACTTTCACATGCTGGAAGTCTCAACATATTTTTCAAGGGTTTAGTTGTTTGTGGTAACTTTGAGAAGAAAAAAAACCCAAACAAAAAAATGAAAACCTTTAAGATACACTTTAAAACTCGGTAGATATGTTAGGGTTATAAAACATTCTTATTACTGGTGCAAATTTTGAAATGTCTTTCTTATTCATTTTTTCTAGGGTTGGCAGAAGAATACCCGAGCCAAAGGCAGATAAACTCAATAAAAAAATCCCACAACAACAATAACAACAATAACAATTACAACGGCACAATCAAACAAAAAAAAAAACAAAAGAATAAAAAAATTAAGGGGGGCAGAAAAACACAAGAAAAAATAAGACAACATTATATTTATAACATTATATGTACTATTGTAATATCTCTTATTATATTATGTAGTATATTCCCCTCCTTCTATTTTCATTTTATCTTATTTTGTTTTAATCGAAAAACAATTGACGTTTATCGAAAACTTTTGTAGTCTCGAGGAATCCGAATTGTATAAATGCATAAATATATAAATATATATATATATATATATATATATTAACTTATTAATCGATATGTCAAACATATTTTTGTACATATATATATAAGTACTAATATATTGTTAGAATATCTCCCTATACATTGTTTGTTCACTAATCCATCATTTCTTCCAATCCTCCCTTAATAGCACCAACAATCTGAAAAGCTAACCGAATAATATCTTACCTGATCCTCAACTTTTTTTTTTCTCTAACTACAGCAAAACATTCAAAATGTATACGATTCCTGAAAATGTCAAAGAATGTGTCGAATTCGATCCATGGTTGAAACCATACGCTCAGGTATTGTCTGAGAGAAGATATCTTGCCGATAAATATTTATATGACATTAAACATGCCACTCCAAACGGCAAAGAACAGTCCTTATCTAAATTTGCCCGTGATTCATATAAATCATATGGTTTACATGCTAATCCAACCACAAAGGAAATTACTTACAAAGAATGGGCTCCCAACGCAGAGAAAGCATTCTTAGTAGGTGATTTCAATAACTGGAATCAGACTTCTCACGAATTGAAAGATAAAGATCAATTCGGTAACTTCTCTATCCTTTTACCTCCAAACGAAGATGGTTCTTTTGCTATCCCACATGATTCAAGAATTAAAGTTATGTTCCAACTAAAAGACGGTTCTAAGATTTTCAGATTGCCCGCTTGGATCACCAGAGCCACTCAACCCTCCAAAGAGGATTCAAAGAAATATGGCCCAGCATACGAAGCAAGGTTTTGGAACCCTGAAAACGCCTACCAATTCAAGAATGAAAGACCTGTTTTCAAAGAAAATAAAGACTCCCTGCGTATTTATGAAGCTCATATTGGTATCTCTTCTCCAGAACCTAAAATTGCTACATATAAAGAATTTACTCAAAATGTTTTACCAAGGATCAAATATTTGGGTTATGACGCCATTCAGTTAATGGCAATTATGGAACATGCCTATTATGCGTCCTTCGGTTATCAAGTTACCAATTTCTTCGCGGTCTCTTCCAGATATGGTACGCCAGAAGATTTAAAAGAATTAGTTGACACTGCTCATGGTATGGGCTTATTAGTATTATTAGACGTAGTCCATTCCCATGCCTCTAAAAACGTTGAGGATGGTTTAAATATGTTCGATGGTTCTGACCACCAATATTTCCATTCTCTATCCTCTGGTCGTGGTGAACATCCATTATGGGATTCACGTCTTTTCAACTACGGACATTTTGAAGTCCAACGCTTCTTACTTGCCAATTTAGCCTTCTATATCGACATATACCAATTTGATGGTTTCAGATTTGATGGTGTCACATCCATGCTTTATTTACACCATGGTGTTGGTGCTGGTGGTGCTTTCAGCGGTGATTATGATGAATATTTATCCAAGGAAAGATCTGCCGTAGATCACGAAGCATTGGCATATTTAATGTTAGCCAATGACTTAGTTCATGAGTTGCTACCTGAATCAGCTGTCACTATCGCAGAAGATGTTTCGGGATATCCAACTTTGTGTTTACCACGTCACATGGGTGGTGCCGGATTTGATTATAGATTAGCCATGGCATTACCAGATATGTGGATCAAATTGTTGAAAGAAAAATCAGATGATGAGTGGGATATGGGTAATATTGTATTCACTCTAACTAATAGAAGATATGGTGAAAAAGTAGTGGCGTATGCTGAATCTCATGATCAAGCGTTAGTCGGTGATAAAACATTAGCATTCTGGTTAATGGACGCAGCCATGTATACAGACATGACCGTTTTGAAACCAGCTTCCATTATCATTGATCGTGGTATCGCATTACATAAAATGATCAGATTAATCACACACGCTCTTGGTGGTGAAGCCTATTTGAATTTCGAAGGTAATGAATTTGGCCATCCTGAATGGTTGGATTTCCCAAATGTTAATAATGGTGAATCTTACCATTATGCTCGTAGACAATTTAATCTGGTTGATGATCATTTATTACGTTACAAATATTTGAATGAATTTGACAAGGAAATGCAATTGTGTGAAAAGAAACATCAATGGTTGAATACTCCACAAGCTTATGTATCATTGAAACATGAAGTTGATAAAATCATTGCATTTGAAAGAAATGGTTTATTATTTGTCTTTAACTTCCATCCAACTCAAAGTTTCACAAATTACAGAATCGGTGTTGATCAAGCTGGTATTTATCAAGTCGTTTTGAATTCTGATCGTGAAAACGTTGGTGGTCATAATAGAATCGATGAAACTACTGAATATTTCACTACTGATTTAGAATGGAATAATAGAAGAAACTTTATTGAAATTTATATTCCAAGTAGAGTAGCTCTTATCTTTGCCCTAAAGAAATAATTGTAACTGTTATAATAATATTTAAATAGTCAAAAGGGCTAGTTTCCCCATCTTTTGTTATTATCAGATAATATATATATATATGTGTGTGTATGTATGTGTGTATGTATTTGTGTAATTATTGTAACTATTATATTCCTAACCAATATTTTTCATTGATTAGTAAGTATAATATTTTTTATATGTTGTATTATTTTTTTCATTGTGTGGATATCTCGAGTCATCATCATCAACAACACTAACTCTTCTTCTTTTGTTTTTCCCTTATCCTTTTGTTTGAAAAAAAAAATAAGAAGAATCTAAAGATATACACATATAGAGAAATGAAAGAATATTTAAACTTTTTATATAACCAATTTTTATTTAAATTATTTTAAATCTAAAATAGTCTTTTGGTTTGTAGGTAATGGTATTGTATGCACGGTCAAATAGGAGTTATATTTTGTAGCCAAACCAGCATATGCCAAATACCATGCAATAAATGCAACAATTACCCCGACTATACCACCAGCCTTGTTAACATTAGCATTTTGTGTAAATTGTGCAATAGAAAGTAATAGGAAAGTCAACCCTAAGAAAAAATATAACGAAAAAAACATTAGAGTCGATTTCATAGTACACAAACAAAGACCATATGTGAAGATACACCAGCCTAAAAGATAAAATCCTAGAGCATTTGCTAATTCATCTGATTTACCCTCGTATGCATCAAGGATACCAAACCATGGAATATATATGGATCCAAACGATAACCAAAATCCACCAAAAGAGCATAATGCTGTACCACCAAATGTATTTTCTAAAGCTATCTCCCAGATACCAGCAATAAGTTGCACCAATCCGCCATAAAATATAGCCAGACCCACTACGACGTTGGGTATTTCTACACCTTGAGCATGTGCATTGAACATAGATAGAACAAAAGTTGTTAAACCAAATCCGGAAAGGCCTAATGGTGCAGGATTAGCAAAACTATGCGAAGAAGGAGCGGCTAAACCTGGATTCAATGTACCACCAAAGGCATCCAAAAGATCTGATCTTAAAAACTTTTGTCTACCAATATATAAATATTCATTATTTGTACCTGATGTATAAATTCTTTGTAATGATTTATTGGAATCTGTAGTTTCCAGTGGAATAGAATAATGTGTCTTATGTTCACTTGTATTATCCAAATCTATGTCATGAATCGTAGTTGGGACATCATATTCCATTAAAGAATCAATACTTTCTTCATCAGATTTTTTATGTGCCATTTTTTTTTTATTATTAATTATATTAGATATGTAGCGATTTAATAATAATATTCTTGTTATTTTTTTGTTAAATGGAGAACAAAGAAAAGTTAGATATTTTCTTCTATTTGACTCAGCTAAAACTTCAGCTTGTATTAAATGTTAATAGTATTCCCCTTTTTTATTTTTTTAAGCAGTTTCACTAACTATACTAAATGATAAAAAGTTTTAATAAAGATTTTTAATGAAACTAACCTCGAGACAACAAAAAATACTCCAAACCTCATCACATCCATAAATACATACACATTCACATACATATATATATAACATGTGTGACTCAAATATCAAGACATGATTAAGATGCACGGGTATAAAATACAGCCGGTAATAACTGTATGAAACAATAGAAAGGCTGAACGGATAATCAAAAAAAATAAGTATTCTGATAATTGGTTGAGCAGAAAATACTTTATACCCTTTTCTATTTTTATATACAGATATGTCTTTTTTGTTTTGACATCAAAAAATAAGATCACACGTTTCACTAATCAGCATAAGCAACAAGATCTTGTGCTGTTTAGTCTTACTAATATTGTTTGTAGTCAAAAAAAAAAGTAGAAATTTGGTCAAGCATCATCATCACCGTCATAATAACAATGATCATAAGAATAGAAGTAGTAGTAATAATAATAGTAATAGTAATAGTAACAATATCACTATCAGATTATTGTTTGACAGCTCGGTCAACGGGATAAAAAAAACCGCTTGTTCCGTCTTTTATTTTTTTTTTCCTTCCTCCCCTTTTTTACCCTTTTCTTCTTCTTTTTCTCGTTTCTTCCACAATAGAGAAAAGCATTAAAGTATGTATTTAAGTTTTCTCTGTAAATCTAGAAGAACATCTCACTTTTCTTCCAACCCTGCCGCAATTCCAGGTTAACCTTCAATCGAGGTGGAAAAAAGAGAAAGAAACAAAACAAATCGAAACAGAAATAGACTAAAATCTCCAATAGGGTTTTGCTGGATATGGCTATTCAAAACTATCTGTAATTAACGACACACAAAGCTTGTCCTGATATACATACATACCTTTTTAAATACATGATCTTCTTGTTGTTTTATTTTTTTGTGTTTTCTGTGTGTGTGTGTGTGTGTGTGTTTATTTAGTTAGACTAATTTTTTAGTGATACAGGGTTTGACCAAGTTATCAGCTGAATTAGGTATTTATAACACTAATTTAAGAGTCAGAGGAAAAATTTCATTTAAAACAAGAGATAAAATCAATACTTAAGAAAAAAAAAGGAAAAAGGTTCAATGATGATCTTCTATGTAATTTTTATATCATTCGAGGATTTTACTGCTAATTTTCAACATATTCTAGTATAGAACTAACTAAAAACTATATAGAAAAACCACAAAAAAAGGATCCATATGAGTTTTAATATTATAGAAATAATTTTATAGTTGTTATTTTCCTCAGTAATCTATATCTTCAAGATATAAAAAAATAAAAAAAAAATCATTTTATTTAAATAGTTTTCAGTTTCCTGATATACTTTTTAAATATATGAACATAAATAAAATCTTGCTAATCAGTTCCCCACCATAAACAAGATTATCACCATGAAGTTGGTAAGACGCACTAACTGTACACTAAGCTGTTAACATTTCAAACCTGGTTAATTAATATTACAACCTTGTAATTATGCAATTTTAATTATCAAAAACTATCTATATTTTTTTTTATCCAAACCACTTTCTCCTTTGTCAAAGTGTATTTTCTTTTTTTGCCTTTTTGCAAGATTGACAGGAACAAAAAAAAAAAAGAAAGAACAAAACTGAAAAAAAAAAAAGTTTAATGAAGGAAAAAAAGAGAAAGAAAGACGTCTACTCTACATATAAGAAACAGAAATAACTCACATTAGTATTAGGAGCTATTATTTTGAAGTATTCTGATCTAGTGACTATTTGCATCACAATCTTTTTTTTTTTTATTAAAGTTAGTGAAAAAAGCATTTATGCTAGAATAACAAACAACAAACAATGTCAGCCTTATTTAATTTCACTTCATTATTACAAGTTGTATTATTATTAATATGTTGTTGCACATATATCCATGGTCAATGGCCATCACTATTGGATCGTTATAAGGATCATGAAGCCCTTGGTGGATTTTGGAAATTGGCTCGTATTGGTGAAAGAGCTAGTCCATATGTTAGTTTAGCATGTATATTAATGGCTATTAATCAATTCAATAGTTAAGAAAAAAAACAAAAACAAAAACAAAAATTAAAATAAAAACAACTATACTTCACCATCTAATACAATACAATATAATACAACCCAACCTTTCAAGATAACATCAAATGACGTTGAACTGCACCATCACCCCTCTCTAAAATCCAATTGCACCTTACCACAAACATAAAATAACATAAAATACCAAGTAACCATAACCTCGCATATATATGCCTATATATTTATCTACGTAAGATAGCCCATAATAAGCTACTAAGAATAATATAACCAATATACAATTTTTTTTTTAACAAAACAAGAAACTCTAATCCCTGCATAGAGAAAAAAAAATGTTCCAGTACAATAAAGACAATTGTCCCAAATATACTATAACATATAATATAATATAATTAATACAAAAATTAAACATTTCCGCTTGAATCAATGGAGATTCAAAAGGAAAAGTAAGTAATTAATTAAGTCAGAAATATTAATAAGCAAGTCTCTTCCGTGTCACATTCTACTATTTGTGTAACTCAGAGCTTGACTCTATGTTGCATTGATGTTTCATCATTTCTTAACAAGGAAAAAAAAATCACAAAAATGTGCTTTTTTTTCTTTGAAAATTAATTACATTAACTAGGACAATTATACTTAATTGGTTCAGGAAATAATCTTAGTATTTTCAGTTTGGTATATTTGACTATACAAAAAAGCTCACTTCCAATAGTGACTTTCAAACTGTGTAAAAAATAAAATTGAAAAAAATAAAATGAAATCCGTGAGCCAAGAATAGTAAGCTCCATTGGGTTACTCAATAATTAGGATACCCATATAAACGTGTATCGCGTTGTTAAAGAGCAATCGTCATAACTATGGTTTAGAGTTCATACATACGTACAGAGTATAGAAACCCCAATACCGAAAAAACACCACCTATCCTATCCAAAAGGGAGGAGATGGGACAACAATCATTCACGAGAATGAATGATTAATGAGTCTATTTAAACAATTTAATAAATTTTTAAATCTCATTACGTTTTCCGCATACGATCAGGTCGGAGACTTTCCCCAAAGCTTAGCGTGAGTCATCAATTATTAGACTCCAATTGTGCAGACTTCGATCAGTGACGATTCTTTGGATCACGGATTGGTTATTTTCTCCTCCCAAAACACAAAAGAAGCATATTTAAAAAAAGAAATTAGCGAAACAAGCGAGGATGGCGAAAGAAGAGGCGATTTGTTAGATTTTTTCGTCTGTTTTATTTCTCTTTATATATCTCTTTGAAGAAGACTATTCCTTTTCTACAAAAAAAAAAAATTGAAAAAAAGAAACTCTGTATTGTTTCTAAATCACTTCTTACGGCAATAGAGTATTTTTAACTTGAAGCCCTTAATCTTTCTTTTTTCTCAAAAAAATAAAGTTAGGGTTTTGCTTCTTTTTGATTTTTTTTAAATTATCTTTTCTCTGTTGCAAATTTCCCCTTTGGGACCGTGACTGATTTGATCTACTTTTCAATATTTAGAGATGAGAGAACGTTTCCATTTTCTAGATTTTGCCAATATTTGTGAATATGGATATGATTCAAGAAGTATTAATACACCACTGTTGGGCGGTTAAGTTATTCGAATCTACACATGTTAATAACAGTGTCTTGAAACAAAATAACCACACGGTAAAATTTATAATATTTTTAGATGGCTAATTGCTATCTAAAGTAAAAAAAAGAACAACTTTGATATAGATTTCATCTCATTTCCCAACCCTTATTCACTATAAACTCATCTCTTTTACCAGACTATTAAATTTTAGCCCAAACAGGGGAAGAAAGAATAAAGAAAGTTACATATATAATGCCTGGCAGTTATTGGACCTCAACTCAACGACTGTGTTGGCAATATTCCAAAGCAGCCTTAGCAAGACAAAGACAAGAACTTTGGCTTCTTCAATGCCAATTGTTCCCGCAAGGTCTAAATATTGTCGTGAATACAAGACAAAATAAAGAACAAACAAGTAATAAAGATACTAATGGCACGCCTCAACAACTCCAATCTACTATTAGTGTGAAAAATATCCCAATAACACATAGAGATCTACATTATGATAAGGATTTTAATTTACGTATTTATTGTTATTTTTTAATAATGAAGCTAGGTAGAAGATTAAACATTAGACAATATGCTTTAGCCACAGCACATGTTTATCTTTCTCGTTTTCTCTTAAAAGCCTCTGTGAGGGAGGTGAACTTATATCTATTGGTTACTACATGTGTATATCTAGCATGCAAAGTTGAAGAATGTCCACAGTATATAAGAACTTTAGTCTCTGAAGCCAGATCTCTTTGGCCTGAATTTATCCCACCAGATCCAACCAAAGTGACCGAGTTTGAATTTTATCTATTGGAAGAGCTACAATGTTATTTGATTGTGCATCATCCATATGAAGCTATGGAACAAATTATTGAAGTACTCAAAACATCAGACTATAATTTGATTTTATCTAATGAGGATATCCAAAATTGTTGGTCTTTAATTAATGATTCTTATATCAACGATGTACACCTCATTTATCCACCACATATTATAGCTATGGCATGCATGTTTATCACGATATCACTACAAAATACCAGTGATGACAACAATAACAGTAATAGCAATAATAGTTTTATAAAAAACAGTACTAATTTAGCTAATATTCTATCGGCAGATAACTTAACTCCTGCACAAGAGAAATTTAATAAGTTTATGGCAGAGTCCCAAGTAGATCTACTAGAAGTCTCAGATACAATTCAACAACAGATTACACTATATGATCATTGGGACAAATATCATGAACCGTGGATCAAATTTTTATTGCATACACTATATTTAAGACCAGTAATAAATCAACCACCAAAAAGTAATAGTAGCAACATCAGTAATAATAGTGATCATTATATTCCAAATAGTTACAATAATCTTAATTCCAGTTCAATCTCCAATAATAATAACAATACTACTACTACTAATAATAATAACAGTAACAGCAACAATAACAAGAAAAATGGACAATTTACTAAAAACAATCAAAGAGCTGATGATGGCATCAGTACATCTTATACAAACAATACTACAAACAATCTACATACTACTACTAATAAGGGATCTGCCAGTAGTACTATCGATAGTGTTAACAATAATATATTATGAAATGATCTTACGTCTGACATATTTTTCCTACTCTCACACATTCTATTGTGACTCTTTTTTTTCTTTATTCTTCAAAGCCAAAAAGCGAATGAAAAAACAAAAAAATAAAAACGAGAAAGAAGAAACGAAATTTGTTCGAGGCTAGACAGAGCATTAAAGTTTTAGCATAAATATGCTTTCTCTTCTTTTCCTTTAGTATATTTATCCCAATACTATTAGATACCTTTTGAGAAAATATTATACTACTAACGGATAATTTGATATGCTTACAATTGCACCATAATCGTTGGTAACTTAGCCTAATACAACATTCCCAAAGAATTCATGTAATATGCCATTCAATATTACTACTAAGCAGATCCATACATCCACCACAGATATTGAACATGCCATTGATCGTTCTTTAAAAGACGAATATTTTCCCGTAGCTCAGAATTTGTCTGAAGAAGATAAATATTTTAAGGGTAATCCCAAACCGGCATATTTGGATGATTTGATCAAAGAAACAAAAGATTTTATCGATTACCAATATTCGTTGGGGAGAAATAGAATTGTGTTAGTAACATCCGGAGGTACTACAGTTCCATTAGAAAATAATACTGTTAGATTTATTGACAATTTTTCTGCGGGAACTCGTGGTGCTGCAAGTGCTGAAGAATTCTTACAAAATGGTTACAGTGTCATATTTTTGCACAGAGAATTTTCATTAACACCCTTTAATAGATCATTTCAAAAAAAATCAGGGCTAGAATTCTTGGATTATCTAGATGAATCAGGTAAGATCAACCCTGAATTCATGACCCAATTCATACAACAAAAATCTCTTTATGAAAAATATCTAAATAAAGAAAAATCGTTATTATTGTTACCATTCACAACTGTTAATCAATATTTATGGTCCTTAAAGGCTATTGGTAAATTATTAAACAATAAGGGTTGCCTATTTTATTTAGCAGCAGCTGTAAGTGATTTCTTTGTCCCTTATTCCAAATTACCGGTGCATAAAATTCAAAGTAGGGATTATGGCTTGGATAAGAATATCGAGAGTGTTGCTGACACTAAAAATAATACAGCTTCTACCACAGCCGATGGAAAATTAATTGTAAATTTAGATCCTGTTCCAAAGTTTCTAAGACGTCTTGTTAACTCGTGGGCAACACGAGCAATGATAGTTTCATTTAAATTAGAAACTGATCCATCTATTTTGATTGATAAAGCTCAATATGCATTAACAAGATATCAGCATCAGTTAGTAATTGGTAATTTATTACAAACGAGAAACAAAGAAGTTGTTTTTGTTACACCACAAAACATTAAAGGTGAGTGGTTAAAGTTACCAGAACAAGAAATATCATCTAATCATAAAATGACAATAGAACAACTTATTATACCTGCAATTATTCAATTACATGATAAACAGATACAGGAACAATAATACCTATAACCTTTTTTCATTTATAAAGAGTTACATAGATATATAAATATATACATTTTGTCTTTATTCTTATTTTTAAAGTTTGTATTAACAAAAATTCAAAGAATAAAGAGAATATATAAACAAGAAATCGTCTTATTATTGGATATCAAAATTATATACACATAAATACAAATTATTACAGTTCCTACAAGAATTCAAATCCAAGACCAAATTGGAAACCTCTTCTTTGTAAGTCATCCGAATGGCATGTAAATGGGACAGCAAAGTTCAATTCAAATCTAGCCATAGGATGTCTTAACGTGACACCAGTTCCAATTGATGTTGAATGTTCACTACTTAATTTACTAATAGTTGATATCCAATCATTGTTATTGTGGTTAACTAATTTACCACCATTAAAGAAAAAATGTAACCTGAAATTAGAGTCTAATAATTTTTTAATTGGCAATTTAGAAAAAACACTTACACCATACGCCATAAAGGTATCCCCACCCAAATTACATCCAAGGTGTCTTGGACCAATACCCATATTTTGAAATGATCTAATATCATTTGCACCACCATTTTGAAACTTGTCAGTATAATGAATATATTTATTTTGTAAGAAAGTTAAGTTTGTAATATACCCACATCTAAATGTGGTGCTCATAGTAATAAAATCATTTTGTAACCAACTCTGAACTTTATTACATTCAAACATATTTTTCCAAAACTTAGAACCACTTTCAACATGTGTTAATTCTGAATTAACCTTGAAGAAATGTCCTCGTGTTGGAGCGAATGAATTATCTCTACAATCCCAAATCAAATTCCCCTTCAAGGATTGTCTAATAGAAGTCCCATCTTGAATTAATAAGTATTCTGATATATTCTTTTTAGATGGGCTAATTGATAAACTTGGCACCGAAGAAGTATGAATTTTTAAAGATGAAAAATTTCTTTTAATTAATTCATAATTTATACCTAGATTCCACAGACGTGTGGAATTGTACCAACTTCTTATTCCCATGGTACAACCAACATCTTTTACACCAACATTTTTCCAAATATCAAATAAATCAAAAGTCCATGACCAAAAGGGAGTTCTTTTTAAGAAGGGTGAACTAATAGAAAACCTAGTACCTGAATTAGTGCCGGTATCACGTCTATAATCTAATGTTACAATATCGTCAGTAGGTAATCTTGATTGAAAGGATACATAACCATCACCTTGTCCAGAATTTGTTATATTTGTACCTGTTTTAGCAGCAAATTTAGATTTAGGTTGATAGTACAACGTGGCGACAATTGGTAAAGGATTAGAAAAATTGATATCATCGCTATTAGAATTAAAAGTTGACGAATTTATAGTGTGGAATATTGGATGTAATCCATTGATCAAATTTGCCTGCAATAATCTTGAATTCAAAATATCTAATTGAGTTGGTATATCTGACAATTTTTCACATTGAGACAAGGTTGAATTGATATAAACTTCCCATGTTTCAGAACTTAAAGTATTACCCTTTGCTTTTGTTATTGAAATAGGTTGAACATTGACAATCTTAATCGGGACATTAGCGTTGTTATCTAAGAGACTATCAATATACTGTTGAGGTATTGGTTTTAAAGAATTTGGAATAGATTTATTCAAAGGATCATCATAACCCATGACTAAAAGCTATCTAAAATAATACTTTTTCAAGGTTCAACTGTTCTATTTAAGTATTTAGACGGGAAATAAATAGTATTTAGCTCAGAATTCAATTCAGAATTTTCCCGATGCCTTCTTCTTTGCACAATCCTTTTTGCTATGTGTTACAATTGTTTTGAATACTAAGATGTTAATTAAACATGGGGATATAATAAAATAGCATCTTCATACAAATTCAAAACATTAAAATTTATTTCTAAAATGTTAGCTGTATGCCTATGACTATAATGTTGTGAAATTTTCTTAACTTCATTTTTAATTTTGATATTTTTTTTCCTTTAAAGTACCCCAAATTATATAGAATTAAAAAGTTTTAATCTTATAGTGCACATACTTAATCAAATGTGCACCTACTACACTAGACAAATCATGTCTTTCTATAAAACAGTTGTAAAGAATCCTACTTTAATATTAATAAGATGTGAGAGAAAAAAAGATATTCATAATAATTATGTGGATAATATATTGCTATTTTCTCCCTCTATGCATCCAAATAGATTTGCACCGATAAACACACACATATATACAAACATACATATACATATACATATATATATAGATTGAATTGTCTAATTTCGTTGTTATTATTATTGTCATCATTACTATTACTATTACTACTACTATTATTATTGTTGTTGTTGCTGTTGTTGTTGTTGTTGTTGTTGTTGTTGTAGGATAGTTATAGCTCTCTCAATAGCGGCTTCTTGATACAATGGAGCAATACATTGTTTACCTGATTCTGTTTTAAAATGTCTACCAAGAGCATCACTACGTGCAAATTTTTTACCACAACCCCAAGGTTGCCCATTCTTTAGTTTTCCACCACAAACATATCTTTTTTTACCAGAATGTAAATCTTCGTGTCTCTTTCTATCATGTTGTCTAGCAAAAGCTTTACCACACACTGTACAAACAAATGGCCTTTCATTGGTATGTGTTCGTAAATGTGATTTTAAGTTATATGGTCTTGTAAATGTTTTATCACATAATGAACAAGCATAAATTAATGAACTTTTTTTAGTTGTATTCTCTTCTTGTTTTTTAGATGAAGTTTGATTTGAGCTGGTTTTATTTTCATTCTTTGGTACAGATCCATTATCAGTAAGGTCTAAATTACTTGGGGATGGGCTTGTAACATGATCAAAATTCTTGTTTGGACCCTTATTATCTTTGTTCGAGTTAAGATTAATATTAATATCAGTTTCGTCCAGTTGTAAATCTGCTAATTTCAACAATTTTTCTCGATTAGCACTTAAAGATCTTGCCCTTTCATCTAAGGACATTGATGGTTTTCTACTTCTACTTCTACTACGTGGTCTCAGACTTTTTGAGTTGTTGTTCTTATTATTTGAGATACTTTTTCTTCTTATTTTTCCATCTGCAATTATTTCCTCATGTATTATATTGAGTTGTGTTACATCATCTGCCTCTTCTTTTTTCACTTCATTTTCTTTATCACCCTCATTACCAATCGACATGTCGTTATTATTGTTGCTATTAGTTGTGGATAAATAGGAATTTGGATTTAACATATTGCTTTTACTATTCAATGGAGTTTCCCAATTAATTTGATTATTTTGTTGTATAGTAGGAGATCCTAATTCAAAGAGATTATTATTATTACTATTATTGTTATTATTATTAGTTGGATTGAACTCTTCAATAGATATTATTGGTGCAGAATACTGATTATTATTTAAGTTCAAAGTGTCGTTAGTAGTCGTGGTCGTGGTAGTAGTGTTAGGAAGATGAATATCGATATCATAATACTCATCATTTAAAGGATATGGATCAATTTCAATATTTTCTAATAAGTAATCCAAATCTGTTAAATCATTTACATGTCGCAAACCATATGAATTGATAGGTAATAATACATTACTTGTTGAACTGTTGGTACTATAATATGAATTGTTTGAATAAACACTTAATAAATCATCATTATCTGTATCATTGGCAGAAAGATATGAAGATGGAGAGTGCAATGGTGATGTAGACAAAGAAGAACCATTTTGGAAAATATTTAAATTAGTATTGGAAAGAACGTTATCATTATTATTAATATTATTACTGTTACTATTATTAGTATTAGTATTGCTATTGTGAAGATTTAAATTCTGGCTTGCAATTAAATTATTATTAAAAGTACTAGTAAAAACATTAGTAGTTGGTGTTGTTGGGGACAAAAACCTAGGGGTACTTAAATTATTGCTGTTACTATTGTTATTTCTATCATGATAATTGACATTTGGTGATTGAATAATATCATTTGAATTTAATAAAATATGTTGTTCAAATGTATCAGAATTTTCTATTTTCAAAGTTGGAGTATGAATAATCTGTGGAGACAATGACGATCCTTTATCAAGATAAGAATTAACATCGTCGAAATTGTTTTGAATTATACTAGAGGTAGCAGCAGTGGTAGCTATTGATGTGTTAATAGCAGGTATGTTGGTGCTAGACAGAGCTGAACCTTTATTAATGTTATTGATAGAATTAGTTGGTGTAGGACTATTAACAAGATCATCATTATCAATATTTAATAAATTAAAAGGATCATAAGATCCTATTGATGCAGCATTAATATTGTCTGACAGTCCATTTCTATTATTATTATTATTATTATTATTATTATTATTATTATTATTATTATTATTATTATTATTATTATTATTATTATTATTATTATTATTATTATTATTATTAGCAACAGTAGGAGTAATATTAGTATTATTAATCTTGCTAGAGTGTAAAAACTGACTTATATTATTATCATTATTAATAAAATTATTGTTGTAAACAGTTTCTTTCTGATCCATCTGTACACGTATATATGTATATGTATATGTGTAGGTTATGTATCTATATGTAGTTAATCTCTTTTAAACAAATTATTGTTCTTCTACTATGTGCTCTTCAATTCTTCCTGAATCCTGCAAATCGACTATACGCAAAATAAGATCTATAGTGGTTATATTCTTACTGGAATATTTCTCGTTTTAATGACTTTCTACAATTGCGTCTCTTCTATCTGATATTATATATTTTATTTTGTTTATATTCCATTGATATTTTTCGCCTTTAAAAGAATAGAATGAGAAGATTGAGAAACAAAGAGATTTCTTTCTTTTTTATTTTTTTTATTTTCTTTTTTTTTTTTCCCTCGGCGAAATCTTCATTTCACTGCATCCACACACCCACAAAATCCTATTTTTTTGTGAAGTTCTCCTTTTAATTTTTTTCCCCAGAAAAATTAGAAGAAAACATTAGGGTTTTATTTACAGAAAAAAAATTTCTTGTTTTTCCTTTTTTTTTTGTGTTTATCTTAAACGTGCATGCTAGTCACATGTATTTTCCATTTTTTTCCCTTGTTGGTCTTCCAATAAAATTAGGGTAGAAAAGAAATAAATAGGTGATGATTTATCAGCCTAGTTATGACAAGTGAGGACTTAAAGGGCTGTATAGAGAAATTTTTCTTTTTCTTTTTCTTTGTTTTGATCTTTTTCTGAGACAATGGGTTACCGAAAGCGGAAACATTCGTATTTTATTCATAGCTATTTTGTCGCCCTTTATTTTTTATTCAACTGTTCTCTCTCTCTCTTTCTATATGTTACCAAAAAGGGATAACAACAAGTAGTCACGGTACAATAGCACCACAGCATTGTAGAAAAGATCCATAAAGCATAGAACATAAAAACCATAGACCATACTGTAAAATCATTGTTTACAAAAACAACACAGGTATTCAATGGACAATAACATGTAAAAAAAAACCATAGGATGTGAGATTACTATTCTTTTTTTTACATTTGATACTGTCCTGAATTTTGTTACTACTATTGTTATTACTATTATTAGTTGATGTTCTGTCTCAACCCCGCCCCCTGAAATCTTTCTTTTTTTCTTTAAGATGGAGGCTACAAGATCTTTAATTCTATCATTTGTATTTCTTTGGTGCCTTTCTTGTAATCTCATGGACACACTTAATAACGACGGCTAAGCCATAATGATGGCACAGTATATGATATATATCGAATCATTTTTTTTCCAAAAAAAATTAAAAATAACTAATCCAAAACAAACAAATATTCAACTATATGCCACCATTATTATTATCAACAATAATAATAATACTAATGAAGAACTATAATGAGGAGATATCGTTGATTCCTTTTTTTTCTTCTCTTCTATTAATAAGTGTCTTTTCATGTAAATAATTTATAATTCATATGACTAAGCCCTGTTTGTGAACAAAATTTCCCAAATAAGTAAATCATATAGAATCAACATATTTAATATTAAAAAAGACACAAAAATAAAATAAAAAGAAAAGAAAAAAGAAAAAAAATGGGCAAATATACATTTTCTTTGTACCATAATATATATATATATATATCACCTTATAGTTTAATTATATCAATGTCAAGACATACATGCCAGATATCAGGTGCATACGTTTTGATTTTCTCCAAATGTATTAATTCAAATTGATACTTCATATCAGGTATCTTTGTGTCACTGAAGAATTTCAATTCGTTCAATACCTTTTCTTGGATGTAACCTTGAGATATTTCTTTTGAATTGGCATTTTCATGGACATGTAACGTGATTTTTGGACATTCTTCCCAATTGTTATGATTTGCTATCAGCTTTAGGGCAACTGGATACCCTTGCCGACTAGACGGCAATAATCCCATATTAATATGTCTTATTCTTAGAACATTACTATTGTTTTGTTGGTGTTTCAATTTAAATTCTGTTAACCGTTGATCACTCATTTCATTAGTTTCATTATATATATGAATACCTTCTGGTCTCATGTCATTTTTCTTGTCTAATGATTTACCAAAATTTTTATTTTTTTTCAATCCTCTATTGAAACCTTCAACAGACCATGGATTCAATTCAAATCCAAATAGGTTTCTACAGTTTCTTGAAAGATAGGAAAAACTAAAATACCCTATACCACAATAAAGATCAATCACATCATTGTTCTCAATGTCAACAAATGTGTCTATTATTCTTTTCTTTTCCTTGATATTACCTCTCGAAAACATCGTATGAAATGGATTCCATGTCTGCCATATCCCATTTTGCTTGACCTCACACCACAATGTTTCCTTCGGTAGTAGACTTGGATCTGTTGGATGGTCCATAGAATAAAGTAGGTCTATATTATATGGTCTACGCAAAATATTGCAATGTTCTATTATAGGCCTATTAATTGCAATCACGCGAAGAGTCTCAGTAGTGGTAGTGTTAGCTTTCCCACTGTTCGAAGATAAAAATTTTAACAATTTATTGTAATAATCTTCTGTTAATAATCCAGACCACGTTTCATGATTAAAGGATCTTTTATTAGAATTATTTAATAACAAAACCGGTGAGTATATGGAATATTTTAATGGTACATGTTCTAAAATTTCATTTAATCTTTCAGCATGGATTCTATCTTGAAAATATATTTTGGTAAAACTCAATATATCACGAGCTGTGTCATTTTGTTTATTTGTCACAGCATTTTCATTTTTAATATCATCTTTATATTTTCTTATTATTTCATTAGGAAATAAATTTTGCATGAAATCAAGCTCACTGGAATTTAAGTTGGTTCTAATGATAGTATACCCTAATTCTTTATATATGGGTTTTACAAAATTGCCTGTTTCCTCCAATTGAGTCTTAAACTTTTTAATTTTGGTATTATCTTTAACTAGTATCTCTAAAGGCATATTTACACTCAGAAATATATATATGTGTGTGTGTATGTATATGTATATGTATAATGTTCTTCTTTGTGTAAGAAAACTTGAAAGCACCAAAATGGTCAGTTATTATTCTAAACCGGTCACTATTATCTATACTTATTTAGTATATTAATTCCTTGGGTACTTAATATTACATTATACTGCAAATTTATTTCCTTCAATATTACAGCAGATCATATTGTCCTATTTTCTCTATTGCAATGGATCTTGATACATCTGTAGAAACTGTCTATAAAATGAAAAAATAAAAAAAAAAAAAAATAAAAAAAACACTTTTTCACTTCTTTTTTTCCTTCTTAAATAATTCTGGAGTTTGAAAGCTCGAAACTTTTTTTCTCTTCCATAAGTCATCGGATCTCAAAAAGTCATCTAATGTAATCAAAAATCCTTGATGATTAGAATACAAAGAACACTGACAACGTAGAGATACTTGTTATAATGTAGATTAATGAATACAACATATTTGTGCCAATAAACAAATTGTACATACACAAAGGAATTTTCCATAGCGTTAATGGGTCTTTCTTCAGTTTGTGCTAACGACTAGATATAATCAATCTTAAAATAGTACCAAAGATAAACTAATCATCATATGTTAAGAAAATTCTTTCAATGGTCGCGAAATTTAAATTCCATATCAATTGTATTGATAATATCATTTTTTATATCTGTTCCGATACTAATATATAGTTCAAACCCGGACTTTATTATCCCTGGATTATTGAATTCATACCAAGATACAGATACGCATCGTGATTCTGTCTTTAATCGAGATTCTGGTTGTAACAATATTGATCAGTATTTGAAACAAGAAAATTATAAAAAACAGAATGCTACCATTTTGATTTTGACTAAAAATGATGAATTAAATCAAGTGATTGCATCTATAGACAGTATAGAAACTCATTTTAACCAGTGGTTTCATTATCCCTATGTTTTTTTAAACAATGTTCCATTTGATAATGATTTCAAAGAAATTATTCAAAGGCATACTGATTCGGTTGTGGAATTTGGGGTATTAAAGCCAGAGGAATGGGAATTTCCAGAATCTATGAGGCATAGTAATATTACTGATAATATTGATAGCAAATACTCGATCCTTGATGATACTATAAAATTGCAAGGAGACTATGGCATACTCTATGGTGATATTAAAACATATCATCAAATGTGTCGATTTTATTCAGGTAAATTTTATAAAAATAAACTAGTTGCAAAATACGATTGGTACTGGAGATTAGAGCCTGATGTTGAATTCTTCTGTGATATTACATACGATCCATTTTGGGAAATGGCAATTAGAAAGAAACTTTACGGCTTCACCATTATGATACCCGAGTTGTATAAGACTATTCCAAATTTGTTTAGAATAACGATGAGTTATATCCGTGAGAATAATATCCAATTAGGTACACTCTGGAATGTATTCACTACCGATTATCATATAGTCAACAATGATATAGATGATCTAAACGATAATCTGTATTACGAAGTAAATTCTGATACAGCTTATTTAGATAAATTTATCAATGAGGAATATAATGCCAAACGAATAGTCAAAGATAAATTATTAATTGATCGTTTTCTTAGAGAGGGCTATGGTGATACGAATGATGATTTTGGCGACAATCTTGAAGGTTTAGTGAAATTGATTAAAAGAGCACAAGTGAAAACACCTTTAATTATTGATAAATTTGATAATTTAGAATATAATCTTTGTCATTTTTGGTCTAACTTTGAAATCGCGCATATGTCAATATATAAAGATCCAATATATGATGAATACTTTAATTACCTTGAGAGTCATGATGGATTCTGGAAGGAAAGGTGGGGAGATGCACCTGTGCACTCGCTAGGGTTAAGTTTAATGTTGGACGTTGAACAGGTGCATTATTTCCGTGATATTGGCTATCGTCATGACACACTGTATCATTGTCCAAAAAATAACAAACATCATCTAAATGTACCTTATAGTTCAGAGAAATATATAAGAAAAAAACAAAAATACGACGATCCGTATGAATATGGAGTTGGATGTAGATGTAAATGTCCAGCTAATAAAAACAATGAAGTAGAGGACTACTATCCCTTTTGCATAAATAATTGGTTCGATATGACTCATAAGAACAATGTTAAGAGAGAGCCTATTTTCAATTTAACAAAGTTGAAGAAAGACATGCTAAGAGAGCTTGAACTTGATATACTAACAACAATATGACAGTTATAAAAAGAGCATTATGATATTACAAACAAAATTTTCATGAGTGTCCAGATTAAATAACTATTAAATAAGTAAATCAATATATATATATATACGTAAACTAAGACTTCAAAAAAAAAATTACATATATGAAAAATATGGATATGCAAAGGAATATCAAATGAAATGAAAAACCAACCGAATTATACGGCAATATGTATATATCTATTATTATAACCTTTTTTTCTTTCTTTCTTCTGTCATTTATTTTTTAATAATATGCTAAAAGTTAATAAGATTAACCACCGAAACCGTATAAGGTTCTACCTTGTCTCTTCAAGGCATAAACAACATCCAAAGAAGTAACAGTCTTTCTCTTAGCGTGTTCAGTGTAAGTAACAGCGTCTCTGATAACAGATTCTAAGAAAGATTTTAAGACAGCTCTAACTTCTTCATAAATTAAACCAGAAATACGCTTGACACCACCTCTTCTAGCTAATCTTCTAATAGCTGGTTTGGTAATACCTTGAATATTATCTCTAAGAATCTTTCTGTGTCTCTTAGCACCACCTTTACCTAAACCTTTACCACCTTTACCTCTACCAGACATGCTTATCTATTTTTGTTACGTGTATATACGTATATATTAGTATAATGATCTTTGTTTGTTTGATCTTGTTGATTTCTTGAGCCTTCAAGATACAAGAAAAGGCCAACGCTAAGAGGATAGGGTCCCATGTTTGTGTTTTAATTTCTTCTCCTTATATATTATAGATTAAGTAGCATAGGTCATGCGTAAATTCTCGTAGCACATAAACACAGAGAACGGTTACAAACTTGCTATTGCTTTGGATAATAGCTGTGTGTTTTTTGGTGAGGAATAAATAGCAAACTGGCACTGAATTTACAAATTTACAATTACAAAAACCAAAATACAATCCCATCGATTTAGGGAACGAAACTACAATAACAGACGCGAAACTATCGGACTAAACAAACCGCCATCTGACCATAGTTAATTGTCCCCAACAATTACGTCGATTAAACATTGGTGCATGCTCCAATTTCCCAATAATCTATTTCTTCAAGGGAAAGGCGGGAAAAGAATCAAAAACTGAAAACGAAATTGTCAGAACATTTAACCAGTGCGACATCCCTACACCACACACTTTTTTTCACCAATCTTTATTTTTTCTTTTCCATCGTGAACCTTTCGTGGGTGTCTATTATCCATTCCAAAAATTTCGCACCTTTGCGTTCACTGTTCATAATAAAGTTGTGCTGGACAGTTCGCCCCAAATACATTCGAAATTCAATTGAAGTTAGGAAGCCGATATTTATTACTAAGGGGATTGTTGTTAAAAAAGACCTGTACTAAGAGTTTCGTATCAAACATTGTTGAAATGACAAAAAAAAAAAGAAGAAAAAAAAAAACAAAACAAAATTAACTGGCGTTGCAGAATAACTGATAATAGTATTGTAAATGAATTGTTAGTAAAGCATGTTTTCCTGTCATTAACCCCTCTTCCCTTTGTCTTTGTACGCCTGAAAGATAACTATTTTTTTTTTATTCCTTATTGCTTTCCAGATGATTTAATCACATATATAAGTGATATACTTATCAGAATGATAACATTCTTTTTCCTTCTGGATTTTTACTCTTCCGGCTGGGTCAAATTATTTCCTCCTTTTTTCCTTGTCCCAGGAGGCCATTGATAAAAGATCATTCTCTCTTTTATACACATATACAAACATACAGACATATAAGTATTAGCATATAAATAAAAATGGCCAGAACTAAGCAAACAGCCAGAAAATCCACCGGTGGTAAGGCCCCAAGAAAGCAATTAGCCTCCAAAGCTGCCAGAAAGTCTGCCCCATCCACCGGTGGTGTCAAGAAGCCGCACAGATATAAGCCAGGTACTGTCGCTTTAAGAGAAATCAGAAGATTTCAAAAATCTACTGAATTATTGATCAGAAAGTTACCTTTCCAAAGATTGGTCAGAGAAATTGCTCAAGATTTCAAAACCGATTTGAGATTCCAATCTTCTGCTATCGGTGCTTTACAAGAATCTGTTGAAGCTTACTTAGTTTCCTTATTCGAAGACACAAACTTAGCTGCTATCCATGCCAAGAGAGTCACCATTCAAAAGAAGGATATTAAATTGGCTAGAAGGTTGAGAGGTGAAAGATCATGAATTACTGGGTAAGAAGAAACTTTTAAACGTTTTATTTTTGATCTTTTCATCTATTTTCGCGTCTATTGTTGCACTTTATTATACCTCGTAAAGTTAACTTAATATTTTTTGTATCATTAGATATATATATATAGGTATTTATTTGTTTCCCTGCCTATCATCGGTTTACACATACATATTCATTTTACATAGTTTAGAATTTTAAAGCATATTTTAGTTTATCTTCGTATACTTTTGATTTCCTTTGTTTGATTATATCTGATATGATTTTATATAATCTATAAGTCTGTCTGCATAAAAAAAATTATAATTTCATTTCTATTTGAAAGAGAGTAACAATAAACCTACCACTCAAGAGGTAACCATCCTTTTTCATAAGCTATAGTTTTGATTTCCTCATCTTCATACATCTCAATAAATTGTTGGTCAAGTGCTCTAGCTTTAGGGAAGGCAAATCTTCTGTACTCATCAAAGATCATGGTTAATGACCAGTTTTGCAATTTTCTAATACAACCGACAAGACATCCGGTTCTATGTTTTCCTCTATTACAATGAATCAAAATTGGTTGGTTCTTCGGATCCAAAACAATTTCTAAAGCTCTAGTCAATAAGTCACTAGGTAAATTGACGAATGGCTCTTTATTACCACTCATACCAATTTGAAATAATTGTATCCCCGAATTATTCAAGAACTCAACATTTTCTGGAGGATACTCTTCAGGAATCAACACTAATATAGATTTCAATTTTAATCTATCTCTCAAAAATTTAAAATTTTCTATCCTAGGGAAACTACTTCTATAGATTTCCCCAATTACTGGGCTAAAATTTTCTGGTGGGATTACTTCTGTTAAATCACTAAAGAAGGATGCTATATCTGTAATCGTATTATTATTATTAGTGGTGTTATTTTTATCAGATTCTTGCTGTGTTTTATCATTAGTTTCTAAATCACTATGTACTTTCAAAGTAGTTAGATTATGAGACTGTATGAAATGTGACAACTTGTCCTTATATTCATCTATGTTGAATTTGTCGTCTAAATCTTCTTCATCCATACGATCTTCCGCCATTTCCTCATCGTTATATTTCGCCTATCCAGGTATCAAATGTTTTTAACGTGTTAATATGTGTTGGTTTTTACAACTTTTGGATATTTGCAACTCATATTATTTATCTTAGGAATATATACATATATATATACATAGTTGTATTAGAAACATCTTTTATTACATTTCTTTATTCCCTCTCATCACCATCATCTTTACATTTTTATGCACTTGTAGATGTTTCCATAAAAAAAAGAAAATTTATGTTTCTCAGGAATTCTTTAGCGGCTTTAAAATCCCGACATTACCGCAATATATCCGTCGTTGCAATTATATTTTGCAGATAGACAGTTTTATTAGAAGACTACATTACGATATAATTCAAAAATGCTAAACCCAAATCTGAGAAAGGTGGAAATTCAAATGTTAGAATAATGAAATAAATACTTTCTAGATTTTACTGACATTAACAAAGATACTTTCCACTGCTTTTTTCAAGAACCTGAGCAAATCAATCAGCTCAGCAGATTTTACATGTTTTTTAAGGGTCAAGATAAGACTACTACTGGAAGGCATTAATTTATTTTTATTTATTAGAGTATAACTTATTTGTTCTCAATACCATTTGAAATGAATCAAAAAATACTAATATCTGACCTCTTTCCATTACTTTAATATTTATTAAAAAGTATGGATACAAAAATATTGTTTTCATATAATAAAATTATTTTTTTTTTTGTGTGTTAGCAGTGTCTCTGACAGGTTGTATATACAAAATGGTCTATTTAGAAGACATAGTCAACAATATTTTTCAACAGAATGTAACAAAGAGTCATTGTATTGAAAAATCTAATGTTATATATTTTCAAAATGTTACCAAATATATCCAATTATTTAAAAAACTGTTAAAAAACAAATATTAATTCAGAAAAAAAACTTTTTTGTTGTAAATATATTTTATAATGACATGTTATTGTGTATATTACCATTTCATATCAAATAATTAATTGAATAATTCTCTAGCAATCTGGAGAATTTTTTTTTCTAATTAAGTAGTTTTTTCACTTTATTCTTTAGCCACTATTGTTGTAGTGGAAACTTTAAAAAGTATGTTAGCTAAGGGATATACATGTAGTAATAAATGTAACGATGTTTTATTATGGTATAATTATTATTTGCATATTTCTTTTTCTTATGTATTATATATATAATAAATAAGAGAAAAATTGTGAAATATAAATAATCTTCTTAAATATGTTGTGCAGGAAGCCGTAATTAGAAATCTTGAAATATGTGGTCCACGGGTAATATCGAATATTGAAGCAAAATACTTGGAACAGTTGAAACTCTGGGTTCAAGGTTCTGAGTATATTCGAACGAGCGAATGCTTGTTAGATGAACATTGGTGGCAAATTGATGAGAAATTTATTTAAGAGACTTTTGATTATTGAGAGATGGTGCTAGAGGGAATTATCAACATTAACATTCATATCCCATTCAATAGGTTTCACCTAGAGGAAGAATAGCCTGCATAAGAAGTAGAATATCAGTAATAACCAAGATTAATCTTTTTATCAGTTACAATCAACCAATTATATAATTTATAAGTGTTTATATATATAATTAACGTTCATACTTTAGTATACTACTTGAGATAACCCTCACATGTTGTTGTTTTATATGTTTCTGAGATTCGATTAATTATTCAATTCATTAAGTTACCAAATTAAACTGCTAAAATTAACGATTGGGATGTGGATTACTAATCCAGTAAGATGATATGTCGGAAAATAAGAATTTATTACTGTTATTTCTGTTGAGAATGAGCGCCTGTAGTCATTGGATATATAGTAAACACTCTTAATATTATATTAAACAGATTTAGTATACAAAATTATAATAAAGTCCTTCACTTTCTTTCTCTATATACAACATAGAAATAATAATATACAAAGATTGTAAATAAGATAAACATAATGTATGATGAAATCCTTGGCTTTATATATGTTAACATTAAGCCATTTTCCTCTACGAACAGTAAGATATTTAATAAACAAACTCAACAACTTTTGGTGACCTCTCAACAATTATTACTCAACAATTTATCATTTAGTATCTGCTAAAATCTTATTGTTCTATCTATTTCATTATAGAACATTCTATTTCAACAATTTCCAACAGTCTTATTTTTGCACTAAATACATATATATACTTATTATATAGTGTATACAGTATAAATTCTTTTATTTACTTTGACTCTTCTTTCAAGTTTTTAATTCCTTTTCAAATCTCTGAAAAACATATTTGGTGAAAAATAAAATAGTTTTCGATATACTATGGTACATCTGTGTACCACATAATATACAGAAAAACTAATTAAAAATAATTTTTATGGAAATGACAGTAATAAACTCGCATTTTCCAACATATATTATTTACAAGAAACGGTTATGGAAGACGATCTTTTATCTCCAGAAAACGTTGTCCTTTTATATGTTTTCTGGAGCTCGATCGATTATTCAGATTAGTACATTAATGATCTGACTGATTCAAACCCTAAAATTTATAACATTAATTTAGATGCACTAGTGGATTAGAACTGCACCCCAATTCTCTAATCATGGTAATTAGTAATACACGTGAAATTTATTAAAACAATAGGTAAATTCTAGATTTGCCAAAATCTTATGTAATGTAATCTTTTTATTATGCAACATCTAATGTTGTAGCACGTGTATGGCTTATTAAAACAATAAACAGTTCTAGATTCATTCAGAATCTTACGTAATCTTGATGGTAATAACTATTCTATTCTTTAGCGAGTTTTGGATGTTCTCCGGGCGTGTGGCGTAGTTGGTAGCGCGCTCCCTTAGCATGGGAGAGGTCTTCGGTTCGATTCCGGACTCGTCCATTCTATTTTTGCAACATATGATATCATTATATGTAACAACCCTGAGGTGTCTGATAACGGTAATTCTTGTTGAAATCTCAATAATATTTCACTTGGATAGATATAAGATATAGACTCTTTCTATATCTCTAGATGTAATATTCCTATATATCTATATATCCTTAATCTAAGTTAACCTAATAGTATACACTTATATACTATATACCTAAACCTATGTAACCCTTGGTTCCTTGTTCGTCGTTCTTCTTAGTTGCTCTCTTTTACCTATATTGGTTACTTCTGCTTTTATGCATATTTGTAAGATTTTGCAAAAAGGAAAGTTGTGACAAATGAAAACCAGATGTCACTACAAACGATCTTGTGGACTCCTTAGTCGACCATGACGCTCTTGTCTTTCTTGTTTATATAACTATGTTTATCTGTATATCTGTATATATTAGTTTACTCTTTACGTAGAGTATAGTTTATATGTCATGTAAAGACCAAAAATCAAGCTATATCTATCTAGTTTAGCGTCTAGAAGAGTATATCTCTTGTAATCGGGTTTTCATCTATTACATCATTTTTCTAAACTTTCCTTTTTGCAAGATTTTACAAACATAGCTAAAAGCAGGAGTAACCAACATAAGTACAAGAGAGCAACCAAGAAGCAAGCAAGGAAGAAGGAACTAAGGATTACATAGGTTTAGATATATAGTATATAAGTGTATACTATTAGGTTAACTTAGATTAAGGATATATAGATATATAGGAATATTACATCTAGAGATATAGAAAGAGTCTATATCTTATATTTATCCGAGTGAAATATTATTGAGATTTCAACAAGATTAACTGTTATCAGAAACACATAACCTCAGGGTTATTACAAAAACAGTAATATCAAAGATATTACTGTAGCAAAAAATGATTTCGCCCAGGATCGAACTGGGGACGTTCTGCGTGTTAAGCAGATGCCATAACCAACTAGACCACGAAACCAACCAGAGCTGTCACCTGCTGTATAATAAAGAGATAACACCACCGAGATTATGTATGATTCTAGCTGAATCTAAAAGTTATCTATTGTGTTTTAAGTATAATGTGACCATTTGCCACCTAGGGTACAAGTATGACTTATTAAAACTGTTGGAAAATGCGAGTTTATTACTGTCATTTCCATAAAAATTATTTTTAATTAGTTTTTCTGTATATTATGTGGTACACAGATGTACCATAGTATATCGAAAACTATTTTATTTTTCACCAAATATGTTTTTCAGAGATTTGAAAAGGAATTAAAAACTTGAAAGAAGAGTCAAAGTAAATAAAAGAATTTATACTGTATACACTATATAATAAATATGTACAGGTATTTAGTGCAAAATAGAAGATGTATCTGCTGGAATGATATATTACCGGTTTGAGTAACATGTAAATATATCAAAGAGGAAAAATGTTTGTTTTGCACATTCAACATTATGGAGATAAAATCAAACAGAATCAAAATAAATTAATATATTATGAAAAATTGCCAAAAGGTAAATATATATAAATAGACGACTTTACTTATTAATTTTCCAATCTGGATGAATAAGTTATATACACTTTATCATATGTTTCTTTTGTATTTATATAATTATTAATTCCGAATCAAAAGATGGAGGGAAAATTACACTACATATCAACATAATAATAATACACAATAATAACAAATAGTATGATCACCGACGCTAAGAACATGTATACTAATATTATTCATCCAGAGGAGTATCTATAACTTAATGATATTTGCCATTTTTATTGACACTGACAGGTTTAAATTCCATCAAAAATACTTTCAACAAAATTTCTTGATTTTATTTTTATATATAATATTTAAAAAAATAAATAGAATGAAATATATATATTCCAAGTATAAAACGTAATTATTTACTATATTTAAAGAAAACTTGTAAAATTGCACTTTTCCCTTCTTTTCAAGGTTTTAATATATTATTTCGACATTAAAACAAGTAATTTATTTTGATATATTTATTAACCTCAATTTTATTTATTGGTCTTTAACGATATTGTGTTTGACAATATCTTATAGTTCCTTTCCAGTCATTATCTGGATTATACCTATAGATAGTCTCTAGATGTTACTCACAAAAAAATAAGAAGAAAAATTATATATTTCGTTTATTAATTGGATTCAGGGATTTTATAATTTGTGTGTGCTTATATATAATTATCGACATTTCAGTATGTTATTGTTTGATCAGAGCTTATAGAAGAGACAGCCCTATTAATCACGTTGAAAAAATAAACAATATTAACCAATATTATTAGAAAATACAATATATTATTAAAAGTGACACATTAATAGACTAGTACTCTTATAATATGAAAATTTACTAGAGAATTGCGAAAAATATTAAGAAAATCTATATCTGCTTATTGAGAATTACTACAAGCACTAATTCTCAACAATCTACATAATCTGAACTGTGCTTATTAATGAACCAATAAGCATTATCAATCATTATACTGCTAAAACTGGTAAAAGAGATTATGTCTGAGAAATATGTGAAAGTAAATAATTTGTCTCCAGGTTGAAATTGTACACAAGAGTCAAAATAAGGAACACAAAAAAATAAGTTCAGCCATTTCTTTCTAAACACTTTACATGATTGTATTATATATATATAAACTTTATAAACTGAAGCAATTCTAATTATAATAAGTCTATCAACGATTTTAAAAAATAATTATGACCACCGATTTCAGTAAGACCTTTGGTGCATCTTCTTATAAAGAACACTTTTCCATAAAACAATTATTGTACTCCTTTACAACTTATCTATTAGTGCTATATAACTGTTTTTTTATACGTTAATAGTATTTTACAGAAAAAATAAAATAATTAAATATTATTTCCCTTTGCCTATAACTATTTTTTCATTTATTCACAATATCTTCAAATTTTGGTAATATTTTAGATATATCTCAGCATGATTTAACATATCTATTTGAATTAATGACAAAGAGTATATTTTGTATTCTATACTACAATAGTAACACCTACAAATAAACTATTACTGATGACACAGATTTTACTCTAATATTTTCTTGCATTTACACTTGTTTCAAATGACTATTAAAAAAAAAAAAGTGAAAAAGCAAGAAAAGCTACTTCAGTGGGGAAAAAAGAAGAAATAAATAGAGTAAGAAAAATAATGAATAAAAAAATAGCTCGTACTTTTCACAGTAACATACATAATATTTAACAAGTAAACATATTATGTGAGATCAGAAAAGAGACAGGAGGTGTAAGTTTGGTTCAAGAACAAGCTACTCATGTTTATTTAATACAGACCGGGAAGTAGCTATTCTGATTAGTATAATAATAATAATTTAGTTATTTATACAGTAGATCGAAACAGAAGATAAAATAAAGGACTCTCACTGTTAATAATATATACGTGCATTCTAATGACATCCTCAATAACAAGAAGATTATTAAGAGATTGGAAATATATTAATCGTTCTTTATTATATAAAAATCCGGAAAATCAGGACAACTTATTTTATTTAAAGCCTCAGGATTCTAATCTTCATATATGGCATTTGATCTTACTAGAACCTTTAAGTTCAATAGAATTATATTTTATTCTTTACATTAATGAAAAATTTGACAGTGAAGTTCTTATTGTAAGATGTTTAACACCATATGATAATATACCATTTAACAGAAATATTAATTTATCATACTTATTCCCAATCTTCAAAGAACATGGATTGCATCAATTAATATTAAAAATATGGAATATTTGTTTTAACCAACAGAACAATTGTAAAAATTTGATATCTAACACAAAAAATGAAAATATTAATATTAGTAGTAGTACTCAATGTGTGGCCAGAATTTTACGAGCCTGGAATAGAATCATGTACAAAGATTTTAAAATATATTTCCCAGAACTAGTTGGATTTTTGCAAACTGGTGATTATGAATCTGTTAAAGCACTCTCCAACAGATTAAAAGAATATAAGTATTGTGGATCATTTCAAAACCAACTTAAATGTAATAAGAACAATTCTGCAGAATACTCTTTGGAAGAAAGAGATCCAAATATTACAGCAATTAACATACATAATTATCATAATAATCCAGATATTTTTAGTCCAAATAATCTATATACTTGTGATAATATTATCTCATTAAAAAGAAAAAAACTACAGCTAGAAGATATTGAGTATAGTTTTCATAATAGTATTGATAGAAGTAACGACGGTGACACTATGAATGATAACAATAATACTCTTAGGACTAGTTCCCAAAGTAAAAAAAGAAAATTATAATAACTATAACCACTATATAAAACAATACCCAAAAACAATTCATTAAATATTCAAAACAAAATCAAATACGAAAAAAGTTTCACTCAAAAATTTTTTCTTTGAAAAGCACAGAAAACCCAGTATATTGGTTGTGTTTCTTGATGCAGGCTCTTTTCCACTTTCTTTATTTTTTTTTAACATCCCATAGAGAAATTCAACCCTCTTAGCATTATTATTCTTCTATTTCCTTTTTACAAAGACTCTCTTAACATTTTAAATAATCACATCATTATATAAATCGTATATAGACATTCTTATATTTTTCATATTTTATATAAACTTATAATATAAAAGTCGATTTTCTATAGGTAATTAAAATAAAACATTGAAACACTGCTTCATGTATAATAAGTAATCATTCATATTCATTATATATATAGTGGAATGATAAATAAAAAACCGAGAATTTGGTTTGTATATATATTTATATCCATATTAAGAATCAAAAGAAGGAAATAACTTCGGTATTTTCCTATATAAGAATAATATAATTTAATTTTTCTTTGAATGATTTAAAATAGTTTTGATCATTTCATTTCCTATAACATTGGCTTCTTGGAATCTTAATTTAAAAAACTCTTGAACAGTCTCAAATTTTTTTTGATACAATGGGAAATTTTCAGCAGATATAATTGAACTCCATTCTCTAGCTGCTATGACAAATTCTAAATCATCTTTTCTAAAAAGATTATCTGTTAATGCTGCTTCAATAGTTTGTTCTAATAGATTAGGCGACAAGAAAAGAAATTCAGATACACCTAAAAATATACTAAATAATGGAGTAGAACATATCATATGATCATAAGGATCAATCCCTAACTGATACCATGAATCAACTATGGCTAATAACGATAAATGAGAATTTGGTGGTGGCAGGTGTACTTCAGAACTTCTATTATTATTTATATTAGTATTATTTGATAACGAATATTTCTCTAGATGCAAATCTTCTAACAATAACTTACCAGTATGATTGCCAAATACAAATTCTTTAGCCTTCATTATCCTTTCAGTGAATTCTTTTCTTTTATTGCTCAAACACAAGGAAAATAATTCTGTTGCACTTGTTGCATATTGTAAAACCTGTTGATGTGCATGTGGATTTGTAATTGCCAATCCAGCATAGACATGCCATTTATTGGAATAAATTCTTAAAGAAATATTGATTTTAACATTTTCTAACCCACCGACCCACTTGTTATCCACAACGTCCCATGGATAAACTTTGCATTTCTCCCAAGCACAACCCATAGATAAGAATGCAGCATGAGTGACAGCTTGAGTGTCTGCAGTGATTCTATCATGCTCTTCAAAAGTTAAATAGACAAATTTACTCTTTAAACAAGACATAACAGTTTCTACAAATTGTAAAGACGTAGGTTTGTAACTTCTATGATCAATGATAACTAAAGGTTGCCCCTCAGGGTTAACTTTTGGTCCATGTAAAGAGTGTATAGTGATGATTTCAATATCCTGTGGTAAATATTTTTCGAAGGCAGAAATTTCAGGGCTCTTGCAACTTGTCTGACCACCCACAATTGCACCAACTTTACTAGAAGGGCCATACATGGATACAATTCTATCGATATTTGCTGCCTCCACACTGTAAATAATATAATCTGAGATACGAGAAACATAGTGTCCATTTAATACGACTTCAAAATTACAATTGGCATACTTCTGTTTAATTATTTCATATTGATCTTCTTTATCACATCCAACTACTTTCCAACCCGCATTAGAGAATCTTTGGGCGTACAATAAACCCATATCACCTAACCCGATAATTCCAATAGTCTTAGTAGCTTTCCATTGTAAAATTTGTTGTTCTGATACTGATTCCATGGTCATATTCCATGTAATGATCTAAAGGCTTTTTGTCTCTTTATCCACTTATCCAATAACACTTTTATTTGTTTTGTCAAAAAGAAAATTTCTTCCTACCTCTACCCCAATTGATTATGTTGATATAAATAATTGTAACAGTTGTCATAGCATTTTGCCTAAAGTTTAAAGCCATAAAACCAAGAGTAAATTTGATTCTATTTTATAATCTTGATCAATGAAATGTATGACACACTGAATGGAAAAAAAAAGTGGAAAAAGTTACTAGGGTCATATAAATAAAGTACGATCTGCAACCCCAGCTATGAGATTAATAAGAAATAGAAAGTTTCAACTAAATATGTCCAACTATCAGTTGATTCGATAAAATTTGTGTTAATAGTAATAAATAAAATAAGATGATTTTTACACTGTTACATCATTATGTATACATACATACACACATATATAATTGGATATATATGTCGAAAGCGATCTTCAATAGATATTTTATTCCAATCTTTTGGTGCTACTAAAGAGGAAATATTCTTACTTCCACACCACTCAATGTTCTTCTTTTTAAAAATGTCTCTTCATCGTTTTCATCGGTTTCTTCTTCCTCGTTCACAGATTCTTGGGTTTCGGAAATGTCCTTTAATTCATCAATAACTTTTATTGTCCTTGTCATAACTTGCACTTTTTGACCCTTTTCTTGACTGAAATAAGAACCTAATGCAAGTGTTTTCTCCACAGCCTTACCCATACCAAGAAGTGTCACATATTTAGCACCGTGTTTTTGCAATTCAGATAAAAATTTCTTTATTCGTTTCAGTGCACTAATATATGGCGTGGTACTCTTAATATATATGGTGGTCTTAATTTTTTTATGTGATAATGTTTTAAGGGTGGGACGCTTTCGTATCAATTTTGTATCCATTAAATACTTCTTGCTCATCTTATAAATCTATAATCTTTCCTCTTTGTATATAAACATATATCTATTAGTTCCAATATAGTTTTCAAAGTGTTTCCAATTCTTTAATATATGAAGCTTTACCTCCCTTGTATATTAACTCTTTGATAAATAGGCGTCATAAGCAATGCTCTATATGTATGTACATATATGTATATGAATTCTGATTGCAAGTACCATGTTTGTTTTTATATACTTGAGTTACACTTTCTTTGATATTGACTTGTCTTTTTTTTTCAATATTGTTAACTCTGTGGTTTTTATAATAATACCTTAAAAGATGTAAACATACTTACATACATCTACATATAGAAATAAAAAGATACAAATAGCTAAAGAACAAGCAATTTATACTCTAATTATTACTTCAGAAAAAGTTTAGAATAACTTTAAATCTCCTTAGGTTATATTGAGACTAACCGTAACATATTATTGTTAGAGAACATAAGTGTACTATCAGCATTTCCATTATTTGGCAGATAGACACATAGTTAGATTAAACATACAAATACTTATATATGTTAGGAAATTCAGACAATGTTTATAGAGTAAAATTTGCCAATAATAAAACAAAAGTTCAGAAGGTGGCGTTGATTGTTAATACTCCATTCTCTGTTACTGCAGCATTATATAAATTATATCCTCTATTAATTATCTGGGATAATGTATTAAATCATTTACTATGGATTACAAATGATACTCCATTACATATCTTATATCTAATAATTTGTTGTTTATCAATCAATTATTTATTATCTGAAAAATTAGATTGTGTTAATTTTGAAGCTTTTCTGGCATCATTGATTGGGTTCATAACCACTTCTTTCAATTGGTATTCTTTCACATATTACATTAATTCTGTACTAATACAAATTAATGATAGTGAAGAAGCCCCTACTTTAGAAGATATATATTTTGTATTAAATAGGATTACTGATAAGAATCTGATAATAAAAAACAATTTACTAAAAATTATTGGAACTACAAATACAATAACAGATAATTCCATCAATTATAAATACTTTTGCATAAAGAAATTTATTATTTGTATTTTACTATTAACCCCTTTCCAGTTCTTTACTTTTTACTTTAGATTTATTGATAGTAAGAAATATATAGTCTGGCTATTCGTTGCTGTATATCTTTATAATTCTTCATGGCTGGAGGTTACAGGATATTTATTATGGAGAATAGTTTGGGTGAGAAAACTTTATTGTGGATTTTGGAATACAAATAGTAAATTACAGTGTATTACTATGAAAGATTTCATACTTTTGCTATCTGCGTATTTGAAAGATGTAATAAATATTGATTTAAATGAATTACAAAACAATTATAATCAAGAAGGTGCAATATTTGATTTGGCAAAAGAAATAAGAAGAAGCATTGATGAAAATAGTGTGGATAACCAATATAATATGACACAATATAAAATAATACTAAGTGAAAATTATTTGAATAATAAATATGAAATTATAGAAATTATCATTCAACAAAATGAAAGGAAATGGTATCCAGATAACTGGAACAATAATTTATTATCATATGAAAAACCTTCATTACTATATTATATATCTCAAAATATTTTAAAAGTTTCTGAATTAAAGAATTTGGAAGACATAGAAACATCTTTACCTCTTCATTGGGATTGGCTTGAAAATGATTGGAAATATGGCAGATGGATATATAGTGATACTAATTGGAATATTTTGGGTACTGAAGATTCATTGAACGCATATACAAGGACAAGAATAATTAAACGATTAGTATTTTGCCAGATCTAATAACATAACTGCTTCTCTATAAACATATACAATCCTACTTTCATTGGCGCATAACTTCAATATATAAATTATTTTCCTCCTCATTAATCTTAAAAAATATCATCATGCCACATATTAAAATATAGTCAGCATTCGAATTATAATTGTATAAAAAATAAAGTATATATTTTATATAAAATAACATCTTAAAATATAATAAAAAAAGCGTATAAGTAAGACTACGTCTAATATAATAAATATTTTAGAACTACACTTAATAGCCAAAAGGAACCTATCAATTTAATTTAATTTACAATTAGCCTCCTTTGTATTTGTTTTTTATGTTTCTTTTGTTTTGTGAAGATAATCAATCTAATTCAACATCACCGTCGGCATCTTTCTTTTCTTTAGAAGCAGCCTCAGCCTTTCTTTGTTCAGCCAATTTAGCAGCTAATTCAGCCATTTGGGAAGCTTCTTGTTTAGCTCTTAAAGCCTGCTTCTTTTCTTCTTCCTTAGCTAAATATCTACCTCTGATAATGTTGCCCAATGATGCTAGCTCTTCATATTTAGCAATATATTTAGCCTTGATAGAATCGAAACCTTCGTCATATAACCAATCTTCAGCCTTAGTTAACATATCCTTTAATTTAGTCTTTTCAGCATCAGAAGCAAAATCAGCGTATTCTTCATCTAACTTACCACGTAAGGTGTAAATGTATTCTTCCAAAGCGTTCTTACGATCTTCAGTTTCAGCAACCAACTTATCTTGAGCAGTCATTTCATTTTCGGTTTCAATTAATGTGTTTAAGGTTTTGTCATCAAGAGCAAAAGTATGAGCAACAATGCTTAAGTTATCCTTCTTAACAGTCTTAGTAACTTCTTTGTATTCTGGTTCAGCATCTTCTGGTGCATCTTCTGGTAATGGGACTTCTTCCTTAACAACAATGTCTTCTAAAGTGTAAGCTTCTTCAATAGTGTGTAAACCAGATGGATCACATCTTAATTTTAACTTGACTGGTACAGAGTCTTGACCTTCTGGAACATTCACCCCAGTGATATCCCAAGAAGCAATTTCTTCAGAAACACCTTCTGGTACTTCTTCCTTGTTTGTGTATTTAGCAGACATAGTAAAGTCACCAGTTCTGTGTAAAGTGATCATCTTGGTAGATGGGAAAGAAGAGTTTGCTGGGAAGACTTCTAAATGATCTTCATCTTCAACTTGTTTGTCCCAGGAATAAGAGACAGAGTATGGGTGGATATCTTCAAACTTAAATGGCCTAACTCTTAAAGTTGGGGAGTGAATAGCACAGATAAAAGCAGCACCTTTAGAAATAGCTTCATCTTGATTCAAAGTGGTAGATAATGGTTTACCAAAAGCTTCAGAGATAGACTTCTTTAAAGTTGGAATACGGGTGGTACCACCAATAATTTCAACGTAATCAACTTCTTCAGCAGTAATACCAGCTTGTTTCAAAGCCTTAGTGACTGGTTCAGTAACACGCTCTAATAATGGTTTAACCAATTCTTCTAATTCTTCACGAGATAATTGGGAAGAGACATCAACATCGTTCATAACGGATTCAACAGAGAATGGAGCAGCAGTGTTAGCAGATAAAACCTTCTTTAACTTTTCGGCTGCGGTTAAAATTCTGTTATAGGCTTTTGGATTTTCTCTGATATCAATCTTATATTTGGTCTTGAATTCATCAGCAAAATGTTCAGTGATAGCACGATCGAAGTCTCTACCACCAAAGTGTTTGTCATAGGCAGTACCTAAGACCTTTAACTCACCTTTCTTGAAAGCCATTATGGAACAAGTATAATTGGAATGACCAATATCAACAAAAGCAACAATTCTTGGCTTTTCTTCACCCTCTGGCAAATCAGTCTTGAACACACCATAAGAAACAGCAGCAGCAGTAACGTCGTTAACAATTCTGACTGGGTTTAAACCGGCAATTCTAGCAGCATCGGCTATGGCGTAACGTTGTTCTTCAGTGTACCAGACAGGAACAGCAATACAGACATCGGTAATGTTAGATTTAGTTTCGTCGATAACAGTTTGCTTAACTTTGTCGATAAACATGGCGGTTAATTGAGTAGCAGAAAAAGTCTTTTGCTCACCAGCCAATCTGACCTTAGCACCAATCTTGCCATCATCTAATTTGACTAAGTTAGCAGAGAAAAACTTAGATTCAACTTCGAAATCTTTGTGGTCATAATCTAAACCAATAATTCTTTTAAAGTTTTCAACAGTATTCTTAATATTAGATGTTTGCTTGTTCTTACCAGTTTCACCTAAGTATCTGTTTTTTGGACCAAAACCAACAACTGATGGGGTAGAACGGTTCGAAACTTCATTAACAATAATATCAATACCCCTGTTTCTAGCAACGGCCAAAACAGAGTTATTGTTACCTAGATCTAAACCAAATGGAGTACTCATGTTGTTATAGTTTTCCTGTGTAATATAGTTCCCTCCTCGATTGGGTTTTTAACAGATAGTAGAAAAGTCCAACAATAGAGATAAAATGTTAATAAAAAAAACCTCGAGAAAGGAAAAGCTTAAATAAAACAAAAGTATGCCTTCAAAGACAAGATTCAAATGTTAAACTAGCATATGCCTTTCAAAAGACCTTGAGATAACCCGTAGTAACCAACAGTGTATGTTAATTACAATAACTATTACTTACTACTACTAAAACCCACACTAACATCGCTGCAAGACTTTATCAAAAAAAAAAAAAATTTCATAAAAAATTTCACAAAAAAAACTACCTATCATTCTACACGATGACAACTCGAGAATTTTCTAGAAGAAAAAAAAAAAAAGAATTTTTCCGCATATAAGATTCAAAGTTTGGTAGTGCCATCATACTTACATTATAGTTATAATAATTATGTTAATAACAGTGATATATAAAAATATTTGTTAGGAAAATATCAACTACAAACGATTATTAGTGCAAGATGAGTTGATAAACCTATGAAAATATTCCATTATATAAATGAGTTGCAAATAAAAAGTAAATAAAAAAAAGAAACAGAAAAAAGAAAGAGGGTAAGGAAACAAATAGCAACTATTTTGTTATTTTATGCAGTTTCCTGTAGTATCATTACCATGGTTTGCCATCCAGGAGACTCTAATAATTGCAATAAAGATTCTATTCTTTCTTCATTGGAAACTCCTGTTATCACAAGTGCAGCTTTTAATAAATATGACCATTCATTAGATGACAAAATATCTAGTGTTTTGATATATAATAATGCATGGAAATTGGATAGTTTTTCTTGTAATACAATGAGATCACCTTCATTTATTGAAGTCCCCAACCATTTTTTCAATTCTTGATAATCTTGTGATTGACCCATTGATTGACGATTAGCCCATGAAAATCCCTTAATAGTTAAAAACCTAGATCTTTTTGTAGTCACATTTGCTTCATTCTTCGGGAACCCATGAGTCAGAGATACTAATAAATAATCTACTGGGAATGCAGGTTTAGCATTTTGTTTCACTGTTACCCCATATTCATTTTGTTTCATATAAAATAACTCTGGTACATATCTTTCATTAGTAGTTTCATTGATCCATGCCATTGATGGATGTGTAGAACCACTGATCATATTTGCATCTACAAGAGCCTCTGCTTCTCTAGATACTTGATAACTAGATATGTCGATTTCACCATCTTGATTTCCAGAAACAACACAGGTAACAAATTTAGACGAAAAGATGCCTTGCTTGCTATATTTACATACATTTGGATTAGCAATTTGATGTTGTGCAGCTAGAATGACTTCGAATGGAGTCAAGAAAAAAGAGTCCTTGTGTCTTTTACAAAACACACTACCGTCGCCGTTCCCTGCATCGGTTAAATCAGTAAATATCAAACCAACACGCATAAGTCCCATATCAGTAGCTACCGCATCTACCTGTCTCATCTCTTCAACAATACTAGGAATATCCACAGTTAACCCATCTTGTTCATCATGTTGCATAGGTTCATATATGGCTTCCACTACTGCCTTTATCCCCAATGGTGTAGAATCGTATCTAGCATAAGTACCATATAAATACCCAATTCTTTGTATCCCAGTACATCTCCATGATTCAATGAATTCATTGATTAACTGCGAATCTTGAAATTCAACATGATCAACCATTCTAAACTCTTGTTGTTGTAATGTTATTGCTGAAGGTTGGCATTTGGAGCATATACCCCGTGGCCATGGTTCGTGTCCATTACGGCAATGAAGATCGATTTTGTAGTCCAATTGACTTAGGGGACTCATATATGAAGATCCATTACTTTTATTTGTTTGAACATTTAGTTTTTGTAGATATGAATGAAATGAAATATGTTTAATCTTATTATTTTCATGATATTCCTTATCCCAAGGTGGTAACGGAGAACAATATTCACACATCCCTTTATCACCATGTTTACAAAAAGATGATTTCTTTCTTGGAATCAAACCCTGTTCTTTATTCAACTCTATATCTATTGGTAATTCGCTTACTTTTAAAGGGTTGGGCACCTTCAAAATCTTACTATTAATTGGAACAGATAAACTGTTCGAACTAGCACCTTCAACTTTATTACTAGCCAAGGAGTAAGTTACAAACATAATATCACCATGTTTTAATCCTAAATCAGAGATTGTATTCAGTGCAATAGTGGAAGCTAGTTTCGAACCAACGTTTCCAGGTTTGTCGTTAAGTACAAGAGTATTTAAATCTGCATTTGGATCCAATACTGGAATCAATTTTTCTAATACTGAACCCATAGTATCGTTTGGTTCACAGGAAACTCTATGCATCCCATCTTTAGATCTAAATCTTAAAAGCATCTTTGTTTATTTCTTTAAATTTTATAGCTTCTTAGTTTTTTTTTCTTACCTTTATTTATATATGTACTAATATAACACTATTAAGTAACAGTTATATTAAATATCAATATATATTAGTTGTAATGATAATAATTATCTTCCTCTATAAAATATATATCTAGAAAGAATAAATCTGTTTGGATCCAGATAGTAGTACAAATACTATTCTAAATAATTTTAGGATCTACAAATCTCACAATAAAAGTTAATAGTTTAATTTCTATCAGATACACCTTCTTGTTGGATTTCTTTTCCCTAGGTATACATATCTGAAGAAAGATATATTCAACGAAATCCCAAAGTCCTCCAACCTTAACACTTTAAAAGATTGAATCTTTTAATTAACCAACTATTTAAATTTTCTTTCCTTTTTTTTTTTACTAGGTGTTTCAAAAATTTCAGAAAGAAAAAAGTAAAAACGTCTAGAAATTCATTAATAATCTTATAAGAAACAGAAATTGTTTAGAGATTGTTTATTTACAAATATTGTCCTGCGTTACATTCAAAGTTACAAGAAAACTGTACTTCATCATTCTTTAACAGGTAGGCTTAAAGTATTGAACACATCAAAAAGTACAAGTATGAGTAACTTCACCAATAATAGTTTTGATGCAGGACAGCAACCAGAGTGGTTCGAATTTGAATCATCTAATAATACTAGTGGATTTTACCATGTAAATGACACACATGCAAACACAGAAAATTTTAACAACACATATTATTATAACAATGGTACCAATAACAATGAAAGTTATAGTGGGGCATTCACTGAAGATCAAACTGAAACAGTTAAGATTATTTCTACATCTTTCTATACACCATTTATATACGGTGCTATCTTATTAATTTCATTGTTTTACTTCTCTAAATATTATAAGCAGAATAAAATTAAGAAATTAACTCAATTGAAGTCAATTTTTGATGAACAAGATGCAAGAGATTTATATTTTGAGATTAAACAAATGAAGGAGGATGGCAAGGTTAAAGTCCATGATAAGGTACTTAAGGCTGCCTTACTTAACCGTGGTGCAGAAAACATTAGAAGATCTTTTAAATTAAAAGAGTTGACTCCTCAAGTGGAAATATTATATAAAAACGGTTCCATTGGTGAAGATTACTGGAAACGTTTTCAAACTGAAATTAAAATTATAGAAGCTGAATTGAAAGAATGTATTATGGAGGCCGAAAGCTTACAACCTGGTTGGTCACAACTATATATAGCACTTTGTCAAGAAATTTGCTTCAACCAAGCTTTACAAAGGCGTTACAATTCTATCCTTGAACGTAAAAATACATGTATTAAAGAATGGAATTTAGACATTGACAAAGATGGCCATCTAATCGGTAAGGCAGAACAAAAGAGTTAAAGTCTTCTATACCTTCTTTTATAAGCATATACATCGCTAAGTATATAATCTTTATCTTTTTTTGCCCCTCCTGTTGTTATATATTTATATAGATAGATAATGTTAAAAAGAATGTACAATGGAAAGTTAAATGGATTATTACTATACAAACTAGTATTTTATACATTATTATCAACTAAATACCATAATAACAATGAATATGGTTATTTGATTATTTATTATCTGTACAATTTAATAGAACATAAAAGATCTGTAAACAGATTATATTTACTATTGAATACGTTTAGCTCTTGGATCTTTTTTTTTTGCAAATCTTATTTCTAAAATAGGTGATTTAACTGCATTCTGTCCTTTAGCTAATAAATATAATATATTATAATTCAATGTCTTTTACCTTTCTTCTTTTTACTGACTACTTGGAATTCCCAGTCGTCATCATTACCTTCAGGTAAAGCTAAAGCCTCACTCCATGATAATGGATCGGTAACCTGTTTTTCACATTCAATACGTTTCTTATTAAATTCAACAGCGAATCTACGCCCGTCCATGACAGCACTATTAGAATATATAGTATCAGCGATAATTTCATTAGATTCGGCACCAGCTGGTAAACTTAAAAGGACCTCTAAAACGCTGTTACTTGAAATACCTGGATTTAATTTCAACTGAGACCTACACCACTTCAAAAATTCTTGTCTCTTAGATATGGATGAATTTCCTGGATACATTGGAGTAGCAGTTCTAGTAGTAACTGTAGCAGGAGAAATGGTACCGATATTGGAAACAAACTTGTTTTTTAATGCAGGAATACTTGTAGACGATCCAATTTGTTTAGTTGGCTTATTTACAGGTTGTGGTTTAACAGAGACATTAGATGCAGGTACGGTTGTCTTTTTAGTCTTAGAAGTAACCTTTGTCCATGCATTTGTATTAGAAACAGCAGTGGTAGGTGTTGTAATTGTTTGATTTATGGAAGAATTGTTTGCTTTTTGAGTCTTTGAAGCTTTTCGTAGTTGCTCCCAAATTCTCTGTTGTTCCTCAATAAATGCTGGATCATTAGGGATATTACCAAATGACTTTAATTGATTTTGCTGTAATGATTCTTTCTTGGCTTTTTTCTTTTGTTCTTGGTCCTTCAACAACTCTCCCTTAATATCTACTGTAGCGATAATATTGGTACTAGTATTAGTATTCGCCCATGTTAACATAGCCTTATTTCTCTCTTTTTCTTGTTCCTCTTTCAAGATCTGTGCACTTAATCTCATAGCTTCTAACTTCTTTTGTTCTTCGATCTTTTGTTGTTTAATTTCTTCGTTTCTTTGTAATTCAAAAAACGACGTTAAAGATATACCTTTATTCTTACTTCTTCCCTTATTAGCCCAAGGTGCTGGCTTAGAGATAGGTTGTTGAGAAGAACTTGCTTCATCCGGAATTAATTGATTAGCTTCTTCAGCTGTCTTATTGGATTCTTCCTTCTGGCCAACATGACTTGCAGATTCAGATCCATTTTTTTTAGTCTTTGATTTTTTCTCTTTTTGTTTCTTAGATTTTTTACTTGACTTTATTTCTTGTTGTTTGACTCTTGCTTCTTCTTCCTCAATTAATTGTTTTGCCATTAACTCAGCCTTAATTTTACGTTTTTCTTCTAAAGTCAGATCTTTCTTATCAACATTAATCTTTTGCTCGTCTTGTGAAACAGAAACACCCTTTTCATTTTTGTCACTTCTTTCACATTTTTTGGTTTTCTTAGTTTTATTTGTTACTTTATGATCTTCTTGAGATTCTATAGTATTTGAAATGGATAAGCCAGTAAACTTATCTTCTATTTCTCCTGAATGTGGAATGGTTGTTGTGATAACTTTTGTTTCTAATGTGGATGTTTCATCAACAACCGGCTCGTTCTTCAAATCTTTTTCCACTTTGTTGGAATCATTCAAAAGTTTGGGATATCCAACAACGATTTCTTTAATAGCCCAAATATCTGTGAATCTAGGATCATCACTTGGTTTAATGACGATTTGTGGGTCTATTTTTTTCTTTAGTTGACGCTGCATTGGGACTGGAACCAGCACTTGATGATAATATGCATTATCCGGTAATGGTAAATTCATTATTTCATCAAACGTATAGTCTCCACTATGAATATTGGCAACAATACCGTCTTCCTTCATAGTAGTTCCCGGATCAAAGTTATTAACGTGTGTATTTTTTTCATTTTTATTATCAACGTTACTCCAATCACCAACGTTAATTGGGTTATTGTTGTTCGGAACATGTCTATTTAGTACCTTGTCAGTTGAAAAAGCATTAATGTCGTCAACTGTTGTTGGATTTATATAGGAGGACGCAGTAAATAATTGATTGGAAGATGTATTAGAATTAGTAGGAGCTATTTTTGTAGCAGAGATTGAAGGTAATGATTGTTGTTGTAGTTGCTGCTGCTGTGGAGGAGGAAATAGAGAATTAATGTTGATACTATTTCCATTCACATTTCTTAATAAAGAATTTATGATGGAATCGTATGTAGCAAAGGGATCAATTGCATTACCTACTTTTAAAATCAACTCATTCAAGGTAATAAATTTATTGTGAATTTGTAATGGATCAATAGTTAAAGTTTTGGAAGTATCCTGATTATTTGTGTTAGAATTAGTGTTGTTGTTGTTATTATTTGGGTCAACAATCAACAATTGTAAATTCAACTGGAAATAGTTGTTATGGTACCATTGGGACATCATAGTAGAGGGAAATGGGCCTTGTTGTTCATCTTGATAATCTACATATTTCCATTGAGATACATAAAGATTAATAAGACCAGGTGGGGCCATTGGAACACCATTTGGCGTGAACGTTGAAACATTCGACGTAGCCATATTTTGGATAGTGGAAGATATAGGAGCTATAGTAGAAACAGCATTAGAAGTGCTTGGACTCAGAGGATTAAGAAAGTCATTTAAATCAGTATTGGTAGTAGTGGGTGTGATAGTACTTGTATCGTTAAATATAGAGGTGGTTCGTTGTAAAGGAGGGTTTAACGTTAGATCAGGTTGGAATGGAGAATCCATTCTTTGAATGCCCCCAACATTCATTAGTCTACTTGTTGTGGTAGCAGTTAATGGATCAGTTACAACTGTAAAGTTATTCATTGCTAAGTTTGTGCTACTGTTATTATTAGTTTTATTACCAATACCAATAACATCCATCAACGAAGAGTTATGTCTATTCAATGGGGCTCTGGGAATAAAATCATTATTCCTACTACCTGCGGAAGCCATATCTGATTGGGAGGCGAGGTTCATATTCAAAGGTTGTTGTTTTTATTTATTTTTTTTTTCTTTTTTTTTTTTTTGTTAATATATTGTTTATGATAGATGAAGAGGTCTTGCTAATGTCGCAACCCAGTGGCGTAGTAAGTTATAATTTAAGTTCACCGATATGAGTGAACAATTTTAAATAAAACTGACTTAAATGAAACTCTTCTCTGATTTTCTTTTTTTTTTTTTTTTTTTTCCTTCTCCCTCTCTTCCCTCCCGTAAATTTTTTTTATTCTTTTGCAAAGAAAGAAAGAAGTAAAAAAAAAAAATAAAAAAAGAAAAATAACCAAAAAAATTTTCAAAGGAGAATTTTCTGATCTGAAATTTTTTTCTTTCTGCGAAATGTGTGGTTTTCGTTTGAATCTTGCCATGGGATGCTGACATAACCATTACTCATAACAAATTAAGATGTTAATCACTTGAACACATCCTGCAATAATAATAATAATAATAATATATCCCCAATATCTTATTGAGAGGTACCTAATTTCGTATAAGTTTCCCTTATAGTCTAGAATAAACAAAAATTTACATTCCTCCAGCAACTACTATGTTAGTTGAATTCCACTTTAGATGGTGTTTTTTTAAAACATGGATAACTCAAACTATCAATATACATGAAACTTGATGACGTTTGTTTTTTTTTTAGCACATGGCAAATGAGAATTATGTTAAATTTTATGCGTTTAGATTTTACCGTTGAGTATTTCCTATTAACACTTTTAGAGGTCAGAATAGTAATAAACTCACTTGGACCATTATGGTGTTAAAAAATATGAAAACAGAAAAAAATAAAAAAAGATTCATAAATGAGTTAAAAGTAGATTCTTTAGAGGAGTAAGATGAAGTAGGTATTGATTTCGCTTTGTAGTTGTATTCTATTAAGAAACAAAAAATTTTGTCCGTATTTCCCCTGATGCAAGAATCTGGTCCAGTATCATCTTACTCCACTTGGTTCAAATAACTATCACTACTATATTACCTTATGATATACTGGGGGAAAAAACATCTATTCTACAAGCTATCAATAAAACAGTTGATTACGGGAATATTACTAGTATAAACACTCGATCATTCTAGAATGATGAATCTATTAATACTTTTAATATTGTTTGATGATACAAATCATGAAAAATGATCTTATAGATGGAAATGAATAGATGAATTTATTTCTTCAATGAAGATGATGTAAATAAGGTTTTTTTTCGGTTCTAAAGACGAAACAAACAATGGAGTTAGTGATGAAGAATTCGTAAACGAGAATGAAAATGAATATTAAGATTAAGAAGTTTATGGAGCTAATATGTATAAATATGCATCTTTTAGCATCCAATAAAGAAAATAGGTACGAAAGAGTATTTTAAAAGTCTAATACAGAAAAAAAAGAAAATATGAAGAGATTAAAATAACATTGAATAGGGATATACAAACAGCCAACCAACTTAATCAAAAACAAGATTTTTAGAGTTTTTAACAAGCTGATACTTCACAATTCTTGATTTAAGAAATAGCAGATCCCGGTGATTTGAAAGAACAAAAAAAAATACTTGGGGAAATGACCACATAGACATTGAATTTGTACCGAAATAAATAGAAATTCTACTTGCATCATTATTATTGTAGCTATTATTATTGACTGTCTTTTAGTCTTATATAGTTTATTAATATTTATTTTAATCTGTTTATTTCTTTAATTTAATTATTTTGGTTTTGATTTAATAAAAATGAATCTCCGAAAATTACCATTTTGGGAAAAACCTTAACAGTCCTGCACTTTTTAAAATCAAAAAAAAAAGAAAGAAAAAATCTGGAATGGGGTCCTGTCATTTTCCACGAAGCTGGGTAGGAAAATAAATTAGAGTCTTGGATTCATTATTTAATTAAAAATAAGATACTGGTAGTCTTAACCATGGTGGTATTATTAACAGTGGTAGATAAAGTGTACTGAAGGGTAAAAGAGTATCAGTTTTGTTCCCTTCGCCTAGTTTATAAAAAAAAAAACAAAGAAAAGAAAAAGAAAAAGAAAAAGAAAATACTATGATATTTTTACTATCAGTATACATGTAGATATAGGAAAGATATTGATATAAATATTATTATACGATGACCAATGACATACGCTCAGCACTCTGATAATGATACTATTAACATTATTCTTATTTTTAGTCATATTCTTGATTTTCGCCTTATTTTTAAAGTCCTAAGGATTTTTCAATAGCACCATGTGTCAAATCACCTAACATAATATTATTATGAATATTCTTGCCCATGGTATCTGGATATATATCTTCCCAGTCTATTGTACAATCCTTGTTTCTTAAAATATCACTATGCAAATGATTTTCATTGATTGGGTTGAAATCTGTCCTTTCCACAATACTTAATTCCATAGTACGTTTCATTGGTTCTGCAATACCAAAGATTTCTCTATACTGTTCCATGGTTCTGGCATGCTCATTATCTTGATAGTTCTCTAAATGTTGTTGCAAAGGATGTTGTTCATTTAATTGGGTAGAAATTGGTAAACAACCGCCATTTTGTTCTCTTAACGTATCTGGTAATGTATTTATAGAATTAGATTTATGTGTAGCGTTTTCAACAGAATTAATTTGTGATTTGAAATTAGATGGTGGAACAATATTAAGTGGCATATTTTTTTTGTATGTGCGTATGTGTTTATATGTTTATATGTTCTTCTGGTAATTGATAAATAAACTAATTGATAAAAGATTTACGTACAGGATACTGGCTCCGAAAATACTTAGCTATTAGTTTGATTACATATGTAAAATAAACGTCTGTGTATGTGTGTGTTAAAGATGGTTTTTCAAAAAATAAACGGTCCTTTTCCTATTTTTTTTTTGTTTCTTGCTTTTTTTCCGTAGTCTAACTTTTGATTTTGGCCAGATTCCATTTCGAAACAGAGAAGACTTCGAGGGAAGCAAATAGTTGAAGATTCACATATTGCTATCTATCTATGCATAATAGGAAGTTGTCGTTGCAAACATTCTTAGGTTGGATTTGGGTAGTTGTTTCAAGTTGGTGCAAACAGGATTGAATATCAAGGTAACTCAATTTATGTATTTATGCCAGCTAGTAAGTGATTTTAATGAGATAATAAAAATCATCTGAAATACACACATACACACGCATACAGGATATGTTTACCTTTGTTAAGGAATGGAAGTTGAATACTAAAAATCCTGTAGCTACATCCAATTTTTCGCCCGATGGTACCCGTTTAGCAATAGTACAAGATTTAAATATTTTGATCTATGCAATTACTACTAGAAAAAATGATACTGGAGATCAAATCGATATTATTCCGTTGACCCAGCTTACTACATCTCATACATGCCCAATTTCAGATCTGTTATGGTCCCCTGATAGCCAATGTATTGCCACTGCATCAGATGATTATACTATAGAGATTACTCACTATCATTATGGTCATTTGCATAGACTAATTGGTCACACAGCTCCAGTAACAAACTTAACGTATAACCCTTATGGTAATTTATTATATTCTTCATCAATGGATGAGAGTATTAAAGTCTGGGATGTTCTAAACGGGACCTTATTGAAAACAATATCTGCACATTCAGAACCTGTCGTTTCAATCAATATATCTGAAGGAGATCCAAGTATACTGTGTTCAGGCTCCTATGATGGTTTGATCCGTCTATTTGATTCTCAAACTGGTCACTGTTTAAAGACTTTAACTTACGATAAAGATTGGAAAAGAGAAAATGAAGGTGTTATACCTATAATTAAAGTGGAAGTTTCGTTTAACGGTAAGTATATCCTTGTTAAATCACTGGATGGTATCATCAAAATTTGGGATTGTGTTTGTGGTGACGTTATCCGTGTGTTTCATTCTAAAAATATTAATAGTAATGAAGATGGAAGCGCATCTGAAAGAGAAAATCAAGATGGAAATAGTACGTTTTTGAAGTATTCCACAGATTGTAGATTATTTTATCCAAAGAATCCAAACACAGATCCATTGGTAATTAGTGGAGATGAAACAGGGATGGTTTATTGTTGGAAATGTAATAAACCCAACGAAAATTTACAAATATTACAAGATCCTGAAAAATGGCATAAAGATAATCCTATATTGAGTATTGATACAAATCATAAATTGGATCTCATATGTGTATTATCTATGAATGGTGTTTGTTCAATTTGGAAATGGGACGATAAGGATAGTGATGATGACAATGATGAGACAGGGAAAGAAAAATAAGAGAATTGGAAGTTTTTATGAAATAATTGCATATTTATTTCCACATGCATACATACATACATACATATATATATATATATATTAAAAATTTTTTTCTAAATCTCAATTGATTATTTCCTTGAGTTTACTTTGAAATATCATCTTCCTTATATTAATTTCTTTAATAATACTAGATATTTCTAAAGAAATGAAAAATAAACTTAAAAAATTGAAATCTACAAATAAACAGAAATTCTAAATAGAATCTACATCTGACTCCCGAGAATTAGTATTCAAACAAAGTTCATTTCAAAGAAGACACTCATATTAAGGACAAAATAAATTTTCAAGTGTATATACATGTGTGATCTATAAAATGAGGGTCTTTGGATCTATCAAAAGGAGTTCTTCCATTCTAAAGAATATATCTCGTATAACTAACTCTATTATTACAACCACAACTAGACCATACTCATCATATGGTTCAAATAATTTACCATTGCAATACACAATCCATGATATTAGAAATAAGTATTTAAAAGGAATCCCGATTTCAATGGGTACTGCTTACGACTATATTACTGCTTCTTGGGTCAATAAAGCACAGTACGATATGTTATTAATTGGTGACTCCTTGGCAATGACCTCTCTAGGTTATGATTCAACAACAGAAGTCCCATTTGATGAGTTCAAATATCATATTAAATCTGTTTGCCGAAATAGAGAGGGTCCTGCTCTAGTTGTCAGTGATATGCCTTTTGGATCCTTTGAATCCAGCATAGAAAGTGGAATCTCAAATGCAATAGAATTATTAAAGTTAAGTCCTCGTCTTAATACATTGAAGGTAGAAGTAGGTTTACTTTCTACTGATAAATATACAGTAGAATTTGTCAAACAGTTATGTTCAAGAGGAATTCCAGTTATGGGTCATATTGGTTTGACGCCTCAGCGAGCAAATTCATTGGGTGGATTTAAAGTTCAAGGAAACAAAGATCCTATGGAAATTGTGGAGATATACAAAACAGCAAAGAAGTTACAAGAAATTGGTTGTTGGTCTATTTTATTGGAGGCTGTTCCATATAGAGTTGCAACTCTTATTACCAATTGTCTTTCAGTACCTACCATTGGGATCGGAGCGGGAAATGGTACATCGGGACAGGTTTTAGTCATTGCAGATATGTTAGGAATGCAACCTAATGCTCATACGCCCAAATTTGTTAATAAATATAATAACTTGTTTGAAACTGCATATGCATCTTTAACCCAATACAAAAAAGATGTTGAAACCCGTAAATTCCCTGAGACGGGTGTCCATACCTTCAAAATTAAAGATGAGATATATGACGAGTCTTTACGTATTATAGAGAAAAACGGTTTATAAACATATAAATATATAACAAAGTCTTTATAGAAGGTGAAGTTTGTTTATTTATAACAATAAAGATTTGTAGTGAACTTTATGACAAAAAATTCTATAGGTCAGTTATAAAATATGAAAACTGTTGGGATATTTCAAGGGGTATAATTATTATCAATTAGAAAATATTTAATAAACATATTTACAATACATATGGCAAGGAGTATCTATTATTTTTTTGTTTCGTTTTGAAAATTGTAACTTATATATGAAAAGGTCGTAGTTGAACTACTAAAGAAATACATCCATGAAGAATTTACCTTTTTCAATTATTAAATTCTGAAAGATACTCTATTTTTGAAACAGTTCACGGGATAACAATTATAAGTTACAGTAGGATTAGCGGAATTGCAAGGTGAAGAGTGATGAATATATTAGGTGATAATGATAATGACAATCTAATAGATTTTATTAAAAGTTGAGGGGCTTGAAAACTATTATAATTTTTTAAACAAATCTTAATTTATTCCTGTGCGTTATATTATTAAGAATTGGAAAATGTTTATTCAGATTTGATATATATATAATAATAATAATAATAATAATAATAATAATAATAATAATAATAATAATAATAATAATGTAAGAAACCGTAATTGGAAATCCTACGGTTAGCGCCGAATATTGAAGTAAAAGACTTGGAACAACAGAAAGTCTGAGTCTAAAGTTGTGAATGTATTTAAACAAACGATTGTTGGATTAAAATTAGTGGAAAATTGATGAGAAGCTTATTTAAGAGACCTTTGGTTGTTGAGAGATGGTGCTACGAGTAATTATCAGTATTAACATTCATATCCTATCTGATAGATTTTAACCTGGAAGAAGAACAATTTGAGTAAGAACTAGAATATCAATAATAACTGAGATTAATCTAATTATCAGTTGGAATCAACTAATTATACAATTTATAGGTGTTTATCATATACGATTAATATCCATATTTTAGTACAGTACTTGTAATAGCCCTTACAAGTTTCTTTATAAATAGATTAATATTTTTTACTATAATTGTGATGTTCTATATATATATGGACAAATTTAAAAAAAAATTTCAAAGAAAATAAATACTGACAGAATAATTTTTTGTATCTCGACAAATTTGAGAAGTGTATCTGATTTTACAAACAAAACAATTCACAATTAAGCACAGTATTAGTAAATATTCTATGAATATTAAATTATTACAAAGTTTTTAATATCAAATATGTATAGATAATAATATCTATACACTATGCAGGCTCACTATATACACATATTTTTATATATTATTTACTCTATAGATATAAATATAGAGTAAAAACAATGCAGACTATCATAGTAAAGGTCAAAAAATCAAAATTTGAAATAATATAAAGAAAGAAGAATGCAAGGAAAGTTAGTCAGACAAAATAATCACTAATGATTTGTCTTGTCTTTTTCCAACCTTTCAAATTATCCAGAGCTTCATTTAATTCAATGACCTCTTGTGTTTCAATATATTTATCTGTTTCAAAATCCATATCTTCATATTTAATAAACCAATCTCTTTTAAAAGCCCACCAGATTAAATAAATCGCAGGAAACACGAATAATTCTAAGTAGACAGAGAAGAAATTAGAAACGCTCCAAGGATCGAAGGCAGACCAACCCTGAATTAAGATAATGAATGTGACAAATACAACAAGGAAATATGGTCCGTACGGATAAGTCCAATTTTTGAATCTTAATTCATGGGTCTTTCCTTGCTTCTCGAGGCCTCTTCTAAACCTGATGGATGTAATGGCGATACACAACCAGGCAATTTGATTAGAGACACCAACAATATTCTGTAACCATGTCCACAATGTACCAGCACCTACAAAACTTGCACCGAAACATAACCCACCAATAGCCCAGGTTATCAACACAGCAACATATGGTGCTTTATATCTGTTTGTCCTAGAAACAATATTTTTAGGCAAATATCCATCCAGTCCCATATTATATAAAATACGACTACCAGCAAATAAAGCATGATTACAAGCACTAATGACACTAGTCATAATGACCGCATTCATGAAGGAACCTGCACCCTTAGCACCGGCCATTTGAAAAACTAGAGTAAATGGGGAAGTCATAACCGATTTGGTAGCTAAACCTGGATAATCGTAGGGAATGCACATGGCGATGAAAAAAGTGGACAAGACATAAAAAATAAGAATTCTCCAAAAGACTGTTTTAATAATTTTTGGTGTATTTCTTACTGGATTAAAAGCTTCGCCATTAGTCAAAGTAACAGATTCGGTACCACCATAAGCAAAACTTGCACTGACAAATAAAGTAGCGAACCCTTTAAACCCATCAACAAAAGGAGCATCACCATGGGTCCAGTATTTGAAACCAATATATTCATGCTGTGGATTATGGCCTACATTAACTACAATACCTAAAATAAAGAAAATTATAATGGCGATAACCTTTAGCAAAGCCAACCAATATTCGGCTTCACCGTAAAGTTTAACAGTAATAATATTCAATACCAAAACGAAAAACCAAAACAATAGAGATGCAGCCCAGTAAGGGAAATGGTTTTCTGAGGTATGCCAATAATTCATGACCAATTGTAAAGCAGTCAAGTCACTAGCCACACTGACTGCATCATTAAACCAATAATTCCACATTAAAGCACATGCAAAGGATTCTGATACAAATTTTTTTGCATAAGAACAAAAAGAACCACTAATTGGCATATATGTGGACATTTCACCTAAACACAACATAGTTAAATAGACAACACCACCTAATATAGTGTAGTTCATGAATAAAGAAGCAGGACCACCTTTATGTAAAGCACTTGAAGTTGACAGATATAGACCTGTACCTATGATACCTGCTATAGATATCATATTAATATGACGAGGCTGCAATGCCCTCGTTAAATCTTCACGGATATTAGCTTCTGGATCAAACTTACCATAAGTCTGCTGTGAATTAATGGTGTTAGACCCATCTGGATATAACTCTTCATTATAGAGTATATTATCTTTCTTCAAATGAGTAAGAGACGTACTCGACTGATCACTTGATATTGACTTTGAATCACTTTTAGATGTAGACATTATCAACTGGGTATATATATATATATATATTCAAATAATCGTATTATTTTATTTTATTATATTTTTATTTATTGATATATCCTAAATTCACTAAGAGTTGACAGTTTTACTAAGCCGTACGAATTAAGTATACATGAACGAAGTTCATGTAGCGGTGGGTTACAACAAGGAATGAACAGTAAATATTAAAAGTCATCGCAAACATATATATATATATATATATATTATGATTCTTCTTCTATGAGATGGAAATGATGCTTAAAGTACCCCAACTGAAAAAGAGAAAAGACATATTGAACAGGGCCGCCAATCCAAACAATTAATTTTGCTGCCGTAAGGTACACTTTAATTCTATTTGAAATCATTATATCATTTGTAAGCTTCACAGATTACCTAAAGTTAATCTGAAAAGAAATATTTTTTTTTTTGGCTTTCTTGCCAATAATAGTAGTAACAGTAGTATTGTATAATAGTAGCATTAATAGAGCAAACTGCAGCTGAATGTTCTCGCTTAGTAATATTTTACCCGTGTCTCAATTGTGACACTCCCCCTTTTTCTTCTTGAACCAACACACACATACACACTATTTCTCTCTCTTTCTCTCTTTTCCCCTGTTGTCAAGGCAATCTCCACATACACAGTTTTCCAAAGTGAAGTTAAAGGAATCTGTCACTAATACTGTAAAACACTGAAAAAGAGCATTGTCCGACTTTGAAAGACAATATAGACAACAATACACCGTTTATATTTCCGGAACGGCAACTTAGACCCTTTCCACAGTTTGTTTTTTTTCAAAAATCACTATTTTGCCTTGTTTTGAGTTTCCGACCGCTGCCATGTCTTTAACAAAAAAAGAAAAAAAACAAAGAAAAAAAAAAAATTAGATATTGCCGAGGATGAAAATAACTACTGTGGGAAAACACATAAGTCTTTCCTTACGTCAGCCTACTTACTAAGGGATTTCAATCTTATGTGATTGTGGACAATGTGTGTATGTCTCGATATGTATAATACATTCGTATACGTAAATTATTATATATATTGTATAGATAGATAGATAGATATACATATAGTTATTATCTCCATACATATGACTAAAAAAGAAATAAACAAATATTTTGGTCTTTCAAAATTATATTTTTGCTCATAGTAATTTAGTATTTGCAATATCCTGCTTAATCTTGAAAGTATAGTACCCCATAATTAACATGATAACAATTAATGGAATTAACCAAAGTTGCAATAGTCGTGTAACAATATAATCTGCATGATTAGAATTTATACCCATTGATGTGTGGTGTTTTAAAGTCAACTCTCTGATCTTTTGCTGCTCATCTAGCAACTGTTGTAATTTGTCATCCATTAATATTAAATTTTCAAAATTGTTATAATTATGTTCACCGAGAGTGGACATTTCATCACTGTAATTGAAATATTTCTTCATTAAATATAATAAGTATTCAATTATTGAATTCTGAATTCTAATAATATCATCCAATTTATCAATTAGATCCGAGATATCATTAGCAATTATTTTACCCTCGATATGATCTAATTTTTTAAATAATCTATAATTATTAACGTCTGAATACAATGATTTCATTGGATCCTTGACTGTAATTTCATTAGTTTTGATATTCTTTTGCAATATTTGAGGTTGAGGCATCTGCTTCACATTTGGTATAAAAGTTTCACTTGTAAGACCGTTGTATAACTTCATTTGTAAAATTTCAAAGGATTCGTTATTAAATCTTCCATCAACCCCATAATTATTAGCTGTAACACCAATTCGAAGTCTATTATTATTATTATTATTATTATTATAATCTTTATTATCATCCCATAATTTTATCTTTTGGGTTTGGAAACAAATCTTATTATTAATTTGTAATTTAAGCAACTTATTTTCATTATTATAACTTAATCTTAAAGTAGTTGGAACAGATACATCTTGATACCCAACAAGGCATTGAGCAAAAAAATGTTGATCTACAACAGCAAGATCGATCGACTTTGTCATATCGCTTAATAAAGCTCTTATGGATTCACCATAAGGACCAGTATTATCAATCAAAATTTGTAATCCATTAAATCTTTTAGGCCATGAATCTGTCTCCACACCCTTAACTTTCTCATTTCCAGGATTCATTAATATCCAAAAAGATATCCCACCATTTGTAGGACCTATATAATTTATACTTCTGAAAGTCCATTGTAAAGTAAATGATTCAACGTCATTAATGGGTACTGTTTTCAACCAAAGAGATCCATGGCTGTTTTCATTTGGTGTTAAAACGATTCTTCCATCTTTTAATTGTGTGTATCCATCAATAACCCAATTCCCCTCTGGAATTTCCTTCAAAGATAAAATATCTGCTAACGAGTATTGATCTAACAAATGAGAATTTTCTTTATCTAATGATTGAGTAGAATGTGCTGATATTTGATTCAAAGCTATGTACAAAATTACCAAAATTTCCCAAAATAATTTCATTATATAAAATTACAATTACATCTATTTTATTCTTAAAAAAAATACTTGTTATGTGCAGACCTTCTATTCTCTTCTTTAAACAAAGCATGTATGTGTAATACTATTAACATGAAACACATTTATCACCTCCCTTTTTTATTTTTATTGTTTTTTTTTTACTCTTTTCTTTATTATGTCTAAAAAGAAATCTCGAAGAAGTAATAGTATAATCATTTATACACACACACAATATATATATATATATTTGTTTTTACAGGAAATACTCAATAGAAAGAGACATTATATATAGTATGATGAAATACATACACCAACACATAAATACAATATATATATATATATACTCTATTGAAAACCAGAAGAAAGGGACAATATCATTGAATAAATAGTTAACTCCACAAAATAGATCGATACACCATTATTAGTAATAATAACGTATCTTATATCAAGTATTTATAATTGCTCCACTGTTCTCAGATCAACCTATGAATATGCTTTATATTTATATGTAGATATGTATGTATGTATATAAGTTATGTATCATTAAAGGTGTAGGAAAGGGATTAAAGTTTAGATAATTTTATTATAATGTAATGCTCTATTATGAATATGTGATTGTGAATAAAACGAGGAAATGCAGAGTAAGAAAAAACAAACAAACCAATGGTAACAATAAATAAGTAAACAATAACAATAACAATAACAATAATAATAAAAAGAAGAAATGCACGTAAAATATTTTATTCATTACCACTGTCTTCATCATCCTTAAATATCAATGCTCTTGGTTTAAATCTCTTTTTCTCCTTTGATGTCAATACCCTTCTTTTAGATATTTCACCACGCTTATTAACATAGGTGATAACATTTTCAATATCTGGATTCTCTTTAATCAATTGTCGATGTCTTTCTAATCTTTCTTTCTTACTTAATGACCTTGAGTTAACAGGAGACTGAGAAGAAGAAAAGGATGTTATAAATGGATTTTCTAACTTTGCCTCACATATAAAGTCACTATCATCATCATCATCACTATCATAACCATATTCACTATTTTTACCTCCTTCTTTCCCGTATGTTTTATTGTATAAAGGATATGATTCATTATTCCACTCTTTGGCTTGCTTCAAAGTTATTATTTGATGTGATGGCGTACCCGGACAATTCTTAGCCATTTTACTTGGTGGGGTAGAAGGTGCAAATAATTCATCATCGGTATCACCATCTCCATTATCACTACTATTATCGTCATCAGAACTCAAACTTATTGGAAATAACACTCTATTAACATTATTTTTATTAATTTTAACATCTTCATCTTCTGTAATACTGTCATTATTGCTTGTATCATTATCACTGGGTACTATTGATAATCTTCTCATTGGAGAGAATTCTGGTGACCTTAAACCATTAAATTTGGGTAAAGGGGGTGCCAATAACACATTATTATTATTACTACTACTACTACTACCACCGCTAATAATAGGATTATTATTCCTATTATTATAACTTATGCTACTTTTATCATATTTGGATAATAGTTTACTAGTACCATTAGTATTATTATATGAACGATGTAAAATAGTGGATGGGGTCATTGGAATATCTAGACCAGTATTCTTTTTGGGTGTTTCAGGAGGAGCCTGAGGTTTTCTTGGAAAATTGGATAGAAAGAAACCATCGTCATCATAAATATTGTCATTAAGGGCAGAATCAGAATGGATATTATTATTATTACTATTACTTTCATCTAACTTTTGTCTTGGTTGTAATTGATGACTGAAAAAGACAGTTGACCTAGATCTTGGTGGAGTAGATGGAGTCATTATTTATCTTGAAGAATAGGAAAGAAAAATATTATATATATATATATATCGTATTTTAATTGGATATAAACACAAAAACTAGCAAACAACAGATAATAGTAATAGTAACAACCACGACAATATATATATATATATGTATATGTATATGTATATGTATGTGAATGCGAATGTGAATGTATCTGTGCTTATTACTTTTCTATTGTCTAAGATATAAAGCAGCAGAAATAAAATGAAATAAATTAAAACAGGAGTAGAGTGATATACGAAAGAAAAAGGAGAGGGATGTGTATGTGCACTCCTAAAACAAAAAAAAAATTTTTGTAAGTAATAAAAAAGTCAAAATGATGTGAACTCAATAATGTATATATATATATATATACGCTTTTAACTTTCGAAACAAGTAAAGATACGGACATAATATTACAAAAAACCATGAATACACATTAGTCATGACAGCAGCTCCGCCATATACCCTTTATAACAAGTAGATAAGTATCTGTATATATATCTACATATATACATATGTGAAGAAACAAGATGGAATAAAATATGGTATAATCCAATTGCTTGTTTGATTGTAACAAGCTGCGACAATAAGAGACAAGAAACACAAAGAGACAAGCACAATCTTGTCAGTTATGTCAGCCACCCATCCATCCATCTGTCAACGCAGGTGTGCATGCACATACGTATGTAAATAAGTAAATAAGTGAACCAAGCAATTGCTGGGTTTACTCTCTTTGCTGTTTCCGGTTCTTTTCCTCCTGAACGAGTCGCGTTTTTATTTTCATTTTTATTTTTATTTTTGTCACTTTTTAATTCTTGCTTTGTTATTGACGTGTATGGGTGTATGGATGTATCCCTTTTTTTTATTTATTTTTCTTCCCTCTTCCACCTCATCGGCTGGGTCATTCAGACAAAGAAAAGCACGCTGGTGAAGTAAGTGAGTATGAGAAGAGAAAAGACGATGAAGAAGAAAAAGAAAAAGAAGAAAAAGAGAGATAGAGAAGGGGGGAACCCCATTTTACGGTCTACACAAGTTTAGAAATACCAACCACCTGGCGTTTCTCTTACATTTTCCATTTCTTCCAGTTCTTCCATTGATTTGTGAGGGCTAAGAAGTTAGGGCTGAAAGAAAAAGACCAAACCTTAAACACACGCACAACCCTAAAACATATCCAAATAAATAATAATGCCCTAATTTTCTTTCTCTCTCTTCAATTTTAGTTTTAAATTTATTTTGATTTTAATTTTTTTTTGACAGAACCGATGCATGCAACAAACAAAAGAAGAAAAAAAAATAAAATAAAATAAAATAAAATAAAAATTTATCACACACAATTGAATTTTTCATACATTGTTCTTTTTTTCTTGCTTTTCTTTGTCTCTTTCATAACGCCCAAAATATAGAAATTCCTCTAAATCATATTCCAAAGTAAGCTCAGCAATATACTAATAATCAGTACTCTTTGTCAATTTAAACAATTTCAAAAAAAAAAAACACCTAAATTGAGATTTAAACTTAAGATAAGAAATCCTTTATTATCAAAAAAAAAAAAGAAAGAAAGAGAAAGGAAAAGGACAATTAAGGTGTATAGAAATGAATGCTTTATATAATCATGCCGTTAAACAAAGAAATCAACTACTGAATGACTTAAACAAATTTGAATCTGATCTATTAAGCTCTTCTGTGTCTCTACAAGGTTCAATATCTGCTACTTTAGTATCCTTTGATAGAACTCTCAAACAATTAGATGATTATATATCTAAAAATAGTAATATTAATACTAATACTAATACTAATAATAATCATGATGATAAAATTTCAAAATTTAAAATTAAATTAGATGATTTAAAAATTGAAAATAAAAAATATCAAAATAAATTCAAAGAATTAAAAACACAATATAACAAATCTCAGTTATTTGGTTCAGTAAATAATAATAATAATAACAACAACAACAACAATAATAATACAAGTAGTACTAATACAAGCAGCAGTAGTAGTGAAAATCCATTTAATGATGATAATTATTTAAATAAAAGAAATGTTTTGAACAATAATAATAAAAATAGTAGTAATAACAATACTAGTAATAACATAGGAACTAACTATGATAAAAAAAACCTATTACCATCTTTTTATGAAAATATACAAAAAGAACATTCGATATTTTCTCGTGGTAATGCCCAACTAGATTTAATACTTGAAATGGGTAATAATTCTTTACAAGATTTAATGGATCAGAATGCTATCTTAAATAATATTCAAGATAAAATGAATAAAACTTTAAAAACCTTAAATGTAAGTCAATCGACTATAGATCAAATTAACAAAAGATTATTTAAAGATAAATTGATCTTTTGGATTGGCTTATTATTGCTATTTATTGGAATGTATTATGTATTAAAACTCTTTAAATAAATAAACAATATTAGTCTATTTACTTATTAATAATTAAACATGATCTATTCTTCGATGTTGTCAACATTATTTTGTCACAATTTACACTATTTGGTACGACATTACACTCATTCTTGTCAATTTGTATGGGCTTGTCTTGATTATAATGGTTTCCTATCAATAATTGTCCATTGCTATTGTTACCAAATGTCCAAATTTGATTTTGTTCATCAACAATAAATGCATGGTCACTATAACTATTAGTTATCACATTTTTTATACATCCGTCGAATTTCACTCTTGTTGGATCACACTGGAACGTTTTATAACTATTATTACCTAATTGACCTGACTGACCATCTCCAATAGATAACAGAATATTGGTCCTGTCACTATCCCCGTTATCCAAAAGTACAAACGATGTATTTGACATGGAAAATATATCAATCGGTTTGCCTTCTACCGAATATGGTTTGAATTTGATCGATGGTATTTCTTTTGGGAATGGAATAACAACATTATTATAATTCACTATAGAATGGCCTAATTGTCCATATTTATTATTACCAAATGTGAAAATTTTACCATCGTCTGTTAATGCCATCGAATGGTTCTTCCCACACACAACTTTATTTATCTTACGTGGTACAATCTTTTTTATTTCACGGTTTACCAATTCGTTGTTTAAAAGTATCAAATCAATAGATTTATTCTTTACTAAGTCTATATTGGAATCCAATCCATTTACGATTCCTAATTCTTTCAGCAGATCACCATTTTTCATTTTCCTTTCTTTCTCCTTATTCTTATTCTTCTTACTATCATCGTCATCACCATCAAGATCACATGTTGGAACAATATATGCCTTCTTCTTATCAGTTATATACAATAAATGATTTTCGCCTGTATCAAATTGAATAATCTTATCTCCTGAACGCAATTTTTCAATCTTATACGCATATCGATCACCCCAGAACGGTATCTTCGACTTAATCAAATTTTTATTAATCAATTCATCATCATTGAGTGGGAAGATGTATATGTTCCCATCTTTAGACAAAGAATAAATTTGATTGTTTGAATACTTGATTGTTTGAAGCTTGTAATTTGATAATATTTTAGTCTTATTATTATTAATCAAATCCCATCTAAAAAAATCACCCTTTTCATCAATATAATAACTGATCCTTCTACTGTTCGAATTTTCTTCTGGTAAGATACAAATATCCTTAATAGTAATATTAATATTGTTATTATTATCATCATCTTCATTGAACGACGCTACCTTTTCTAATAACCCAAAATATTTTGAATGTTTATCACTGTTAGATAGAAATATGGAACAAGGAGTGAATTGATTAATATAATTTGGATCATTAACTAGTTTTAAAATTCTTTTTGTGTTATTACTGCCACCATCATCATTATTATCATTATTATCATTATCTTGTTGTCTTCTACTAACACTCACTATATCTAGCCGAGTATTTGAATTAAAGACGCTTTTAAACACATTACTACCAGTATTCTGTGGTTTATAATAATAATAATAATACAAAAGTGAACATGAGGTTACTGATGTTATAGAAATCAAACTGAGTCTTTTTAGTTTATTCAATCTTTTCCATTGCTGTTGTCGTAATTGAACTTCAATTGAGTTACTTATAAACCTTTTGCCCAATTTCGAAAACATCATTTGCCTTTGATTCTCTATCTATATACATATTTCTTTCACAGTACTCATGGGTGATACTCTGAAATAAGTCGTCTGCTTAAACAATCTCCTACCTTTTCCCCTATTCACGTTATCTATACATTATTGAAAAAAAAAAAACGCTTTGAAGATAAAACCTTAAAATACAACAACCAATGAAAATCGAATTTTACCTCTACATATAATTATAGTACACAAGTAACTACCTACTAACAGAAAAAGAAAGAATACAAAAGTAAAATAAAAAAAAAGAAGAGAATTATAACTAAACAGAGTAACTTAAATAATGAAAACAAAAAAAAGAAAAAGTTATATATATTATATAAATACTTTTACTATTGTTGAATTATATTTAAGCTTGGTTAGCAAAGTAAGCTGGGAATTCTCTGAAGTTGTCTTCTAATGGACCCTTCTTAGATAAGAACTTAACAAAAGCACCATCATCTTTAACTTCACCAGCATCTCTTCTCTTGACGTATTCAGCACGATCTAAGTTAGTGAAACCCCACTTCTTGGATAAGATGATCTTTTGTTGACCTGGGAACTTGTATCTAGCTCTTCTTAAACCTTCAATAACAACGTCCTTGTTAGAGTCCTTAGTTCTAACAGAGAAGATAATTTGACCAATGGCAACTCTGGCAGCTAAGCCGTGTGGCTTACCCCAGGCACCTCTCATACCTTGTTGTAATCTATCCGCACCAGCACAAGACAACATCTTGTTGATTCTTAAGACGTGGAATGGGTGGACTCTGACTCTTAAGTGGAAAGAATCTCTACCAGAAACCTTAGTAATGTACTTGTTAGCACAGATACGAGCAGCTTCTAAAGCTTCGGAGGATAATTGTTCTAATTCATTAGAGACTAAGTGAACACATAATGGGAATTCATCAACGGTAGCCTTCTTCTTACCTAAATCGTAAATTCTGATCTTGGAGTCTGGAACAGCTCTGTTGTATCTAGACTTTGGGTAAGGCTTGTTCTTTTGGTATCTGTAACATCTAGCTGGTCTTCTAGCCATTTTGAATTAATTTATTGATTGGTGACTTCCAGGGACTATCTAATGAACCTAAAATAGAGAAACAGGTTTAGGAAAGGTCAGCAGAAAGACACCGCGAAGAAAGAGATCCTTTTTAAATACTGCACAACACCTGTTTACTAAGCTTAACACACAGATTGACTGAACACCTACAAGTTCTCTTTATATAGAAAGATAGAGAGGAAGAAGAAGAAGAGGAGGAGCGTGAATCGAAATGAAGTTCCACCAGTTCGTTCCAAAAATTTTTTTCTTCTCTGACTAAGCAAAAAAAAAAAGAAAGAAAACAAAAAAAATTACACGTGACCTTCTACATCTCATCAAATATGTCCATAATAGGAAATTTGGTAATTGCTAGCTAAACAAAAAACAATCAAAACTTTGGCTCATAACCAAATTTGCCTCTTCTTTCTTTTTTCTTATCCTTTTTTAGTTTTGTCTTTCTTTATCAAAACGTATTTTTGATAAAAAAATAAAACAGAAAAAAATCAAATAAATTTTTCTTTTTACTGAGTGTACTGATGTTACAATAATTGTGACAGTCTTTGATTAGTCATTGTTGCTTTTCGATTGCAATTTTATTGAATTTCTTTTCTTTTTTTTATTTATTTCTTTTTTTTTGCACCTAAAAGAAAAAACAAATTCATAAACCTCATCGCCCTATAACTTGCCATTCAATTGCTATATATGTGTATTGGCACTATTCTCTATTACAAAAGGTGCAACGAAATATAATAATAATCTAAGAACAACAACAACAGTATAATATATATATTTAAAATAGAACATGGGTCGTTATAGTGTTAAAAGATACAAAACTAAACGTAGAACCAAAGATTTAGACTTAATCTATGATGATTTATCGTCAAAGGAAAAAATCAGTGCATTATTAAATCAACCATTAGATGAAACTAAACCTGGGTTAGGCCAGCACTATTGTATACATTGTGCCAAATACTTTGAGACGGGATTCGCTTTAAAGACTCATTTGAGATCAAAAGTACACAAAAGAAGAATTAAAGATCTAAAAGAAATGCCATATACTCAAGAAGTGGCTGATGCCGCTGCAGGTTATAACTTAGATAAATTTATAAAAAGGGTTGAACAAATTAAAAATGTTATTGATCCAAATAAACAATCTAATGAAACAGAATTGAAAAATCATTTGGACTCAAAATTAGAAAATATTAGCACAACTGAACCAACTTTACCGCAAGATTTCTTAGATCAACAAGTTAATTCTGTACAGAACCCACAACAACAATAATAACACCACATTTTACCATGATTTCTACTGCTACAAACACCACTACTCATGTAACATTACTATATTATATCCTTAGTTAGTTAATTAAGTAAAATAAACAAACCAAATGTACCATATTTTTCTTTCACAGTAGTACAAAAGCAACTTTCTCCTTCTTCTTTTTTGATCTTCTTCGTAGATCATACATACATACATACATACATACGTACATGGGTATATATTTATTCCTATTTTGACTCTTTTTCTTTTTCTGTCTCTCTCTCTTTCTTTCTTTTTTTAATCTTGTTTCAACCCTTTTTCTCTTATAGTTGAGCAAAATCGTAATGCAAAGTTTTCATTGCATGTTCACTGACATTCTTTTCTCCAACTAGAATTACTCCACATTGTTTGCATTTAATCTCAACTCTTTTAGAATCAAATGTTCTATTTTTATATTTTTCCATAATTTCGTAACACTGCTTATTTAACCATTCATTATCATCAAATCTAAAATTATATTGTCCATCTACCGGCCCTACTATCAAATCATAATGTATTCCGTTATACAGTAATACAATAATTTGATTCTGATAAAATATTGATCCACTGTTAATATCATTTTCATATTTTTCTGTAGTAGTTGGCGTTGTTATCTTATCAATATAATTATTAATAATGTCACATATCCAAATTGTAACGTTTTCATATATTCTCGGAATTATTGATAGTTCGATATACCCACCCCATGAATTATAATCTTCAATCCATTGACAGTACTGTTCAATTGTCTTGCCATCTAATATAGCAGGATCATTATATTCTAGTGGGTGATTCTTTATATATTCACTTATCTGTCTTCGAATCTGAGTACTGTAGTTCATATTACCATATATTGAATATGATAAACAATGAAATAAACACGAATTATCGTCCGGAACCTTTTTAACACTAACTGTCTTTTCTTTAAAGCTTATTAACTCAGATATTGGATCTTGCTTAACTTTTTTATTTTCAGTATCCCTTAAGAATATCTTATCCCCATTTGTAATATTTAAAGTTGATAAAAGAGAGTTTATATTATCGTCCCCTACAACTATCGTCTTTAAGGGATACCCATAACTTAACTTGTATCCATAGGTTTCTACAGCATCCTTACCTACCTCATTTAACAAATCTTGGAGAGTACAATTATCATTATCTAATTTTATTATTCTATCTTTTTCATTGACCTCACTGATCTTCAACTTCATTTCTAATATACTTTAGGTTTCCGTGATTAAGTAGAATATAAAATTTAAACGTCGATTATAAATACATACACATATCTATATATATTGTATCTCCTTCTTTAAATTCCCTATACACTGTGCACCAACATTTCAACTAATTTGCTATTGTTACCACCGTATAATGTATTCTCGCTTTTGCCACTATTATTATTTTTGACAATTTTCAAAATTACTAACATCACTATTAAATTGACCGTAAGTAGCACTGTAAGGAAAATATCAAAAAACCTAATCTTACCCAATTGTACCAAGGCTTTTTTACCATTACTATTAGCTAAACTATTATACTCTACTTCTGACAATTCTATAGGTTTCGTTGCCGTCTCATTAGTGGCTATATCCTTTTCGATTTTCTGATTTAGTTTTGTTTGTTCAGAAGAATCATCTGAAAGTCTAATTGTAATAGTATCTAAAGTTAAATATTGTTCCATATATTCCTTCAAGAATTGATCAAATCTCTGAAAATTTTCAGTTATACCCTGCCTACAGGACTTTTCAATCACAGATTTGAGCCAACTTTTCCCACTCCATTCAATCCAATAACTTATCTTCAAGAGACAACCAACACTAACATCAATTTCTGGATCTGGTTTATTCCACCAAATTAAAAACCTAGTCTTAATTTGGAATATATTACCGTTCGGTACATTTAAAGTTTTTGTTGTAGATATCCATTCGATACACTCTTCGTCGTACCGCACAATAGTTTCTTCCACTTCACATTTTGTAGATTTTGGTCCAATAGAATAATTTAGTTTCTTGACATATGAATAATAACGATGCCCATCCACGTATGGACCGTATGGTGTCACATCAGTGGATTCATCTGCCTCTAAGAGTTTCTTTTGAAAAGCCAATTCATTTCCACTGAAAAGCAATTCAAATAACATCCCAGGACTCAGTTGCTTAAATTCTTGCTCTTTTAGTAAATATTCATTTTCCTTTAATGGTGGTGGTGCAAATTCTATATTAGGATTTTTCTTGAAATATGGACCATTAAATTTATAATTTAATGATATATCTTTCTTAAATTTATAAACAGGTACTGTTTCTTTTAGTCCTTTTACGTGCTCTTTCGCTTCCTCCTCCTCCTTCTCTTCTTCTTCACTGGTTCCATATTTCTCACTTGTTTCTTCTTCCTCTAAGATTAAATTATCTTCTTCAATATCGATTGAATTTATCAAATTTTCTATTCGTATATCATTAGCCATAATCTCTACATCATCATGAATCTTATTACTTTCTATAATTAAATTGTATAACGAAGGTATCATAACTACATTGCTATCATTATTTTGTTTCACATTTTTCCAAAGTGTAAAAATCAATTTAAATACATGATTGATAGAATCAAACCCATTTAATTGAATCTTACCTAAATGCGTTTCAATAATAATGAATTTTTCATCATTATCATCGTTATCATCTATATTTTCTATAATATTAGGATCACTTGTGTTAGTTTTATTATTACCACTAGTAATGCTAATATTGCTATTACTACTGCTATTGTTATTAGCTCCTACATTAGTTGAATAAAGAATAGATGATTCACATAATATAACATTGACTATCTGTTGAAAGGATATTTGTAATCTGGTACATAGCCACCCATGTTGGTGATTTTTTGTATTAAAACATAAATGATCCTTAGATATATATAACGTTCCAATATATAAACAAATAGTGTTTGGCATAATCCCATCACTATTGATTATTGACTTTTGATTTAAAGCTCCTGAAGAAATAACTTTAGTATCTTCGGTAGGAGTAAATTCATGATTTTGCTTACTACCAACAATATTCAAGGAGTCCCCACGGTGCAACACACAATCAAATTCAGCAATTAGTAATTCGTCCAAAGGAATCATATTGAAAAGTTGATGAAATTTTTTATTTTTAGCATTCGTATTTATATTGTTATAAAATATGGACATTAATACATTGGCATATGTCTTTCCACCACTTTGTCTTGAATTATTCCAGCAGTCCTTTCTATAAAACCCTGTTGCTTCAATTTTAACAGGAGAAATAACTGGCTGACTTTTTCGTGACAACAAAGGCCACAGCATCGAAGATGTATCTTTATTCATTAATTAGACTATATTTTTGTATATTTAATCTATCTATATTCAAGCTTATTTATCTTCTTCTGTACCTATGTATAACAATTTACTCAGATGACTAGTTGGATTCCTTTTTAACAAGAAAAAAATGTTTGTTTTATCAATGTGTAGTAGATATCTATTGGTAATGATATATTATTTTATGCATTACTTTAATCAAAATAGTCACCTCGTTTAATTCCTTTAAAGTCGTTTACCCTTTTGTAAATAAATTCCTCATCATTTTTATTATTTTTGTTTTTCATTTACATTAAGGTTACCGGGGTTACGTTATAATTTCTATGTTGTCTAGGTTACCCAAAACACCATGTAGGGTTATTTTATAACTACACATATTTTAGTTGTATTGGTTAAATATATATCAGGGTTGTTAGGGTTACGGTACTTTTTTAAAGAAATATTTTTTCTTAGTTCAGAAATTAAATCCTCATACAATTTCTAACCAGATATACACACACTTGGAAAATAGAAAAAAAGAGAAGGAAGACTGTGAAATATGATGCATAAAGAAGAAGAAAAAAATATATACAGGAAATATAACTATTCACTCGAAAAAAACAGAGGGTACTTTTGATTTCCGATTAAAAGCAACAACAACTGAACGTTAAGAGCAAAAGAGAAACTGTGTTAGAATTTGACGAGGTCTGTAGATTCTAAAGATATCGTCTTTCGAAGATCATTGTTGACAGGTAAATTAGAACTTACAGGATCATACTTTAGATCGTATTTGATATATAGATATATATACTGTTACTTTAGCCAAATTTCGCTATTGTTATAGAGATATTTCAACACTAAAAGAAATCCATCAATAAAGTTATAGGAAACAAAGTGATTTCTCCATTGTATTAATACTTAACGATATATTAATTAAGGCTATTGAAGAACACCATTCTTCCAATATATGTTTTTTTAGTTTTTCTTCTCTTTAGTTTCCTCCAATTTAATATATTCAATAAGTTATGACTACAAATATAACTGAGCCACATTTAATCAATGAAGTAAGTTCTTCAGCTATTAATCATACCAATAACATAACGAAAGAATATACTCATCAAACTACAGAACTCAACAATAAAGCTCAAAACAATGGTACGAGCGACTACAAGAACAGTCTTGATACCAATACTGTCACCAATGTAGTTGAACCTACTGTATCAGAAATAAAATTCGATGATAATGTACGCTCTTCAGCAAACTTAAATAAGAACAATACAGCAAATATGGCAACACCAACTAATTCTATTCCAACCTCTTCTTCTTCTCTCATCCCTCCACCCCCAATTCCGCATGTCGAAATCAACCAAGTTCCATTATCTCTTATTATAAGAAATATTACAGTTTATACAATTAAAGAAATATCTCAATTTTTAAAAACCAACTTACACCAATCATTTGAAAACAATCCTTCAATAAAGAAAGTGAATTTTGTCAAATTAATCATCTTTCTTAGAAATCAGTTTTTGAAACTGTATGTATTGATAAAATGGACAAAGACTATAAAAAACAATAACTTCCATGTATTGATCGATTTACTGAATTGGTTTAGAATCACTAATATGACAGTGAATAATTGTATTTGGACTTTCAAAAATAGTTTAATCTCAATGACTAATGCTAAGTTACCTGATGTAGATTTAGTAACAGCTCTAGAAGTTTTAAGCCTTGGTAGGCCAAACCTACCAACTTATAACTTAAAATTATCAGGTGATATAAATTCTAATTCAGAAGCTATCCCAACAGATTTAATATTGAAAAGATTAAAAGATTTAAATTTAGTAGTATCCATTAAAATTGCATTAATGGATATACCACCACAATTTAATAATTATTATATTAAGAACGGGAGAATATATATCACTGTAGAAAATGAATTTGAAATTCAATTATCTACTATTGATCGTCATTCCCCATTATTTTTTGTTGACTTAAATCTAATTTTTAATCATTCAAAAGATTCAAATGACTTTAACAATGATGTTGACAGTAACAGTGGTACTCTCAATAATAGTGAGGTTTCTAATTATAATAATCAAGTGACTAGCAGGGATCGCTCTCATAACATTATTTCCAATACAAATGTTATGAATGACTGTACAAATTGTGTTTCAAATAAAAGAATGGGCAATGCGATTGAATATGATTTGTCATTGAACAAGAGAAGATTAGAAAAAATTATTAATGAATTATTATTGAAGAGTAGCAAACCGCTATATTCACTATATCAATTTCTTCACAAATATGTATTGACATTACAACTTTACATGATACATGCTGAATTGACCAATTTGGAGACTTTTGGTAAATTTTCTGGTGGTGGTAATTTAGCACATTCCTATGACTCTAAAAAAGGTAAAATTATTGGGAGATATTGGTTAAACGGGAAATTGGGTAATAAAGGTAAATTTACTATAGGTGTTGACAGACAAAGTGAATCATTGGTGTTAAGATGGGATAATAAAATTGCTGTTAAGGAAGGTAAAGATAATAAGAGAATTCCTATCATATATACTAATATATTACAAAACATGGAAAATATTCTTGATGAAATTATGTTTAATCATGCCAATTTAATTAGATCGGATTTACTGTCTCGTGGTATATTCCAAGAAGATGAAGACGATCCAACTATTTTATTATTACATATTCCTGTAACTTGTGTCTCAGTAGCACCAGCCCAATTAAAGATAGACCCTATTACAGGCCAATTGTATTTTAAAAATCCAAGTCCCCTTTTAATTGCGTACACAAAAAAAATAAATAGAACAGAAACCTCTAATGAGTTAATAATAGTTTTACAGCAACTAAAATTAGATAAAATAACAACTATCCTTAAAAATATGTTTCAAAAGACAGGATGGATTTGCTCTAGAGCAGTAACTTTAGAAAAGCCAATTGACACTAAGTTAATTTCAAATAAATACGTGGATGAAAAAGAAAATCCCAGTCAAAATAATGATGAATTAGTCCTATTACAAAGAGATTTATTCATATGTTTACCTAATTGGCCAAGCAATTGGTACTTGATTTTGACAATTATTTCATCGAATTCTTCATGTATAGTAGAAAAGAGAATGGGTAAAATTGTATCACAGAAAGGTAAATGGAAGTTGACATACGTGGATCAGACAAGTGCAACTTCATCAAAGCTAGAAAATATTACTTATCAAAAAATCATGTCTCTGCAAAAAACAATACTACACAGAATTGTTAATCATATGCTTATTGATTCTTTGAATCATTTGAAAATAAAAAATAGAATATGCTCACCAACTATAATTCAAGATATTTTACCTTCATATTTGACAAGTATTCAAGCTCCTGATCCAAAAAATAAACTCACTGAGACTGATGATGTTAATGTAAATAGATTATCTACATCATTTAATGAAGATTATACACCTATTCTAAGGCTGGAATTAGACTCCTTTTTAGATTGTTATAATACATTAGGAGGGATTCTAGAAAACTCCATGTTTATGAGAATTGACTATGTCAAGTCAGATATTAGATTATATGCTAGATTTAAAAGAGGTATAATGTTGGAACAAGTCAAATGCGAAGAAATGTTAATTTATTTTGTCCGAGAAGATCCACTAACATTTTACATGACAGAAAAATTTTCGTCATTGTCTCATATTGTAACATATTTAAATCTATTTAAAGAAAAATTAATGCAATTAGTGATTATCACTGATGTTGTGGAACGTCTACATAAAAATTTTGAATCTGATCATTTCAAAATTATGGCTTTAAAACCAAACGAAATATCCTTTAAATATTTAAAATCAAATATTGATATGCCAGACTGCAGTATCAATATAATTACTGAAGAAAGTAAAATTAAAAATCTATCTGTGAAGTTATCGGAGACGAATCCGCAGAGCATAATTCAGCCATATCTTAATCAAGAGAATATGCCTTATCATTCTATATTTAATTATTTGCAATTCACATCATTATTTTTTACGACATTACAAAAAATATTAAAAGAACATGCACCACAGAAAGAAAATCAATTAACAACAGTACATTTAGGTATTCATAGCCTAACTGAATATCAATTAATATACTGTAACATAGAATCTGGTACAAAGATTACTGTTATGATCAATATAAAGTCTGTCTGTCATAATTCCAAGCGAAAAGTACAATATTATGTTCATTTTGCAGATGATGAACATATAACAACCAAATCTTTAGCATACCCACAGGTGCATCAAGTGAAAAATCAAATATTCATGTTTGATTCTAAGAAACAAGCATTCTCCTCAAGTTCGGATCCAGTAACGGAAAGGAAGTATCCTCGTGCTATCAGATTAATTGACGGTATATCATGTGATGCACAAGACATTGAACCTATATTGTTGGATGTTCATGATATATTAAAAGTTGACAGTAACTGTTAATCAAAACTTGTATTTATATCCAGTAAGTTAGATCCATATACCATATAAGTACCATAGTATATATATTTATGTGTAACTCTAAACAACCCCATATAATGAATAATTTAGTATGAGATAAACTGTTAGAAATCAACAAATTGTTATCGCTTATCTTTAAGTATGTATATAACCATTACAGATCCCACTGTCACATGGCTTCAAATTTATTCATTGTTATGTATCCATGAAAACTAGTCTCCTCATTGGTATATTATATTATAGTAACATATATGAAATTATATTATTTATAAAAAAGAAAGCGGATCTTTAAATTGATGTATGGATGCGCCTTCGAGAATCTGAAAAATGCGATAAATGAAAAAATTTGGTAAAGAGAGCGAAGGGGAGCAGGGAAGACTATTAAATAAACTAGGTAGCAAGATCTCTCGAGTACTTTGTATTGTTTAGTAAATAACTAAATAAGTGGATTTTACTTTGGTTTTGATTATCACATAATAAAGGTCTCAATCTGGTGTTAGCGTTCTATTCATTTATATAGTGTTGTCGATTATAGCTGAATAAAACTGGTGACAATATTAAGAACTAACTTTAGGTAAGATGGTGATGGCTGTACGATGTCCAACTTTGCTACTTGCTCAAGTAGGTGCTTCTTTTAATAAAATTTTAGTAAATTCTAGACCTATATTTTCTCATAGTTTAATTAGAGGATTTCACTGCCATAATCCATTGAAAATGGACTATGAAAAAGAAAAGCAAATATTAGATAATATTAGAGACACTAAATTAACTCCCACTGATAAAGAAGCCCTTCAAAAATTAAGGAATATTGGTATTTCTGCACATATTGATTCTGGCAAAACAACTTTCACTGAGCGTGTTCTTTATTATACAGGAAGAATTAAGGCTATTCATGAAGTGAGAGGACGCGACAAAGTTGGTGCTAAAATGGATTCCATGGAATTAGAAAGAGAAAAAGGTATTACTATTCAAAGTGCTGCTACTTATTGTTCTTGGGATAAAGGTGACAAAAGTTATCAATTTAATTTAATCGATACTCCAGGCCATATTGATTTCACTATCGAAGTGGAAAGGGCTTTAAGAGTGTTAGATGGTGCTGTCTTAGTCGTCTGTGCAGTTTCTGGTGTTCAGTCCCAGACTGTTACTGTAGATAATCAAATGAGAAGATACAATGTTCCAAGAGTCACTTTTATTAACAAAATGGATCGTATGGGTGCTAATCCGTTTAAAGCTATCGAACAATTAAACAGTAAATTGAGGATTCCAGCTGCTGCTGTACAAATTCCTATTGGTTTGGAATCTGATTTGAAAGGCGTTGTTGATATTATTAAAATGGAGGCAATTTACAATAAGGGCAACAATGGTGAAATTATTGAGAAGAGTCTTGTTCCAGAAGATCTTTTGGAATTGGCTGAAAAAAAAAGACAATTACTAATTGAAACATTAGCTGATTGTGATGACCAAATGGCAGAAATTTTCTTAGAAGAAAAAGAGCCAACTATTCAAGATATTCAAGATGCTATTCGTAGAGCGACTATTGCTAGAAAATTTAGTCCAGTTTTAATGGGGTCTGCTTTAGCTAACACTGGTATTCAGCCTGTTCTTGATGCAATTGTGGATTATCTTCCTAATCCATCCGAAGTCTTGAACACCGCATTAGATATTACAAAAGATGAAGCCAAAGTAGATTTGATTCCGTCAGTTCAAGAACCATTTGTTGGGTTAGCTTTCAAATTGGAAGAAGGTAAGTATGGTCAATTAACTTACATTAGAGTCTACCAAGGTCGTTTACGAAAGGGTTCCTTTATTACAAATGTCCAAACTGGTAAGAAAGTTAAGGTATCTAGATTAGTTAGAATGCATTCTGAAGAAATGGAAGATGTCGATGAAGTTGGCTCTGGTGAAATATGTGCTACTTTTGGTATTGACTGTGCTTCTGGTAACACATTTACTGATGGATCAGTTAAATATTCTATGTCATCAATGTTTGTCCCCGATGCGGTTGTTTCACTTTCTATCACTCCAAAGAGTAAAGATTCCACAACTAATTTTTCAAAAGCATTAAATCGTTTCCAAAAAGAAGATCCAACATTTAGAGTTAAATATGATTCTGAATCCAAACAAACTGTTATTTCCGGCATGGGTGAATTACATTTGGAAATTTACGTTGAACGTATGAAGCGTGAATATAATGTTGACTGTACCACTGGTAAACCGCAAGTTGCGTATCGTGAATCTATTACTATTCCATCCAACTTTGATTACACCCATAAAAAACAATCTGGTGGTGCTGGTCAATTTGGTAGAGTTGCCGGAACTTTAAGTCCCGTAGAAGGTAAGGAAACAAAAGAAAACAGTTTTAAAACAGCTATTATTGGTGGTGTGATCCCAGAAAAATTCTTAGCCGCATGTAATAAAGGTTTTGAAGAAGCATGTGAAAACGGTCCACTAATTGGTCATAAAGTTATTAACGTGCATATGTTGATCAACGATGGTGCCGTTCATGCTGTTGATTCTAATGAACTGGCTTTTAAAACTGCTACTATAGCAGCATTCCGTCAAGCTTTCAAAAATGCACGACCGGTTATCCTAGAACCAATTATGAATGTCACGGTGACATCACCAAATGAATTCCAAGGTAATGTCATAAGTCTTTTGAATAAATTGCAAGCAGTGATTCAAGACACTGAAGATAATGGAGATGATTTCATTCTAAAGGCAGAAACACCATTGAGTTCCATGTTTGGCTTTGTAACATCTTTAAGAGCTTCTACACAAGGTAAAGGTGAATTTACTTTAGAATTTAGCCATTATGCACCTGTATTACCAAATGTACAAAAGGAATTGATTCAAGAATATGAAAAGAAACATAATAAAAACTAATAGAGTCTCTTAACACTAATAATTAGTATTGGTTAACCATCACATATATTCAAATAATACTGTAATTAGAATAACCTGTAAGTAGAATAAATAGATAATATGGTAAAATATAAAAAATAAAAAAAAGGAAAGTATCTATATAAAAATCGCAAAAATAATATATGCACACTAAAGTGCTCCATTAGCTCTATTTTTTTAACCCAATAATACTTAAGAAACAAAAAAAACGCTATATTACAGGTGTATATAAAACAGAATTTTGCTACTTTGTATATACGTCATCCTTTTTGATTCTTTCCAATAAATCAGATATTTTTGGTCCCATCAAAGGTTGCCCAGTTCTGGTTTTTTGTGTCAATCTTTTACTTCTCTTTTCTCTTTGCAAATGTTTTTCTTTGGATAATTTTATTCTTTCTAATTCTTTCTGTCGACGCATCTCTCTTTCTTCTCTTTGTTTTTTGAGTCTTTCCTTCTTTAAACGTTTCTTTTCATCGATTTTGGCTTTACCAGCTAATCTTTTCTCTTCTTTTAAATCTTTTACACTTTTCTTTCTGATAGGAATAGATACTGTATCATTATTGGGATTCAAAATATCATCATTGTCATTGAGATCACTTTTTTTGCTGTTACTTAATTGCTCTTTGGATGGAATAGAATAACCTTCTTCTTTTAAAGCTTTTAAATATTGTTTTTTCAATCTAGTTCTCTTTGTAATATTTTTTTGGATTTGTTTTACCTTATACTCTTTGGTGAATTTCTTTCTGTTAAACTGTTGCTTAGATGTAGCCATACTATATTGTGTATTATATGATGTGTTATCTACAGTACAGTGCTACAAACAATAGGTATATTATCAAATATGCTAATAAAAACAAGTAACGCCTGTATTTATATTGCTTTCTTTTGCTTTTTGTTTCTCTTCTAACTTGCTCTAGTTGTCAAGAAGTCTAGAAGGATAGTCTTTAATCGCTTTTAAAGAAATAACAAGTCAGTTTTGGAGATGCGATGCTACATTTTTTTTTTCTTTTTGTTTCTTCTTTTTTTTTTTTGTGAGATCGAGATTTTGTCACTTATAACCTTTAATCCCCTTCTAATGATGGAAAGTCACAACAAAAAAATAGAGACAATCACTGATATTTGTATTAGTGAATCTTTTTGCAAGAAACAAACCTTAAGGGCAATTAGCGTTTCTTTAATTCGTCTGGAAGTAAGTTCAATAAATAAAGTCGTGTAAATAATACATTTATCTATACATATAAATAAATAAGGACTGTATTTAAATCATCCCTTTATTTTTATCCTCATTAAGAAAATAGTTTATTTGGTGGGGTACCTGCATGAAATTTCCTATATATGTGTATCTGTTTGTAAATAATAAAGCACACTCCTACTTTATTGGATATATCTATTCTTTTTCTGGTATTTATCATTTATCATCATTACCATTATTAATGTTATTATCATGGAAAAATATGGGTTTTCTTTGGTTCAAACCTGCAATAAGCGTTTAATTTCAATATTATTTAATAAGAGATGTTTAACTTCTCGACTGCATAGACAGTTTTTTGCCAATATTCAATCAAACAATAACAAAAATGGACAAACTGCTATTGAATCACCAATATTTATTCCTTCTTCCCCAACATCTCCCATTTCTACCACAGTCACGAAAAGTTCTCCAATATTGCGATATCAATTAATGAAAAATTTAATAAAGGATAAAAGATTTCATGAGATTGTAGCTAAAGGTGATAAATTACTATTTGAAATAGATACTATTAATGATAATATTAAAATACGATGGAAAAATGATGTCAGTTTAAAAGAATTTATATTATATTTTAATTCGCTAATTGTACTGAGAAGATGGGATCAAATTGATAAAATGATGAATAAATGTATTTCACAATTTTCGATATCGGATAAAAAGAAAATTATCAAATTGCTTGCTAATACCTTTAAACAAATGTTGCAGGTGTCAATCAATAAATCTGATAAAGACTTGTTACTGAAAACTTTTGTAATTTGGAGTGTGTGGATTAAAAGGTTAAATGGAACTTGTGAATTATTAGACTATATGAGAGATAAGAATTTATTATACCATATTTTACAGTTTGTTAGATCCGTGACTTTTATCCATAAACAAGGTCCAATCACAATTTTTTTGGAAGAAGTTTTATTAAAAGTTAAAGACAACATTGGAGCATCAGCTGCTTCACAGTTAGCATCTACTTTTATTAATCTTTTGAGTAAAGATGAAAATTTTGTAGGACTGACCCATATCTGGCAATTTAAAGTTAAATATGGGCTTCCAATAACAACTAATGATTTAACACAAATTATGAAAGCTCATGTTTATACACATAATTATAAGAAGTTGCTGAAACTTTATGATATGTATCCTAATGCACATGGCGATACCATACAATTTGACTATTTATTATTATCATATACAAGGTTAAAGAATTGGTCTGCCTTACAAAAACAGTTTGATGCACTTTTTAGTATTGGTAAATTACCAAATGTGAATCATTATGAAATTGTAATCTTTGCAATGGCATATGAACTGGAATTGGATAAAGTAGAAATGTTGTATGACCAATTTTTAAGACGCGGAATGACTCCGACTTATTCAATAATCCAATCTTTATTGTATGTCCATTATAAATGCAACAAATTTTTATCATGTTTTCAACAATTTCAATTATTTGAAAAATATAATATTCAACCAAGTAGGAATACTTATTTGATTATGTTTAAAGTATTTAAAGAATTGAATAATATGGAAGGTTCACTGAAATTATTAAAAGATATCACACAAAAGTCACCATCTATAGTAAATGAGAAGATTTGTTCTATAATGATACAACAATGTTCAAAAGTAACAAATTACACAATTGCACAAGAGATTTTTAATGTCATGATTGATTATTATAATATTCAACCTACTCCTTTGTCTGTCGCATCATTAATGATGGTTTACAATTCTTGTCAGAAATATAATTCAGCTTTACAACTTTTCAATAAATATACGAAGAAATTCAATTCAAAATATTATAATTTGGGTTGGTTATACGAGAAGGCGATGGAGTCATATATTGGACTAAGACAATATGAAAATTGTTCAAATCTTATCAGAGAATTGGAAAAGATACATATCCAAGATAAAAGATCCTATTATAATACACTTTTAACCTATGAAATTGAAGTTAAAAATGATATAGATAAAGCTATGGAGTTATTGAAAGAAATGATAGCAAATAATCGGGTGGAACCTTTACATATTGAAAAACTGATGATGAAGTTCAACAATCCAAGAGGTTATACTTCAATATTGAAATTATACAATATGATGATTAAAACTAGGATACCCTTGAATTCAAAGATATTGTATTACATTATTAAAGCAACTTTTCAATTACAAATGTCAATAAAAAATGATTTGAGTAGGACAATCCAATTGTTAGAAGATATAATGGATAGCGTTGCCAATGGTAAGATTAAACTCGTATCAGGGAGCCAATTACACCCCTCTGTTTTTGGTTGGCCAATTAGAACTATTGCAAGAGATTACAACCCAAAAATCGCCACAAACTTATTAAATAAGTATAATAAATTATTCTATGATAAAGATGACAAGAGTTTCAGATTAAATAATAAACTGATTAATTTGAGAACGATGATTATACTGTACGGTGAATTAAATCAATGGGATGAGGTTAATTATTATTTCCAGCAGCTACTATTGCAACTAAAGAATTTCTCTGAATCAAGTTCTGCAACAATGAAGAATATCAAATTAAATACAATCTTTAATGGGATCATTGAATATAAGTTGAAACAATTAGATAATAGTGGAAAAATAGCTGATGAATTGCCTAATCTTTTGGAAAAAATATTAAAACAAGGATATATACTGAACAACCATTCATGGAATGAGGTAGTATCTATCTTATTAAAAGATCCTAGAACGTTGGAAGTTGCCATGGAATACATTAATGAGAAGTTAATATATGGATTTAATACAATTCATAAGAACAGGTTACTGAGAAGTATTAAAAATAATCTTGTGAATAGGCATAAAGATAGTGAAAAATCGTGGTCATTAACAGTGAAAAAAATACCTTTAGAACAAAAAACACCTAGTTTATATTTGAAGAGTGACAGATACAGTCAATTGATTCATTATATGAGGATGAAGTTAAATGAATTAAGTTTTCATGATTATAATAAATTGATTATGGAAAGTTGGTGTGTCAAATACCCTCATGTTATGAAGGATTTTTTGTTATTAAATCATTCTTCTCTGATTCATGATTGGGATAAGTTTGAAAAGTCAAACGAGAATTTTTTAAAAAGGTTGAGAACTGTTAAAAGGGCCAGTGTGATAATTAATAGATGATAATGTGTATGTATACATATATTCGATTAGGATAGATCTTCAGCTGCTTATACGTTTATTAGCTTATATCTATGTCATTTGTATAAACAGTTAAATAATACATGTAAATAATGGAGCATTAATACAGCATCTAGTGAGTATATCCCTGAAGAATGTTATCTAGGAAAGATTATCTTTATATATATTTCAAGACTAATAAAATTTAAGAAATTCCTTAGACCCGAAATATATACCTATAAAAACTTTATTAATAATATTATATATATAATAAATAGACATATTCAAATTCACCATCAAAAAGAAAAGTACAATAGGAGAACTCATAATAAGACAGAACTAAAATAACAATTAATAAATACATTGTTATTATTATTTTAAAATTATTCTTATATAGTTCTTTTGTCATTATCATATAACCTGCAATTGGTTAAATCAAAGCAACAAAAAAGTAAGAGAAAAAAAAATGAAAAAAGGCAATGCCGACTATAAAGGGATAAAACAAATAAGTTTTTTTTTTATAATTTTATATATATATAAAAAGAAAGAAAGAAAAAAAAATTAAAAAAAAAAAAAAAACTTAGAAACATTTGTGGTGAACAATGGATGGACCACTTTCATCATATTCTTGCTTTGAGATCCACATTTGTTGGAAAGTGGTTAAGGAAGCTAAAATAGAACCACCGATCCAGACAGAGTATTTTCTTTCTGGTGGAGCAATGATCTTTACCTTCATAGAAGATGGGGCCAAAGCAGTAATTTCCTTTTGCATTCTTTCAGCAATACCTGGGAACATAGTAGTACCACCAGACATAACAATGTTACCGTATAATTCCTTTCTAACATCAACATCACACTTTTGAATGGAGTTGTAGGTAGTTTGGTCAATACCAGCAGCTTCAAGACCCAAGACAGATGGATGGAATAAAGCTTCTGGAGTTCTGAATCTTTCGTTACCGATAGTAATGACTTGACCATCTGGTAATTCATAAGACTTTTCGATAGAAGAAGATTGAGCAGCGGTTTGCATTTCTTGTTCGAAATCTAAAGCGACGTAACATAATTTTTCTTTAATGTCACGAACAATTTCTCTTTCAGCAGTAGTAGAGAAAGAGTAACCACGTTCACAAAGAATCTTCATCAAGTAGTCAGTTAAATCTCTACCGGCCAAATCAATTCTTAAGATAGCATGTGGTAAAGAGAAACCAGCGTAAATTGGGACGACGTGAGTAACACCATCACCGGAATCTAAAACAATACCAGTAGTTCTACCAGAAGAATATAAGGATAAAACGGCTTGAATGGAGACGTAGAAAGCTGGAACATTGAAAGTTTCGAACATAATTTGGGTCATCTTTTCTCTGTTAGATTTTGGGTTCATTGGGGCTTCAGTTAAAAGAACTGGGTGTTCTTCTGGAGCAACTCTTAATTCATTGTAGAAGGTGTGATGCCAGATCTTTTCCATATCATCCCAGTTGGTGACGATACCGTGTTCAATTGGATAACGTAAAGTTAAAATACCTCTCTTAGATTGAGCTTCGTCACCGACATAAGAGTCCTTTTGACCCATACCGACCATGATACCTTGGTGTCTTGGTCTACCAACGATAGATGGGAAAACGGCTCTTGGAGCATCATCACCGGCGAAACCGGCTTTACACATACCGGAACCGTTATCAATAACTAAAGCAGCAACTTCTGTTTAAAAGAAAGAAAGAAGGGGAAAAAAAAAAATAAAGTAAAAATCATACATATTTTCCATGATAAAATTATCAATCCAATTGAATAATTTAATAAATACATTTTTGTTAGTAAAAGTTGGTAGTCAAAGAGAAAGGGAAAAAAAAGCTAATGGATATAAAACTCTATATATCTGCAAATCTGCATGTGTTTCTTGTTCATCCATTCACTCATTAATTCAACCACTTTCATGCTTCATTTTTTTTCTTTTTTCTTTTCGATGTTGCAGTAATATTCGAAGATTGCTGAGTAAAAATTGTCTTGTTTCTTCTTGTAGACTTATGTGTCAATTATGCTGCTCAATGCATATTACATTGATCTATTCCATACTGCATATCATTGTGCACGAACAATATGACAAAACCTATTTTATCACTATATAATAAATATCATAGCTTCATATCCGACCAATTAACAAAAAAATTTTTCTTCCTTTTTCTTTTTGCTAAATTTCTGCTCTCCCCCCTCTTTTTCTCTCGAAATTTTTGGGGAAAAAAGAAAAACAAGCAAAAAAAAACAGACGAAAAAAAAGAAAAAACCAAAAGATCTTTTTTTTTCTTCTTCATCGAGAAGATAAAAAAGGAATGTGGTAAATAATAGTAATAATAATGATAATAGTAATATGGTTCTAACTGCAGGAATAGATATTAGTTCGAATAGTTGAAGTATAGCATAAAGGTCACTAATAACCAATATATGTAGCTCAGAAACGGATCAAGCTAAAAACAAAAAGAAAAAATATTTATTTACCTTGACAACTCCTTCAATTATGGTTTTTGTTTTGCAATTTATTTCTTTTTATTTAATCATCCTCTTGGTAAGCATGAAAATAAAATAAATACAATATTTGCTATTGAATCTTCATCCCACTATTTTTCTAATACAGTTTTTTTTTTCTCTTTCTCTCTCTTCTTGATTTGATTATTCATTTAATCATCCCGGAAAATGAAACTTTCTAATTTATAGTACTAGCTAAACATCGATAGAAGAAACATAGAAAACACACAGATCATTCAAAGATACAAAAAAGAAAACTAACATACCAGAATCCATTGTTGTTATGTTTGTCTTTTGGATTTATATATATATATAAGAATATCTATACAGATATGATTTGGTGAATTATCTAATAAAATAAGAAGGGGGACTAATAGGAAAGTTCAAGGGGCTTAAGATAGAAATATATATATGCTATATAATAAGTTGAATGTTAATAAAAAGAACAGATCAAGAGGTGTGAAAACGGCAAGCAGGTAATAGCCAAGAAAACAACATGAGGTTGAAACAAACAAACTAAGAGAGCAAACAAATGTATGTGTGTCAGAAAGAAGAAAGGAAAAATGAGAAAAGAGAATCACCTTTTATAAACAAATCTATATATATAATTGCTGTAATGGGTGGGTAAAGCGTACGCCACGGGATTAACTGCGGAAAATCAAACATTACTGTCCTATTTAACAACTTATCTATTTTGTAATAATGGGGGGCGGGAAGAGGAGGGGATAAAATAAAAAAAAAAAATAAAAAATAAAATACCACTCTTTTTGTCAAAACGACCAACAAATAATAATAATAATAATAATAATAATGATAATGGCATACACTTTTTCGTGGCAAATGACATACACGAAATGAAAGAATCAAAAAACTTATGATTGCTATTTTTCTTTTTACATATTTTTTCCCTCGCCTCTCTTCCAAAAAAAAAAAAAGAAAAAATGTAGAGGAGACTGCCGTGTCATATGACATAATCTTTCTTTTCCTCTTTCTCATTGTAGTTTTATAAAACTATCATCCTTCTCCTATCTGTTACAATATGTGGCACACTAGTGATACACAAATTGAAACAAATTTATATATACACCAAGAGTTGCCATGATTAAATTAATATACTGAATGCCAGTATCTTGTCAATAACTGCGATTGTGGTTGAATTTGGTTGCGAAGTTAAGATCGATGGTAAAACTCGTTCTTTATTAACTTCCAATTTTTTTTTTTTTGCTATTCGATATATGTAAATTGATCAATTTATTTCCCGCTGAGTAGTTTATTCTTCTTGTCTAATCCCTTTTTTTTTGGTGTCTCTTTTTCATTTCTTGTTATAGCTTTTTTGTCCACGCATCAATATAATAAAGATTAAAAAAAACAAAAACAAAAAAAAATAAATGAATAAATAAAAGGATTAGACAAGAAAAATATGTGGAGAACGCAGTAGTTTTGCTACAGTTATTCATGAGGTTTTAGAGCTTTTTTTTTTGGTTTTTTTTTTGTCGTATGTCGGCTTGTTAAATGATATTCAGTAACATGATAGTTGGTATCATATATATAACTTCAGCTTATTATCCTTGGGTAGCAGAAAGAAAAAAACATAAATATGTATGACATATTCCTTGTTGTTTATTTAATTAAAATAAGTTAAATCGAATAAGCTTGAAATTGAATAAAAAAAGACATACTCATATAGTCATCATGGCTGGGAAATCTGCTAAAAAACATGCTATTAACAACACAAGAATTTTAAATCAATCGATCTACATATCTAGTGGTTTGATTACTCTATCTTTATCAAGACTCTTTCTAAGTAATGATAAATCTGTAACTCTATCGTTTTTCTTCAATCTTAAATTGATTTTATCTCAATTACCACTTTTGGTATGTCTCTACATCCTAAATAAAACAGGTAGACCAATCTGGTCTAATGGTGAATTGAAAAATGAAGGCTCAATGATCAATTTATCAAACCCTCAGGGATTGGTCGAATATATGCTGGATATAATTTATTTATCATGGGTCGGTGACATTTTTTTGACCATTTTTAATTCATTTAAATTGATTTGGTTAATTTGGATCATCGTAATCCCAAGTTATATAATTTATAAGCTATTCCAATTGAGAAATCAGTTTGGTGGTTCAAAATCCTTCAATATTCCACAACAAAATAATAAAAATGCCAGAAGTAGAAGAAGTATAAATGCAAAAGAAACTGAAAAATCTAAAAGACAATTGAAAAGAGAAAATAGGTCTAATGAAAAGGTTAAATATAGGTATAAATAGATAGGTAAGTAGGTATATAGATAGATAGATAGATAAATAAATAAATAGATAAATAGATAAACGTAACAGATAGATATTGATCTAATAGATCTTATCCTTTCTTTTTTTTTTGGTTTTTTTTTCCATTTATTCTGTTTGTTTACTTATATATATGTAACTATCATTTCTTTAATGCGGCTCCAAAGAGGTAATATGAATACGAATTGATCATTTGCATAACGATTTAATAATAATTCTATTCTCTTAACCATTTCATTGAATATCGATGAGAATTGTTTGTTTGCAATGCATCTCCATTTAATGAATTTAACATAGACCAGAATCATTAACAATTGACCAAATAACAATCCACTGAATCTTTGAAACACTATTAAATTTGTCAAAATTTTTAAAAGTATTATAGGTACACTCATTACCACATAACGAAACATCAGTATTATTTCCCATGACTGTGCAAGTATTAAGCATTTTTCATTATAATTACTAATGAACATTGTAATTAACGAGCTTATCATTGATTTTTGTGGTATTATAGTTAAATATGGTAATAAGTTCTCCTTGAAATAATTCAATATATGGAAAAGTGAAAATATTGTTGGTGATATAATTCCACCATTCAAGATAATTTTTTGACCACTTAGGTTATTTAATAGATATAATGTCGAATATAATGTAAAATATTGTAAATTATCCAATTTATACAAATTAACAAAAAAATTTGACGCATTCAATTGTTTACTTCTGATAAACTGATATAAAACTATCCCGAACGATATAATAATGTATAATAATGACCTGTTATAATGGTATCTTTGATTATTTACACTAAACAAAGATAAATGCAGTTTTAAAAAATGATACAACGTCATAACGTGACCAAGAAACCAATAAAATTGTGGTTGTCTTATTCTTGACTTCATAATAGTCATAAAGGGCACCGGCTGTCTTTGTGAGCGTCCAGTATTGTGTCCACCAGATGGATGGCTATTTCTATAATTGGATTGTTGAGCCATCGATGTTGTAAATAAATTTACTTTATGGTTTCTCTTTCCGTTTCCGTTTCCCTATCCCGTCCTTTCACTTCACCTTTATTTTATCTATAAATTTATTTTATAGTTTTTTTATTTTTTTTTTTGTTGTATTAATATTATTTAATTTATATAAAAGAGGTTTTTTAACAGAAAGGACGAATAAATAACGTATATATATATATATGTATATACGTGTGTGTGTATAAGTTTCTCGTTCCAACAGAATTTGACACTTGGCAAATTTTATATATTACATAAGTGAAGTTGAATTAAAAAAGAAAAAAAATAAAAAAACTAATGATCTCATTTTTTGATATCGGTTTTTTTTCCTTCCTATCTTGTCGTTTTTTCTGTCCATTTATTCTTTGTTAGCCGGTTTGTAAATTTTTGATGTCGTTGTTTCTTTTCTTCCTGTTTTGTTATCGCTAAAAGATAAAAAAAAAAGTAAAAAAAAAAAAAACAGAAAAATAATGAATTAACCAAAACAAGGAGATTAGATTAGATGTCAAACATTACATTTTTATAAGAGAAAATATTATTTGGGGGAAGAACCTCTGGGAAAAAGAGGTGACTAATGGGGTCTGAACCAGGATTGCACTTCACAATTAAGAAAAAAACTTTTCTTTTTCACAAAGCAGAAGGATATAGTAGGTGATCGTATGAAAGATTATTATCAGAATAAAGAATGAGCCTTGTGCATACTCAGTTAGTCGTTTTGTATTCTAGTCTATTCCTCAAACATAAAGCTTTTATTTCTTTCTATATAATCTATAAAAGAATCTCATATTTTCTAATCGTATCGGATAATCTAAGGTGTTGTCACATCTATACCAAATACTATCATTTTGTGAAATTAGTTCCCAACATCCTTCTATACCTTTTCCCCGAGCCCCAATTAATATAGTATCTATTAAAAATTGTATCGGGAATTTCTTACTCCCAACAGTAATATGAGAATAACTGCCTGCACTCTCTAAAATAAGTAAATAACATCCTTGTTGACATTGTTGATTTAGTCTTTGTAAAAAACGTATGCTTCTCGCACGATCTTCTTTGAATAACTCGTTGGTAGTAAATAGCATTGTGATTAGATTTAATTTTTTCAAAGAAGTAGCATTTTTCACATCTTCATCGTCGATTGATCTTAAGATATCATGATTTAAAAAATTCACTTTATATGTTTTCCAAATATTATTATACAACCATTTTTCCTTCACTTGATCCATAATCCTTTTAATTACATGGTCCCAATTGGCAATATCTATCAATGTGACTTCTAATAATGTATTCTTGCTATCATTGTCAATATTTTTTTTCTTTTTTGTGTGAATGAATGGAGTAAAAATACTAGTAATTGCAATTAACTCTGCACCTGCACCTCCACCAACACATAAGATCTTAGATCCATTATTATTGTTGTTGTTATTACTTTCATTACTCTTGGTGATGATATCAACTATTTCTGGGAAATGACTCAATAGTGATGCATAACTAATAGCTCTAGATGGTGTCCATCTGCAACAATATGCAACTCTTTTCCAATCCTCATTAAATGCTTCGATATATTCCCTATTGTATAGCTCTGTTTTAACCTTTTGTATTTGTTCAAGTAATTGGTTAAAATCAGTTACATATAGTTCATTACTAAATGTTACTTTAAATAAATCAATAATTTCCTGCGGTGGTAAAGTTATCTTGTTATGTGATGGTAGTTGTTTCTCTGACATCTTTATTATTGTTGTGGCGAAGATCAAGTTAATTTGTGGTTATCTAATTGGCTCAGTATTCCAAGGAGAACTAAAAGTAACATAGTATACATAAGCATTATCTCTGATCACGTAACTTACTTGCATAATAAAACTTATTCATTAACACTTTTAAGACAGAAAAAACAGCTGTATATAATCGTTAGAAACTAATTTTAAACAGTGGCAACGCCTATTGATAAATATCAGAAGCAGAGTTGCTAACCTCCTCTAATGCATGTTTTCAATCTTTGAAAAGATAACAAGAGCAGGAGATAATATAACGTTACCAACTAACTCTCTTCATATGCAATTCTCTACAATTCAAGACTGGCTAGGCATACGAAAGAATATCTATTTCATATTATTAACGTTATACTATTGAGATGCAGGAATATAAATTACAAAATAAAAACAAATAGTGACAACAGTGCTAAAGTAGAAAGATTTGTTAAATTATATAACTAAATGAAGAAAATAAAAAATACGATAGTATAGGGACTAACCAGATAATGTACCTATAAAGCATTATTAACTTATTCTTCATCAGCTTCTTCTTCGTCATCTTCTGGAGTGACTTGGTAGAAGGATAATTTGTATTGGTTGGTCTTGTAAGAAACGAATCTAATCCAGTCTCTTAATTGGTTCTTCTTTAAGTACTTCTTGGTTAAATATTTTAAATACTTACCAGAGAACTTGGTGGTAGAAACAACAGTAACAACGGAACCATCTTCTTCGACAGTAATAGCGTTACCTAAATTACCAGTAGCGTTGTCAACCTTGATGTGGTCGATTAAGTACTTGGCATAAGCAGCTGGGTCGAAAACACCATTTTCAGTTGGGGCAGAGACATCAACAGTGAAGGTCTTAGCAATCTTTTGTTTTCTAGAAGTCTGCAACAAAAAAATAAAAACGTTTCAATTGAACAAGTACAACATATAATGACATACAACTCCTTGGTAGTTATAAGATCAATTATACTTGACAGTTTACATGTTAGTAATAAAGTTCAGGTTTTTGCCTACTGCTATTAACAATCACATGAAAAACAAAAAGAGAATTAACTAAAATCTCTGTGAATTTTTAAAATACAGCATAGCAAAAAGAAAAGGGAAAGGATACTTTAGATCACTGATTTTATTAATCTTAATAACCCCTCCGGCATGCCATAGTCGCTTATATCTTTGGAAACTGTCCATGTACCAGAATGGAAGGTGCGCAATAACTTGCACTTATTGAAATGCTTCCTTCTTTTTCAGTTATTTGTTAATAGATTACACATTCTTTTAGAGGCACTCACATACGTTTGGAGCCATTGTTATTTTATTCGTTGTACACCGCTCTTAGTTTGGACCTAATAGATGAAGGCCCGGTTGACGTTACGATAATCATACTCTAAACCTAACTTTAAATATGTTTTAAGTTGATAATTTAGAAAGCTGGTTGTCTCTAAGGTGATGTTTTGATTTTGTTTTTCAAAATGAAAAAAAAAAAATTTGCGTCGTTTTTTTAAAAGAAAAAATATATTAATAGGCAAAAACAAGATAAACACATATTTCTATTTTAGGTAATATTAAATAATTCTTTAGGATTTTTAAAAAATATAACAGAAATATCGATTTTTCTATTTTTTACCAATCGGGTAAAAACAGTCCTGATTTTTCTATAATACGTTGATTTTGCCAAATAGAACAAATAGGTAAATAAATCAAAATAGTTGATGAAAAATAATAATGACTATGATTAAAGAGCAGGACCATGTATAGTTAGTACTATTCGTAATTTTGTAAAGTCGGTCGTATTCAAATTTGGTTAAGAGATATAGCAGTAACAATCTTAGATATGTTTTTAAGAGGTTTGGTAAACTCAGGAAGAAATTCTCTAAGAAGATACTGGGGCAAACCTAGTTCTAGACAATTACAGAACTTTGATAAGTTAAACGATATTACAGAAGTTAAGTCGGTTAAGAATGATACTAATACTCAATGCTCATCCATATCAAGCTCTTCTTCGAGAGTAGATCGTATTTCAAAACCCATTGTTTGGATTGATTGTGAAATGACTGGGTTAGACCACACAAAGGACCAGATCATAGAAGTATGTTGTATAATTACTGATGGTAATTTGAATATTCTGGATAAAGATCCAGTTGGAAATAAATGTTACGAAAGTGTTATTCATTGTGATAAGGCTGTTATGGATATGATGGATGAATGGTGTATTGAACATCACGGTGCTAGTGGATTAACTAAAAAGGTCATCGATAGCACAAAGACAAAAGAACAAGTTGAAAAGGAATTATTAGATTATATTAAAAGGTTTATCCCAGAAAAGAATGTAGGTATATTAGCAGGTAATTCTATTCATATGGATAGATTGTTTATGTTAAAGGATTTTCCAAAAGTCATCGATCATCTTTTTTATAGATTAATTGACGTTAGCACAATTATGGAGGTCTCCAAAAGGCATAATCCTGAACTAGCAAGTGTTATTCCAAGAAAAGAGGCTGCACATACTGCAAAAAAAGATATTTTAGAAAGTATTAGACAGTTAAAATGGTACATGGATCATTATTTGAAAGCACCAATAGAAACATCACAATTTGTTGAAAAAAGGAGAAAAGAGTTAGATTTGGGTGAAGCTACTTTTAATAAGCGTAAATTGGATCAAACTGACAGCGTTAATGAAGAACCTGAATCAAAAAAGAGCAAGAATTAATGGAAATAATAGTTATTTATGAAATTACAGTACATTTTTGATACCAATTGCTAGTTTTGTAGAATTCTCTTGAGCTAACAGATCCATATGTTTTTTCATTTTTCATATTGTGACTTCTAGAGAATAGTATGTACCGTTATATATATTATGCATAGACTCTTTTTAATCCTGTAAAATTAGAAATCTTTCGAAATTATTATGTGCACAAAGCAGCTAAAAATATCAAAAGCTAGCACATGTTTGACATTTTGTTTAATTTGCTGTTTTAAACAATGTTTAATATTTCAAGCAATAAGATCATGAAATAATTAGGGAGGGGAAGAGATTATTTAGTATTTAATATAAGACATATTGTATAGAAAGTTTATGTATTTAAAGAAATAGTATATTATTATATTGAGTTCCTTAAAGAAAATAGAAGTTTAAGTTTTGTATCATTAAGGTTTGAATATTTGAAGCTCAAATATTTAGTGAGATTAATTATTAAATTGTTACAGGTATCCCTCATCAGGATAGTTTTTAGAATGAAATAAAAGTAGGGTGTTCGGTATTGGAAATAATAACTATGAAAATGAAAGGAATAATATTTTTTATAACTGTTATTTGCTGGAGAATGAGTTGGCATCTTTTTTCAGAAAATGCCCTTGTTTAACTTTGATTACTTACTTAAATTATGCATTATAAACTCCATTTTATTTATATTTTTGTCATATTTTTTCATAAACATCCCGTTCCTGACCTAAAAAAATGAAAAAGAAGACAGTAAATCAGTATATTCAAAAATGTACTAAGTAAAAATTAGCTGTACAATGCCCTTATTTGAAATCGCAATTCTCAAAAAGAGAGACTTGAAAGGAATGTGTTGAGAATGAGTGCCTTTATTCATTGGATATATAGTAAACATTCTCAAGATTATATTAAACAGATTTAGTATACAAAATTATAATAAAGTTCTTCGCTTTTTTTTTTCTCTATATACAACATAGAAGTAATAATACACAAAGATTGTAAATAAGATAAAAATAATGTATGATGAAATCCTTGGCTTTATATATGTTAACATTCAGCCATTTTCCTCTACGAACAGTAAGATATTTATTAAACAAACTCAACAACCTTTGGTGACCTCTCAACAATTATTACTCAACAATTTATCGTTTAGTGTCTGCTAAAATCTTCTTGTTCTATCTATTTCATTATAGAACATTTTATTTCAACAAAATGACACTTTGGATCCTGACTCTAAGTGAATAGATAATTGCTGGATTAATGTTGGAAACCAATTACTAAAAAATTTGTTTGGAAAAAATCTGTCTTTTGGAGGGGAATGCCAGCCGTAATTATCAATATAGACAATCATATTATATTTATTAAATTCTATTTAAAAAATACCAATCAACATAACATCAACTATAAAAAAGTAAAAATATTAAAGTTAATTTATTAATTAGAATAGACAATTATATAATTGGTAAATATATGCATAATTAATATCCATTTTTAGTATATTTCTTAAAATTACCCCTTTCATTTACATTATCTTCATAACAAATAGAGTTTTATTTATTTAAAAGAAGCAAGTAAAAATGCAAAAACCACAAAGCTTACAGCATATTCAAAAACAAACCTAATAATAATATAATAACAAAGCTTTTTGATCCTAATGTAAATAAATTAGAAACCAGGTCAACTCCTGCATCAATATAATGAGAAGCAACTAAGTTTTAAGTAACACGATTATATGCTGATATTTTTAACAGAGCTACTATTTAATTTATGACTACATAGGACAAAAAAATAAGTACTAACTTTTCTAAAAAATTCCAAAATTCATACAACTATATAAACAAAGACATTTACAACAATGAATATTATTTATTTCTAGGGCCCAATATTATTTAATATATAAAATACATAATACACAGATTACAAATGTATTCAAGTTAGATTAGAACAAAAGTTTTTGTCTTATTATAATCACATATCAATATAGCCTTTGTTTTATTGTATTAAAACACAATAAGGCCGAATATTATATTCATTAATATATGATTTTCATCTAACTTATCTTCAAACACTAATTTTCAAAAATAAATATTATTTGAAATATAATACCTTGATTTATTTGTTAAAATCGGAAGAATCTAGATGTTATGTAAATATTTTTTTTTACATGCCATATGTCTTCTTCTGAGGAGGTCACTCTAATCAGTAAAAAACACATATACCAATACTGTATATATGATTAAATCTTCTAACTAATCGAAATATATTCAAATCAACAATTCCACATGCACTATCTTAACGTTTCCTTTAGGGGGGATTTATTTTTCTTGAATCTTTTTTTGTTCCTAGCCATTATATGTCCACCATCAGTATAGACATAATCATCAAATGAAAACTTAGATGGATCTTCAAAAAGCAAATAGTAATATTTTAATGTCTGTGAAAACCAATAACTCGGAATATTTTCTTTAGATATTTCATTAACTTTCCATACTCCTTTCGGTCCCAAATTCAAGTCTCTAATCTTATTAACGGTTATTTCAAATAATTCTTTCCCTATTTGTCTCCATTTCTGATTACCTGTCATTCTATATAAATATAGCAAGGATTTAATCAAAAAAGGTGATAAAACACTTTCCTTGGAGTCATCAATATTATTGATCCATAATGGCATATCTGCATGTTTATGATAATTCTTATTCCAAACTTTCTTCTCTATATCAATATCCTGATTTGTCAACTTGATATTTAAGAATGCTTCATTTTTAATAAAACTATAACTTCGCTTCCATTCTTCACTATTCAAGTTGGATTGTTTCACTTTTGAAGCAAATACTTCATTATGAATATCAAAACCATTCTCAAAACCAATATGTCTACCTTTCAAAATATTCTCTATCTTGACATTTTCATCGTAATCAAAATTATTAGAACTCATAGTATCTATCTCCTCATCTTCCATAATCGATGCTAATCTATGCATAGTTGAATATTCAGATCCCCAATCTAAAGAAAGTGGCCTCATTACTCCATGATACTCCTTAAATAAAGTAAAACAGGAATCCACCAAGTCGGATGCTACTTGTAAATATAAATTATCCTTCTCATTATCAACTAAAAATAGTTTGTTTCCATAAAGCAAAGTGGAGGGAAATTGACATGCCTCAGGTTGAAACGTAAAATCTCTTCTTAATTGTACTTCTAAATCGTTGGTGGTAAGTGAATATAATGCATTGGTATACAGGTTTGTTAAAACTGTTAAATTTGTTGGTGCTGATGGTTTAAATAACATAAGATTAATAATATTTTCCATAGCCTCATGGAATATTATGTTTGAGTCTATGATCTTTTGCTTATTTTCAGATGATAATGATTCTTTTGTTAAGTCATTATCATTAGAACCTTTATGTTTATCTATTGTATTTAATGCTTGAGTACGTTCTGCGACCGACTTCATAGAATGTAGAATATCAACATTAAGTAATGAATATAATTTAGCTAATGAATCATATATGGAAAAATAATCTTTATCATCCACTGATATTGTCGATGAATAATTGTTGAAGTGCTTGAACTGATGACAAAAGACAAAATTCAAATTTTCATTAATACTTTTCATTATCTGATCCTTTTGGTGGGTACCCATAGATAATTCCTTACTTGACAATACTTTACAACCAGACGCATCCACAATATTAGGAAATAAAGATTTAATAGGTAGTTCCATCGAAGTTTCCCACACATATTGTAATATACTATAAACAGCATTGAAGTACTTGTTATCATATGATAGTTGTGAAAGTTTTGTTAATTCTAAAGTCAATTTCATCATAGAGCCTAACTTTGTTTCTTTATATGGAAACCTGTTATTATATGGTGATCTCCAAGGATACGAAATTACTGGTAATCTGTTTGGGGTGTCAAAAGATCTCAAAATAAAATCTCCCAGTTGCTTGGCTTTAACTAAAAGAATATCTTCTCCTGAGAGTTCATATAAAGAAAGTAAACCACCTAGACCTCGAGTTGTTAAATCTGGAATATCAATTAGCTCACTTACAGTGTAAGGTATTTTGAAATCGATTTTTGTTAACAGATTTAATGCTCTTTGAAAGTCTGTTGTATCTCCCATAATATAAAGTGTACTCAATGAATCAATAAGACATATAGGCCATGGATCACTCATCCATTGTGAAACTTGTTGTTCCCACGATTTAATAAATATGTCATGTATTTTTTTAAGCATAGTATTATCACGATCTGTCAAAATAGCAGGAAATGACAAAGTGTCTTTATCAGTCATATCTATTGGAAATGACTTTTCGTACATTACAGGATACTTTTCTTTAAAAGATGAAGGGTTGATTGGTTGCAATGGTGGTATTGTATCGCCTAATTGGTATTGCTCGTAATGTAAAGATGGATCATGGTCAGGAGACGAAACCAACAATGGAAAATACTTATTCTTTTCGTTTAGATTAACTTTTTGAGATGGTAGCTCATTTAATTTGTTTGGTGGCCCTTTATTTTGATCATTTCGGTCACTAGGAATATTATTTTGCCTAATAATGTTTGTATCTTCTACAATATTAGTAATAGACGGTAATTCATTACCAAATAATATATCACTTCCTTTTGCTTTCCCATGTGTATCGATGGTAGGTAAGGACTCGTTCTCTGCATATGAATTCAAAATGTCAATTTCATTTTGGAAAGTGTAATAAAACAGTAAAGAAACTGTAACACTAAGGACCAAAAATGATTTCAATTTCTTCAAAAGACGTAAAAAAATTAATTTAACTTTCATTTCGGAGTGACTAAAAAAAAAAAAAAGAATGCCTCCCCGCTTCTCACCTTAATATTTCTGAACTTCAACAAAATGTAATTGTTATTATAATTCTTACTTCCTTTATTAATATATATCTCCATTATATAAAGTAGAAAATGATTTCTCAAGCGTTAAATTTTTTTGTTTTATACTTTTTTTTTTAACAAACTTTTTACGTTAAAGATTTAAATTTTTCGCAGATTTGAAAAATAGAAATGAAATAAAGGATGATCTCAACTCGTGAGAAGTATTTGTAGAAAGTCCACAACCAGTTAGGTAAACTTAAGAATATTTTTGCTTTTAAAATCCCTGGCACCTTTCACATAGAGTGTCCTTCTTATTTTCAAAGAAGTTATTTTGAAGTAACAAGTCTATAATCAATTTGGATCAATTATGGACATAAATCTTATTAACAATACGGAAACAATAGAACCCCTAGCCAAAGAGTATAATGGATCAACATCGATACCACATCCAGAAGATACGAAGAATACTAACAATATTGTTACGAGTAACAATAAGAATGCTACCACCACCACTAATACTACCATAAATAATACTGGGGACGACCCAACGACATTGATAGATTGGCAACGAAAATGCATAATTCAAAATAAGGAAATTGAGAGGTTGAACAAACTTAACCAATTCCTTGAATTAGAAAGAAAATTAGGACAATAGAAACACACACACACTCTTCTTCGTAGTCAAATAACATAATTGAACAGATGTTTCAAAAAATTCCAATATAATAAATTGTATAAGCATAATATGTAATATATATCATTTATATAAAGTATAGATTCATTAACACGTATAATATAATAAAACTAGATGAATTATATGAATTGACATAATCGATCAAAGGGAAACAACATTAGAAATATAACATGAATAAAAAGGTCTATCAATTTAAGTATGCCAACCCATAACCGAAAAAAAGAAGTACACATATATATTAACTTAAATATTCTTCTTAGTGGCATAGACTCTTTCATCATTATCACCTTCAACTAACTTCATTTCAATTTCTAATTGCTTCAATTGTTCTTCTAAAACTTTCTTATCTTGATTAGCATTCTTGTCAAATAGAGAATCTTCAGGACGTCTATAAGAACCAGCCAATCTGTCCCATAAAGTGGTGAATTGCCCATAGTTGTATGAGAAGTATAGATGGTGGACAGTGTGACAAGCAGTACCATTAATGATCTTGCTATTGTACATATGGTTACCATCATGAATCATAATAGTCCAAAAGTTGACGAAAGTGAATAACCCTAAGTAAATATACTTTTGTAAAGGCATAATCATTGGGTAGATATGGTAAGAGATACTTTGACCATAACCATCAAGTGGATGGAAAGAATGAGAAGCGAATGGAGTACAGACTAACCATTTATGGTGTGGCTTATGTAAAGCACGGTAGACCTTTGGCCAGTGTAACCATCTGTGAGCCCAGTACACACCGCAGTCAGTAAAGAAAATAAATGCAGCAATTTCCTTTACAATAGTTAACCAATTCATGTTTGGTTTAGTGTAGTATAACTTAGAATGACCATTACATTCTAACATGAACCATGGAACAGTTAAAAGAGACATCAATGGGATAGCAGAAAGAGCCAATTTTATTTCTTGTCTCATTTGGTTTTGTAAGTAACGTGGATGATTGAAGATGGATCTATCAAAAACAAAAAGGTAGGAGAAAGTGGCCATTGACAAATATAGAAGCCAACCAAAAACCATTGTAATTATCCATAGAGAAAGCATTTCTCTGAATAAATTATAACGAGGTAACATGGATTGGAAAGTGGCTTCTGTAACATTCCATAAGAAAGGTCTGTGACCATAAACATCTGGACAAGTCCTATTGACTACAGAATTTTGTAATAATACAGTCTGTTTAACAGCATCTATTATAGCACTGGAATTACCACTTAGACTTGGTGGGGGTGATAAATCTAACCATTCAATCCATGGCTGTGGTACTGTAGAGGCAAGCTCAACAGGAAAAAGGTATGAATATACTTTATCGAAGAAAAAAGTATCACAAGTTTCCAACACAATATCCATTTCTTGCTTCTTTAATGACTTCTCAGTATTGTACGTTGTAATGCTTCCCTTTTATCAAGAGGGAGAGAAAGGTACACAACAATGATCCGACTCAAATAGAACTATTCTTCAGAAGCCAATAAATCAAAACAGTGTGGGAACAACTTAAGTTTGTTTCGGATTAAAGTAACCTTCATTCCGAATCAATGAACTGTTCTAGTTGTTATATATATTTATACAAAGATTCAATTGCCTTTAATGTCGTTCTTCTGCAAATTTAAACGGGTCTTTTCTCGCTCGAATCCTATCGTTTGGCTCTCCTTCGTATGTTGCCCAAACGGAGAAAATACTTGAACAAAACTTTGCAAAACAATAGGAAACAAAGAGAATCATTACAAAAAACACAAAAAAACAATAGATCGAATTATTTCCTTCTGTTATTTTTGCTCAAAACTGCTTTTTTGTTTCTTTCTTATTTGTTTTTTCTCTCTCTCCAGATAAATAAGGACAGACATATTTCGGTTTTATTTTTTTTTTTTTTCTTATTTGATATAGTTTCCTATTATTTTAAGATAAGGTAAGTGTTAAGTGACTTTCTTTCACCTAAAAATCAAATGAAGGAGTAAGTGAGATAGAAAATAAAGGTCTTGAAATACCATCGAATACTCACTGTATTTGCCAACAATTTAATTAACAGCAGTGATTAGCTCGGAATAATAGATACACTATCAAGACGTAACAAAGAAAATTGTAGTAATTTTAATTATACTTTGCATTTTTCGAATAATAAGCTTTCAACTCACACGCCAACTAAGGATCCTAAGAACATAGAGAAGTATACTCATATTCATAAACAATCTCTTATCCAAAATTTTCTCAAGACGAATAGTTACTATATCTAATGCATTGCTGCGTTGGAACTGTTGTTCATTCTACATAGTTCTGTAGTGTTTCATTTATTTACCCGTATAGGGTTTTGAACTCCGAAAAATCACATCACATATTCTCCAACATAATATTTTGGAATCTTAAAACTTGCTGTACTTCTGGGAAGTAACTTAGGGTTTAATAGAAAATGTGATATTTTCCTGAGTCTTTTTTATTTTTCTATTTTTCTATTTTTCTATTTTTCCTTTTATATTTAATTCTGTTTTTTTTTGTTTATATTTTTTTTTGCGGATTATTTCGTTTAACTCTCCAAGAGATATGTCTCGTTTAATTGAAGTATATTATAAGTAAATAATATTATTATTATTGTTATTGTTGTTAATCGTTTGATATGATTAGCCATCACATCTGCTCAACCAAACTTGATTAAGAAAGACATAGATACAAAAAAAAAAGTAATTAAAAAATAATTTTGTTAACTATCTACCTAGTCATCTAAATATTATTACGGTCATTGTAAATCCACATCATATATCAATACAACATCTGTAGATTGTCCCTGCCATCCGCGATCACCTGAAGTAGACACTACGTACCTACAAGTTGGATCCACATACAACTGCGATATCATCCCGCCGTGATGTCCTGGGACGATTAAGAATGGGCTATTACTTTTGCCACTATTTATATTACTACCACTTTGCACTGTAGTATCGAACAGACGTATATTATCTCTAGAAGCAGTAAGAATATGCTTTCCGTTGGGAAGAGACTTCACGCATGATACAGGTCCGGAAATTGATGGTAATTTCATAATATTTGAAGGTAGAGATGTTATCATCTTTAAATCGTATTCCTCAACACAGGCGTTACGTCTCCCTACATATATTTTATCTCCAGTATATGAATCCCATGTTGCTGACATACACCATGGCGGAGTACCAGGCCCTCTTTGTAAAGATGCTACAGGTTTTAATGTTGCTCTTGAATCCCATATATTTACAGTACCATTTAAATTGGCTGTCATTAAAACTGATTCATCATATACTATCTTTAAAGAAGTGGATGATATCTCTTCTATCAACTTCTTGTTGTTATTGTCACTATTTTTGTCTTGTTCTTTCTTTTTTTTGTCTTGTCTCTGTCCATCATCAAGATCAACTTCTTCTTCACGGTCTTCATCTTCATCTTCACCAAATAATGATCCCATTTCATCGTCCATATCGTCATTGGCAGGCTCAAAATTTTTAACAATATCATCTATTTTGACATTAGAAAAAAGCGGGCGATACTCTATCGATGAGACCTCACTGCTATTACCCTGAAATTCATTGCTAACCACACCTCCGGCATTTAAATCCCATTCTAAGATACGCTTATCCCATGAACCGCTCAAAAACTTATCTTGATTATTATTCAATTTTAATATATTAACCACCTGTGTATGCTCTTTAAAATAGTGTACTATTGACCCCTCCATGTAACGAACACCTTGCATTGTAATACCACCATTTTTTAACCCACTTAGCATATACATACATTCATCCTCCACGGCCAACGAATAAACAGGACTCACTAGTGGTTCATAGTCAGTCTTGTTTTTTATCTTTATATTCTTTTTGTATTGTGGGATTTCATTTTCCCAATATCCAGTCAAAATTCCCGCATTATTAATAGATTCTGCTAGTGAATGTTTTTGTATAATCGTTAAAGATAATTTCCCCTGTACTGTGTTCAGAAAATCATATTTCCTGATATATCCATCCGACCCACCAACAAACATGTATTTAAGACCTTTAGACATTGTTAGAGCGTTTACATGGCTTTGTATTGGAATAGCTGCCGTAGGATATATGTTGTAACCTGACGCAATTTTAGCAGATTGTAACATTGTCAAATAATAATGATGAAGTTTATCCATTGGTTTGGATGTTTTGTCTTCTTCTCCACCTGTTATTACTTTGTTCTCATTCAGAAGTGGTTCTATATCTTTATTTTCATCGGTAATGTTTTGATTATTATCATTATCCTTGTCTTTTACTTTGTTATCATTACCTTCATCATCATTATTATCATTATCATCATCTTTTTTAGCATCTTTTTCTTCCTCATTTTCTTCCTCATCTTCATTCATATTCTCATCATCATCACTTCCTTCTTGATTTTCCTTTTTCCCTTCATCTATGTCCATTTGATCCTCCTCTTCTTCTTCCTCATCATCATCTCCAATAATTGGATCTTGCTCCAAAATATCATTTTCTGGATCCATTCTGTTATATATTATGATTTTTGTTTAGTCAAAATAATAACAAATGAATTATTCATATACATACATGTATATATAGTTTCTGTTAGGTTATATTTCAATAATGTACACTCGCTCACCTTTATTATTACAGGCACCACAAAACATCCTCGAACAAGGTATTATTTACTAATATTTTTACCTTTTTATTTTATTATTTACCTATCTTTTTTTCTTTTTTTATTTTTCAATTGTAGATTGATAAAAACACGAAAAAAAGTCTCCATTTCTTCGAGGGTTGACTATATCAATTGACCTCTTTTTAGTCTTAATGATCAAGCTTTCTTACGGATAGGTTCCTAATGCAGTAATATAACTGTATGATGTTGAAAATCATATGAATACGTGGCACAGCTATGAAACTACTTTTTTTTATTTGATAACTTTTTTTTTTTAACCTTTTTCATCTAAACATTCTCCCTTTGATTTAATCCTCTTACCCTTCATATAATTTAGCAATACCGAAATCACAGTATCTTAAATTATTAGAACAAAACAAGAATGAGAAAATATTCAGAAAAAAAGAGTGATATAATGAGGTGTGTTGAGTGTCTTCTGTAGCTATTCTGATGGTTTCAATTCCAATCCGTTGACAACAATCTATATTTTCTATTGGTAGACGAAGAAAATATTTCCAGGACATTGAATATTATTCTTTCTTTTATCCCCTTATAGGTAATATATTTTTTATAGGACAGTTGAAGAAACCTTTCCTTGCTCCATTTCCTCAGTAGTTAGAATTATTATTTTCGTTTTATTACTTTATTTTCACTTTCTCTCCTTTGACTATTACTAAAAGCTAAATTTGATTTGTAAAAGGAAATTCTCATTCTATTTTTATAGATGCCATTATACAAACATCTTCTACTTATAATAACATTTAAATAAATATAAGACGTTTTACTTATTCAATTTTACTATTTCTTTAAAAGTTATTCCGCCCAACAAAAAGAGAAAATTTAAAAAGAAGGTTAAAACGAAAGAAGACAATTATTAATAAAATAATTATTTAACACAACACCAGAATGGAGGAAATTGAGTCCACGGTGGATTATAATTATATCAGGTCACCACGACTGGGCAGAATAATATCTAAGATAAACTCAATAGAGATGGAGGTTGATCTTGGTGGAACCACGACAAATACTACACCTGTATCCACTGTAACACCCTCCAGAGAGTCATCTCAACAAACAAAAAAAATGAAAGAGAAGAAAAAAAAGAGAAGAAAGAAGAAGAAAGAATCCAATGGAAGAATAACAACAGAGGGACAATCAACCAGAGAAAGCCATTTAGTATGGAAAAGTTATATTCCGCCAACAAGAAATCCCTTTGTAATAACTGAGGAGGAATATTATCCAAATGATGTTAATATCAAGAAAGACAGAAAACATGATATTAACGATTCAACATTATTAATTCCTTCCATGTCTAATTTAAGAAAAGCGTTAACAAAAGCCGATAATTTCGATCAAGGTAATGTATATACTTTAGAAGAGAGAGCTGGTGATATTTGGAGATTAAACAGACATTTTAATATTTCTCGAGGGACGATTCCTCGTGGAAATTCTATTAATAATAATAGCTATGTTAATGGCAGTAGCAATAGTAATGTTAGTATTAACAGTGCATTTAATCATAATGAGAGAATAGGTTCCTTTAATCATTGTGCTGATTGTACTCAGGACAGTCATACTCCTGAATTGACTCGTCACTTAGAGATATTACATCGTGGAAACATTGGTAATATTTTACAATTTACCTCAAAGAAATATGGAGAAATGGATACATTTCTTAATATTTCGAAACCAAACAATTCTGACAAACCTTGTTGATAAAAAACTATACAAATTAATGAGTCACTAAGAGCACCTTTTAAAAAAATATCAACAATACAACTTTATACAGGACATACAAAGATAAAAATAACAAAAAGGAAAATAATTACATATCAATCAATTATACGTCATTTTGCGCTAAATCTTTAATATATCTCCATTTAATTTTTCCTTTTTCTACCACTTATTGTTGATGCATCATTTAAAATAGATATTTAGATATTCTTCAATATAGGTATACTATATTAATATAACAAAAGTAGCTTTAATATTTAAGTATTTCATATTCTTTCCTGCCTCTTTTTTTTTGTTCTTTTCAAGTTTCTTTTTACTAAAGTTTACAAGAAGGCAAAGATATTAACGAGCTATAGATTAGAATTAGTGATAAAAAGTGGCAACAAATATTTACAGAACATTTCATTTTTTGTATATACCTTAATCCCATATATTTTGAATTACTCTCTACTAGCCGAGGACATCTTCCAAAATCAAGAAAGGATACACAATTAGCGATCATATAATTAACCATTACTATCACACTATTAAACTACTTAACCTTCAAAAAAATATGGATGTTATTAAAACCCCATTAGAACATAAGTATACCTACTTGTTCCCTGTATGGGTTTTAATAGAAAGTTATCATATGTATTAATCCATGCATCCATACACCCTATTTACCTTTAGTTGTTTATTTTTTCTATTTCCATTCTTGAAAAATTTTCTGCTAACTCTTTTTGAAAGTAACTGATAATACAAAGCGATGGCCATCGACCTTATATTTGATCAGTTGCATGAATGTTTTGGTTCAAAAGATTATTAGCACCTGTTGTAAATTTAAGGAGACATAATTTATGAACCCATACTTGTGAGTACACTCATATATTCATATATACATAAGCCGATCAAATTTAAAATATTATGAGCATAGAGGAAGAGCAAACTTTAGATGCTCTTTTTGCCAGTTTGAAAGAGGTATCGAACAAAAAATTAACACCAGCAAATGAACTAGAAAAAAATCATGATTCTGATGTTTTACGTTTAGATGATAGTAAAGATACTGAAAAGATATTTAGAAATATCGAACTAGATTTGAAAAAATTACCAAAATTAAACAATGATTTTGATCAATTGGGCTCCAAAAAAGCTAATTCCAATGATAAAAAACCTCTTCCGACACTGTCTACAACTTTATTAGATGAAACAAAAACGACACAAAAACAAAACTTTAAATCTGAGGCAAAAGACTGGTTCCTTCTACCTAAACCAAGTGATCATATGAAAAAACAGTTACAAAGAGACTTACTATTAATCAAACATCGTGCTGCACTAGATCCTAAGAGACATTATAAAAAAGACAAATGGCAAGTACCTGATAGATTCTCAATAGGTACAATTATGGAAGATAAGACTGAATTTTTCTCGAGTAGATTGACCAAGAAACAAAGAAAATCCACTATTTTGGAATCTCTTATGGCGGATAAAGACACAGATAAATATTTCAAAAGAAAATATTCTGAAATTCAAGTACAAAAGACTAGTGGGAAGAAGAGTCATTATAAAAAGACCAAAGATATGAGAAGAAAATTTTAAATAGGTATTATAATCATTTATTTAATGAATGCATATATAGTACAAATCAAAAAATACAATAATTTAATATATTTGAATATGTTAAAGAATATAATAATGTATATTTAACACGAGTTATGTAATAAGAATAATAAGATAAATGAAAAATGGTAAGATAAATATATAGAAAGAGAAATCAAAAAGAAAACTTACTTAAATGTTTTAAAAAACTATTCACATATTAGAAGTTAATTGGTTTAGAGTATGCGTCCATGTTGGCTTCTTTAAAGGCTTCTGATAATGTTGGGTGGGCATGACAAACTCTAGCAACATCCTCTGCAGATGCACCATATTCCAAAGCCAATCCAGCTTCAGCAATCATCTCACCGGCATTTGGACCAATGATATGGGCACCTAGAATACGTTCAGTCTCAACATCAATTAAAATTTTGACAAAACCATCCGTGTCCATATTAGTCTTAGCTCTCGAATTAGCAATGAATGGGAATTTACCAACTTTATAAGAGATACCATCCTGTTTTAATTGTTCTTCAGTCTTACCTACCCATGCAACTTCTGGATGAGTGTACATCACAGATGGGATGTTATTGTAGTTAACATGGCCATGACCGGTCTTAAAAATTTCCACAGCAGCAATACCTTCTTCTTCAGCTTTATGTGCTAACATTGGACCAAAAGTGACATCTCCAACAACTTTAATATGTGGATGTTTAGTGCTGAATTGTTCATCAATGACAAGACGACCTTTTTTGTCTACTTCTAGCCCAGCAGCTTCAGCATTTAAACCTTTAATGTAAGGTCTTCTACCAACGGCAACTAAGAGAATATCGGCCTGTAATGTAGATTTTTTACCAGTGATAGCGTCTTCCATTTCAATATCTACCACATCACCGTTTCTTGTAGCACCAAGAACTTTTGTGGAGACTTTAAAATTCATACCTTGTTTTTTTAACAATTTGGCAGTAACAGTGGCAACTTCTCCATCCATAGACGCACCAATAGCTGGTTGATATTCCAAAACGGTAACTTTAGAACCTAATCTGTTATAAACTGAACCCATCTCTAAACCAATAATACCACCACCAATAATAGCAAGACGCTTTGGAATCTCCTTCAAAGAAAGAACACCCGTGGAAGAGACAATTCTTTCCTCATCAATAGTTATACCTGGGAATGGAGTTACTTCAGAGCCTGTAGCGATCAAAATCTTCTCTGCATTTAATTCTATCTCTTCGAAGACGGAACCAGCAAGACCTTCCACGGGTTTTACAACAAGAGACTTCTCATCTTTGAATGAGCCTTCACCCTTGTAGTATGTAATTTTATTTTTCTTAAATAGCATTTCTACACCGCCAGTTAATTGATTAACGACTTTTTCCTTAGCTGCCATAAATTTATCGAAATTTAATTTAACAGCACTCTTATCGACGTCGATACCTCTTGTTTTTGTATCAGATAAAATTTGATGATATAGTAGGGAATTATTTAATAGAGCTTTGGACGGGATACAACCAACGTTTAAACAGGTACCACCAAGTTTACCACGTTTTTCGATACAGGCGGTATCAAAACCTAATTGGGCAGCCTTAATAGCAGCAACATAACCTGCTGGACCACCACCAATGACGACCAAATCATGGGCTTTCTTCGTAGCATAGGATCTTGTCCATGTATTTCTAAAGACGCCAGCTCTTAACATTTTTTTTTTTCTACCTTTAATTATTATTATTATTATTATTTTATTGTATTTATATAGATTTGAATATTGATATATAAGCAAAAAATAAAGGTAATGAATAAATTAGAATATATTATCGGATGTATGTGTGTGTATGTGTGTATAGAAGTAGCAGCTAATTTATTATTAAAGTGTGAAAACAATTGTAACTAAATAACAATTTATCTACTTATTAATTAAAAATTCAAAAATAAAAAAAGAAAGAAAGAAGAGAAAACCCTTTTATCCCGATGTTGGTATAAAGTGATAAAAAAATAATTTGATTTAACAACGGTAAGACTTATGAACTTTAATATAAATCTGTTACTTGTAACAACTTTTGTAATGTACATTTGACCAATACACGTTTCTTTACTCATTTCAACTCCAATTGCTTGTCCTTCCCCCCCTCCTTACTTCTGCCATCGCGCTTCTCGTTTTGTCTATTTCAATCTGCGTAATCGTTTTCTGTTCGAATGTTCGAGGGAAGGAATTGTTTTCCCCACAGCGGGGTTCTATGAAGAAAAAAGAATAATTTCCAAGAAAGAAGCACAAACACTTTTGATTGGTTTGCCGTAGTAAAAGAAAAAACAGAAGAATGGTTATTTAAGAAGAAAGAAAAAAAGAAAGAGGAGAGAAGAAGCCGATGGTAGCGGTGGTATGATATATATATGCATATGTATATATGTAATCTATACATGCCTATGCAAGGTAAACGCCAAAAAAAAAAAAAGCAATTGTATATGCCAGTTGTTTTAGCTTTCCGCCTATATATGTAAGAATCTACTGGGGCACTTTTTGTACTACTTTAAAAGAAGCATAATCTGCCTGGAATGATAACAGTTAGAAGATACACGAAAGTCAACTGTAGTTGATTTTCCAAAGTAATATTACCTCTTTGCCAAATGGCCCAAATACATACAGCGGTTGTTAAAGCAGCTTCTAACCCGTAGAAACGTAATAAAGTAAGCAATCTATAAGTTTTCTTTCCAACTGAAGGTGAATTTAAACACGACCAATTGAAGACAAAATAGAAAAAGAGCGGCAATTGAAATATCAATTCAATTAACACAAACCACCATAACCACACAGGTCTTTCTAATAACAAGAAATCGTTATTGTTCTGACAATGCCACATGACTAATGATGACCAAACAGGTGGTCTATCACCCAATACAACACTTGAATCTATAAATATAGTGATCGGGATGTGAACAACGAAATACCAGTAGTAAAAAGCACGTTCTTTGGAATTAGTCAATAATCTGTGCATTTTGTTATTGCTATTATTCTTGTTGATTTCTATAATTTACACTTGTTTGGTTTCTTCCTCTGTGTCTTTTGCACGATATTCAATAAACTCAGTCTTTATCCTATGCTATGTAGATCCACTAACATTAGTTACATGTATATAGACACGACTCAAGGCATGAGTTACACCCTTCTTTCATTCTTTTTTTTCTTTTCCCGCTTCTTCCCATCGTTCTCTGCTGTTTGAAAGCAATAGGCAAATTTTGTGTGATCTGTAAGACTTCTCCTCTTCCTCCTTCAACAGCAAACTGGTATTGCTCGTTTCTTTTTTCTTGGTTTCTCCCCTTTTTGTCATGCAGTGCAGACTTGAGTAAACAAAGAAACAAAAAAAAGACCTCGATTGGTCTTCGAGCAGCAGATATAGTTTTGTCGAGAGAAAAAGTGTAAAAGCAGGGGGGGAGTCACTCGAGAACACATACGGGTAAACATCACGTTAAGTTTGACAGATTTGATTTGATGTTGCTAGTTTTTAATAGACGTTACCACTCTACGACCTTACCACATGCACACATTATTTCTTTATCTTGAAGACTTATCCTCTTACTGCTTCCATTTTGAGTTTTTTTTCGTATTTTTTCTTTTTTTATTCATGATTTGTTCTTTTTTTTTTTAGTTTTTTGTTTTTTGATCTTACTTCTTCTTTTTTCCTTTACGATATAGTTTATACACACTGATTAGTCAGTATACAAATATGTTTGCAGGTTATTTGCCTTCTAAATACAAACAAGAATAAAGATAAAACGCGTCTGATACATACTATATATACAACATAATTTGATATTAAAAAAAAAGACAAGCAAAAGCGAATATAATTCTACAAATGTCACAATCAAGAGACAATGTTCCTAATGTTCCAGATGGATGGAAAGCTATTTTTGATGAAGAGTATAAGACTTGGTATTATGTAGATTTGAAAACTAAGCAATCTCAATGGGAACCACCAAAGGGGACTGGGTTCTCAAGACCTGCAGCTCCTCCACCATATGAACAGACTGCACCACATAGATACCAACCTCAACCCCCACAACAGCAACAACCTCAACAACAACCAAGATACCAAGGATACACACAACAGCCTACATATCCACAGCAACCAGTATATTATCAACAGCCTGCATACCCACAGCAACCAGTATATCATCAACAGCCACAACCAGTCTACTATCAACAACAACCTACAAAAAAGAGCAATAGTGGCATGATGAATGGTCTTATGGGAGCTGGTGTTGGTTTGTTAGGTGGTGCCATGCTAGCCAATGCATTAGACAGTCATGAACAACCTACGATCGTTGAAAATAATTATTACTATGGAGACGATGGTGACAACTTTGGTGGCGATGACTTTGGTGGAGGTGATTGGTAACCCATATAGATACTGTTATAAATGCATTTCCTCATATAATAATCAATATAATAGACTTTTTTTTTAAAAAAAAACAAATGAAAAAGAAAAAGAAAAAAGTTATATACGTATATAGATAGACACATATCCTTTATCCTTTCTCCTTGTTTCATATAATTCTACTCAATAAATTTAATCGCTCAAATAAACATTAAACTTGATATTAATTCTATTAATGCTATATTTATATCATAATCAGGCAACAGCTGTTCAAATATATTGTTAATATCTGGATCCTTAATCTCTTTTTCCTCATGCAGTAGTGTTAGTATGATTTTTAACTGGGGATATAATAACATTAAACTTCTTTTACCCTTAAAATCTGTCGCTAGTCTTTGAGTATGAATTTCCAACTTGATTATAAACTCTTTCTCACTTGGTTCTTTTAATTCCTTTAATTTAATTACTTTCAATTCAGGATCTCCTACATCTTGACTGTATCGGAGTCTGTTTTGAAATTTGTTTCTTATTTGTGTTATGAGCGAATCACACTGATATGTGAGTCTATCAAATTCCAAACAAAAAAATATTAGTGTTACTGGATTTTCTACTAAGAGTTGCCCATTTAGGTAAAGTATTCTTTCAAAAAATAGCCTAACTCTCTTTGAGATTTCTAAGATTTGGAACCTCTTTAATTGACCATTAGATCCATCTTTGGGATCATAGTTTATATGGAATTTTATTTGGAATGGTGATTTAGGATTTCTTTTGAATTTAATAGTCACCTCATAGTTATGTTCACCATTACCATTATCATCATTATATCTATTGTTATTGTTGCCATTATCTTCTTCTGTCAAATTATTTATGTGAATCTCTACATAAGGATACAAATATTTTTGTAGATATTTTAATCTTAATTCCATATTTAAAAGAGGTAAAGTATCATATTTAACGTTGATTTCATCTTGTAGAGTAGAAGTACCATCAATATGGATCGGTTTGGGTCTAGGTTCCACAGCTTGTTGTTTCTTGGATGATAACAACATTAAATCTAAAAATATTCGAGCAGCATTAGGATCAATGTTACTATTATTATTATTATTATTATCAGTTGTTGTAATATTAGTAGAAATGTTACTTGCAATCTTTATTCCATTTTTGTCTTTTAATTGTGCTGGTTTTGTTTCATTGTCACTATTCGATTCGAAATCTGAGGATTCAGAAGATGTAAACCCTTGCATAAATTTCTCTCTTTCTAATTTATCTAGTTCTCTTCTTAAATAGACTTCTTCATCCCATAGTGAATCTCTTTCTTTTAATAAACTTTCTTTCAATTCTTGTAATTCTAATCGTCTCTTCTCAGTTTCTGTTAATATTACACTACTTCCACTATTATTATCGTGACTCAAATCACTAGAATGAGACTGTCTTCTAATGGGCGAAGCTATCAGATCTGATGTGAAATCCATTAGAAGTGGCTGCTAAACTATGTTGTTTGTATTATGTTATTATCAAATGTAATCCTAGAGGTCTTTGTTCTTATGATACGCTTTTTTTTCTTTTCACTTTTTGATATCCACTCTAAAATAACTCCAAGAAATCTTTAATGTTTCTTTTAACTGTATGATAACTAGACAAAAAGTGTTATTTCAAAATACAGTGAGAAAATATTCAAGAAGGTATAAATCATTAAAGGGGAGTAATATTTACTATAGCTTATTTAGGTTTGAGAGCAACATATGCAAGGTATTAATCAATTGAGTCTATATGATAGACAACTAAGGATTTGGGGAACATGGGGACAAGTTTTATTGGAAAAAGCTCATATATGTCTTATTGGTCCTGAAACAGCTTTGTTACAGGAGACTGTAAAGCACCTAGTCCTACTTGGTATTTCCAATTTTACTTGGTTATATCTAAATAGGGATTACATAAAATCCAAATCGTCGTCCTCGGAGTTGCTTTTCAAAGATCTGGTGGATGAGATGTCGCAACTACGTTCAGAGGAAATTCGTATTCGTAGAGTATCATCTCGACAAGATATTAAAGATTACTCCAACTTTAGTGCTATAATAGTATTAAATAATAATGATAAAGTTGATACAATATTCCATCATAGTCAAACAAAGTTACCACCAATCCTTACCGTACAAACAGCAGGTTTTTACGGATTTTTGAAATTAACATTATCTGAACCTCACTTTGTCCTTGATCCGCATAATGAATATCAACAAGTAGATCTTAGATTAGATCAACCTTGGCGAGCTTTAAAAGACTATATGGATGATATCAAAATGAAGGGGATGGATATTGATGATGTTGCGAAGTATCCTTATCCAGTAATCTTAGCTAAAATGTTACAGGAACTAATAAGAAGGAATACATCCTCAATAAACACCACTGTGATCAAAGATTCGTTGGAAAAAATTTATTGTAGTGAATGGGTTCATAGGGGCTATGAAAGCATGAATTATTTAGAGGCACAAAGGTTTGCTTTTCGAACAATTACTAAACCTGAACATGATCAATTTATCAAAACTTTAAATGAACAGGTCTATCCCTATCTAATTACCCAGATGGGAGTTTTAAAAGATAAATGGTGTGACCCGATGAATAGGAAAATATGGTACCTTATTACTACATTAATTAAATTTATTGAAGAAACAGAGATGGGGCTGCCGTTACAAGGAGATTTGCCAGATATGGAATGTGATAACAGCGAATATCAAAAGTTTAAAGCAATTTATGATATTCAAAGATCGCATTATTTAGATTTGCTGGAACATAAACTACATCAGAATTCAACAAATGAATTAATTGATCGGCAGGTGCTAGAAATATTCAGTAAAAATATTCTAGATCTAACTATTATCAAACCGTTAGAAAATGGAGAGACTGCTGGGTCATCAGAATTATACAAAGTATTAACACAGAATCATGATTGTAGGTACGATATACAAGCACAAAAACACAAGTTTCATAAGATATCGGAACCATCATTATTTTGTGTTGATGTCTTCCTTGCAGGTTTGGTAGCACAAGAAACCATAAAATTGATTACACATCAATTTGTTCCGATCAATAATACATTTGTATATGATGGTTATGATGGGACATTCACAGAAATTATAAAGGTTTAAAAAGGCGATTTATTAGAACAAGCATCTATCTCCTTATTGCTTATCCCCATATACACTTTTCAATTCCTTTGGAAGTAATTATTTTATTCTATAAGCTCTAGTAAGTATATAACGTTTTATAAATTTCTGACTACAAATCATCAAAGCTCCCTTGTATATTACTATTATTCTGTTTCTGTTTCTTCTTCTTTGATGCAATAATTTCCTCTTTCCAATCTGCAACAGCCTCTTCGTCGTCATTAAAATCAGTATCATTAATATCATTTTTTGCTAATTCTGCTTCGATAGCCTTCCTTTTCAATGACATCTTCTCTCTTCTCTTTGCTCTTATTTCTTTACTATCAGTCTTATTAGACCATGCCATATTCTTCTTTTTTAATTCAAACTTTAAACATTTCTTTTCATTTATTTTACTGATATTTGCCAAATCTTCCAATCTCTTTTTCTCCTTCTTTTTATCTAAATATTTATAATTCTCCATATTGATACTGTTAGGATCAACAAGCCAACCTTCACCAAAGGTTACTTCATCTTTATCTTGCAAATACTTGGTAATCTCAGGCATTCTAGGTAATCTAAACAGTCCATACATCTTTGCTGTACCAATATAATCAAATGATTGTAATCTGAAAATTGAGCTGGCCGAATGATTCGAATAATATCTAATAAAAGCTACATATGATTTTATTGCATGGTCAAATCTAGATCTATCTTGAAGAATCCACTTCTTGAATAATTCATAAAACTTATCTTCTACTACATCCCTCTCACTACTTTCATGGTTAGTAAGCTCGTTATTCAACATGGATGAATCTTCTTCTAAGTAGATTTTCTTTACTTCCATAAAGGGTATGAAATCTTCTTCTCTACCTTTGTTAATGAAGGTTAAGGCTTTACCAATTCTATTTGCTCGACCAGTTCTACCACATCTATGTAAAAATAAATCAGTATCGTTTGGAGGGTCTAATTGTATAACAAGATCTACGTTAGGAATATCTATACCTCTAGCTGCTACATCAGTAGTGAATAAAACAGCATCACTTAATGCATCTGTAAAAGATTGCAATGTTTTCATTCTAGAAGTGGTTTGTAATTTCCCATGCAATGAAAATATCAGTAAATCTTCATTTATAATATTATTAACTTCAAATTTAGATTTTTGTAAATATTGAATAAATGAATAAAAATATGTCACTGAAATGCATGTTGGAAAATAAACAATGCATTTTTTAAATTTGAACTTATTCAAAATATGTAATAATTGTTGTAATTTATATTGAGGTTCTATTACACAATAGTTCAATTTCAAAGATGATGGTGCGGCTTGACTATTTGTAGAATTAACTTTAATTTTAACAGGATTTCTTAGCCCAGTCTTAAAGATATTAGAACCTGCACTATCGATAGTGGCAGAGAATAAACCTGTTCTTCTTTGTTTTGGCAGTAGATTTAATATTTTTTCAACATCTTTTACAAAACTTATATCTAATAATCTATCGGCTTCGTCCAATACAAGTGTACTACATGACTGTGTTTTAACATAGGGAGATTGAATAAATTCCAAAATTCTTCCAGGGGTACCCACCAATATCAAGGGTTTTTCTTCTAAAAACATGTTAACATCTTCTCTAATAGTATGTTCATTTGTACCTACTAGTACCTGAGCTTTAATTTTATTGGAATCATAGTGTTCAAGGAATGAATTTATCACAGATTGAATTTGCTTGGCCAATTCTCTTGTTGGCGCTATAATTAGAGAATGGAAATGACCTTTTTTACAATCTTGCAAAACATTTTCTTTAATAATTTTTTCTAAAATAGGAATTACAAATGCTAAGGTTTTTCCTGATCCAGTGACTGAGTCTACAACAACATCTTTATTTCCTGCAAACATAGGAATAGTGGATGCTTGGACAGGTGTCATATAGTCAAAGCCCATAATTTCTATAGCTGTTCTAATCCATGGTTGTAAATCATAATTTAATGAATCCCAGCTCAGTGATGATTTGGACATACTGTAATGTTTTAATTAATAAATAGTATTATCGCTATGTAAGGATCAACTGCGGTAGTATGAATTAATGTTCCTTATGAATTGCTTATAATTGCTAATTCTATATTATATAAAAATTTTATATCATTGCAAAAAAAAAAAAAAAAAGAATCTTACCAACATGTTTATCCATATACATGTATGAAAAAGAAAGGTGTTAAACTCATGTTTTTTTATATTTCCATTTTATGGCAAGTAGATTATTTTATCATATAAAAAACATTTTTGAAATTTTTTCTCTTTTTTGCAATATTCAATGCCCCGTTTTAAATGATAATTGTGGATATTTTGTGTATGCAAGGGACTCTTCTTCTTTTTTTTTTCATTCCGGTTTTTTTTTTCTTTATTTAGTTTTGATGATATCACTTCTAAAATAGCCAGAAGAACAGGCCACTAAATTCCTATAAGTAAGTTAAATGATGTAACACGAATAGAAATATTCAAAAGCAGGAATTTATTGGGTATTATTGAAAATTTCTCTGATATATATCCAATATTTACACTTCATCTACTATCTGTACAACCTGAACTATAATGTTAATTTATAATTTTTTTTTCGTCTTATGTCTTTTGCTATTTTCGATTACTTACTTATTTATTTCATCTAATAAGTTAAAAACTGTTAATAAAAGAAGGTAAGTCTAGTCTTTCAATACAACACTTCACTATTTTTCTACTTATCGACGTTCCCAGATACTTAATATATTTAGCTATAGACTAGGCGGTCAGGACAACTTACAGTAAAATTATTCAAGTCAATCATTGATGTATACGCAAATTATAAACATTTTGTTGTGTGTATTTGTATTGACTCATAATGTAATATATATGTTACAAATATACATCCATTAAAATTACAACTTGTCGTGTCCAGAGTCTCACTACATATATATATATATATGTTGAATGGAGGAAGCAACTCTCAATGTTTCTAGAAATAGCCGCCCAACTATATATAACCCAAATCCGCGGATCCCAAAAAGAAGGAAGAAGGAGGCTAAAAATTTCTTCTTCCTTTTTTTTTCCTTTTTTTTCTTTTCCAGTTTGCAATAATTAAATTAGAAAAACGATAAAAAAAAAACAAAAAAAAGAAAAATAGAAAATACGGGAGCAAAGAAAAGAAAGGCAGGACGAAGAGACAGGTTGACAAATATGTAACAAAGTCTAGTTACTCCCGTGAATTCCTCTTGGAACAATCGCTCTCATAACGTAGTTGTCTTGAGGTTATTGCAAAATAAAATAACAAGTTATTTATATAGTGAGATCAGTAATACCAACAACTAATTAAATAATATCAAAAGTAACGATTATTTTATTATTATAAGTGTAAACCACATAAAAGCACATATACATTGATACATACTGTTAAAAAAAATGTCTTCCTCAGTACCATATGATCCATACGTTCCAGCTGAAGAGACCTTTGGTCAAAATAATTCACAATCTAGAACAGCTGCTTTACAAGCAGAAATAGATGACACTGTGGGAATTATGAGAGATAATATTAATAAAGTGGCAGAACGTGGTGAAAGATTGACATCTATTGAAGATAAAGCAGATAATTTAGCTATCTCTGCTCAAGGTTTCAAAAGAGGTGCTAATAGAGTAAGAAAACAAATGTGGTGGAAAGATTTAAAGATGCGTATGTGTCTTGTTTTAGTGATCATTATTCTACTGGTAGTTATCATTGTTCCAATTGTGGTTCACTTTAGTTAGAAGACAGAAAAAATAATAAGAAAATACCATTAGAATAATAATAAAAAAATTATGTTATCTCATCATATTTTGTCATCAAACAATCAAATTGTAGTATGAATAACTACAGATAAGAAATTACCTCATCTATGTTACCACATCATTTTAGTTTCTTTACATCCTGTATAATAAATAATTCAGAAATTATATTATAATATTTTTGATAAAAATATACGTATGTTTAATATATCAAACTGTCTTTTCTATTCTTTTTCTTTATATTGTTTTTTTCTTTTTATTTTAAATTATGAATATCTAAGATAGATGTATAAGCATAGATCTACTTAAAGTGTTTATTTACTAGTTATGATTATGTGCATGTATATTTTTTTCTGATTGAAAATATCCTTTACTCTATATATATATTCATATATATATATTTATATTTATATTTATGCAATAACATTAATTATTCTACAACATTAACATTTTGTGCAATCAAATCCACTATTCTTTTTGTAGTAGGTAAGTTTAACCAAATGGGAATGTATGCCTCGACTTGATCGAATTTCTTTGTAGGAATATCCATAAACGGATCGTTAAATGGGCCTGTCTCAGCGTGTAGAAATATGTCGTTATTATTATGTTTACCATTTTCATTGGAGATAGCACTTTCTTGTTTGACAATATCTGCAACATATCGTAAGACTTCTTGCGGAATTGGTGATTCGTAATCTGCTACATGTGATTGTGTTATTAATTTTTGTAATTGAGTTGGTGTTAAGTCACTACAGATCGCTCTTAATATATTTATATCTTCAATTGTATATTTTTTCAATTGTAATAATTTAGCAGTCTGTATTAAATGTTGTAAACAATCGGCACCATCAAGTAAACCATGGGATTTGCACCATTCTTCCAATCTTGTGATATTGTAATTCAGTTGTAAACCACGTTTCCATGAAAGGAAATTGCGTCTCATAATCAAATCATTGAAACATATAGCATCAACATAATTTAATAAAGTTGTCACTACACGACGAAATACTTCATGCTCAATATGGAATGACTTCATGCACCAGTATATACTGTTAAAGAATGTTAAAATATCATCCATACTGTAAGAATCATTTGAATTAAATAATTTGTTTAGGAACCCATTATTTTCACTTGCACTAAAACCAGGTAAGGATTCAGACATAACAATAGCGGCTACAGCCTTCTTTTGTAATTCTTTTTGTAGCTTCTTCAACCAAATATTGTAAATGTTGTAACTTAATGATTCAAAATCCTCTTTCAACTCAGTCACAAGAGAGACATATTCATTATATTCGTTATCATTCATATCTTGTTTGAAAGTTTCCTCTGTCAAAATAGAATGGTGAGCAAACAGAACAAAAAGATATAATTCTCTAACATTAGCTAACCAAAATGCACCACTAGGAATCAAGTCATTTCCTTTTAGAGTTGTCACTACTTTTTGGATGGTCGTTAAAACTTGAGCTAAGAAACTTTCGCTTTGTTTAGTTAGGCCAAATCTCCACATTTCACTTAAAACAATAATCAAAATTCTTGCAGGATAAACAACATCTCTTTTACTTAATTGTGTAGCAACACCAGCATCTGGAACTTTGAAACCTTTTAATAAGCCTTCAGTAATTTCGACGTTCAGGGTATCGGTATTTTCCAGTAATCTGTATAATTCTTCATTAATCTCAGCTGCACTGATAGATGTAACTGGTTCTACAGCATTGGTAGATTCGTCATATCCACCTTCACCTTCAAAGGTATTATCTTCTATAAATTCCCTACTTAACACTCTGGTTGCTTTACTCATACCTGGAGTTTGTGGAATAACACTGGTTGTGACAGTGCCAAGAGCAATGGTGTTTTGTAAACGAACTAATTCCTCTTTTAATGACTTTACTTCATTCTGCAAATCAGCGTTTTGGGTTTGATAGTCAAGTAACTTCTGTTTCGTGGTTTCTAATTCTTCTAGAGTAGCTAAAGATTCTTCTTTTAACAACTCATGTCTCGAACTCATTTCAGCCAATTCAGCCCTACATTCTTCTAGAATCTTTTTATTCAATTCTAGTTCCTCGTCGAATTGTTTACGTTGATGAGCTAATTGTACACTTTGTTCTTCCACTAATCTCGCACGCTCTTGTTTTTGTGTTTCTATTGTAGTTCTTAACTCCTCGGTAGCTTCTAAAGTCTTTTGTAATTCTAGTAATCTAGATTGGATTTCTTTGTTTTCTTTAACTTTACTTGCAAGATTTTCTGTTAACTCAATGACCTTGTTTTCCAATTTATAACTAGCTTCTTGTAAACGAACAACACTTTTAGCTTCAGCTCTTAGAGCCTTTAATTTAGCTTGTGCAATATGTTTTCTAATGAAGGATTGAATAATCACGGCATGCTTTCTGCGATATATAAAGAATTGCCTTGGCTTGAAAGTCCTTATTCTACTTTGAATTGTGATAGCAGCTTCTAATTCATGTTTAGCTCTCATCTTTCTCAGGGTCAGTTGCTTTCTAATCTTGGATTGAATTGTTATAATACTATTGTATGCATGTTCAGTATTCTTACGTACCAAGATACCACGATATTTGGTTTGAACTAACAGAGCAGCATTATTCTTTATTTCAGAAGTTATCTTATCACGAATTATCTTACCTTTAGTAAAGACGTGTACTTTTCCGATAGATTTTTGAATTGCCAAATATTGTTTTCTTTGGTATTTGGACCTTATACGTTTTTGAATCAAAGTTATAGCATGATTCATTTTATTACTTCTTAATTTTTCCAAATAAGCTAGCATACCAGCTTTAAAGAAAATTTTTGTGTTACCAATTTGGTATAATTTCTTATCCTTCACAGTAACATCAAGAATTTTTTTGCACATGTTAATGATATCTGCTTCATTTGTATCTTTCTTTTGGAAAATCCGTGACCATTCATCTGTAGCTATCAAAATATAATATCTTAGAATAAATTCATTAAATGTCCATCTAGATGGGAAACCTGCACATGATATTCTAATAGTTTCTAAAACACCACAGGCTCTTAATTGAGACAAGACCATCAAATTGTCAAATTTCCATGGCTCTTTTTCATTATTGGGTTTAATACAACGAATGTAATGAACATTGGTGGAATTAATAGTGTTCATTAACTCAATCAACGATTGTTTAAACATGGACCCTAACGTTGGTTTTTTGGTTATTGTTCTCATTGGACCTGGTCTTTTTTTAATAGTTGGATCAAATTTTTCTTTTTCTTGACGTTTGGCTTCTTCTAGCCTTTCTGCAGCTTTATCCAAAGTGTCTAAGATATGTTTTAAAGTTTCATTAGTGGTTGCTTTTAACACTTCTAAATGCCCATCTGATACTGTATCTCTGTTCTTTTCGATGAACCCCTCGGTATCATAAGTAACATTGTGCGCATAATGACTGACAATGAATTTAGTTTGACCAAATCTTGGTTTGGAGAAAACTTTGTTGGTTGGGGGTTTATCTAAAGTTTGATATAATTTTTGAGTCCAAGATTCATCAGAGCCAGCAGGTAATCTACTTTCTTCATCCAATAGAGATAAGATACCTAACTTATTTTCAATTAGATCGATACAAGGTTGGTTATCATTAAATTCGATAAAAGACCATTCAATTTCTTCTTTCACATACTCCTCTTGCTCTAATTTAAAAACGTGTTGATTAAATTCCTGTTGTAGTTTTTCATTAGCATAATTGATGCAGAATTGTTCAAATGAGTTTTTTTCAAAGTGTTCAAAACCATAAATATCCAATACACCAATGAAAGAGTTAACTTGATCCACCACTTCAGGGTTACATAGTACAGTATTGATGTTTTCCACTAACCAATCGAATAAAGCAGAATAAATGAATTTAGCCACAGAATCTCTCGCTACCAGTGCTTGATTATAATTCAGATTTGATACAATTTTTTCAGCTCTAGTAGTGAGTTGTTTCTTTGTAATCCATTTTGCAAAATTGAAGGAATCAACACCTAATAATTCACAAGCAATTTTTAAACTTGGATCATCTGAAGATACAGATGCATCATTTCTTGTTTTTTTTACCTCAATGTTACCAATATGTAATAGTGCAGCTAAGATCTTGAAAATACCGTTACGCACCGAATCGTTAATACCGACCAATGTTAAAGCATCCACTGTAACTTGATATTCTTTGGCATCGTCTACCCCTTTAATTTGATGGTCACCACCTTGGTTCATGTAAAAGAAATCTGTAGGGTTGGTTAAATGTAATTCATTTTTGGTCTCCTCTGGTAAACCAGCCAATAACTGATAAAAAATATGATAGTTTCTTTCTGTTGCAGGTTGATACACTAATCTGGATCTTTCTAAAAGGTAAGTTCTAATCTTAGCACCGATGATGGAGGTGTTCTTATCGAATAAAATTTCTAAATATTTCCCGAATCTAGATGAATTATCATTTCTAGTAGTCTTGGCATTACCAAATGCTTCCATAATTGGGTTGGTAGCCAGTATTTTTTCTTCAGTTTCCGACATTTCCACTTGATGTTGTAAATTTCCCATATTAGAAGACATTTCTTCTTCTACTGAAGCAAAATAACGCATAATGTATTTAGCAGAGACGGTTTTACCAGCACCAGATTCACCACTGACAACAATAGTTTGGTTCTGTTTATCATTTTTCATCAAACTGTAAGCTTCTTCAGCAATAGCGAACAAATGCGGTTCCATTTCACCTCTTCTTTTGCCAGCATAAGCTTGAATCATATCTGGAGAATACAATTGATCTACTCTATCAAACGGATTGGTCGCAATCAAGACAATACCTGAATAAGTATATATATTTAATTGGGCATATCTTTGTTTAATTGCATGTAACACAGCTGGTTCGTTCAAATAAGATAAAGAAGTTAAATCTTCTGTGGTTTCCAGAACAGGTGGGTTTCGTAATAACGGTAATTCTTTATTCGATTCATCATCTAGTTTTTCTGCTTCAATAGATACGGTTTGATCATCTTCTAAGAGTAATTCCAGGTGATATTTACCATCTATTAGATCGTTTTTAGTCACTTCAGCGCCGATCCAGCCAAATTCTTTGCTGGGGTACCAACAACGAGTCCCTACTTCGAATGACATTTGTTATTTAAGGCTAAGGTATGGTGAAAAAGGTAAACCAAAGTAGAGAGAGTGGTAAAAAATCTTGTATGTGCAAATCCTTATTTGTTTCTGTTTTTTTAAAAGGGTATCTATTCAGTTGTAGCTGTGATTTTTGAAGTTGAAAAAAAAAAATAAAATAAAATAAAGATTAGATTGTAATACTAGCACTTTGTATGTTTGTGTATATTTTTCTTGGGCTTGGGGTATGTTTTTGTGTGTAGTTGTTTTTTTTGTTTTTTTATGATTGTTTATGCTTTTTTACTTTTTTTTTTCTGTTTTTACTTTCCCATTTATTTTTTTGTTAGATATGTTCCTCGTTAATTTTTCTTTTAGATTACGTTTTATTTACCTATTTCTTTTTTTTTCTTGTAGAACGCCGTGTCTCGAAAAACAAAATTTGGTCTTGAATTTTGATAGTGAAACAGTTTGTGTTTGAGTTTTGTATCTGCTTTGTGGAGAGAGTTAAAAAAACAGAGTGAAGAATAGTTGAAAAAACATGATATCCTTGCAATTGGGTGTGTGACTAGGGGAGGGTTGTTCTTCTTATACTATTTTATGTCATCATGGTTATTCACACTTATTCTGGAAATACAGAGGGGGTGTAAATTGAACCATTGGAGTAATACAGTAGCATGATGATAAAGATTAAGCTTGATATGTAGTTTCTATGATGCTTGTGTAAAGTCATATTGTCATGTTGTTTTGCAAGAAATTTACTAGTGTTATTTCTAACTCTTAATGGTCTAGAAGTTGGAATTAAAGATTGATTCTTTCTATCTACATTTAGTAATAATAAGAAATAAGATCATATTTTTTAGGTATAGCACATTCTTTAATAAAAATTTGCATTGGTTATTCCTAATTCTTGATGATTTTTTAACGTGTTTGAATATATAGGTTATTTTGATAGCAGTATATGCTGCAGGCATACATATATATATATAAGGTATACTTTCTTTTTCGATTTTTTGTTTATCTAGAGTTTTGTATTAAAAAGAATGGAAAATATTTTTCATATTCATATATTTGTACTGCTAGATAGAAGCTTGATTGGTGGTCGAAACAATTTGTATCACAAAGTTTAGCTATACTTTTTATGTTGTTTTTAAATTGTTAAATTTTTCTTTTTTTTTTTGACAATTTATAATAATAAAATATACCTCATGATGAGTCTTTTTACTAAGGATATGGAAAGATCTAGTAAAAGGAGTACAGTAAATCCCTCTCCAAATCCTATAACTCCGTAATTAAACTCGGTATCAAAGTGAAGGAGTACTAGAAGCTTAAATTCTTCCCTTCTCAATGGTAACAGGATCGTTACAAAAGAAACACTAGGTTTTGAAATGACAGAAATAAAGTACAAACAAAGAGGTTGGTAGACCAGTTTCTAAATTGTTCAAAAAAGTCAACATTCTCAAGTTCAACACCATTTCCAGTAGATATGTATTTAGTGAAATTGAATATTTTGAAGTGTTCTACTTGTTTAACAGATTATTCGAATATGGGTTTCCGAAATTTGTTGTATCAAGTTTTTAAATCAACTATTTGCCAAAATATATTCAATAATACACGAATCCGTAGAAGCAATTATATAAGTTTATATACATATTTTTAGATTATAATATTCTAGAAAGAGTTACAGAAACCCATATCGGTAAAACGTTTACAAATTGTCTTACTCTTTTCTTTCGTTTTTCCTTATTTTTCCCTTTGTATGTTTATCTGAAGATCATTAGTTTTCCATGACTAATTTTTATTTTAACCACTTGCCATTACAAAAAAAAAAAAAATTCCTGATTTGATGATTGAATTGCTCGAGAAAAGGGAAAAAAAAACTTAGAAACATATAAAAATTAAAGAAAGGGTGAAAAGAACGACTTTTCACTAATTTGTATAATGCAATAGTGTTTATGAAAAGAAAGATATCTGAATCGTTTTGTTTACATAATAATACGTTAGGATTTGGTTTTGTTCCATTCATAGTGAAAGAGTAATCATGTCTACAGCTGAAGAAATTGCAAAGAAGGCTAGGGTTGCTGGTAATGTTTTAAAGACTCTATCTAACGAGAGTCGTTCTTCAATATTATACAAAATTCATGATGCTTTAAAGGCAAATGCAGAAAAAATTGAGGCAGCTAATAAGATAGATTTGGATGTAGCTAATACCTCAGGTCTTTCTCCATCATTAATAAAGAGGTTGGACCTTTTCAAAGGTGATAAGTTTGATACTATGCTGCAAGGCATTAAGGATGTAGCAGATTTGGAAGATCCAGTAGGTAAAGTCAAACTGGCTAGAAAACTAGATGAAGATTTAGTTTTATATCAAGTTACTGCACCAATTGGAGTGCTTTTGGTTATTTTTGAATCACGTCCAGAAGTTATTGCTAACATTACAGCCTTATGTATTAAAAGTGGTAATGCAGGTATTTTAAAAGGTGGTAAAGAATCCGTCAATACTTTTAGGGAAATGGCACACATTATCAATGATACAATTGCAGCTAATGTCGACAACACAGGTGTCCCAGTAGGTGCTGTGCAGCTTATCGAAACCAGGCAGGATGTCAGTGATTTATTAAGTCAAGACGAATATATTGATCTGGTTGTCCCAAGAGGATCTAATGCATTAGTTAGAAATATTAAAAACAGTACAAAGATTCCTGTTTTGGGTCATGCTGATGGAATTTGTTCTGTTTATGTAGATGAGTATGCAGATATTGAAAAGGCTAAAAAAATTACACTTGATGCTAAGACTAATTATCCAGCAGGCTGTAATGCTATGGAAACACTTTTAATTCATCCAAAATGTAATCAGTGGTGGGAGGTTTTAGAAAATTTGTCATGTAATGGAAATGTTATGTTGCATGTCACTAAAGATGTTAAAGAAGCATATACTGCTAAATTAGAAGAATTGAATAGATTTGATGATGCTGTTAGTTCCAAACTAGTAGATGTAAATGAAAATGAGGATTTTGACAAGGAATTTCTAGCTTTAGAATGTGCTGTCAAATTTGTGAATTCAACACAAGAAGCTATTCAACATATTAATTTACATTCCTCTAGACACACAGATTCTATCGTTACAGAAAATAAAGATAATGCAGAAGCTTTCTTGAGAGGTGTTGATTCATCTGGTGTTTATTGGAATGCTTCCACTAGATTTGCAGATGGGTTCAGATATGGTTTTGGTACAGAAGTTGGTATTTCTACTTCAAAGATTCATGCTCGTGGGCCAGTTGGGCTGGACGGTCTGGTTATTTACCAGTATCAAATTAGAGGTAATGGTCAAGTTGCATCTGATTATTTAGGGGCAGGTGGTAACAAAGCCTTCATTCACAAGGATCTTGATATAAAAAACATTAGATTATAAAAACATCACAAATCATAGGAGTTGAAATGTATATATTTATATATATATGATATACAAAATGAATTGAGTGTTTTGGATATTTTTAGGTGTTATTATTAATAGATTGTTGGGTAAGATCATTCATGGCCCAAAATAATGTCGCTGCTCTTGTAACTTTATAACGAAAATATAGGTTGTAATATGATATTATCAGACTTTTTTGTTTATTAAAAATAGTTTACACATGCGTATGTAATAAAAAATAACTATTATTTTGAAACATGATTATTTAAGACTATCTATAGTATGAATGTAAAATAATATTTTAAGGTTTTCTATAGAAATTTGTAGGTATTTTTTTTTTCAGAATATGATGATATAATTTACAAAAAAAATGACAATATATATTATTTTGAGAAATTATTTTATTTTCCTTGAAAAATCTAATGAGCCAATCCTTCTTCTGCAGGTTGTAATTCTCTTTCTTCTTCAAATTCAATTTCAACCTTTGGACGTTTGTTCTTTTTTGTAGTAGATTTTTTACGTTTCTTAGATGAGGAATTGTCATTACCTTCCCCTTCATCTTCTTCACTGCTACTACTTTCATCTTCACTAGTACTTTCATCCTCATCAGAAGAGTATTCTCTATCAGAATCAGCTAACCATTTCTCTAATTCTTCAGGATCCACATATTCATTTTCTTCATCAGCTGCTACATATTCAACTTCACCGTCATCAGATTCTTCTTCCCAATCTTCTTCTTCCTCATCTTCCTCCATTTCATTCTCTTCATCCAATTTACCAAGAATTTTCTTCCATACTTTTTCATCTACATTCAATGGTTTATCACCATATGCTCCACTCTTCAATCTATCCAGCAATTCCTTTTCAATAGCCTTTTCGATCTTGGCTGCAGCAAGTGCTTTTCTTTCTCTATTAGCTTCTCTTCTCTTTATTTTTGGTGCAACACCAACATAATGTCTTTCTTCTTCTCTCATAACAAGACGTCTTTCTGTGATGGCCACTTGAGTCAATTTAGTGAATCTCTGTTTACATTTATGACGAAAGAATTTGTTCCAGTGTAAAAGATGTTCGTCTATTTGCTTCAATGCTTTAATATAGTTTTTGGAAAGTTTAATCTTCTCCCATAATTTAGCCGGCGTATGTGCTCTTTCTGGCGTTTTGATGTAAAGATAAATTCTTCCATTATGCGATCTAACAGTTGCATATTTGGAGTTTGCTAATGGACATGATTGTCTGGTGCATAAACCGGTCACATTATATGGATCTCTACAGAAGATTTGACCACTTGGAGTTTTGATTCTGTGAGAACAGAAACTTTGGTTGATTACTTCCCAAACTATATCATCAGTAGACATTTTTCTATTATTGAAATGTTACTTATTTAGATCACTTAAACTTAGATTGAAATAATTGTTAGATTCAATATATTAACGGTAAAAGGAAGCCAACAAAGAACTCTTTAACTTTGTAACTTCGTGTCCCTAAGTAATTCACCACGACTCGTATTTCCTACAATATATTCACAACTAATAACCAAGTATTAAAAACTACTTTATCATGTTACTAACAAACGAAAATTGTAAAAAAAAAATTGCATAAAGCTCATCGCAGAAAAGAAATGAAAATTTTAAAGAAATTTAATGTCACTTTGCACGTCTCATCGCTTTGATAAAGCCCTAAGTTTAATTTATCAACCCTAATCTGGAATTTTAACCCTAAATTTATTGTGGTAGGGTTTTCATTGGTTTTTCTGTTTTTTGGTTTTATTTTTTCGTTCTTCATTTCCTTTCACTGTTTTTGGTGGTTCCGTTTTTGCTTCAGTGCAAAGATTGTGAAATGTTATGTTGAATGTAAAGATGCAAAAGAGGTAAAGGCTTGATAATATCTAGTTGACCTATTAAAAGGACTTTTAAATAACTAATCTATATCATATTTAAAGACAGAGCAACTAAGAAACCCTCATAATCAGCAATATTATAAATTTATCCCTTAATAGTTCGAGAAAAAAGAATACTCTTTAACTTTGTATCTGTTGGCCCCTCCCTTTGTATTTTGTTTCGTGTTCTATTTCTCTTGAAGCACTACTAAAGATGGTTTTTTCTATGTTGCATTCTGTGTCTTCAAAGTCTGACCATGTATCAAATGAAGATGAAAGACCTGCAACACCTGGATCACATCCTATCGAACTATCAATTAATATCGAATCACCGCCGTGTGTCATGTATGGAAACGCTACAGAATCATCTGGTGCTCTATTGTCTGGGTTATTGAATTTAAAAGTTAAAGATCCTTATAAGAATAATGGTTCTATAGGAAGATCAAATTTAGGAAACAATAATATATTAAATGTCAATACGTCGGCTTCACTGAACTCAAGCTCTTCACAGTCTGGTTCTATTAATATTTCCAGCACAAAGAGGAAAAGTGGACTTTTTACAACCTTTTCAAGTTTGTCAGCATCTACTTCTAATAACCAGTCAATTAATACTATAAATTCAACAACATCAAATTTTTACAAATCTAATTCATCACAAATATCAAATCAAAAAATTTTAGAAGGTTATACTAAGGTCCCAATAGTTAATGTAACACTTAGTTTTGTACAAACTGTTTATTACAATAAACCATTTCTACCAGATTCACAACAGATTCAAACATGTAATAACTGTAGGAAAAAAATTACAAATATGAAGACATGGAATATCCAAACAGAGATAATAAATAAATCTGTTGGAACACATTCATATCCGTTTTCTTATTTAATTCCAGGCTCTGTATCTGCCACATGCAGGTTAGGTGAACATTCAGAGACACAAGTTAAGTATGAATTAATTGCATCTGCCTCATATGTAGATCCTAAAAATAAGAATTTCAATGTGAGTCGTCCAAATAAGAAAGATTTGAAATTATTGAAATTAATTATGCCTATCCCAATTACTAGAAGTATTCCCAGAGGACCGGATAAGAATTCATTAAGAGTTTTTCCACCTACTGAATTAACTGCTGCTGCAGTTTTACCAAATGTTATATACCCAAAATCTACATTTCCCTTAGAGTTAAAACTTGATGGCGTCTCTTCAGGAGATAGAAGATGGAGAATGAGGAAATTGGCGTGGAGAATTGAGGAAACTACAAAAGTACGAGGTTATTCATGTTCGAAACATAAACCAAATTTAACGCAACTTGAAGAAGATGTGAGAAAAAGAGAATTAGAGAGAAGCAAGAAACCAGTACAAGCTATTAAGAGATATGGTGATATCGGTCCACAGATTAAAGTTACTGTTGCTTCTCCAGACAATTTACCTATGAATATTAATAATATCCCATTGTCTAATAATGGTTATCCAATTAGGAACACTAGCAGTAATAATGTTAATGAAAATCGTGATTTGGCAGCTACTGAAACAACGACAACAATTTCCAGGTCTGATGTTACAAATAATCCAAGTTCATCTCGGCCATTCAGAAGGCGAAATGCTAGGGGTATGCAGGATACTGATGATGATGATGATGGAACTAATCAAGGTGAAAATCTCTTTATTCATCCTAGTGATGATGCATTAAGACAAGAGATATTGCAACAGCAAAGAAGGATAAGAGAGGAGCAATTAAAGAAGGAGTTAGCTAAAAATAACAGCATGTTGTTCACTGAGGAGGTTAGAGTAATTTCAAAGGGGGAAGTGAAAAATGGTTGGAAAACAGATTTTGATAATAATGGGAAAATTGAATTGGTAACTGATATAGACTGTATGTCATTAAATTCAGGGGTTGGTAATCCTATAATTTTTTCTTCGACCTCAAGGCCATACATTGATTCACATAAGAATATTATTAATGTTGCATGTGACGTTCAGGATCCCAATTTAGGAATGTATGTGTCACATATTCTTGCAGTAGAAATTGTGGTAGCAGAAGAAACTTTACAGTATGCTAACGGTCAACCAATAAATAAATCTAAAAATAGATCACAATCAACATCTAAGACATCTGCGCCTGAAAATGATGCTGATCAAAGATTAGCAGAATTGTCTCCTTTGTTTGCTAATATGAATGCCCCAAAGGCAAGACCTGTTACAGAAGAAAGTCATTCAACTTTAAGTTTAAAGAGAAGTATATCAGGTGATGGCTCAGGTTCAAAGCATCCAAATGGTCAAGTGATACCTAAGATTGTAAGTGTACCTACGGGAGCGGCTCGTGTTTTAAGAATGCAGTTCCGTTTAAATATAACAGAAAGATCAGGGCTTGGTATATCTTGGGATGAAGAGGTCCCACCTATTTATCAAGATGTAAAACAGGCAGCTCCGCCAACCTATGAAACTACTGTGGCAGTTCTACCATCGTATACTGTGGATGGAAACGAAGAAGCAAGAAACGTGAGTGAGCAACAAGTTAGTGGTTTGATTGCTATAACACCTCCACCGATGGCACATCACTCATCATCAAATCAAGGTAGTACCTTATCTGCAGTACAATCCCCACAATTAGAAAATATTATTAGTGTTCAGGGTCGCATTCCTTATAGAAACAGTATATTGACACCATCTACTACCACACAAGATTTAGGGGTAAGAAATATTTCTAGTATATTAAATACAGATAGAATTACTCAATAATAAACACAAAAGAGATTTATCAATTTTATATAACAAAAAAGAATGAAAGGATGGTGTTAAAATGTAGATAAGTAAATAAATGGTTAGTGAATTAATTAAATATATGTACGTGTATATGTATGTATGTAATATGTAGTATTAATCCATATATAATAGTGGTTGATTGTAATAGTAGGAAAAAGGATAGTAATCGACTTAAATTAAAAATAAAGTAAATTGTACCAGAAGTTGACGGTTTTATTTTATTTTTGGTTTAATTTGATTTACTTAACAGTTTTTTTTAAAAAATTTTCAGTCTTTCTTATGGTTTATCAGTGATGGTCCAAGAACCTAACCAGTTCAAGTATTGGAAATCACGGTTTGGACCCTCCATACCAAATGCTATTGGAGAAAAGTAATAGAATCCACTAAGTAGCATAATAAAATAAGTGACGAATATACCATATCTCAATCTTTTTGATAATTTCTGCAAGAATATAGTTGGAGCCTTCAAAAGAACATCGAAATAATAAGCTAAAATTATCAAAGCAAAGTATAACGCTGGTAAATAATGATGGACGTAAGTAACTCTTGACATGATAACAAATGGCATGAAATGTAAACCCCAACCCAGTAATGGGTAGAACCCACCCATTTCAAAGACATTAGCATCGTCTGATGTTTTGAAAACAGGTAGTTGTCTAATCCATCTTAGGAATAAAGCGACCACAGTGAACATCATAGCAAAAACAGATACAGTAGAAGGCCAAGTGGAGAATGGTAAACCTAAAAGATAATACTTTAGTACATCATCACTCCAACCGTTCAATCTTAGACCAATATGTAAAGTTGGCCATTCCCATGCGGAAGAAGCTAAATAATCGAGTTTCTCATGATCTGGAATTAATGCATTATTGGTTGCCATCATAGCTAAGTTCAAATGGATGAAATCTTTAATAAAACTAGTTTTTGGATATCTGAAGTTTTCGTCAGGTAATGGTAATTTGTCATTGGTATGAGTTTCAATGTTCCACCAAGTTCTCTTATTTCTCTTAAATGGATTTTTAACACAAGCAACTTCGAACTGTCTGTACCCCCATTCAGGTAGATGGTTACCAGTTTGAGCCAAATAGCAACCAAGTCGTTCACTTTTAATACGGAATGATGTAGTCAATGGATGTAATTGGGTTTTGTCTTCAGAACCTCTTTGATCGACAATCTCAATAATCCAATTATCGAATGGATCACCATTTTCAACAGAACCATAACCAGAGACCTCGAATTCGTTCTTACTTATTGGAGCAGCAATTGGGTGAGTATGTAGATTCTTCTCAGTTAGTCTGTGGAGTAATCTATAGGAGCCACCTCCATTAACATATTCAATTTCAGTTTCATTTTCTGACCAAACTGGTAAACTTCTTGCTCTTTGGAAAATCCAATCATTATTTGCATCGTTGTGTGCATACGTTGTAATCTGTTGTTGATTGGAACCATCAGGGTAAGTTTGGATATGAGAATGTAACAAGGCACCACCTAAAGCTTGATTTTTGATGGAGACTATAGAAGAACCAATGGCAACGTTACGTGGACCAATACCTACTTCAGATCCTACTAAATTAGCTTGAAATAAAGATGACATATTGGCATCACCCGTACCAGAATGAGATAAAAGAATGAAATGGATCTTAAAACATAGCAAAAAGACTAAGATTGGAAAAATAATTAATCCAACGATTCTAGCCATCCAATGGCTAACGTATTGTTTCCATGAAACAGATTTATCACCTAATAATTTCCAAAGATCGATGACGGTGTAGATACCAATTAAAGTGATAACAAAAAGACCAACCATCTTAACGGAGATAGCACAACCCATTGTAATACCTGTTAAACCTAACCATTTGTACCATTTTCTAGAGAAAGGCTTTGATCTTTGGTTATGGAACATGACAAAACAATAGAAGGCAGCGACAGTAAAGAAAAGTAACATAGAATCTAAAAGAATGAATCTACCCAAAGTACAATAAGTAGTTTCAAAACAAACTAAAGAGGTGAATAACCAAACTACAGGCAAAGAGAAACCAATGGCCTTTGCAGTGTAATAGGCTATGGGGACACAAAGGGATGAAAATGCGGCGTTAAATATTCTCATTTTAACGTAGTCAATATAGTCTGGATAAACTTCACCAGATGGGAAATCCCAAGACCCGTTATAACCTGCAATAAAACCAGATAAACCGACTAACATTTTACCTAAAGGTGGGTGAACATCATGATAAAATTCATGCCTTAAATAGTAAGAACCGAATTTACCAAAATGAGCCTCATCCCAAACAACATGGTTATTAGCTCCAATTTTATACATTCTGACAAAGATGCCGAAAAGAGTAAAAACAAATGGCATAATTATTGGTTCCCATTTGTTGGTAAAACAAAAAGAGCCTGACTTTGAAGTATCTTTAATAGTTTCGTCATTATCTGCGTTTTTTGTATAGGATTCTCTTCCATTATTGTGTTTATTCTCTAAAATATTCTTAGATCTTGAATGGAGCCCATCTTTTTCAGCATTGGGCTCGAAGGAGGTAGATGTAGCCATTATTCTACTTAAAAACAAAAAATCAATTTATTTAAAAGAAGGAGATAGATAACAAATATATATAGATGGATATATATCTGTATGCAGATAGGTATGTAGAAGGATAGATGGATAGGTGAGTGAGTGAGTAGATAGGTGGATAAGTAGACAGGTAAATGGATGTTTGTTTATAGAATATCAAAATTTTTAATTGACCTATGCAAAGTAGTAATTGATAAAAATAAGCCAAACCTAAAAAATAGCATAAGCAACCGCGAGTAAAATGAATAATAATTATAATAATAATAATAATAATAATAATAATAATAGGGAGAAGGAGAACAAGAAAGAGAGTGGTAGTTGGTTATGTTGGTATTTCTTTTCTCCATTAATTTTTCAATGTTTCAATATTTTTTTTTTATTTACTTATTTTTTTTCTCGAGAAAAGAAAAATTCGCAGAAAAGTCAAAAAAAAAAAAAAAACTGCCGTGTGAAACGAGAGAAACTGCGGCTCGAGAAAATTCCAATACTATCGTATGAAATGACACACAGAAGGAATGAAAGAAAGAAAAAAACGGAAGAAATTATTTTTTAGTGTTGTTTTTATTGGTTTCTTACTATTGCTGTTATTGGCTCTTCTGGGTTGTTCACCGTTATATAAACATAAATACACGTGTATTGAACAAGTGCCTGGTATCGTTTCCACCTTATTCCGCTGGTTAACTGGGGGGTTATCCTTGCGTGGATCCTGCAGTAACAATAAAGATGCGATCGTTTGAATAAACTCAAACTAGCAATGTCCAGATGGTTACATGTATCAGTATCAACGGGAAGGTTCCCCTTCATACTGTTATATGGCAATAGCAATGTTCTAATATATATATATATATATATATATATATGTTGCTCTGAATTACCCCCTTACTAGAGTCTGTCTATTTCTTTTTTTTTGTTCGTCAATTGGCACGGGATTCTAAGAAGCGGGAACACTATTGGTTTTCATATTAATAAAAATGAAACCTTCAACCAAGTGTTGTCGTGATACTACACACATTATATCTGTTTACATCTAAATGATTGTCATTATCATGAGATATGAATGGATTAATTTTCCCAAGAATAATAATCAAGAAGTTTATACATATTTCCCATACGAGATGGCAACAAAGTCTCCTCTTTCATTTTTATTATATTTTTTTCTAATAAAATCAAAATTGTGAATCCCTTTGTTGTTGTATGTGTTATGTACCTAACATTATGAATATGGGAAAGGTACTTTCTTAACATTCTATAACTTTTGATTTTTCTTTTTTCCTTTCTATCTTGTTGTATACATATTCTCAGATCGTTTCTGATAATTACTGTACAGTGACACACCTTGTTTCTTCGTTCATTATTTCGTTCATTGCGGTTTATGTTGAGAATTAATCCCATAACTTTGTCTTTTGCAAAAAATTTATTAGCAGGAAAAAAAAAGAAAAGAAAAGAAAAGAAAAAATTATTGTATTGTGTCATATTCTATTCTATTTTATTTTTTTTTTTATTCTTGTTTATTCCTTATGAAACTTCTTCGATGCTTATCTGTTGACTAAGCACATATGTGTCTGACACCACAGATATATACATGTATATATCCGCAGATATTGCAGATACCCTTGCACTTATCAAGTTTTATATATTTTTACTCTTACAATTTCAATCGTAGTATAGTGAAAAATAAAAAAATAAAAATAAAAAAAGATAATTGAGTATTAAAATGAATATTACTGGTGCTGCTACAAATAAAGTGCAACACGGTGAATTTCCTAGTGTTAGCAAGTCTTTTATCGAATCAGAGATCATTCCAGAATTACAGCAATGGTCTCTGTGTAATGGGTTAGTCTTAACCTCGAATGATGGCAACGGTAATGTCGCTAAAGTTGCTCCAACAACTGTCTTCCCAACTCCAATCCCACGTAAAGCTTTCGAACAAGCCAAGCTTTTACAAAAGTCATTTAATCAATTATATGCACAGATCTCGAATTCAGAATGGTTGGTTGAAGAATTAGAACAATTAGCTGCTGTGGATCCAGAGTTCACCGGCAAATTGTTTAAACTTTTTAAAGAATACACCTTAAAATCTAAACAAACAACTAAATTCGGTATCTTTAGATCAGATTACTTGGTTGACCGAAAATCTCAGTCTATCAAACAAGTCGAATTTAACACTGTATCTGTTTCATTCCCAGGTTTATCTAGTAAAGTTGGAGAATTGCATTCATTCTTAAATGCTATGGGTAAATACGATAACAAGGGGGATCCATTTTATCAAGCAGGAGAATTGCATGTCTCAGAATCAATCGTCTTTGTGGTTAGAGGTATTGCAAGTGCTATGAATCTTTATCAAGTGGATACTTCGAATAAAGTTAGAGAACAAGATGATAAAATTGTTTTGTTTGTTGTTGAAGAAAATGAATCTAATTTATATGATCAAAAATTGATTGAATATAATTTATTGAAAATTTATGGTATTAATTCTGTTAGATGTCCATTTAAAGATATCAAAACTCACTTTGAATATAGTACCGAGAATAAAAGGTTGATTCATAAAACAACTAACCGCGAAGTTGGTGTTGTTTACTACAGAACAGGATATGATCTCGCTGATTATATTGATACTTCGGCATGGGAAACTCGTGGTTTCTTGGAAGAATCATATGCTATTAAAGCACCAGATTTATCCATTCAATTAGCTGGGGCAAAGAAGATTCAACAATCTTTGACTAGGGAATCCATCATATCTAAATATGTCGATGATTCTATTGTCAAGAAGCAATTGATGGAGACATTTGTTAAGATTTACCCATTGGATGATTCTTCAGAAGGTTTGAAAGGTCAAAAATTGGTAATGGAAACTCCAGAAAACTATGTTTTGAAACCACAAAGAGAAGGTGGCGGTCATAATGTTTATAAAAAAGATATTCCTGAATTCTTAAACAAATTACCAAAGGAACAATGGAAGGCATACATTTTAATGGAAATTATTGATACTGCTTCTAGAAAGGAAAACTACATTGTTCGTGATGGTAAATTATCTAGTGAACCAATTATTAGTGAATTGGGTATCTATGGTACCATTGTCTTCGATAAAAATCATATTTCTAAGAATGATTATAGTGGTTCTTTATTAAGATCCAAATTAATGACTTCTAACGAAGGTGGTGTTGTTGCAGGTTATGGTTGTATTGACAGTATGTATTTGTTCTAATACAAAAACAAAAAAGTTGAGAAGGATATTAAGTAAACTGGATCTGGTATTTAACAATATTATGTGTAACTGATTAAAAGTCTAAAAAACAAGATAAGAGAAATGAACAAATTAATTTTGTAGATAATATTAATGTAGATAGATAAATATAATAGGCATATTTAAAAACTATAAGCTAATAGAATAAAACAAGTAGAGAAGCATAGGTTAGTTTATATATTATATATGTTCAACATTTATTATCATCTCTTGTTTTTTAATTTTCTTTTTTACTTTTTGTTTTATTTGCTATATTATCAGATTCTAGAATATTAGAAGCCCAAAGAGCTCCTGCTACAACATTGCTGATCATTGTAATAACAGAGAATAATGGAATGGAGTCAAGTATACTGATTATTATACCAAATATAATAAAATCACATTTATTCATTAGTTCAAATTGTTTAATTTGGTTCTTTGACCAATTTTGTTCTTTAAAGAAGGGCTGTAAATATTTTCTTGTTCTGTCATTAATCCCAAAGATATCGACAATAAAGGGACCTAGTAAAGGTATAAAAGAAAGAAACATCAGAACCATTTTAAATGAATATTTTCTAATCCATTTTAAGAACTGAATTATCCACCACCAATCATTGAATTGTTTATTTAAATTTGGATTTTCATAATTTTGGATCAAAATTTGATGTTGTGCGGACTTACACTCAGAGATGGTTAATTTATAAATTTGCCAATTTAAATTTGGGAGTAATAATTTCTTACAAAGGTGATTACTTATCATATTAGAGATTAAAATCCATTGTATATGTAATAAAAGGGCACCTAAGGGGCCTAAAAGAATAACACTTAGTCCTAGCCCCCATGGTATTATGGCGATATAAAGTAACGTTGCTACAAGAGCAAAAGTTATGCTATAAAATATTAAAAAAAACAGTAAAAATTTCCAATAAACACTTTTTGTTAAAGTTAACCATAGACCCTGGAGAATAATAAGTAGAAATACACAAATTTAATGAATTATGGAGATGTTAGTAAAAAGAAAAAAAGTTGGAGTAGAAAAGGCTATATCTTACTACTATCGGAATTTGAAAACTTATTTATCTTTGGGTATTTAAAACATACATGAATTGTATACCAAAGAATTTTTGAATGGGTTAAATCATTCAATAAATCATTCTTTATATAATAATATTTTATTTTTAATTTATACAAAATGGCATTTATAGACCAATAGGAGTTATGAATCTGTTTCATGTGGCAGCAGTGTAAACTTAGGGTTTTTCGATAACTTCCAACAAGAGTAACTTTAGAAAGAGAATAACAGGTGTATATTTATAAAAAAAAGTTAATAACTCAATAATATGAGTTTGAATTTTTTTAGCCTTTTATCTTCTTTTACAATGTGATTTTCCTTTCAGTAAATTTTTTTTAGATTATACATATTTATATATACATATATTTATATACGTGAAACATGAAAATGAAAAACTTTTGCACAGTTAAACAGATATATTTATGCGTATGTATTTAAAAAAGTATTTTTGAGAAACGTCTGGTATAAATAAGGGTATTAATTAATTTACATGTAAGTTAGTTGGTTTGATTTTGCTTTGTCTTGTTTTATCATTTGTGGATATCTAGTATTTATGTATGTGATTTCTTGGTAAATAGAGAGTTTGTTGTCTTTGTAAACCACTTTTTAGCACTTGTCTTTAACTTATGATTTTTCAATGATCCTACTTGTTCATTTTGTTCAAGTGACTTTTCTTGTTGTAGTAGAGATTCTCTTTCTTTTAAAAAGGTTTCCATAGACCATGTCAAATATTCTTCCTTCACGCCAACAGGCAATTTATCGTATTGATTAAAAGTCAATGTTTTAGCAAAATATGTAAATACTGCATCTTTATTACCTTTATGTATAAAAATCTTTCTTTTAACCATTTTTATTTTTAAAAATAATGACGTAGAGATGCTGTAAGTAAAACTATATCATAAGTACAAAAGAAAAATGACAGGGAAATATAATTGTAAAATTCTATATTTTTTCTTTCTTGATTATGGTTACCAGTGAGATATATGTTTTGATATAATATGTTATACAGAAGTTATAAGCTACTTGAACAAAATATATGACATATCTTTTTATTTTTCAATATCGATATAATATATATAGATGTAGTTTTCTGTGGTATACATAAGTTTTAAGTTAATTACTCAAACAAAGGATAGAAAGAGAGAAAGAAAGAAAAAAAAAAGAGTTTTAAAAATTTAAGGACCTTCAATATTAGCAAAGGTTAAATTAATAATATACAGTAGGATGTGCATTTGTGTTCCGGAATATGTTTGTTTGTTGATCTCTTCTTCTTCCTTTGTTCTTTTTAATGTATTGTTTAAATTTTGTTATTTTCAAATTACGTGATTGGCACCCTTGTACGGAATCAGGATCAGTATGTACCGGTAAATATCAGTTGTTTTCAATAAATATTCTCAAGAAACTCGAAACCAAACATAATAAAAAAAAGGTTTTTACTAAACTAACATTGCATATATCTAACATATCCAATATTATTTAGTAATGTTATAATTACAAAAGATGTTTTTGCCTTTTGCTTTTTTCTTTACTTTTATTTACTACATTGATTAAATAAATAACATACAAAAAAAGAGAAAATAACAATAAAACCTAAACATTAAAAAAGAAGTCAGGAATGTATTATTGTCGTACTATCAATATGAAAATTTGCTCGACTTGTCTTTTCCCTATACATTTATAGTTAATGATTGAAAATACTTCTATTCTTCTTCTGGAACTTTTTTTTTTGTTTCTCCACATCCTTTTTGAATAAGTATATCCCCAATGTAAAATTGGAATAGTTTTATAATAGGTTGTCTAATTGTTATAGTATATTATTTTTTTCTCATAATAATAGATCAAAAAAATTTAGTATTAAATATGAAAAACACATTATATGTTACAATTATTTTCCACACATCAAGGTTTTTCTACACTTTATGACTCTTTTATCCTTACTCATGGCTCATTTTCACTACATCCTTAATAATATTCTGTTACAGTGGCATATCACTTTGAAGTAAAAAACCCTTTAACTTATCTATGAAACATTTTACGTCTTTCTCTAAAGGAGTAAAACCGGGATTTAAAATAGAAAAAGAAAGGAAAAAAGAAATAATGAGAACAAGAAAAGGTAAAAAAAAAAATCAGCAACATCTTATGTAGACTTTACAAAAGTTGAAGTGCAATTTTGTCTTAGTGTACACTATTTACCGAAATATAGAAGTTTTATAAGTTTATTTTGAATTATTAATAAACAATACTGACTTTTTTTATGGCAGCTTCCACGAATTCTAAGCTTGAAGACATTTTTAAAAAAAATTATGATATGAAGAAGAAATGACCACTGTTTCCAAATTACTATCCAATGACATGTTTAATGAAATATATGATACATCTAAAGATCAATATGATGAATGTATGCAGTATTACATAAGGAGGCAATACAAACAATGTTTAGAAACACTATTAGAATATGATTTGATCAAAACAGAACGGGGAAACCGGTTATTTATTAATTGTTGCTATAAGATACCAAGCTTCGATATATTGGGCAGATCATTTAAGTCTATATTGGATACTTCCTTTGGTGTTCATAAATGGGAAGAATATATCATTCAATTGAATATGAATGAGTTAAAGGACATAGCTATAGTAAATCGGATTTTACTGTGTTCTTATAAATGGCTGCTATGGACACAAAGTGATAAGGATCCTACAATAGTAGAAACATACTTACAATTTGTAGAGACTGTGTTATCTAGATCTTTAAAAGATGGTAGTAAACAAGTGGATGCCCTTTATGAATTGATTTTATTTTATATTAATGAAGTTAAAATTAAATTATTAAATGGATCTAGATCTATCACTCTATATACAAATATATGTGAAAGATATCCATTGATATCTAATATTTTATCTGAGAAAAGTGTCTTAGGACCCACTTATGAAGAATGTATCAAGAGTAAATTAAAACCAAAAATATTATTATCAAAGACAAAGAGAACGGATATGAGTCATGATATTAACAATGAACAACACAGCAACATAAAGAGAGAAGAAAATATCGATATTAGAGAGCCAGAGCCTATTATTAATCACATCATAGAAGAGAGTCATAACAATGATACTGATAATTATAAAAATAAAGTATTTATCACTACTACTAGCACTAGTAGTACTAACCTAAAAGATATGATATATCAGTACAAAAAACTTACTTATCACTATCTACAAGTTCTGAAAAATTCACCGTACAAAAAATTTCTCATCATAGGACTACTATTTATACTTTTGACTATTTACAAGAGTAGAAAACATATCAAAAGGATAAGTAACCTGATAAGAAAATTAATTTCTGCATCTTTATCTGTTTTGGATCAATATTAATGATACCATTGTATAATATGTTATTGTATATATATAAATGAATTCTCAACATAATTTGCATGTACGATGCCCTTCTATCCAAAGTATATACATACATATATACATGCAAGTAGCACCCATCTACCAACGATGCATCACTCAATTACTGCTGTACCATCACCCCACACTAGGTCTTTGTAATAGAACTAGCTAAACTCTTCAACCTTATGGTGCCGTGCTCAGTGATTCTAGTTTTAATTAGGGTTTTATAGGGTTGAGGGGAAATTCGAGAATTTCCTTTTGGATTTTTTCAATTTTTTTCTTTTTCTTCCTTCCCCCTTCTCCTCCTCCCCTTTTGAATTATTCATGTTTTTTTATTTTCTATCTTTCTTGTGAAGCATTTTTCCATAATAAGCAACATGAATAAGTAATGGGAGTTAATCAATTTGTCGGTTGACAGAAACAAGTTATCCATGATTTTAACAGAATAAAAATAAGAAGGTTCTTGCACAGGTTTAATCATATGCTGTTAATTAATTACTAACATTTTTATCATTTTCATTTGTAAGCATCCATAAAAGTTAAATAATAGCAAGTAAGTAGAAGATAGAAGCTTTTGACAGGCTTTATACATTACAAAAATATTTATCTTCTTTACACAATAAAATAACTTGTATTCACTTAATATTTGAAGTCATTCTAATTTTTTTTTTATTCACAGATATAATATATTTGATTACAAAGATGAATGCAGAGACGGAACACGGTAATAATAGTAATAACAAAGATAACAACACAGTTGAACAAGGGAATGGCGTTTCTCGCCAGGAAGATTTATATCCCCTAGCATTATTAATGGATGAATTAAAACATGATGATGTTGCAAATAGAGTAGAAGCAATGAAGAAATTGGACATTATTGCTATTGCACTTGGTCCTGAAAGAACAAGAGACGAATTGATCCCATTTTTAACCGAGGTAGCACAAGACGATGAAGATGAAGTATTTGCTGTATTAGCTGATGAACTAGGAAAATTTGTTCCTTATGTTGGTGGTTCCAAATTTGCTACTATTTTGTTACCTGCTTTGGAGATCTTGGCTTCCACTGAAGAAACTTTAGTTAGAGATAAAGCTGTTGACTCATTAAATGTTGTAGCCCAAGATTTGTCAGATGACCAAATTTTGAATGAATTTATTCCTTTGGTAGAGCATTTAGCTACTGCTGATTGGTTCTCCTCAAAAGTCTCCTCTTGTGGACTTTTCAAAGCTGTTATTGTTAGAGTAAAAGATAACACTTTAAGAAATAATTTATTAGCTTTATATCTGCAATTAGTACAAGATGATACCCCAATGGTTAGAAGAGCTGCAGCTAAACACTTATCGGGATTAATAGATTTATTTACTGAAAACACAAATTTAGCTACTGTGGAAGATTGGGAATATATATCTACTATGTTTCAAAAGATAAGTACCGATAATCAAGATTCTGTGAAATTTTTAGCTATTGATTGCTTAATTTCTATCTTGAAATACTTCAACATTAAGAAAGATACTACGCATTTTAAGGATTTATTAGAATCTGCTATTAAATTAATCACTGATGAAGCTTGGAGAGTTCGTTATATGGCAGCTGATAAATATTCCGCATTAGCTACTCAGTTTGTGGTAGATCAATCGTATATTAATGAATTATTGCCACCATTTTTATCCCTATGTGAAGATAATGAATGTGATGTTAGAAAGGCAATTGCAGAACAGGTTCCAGCCTTTGCAACATTATTAAAGGATTCTCCAAATATTATATCAACAAAGATTATTCCTGCTGTACAGAATTTGAGTATAGACGAAAATGAAACAGTTAGAGCGTCATTAGCATTGAAAATTACTAACTTAGTCTCAATTATGACAAAGGAACAAGCCATTGAACACCTTTTACCAATTTTATTAAATATGTTAAAGGACGAATTCCCTGAAGTAAGATTAAATATAATTGCCAATTTGAAAGCAGTTAATGAAGTAATTGGTATAGAAATGCTATCCGATTCACTGTTGCCTGCAATCACTGAATTGGCTAACGACGTCAATTGGAGAGTAAGACTGGCTATCATTGAATATATTCCAGTATTGGCAGAACATCTTGGTGTACAATTTTTTAATCAACAATTAAGTGACTTCTGTCTTTCATGGTTATGGGACACAGTATTTTCAATTAGACAAGCTGCAGTCAACAACCTAACAAAATTGACCAAGATTTTTGGCCCAGAGTGGTGTCGTGATGAAATCATATCAAGATTATTAAAATTTGACTCCCAGTTATTGGAGAATTTTATTTATAGATTTACTTTATTATCTGCATTAACAGCCTTAGTTCCAGTTATATCATTAGATGCAGTGACTGATCAAGTACTTCCATTTGTTAAACACTTAGCTGATGATGCAGTTCCTAATATAAGATTTAATGCAGCCAAATCATATACTGTTATTGTGGAGGCGCTAGTGACAAAAGATAAACAAACGTATTTATCATTGATTCAAGATACAATCTTACCATCTCTTCAGAAGCTTATAAAAGATGATGATATTGATGTCAAATATTTTGCTCAACAAAGTTTAAACAAATGCAATGAACTTCTCAAGTAAGGATAATGGGAGGAATAATAGATATCAAATTTTTTTTTCCTCTTTTTCAATTTCATAAAGCTTCACCCCATTTTTAATCATTATTCTCATTACTTAATGAATTATTGAATTGGTACATACTACTACTATATATATTATTACTAACATAAAGTACCTTGAAAAAATAAATAAGAAATGAATTTCAACAAAAAAATGCGCATGCAGTACATTCTAGAGCCCAAAAATGAACTCAAAACAGCTAAGTTTTAGACTATTTTAAAAACAACTTAGCTATATACAAGTTCCAAATCTAATCTTTATATGTATCTTCCTCAGTGAAATACAAATAACATTCAAACATATCTTAATAGTTAAACTTTATTGCATAAACAAATATAATGATGAACATGAGCACTATGTCTGGCTCTTGTACTGTTCTATCATGATTATCTGTCGAGAATTGCTTTTTAGTTCAACAAAAAATAGGAAAGATTTTGATCACAGACAGTTACAAATACTGGAACAATTTTTAAAGGAATGGAATTTTCCAAAGATCAAAAATAATGAAAAAAATAAATTCCGAAAAAGCAAGGATCCGCCTAAAAAAATAAAGATGTTAGGAAATGAAACAAGCCATAATATATTATACAATCACCAGCTGTTCAAAGGCTCCTTTAAAACAAGATCCTCAACTTCCCATTGAGAACTATTTAACTGTATCTTAAACTACACCTGACTATACTCTCATGTAATATAAATACTATAAATACATTTATCTAAATATTTTTCCAAATAAAAATAAAAAAATAGAAAAAAAGCCAAAAAAATGTTTAAAAGACCATTTGTTCCTGTTAATACGAAAGGCGTAAACAATTTAGCTAAAAAGTTTACTCCAGTATCAAGAAACCTTAAATTTACTCTATTGACATATAATATTTTATCACCTTCATATATGTGGCCAAAAGTTTACACATATGTGCCAGAAAAATATAAAGATTGGAATTTCAGACATAAATTGCTGGAACATGAAATAATGCATTTATATAAAGCTGATATTATGTGTTTTCAAGAAATGACACATAAAGATTATAATGAGTTTTGGGCTCCTATGGCTTTACAGAAACTTCAGATGAAATCTAAGTTTATTTCTAAGACAGCCCCTAAATATTGGACATCCTCTGACGAACAGTTAGACGGATGCAGTATATTTTACAATCAAAATATGTTCGAATTCATCTCTTCCAAAGGAATCTATTTAAATCAATTATTAAGTGCTTTCAATGAACAGGAATTATTATATCTATCCACTAGAGAATTACAATTGACTGACGGTGGCGGCAATCCAATGGGTACGACTAGTCTTTTACAATTTTTAAGAGATAGAAATCAAGTCTGTCTCTTTGTTACTTTAAGACATAAACCTTCAGATCTGATTTTTGTTATTATAAATACTCATCTTTATTGGAAATATGATGATGTAAAGTTGTCACAATGTTTAGTCATAATGAGAGAATTAAATAGCATTGTAAATGGTCTACTAAAAGCAGCAAAAGAGGATTTGGATGTAACTAGTGATAAAGTTAGAATACTTTTTACTGGTGATTTGAATTCTACTAAAAAGGAAACGGTCATTAATTTCCTTAGAGGCCAAATTATTAATACAATGGACTTGAATCTTGTTAACCCAATGAGAACATATTTAAATCATTGTGTGTATGATGATATTCCAAGGGAATGTTTTGAATATACATGTTATTCTGGGAAATTGAAAGGTATATTCGACTATATTTGGTACCATGATACACATTTTGAATTATCAAAAATTCTTAATGGTAAAGAAGTATCTAAAGAATTGAAATTTAAGAATCAATTTGGTTTACCAAATGACGACCATCCAAGTGATCATATACCTTTATTAGCAGAGTTTAAAATTTTACTTTGAACTTGAATAATAATGATCATATTGCACAATTTCCCTCAATTATCCTTTTTACATGTATCATCTAAAAATCTTTCTTTCAGAGGAAAATAAAGAGTATGTTTAATTAAGTGGAATTCTTTTCACAAATGCTCTTAATTTATATTATGAAAGGTGATCTGTTTCAAATATTTATTCCTATATTTATATTCAAACTAATGTTATCAGTACAAATGGAGATATTATTCTATCTATAAAAAAAAAAATATAAAAAAAATAATAAACTAATGATTATATCATTTTATCCACATGTTATACGTGATAATATCAACAGAAATATATTATTTTCCCATCATATCCTTTTAATAACCTTTCTTTGCTTTAGTAAACATGATCATTTAACAAAATAATGCTTGTAATTATCGATAAGTATTCATAACCTTTCAACTAATCCTGAAACATATATAGATAACATCCTTAATATTATATAAAATGAAATAAACAATACTTAGCAATTCTAATATAATCTCTATCTTCAATTTCGTAAAATTTTGATTTCGAACCTAGAATAGCATTGTTTTTCTTTTTTCTTTTAATTTAAACAAATCTCCTCTTTGAAAACTACTATACATGGGATCTTTAGTACAAATATGTAGATATATATGCTTATGGATATTCCTAGTGGATTGGCTTATTTATATGCACATTTATATATATAGCGTGGCAACCAATATAACAGCGTCATGTACGATATTCACTAAAATAAAGACAAAACAGAAGTAACGTTAACGAATTGTTCTCTATTAATGATACCATTAATATGGATTAATTATCATTTTCATTATCATTTCTTATCATTAGCTTGTGCCTTTTTGTAAGCTATCGATCTTTTAGTGACCCTACCATCTTTAGATCTTGGTTTGCGTTTTCTCAATAAAGAACCAATCTTACCTTTACTATTCTTTTCGGCTCTCATACCTTCAATTGTCAACTCCTTTCCTAAAGTGGCCCTATCCGCTTTATTTAAGATTTTCTTAGCCCTACCTAGTTTAGTTTTTTGTTGCTCATTCAATATTTTATTACTATTGTCAATTCCGTTATTTTTATCATTATTAAATTTTGATTTAATATTCTTACATCTAGTTATTCTTAATTTCCTACTCTTACCAGAATGAATTGATTTCATTGGTTTATCATTTAATAAAAGTGCTTTGTTAACAGATTCTAATTCCTTAAATTGAACATAAGCAAAACCTTTACCTACATTAGTTTTAGAGTCACGGACAATACGCACATAATCAATTTCACCAATTGGACTAAAATGGCTCCAAAGAGATTCTTCATCTTCTTCAAAATCTAAATTACCAACAAAGATCGACTTCTGTTTGTAATGTGGAGCTGGATGTGCAACAGAATCTACTCTTAAATGACGTGAATCAAAAACATAACCGTTAAATTGCTCACAAAATTTGGAAAGTCCATCACTCTTAGAATAAACTATATATGCGTTGATTGAATGACGATCTTTATGGAAAGATTGTCTTGCAAACGCAATCTTTCTTGGTAATGGCTCATCAAAAGAAATTGATCTAAATCTAATACTCTGAATAGTAATATCTTTATTCTCTGGTGAAAACAGTTTTTTGAATCGTTTGTAAGTGTCTCTCGATGTAATTACTTCAGTTGGAACATTACCAACAAAGATTGTTCTTTGAGCTTTTTCAATTTCATCTTGCTTGAAATCAATTTGTTTGGCTGGTTTAGCAACTTCTTTATTCTCTGAGTCTGACGTAAGTTCACTTTGAGCCTCCTTCTTATCATCATTTTTATTTTCTTGATCGTCTTCTTTAATCAACTTTTCAAAATACTTACTTTCTAAATCATCATTTTCGTCCTTACTAGAATTCTTTTTTTTTTTTTTAATTTGTTTTTGATCATTTTCTTCAGTGATATTTTCAAAATTTGTTGTAGTTGAAATTTCATCTATTTCTGTGGTATCATAATTATCTTGTCCAATTTTATTTTGTCTTACAGGGATAATCTTTTCAATACTATTTGAGTTTTGAAATAGACTGGCAATTGAAGAATTCTTTGGTGCGTCCTTCCCGAATAATTGATCAATGGAAGATGACATGCTAGTTATAAATATTAAAATGGTTTTTCTCTTTCTATCTTTTCAGGTATATAAATATATTATCTTTTCTTTACAGGTATATATATTTGCTTCAAAAAAAAAAAACAACAACAATTACTAAAAGAGCCCCACTTATTTGAATTGTTGTAGGTCCTTTAATTGAAAATCAAAACAGTGTTTTAGCTAGTAATACTATATCAATAGTATCATATTTTGGGCCCATCAGTCCAACGAAGATAAAAAATGTATCCATTTTGCAAGCTCATCTCTTCGTCTACACAGAAATATACCAAAAAAAAATAAAAAAAGTTAGCAGCATTAAAGAAAATTTTTAGTAAAGCAAGAAATTTCTTTTCTTTCAAGGTTTTCCTATTTAAGATATGTTCAGATTTCTCTTACCAAAGAGGGAAATAATGTACTTTAATAGGATTATTTTTCATTTGATATAGGTAACAGTAATGACACCAAACACTAATGGAATCAATCTAGTGTTATAGCGACGTATTATATGTAGCTGAAATTTGTAAATTAGTTAATTCAGATACACGGATAGAGGAGTTGAAATAAATCCAAAGATCGAACCTAATGATTAGAGTCTATTTACATGCGCCATCTACATAATGACTATATCACTTTAGGTATTGATAGCTGCAAATCAAATGATCCTTATTTCTTTCTAACATTCAATAATTTACACACACACATATATATATATATCTTATTCCTTTTTTTTGTTAGTTGACATCTTCTTATTAGAGAAGAATCTTATATTCTTGTTTATATATAGTTAATTACTTATATATATATATATATTATAGATAGATAGTAGTTAAAGGATAAGAAATGTATGAGATATAAGATTAAAATAAAGTAAAAGAAATAAAGTAAAAAGAAACCCTATAAATTGCTTTATTTTAATGGAATAAAACGAGAAGTGGTGGCACCAGCTCTACCATGTCTAACTGGGGTGTAAGTGATGGAGAATTCACCCAAGTAGTGACCCAACATTTCTGGTCTGATTTCGACTTGGTTGAAAACCTTACCGTTGTAGATACCAACAATAGAACCAATCATTTCTGGAACAACAATCATATTTCTTAAATGGGTTCTAACAACAGCTGGCTTTTCGTTTTCTGGAGCAGCTAATTTAGCAGCTCTTAATTTCTTTAAGAAACCAGCTGGCTTAGTAGATAAACCTCTAGCAAATCTTCTTCTGACTCTAGCTGGGGTTAACTTAATGAAGTCTTCAGTAGACATTTCCATTAATTTATCTAATTCGACACCTCTGTAAGAATGGGTCTTGAAAGTTCTCTTCTTAGTAGCAGTGGTAGCAGACATCTTGGATCTTCGGTAAGTGTATGTGCTTCTGTCTTAGAGTCTTGGTGTGGGGTTCTTCTTTCCAGAAAGACAAGGTAACGTTAAAACAAGGGCAACTATTAATAACAGAGGGGCCTAATTAAAACAAGGTGAACTAAATAATATGGACAAAGCATCAAATATTACAAGGAAGACAAAGAAGAGCATTACCTTGAAATAATACATGATACAGACCGCAAAACAAAAGTTACTAATAGGAGAGAAAATGCCGTACACAACCCAGAATCAAGATAATCTTGAGTAAGAAGGACCACGAAAAAGTGGAATAATATTAATCTCAAAACGGAACTAAAGAGAATTTGGAAAATCGTCTATAACATTCAATTCAGGAAAGAGAAAACGTTTAATGTCTCTGAATAAGATTGACGAAAGTGTGAGACGGATGGACAATTAGGATGATGTAAATATTACATTCACAAAAGAGTTTAATGGTGTGTCCCCATGAAAGGAAGAAGTGTTTCTAGATAGAGAGAAAGGATTTTGTTACTACGCATTAGTCAGACGGACAGACAGACAAACAGACAGACAGAGGGAAAAGAAAGTTATTCGAGCCTACAGAAACGATTTCTTCTGGAAGCGGGAGGCAAAAGTCTATTACAAAAATTGAGACTTCACCAACCATAGTCACCCATCACAACGGATAGATGAGTGATTACGATTATTAAACATTAATATCTGAGAACAGAAGGACGCGCAAAAGAAAAAAAAAGAAAATTGCATAAGAATATGCAAGTAACAGATATACAGGACTGTTATAAATCCTTACATCACAGTATAAGCCTTGCTTTTTTTTAGCATTACATTATAGAGCATGGTGAGAAAAGCAATCAATTTTTTCCTTCTTTGTTCAGCATAGAGTCTTTTTTCTCCGCTTAATATACCTTTCCTAGATAAATAAATAAGAAAAAAATGAAAAAAAAACAAAACAAAACAAAACAACAGAGATTAAGGTAAAAACGGATTTGGAGAGGAGAAGGCATTCTTGCCTCCCTGTGTGAATTAATTGCTTCTACCATTACTAGCAGTGGCTTTCTTTCCCTTCTCCTCCCCAATTCCTCTGGTTTCCTCGTCATATTCCAATGTTTTGGCAGGAAAACTTAGAAACGGTTTCTGTTTAAACTTTGTCAAGAGGTAACAAGGAGTCCACAACACATCGACACAGAACAACGAAAGTACAGGACACCAGGTAACCCAACCCGCCTAGCCAAATTGTCTGGCTATGCCTGTGTTAATTATTATTTTCACATCCTAACAGAGACCCTGGAGACAGAAGGATGGAGAACATAATATTGCAATAATTCTGTTTACCACCACCATCTCTTGGAAACTTAATACTGAAAGCTTTAGTAGTGTATGATGATTATCATTTTGATTACTATTACTATCATCTACTGCTATTACGATTAGACGATACACTATTATTTCTAATATTTGGGCACTAAGCTGGTTCAACGCTATCAGTGATGTTTGCATATGTGCTTTTGCTGCCTAGGTGGGGTTTTCCTATTATGAGCTAATACATCTTTTATCCTGATCTTTTTTTCTTCATCTTGTCGATTCTTAAAAGAAGGAGTGCAATAAACCAAGGACCCTAAAGATGAAGTACTTAGCTGCCTACCTTTTATTAAACGCCGCCGGTAACACTCCAAACGCTGAAAACGTTAAATCTGTTCTTTCTGCTGTTGGTATTGAAATCGATGAAGAAAGAGTCTCTGCTTTAGTTTCTTCTTTAGAAGGTAAGTCCATTGAAGAATTAATCGAAGAAGGTAACACCAAATTATCTTCTGTTCCAGCTGCTGCCCCAGCTGCCGGTGCTGCCGGTACTGCTGGTGCTGCTTCTGGTGAAGCTGCTGAAGAAGCTGCTGCTGAAGAAGAAGAAGAATCCGATGAAGACATGGGTTTCGGTTTATTCGATTAGATTAAGAGAAAAGAAGAGATAACGTTTTTTATTTTTTTTTAAATTTTTAAAGGAAAAAATACACAAGAATAATAATAATAATAATGATGAATATTACGAATGTGTATTATTACTATTATTATTATCAATAAACATTATGTAAGAACAGCATAAAACATCCTGTTTTCTTTCTAATTGCATTTGTTTATTATTCTTTTATTTTTGTATATTACTATCTTTTTTTTTTCTACTTACTTATATCTATTCGTCTTATCAAATAACATTTAATAATTGTATGCAATATATATATACATTTCCCTTATACATATATATTCATATAACAAACTTCAAATAAAATATCTAAAAAATAATACTTATAAAATTCCTAATACACGTCTACTGCTGACTTTGCAAGAAATGTTTTTTTTATATTAGAATGAATATGTAAAGCCAGAATGCTGTTATAGATGTGTCTATGTTCGATACATTTTCATATTTATTCATGAAAATTAATGACACGTATATCAAATTGAAAAATTTATTTTCTACAGACACCGGCAAATACTTAAGCAAGTAAGAAGCCAGTTAAGAACAAAGTGATTTACTAGTAGTGATAACCATAATATGTAAACTTGCGTTCTTCTAACCGTTCTGAAAAAAAAAAAAAAGAACAAAAAGAACAAGATAATTTTCCATATAACTGTATTATACTGACCTTAGAAGCAAAAATTAGATATATACTAAATGCTATTATGAAATCTCTGTATATATTGCTATTTGGGATAATATGCTTTACTAAAGCTATTAATCAAATTACATTATCTCCTTCTAATAAAGATGAGCATAATCGTAATGAAATAGATAACCAACTTATTGTTCCATCAGTTACAACCCAAACTCTTCAAGGATCAAAATTGGATGGTCCTAGATTATTACAACCTACAACAGACTCTGAATTGAATAAAAAAAAATTTATTCAAACCTGAAAAGGAATGGAAGGTGATTGGAGAAAATGATATTTTACCAAGAGATGGTTTAGATATTAGAATCAATATGGAGACCGGGTTAAAAGAAGCTAAACTATCAGATAATAAAGTATCCGACATTACAACAGATAGTGTCTATTCATTCTCTACACAATTCAAAGAAGTTTATGAACTGATCTCTAATAATGATTATAATAATGCATTACTAAAATTGGATGATTTATTAGAGTTTGTACACGATTATAAATACGGACAAGAAATTATTACACACGAGTGGACTTCCTTATCCAAATTGATGATGGATGAACAATTACCTGCTAACTTAAATGAAATCATAACAAGAATAGTTATAAGTGCAATGAGAAATAATCCACCAGTTATTGATTATATTAGAAACCATTCAGCTGATAGCTTAGTGACTAAATTATTTAGTAAGGTTGAGTTGTGTGATGATTTTATTTTATTGAAAAGATATGTCACATTTTTAGAGCAATTCTTGGATCCAAAACAAGTTACGTCACAGAATTTAAATATCTTATATTCAATTTTTAACAGATCATCCGATAAACAATTGAAATGGAAAATATTACATATCGTTTCATATTTCTATACTCATGGACAATTCATGGATTTAGAACATGATTCATTGTGGTTTAAGCACTATTTGGCTATGATAGAAGATTCAGCTGCTGATGAATACCATATAAGATTGTTTTTTGATACATTATATGATATAAAATTACATTATGGCAATAATATTCAAGTTCCATCCAGCTTTCTTAATTGGTTAAATAATCAAATACAAATTAGAGAAAACATTAATGATTTAAGTGAAAGAGACCCTGAACAAATTGAATTTAATGATAGATTGAAAGAAAGTAGACATAATGTTTTTGGTAACCCTATGGCAGGTCGTATTAAACATTTTAATGATGAACTGTAAATGTAATCATTTCCCGAAACATAAAGCAAATGTGTAAAACAATGAATGCTATTAAGTTATTTATAAAATCGTTAAGAACTCTCCAAACTGATAAGATCGATCTTTATTCCTAAAAGTCGGTTAATTAACATAGGATAAAAAAAAATATGAATAAGATTAGGGAAAAAATGCATTATTTATGTGTTGTTGTACTCCAGATATATACCTTTCTCTCTCTATATATATATCTATGTATTTATTTATTCACTTGTGACTTCATCTAAAAATGTCCCATCATTAGCTAATCTCTTTTTAAACTTATCCCACCAAGTATCAAATCTTTTTATAGAAACATTTCCGTTCATATCAAGGAACCCTGAGAGATAATTATACGCGTGTTGCACAATCTTTGCCGCCAGATCTTGGGTTAATTTAGGATACATCTTAGCTAATTGCCCTGGTGTATTAATTCCTTTGTTATTTACTGTAACTAAAGCCATAGAATTGACATTTGTATTATTCATAGGATTATTCTGGGTTCCTGTTCGAAGTTGCTTCCATTGATTTACTTTTTCCATGCCTTCTGTCCTAGGTTCGATAGATATTCCAATTATTAATTGTGATAAATTAGATGTGTTCATATTATTAGATATATTCTCATTGATATTATCATCCTCCATATCAATTTCTCCTAAACCTTCATTTTGTTCACTTTCATCGATATTATTAGACATACCATTATTATTATTTAATTTTACTTTAAAAATGGCACTTGGTTTTTCTTGTGATAAATATCCAAATATTTTAAAATCTTCATTGGGTCCTAATTTGAAAAATACAATTGCAACAAAATCTGATGGGAAAGTTACATTAGGTAAAATAAATAAAGTGATATGAGAATAATTTCTAGGTTTTGTTGAAGAAAGAACTAAAGTATGTTGCAATCCGTTGGAATTGGGTACTTCTTCTGATAACTGTAATGGATTCCCTGATGCAATAGCAGCAAACATTATCGATAAATTCCAGTAATTAATAATGACCTATTTGTTTTATGTTACAAAGAATAGACAATCGGCTAAAATATCTATTCAAACCTTCTGCTCCTCTATATAATTTAATTAGATTATAGAGAAAAAACGAGTGTATATGACTCTATCCAAAAGAACTAAAAAAAAAAATCTGAGGATGAAATGAATAGTTATTAACTGCATCTATTTACAAGCAAATAAATATTGATATACACATAACCCCGTGCTACATGAAAGAGAGGTTGAATCTAATCTTTGTTATCTTCATATATAGTCAATTGTCTTATTTGTTTTATTACTAAATTTCTTTTTTTCTCATCTTTCAAAAAAGGAGGGAGAAAATGAAAAATTAAAAAAAAACAAAGTATTGGAATTTTCTCGAAAATTCTCACAGCTTAAAGTCAAAAAAAGCTAAAGCTAATGTGAGCTAACTATCCAAATTTGAATATGATAGATAACAGAGCCATCTGTCTATAACATCTATTATGTCACACTTAGTAAATGAATCATAAAGATTTTATGCTATGCCATTTACCTTCAAAAGCAAAAAAAAAACACAAAAACAAAATTATCTTATCTTCTATTTCTTTTTCCTGTTAAGAATCAATTATAATTTCAATTTATTTTGAAGATAATATTCAAAGTCCTGCAACCTCTGTTGTGTGCTTTTTAAACCTAAAATATCTACTATCACGGGCAGTTTTACCCCTGATCCTAATCCAGTTAATGCATACCTAATACTCTTGTAAACTGTTTGTTTATTTAGATCTTGCCGCTCATGCCGATCTGTAATCACATTTTCCAGAATTTGATGGATGTCCTTTTTTGAATTTAATTGTTCCCTTACATATGCAACTAATTTTATAATATTTTCCCTATTATTTGCATTGATAAATGATCCATATTCTTCGAGATATATTGGTCTTTGAAAGAAGTATTCAAAGGTACTTGTAAATTCAGTGATGCTATTCAAAGAACTGCCACATTTTATTAGAATTTCTCTGATCAACTTCTCTGATATTATTTTAGGGTCAAATTTTGTTTTACATTCAGGTATTAAAGTCTTTATTAAACTGTTAATTTCTTTTGAATGAATTTTTTTTTGCAAGAAATGTTTATTGAAAAATTTCAATTTCTTATTATCCACTTTCACATTCCCCTTTGTCAAATGGTTTAGATTAAATATTTCTACTAGTTGATCTAAAGTAAAACATTCATGAGTCTTCTGACTAAAATCTCTTGGCGGAGACCAACCTAATAAAGCCACGAAATTAACTAATGCTTCAGGTAGAATCCCTGCATTTTTTAGTCCTAACACAGATGAATCACCATGTCTCTTACTCAGCTTTTTGTCATTTGATAAATTGGTTAACAATGGAATATGTATATATTTCGGTGGAGTCCATCCAAATGCTTCATATAGTGCCAAATGCTTGGGTGTTGATGATAACCATTCTTCCCCTCTAACAACATGTGTTATACCCATTAAATGGTCATCAATCACATTAGCCAAATGGTATGTAGGGTATCCATCTGATTTTAGTAATACTGGATCATCAAATCCACGACGTTCTTTCCTTTCTACAATCAACACCTTTCCGTGTAATAAATCATTTACATAAATTGCCCCCTTATCCATTTTCAATCTTACAGTATATGGTCTTTTTTGTTCATGCTCTAATTTATTACATTCTTCTTCAGTCAATCTTTCACAATGTCTATCGTATCCTTCATGTCTCAGTGAAACAAGTCTTTCTTTCGAACAAAAGCATTTATATGCTACTCTTTTCTTTAATAAAGTATCTACATATTTTGCATATAAACCTTCTGTAGTTCTTAAACTTTGTTTAAACATAGGTCTGTCCCAATGAATTCCACACCATTCTAGTGTATCCACGATATTGGATTCTGCTTGTTCATGATATCTTTTCCTATCAGTGTCTTCTAACCGTAGGATAAATTTACCACCAGTGTTACGAGCTAGTAAATAATTGTATAAAGCTGTTCTAAGAGATCCCAAATGTAATAATCCTGTTGGCGAAGGAGCAAATCTGGTGATGGCTGGTTCCTTAGGATGAACATCTTTTTTTTTTTGTTTATAGATTGGGTTTCTTGAATGGAAATATTTCCTTCCTATACTCCATCTCGACAATGATCTGTGTGATAGAAGTAACAGATTGAATCTCATTTTCTTGTGTTGTCTGTTTACCCTTTCTTGCCTGAAAGGTTGACTGATTGGCAAAGTTATACAATGTAATCATCTATTCGTCAATTTTTTCCTTATGAATCGCTCTCTTTTCTTTTTTTTACTTTATATATTCTCGATCCTATTCATAATGAAAAAAAAAAAATAAAAAAATAAATATAAAAACTTTAATATCGACCTTAACAGATTATATAATAGAGATATCTTTATATTTGGTGCATAGGCATTATTATTAATTGATAATTTCATTGCAAAGGTCATGTTTTAGCCTATATATATATATTTCCTAGGTAAGTACTAAAGAGTAATAGCCTGCTATATATTTATATATATATGCATTAACTTTAAAATTGTCTATCATTAACTTATAAATTTAGCAACATACTAATATAAATCTCAGAAAACATAATTACTAGTCTCACCGAAATGAAGCATATCTGGATTTTCATTTGGGTTGGGTATCCAAGGACCTGCCATCACACAATGAATCCTCATTTTTGGATGGTAATGAAGATTTGTTAAAAGCTTGGGTGTAATCAAGAAATATTGTGATGTATTTTCAGCACATGCATTCTCTACCATTGCTTTATGCACAATCCTTTCATTTCTTTGATCCATACCTTGATTAATTTCATCAACAACCCTAAATGGTGCCATAGTAAATTCTTGTAATGCTATCATATACAATATCGTTGATACTGCACGCTCACCACCAGATTGGGTATGTGAATCTAATCTTTTTAATGGAGCAGTATCTCTAAATTTTACCAAAATTTCAACGTTCCATTCATTGTATAATGTAAGTTTTTCTAATCTTACCTCACCAGCACTACCAACATTAACAAATAACCTACCAAACTTTGCTGATATCTGGGAAATAATTGACTCTAATTGTGGAACTAATATTTCATGCTTTTTCTCAATTTCTGTTTTAGTCTCTTTCAAACCACTCACCAATTTTGGTAATTCACTTTCCAATTCCTCAATTTCTTTTTCTACATTTTGTAAAATAGTAATTGAAGAAGCGTCATGATTTATCATAGACACTTCAGATTCTAATTTATCAATCATATCCTTAATGAAAGAAACATTAAAGTTATCATTCTTTTCATATTCTTCAGCATATTTATTTAATGTGATCTTTAAAGTATTATCATACTGTTTAATTTGTTCCATCCAGCTTTTATAATCATCTGTATCCCTCATATCTTTGACAATTTCCTTTTTACTCTGGTATTCTTTCCTTAAGTCTTCTTCTCTTTCTAATAAATTGCTTAATACATCAGTTAATGTAATTTGAAAGTTCTGGTTTTCAAACAGTTTAATATCATTCTCAATTAGTTTATCTTGAAAACTTTTCATCTTATTTGTACAATCAATCATCTGTTTGACAAGATTAGTTTGTTTTTTTAAATTTTGAAATATTGCCTGTTTAACATTTTGAATGTTGTTACTTACATCTTTATTTGCTTCATGTTTTAAACTTTTGATTACTTCTTTTAGAGTTTCAATATCTTGAATTAAACTGCTGTGCTTATTGTGGAGGTTGTTCCATTTGTGCAACTTAATACTTAATTCATCTAGGTTTTTATTGATTTCAGAATTCTCTGCACTTAAGTGACCTTTTTCAGAAGACAAATTCTCAATTTCTTGTTTTCTTTCATCAATCTTTAATTGCCTCTCCTCAATCTCGCGATTGATTCTAGCTTTATCATCATCTGTCATAACATTTGTTTGATATAAATTGGTATTTTTAATTTCACTTTCACGAGTAAAAATATGCTTTGATCTGGATTTTTGAACTGTTATAAGTGAAGTACCATGAATAAATTTTTTGAAAATGATTTGACCATCTTTGGGGTTGCACAGTCTTTCTACCTGCGTGATGGATAACTCTTTGGTAGAAATGGGAATTAAATGTATATTACTTGTTTGACAGAGCATATCAATGACCTTTGAATTTCCTTTAACAAAATCAGATAAATATCCATCAAATCCAAAAGATTTTACTTCATCCGGAGACAATCTATGTTGATTAAAATTGAAAGCAGGATCTAATTCTCTTAAGTTGACCTTATATTGTAATAACTCCTTATTGAATTTTTCATATGTTGAGGAGTCTTTTAGTGTTATCGCTTTACTTGTATTAGAATCTACACATACATTTAAATATGCAGCCAATTTTGGACTTTCCATGGAAACTGTCATAGTTGGCGGCTCCCAGATACAATCTTTCATTTCATCATGTTTTTGTCTAATATAATGGATAGCTCTTTGTAAATCACTAGTGTTTGGTATCTTGTTTAATATTGATATCTTATCATCAGATGTTAATTGTCTTTTAATACTTGAAATTTGCTGGTTCAATTGATTAATGTCATTGTTATGCTGACGTGCTTTATTATTCAACTCCGAAATTTTAAATTCAATTAATTGCTGCTTATCGAGTAATTGACTTTTTTCTTTATCGATATTAGTCAAGTCATCATTGTTTGGTAAAACTTCAGTTAATTTGGTCAGTTCTCTCTCTTTGGATGTTAGTTCTGTCTGTTTTTCCCTAATATTAGTCCTCACTCTCTCTGTTCTATTTTCATAATATTCAATTTGGTTTTTTTTCTTGTTAATATCATCTTTTAATTGAGACATTGTGGATTGTATATCTTTGATTTTCAATTCGAAACCTCTTATGGAATTAGTTATCTCTATACGTTTTCTTTTGGATTTTTCTAAATTAGTGGTTATTTTTTCTTGAATTTGTATAAAGGGTCTTTTTTCATTCATTAAATCTTTCAGTTGATTTTTAGCAATTTTATAATCATTTTTATACGTCTTTAGTTTCAGCTTATGATCTTTAATATAGACATATGGTAGTAGATCCTTATGGTATTCGATTTCCTTCATCTTTTCCTCATATTCTTTTAACAAAGATACTTTTTCATTCAATACCTGTCTTTTTTGAAGCAGATTTTCTAAATTTGTCTTCTTTAAATCAATTTCTCTTTGTGTAGTTATTTCGTTGTCTTGTAAACTTTTCAATTCTTCAAATATTATTAATAATTTAGAATCAATTGATCTTATTGTTTCGATCAATAGTTTATCGGATTTTAATCTGGCGAATTCTTCTACTCTTTCCTGAGATAAAAATTGACACAAATTATCTAATTGTATATTAAATTTATTAATAATCAAGTTTCTCACTTGTTGTTCAGTACTATCCTGATCATTTATTTGATATGAAGATTTTTTTCTGTTTCTATAAATAAATCTTGTCACTTTAACTGTTCCGGTTTGTAAATTACTTGAATCTCTTAAATAAGTATCGATTCTTGCTAAATCTTCACCATTTTTGATGAAATCCTCCACCTTTTTCATTCTACCGATATACTCTGTTTTGCCAGATAAACCTAAACAAATGGCACAAACAAAAGTGGATTTACCTGACCCATTAGGACCAATGATCATATTTAAAGATGGTGATAGAGTGAATTCTGTCAATTTATAAGTGACAAAATTATGTAATATCAATTTAATTAATGATCCATCCTTATACTCATTTAGATCTATATGTTCATTAATTTTTAATCTTTTGTTGTTGTTATTATTGGAGGTAGTATAATTAGCTAAATCTATTCTCATTGGTATAAGGCATGAACTTAAAAAACTATAAATAAGAAATTTTAACTTGAATTTGTAGCTTTAGATGGGAAAAGAAATACATAGGTGAATCAATTATTGATTACAGGTTTAAGTGTCTTTGTTTTTTCTTAATTATGCATTATCTTTGTCTTTTTACCTTCTTGCTACTGATATTGATAATTATGGTGTACATGCAATCATGTTTTCATGAGATTTGCTAGGTCAAAAAAAAAAGTAAAAATAAAAAGTCAAAAAAAAATAGAAGAAAACGTATTTGTTATTAATAGAAAGAAAAAACAGAATGAGCTTGCTATAAAATTATATTAAAAAAGGATGGGCATCGATCGCTCTGATACACTATAGTGTAAACGGTGATCTTTGTTATTACCTATTTTAATAACTGACAAAAGCTAATTTATTTTTTTTTCTAATTCAAAACTAAATAGAATCTAAACAAGAGGAATTGGGTAAACCTATATTTTAAAGGAAAGGGATAAATAAGAAGTTCATTTGTTAAAAAAAAAAAAAAAGAAAACAAGAATGATAAGGATTATCATGGTTTTTACTATTGCTTACTCAATATTAACACCGAAAATGTTGAATGTATACAATATATAGTCAAAAATTCCCTTTAATCTTTCTACTTTATTAATACAAAGAAAGCAATGAATAAGTAAACAAGTAAAAATAAAAAAGAATATCAGTGTAGCGGTTCTGTTAGAGTATTTCTATTTCAATCATTTGGTATAAAACAATACACCAATCTTGAAATAATTGATAAAAGCTCCGTTTTCATCATATTTCTTTTTAATTTGGTCTTTCCTGACTGTCTTATTTAAGGATTTAAAAGGAAATAATAGTAACAATAATAATAGCACAAGCTATTGTCCTTGCTATTACTGTTCTTGATGTAAAGACGTAGTCTATACAAATTCGAAAAATAAACTTTTCTCAATTGTGCCCTGCTGCAATTCGAAACACAAAAGGCAGAGACAAGAGGACACCAGCAAATAAACAACAAATCTCTCGAACAGATCTATATCGAGGTGCTTAAATACTTCGAGGATGAAAAAGAAAAAGAAAAAAAATTCAAAAATATAATTTTTATTTTTCTCGAAGATAAAAAACAAAGAAGAAGAAGAAAAAAATACAGCAAGTGTCACAAAAATCATTCTATCACCGTGTTGTTTACGGTTAGTTAACTATTCTCTCTCTCTCTCTTCTCTTCGTTTCTATGAACTAAAGATATATACACAAACGGTATCTAATTATATATCAAAAAAAAAAAAAGTTTGACAATTTAGATGAGATATTACAATATTTTAAATGTAGAGACCAAGGAAATAATTTATTAATTACTTTTATTGCATTATACTAATTGAATTGCTGCTAACTTCCTATTTTGTTTAGTAAATTAATATATCACTATGCTTATTATTATAGTTATAAGCTGTAGCTCAGTCTTGATATTATCTATATTATATCATGTTGTATATATATGTGTGTGTTTGGGTGTGTGTGTATGTGTCTGCGTTTCTGTTTATTCTTATTATGACAGTATTTTCTTTTCAGTTTTGTTTTGTTTTTCTATTCACTTCGAGGAAAAAAAAAGCAAAAAAAAAGAAACGATGATGAGAAGGCATCAATCAAGGAAAAAAAATATAGCATAGAATTTATCATATATCAACCTGTTAGTACATATAAACACAAAATAAACAAGAAGTGATCAGAACATTTTCTTTTTTTTCCATATTATATACACCCATTCACTTGGTTGATCTTGTTCACTTTCCCTCTCCCATATAGTTTCTCTTTTTTTTTTTATTTTTAATTAATCATGGCGCGTAATAATAAAAACAAGAAGAACCAAAAAAATAATAATACTAATACTCTGACTAGCACCATGAATAATGCAACAACTAGTGGTAATGGATCTGTTGTGATTGACTCCAAGATGATAGCCAATCTGAATGCAATGGCATCTCAAGATCCAAAGTTGTATTCTTTGATGCAAAAAGTGGTTAAGGGAACTGCAACACCAGAAGAAGTTGAACAATTTAAAGCTTATATTTCCATGGCACAAGATATGGTCTCAGATGATACACCAAAGAATACATCCAATTTGACTAAGATATCTAACGTTACCTTAACATTTACTTATGATGTGGATAGAGTGTCTAGATGTATGTATAAGGCTTTTGAATCTGTACCAGCAAACGATTTTTTGATGAAGAAATTTTTCAATGTTTCAATTGATGAGTATTGTTCACAGTATAGAATTCATGCTTACATGCATTTGATTAATGCACATTTTTATGATAACGGTGCAGAATTCATTCAAGCCAATAATTTCCATGCTGTTGCCATATGGACCGCACCAGAAATTCTGGTTAAAGTACCACGTACAAATGATGAAACTTTTAATAAAGTGTTCTTTGATGATTTAGAAGAGGTTAAGCAAAAAGTCCTACCAAATGGAATGAAGTATTATTATTTATTTTGCATCGGTAGAGATCCCGATGACGTGACTACAAAGGGGTCGGTTAGATCAATATTTGAATATTATAAAGAAAGAGCAGACAGGGAAAATGTGGCTATATGTCTTGAAGCTATCAGTGATAAAGCACGTTCGGTTTATGAATATTTTGGCTTTAAAAATTATAAAACATTTAAATATGGTGTTGGAGAAGTCGATTCTAAAGGGCACGTGGATAAAAATGGAGAGGGTTTTACAGGTTATTTAATGATTTATCATAAGGATGCTGAAAAATTATTTAATAAATTATGAAATGATCAATCAAACTGTATGACTATATATCTATATTGCGGTACACCATATATGTATAAAAAGCTGGATAAGAAATGATTTACACTGGACATTCAGTCTGACCAAATCCGTATGCAGTGACATATAGTACCATAAAAATATATATTTTTGTAAAGTCACCCGAAACGGAGAGTATTATGGTGTCGTCGTAAAAGATACTACTGAAAGAGTGAGCACTTATTTCATTTTTGATTTAAAGTTGATTTAAATTATGGGATTTACCCTCTTTATTGAAATTGTTTCTTTTTTTTTTTATTTTTTTATTTTTTCAAGGCTTCTATTTATTGAAATCATGATTATAGTGATTATTTCCTGTCTGTTTTCAATCTTGTTTCATATTATTCGTCCTCCCTGTTTCTCTACTTTTACAGCATTCTCCATCTAAAAGACGTTACGTTAGTTGAGTAAGCTACCGTTCCAATATAATAGCAGATAACTATATGCATATAGGAGATATAAATAAAAAGTAATTGTGTTAAAAGGACAGAATAATAATTATTGTAGAAAAAAAAATTGAATAGTTATTGATATTTTTTCATTTATTTTATAGTTATTTGAATACTTTTTCGAAGTATTTAGCATAATTAAGTTCCTTTTTTTTCTATAATTGTTATTTGTTTTCAAAAGCATTTGTTTTTTAATCCTTCGCCTCCCCCCTATATACAATTGACAAAGTAAAAATAAGATAAAACAGTTAGATTTTCGATCGGTTATCTCTTTGATATATTTTGATAGATTTACATAAAAAACTACTTTGTCTCTCTTTTTCAGGTTAATTTTTTTGTTTATTTCACTTTTTTTTTGTTTTGATTTAATCCGACTTCAACTAAAATCATTTTCCTGAATACATTCTTTTATTAAGTGTAACTTTTTCTGGTTCAACAATATTATAATATTGCCTGTTTAATTATTGGTTAATACCTACATTCATACATATATAATAGAAAGGATTTTTATTAAACCGGATAATATTATTCTCCTAAATTACAGTTGCTCCTTAGTGTTCAAGACATTTAAACATATTCATATCCTTTTTCATTTTATAGTTGATTCAAGATGATGCGTGGTTTCAAACAAAAATTGATAAAAAAGACAACAGGTTCCTCCTCGTCGTCTTCTTCTTCATCTACTTCTTCATCTTCCAATAGTAATAGTAAGAAAAAGGATAAATCAAATCCTTTAACTTCTTCTATTACATCGCAGAAAAAAGCTAGCTCAACTATAAAATCTTCCAAGAGTTCCTCTTCTTCAAGTTCATCAATTTCATCTTCTTCAAGTTCTTCTAAACACCAATCTCGTCATCATAGTTCTGGTTCAAATGGCGTATCTACAAATTCTACATCGAAATCAACTTCAAAAACAAAACATTTATCTAATACCGCCACTGCATCTACATCTATATCTGTATCTGCTAATGTTACTGGACCTGCAAGAACAAACTCTCCTGCGAAGCAACAAAAAAAATCTGGTTCCGATCAAAATAAAGTGGGTACATCGACAGAAAGTTTGACTATGAATATATCCTCCACTCCAGTAGCACCAACTGTCACAATAACAAATGATACAATAGCTGATTCTACAAATGACACTATCGCAAACAATAATGCCACTGGTACTAATGATCTCATAAACACACCTTCAAATGTACAACTAAAATCAATGGCACAAACTACACCACATCCATCTCTATTAGGTGCTACTGCACAAGTGTCGCCAAATTCACCACAATCACCGAATTCTTCTTCTGGTTTCTTATCACCACAACAGCAACAACAACAACATTCTCCTAATTCTCCTGGAGTAGATATTCCAAGGGTACCACATCCATTCGAAAGATTTCCAACACCAACAAAGCTAAATGCAGATGTTGATATCGATGGAATATTAAGGACTCCACAACGCCATTCTTCATCTAGATTTGAACCTTCTAGGTACACTCAGATTACAAAATTACCAAGCTTTGATGAAGTTTCTCCTGAAGAAAAAATACCATTATTTATTGCAAAGGTAGATCAATGTAATATCATGTTTGATTTTAATGATCCAAGTTTTGATATCCAAGGAAAAGAAATTAAAAGATATACTTTACAAGAGTTAATTGAATTTATTGTTACAAATAGACTCACATACACAAGTGAAATGTATTTACATATGATTAATATGTTTAAGATTAATTTATTTAGACCCATTCCACCCCCAGTAAATCCTGTTGGAGATATTTATGATCCGGATGAAGATGAACCTGTTAATGAATTGGCATGGCCTCATATGCAACTGGTTTATGAAGTATTTTTAAGATTTGTAGAGTCCCCAGATTTCAATCATCAAATTGCTAAACAATATATTGATCAAAATTTTATTTTGAAATTATTGGAATTGTTTGATAGTGAAGATATTCGTGAAAGAGATTGCTTAAAGACTACATTACATAGAATCTATGGTAAGTTTTTAAGTTTGAGAAGTTTTATCCGTCGTTCAATTAATAACATTTTTTTACAATTCATATATGAAACCGAAAGATTTAATGGTGTTGCAGAATTATTAGAAATTCTAGGTTCTATTATTAATGGATTTGCCTTACCATTAAAAGAAGAACATAAAATTTTCCTTGTAAGGGTTCTTATCCCATTGCATAAGGTTAGATGTTTATCTCTTTATCATCCACAATTAGCATACTGTATAGTACAGTTTTTAGAAAAAGAACCATTGCTAACTGAGGAGGTAGTTATGGGTTTGTTGCGTTATTGGCCTAAAATAAATTCAACAAAAGAAATTATGTTTTTAAATGAAATTGAAGATATTTTTGAGGTGATTGAGCCTTTAGAATTTATAAAAGTAGAAGTCCCATTATTTGTTCAATTAGCCAAATGTATATCTTCATCACATTTTCAGGTTTCTGAAAAAGTTTTAAGTTATTGGAATAATGAATACTTCTTAAATCTCTGTATTGAAAATGCCGAAGTCATATTACCAATTATTTTCCCTCCATTGTATGAACTAACATCACAGTTGGAATTAGATTCATCAAACTCTTTCTTGAATAGTAATGGTGATCCAATTGTATTGTCAGATCCATATATGTTAGTTGAGCAAGCTATAAATTCCGGTTCATGGAATAAGGCCATCCATGCAATGGCATTTAAAGCTTTAAAAATATTTTTAGAGACTAATCCTGCCTTATATGAGAATTGTAATGCCTTATATTTATCTAGTAGGAAGGAGACGGAACAAAGAAGAATACAAAGGAATGAAAATTGGAAAAACTTAGAAAATTATGTGAAAGCTTTAAAAATAACTGAATCGACAAAGAATGATAAAATTGCTACAAACAATCTACAGTATAATAGTAATTGTGATGGTTTAGATGAAGTAGGTGTAAATAAAGACTCTGATAGAATGGACTATCCAATAAGCTCGAATAAGGAAGATTTAATGAATGGTAATGATCGTGAGCATCTACCGAATTCAGTTAATGATGATAATGATATAAACTCACATTCTGAGAAGGCTATCTCAATAGAAGAAACTAATTAGACGTATGAATTCAATTGTGGAAACACGAGGCTTTACGTATGTGTTTACAGATAATGGTAAAACATTTGATGACTGCATAGCCAATGTTTGCTTTTTTTTGTTAGTTTTCTTCATTTCATGTTGATTTTTAGTTTACTGCATATATGTTTATGATGATGATATAATAAACTCTATTCGTCTAGAAATATGAGATAAGTAGAAATGTTTATATCCAAGATTTTTATATTACAATTCTTTTTAACAATTATATTTATATACATTCAGTTACTTTTTTTTGCTTTATACTTAATTTGGGTTTTCTTTTACATCTTGTTTATTTAGAGTACCATAGATCGTGCTTATTTGTATGTAATCAGCGATAGAGAAATTACTATGTTTCATAAGTTTTTCTTATAGTATTCTTTTAAAAGGTATTAATATATTGGTATTCTATTAATAATTTTTTGTATGTATTTATTTTGGTTTTTTTTTTGATTCTTGAGTTTAGTAGTTAATGAAAAAGTGTTTAACGAGCTACTTTAAAAAAGAATGATTAAAAGGGAAATATTACTTTTTGCTAATGTGCTGCCTGTTCGATTTACTTACTATAAGCCAAGATTTTGGAAAATACCTAAGTGGTTTTGTCTAGTAACTCCTCATGATTAGAAAGTGTGAGTTTTATAAGTTGAATAAATTTTCATATATAAAACTGTTCAAATATGCAGTTGTTGTGACAGGACCTATTTTCAGAAGTTTAAGAACTTCACCAAAAGTAGCGTCTAAGAGGAAAATCCCTCTGTCAAGTATTAATGATAACAACAATAACAGGTATAAATCTATTACAAGAGGTGCGGATATATCTTTTGATTTATATAAGGTTATTAACCCCTCACCAGACTCTATTACAATCAATATTAACGTTAAAAATACAAAGCAGGAATTGTTAAATGTAGATAAATTAGGTATTACATGTTTTTCTAAACCTCCCGAATTAGCGTTTGGTTTGGATCGTGTTCTTTATTCTCCAGTCATATTACATCAACTATACGATAATCGATCAGGTGTATATAATTTTGATCCAAAAGTTGAAACAATCTCTCCTAACTTCTTAGAAAGAAAAGTTGAAAATATTATTGACTTTGGCAAAGAAAACAAAATAAGCGGAGGGATATCTTTTATTACACCACATAAAGATAAAAATTTGCTTAAAATAGCCAAATTCTATTCTAAAAAATATATATCTTCTACAAGTTCTATGACAGCTGTATTATCACATTTACATTTCTTATTATCTAATTTTAGGAAATTAAACATTAAAAACTCCAGTGTATCCAATACTTTCCCTCATAAATACTATAATTTCACCAGGGGTGCCCAACTTTCTGCTACAGTTCTACTTCGACGAAAAACTAACGTTATAACATCTATTGATTCAGATAGAAGTCTAGATAGGGAGATTATATTGTCAGTATTAGGACATTCGCTTGAAGATTTTTTGACTACTCGGGATTCAGATGATAAAGAAGAACACTATCATTATTCAAAAATAGATGATTTTATTATTAGATCCCAGTTAGATGCTTATGGGAATCGTTTACCTGGTTCGGGGATATTCGATTTGAAAACAAGAGCAGTGGTGAGTGTTCGGCATGACTTATCGTATGTACAAAAATATGGTAATTTCACTGGTTACGAAATTGATAAAGTTTATGGTGAATTTGAATCTTTGGAAAGAGAATTTTTTGAAGTAATAAGATCTGCTTTATTAAAATATTCTTTGCAAGCAAGGATGGGATTCATGGATGGGATATTTTTAGCATATCATAATATAGCTAAGATATTTGGCTTTCAATATTTACCCCTAGAAGAAATTGACTATATCATACATTCTGGATATAATACCGCTTTTAAAAAAATATTAGATCAACGACAATATATTTTTGAGAAAATATTTGGTCAAGAAGACTTTATAATAAACCATCAAAGAAATGAAAAAGAAATTGCCAATAAAGTAGCGGATTCAGAATTCAAAATGTCAATTGTGTTATTGAGGAATGTATTAAGATTTGTGGAGCTCAAATTAAAAGAGAGGGATTTAAATTGGAAAGTTGCGAAGGTAATTTTTAAGACCGAGAAATTAAAAGTGAAATTAAAAAATGGGTATACAATTTCATATCCAGTTTTAAATATCTTGGCTTTCCCATTAACTGATGAATATGAAGATATACCATTACCACCAATAAGTAATTTTGAAGATATTGATTCCTTAAAAACACAACTGGATATAATAAAAAACCAGTATGAAACATTAATTAAAAATGTTAAAAAGAATAAAAGTATAATTGGATTTAAAGTTCATGTGCTGCATAAACAAAGACATCATAAGAATTCAGTAAATCTACCTGATTATATTAATGAAAAGTTTTTATCAAAGGAAGAACGCAAATTTGTTATCAAAGAGATTAAAAAAAATTATTACCAAAAAGTCTTATTTGATACTCCTAATTTTTTTCACCCATTTGATGTAGATCAATGGCAGATTGAAGCAACTATTACCCCCATCCATGATACTTCAAAGATGGTATCAACTTACCGTAAATATTTAAATGAAAAAATAGAAGCATTAAAATTTCAAAGTTTTGTTAAGGAAACAGATCAATCTTTGAAAAGTTCTAGGATATCTAAAAATATTAAACAATTATTGGAAAACACGGTACCTCCTAAAAGAAAGAAGAATGTAGACTTTAATTCAGTTTTGGATACTGAACCTACTGAGTTTCAAAATGTTTTAAGAGCATACTCTCTTAGATGTTTAAAGAAGAAAAAACATAGAAATATAAAACTATAGTTAGATGTTAAATGACTTTTTAATTTTATATTCATAGATATTAATTGTAAATAAATGTTATTATAGATGTTAATTTTATAAATATAAAGTTATTTTCAGTCTTTGATATATATATATCAGTGTATTTCGTTTTATTAGTATTTTTATTTTTCTAGAACAATCTCAATAAAAATATTACTTCAAATGAGGTGGGATTTGAATTTTCTTTTCATTTCATTGATGCATTTCTCTAAATAAATATAATGTTTCAAAAACTTGAAAAATAAATTCTAAGAAAGCTTATTTATTATGTTTAAAATGAAATTTAATATATGCATAGTCCTTAATAATAATTGGCCATTTGTTTTATTAGTTAATATGAACAAATCACTCTTGAAATTTAACCCCTCCGTTTGTATCGAAAAGATATTCATTTTATTGTAGGTTTCACAGATAGATATTATATAAAGAATGGCTATTATTGTACCATGAAAGTTTTGATGTAATAATTTATCATAATTGATGATCATCTGCGTTTTTAACACTACTCTATCCTCAATGATTGCTCTAATGGTAGAGAATAGTTTATTTTTGTATTTTTTGATAATGTCTGTACACCAACTGAAAACGGAACAATAGATTTTTACAATATAAAGTAGGATAGTGGAAACAAAGGCTTTTAAAGTTGGATAAACTTTTAAAAAAAAGAACTTCCTGAAAAGTTGAATAATATTTATATCCCCAATATAAAGTTGTGGTGACTAAGACTGCTGAGTTTCTCTTACAATATTCTGATGTATATATATCAAAAATGTTATATAGACATTTAGTACTTAGTCTAAATATCAAAGTGATACATATATGTAAAATTGTCCCAGCTAAAGTATTAATAAAACGTTGGTAAAAATACTGTGGTAGTACTATTGTAATGAAAAAAAAAGACGTTAAAACTTTGAGAAATTTGCATATTAACTAGTAGTGTATCTATTTATCTGTTGTAGAAGTACAGTACTTTGAATAATATTTTTGGTGCTACTATAACTATCAATGTTCTTTTAAGGATAATTAATTTACAGTACCATAAAATGATTTAAGAGCCTCTTGTGTATGTTTATATACATATATACTACATATAAATTATTTGCCCGAATTAATCATAGCAATAGAGTTTTGTATTATTGATTATTTATTTTTTTATTGTTTGCAATAGTAAATTTTGTAAAAACAAATTTGGAAACAAAATATAAAAACAAAAAAAATATGTAAGGGTTATCTCAAGTAATATACTAAAATATGAATATTATATATATATATAAACACTTACAAATTATATAACTGGTTGATTCTAGCTATTAAATAAATTGGTCCTGGTCGTTCGTGTTATTCTTTCTTAGATTAAACCTATCTGATAGAATACGAATGTTAATACGGACAATTACCTCTGATACTATGTTTCAATAATTAAAGGTCTCTTAAATAAGCTTCTCAGTAATTTGTCACCAATATCCATCCGAAGCTCATTCGTTTGTTCGAATACACTCACAACCTGGACTCAAAGTTTCGGCTCTTCCAAGTCCTTCACTTCAACATTCAGTGATATTTGCAGACTACGTATTTCAAAATTTCCAATCAAGACTTCTTACATACTCATCATTTAAAGCAAATTTGGTTTTTCATAGATACTCTCTTTTACTTATTTGCGTTCTAACTGTCGAATGGATATCAAAAAAAAAAGAATACAAGAAAATATGTCTGTGACGCTATTAAAACTACAATTATTATTAACAATAATAAGCATATATAATATAGGCAAGTTTCTTTATTCTTTTTTATGCAATATTTACTAATAAAGGACTATAAATATCATATATTTACAATATATTTAAAAAGAATTCTCAAAATTACTTATTTGCCTTCTTTTCTTGTCCCATTATACAATTTCAACTTGGAGATAGATGATTTATTTGCATATATTTATTAATAGCTCTTTCTATAATCAATATTCAAGATATTATTGTAAGTAGTACTGGCTACTCATGAATTTTGAAATTTCAGCCAAAAGTTTCACATATATTGATCTTATACTTCCAATAAATAAATAATAAATGTAAATATATTGTTGGAAAACGAGAGTTTATTACAGTCATTTCCATAAGAATTATTTTTAATTAGTTTTTTTATATATTAAGTGGTGTACAGATCTACCTTGATATGTGGAAAATATTTAATGATTTATTAAATGGGTTTACTAAGATTTGCAGAAATAAAAAATTTTAAAAAAAGAATTGGAACAAATAAAAGAGTTTATACTATATAGACAATATAATAAATGTACACGAATAATCAAAACAATAGATAACAAGCATCTATACCTCAGTGACATCTACCATTACCATGAGCACTAAGTGCTCCAAATTCCAACAGAGCCATATAATATACTTGATTATATCATAATTGTTTACTGATTGCAATCAATACTATCTTTAAATTAAATATTCTAAATAAAATATCCATAAAATATTAATTATATCTCCCAATTAAATTAGTAGATAAAATATTACTTCACATTTTTGACAAATTGTTGTGGTATGAAGTGGTCTAGAGTTTAATAATTAGTCGAGAAACGCAGATGATATCGAACAGATACTATAATAATCGAAGATAATAATTAATACAATTGGTAAGACAGCTACTAATAAGGTCTTTTTATATTAGATGGCTATCGCGCTTATATATTAATTTTTATCGTTGTTGTTATTCTTGTTCTCCTTCTTAGTTTATGTATATAATATATAAGCTATGTATAAGAGAGTGTTGGAATTTGGAGCCTTCAGCGTCCATGGTAATGGTAGACATCATTAAGTTATAGATGCTTATTTTGTTTTGTACCAAATACATGCATATACTTATTATATAGTGTACACAGTATAAATTCTTTTATTTACTTTGACTTTTCTTTTAAGTGTTTGATTTCTCTTCAAATCTCTGAAAGACATATTTGGTGAAAAATAAAATGTCTTCCTGATATTATGATACATCTGTACACCACATAATAAACAGAAAAACTAATTAAAAATTATTCTTATGGAAATGACAGTAATAAACTCTCATTTTCCAATAGAGAGGAATGACAGAAGCTAGTTTTCATCTCCAGAAAATGTTGTCTTTTTATATATGTTCTGTAACTTGATCAACTATTCAACTTGATATATTAATAGATTAGTAATCCATATCTTTATTATTAGTTATAACAATGTAATTGAAGATCATAGAACATTTAGGACAATATGTTATGGTGGCGCAGTAATAGAGAAAAATGAACACGCTGTACAAAAAAGGTGACAAATGGACACGTTGTACTTAAAACAAAATAGATAACTTTGGATTCAGATAAAATCGTATGTAATCTCGATAGTGTTACTTTTTTATTATAGAGCTCATGCAGCAAGTTCACAGCTTCTATGGCCAAGTTGGTAAGGCGCCACACTAGTAATGTGGAGATCATCGGTTCGAATCCGATTGGGAGCATAAATTTTTTCAATGTGAAACCGAAAGATGTAATGTCCCTGGTAGAAAAGGATAAACTGGATTCTAAGATTCAAAATGTACAAATGATAATAACTAGAATGAATTACCTACTTTTATCTTTATTTTTAATTTTATTGCTAGTTTTTTCTTGTAAGGCAACATAATAATCTTTTATTCAATGAAAAGCTATTCTTGCAGTTTCTTTCCAAGATATCCAACAAATAAAAACAAGGGATAGACAAAGAATTAAGAAAATCATTTTTTACTCCCTTATAAATTTGACTAGAATCATTATTAAATATTTTGTGTCTTCAACTTCTGTAGAGAATAATAGTTTATCAATAGTTATTGATGCTAATTCTTCCATATTTTGTGATAAATAAATAAATATATATATATATAGATATATTCTACAAAGATATAGATTAGGCAATATGTAATAATATCATTGTAACGTGGCTGATGATAAAGGTGATTCAGGCTTATCTATTATCTCATTATTTTTGCCTTGGTTCAATGGAGGCAACACAGTAGTCCTTTTCGATATACTGTCCAACATGTACAGAAGACTATTGTAATTATTATTTCCTTTAATTGCGACAAAATTATTGGAATTGTTTTTGGTGTGTCCTCGTAAATGCAATGGTTTTGATACGCCAGGGGAAGGCAATACAGATCCTTGATATGATTCTCTATTTAAGCTCGGGGATGTGCTTACTGATGAAGACTTGTCTCCTATCATGTATTTTTTAATCCTTTCAAAAGTGTTAGCTGAATACGGTTCTTCTGTAGCCGTTAATGGCATCGCGGACGTAGCTGGTGGTGGGGGGATAGTTGTGATGAGACTAGTCAATGAATTGGTAGATCTATTCAAAAATTGTCCAGATCCCTTCTCCATATCTTTATTTGTGGAATCAGAAACAGCGGGGACTCTATCACCGATTTGTAGTCTCAACTTGAGGGTATTTAGTTCAACAGTTTGTTCATCATATTGCAATTTTAAATCATTATATTTTTTTTCCCATGACGTAACCATATCTTGTAAGATACCCATTGATCGCTCTAACACTTGTATTCTATTTGCTTTTCTTTCACGATAAGCTCTTTGTGCTTCTCTATTTTGTCTTCTTCTCTTTGCAATCACATCTAAATTTTTTATTGAAGAATTATCTTGATTTTCATTTTCATTTTCATTTTCATTTTCAGGTAGATGTTGATCCTTTTCTTTTAGTTCTTTCGCTGATCCCTCTATGGCACTCATGATTTTCAATCAAATAAGAATTTTTGTTTTTTTACTGTATTTTTAATTTAGTTTCTTATATTATTTTTTCTTTTCTAGATATAACTTTGCTTTAGCAGATCTATTTCAAGAAAATTCCCAGTAGTCTTGACAAAAATGAGCATATGGACTCGAACAGAACCAAACAGACTGCAAAAAATAAAAAAAAAAAAAATAAAAACTTGTTGGATTAGATTAACCTCAATAGAGCAATAATATAACTAGCATACAATACTTTTTCAAACGAAAGAAGACCAAATAAGAAGAAAAAGAGGAATAAATACATGAGTTCGACATACTAAAGCTTACAAAGAAACAGAAAAAAGAAGAAGATTATCTGTGTATCTAATGTATATATAAAATATTGTCCTATCACATAATCAATGAATTATGACCATGTCTATTAGTAATCGTTAAAATTTTTTAGACAAACATCAACCGATCATATTACTAATACATGACGGAGACCACAGTTCACATAAAGATATTTTTCTGAAATGTTCTCCAACATAGAGAGGAAAGGGGAGGGGAGACGCTGTGTCACGTAACAAATTATCCATTAACCATTTTCCGTTTTACGTACATCTCTGGACAGCCCAAAAACTATTCCGCTAACACTCATCGGAATTGGCTCGGAAAATTCTGTTTCGGTATAAATTCCTCTCCACCCTACGAATATATAGATATTTTTAATATCACAAAAATCAAGGATATACAAAAAAGCCGTGACTTCCGAAGTGTTTTTTTAGCGGACCCGTTCAGACTCATGTTCGTTCGTGATTAGTATTACCTCTCTCTTCTATAACGGCAATAAGATTAATAAAACAAAGCCAAGATTAAAATGAACAGGGAACAAGGGATTGATATGTTAAAACCCAGTACAAGGGTAAATAAATAAACAGACAACACAATAAGCAAATGGATAATATAGGTAATCTATCATATGGGACTAATATATGTTGTCTTCAATAAGTGTCAACGCACATTGAATGAATAAAATAAATATTGCAAATATTATCAAAGGAAAAAAAAATGAAATGAAAATTAATAAAAAATGAATAAATAAATAAATAAATAAATAAATAAATAAATAAATATATATATATATATATATGTATAATCAGAGCAATGCTTGCCAATTCTACAACAAATCTATCATCACTGTTTTCCAACAGAAGTACGTTGATTGTCATCATCATCTAAAGATGTTTCAGAATCAGCACGTTGATCTGTATGCAAACTGACATCTTTTCTTACTTGTGCATCTTGCTGTTCTTTTTTAATCAGCTCTTCTTGTTCCTTTAAAGCCTTTAATTTGAATTGGTCTTCTTGTGATCTTGTGGCTTTATCTCCCTTTGGTGTTATAATTTCATGAATATCTAATTTGGCCATATTATATACAGGATCAGGAATTGATGCCAACACTTGTAGAAGTGCGTTATAATAAAATAGTACTCTTGAATTCGATGCATTCTCAGACAATTGAACGGTCATATTATCGTACGGCCATGGTGTTTTACTGCCTGCATTAAAGGTGAATGTGGAGGACAGAATTAGTAATACACTAGGGATACGGTCTTTCAATCTTAATTGTAACCAAGCGTCTAAATCGCGGCGCAAAGAATCTTGTGTTACCTGTGTACCGAAAGTTTTGATACCACGAGATATACAAGCCGTGTGTAACTCTTCAGGCGTCAAAGAGGCCACTGTTTCATAATCCAATCTTTTATCATCATCAATTAAATTTTTCAACTTCAGTCTAATCTGCATACGCAACATGTTATCACTACCCCATGGTGTAATCGATATAAATTTAGCCATAGCGATTAATTGATCTCTCGATAGATTATCCAATATGGTATCATTCTTGAACCATAGTGCCACATTTTTCACTTCATGTGTGGTGAAAGATATATCCATTGAGGGAATTCTTTTCCCCATGTATAATTTATTGAAGAATGCATCAAACAAAGCCTTGTTTTGTGCAGTTACAGTATCAGGTAGGATAGATTTATTTTTCTCAACTTGGTTCAGTTTCCATGTATCCTTAATATATTTGGCACTCAACTGTTTCATTTCGACCAATTTCAATTGTTTTCTCTTTCTCTGTTGTGATGATTCGTATGTTGAAGGCAATAGATTAGGGAAAAACTTAAGTGCTATGGGTAGAAATAATTCAGCAAATGGGATAATAACGAAGGCGGAGAAAGGTATTAAACGAAACAGATCGGACATAGTACGTTTCAATTGATTAGATTCTCTACGGGTCAATTCGTATCCACTCATAAGTTTCCCTAGAAGAACAGTAGATACTTTAATCTCGTAACCTAGTAATTTGGTCCCATCAACATAGTGCTTTGCACCTTCCTTAATTTTAGACAAAAGGTTTTTTCTTTCTGGTGGCTGTTGTGAAGGCTGTTGATTTGCTGATGTGGTAGTACCGATAGATTTGTTAAATAATACATTTTGCGAACTATAAAATCTTCCATTTAAGATAGAAGTTCTAAACAATGAAATATCCAGGGATTTAACCACTATATGTCTTATGTTAGAATTTCCAACTCTATAATAATTCATGACGATGGTAAGACTTGATGATCACAGCAATTAACAGAAGTGGTGGAAAAAGAGCTGGACTACTAATATAAGCAAAACCTTAAATGCGCATATAATAATATCGACTAATAATCTACTACTACTACTACTAATAAAATAACACGCATAGAGACCAACGACAATGATATTAATACTAGAAATAGTTATATATTTTATATGTGTGTATAATATGCATATGGATATTGATAACAAATATTGTATCTGGGAGAAATAAAATAGTCATGTTATATTTTTCAACCATTAAAAAGATTCAATTTTGGAAAAGTTTAATATCTGCGCAGAAAGATCGGGTGAAGATGAAGGAGAGGAGAGGCGGAAAAAAATTAGGAAAAGAATCCGGGAAAACCAAAATTAAAAATATATATATATATATATACATATAATCTATAAGATAACCATAGTAATACATATATACACATGTATGCATGTATGTATGTATGAGGGGTTGCAAGAAAAAAAACCATAGATTAGAAGAATAAAATGAAAAAGAAGTTATAATGATAATATATAATAATAAGTGTCTGTTCGATTGTACATACCACAAACCCTATAGTACGGTGGATACCTTTCTTACTCTGGATTCTGGAAAGATTTTTGTAGTCACAGAATGTTTGAACCAGCTGAATCTAAATCCTAATTCATGTGCAGTCAACTCACCTAAACCCAACATGAAACCTTGTAAAAATGGGAGCAACAAATTAACCCAACTGCTCCCAATATATTGTACAGCATCTTGATAACTTGTCATATTATGAACTGGGGGAATCAACAGGATAAAGACGTAAAAAAGAAAACAAAAAAATAAGATAATGCGAAAAACAAAATAGAATATCGATTCTTTGATGGTGTCTGTTTATATGAAAATCTATTAACTATTATGAACCCAATGAATATATACACCACCCACTAAATAATTAAACCTAAAACATATGCCTTTTTTTCTTTTTTTTGCTTTTTGTATTATTCTCTATTTGAGGAGACCCACTTAATCTGAGTGAAATTAAGCAATTCGTTTGGAGAATTTCTTTTTTCTTTTCTTTTCCTTTTTTTTTTTATTCTATTCTAATCTGCAGTTCTTCGCCAAAATCAAACAAAGAAGGGGAGGTTCGAATTCTGGAGGTTGCATTATTTTTTATTTTTTATTTTTTATTTTTTATTTTTTATTTTTTATTTTTTATTTTTTATTTTTTATTTTTTATTTTTTATTTTTTATTTTTTATTTTTTATTTTTTATTTTTTATTTTTTATTTTTTATTTTTTATTTTTTATTTTTTATTTGTAATTTTCTTATGTTGTTTCTCTTCGATAATAAAACGCACACACAAAGGAAGGAAAAGAAAAAGAAAAAAAAAGAAAGAGAGAGAGAGAATGTGTGTGTGTGTGTTTTATTTTAGATATTAATTTCAGTATTACGATAATGCGTCACTGAGTGTTACAATTGTTTGTTTATAAAAAGTGGAATACTTTCGTAGACCTCGAAGAGATTCAAAATAAATATAAAAATAACCATTAGCCTATACATTATTTCTGGTTCTCCAAATTTGGACTTTCTTCTTTCCCGTTTTATTACACCAAACACCATAAGTTATTATACAGTTACAATTAAAAAATACAACAATCAAAAAAAAAAAACAGATAAAGAGCATTACCTATAAATAAAAAAAGATGAGTGGTTACGATAGAGCATTATCAATTTTTTCACCCGATGGACATATCTTTCAGGTGGAGTATGCAATGGAAGCAGTTAAGAGGGGTACATGCACTGTAGGTGTTAAAGGTTCAAATTGCGTGGTACTTGGCTGTGAACGTAGATCTACCCTTAAACTGCAAGACCCTAGAATCACACCATCAAAGATAGCTAAGATTGATGACCATGTTGTATTGTCCTTTGCCGGATTAAATGCAGATTCACGTATTTTGATTGAAAAGGCCCGTGTGGAGGCACAATCACACAGATTGACTTTAGAAGATCCAGTTTCTATTGAATATATGACCCGTTATATCGCAGGTATACAGCAAAAATATACACAATCTGGTGGTGTGAGGCCTTTCGGTGTATCCACCCTAATTGCTGGGTTTGATGGTCCAAAAGACCAGGTACCACGTCTATATATGACTGAACCAAGTGGGATTTACTCATCTTGGTCTGCTCAAACCATCGGTAGAAATTCAAAGACTGTTAGAGAATTCTTAGAAAAAAATTATGATCCAAAAAGCCCACCCTCTACTGTAGACGACACAATTAAATTAACAATAAAGGCCTTGCTAGAAGTAGTTCAAACAGGTGCCAAAAATATTGAAATAACTGTTGTGAAGCCTGGTAATCAAATAGAAAATTTGACCTCAGATCAAATCAATACAATTGTTCAAGATATTGAAGCGGAAAAGACAAATGCGAAATGAAAGAAACCAAAGAGAAAATAATTTTTTTTACTTCTTCGTTAGTGTTTTCTTTCCCCCCTATCTAACAAAACAAAAGTATATATTTTATACGTATATGTGTATATCTACCTATCCATTATATGTGATCTTCTTTTCCTTTTCTCATGAATAGGTAAATATCATATCTATATTTCCCCACTTATTTCTTTACTTATTTCTAATGTAATCAACATATCCACTTTTGCAACACCCAAAATTCTACCTCTTTATTTCTTTCCCTTTCTTATTCTTTAATTATTTTTTCTTTTTCTTTTTCTTTTTCTTTTTCTTTTTTTTTTTTACTAACATAGTATATAGAGAATCTCATCGCAAAGTATGTACTATATATCCTAATATGTATACAATATACTAAGAAGGGATAACTTTAAATTGTTTACAACCAAAGTATGCACATATAAGCAAATATTATAACCTCCCCACTAATTTTACTATAACATAATTTTGAATATTCAAATACATTAAGTAAAAATTATTTTATTTTATTTTATTTTATTTTATTTTATTTTTATATATCTATAACCCCCATTAACTACCAAATTGAATTATCATGGATAACGCCAACATTCTGTTACCTGATATTAAAGAGGAATCTTTAACAAATACAGTTAATATACCCAACGATATAGACTATGATATGATAGTAGATTCCGACCAATTATCTAATCCTTCAGATGCAAATAATCACGGAACTATAAATACTACGGCTCAGTTGACCAATCCACTCAATTCAACGCTTTTAACTTCATCCACTAGTGTGACCCCGGCTGCTACCATCATCCAAAATGATACTAATACCACCACAGATGTTATTATATCTGATAGTACCGCTATTTTACTTTCTTCTTCACCATCCTTATCTTCAAAAGTACCTGTATTGAATGATGATTTAGAGTTGTTACCACCTTTACCGAATAAAGATGATTTAAATGTGAATATGGATCATTCAACTCAACATTCACATCCAAACCATTTAAATTCTAATGTATTGGACAGTACATCAATATCACCGATTCCTATTGCACAACGATCATTAGTAATATCACCACAACAGTTACTTCAACAGACGGAGCCAGCGATGAAAAATGATCCAATTTCAAATGTTGATATCGTTGAAAGCATTAAAAATGAAGAATTAAATTTGAGCAGTGCATTGAATATGGATTTGAATGATACCACTCGTTTATCTCATTCTTCCTCATTGAAATCAGTTTTAAAAAACTCCACCTTAACAAGCCAAGACACTTTTATACAAAACGATGACCCACAACAACAACCATATAGACCAATAATAAATTCTATCACACCAATTCATTTAACTAATACCCATATTCAAATACCCAAATCTGTATCTAGATCAAATAGTTATAGACGTATTAGAGATTCGTCATTGTCTTCCACTTCCACTACTTCAGCTACTTCCTCACCTCTTTCACCAATACCTACATCTAATGCTTCCTCTGTAATTGCCGCTAAAACTAATTCTCCAAAATTTCCATTATTGAGAAAGGCTTCATCCACACTTTTGAGAAGAGTTTCTACCAAGACTTCAAATAATAATACAAGTACTATTAATATTGATAGTAATAATAGTAGTAATGTACTCTCGTCAAACAAACCAACTGGTCATAATACTGCTACAAATCCTTTGTTCCAATCTAATACCTTTGAACATGACAGTTCGAATACTAAGAATAATATTATTCTCCCTGTTTCTTCAACGCCCTCTCTTTCTTCATCCTCTTCTTCTCTACAATCTAATAATGATAAAGCAACTTCCAATCCTTCTATACAGAAAAACAGACCATCGTTTCGATCAAGGATTTCTTCAACTACACTTTCACTTACAACATCACATTCAAATACACTACAATCACAACAATCTCCACTGCAAAGAAATGGCTCTATATTATCAAGAAAATCTTCTTTGGGTTCTAAAATGAAATTAAATATCATTAGAATAATAAGTGATAGTAATAATAATAGTAATAACACGACTGCTCATCATAAAATTTCTTCAAAAAATCATTCTTCAGATATTACATTGCCTACTCATCATAAACAAACCAAAATTATAAATGGAAATACAATAATAACTTCAAGGAGGTCGTCATCTACAGATCCATCACCTTCTACAATTTCATCATTCCCATCCTCCTATAAGAAGAGTTCAAATAATTTGTCTAATACTGTATCGGTGGACTTACAGACTTTTGACAGCAACCAACCTATCATTATTACTCTAGACGATAATCTACCTGATATAACCACAATTTCAAAAGAATCAAACGTCTCAAAAGATATACTTTCTAAAAATGGTAAAGACCAGATATCTTTAAAGGATTATTATTCACTATTAAAGGATATGTCACAGCGAGAAGAATCACATCTCAAATTTGTTGAAGAAAAATTCAACCAATCTGGCTGGTTTTCAAATAATGAATTAAATCAATTGAAAAAAAAAAGGGTGATAATAAATAGGTTATGGAAAGAGAGATTACAGGAAAGTGTGATTTAAATTAGTTCTCTGTACAAAGAAGGCAACTAGAAAAGAAAAAGACTTAACTAAGGAGAAGTAGATAAATACAAAGTAATAGAGAATATATATATTGTTATAGATAGAATTATAAAGACTTTTTTTTATCATTTTAATTACAACTTACTGTTTTTGAAGAGAGATCCTTCATTATATAGTAAATCTAACTCATTTTTAAAAAATTTTGTTGTCTGTAACCTTTTAATTTTCAATGTTGGTGTCACACAATCATTACTAACAGTCATTAAATCAATACCAAGATAAATATTGTGTAATTTTTCAAAACCTTGCAAACTATCATGACAAAAATTGTTGATCTCCACTAATATACATTTTTTCAAATTAGTATTTTTATTAATATTAACAATTAAAGTATCAATATCCCAATGGATGAAATTTTTTTCTTTGGTACCATCATCATATCTGATATTGTTCAATAGCTTTAATATACCATCGACATCAATACTTGCAACACCAATCAAAAATGATTTCAAAGAATCCCCATATACAAATATCTGTGTAATAAATGGACATGAGGATAAATAAATATTTTCAATTCTTTCTGGAGCAATATATTCCCCATGAGATAACTTGAAAAAATTCTTAACACGATCAATTATGTATAAACGTCCCTTTTTGTCGATCATAGCAATATCACCAGTAGAAAACCACCCATCTTCATCGAATGCATCTTTTGTATCTTTTTCATTTTTAAAATACTGAGAAAATACCTGAGGGCCACGTAATTGTAATTCACCCTTTAACTCCCTCTGTGTAAAATAATTCATTTCGGGTACATCTCTTAATCTACATTCCGCTGTAATCCCAATAGCACCACAAGATCCTGGGTCCTTTTCATATGGCTCACTGAGACAAATTCCAGCAAAGGATTCAGTGGACCCATAGCCCTGTCTCATACCGATATCAAGACATGATCTTAAAAATAACAAAGTGCCCTTTGAGATTGGTGCCGATCCTGTGATTACGTAACTTGTGTTATTTAATCCTAAACCATCTCTGACTCTATCAATCAGGACTCTGTGGTAAACCAAAAAATTCATTATAGACTTATCAGTGCCGGATTCACTAGTGAATCTCTCACTTTTTGCATCAATTATTCCGGTAGCTAAACTCCTTTGAAGGGCAGTCCTTGATAAATTAGTCTTAATACCTGCCTCAAAACGAGTCAAGATACGCGGGACTAGTGCTAATGAATCAGGTTTTAAAATCCGTAAATCTTCTACTAGCACAGTTGGATCAGGTTTATGGATGAAACCTATTCCTGTGCCTCTTGTTAAGCCATATGCTAAGATTTGTCTTTCAAAAATATGTGCTAATGGTAAAAAACATAAATCATATAATTGTTTTGATTTCTTATGCGTAGGGATCTTGAAAGTGGATAAGGCAAAAGCGATTCCAGAGGCAATAATTTGTTGAGTTATCTTAACACCTTTAGGCAAACCAGTAGTCCCACTTGTGAAAGAGATTGTATATACAGATTTTGGAGTAGGTAAAATAAGGGGGACCTTTGTCATTGATCCGATAGTCTCTACATGCTTCATTGAGTGTAAAGTCACTTTTTCTCCCAGGGAGTTTTTAATACTATTATTCAATAATGTTTCATTGATAGAATTCAATTTATGTTCGTCCTGTTCATCCAAACATATTAAAGTGTTTATATATTTTAATTTAGGCAAAATAGTCAAAATTTTATAGAGATTAACAACACTGAAACAAAGAACTGGACTCTCTGTTAAATTCAGGATATATTCTGAGGTATCACTTCCCAGGGTCTCATACAATGAGGAGTTAGTCAAATCGTAACACTGGCATGCCAAATCTGTGATCACCCATTGTGGATTATTATGTGAGAGGATAGTCACGATGAAATTGTTATCCTTTAAATTCGATCTGTTTTTGACATTCACCAAGGATAAAATACCAGAGCCAAGGTTTTGAGCTCTGTCAAATATCTGTTGGTAAGTTTCCCAAACGTATTTATTTTGCCACTGTTTTGTACTTGGATCAAAGGGTCTGATACCAAGACAATGATTATTCGGCCACATTCTTACTGCGAATTGAAAATGGTCGAAATATGTTTTTAAATGATGATCAGTACAAGTAATTAAATGATTGTGTGAAAGAGTACTTCTGTATACCAGGCTTGTATTTGGTTGAGAAGTGCCATTTATTGGCGAGGCTTGGCATTGTAAGAAAAACTTATAGTCAGGCCAACTATTCAATGGCAATTCTTCCATAAGGGCTAACAGATATTCATCTGAACCCTTTCTAAACCCATCTAATCTATCTTTTAATGTTTTATATCTTGGATCTGAATGAATCAAATCTGTTATAGAAAATTTGGTTGTATACGCCATAATATCGAATTAATCTTTATGTATATATTATTTCTATTATTAAACACACACACACACACACAATCTCTCTCTCTCTTTCCCTTTTAAAATAGCTGAAATATAGATAATTTACTAAATGTTTGAATCTTTTCAAATAGTGTACAAGAAGAAATACTATTATATATATATATATGCTTGTGTAAAAGAGATAATAGGAAAAAACTATAACCTTAATAATATCGAGCTTTTACAAATATTTATTTCATTCTCCAACCCAAAACAATTGTTATGTAATGTAAATTTATCAAGTTTGTCTCTTGAATTTCCCCCAATAGATCGTAGTTTTAATAATAACTACATGACAGACCATCAGAATTAAAACACCTTTTTCCCTTTCATTTTCCCTCCAATATTTTCATAAACATTATAAAATGTTTTGGAGAACAGACGACCAATGGTACTGGATTGAGTAAAGGGGAGGGGGAACATAAAAAAGAAGTGTAGACCTATTAAAAAAGGATTTGATGATTCTTGAAAGAAACAACAAACTAACAAGCAAAAGGACATCAATCATTCAATCAAAACACTTATCTGTCTCATTTGTTCATCTGTCTATCCATATATTACATTATATACTTTATCTACATTTACCCATATATAGTGTGCCAAAGATTAAATTTTTTTTTGGAGGGAAAGGGGAGGAACTATTTTGTACTGATACTGATACTATTATATAATAACCATCCTACTTTCTTCTCTATTTGCTACTGTTATTATTATTTACAGAAATACACTGCATAACGGATGTTTTATGACAAAATGGAAAAAAGAAGAAAAAAAAACAAAATAAACTTTTAAAACATTATTGTTATTGTTATTGTTGTTGTTGTTGTTGATAAAAATAATAAACAAAATTATTAAGGAAATGATTGTATTTTATTATGTAGTTTGCAGAACAATGAACTCCCGTATATTTTGAGACAATAAGGACCCCTTTTCTCTACCTCCACACACACACACATCTTTTCTTTTTTATTCTCTTTTGTGTTTCCTAGAAATTCCTGTTAGTGCCATCGGTTTTCCCTTATTCCTTTGTTTCTCTCTTCTATTTTATTTTATTCTATTTTGTTCAATTTGGCCATTCCCTTATCTCTTCCCTCCCTCTTTTGTTTTCTTTTACTCTTTTTTTCCGTTTCCCCGTTTCCCCGTTTTCTTTTTCTTCGCTTGTCACTCTTTCTTTCAGGAAAAAAAAAAAATACAACACACAGAAGAAAGTAGCAAGAAAGAAAAGAGCCGGGAATTGGCGCAGAAAGACGGTTTGGAAGAAAACGTGTAATATTGGACTGGACTCCGTTATTAAGAAGAGATAGATACAACTGGGTAAAACAACAAGTAAAATGGGAATAGATACAGCAGAACTAACAAATACCAATAAATATGCAATAGTAAACCAAACATAACTGTTTGTTTATTGGTGCTACCAGTTGTAGGGTTCTAATTTTCGATTTTTACTGGTAAAAATATCTATGAGTTTACCTAAATGATTCATGCCTACAATAACTCAAATATAATATCTTTACAACATCTTATCAACGTATTTGATTTGTCTATTTGACATGATTAGGAATTTGGTCTTTTCGATTCCTTCTTTCTTTCTTTCTTTCTTTTTTTTTTGTTGTTATTTTTCAATTTTCTATAAATATATCTTGTGTAATACCCATCTGTATATCTATCAACCACTGTAGATACATATATACATACATACACAACATATGTATATACAAAAATCACCCTTTCTATCTTTTTGCTGTTGTAATTGTAATACGTCACAGTTAAAAGTCCGAAAAAAGTTTAAATTATCACAAAAACAGAAAAAAGAAAAGAATTAAACAGGAAAAGAAGACATAACAATATATACATAATCGATAGTATGCTTACACTTCCAGATGAAATTCTAGAATTAATCGTCCAACAAAATAGCAATAGTATACGAACATTGATCTCATGGTCTCTGATCTCTTCTCATATACGGGATTTGGTGTCTAAGAAAATTGGTATCATTACCATACAAGATGGTTTAATATCCCAATTCCAAAATATTTTAGGTTTCCAATGTTTAATATCTAAAAATTTTAATGATAATCATAATAATAATAATCATAATGTTAATGTTAATATTAATACCAATATCAATAGTGATAATTATTTTTCAAACCATATCCACATTATATCTGATGATATAAATGATGAATATATTGTAAATGAGGAAATATCACTTAGTCATTTTATATCTAATTTTAATAATCTTTTGATCGTGATTGAAACAATAAGACCATATAGTGAAAATTTGTCCAATACATTGACAAGGATAGTAAATTCATGCCATGAAGGTGTCAACATTTGTGTCTTTTATAAGACTCATACTAATTTCTTAAGTAAATTATATTTTAAACCATTTAGAAATATTTCACTTCGTAGTTCTTTGGCTGAACTATATATTTTTGGTGAGAAAAAATTCCAATATCCATCTCAAGAAAACTTGATCGATATTGAAACATTATTTACATCTACCTACGTCGAAGAGTTAACCGCTATATATTCTTTAGATATTATAGATAATACAATTCGGTTCTATGCTCCTAATTTGGTGACTATTAAAAGAATTAATTATAACGATTCATGCAATATGGAACATTTCTTAAGATATTGCACTAATATTCAAAATATCGAATACTTAAAGTTTCCTGTCCCAAATAAATTAAATGAGAAATCAACATTTGTATTACCTCCTTGTGCAAGAATCACTTTAAATGAATTTTCCAATAATGTGTCTTATCCAAGCATTAATGGTTCTAAAATCACTAAATGTTTGACAATAAAACCAACCTTACGATCATCGGATCCAATCTTTAAAAATCTAAGGTTCCCTCAAATTAATTCTTTACATTTATCAATATTGGATTTCAAAATTGTTGAACTCATCAATTGTGATTTCAATCAGGTTAGAAATTTGGATGTAGGGGGTTGTTTGATTCCATGGGATGATTTAAACTTAAATGATAATACAAGAGAAGATTCCATTAGATTGAATATTAAGATAAGATTAAATGACTTACAACAACTGTCCTGGTTAAATTCATGTCCCTATCGTATCCAAAATTTGGATATCATCAGCAATACTATCTATACTTTCCCAATAAATTTGTTTTCCAACAGTTTATTATGTGACCTTTTTATAAACCAAGATATGGACATAGCCAAAAATTCTAACAAAATCAAAAACATTAACTTTAATATAGATTCCTTAGAACAGTGTTATTTATTACAAGAATTGATGTCTGCCACAAAAACATCTAGATCAAATAACAATTTTTCAGGTCCGTCCTTTAAGATTACTATAGAAGCAAGTAAATTACAACGATCCATTATCATGAATAAAAATAATAAATTTATTCAACCATTCGATCTTCCTGTTTCCATGTTAAAACATTTAACTCTATTATTATTACAAAATGATAAAGTCTCAGAGACTGATCCATTCCAAAGAAATGAAGTTGCAACCAATTACAATATGTGTTATTTCAATTTTAACTCTTTTGATAATCATCGTGACTCATTGCCTATACCTGATGAAAAGCTCCATTCAAATATTTTTAATAATGAAAAGATAACACCTGTAGATACAATATCGCCATCCCAATTTAGAAAGAATAGTCTGATTGGACTTTCCAATAATGAGGCAAGAAAACAAAGTATTATAGCATTTGATTCCATTTCCTCGAGGATATCAGATGTCGCTTCAAATAGAAGAAGATCTTCTTTAGATAATTGTTCATTATTCTCCAATTGGCATTATTTATACAATAATGAATATGCACTTGATGATGCTAGTGATCATCACGAATTTATAAATTTTAATTTACAAGGATCCCAATACGTTAGTATAATTACTTTAGATATAGATATTTTAGAATCCTCAGTGTTACAATTCGATGATTTCCCCAAAGATAAAAAGGCTCCATTATTGCAAATATGGTTTACTTTAAATCTTCCAATATCCACATACAAGGAACTCATTATTAGTTTAACTAATAGAATCATTGATTTAATGCATTATCCATATAGTCAAATTACTCATTCATTACTATTCCAAAAGCTACAATTATTTATTGATTTCAGTGAATCTAAGGAAGACATGATGTCCCCATTAACTTTTAACGCATTAACTAGTGATCTAACCCAACTTTTGTCTATGAAGGGACATTCTGTAAAATTTGTTCAATATACCTCCTCTGTGGAAGACTTAGTGGTAAATTCTCCATCATTTTCTGTTTGTATTAAACTTTAACACTTTATTATTTTTTTCGTTGCAAGAATATGAATTATAAGTAATATTTTACAAAACTTTACTTTAATTTATATACATACATATCTTTATGCATATATTTAATATTTATTCACAATATTCCCCCAAGAACTAACTGTTTAAGTGGTAAACTCATGGAATGCAATAACTAATACAAAAAAAAAAATAAAATCTGATAGATAAAACTATTTCTGAAACATTATCTTTTATAAATTAGCATAAAATAAAAATATCAATAGCCCACGTAATATTATAAACCATAATGAAAGAAGAGTAGTATAAATCCTGATTTAGAACATTAACATAACCGTTATCATCTATCCTGAGATGTATTGTTTTTGTTTATAAATTAAAGTCTCATATGTGACTGAGTGTAGATTTCCAATTCAAAAGCATCTATTATAACATTTTAAAGCTCTCGAACGAAATATATTTCGAATTTTGAAGTAGCATCCATAAAATAAAAGACGCCTTGCAAGATAAATTCTGTAAATATTCAGTATTTTTTTTACAACTCTGCCATTGGATCATTAAGATCATCATTAACTCTAATTTCAGAATCTTTATTTTCATGCTTAAAAGCCTTGTCTTTCCAAGGATCCAAGGATCCCATCTTCGTTTTCTCACTTGTGTTAACAGAAGATTGTGTATTAACATAATCTTTGCGTAATTCTTTTTTGACTGCTTCACTATATTCTCTGTTATCCTCACGAGGTTCGTAAAAGACATGATCTACATGTATCTTTCTTCCAGCTATATTAACACCATTTAAATTGTCTATTGCAAGGATAGTAGATCTTTGATCTTCATATTTTAAATATGCAAAACCCTTTGACTCACCAGTATTTTTGTCTCGTACTAAAAGTATATCAACTGGAACACCATATTGGGAAAATACTGTTAATATATCACCCTCGGTTAGTTCTCTATTCAAACCCCCAATAAATATGTAAGCTTGATCCTTATAATCATTATGCCATGATAACTCAGGCTTCAGTATTCCAGCCTCTAATTCAGCATTATTAATTTTTTGAATATTCCTAGATTGAGCAGACATGTCATATATACTTATGTACCAATGATATTTTTTTGTTTAACTGTCTCTGTATCGGTTTGCTTTAAAATGAAATATTTCTATTTTGAGGTGGTATTCATATGCTTTTAAATATTTTTTTTGCGGTTTATTTGATTTTTCTTTATATTTTCACCAAACCCAATAAAATAATTTTAATTTCGTTATACACATAAGAAGAAAAACAAATAAAAGAATGTGATTCTACATATATATACACATAAATTGATATGAAGTAATTAGTTATTTATAAATTTATCAGAAAATTTAGTGATAAATTCTTAAATTCAATTTGAATTAATATTGCCTTCTTCAGTAATACTCGTGACAATTGGTTTCAGACTGCCTACTGTTGATGTCTTTGAGTCAGTCGCAAATGAATCATTAATACAATCGGCAATCGCACTGTCACTCTCTATGAAGTGTCCTTGCATTTGTTTTTCAGTAGTCGTCTCAAAGTCTTTTTCTTTTCTCAAGATGGCTTCATCATTATAATCGTTTCGAGATAGGATGCTATCAGTTAAAGATATTGTCGAGTTTGAAAGTTTTCTGGACTCTGCATGAATTGTTGAACCCATAACCAAATCATCTTCAGGTAAATGCTCTTTTGTAGCTTTTGAAGAATCTGCATCCATAACATCACTCTGTTGATCGTTCAACCTTCCATCTTCTGTCACAACTAAACTACCATTTTCTAGAGTCTGTGCAGTAAAATTATTTATTTTACATTTCAAGGACCACAGATGTCTAACTTTAACCACATAATTTTCATTCTTAACAACAATTTTAGTCATGTTGTTTACATTAGATGGAAGTTTTCTCCCCCTAGGCCCTTTACTTCTCCGCTGACGCAAATCATGAAGTTCTTTCTTAGTGGTTGATTTATCTGATTCAAATTTGCCATTTGTTGCAACAGTATCATTATCTTGCATCTTCTCATTATTACCAACCTTAGAAATAGAATTTGGGTTTGGTGGTACCATACCTGGGAGGGCAACTAACTTGTTTAAGTTATCGATAAAGTTTATATTTATTGGCGGTTGCTTACCAGTTTCTTCATTCTTTATTAGTTTTATATCTTGTGTTTCAAAGTCCTTCATTTGCTGCTTCTGTAGCATTTCATGGAATGCAGCAATTTTTGATGATGGCTTTTTAGGGACTGGTGGTGGTCCCCTCTTTTGTGGTCTTGAGAGAGGAACTTGTGGTATCACTTTTGACACAGATATATTAGTTGGCAACACCTCTGAAGAATTTTCTTTATTAGCATCGGAAAAGAAATTCATATTATCTTCATTTATTTTCAAATTACCGTCAGTAATTACGTTCTCTTCCTTCTCAAGTAGTGGTTCTGGATTATCTTTTGGAATAATACCACCTTCTAAGTTATTTTCCAAGTCTGATTCAACAACTATATTTTGTTCTGTACTCTTCGAATTACGGTCCTTGTTACTTTCCTTAGCAGTAGATATTGAAGATGATATTTTTTCTAAATTTGATGATGTAGGATTTATCAATGGTTCAACTCCAGATTTTTCATTCTCCTCATCTTCAAATGCTCTTTTTTCTTCTTCTACATTGGAAGATTCAATATCAGCATTGCCTGATGGTATATTTTGTGAAAGTAAGTCTCTATCTTCCACATCACTTAAAGGTTCTGTCCGATCATTAGTATTCTCAATGTTCCCAACAATTTCATTGTTTTGGATATTATTATTATTCTTCTCATAACAATCAGATTCATCCCCAGTTTCTTCTATTTCAACGGTTTCATTTTTAGCAACACAATTATCATTAATATCGATTGTTCTTTCTATCTCTTTATCGTCATAATTTTTGCTAATTTCTCGTTCTGTATTAAGGTTGGGCTCTGTTTTGATAACTAAACTATTGATTCCATCATTTGTCTGTTCATTCTTTTGGCAAAAAGATTGAATGTCCTGCTTGACGTTATCGGCATTATTTAATTCTTTTGTATTTGAAAAATTATTGAAATCCAAGCTGGTTTCAGTATCTGCTGATTCCATTATATTCTTTTCCTTTATCAAATCAGTATCTTCTTTATTAAATTGTATGGGTTTTGTTATTTCTGTTGGTCCTTCTTTTAGTTTCACAGGAATATTTACTGATTCTATTGCACAGTAATTCTTCTTACTGTCAAAAAAAGGATTTGTCATAGATGGTTCATTTGGTTCTAAAGAACTTTGCCTTTTAATAGGTCTTTTTAATGGAACTTGTGGCAATTTATAGTCTTCCTTATCGAAATCAAAATTATTTGATTCTTTATCTATTGCAGAAAATTCTAATTGCAATAGACTAGTGGTCTCTGTGCCTTTCATAGCCTTTGTTCTATCTACATCTGTAGATTGTGAATTGTTTTCTACATTAGATAACAATGACGATTTATTGGAATGTGGCCTTTGAGGAACCACTGGTGGTTCCGATTTTTTATTAAAATCATTTAGTAAATCAGAAGATGCTCTGGGAGAAAAAGAATTTGTACTAGTATCTTGTGTTTTAGATATGTCTGATGGACGTGCATGTGTATGTTTAGTGACTAATTTCTCCATTTGTTGCAGTTCTTCATTTGTGTCTCTTATCAAATTGTTGATTTCATCAGTAGTAGTTCTCCTGACAGGTCTATGCAATGGTACAGTTGGAATTTTAACACCATTATCAAATGCTTCTTCCAAAACATTTGTTGTTCTTTTTTGTGGCTTTGATGAAGTTATTTTAAGAGTAGCATCTACTGTGTATGCCTTCCTGATAGGCCTGTGTTTTGGAATAGACGGGATTGATAAACCCTCAGTGTTAGAATTTATATCTGTAGATTTGTTGTTTGAAAAATTCATAGTTTCAAATTGGATATTAATCTTGTGATTTTAATTCACGTTTATTCTATTCAAGGAATATAATATAACTGTTATTTTTATTCAAATCCTCCCTGTTCCTTCTTGAGTGTATTCTTTGTTCATTCAATAAAGTCAAAGGCTTTATTCTCTATAGGAATTGCTTCTTGTCCTCCAGTCTTATATATCTACAGAATAGTGTTTGTTCTTGAATCAAGATACGCACACCTCCCTATCTTTTCATGTATATTTAACAAGAAGTATTCTGACTTTATTGGCAAAAATTTGTACGGAAAATTACAGAAATAATCGCCAAGAAATAATCTATATTCTTTTAAAAAGAATCTTATATACAGTGAAAGGTTTTACAAAAAAAAAATGACTGAGAGTTATTTCTCCATAAAGTTATGCTTTGTGAAACACGATAACCATTAGTAGATTAGATTATTGCTACCAATATTTCCCTTATTAAACATTTGTATTTGAAAATAGTTATTTGTTTTGTAAAATATCAACGGGAAAGAGATTTATTAGTAGTATTTCACATATAACGATACGCAGTTAATTGATAGTTCTACATACTTACTAATATTTGTATCTGTGTGATACCTCATCATATTTTGTCCTTCGTTTTTTATATCTCTTTCTCAGTTTTAATGAATGTTGTGAAATGAGTAAATAATGGATGGGACGAGTATAAGTGATTTGGAAGATGATGCAGATTTTGATGCCCTTTATGAAAAAAATATAAATAAAGCTGTTAAAAAAACAATTTTCCAAAAACGATTACCTGTTCAAAGAGATCTATTTAATCATGTACTACCTGGACAAAAAGTTTATTATCAAGAAATTATTCACGACGTGTCATATGGCCCAACACATCACAAATTTAATCAACATGATGATGCCAAAGACTATGGTATTCTATTAGAAGATAATGATAGTAACACACCAGAAAATTTGACAGTTCTATCCTATTACATATATCCCACAAACTATCAAGTAAGAGAATATCAATATAATATTGTTAAAAGAGCATTATTAACTAATGTTTTATGTGCAATTCCAACTGGTATGGGTAAGACATTTATTGCTTCTACTGTAATGTTAAATTTCTTTAGATGGACTCAAGATGCAAAAGTGATATTCATGGCACCGACTAGACCTTTGGTAGCACAGCAGATTAAAGCGTGTTTGGGGATTACTGGAATTCCCAATGATAAAACGGCAATTCTATTAGACAAAACTAGAAAGAATAGAGAAACGATATGGAAAGAAAAAAGAGTATTTTTTACCACACCACAGGTAGTGGAAAATGACTTAAAAAGAGGTGTGTTGGATCCAAAAGATATCATATGTTTGGTTATCGATGAAGCTCATAGGGCAACAGGGTCATACGCATATTCAAATGTAGTTCAATTTATTGACAGATTTAATACATCATATAGAATTCTTGCTTTAACTGCAACACCAGGGACAACATTAGAAAATGTTCAGGAAGTGGTTAATAATCTGAATATATCTAAGATTGAATTGAGAACTGAAGAAAGTTTGGATATTATTCCATATATGAAACACAAGGAGATAACGAAAGTCTCAACTCAACTCACCTGTGAGATTGAGGACATCATTGAACAACTAGGTATTGCCATTACACCGACTTTGAAACAAGCTGTAGAATTAGGAATTTATGAAGAATGTCCACCTTCTAATATCAATGCATTCAAAGCCATGCAACAAAGTCAAAAGATTGTTGCTAATCCCAGTATACCTGAAGGTATTAAATGGAGGAATTTCTTTATTTTACAGTTATTAAATCATGTCGGACACATGCTGAAGAGAATTAAAATATATGGCATTAGAACATTTTACAATTATTTTAAAAATAAATATAAAGAATTTACAACCAAGTATAACCTGGGAAAATCAACTAATAAGATTGCTGCAGATTTTTATTTTAATCCTATCCTAAAATTATTAATGAAAAAATGTGACAACTTATTAGCAAATGAATCATTTTTGGGGCATGAGAAGTTACAATATATTCGAAATGAGTTAGAGAATTATTTTAAGGAAGACATCAACCTAGCCGAGTCTCGTGTGATCATTTTCACTGAATTGAGAGAGAGTGCTTTAGAAATTGTCAAATGTATTGATTCTATGAATGATCATCATATTCGTCCTCATATTTTCATTGGTCAAGCAAGAGGTAAAGAGGAATTTGATGATGTTGGTTTTACAATGAAAAACAAACCAAAAGGAAGAAAGAAAGTCGACAGACTGAAAAGGAAGGAAGAGGAGGAACAATTGCAATTGAAAAAACAAAAAGAAAAGGAACAGGAAAGTATAGAAAGAAGTGCTAGAAGAACAGCTAGCTCAGAAGAGGCTCAGATTAATGGTATGAATCAGAAACAACAAAAGGAAGTGATCAAGAAATTTAAAGATGGTGAATATAATGTCCTTGTTTGTACTTCTATTGGTGAGGAAGGGTTAGATATTGGGGAGGTTGATTTAATAATCTGTTATGACACTACAAGTAGCCCTATTAAAAACATTCAAAGAATGGGTAGAACAGGCAGAAAAAGAGATGGTCACGTCATACTATTATTTAGTAGTAATGAGGCCTATAAGTTTGAACAGGCCATGAACGATTACTCAAATTTACAAAAATTGATTAGTCAGGATTGTATTGAATATCAACATTCCGATAGAATAATCCCTAAGAGTTTCACTCCACGTTGTGAAGAAGTTTTCATAAATATAAATAAAGAAGATGAAGCACTTAATAGCATTGAGAATACAGATGAAGTTATTCGTTATGCTACACAGTGTATGTTGGGTAAGAACACCAAAAATAAGAATAAAAACGATAAATTGTCAAAGTCAAAAAATACAAAGTTAAAAGATATTAGTGGGAAAAAGGTAAAAGGCCCCACGATTATTGATCAATTAAAGAGCGTAAAAGGGAAAGATAAATCAAAAAGTTCAAAAAGATTTTTCATTCCAGATAATGTGGAAACTGGAATATTAAAAGCAAGTGATCTTGTTGATAAATATATAATTACATCAGATGGCGAAAAAAGGATTTTAGATGAGGATACAAAGTCTGGTAATAGTGTTAAAAAACCTAAGTTAACAATTCTGGATAAATATGAGGATAATTCATTGTCTTCAAGCAATGATTTTGAAGATCATTTAAGTGATGATGAACACTTTGAAGTAACGAAAGAAGATTCAAGTAATGAAATTCTATCAATGACTAAGAATATAGATTGTTTTCCAAATCAAGTAGATGAATTGACAGTGAATAGTACTGATTTGTCTAATGATCCACGAATAAAACAAGAAATTTCATATACCATTGATTTAAAAAATGATGATATAGAATATTTTAAAAAATATTATAATCCTAAAGCAATTCCAAAAATAGACGTAATACCAACAATGAATAAATTTACTTCTGTAGGCAAAATATCACATTCTAATAAGATTAAAATTCTATTGGACTTATTCCAAAATATGAAAGAAAAAGATAGAATGACAATTATAGAAATGAATAGGACTAAATGCATGGTAAAGAGATTGGAGAGAGATAATTATAATATGTTAAAAGTTCCTATCACAAATGATGTACAATTAAATGCAATTGAAAATTGCGATGAGAAGAATATAAATACGCACTTAAGCAATGGGAAGATATTAGATCAAAAACATAATCATAATAATTTTGATGAGGATGACCGTGACGACGAAGATAATGCCTTAGATGCACTTTTAAACTCTGACTCTGACTTAGAAATTTAATTTTGTTGTCTCTGTATATACATAAGCTAAGACAAATAGAAAGAATTGTTATAATTCCTCTCCTAATCAATACAAAATTATGGATTAGATAAATATACAATTTAAATCATCTATTCTATAGATATCTGTTTTTAATTTTTCAACAGTAGCGCCCATAACAAATCAAGAGACATTTTGTACAATATATATTTCAATATCGTAGTGTTGTAATATTACTATTATTTTTGTTATTTTTACTTTCATGTTTATCATAAATAAGAATGTCTTTTCTATAAGTTTTCGAAAAATAAAACGAGCGAAAAAGAGTAGTGTATATTTTCTACTGTGGGTGTATGGATTAAATTTTCCTTTATTATTATTATTATTATTATTTCTTGGAAATAAAAAATGAATATATCAAATACATTAGTAAGCAAATTCTATTCAAATAGTTAATTTTTATTCTTTAAAGACTAACTTTTTGTTTTGTTATGTGTTGTTGACATTATTCTCCTTCAAAAAAGTCTTCAAATTTGTACACCATTAGCCAAAGGACTCTAACCGTGTTTAATTTTGGTTTGTTCCGTTACGTGTTATTTTTTTTCAGAAATTTTTCTTTCCGCGGAAAAAATAATATCATGAAGAAAGAGACTTTTTTTTATTTTTTTTTTTTTTTTTTTCGTGAACAGAATTTTTTCTTTTTAGATTTTCCATAACCTATAAAAGGAATGAAAATGATGAAATAAGTGGCTCTCATGTTCAGGCCCACTTTAACGAACCAATTGTTTAACCTCCACTGTTCTATTTATTTTATTATGATATCCTAGTCTCTTTTACTTGTTCTTACGCTAAAAAAACCATCCTTATGCACGGGAAATACGCATATCAGTGAGGATTCGTCCGAGATTGTGTTTTTGCTGGTTGAAATATAATTAAACCAGACCGTCTCCTCATGATCACCTTTGATGATTCGCTTTTTAGAATCATTTTAGATTATGTAGGGAATTTTTGGAATTATCTTTTACTTTCGCCATATCTTTATTGAGATAGATTTTATTTTATTATTTTCCAATTCTAGATATGTTGTGAGGCCACAGTATCAAGTGATTGGTTTAATAATAAATTCACGTTCTAATTGTATTGTTAGTCATGACCTATGTGGAAAAGTAAATATGACAAATAAAAAATAATAATAATAGCAATTCACAAATTTTTACAAAAATTTTGTTTATTAGTATGGAATATGTTATACTCTTATTGTTTCCTTTGATGATAAAGGAAACTTTTTGTGATTTTTATGGAGAATTGAATATTTTTGTACAATATTACAGTTCATTAGTATATAGATAGTGTAATGATTTTGTGAATGATTATTCACTTTTTTTTTCTTTAAAGTATAGTGTTCTGGATATATACTGAGTAATAATTAATCCTGTAGATGAATCATAATTATAATATATTTAAGGAAAGTATGAATATATATATGTATATACCATCTGCACGAAGTTATATTGAGTAATATATAAAAAATTCATCTAGATCACTTTTAAAAAAGGTAGCAAAGGTGTGAGTTACCGGATCACATACCTTAAAAGTTGAAGGTTAGCTTACATTTTCAATATCTGATATATATGAGGAAACATGGTATGGGGTTATGGTAAAATCTAAAGAGATGTAAGGGCAGAATTTTTTTTTAATTGAGGTTATGTGCTATGACGATTTTACACAATCGTTAATGATGTTGAACATAGATCTTATTGTTTGAAGTTATCTTCTAACTGTATATACTCTAGTGTTATTTTACCCAATTTATTCTTCTAAGACCTCTTTATAAATCTTCTGGACAGCTTTTACATATAATACTCGATATAGAATTATTTTTGTTATATTGGATGTGTCTGTAAGAAAATCTAATTGGAAATCCTGAAATACGTAGTCTGCGGGTAACGCTTAATGTCAAGGCGAAAGGCTTGGAACAAACTTACTTAAGAGACCCTCAATTATTGAGAGACAGTGCAAGATGTAATTATTAACGTTAACATCTGTATTCTATCTGATAGGTCTAACCTAGAGGGATATCATGAGCAATAATAATAATCCTAATAAGAATATTGATAATAGTTAGGACTAATCTATTTAATAGTTAGGCTCAACCAATTATATAATTCGTAAATGTTCATACATAATAAAAATTCATATTTTAGTATGTTATTTGAGGTGATATGTTATAGTGTAACTGTTCTAACTTTTTTAAAATCAGTTTTAACAAGAAATGAGCAGTATTATATCTTGTGAAATAAAAAATTAAAAACATATAGAGAGCATTTTTTATCTGGCAAATATCCATTGTAGGCAATAAACAGATAATTATTGGAGTTAATGGATTTTTTGAGAAAAAAACTTTTGTGCCAAACATTTTATTAAAATTCCTTATAAAATTAATACAATGAAAAAATATAAACTTATAATGTAATATTGGTGGTATTATAAGCTCTCAGTTTATTTATGGTTGGATATCAATAGTACCATAATTCTAATTTATATTGTTTGATTTTTTTAATTTTTTATCACTAGCACACAATACATAAGAATACATCGTGCAATCCATTTTATTTTTGACTAGTCTTCAATAGAAACCTCTATAACGTTTTAGTTATTTAGTTTGTCAAATTTAGAATACCAAAAAGTCTTTAATTATATTTCAACAGATATACAAGGTATGTTGTGAATTATTCATTGAAAATGCAACATATGTATTAGAATATGAAGCGATACTCTCAGTATTTAGGATGTTGTGTGTCATTATTATACTGTAAATTTTTGGCATTATTGTTTGTAGAATTCACGGGTTTTAATGTTTGTGGAAATGATTGACATCACTAGGTTATTGAAGCTTTTTAATTCTTATATTAAATACAGTTGGAAAATGAGAGTTTATTACTGTCATTTCCATAAGAATAATTTTTAATTAGTTTTTCTGTTTATTATGTGGTGTACAGATGTATCATAATATCAGGAAGACATTTTATTTTTCACCAAGTATGTTTTTCGAAGATTTGAAGAGAAATGAAAAACTTAAAAGAAGAGTCAAAGTAAATAAAAGAATTTATACTGTGTACACTATATAATAAGTATATGCATGTATTTGGTACAAAACAAAATAAGCATCTATAACTTAATGATGTCTACCATTACCATGGACGCTGAAGGCTCCAAATTCCAACTAATTTATATATTATATATAAATATAAATAGAACAACAAGCAAGTAACAAGAAGTAACTTCGAATAAATATATTAGCTCAATAAAAAGCCGTTCAATATATAAGACCGTTTTAGTAATTATATTATCGACTATAGTTGATTACTGTCTCGATTACCTGAATAACTATTAGTATTATTTGCACTTTCCCGAAATATACAAAAGAATCTCATCATCTCATATTACAATCAACCATGTTGTAGGTCAACCTTGATATTATGATTTGTTGGAATTTGGAGCCTTCAGCGTCCATGGTAATGGTAGACATCATTAAGTTATAGATGCTTATTTTGTTTTGTACCAAATACATGCATATACTTATTATATAGTGTACACAGTATAAATTCTTTTATTTACTTTAAGTTTTCTTTTAAAGTTTTTCATTTCTTTTCAAATCTTCGAACGACATATTTGGTGACAATTAAAATGTTTTCCTGATATTATGTACATTCGTACACCACATAATATATAGAAAAACTAATTAAAAATAATTCTTATGAAAATGACAGTAATAAACTCTCATTTTCCAACATGATTATATAGAAAAAAACGATTAGGGTTGAAAAATATTGTTAGGGTTTTGTGATGGTGGTCAAGAAAAAGTTCTAGTTTGGATTTATAGGACTTAGGGTTTATTGATAAATCCCATATGATTGTTGAATACTATGTAACAAAATGAAACATTCATGAAACATTAAATAGCTAATTAAGGAGAAATGTATCTACGGTGACAGTCGTTACAGAACCTCAAATAAGAAACTATCAACCCATAGTTCATATATAAAGGACCAGTATCTTGGTATCTAAATTTATATGTTTGGTTGATTTATAATTATATGTAGCACATTGTATAATACAAAAAAAACAAGCAATAAACCCTTAACTCTCCTAGTTATATATAACGTTCTTATATATTTGTTATTACCCTTACTATTCGTTCAATAGTACTGTTAAAAAATTGGTCATAAGTCTGAACTATAACAGCGTTTGTTGTGGAATAGAATAGTTATAACCATCAAGATTACATAAGATCCTGAATGAATCTAGAACCAATTAGTGTATTAGTAAGCCATACATGTGCTACAACATTAGATGCTGCATAATAAAAAGATTGGATTACATAAGACCTTGGCAAATCTAGAATTTACCTATTGTTTTAGTAAGTCCCACGTGTATTACTAATCACCATGATTAGAGAATTGGGATGCAGTTCTAATCCAGTAGTGCACCTAAATTAATATAATAAATTTTAGGGTTGAATCAGTCAAGTCATTAATGTAGTAACCTGAATAATCGATCGAGCTCCAGAAAACATATAAAAGGACAACGTTTTCTGGAGATAAAAGATCATCTTCCATAACCGTTTCTTGTAAATAATTTATATATTATATATGAAAAAAAGAGAACAACAAGCAAGTAACAAGTCAAGTAACTTCGAATAAGTACATTAGCTCGATATAAGTCGCTTAATATATAAGACCGTTTAGTAATTATACTATCGACTATAGTTGATTACTGTCTCGATTATTTGAATTACTATTAATATTATTTGCGCTTCCCTGGAATACACAAAGAACTTCACCACACCATACTACAACAGCGTTCAGGAATTTGAGCTCGCGTGGCGTAATGGCAACGCGTCTGACTTCTAATCAGAAGATTCTGGGTTCGACCCCCAGCGTGAGTGCTTTCTTTCTTATGTTGTTCCGTGATAGTTTAATGGTCAGAATGGACGCTTGTCGCGTGTCAGATCGGGGTTCAATTCCCCGTCGCGGAGTTTTTTTGATATTTTTCTCATCTGTAGATCGTTTGTGACGAAAAAGTACATCTGTAAGGAAGTAGTATATTCCTGATACAATAAGGTGATTAATGCAATAGACAAGCAGATATTACGAAAGTTTTATACTTCTCGAACATTAAATTAGGTAAATGATTCTTGACTATTTTCTGTGTATAATACACAATTTGGAGAAAATTAACATACACAGATATATATACGTTTATAAGCTTCTCTTTAATACAGGGGCTTGTAAAGTATAATAGCATCTTAAGAGATACTATAAGAATTATTATATAAGGTTAGAGATAAGAAGCAAGAAGTAGTAGAATATGTAACTTTTTGTATGTTAACTAACTACTCTAGCTCCTATTATTTGTACATTGTAAGAAACTGTAAGAGTTGTTGTATGTAAAAGGATGAATCATATCAATTGGTATAAGTATAAACACTCTTACGTAAGCTCTCTATATCACTAATTAATAACCCTGATGTAGTAGTATTACTTCTTCTTCCTCTTGTTTTTCTTTTTCTTATATGATATTAAAAGTTACTTCTTAATATCATTACTAAGATGTATTTAAATAAGATGATTACCCCTAGCATATCTCTCAATAATCAAAGGCCTCTTGACAAGATCTGATATAATTATCGCTCCTTGGAAATCCTCCAATCAGATTCAATACCTTATACAAGCCACTGCACACATGGCTGTACCAATCCTCCACCCAGACACTCAGGTGTTACCCTCGGAATTGCGTACCTGCTGGATTTCCAGTTAGGTTCCTTACAGAAACATAACTAGATTTAAATTTTTTATTTTATAATATTCAGATTTACATCTGTATTTAAAATTAGTATTATTACGATCTATAATATTTCAATTATTAATATAATAAAGTTGTAATTTTTAATCTAGAAAAATAAAAGTTGTGAACTTTAATAGTGGTAATAGTTAAAAATCGTGAAGTATAAATATAAACATATAGAGCAAGAGTAAGCAGACCGAAATCAAACGTTCTAGAATAAATAGGTAGACCAGTTAGATTTTAGTAAGCATCACTTGAAAACAAAATGTGGAGAGTGTATTGTTTGCTTATCGGTAGATGTAAACAAACCCTATTAACAATTTTATGCCGTATGTGGACGAGATGTACCAGATATGAAAATATATAAAGCCAATACTTTTGTCATATCATACTTCTTCTCTTGCTCATCTTTTATAAATCACCCCTATAAATTATATATAAATATGTTGAAATATAATTATTAGAGTTATGTTTAATAATCTAAATTCATCGTACTAAGTGATTAAAAGTTATGAAAATTTATAGTAAAGAAGATTCAAAGATAAAATGAGTATAGTGTATAATATTGTATCTTGTATATTACTTATATAGAAAGGAAAGGACCAAGGAATAACTTATAATACCACCAATATCCTATTGTAAGTTACCTTATCTTATTATATTAGTCTTAAATGAACTCTACTAGAATGTTTGATTCCGAAGCCTTGCGTCAACAAAATAAAAAAAACCAAAGAACTTAATCATAACTTTGTATATTATATATATATATTAATATAACCTGGAGAATGTATACTATTTATTTCAATAACTAAAGGTGCTAATTCTTAACAGACCAATAGAAGTAAAAAGGAAATTATATTACTTATATTAGCGTAATTAAGAATTTTATATTTTGTTCGTGATTGTTTATAATTAATATTCATACTTCGTACCAAGAAGATATGTGACGAAATATGCAATAGTCATATAAAAATTCATCAAACAAAACAAGTGTGTTAAAACAATTATTATTATATGTAAATTATATATTCAACAATATAAAACACTCAATCGATTAAACATCACCATTTAAAGAGGAAAGCGTGTTACCTAGTTCCTTACACAATTCTTTTCCCCTTTTCTTCCAAGAACAAACATTATAATAATCACAGCTTTTACAAAAAGTAGAAAAATTATAGATATTAGGTTGAAATGTTTCAATATCACGTTTCCCAAACCAAAATCTTAGGGAGTTTATATGATGTATCATTAAGATTGCTTCATCATATTCAAAGAGAAGGTTTTCAAAATTAACGCCTCTGCAATAATATTCTATTAATAAGTTTTTTGAAATAATCTGACCTAAAAAATAATATAGCTGGGATAGTCTTACAGCTAAATACCGTATGGTTAATGGAAATTCCCAGACATCACATAACGAATCCAGTTCATTTAATAATGACCTGTCAAATTTATCTTTATACATGGACAAATCCATCTTAGTAGTATTATTTTGTTTTATATAATTATCGAACTGTGGAAATCCAATATTCTCACCTTGTTTTAATTTGTTCACATCAGAAATCAGAAATGGATTTTGCAATATCAAACTAAATATTTTTAATGGATGTATAGGTTCATCAATATTATAACCCCTTTCAAAAGCATTTAATAACAAACCTTGATAAGTAGTAGATGCATCCTTACTCATACTTAGCAGAAACTTCATGTAATACATTACCTGAATTTTTGATGAATTTATAACAGAGTTTTGTTTTGGCATACTGAATGTTTGTCTAGTTTTAACATCACATACTTCAATACTCAATTTTTTCATAGATATTATTTGTTTAATATCATTAAATAACAGTTGCACATCATAATGTGGATTTTGCAACACTGACAAAGCATGTAAAGATCGACCTTCTTTTTGATTATTTACAGTTGATTTTAATTTTAAATGATCAATTATACCGCTCAAAAGAATATATTGACTCTTTTTGTTTTTATTATAGTAGTCTTCAAAATCAATTGAATTGATTCTCTCAAAATATTCTTTGTATTTAGAAGATTGTGAATCACCAATAAATGAAAATTTATCATCTTTCGAATCAATATATGCAAAACAGGGAATTTCTCTAGCTTCTCCATAAATAAATAAAGATACCAATCTATATATGGTTTGAATCCACTGATCAATCAATTTCTCCTCAGGTACACTCCATTGACTCTCAAATTGCAATAGACTTTTATTAGGCGGATGTGTTATCAACTCTAAATGAGAATGTTGTTTTAAGCCCAGCGACAACTCTGGTGTGATAAATCTTGGGATTTGTGAATAGATATCGTAAGCAAATTTAATTTCACACCACGATTTGGTTAACAAAGATGTAACTGACAGTCTTTTGGCCCGTTGAGGTGATTTGATTGGAGGCAAACCATTATGGAATAAAGAAGAACCGTTTTGAGGTAAATTGTAAGACAAATAGTCCGGATATTTATTGTCATCTCCAAAAATTTCACGGACTTTAGCTATTTTGTTAGATATATAATTTTCTTTTTGTTGAGATTTCGACAGATTCTTAATCAATCTTGCTTTATTGCCATTAATGATTTGAGAACTATTAAGAATTGGTAATTTATCTCTTTCAATATTAGTATTTTTAAAGTCACTATTATTAAATTTTTTATTAGTTGAATAGAATGCCTTTACCCTAGATTTGGTTACTGTAAATAAAGAACATTTAGTAATCATAGGTATGCATTATTCAAATTTCTTCATGGAACCAAGATTGTATAAGAAAACTACATAACAGCTCGATGATTAAAATGCAACGCACGACCTGAGATAACTGTTATTTCTTTGAAAATTAATACCTTAAAACTTCTATATCAGTATAATTGAATTTTCAAGTCAAAGCAAAAAAAAATGGAAAAGAAACCCATAAACAATGAGTGCAAAAAATCATAATTGAGTACATATTAATTAATTCCTTCACCATATATATATTGAACAAACAGGCAAAAATCTCACTTGAAAGCTTCTTATCAGGTCATAGAAAGGACCCATAGAAGAGTAATGTACAAAAAAGATAATAAAGGGCAAAGAAGAAACGAAAGACATTTTTGAAACAAGGATAATACAATAATGTTAAATTTAAATTTACATACACATAAATACATACCTACATACATACATATATGCTATCCTTGTTTTGTTCATACGGTATGTAATATTATATATAATATTTTTATTCATGATGAATAATTAAATACAAGAAGCAACGCACTTATATATGTTAGATATATGTCACATCACTAATGGCTTAGAATAATTGTTTCAAGTGTTAGGTTCAAAAAGGATAAAAGAATTCACATTCAATGATTCTTTATTTTTAGAATATAAGACTAATTAACTCCAAAACACCACCACCTACTAATAAAAATAACAATGCAAAAACCCAATATTTAGAAATTGGTAATGCATTTTTTTGATTTTTTTTATCTGGCTTCTTTTTACCATATTTTCTTGTTTTTTCAATATTCTTATTAAATCTCTCATTTGCAATCCTTTGTTTTGGTGTTTGAACAGCCATGATGATGTTAGAATCTTTCTTCTTGTTTTGTAAATATTATGCTAATGGTAAATAAAGGATAGTTCACTGGAGTAACTCTAAAGAATTGTTGGAATTTATTGCAGAAAAAGTAACTATAATTGGAAGATGGTAGAAAAAATAATAACAAAAATTTTTGTTAGGAATCTGTGGAAAATATTTGTAACGGTAAAACGGATAGTAATATCAAAGTATAAGAACTTGCAATAAACATTGCTGTATTATCTATTCTAATTTTTTATACCAACACGCAGAGTTTTGAAATTTTTAAATAGAGAGTAGATACTTCTCATTGTGTACGAATCATTCTTGGCCAGATTTTTAAATTGTGGAACATAGGACTTTTAAAAGTAAAAATAAATACACAGAAAATCTAAAAATTTCTGATATAAAGAACTTTTCTGCGTAGTAAACATCTTCCAAGAAACCTGACGAAGAAGAATTTTTTAAATTATTTTGTTTAAAAGATAGTAAACATTATAATAATGCCAAAATTTATCTGATGATTAAAAGCTTTTACTTTCTTTTTTAACTACTTGCCTATCTATAAATTTTATTTTAGAGATTAGATACTTCATCGTACAACTCAAAAGAAAGAAGGACACAGTTTACGCATACAACGTTGCACAAACTATTTATAATAGAAAATATAAAAACAAATAGAATCCTTGTTTTTTTACTCTTATTGAAATAAAAATAAAAGAAAGATGGAATTGTATAGCACTCCAGATATTTCCATTTAAAGCCATTATCAAATCCCCAAGAAAAATAAAAAAAAATACCTTATCAAAAGTACCCCTAAAAACATCAGAAAGAAACATTACGTCGTCTAGAATGCTCAAATCTATATTAGTATGGTATATAAATAAATAAGCATAATACTAATAATACTGCAGAAGAGCAACCAGCATAAATGACAAGCAAGGAAACTCTTACTTCTCAAAATGATTAGATGTTAACGCATCAAGAAAAGAACAATAATAACACTGGAATAAGACTTCAGAGAGTACTTAAAATCCAAAGGGAGATATCTTTTAATTCAATTCAGATTCGTTCTTAATGTTTTCTTATCGTTTATTTATCTTGAGTCTCAGATAAAATGCCACAACCTTGGAAACTGTAGGATCGTTACATATATGCAAAAAAACTTTTCTAATAAGGTTTTGATTCCGAGGGCGAAAAAGATAGAATTGTACTTTATCAAGTAGATATTTATAAAAGAACACAATGATTACATACAGATGAAATTTATATCACATGTTATAGGGAACAAAAACTCCACGAAGTACCATCCGCCAAGATCAATTTTTATCTTAGAATTTATCTAAAAGTATACAAGTAAATGATCAGATTAGGTATCCCAACAATAAAAGGAACCTTCTTTTTTGAGAATATCTGCCTCTTCAATAGTTGTTTTATAAAAACATTATAGATATTTTAGGATTCAGCCGAAGTTTTTTGCGGTTTACTAGAACATAAAGTAATCAAACATATTAATACCTTATTTTCATAAAATTGACTAGAGTTTTGAAGAATTAATTAATTCCGTTAAAAACGGCCAATCTTTTGTCTGCACCACTAAATTTAAAAACAGTTTCTTTAATGTTATTATTTCAAAATTTCTAAGGTCAAAAAAAAAAATAATTTTTTTAAACTCCCATTCGTCAATAATGATTTCGTATAGTCATTTAATACGAAAGCCAAACCTTTTTTTTTTCTGCTGGGTCGAATTTCTAAATTTGTAAACATTCTTTTCTAATCAGGAAAAAATAATCTATATAAATTACCTAATTAGTCTTATTTTATTTTTCATCTGTTGTTGTTGGACGATTTTTCGCGTCGAGCCCCAATTTTGTTTCATGTCGTGAGCATTTATATTTAGGTTTATTTACTTTCTTGTTTTCTTCATCTCCCAGGAAGATAAACATTGAGTAGAGTTGAAAGTATTTAAAATGAACTAGTATTCTTCGACAGTACTTCTTCCATTTTCATCGAGTACACGTAGTCGTTTTGATATACACCTTCCACGTCTTGGCATTCTTCGTGGAGCTTCTTAGTGTAGTTTAGATTTCTTTTATTACTTCGTAGTTGTTGTTCTGATAGCCAGCAAACACTAAATGTATATCTAGTCTTTATTTCATATTTTTTTTGTTTGAATCCTCCAAAGTTTATTACCAAATCACCGTTATTCCAACTATTAGTCCTTCCTTTTTTTTTAAAATTTCCTTCAAATTAGCTAAAATAAATAAATAGCCTACATTTTTGTATTTTTAGCGAAACAAAAAAATAGAGACATTTATAGATTATATTCTATTTATATATTCCATATTTGATCAGTAGCTCATTATCAATATGAAATTTAATACTGTTAAGAGTTCAATCATCTTGACAACTTTGGCTAACCTAATTAATGCCAACTGTCAATTATCTAGTGATGGAAACTATTACTGTTCTCCTACTGATGCTATTATTTATTCCAATGTTGGTACATCCGGTTCCTATAACGATATTACATCTATGGATGAATCAACTTGTGTCTGTACCTCTGAACCTTTCAAATATTCTGGCAGCTTAGCTCCATTTAATGAAGAATTATCTGTCCATTTTAGAGGTCCATTGAATTTGAAACAATTTGGTGTTTATTATCCAACTACTGGGACTTCATTAAAGAAAAGAGATAATGTAGAGCTGGATAATGAAAACTGTATTGAAACTGTATCAAAAAATAAACATCGTCACAAGAGAGATGTAGCTGTTGAATATGTTGAAGTTACCTCCACTGTATACGTAAATGAAGATGGAGAAATCGTTACTAATCCTTCTTCTGCAACTGCTACTACTCCTCCAGCAATTGTCAGTGATGTTAACGTTGACGAAACTTCTTCTTCTTCTACTACCACCAATGCCAACACTAACAATGCTGCATCTTCTACTTCTAATCCAGAAACCACCCCTTCCGCAACATCTATCGTCACTTCTCCTGGGGGCTGGAATAGATTAGCTTACTACACTCCAGGTTCCACTACAAATTGTACTTTTATGAACCACATGGGTGGTACCGCTGGAAGTGGTGTTTGGTCTAGCTGCTTCGGTAACTCTATTTCTTTTGCTGCTGCTAACGGTGTGGACGGTGCTTCTTCTCCTTGTGCTTTAGATGATGTTACCGTGAAATCTGGTCAAGAATATATAATCTTCTCTGGTGTTGAGTGCAGTGGTGAAAATGGTGACTGTGGTTACTACCGTGAAGGTATCCCAGCTTACCATGGTTTTGGTGGTTCTTCTAGAATCTTTGTCTTTGAGTTTGAAATGCCATCTGATACTGTGGGTACTGCCTATAATCAGGATATGCCAGCTATTTGGTTATTGAATGCTAAGATTCCAAGAACTTTACAATATGGTAAGGCTGACTGTTCCTGTTGGGAAAGCGGTTGTGGTGAAATGGATTTATTTGAAATTTTAAGTCCTGGTTCTGATAAGTTAATTTCTCATATTCATGATACTCAAGGTGGTGGTACTCAAGATTACTTTGTCAGACCAGTAGGTAATACCATGAAAGCTGCTGTTATCTTCGACGCCGATGATAAAACTGTACATATTGTTGAGGTTGAAGACACCTTCGAAGCTACTTTATCTGAATCTACTGTTAACAGTTGGTTAAATAAGGCTGGCTCTGCTGCTATTTTACCATAGGATAAATTATCCAAAAATAACCTCCTACATTCTTTTTTAATACTATATCATGTCTTCTGTTTTTAGTTATTAGGAGACTAGACAAATTTCATAATGATACTCTTTTTTAAGATGTATTATTGATATAAAGTTGTATTTCTAACTGTTTTGTGTTTTTTTTGTTTTAGTTAGATTGCATAATGTTCTATTTATTTCTATATATAATTACATAGTTGTATCAATATTATTTTAGATCTTTATTATACTCCGAGTAATATAAATTGCGTTTAAAAAAATCACAATGTAACAAAGAAGAAAGTTTAGAGGAACAATAAAGGTAAACTTAGATTGTTAAGTATCAACGAAGTATTCAAAATCTTTATAAAGAAGAGTTGACTTGCTTAAATTTACCAAAAGAGCTTATTCAATTTTTTCATAAATGCATACAAAAGGATCAAATCTATCTATATTACAAAATAACTATATATTAATATTATTGAAAAGGGTTTAAGGAAAATTAAGTGCGATTGCATATTATTTTTTGTATTCTCTATCTCAGTATTGTTCTATATTCTAAAAAATTTAACCTAATTCTGTGTATATAGGACAATTTTCTTCTAGATCTATCATTAAAATACCACGGTTTGAATCCTTCCTTGACCTCTTCTGTTTATGCTGATTATATTCAAGCCCTTTATCAAAAAGGGCCATTGGATCCTGTGAGGCAAATGATGAAACACTGTTGAATCCACTACCATATTTTCTGTAAAATGATAGCAAGATGTTTGCAAATTTTAAAACAGATTTTTTAATTTTAGAAAGATTTGTCGAACAAAGCCAACAATAGAAACAATACTCTGAATATAGCAACCAAAACCCAAAGACAAACCCAACAACAACACACGACAAAACATGGTTCTCTAATGATTTCATAAAATGGGCATCCTCTAAATGCCATGATGACCCCTTTGCAATTGAAAAAAAAAGGAATGTGTAGATTTTTTATAATCATTTGGTTGTAATATTCGAATAATATTATATGGAGTCCTTTTAGTCCATCTTTTATATTGTTTCCATATTACACTGACAAATATTGGACCAGTGGACCCCATTATTGTCATATAGGGTACCCACCAATCCTTTTTATAATGCTTTAGTGACTTGATTAGTTTTAAGAAAAATGGATGACCAGGTATAGAACCCATCACATCATTTGAAATGCCGGTTGGTGATGTTTTTCTGGCAAACGCAGGGAATTTTAAAAGAGGGTCTAATCTTCTTTCACATCCATCATCTAAATCAATATAGACTCCACCATATGTATAAAGAATAAAATATCTGATTGCATCGGCTCTTTCAATTGGATATTCATAACTCTCAAAAGTAGATAAAAACCATGGATATTGTTGTTCAATAAATTTGTGTGCCATTTCATCTGTCCACAATATATATTCATAGTCTGGATGTAAATTAATACATTTTTGTTGGGATTCAATCCATTGCTCCGGAATATCTTCAGTTTTGTAAGTTTGGTGAATAATTTTTGGAATCATCATCACAGATTCATCTACAATTGGTGATTCATTTATATCACTATCAGATAAAGCATCCTTTGTTGTATCATCAATACATAAGGTAAGAAGATCGAATGTATAGTATAACAAAAAAAGAACTAATAATACATTAGCCAATATTAAAAACTTCAGCTCTCTCTTCATTTTAACATTATAGTATGATTTGTAATAATATGTCCAATATACTTAAATGTGTCAATAAGCTAGAGTTCAGGTATCGTTTTATGTAAAGCTAGTTGTGAAAACAAATAAAAGCAATAATATATCGCACAGTAAGAATTGTTATTTATTCTTGCAGAATATGATTACCGGTGAAATATATCTGGTAACAAAAGGCAAAATACTTAAAAGCTGGAAGAAGATATGATATATTGCTTAGTTTGGAGGAGCAGTGACAGTCTTTTGGTACAATAAATAGTAAATAAATAATGACACACGAAAAATCTCCAATGGTTATATACAAGGGGAACTAAAATGGAAAAATAGTGTCAAATTAAGCAAAATATAATAACTTTGATCTTTGCAAAACAAAGCTGGTTCCTGTATTTATTTATTTTTTTTTTCATTGTTTTAAGTTATTGCATACGATCAAAATAGACAGAAAGACAATACAACTAATATCCCTTACGGGAAAAAAAAGAGAGTTCCTCGAGAAAAAAAACAAACAAAAAAATGAAAATTGGGTTTTTCTACATAAACTTTATCTCCAGGTTATCTTTATCACTACAAAAATCCCAACCTGAGGGGTTTTTCACAGATCACATGATAAAGAAAAGGAAGATTTTAAAACTTTCTGAAGCTGTTTTTATTTTTATTTTTTTTGCAATAAGATTTCTTTGTTTCTCCACAATCTTCAAAGGCAAATCGAAAGAATAATTTTTAAAATATACTGTTGATGTGCAAAACTAAACGTTCCCAAATATGCTATTTGTTATGATCCTATTACTACATAAATTATCTAATTATTGAAGTTTAAATAACAAGAAAAAAGCCCTTTAAGAAAAGTTGAAGATATTTCGTCAGAATGATGTTTTCTAACCTTTTGGAGTCTAATTTTTCTAATCTTTTATAAATGTTTTATAAAAGCAAGGTGCATTGTCATATACATAAAAAGTGGCATCATCTTTAAGCATATTGTAGAGTTGATTAAATGACAATTTTTTTTATGTATATATCTCACATATTTTTAAATTTTCACTATTCAAGGATCAAAAATCCTTGGGTTAATGTTTATTAGAACTTTCACTTCGTTAAACGCATTTCTTTTAAACGTATTTCAATTTTTTACGTCATTTAATGTATGGGAAAATCCTTTCAAATTTGAAAAAAAAATCGTACTTAAGTACCGAATATTCCTTTAGGGATATGACAAAATAATATTATATAAGGTATATATACTAAATATATGGTTGTTTATAGGAAAATCTTGCAAGGCAATTTCTTGGATATTTACTAAAATAAGATTATTTTAATAATTGAAAAAAGAACACATACCATTCTTTTTCCCGAATTTTAATTTAAAAAAGAAATCTTGAGTAAATAGTAACTATATTTCAATATACTTAGTCTTACCTTCTTCCTTTTATTCCTAATCAAGTATGTTATTATTATTTTTTAACTAAATAATCACCAATTTATTAATATACTTGCTATATATATATATGAATATAATATACAAAATATATACACTATATATAGCTAATGTAATGAAGATTTCAAAATAAATAACAAAAATCAAATAATAATAATAATATTTATTGATATTTTTTTTCACTATTTTCTTTTTCATATTATTCTTGGAAATACGGATGCATTGTAGCACGTCTGGCGCTAATTCTATTAATTGGATCATATGCTAATAATTTGTCTAATAAATCAATACCTTGTGCATTCAAACTTGGTACAACTTGCGATAAATCCTTTCTTCTCCATTGGGGAAAAGTAGGTTTAAAATCAGGTAAATACACAATATCTGGCCAAACTGATTCGTTTGGTGTTCCCAAAATTCTAAAAATCTTGAAAATTTGATCAATTTCACTATCACCACTAAATATAGGTTTACGGTTACACATTTCAGCAAATATACAACCAATAGACCATGTGTCAACACCTGTACTATATTGTTTACCCCCTAGTAACACCTCCGGTGCTCTATACCACAATGTAACAATTTCGTGAGTATATGCTCTTAATGGAACACCAAATGCACGAGCTAGCCCAAAATCACCAAGTTTTAAATTTCCTTCTTTATTAATTAATAAATTCTGTGGTTTTAAATCTCGATGAAGAATTCTATGTGCATGACAATATGCAATACCTTTACAAAGCTGCATCATAAATTTCTTGATCACACTATCTCCTAATGATTGATCCTTTGGAATGCTTTCCATATATCTTTTTAAATCAAGATCTAAATATTCAAACACTAAATACAACTTGTGGGCATCAGAATGAACAATATCATATAATCTGACAATGTTATCATCCTTTAATTCTTTTAATAATGAAATCTCCCTAATGGCTGTACTTGGTACACCTTCATCTTCACTTTCTAATCGAATCTTCTTCAAAGCTACAATTCTTTGGCCTTGACGTAAATCTAAAGCCTTATAAACAACACCATATGTACCTTCACCAACTTTTTCTAATCTTTTATAGTTTGCCAGTTCACCACTCATATTTAGATTACAATATTAAACGATATATTCTTAATATGAATATTAATATTGTTATTGTTATTATTGTCTTCGATTTCTGTCTTAATTAGTTCTTTTTACTAAAACTTCCTAAAGTAAAACAATATATATGCCTTCTTACAAAATCAAAGAAACTGACTTCTTTTAGAACTACTTGATGTATTTTTATCACAGTTGCAACATTTTTTTTTCTTGTATACCCTTGAAGTCTTTTAAAAACCGTAATTTTTTTTTCTCTTATTTTCGCTTGAACATAAAAGCCAAGTATAAAGAGTTCAAAAGATCGATTTATTGTCAATCTAAGAGATATATAAACAAAACAAAACAATACATACATATATATAAGAATGTTTTGAAGATAAAAAACTTAATTAGCAGACTAATATAAACTTGTTCCTAAAATATTGGGTTAGCTGCCTCATTATAATATCTCTTTTATTGTTGTTTGGCCAATCTTGCAGCCTTCTTAAGAGCTCTAATTCTGATAGATTTGTGGAAAGAATAATTAATAGAATTAACAATCTTAGAGTAAACACCAAATATTTCTTCAATAATAAATTCATATATAGCATGGGACCAATATGGTGTAGTGGTGGCAAAACGTTCCTGCGCACCACAACGTCTCCCAACATTCTTTAATGTAGCTTTGACAAACTGTTTTGGATTTGGAATCAATACAGATGTCTTTCTAACCTTAGACATGGCAGTAGTGACTAAATATGATAACACTAATTCTACATCTACTTTGTCTGCTGCTAATTCACCAGCCAGAGAATTGGACCATTGTTGTAAAAAGGCTTTAGAACCACTATATGTTGCTAATAATGGGGTTGGGATTAAACCGCCAAATGAACCCATAGTTAAAATCAACCCACGCGATGAGTTCTTTTCTTTGACAGATTTCACAATAATTGGTGCAATTATTTGTGTGATTAATAGTGTAGCAGTGTTATTTATAGTAATAATATTTCTTAATTCAGCTTCCTCAGTTTCTAAGAATGGAACAGGAATAGAATGTGACTGACCAACATTATTGATTAACACAGTAATTGGCAAATCCTTACATAATTCCCTTATTTTTTCATAATTTGAAGATGCATCAGTAGCAATATCAATAGCCAAAATTTCAACTTTCACGTGATATTCAGTTTCAACTTCTGTTTTCAATGCCTCTAATTTACTTAAAGTTCTTGAAATTAAAACTAAATTAAATCCACGAGCAGCCATTTGTTTAACATATTCTTTACCAATACCATCACTTGCACCGGTTACAACACAATAAGCCCCCTTTTTGGCACCATATTTCTTGTAACTGACCGGAGGTAAAACAAACAAATCAAAGAATAAAGAACCTAGTCTAAGAAAGAAGGTAGTGGATTTCAACACTCCATAGGCGAAAATAACCCAACAAAACCAATTAAAAGTTTTACAATTAGTACTGATAGCTTGTAGCTCGTCAACAAAAGTCATAGTCCCTTATTTTCTACTTGAGATTGCTCTAGCAGAGAAAAGACAGAAATGTACAACAAGGATAGTTAAATATGAATGAAGCTGGGATTGAACATAATTCTCACAATTAGGTTAAAGTTCATGATATATACAAACTATACTTGATTTCCAATTTTGTCTTCTTAACTCTCTTCGTCTGTTTTATTTTTCTCACAAGTAGTGGAACCACACACCAAAAAAAATATGAAGATTTCTTTTTTTCTTTTTTTTGAAATACAGTGAAAGAAAGAGAAGGTTGAATATAAGAGACATTTTCACAAATTATTCGACTTTCTATATCTTACATCGATAGATCTCACTTTTAGGAAAACATAGTTGTCAATGGCTCAATATGCTTCTTCCTTCTTTTCGAATAAAAGGGATTTCTCAGTTACATTGAAGAATATATCCTTTCATGGAAAGAGTCGATATTATTACAATAAGGTACATAAGATTTTATAGATTTTTCATTAGTTATTACAGAAGTACTTAATATTTTGGGTTTATGAAATTATTATTAATGTAATTATCCTTATTTTTATTACTATTCAGTTGCTTTTTTAAAAAAACTTCTTGTTTAATTACAATTTATCCTGCTATAATCATTGTCTTCATCCTCCTCATTAACCCATGTTGTCATTTCGATTAATGATAGTTTTGCATTATATTTCATTAAGTGTTTTTCTTCTTTGTTAATCAACTCACTAATTCTTTCACAACTCTCAATCAGCAGGGGTAATTTCTTGAATTTTCTCCACAGCTTAAATTTTGCAATGAATCGAACATCTTTTAAATTGTCTAGAAATCTTATCTCTAAGACACATAAATCAGGAAAATAATTAAAGCCTAATAAATATGATATAGAATAGTCGGTCAAAGATTTACAATTGTTTAAAGACAAACGTTTAACATTGTCTCCATTCCATTTGGCAAATTCCCACAAGCCATTATCTGTAATGGAACAACCTGCTAAACCAATGGTTTCCACATTCGTGTATTTGCCCAGTGCTACTAAAGCCACGTCCGTTATCCTATTCCCATTATGATGTCTACCTAGATTTACTAATTTTAATTTTTGACAATTTAATGCGATTGCCACTACACCAATATCAGTAACATTTTCACATGCCCTTAAATCAAAAGATAATAATTTCTTTAAAAATGGTGAAATTTTAATAATGTATGTATCGTTAATAACCTTATTTCCTGTTATGGATAACGTTTGTAAATTATTGAAATTATGAAAACAATTTGATGGTAAAATAAATTCTGGAGATATATGAATTTTCAATTCTACTATCGAGTTTAAACATGCCATACTATTAATAATAGTTCCATGCATATATTTTGATTTTGAAACTCTATTTAATATTAGCCTCTGGATATTTAGTTGACTATTATCACCAAACAAATTAATGAATTTGTGAAATCTAGCAAAATCTTTAAAAATTAAATTTTTTAGTAGATAAGGGAAAGTTATTTCAAACCATAATTTATTTACCATCAAACAATTAAAAAGACTTCCATTTGACTGATATTTTTTAGAAGAATTCCATTGTTGGTCCATTTTTTTGGTACGTTCCCATATTTGCTTAGCTTTTTCAGTATCTTTATATATCAATAAAGCATGTTTGAAAGATTGAGGTGGTCTCTGCTTATAAGGTTTCTCTAATTCCAAACCATCTTCATTTATTGCTAGGAAGTTAATTATTTTGTCCAAAATTTCGGGTATACTAAAAAATCGATGACTTGTTAATGGTTGTCTTTTGATTTTCAGAGATTGGAAATCTGTAATTATGACATTATGGTGATAAGAAGAAGAAGAAGATGGGAAACAACTTTCATTATTAAAAAGAAAATGATTACATTTGAGTGCACTTGAGGGGGGCGTAATAAATGGATTATTATCTATTTCTTCTCTTTCACTTGTATCAATTACAAGATGTTTAGGTTTTTTAGTCGGTGTACAAAAATTATCAGCACATTGTTTCAAATCTGTATCTGAATCATTTTTTAAGATAGTTTTTAATTCATTAGAGAATTGAAAATAACTATTTTTTGACCTATTCCTAGCTGGAAACAAAATTTTTCTTTCATTTTGATAAGAAGATTTTTGTTGACAGTATTCTTTTTCCAAAATTAGATCATTATTATATTGAAAATCAGTGTTATTATCCTTATAACAATTATTCTTATTCTTATTGTCACTGGCAGCGGTTGAAATGTTATTATTTGTTTTTAAATCAAAATCAAAAGATCTTTTGATTTTATTATAATTATTGTTATAAAGGCCTGAAATAGTTTGTTTAAAAGACATTTAATTAAAACAAAAAGACACAAAAAAAAGAAAAATAAAAGAAGTTGAAGTGGAAATAAGTGAATGCAAATAAAATAATAATAGAAAAAAAAAATGAATAAATGAATAAATGAATAAATGAATAAATGAATAAATGAATAAATGAATGAAGAGAATTATAACCAAGTTAATTCAACATATATCTTTTTTACTAGAACAGCAAAAGGTATATTAAAAGAGAATAAGGAATGGATGATACTAATATTATTACTGTATCAAAAAAATAGCAAACTAATTAAAAATGAAATAAAAAAAACTGGGAACAGGACACCTTGAATTAGTGATGGTATATCTGGTATTATGGTTATTATAATTTACTTTTAAAAAGAAGAAGAAAATCAAAAAAAATTCTCCAAAAGATATTAATTAAACTCAAAAAAATAACAAACAAAATCTACTTCTACTTAGGTTGTATTAATAATGATCTCTTGTTTGATTATCAATCATCGGAACATTTATTACCAGACAGTTGCAAGGACATCTTCACCAAACAGATATATCTATATATATATATCTCAAAAGATGAAAAAAGAAAAAATACAAAAAAGATAATATTGAAGTTTTTGCCTATAACCTGTCAACTTGAAAAGAATAACAGTAATAGTAAGTAATAATAGAGATATTATCTGTTAATTTGTAATTTAAAACATTTATTTACATATTTACCAACTATTGATAATGCAACAGCAAATAACAACAAAGGACAATTCATCTCCCTTTTCTGTTTATTTTTTTAAGTAAATATAAACTTGCCCATTCTCCTTGAAAGAGTGATAATCCTTTTTAATGATAAACAAACCTACTCATAAAAAATCTATCGACGTAGATAATAAAGTAATGGGACTTCCATCTTGTTTGTTGTGCTTGAAGTTTTATTATTGCTGTATTTGTTTACATAAAAACAAAAAATAACTTAGCAACAAAATTATTGTAGTCTTTTTCTTTCTCTTCTTCTTCATATCAGCTTTTCCAGCTTAGATTATTTGCTTTTCTTTATTTTGTTTTTTACCCTTTGAAGAGAAAAAGTTCAGCGCAGAGGTTTTCTTTTTCTTTCTTTCTTTCTTTCTTTTTTTTTTTTTGGTCTTTTTGTTGTTCAAAGGACAGTTACTTACCTAAAAGGGAAAGCTAAGTGCATTTCTCACCCTCCCATTCAAAATAAACGTCAAACAGGTTAAAAAATACACAAAGAAAAAGAAAAAAAAATAGAAGATTTTTTATATAAACTACTCTTTTTTTTGTTTTTTAGGTTCTGGACTTTCTAACATTTAACCCATTGGCAGACCTATTATTTGTAAAACTGACTACTTTTAAATAGAGTAAGTAGGACAGATTGCCCTTTTCTTTTCTTTTTGTTTTTTTTTTTGTTTCTCTTCTTCTTATTTTCATAAGAAATGAAGAAATATATTGATTTATTATTTTTTAAATGTTCTTATCTCTTCTTATTATATAGTGACGGTGTTTTTATGATATCTCTTTTAATACAAATATAAGTGCAGCACAAAGAATTACATACAAAATTTTGAAATGAACGGTTTAGTTTAATTGTTAGTAATGCTAATCTTTTGCTAATAAGCCCCTACTCTTTTCATAATACAAAAATTAAGCTATTGTCGATATTGTAGTTGGCATCTACAACGGTATTGTAAGTACAGACTACGAAAATGGCATATCATGTAGAAACAATCCAGTATAAATATTATCATAGTTTTCTATTGACGTTACGATGATATGATATGTGATAACTATAATTATGAGAAATGTAATGATTGATATTCAAATGCAATTTAGCAAATTTCCAGACGTGAATAATCTTATTGAAAATCTTGTTTGAATAATGTTATAGAACTAGGTTCATAGATACTAAAACATTGCAAGTACACAACATAATATAGGATCATCCAAGAATTATTGTTCGGATTATTTTTTTCACTTTATGAAACAATAGTAACAGTTCTTACTCTCTAATATATATATGCATATACATATATATATATATAAACATAATATAGTATTTATTTCAGGGTGCTGTTCCTACAAAGAGCATTTGTTTTGCTTTTATTGTTTTTCTTGCCTTCTTTTCTATTATCTACCATAACCAAAGCCCTTTGCATTTTTGTCTGACAGAGTTTAACACGTGGAACGAACAATTGTTAATTTCTAACAAGAAAACAAAAGACGAAAAAAAAAAGAAAAGAAAGTCCGAAATCGGGTTCATCAATTCATTCATTCATTCAATCTGATTAACATCTACTGATACTTTCAAGTATATAACGCATACACACACATTTATATATATATATATATGTATCTATATACGTATATATATACTTACAGTAACCTGCTATCTTCTTAGTAATATATATTCCTCACAGTCATAAAAGTTAAAAAGAGTTCACCTATTTTGTTTGAACAAAAAAAAAAAGAAATTTCCATTATTTAAAATAGATAAAACATTCATTCCAAATAATGGACCATTTTGTTGATATAAAATTATTAAAGACTCAACAAAAAAATAACCAAGACAAAAGTACAAAGAGCTTGAAAAAGTTTTGTTTCCCTGACAATTTTAGTACTAGTTCAGGTCCTTCTGTACGTTCTTATCTACGAAATATATATGATGATAGTTTAACACCATCTTCATTTTCATCTTCATATTCTAATAATATTAATACTAATACTAATAATAATAAAGAAACAGAAATCACAACAAATAATTATAATATATCTTTAAGTACTATGGATCCAGAAGAAAGAAAAAATTTAGTAGATCATCTCAATAAATTCTCTTTTGAACCATTTCAAAATAATCCCAATAATAGTAACATTATTACTAGTCGTTGTAGTAGTAGCTATAAATTAGAACCAAAAGAAATCTATCATGCCGATAAAGTTAATGATCAATGGGAAAGCTCGTCTTCAAGATTATCTGATTCAGATTGGAAAGCAAACAAAAATCAATTTAATGAATATTCCTTTTTTCTCAATACTTATAGTATTAATCCTCCTTTAAGAAGAAATTCTGTCTTACCTTCATCAAAACCTATAAAATCAAATAGAAGATTTTCGCATAAAAAGACAGATGCTATTTCACTATCACAAGAATTCAACATAAATTCCTATCAAACAGAACCTTCAAATATTAATAATGTTGATATAAATCTCAAAGGAAACCAATCAAATAAAATTAAATCTCCAAGGGCTCAATTTGAAAGATTTAATGATATTTATATAGGTGACGATGATACATATACTAATGTTACTCTTCTTCCATCCACAACAGATCCCTCACTATATACACATCATTTGTCACCAATAAAAACAATAAATAATACTAGAGAACAAATAGAAAGAAATCAAAATGGAAATTTTGAGTCTTTAGATGATTTTGCAGATTTTAATAATATCGACCTTGAAGGTAGAGATTTTGTTAGTAGACCTTGCACACCAAAAATTAATTTAGAAGGAAACACTTTATCACAATAGCATTAAGAAAGATATCCTTAGTTTACTATTTAAATAATTTTATATACAATTTATACACGTTTTTAATATACTAACACATACATATATATATGTTTTTCCTTTTCTTATTAAACTAAAAGTAATTCAACTAGACCATCATAAAAATTGTTGATAATAATAAAGCTAAACTTTATATATGTATTACGAATCTGATATTTTTTTTTTTTCATTTTGCTCATCTTCTATCTTATATACATTGTGTATATATCCATAACTAATGAACCTATTTTATTTTTTTTTTTTTTTTCATAAAATATTTAATGTATATTTATAGAAACCTCAAAAGTTAAATGGCTCTATATAAAGAAAGAGCATAAACATCAATACGCTAACAATAACAAGACGATAACATAAACAAAATAGTCTCAGGACCACATTCAAAGTCGTTTCCTTCTCCCCCAAGAATAAACAGAGTTATATCCATTACTTATTTAAGTAGGAGTTTTAACAATGGGGGATCAATCAATTGAATCGATACAGAAACCAACAGCTAACAAAAGCATATCGCACACAATTCTGCAATCGTTACAGTTATTCAACAGAGTTGCAAAAGATGATACAAAATCAATTAATTCAAAGTTTTTAAGTATGAATCAATGGTTTAGAGACTTTAATAACACAATAACAAACACACAGAATAAAAATTACATGATATCTCCAGATAAATTAAAAGTAGTTATTGAAAACTTAAAAGAGGATAGTATTATAGAGGATGAAAATGAGCAACTATCATTATCATCACCCCATCGCTTTGAAACAACTTTGCCTGGTTCAAATCAAAATTCAGTCATACTTGATTCAGAAACTACTGGCAAACAAGAGCTATTTATCACAGCCAATCCATCCCCTGTTATCCAAAAAACCCCTAAGAATATTCAAAAAATTACTAATAATATACATAATAGTGGTCATGGTAGCATATCTAAAATTAAAGAGAATGAAATTGTCGTCAAATCTAATTTTGAAACGGCAATATCATCTTGGTCTCCAGTGAAAGTAGAACATACACTGAAAAATGTCCAAACATTGGATGAAGAAGAGCAAGAAAAAGAGATAATTCCTAATCACCAACAAGCTATACAACCAAATGATTCAAATGAAGAGGTACCAGATACTTCTAACAACACTATAATACCCAAGGTTAATAAAGATAAATCAAATGATTATCAACCCTCATTTACTAATAAAGGTGAGAATAACACAAAACAGGAAAATGGTTTCCCACAGGAAAACGTTATATCTGATAATACCATCAAGGAAAATACAAAAGTAGAAAATTCAGATATCAAAAATATTGAAATAGATAATCTATCAAAGAATAACGCAGATAGAAATTTTACATCACCAAATGTAAAGAAACCTGTTAATGATCAATCTTTTGTTCTACATAATCCAAAAAGTAAGGTTTCGATTAGGACTAATATGTTTGAACCATTACCCGAAAAGGACCCCTTAATTGTCAAAAACTCGACTCCTTCCCAAAAGATTACGTCCAAGTCTCATAATACTACTTTCCGATTCCAAAATTTAAATAAAAATGTTAATTTACCTACCGTAACAAATAGTCACACCTTATTTAAAACAAACTTGTCATTCTCGAAGAGAAGTTTATCACCTTCTATGAATAATAAATATAAGTCAATTATGACACCTAAAGAAAAAAGTAATTATATGAATACTTTTCACAGAAATAAGCATAACATTGGAAATAAAGTATCTCCTCAAACAGTTAATAAAGTAGTGGTTTCACCACTGAAAAAACATGCAGACGGTAATATTATTAAAAAAGAAAACAAAAAGGTAATTAGAAGCCCTATATCCAGATTAACAACAAAGACACCACAGCGTATACAATCAGTTAGTACTAAGCCAGGTGCTGTATTTGATAGGTTATCATCAATTCCAACAAAATCATTTGAGCAGAAAATACGGTCAAAAACTGGCCAAACTCCAATCGCAAGAAAATTCGCTCCTTCTTCTATAGATGTGACTGGGTCACCAATTAGAAGAGTATCTCCAAAGTTAAAGAAAACTAAAATGTCCGAAATTTTAGAACAGGAAGCTTTGAGTAGCATTTTCTTTAAAAACAAATCACAAAATAAAAATTCACCATCAAAACAAGAAAATTTAGTGTCGAATAATAAGAAAACTATATCCCCAGCAAGTAAAACTTTGGAATCCAAACTTATTAAGACCAATAAAGGGTTTGAATCTTTAATTCCTAAGTTAACACAGGATACAAGCTTGGAAAAAACTAAAGAACCTTTGAAGAATAACTTATTAGTTTCAAAATCATTACTCTCCAAAGATACCTCAAAAATTCTAGCTGATAATATAAAAAGTCCATCCAAGTCTAATAATTCCTATGAAACAAGGACATTAGTTAACGCACCACAAATTTCTACTTTAAAAATTACATCGACATTATCATCAGATATTCCAGCAATGTCACCTACTGCATCAGAATCAAATAAACTCAAAAATACACTAGTTAATTCTATATCCCTTTCTTCATTAAACCCAAATGAAAAGCTAAGTACTACAAAAAATAACAACTCAAGCAAAATTAATAGCAATAGAAAACTGGCTTTTGAAAATACAAAAGAAGATAAGGTATTAGGGAAATTAAATGTAAATTCTTCTAGTAACGAGACAAAACAGAAAGACCCAACTGAGAAAATCCAACTGATACCTTTAATAGACGAAAGCAAAGTGGATGTGAAAGTTAAATTGAATAAGAGATTATCAGAAGTCATACGAACACAACAAGAACAAGAAAAGAAACGTAGAGAAAATCAACAAAAGAGGAAAAAATCTCATTTAGAAGAGGAATCCGGAAGAAAGCATAGTAGGTATAGTACCTATCGGATATATTCTAAAAAGCATTCATTGGGTACAAGTACAGCCACTGATACTTTTGTTAAGACTATTATTAATAGTAAAAATTCGAAAGTTATTAAAAATGGAATTACAACCATAAAAAATGATAATGACAGTATTGTAGACACCAATAACATCTTAGGTGATATACATAAAGTTGATTATAGAAATATCATAGGTGATGGAAACTTTATAGCCACAGACAAAAGCACCCAGGCTCAAGAACTCAATTCTATTGAAGAGGATTCACTACCTGAAATTTTATCTGATGATGAACAAAACAGGCTCGCATTGACAGAATGGGCACATTCACCTGCATTAGAAAACCAATTGAAAATTCAAAAGCATTGGGATCCAAGAAGGATTTTTGGTCCAATTGCACCCTTACATATAGACGAAATATTTCCAACTTCATCTTCATCTCGTCTTAATAAAGTTAAATCAAAACTTACTAAAAAACCCTCTTGGAAGCATTAAAAAAGTCGATCAATCGCAATTATTAATACTGATATATAGTAGAATATAATTTAGCATATAACTTTAATAATATTCCCTCCACATCCTGTTATTTCTATTATTTTTTAAAACACTCTATGTCGTATTGTATGTATTTAGATATAATGAGGGATTATCTAAAGATCTTTCAAAATTTTAAGCCCTATATCAATATAATAACGATCGAACAATTTAGCTAAATAAATTGGAGCTATTTTAACAACCACTTATTATTTGAAAACCAAATTAATCACGCAGTAATTATATATTGTATTTAATAGGATACCAATATATTAGAAAATAACTGAAAATATATTCTTGTATTCTACATCAAATTATATAGAATAATATTGTATATTCAATTTAATAATATCTATAAAGAATCTATTGTCTTCCTTCAAAGTCTTCTTTCAAGAGCTGCATTTTTATCCCATTTAGAAATCCAACTTTCTGATTCAACTTTTGGGACCAAGAAAATCTTTAAAGCAGAATCAAATAATGGGATAGACGGTGTTTCTTTTTTAAAATATCATGAAAGGTAAGCTTTTTTCCAGCTTTAATTAACCCACCACTTTCTGTTTCCATAAAAGTAAGCAACGATTTGGCAGAAAAATTTTTGTGTTTTTCATCTCGAAACCATTCTTCTGGTCGTTGCATAACAAGATCTATTAACTCTTGCACAGTAGTTAATTCACTAACCTCACCGATAAAATCAAACTCATTTGTTGTTGGATACATAATAATTGCAGGGTAAATCATTTGAGATTCAAAATCCATGGGATCTTCTAGTTTAGCTTTAGCCTCTTTTAACAATTCAGCTGGTTCTCTTGTAGTGATAGATTTTACATTTCTCAAGGTCATTGCACTTTCTAACATTATTTTCTTATTTTCTTTTTCCTGCTGCTCCTTTAATTTAGTTTCTTCAATTGCTTTTAGATCAGCTATCCTTTTTGCAATATTTTTAGATAAATTTTGTAGTGATACATTACTATTATCAATTTTTAAACCGAAATCAACAGTTTCTTGTGCTTCATCCAATTTATCTAGTGCAAAAAAGGCCTTACCCATTCTATAGTAACATTTCAGATTCTTTGGATTTATGCTTAGAGCCATTTTACAGTCATTAATACAACGTCTATAATTCTTTAACTCCAACTCGCAAATGGCTTTGTTAGCATAAAGAGCTTCATTAATTTTGTCATCTTTACATTTCACATCAATACCCTTTATATACAATTCTCTTGCATCTTTAAATCTTTTAACTTTATATAAATCATTGCCTTGATTCTTGAAATTCTCAGCTACTTCATGTGGTTCACCCTCATATGCCAATGCTTTTAAAGCTTCCAATTCAGTGTTTTCATCACTTTCATCCAATTTAGTCATAAAGAAGGGCATTTTATTCAATTCAGCAAGAACTTCATCTGTGGATTTATCTTTAAATTCTGATAATTGAGGTGGTAGGATCGGATCATTAGGACCAGGAATGTATTTTTGGGGTTTTGATTCTTCTTTTGACATTATTAAAAGATGTTTACTATATGAGTCACAAAGTGGAGTTAAGTTTTGTTACTTTGTAATTACTTTTTTACAAATCTTTAAATATAAATATATAAATGCAACGTTATAATACCCTTGAAAATGTAGGATATATTATTTAACGAAATTTACTTAATTGAATGGTTATTTTTTTTTTACAAAAAAAACGTTATTGTCTTATTTTTTTATTTTTTTTTTCCAGCACGTTTCAATTTTCAATCTCATCTCGAACATTTGTAAGTTTTTCTTTTTTCGAGATACTTTAAAGCTAGTTGAAAGAGAGAAATCGTCAACTTAGAAAGATAAAAAAATATAAGTAGATTTTTCTCACTGAAAAAAGCTTTTTCTTATAATATATAACAAGTGAAGATGTTATCGTACAGCTTTATTTTTTTTCCTTCTTATTTTAACTTTTCAAGCTACAATATTTTAGTTGAATAAAAAAAAGTATTAAAGTAGCCGTATAGATACATATATACATATATAGATTAATAGATAGAAAAACGATAACATTTACATATAAAAAAAGAAAACTAATAATTGATTAAAAAAATAAAAAAACAAACAAACTTAATTTTCTCTTTTTATTTTTTTTGTTAAAAAACTAGTTTCTGTACTTTTCCCAACCTTCTGGTTTTTGCAAACCAGCAGCCTCAAAATATTCTTTACCACAAGAATAACCTTGGAAAGTGAAATCGTTGTTCTGGTCACATTCACAATTATTTTCTTTCCAAACAACTGGATCCAATGGACAGTTATCATATGGAATATGATAGTAACCAATATCTGAGAAATAATGTAATTTATCTTGTGGAATCATCAAAGCAGCAGCAATAGAATGCACAGGAGCATCCCCCCATCTTTCATAGAAGAAACCACCTGCATGGTCCAAATAATCGAAGTATTTCTTATAAGCTGGAGATCTCCAAAGATTCAAATTAGCAATTTCAAAATTGGACCAGAAATGACATAAGTTGTAAGTCTTACCACCGTCATCAGAGATAAATTTCATTAAATTGTTTTCAGCCATATAATATGGGTGTTCTTTGAAGAAGTTCATAGAAGTTTCCCATAAGGTTTTGATAGTATCAAGATATTCGTGAATAGTGATGGTGAAACCGTAAACTTTTTCATTATCTTGCATCCATTGGAAGACATCGTAGTTGATATCACAGTAAATCTTAATGTCTGGTTCAACTCTCCAATACCAGTCATAATCGTTCAACAATGGATGTCTCCAGAAGAAACCAGATTGATAACGACACATATGTCTATAGGATTCTGAACCACCATAGATGATATTTGCCATATCCTTTCTTGTCTGAGCAGCTTTTTCTTGATCAATGAAGTCTGGATAAGACCAGTGTTCCTTTGGAATCAAACCAAATTTGACAGTAGATGAGACTTCCCTAGCGATAGTGTTTTTAAATTCATCGGTAAAAGGTTCATCATTTAAGAAAATCCAATCGTATTTAAATTTAGCATTAAATTTTTTTTCAACCAATCTAATTGAATTAACGATACCATTTAATTCAGAATTTCTTACTAAAGTAACGAAACATGCCTTTGGTCTCTTACCTTTATTTTTAAATGATAAACTAATAAAACTCATGGTGTCTCCTGTGCTAAATCTTGATATACTAGCTTCAACTTGTTCCATTTTTTCCTCTTGACTCAATTGATGACTTTCTGGGATAACAACGTTATTATTATTATTAACATTGAATTCTTGTGAATCGGACTGTGGTTCATCTACTATTATTGGAGGATTATTATTGTTATTATTAGCAGACCCTGCAGCTTTCAAATTTTCAATGTTATTTACAGAACCAACATTATTATTATTATTACCTATAATAGCTTTATTAACAGTGTCATTCTGTGAACCTAGATTAAAAATAATAACAAGGAACACAACAATTAAGACGATAAATCTTACCAATCTTTTACTTAAAAAGATTGGAAATCTAGCCATTTTTTTTTGTTTTTTAATGTTTATAAAGATACAGAAATAGATATAGATAGAGAGATAGAAATATGTGTGATATATACCTCTTTTGACCTCTTTCCTTATTGAATCGAATGGATATAAAGACGATTAAAAAAATAAAAAGAAGAAAGGAAGGAAATAATAAAGAACTCAATAGCTTTTTAATGCTATGTATTAGATGGTAATGACTTTGCTGGTGAATCTCTCTTTATACCTCTATCCTTATATCTTAATGGTTTAGAAGCTAGCTTTAGTCACGAGGTGTTTATATGTATTCTAAGATATGTTTGAAGAGAAAAAGCAAAGAAAGAAAATAAACAAAAAGAAGCTGATGTATGCGACTCAGAAATAAGGAAAAAGGCAGCAAAAGCAAAGGTTGTATAAAGAGGATAAAAATGTAAATTAGAAAGTTCGTCTAATTACTTTTACTTATTCTGGTTTTTTGTTTCATATGCTTATTTTTACTACTCTATTTATCTTTTTATTTTTTTATTTTTATTTTTCTCGAAGAAAAGAAAAAATAGAAACAAACAAAAAAAAAAACCAAAAAAATGGAATGAGTAAACGGGTGTTTGGGTGTTAGGAAACATTTATTTTCCTTTTTTTTGTTTCTATTTTTTTTTTTTTTCAATTTCTTCTCTAAAAAAATATACGTACGTTCATCAATATACACATTTATACATATACATGTATTAATGTATTATATAGTATCAAAATATGATATTAACGAACATAAGCTTGAAAATAAAAGATAAAAACAAATAGCAAGATAATTAGATGAATAACTACTTATAAAGACGATCTATAATAACTTTTATTTTTCTTTTATTTTTTTTTTTGTTTTTTTGTTTTTTTGGTTAACTGCTATCCTATTTACACATTAGCTATGTCTTATAATGGTATTGGTTTGAAATCTGCCAAAGGTTCATCTACATCGGGACACATACAAAAATCATTAGCAAGTAATGATGAAAGGATATCTCTATTGAATTACAAAGCAAGAAAGTTGCAGAAACAGAGGAATACTGTTAAAGAAGACAATGACAATAATCGTATTAAAAAGATATCACAATTGAAAACAACAAAGAATGGAAATTTCATCAAGCAAATTCACAATTCTATGGCCAAGCATTTATCTAAAAGAGAAATTGAACTTAGAGTATCTGAATTAAGAGATTGTTTAGAAGATGGTAGAGAAAGCAATAGCAAGAAGACGAAACTAACCGATAGTGAAATAGATCAAAGATGCAATGCCTTAAGAGAGGAATTGGTTAAGGAAAAACAGGAAAGAGTTCAATTGTTGAATAGATATAGAAGTAGAAAAAATAGGCTCGATCAACAGATAGATAAAGATGGTGGATTTAGGTAATAATGAGACTAATTAGATGGTTTTCTCTCTCTCACTCTCTTCCTGTCACACACACACACACATGCACACATGTATTTTTATCTTTCAAAGCCTATTCTCTAATCTCCTCTTCTTCTCTTCATTCTAGAAGTTGGAAGGCCTGTGATTCTTGAAATTTCCCAAAAAAGAAAAAGGCTGCAAAGTAAAAAGTGAAAAAGAAATTTTTATTTTTTTCATTTTTTCATTCATCATTCCTAAAAAAAAAAAATAAAATAAAATAAAATAAAATAAATAAAAAAACAAGAGATTAAATTCATCGAGTGCAGAAAAATTTAAGATAAAACAAAAAAAAGTTGTTCGATAAAAATAAAATATTAGAGAGGAAATCTCTTCCTCTTATTTTTTTGCTTCATTCTCAAATGAAATAAAGAAGAAAGAAACAAGGTACTACAAAAGTTTAGTTTAAAAAGAGTATAAAATAAATCATTACTTATATTATTCCCTTCACTTAGGAAACTGGTCAAGTCAGACATCTCATCATTTCTTTTGGTTTGTTTGTTTGTTTTGTTTTGCTTTATTTTATTTTATTTTATTTTCCCCATTTCTATGTTGAGCTTTGTCTCTACATATACAAACAAACCTTATTACATAACATTTAGAGAACAACCTTTCTGCCTTTTCTTTCCTTTTTCATTTTTCATTTTCATTTTCGTTTTTTTATTTATTTGTTAAACAGAGATTTATTTTTGATCCATAAAGATGAGTACAAACGAAAATACAACTTTATTAAGGGGCAACAATAAGAGTACAAACAAGTATCAAAAATTTTGGAATTTTATATACTTTACATTAGTTCATAATAAAAAGAAAATTGTCATTATGACATGTTTTCTTGTTATACTCATAATGACTCTTTTCACTCAAATGTCCGATGGCTCTCCATTTTTCCATCATAATGATAGTGTATTACATTCAAATAGAAAGAGAAATGTTATATTTTTTGTAACAGATGGTATGGGTCCAGCATCCCTGTCTTTAACCAGATCCTTTAGACAATATATCGATGGTTTGCCTATCAACGATACTTTAGTCTTAGATAAACATCTAATAGGTAATTCACGTACAAGATCCTTTGATTCATTAGTCACCGATTCAGCAGCAGGTGCCACCGCCTTTTCATGCGGTCTAAAGACTTACAATAGTGCAATTGGCGTGGGCCCATTCAAGCAACCTTGTGGTACTATATTAGAAGCTGCTAAATTGAATGGCTATTTAATTGGTCTTGTAGTGACAACTAGAATCACAGATGCTACCCCAGCTTCTTTTAGTGCACATACTGACTACAGAATGCAGGAAGACTTGATCGCTTTGCATCAAATTGGTGAATATCCTTTGGGTCCAATGGTTGATTTAATGATTGGTGGTGGGAGAACGCATTTTTATCCAAGGGCAACAAATAACAGTGATGTCACAAAATATGGGTTAAATGGATCCCGTTTGGATGGAAGAAATCTGATAGAAGAAGTGGTCTCTAATGGCTGGCAATATGTAGGTGATCGAGAAGAGTTTGATCGTTTGCAAATGGGGTTTAATGTATCTTTGCCATTAATGGCTTTAATGTCTGATTTCGATATACCATTTGAAATCGATAGAAATAATTCGGTCTATCCTTCTTTAGAAGAACAAACTATTACAGCTTTAAATGCACTAAGTAAAGCAACTGAACAATCCGATCGCGGATTTTTCCTATTAATTGAAGGTTCAAGGATTGATCATGCAGGGCATCAGAATGATCCTGCTGCTCAAGTTAGAGAAGTGTTAGCATTTGATAAAGCATTCCAAGCTGCTATCGAATTTTCTGAAAACACAGATGTAGAAACTATTTTAATTTCAACTTCAGATCATGAAACTGGTGGTTTAACTTTGGCAAGACAAGTGACAAAGGAATACCCTGAATATATCTGGTTACCTGAAGTCTTGGCAAACGCTTCTCATTCTGGGGAGTATGCTAAAAAGAAAATCATTAATTTTTATAAATCATTAAATGATGAAGAAGATAATAATAATAATAACAGAAGAAAAAAAATTGATTTCATTACAAAAGAAATATTAGAGAAGGATTTGGGTATTTTTGATTACACTGATGATGATATTGAATATTTGATTAATGCAAAAACTGGAGATCTTGTTCAAGATAAGCTTAATGATATGGTTTCGTTTAGAGCGCAAATTGGTTGGACCACTCATGGGCATAGTGCTGTTGATGTTAATATTTATGCTTATGCCAATAAACGAAAGGCATGGTATGATATTTTGGATCATTTACAAGGTAATCATGAAAATATTGAAATTGGACAATATATGGCTAAATACTTGAATCTTGATCTACAAAAAGTTACATCTATGATTAATGGTACTAAACATTCACCTGATATTGCTGTTAAAGAATTAGAGAAGGGTATCATATATGATGAATATCACCATAGATTAATCAATAAGTAAATTGTTATAGGATTTATAATCTATTAATCATGTCCTTGGTATACTATTATTAGCATCATCCAAAGTTAAATAGGTTGTTACTACAACAATAATAATAATATTGTATGTCAGTATTAAGCATATTTAAGATGGATATTTATTTTTTTTTACTTCAGGTTTCAAATTTTTATTTAATTGCAAGTATAGTTATTGTTGTGTATAGCTTATTAATTAGCTTTTTAGTATAAGATGTTAAAATAAATCTGGTATAGTTTAGGTAAAATTAACAAAAATCTAATCTAATTTAATAAAATCGTTTGTTTCAATTAATCAATAGGAAAAGTAGAGAAAATATATATATTGTTGTAGTGTCTATGTAAGCTTTAACCATTATATATCTTTTTTTTTTATAATTTATTTTATATCTAAATATATTTGAACCGATGATTGATCTACTAGAATTTCCTGGTGTGGCATTAAATGAAAATTTTTGATGCTTATTTGATACATATATGTTTAATGAAGAACAAATAAAATTAACCACTTCACATCACCCCAAGACACAAAATGATTAATAGCAATAATATGTCCATTCACTTAGGTTAGTTGTTAGCATTATTCCTGTTACAAGCCATCCGATAAATTTACTAAGGTGATAGTGTTCTTATAGAATATAAAAAAAAATGCAAAAAAACCATTATATTCTAAACTTTGCTATTGTATAGTGACACAAAGTTACAATTCAATACAAAACATCTACAATTGCCATTGTAAACAAAATTTAACTGAACTAATGAAGATAATATGAGTTGTGCTAATGTTATAATTGATATTTGGTATTACTCATTCCTTTTTGTTTTATTTTTTTCTTTTTTGCTCAGGTCGAGGCTTTCATCCCATACTCTGCTACATATACTCAAGAATGTATCTTTAGATAATTTTTTATCGTTTAGAAATTCAAATGTGAAAATATCATTCATAATTCTAATATCACCACTAATAATCGCATTATTATCATTATTATTATTATCATTATGGTTAGTCATTTCTGATATTTCATTGTTGGCTTCTTTTTTAACTGGTTCTTCTTTATTTAAGTAACACATATTATATAAGCTCCTATTGGAATCTATGTATGGTATGATGTTATTTGGATAAGGAATAGGATTGTTGTAATATTCAAATGGATTGTATAACATTGAAGGTGTGATATTAGTTAAATAAGGGTAGGGCATATGAAACGGATATATGGCACTAAAATGAGGCTCAAAAGAAGGTGGATATGGCTGAAAAACATATCTAGGATTAAATCTTTCATAAGGTGAATTTACGTAATTCTCTGGATTGATTATGCTTGGCTGTAAATTGATATGTTTATATGGAAAATGTAAAATATTGGGTGGTGCACTTTTAATTCTATCATGTTCACTAGAATATACACCTTTATTGCTATCATTGGCATTGCTATCATCATTATTATTATTATTATTACTTGTAGTGGTGCTTATTAGGTATTTTAATCTTTTAGAATTTGCTGATTCGCTGATACCGGATGAATTGTTACGATAACCTTTTAAAGTGTTATCTGAAAGATCTAATGGTGGAGGAACTCTTTTCCTTTTTAATGATTTAGTATTTTTATTGAATTCAAATGTAGATGAAGTAGTTGAGGAGACATTGGATGAATTTTTCGATGACATAGATGGATTTGATGTTTCATTATTGTTCGTTTGAGAAGTATTTTCTAAGTTATTGTTAATTGAGATAGCAGGTAGAGACGATTTATTGTCAATTGATTTATTATCAGTATGGATTGTGGAGATTATCTTTCTTTGATCATCTTTGATAATATTCGATTTATCCAAATTAGATAACATTTCGTGACTTAAATTGTCCTTTGAAATTCCTGGAGATGCACAAAGCATACCTAGTTGGTATAGCCTTGAGTTATCATCATTAACACAAGAATGCGTAAATGCAATATCATTATCGGTTTGTATCGGTTCTTGTTGTGTCAAAATGTCATGTTTTGATGGGGACATGGTTCGTAAAAGTGGTTATGTATATCAAAGGCAATAATATTGATTAAGCTTAAACTTTCTCTGTTTGACAAATATCCAAAGTTTTAATTATTTATTTTAATTTAATTTAATTTATTTATCTTTTTTGTTTTGATACATAGATATATTTTGTTCTTTTTTTTACTAATATTTCGGAATGCAAATCTCTTATGACTCTTGTAATAATATTACAACTAGGTTATTTTGGTATTTCCCTTGTACTACGTTTATGAGACGGATTCTAGGTGAGAAAAAAAAGTTAGTAATCGTATATTTTCTATTTAAATCGGCATTCTAAAGAAAGAAAGAGAAATAAGAAAAGTTGCGATGAAAAGAAGTAATTATTCAGTTTTCATATTTTATCATAGATAAAAGTGTAAGGTGAGTAGAAGAAAAAAAATAAAATAAGTTGTAACCCTAAAATATTTATAGTGTATATTTTCCAAATTTTAAAGGCTTTTGCGTTCAAGCCCTAAATTTCTCAGTGTATGCTTATTTTATTTTTTTTCCTTTTTTTTTTTTTTTTTTTGTAAATTCCTTCGTAGCGTTGCACATTTACATATTATTATTTATAGATAGAGGAAAACATAAGACCTCTTGGAGTTTTTATAAACAAGAGAAAAGAAAACAAAAAAAAAAAAAATAAACATAGGATTTATTTGGCATACAACATTATTCTGTCAAAAACATAAGTAACTAAATTGTTACTCAGTGTTTTGATATAGATAATGAAACTCAACCTAATAAACCCTAAATGTGGTATATGCCTTAGATATTCATGTATGTATTATAACATGTATATTTTTATCTCACTTTTCTCACAGAATATGAAATTTATATATATATATATATGATCCAACCGTTATGTCCGATGAAAATATAGGGATTTGCGAAGCATGATTACGTAATTCAATTGTCTTTCAATATAACTTATGCTTTAATAATACGGTGCGGCGTTGACATCATGGAATCCGTGAAAAAGTTTATTTGACACGTAACATCGTATTGTTCTTCTCTCCCTGCTTTCTTTTCTTTTTTCGCGGCCAAAGAAAAGAAAAGAAAGAGAGATAAAAGCGCAGGACAAAGGGATATAATCATGTATTGGTGAAGCCTTTCTTTCTCTTTCTTTCTCTATTTCTAAGTGTGTGTGTGTGTGTGTTGTATGTGTTTATGGTTATTATTTATTCTAAAGGTATGTGACACCGTATTAGAAATCATTCTTGATGTAATTTGTTTTCTTAGTGGTTTTGCTACACGTATCAAAAGAGATTATTTTCAAGGGCTGGCCATTCTAAGGGGAAGCTGGAAAATAGTGGGGAGAAGGAGAGAGGCACAGAGAAATCGGCAATTGGAGGATGGATAGCGGGGAATAGATTGAAATATAAAGAGAAAATCAAGAAGTATAAACCCTCTAAAACTTCGTTTTTCTTCTCTGTTTATCTATGTTATAGTTTTATTTTACCTTGTTCTGTTGTGTTTTGTTTTTTTTTATTGGAGGCTGAAATAAGTTGGTATATAAAGTTCCATTGGAAAATAATGATTTATATTATTCTATATATTGTTTCTTATTTCTTCAAGTTAATAAATATATAGTTATATATAAAGTAAGACACTATATATATACTCCCACACACATATATATATATATACATATAGTTAATTATATTATAATGACAACAAATAGTAGAAACGATAACACGAATACTGCGGATATAAGAAATGACAGAATTGTCACAAATTCGCTAGGTAATCCAATTAATGAACCCTATGCAACCCAGAGGATTGGTTGTTTTGGACCGTTATTAATGCAAGATGCTAACTTATTGGATTTTTTGGCCCATTTCAATCGTGAAAGGATCCCTGAACGTAATCCACATGCACATGGTTCAGGTGCTTTTGGATTCTTTGAAGTCACAGACGACATAACTGATATCTGTGGTTCAGCAATGTTCGATACTATAGGTAAAAGGACACGTTGTTTAACAAGGTTTTCTACTGTCGGTGGAGAAAAGGGATCTGCTGACACCGCAAGAGATCCCCGTGGATTTGCCACAAAATTTTACACAGAAGAAGGTAATCTAGACTGGGTGTACAACAATACTCCGGTGTTTTTCATTAGAGATCCTTCTAAATTTCCTGCGTTTATTCATACCCAAAAGAGAAACCCACAAAGTAATCTAAAGGACCCCAATATGTTTTGGGATTTTTTGACTATACCGGAGAATCAAGTTGCTATTCATCAAGTATGCATTCTGTTTTCCGATCGTGGTACCCCTACTTCATATAGAAAGATGAACGGTTATTCTGGCCACACGTATAAATGGTCAAATAAAAAGGGTGAGTGGTACTATGTTCAAGTTCATTTAATAACCGATCAAGGAATCAAAAACTTCACAAATGAGGAAGCTATTGATATGTCAGGGAAAAATCCAGACTGTTGTACTCAGGATCTTTTTAATTCTATCGAACATAGTGATTACCCCTCTTGGACCGTCTATATACAGACAATGACAGAAGATGAAGCTAAAAGACTGTCTTTTTCAGTATTCGATTTAACCAAAGTTTGGCCACATAGCCAATTCCCAATGAGACGTGTGGGTAAATTAGTTCTAAATGAAAATCCAAAAAATTATTTTGCACAGATTGAACAAGCCGCTTTTGCTCCAAGTAATACTGTTCCATATCAAGAAGCTAGTGCAGACCCTGTTTTACAATCTAGACTTTTTGCTTATGCAGACGCTCATCGTTATAGAATTGGGCCAAACTATAACCAAGTCCCTGTTAATTGTCCCTTCGCTTCAAAATTCTTTAATCCTATGATTAGAGATGGACCAATGAATGTTAACGGTAATTTCGGTTCTGAACCTAATTATTATGGGTCGAATATCAACTATCAATTTATACAACAGGATAAGCCAATCCAACAACATCAGGAAGTTTGGCATGGACCCGCTGTACCTTTCCATTGGGCAACCGATGCAGGTGATATTGATTTTAAACAAGCTACTGATCTGTACCAAAAAGTTCTCTCTAAACAATCCGGGGCACAAGAAAGATTGGCACATAATGTCGCAGTACATGTAGCTAATGCATCTACTGATATACAAAAAAAAGTAGTAGCAATGTTTACAAGGGTGGATCCAAGATTAGGTCAAAGAATAAAAGAAATTTGTGACGAAAAATGTAATGAAAGTAAAGTATCAAAGTTCTGAGTGTAGTAATTTTATAATTTATGTTTTACCTTCTTTCTATTCTGTTTCTACTTCAAAATTTCAAAAATAAAAAAAAAAAAGAAAGAAAAAAGAAAACAAAAATTACTAATTCTGTAACTTTATGAATCTTTCATTCACTTATTTCTATAAATAGAGTTCAATCCTCTTTCTTTTTCCTTCTTGTTTTATTTTTTTCTTATGTATATTTACTTATTATTTATATATCTATTTATTTATTGTTGGTGATGAAAATATTGATTTATTAATTTTACATATTTTTTACTCATCTGTTTTTTTTGATTTTCTTTATTGTTCTTTCTTACTACCATGTATGTCATCACCTTTGCTACTATTATTAACACCGTGAATGAATATATAGTTATGCTTTGTTGTCAAGATGTTGTGGTTGATTAACTATGATAATAATATTGGGATGGCTCTTACCACAAGTGCAACAGCGTACTTAATTCTTGTAGTGAAAAAAAAAAAAAAAAAAAAAACACGTTTCGGAATTTACTCGTAACTAGAAACCGTTAGGCGGAATATATTTTGTTATCGTATAAAGGTGCCATCTAAAATAAGAAATAATAAGAGAAAAGGGGAGCAAGGAAAAAGAGCGTTTGCTTAATAGAAAGGAAGGATGTCATCAATTATTGAGTATAAAGAATATACTGAATATTTTTGAATATGGAAGAAGTGAAACGAGTAACTCTACAATATATATTAAGCTGAGAATCACTCCTCTTGTAATAATGTCTAAGTTATTAAACAATTTACAGAAAGAATACGATAAATTATATTATTCAAAGGATATACCAGATGCTTCCAATTTACAAAAATGTTTAAAGGAGACTCACGAATTCAAAAATCAACTGAAAAAATTACAAGCACACTTAAATAAAAATATTCAAGATCAAGAACAAGAACAATGTGGATTGTCTGATACAAGTTCAAGTCCAGCTTGTATTAAGGGTAATGCTATAGATCATGATAAAATTATTAAGAAAAGGACTTTGATTCAAGAGAAATTAAATAAAACTATCAAGACATGGAATCATTCCATCAGAAAACAGTCGAAATTAACACAACAACAATACAACAAATTCAATAAAAATGGTTTGAGTCAAATGACAAATTTTAATCTTGATGATATATATAAACATAAGATATCTAGAGATAATATTAGGTTTGTTGATGAAGCTATAGGATTTCATATAGCTAGATATAATATTGAAAATTTGCCAATACAATATGATGGCGATGAAAAAGGAGAAAATATTATTCATTACTTAAAGAATGTCTATGGAATTGAGACTAACATCACTTTAATATTTCTACAGATGGGTCAGATTGTTTATGATTTAAAACATAATAAATATGACAGTTGCATGAAATGGATCAATACAATTGAAATGTCAGAAGATACAACAAATAACATCGTAGATTATCATTTAAAATTTGAATTATATATCTTGATTGGCATAGATATGATCAAAAATGGTTTTCCATCTATTGATATTTGTAAATATTTTTTTGATAATATTCCAAAGGAAATTATAGTATCAGAAGGAATAATTAAATCATATTACTTTCAAACTATAACAGAAATTGTCTTTAGATTGATTATGCAAAAAGAATTGACTGGGATTGATAGCATTATTGAAGAAAGATTAAGATCATGTGTTGATATATTTATCAAGGAATATTGTTTACACAATAAACTCTCTTTCGATTCGCCATTATTTTTAGTAGTGTTAAGCGGTGTCATATCGTTTCAATATTTTATTAAATATAATCAAATCAAAATTCTGTCGCATGTCGGTTGGACTACAGAAGATGAACTGCCATTTGATGTAGAATTACCGGACTTCTTATCACATTTTCATCCAATTTTCATCTGTCCTGTTTTGAAAGAAGAAACCACAAAAGATAATTATCCTTATTCACTTGCCTGTCACCACGTTATATCTAAGAAAGCATTAGATAAGCTGTCTAAAAATGGTAGCTTATCTTTCAAATGTCCATATTGTCCAATTCATACAACAGTTATCAAAACCCAAAAAGTAAAATTTGTAAAGATTTGATATTTTGCTGTAATTAGTGCTCTTTCTTTTTTTTTTTTGATTATTCTTAGCGTTGCTGTCTGTTTATTTTCCTATATATGTGTGTGTTTGAAATTATTCAGTAAAAATATATTTATTAGCAATTTATTATGTAGTGTTGCTACATTATTTTTGTCAATAAACGACAGTTTATATTTAAAATTCTACGATTTCCTAGATTTTTTAATAAAATCACCATTTTCAATAATACCCGAATATGGTCCATTTTCACCAGTTAACCAACCTGGAATTTTATTAATATTCATCAAACCCTCATCACAGAGCTGATGCAAACCTCCAAAGATATCTGAACCAAGAAATTTAAACCCGACTGCGATATCATCATTTGGATCCCTGTATTGGAATGATACTTTTGATACAGGATCTTTGGAATTGTAACTATTGAGATATGTATTGGATCCCTTGAATAATGACATTGATTTCATATTTATATCATCAATTCTGATTTTTTTACCTATTGAAGCATTATGGTCTATTATATTATTTAAAGGTGACAATTCAAAGTTACCTTCACCATATTGAGACCACCTACCTACTGAGTTGTTATGTCTAGAAGTGCTACAAGACTTCAGTGCATTATCTAAAGATTTTATTGATTCTTTTATGGGTTCATTTCTCTTAAAATGGATATTATATGGTGAAGAATTTACGATAATTCCTTTAAATGTTTCTAGAATCAGCTGAGATGTTGGATCTTCACCAGAAGTATGAATAAAGATAGGTAATTCCTGATCATCTAATAAAACAAAATAGTATGGTGTTCGTGAAAGTAGTTTTGGCTTCAGACTATTGAGTGGTATTAATGATTTTTCAAAAAACTGTATTCTAATTAATTCTATATTTTTTTCAGAATCATGTCTTGAAGTTACATAGGTTAAATAATAGTTTGATAATTGAAGGTTCAATTCTTTGACAATCCAAGGAATGTTATAAAAGGGTCGAAATTTTTCTGTTTGAGATTTATACATTGTAACAGAATTCCATTTGTAACGAGATGGATGAGTTAATAAAATATTAAAATCAATGTCACTTAGTTGGTAAAGATTTAAACCATTAGGCCAATATCGCTTAGTTATGAGAGTGGACATATTATGTTTGTTACGTGATTCATATTTAAAATCTAATTGTAGATTTTTGTAAGATAAATATCGCAACTTCTTATTAGATAGTCCAAACTTTTCATACCAATCGATAACTAAATTACATAGAATTTTAGCAGATAATTTTTTTAACACTTTGGACTCAGTCTCTTTGGAGAATTCTGGAATATATTCATCATCTAAGGACATAAGGGTAGCAATATATTTGTTTTCTATGTTAAAAATCCTTTTGACAGAGATGTTTTAACTAAATGGAAAAAATCTTCCCTAATCTGCTTAGTCACTATAATTAGTTATGTACATAATTCCTCTCTCTAAAAAATTAACATTATAGTGAAACATATAGAGTAATGTCCAGTTGCTAAAACAGAACGATAAGTATGTATATATCAAAAGTCTGTATTTTGCTGTATTGATTAATACACATTCAGCCTTGTATTTGTGAATGAATTAGGTAAAAGTTCGTGTTAAGAAATGCTGTATTATCTTCATTGGTGTTTATTAAAATTATTCTTTTCAAACCACGTTACACAAAAAGAACTAGAAAAAATAAAAGGCGCTAACAATAGAGAGAATTGTTACTAAAAAGTGGTACATCAAATTTAGAATAAGTTTATGCGACACATTATTATTGACAATAACCATAGACATTATTTTTTAACATTTATATATGTTGATTAAAGAGTTAGTAGTTTGTCATCTTTCATACAATTATCTTGTTTCAAAAATATTTTTGATGGTTTGTCGAATAAAAATACAATTATTATGGCTTTAAGGAGAATTAATATTGTAGAATAAATTTTAGAACAGAAAAAAGAATTTGGCATATATTTAAATTAATATTGTATGGAATTAAACTATTTATATTCATATTTTGGATAACAGTATTATATTATTTAAAAAAATATTTAATTAGTAAAATCAGAGCATTTTTGTTAGAATATGTAGTTATTTATAATATATAGTTTAAGTATGTAGAGTTCAAAAAATCTTAACATATAATATATCATATAGATGTTTTTATTAAAGATAGAAATATAAGAACATACTTACAGATATTTTTAAAATTTAGAAAGTGTAAGGAGATATTTATTCAATGCAATTAGAAATTTTTAGGTAATTAACTATGGAATTAATATAAAGGTCTTGCAGTACAAGAATTTTTAATAAAAAATTTAAAAGAAATAAATGTTGTAATTCAATAAATGTATTATTTTATTAGATTCTCATTAATCAAAGTTAAAGATCAGTTTAGAAAAAAGAATTTTTATTTAATTGAAATCAGTTTCTCTACAAAATAAATTAAATAAAATTTTAGTTGAGTCTAACAACGTTCGTGCGGGAGAGATAAGTGAATATTACATGCATGACTATGTGAATAGAATAATATATATGAGTTCAGTTTAAAAAAGTGAAATGTTGGTTTAAAGATTGGAAAAGAGTTTGAACTTTTGTAATGTGATAAATTTTTATCAGAAGTTTTTTGATATATAAGAGTTAGTAAGAGATGAAAAGCTGCAGTCTTCCATTTAAGTAAAAAATACAAAGGTTTACCTTATGAAAGATGTATTATCAGAGAGTATTCAGTTTTACGACACCACAGTAAGATAAGTAGTTGAAGAAATAAAAGATTATAATGAAAATTTGAGAGCTAAAACAAAAATTTGTGCCAAACTTTTTATAAAAATAAAAGGCACTTGTAATGATTATCACAAGTGGTATCCAACAATATGGATATTAATTATATATATAAGCACTTACAAATTATATAATTGGTTAATTCTAACTATTAAATAGATTGGTTCTGATTATTCATGTTATTCTTTCTTAGACTAAATCTATTAGATAGAATACAAATGTTAATGCTAATAATTATCCTTGGCACTATCTCTTAGTAATCATATGTTTCTTAAATAAGCTTCTCAGTAATTTTCCATCAACATTAATTCAACAATTGTTTGTTCATTTGAATCCACTCACAACTTTGGGTCCAAAATTTTGGTTGTTTCAAATTCTTCACCTTAACCTTCGGTGTCACCAGTGAACTACATATTTCAGCATTTCTAATTAGGACTTCTTACAGAACTATTCTTTATCCAGAAGTTTTCTTGTAAATACATATAAATTGACTCTGTTTTTTATAATACATGTCAGCAACTTTTAATAAGTTTTATATTTATTTCTTACTGATTATTAAGTATCTTCTCTCCAATTTTTAACAGCAGATGATCTATAATTTATATATATATAATAACAGTAATGATGATATATTAAAAAATAAATGTAAAGGATGTCGTTAAAAGTAAAAAATGACATAAGTGAACAAAACAAAATAAATTAAATTAAATTAGTGTTTAGAAAATGTACGATAAATATGTATATATATCTATATAAATCAAATTAATCTGGGCTCATTACATTTAATATATGATCATATATTAATTTATTCGACGTCAGCATCGAAAGTTTGACCTTCGACTAATTCTGGAATAGCTTCATCTTTCTTTTCTTCGCCGGCAGCTTCAACATCAGCACCTTGTTGTTGAAGATTTTGCATTTGACTAGCCAATTGGGCTAAGGCTTGGATAGATTCAGCACCCATTTGAGAAATAATACCTGGGAATAACTCTTGTAAACCCTTTTCTTGTGGAATACCATAAAAGACAGAGGTGTTGTGTTGTGGGGCAGTTTGGACACCAACCTTGTTGAAATGCAAAACTTTGCCATCATCTCTGAAAAAGTTAGCTTCGGCAACATTGTCAATGGTAACAGCATGTAATTTAGCTAATTGGGCTTGTAATGCAGTGTCATCCTTTTGGGCATTAGCGCTAGAAGAAGTCTTCTTGTTCAATTTTCTTCTGGTACCACCAATTTTGTTCTTGGCAGATAATTTTTGTAATTTAGCTAATTTTTCTTGATCAATTGGCATTGTTTCTTATTTATTAAACCACTACTATTATTCGGTGAACTCGAACAACCTAGCGAGTAAATGAGAAAACGAAAGTGAAAAAAAATTACTCTTTGTCTATGCAATGATTTCTACTACTTCTAGCCCATCAATACTACATTGTTGCAGATATGTTTACAAAAATTCATTGGGGGTAAAAGGCTAAACGTTGATGATATTCAATGAAACAATTGAAATTGTTCGAAGATTTTGTCAAAAAACTTTAAAAGAAGCAAGAAAAAAAAAATAATGTAAAAAATTGCGTTTACTATTTCCCGTGTATAATGATATAGTTAAATCTCGTTCTAAAGACATGTCCTCTACTAGTATCTATGTTTGTTTCTGTATCTGCATTTTTACAGCTGTTTCTGTCTCTTATGCTTCTTTAGACATAATACACGCGTGATATATATATCATAAATTTACAGATTTGTAATTATTGATTAGACAATATATATTTAGAAATATATACTATATTTGCTTATTGATATTGAAATATGCTTTAAAGTGATAAACAGTTTACATGTTAGTACAATATATTTATAAAATAATAACAATTAATACATTATTGCTCTATAACTATTTGAGTTGCGTTGCGTTGCGTATGCTTTTCATAGCCAACGATCCTTGGTATCTGGTTTATTATCATTATATTATGGCACATTATTTTATCATTCAATAGATTTAAATTTAAAAAAAAACTGCAGTCAAATTTATTAATTTTGCTATAATACAAAGGGAGTACAAACAAACCTTTAGTCTTTTTTTACATATATGTTATTTCTTATTTCTATGGAAAAGACCGCCGAATTTCTTTTTCGTTTTATTTCCTTTTCCATTTGTATTAGTTTCATTTAAGGTTATTTCTTGAGTATTTGTTGTGATTGGGTTTGTTGATTCATTCTTTTCAAACTTGTGATTTACTAATACAGGTGTAGGTGTCGAACTTTGCCCAGGAGAAGAATTAAATAAATTAGCAGCTGGAGATATTAATGAGTTCTCATTACTACTAATATTACTATTATTATTAGTATTTTCAGTTAAATTTACCTTATTATCATCATTATTATTATTATTGTTATTGTTACTATTATTTAAAATGGAATTTTTATTTGAACCAAATTGAATAGGTTTAGTGGTTTGTTGTTTAGAAAAGTTTGTATTTAATGGTGTTAAACTTCTACTCCCAATCCTGTTATTATTACCAGCAGTTATATTGGTATTGGCTGTAGTGTTGTAAGTGTTACCATTAGGGCCAAGTGAAATATTTTGACCTTGTTGTGGAATATCAAGGATGCCCAATCCCTGTCTTGAAGCATTATTATTATCTGGAAAAGCACCATAAGTATGAAAATTTGTACTTTGCACAGGCAATGAACTTACTCTTCTACTAACTGGGCTTAATATGTTAGCTGATGTAGAGACATCGTTAAAACCTATACTTGACGCATTCCCAATAGTAGGTAAATTACTTTTCCTATTCTTTCTACTAGTTGGTTTAATTGGATGAGAACCAAATGAAGATTTGTGATGTAACTGTTGGAAATCATCAGCAATATCTAATGGTGAAGCAAAACTTGATGAAACAGGATCAACAAACTTGGACGCATTAATATTTGGTATAGTTGGTGTAGAGTGATTGGACCTGTTGATAGTACCATTGCTTGAATTGCTAAAATTGTATGGTAATTGTTGTGGTTTAAATATATTTGGAGGTGAATGTAAGCCAAGTGGAGTCATTGGTGATGAAGGATTATGTGTTATCGAGTTATTTACATTTAATGGTTGCTGTAATTGCCGCTGTCCTTGTCCTTGTCCTTGTCCTAGTTGCTGTTGTTGTATTGCTGTTAATTTCTTTTCAAGTTCTAGTTCTTTTTTCTTTAAATCAAGTTCTTTATCCAATAATTGTTGTTGTTTTTCATTTATAGACATGTTAATATCGAGCAATTCCTTGGACTCAGTTTGAGTAGGAGGGATCGAGGTTTGTCCATTTGATGCTTGTGTATCATTATTTGAATTAGATATAGATGAAGACAATAACGAGGAAGAAATTTTCAATTGCAAATCGTTGATAATTTTATCCTTTTCGCTCAATTTTATTTCATTTGATTGTTTTAGTTGAGTATTTTCCAACTCCAAAAATTTAATTCTTTTTTGAATATTTGTTAATTCAGTATTGTTCTTTTCAAAATTTTCACGTAACAAACGATAATTGTTTAAAAGTTTTTCTTTATCATTAGTTAAATCTTCAATAGATTGTTTCAGTTGTTCTACCATTTCCTTTCTTATGAACCATTCTGATTCCCCCTTATTAATATTTGAATATTGAAGCATTACAGTATAAAGAAACTCTAGATATGGAGTCTTAATACTTAAATCGTCAGCCAGAAGAATCGGATTTAACAACAATAGATTCAAATTCAAATGGTCTAAAAGTTGGTGTTTGAAATTAAAAACTAATGCTGGGACATCGCCTAAGTTTTGATAATGAGATTTCCAGGATTCTATTATATGGGTTTCATTATTCATGTGGCTTCCCAAGGGTATATTTGAATTTTTAGCAATAGTCAAGATTTCAGTGACCAATCCAGAGATCAAAGGTTTAGCTAAGATTTCATCTAGAAAAGTACCTATATTAGATTCTTGGAAAAGGATCATTACTGGATTCAGACAGATGTTTGGGATGGCCAATGACCATTGTTCTGATATGAATCTCTTGGGTTCCATATTACAAGTCATTATATCACTATGAATAAAAACCTTTTTGAAAAGAGATTCCAAATCTTTTAAATTGGATTGTATCTGTGAGTTGTACTTTGGTTTAATTTGTTTGTTGTTTGAAATAGGATAAGAACTTTTCCCCAATATGATCTTTGGAAGATTATTTTTTGAATTGGATTCTTTCTGATTTTTTGGTTGTTGTTTATATATATTAGAATTTATTTCACGGATATCATAGGAGGTTAGAATAGAAAATATATTTGATTGAGAAAAACTATTATTATTATTATTATTAAGTACAAATGATTCTAAAGATAGATAACCAGAACTTTCAATCAAAATTTTTGTCTTACTACTACTGCTATTATTATTAGTAGTAGTAGTAGCAGTAGTAGTGGTATCAATAACAGGTTTTAAGATATTGAATATATTAGTTAATTCATTTAAAGAGGAGACGCTTAAAATGATTAGATCGAATTTAAAATCCTTTGAAATGAGTTTCACTCCTTCGATTAAATTCTGTAAAGAAGTGAAATGGTTCTCCAAAGAGTATTTGACAGTTCCGTATTGTTCAGTCTGTAGTTCAAAAATATTAGATTTAATATTACTAACATGGAATAATTGAACATCTTTGATGGTTTGGAATCTGGATGTATAAAATTGGATGTTTGGATTGCTACCTGACAGTAAAACTTTCATATTGATTCTTCTTATTATCTTGCTTTGTGTAGGTGTGAGTATGTGGATATAGATATAGATATCGTGTTAATATTAATATTAATATTATTATTATTATTATAAGTATTCCATGTATATTTGTTAATAGATAGCGAGAAGATTTCTATGGAGGGATACAGAACCGACTATATAAAACAATAATTCCATCAATTGTCAGAGAGGCTCTTGCAAGTAATAATTACAATTCATGTTAATATCAAGATGTATGGAAGAAATGGTTAAAACCCAACAACTTAATTTTCTTTAAACGCAACAAATAGTCTTTTGGATTTCTTGCCTGTTTCTTGACAGCTGTTTGTTTATTTCTTTTCCAGAAAGCAAAAAAAAACAAAAAAAAAACTAAATAAATAAACAAAAATCGGATGCCTTAATTCCGCAGGCAAACCGAATGAACTAATTCCAGTTTCTTTTTGACAGAGAGAAGGAAGGAAAGAATGCAATTTATAGCATATGTCTTCAGGATGGCAGTGGTGTTGCTTCACATCTGTGAATTATTCAACGTTTTACTGGCTTGACACAAAAACAAAAAGAAACATATAGAAAATACATTCACATCTATAAAACAGGTGATCAGTACAGTACGTATGAGATAGTTAGCGGTGGTGGCTACTAGAGGAAGAAAGGGGGTTAAAAAAAAAGGATGGGTTTTGCTGTGATTGGGTATCCAACAAAGAGACATAGTAATCGTTCTATCCATGATCAGCTTCCCTATGAATTAAGAAGTGAAAATGATAACAAAGATGATATGTATAAGCAGAAATCATCAAGAGGAAGAAGAAAGAAGAATATAAGAAAATTCAAAAAACAAAAACTGATTGGTGGAAAGTCAAAAGAATTAAACAGACTTGATACTAATAATAATAATGATAATAATACTTTGTTAACGGATGATGATAAGTTCGATCAACAGTTGATTGAATCTACTTGGCTTCGTAGAAATATTGATACTCAATATGATATGGTTCAAACAAGATCAAATTGGTTGTCACAGATCAATACTGTTATGAGGAGTACAGGGTCAAATGTAACTGTTTTGAATCAAAGGAAAATTGGATTTTATTACACTGGAAGAGATATAAAATTTAGAAGATGGCAACCAACTAAGTCAAATGTTCGAAATAGCTTGATGTCAGGTACATTATATAGTAAAGATAATAGTCTATCATTGAAACCTGGAGGAAGAACCAAACATTCAGATCAAAAAGCTTTTAATTCAATGGAAAGTGAAGTGTGCAAAGCATCGAAGGGACATACAAAAAAAGAAGGACAGTCAAATGAAGTAGTCTATGATAATATATCTACATATGATGATAATTCAAATCAATCTAACGTAAATATTCAAGACGACTTAAAGAAGTCTGCAGATCTGAAAATTTCTGGAAAAGAAATCATGATTGAACAATCAAATATGACTAAACAGAAACAGAATGTTGTAGGAAACAATAAGATAACAGATAAATTATCACTTGATAAGTTACCACCAGAAGTTATACAAAAGATTTTCATTTTTTCTTTTGCAAATTATAACATGTTATTGACAAATAAATATTTGAATTATTGTCTTAAACTATCGGATCATCTACTAGAAATCAATTTTATAGAAAATTATATCCACATTATAGACTATAATAATACACAGGAGGATAGCGATAATATGTTACTCAGAGTTAAATGTCTCAACACTAAAATTTTTGATGATCCAATAATGACACAATTTTTTCTGAAACGGTTGAAATATTTAAGAAAAAAGTTTGATAAATTTATTACAGATGATATAATTTTTAAAGGATTGGCTAATTACAAAAGTCCCTCTTTACCACACAGATTATACGTGAACACTATTGATTATTATTTCAAAAATGTTCGTATTTTGAAGTATTTTTTTAAACATTTTGAAGTCATAGTTAGTTCATTAATTGATAATATTATTGAATGGTTTTTCCAATTTCAAATTCAATATAAAATTCAACATTTTTTACATGTAATGAAAATCATAAAAAAATATTGTAAGAAATATGATTACTTAAAGGATAAAACTAATTTTACTGCTCATCATCTAGTATCGATATTAGAATATCTATTTCTTAATAAAAGTGATAGACAATTAGTTACAATCAATTTTCTCAAAGGTTTAACATCATATGTCGAAGAAGGAGACGAAATAGAAGAAAATATTGATAATATACCGTTAGAGAAATTAAAAATAAAATTTGTTGGTGTTTACCTGTCTATGTTTTACAAACCATTGTTTGTAGATAATGAAAATAATGTCTCTGATATTAATATGGTACTTAACGATTCATCTCTCTGGAGTTGTTTAAGGGAAATATCAAATATAGAATTGATAGACGTTTTTGTTTCACATGGTGTACGTCCTTCATATGGCCATATTATATAATATTGGTTTCATATAGTTATTTATTTGACTTTCTTTTTTGAAGCATTCCACTTTATACAAGTATATACATATATACAAAGAGAGAGAGAGAGAGAAAATATAACATATTCTTTTGTTACATTATTGTAATGAATTGGCTATTACGTTACTATGTTAAACACTGGAGATAACACTACGTCAAGTCTTTTATAAGATTGAAAAAAAAAATAACTTTATTATAAGAAATTGAATTTTTTTAAGTTTAAAGTAAAAGAAAAGCACAAGCTTTCATTATGTATTTTTGGGTTAATTATAGAAGTATAAATTGACCGTCACTTTGGTAAATATCGAGGAAGTTACCTAGATGTATAGAAGTAATATTAATTAAATATATTAAATAAAAACAGTTAGAAATAATGATCAAATAAAATAAAGTAAAATAAACAATGACATTAAATGAATCGTTACCAAAGGTTATTATACTTGCTGGAACCACTGGAACAGGAAAATCCAATATTGGAGTCTATTTATCAAAGCATTATGAAAATAAATATTCAAACATTAAATTTGTAGAAGGTGATGATTTACATCCAGAGGAGAATATAATAAAGATGTCAACAGGACACCCGTTGAATGATGATGATCGTTGGGAATGGTTGAAAACCGTAGCACATAGGGGGGCTGAGTATGCTACGAAAGGACACGCTATAGGATATTCTCAAGGATTTTCTATTGTAGCTTGCTCAAGTTTAAAGTTGAAATATAGAGATTTGATTAGACAAGTAGAACCTAATGTAAACTTTTATTTTATATTTCTATATGCTTCAAAGGATACTATTTACAGTAGACTAAGACAAAGAAAAGGACATTTTATGAAGGCTAATATGCTTGATTCCCAATTTGCAGATTTAGAATTACCAGATGTTACTAAAGAGAAGAATTGTTTTATTGTTAACATGGATGGGTTAACTTTTGAAAAGATAGAAAAGAAGGTTTTATCACTTTGTGATACATATATTATATTATAGAGTATTTTTTTTCTTTTCGTATTTTACTATTACATGAAATTCCAATTGTACATATAATCTAGAGGTCATGAAGAATATATATTATAAATTTCGAGTATTATCTGCTAATTAGAGTAGCGGGTCAAATTTATGGACATTTAGTTGGGAAATTTGAGGATTATCAGTGATATATTCTAATTTTTCATTAAATATCGTGTTAATCTCTTTATACATTTCTTTAGAGGGCATCAGTGTTCTGTATGTTAGATAATTGCTGGTATGAATTTTATTATTCAACAAAACAGAATCATTAATATAATCGTAACTTGCTACACCTAATCTATTTACATGATAGGGGCTATATATGTAATTAATATCGAAGATGTCTTCATATATTTCATTGATAGCTATGAAATTATTATATTCATCTTCCGATAAAATAGGTACAATAGTTAACGCACTAGCAATATTTTCGATGATCGAATTCGGATGAAGAAAGCTGGTGCAATTTTTAATCATAGTCATTAACGTGGCGATATTACACCTTAAGCTTGGGTTTAATTGTAATACCTTAACTAATATGTGATACAATTCATTTGATACGGGTAAAATGCTTTTCAACACAGTGTTATCCATTACGAAATATCTAAAAGTGGTATCTTGTAACTGATGTGCTCTTGACCATGGATGTCTAATACAAATCAAATTGATAAGTAAAATACCTAAAGACCAAATATCTGTTTTATATGTACAAAATTTTGAAAAATTTTGATAATTGTTGCTATTATATGAATAGTTAAAATATAAGACCCTCTCTGGTGCCATATAAAATGAGGAACTAGTTGACACATGTGGTATTATCCATTTTGATTTAGTAGCAAGGCTAAAATTACTAAGATATATATTGTCATTCTTATCTAAAAATATATTCTCAGGTTTAATATCACAATGATATATCTTCTTTGAATGACAATATTGTAAAGCAGAGCAAATTTGTAAAAAAACTTTTTTTTATTAGCCAACCATTATTAATAAATCTTTTTGATATTACTATAGAATTAAACAGATCAGTTTGGTAATAGTCCATGAGGACAAAGATAGCTAATGGAATTTCCATTAGTTCATGTATTGTAGCTATATTTTTATGTGAATGAACTTTCAAATGAAGAGAGATTTCCTTATAGTTTTTAAAAGTTGATAGTTCTTCATCTGATAGGTTTTTGATTGAGTTGAGGTTAATTAACGGTAAAGAAACTTTATATTGATTCAACCTAAAATAATACAAAATTTCATCTTTTGTTCTATTTATTTGGGTTCTAGTGTAACAGTCTTGTCCTTTATTATTGTGAGTATCTGGATAATGATGTGATTGAAAAGAGGATTTTATAATTATTTTAATTGTAAAATCTTTTTTTGAGATGATATCTTTCACGTGGAATGCAAAACTGTACTGTTCTGAGCCTAGTTGTTTTATAAGTTTATAATTATTTATTTGGCAATTCTCTAACATGATAAATAGATGGAGATTGTTATATTAATAGTAATACTAATGAGTGTTAGTTGATAATCCAGAAATATAATATTTTTTTTTATTTATATATATTTTATGTTTCTATATAAATCAAAACATATTATAATGGCAGAGCCAACTTTATTAATGTATTATATTGAAAATAGAAAACATGAAAAGTTGGTGAAAACTAATTAAAACAATTGTAGAAAAATCAAGTAGAAAAGAATATTTTCTAATGAGAAAATAAAAAAAAAGAAAATAAAGCTGTATTAATATTTGTTTACTAATATTATTAAATATAGAAGTAGGTTGTTTCGATGTGAATTTTCGATAAACAAATCTTCTGTTGCTACTTCTATCATCTCATATTGCAAAGTGTTATACTTAGAAATGGGCTACAGGATTAGATATTTGTGACCAATAAGGCAAGAACAAATATCAAAACCTTGTAGAAGTATAGCAAAAATGACATGGTCGCAAAGAATATCATACAGTGCACGGAATAATGGTATGTTTATTTCTACGAGGGCGCTAGAAAAGGTTTTTCCTGTAATTTTGGTTTTTGGACATGACGTATTTCTCTTTATTGTTTTTATTTTTACAACAAAAGGAAACAAATAAAAAAAAGAAAAGAAAAACATAAATAACACATAAGATATGCAATAAGTGAATGTATTGTGTATAACTATTGTTATAATCCAGATATTTCCTTATACAGCATGGACACAATCTATTGTTTCTTCCAGAGGCTTCAAAGAAAGTGCAGATGACTTACTAAAAATATAATAGTACCACAGGCATTATAGCAAAATAACTACAATAACAAAATGAATGGTTGATGTTAGGAAAAGAATTAAAAAGAAAGGATATAAACATATTGAGACAGATAGATATAGATATTATATAGATCTAGATACTTATTTTAGTATCTGGTGCTATATAATTAGTCAAAAAAGAAAGAAAGAGAGAGAGAAAAAAATAGTAAATGTATAGTAAATAAAGGAGAAAAAATATATTTTGATTTTTATGTTAAATATATCCTCATCTTGCATAAGGAAGTGATAATTTGTGATTCCTATTATGGATTTTTTTCGTTTCATTCTATATGCTAAGAAAAATTAAATTAGGCTGTTCTTACTCATTATTGATAACAACATTGGTACATGTTTGGTAGTGCTCTTGGATATTTATGAATGTACTATGCAGTAACAAAAACAACATAAACTTGAAGTTATTCAATTGCTTGTGATATGTATGGATTCTTAAAAGTTCTTATATTTTCTTATCATAACAAATTATCGATTAAAGATTTAACTTTATCATCAAATAGATCAGATTTTATTGGCATTTCTAAGGAATAAAATGGATCCTTCATAACGTAATCACTATAAATGCAATACACTTTTCTTAAAAGGTTATCTGCAATCTGACTACCAAGATTATATTGTAATGCATTTATATTCTTACTACTATTATTGTTAATATTAATACCACTATTATTCATCATATTTGTTTCTGAATCGTTATGTGAAGGTAGCACAGTAGAACTAATAGCCACAAATTTTAATCCAGTCATAGTTTGATATATATACATGGTAAATTGATCAGTACTCAATTGTTTCAATCCGCTTTTATTCCAACTATGGAACGGTTCTTTGAAATAATCGTCTCCTTTGAAACTGCCGTATTTATTTGGAATAGAATTCCTGGGTGACTTTTCTGGATTTTTCACACCAACATAAGGATGATATGGAATAGTATAATTCAGGTTGGATTGAGATAATTGTAATGCCTTTGGTGTTATTTGGCTTGATATGACAAAAACACTATGTAATGTACTTGCTAAAATTAACAAATCATTACTGTTCAGTGAATGTTTGGAAGTGGTACCAGTAGGATTTGTCTTTGAAACATCAAATGATCTATGATAAATTAAACCACCTGATTTATTTATAATCAATATTGCTTCTATACCCATAATTAATTTTGTGATTCAATTAAACTTTTTTTTTTTGCTGGAAAACTTGTATGTTTTTTTTGTTTTGATGTACTATAGTTTTATAAATACAACTTTTTAGAAATTCTTATATATTGACTAAATTTCAAATAAGAAAGTAATGTGGATTTAATTTTTAAATATGCTTTTTTACTGATATGTTTTGATTGTAATTTACAATTGTCTTGTATACAAGTATACGTTGTGTATTCGTTGTTGTGGTTTTTTTGATTGTTTTTTTTATCTTAATTTTTAAACCTTGACATTGTTATATTTTTGTTATTTTCCACTTGTAAATAGTAAAAATACAAAATATATTCAGATACATAAAGTTATGTAAATAGTAGAAATAAACATGGTTTTAGGTTTAGTTATAGTAACCAGAAATTATGTTTATATTTATATGTACTTCTTACAGTAACACTGGTTCATTTATGTAAAATATCATATTATTAAACATATGAGATTAATAAAGCGATTGTTATCTAATAGTTGTAATAAGATATGAGTCTCAAAATTTTGTCTACTGCACGTAGGTACTTGTTAAGCTGCGTCTATAACTTACAATATCTAATAATTGTGAAAAATTTCCCCTATTTTAATTTAGTACAAATACATTGTTTGCAAAGTGAAGCTACTAAACTAAAAAAATAGTTTATCATACCATTTCTTATTCTTTTTAGCCATTAAAGTTGCATAATGACTCATTTCACCCCAACAATCTCTACCAAAATTGCAGCCTGCCATATTAACAACAAAATCTCTTGCATTTTCATCATAAAAATATCTTGGATCATCACTAAATTCAGAACATGCGCCAGGAGGAAATGAATTAATCATTCTTAATGGTAGAAACCCGATTTTTGAACGGATCCACGCTTCATTAGCATACAATGTTTCCAAAGCATCTTGTTCTCTATGTTCCCAAATCATGTGTTTTTGTTCATATCCTGCGGGATCCCACCAAATATCTAATAATAATTTGGACCATTCACTGTTTCTAATTAAGAAAGAACCAAGGTTAAATCCGCCACAATCTTGAGTAATTAATAAATCTAAGTCTTGAGTGTAATCTACATATGGTATATCAATTTCCAAACCTAATGGATTAAAAGATTTTAATGTACGATCTACTACTTTATCAACACGACTAAAAATATGGGATTCTAACGATCTGTCCGGTTCCATAATTAAAGTATCTAAATCTAACCACCAAAACCATTCAGCATCTGGGAATTCTCTTAATGTTTGTTTTAAAATATCAACTTTTTGCCAACCTTGTCTATACTCATGAGAATATCTTTTTGCAGTAGTTAAGTCCTTTATGGTTAACCCATATCCATGTCTCTTAGCATAGGCTTTCTTATTGGCAATAGAAATCTTCTCAATGGCCCATTCTTGTTCGTTCTTCCATCTTAAAACACCACCACCTTCGTTAGCGGCTACAATAATAACAATCTTTGGAGACTTCTTAAATGAAAACCAACGAGATTTTCCTTGTGTTATTAGGTCTTTTGGCAATCCGTTTGACGAGCTAGTTCGCGATAATGATGGAGATGATGTAGTTATCATACCTTCATTAAACCAGAAGATATAGAATAGAAATATGAAAATCAAAAGGGAACATGTCTTAAGATTAAAACTTTTGTAACCTAATCTATTTTGTAGACGTTTTAAAAATAGAATAAATGGCCTTAGATATGAATTAGAGGACTTTTTTTTTACTTCATCTGGATCTTCTCCATACAGATGATACGGGATAGTGGACATGGTTATATATTTGGTTTTTGTAGTTTGTCGATAAGAATCTTCCTATGGCACTCTTTTGTTTTCTAATTAACTGTTAATGAACTTCAATATGCCGTCTTATAATCAGATATATAGTAAGAACTGAATTAGTGGACCAATCCTTGCCATTAATCCAACGTTGGCGAAAAATGTATCTGCGTATTCTTTTTTTTCCCTGCCTGATAGATTTTTGATTTGTTTATTTTTTTTCTATGCCAATTATATCATTCTCGTCTGTGAACTCAGTGAGAGGAAGAAAAAAAAAAGGAAAATATTCACCCATAGATCAAATAGTGAGTAATATAATGTGCAAAGGTATAGAAGTATGTAAATGTTCAATACTTATATATTAATGGAGAATGAATAAAATGCAAAGAACATAAAAAGTTATAGAGTGATGTGTATAACTATATATATATATATATATATATATATGAAATGCAACCATAAAAAGAGTCGTGGAGATGGAGACAATATCTTAATGAAATATGATCTATATAAAATAGACTAAGGGGTTATTGGTTAAAAATCAAATTCATTACGGAATTGATCTAGATCCATACCAGGTGCCACTCTACCCAAAAGATCATTTCTTTTCATTGCAATAAAGGCTCTTCTCAAAGTCTCAATAATATTGTCATGGTTGTAATTTTCAGTATAAGATTTTTTATTCTTACCATCTTGTTTCATTCCCTCGACTTCATGCATCTTTAATGCAGTTAAAAGATGTTCTACGGCTTCTTTAAAACATCCAATGTTCATTGATGATACAGCCAAATTGTATCTTGCCCTAACAAAAGATGGCTTCAACTGAAGTGCCCTATGGTAAGCTTTAATAGATTCTTCAGATCTATTTGAATTAGCTAAAGCAGCCCCTAATCTGTTCCACATTAATTCATCATTAGGATTCACTTTTAATGCAGTTTTAAAACACTCGATTGTCTTGTCGTAATCATCATTTGCATAAAATAATAAACCAAGACACAATTGTACATCTGGATCTACTTGTGGTAATTGGTTAGCCAATTTTAAAAATCTTTTTGTTATCTTGGCATTAAGTGATAAAGGATCCTCAATTTCATTTTCGGATAAATGTCGTAATTTTGGAACACTTGTATCAATATTTGGATATTTTGTCTCAATCCACTGAGTTAAAATGGTGAATGAGCTTGAATCATAACCTTCGTTAATATAGCTAATCGCTAAATTTTTCATTGCCTCTAAATTCTTAGGATCTAATCTTAAACAACTCTCTAATGCACTGATACCATTGATCTCCTTTTCATTTTGAATTTGTACTAACCCTAACTTTAGCCATGCATCTACATGGTTTGGATTATCTTGAACTGCAGCCTCGAAAGCCATTGCCGCTTCACTTAATTTGGCACCATTTTCCATTAAAATGCAACCAATCTCATATGCATTAGGATTGTGTAAATATTCATTGTTCGTATTTTCAAAATCATATTTAATGCCGGCTAGCTCGCCTCTTTGACTAAAAACTTTGTCACCATTTAAATAGTTTGGCATTATATCTTCAGAATCTTGGTGGATAGAATCCCACACTTGCTGAAACTCTGCTTGGTAATCGTTATCGATTATAATATCATGGTCTTTTAAAGATTTATTAATTTGTTCAGGAGAATCTAATATTTCAATTTCTTCTTTAATCTCATTATCTTTAATGTTTAAGGATTTACTAACTGCTTTCTCGAGGGTATCAAATTGTTGATCCCAATCAGGCGTTGATTTCATCTTTTGATTATTGATACTATTGTAACTTGGTTCTCTATTTAGAGGTCTTGTGAAATTAGAAATACTATTGCCATGAATACTATAATTAGAAGATATTTTTCTTAATGGTTGATGATAATGAATTGGAGTTATTGTTCTTGTTGGGGGTTGTTGATGTGCATATTTAGGGTTCATAGCTATATTACTAGGTTTGGTATGATTAGCAAAGGCAGCATTTGATTGATGATTATTTTGAAATTCATGAGACCAATCGTTACCTAACGTGTTTAGACTAGAAGACGAAGATATGGAATTCATTCGATTAGAATCATGTAAATTTGGAGGCATTAGAAAATGATTACTAGAGAAAGAGTGTTGTGTATGTGATATGTGTTCCATTAAAGCTGGTCTGGTGTTTATATTTCCCATTTGTAAAGATGTGGTGGAAGATGGTGATGGTAAGGAATTAAGATTTGAGGAAGCCCCTTGCATGAATTGGTTCATATATGATTTACTATTCTCTGAAATGGCATTAGTATTAGTCTTAAAATGGTCTAATGAATGTAAAGAAGATGATGAAGGTGACTGTGCAACCTTATTAGATATACTACCTTGTTGTAGATATGAATTATTTTCATGCGTATATTTATTAAACTGAGCTAATGGATTGTTATTTATTGAACAGGATGCGGAGTTCATTATATATATATATGGATATAGATAGACAGATAGATATAAACAGATATGAATGGATATTTGGGATGTCTATTGAATTGTAATTAGTTTAGAGTAAGCTAATTTATTTAACAATTTCAAACGTTTGTGAAATCCTTTTTTGAAATGTATATTGATGTGTATACAGTTGTTTGTATATATATATATATGTAAACGTATGTGTGTAAGTATCGGTATGTACGTTATTCGCTCTTTCTGTTCTTCTCCAAAGTGTTAGAAGATACATTCTGTATAGATCATTCCTTTTTGAATCAAGCAACTTTCCCTTCTCCCCCTCCTCTACTTCCACCTCTATTCCACTGCAAAGGGCAATAGCGGCATGGCGGTAATCCCATAGGAAAATGGAAAAAAGAATGGAAGAAATTATTCTGCCACACATTTTTTTTTTCCTTTCCTGATTTTTGGCAAGGATGGCTATGTTTTCTGTTTTTTCCTCAGGGCTTGTTGTTATATATGAGGGTTTGTATATAATCTAACAATATTTTTACCAATTTTGCATAATTTGTTTAGGGTTTATCCTTTTGTAATACTATTTTTCTTTCCTTGTTGGTTCCCCTTCTTTTTTGCTATGCTTCCAAAAAAAAAAAAACCAAAAAAATAATAATAATAATAATTAGTAAACAAGACTCCAGTGATATACTATCTGTTATTTTAGGTGAAAGCATTAATATGGTGAAGATTTGAAGAAATCATCACTTATAAAAAGTGATAACCTAGATGACATGAACAAGGTAAAGGCTGAAGTACTGATTTTCACATTAATATTGATTTAATAATAGTTACTGTTGGTGGCAGAGTTTGGTGTTTTGCTCTAGTTTTAGTTTATTTTGCTTCTGGTTTTTGCCTTTTCTTCTCTTCTTCAATCAAGATGGCAAGGCCAGCGAAAATATCTGAAATATTGGGTAGTTTAAAGGGAAAACACAAATCTATTAACGGTAATTATCCAAATAAAATTCAAAAACCTAAATTACTATCCAAAAACGAGAGATTAAATATTGCAAAGAATCTACTTACTAATAAAGTTTCAGATTCTACTGATAATATAGATTATAAAGCTTTTTTGAATATTAAAAATAATAAACCATCCAATTTAAACCAATTAAAAAATGATATTACTCGAGATGTTGAAGAACAGCAGAGTACTATGGTCATGGAGAATTCTAGTTCTAGTTTGAAGTCTGGTTCTAAAACAGGTGATGAATTTAAATCTAAATCTAAGACCAAATCCAAATTTCAATTTACGTGGGATCTTAAAGATGATACATCGTTGAATCATATGCCCATCTTGCCATCGAGTTTTTTGAAAAAAATTCAAAAGAGTGATGATTATAATAACATGACTAGAGTTAAATATTTAGATTCTTTAGAAAATCTCTATATGGGTAAACATTGGAGTGAAAAGAGTTATGAAGAGATGACAAAGAGAGATTGGAGAGTATTCAATGAAGAGTTTCATATATCAATACAGAGTGAGACCTTTGAAAGTAGCTTAGAGAACAAAATAAGGCATCCGTTAAGAAAGTGGGACGAATTGAATTTGGTACCGAAAGAATTTGTTGATATTTTGACCAATGATTTGAAATTTGATACTCCCACTCCGATTCAAAGAATATCGATACCTAATCTAGCAGCAGATGACAAGGATTCTGGGAGTAGAGATTTGTTAGGTGTCTCTGCAACAGGTTCTGGTAAGACATTGGCTTTTGTTATTCCTATTTTGATTAAATTATATAAAGATAAAATTAGACCACAATCCATAAAAATTATGGAAGGCCCAAAAGCCTTAATACTAGTACCAACAAGAGAATTGGCACAGCAGATTCAGATGGAGACTCAGAAATTTATATCATTTTGGAGGAGTAGCGAATGTCAAGTTATTTCAATTGTTGGTGGACATTCAATTGAAGAAATTACACATATTGTGTCAAAAGGGTGTGATATTCTTGTTGCTACACCAGGTAGATTGATCGACTGTTTGCAAAGTCATGTCTTGTCTATAAATAATATTGATTTTTTGGTGTTAGATGAAGCCGATAAGATGATTGATTTGGGGTTTGAGGATCAACTTAAAACTATATTAAATCAAATATCTATTGAAAATGACAGAGTTATCAAAAAAGCATTATTTACTGCTACATTGTCATCTTCAATCCGATCAATTGCCGCTAGTTACTTGGAAAATCCAATATATGTATCTGTGCATCTAGGAGAGAATCAAACACCAAAGATTGAACAAATTGTTGATTACACAGCAAATGATGATATCAAATTCCAAAGACTTAAGGAAAATATTCTGACACGTTTTAGGCCACCGATCATTATATTTATTAATTTTAAAGCTACTGCAGATTGGCTTGCAAAGAAATTTCAAGCAGAAACCAATTTCAGATTCACAATATTGCATGGGTCTAAAAGTCAAGAACAAAGAGAACATTCATTATCGTTGTTTAGGTCGCAGAAGGTGGACATTATGATAGCAACTAATGTAGCAGCAAGAGGTTTGGATATTCCTAATGTGTCCCTTGTGATTAATTTTCAAATGTCAAAACATTTTGAGGATTATGTTCACAGAATCGGTAGAACCGGCCGTGCAGGAAATGTAGGTACTGCGATTACATTTTTAGACGGTACTGAAAGGCAAGATCTTATAAAAAAATTATATAATTACATGAAGGAAAATGATATGACAGGTAGAAACAAGTTTTCACCTCATATTAAAGAAACATTTAATTTTGAAAAACAGGATCAATTTTCTAATATAATATATTAGTTTCTTTATAGATGACAACATATGTATGCTTTTGATAGATTTTTTTTTTGTTTATTTAAATATAATTTATTAGGTAAAGTTTAATTTACTGGTGTTGGTAAACGTATGAGTAACTTTAGTAAATTTATGATCACCAGTCTCAGGGACATTTTAGGCGTATCTTCTCATGAATATTAATTTTTTTTAGGCCAATGTTTTATTAAATCCATTTCTACGGGGCCAGATGGCACTAAAATGAACAAAAATAAAAAAAAATTAATACTAGATATTTCTGGAGTGATGTTATATATATGCCCTAATCATTACAAAAGTCAACAAAAAAGTCTCATAAACTAAGAATTAGTTGTTTTAAAGACATTAAAACATATTTTCCAATTTATCAATATCCTAATAGTAAATATGCATAATAAAAATCATTACGAACTAAGTTCAGATTTTTAGATCCAAAAAAAGTTGGACTCTAAAACTTTATACACTTTAACAAGTTAAGATTAAAAAGTAAATTATTTTCTAAAATAATATTATATTATACTAAAGTATACTTTAAGATTCTAACAACCTTTTCCATGTCCAATACTCAATTTGTGAACTTTTATTTTATTCATGCTTTCTTATTTTTGTATATTATTAACTAACTGTATCTGAATTTATTTTAATTCAATATATTATTATCAGATTATATTACACTATTTAAAAATATAGTTTCTTTTCTCTATAAATATTCTCCACACTTCCAGAAAAAAGATTTCATCTCAGAAAAATTATGAAAAATCAAGCATATGATATAGAAATATATTAGTGTTAGTAAAAGTATGATAATTTAGCATTAATTTTCTTTTGTATAAATTGTTTTTATTTTCTTTGTTTAGATGAAATGAATAGTAAGAAAAATTTCCAGATAGCAATTGTGACCTGACAATCCCATAGTTCAAATTATATTATGGAAAATTATAATCACCCAGTAACACAACAATTTATAACTTGTTAAGATCCACTCTTTTCCTGTTTACAAATGGCTCGTGTTATATCACTTTATTTTTGTTTTCTCTGTTATATAAATGTCAGGACAAATTCTTTTGTCTTTCACTTATATCTGCTACAATGTTAATTAAAGTATTTGAGAACTGAAAAAGTTTTTGCAAAAAAAAATTACGGCTGATAGGCCTATGTAAATTAAAATAATATAGGAAGCAATGTTCAAATTTTTTTAAAACATCTGTACTATTATAAAGCTACCTATATATTCCCAGTCATTACAGTTAAATTCCCAGTTTAACTCTAATATCATCTTTCCATTCCTTTTCTCAATGAGAATCCCTTTTTTACAGACTAAAAGAAGACTACGTTTTGGGCTGATCGCTTTGATATTTATATTAGTCACTACTAATTTCATACTTTATTGGAGAAGCAGCTTCAGTAAGGTGTCTCAAATAATAAGCACAGTAGGGTTTCTCGACTGGAGTTTCAACAATACAAGTATTCGTGAATTTAATAACATAACAGATATAGCATACCATGAAAAGATCGATGATCATGATGCTTTATCATATATTCAATCATCTTTTCGAAAAAAAGGTATAAGACCAAAAGCTTGCTTTGTTACACTAGTTAAAAATTCGGAGTTGAGAGGGATGATAGGATCTATACGAATGGTTGAAAAAAAATTTAATGCTAAATTTAAATATGATTGGATTTTCTTAAACGATGAACCTTTTACTGATGAATTTAAAAACGCTATTACTCAAGAAGTCTCATCAACTGTTAAATTCGGTTTGATTCCAAAGGAACACTGGTCTTATCCAGACTTCATTGACCAAGAAAAAGCTGCTCAAACCAGAAAGGATATGGCAAATATCATCTATGGTGGTTCAGAATCCTATAGACATATGTGTCGTTATCAATCTGGTTTTTTTTGGAGACATCCATTATTGGACGATTACGACTGGTACTGGAGAGTTGAACCGAATATTAGGCTTTATTGTGACATTAAATATGATGTCTTTCAATGGATGCAAGACAATGAAAAGATATATGGGTTTACTTTAACAATGCGTGAAAATAAGAAAACTATCGAAACTCTATGGAATGTATCGAGAGACTTTTTTAACAAGCATCATGATTATATTCCAAATAACAATTTGATGGAATTTTTATCAGATGATAATGGTAAAACATATAATCTATGTCATTTTTGGTCTAATTTTGAAATAGCTAATTTGAATCTTTGGAGATCAAAACCTTACAGAGAATATTTTGATTATTTAGATCATAAAGGTGGATTCTTCTATGAAAGATGGGGGGATGCCCCCATTCATTCTATAGCTGCAGCTCTTTTATTGCCAAAAAACAAAGTTCACCATTTTGCAGAGATCGGATATCGTCATCATCCAAATGACAATTGTCCAATAGATCCCAAGGTATGGGAAGAAAATAATTGTGAATGCGACCCTAACAGAGATTTCACATTTCATAGATATTCTTGTGGAACTCAGTTTTACGATGCGGTAGGTTTGGCAAAACCAAAAGGATGGGAAAATCATAGAACCTGACTGATATCATCTACTCTTTTCTTCGCCCCTTTACAATTTATGCATATATATATATATATGAATCTGAATTCGTTGTTAATGTTAGAGAGAGGATTTAAAAGAAAATACTAACATCCTATGCATACTCATATTTTGTATGATAGAAGAATCCATTTGTAATATTTGTAATATCAAGTATGGACCTAATACATTTTTTTAATTCATTTTGTAATATTTTTTTATAACATGCTGTTGTTTAAGAAAAAGTATCTTTCTAACATAAAATCGTGCAAAAAATAATAGCATTTTAAGGGATCATTGCAAATGAGACTGGGCAAAGTTATAGACGGGATAGCAAGCAATAGGATATACATCTTTGATTATTCGTCTAAAATTAAAATCGTAACTATTATAATTATTACGATTTCTTCGTGATAATCTTATGATTATGTGTTTCTGATAACAGTTAATATTGTTGAGATAATAATAATACTTCCCTTGGATAGATGTAATATGACTCTTGTTATATTTCTAGATGTAATATTCTTATACATCTATATATCTATATCCCTAATCTATAAAAACTAAATAGTATATATTTATATACTATATATCTAAACTTATGTTATCTTTGGTTCCTTCGTTCTTCCTCTTCTTGATTGCTCTCTTGTACTTATGCTAGTTACTCTTGCTTTTATGTATGTTTGTAAAATTTTACAAAAAGGGAAGTTTAGAAAAACGTCGTCCACCCTCATTTTCCTAAATAAAACCCTAAACTAAACTGTAGTAACACGGTTATCACAGTTTTCAATTTTTTTTCAAAAATATCTCCCGGGGGTGAGTCGAACACCCGATCTCAAGATAACTTTTAATATTACAGTCTTGCGCCTTAAACCAACTTGGCTACCGAGAGGATAACAGTCACGAGATGTTGTGGAATAGAATAGTTATAACCATCAAGATTACATAAGATCCTGAATGAATCTAGAACTATTTATTGTATTAATAAGCCATACACGTGCTACAACATTAGATGCTGCATAATAAAAAAATTAGATTGCATAAGATTTTGGCAAATCTACAATTTACCTATTGTTTTAATAAGTCCCACTTGTATTACTAATCACCATGATTAGAGAGCTGGGGTGCAGTTCTAATTCATTAAATTAATGTAATAAAATTTAGGGTTTGAATTAGTCAGATCATTAATGTGCTAATTTGAATAATCGATCGAGCTCCAGAAAACATATAAAAGGACAACGTTTTCTGGAGATAAAAGATTATCTTCCATAAGCGGTTCTTGTAAATAACTTATATATTATGTATAACAAAAGAGAACGACAAAAGAGAACAACAAGCAAGTAACAAGTCAAGTAACTTCGAATAAATATATTAGCTCATTAAAAGCCGCTCAATATATAAGACCGTTTTAGTAATTATATTATCGACTATAGTTGATTACTGTCTCGATTATTTGAATAACTATTAATATTATTTGCGATTCCCTGGAGTACACAAAGAATCTCACCATCTCATATTACAACAGCAGATTATCCTTTAACAGAAGATTAACATCATTATTATTACGTAAGATTCTTTTTAAAATTATCTATTGTTATTATTGTACCAACCATGTGCTATTGCTACTAATATTTTACATGTGTTGTTTACTACCATAACATATTGTCCAAGATATTCTTTGAGCTATTTTTGAATTACATAAATAGTAATTCGCATCAGAATCAATAATTATATAATTTCATAAAACCTTAAATAATTCCAAGATCAGTATCACTGTAAAGGCTATCTCAGGTACTATGCTAAAATATGGGTATTAATTATATATATAAGCACTTACAAATTATATAATTGGTTGATTCTAATTATTAAATAGATTAGTCCCAGTTATTCGTCTTGTTTTTTCTTAAATTAAACTTATTAAATAGAATACGAATATTAATGCTGATAATTACCTCTGGTATTATCTCTCAATAACCAAGGATCTCTTAAATAAGTTTCTTAGTAATTTGCTACAAATATCCATCTGAGGGTTGTTTGTTCGTTCGAATACACTCACAACCTTGGGCCCAAAGTTTCGGTTGTTCCAGATCTTTCACTTTGACATTAGGTGTTGCCCGCAGATTGCGTATTTCAGAATTTCCATCTAACGCTCCTTACAATCATTTATAATACAAAACATTTTGTTTCGGTTTTTAATATGAAAAACTATGAAGAAATTTATACTATTAAACAGATAGAGTGAGTAAAACCAATTCTATTTAAAGATATTTTAAATAAAAAATTAAAATCATGATTGCTTAATCCTTTGATCTTCTAAAATAAAAATAAATATAATTCTAACTCAGCACAAATACAAATACAGGTATTAACATAATAGTTCTTTACATACAAAGTGTTGTATTATTAATTTTATGTAATATATTCTGTTATGATTGAAAATTATTCTTGAAATTTTCTTTTCTATTTATTCAAATATACATTTATGCATTTATTAATGAATGTCTATGATCTTATCTAGTTACCTTATTTGATTTTTACTTTATAATTAGCAAAAGTTTTCTTGCTATTTGATATACAAATAAAATGTGTATAGTTTATATTGAGAATTAATACCTGAATGCGTTAGAAAAAAAATAGATACATTCTCAACTATATTATATAATTATTATGTAGTATATAGTATAATAAATTAAATTAAACATCATCACTTTTCTTCTTGATAAAGAAAAAATAATATGCAGAAAAGGGTCAATAAAATAAATATATGAAAGGAAAAATGCTTTGATTTTTATATGTGGATATTAAATAATTTACCTCTAGTAAAAGCAAAAAATTAACCAAACAGTTCTATCTCTTGGTTCATAATGTCTAAAAGATAACTATCTGGTTTTTCATTGTTTTTATTTTTTAAATCTTACTGTTCTGTTTATTTCATTTCAGGATACCCTATTTCAGCAGTAACTTCTATTTTTTTTAATAAAAAAACTTAATGTTGACATTTGAATTATTGAAATTGTTTTTATGATTCCAACTTCAAAAGTTCATGTTCTTTTCGTAACAAGAAATTGAAGTTTTTTCCTTCCTATGAACAATACATAAATACTAACTTAGTTATATTTACGTAATTTACTATGAATGTGTCAGGTCAGTATGTATGTTCAAAAAATACTATCTATATCAGTTTACTATCATGATAATTACATATATACATATTGAAGACTTCTTTTTTAAAAATTTATACATATTATTCTCAAATCATAGTTGTAGATAAATCACAATTATATACACTAGTAATATAAATAATAGTTAAGAACATTTTTTTCAAAGATTTTGTTTTGCTCGTTAATATTATATATTTATAAATCCAAAACAAAATATTTTCATTATTTCAAAACGATATAATAAAATAATGCATTAGAGTTACCAGCTCTTTATATTATTTTCTATATATATATAGTACTCTCTTCTACCTCAACGCAGTGCACTGTAGTGTATTACATTTTCAGTCAATATATTAAAATATTCACTGTGTTACGTACGTAATGACATAAAATATCTATTCTCGTTTTTCTTTTTCTTTTTTTTTTTTTTAATTTACAAATTTTTTTTTTTTCATTATGAAAATTTCTTACTTGAAGTAATTAACAGCAAAAGTAATAGTGATGGCACAGCATAAAGGCTTCTCAAGATTAAAGCATTTTGTTCATCACAATAGATTTGGACAATTTAACATAGTAAGCACAATCCTGATTAGGACATCGATTTGAGGTATATCCTTATTTAGTCAATACTCACCAATCTGTAAAAATTAAAGGATAACAAAGTTATAAACATATATATATATAAATCGCAGAATAATGGGTAAAGAAGGCAAAAAATCTAAATCAGAAGACAATTATGAAGCTAGAATGTCAGCAGTCTTACCATTTGCTACTCCATTAGCTTCCAAAAAATTAAATAAGAAGATCTTAAAAACTGTCAAAAAAGCATCAAAAGCTAAAAATGTTAAAAGAGGGGTGAAAGAAGTCGTTAAAGCTTTAAGAAAGGGTGACAAGGGTCTAGTTGTTATTGCCGGTGATATCTATCCAGCTGATGTCATTTCTCATATTCCAGTTCTTTGTGAAGATCACTCTGTCCCATACATTTTTATACCATCTAAACAAGACTTGGGTTCCGCTGGTGCTACAAAGAGACCTACATCTGTGGTCTTTATTGTTCCAGGTAGTAACAAGAAGAAAGATGGTAAGGGTAAAGAAGACGAATATAAGGATGCGTTCAATGATGTTGTTAAGGAAATCAAGACTTTATGAATGATTTTTTGTATAATTATTTATTTTGTTAATGAAATTTTTTTTATTACAATATCAATAATAACCATATATAAATGTATATTATTCAATCAATATCAGATTAAGAAACAATTGTTGAAAATTTTACTTTTTATATATTTCAAGAGATGAAAAAACAGTCATTTTTTCACATTTATAACTGTTTGGTCTCTTTCTTCCTTTGTGTATGTAAAAAGAGAATTAAATATCTTGAATTTTTCAATAACATTAAAACAATAAAAATAGATAGCAGGGAAGTTGAATTTATTCAGCAGTGTATATAATATATCTAAACAGAAATATTCATCCACTTCAGCAGTCTACTTTCTTCATTTTTTTATCTGATAAAATACCACATTAACAATAAAACATTATAATTTTAGTTGTATACATAAATCTTTTTTTTATTATGTCTAGTAGAAAGAGACCATATTCTAGTGATAAATCAAGTAATTGGACCCCACATCCTGTGAAAAGATTTAAAAGATTTTATAGCCCTGTGCTTAATATTAACAGCAATACTTTATTTGATAAATTTGAGTCACAAGATATATGGAGGAATTTAGATAGAATCAAAAAAAATAGATCAAATTCGAATAAAATCATTAAAAATAGTGTGTTATTCATTGATCCACCTCAAACAAAGTTTACTCAGGATTCAATCAATTTTTTACTCCAATACATTCCTCCTTCAAAGTTACATTACTCAAAGATCAAAGAGCGGTACTATATTACCCTTGAAAAGTTTTCTTTACTGGACTGCTGTCTTGTTATACCTATACTGTCATCCAACAAGGATAAAACATGGATACAACCATATAATAAAGATTTTACACAAATATCAAAGGATCTTCATTTAAGTGGGTCAATATTTGTCCCACAAAATTGTTATTGGATGAAGGATCATATGGTCAAAGAATCTCTTCTAACTCCAACAAATTTCACTGTACAGGAATCCAAAATTGCTCAATTGGCAAGTTTTAGAAAATTTCACTTAAGGTTACATAATGGTGCTAGTTTAACATATTTTATAAATGGTATTATAGACTTTATTTCTTCTTTAAAGTTTGGTAAAAACCCTTCCAACGGTATCAGGAAACAATTTGGAATGGTTTTAAACAGTTATTATAATAATTTAAATCATCATATTATGGAAACATCACTAATTGGGAATGCACTTGTTGATGTTGTTAGAGTGAAAAATCAAAATATGCCTTTAATAAAAAGTACGAAAGAATCTATTAATGACTATATTAATCAACTTATTACTTTCAATAAGATAAATGTAGCTGATGATGATATAAATAGTCAAACTGTTATAAAAAATACCATAAATCATGCTAAGAACGTAAAATATGACAATCAAGAACAAACCAACTTGAAAAGAACCAATTCAAAAATAATTAATGGAGACATCAATAAAAACTATTCTATGCAGAACAAAGATATCTTTAAGCCATCGAGTCAAAAGGATATATCTCAAATGAAACCGAAATATATAAGTCAAGATGATATTAAACAATATTGTATTTGTACTATAAAGGCATCATTAGATGCAGTCAAGAAAATGGCCTCTGATATGATCTTTAAAGTGTATATTAAATGTCCAAAACAGAATTATGCGGAAAAAATAAATCAAAATCTTGATAATATTAGGTCAAAGACTAATTGTAATGTAGTGATACTGCATATCAATAATATTCCTGAATCAAGAGAATGGTTTAATGCTTTGGACATGAGCAAGTACACTTCTATTAACGATCCACCCCTAACGACAATCAAAGTAGTCAGTATTGGGGGCATTGGAGAATACGTAGATCAAGCTTTGGAAATGGTTATGAAAATATTACAAGCATAAAATGTCAAATATTGTATACATATACTCAAGACTTTCTTACCATCAATTTCCTGCATTTTCCATTATATCAAAGCAGTATATATATGTATAGACACTTATTTAATTATTTAATTAAGCAATAGGCTAATCAGTCAGTCAGTCAACGTTCAGTTCTCTATTTTTTCTATCGTATATATATTATTATACGGATCCATAGTATTATTATACTGCACTCTTAATTTAAAGGAACAATTTCCCTAATCGGTGCAAAATTTTAAAACACTAGAAAGAAAGAAAGAAAGAAAACAAACTGATGCCCAAAGAACAAGCAAAATAATAATAAAAAAGTAGACTACTACACTCATTAAATATTATGGATTTCTCAATCTTATTTTAAGTCTTTTACTATTTTAAATTAAATTTATTTGCAGTCCTAAAGTCTCTAGACAAAGAATCTATGTGAAATGAATCACGTTAGCTACAGACCATCCAAATATTTTATCTTTTATTAATATCGCTCAACGTGTTGATTTTTATTATTACTATTATTACTTCATACAAAGTCACCATTAAAAAATTTCAGATAGCTCTATCTAAATTGAAATTCAATGTTTGCTGGAACCTCCAATAATAAAACTAAGAGACGATCATTCTTTCTTTTTGGAAGTGAGACCAAAAACGGTACTCTCCCTAGCAAGGCAAAGGAAGCAAGTTTAAAGTCTTCGAACATATATAGTAATAACAAACGATCATCTAATAAGAGCCATGGCTCCTCTTTTCCACAATCATTATCTAAACCATACCTAAAAAATACAGAAACTGTGATCGGTTACACTCCACCAAGAAATGATGACACTCAATTCATGGATTCAAATCAATCTATCACCACTACTGCCAATAGTTCAAAAATTGGGTTACAAACAGTTCAAAGAAATAAAATCAGACGCCCTCCCCCACCTGTCTTTGATAGAGAGAAAATACTACAATCTTTTCCACAAAAATTAAGTACCTCAAATATTGTTAAATCTGACCTCTTAAATTATACCTCTAAAAATAATAACAACAACATGAACAATATTAATGACCTAACGGAAAATTATTCACTTTATTCAACCCCATTGAACATGTCTAAAGACCTATCCACTAATTCTAGTGTTGCTAAAAATGGTCCAGTAGATATCTATGAAAAAACTAAGTCCTTTGGTATAAGGTTAGAATCAGATGACATAACCTTTGAAGATAGATCGACTATGTCAAATATTGACTTAAAACAGCATAGAAGACAAAAATCTAAAGCAGAAGAACTTGTTGATGATATTGATACATATATTAAAGAATATCAAAAAGAAACCAGCAATATAGACAATTTCCAATGTAATGAAAATTTACATAATTATAATAAAGATTTACCAAATAAATTGGATATTGAACCAATAACGACTACTTTTGACCATTTAAATATATCTGAACCTTCTAACTTAGAAACATCTATATTAAGTGTTAGTTCATTGAATATTGCAAATGATCCGAATACTACAATTACATCCTTGAAAAATCCATTAATAATTAAAAATGCAAATACAAATGATCCAAATTCTTTTGAGGATACAGATAATTCTAATAGCGATTTTTCTTTCAGTAATTCTTTTTCAGAAAGGAAAGTTATACAAAATGATTTTGATTATCAAGAAAATAACAATATAAATTCTGTTCCACAGAAGGGTTCTTACAATCCATTCTTTAATGTAACTGATCCATCTGTCTCTACAATTCATAAATCACAAAACAGCATATCTAGTGATATTGAATTAGATCATGATATAGACGGTTCCTTGTCTTATATAAAGGCAGATTCTTCGGATAATCCTACTAATATTCGACAGCTACAAAATGATGATTATAATATAGTTTCTTCAAACAATATGGCTTTTCAAAGTGAAAAACCACACGGTAAACTGAGAGTAGCAAATGAAGATCACCCAACATTTTTCATTAAGGATGATACATCAATAACAGACGCTGATACAAATACAATGCAGTCGACAGATACAGAAAGTGAAGACGGTCAAAACTTTACAAGTGCAGATTTTGAGAATGATATGAACAATAGTGCTAATGAAAATAATGGCATAACAAAGCAGATAGATATTTCTAACACTTCATCAGTTGAACTAGGTTCATATCAATTTAACTCTAGTGATGTTGCTAATCCAACTTTGAACTATGAACCAAATACCAAATCTGAAATATCAACTATAAACAGCGGTGCTAAAAGTGTTAATGGTGTGCAATCGATTTCAGGACATTCATTGAGATCGACTGAGCGTACTTCTAAATTAATATCAAGTTATGTAGAAGAGTTAAGACTAAAATATTTTCAAACATCAAATTTCTTAGAAGCTCCTCCTAACCTTCCTTTAGCCTTAAAACAAAAGAATAATTTAATCCAGCCAAAGAATATTAAAGTTAAAATTAGAACTAATACAAAACAAGTTGGTATTAAACATGGTAAAGTTAAACAAAAATTGCTGTCCCTAGAAACAACAATGGATGAGAATAAGAATATTGGCAATAACAGACAAAGGACTAGTACGTTTGTAGATCACACAAAAGAGTTTCACAAATTCTTCAATAAAGAAAATGGACAATTAGAAAATCATGACAACAGAGACCAATTATTTGATTCAGATTCTGACTATCTAAATGACATTCCAGGTGATGAAGCTTACAATAGTGATGATATTTTGGCTCCATTAAGAGAGAAAAAGGATGTTGAAAATTCTGTGTCAAGAAGTGGTACTGTCATAAGTTATTATACTCGATCAAAGAACCGTATTTTGAAACATACAGGAGATATGCCTGATCTTCCAAGCAATATTTATACGAATACCAGTCAGTTAGAGGTTTCGAACTCAAAATCTTCATCGTTTAATCATGGAAGAGCAAGATCTGGATCTATCGCTAGTGTGAGTACGCAAGTTCTTGCGAATAAAATTTCGGGAACTATGGGATTGCATGTCACTAATCCAGATTCTGAGTCTGATAAGTGAATTTTAAATACATATGCTAGATTTATTCTATTAATTTTTTATTTTAAATGAAAATCTATAATGCTTAATTCTAGTCAGCTTAGAGAATTTTTTTAAAAACATAATTTATAAATTATATCCAAGCAGAACTACTTACATACTCATACATATATACATATATATTTACATACAATTTTATCAAGAGACACTGTAACAATATATTAATGTTCTATTACACACTTAAAATGCACGAATACTACATTGCTACTACTGGCTTCTTATGCAATAGTAAATGTGTATTAGTATTTATAAATTTCCATTCCCTAGTGTATATTATGATCAGAATTGTAAACAGAAAGGTTTGTGTATGTTAGTGTTTGTATAAAGTTACCCGTCCTTCATATCTTTTTTTTTATTTGCTTTCCTTTTTTGACTGAAAAGAGAAAGTTGAAAAATCAACCCTAAAGTAAACTTATCTTTTCCACTTTAAAAGACAACAGTACTCAGAGTTTTACGTATACAAAGGTATATTCTCTACACAAAGACTTTAGCTGTCAACCAAACAATTGGTTCCCTATTTGAATAGATTGTATAGTTTCTGAAACATTATAAAAAAAGCTGTTTCAATCATGTCAGGCAAGGAACCGGCTTACAGTTTAGTTTTTTATCCTTCACCAAACAAAGAAATAAATACCGTTGCCAGTTTTCAAAAAGCTCTTGAAAATGGCAACGATGAGGAAAAAATAGGAACCATGAAAGAAATTTTAGTTACTATACTAGAAGGTAATCCATTACCAGAGTTATTGATGCACATTATTAGATTTGTTATGCCTTCAAAGGATAAAAGATTAAAAAAATTATTATATTTTTATTGGGAAATTGTTCCAAAATTAGATGAAAGTGGTAAGTTAAGACACGAAATGATTTTAGTATGTAATGCGATCCAACATGATTTGCAACATCCAAATGAATATATTAGAGGTAGCACTTTGAGATTTTTAACAAAATTAAGAGAAGCAGAATTATTAGAGCAAATGGTTCCCTCTGTTTTACAATGTTTAGAGTATCGTCATGCTTATGTTCGAAAATACGCTATTCTAGCTGTCTTATCCATTCACAAAGTTAGTGAACATTTGTTACCTGATGCTAAAGAAATTATCCATACGTTCTTATCAGCTGAAACTGATCCAATTTGTAAAAGAAATGCATTTTTAGGTCTTTGTGAATTAGATCGTGAACTGGCTCTACAATATTTAGAAGAAAATGTAGCAAATATTGATTCCTTAGATCCTTTATTACAAGTAGCCTTTGTTGATTTTATTAGAAAAGATGCTACTGAAATTCCTTCTTTAGTTAACCAATACATCGATTTGTTATTAGACCTTTTGGTCTCTACTTCATATCCAGAAGTTATCTTTGAAACTGCTTTAACTTTAACAACTTTATCATCAAATCAAAGCATTTTAGTTAAGACATGTACTAAATTAATTGATCTTGCAGTTAAAGTTTCTGATAATAACGTCAAATTAGTTGTTTTGGATAGAGTCAGAGATATCAATGATAAGAACCCAGGTGCTTTAGAAGAATTAACTTTAGACATCTTACGTGTTTTGAATACTGAAGATACTGATGTTCGTGAAAAGGTGCTAAGTATTTGTATGGATCTTGCATCTTCAAAGAACGTTGAAGATGTCGTCCAATTATTGAAAAAAGAACTGCAAACTACTGTTAATGATGTCGATAAAGAACGTTCTGTTCAATATAGACAGTTATTGATTAAGACTATTCGTTCTATTGCAGTTACTTATATTGATATGGCTGCTAGTGTGGTTTCATTATTATTAGATTTTATTGGTGACCTCAATTCAGTTGCTGCTACTGGTGTAATATCTTTTATCAAGGAGGTAATTGAAAGATATCCACAATTAAAAACTGATATTTTGAATCATTTACTGAATGCCTTAGAAAATATCAAATCAGCTAAAGCATATCGTGCTGCATTATGGATTCTCGGTGAATTTTCAGAAACAAGTGAAGATATTCAAAGTTCTTGGAAGCATATACGTTTTAGTGTTGGTGAAGTCCCAATTTTACAAGCTGAGTTAAAGAAATTATCTAAAAATGCAGAAAATAGAGAAGATGATGAAGAAGGAATTGATGAATCCGCAAGAGAAACTAAAAAAGCCGCTGGTCCAATTATTTTACCAGATGGTACCTATGCAATGGAAAGCTCCTTCGATACAGTCAAAAAAAATGCTAGTTCTGATAAAATTAATGAGGAAAGTATTCCACCAATGCGTCGTTTCATCTTGAAGGGTGATTTTTATACATCTTCTGTCTTGGCTAGTACTATTTTAAAATTGGTATTGAAATTTGAAAAAGTTTCTAATGATATTAGCATTATTAATGCACTAAAAGCAGAAGCTTTATTGATATTAGTTAGTATCGTTAGATATGGTCAAAGTAATTTAGCTGAAAAGAAAATTGACGAGGATTCAGAAGAAAGACTTTTGACTGGTGTTTCTATTTTAATGGAGGAATCTAATGAGAAGGAAAGTGCCAAGGAAAATGAATTATTAAACATGGTATTTTTAGATGCAACCAGATCAACATTCAAACAACAAATTTCATTAGCTAAATCTAAAAACCAAAAGAAATTTATTCAAGATTTGAATAAAAATGCTACTGTTATTGAAAGCGCAATTTCATTTAGACAATTATCTGGTTCTAATGTTATTAATGAAAATAAAGACAGTATTAAGAAAGACTTGGAGGTGGCTCTTAAAGGTGAAAATAACACTTCTTCTCAATCTTCTTCTAAGTCTTCATTAAAGAAGATTGTTCAATTAACAGGTTTCTCAGATCCTGTATATGCAGAAGCCTATATTAAAAATAATCAATTTGATGTTGTATTAGATGTATTATTAGTTAATCAGACCAAAGAGACTTTGAAAAATTTGCATGTGCAATTCGCTACGTTAGGTGATTTAAAGATTATTGATAATCCACCAAAAACTAATGTTGTTCCACATGGTTTCCACAGATTAACTGTTACCGTCAAAGTTTCTTCTGCTGATACAGGTGTTATTTTTGGGAATATTATATATGATGGTGCACATGGTGAAGATGCTCGTTATGTGATTATGAACGATTTGCATGTTGATATTATGGATTACATTAAGCCAGCTATCACAGACGATGAAAATTTCCGTACAATGTGGAATGAATTTGAATGGGAAAATAAAATTTCTGTTAAATCTCACCTTTCTTCGTTACATGATTATTTGGATACTTTAACCAAAGGAACAAATATGGGCATTTTGACACCAAAGGAATCATTAGGTGAAAAAGATTGTAGATTTTTGAGTTGCAACCTATATGCTAAATCATCATTTGGTGAAGATGCTCTAGCCAATTTATGTATAGAAAGAGATCCAGTTACTGAAAACATTATTGGGTATGTGCGTATTCGTTCTAAGGGACAAGGTTTGGCTTTATCCTTAGGTGATAGGGTTGCTATGATATCAAAACAAACTAATAAAGTGAAAGTCACTCGTGTTTGAGAGTATATTAGTTTTCTTTTCATAAAATATCTTGAATTTATTTTCTATATTTCTTTTTTTAGTGGTGTTTTACTGAATGAATAGTAAGTATATTTATATAAATAGGCAACTAAATATATTTAGTGTATAATAAAAAGTCAAATGGTAATAACATAAGAAATATACATTTCATTAAAAAGATTCTTCTATCTAAATTTCGAATATATTAAGTATTATTTACAGACTTATCGAAACTAATATATATATATGTGTGTGTGTATGTGTGTATGAATGTATATAATGGTTTAGACGTTTATTTTTCCTTTAAGTCACCTTCTCAGAAGAATTAATATCAAATGGTAATTGGAATGCACTAATCAAAGTTCTAGCTCTTTCATCTGTTTCAGCATCAGTATTTATGGTTATATGGAACCCAAATGTTCTTGGCCAAAGATCTTGATTAGCATCTATTTCAGGGAAAAATTTGACATCGTTAGAAGTAAGACCCAACGATATATTACCCATAGAATCACCTGAAGTAATTTTAATACCTCTATATTTTCTAATTCTTGGGAGAACGATTTCTGATAATGTAGCTAAGAATTGGTGCATAGATAGGCCAGTCAATTTAACTTTTGCTCCCATTTGACGACCTGCTCTAATCTTCCAGTTTGGGACATTTGATTTAGAATAAATAATAGATGGCTTGCAACCTGTTATCTGCTGTAATTGTAAACTTGCACTAATTGCATGTAGTTCATTGTCTCTAGCATCTGAAACGTAACAATTCAAAACTACACTTTTAATTGACGGAATGTTGTTCCAAATGATAGGATGAATATCAGGACGTTGTCCCTCTGGTCCTTGTGGTTTTCTTAAAGGTCTATTGACATGGTATGGGGATGTAGTAACGTCCCAAGTACGTTTTTTTTGTCCCCTTTCAGTTTTTGCCTCATGTTGATAGTTGATTAGAAGTAAATCAGATTGCAATGTATTTAAATAATGTTCCTGTAATCTATCTTGATGAGTATTTTTAGGACGGTATGATGGTGACCTAATGTCATCTTTATCATATTTTAATTCAGGAAATCTCGGGGACAATTTAGATTTATCAATTTTAACCAAATGATGCACTGGTGGTACTAAGGAGCACCCAGGTTTTCCCTTAACAATTGCTGAAGAGGTGAATCCTTTTCTTAATGTATTATACTTGATATTAGAACAGGTCTTAAACATAGGAAATATTGAATTTAAATATTTAAAGACAGAGCTAACTGGATAAGGGAGTAAGGAACGCAAAGATCTTACAAGTTTTGTGGACGTTTCCAAGTGCTGTTCTACTGATAATAACTCTAGTCCACTTTTCCCTCGGTAGATACATTGATTTGTTGTTATTAAATAGGGGAACTCTTTATTTTGAGTTTCTTTAAGATCTCAGATGGGTCGAGAGAAAAAGGAAAAATGTTAATTTTTGAAGTCCATATCTGGCTAGTTACTTTTTTTTTTCTCTTTTCTTCCTTTTGTTGGTATAAATGTGCCGTATGCAGTGATATAAAAGCGTTTTAGCCCTTAGTAGATTATTTTTAGAGTTCGGTTGTCTATTGTGTTCGTGAAGAGAGACAAAAGTTTATACGCAAAATAATAGATCGTAAAATACAATTACTATTGAAAATTAGGGTTAGGGTTATACAATACCATTTTATTGCTTATTGAGCAGAGTTTATTACTAATGGATGACTTCAAGTATGAATAACAGGATGCGTGGAGGTATATGATTTCATGGTTTTGTTTTGAAGCCTCCTATTCATATGTTTATGTATCCTTTGCATAGTTTTAATATAAATTTGTGTCATATTTTGATATACAGTAATTAATAGATTAAGTGTCAATCATAAGTGTATGTTATTATTCATCAAGTTTTAACATCAGTTACGGTATTTTCTTTTTTCCACAATTGATAGCTAAATATTATTACTATTTAAACCTGTTTTGAAATGAGACCTTCTGATATTCCAATTCCAAAGAGTCCTCAAAATCCGTATCCTATTGTAACAGACAAATATTGTGATATAGTATGCGGGTTCGGTCGTGGATCCTCTGAATTAGGTATACCTACGGCAAATGTGGCGATTGAAGATTTATCTTGTGATATAAATAAACTTGAATATGGTGTATATTTTGGGTTCGCTCATTTAAGTCCAATAAAAAATAAAAAGGATGAGATTATTAAAAGAAATGATGGTAGGGACGTTATATATAACTATGGTAACAAGTTAAATCCAAATAATAATGATCTAGATATTTTACCTGTAGTACTATCTATTGGAAAAAATCCATTCTACGGTAATGAATTTAAAACCGTTGAAATACATATTTTACATAGGTTTTATAGTGATTTCTATGGTGCTACAATTAAATTTAATATCTTAGGTTATATAAGACCTGAATTAGACTACACTAGTGTAGAAGCACTTATAAATGATATTAACATAGATATCGAGATTGCTAAAAAAAGTTTACAAACACCAGAATATAGTATATACAAAAGACAACTAGAAGATTGACATACAATTATATTCATATCTCAATAATAACATTTTTTTATCTTCTTTTCTTTCTTAATTCTATCACATTCAAACGATATGTACAGATATATAAATATTCAGTATCTTTTCAAGGACGAAATTTCTCGTATAATATGTCCATGTCTTCGGGTAAATAAAACTCAAAAAATGTTTTCAATGAAAAATATATTGAACTCTGTATATTTTTATCTGATGGATTAACACAGCCCAATATGTCATTAATAATCTTGTTCCTTTTCTCTAAATATGATCTGGCAGGATCAAAAAAAATTAAATGGCAATAAAGGACCCAGAATTCTCCACTGTCTTGATAATATCTTTTGTTTGTTGGTTCCTTTATTAAATATTGGAATATATCTTCTTCAATTATATCCGTATTATCTTTTGTTTGTAACTTTAATATGGCTGCTAATATGTCAAAAGATCTTTCATCACCATCTGTCTCTCTAGTATCATTATTATTATTATTATTATTATTATTATTTTCTAGCCTTGTTCTTATCTTTTCAAGTATCTGTGGTGGTAAAATAGTTTTGGCTTTGGATTTAGTAGACTTTGAATTTTTATTGCTGTCTCCAGAATATCTGCTCTGAGGTAATGAATTTTGTAAAAAAATATTAAACTGTAAATAATCCCAAAAGATATCAAAATCTTCACTATTTTCTATTGAATTATTGAATGATTTGGATATCTGGTTAAGAATTTCATTTAACTCATGTAATTCATCCATTTTGATTAATAAAGAATAAAGAAATTTTAATATATTAGTTTTTTTCAAAGAGAATTTTAAACCTTCATATAATATTCCTTTAGCTGAAAGATAATCTTCTTTAGATTCGACCATCCATTTAGCATATTTGACCCATATAGTATCATAATTCCCTAAAGAGATCAATGCTCTTTGGAAATTTAAATGAATCAATGATTCTATATTTAAATTTATCGTGAAATTCAGGTATTTAATCCAAGTATCAATTTGTTGAACAGATACTAATTGATCACTAGAAGTAGAATAAAATGTCTGTAAATTAGATTCGAATAAAGAATATATTTCTAATGATTGAAATTGTACTACCATATATAACTCTTTAGTGAATTTTTTAAGAATCTTCTTAGATTCTAACAAATATGGACCTCGTCTACCTTTATAATCAACATCAATTTTTAATTTATTTTTTAAATCCTCTTTTGAGACAAATTTAGTTAATTCTTTCAAATCCTTCACTGTATCAATCTCTTGTAACCATAATGCAAAATATTTACTAAAATTATAGATCGGTAATTCAATAATTTTTCTTAGTAAAATAATATATTTCCTGTTATTATCATTACAACGAAGTTTAATCTGCTCTAAATATAGGTTCCAAAATTCACCACTAAAATAATGCAATCCAATAAATTTTTCTGCTCGTTCATAACGTTTAAATAAAACTTTGTTGTTCCAAAGAAGCTCATTACATATTCTTAAATATTCAATCCATATTAATAAAGATCTGTTATGGAATGTTAACAATGCTCTATTAAAAATTTGGAACATTTTTTTAAAATGACTTAGCTTATATTCAAATAGTGCATAATCGATATGATAGTTTTCTAAATATGGGAAATTTTGCAAAATGTTCTCATAAGTTGATACAATTAATTTATATAATTGAGGCTCGAGTAACTTATTTATAGGTGATGCTTTAGTGATTAGGAAATTAAGTAAATACTCCCAATGATATAACGTCTTTGGATATTTTGTGACATTTAAAGTTAAGGATGAAAATTTCTCATCAGTTATTATGCTTGTATATTTATCCATTTGTGATAATAACATATTCATACATAAGGAAATAGAATATGTATCATGGTAAATTTGTAGTCAAATTAATTTTGAAACCTTCTGCATCCTGAGAAGTAATATAAACATGCCTAATGGGCGAACAAAGAAGAGATCCAATTCAAACTTCTTCTATAATTTTTTTCTTTTTCGATTAACAAGGTTTCGGAATCTGTATTTTTTCTCTTCTTTTTTTCTTTTTCATTAATGTAATAAAGTTCTAGCGTAAGAAAAAATATATGATTCTGTTTAGTAAGAACGTAGCTTAGATCTACTGGAATCCAAATAACAGTATATATAATTATTAAATACAAATATACGTTGATCTATATATGTAAGCTTCTTTTCATAAAAAATAAAAGCAAAAATCATATTATTAGTCAATTGAATGAATAAATAAATAGAAAAATAAATAAATAAATAAATAAATAAATAAATAAATAAATAAGTGAAGTATATTACAACATACATGAGTATGTTAATTTAATAACCAAATGGCGGAAAGTAGCAAGTGAGAAAGAAAGAGAATGAATAATATTAATGAGTTTTTTCCACGTTGTTAGTTATACCCTCTTTTGCTTTTTCTTTACAATTGATATTTAACCCAACCTTCAAGACCGCCTTTAATGATAATTTCTTGAAGATTCGTACCTAATTCACCAACAGTCTGTTCGAAAATAACCGGGCCATCTAAAGATCCTTCCATAACAGTAACTTTAGAAGATGGAATATCCCATTTCAAGAACCAACCGGTTCTCTTAGTTAGTTCTTTCTTTGTTTCATCCTTATATCTAGCACGTAATTTTTGAATCAATACTGGAATTTCCAGAGTCAACAGAGCATTGTTTATAGAGTTTCTAGAAAAAATATTACTGAAGGAACCTCCAACAACTAATCTGATTCCTTTAGCTAATAGTGCAGTAGCTGCTTGCTCCCTGGAAGAACCAGTACCGAAGTTGAAGCCACTAATGATGATATCACCGGCGTTAACCTTTGAACCAAATTCAGGGTCATAGTTTTCCATGCAAACTTTGGCCATGGTTTCTTTGGAAACATCATCTTGGTAAGTGTACTTCCCTGGATAAATACCATCAGTATTAATGTTGTCAGCATCACAAAGCACTAGTTCACCAGAAATTTCTCTTGTAAAACCTTCTAATATTTCAACCTTTGAAGATGATTCATTGGCATTATTGGAAATTGTCTCTTGTTTATCCTTTTGAGGGATTTCTTCAATACTGAATTTGACACCATTGAATGGTAAAGGTCTAGATTTAAGGACTTCTTCTGGAGAACCAATTCTACCTAATGCGGCGGAAGCAGCCACCACGGCTGGAGATGCTAAGTATGCTAAAGCATCAGGGGACCCCATTCTACCCTTGAAGTTCCTATTGGTAGCGGAGATACCGACTTGGCCAGCCTCTAATAACCCCGCACCTAGACCAATACATGGACCACAACCAGAAGGTAGTGGAATACAACCTGCTTTGATAAGGATATCCCAAGCACCATTAGAACGTGCAGCATTTTCAACTTCAGAAGATGCAGCAGCAATGTAGAATTCCACACCAGGGGCAACCTTAGTAACTTTATTTAAATCGCCTGTTGGACACAGCACATCAGCAGCAGCTTTCAAATCAGTCAAACGGGCATTAGTACAAGATACTAGATAAGCTTTATCAATCTTGATATTTTGTTTGGCTAATTCAGAGACTGTATTAGAGACTTTAACAGAATTTGGACCAGAAACGTAATGGGTCAAGGACGATAAATCAATAGTCAATTTCTTGGCATATTGAGCATCTTCATCAGGTTTCATGATCTTTGCTTGACTCACTAATGAGGCAATAGTTTTTGAATTTATCCTTGGGTGGTTATCATGGCCAAATTGCTGTAATCTTTTGTGATACCATTATAATGTGACTTCATCTACAGGGAATAAACCAGAAAGAGCCCCCCACTCAGTGGTCATGTTGGCAATAGTTAATCTGTAGTCCAATGGCAAATGTTTAATTGCACTACCAGTGAATTCAATGGCATGATTTAATACTTGATCTCTATTAAAGACACCACATAAGGCAACGATGATATCTTTACCAGAGACACCTTGTGGTAATTTACCAGTTAATTCGACTTTGGCCACAGGGGGGGATCTGCCACCAGGTTTGGCCTGTAGCCCAAATAGCAGCAGCATCAGTTCTAACCACTGGAGTACCTAACGAACCTAACCCACCATAAGTGTTTGAATGGGAATCGGATGCAACAGTAAGGTTTAGTGGGAATGCATAGCCTTCTTCGACCATTATTTGGTGACCAATACCTCTACCAGCTGGATAAAAATCATAACCATGTTTCTTAGCAAAATTTTCGATATTTTTATATTTGGTCAAGTTTTTTTTCGGATTTGTTTTGAATATCGTGGTCTAAGGTGTTGACAACTTGTTTCGTATCTTTAACCTTGGTAGCACCAAGGCCCATGAATTTCAATGCGACAGGCCAGGAGTTGTCGTGTGACATACAATGTGCTGGTTTGATCGAGACATAGTCACCCGAATGAACAAGTTTACCCTTTGGTAAATTGACAGCATATCTTTGTACGATTTTTTCAGTCAAATTTTGACCTCTAAGTACACTTATGGATGTATGGAAACCACGTCTACAACGAAACATCTTGATATATATATATATGTGTATGTATATATGTATGTATGTCTATATATATATATATATGTGTGTGTGTATGGTTGTAGTATCACAATGCTATTATTCCTTTATATGATGTGATATAATATAATATGTTTTTTCTGTATGAGTATAATGATGAAGCCAAAACAAGAATCACAAAGATGTAAAAAAACAAAAAAAAGATTGTTAAATAAACAAGTCTTTGGTTTCGCAAGGAAGAAAAAATATAGTAAGATAAATCAAAATCTTACGTCTCATCACTTGCTAGTTTCTATATATATTAAGAACTGATAAAAAGATAGTAATAATAGAAATTGGCAAAATCATATTTAAACAAGTAGATCTTCTCTGTTAGTCATAATGTAATTGACATAGGAGTCAATAATGAAAAAAAAATCTTCGAAATCAAAATTCCGATGGGAAATTTAATTTGCAATAAAAATTTTTCCAAGGAAAATAAAACGATTCAAAAAAGAAAAAAATAGTAACGAAAATCTTAGTGGTGAAAATTTTCAGGCGTTCGACTCTTCATGGAGGAACAAATGGCTAAAAGAAAAGAGAGAATAAAATAAAATACGCTAAAAGTGAATGCGGCAAAGCATACAAAGGTGTGTACAACAAAAAGTGTAAACAAGATATTTACATAATCTAAAATCCTCTCACCTAATCTCTTCTTATAAAAAATTTTTTCGTTTATTTTCATTTTTCGCTTTCTTTAGGAACTAAGCGCGTTTAATTTTTAAAATCAAAACAAAATAAAACGGAAAACGTTACATTTATGAATGGTTCGTGAAAAACGATTCCACTCCCCTAAAATTTTTGCGGGTTTTATTTTATTTTATTTTTTTTTTATTTTTGCTTTTGTTTTTTGTTTTTATTCCTTCCTTTAAAACTTTTACCACTTTTTTTCGGGGGATAAGGAAAGAAAAACAGAAAAATAAAAGAAATGGATAAAATATTCTATTGTCTTGTTTATTACGTGTTTTGATTTTATTGAGCTTACCATTAACAAAAAAAAGGAATGAAAATTTTTCCTTTTTTCTTCTTTATTTTCTATCACTTGAACCAATTTGCGATTTTTGATTTCATTTCATTTTCCTGTGGTCTGTTCTTTTTATATATATAAAAAACATAATATATATGAGTGTTTGTCTGTTTGCCATCCGTTTGTTTTGGGCTGGTTGTTGAATTAGGACTGTTTTGGTTTCAATTGATTTTGGCTTGGACCTCGATTTATACTTGTCCTTTCTCCTTTTGTGCTCTTTTCCTATTTTATTACACCTTATGTTTACCTTTGGAGTGAATAAATCACTAAAAGTATATACACATAAATACATATATATATATATTATTTATATATATATAAATCTGTTATAGATCAACATCCAGAAAAATATAATAGGAAATTTATTATTTAATCAATCATGGGAGTGTGTGCTAATTGCAATTGCCGTTGTGAGTTGTTATTATGGAAAAATCCACTTGAAACCGGGAAATATTTCTTTGGTTCTTTATTAGTTTTGTTGACTTTGAAGAAAGTTAATTTAATCACTTTCTTTTTAAGAGTATTCTACACTATTTTCTTTATTACCGGTTCAGTTGAATTTTTAACAAAGGCTTTCTTGGGTCAAGGTTTAGTCACTAAATATGGTGTTAAACAATGTCCAAACACCGTTCTTTATATTAGACCATATATCGATGAATTCTTAAAGCAATTACCTGTGAAGCAAGCTAAATTTAGAAAGTTAGTCTTTGCTGAAATCCCAAAGAACACCTTCAAGGCTTCTTTGGTCACCTACTGTTTACACAAATTGTTCTCCTGGTTTTCTTTATGGACTTTGCTATTCGTTGCTGATTTATCTATCTTCATTTTACCATTAGTCTACACTAAATATCAAAAGGAAATTGAAGCTACTTTATGCAAATTAAACAAGTGCGGCAAAGAAAAATTGAGTCAAGGCTTTAACCAAGTCTGTGATCAATTAGAACCACACTTGAAGAAGATTGGTCCATTAAACTCCATCTTACAAAACTTAAAGCAAAAACAACCAGCCGCTGAAGAAAAGGCTACTGAAGTTGCTGCTGAAGCTACTTCTGCTACTTCTACTGGTGTTGAATTACCAAAGGTCCCAGAAACCAGACCAGCTACTCAAGAATTCGATGTTGATCAATTAGTTAAGGACACCGCTGCTGCCGCTGCTGCTTCTTCTCATGCCAAACAAACTGAAGAACAATTATAAGCAGCAACAGTAACAGTAATAACAATAATGTTAAGGGTTATACAATAGATGATAAACAATAACATACATAATATCGGAGAATTAATGGTAAGAACAATTGGGATAATTACGTAAAAAATAGGGGGGAGGAGGGAAGATAAGTGAAGTTAACAATGAATTTGATCAAACAATATAAAAGAAAAATAGATCGGTTAGATCTTTTTGTCGTTTCTGTTCATGTAATAATATAACGGATCCTTCCCTTATTTTATATCTTATTGTTTCTATGTATTATGTTCAAAGTTATTGTTTGTTATTGTTGTTTTTTCTTACATTTCTTTCTTTTTCTCTTTTAATCATTTCTTTTATTTGTGACTATTTGTTGTTATTACTCTTATGATATATTATTATTGATGTATTTATTAATTTATTTACGTATTATATGTATATATATAAATATACGCTATTAGTTTATTTTATATATTTGGAAGAAATAGTTGTAGTTATGGTCTTGATATTTACCGAGTATTCACGAGCCAGATCTAGGTATACATACATATATATGCTTGTGTATATGTATTTACATTTATCGGTATAGAACTATTATTGTTGTTGATGATTATAAATTGTAATTGGTATCGTAATTAATCATATCATATCTTATCATACATAAAAATATAAATATATATTTACATAACCTTCCTGAAGATTCCATTTGCTGTAGTTGTCATTCTTAGATATAGATACCACTAGAAACCTCGAGTTCATCTAAAACATCATTATGTACATTTGGGTTCAAATCATCGTTGGAATAAGATAATTGTTTTGGAGTCCATAAAGGTTCAATAGCAGGGCCAGATCCTTCTTCTCCAATACCCAATAGCCCACCTTGTTCTCTCCAATCCTTAATTCTAGGTAATTGTAGTTCATTAAATGTATCATCGATGGCATTCAATAAAACATCAGAATAATCATTGGTGTGTCCTGGAGTAGGTGTGATTCTTAATCTTTCTGTACCACGAGCCACAGTTGGGAAGTTGATTGCTTGGACATATATCTTATGTTTTTCCATTAAATAATCTGAAGCTCTCTTGGCTAAATTGGCGTTACCGATCAAAACAGGAACAATATGTGAAGGATTTGGGATTACTGGGATGTCCAAATCCTGCAACCCTTTTTTAACATACAATGTATGTCTTTGTTGATCTTGTCTTAGATTCAAACGAACACGCTGATATCTGATAGCTTCAGCAGCCCCTGCCATGACTGCTGGTGGCAATGTGGTTGTGAAAATGAAACCAGGTGCATATGATCTTACCCAATCAATCAGTTTTTTAGAACCAGCCACATAACCACCGACTGTACCGAAGGATTTACCTAATGTACCTGTTATCATATCGACACGATCCATTACATTGGAGATATTGGATGGTAATTTTTCAAGACCTGCTTTCAAATGGGCATCAAAATTCAAATGTTCCGCTACACCAGCACCGTGTGGACCGTATAGACCCACGGCATGGACTTCATCTAAGAAAGTCATTGCACCATATGTATCGGCTAAATCACAAATCCTCTCAATGTCTGCCACAGATCCGGCCATTGAGTAGACAGATTCAAAAGCAATCAATTTTGGTTGACTACGTGGGTATTGTGCCAACATATTTTCCAATTCTTCTAAGTTATTATGTTTGAAGATATGTTTTTTCACACCGGCATGTTTAATACCTATAATCATAGAGGCGTGGTTTAGTTCATCGGAGAAAATGACCAAATCTTTCATTTTTTGACCAAATAAAGATAAGACGGCATCGTTTGCGACAAAACATGAAGAGAATACTAAAGCACCGTCCTTTTTATGTAAGGCGGCCAATTCTGATTCTAATTTTAAGGTCAATTTATTATGGCCAGCAATATTTCTTGTACCACCTGCACCTGCACCATATTTATCAATAGCACGCTTCATAGCGTCCATAACTTCTGGTTGCTTTGAGAGAGCAAGATAGTCATTTGAACACCATACTGTAACCTTATCGGTTTCTAATTTACGATGAGCCAATGGGTATTCTTTGGCTAAACGGTTGATATTGTTAAAGTAACGATAGGATTTATCTTTACGTTTTTTGTCTAATTCAGAATCTAAAAATCCATCATAATCAAATACAGTAGATTGGTTGGCATGTTCTAATGGAATTTGAGAAGCGGATGTGGAAGTAGAGGTAGCGGTGGCAGCAGCCTGATTCTTTGTAGCCGTAGATATGGATCTAATTAAAGTTTTGTTTAGTAAAATTGAGGAATTCTTACAACTCTGTAGACGATACATCTTATATCAAAAAGAAGAAAAAAGAAAATAAAAAAAAAATCTTTAAAGAGAAAAAAAAAGTAGAAAACTAAATGTATATGTATAAGTTTCTTGTTGTTTGACTGATAATTCCCTATTTCTTGTTTAATCTTTATTATTTATAGATTATAAATTAGAAGGTATAATACTCAAAGAAAAAAATATCAAAAATAATATATATATACGGGCAGAAGAAGCTTCAGTTTTTCAGCTTTTTTCGAATTTTATATCGATTGAATGGACCCAATACCTTTTTGGAGAGAAGAATATATATTTTCTAAGGTTGTTACTGTTTCTGCACACAGTATAGTATGTATATTTCATATGCATTCAAGAGTATATATATATATAAATATTTCAACTTCAAGCTAATGACTTCTTTCTTGTAAAAAAAAAAAGAAAAGAAAAGAAAAAAAATAATCAAGATCAACAACACTCGTTTGAAGTTACGTTAAAAAGAGACAAAAACAAAAAAAAATGATGTTATTTGTCTTGCCCCAAAATATTTACTGCACTGTGCGGGAAAGTGTGCAGAGAGAAAAAGAGAGATATACTCTTTGATTCGGTGTGCATGACTTGTGTGTGTTAACAAAAAAAAATAATATTTTCTCGAGCAAAAATAATCATTGTATTGTTTATGGTGAGTGCTAATCATAATGTGGAAAAGATTAAATAGAAATACACACATATACACAATAATCAAACAAATAGCAGAAATATAAGAGATATAAGAAATATAAGGAATGAAAAAAAAATTACGGAAATAAATGAGAAGATAAAAAGAATAAAAAAAAAAGTTGATAGGCATCGATGTAAGAATGTGATATATAGGGTATAAGGCTTTTTCTAGTTTCTTCACAAAATTTGAAAATAAAAAAAAAGGGTTTAAATAATTGTATATTTCACGACCTAATAGTTTTTTCCTTTATATGAGTTTTCATTAGTAAGCAAGCGTTAATGTTTATAAATGAAAAAAAAAAGAAAAAGAAAAAGGGAAAGCTCGTAGAGTAATGTAGTCCAAGATGGAAGATTCCAGGTTATAACAGTAGCAGTCTACAGTCTTTTTTTATCAAATAACAAGACATAACAAGTACGGCATAATCATTTACCAGACTATTTATCTTGCTTCCTTTAAAACAACGAAAAACAAACAGCAGCAACAATAATAATAATAGTATATGGAATGTGATATACATATATAACTTATACTATAATGTATAATGGTGGGGAAAAGAAGATTTTGCAGCTTTTTTCCATAGAACCTATTTCTTTTTAGTTTTTCCTATTTTTTTTTATGTTTTTATATATTCTAAATGTTATAGGAGGCTAAAGAAGAAAAAACAAAAAAAAAAGGGGGAGGAAGTAAGAACGGAGGGGCATGAAAAGAAAAAAGAGAAAGAAAGAGATATATACAAAAAAGCATAAAGGTGATTTTAACTGAAAAGAAAAAAGACATGAGTATTCATATATGCACATATTCATACACATAATGTCCTAACACAGTCAGAAATAGGTGATAAAATAAAATAATACACCTATATATGTATATATATTGTTGACTAGATCACTTTTTTCATTATTTATTATTAACATTTTCCTATCAGGGTTATTTTGGATATGAAGTGGCCATGGTCTAATAACAATGAATCAGATTCCTTATCTTCTTCTTTTAACTCTGATTCAACTACAGAGGAGAAGACTTTAAAGCCAATCAAAAGTAATTATATTCCTGGTCAAAAAATTTTGTTAAGGGATACAGAACCAAGATTTAAAGATTACAACGAGAGGGGTGGCAGTAACAATACAAATAATGGTTTTGGTGATAGTAGTACATCAAGCATAGTATCTACAAATACATTCAAGCAGGTGTTAAATACTATATCAAAGGACCAATTTACATTTGAAAATCTAGTTAACATTCCATGTTTTAGGGATGCGGGTATATTAGGCTTTTCAGCAATGTTTGTAATGGGTGTATCAACAGCAATAATTAATAGAAGGAAACCCTTGTCAACCAGACTTTATTGGAATAAACTTATAAATTGGTCGGTTGGTGGTTTATTGTTGGGTTCAATTGTTGGATGGGAACAGTGCAGATCGCAGAGACGTAAGAGTTTTGAAATTGCACAATTGGCGATCGAAACTGTACAAAAGAAAGAAAAACCAATGTTGAAACATAAAGATAACTCAAAATCCCCACAAACTCAAGAACTTCTAAAAGAATGGAAGGAACATCCAAATGATGTTACGAGAGGTGATTTTAATTGCGATAACAATAATGATAACAATAGTAACGCTAACCCTTGGTATAAATTTTGGTAAGAATAATTAGTTTGGAACAAAACTAACTATGACTAAGGGTACATTCAAAATTAATGTATGGATCTGTTTTACCAATATTATATTTTTGTATTGTCCATTTGTCTTGTATATTTATATATACATGTACATACACAATAAACTCTAGAATAATAAAATAACTCCTTTGCAAGGGGATGGTACTATTGTTAGTCTTCCCTTACATTTATATACATATATGTATGCATGTATGCATGTGTACCCTTTGTTTTGTTCTTTCTTTCTTCTTTTTGTTTCTTTTTGTTAGTGTTTATACTTAATAGATTAGATATATTGTCATATGCTGGATTGATCAATTATTGTTGATGCTCCTAAATTTGGGTCTAATATGTTAGAAAGACTGTTCTGTTGAAGGTCTTCCGCCTTTGTTTCTATATTTTCATTTTTATTCTCTTCTTCTCTTTCTTCTTCTTCTTCTTCTTCACTATTGTTGATGTTATTGTAATCACTGGTTGGTGGTATTGTTAAGGGTAAAGAAAATGATTGGTCATGTTCATCCTCTCCTATATAATTATTTAGTATAGTATTATTTTTATCTTTATCATTATTGATGTGGTTGGTGCTACCATTATTATTATTATTTCCTTTGTTTGAAAATGATGATTGTTTATTATTCTCTAAACAAAGGGGTATGCTGCCATCACTACTATATTTTTTTAAACTTGTTGTTGATGCTACGTGATTGTCATTATTGTTATTGTTATTTATTATTCCTTTGCTTAGTTTGTCATCGTTAGAATTATCGTCGCTATTATTACTAGTGTTATTGTTATTGTTATTATGCAATTGCAAAATTTTATTTTGTTCTTCTTCCTCCCTTTCTTTTTTTACCTTATGAGTACTACTATCACTATTATTATTGTCATTAGTATTATAATTATTATTATTAAATAATATATCATCATCAGAATGGCTCAATAGTTCATTTAATCCACCATCCGGCCAATTTTTTCTTGCAATATTTTCGTTAATCTCTAGATGGATTTTGGATATTGTGGCTAATCTATTAATAATATTAGCAAATATACTATCATTGAATTCAATTAAATCATTATAATAATTAAATCTACTTAATTCCATTTCGTTCAATTGAATTTGTAAATCGTTTAAATTTTGTTTAATTTGTATTAAATTGTCTTCGAATCTATGGTTATCATGTCTATTTTTATGATAATGTGTTCTATTTGTATTATAGTAGTTTTCCTTTAATTGGTTTAATTTAATTAATTGTAATTGATCAAATTTATTAAATTCATCATATTTAGCATTATAATAATTCCTAATTTTATCGATAATTTCATTTAAACTCTTAACAAAATATGATTTGATTGAGTTTGATAATAACAAATGGTGATTGGTTATGATTTGGAAAAGTCCACTTGAATCCAACAAATTTTTAAGAATTTGATTATCATTGGGACAGGTTTTGATTCTTGTTAAATTGTTGATTATATTTGAAAATTCAACGGTGTCATTTGATAATTCTTCTAAAGTCTTTGAATATTTAATAGAGACAGTCTTTAATTGATTTAAATATGTTATTAATTGATCAATATCTTTGCTTGTTATAATCATTGCCAAATCTTGCAAGCAACTTATATTTGAATTTAAGCTTGACGTGACAGATTTATTGTATTTGTGAGTTGGAACATTCTTGCTATTGTTTGTCGCTGGTCTTACGTTATTTCTTGTCTCTTTATTATTAACTATTGAATAAAATTCGGAAAGATGAGGCGGATAGTCACTATTGGAATTCTCCATTGTGTATATACAAGTATGTATGCGTGCGTATAAAAATAGTGGTTTGATATAGTTTTTATCTGGATTGACTGATTATTCTCTAAATGCCTACGTAGTCATTTTATCAACTATTTAATAATATGTTTATTTTCTTTAAAGTATTATGTCCAATAATTCAGTTTTAACATCAGATATCATTCAACACGAGGAATATCTTAAATATTATTGAAAAAAATTAAAGAAAAATAAAAATTGATTAAAACAAAAAGACCTTTGAGATGATCTCGTATTCAATTAGAGATATTGGTGCCATATTTTATTAGTTGAATGCATTATAGATTAACAATGATAAGTTTTTTTTTTTTCATTTTTATATAAAGTCATTTAAATGAAGCAAACGATTAAACTTTGATTCTTTTCATTGTTGTTGTCATTTGATTATTCGATAGTGATTTTATTTTTTTGTCGATTTATTAATGAAAACAAAACCTTTAACTGTTGCTAATCCAACTTCAAAGAGATATGCATATCGTATATCAAAGGAGGAAAATAGAAATCAATTAAAACATGTTGCTTTTGCGAATAATGAGAATGTTAACGACGGAGATAGTAAAAAAAATGATAAACAAATAATAGATTTACCTAAGAAAAAATTTTATAGACAAAGAGCTCATTCAAACCCATTTTCAGATCATCAATTAGAATATCCCATAAGTCCAGATAAAATGGATTGGTCGAAATTGTATCCACGTTATTATGATTCTAATTTAAAACAAATGACAAAACAAGTTACAATTGCAGATATTGGTTGTGGTTTTGGGGGTCTTTTGGTAGACTTATCACCTGAATTTAGTGACGATTTGATCCTGGGGATGGAGATTCGTGTTCAAGTGACTAACTACGTTGAGGATAGAATAATTGCTTTAAGAAATAATCATAAAGCTGAGAATAAATATCAAAATATTAATGTTTTAAGAGGTAACGCAATGAAATTTTTACCAAATTTCTTCTATAAAGGACAGTTATCAAAAATGTTTTTCTGTTTCCCTGATCCACATTTTAAACAAAGAAAACATAAAGCGAGAATCATCACTAATACTCTATTGAGTGTTTATGCATATGTACTTAGAGAAGATGGTATTATCTATACTATTACTGACGTCGAAGACTTACATCAATGGATGGTGAAGCATTTAGACGAGCATCCATTATTTGAAAGGTTGTCTAAGGAATGGGAAGCAAATGATAAATGTGTTTCAATTATGAGAAATTCTACAGAAGAAGGTAAAAAAGTGGAAAGAAAAAAGGGTACTAAATATATTGCATGTTATAAAAGGCTGCCAAATCCAGTTTGATATATGCATGTGTATATTTCTTTACGTATCTCTTTTAATACCAGTATCATATTTTTATAGTGTATTCTATTTCTTTGTAATTTATAAAAAAATTTCGAAATTTGTTAGACAAAAAGTGGAGTCATTTAGGGTTTTAGAATATATTATTATATATTACATTATTGTTAAGTAAACTGCTTAGGGTTTGAAATTATTTTTTCTCACTTTTTGCTTAAAATATACAAAAATATTAAATATGTTTTAATTTTTTTCAGTAGAACTTCAAAAAAAAAAAATATGAAGAGACTTAACAGAGTTATCAAAAAGGAACCTGAAAGCTTATTCGCTTCTTTACATCTTCTCTCTTCCGTTTTAAAAAGAGATACTATATTAGTAAGAGGGCATATCATATAACAATATTGTATGATCAAAAAAAAATATTAATATTAATATTGACAACTTTAAAGTTCATCTATAAAATTGGTATTAGTAGTAGTTGAAAAACAAGAAAAAAAGCTCCATTATTCTGACTTATTTATTTTTTTGTATTTATATTTGCTATAATTATTGACTGAGTAGTTACTATCTGTATTATGGATGGGGAAACTGAAGCTGTGGTGAAACAATTTGATTTTGTTTTGAAGGAACTAACTTTCAATTCGAGACCAATTATAACCACATTAACTAAGATGGCAGAAGAAAATATATCATGTGCAAAATATTTTGTTGAGATTTTAGAGAATAGAATTGATAAATGTGTACCAAGCCAAAAATTATTTGCATTTTATGCTTTGGATTCAATATGTAAAAATGCTGGTTCTCCATATACAATTTTTTTCAGTAAGAATTTATTTAAACTTTATAAAAAAACATATTTAATTGTCAATAATCAAGTCAGAACAAAATTGATCAGTCTCTTTAAGTCATGGCTACAGCCAACAAAAGCAACTGGGGAGCCGGTTTTTGATAAGACAACCCTTAATGTAATTGAAAATTTCCTTGTTAAAGCAAGTGCATTACATCAAAAGAATCTCGAGTCAATGTTACCAACACCCACTATACCTTTGCTATTTAAAGAAATTGATAAATTAACTGCCTTAAGTAATGAAAGGATAAAAGATCTAAAAGACAACAATAATGTAAATTCAGAAGACTATAATAAACTTTTAGCAAAACTGGAAGTTTTAAAGCAACTAAGATTAGTGTTGGCAAAGGAAAAATTGTCTGGTAATGCCTTGAAACAAGTACAGTTACAATTAAAACAGGTTTTTGCACAAGATCAACAATATTTGCAAGAGAAACATAGAATACAACAACAGCAGCAATTGCACCAGCAACAACAAGGAGCAGAGAGAGAACAATCACAGTCATTTATTTCTAATGAAAATTATTCTTTTAATACAACTTCAAATATAGCCGGAGCATCCCATAGCGGTACCTCAATAATCCCTCTATTTAATAATAATAAGAATAGTGATCGTATTAGCAATCTTAATAAGGATTTGAATTTACAAAATTCAAGTGAGTCCTCCACAACATTTTCTACATTATTTGGTCCAAACTCTTTGTCAACAACTGCTTCTTCTTTAAATTATGGCATAAGCTCAGGTTTGAATTTCACTCAGCCAAATAGCAACAACACTAATAATGTGACAGATTTTTTGGAATTAGGGAAACAAAGTAAATTAAATAAGTTACAAAATCTGTATGATTCATTAAGTAAAGAAAACCTTCTATATATCCCTTCCAAAAATTCTATCGTTACTTTATTCGATAAATTGAATAGCATAAGGAATGTTGATGGTAGTGATAGTATAAATAGTGATATTGAGAAATTGAGTCAAAAGTTACCGTCAATCTCAACATTGTTAAATATTTTAAATGATTTTCACGCACTTATGATCGTAAATAATATTAATCTTGATAACGCACCAAAATTACAGCTAACGCAAGAAAATATCCTTAGTAATGAAACTTCAAAGATAGTAATGGACAATTTTATTCATTTAATTTATCGTGGTAAACCAAATAAATGTAGTACATGTGGTAAGAGATATGGAAATACACCTCATGAGAAGATGTTACAATGTTATCATTTGGATTGGCATTTTAGAATTAATCGGAGACTCAAGGGTACCTCATATAATGCAGATGATAATAATTCAACAACATTTGTTGCCACACAAAGAAATATACAGTCAAGGAATTGGTATATCCCAGATTTACAATGGGTGGGATTTAAGGATGATGAAATTGTATCCACAAGATTTAATAATGACTCTAAGAGCACGACTGATATTGGTGAAGAAAATAGGAAAAGAAATTTTGGTGAGGACACAGTTGGAGGTAAAAGAAAGAAACGCTCTGAAGAAAATATGAGTAGTCCTCAAAAAATTGGTGGAAATATTAACAGTGCAGAAGATACTATGGATTTATCAGCAGATTTACATGAACACTATGTTATTGTTCCAGAAACTATGGTTGATAATTCATATAAATGTTCAATATGTCAAGAAGAGGTTACTAGTATATATGATGATGATATTGGTGAGTGGATCTGGAAGAATACTATTCAAGTGGATGGTAAGTACTACCATGCCACTTGTTATAAAGAAACTAAAAATATATAGTAATATATAACTATGTATTAGTGAAACTCTTTATTTTTTATAGAAGCGCCTTAAAAAATTAGTACTATTATAATGTAGTAATAAAGGAAAAAGCATCAAATGGATTTGTCTATTTTATATTACGTTTTCTTATGTATTCTCAACATATAGAACCTGGAACTTGTTATTTCAATCTAAAAACAATCTTTAGTCATTCAATTTATTAAAAAAATAATTGTCTTTCTTAAACACTCATGTATTTCGAGTAATTGGATTGTAACACTTAAAATAACACCTGCGTTAGATCTAAGAACCCAGATTTAAAGTAATTTTAAGAAAAATTACACTTTAACTTCAACAATTAACATCTCAGCACTTGACTTTGAATTTAAAAATATAAAAGTTTTATATTAGCGTATTGAATTTTCTCTTTCCTTCCCTTTTGATAATTCAAGAGTCTGATTTTTGACAATAGCTTGCATCCATTTCACTGTAAGTTCTTTCCTTTTCTTTTCCTCTTCAGTCAAGTGCTTTTTTTGTGTTTCAACAACAGCATGAAGCGAAGCCAGTTCGTATTGTTGTTGAAGAATTTGAGAGCATAAGGCTTGAATTGTTTTGTTAGCAGTTTGGAGTTCCTGCGACTTCTTGTCAATAATATCGGCAGCTTTATCTAACGAATTTACCATAAGGTTAACAATATTAAATACTGAATGATTTATAAATGAAGATTGAAGATTGTCAAATTCTTTTTGTCCAGATTCTAATGTGGAAAGTAGATCGGTGTCTTGGGGTTGTAGCCATTCTAATTGTTTGTCAGATTCATTAAATAATTTAGATAGCATTTCTTCTTTTGTTGCTGGATTAAATAAAGTATCTTCTTTTTTATTTAGTAACTTTTGTTTTTCTTTCTCTTGCTCTGCATTAATTGTTTCAATGTTTTGGTTCGAACTGTATTGGATGTTTGTTTCAATTAAATCAAAAGGTGCATCAAAACTTTTATGGATAGTATCTGTTAAATTACCTTCGTTAAAACTAACAAAGTCTGAGGTATTAAGATTATTTTTAGAGAATTCTGCCTTGTTGTCAATGGTCTGCATGGTATTTTGTTGTTTCTGTGTAATATTTGTAGACTCATTTTGGGTAGTGTGCTTAATTGATTTATCATTATTTTCAAGAGATATATCAATATTGTTATTTATTTTTTTATAATTAGATTTTGTTGCATTTAATTCTAAGGGGACCGTTGAATCATTTGCTGCAATAGTTTTCATGTTAATGCCCATATCTTGAATAAACTTTATAGTTTTTTCATAAGTCCAAATTCTAATTTTTTTTCCAGGAGCAAGCTTATTCATGATAAACCTATATTTTTCTAATAAAACAGTGCTTTGATCAGAATCAGAAGAACTTTCTTTTTTTCCTAGAATTATGAGATCCACAGTTGAATTGAGTAGCACATTTGGGACACATTTGAATAGCTCTATGAAGACATATTTTACCTTTTCCGTCTTATTATCAAAAAAATTATCATTTCTGAAATATACACTACATCCCTCTAGATTAGTTAACCAAACTTTTCTCCATATATCCCTAGAGCTTTTTGTGTGGTTACTAATTGATGAAGATAGGTTTTGAATGTTTGTACGGTAATCTTCCGGCTTGCTATCAGCAATTATTTTTTCTTCATGTATACTTGTTTGCTTAATATTGGATAAGGGAACCACTATATCTTTATCTAATTCAGTTACACAAGAATTTTCCCTTTGAATGTTAACTTCTTTCAAACTTTTATCCCAAGTTTCATTTTCATCAAAATCTGTTTTATTATTTTCTGGAGATAAATTGTGTTCATTTTCAATAGTTTTTGTCTCACTTATTGCGGGTAATATTGCATATTTTCCTGTCAAACGTGATGTGTCTATATAGGAATCAATAGAGGTATAATGAATACGATCCCTTTTGTGCAGTTGTTGATAGAAAATGGTATGTGAAAATTGAAAGTTACTAGAAGAACATATATCATTTGATACACTGACAATATCACTCTTGTTCAATGGTGTATATTTAGTAATCCCATTGCAGATGAGGTCAGTTATTGTGTCCTTAGGTATTCTAGTTTTATCTTTTAATTTATTATATGCTAAGGTAGTAAAACCATACTCAAATTTCTTTCTCTCTATATGTGGATCTACATTATGTAAAAATGATGGAAAAACAGCCTCTTCTGATATCTGGGTTGAATTATGTTTGTTATCAAATATTTCAACATCAGAGCCATCATCTATTGATGTTTTATCTCCTACTTTGGGATTGTCCTTATCTTTGTTATCAGAATCAGGATCAGAAATGTATATAGCCTCCATTTTCATAGAGTTTGTAATTGGGGTTATACTTAATTCGTCAAAAGATTTCACTTTCATTTCAGGTGTAATGTTTACTACTGACGCTTTAAGGTTACTTGTGAGTCGTTTAACGCCTCTTCTATCGCCATAAAATAATCTCCTAGTCGAACTAATAGCACTATTAGAGGATATGTGCATATCACAAACATTAATAGGATCATCCAAATTTGTTAGAGTATTATATGCTTTTTTAGAGGTATGATGTATATCAGGAAGTGCGTTCAGTGACGGTGGTGGTGCCATTACAGAGGTTACAGATGGGTGGTTTGAAAATTGTTTCCACTTACTCTCAGATGTATCTTTACTAGAATTAATATTTTGAGAGTTTTCTCTTAAAGTAGTAGATTCGTTTTTTCCACTATTAGATAAATTATTCTGACTTTTCAGATCAGCAATACGTTTTAGTCTAGGAGATTTTTTTTGAAAATTAGTTGATGTAACTTTCATTATCTTGTTTTTTTTATCATCCGTTAATCCGTCGCTTAATGCACACTTTCTTTTCAAGGTCATTTTATTTTTTAGTATTTCCTCTTTCTCAATACCATCTGATTTATTTTGTAATAATAAACATATATCTTCGGTCGGAAAGAAATCACTATGAACATATAGTAAGTCATCAGAGAATGCTGTTTTTATCATTGATCCTTTGATTTCTTCATTTTCAGCTTTGTTCAAATTATTGTGCATGGTGCTATAGTGAGACCCAGATTTCGAGATACTTGGTAGGCTCTTATTGGATAATGGAGAAAAATTATTATCAAGATGGAAAATATTTGTATTTGCCTTACCATTTACTGCATCACGTTCTCCTAAATTTTGATTTTTTAAGTTAGATGATTGATTTTTATCATTCTTTGTTACCTCAGTTGATTTTAGTTGTGAATTTTGCATATCTATTTTCCCTTTATCTATATTTTTATTATGTATATGATTACCAAAAGGGGTATTTTGACCATCCATAACCAGTTGAGAACTGATTTTATCATTGATATCATTAATACTAGATACAGGAGTGTTTTTATTATGAGGCGTAGTAATCTTGGCATTTTTTGCTATATTTTGAGTCTCTGCAAATATATTAACACCTTTTTGGGGTGTTAATTTTACTGTACTTATTTTCTGTGATGTGGTGTGTAATGTATATTTGCTAGAATTGTCATTAGTGATAGTACTATTATCTATACCTTTTTGTTTTTCAGTTAAACTGATATTGTTATCATCTCTAGTATTATCTTTTATGCTTCTAACTGAAGGTGTTGCTTCCAATTCTTTTTCTAGTGGATGAGTTATATATACTTGAGACAATAAATCAGTATTATTGTTTTTATCTTCTGTAGATTCACTTTGTTTGAGTGTGGAATTTAATACATTGGCATTATTAGAAGGATATTGAAATGTTTCTTGTTTTGTACAATTTGTTTTCTTTTCATAAGTTTTTGTCGGTGTTGTTTTGAATATACGGGAATTAAGTATTTCATCATTTTGAGATCCATTAAAAGTGCCATTAAGTGGATTTCTCTCTGATAATTTAGATTGTTCCTTTGTGACGCTTTTATTGAGGGTATTGACTTTTACTGTAAGTTTATTTTTTGAATTTGATAATAAAAAATTTGGAGATAATGCAGTTGGTGTTTTTGTTAATCTATGTGGAGTGGCTTTGCCATTTTTGCTCAATATTGGAATTTTTATAGGAATAGGTAAAGTATTTAAATTTTTTGGACTTGTAGGAGTTTCCTTAGACAGATATGTAATAGATAATTCTTTGGATGATATATTTTTATTTGGCGTTCGTATATTATTTTCATCTTCTGTTCTATGATTATATTTAAAAGGTAGAATTAAATTTATGTCCAATGGTCGATCAATATAGCTGTTGCTATTGTCTCCGGTAGATGACATTTTATTTTCAGTAACTGTATTTTTGTTGTCGTCAGTTTGATTCTTTTCACTATTATGTTTCTGAGAATTATTATTATTAATAATGGTTGTAGTAGCAGTAGTGATTGTATTAGTACCTGGTGGCATTATCTTTTCCTCTATTTGGGTATTTCGATCATTTTTTGCTGGTGTTATTTTACAAAGTGAAGCATCATGGTACCCTTTAGAACGTTTTTTCAAAAAACTATTTGATTTAAGCATTGTCAATAATTCCTTATTTGATAGTTTCGGTTGTGGGTAAACAGGATCAGAAATAGTAATTGTATAGCTATCACTATGGTTGTTATTATTATTACTATTATCAGTTTTCCTTCTTTTTGAGGATTCGTTACTTCCATATGAATTATTATTAGATGGAGAAAATAAAAATGATGGTGATATTGCCGGTGATTGTACAGATAATAACGATGAAGATCTTTTTTGATTGGTTTCATAAGGCGAGGAGGCCGAAGATAATTTATTATTTATTTCAAAATTTTTACTCGGGGTATAGTTATAAGATGTCATACTTCGTCTTAGATGTGGATCAGTCATCTTCATTAATGGAATAATGGTAGGCGACCCATTCGTTGATGATCTAGATAACTTCATAGTGTTTAGAACTTTTTCAGGTGTCTTAAAGGATCCATTTCGTTTATTATCTAATATATTTGTTTTGGTGTTGGGTATCGAAAGAGGGTCACACATCTTTTATTTTTTAGTCATTGGTTTGTTATTATTAATTAGCGTTACAACTTGTATCTGACTTATCCAACCAGTCCTTAAATATTCTTTATGTTTTCTTTTTTAATTTCTGAACAGCTTAAACTTCAAGCAACTCTAAATATTATAGTTTTAAGATTTAATAACTATAAATTGATGCATAGACTAAAACATTTTGTAGAATATCCTTTCATTTATGGATTTATTTCATAGAATTTATTTGTCTGTAAAATGGGTGCGAAAACATTATCTGTCTCTCTTTCCTTTGATCTTTAAATTTTAAAGGCTATTACTTTTTTTTCTTTTTTTCTGGTTGTTTGCCGCTTTCAAAAATGATGGATGAATGTTCTGGCAAGAAAATGGTAACAGAAGAAACAAAACATAACAAAAAACAATATAAAGAAAAAAAAAAACAACCAGTATCTCTTTCGTCTAGAATGATATCATAATTTAAAAACTTTCGTATGGTATGATATTTTAAGGTATATTTATTAACTACTGTTATTGTCTAGCTAAGTCGACGTGAACCAAGACGTTGTATTGTAAAAGCTGTTGCAATATCTGTACTGATGGCAAGTCGATCTTCCCTCCATGATAAGTTGACCATATATTATTAGTTTTGTTTTGTTTTATTTGGCTTTCCTTCATCAATTAAAATTTATTTATTTTTTTGTACTTTATTTAACTAGGACAGCCTTTAATAGGTCGTAAAAGTGTATTTGTTTAACTATATTATATATATAGATATAGATATAGATATATTATCATATCTTTTTTCTTAGTAAAGTAGTAGTAACTTGTTCCAGGAGTATCTAATAAAAAAGAAAAGAGAAAGAGAAAAGTATGGAGATGAATAGATAAGTGGATAGTTGTTTAAATGAAATATTTTATTTTATTATATCTTATTTATCATTAGCTTCAACATTAATATTAAGTATTAACACATGGTTAAATTTAGATAATATATATAAATAAAAAAAAATTAATTTTATAAATTTTTTTTATCTCTGTCAACTCAGTCTCTATCTAAAGCACTTAAAATAGATTCCCAAACATTGGCTGGAGGTTGAGAGGCATCAATACCGGACCAAATGCCAGTTTTCTTATAGAATTCTACAATTGGTTCGGTTTGAGTATGGTAAGCATCTAATCTCTTCTTTAAAGATTCTTCGTTATCATCACCTCTTTGGACTAATGGTTCACCAGTAACATCATCGGTCATTTCGACCTTTGGTGGATTGAAGATTTTGTGGTAGGATCTACCAGAAGCTAAATGGATTAATCTACCAGTGATTCTAGCAACTAATAAGTCATCGTCAACTTTCAATTCGATAGCAGCTTGTAATGGAGTACCTCTTTCAGCTAACATTTGGTCTAATTTTTCAGCTTGTGGGATAGTTCTTGGGAAACCATCTAAGATGAAACCTTTCTTGCAAGCTGGATTGTTAGTTAATTCATCTTTGATCATGTTGACCATGATGTCATCAGACACAAGACCACCGGCCTCCATGATTTTCTTGGCTTCTAAACCTAATTGGGTACCTTTGGCGATTTGAGATCTTAACATATCCCCAGTAGCCAAATGGGCAGCACCGAACTTTTCAACTAAGTTTGGGGCTTGAGTACCTTTACCAGCACCTGGTGGACCAATTAAAACCATTCTTAAAGATTCGGAGGCAGACATGATTGCTATGAATAGATATGTGTATAAGTGATGTGGGTTGTTGAGTGGATGACTACTAGAATGTTAGATAGAAATATTAGGAATTTCTCTCCTGTGTCACTTTTCTACGCTTTCTGCAATCCGACTATAGTCAGAAGAATAGAGAAGTTTACAATAAACGTACACGATCACGACAAGGAAACCAAGAATGGAAGACAAAAACACAAGGAAAGAGCACGCAAAGCTAAAAGAGGATTAATTCGTGTATTCTGTATCTTTTCGTTAAATATAAATTGCATTTTTTTCTAACAAAAACTCCAATGCCCCACCACACAAACAGGAAAAAAGGAAAGACCTGACATCAACTACTTCTGGATTTTATTTATATATCTTTCCGTTTTCAAATTCCTCGCAAATTCTGTTTTCATTTTGGCTCTTTTCCTTTGTCGAGAAAAAAAAAAAATAAAAAAATAAAAGAACAGAAAAGAAAGAAAACAGAAAGGAAAAAGAAAACAAATTATGGCGGAAAAATTGTACAGGTTATATAAAAAAAAATGTAGTATGGAAATAAACTACTGAAAAGAAGAAGATTACAATAACAGCAAAAATAAAAAAGTGAAACAAAATAAAATAAGAATGAGTCTATATTTTACAATTGCTTTAAGTTCTACAATTTTTTTTATGTATGATATCGTTACTACATTTCCAGTTTTATATTAATGATGTACTGGTTAAAATACATGGAGATGATCTATGTCCTAATTCACACTTGATATATATCAGATACTGTAATGTAAGATTTAATCGATTTTTCTACATAGATGCTAAAGTCTTACAATAGAAAAATTAAAGAAATGTAAACAGATTAACACCACATAAAATTATTTAGTACAATAATGAAACGTTTTCTCTTGTACTGTAATCACCAAATCAAACACAATAATCATAATTGAATAAGTATGTACGTAGACGTTGAGATTTACGCACGTCTATTAACCTTTTTTCGACGTATCTTTTTTTTTTTTTAATTTATATTATTATACACGTATACTAAACAACTAAGTTATATAGTGCTACATACACAATCTATTTCAGATATGCACTTGATGATTTATCCGTACGAGACTAATTATAATCATGGTTGAATAATATTAATTTATTTTCTTTGATTCACATAAATCTAAGATTTTAAAAAATGCCATTATTGTTGTATTGAGTCGCTTTTTAATGGAAAAAACATACTTCATATTGAAATTTCCCTAACACTCAAACACCATCGATTTAATAATGTTATTATTGACGTAACTAATAGTAAATATTTCATCGATATCTCATGGAGTGTTTGGAGAAGAAAAGAGTTCGACTATGGAGAAACGTTAGATAATAAAACAAAAAACTATATTAGAGTAAAAAAAAAGTAGAATATGAAAAAGAAAAAAATCTGGAGAAGAAATACTCATTTTAGCTTATAATTCTTGAGAAGCCTTGGCTGGCTTAGCAGACTTCTTTGGTAATAAGTTTTGGTGAATGTTTGGTAAGACACCACCTTGAGCAATAGTGACATTACCTAATAATTTGTTTAATTCGTCATCGTTTCTGATAGCTAATTGTAAGTGTCTTGGGATAATTCTGGTCTTCTTGTTATCTCTAGCAGCGTTACCAGCCAATTCTAAGATTTCAGCAGCTAAATATTCTAGAACAGCAGTTAAGTAAACTGGAGCACCAGAACCAATTCTTTGAGCGTAGTTACCTCTTCTTAATAATCTGTGGACTCTACCGACTGGGAAAGTTAAACCAGCCTTGGCAGATCTGGATTGGGAAGCTTTAGCAGCAGAACCAGCTTTACCACCTTTACCACCGGACATTTTCGATATATTATTTATTTGTGTTTATTTATGGGTTGTTGTGTGTATTTTTTGCAAGTTATCAAACTCGTTATATTTGGCTTTCTCGTTACTGAGTAATAGAGGGTTACAATTGTAGAAGTTACGAACCACAAAGCAACAGCCCCAAAGTCGAAGTGAGATCTTTTACATGTTGTTAAGTACCGGTAATGTGATCTTTATATATTTCTTGAATATTTAAAAAGTGAAACAGAGGTAGTAAAATGAACACTTTATCTCAGACGAAATTACCAACACTAAAGTAGAAACTTTCAGCACAATATAATGATATCATATTAAACTTTTGTGAGTAGAAACAAAAACAGCGTTATTATTATTACTATCAACCCTTTTACTTACTTGTTTACAATATAATAGATGAAATTGGTATCATCAAGGCGGACCAAGAGTTTCGCGCTTAAGGGGCGAAACTCTTGGAATGTTAAATTAGAGGTAGAAATGGTGAAAAAAACACAGGATCTGAAATTTAAAGTGATTTGAATTTTATTATGGGCAGGCGTTCCGTATCCGAAAAGGGAAATTGTGATGGCGTTCGCGAAATTTTCGGTCTGGTACCAAAGGATAAAAAAAAAGACAGTAGCCCGTTCTCTGAGATTCGTGCTGCTGCTCATACATTGGTTTGTGTTATTATGGTAAAGAGGGGCGAACGTGTGAGAACGGCATAACGTTGTTTTGCTATTTTCACTCTTATTTTCTGTGAAGGTTTGTTGGTTTACTATGTGAAAACGATCAATTAGTATAACATCGCAATGTTATGTTGATGATGATAAAGGAAAAAATACCTTTGTAATAGTGGTCAATTTTAAGATGGTGAAAAAAAAAAAAATAAAATACATGTAAAAGTGATATATATAGTGGTTGAACGGTAGTCATCGCTAATCTGTTACCTTACATCTTTCAGCTATTTTTTTCTTCTTGCTTGCCCTTTTTTCTCCACTTGTTAAGTTTTGCAGGTTAGTCAGAAAGAAGTATAACAATAAAAACTAAGTCATCAAGCTCCACATACAAAAACAACAATCTTAAACAAAAAAATGTCTGAAAATAAGGTCGCCTCCAAAGCTCCAGCTGAAAAGAAGCCAGTTGCTAAGAAAACTTCTACTTCTACTGACATTAAGAAGAAGTCCAAGGTTAGAAAGGAAACTTACTCTTCTTATATTTACAAGGTTTTGAAACAAACTCACCCAGATACTGGTATCTCTCAAAAATCCATGTCTATCTTAAATTCTTTCGTCAATGATATTTTCGAAAGAATCGCCACTGAAGCTTCTAAGTTAGCTGCTTACAACAAGAAGTCTACTATCTCTGCTAGAGAAATTCAAACTGCAGTTAGATTAATCTTACCAGGTGAATTAGCTAAGCATGCTGTTTCCGAAGGTACTAGAGCTGTTACTAAGTACTCTTCTTCTACTCAAGCTTAAATGATTTAGGGTATTGTTTTTATTTTTTATTATAGAAAAGGTATTGTGTTTTGCTCCAATAGTAACAACAAACTACATCGAATTAGTTGATTTAATAATAGTCATAATCATAATAGATTATAAAATAAAAAAATTACATATAATATGTTATGATATTTTTTTTCTTATTCTTATTAAACAAAAAAATGAATTAAAGTTATAGTAATTATAACAATAGCATTAATGGTATCTTAAATATTTGAACGGATATATTATTTAAGTAAATTTAAATAAGTTGTATAATAGTAGCAATCTTTAAATATATTAATATTTCAATAAAATATTCTAGTGTTAACAATTGATTTTTTCTATTTTAGTTTTTTTTCTCTCTTCCTCGGGAAGAGTGAATGATAATATATGTGGATACTATAAAAATTTTTATAAAGAGTATTTAATTAAACAAAATGTTTTTATTAGATATGATAGTGTTTATACATATATGAATTTGGTGAAGATGGTTTTAATTATATTGATTTAATATTAATAGAAATTCGTAGCTTCTTGAGCAACATCAAATTATATGATATAAAAATCAGAGAATTATAGAACATTCCAGTCGAGAGATATGGTATCAAACCATATTAAAAAAGAAATAAAGTTATACATTCAATGTTGTAAAACATATACCGGTATATAATTTAAGAATAATTAAGATATTACATTATTTGTATTTGTACTTTGTATTAGTTTTGTTAATTCTTTACAGTTTTAGCTTTTTTTATTTTCATAATTTTATCTTTTTTCTTAAAAAACATTAAAATTTTTAAGTTTGATTTATATACGAAAAAGTAAAACAGAGATTAACAAAATAAACAAATTTTAAAAAAATATTAATTTAAGAATATAGATAATAAGTATAATTCTGATAACCGTCAAAGTAAAAAAAAAATTAGAATATTAAAAAAGTATATCTATTTTATTATATAATTCTACATCCTTTTTTAATAGATCGTTTTTTTACTTAAAAAACAATTGAAAAACATGCTAATATTAATAATAGTACTAATTAAGATAACTTGAACCTCATAATATCACCATGTGTAGTTCAGGGTAGATATATAATTAATAGTTGAATAATAACACAAAACAACTAATTAACTAAAAAATTTATACTTGCTGCCCCAAAAAAAAAGTTTTTTGAAACTTAAAATTCACTTTTTAATTTTAATTACAATAACAATATTTTTATTGTTTAAATAACAAATCTAGAAGATACAGCCCACAGAAATTCATTTTTTTTCAGTGACACTGTCAATCTTTTTTGATTTTTATGACTTTTATATACACATATGTAAATAAACGCACAAAAATGATTTAAGGAAACAAAGTAAGATCTTATAATTAGATAACTAGATTTCTAAGAAGAAACTAATAGTCAGTATTGCCACCATATAATATATTTATATCTACCTACATATATTATTCTCAAGAGAAACCCTAATGAATATCAACAGGTAATCCTGAAAATATTAATATTATCTGTCCTATTACATTATGGAAAATAATGTATTACTAACAAACTTTTCTCTTATTGGTTTAAAAGAAAAAGAGAAAAAAGAAAAGTGAGAAAATCCTACACACAACCCCTCAGTTTCCATTTTGTCGTTTTTACTTCTTGGCTCTGATTTCCTAAAAGAGTCAGAAGAATTTGAAAGTTTACAAATAAAAATAAAAAAAAAGACAAACATCAATCATATATGTGGTTTCACATATTTAATCAAAAAGAACAAGAAAGCAGATGAAATAATCACCTTCATTAGTAAGCATATATATCTTAGCACATAATAAACAAAAACACATATACACACGTATATATAATATCAGACAAGATATCATTAACTTTTGTATTTATCTAAACTCTTGAACTCTTAATTTCTGTTTTCCCGTTCTCTTTTCACCTTTTTTTACATAGATGGCTTTTTATTAACACTTTTATTATTAGTTTTCTAAGTTTTTCAGCATATATAAAACAAATTTATACACATACATCACCCCTCTGATTTCATATCCACCTCGCTCACAAGATTCTTTTGTCATTATCAGCAGTATTGTATCTCTTAAACATTGGCTTTACTGGAACATAACTTTAAAGAAACAGTCCTAAGAAATTAATTTATTTCTTCTTATTTTTTTCCATCTTCTATTTTACGGTCCGTATTTCATTTGAAATTAAGTAAGAAAAGCAAATTTTATAAGATAACGAGAATTAAAACAAAAATTTGAAAAAAAAAGAAAAAAAGAAATAAAAAAAATTTGAGAAAATTGAGAAAGATAAAAAAAGCTTAATCGTCAAAAGAAAATTTGCATATTGAATATTCTAATTTTCAAATACAAAACAGACCTATATATCTACATTTATTATCAGTTATTTTCACTTAATAAATTGCAACACTTAATCCCTTCTTTATTGAATACATATACTTTAAAGTATTTCGTCGTTTTAAGGATTGAAACTAAGGAGATAAAAAGCGAAATACACAGAAAAAAAATTAATAGATAAGAATTTTAACACACTATTACTTTTTTTTTGTTAATTTATAGAATTATAAAGTTATTAGTCCTTAATTATTATTGTATTACATTATATTATATCCTATCTTCTCCACATTTAATTATTTTGATATGTCCCTAGTTGCTCTTAAAAATATCTTAAAAGCTAAACTATTTACGTCAGATAATGATATAAGTCACTCCAATTCAGCTACTCTAATAAATAATACCGATAACAACAATAATAATGTAACACAAGGATATGGCACCTATCAAAATAATAATAATAATAACAACAGCAATAATATCGATGACATGGAACAAAATATAGACAATGTTTATACAGATAGTTTTCTTGATGAAAAAATTGAAAATAGTGGTTTTTTCAATTCTGTCGATCCAAGAATGATCAGCGATTTAATTATTGGTCTAAGTGACGGGTTAACTGTCCCTTTTGCATTAACGGCAGGTTTATCCTCTTTGGGTGATTCTAAAGTGGTTATTACAGGTGGTTTTGCTGAATTAATCTCTGGTGCTATATCAATGGGTCTTGGTGGTTATCTTGGTGCTAAGAGTGAAATCGATTTCTATAAAGCTGAAGTTAAAAATGAAAGAAGAAAATTTTATCAAGATACAACCTTAGTTAACCATGATGTTGAAGATATTTTATTAAGTATAAACCCAGATTTTTCAGAAGAAACTATAGTCTCATTTATAAAAGATCTTCAAAACGCCCCTGAGTTAATGTTAGATTTTATCATCAGATATGGTAGAGAATTAGAGGAACCTGCAGAAAACAGACAAGTTATAAGCGCAATGACCATTGGTGGTGGTTATCTATTAGGTGGCCTTATCCCATTATTGCCATATTTCTTTGTATCTGAAGTTGGTGTTGGTTTAATTTATTCTATTATTGTTATGACTATTACGCTATTTATATTCGGTTATTTTAAAGCACAAATGTCTATGGGTAATAATTGTGATACAAAAAAGAAAATAATGGAAGGTGTAGAAATGATTGTGGTTGGTGGTGCAGCTGCTGGTGCAGCCTGGTTCTTTGTTAAATTACTAGATTAATTTTGTATTATCTTGATATATCTTAGTCTAAAATTAAACCATATTATACTATATTTATTTATTTGTACTATTAATTAAACCTTATATTCCTTTGCATTATATTATAATAGAATTTAATATGTTGAAATTCATAATATGCATCTATTTATTAATTCTTTCTGTCTCCAGGAATTCCCTTCACTCACTAAATAGATTTGTAGAATCAATTATGAAATTTGTATAAATAATCCAATTTATTGAATTCTACACTAAACACACGTACATAGATCGAATAACTATGATCTACAAGTATCCCCCACCTTATTTTGGTGTACCTACTACAATTATTAATTATTTATTATTTATTATTTATTATTAATTATTAATTATTAAGTATTACTATATGTTGTATGTATCTATCAATTTATTATTCTATTATATATAATGCTTTCCTTTTTTTTTTTTAACTTTTTTTTTAAATTTGCAAAAAAAATAATTTTCTACTATACGTCAAATTTTTATGAATATTGTTATTGACTAATAAATGTGGATTCAATAATTGAGACACCTTCTTCATCCTTATATTTGGAAGGTTGACAAAACTGATACAGATATGGTTTAATATTAGCAATTTTTTTAGCTAATGTATTAATTATACTTGGCAATTCACCAAGAATATCATATCTATTAACCAAATTCATATTTTTAACAGTAAATGATGGAACCTTTTCATCACCATTCAAGAAGTTGAATGTCATTTCAGTTGGATATTCCCAATTGTTATGTGAATCCTTTTCAACTGAATTAAATTTAATCATTTCATCATTATTAATATCCGACCCAATATATTTAATTTCATTATTTTCACAGATTGTCCAAATTGTCACCTTGACGTTATCAAATTGCTGTACAGTTAAATATTCAATGGCCAAAATAGTATAACTTTTGGATTGAAAATACAAGAAATTCCATCTTTTAGCGATTTTATTTGGCAACATACCTTGAACCGCATCCAAGTATACCATTGGAGAATGTGTTAATTTTAACACTTGTTGCTCACCATTTTTCTTATTATTATATTTAATTATACCGAATATTTGTCCTAATGGTGCAAATTGATGCCTTAAATATTTATTTTTTAAAATTAATTGTGATATATCCTCTGGTTTGCTAGATTTGATCCTTTTAAATTCATCTTTAGATATTGATTTGTCGAGATAAATACTGCATCCATCAGGTAAAATCTTGAAACCTTTCCCCAAATTACATCTTAAATCTATAGATAATCCAATTGATGGAACCTTAACTTTAATCTTCAAATTAGTGACGGTTTCAAATTTTTTCTTAGATTTTTCTTCATCTCCATCTTTACTGGTCCCATCAATAATTTTTTTGGAAACTTTTATTGGATCTCTAAATTGAAACGTAACATTATCACCTTTAACAGTCAGATCAGAATCTTGAAATTTCATATTTCCGTCTAATTTAATACTTTCCCAAACATTAAACTTATCTTCCAAATCCTTATTTGGTGAAAAAATTTTAAAATTTATTTGAAAACCTTTATAGAATCCACCCAAGACATTTGAATATAGCAATTGAACAAACCCTGAATACTCAGAATTAGGGTCTACAAAATAGATAGTCTGTGTCTCTACTGCTGTTGATTTACCTCTTGATAAAAAACTTGGCAACCTATGATTTTTAGATCTTTTTGGAACGTACCATGCAAAATCGTCTATTTTATCTAACACTTCTACATGATCCCTTGAGGGTGGAGTGACTTTATCAATTGGAATGAAATGTTGAACCATGATCTTCTATGATGGTCCTATTATTCTATTATGTTTTTATATTTCGAGTATATACTTTTCCTGTGTTACTCCCATATAAAGAAGGCAAAACACAATTCGAAAGCGAAAAGACTAAAGAGGGAATACGAAAAGAAAAAAGGATGAGATTAACTAAAGAATAATAAGTACGTATTTTTCTCCATATGTATACATAGATAGATATATATATATATAGAGAAAATTACAGTAACTGAAGACGAATTATTACGAAATACAACAAGTATGAAACAGCCAATTGAGTTATATATATAAATATGCATTACATATTTCTACGTAATTTTTTTATTTATTTATTTGTTTACTTGTTAATAATAATATTTTTTTCTTTTCTTTTTTCTATTTTTTTTTTTTCACCTCATCTCGTTCTTCTTCTTTTTTTGTTTTTTGCAGATTTAACAACCACAAACATTCTTTGAAAAGATAAACCGAAAGAAAAGGCAAAGCAGGTAAAAAAAAAGAAACGAAAAAGAAAAAGAAAAAAAAAGGAAAAAAAAAAGGAAAACAAAAATTCGGCCTTTTTTATTGTTGTTGCTTCTTTTTTTGTTTCATTTAATTTTCTTTTTTTTTTTTCTTTCTTTCAATTTCGTTAAATGGCTCGGTGCTATTTTTCTCTATTATCTTCTTATTTATTCAATTCATCGCAATTTTTTCGTGTTTTTCTTCCAATTAGGTCTTTCAAGAAAAGGAAACAAATTTTTATGCTCCCATTTGATACAATTTATTGGTAGTATTTCTCTATTTTCCCCACCATTTTAGTTTTTTTTTTATTTTCGACTTTCCCCCCTTCTCTTCTTCCGGTTTATTTATCTGAACTAATCTTACGTAACACATCAACAACACAGTAAAAAGAAAAATCAACGGTGCATATTTTTCTCGTCCTTTCTTTTATGTGAATCAATTAGAGGGTTAATTTTTATTCACATTCTTTCATTCTTCTTTTTCGTCCATACACTTAGGGTTGGTAGGAATAGTTTCTAGTTTAGATTACCATTCTCCTCCCTATTTCGGACTTTAAACATCACGTTTGCAAAAAAAACGAAATGATGAAAAACGAAGTTGGCCTTATTCCAACTAATCTACGAACCATAAAAAAAGGTTTATTACACAAAAGAACATTTCAAATAAATCTACTTTTCTTAGTTAAACCCTATTTTATCATCATTGAAACTTGAAGAAAATCCTTTACCCTAAACCCTCCTTTGAAAAAAGTTTTTTTTTACAAACCTTCATCCTCCAGTTCTATAAAAAAAGGAAGTCCATATTCCTATTATAATTGTTGTCAACAGAAAAAATAGATTAAGGGAGAGTTCAAAAAGGAAGAAAAGGCTTTTAGCCAAATTATTTTCTGTAGTGTCAATATAATTGCCAAAGTTGACACGTTTTTTTTATAATTCTTCTCCCCTCCTATATTAAAGTATATTTCTCAAAAAATGCTATGGAATATCCTTTTTTGCGTGTTATGATGTCATAAATGAGCTCTGTATTAACAATAACAAAATTCTAACTAGAAACTACCTATCACCGCCTTTGAAAGAAAAGGTCCATCATTTTATTTAAAACAATCCTCATTCCAAGGAATTTATCATGATCATATGAGTTTCAAATAAAAAAAAGAAGACATCTATATGGCATCCATATCCTACATTAGAACACTTTGCCATAGAGAAAATCAATTTTTACTAATACTATTGTAATGTTTATATGTACATATCTTATTACATTCAATTACTGTTCCTGTTAACCCTTTAATGAAAAATAAAAGTATAAAATCACCATTGTTTAACCCTAACTTTTACTTTTCAGAAATTTTATTATAATATGAATGATATTTTTTTAAAAAATACGACACAAGACTCTCCCTCTCTCTATATATATAGATATTACAGTTTTCATCTTTATTTTTATCTTTATTTTTTGAAATACCTAATTGAAATTAACTAGATTCAACTTACATCACTAACTTATAAGAAATTATTAACTCTCAGCCCCATAGAAACACTTACTATAACTATAGTAATCTAGAAAGAAAATAATAACATATATATATATATATTTCATATTTACGGATCTTCTTATTTTCTTAATCATACTTAAAGTTTTGTAACAAATAAAAAATATTTAAAGTAATGCACTTATGTATGTACTGACATCTAGTTAATATAATTAAAAGTTACAACCCCAAGGACCCTCAACATCAAATTGGTAATTACATTTAGTCATTTCATTTACACTGTTGATTCTAAACTTATCTGAACATTTAATTAATACTGTAGCAGATCTTAGTGGTCCATTCCAACATTGGTCTCCATTGCCATACTTAACAATATATCCATTATTGACACTTTCTAAAGGTCCCAGATAATACTTCTTATCTCCAATAATCTTAGTGCTATTAGTTAAATGTTCCAATAAATCAATATCTTCGTCTAAATTATCAACTTTGATCTTGTCAATATAATTTTGTTTTATTAATGATTCATCTAAATATGTTTTTTCCAAAACACCAATCAAAACCTTATTCCCATTCGGCTTATTTTCAATCTGCAATATGTACCCTTGTTCTTCATCAGAATTTAAGCATATTTCATATTTATATCCATTAATTAAACTACTTGTACAAGTCTCTTCAACAGGTAATAATTTAATCAATTCCTCAATCCTCAACATTTTTTCATTCGATACCCTTCCTTCTTCACTAATCGTGTTTTTCATTTCCTCTAGTCTTTCATATTCTTTCTCTGCTTTTATTAAATCATTTCTTATTTTATCAATCAAATTCTTTCTTGTAACAATTTGTGTCTTTAAAGCTTGTAAAATTGTTCTTTTATTAGATACATCAACAATATCTCCATTGCTAACATCAGTTCCATTTATATTTAGTAAATTTGACATAAAACCAAATATACCTCTTCTTTCATTGATCCCTGTTTCTGTATCCTCATCTGTTTTGCAATCTTTTTCATCTAAAATTTTTGGAACAATATTTTCAATTACTTTCAATAATTTCTTTACTTCTCTAGCCAGAGGTTTTGGTAGAATAACTTTATGTTTCTTTAATAGATTTGCATATTTTTTCAAATAATCTTTATACATCTTTGTAGCTTCTTTCACACCTTTATCTTGAACATTAACATTATGATTATCCGTAATATCTTTCATTATTGAACTAAAATCATCAATATATTCAAATACTGTTTCAGTATATTCAACTTTAACTTGTAGTAACCACTCAACAAACCGCGCTTTTTTAATAACGTATTCAGACGGATCTTTACTTTTCCCCTTCCAAAACAATTCAGGTAGTTCTTTTGTGAAATAATCTATTAGTTGTTCTCTTAACTCATTATCTGTACCTGAATTAATACTGACCTTCTTCTCTGTATTTAATTCCATTAGTTTGTCTTGGAACATATACACATTATCATTAACTACTTTATCATTTAAAGATGGATTGAATGTCCCTGCTAAAGTCCCCAAAATACTTACTAAATCAGTGTACATTTTGCTGCTCAATGCAATATCATCAAATAAAGGATTTAAATAGTCAATAATCAGAGTTGTATTAATCGTTTCATATTGATATAGCGTTGGATCTTCTTGTTTTAATTTACTCATAAAATTATCTGTTTCTGATTTATATAATTGCTGATTTCTCTCAAAATCATCAGTCAATTGCTGAATAAATACTTTTAAATTAGCTTGCTGATTAGACTGTTTATTAAGATCATTTATATCGATATCGAAGTCTTCAAATAATGACAATAATTCCAATTTACCTAATTTAGATCCTCCCAATTCCTTATCAATTACACGATGATATATCGAATCCACTTTGGAACAAATATTTACTCCATTCCCATCTAAGGACTCATCAGAACAGTCACAGCAATCACATACACCATCACCAACAGAACTTTTATCTATATATCTCGGAATAAATCCATCATTTACACAATAAAATAAAGAATTTTCTTGATTTAATGATTCATTGATAATGTTGCATGCGGAAGTACCCGGCTCATCTGACCCGTCAGGACAGTCACATATACCGTCATTGATTTGTGTAATATTAATTTTAATATGAGTGTCACTTAGACATGTCCATTCTCCACCTTCTAATGTTAAATGAGAATTGTACAATTCTTGTTGAACTGGATCTAACCCTTTAAATTTCAACGTAGAATCACAACCAACTGAATTAAACAAAAAGATCGGGGTTATCAGTAATAATTTAGAGACTGGTTTCATAATTATAAATGGGAGAAAAATATTATAAAACAATATTTTATCTCACAATCCAGGCAAAGTCTTATATTTGAACAGGTCAACAAACAAGCCAACGAATATACCTTTATATGAATATAGATGTACCTATATACGTTAGTCTCAATAGTTATTTTTCTTAATAGTCTTCCAGAATTATTAAAATCCCGTCCAATCCTTATTTTTTTCAATTATTTTTTCAATCTAATATTTTTCATCACTCTCCATGGAGAAAATAAATAAAATCAAACACACTTATAATATAACTTTGTATATATATGTCAAAAAAAAAAGTTAGTAGAATGAACTAAAAAATTTTTTTTCTATGCCAATTACAATACTAAAAAATCGTTATGTAATTCATAATTCTATTTATATAGATATAGCACTATTTAATTATTTAAACAGAAATATCATCAAATAATAATATTAATTAAAGAGAAAACATATTAAAAAATAAAAAAAGTGATTTAACGTCTTTTTCAGGGCATATAACATGAAATAATTAAGAGAGAAGTTTATTTAGAATATTAAAAAACCCTGTATAAGCCCTTATTTAGAGCACCGGTTAGATTTTTCAGCACTTACAAGCTTGTCTCATTTGTTTACAGTGAGCACAATCACATTCTGTATCACATTGACAGACTCCAGCAGGACCACATTCGCACTCTTTAGCACAACAACTAGACTTTTGAGAGCAACATTTACCAGCTTGTCTCATTTGTTTACAGTGGGCACAATCACATTCTGTGTCACATTGACAGACTCCAGCAGGACCACATTTGCACTCTTTAGCACAACAACTAGACTTTTGAGAGCAACATTTACCAGCTTGTCTCATTTGTTTACAGTGGGCACAACCACACTCGGTGTCACATTGACAGACTCCAGCAGGACCACATTTGCACTCTTTAGCACAACAACTAGACTTTTGAGAGCAACATTTACCAGCTTGTCTCATTTGTTTACAGTGGGCACAACCACACTCGGTGTCACATTGGCAGACTCCAACAGGACCACACTTGCACTCTTTAGCACAACATTTACCAGCTTGTTTCATTTGTTTACAATGAGCACAATCACATTCTGTGTCACATTGACAGACTCCAGCAGGACCACATTTGCACTCTTTAGCACAACAACTAGACTTTTGAGAGCAACATTTACCAGCTTGTCTCATTTGTTTACAGTGGGCACAACCACACTCGGTGTCACATTGGCAGACTCCAGCAGGACCACATTTGCACTCTTTAGCACAACAACTAGACTTTTGAGAGCAACATTTACCAGCTTGTCTCATTTGTTTACAGTGGGCACAACCACACTCGGTGTCACATTGACAGACTCCAACAGGACCACACTTGCACTCTTTAGCACAACATTTACCAGCTTGTTTCATTTGTTTACAATGAGCACAATCACATTCTGTGTCACATTGGCAAACTCCAGCAGGAACACACTTACAAGCCGATCCTGAATTTGGAGATTGTACAACACACTGACATTGAGATTGCATTTCTTCTAATTGAGAGGACATTTTATTTTATTTTATTTTGATTTAAATTAATATGATTTAATATAATATGATATATTATGAATTATTTTATCTTGTTTTGAGTTTATATTTTTTTAAGTTGACTAATAGTTTTTTCAGTTTGGTTATCTGCTTTGATTGATTATGATATGCAGAAAATGATGATTTATAGAAAAAGACTAAAAGTAGAACAGAAAATTTTTTCTCCTTGGTATATTTGCTGTCCTTATATATATATACGAAATTAAAGAAAGTTCATTATAAAATATTTATAAGATAAGTATAGTTATAACTTATTTATTTAGCCAAGATCTGATAGTAAAACATTCTCATATGTTCCTTACAATAGAATAAAAACAAATGAACGTAAAAAAAGAAGCTTTCTCCCCCTTTCCTCCCCCCCTTGCTCCTTCGTTCCCTGAGACAAACTTTGGAGCTACATACTAACTTCTACCGCTCCCATCATTAAAGCTACCAAAAAAAGTCAAACCTCGTTGATTGTTCTACCAACATTCTAAATGTGGCGTCTGTATACATATAGAATTGACATACAGTTTTAAATTCTCTCTGGTTCTCCTTCTTCACTTTCCATGCTGACTCGTAACAATGCATGTCGAGTGCACTCTTTATGCTGTGAGCTAACTATCTCAACATTAAGAATGAAGTATTTACAGCCACTATACTATTGTCACAGATTCAGCAAGATCTGAAAGGGGGCAAAAAAATCAAATATCGAAACAAAGAGAAAGAAGATTTGTATTGTATTGTATTGTATTGTATTGTATTGTATTGTACTGTGTTGTATTGTATTATATCAGATCATATTTCTATTGTGTTCGAGAACTTAATGCTGTTTCTTTGGATTCGTTCAACAGCAAATTGCTCTCAAAAATTTCCATATTTTTCGAATTTTTTTTTCAATTTTTCTGTTTTTGTTTTCTGTTGCAGACCTAGTAAAAAAAAAGAAAAAAAAAGTTATTAAGCCATTTACATTAGGTTTTTACATTTTTCATCTAAAAAGGACTCTGAGGGTTTAGATTATATATTAGGGTACAGTGTGTAATTTCCCGTTAATTCTTTACAATGGAGGTTAGTTCAGTAATTCGACCATTTTAAGTAATTCATAACAAGAAAGGAACTTTTGAAAGATTTCCTTCTCCCATCCTTCTTTTTCTTTCTCTCTTTTTGTTTCTTGATGGTCGGCCATCGATTTATTGATTGCTAAAAGGAAGGAGTCCAAGTTTTTATTAATCACTTGCATCATGTATTTTACTTTAAATACACTCTTCTATCTGTCCTTCTTGTATGCTCTTTTTGTTCGGCGTACCTAGCTTACTTACTTATTCTATTTATCTTCTTTCGATAATAAACATCATACACATACATACATAAATAAATAAATACATATACAAGGTTATATCTGAATATGCAATAATATTTTAAAATTTTATTTCACATAATAAAAAATAAACTATCTACTGCATATAAATAATGACTTTTAATATAAATCACATACTGAATAATAGTATTAAGATTAATAATAAGATTCAAAGTACTATTTTCCAACCCATACAAATATTATTATTTCAAGGAAATGGATCAAATCTTCAACATATTCAATATTTTCATGACATAACCTTATTATCTTCGTCCTTTAATCTCTCTTTGTCTGATACCGGTCTTTATTCATCCACGTTATCCAGTAATTCTAGGAGAAATTCTCTATTCTCAAATGATTCTTCTATTCATACCCTACACCATGACTCCCTAGATGGTGTTAGTCTTAAGGATTCTGATATTTTATCATCATCACCATCTTATAAGTTTTCAATGAATCAATTAAGAAATTCCAATAAAGTCAAAGACAAAGCCTTATTATTCGAAAGATTGATTCAACAAGAATCAAATGATCATCACCACCATCATCATAGTAGTGGCTATCCTCTCTTTTCTTCCACTTCTTCGTCTTCTTCCTCGTCCTCTTCTTTTTATGATTCAATAGTATACAAAAATAAATCATATTCTACATCAGACGACATAATGAGTCCAAGCATTAAAAATATATCAAAACATTACTTAGAACAAATTGAAAAAGATAAATATTTACCAGTATCATCGTCCTTATTTCCGTCCTTGTACAACACAAATAATCCTAATAAACTTCCGAGTAGAAAAATTGTATCTTCCAAACTATCACAATATCAAGAGCATATTAATAAATTGAATGAAGAATATATACATGTATAGATAAAATTGGAACTTGTATCCTCTTTTTATTTTTTTTTTCACTTCACCTCAATAGCTATTACTATTTATTATTCTTAATACTATGTAATAAAATTAGATATTATTCTTTCTCTCTCTCTCTCTTTTTTTTTTTTTACATTTGTTTTTTTCTTTTATATTTGTTTTAGAATGTGTTTTAAGAATCAAATTATCAATTTTGTATATATTTTTAGTGTCACAATTTAAAATGACACAAATATCAAACTTCTTTTTATTCTGTTAGTATTAAAGAAAAGAAAATACAAGGAAGAGAACAACTTATATACTACAATATCATCCAGACCTATTCAAATATGACAATCCATTCATCTCATTTGAAATTAAAAAATTTATCAAAAGATTCAATTGATTTTAATTTATTATTATTAGGTCCAAGTGGGATAGGTAAAAAAACTTTTCTATCGAATTTGACAAATAAAACGTCCATTTTCAATAATAATATTCTTAACCAAGCTTTAGCTTCCAACTTAATCAAAAATAATAATGAACATACTTTCCAATATTATAATTTACAAATCGAAAATATGATAAACAATCATGACTGTAACCTTTTAATCAATTTGAATGCTTTTGTATTGGATACAAGCAATAAAATGAATAATTCCAAGACTGGTCAGATAATCAAACAGTTTATCGAATCGAAATTTGATGATATTTTGAATAATGAAATAAAGATTCAAAGGAAAACAACTTATAACGATATAAATGACAATAGAATCCATCTTTGCATATATTTCTTTGATAGTAAAAATTATGGAATCAGTGAAATTGATCTAAACATATTATCTTACATAATCAAATCCGTTAACATTCTCTATGTTATTGGTAAAGCTGATAAAATATTGAATAATAGTGACCACAACAAAGAACGACTATTATTACATTTACAACAAAAAATTAATTTCCAACTTCATTCTTTTAATTTATATTCATTTACATTTGATAAAATTACCATAAATGACATTTTCATCTCCACTAAAGAACAAAATAAGGAAGTAAACACATCCATGAAATGTGAAGAATATCCACCCAATATTTTGATTGATAATATTCAACCTTTCCCAATAATTTGTGGCAACATTAAAGAAATGATCCCTACTTCAAATAATAAATTTTTTTGGAAAAGAAGCTATTTATTCAAAAATAAAGAAGTTTATATAGAAGATTTTGAAACAAGTTCCTTCATTATTTTAAAAAGTATCATATTAGGATCACATTTACAGATCTTTAAAGATATTACCAACAATAGGATCTACGAATCCTATAGAAGTCAAATATTGTTACAAAGAGCAGAAATACAATTACGATTAAATAAAAATCATTCAAATCAAGACTTTGATACAATAATTAGTACTAATACTATCAACAGTAATTCTAATTACACTCCCAGTCTTTATAGTTTAAAGGAAAAAAATAAAATCATTAAAGCATACGAAGAAACATTTAATAATGTTAATAAAATTATTAAAGATAATATTTCTTTTAATGAATAAATAAATGAATGAATTACTATTGTGATATTATAATGATTTTTCTATTTATTTTCTTGTATCGTTTTACATATTACTTATATTGAATTTTTATTTATGTATTATTTCAAACACACAAACAAACATATATACGTATATACTTATAGCCGTCATCTCAAATTACTAATTTTCAATTTACCTTTTTTTCTTAAAGGTTACTGTGATCTATTCCATCTCTTTTTGTAACCTTTAGCATACGTATCATACAAATCTACAACAAATTATATAAAAGCCTTTGGAAGTTGTTAAAAGATATTTACAGGCTATACAAAAATTCTACAAAAATATATCAAAAAAAAAATCAAAAAAAAAAAACTAACGAAGGAACACAAAACAAAATATGACTGATCACATAATAAAATGAAAACAAAACATTAATACAACTAAGGAAAGTTTTTCCATGTTCAAATGTCCAATGATACCACATTTGATAATACCTTACCTTCAATAAACAAAGTAAAAACAAATCAAAATTTATCAGGGTCCCAAAATGAAATAGCATCTTCTGGAAAAAATATTTTTGACAATAGTTATGACCATACTAATAATGATGTGAATGATACAACTAGCTCATATCTTGACAAAAATATTTCAATAAGTAAAATTATGACTTCCCCTCTTCGACAACCTCTACATGAACCATCATATGCAATGGAAGACAAAATAATCTCTACTCCCAAAAAATTTGAATCAAACAAATCAACTAACATAACAACTCCAGTTATTAAAGAATTCAAAAATAGGGAAAAAAACAACGCTGAAGAAACTGAAAATTTGACTAACCATCCTTATCAAGGTAGACTCTATAATGTCAGAACACCTGACCTGAATAGAATTATCAAATTTAGGAAATCATATGCATCACCTAGGCAAAACCTTTTAGAGAAATTTAAAGCTCAACAAGAAGATAGTGATTTTGATGAAACTTTGTCTTCACAAGAAAATACCAGCTCGGAAACTCACTCTACAATAGTAGACAGTAATAAAAAAACTATTCCATATGTAAACAATACAACTGTGCCAGACATAAATGATAACATAGAAACCATACCAACAACAAATGATAAATCTATTAGTAGCATAAAGTCTTTTGATAAAAGCCAATTCAATATTGATGAACATGTTTCTAATAAACTTGAAGAAATTTCTTTCAAATCTTCATCAAAAACATGCTCTTCTGTAGAAACAAAAGATGATATTGCATCTACTTTACAGCACAAAAAAAAGCAACAAAATATAACTAAATATCACCAATTATTACTAGACACTAAAAATATCAAAAACACAGAAATTAATAAGCAAAGGCTCTCTTCTCCACCAAAAAACTCAATAATATATTCAGTTGAATCTAAACAAAGTCAGTCACAAACTAATGACTGTAAAACATCTTCTATAATACAAAACCAAAGTAATGGAACTATAGTATTTGACTCACAAACTAATGCTTTCCTTTCTTCAAATAGAATTCAAAATAGGAAAGATCTAGGAGATACTCAAATTATTGCGTCTACTTTGACCTTCTCTTTGGATAATAAATACAATAAACTCTTAAATTTCCAAAAAGATTTGAATTATATAAACGAGCAAGATGAATTAATCCATGATAAATCAACTGATCAAGAAGAAACCCAGTCTGTTTGCTCCAAAAACAATCATAATACCTCAATTGTAGAAACACAACCCATAATTTATTCCCACTCGAGTTCTACAAAACAAGATGAGTCCATTAAAGATAACAATCAATTAGAAATAAAATCCATTGTTATAAGTGAAAATGCAAATGACATTTCCACACAATCATTTCAAGATAGCCTTGATAAAATTGACATGAGTTATTCTCAAAATAAAGAAATTTCAAATATTGAAATTCCTCGAACAAGTTCCCCAGAGAAAAAGCACAGCCAATCAAAACTTATGAATGCTATTTTTCCCTCAGAAGAAGATGAAAACGATATTTTTATAAATAATCGCAATACTGTAAAACTTGAAGTCTCTAGGGTTCCAAATTATGGAATAATACGAAATGATTTGGATACAATTAATTCCAATCATGAAATAATTAAAAGTGACCTCGACGAAAGTGAAGATTTATCTGAAATAGATGATTACTCTGACTATATTCCTACAGATAATGAAAGTTCCATTCCATACCAAAATATTTTTACAAATGTTTTTAAACCTGATAGAAATACCAATAAATTAATTACAAATTTTCAACATGACAAAATGTCACAAAATGAATTGACTACTCAGAATACAGATATTGATGATTCGCAAAGAATTATTATTAAGAGAAGATCTACTAAAAGACATTTAGAAACGATAGAACTAAGTGATGGAGAAGAGAATGACAGTGCAGAGATATCATTCTACAAAAAATCAACATTAATGAATAATTCTAAAAAAAAATATATTTGTAATAAAGACAATAACAATAATACTGCAGAGTACCCCAATGATTATAGAACAGCTGATGCAGAATCTTTAACTAAAAAAGATATTCACTTTAAAAACGCTATCTGGTGTCAATATGACGTAGATCTTAAATATTATCCCGGGATTCTTTTAAATACAGATGAAACAAATGGGACTTGCTTGGTTCAGTTTGTCTCTGGAAAATATACAGGTAAATTAAAAGATATATCATATCTAGACATTCAAGTCGGTGATGAAGTACAGGATGAAAATAATATATCCTACAGAATATGTGGATTACAGTGTTTGAAACCAAATCCAAATACCATTAGATGTATACGAGGATATGACACAGTTGTACTCAGAAAAACTGGCCATCTTCATAATGGAGAACATTTGTTAAAAGCGTTAGGTGATATTCGTATTACTATAGAATCATGGGCTAAAAGAAGTAGTATTGAAGAACGTGTATACAACACTTTAGAATCGTACAATCCTCAGTATCAAACGCATATCACAAAGCGACATACAAGAGCACAAACTATTTCTCCAACAAAAAGTAACCGTTCAAAAAAACTAAACTATTCAGAACCTGAGAGTGATGAGGATAGTGATAATGATGACGATGCTGATGACATTAAATCGCAAGTGAAGTGTACAATCAGAAGACTTATAGAATTATCACAAAACATTTCCAAATCCAACAAGAAAATATTTGATCAATGTGTGTTTGTTCTAACCGGTATTTCAGCACTCCAAGATAGATTATCCCGTTGCATTAAAACAGGAGGTGGCACAATAATTAAGCAAGGGTTCAAACAGTTATTTGAATTTGATATATTGGAACAAAGGAATCACTTTTCTACAATCCATTCTCTCAAGTTAATACTCAAATCAAAAGTAGTTTCCAATAATTATAAATTTGCTTGTATTCTCAGTGATAGGCATTCACGTAGTTTGAAATATTTGGAAACATTGGCATTAGGTTGGCCCACTTTACATTGGAAATTTATTGAAGCATGCATAACACATAATGAAATTCATCCTACACTAATATATCAGTATCTTCTTCCTTCAGGTATCAGTTTCAGATTAGGATCTGCACTTGAAAATGGAAAACCACCTGTTTTGTCCAACAATATTTTTGAATTTTATTCTAATTTTATTCAAGATACCACAATACAAAAACAAATCGAAATAAGGCAAAATGTTTTAGAAAATTATACAATCATTCTTTGTGGAAAACTGGAATTGGATAGTATGCTAAAGTTCTGCTTTGCAGCATTAGGAGTTTCTCGTTTAATCCACACTTGTAATATCAATGATTTAATAAAAAAAGAACCAGCTTTCATTGACAAAATCATACATAAAGATGATCCAGATATAGATAAAGTAATTTTTTTCATCAATGAAAAGGAGAAAGGAATTACCAGTTCCTTAAAAAATATTAAAAGGATATTTCATGAGAAGTATGAAAAGCCTACTATTGAATATCATATTGAAACAAAAGAATGGTTAATCCAAACCCTAATCAATAGAACTAGTGGATTTAGTTAAGATTTATATATACATATATTCTTAAGAAAATAAATGTACGTCTTTTTAATAACAAAAAAACTTTAATACACTTAAAAAGTTTTTATCAATAATATCTTTACATAACATTTAATACAATAAAATACATTACATTATTAATGAATATATAATTAATTTGATTTTACCATCATTTTTTAACACATAACATTGGTACCACAAGAGGCTGCCTTTTCCCTATTTGCTACTCACGTGTAATTTAGAAAGTCTTATCCAATCATTTTCTTGTTTCAGAATTTTTTCTAGATTTTCGAAATCATTTATCATCTCTCTTAGAAATTTACAATAAGGATAATGTTCTGTAAGTGTTTTAAAAAAACATTCTGCAATAATCACAAACCTTAAGGATAACTGGTATTTTTCTGAAAAAGTTTGTTTATTCATCGAGCCATGATGGGTACTACTGTACATGTGTAATAAATTAACCGAAGAAGCACAAGTCTCTTGCCTTTCCTTCATTGATTTAAGAAAATCTCTATCCACAACCTCTTCATCTGTTGGGTTAAACAAAAATTCATTATTTTGACTCCAATCTGTCATATTAAGAAAAGAAGTATCATTAAAGGAAGAAAGAAGAATATTGTTGATTGTATTTTCAATGTGTTCTATATTTCTTGAAGGATATGTTGTATTCTTCGAAATATTATCCTTGGTAATATCAAATATCTGGAATTTTGAGTCAAAGAATGGAACAAAAAGAGGAATCAAAAAGTTATTAGCCATGTTCTTGAGATCAATAAAAATACAAAGCAATTTGAAGTTTGGCGTCAACTCGAAGTCCAAGATAAATTTTATAATTATCAAAAAGTTATAATAGAATCCTCCTAAATTAAATATTGTTAGTTTTTTTCTATCAAGTAAAATATCAGTTTCTGTACTCTCTTCTTGAACAAATAGCCCTGCAATATTCTGTATGGAATAATTTAATGCAACCAGAAAATCTGTTAATAAATGATAAGAATGGCTAGTTAACATATTAAAATTTCTAGAATCTAAAAATGAACTGAATAATAATCCCACATTTCCAGTCCATATTTTACTACTAATATCTTTATCTACCTCGTTAAGAAAAATCATAACCATTAAAAAATTTTTTAATGTTGAACTATTTTTCACCAAAAACGTTGCTGGTGATTCACGCAGATTATCTAAGAGATGCCCTGATGAGATATTCATTTCCAATTTTCTTGTATTAATTCTGGTTAAAAAAATATTGAATGAAAAAAATTTTCTTAGTTTGAACTCATAAAAAATCATAGTCTTGGCCAAGGATGCTGGAATTGGATAATACTCAGAATGAGTAAAACTAAAACTATTATAAAATTCCTTAAAAGATATACTGTGCAATTTTTTCACCAGATTTATAGTGGTGTATGAGCTATGATCCACTGGTGAATAACTTTCCCAAATACTTTCATCTTCTGGAATGCAAAGATCCTCAATATCCTTTTCATTCAAAAATGATTTACTACGAATGTTGTAACAAATATCCAAGTATTGACAATATTCATAAAGCATCAAAACAGATCTTATTTTAGCTTCAAACAGTAAGAATTGAAACGAATTCTGGAAAGTAATATCGTGAAAATGTGGCATAAATGGATCAATCAAGAAAGATTTTATAGAAACTAGTTCTAAATAATTTCTTCTTACAATTGAACATATAGCACTCACCTGTCTTTTCACAACATCTGATCTAATATTCTTGACTTCATCTACAAACAGAGCAAAAATAATGTTCAAAATAAATACTTGAATTAACCATGTACATTTAGAATTCTGACTAAAAACATTGATATTATTCTTCTCATAATGACTTTTTTCAAATTCCAAAAATACGTGTAATATGCGCTTACTAATCTCATACAATACTATAGTCTGTTGATGATCACCTTTTTGGAAAAGAGATCCTATTGTAGCCATTAATAATGGCAGGCATACTGTTTTAGCCATGTTAAAAATATCATTGTTCTGTTCAAATTGCAAATGCACTTCAGTCAATTCATTATCTTCATGCAAGTATCTTTGAAAGGACAAAAAGTCACAAGACAATAGACTTGGATGAATAAATGGGTAATATACCAGAAAATTATCTCTAAATAGTGTCAAAAATTTGTTTAATTCAAAACAGGTTGGCAATAACAAATTACCTGACTCAGGAACTGAATTCCCAAGATAATTTTGATAATTACCATAATTTTCTAGGTAATATTTGAGAACAAAACGACAATAACTGCACAGTTGATCATTAAACAATTTAGCAGTTACTAAATCTTTCATTATAGTATTATTACTATTTCCTTCATTATAACCATACAGTATTTGTTGAGTAGATATGCTTTCTCTTGGTGAGGGTTCTGAATTACTAGATAATGTCAAATAATCGATACCGTATAACGAGTATGTCTCTAATTTGTAATGATCATTATTCCTGCCACTGTTACTATGATAATTTCCAATAAGATTTTTATTTTCTTCATGTGTTGTAATATTTTCCGAAGGACGTAACTGATGATTATTATAAATATGATCAAATAATGATGGAATCTCAATTGTTGATTGAAAGAATGCTGAATTAAATGTAACTTTTTCCACTGCATTATTTACTGATGATCTGTCATTATTGTGGCTATCTAGAATCCCATCAGTAAAACCACTGTTTCCATATTCATGTAAAGGTGACATAGATAACGTATTAAATGATATTGTATTTGAGTATTGCAACCCAGATATATTTTTTTCTGTTTCTGAAACCCCCAACCCTTGCCCCCAACTCATTGGCGTTTCAGTTGTAGAAAGAGTATCAAAGTCTAATGTTTTAAATTGTTTTGATGAGTCAATATCAGAGTTGACATTTCCATGCTTATCAGTGTTAGTATTGTTGTTGGAATTAAAATTAAACCTATAGTTTTCTCCATATTTCGAGTTATCTGGTTTCTCCAACATACCACCCACATTGAACTGTTTTATATTCAATGGTTTTAAATCATCTAAAGTAAAATCTAATGAAACATTTTCCAATACCTGATTCAATTTAATTGAACATTGTTTACTGCAATTACTTCCTGACTCAAAACTGCCATTTTCTATAGACGAAGAACAGTTGTTGTTTTGGCATATATCTACTTCATCAAGTTTTATCTGATTAATATCCTCCAAATCAAAGAGATTATGAAAATCTAGTGGAACTAAGTCTGGCGTTGCAAATTGGATCTTATCTAATGATGATAATTCATTTGAATGACATAAAGATGAAACATAATTTTCTGCGGATTGTGCACTAAAAGAAGCACGTCTTTTTGAACCTGAATATAAAGATCTAAGGTTATTATTACCATGTGTATTTATTTGAAATTTTTTTGTAGAGCATCTATCTGATTGAGTTAAGTTTTTATTTTGGATATTATTTACTGACTGTTTTGGTTTTTTAAAATTCGTATCAGTTGAGATCTTATCGTTATCATTATCATTATCATTATCATTACTATTACTATTACTATTACTATTGTTATTCATGTCAGAGATAGTAGACAGTGGTGTTGGCACAAACGGACTAATATCACTAGTGAATATAGGTGAAATAGATGATTTTGACGAAAGTAAAGAAGGAATAATAATTGCATTATTTATTGTAAAAACTGAATTGGTTCCTTGCTTAGGTATGGGTTCATTCTTTTTATTACAATCAGTATTATTATTATTAGTGTTGCTATTACTAATGACTCTTTTAGAGACAACACCTGTACTATGCCTTCTATTCTTAATTATAGGAGCACTCTTATTATCTCTTGGTGTACTAATACTACTACTACCACCTCTATTATCAGTATTATTATTACTATTATTTGCAGAGTTACTTCCAACACTATTTTCCCTTGGTCTTATTGAGAGAGATTTTTTCCTTGACCTACGTCTAGTTTTTAAAATATTTTCACCCATGTTACCGTTGTGAACTTTTAAAGTATGTCGTAATAATAAATCACGTCTTGTGAAATTTCTATCACACATCCCACATTCGTAGGGTCTTTCATTTGTATGAGATCTTTCATGTCTTGTTAAATGTTCTTGCCTCGAGAAAGCTCTGATGCAAACATTACAAACGAATAATCTTCGTAATCCACTTGGTGTAGTGCCATTTAATTTTAAATTTTCTGGTACTACTTTGGACCTATTATTAATCTTTGAATTCATAAAATTTGAGTCTGTGACATATTTAATTTCTGTTGTACTTTGTTCTTGAATTGATTCATTTTTCAATAATCCGGGCATTGTTGAATTATTATTATACATGTAAATTCTTTTTTCTTTTCTTTTCTTTTCTTTTTTTTTTTGTAAGAAAAAACCTTTAATTGTGTTATTAAAATGAATTTTATATTAATTTTGTAAATTTATATGTGAAAATAAATACAACTTTACTATATATATATTATAGATATTTGAATATATATATATATATATATATATATTGCGTTCAATGTGAAAGAAAACAGCTAGAGGATAAGAGATAGAGTAAATTTACTAATTTCAATCCTTATAAAAGAAACAAAGAGAAAAAGAAAAAAAAATACAAAAGAGAAGAGGGAAGAGAATAAAACAACAACCGCAACCGCAACCGCACGCACACTCGCTTATTTCACGATAATTTCACCATACTTTCCCACTTTAATAGTGATGACGATTCTAAAAACGAGCTGAGTTGACGAACACCATTACAACTATCATCATCAACACTACATTGCTGCGGATATATATGAAATATCAAGCGAAACTCTGCTGAATCCTGTTGGTCTCAGTGGGACATTCTCAGGTTCTCAGGTTCACAGATTCGCAGATTCGCAGATTCGCAGATTCGCAAATTCTCAGACTCTCAATTACTTATTTCTCAGTTTCTCGCAATTTCTCTTTGTTGCAATTCGCAAAAATATATGAACCGTCAAATCCTATTGGTATATTCAACGAAACAAAACGAACAATTAATGTCTTGTTTTCCCAAAAACCACGGAAACAATCGGAGTTTTGCCAACTTTTATTCAAACTTTTGGACAACTCTCCCTTTTTTCTTCAGCAGCGCACACACCGTCCGGAGTTTCGGTTGAAAGGAGATTTTCCCTCAAACAAAACAAAACAAAACAAAATAACAGCCGCCCCCCGCCTTCTCTATAGCATCATAAACAATAAACGAAAAATAAAGTGATAAAAAATAAAAAAAAAGAAAAAAGAACCAACGCAAACAAACAAATATATTACTAACACAAAAAGACAAAAAGACAAAAAAGATTGGATGGGAGAAAAATACCCTACATCTCCTTGGGTTAGGGTTTTATAGAAACAATCCTAAGAATCATGTATTCACCTAAATTTCCTGTATTTTACGGTTAGGATTAAACAAATGAAATCATATATCAATCTTTAAAATCAACCTTAACTTGATATATTACACACCAAAGGAATAAACGTTATAAGGTTAAAATAATAATGATACTTCTAATTTTAGCTACTCATCTTCTTATTTCTTTTTTATTTTACCTTATTTTGCCTTAATATTTAAATAATGTTAGTACAATTGCATATATATATATATTGATAAAAAAGACATACATTCTATTTAATCATAAAATAGCAATTAAAGAAAAAAAAATTAAAAAAAAGAAACAAGTAAACCTTGCTCACAACACAACTCCAAAACCAAAAGTTAATTTTATTGGTTTCACATAATAATCTTCAAAATTTGCACGAACACGATCCTCTTCTCCTACAGGAATACCACTCCATGTCAATTGAATCTTTGTTTCATGATATTCTGAAGATTCATGAAATTCCATGTCCATTGTAGAGTACAAATTTTCTCTCCAATCCTTTAATCTCCATTTAAGGACTAATTTACTACCCAACTTACTCTCAACTACCTCACTCTCAATGTTACCATTAAATAATTCAAATCTATCACCAACCATAAAATATTGAGACCCAGTACTCTTATTCTCATCAAATTCTCTGATTGGTGAACGGGACCACATCATTATACGTTCTTTATCGATAAAAGTATTAAAGATTTCTACTGCTGGAACGTTAAAGGATGGCTCTAAATGAATTGTCACTGTATTGGCACCACCTGTGTTTACAATAGGGATGTCCTTGTTATCCAAAGTTTTCACAACAGCTTTAGAAGATGATATGTCTTTGACAGGAATTGACTTGTTAACTGTGGTTGCTGTCTTCTTGGAACCAGTGGTGGAAGAAACATCTGCAAAACTGTTTTGTTGATTGGCTTTAGTATATTGAGATTGCACCTGCTCTTCAGGGACTTGAATGTCATTCCCATGTTCAAATAACAAATCCTTCCCAAATTGATGGAAAATGCTTCTTAATTGAGATAACAAATACTCTCTAATTACGGGTTTCACTTCGTTCAATTTACTAGTCTCTTTATAAATAGAAATCTCAAATTGATAGTCATCTATATTACTGTCGAACGCAACTTCAGGCACCACTATACTTCCCTCAAATTCATCTTTATTAACATGACCTCCAATTAGCATTGCAATTTTTAAATCAAACAACGAGATCACTTTCCCCTTACGTTGATTCACCTCACAATCACCCTCAATAGACAATATAGACTTTATTTCCGCATATTTCCCATCATGTTCCCCAGTATTCAACTGAACCAATTTTGACTTGAAATATTCACGTGCCCAATCAATACAATTCTTATCAACCCAGTGCCAATTATTTGGATTAACAACCATTTTTCTTTGTCTTTTTTTATTATATATCTTTAAGTTTGGTTTTTGTCTTGTATTTTGTTTTATAAAGTTATCAGACTATCTTATGTATTTAACTGTAAAGAAAAGAAGAAGGACTTATAAAACATAATTAATGACAACTTAAACGCAAGTAAACTCTATGTTATGCATAGATACACAGACACATATATATGTATGTTTGAAACATTACATTGCTAATTACTATTCTTTTGTTTTTCTTTTCCTTTTTTTTTTTTTTTTATTTTATTTTTTTTTTGATGCATTTATTCCACGGAATTTTCTAGAATTTTAAAGTTATCCAGGATTCGAAAGGTTTTCGTTTCTATAATATACTTCCACCAGAAAGTTTATACAACCAGCATGCCCTTTCTCTTATGCTAAGAACATAACTTACACATAACTTATACTTTTTATTTATCTCGCTTATGTATAGAGAAATTAAACATCTATATCTATAATGGCATATATCATTGGTCATCAATATGTATATTTTACATGAAATCGGATAAATTGCTTAAAGTCATGGATGGTAAGCCGCCTCCCAAAAAATCAAGCATCATATGCATACCACCACCTCCACTATACTCATCGACATCTTCTGGCAAAACTTGTGATATTCCCTCTAAAAACCAAAATTCTTCCTTCACTCTTGTAGTAAAATTAGTTAGCAATTTATAATACACTCTCATTATCCTCATTGCACTTAAATCACCTGTCATTAATAATGCTAAAAAAGTTTTATCTAATAATGCAGGGAAAGTAAATATCCTGAAAATCAAATTTGAATCATTAATTTCATTATGTAATATGTTCAGATATGCTAATGTGATCAAATAGGGCGAATTAATATCCACAGGATATAAATCAGCAATATTGTCATCAAAACAAACCAATTCTGATACAGTACCATCTTCTTTGTTAATAAAATCACCAAGATTAGACAAATCAACAGATATTAAGTCATGAAATATAGAGGTTTCCTTTAATGGCCAAACAGTAGTCAATATTGTAGATGCACCCTTCACATGGAAAATCCATGCTGATGATGATTGAACGCTTAATCCTGAACCTGTACTAGTTGCATTGGCTAATGAATCCATTATTAATAATAACGCACTAGCAACAAGGGCATCCGTATTGTCCTGTGATATCTCTAATACGGCCTCTCTCAATAATTTTAAAGCATCAAGCCTATGCGATGAAACATATTGTTCTAAACCAGATAAAGTCCTTGATAAGTGTGTGGCACTAAAAGCCAATAAGGAATGCATTAAATATGGATATTGAAAAGCCAATTCAGGAACATTTTGGCTCCAAACTTTAGTTGCTGAATCCTGAGATGATCCTACTGTATAACATACAATAGTACAATAGTGATAGAATAATTTCATATCTACTAAATTCAAATTTGCTTTTGTAGAAAGCGACAACAGTTTTGAAATATCATCATTCTTCTCTTCTACATTATTTTCTTTGTCATTAGAAGGTTTGGCCTTAATATTACTCATGCTCGTTGTTGCCAATGGTAATATTGGTGATAATGTTGTATTAAAAGTGGTTGCTGTCATCTGTGATAACAATGAGGTAGCTGATGTAGGATTTTCTTGCAACATTGGCGAGGTATCTGTTCTTTCTAAACTATTTAAAGAATTATTTGAATTATCAGTTAAAATATTACTAGTATTACCACTTCTACTTTCATATTGGCCTTTAATGCTATTCTTAAGACTAGGAATATTAGGGTTTGAATTTTCTTGTCTCGATGTTCTTTCTGTTTCCTTTTGCATCGTGGCTAAAGCCTCTTGTGCATTCGAAATTTTCGATGCTCTTCTGTTACTGTTTAATTTTATACCTAGTAATTCTTGAAAATCGTACTCAATACCACCAATACCAGCAGTTTGAAATATACCATTTTTATTTCTTGAAAACTGAGTTTTGTTGGTTTCCATATTGTTAATAGTATCAATATCTTTTCTATCATTATTTGTCGTAGCACTACTACTATTATTATTTTGGTTACCAATATCAACTGGTTGCTGTAACTTTTGTAAGGAAAATTTGGTCAACTGACCAAATGTTTCATCATTAAAAGGTAAGGGACTCATAGATGATTGCATCTGAGACTGCTGTTGTTGCAACTGAGTGGATAATAAGACTGACTGATCTAGTGTTGATTGAGTTAGATCTTGTTCTAATAGTTGTTGCAAAAATTGTTGTTGCTGGTTTTGTAATTGTTGTTGTTGTTGGATATGATGCTGCTGATTCTGTTGTAATTGAATTTGTTGGTGTTGTTGTAGCTGCAATTGCTGATTTAGTTGGTATTGAAGTTGTTGCTTTGTACTGTTGTTAATCATATACGGATTAATACCAATATTATTATTATTATTGTTTAGAATATTATATGGAATATTTGATGTTTGATTCATCAAACTTTGCAAATTTGAACCATTCACATAGGTATGTAAATTGCTGTTACTATTATTACTGATACTGGCTGACTCACTAACAAAACTTATTCCATGAATATTATTGATCACATTATTTGAAGAATTATTCAAAGAGGCAGATACATTATTAGCTAAAGTATTAGTTGGTGTATTACTCTGGAAAACATTAGCATTTTGTTGCGTATTATTATTACTATGAGTATTATTGTTAGTGGTATTACTATTGTTACTATTATTATTGTTATTATTCATAACTTGATTTATATTTATCTCATTTTGTAACTGGTGAATAGCATTTGTGTTAGATAATAAATTTAATAATAGATTAATATTAACATTATTTAAAGATGCAACGTTGCTCTGTTGACTTGCTAGGCTCAATATAACATCCATTATAGCAGCTAAATTATTATTACAATTCTTAGATATACTAAGATTCTGATTACTATTATTATTATTATTATTATTATTGTTGTTGTTGTTGTTATTGTTGTTGTTGTTAAATTCATTTGGAATATTTTGGTTTAAGGAATTTTGTGTAGAATTCATCAATGTATTCGGATTCATAATCATATTGAGATTAATATGATTAATATGATTACTATTATTATTATTACTATTACCATTTTGATTATTACCACTATCATTTTGGGAATTACTATTAAAATTCTTTATTACGTTTTTATTATTTTCAAATTCTGTTTTAACTACATTATGAAAATCTGTTGGATTATTTAATATACCACTTTGTTCCATCTGATATTGTCCATTATTTCCTTGTTCTACTGCATTTTTATCATCCCTTTTTAATTCTTCAAATTTATCAGATATTTCAACTGTACCATCTTCTTTCCTTGTAATATATTTAATCACTGTTTTCACTTGACGTTTAGAAGTTTTTCTCTTTTTATTATCATTCTGCAATGAATGATTTGCACTATTCTTTATGTCACCATTAATACTATTGGTTACAATATTTGGATCATTCATTGATCCCAACCCTGATCGATTACGATCATTAGTAGATTGTGCATTAGCATAAGCACATTGTAATTTAGAATTTTGACATTTTATGCATACCGGCTTTGTCTCATCACATTTAATTCTTTTTCTTTTGCAGTTGATACATCCATTTCTTGATTTAGAATGAAATTTTTTCTTACCCTTTGAGGTTTTTGAAACTCTCTTCCCATCTAACTCTATCAACTCTACATATTTCTCCTTAATACGAACATTCTCATTGATACTTACTTGATTATCAACAGTCGAACTTTCTTCAGTTTTAATTATACTACTACTACTATTATTATTGTTACTATTATCACCATTACTACCGCTATTATTAATAATATCGTTACTCTTATCCAATTTATTATTAAAAGCCATTGAATTCATTATTTTAGAGTACACATCATGATCTACTGTTGTAGGCACAACCCCGCTACTATTGTCAGTTCCAGTGTTATTATTAATATTATTATTTGCGTTACTACTAATCTTATCCATACCCTTTCCCTATTACCAAATAAATCAAACAAAAAGAACAAAGAAAAAGGAAAAAAAAAAAATAAAAGAAGGTGAAGATATACTTATATTGAACACTGTCACAACCTTGTCTTTTTGTGACCTTTAAGAAAAATAAAGTAACAACAATAAAAAATAAATGAAAGAATAGTAACTATATTTTTGTTCTATAAGTTGCCACAAATCTTTGACACTAATACCTGGTTAACTGACAAAAGGATACATAAAAAGTAAATACAAGTGATAAAAATTTAGATCACTGTCAGATCTACATATGTCGGTAAACACATGCAGGCAAATAACGAATGAAGAAATGAGGGAAACAAATACACTTTGATCGAAAAAGAGATCTTATAGAAAGACGATGTGAATATGTTGACATGGTACAAGATACTTTTCACCCAAAAACCAGTCGAGTGTCAAAGCCATCTACCCTACTGCTTTTGTTTAAGCTAACTTAAGAACAAAGACAAAATCAGAAATAAAAATAAAGTGATATCTTTCGGTTCTCAAAAAACCAAAACAAAAACGGAAAGAAGGCTTTCTTTTGACAATAAAAAATACCGGAAATAAAAAAAGAAAACAAAAGAAGTCTCTTTGTGCTACCTAAATTGGAAATTTATCCCTTTCAATTGTTTAAAAAACTCTTTTTGTCTTTTATCTTTTGTCTTTTGTCTTTTTATTTTTTTATTTGTTTTCTTTTTGTTGAATACAAAAAAAATCCACAATTCCAGATTCCAGATTCCAGGTTTGATATTTAATATCTTGAGATGTGTTATTTTTGAAACCCTAACAAGTATTATCCCCCACTTAAATTATTCTGCACTATTCTTTGTTAAACCCTACCTACTGAAGGTTTGTTGAAAGGAAAAAGACATTTATCTTCCTTTTTTTTATATATCTTCTATATATGGTATTATAGATGCGCGAGATTATTAAAGATATAATGGATTTTGGGTTCATCATATAGGTTCTAAGATAAGAATTATTAGTAAGATATCTACTTTACTCCCATTATAAAAACTACATTGACCTCTGTAACATTGATAAATAGTATTATGAATACTTACTCCTTTTCATAACCTATTGAGGTTATCTGTAAATGTATTTTCCTTCTTCTTTTTTCTTCTTCTTCGTTTTTTCCTACCCTTTAGCTGAAAATAAAAAAAAAACATATTATAGCGATTATTTAGTTCCAACCTCTGGTTGTTCTATCGTTGATTCAATACCGACCCCCTAAACTTGAAAATTTTATCTTACAATTAATCTCATTGTAGTTTAAGTATTTTATAATGCTTATTTTACAGAAATATATATATAAATATATACAAACCCATGTACATATTCTATATATGATCGGCATCCATCATAATTTTTCCTTCTTGCCCTTTTCCTTTTTCTTTTCTTTACTTATTTCGGATTAGTGATCATGTGGATCTTCTTTTGGTGGTTCAGGATCAACAGTAATCATAGTATCAATTCTTAATATAGCAATACAGGCTTCTAAAGCTGATTTCAATGACTTGACTTTAGATACAGTAGGTTCTAAAACACCAGCATTTACTTCGTCCACAATCTTACCCTTAATTAAATCTAACCCATAATTCTTATAAGCTCTTCTCTTTGTGTCATCAAGTTTGGCTGATTGAGCAGCCGAATGGTATGATCTTAACTTAGCAATTAATTCACTAGAATCTTTTGCTGCATTGACCGCTAAAGTCTTTGGAATTACCAATAAAGCCGATGCAAACTCAGCAATAGCTAATTGTTCACGAGATCCAACTGTGGTAGCAAAATTATCCAAATATATATTTAATGCAGTTTCAACACAACCACCACCAGGGACAATATTCCCACTTTCTAATGTTCTTTTCACCACACATAAAGAATCATGCATAGATCTTTCCATTTCGTCCAATGAATAATCATTTGGACCACGTAAAATTATTGAAGAAGATGAATGCCTTGACGTACCCTTAATCAAAATACACTCATCATCAGAGAACTTACTTTGAACTACTTCTTGACAAGTACCTAGATAACTTGACTCAAAGGTTTCATCACCTTCCAAATTAGACATAGAACCAACTAAGGTGGCACCAGTGGCACGAGCAATTCTTCTTAAATCTTCTTTTTTACAACGTCTAACTGCCATGATTTTAGCTTCAACAAATTCCTTCAAACATAAATCATCGATACCCTTTGTTGTTAAAACAACTTGTGCACCAGAGTTAATAATCTTTCTGACTCTATCAAGAACAATTTCAGATTCTTTTTTGCGGATCTGTTCTAACTGTTCTGGATCATCGATATTAATTTGAACACCCATAGCCATACGTGCTTTTTGTAAATTTATATCTAAACAAGCAATCTTCACATCATCACCTTTAATTTGCTTTGGCATTGCTTGGGATGCAACTGTGCAATTCAAGGCATAACCTTGTACCAGAATAGATTCCCTAGCAGACTTCCCATGTGCCTTTAATATATTAACAGCTTTAACCGGATATTTTATTTCACCTTTGGAATTTGTAGTCTTAACTGCCAATAAAGAATCAACTACCATATTACTGAAAAAATCAGAATCTGTACCAATAATTTTGGAAGACATACTTGTTTTAGCAATATTAATCAAAGTTTCCTTACCCAATAATTCCACATCTAAAGATAAAACTTCATTAATAAAACGAATAGCTTCTCTTAATGCAACTCTATAACCAGTGATAATGGTTGTTGGATGAATTTTATTTTTCACTAATTCGTTAGCTCTTTTCAATAATTCAGAAGCAATAATAACTACACTAGTGGTACCATCCCCAATTTCACGATCTTGTTGTTGTGCTAGTTCCACTAGGATTTTACCGGCAGGATGCTGAACATCTAATAAAGATAAAATAGTGGCACCATCATTAGTCACAGTGAAGTCACCAATATCATCAACCAACATCTTATCCAATCCGACAGGACCTAAGGAGGACTTAACAACGTTAGCTACAGCCATGGCAGCTAAAACATTTTGATTACGAATATCATCGCCGCTAATTTTTTCACCACCTAAAAACAAAGTGTTAGAACCAGAATTCTTATAAACTTGAGCCATTGCACTATGTATTAGTTAAACTGTTTATAATAATAGACAAACCACCAGAATTGTCAGTTTATTAATATATATCCTTGTACAATATGTACTTGTTGGAGTTAACAGTAGAAATAACAAACTTCTTCTCTGAATAATGCCAAATTTTTCACCTCTTTAATAAATCAATATTTAAAAATTTGAATATTTTTTTTTCTTTGTTTCATTAATTTTTTTTTTCATTTTTCTTTTTCATATATTACATCCCAAATTTCTCTATTTCCACATAACAACGCTTCCACCTTAAAAATAATTTACATTGAACAATGAAGAAAAATACAGAGGAAAGTATGTGATATGTGGACTATCCCTATATGTAATGCAATGATTTGAGACGTTTACTTTGAAAAGTAATCATAAAATTTCCTAATACAACTCTTTACTATATATTTTATAATTTTATGGTGTTTATATAAAAAATAATTTTAAAAAAAGAATACATATATACATATTATATGATTAGCAGTACATTAAACTGTAAACAAAGATAATTTAAAATTTAATGTATCTATTTTCCAACCATCTCTTGAAACTGAAAAGGTGATTGAAGATATATTAGATTAAATACCAAGATCACAAACTCATTGTACATAAAGATGGAAAAGAAAAAACTAAAAAGAAATTCAGAAGACAGGAAATGCTGAAAGTACACATAATAAAGTTAATAATATTAATATCACTACAATTTTTTATTTTATTCTAATTTGATCTAATTTATTTCATTTTAAAAACTAAGAAAAAAAAAAAGATAGTCCCCAAATAACAGCATTACAGTAATCAAAAGGATTGTTCATTATATTCTTTATAAAATAGTACATTTTTTACTCTTTTTAATAACTGGTGGTTCTAAAGCAGCAACAATAGCCTCATCAAACACATTCTTCAAGCCACGTTGTGTTAATGCAGAACATTCAACATATTTAACAGCTCTTAGTTCTCTAGCTAGTCTATGACCTTGTTCCTGAGTAATCGGACGTAATCTTTGCCTTTGTAATTTCTCAATTATAACTTTATCATCTCTTAAATCTATTTGAGTACCAACAATTAAACAAGGAACACCAGGACAATGATGGTGTACTTCAGGGAACCATTTTTCTTTGACATTTTCAAAAGATGGTGGAGAAATAACACTGAAACAAACCAAGAACACATCTGTAGATGGATACGACAGTGGTCTTAACCTATCATAATCTTCTTGACCTGCAGTATCAAACAAGCCCAACGTATAAGGCTCATCACCAATCATAACTGTTACTGCATAGTTATCAAACACAGTGGGAACATAATCAGCAGGAAATTGATTTGTAGTGTATGAAATTAATAGACATGTTTTACCAACAGCACCATCACCCACGACAACACATTTTAAAGTCTGCATAATGAATATATTCTCTTTAATGTATATAGATCAGATATGAAGCTCCCCCTAAGATTATTATCGACTAGAAATATATAAGATTAACTGATTCTACCGTTTTATCAATATCTCACTTCTTTTTATATTCCTTTATTTTTTGTTCGAAGAAAAAAAATATTGTTAATGAAAATATAAAGTAGAGTATAACTGTATATGCATAAAGATATAACTTTTCTGTGGTTATATTATCTTATGTTGAATTGTTTTGTCTGCAGTCTCAAAATCTTTTTTTCAATATATCTGTTTTGTTCTCTCTCTCTATCTTTTTCTAACCTTTATTTTCTCTGTTTCATTTTTTTTTTTTTTTTTTTTTTGGTTCTCTTACACATAATAAGTTATTTTCCTTGAAGATTACTACAAACAGCCGTTTTGCTGTCTAAAAGAACCTGGGAGTATCATTTCAAAATAACTTTGGACGAAATTTCTTCTTTTCTTTTTTTTTTTCCACTTATCAACTGAAAAATAAACAAATACGATACATTCAAATATACAAGACACAAAATAAGTACTTTCATGAATCTCTTATGACTAGTTATACAAGTCGACAAACAAATCGTCATGAAAGGAGATATCAGTTTCTAAAATCATCGACAAATATGTTTTTAACCACTTTTCAATGTGATTAAAACATATGTGTAAAGTATTTAATTCTATTTAAGTTAATATAGGAAGATTCACACAATAACTTTGGATCTTCAAAAAGTTTTCTTTTTTAACAACACTTTTTATGATAATTTTAAACCTTGCATATCATTTTTTTATAATCTATTTTCGATAGATACCATTTTCTACTATTAATTGAAAAAAAATTTTAGTAAAAATACTTTTCTACAAAATTTTCTATAATTTTATCTTTTTCTACAATAGCTACAGTTTCAACTTCATCCCTTGCATCTTCCTTTACTTTTCAGGCACTTTTATTTGCTTCAGACTAGCTTTCATCTTTTTTACTCAAGTTAAAGGCCTCTATATATTGTTACTTTCTTTTAATGCAACTTTTTCTGATAAAAGATTTGTGTCTATAATTAGTAATCTTTTAAAAAATATATCATCTATAAATTCTCAATCAGTTAGTAAAACACGTTGTTGAGTGTTAAATCTTCTATAAAAAATTATTAAAAATAAAAAGAGACTTAGAAATACATATATTAATAGCAATATCTTATTCGGTTGTTCCTGCCGAATTTGTTAAAAATAAATATTGTTGAAAAAAATTCAATTTCATGTAAATTGTCTTAAGATACAAGTTTTAGACTTTATATTGACCTTTTTTTATACCACCTTAATAATTAACAAGGTATGTTAATTTTGACACATATTTTCTTTGAAAAAACATTAAAAGTCTTCTCTGCTGAAAAATCTTATTTTTAATTATTCCCTTATTATTTTTATGCTTATCGAACCACTGGAGTCTTGATGAAAATAAATTTATAAATACATACATACATACAAATACACTATTAGTACATGCTATTTAATCTACTAAAATACACACGCTTCTATCAAACATCTACTATTATTTTTTCAATCTTCTTCTTCTTCTTCTGAGGATGACTCTTCATCGGCAGTTCTTAACCATTCAACCCATTTTGATGTTAATTTCTTAACTTCATCATATTTTGGATCATCGGAAATCGTATCCCACCATTTATATATAACATCCTCTTCCAAAATATCATTGTCATATAATGTATTTAATGCACTGAATAATATTAAATCGTGTCTTTCAAAGTTTTGACCAACAATTGTGTCCATAATAATATTCATCAAATCAACATATTCTTCCTCATCAAAAGCTTGTCTTTTGAAGAGTGGTCCCCATAGAGTAAATACTTTGGTAGTAGCATCCTTCGCTCCAAGTGTTTGTGTTGCTATAAAATGATATACTCTGTTCACTAAGGCAGTGACAGTTACCAGTCTGACTTCATGGTATGATACATTCATACTCATTCTCAAAGTGTTTAATTCTAACATAGCTGTATCTAAGTCGTGGTTATTTTCTAATGCTCTTTGAACAGTAGCAAGACCTTCCACTGCAAAATCTTCTTCCTCATCTTCTGATGAACCAAAATCTTCTTTGTCTGTATACATACTACTAGTGGACATAGTTCTCTTCTTCTTAACTCTTTTCTTAGTAGACGATATTGACGCATCACTTAAATAAAGATCTTCAATATGATGTACCAATGAAGTAGATATCTTATATGAACCGTTCATAGTGTCGACCTCCTCATCAGAAGAGTCACTGTTATAAACATACCCAACACCATTGGTTCCAACAAGGTTGGTAGATAAAGAAAACTTATGTTCAGTGGTCGACGACCCTGTTTCATCTTCACTTTCACTATTATCTATGTTTTCACTAACTTGCAAACCAAAAGCATTATCCTCAGTAGTTCTAATATCTTTAGCAGACATTTTCGTACCTTTTGGAATTACAACATTACCTTCAATGACAACATCAAATCCAATAATACAACCATCTTCTAGTGTTACATTATCACCTAGCTTGGCATTAGAAGCTACAATAGAATGACTTATAACATTACCTTTACCTAATACTGCATTATCCCAAATATAACTGTCCTTGATGATAATATTTTCACCGATCTGACAATTCCTACCAATAATGGAATTTTCAATTATAGTACCTTCTCCAATTCTACTGTTAGAACCGATTGCAGTACATTTACCTATCTTACATGATTGGGCCAAGACAACATTACTTTCTTTATATATATGACCTGATTCATACGAATAGGTTTGATTATCACTCATGTTGGACTCCAAAACCATTGGATAACACCATCTACCCAAGTAATCTTGAGAAATAGTGTCATAAGTTTGCCAACTCTCTACACGAACTGCATATTCATCTGTAATATAAGCATAAATATGCTTACCCAGAATATCACTGGAAATAACACCTTTGACAAAATCAGTTCTTAGTGATTGATAATCAAAATTTTCTTGGAATATTGGAGGTACATGTGGTGTACAAATATCAATTCTACAATCAATCAAATCGTTTCTAATGACGAACTCGTCAACGCTATCCAACAATTCAGGGTCAATTTCTACAGGTGGTTTTTCTTTAGAATTAATAGGATGTAAATCTTGATAATATATACATCTATTATTCTTCTTCTCTAAAATAAATGCAGCAGGTTCATTAGTTCTTGTCTTATAATATTGATTGGCTTTACTTAAACACATAGTTGCAATGTGATCTTTATCTTGAGCATGCATTTTTCGATGAAAATCTAGCATCTTATTAAAATCAACATTAGTCACTACATCACCGCTGATCAAAATAAAATCACCAGTAATCATACCTCTATTATCCAAATCTCTCATCACATCACCAACAGACCTAGCTTCTGGAGACATAATAGTAACAACTTTAAATGGTGCCCATGGTAAATTCCATTTTGAATTTTCGATATATTCTGCTACTAAATTAGCATGAGAAGAACAAATTAAATAAACCTCACTGACACCTGCTTTAGCTAAAAATTCCAGGGTATATTCAATTAACGGAACATTTGCTAATGGTAACAAACATCTTGGTTTGACAGCAGTCAAAGGCATGAATCGAGTTTCGAAGGAATCTGTTAATACCACAGCTTGTAAACGATCTTCAACGTCAACATCTTGCTTTTTGGAAGAATTTCCTGAATTTTCGCCTCTATTTCCTTTGTTCTTTTTACCAGCCATTGTGTATACAAACTCAGTTAGCTATACGTCTTGTGTGATTAAGAATATACTATTTCTGCTTCTCCTGTGTTATATAATTATTGTGTTCCCAACCACATTATTAACAACTCATCACTCATATATTTTTGAAATAGTGTAACTAAATCTTCTCCATTAAAAAGCTCAATAAAATAAAAGCTATAAAAATTTCATCGCTTTTTACGAAACTTCAAAAAAAAAATAAAAAGAAAGTGCTCGAGGTGGGGTTTGAACCCACGACGGTCGCGTTGCTCACAGGTAGAACTTTCATCCACTTGAGTATAGAAATTCCGACGACACCGGCAATCACTATAAGCACGAAGCTCTAACCACTGAGCTACACGAGCATTTTCAATCTCCTTCTATGATAATGAATCAATATAAAGATTAAAATAGAGTATTTAAATAATAAATTTGTTAACATATGAGTTAATCTCTATAGATATTTTATATAGACTTTACTGGTTAATTTCTTTTTTCTTTCTACATGAACTCTTTATATGTTATAGAAAAGTAATATAAGTAAGACTTGATTATTGTAAACTCACTAATTAGTAAGTCTAATTGAATATGCTACTCACTTAATATTATTAATATACAATCCAGAACTGTGTTGTAAAACTTACCGTGAATGGGTATACCACAATGAAACGTCTCTTGATACACTAGAAAATTTGTTCATAAATTATAGGAATACAAAACACATTTTCATAGTGACAATAATACTCAATTCCAATCTTACAATTCTTACAGCTACGATAATGGCAATACCCAGAAATATTATTAAATTAAAGAGTTTACGCAATACAGAGAATATAATAAGTGTACACAAGTATTTAAAATCAAAAAAAAAAACAAAAGGCATCTATAGCTTAATGATGACTTTCACTACCAAGGATACTAAGTGCTTTACATTCCAACAATTACAATTTTATTGATTGATATACCAATAGACTCTTGGTATATTTTGATATATTTACCAATAATAAAATATTGTTCTAATTAGTTTCTTTCTCTTTTTTTTTATTTTCACATTTCTTGTTATATCCATTTTTATTTTTTTATTTTGTTATTCAATTATAATAGCCCTTATTCTTTGAATATCCCTTGTATGTAATTTTTATGTCTTTTTTTTATCTTTACTTGTTATTATATTTGCCACTTTCCTGGGATTTCTTTTCTTTAGACTAATACTAGATCTGAAGATTGTCTAAATTAATGTGTAAGGAGCCCCAACTGAAAATCCTTAAATACGTAGTTTGTGGGTAACACCTAATGTTGAGGCGAAGGACTTGGAACAACCGAAACTTTGAGCCCAAGGTTGCGAGTGTATTCGAACGAACATATGATCGTCGGATGGACATTGGTGGCAAACTATGAAGAAGCTTACTTAAGAGATCCTTGCTTATTGAGAGATAGTGCCAGAGGTAATTATCAGCATTAATATTCGTAATCTATCTAATAGGTGAACGAACAAGTCGAATATCCAAGACTAATCTATTTAATAGTTAGAATCAATCAATTATATAATTTGTAAGTGTTTATATATGCTGGAATAATATATTACGGGTTTGGGTAACATGTAAATATATCAAAGAGAAAAAATGTTTGTTTTGCACATTCAACATTATGGAGATAAGATCAAACAGGATCAAAATAAATTAATATATTATGAAAAATTGCTTAAAGGTAAACATATATAAGTAGACAACTTTACTTATTAATTTTCCAATTTGGATGAATAATTTTTATACACTTTATCATATGTTTCAGTTGAAATAGAATGTTCTATAATGAAATAGATAGAACAATAAGATTTTAGTAGACACTAAACGATAAATTGTTGAGTAATAATTGTTGAGAGATCACTAAAGGTTGTTGAGCTTGTTTATTAAATATCTTACTGTTCTCAGGGGAAAATGGCTTAATGTTAACATATATAAAGCCAAGGATTTCATCATACATTATTTTTATCTTATTTACAATCTTTGTATATTATTATTTCTATGTTGTATATAGAGAAAGAAAGTGAAGAACTTTATTATAATTTTGTATACTAAATCTGTTTAATATAATATTGAGAATGTTTACTATATATCCAATGAATAAAGGCGCTCATTCTCAACAGTTTCTTTCATATTTATATAATTATTAATTCACAATTAAGAGATCGAGGGAAAATTACTCTACATATTAACATAATAATAATACATAATAATAACATATAATATGATCTCCGACGCTAAAGACATGTATACTAATATTATTCATCCAGAGGAATATATATAATTAATATCCTTATTTTAGTATATCACTTGAAATAACTCTTACTGTAAGAGTTGTTGTATGTAAATGGATGAATTGTATCAATTAGTATAAGTATAAACACTCGTATGTAAGCTCTATATATCATTAATTAATAACCCTGATGTTGTATTATTTCTTCTTTTTATTCTTGTTGTATGATATTAAGAGTTGACTCTTCATATCATTACTAAGATGTATTTAAATAAAATGATTACCCCTGGCATATCTTTCAATAATCAAAGGCCTCTTGACAAGATCTGATATAAATCTCACTCCCTGGAAATCCTCCAATCAGATTCAATACTGGAAATCATTAAGTTATAGTGAACAGGAGGAAGTTATAAGAAAAACCAATTAAGGGGGCATGTTGGAAAATGAGAGTTTATTACTGTCATTTTCATAAGAATTATTTTTAATTAGTTTTTCTATATATCATGTGGTGTACGGATGTACATAATATCAGGAAAACATTTTAATTGTCACCAAATATGTCTTTCGAAGATTTGAAAAGAAATGAAAAACTTTAAAAGAAAACTTAAAGTAAATAAAAGAATGTATACTGAATACACTATATAATAAATATGTACAGGTATTTAATACAAAAACAAAAACAAGTATCTATAACTTAATGATGTCTATCCTTACCATGGACGCAGAAGGCTCCAAATTCCAACAAATACCTTATACGAGCCGCTGCGCACATGGCTGTACCAATCCTCCACCCAGACACTCAGGTGTTATCCTCGGAATTGCGTATCCACTGGATTTCCAGTTAGGTTCCTTACACTTACATACTGTTAATCCTTGAAAATTTCTAATTTTATTTTAAGTTTTTTTTAGTTTCTGAGTTTTTAGGAAAAAACCTTTTAGCAGAGAAAACAATAATATGAAAAAAAAAGTTTACTCTTTTTTTTTAAAAAAATAATTAAATGGTAACGATAAGTGGTATAAAAAAATATGGAGATTAATCATAAACATAAACACTTACAAATTACATAATTGCCATGTCAAAAATGAGTACTCGTAGTAACTGGATAAATAGCAAACATTCTCAATATTATAATTAAATAGATATAGTATATAAAATTATAGTTAAGTTCCTCCATTTCCTTTTCTATATATGATATATATTTAATGATATATAAAAGATACATAAGGGAAGAAATATGATATGAAAAAATTATTGGTCTTATATATTTTCATATCTGGCACATCTCGTCCACGCACAGCACCAAATTGTTGATATTGACTCGTTTACATCTACCGTTAAGCAAACAATGCATTCTCCACATTTTGTTATCAATTTATGTTTGCTAAAATCTAATCGGTTTATCTATCTATTCTAGAACGTTTGATTTCAGTAGGTTAATTCTAAATTAATGAATATATTAGTCCAAGTTATTCTCACTATTCTGATCCGTCTTTCTCTAGGTAAAACCTATTAGATAGAATATAATTATTAATGCTGATAATTACATCTGACATCATTTCTTAATAATCAATGGCTTTTGAAGTAAACTTCTCAGTAATTTGCTACCAATATTATTCTGACAATTGTTTTTTCAAATATACTTACCACCTAGGCCCAACGTTTCGACTGTTCCAAGTTCTTTGTCTCGACATTTAGCGTTGTCCACGGATTACCTATTTTAGGATTTCCAACTGGGGCTTCTTAGAGATATTAAACGTAGAAACTAAGAATTTTTTTAACCCCTTATTATGTGCAATTTTGTATAACTTTATTTTAAGATTAGAATCTCAAAAATTTTTTTAATATTCTATTCTTATTAAGTTCAAGTTATTATCATATATTGTGGCTAGTAACAAATATTAGTGGGTACTCTACACAATATATTTAACATTATTCAAAATATAAACCACTTGAACTGATTTGAAGAGCCAATAGAAGAATGATCAGAACATATAAGGTAAACTTTAAACTAATTTCTCATTTATCATATACCTTTTAATAGTTAATGTCTTGAACAATATACACTGCTATATTTTGTATAGAAGGTATACATATAATATATTTTTTATAAATCAAAAAGCCAATTGCTATCCAGCCTCTATAGTGTATAATTACATAATCATACATATGAATATTTATGTATATTGGAAAAATTGGATGATACTTTGCTATGAATCAATAGGCAACTGAAAATAAATTATTCATCTTAGAGTTGAAATTTTATGGGTAAAAAAGGTAATGAACCTAAAGAAACAAAGTTCATTATTTCTTTCTAAGTATTATGTGATTATATTTTATATTTATACACATTTGTTTTTATACATCATTTATAAAAGATTGAAAAAAAATTTAATTATAATAAATACACTAATACTTCTAACGATTATCCATGGTCACCAGTCGCAGCAATATCTTAGATGTATTTTTTTTACAAATGTGCTATCAAAAAAAACATAATACTTTTTTTCTTTATATGTAAGTAATATAAAAAATTGTGGAACAATCAGTAAGATATTTTTATTCGAAATGATATAATAGCGACAATTCTATTCAAGAAAGCATTTAACTAAACTGTAAAAACTTCAATTCTATTGTTATTACCTAAATGAACTTACATATCATATATGTTTTTTCTTCTAATAAATTGTGAGAAATCACAAATCATTATTTTGCACACTTATCCCTGTCCAGTAAATTCTCTAGTGCATGTCCGAACATAAAAAATTCTATGGAACGTTTTATTTAGAATTCTCAAAAAAAAAAAAAGCAAAATAAACAGAGAAATGTCTCATCCTAAAAAGTAACCATAGACAACTACTGGTAATAAACTGAGCTCATTCCCTCTTCAAACTACTTGATAACTTTCTCAAGAATTTGCTATACTATGGAACTAATATATATATGTATATATACATATTAAAAAAAAATCATTTTTATAGCATATTTTATTAGTATATTAACTAAAAGCCTAATTCATTGTACATAATATTGATACAAATATATATAAGTACAAAAAAAAAAATAAAACACAACTATATACACAAATCTATCCTTTTTAGACCAGTCATATAGCGTAATAATTTCCAACTCTAATATACAACAAAAAGTAAATGAATAAAACCTTCTATAATTGATTAATACCAGAATACCTTTGTATGATTAATCTCCACAACATAATTCAAGAAGACAACAACACAACATAACCTTACAAAAAGTACCACAACAGTCATCGTCTTCTTGTGGTGGAGCCTGTTGCACATATACAGGTTGTTGTTGGGGTTGGTAATAACCTTGTTGTGGTGGTGGAGGCCCTTGTTGATAATAACCTTGTTGAGGTGGTGGCGGAGCTTGTTGATAATAACCCTGTTGTGGTGGTTGATAATATTGTTGAGACATGATGACGTTCCTTATGATATTTCAAATACTTAAATCGTGTTTTGCGACCAATGTGCTTCCAATTGGCAAAGCCATACTATAAGTGGGCTCAACTAAAAACTTTCACAAGATCCTTAAGAAATCATTTATACTGAAAAATAATCCGTTTTTTTTTTAATAATTTTTAAAAAATTACAGCCTCACTTTTTCAATTATATAAGCCTCGAAATTAAAATGTTTTTAAAAAAAAATAATATCGAAACGAAAAAAAATTTTACATAAACATAGTAGCATGTACGAATAATTCTTTAAGTATTAAAATAAGACACTTATGTAACACTATAACAGAACGACAACTACTTCTGCAATAAACTATAAAAGAAATGATGTAAGAAATGTATGCTTTAAAAATGTAGATGATGTAAATGATAATTAAATAAAAAGATGTATAAGAATAAATAGCTTGAAATTTAAAAAAAAACAAACCAAATAAAAAGCAATAAACCTTGATAAATCTAGTCATGGTATTCTGAAAATTTTGAAATTTCTCCATCCTCTTTCTTCTTAGTAGGATTGTCTTTGTATTTTTCCTTCAATAAAGGATCAATTGAATCTTCTATAAATTCAAAAAATCTATTCGCATAATCCTTTGGCGGTATTGCACTAACAAGTTTTGTATCATGACTCAAACTCCTCCATAATGTTTCTAACTTTTTCAAAAACGAATAATTAGTTAGACAGTCTATTATTCCAATAAAGTAGATAATATCACCATCCTTATCAAATTCATCTGATGATCTAATCCCCCCTTCATATTGTTTAAAATAGTGCGGAAATATGCTATTATAATGGATCATATCTGATCTTTCACAAGTTTCGTCATTAGGTTCAAAGTTATCATCATAATTATCATTATCATACAATACACTATTTGTAGTATTTGTCATATGGTGTATACCCAACAACAATGAATAATCCATTATATTCAGTTTTGCTAATAAACACACATCTGCTTTCAATTGTTGTAAAAATCTTCTTTTCTTAATTGGGCCAAACCTGATCCTTTCATTACTATTCAACCAATTCAAATCTTTTAATACAGGCCGTAATCGTACCATATTAGTTTCATCACTATCTTTACTATTGGAATTAATATGAGTTTTTGCTTCCTTTGGTATAGGTGTGTATCTACCCCAAGTGGATCCTTTAATATCAAAGGTCTTTTGAATGTCTAAGTGTGGAGGAAATAAATTATTCATCACCAGAAAATATATTTTCCTATGTTTTATCTTATTTTCAAAAGATATTGGCATTTTAATTCTATGAAGTCCATAATATTGACATAGTAAAGTGTCAGGATTTGTCTTGACATGATTATAATATTCTCGTAAATGTTTCCGCAGATGAATATGTTCAGAATGATGAATGGTCTTAATAATATATTTATAGTCTCTTGAATAGTAGAAAAAGGATCCACTTTTCCCAGGTGAATTCAATTCGCTTAAAATATATTTAGATGTAAGGGACATTAAATAATCCGCTGGATCCAAACCAAACAATGCGCGTAGCTCTCTAAACACTTGTGGTGAATAATCCTTAAATTTAAATGCATATTGGGATGATGGGGTTGATTCATTACCATGATAATCAAAGGCCAATTTTTTGATAGCTTTAAAATCTTGAAGTATCAATGGCTTCATTATACCTGAACAATGTGAGACAGATACTCTAATCCCTGTTAACATATTATATGCAATAATAAAATTGACATGACCTTCGCTAACTTTATTTCCAATTAATACTCTATCATCATCAATTAAAAAAGTTTTCCTTTTTCTTTTCATTTCCTTTTTGTTTAATAAAGAAAGTCTCATTTTTTGAATTTCCTTTCTTGCAGAATCCGAAGTTTTTAAACCAATTTGTTGTTGTTGACCATTGTTATTAATAAGAAATGTAGATGGACATGATTTTATTGTTGCTGCTGATGTTGGATTAAATTGAGTTTTATTCATGGGTATTATATTTTCTTCTTGAATAGACAATCTTTTTAAATTAATTTCATCTAGAGGTAAAATAGTAGAATGTTTCTTAGCATCGAATGGAATATTATTAGTTAAAAGTGATTCACGTGTATTAGTTTTCTTTATATTATTATTATTATTTGAAATATTTGAAATACTAGATACATTTGATTTTTTTCTTGTAACATTATTATTCAATAAAATTTGATTTGTATCATCATGAATATAAAATTCAGTGTGATTTAAACAATCATAGCTATTCTGCAAATGACTTGAATCACTTTCATTACATGTATCTATATTTGTTGATGATATGGACACAGAAAGTGAAGAATTATGATGAATATGATTATGGCTATGACTATTATTATGAATATGAATATGGCCATTTTCGTTATTATTATCATTGTTACTATCACTATTACTATCATTATTATTAGTATTAGCATCACTAGTACAATTACTATTATCACTAATATTGGTATTAGTAGTAGTTGTATTAGTTGTAAAGTCGTTCAAATCCAAATCAAAATCCATTGATAATTTATTAATATTTAAAGATTTCATATTATTTGATATAGAACCAATATTAAAATTTTCATTTTGATTATAAAATTGTTCAGCAATCATAATATAGATATAGCACAAATATTAAAGCTATTATTATTATTGTTATTATTTCTTCTTCTTCTTTTCTTCTTTTTCTTAGTATATATGAAAAAAGGAATTGATCAAAATTAAAATATATCAAATTTTATCGAACTAATATTTTTTTAAGAAACCAAACAATCAATGTTTCTATCCCCTCTCCTTGCAAATAGAAACAACTGATTTAAATCTCAACCCAAAAGAAAAAAAAGAAAAAAAAACAATCTAGAATACAAAATTCCTAGAGTAAGTTATTTATGGTTGCAGTTGATTGATAATGTATATCTTTACTGGATTATGAAAATGTATATATATAAAACTATATATACATATGAAGGATATACTTTTTCCTAACTTTATTACTGATTCTTTTTTTGCGATATAAGGGTGAGTGTTAAAGACGACTATTAGTAAGGACAAAAAATAAAATATTTTATTTTGCTTAAATTAAATTGAAGGATAGCTTAATGTTTACATAATATATTTATTTATCTATTTATTTACTTATTTACCTTCATTAAAACTTAAAAATGCACCAAAACTAATGCGGAATTATTCTAGTCCAAAAAAACCCTTTTCTCGATATTTTCCGTCAAAAAAAATTTTTTTTCTATTGATTTCTTCAAAACAATTTTTTGATGGCAAGAAACCGAATGGCGGAAAGTTTTTTCCGGACGCAATTTTACCAAAATTTATATGTTGCTTTTTTTTTTCACTTCCATTTTCACATTCATTTTCTTTTTTTCGTTTACTTTTCTTCCATCAGAAAGGAGAAAAAAAATAAAAAACAAACAGTCAAGAAAAGAAATGAGAAAACAAGTGCTATTATTATTATTATTATTATTATTATTATTATTATGGTTAATTTGAATAATAATAAACCAGTAAGTGTAGCAGCTTTTATACCTATAAATAAATATATACTTATTTATATATACATTTGTAATAAAATAGTAATATCAATGATACGAAACGTAGAAGAAATAACTTAGTTAAATTCTAATTGTACACAACTATTAGTTTGTGTTATATACACTTGTGTACAGATTGTACACGTGATACAGGTCCATGTATACACCTATCATTTGAACAACAGCAACACGTAATATCAGAATTGCCCAACTGTTTCGATTTTCTGGCCGCTTTTCCTCCTCCCCTCTTCTTGTTCTTGTTCTTCTTATTTTTGTTTTTGTTCTTCTTCCCCCTTTACCTCTCTGCTTTCCCCTTTTCCAGTCCTGTCCCCTTTTCATATGCTTCTATTTATTGTGTGTGGTTTCTTTTTTGCGTTTTAGTGATTTTTATTTTTTTTTTTCCCCAAAGTTGGGCGGTTAATTTTTTTTTTTCTCTCTGTTTTTATTACATTTGCTTTATTACCTATAATTATATATGTATATATATAAGTAAAAATCAGAAAATATATGTATTTAAGAACAAATCACCCTCCACCTTTCTCAACTTTGTGTACGTAATAAATATATAAACTTGTAACTCTTTTTCTTTAATTATATCTATGCTATATTTCTTTCATTACTATTATTATTATTATTTTCTTTTTTTTTTTTTTTTTTTTTAGATAGAAAGTTATATCCACCTCTATACTGACCAGTGGAGAAAGATCATCAATAAGAATTAAAATTTTATACGTTGAACACTTTAAATATCTTTCTTACCATTTTTTTTCACCTCTGAATTTCCATTTTTACCATTATTATTTTTTTTCTTTTTCTTTTGTATATATAATTATATATATAATTTGCTATTACTTATATAAATTTATCTTTAAACTATCTTTTTTTTTTTTTTTTTTTTTAAACATACATATACATATACGTATACAAGTACAGATTATATTTAATATGGTTCATAAATTTCAATCTGACCCCAATGTGAATAATAGAGTGCAACAAAAAATCAACCAATCAAACCTATACGATAAGGAGCAAAGTTTTGATGATAGTTGTAGAAGGCGTCTTTCTCCACTAACAACAAAAGTTCCAAATAACACTCCTACTCCATCTATTCTACCAAAAAGTTCTTTATATAAAAATCATATTAATGTTATAACACAAAATAATATTATAGTAGAAAATAAACATCCACAAAAGAATAAATTTCTTTTACCACCTTTAAATATGGGAAACTTACAAAATAAAACTATATCAAATACATTTGTACCACCACCATCTGGAAACAATATTACTGAATCAGACTTTTACAATAGTGAAACAATTAACATGAATTCTTCAAAACATTCTCCAATTATTAGTAAAAATGAAAATAAAAAAGATAATTTACTATTACTCTTACTCTCCTCCTCCTCCTCATCTTCTTTACTTAAAAATCACTTAAGAGTGTCACCATTCTCTCTTTCCGTAGCTGATTTAACAACACAAGTTTCCTATACCCACATTTTGTCATCTTCCTGTTCTCCTTCCTCTTCTTCCTCTTCGTCCTCTTCCTGTTCTTCATTTTCCTCTACTTCATCAACCGCCGTTCTTCAACCTTCCTCTACTAAAAAAATGAATTTTCAAAAATATAGCGACAGCGGTAAATTTCCAAGTTATGATATTAATAGCAGTAACTTTAATAACTCCTGTTCTGAATCATGTAATCAAACATATAATTTCTCCTCTTCTTCTTCCTCTTCGTCGAAGGAATCTTTATCCTCACTATATACCAATAATAACAATAACAATAATAACAATAATAACAATAATAACAACAACATCAATAATAATAGCGATAGTTGTAATTGTAGTTGTAGCCATACTAATAGTAATAATAGTGCTGAAGATCATATACATACTATTTTATTAAATCCTAGACAATTACATTTGAGAAAAGATCAAGAGTCAATGACAGAGTCTAACTTATTTCAAGTTAATCAACCGGCAAAGAGTTTTGAAAATACTAATAATAATTATACAAACGATAACAACTATCACAATAATAATAACTATAACAACACCAGCAATAACATTTTAAGTACTTTAAGTACAGTTGCATCTAATATAAATAACACTAATAATTCTAATAATAATATATATTTCAAAGATAAGGAAATGATAGAAATTGACTATAATAATAGAAATGGCCATAACAATTCTACAAACAACAATTCAATAAGGCTAGAAGAATACGGACTCAACACTATATCTACAGCATCTTTAGCGACATCACCAATCCCTATATCAACACCATTTTTTGAGTTTTCTACAGATTCAAGAAATACCAATTCAGTTAATAAAAATAAAAAGGACCTTGATATAATACCGAAAATAACAACAACACAAACAACGACAAACAATAGATACTCTAAATTTAATGAAACAAAGACCTTCCCGCTGTTGGATACATTGCCATCTCAAAAAAATTATGAAAATGATACATTATTAGATACTGCTGCTGTTGTACTTTCCACTTTAAGATCATCACCATTTAAAATCTCTGATAGAGGCTCTTCATCCTATACTACACCCTTTAGATATACACTAAATCCTGCTCAAAATTCAAATCCAACTTCCTCTTCAAGTACTAATAATAATATTATTAATAATAATTCATTAAATTCAACAGTATACCCAAATAACAATTTACTAGTGAACGGTAGTGACAGTCGACCTCATTCTTCGTCATTTTCTTCATCTTTGAAAAATTATAGACCAATATTAAGGATTCACCATAAAGAAAATTCATATGTCAGAACTGATGATCAAAATAAAAATAATGAAAATGATCACGTCGATATAGATGATAACCAGAGCAACACTAAACTTAAAACGCCAATAATTAAAGTTACTGAAGAAAAGAAAAGCGAGAAAATAGATATTCAAAATGATCAAAAATCAATTAACTTACAAAATAAGTCAATTGCCACAATACCTCAAGAAGAAAGAAATGTTACATGGAATAAAAATGGGAAAAGAATTAAAAATGAGCACAATAACAACAACAACAACAATAATAACATACAATCCAAAGAGAATAATAATTCTCAAACAAGTAAAAAACCAACGGTTATCAAGAAAAGAAGAGGACGTATAAAAGAACTACAATATAAAAACACTACAATAACTGATGCTACTATACCAAAAGGAAAAGCTAAATTATCTAATGTGACAAATCATAAGGATAAGAGTATAAACAATAGTAAGGTTATTTCAAATACCAGTAAACTAAAATTAACAGAAAAGAAGAAACGTTCTTCTACACCTTTTTCTGCCACCAACGCTACCACTGATAAACACCCTACTACTGGTACAAGATCAAGAACAGGTTGTTGGATATGTAGATTAAGAAAAAAGAAATGTTCGGAAGAAAAGCCTAAATGTTTTAACTGTGAAAGATTAAACCTGGACTGTGTTTATAGTCTCGTGAGACCTGATTTTGTCACTGATGAAAACTTAAGAAGGGCTAAACTACAAGAAATTAAAATCTGTACTCGTGAAGCTAAAAGACAATCTATGAAAAGACGTAGTGGAAGTGGCAGTTATCCTGATAGTTCTCATATTAACACTACTGGAACGAAAAGAAAAACAAGAAGATTAGCCAACAATGAGCAAAATACAAGTAAAAAGTTATATACACGATTTAATGAAACAAATAATAATAATAATAATAATATAAAAGACGCTGCCATTTCCACAGAATCTAATGACATTTAAATACTAAAATCATAAATTAAGATTTAAATGTCTTTGTAATATAATATAAAATACCAAAAGAGAAGTTAATCGTCTTTAAATAAAATTAAACTCAAATCTTAAGGAGAAATACTAAAGTCTAAAATAAAAGCAATTAATGGCATAACTCATTTGATTATAATTTTCAAGGTAAGTAATATACTGCTGGACATATAAACAAACTCATTTTTTTAGAATTGAATAAACCTGAACTTTTTGTTCTTTTTTGAAACATATCTCTCCCCAACTAATGACATTATTCACAAAAAAACTATTAATATTATAGGGTAAAAAATTACAATCACTTATATATAAGATAGTGTGCTAGGGCATATTTTAATATATATTTATGAATTTACTCATTAAATTATTTCAAAAATAATTTTTTTATGTTTTTAAACACATATAACGTACCATAAACTATCAATTTTATGTATGGAAAGTAGGATACCCTTGTGACATGTGTTGGTTTGGATATGGTGATGGAGTAGAAGACATCTGTGAAATGATCCCTGGACTGTTATTAATATATGAGCCAACATTTCCAGTATAATCATTTTGATAAAAATAATTACCTGGCTGGACTCCTAGATTACTAGAATGTGATACTTGGGGTTGGAATGCATATCCTGAATAGGTTTGGATCATTGATGGTTGTGATATATATTGAATAGGATTTGATGTGTACCGTGAGGGACATGTCATATTTTTAACGAACATATCTTGAGAAACTCCTGGAGTAGGATTGAAGGAAGTATGCGCAAGTGGCGTATTCATATAAGAAGAAAACATGGTGTTTACAGGAGCAGGTGCAGGAGGAATAATTCCTGGTGGATAAGCCATAATATTTTGTGCGGCATTAAAATTATAGTTCGTACTACCAGATCTACTTTCGTTTTCTTTATCAAGACTTGTAATAGGAATGTTTGGTCCTTGAATGTTCATATTTTCAAAGGCTTTTTCTAGTGGTACTTGATTCATACTTGAATCTTTATGTAATAGAATATTATTGGAATCAGTATTTTCTTTATTATTCCTAGGCGACAATACTGGTGTTGATTCAGTTTTCTTAGTAACCAACTCATTAGAGTCATAAAGTCTAAAGCTAGGCTTAACAGTAATACTTGATGGTGCTACCGCAGAAGAGCCACTATAACCCCATTCAATAGAATGTTTTTGCTGATTATCTTTCTGTTTAGCTTCTATTTCTTCGAAAGAAAGAACACCTTTATCTTTGGTCTTAACGGTTATCAACTCCTTATTTGGCTTCTTCTTTAACTTAAGAATACCTCTATTTGGTTTAATCTTTTCAAGATTGATAATTTTCTTAGGAGCACTCTTAATAGTTACTGCCTTTGTCAGTTGAAGTGGTATATTATATTGCCCTGTTTCCTCATTCAATTTTATCCCACATCTATTAAATTTCATGTACTGTTTGCCCAAAATAACAATAGACTCCAATCTTATGTAATTGTCGCCCTTTACTGTCATTTCAGTCTTATTAGCATTATCATTATCATCAAGAATGTATCCATAAAACCTATCAACAGATGTGCCTTGTTTATATATATCTTCATCACTAATACCAACAAATTTAGGTACTGTTACACATGCAAAATCTCTTAACATAATTTCCTCTTCAAAAATATATTGTCTTTTCACTAAAATGTTCTCATCATTATATAATACGTTTTTGGTAATCCTTGATTGAATAATAGAATTCAACAACGATGCTAATTTTTGATTAAAAAAGGGGTCATCTCGAGAATAATCTAATGCAAATTTATTGGTTTGTAACCATAGAAAGATAATTCTAATTATCGCCAAGTATTCGAAATTATTAAGATCTTTATCCCAATGATCCAAGACAACTTTATCAATAATGGTATCCATATACTTGAAAATAAACTTCAATAATGATAAATCATAAATTTCTAATTCACATAATGGAGTATTCTTAATATTTGACGATTTTAACCATTGGATCACTTGTAAATGAAACGAACCAAAGAGCATTAATAAATTTTTCAAAATCAATTCCATATTTTTGATATATCTCGTAGAAACTTTTTCAAAGAACATCATTTCTAATTGTTTTAAACTAATTTTACTTCCATTAAGATTAAGCTTATTATTTGGATCCACCCATGTTTCAGGAGACAACTTACTTCCAATTAAAGCTAATATGAAGAATTCAATAATCTCTTTGTTTATCAATTTTTCAGAATTACCCATGGAATCCATATAAATTGAAGAAATCATTTTTTTCACCTTATTATTGAGAGGACTGTCAATATTGTGGATTATAGTTTGATATAAACTTAATGCTTGCCCATGAGGAAAGGACGTCAAACTAGCTCTTAGCAAATCATAGACGGTTAATCCAATATGATTACACTGTAGTTCTATCAAAGATCTTTGAAAATATGATTCACCTAAAGATGGTGATAAAACAATTGAACTTTCAATAAATTTCAAACTTACTTTAAAATCTGTCATAAAATTGTTAGGACTAGCTTTTGCCATAATGGCTTTGTATTTATTAACACATCCCAGGTATAATAGACATCTATGAAATATTAATATGACTCCTTGTATTAAAATTGGTTTATCTTTAACAATTTTTATTCTTTTATCATTACCCTTTCCAATATTTTCTTCCTTAACCTTAAAATCTATCTCTTTTAAAATTAATATATTTTTAATAAGTAAATGATACGGCATTATATCCTCAATATTCAAATTCGATAATATGCCATCAATAAGTTTTATTAACTGGCCATTGATCACCTTACTGAATTTGGATAGATTTGAATTCAATTTTCTAAATTCAGGATATTTAATCTTCTTTGGGTCGTTAATCGAAACAAGTGATTGATGCCATGATTGAAACCATCTATAAATTGGATTCCATAGTCTCTCCCATGATAATGTTAAAAGAGTCATAATGTTGTCAATACCAATTTGAATATCATTTTGATTTTTATTATCTATAACTGTATTGATAAACAGATCCAAATTAGAATCTAAAAAATTCATTAATTTAGACTGAGCGAAAGTTAGAAATCCATTTAATATAGTAAAATCATGATTCAAAACATCGCTCTTGAAAATATTCTGTAATTGTATTTCTACTTCAAAAATAGTTTTTGCAATTATGATTTTGCCATTATTGACATTTTCTTCCTTAGTTGTCTTAGCTATAGTATTATTCTCACAATTATCCATTATATATAATACTCTCTATATTATTATATTATTTATCTTCTATTTTAGTTATTATGTTTCTTTTTATGTTCAAAATAAGTATTTATCAGTGATACTATACTCGAAATCACACAGTAAAATCGCTAATATTATTGCTCTTCCTTATTTTATCTTTCTCTTTAAAACCGTGACAGCTTTTAATTTAAAATTTTTTAATTCTCTAAACCTTTCCACGTTTCAAACTGTATATAGTTATTATGATTATTCCTTATTTCATACACAAACAATGGCAATAACAACTGCAGAAGAAACAAGTTGTAGCCAAATAACGTAAGAAAAGAATAATTAATTAAAATTCAATAATAACTAATTATTATTATTATTGATATGATTATTATTCCAACATAAATATTCTATGTTGTGTGAATTTATCTATATGTATAGAAGGCGAGTATTGGATATATTCTGCTGAGTATGACACCTATAACCAATATATAATAATATAAAGCATCAATTTGGGTATTCTTCAACCTATGTACTCAGGCCGTTTCATAACTGGTTTTGTTTATCTATTAAAAAAGATCTTACACCCACTTGTTGAAATTAAAGGAATGTACTTTTTTTTCTTCGGTCACCGTTTTTTAAAATTTTCGTCCATCTAATTTCCACTCACTTTATTTGAATTGTCCCTCCACTATGCAAGAATATTGACTTATACATTTTTTGACTACATGTATAAAAAAAATGACCTTGCTATTAGCTTTGCAAAATGCTAGGCTGAAATTACTCCTATAATGTAACAATATATATATATATATATATATATATGTGCGTATTTCTATAAATGAAAGGTAAACTTAAAATATTATTTAAACTTATAACTGAAAATTATATATAAACTTGAGTATGCGTGCATATACATGCGTGTATGCAAGTTGAATGTCGATGTCGTTAATACTAATCACAAAACGATTCTATTATTTAATAATTGGTTGTGATATCGGTTGATTCGCCATGGATGCCTGTCTGCACCAACAAGTTCCACTTGCAGGTTCAGTTTGAATCCACGCTTTTATTCCAATGTTTTCGCAAATTTTCTCCACTCTTTTCTTAATAATTGTTGAGTTTTCTCCATCAACATATTGAATATGAATATAACCCATCAGTATGGGTATCTTTTTATTTTTATTTGAGTACATTTCATGTTTATGATTATATTTATGGGAATGAGAGTGTGTATGGGAATGTACATCTGTATCCCCCTTTTCGTCTGCAACACATGAATGCTCATGACTATGAGAATGTCCATGATTAATTTTATCAGGTGTGTATGGCCAAAACCTTGGTGTGGTATAACCTGTAATACCCGGTGTTTGAATGATTTGATTCAGAGCTTGTCTCACCATATTATGTTTTTTTGTATCTAACTTCAATAGTAGTGTATTAGTAGTTAATTTTAGTAATGGGATGGAACTGAAAAGAATCAATGTTGCAATCATAACTGATGCAATTGGATCAAATATATGCCATCCTGTTAATTTAATCAACAACGTAGATATGACAACACCAACTGAACCTAATGTATCTGCCAAGATATGTAAAAAAATACCTCTCATATTATTGTCACTAGATGTATCATTTATTTCAAAGTTCTCATCATAATTACTATGACTATAACCATCGTTGTTATTTAAAGGGGTGTGACTATGACTATGACCATGACCATGACCATTACCATGAGAATCATTATTAGTACTATGTCCCGTTTCAAATACAAATAGACCCACCAAATTGACCATCAAACCTAATATGGAAACAGCAATTAACTCATTTGTACCATGAAGATGGATTGGATTCATTAATCTTTCAAAAGCTTGTACAAATATCCCACATACTATACCAATCAATAAAATACCATTAGTAAACCCTGCTAAACTTTCTAAATAATTTAAATTGAATGGAAATTTATCTGGATTGTAATAAACCGATGTTGTAGAAAGAACACGTGCAACCAACCCAAGCAATAGAGAAGTACAATCCAATGCCATATGCAAAGAATCGGATAATAAACCCAATGATCTTGACCTGAAAGAATATAATAATTGAACCAACATGAAAGTTGCGTTCAATAAAAGAAATGAAAAGATTGATCTTGTATCTTTACTTGTCACGATTGTTAATAAAATTGATGGTTTCCCCTTATTACTATCATTATTACTGTTATTGCCAGTTAATACCCTTATATCTTTCTCATTAACCACATTATATGAATCTGCTTTTACATTTGAACTATTAGTCACTTGACCAGATTGAAACCTAGACAAATATTCGGAAAGAATCACAAATAAGATATTCAACATATTCAAATATAGGCTTTTATTTGTATTTTTTTGATTAGTACTATTATTTTTACTAAATGAAAAGTGTGAATGATGAGAATCAAATGACAGATATTGTAAAAAAATTGACATAATGCCAATAATTAATATAACATTCCTATTAATTTCCAATAACAACTTATAATTCATCCCATTTTTAGAAGTATCAATAATATCACTATCAGTATTCCCATCAATATTGTTTGATATGATATCATTAAATGATAGAGTCATTAACACAGTACAACCTAAAAATATTCCAATCATTAAATATTGTATATTAATATTTTTATCAAACATGTTTTGGACTAATAGTAATAAAAGAAAAGACAATACTGGAATAACATATAATATAAAAGTTTCAATGATTTGAATAAATTTTAATGAAAAATTTAATTTAGATCTAACCGCATGGATCACATTTTGATTATATCTAAGTCTAATAACTGAAATAATATTAATGGACGAGACAACTAACCTATACTTTGAATCATTTAAATCATCATCATAGTTATAATAATAATAATAATTAACAATGAATAGTATGATGATTAAAGGTAAAATGCATTTAATAAAATCTTTCAATAAAGTATTTTTTTTATAATTGTGACATTTTTCATTCTGTAATTGCCGTAAAGTGACTAATACAATACATCCAGTAAAAACTGGTTTTAACAACCAATTCGATTGAAATAATACAACAGTAAATATAAATACAGGAATGATAATTGAATGACTATCTGTAGAGTCTCCTGTCTTACGTAAAATATTAAACTGATGTAATATAACTGATATACATGAGCTCAAAAAAAAGGGTAATAAAAATATATTTATAAAAATTGAACTCCAATTGAACCATATATCAGGATCATTAGTCTTCTGTATAATATAATTACTTGATAATATAATTGTAGGAAAAGAGATTAGTAAAGGTGTCCTGGCAAAAATATCTTGTAATTTTCTTTGTAACTCTGTCATAGATAAAGATAAGAATAAATATAATTAAATATATATGCTTTGTTTCAAATGATCACTAAGATTTCTTACTCTTGCTCTTATTGTCCTTTTTTTTTTTTTATTTTTATCTCTTTTGTAACTTCTTTTTTCTTTCTCTGTTATTTAATTTCTAATTAAATTCAAATAAAATAATCAAACAGACCTAACGTTTATGTTATCCCATTATAATAACAATACAAAAAAAGTTTTGTATTAGCTATAAGGATGAAATAAGTGAACTGCGAAGTCCTTTGATTGCCTATTATAATTATAATTATTATTATTATCATCATTATTATTTTTATGATTTATTTTATGATTATTAGACTATAATACTCTAAATGGAAATATTTTTCGTCGATTCCAAGGTTCTTCAAATTTTCCATAAAATTAAAAACAACAAAAAACAAAAAATAAATAAACAATAGTTGAAAAAATACACAAAATTGCAAATTTTTTACTACATAACCCTATAAAGTAATTTGTGATATAATAAAAAAACTGTAATTTTGCAATATACAACCCTAATATCATTGAGGATAAATAACCAAAAAAAAAATAAAAAAGAACTAAAATCAAAAAGAAATTTAACTAAACGACTTTAGAAATGTATGGGTTTCCTTACAAATTTCTCGGCCGAGTAACACGTGACGGCTCCTGTTACCATTCGAATAACAATAAAAGATAATTCTTCATACTAAAGCAATCCTATATAGGTATCATATTATTATAATGCAAAAGATACTATTTGAATTGATTTCATTAATAGACTAATCAACTAACGCAAATTGAATCTTGTTTTGTGATATATATATATACTGTATGACACAAGTGACAGGAACAATCTAATACAACATGAAATTATAAATATAATATAAATAAAACACAACAAAATGTGCTAATGGAGGATTAAGTATTCAATGCTTACAAAATAAAAATATAAATAATTAATAAGTATAGATCTAGAGAATTATATTTAAATAAATATTAAATATTTTTCAAGCTAATCAACATTGCTTTTTTTTTTGTTATAGTCAATCATATGGCAGCATTTTGAAGTATGTAAACTATTATTAACTCCTTCATTTATTCCTATCCATTATAGGATGAATTGCTTTAAAATCATTTTGTACATACATGATGTCTAATTATAGCTATAAGAATCGAATAAACATGGTTTAATCTATTGATATTTCTCTCTTTTTCCTTTTCTTTCCCATGTATTTCATGTGACCTTATTACAAGAAGTTAACATACACATCCACTCACAGTCACTTACTCACACTTCTCTCCATCTTAGTCTCAATCGCCAGCAGCACTACTTTTTACTCTAACTTCTTTATACTTATTTCCCATTAATAGCATATTTTGTGAAGCCCAATAAATGCATATTTTCCTGTTCCCTTAACGTGAATAAAATTGACAGGAAAAAAAAAAGAAAATAAACACACAAAAAAAAGAGCGGAAAAAGAGAAAAAAAAATACATTTCTGCTATTATCACTAAATGATTTAACATATTGTTAATGAAATACTATTACAAAGGAGATTATATGGATTCAATAGAGTGTCACTTGAGAAATAGAGAAATCTTTGTAATATAATTAGGAATGCTGTACATTTATAGAACAATGATAATAAAAAAAAACAATATTCGTGAACTTCAAATAAAAGTTGATTACAAAATGCTACCTTTTTGCTATAATTTCTTCGAATTATTTCACACTGTTCGTGGTTAGTAGTTTGTTTCCTACTGCAAACTCCTATAGATCTGGTTGTCCCTTTCAATTTCACTTTTTTTTCTTCTTCTTCGAATAGAACTTCACAGAAATCTATTATTCTGATAACTTCTCCCTACTGGTTCTTACTACTGTCAATCTCGTTATTATTGCTGCTATTGTAAGAATTAAACTGAAATACTAAGAAGAAAAAGACAATATTAAATATCCATATTTAGTTGACACTTTGATTACTTTATCACATTTTATTAGGAGCTATAGCCGTTCATTTTATTGTTTTTTATTATCGCAATTAAAGCTAACTCAAAGAACCCAAGAGAATAAAACAAAAAAAAAGGAAAAGAATCGAAGGAAATTAAGAATATCTACAGAGTATTAATATATATATATATATTTTCATACTCTCTCGATTTTAAATCTTCATTTCAATACACTTTTCTTCAATTCTATACATATATATAAAAAACTAATCTTTATTGATTCTCCTTCAGTATCGTCCCGATCGATTGCTTTTTTATTTTTAATTTCCCTATTACTATTACCACTATTAATTTTGGATTGTAGTAGTTATTAAGAAAATATATCAAGAATAATCAGTTCACTCAATCAACCATTACTATTATACAAGACATATATTTCTAGAAAGAATATATATTTACCTACACATAAACAAACAAACGACTTATGTCTGAATCAGATAGTATGAAAAGTGGGTCTAGTACCCGTAACTTCTTTTCTAGGGTCCTAAGCAAACTAGAAATTCCTGTAGAAGAAAGACAAACTTTATCCTTTTTAAGAAACCCTGATCTTCTACCCATCCCAAAAGAGAGACAAACTTGGGGGTTTTGGTCTAATTTCGGTTATTGGGGGATTATATCTTTCTCTGTTGGTACTTGGATGTCTGCTGCATCTGCTTTATCTGTCGGTTTATCCTATCCTGAGACCATCGGTACTTTTATTGTTGGTGATGTAGTCACTATCATGTTCACATTAGCCAATTGTTATCCCGGTTGGGATTGGAAAGTCGGTTACACATTGTCTCAAAGATTTGTATTTGGTATCTATGGGTCTACTATTGGTATCTTGATTAGAGTCTTAATGAGTATTGTTAACTACGCTTCCAATGCTTATGTTGGTGGTCTTTGTATCAATATGATTATAAACTCATGGTCGCATCATTATCTTCATTTGCCAAATACTTTATCTTCCAATGTTAACGTTACTACTAAAGAAATTATTGGGTTTATATTGTTCCATGTGATTACTGCATTTTTTTATCTTTTAAAACCATATCAAATCAATTACATTTTAATTGTTGCATGTTGGGCTACTTGTTTCTCTATGATGGGTATAGTCATTTATCTAGCTCATTTAGCCGGAGGTGTTGGTGACCTTTTCATCTCCACCAAAAGTACTGCTACGGGGTCTGCTAAGGCTTGGGCTTGGGTTTATATGATCTCTTATTGGTTCGGTTCCGTCTCTCCAGGTTCTGTCAACCAAAGTGATTATTCAAGATTCGGTTCTTCTTTGACTGCTATTTATTTAGGTACCATCTTAGCTTTATTGATTCCAACCACTGTAGTCCCTGTATTTGGTGTTATTGGTGCTTCCACCACAGAAAAATTGTATGGGCAACAATTATGGCAACCGATGGACATCTATGAATATTGGTTGAAACAAGATTACACTGCAGGCGGTCGTGCAGGTTCATTCTTTTGTGGTCTTTCATTCACTTTAGCACAAATTGCTTACACAACTTCTAATGCTGGTTTTGCTTCAGGTATGGATTTAGCAGGTATCTTACCACAATATATTAATATTCCAAGAGGAGCACTTTTCACTGCTGCAATCTCTGTGGCGTTACAACCTTGGAATTTCTATAACGAGTCCTCAAATGTCTTCTTAACTGTTATGGGTTCCTTCGGTATTGTGATGACTCCAATTATCGCCGTCATGATCTGTGATAATTTAGTAATCAGAAAAAGATTGTATACTGTCTCTGATGCATTCAAGCTACATGGTGAATATTATTTCACTAAAGGCTTGAATTGGAGGGCCTTTATTGCATGGATCTGTGGGATGACTCCTGGTTTACCTGGTATGGCATGGCAGGTCAACCCAAACTACTTCCATAATAAGGGGATTGTCAATTTCTTCTATGGTGACTCCTTCTTTGCATTTGTCATATCGTTTTTCTTATATTGGATCTTGTGTTTGATCTTCCCATACAAGATCGAAGTGTTGACAGATGATAAAGATTACTATGGTGCCTTTGATGATGAGACAGCTAGAGCTAAGGGTCTTGTTCCATTCAGTGAATTAGAACCAGATGAAGTTGACCATTATAAATTTGAACATAAATATGAAATACACCATGCTAATCAAAACGATGTTGAATCTAGCGTTGATATCTCTGAGAGTATGAAGACTGAAGATAAATGTAACAAAGAAGAAGTTGTCATTTCTAGATCTACAAGTAACAATAGTGATGACAATAAAAAATAATCCGTTATACTGATAAAAGTTAATGAGGTATTTCATCTTCACTAAATATGATGTACGCAATATATTCATAACATGTCAATTTTTTTAATTTACCTATTTACTTTATATATTGTTCTATCGAACACTGATTTACCAGTTATGTACTTTCTTTATAGACTCATGATAATATAAATGTTACTGTATTAATAATAGATTCATAAGATTTCTAAATTGTGTCTAGTCAAAAATTATAAAATTTAAATGTACATGAATGTAAAGATATATATACATGCATATATATGTATGTGTCTGGACGTCTGAATATGCTATAATTTTAGAGAATGAGCAATACAATAAAAAGCAGCAAAAGAAGAAAGAAGAACCAAGTCAAGGTAAGTCAAAACAAAATACATTGACTCTTAATTATATTCTTCTTTCAAATTTTTATATTTTTCATTTAAGTCTTTTAGCTCTTTTCTTCTTTGATCTCTTATTGTCCTTAAATCTGGAGGTGGGAATAAACCTATCTGCTTTCTTACTTCGTTAACATCCTTATCTAAAAGATCTTCCCAATAAACATTAATCAAAGGTTTACATTTCAAACCTGAATTAACAGCCCAAGGCAAATAGATATCAAACAATCTTTCACGTTGAATTTTAGTCAATCTCCAGGGAGCAAAAAGTGTACCTAGAAGAGCCATTGGAATCCCTAAATTGACACCCTCAAGAGCTTTTATGGTTATTTCCCCTTCGATGATAATAGGAACATTATTTAAAGCATGATAAAAATCATGACACTGTCTATACCTTTTAAAGATGAAAGCATGGGTTGGATCATCTATATATTTAATAGGGGCTCTTGTATCTGGGGTTACATTCTCACGTTTACACCATGTATAGAATTGATAACCGAATGTGTTCTTTGGATAATTAGCTAGTGTTTCCATATGAAGTGTATTTTCTTTAACTTCAGGCTTATCTTTAAGTATCCTTCTACCTATTGGATCTGCTAACATAGTGTGATGTAGATGATCCAAAACTGGTTTAATAGCTGTAGATTCACCCAATTGTACAATATTGATGCCATTCTCAGGATGATAAAAAGATCTTATCCCAGACACAAGAAACAAAAAAAGCTTTTCAGAAGGCCATAGTGGGATATGGCCTTCATAATTAGGTTCCATAGGCCTACTATTCTTTAAATTTTTCAATCTTTGTAATTGCTTCTCCTTCTGTAATTGTTTGTAATCTTCATTTTTATTGTATAATTCCCCATTACCCATCTTGTCTGCTAACCTTGCCTCACCACCAAAGATATATTTACTAGCCATTGCCATCATTGCGGCTTCCAGTATTAAAGTTCTCTTCCCAACGACTTTACTTCCTAATATTCTACCCCCTGCGATTCTATTTAAGGGTTGTTTACTGATGCAATGAAATCCTGATATCATGTTATTGTATAAAATATCACTCCCACCTATACGATTCTACGTAATATATTGTGAAGAATGAGGATTAAGAATTGAAGATTGAATTGCTAATAATGATTAGTGAATAATGAATAATATATAACTCTGTATATCGATATTTTTTTTTTCACTAATATTTATTCAAAAACAAGTCGTTAAACGAACAAATAAACAATATATTTGCATACAGACATATATTATCTTATATTTAATAGTCAGATCTTTCTTTATATATATCTAGATAATAGGTTATATGCAATCATTATATTGAATCTTAAAACAAACTGCCCTTCCCTTGTCATCACCACAAACACAACGAATAATCTTTACTAAGAAAAAAAAGTATATCCATCCATCTAAATGACTTCCTTCTTCTCAATGGCAGTGAAATAGATAACTGCTAACATGATACAAAACATTTAAACATCACATATATCTAACAACTACAATTCTATATTGATGCATACATACATTCAAACATACATACCACATGGATATACATGTATATATAGAAAGAGGGTGTGCATGTGTGTAAATGTGAATGAGTAAGTGAAAAAGTATATCTATATTGTGTATTGTTCTAGCATTATAGAGTTATAAATTATTTAACTCTAATTTTTTTGATTGAATCTGTGCTGTTAACATTTTCAATTCATTGAATTGTTCATCTGATAATGGTCCCATCATCACATCTGGTGTATTCATTCTTTTATTCAAACCAACATTCTGACTGCTCTTTGCGTCTGCATTCTCTAAATCTAATAACTCTTGATTCTTACTATATTTCTCTTGTAATTGATTTATCTCTCTTTTCAGTCTGTCCAACTGTTTGCTTAAATGGTCTTGTAGCGAGTTCATAATAGGGTCAATCTCCTCATTCAAATCCTTTGTTGCTCTCTCCATATCAAATTCAGTGGCCAAATAATGGTTTCTATTACATTGTAACATTGTGTTAGATAAATATCGTGTCTTCACATTGTTTGTTTTCAGTGTATCAGAGATATCTTTTAATATCTTAATTGATTCTTCTAACGATTGAATACTTCTCTGTAAGGATTGATCTGCTGTGATACTCATGTTGTCACACAGTTGTACAGTGACAACTATAGATCTGTCACTTTGCCTTTTCCCAATCTCTCCATACACATACATATATATATGCATGTATAACTATACTATATCTGTATATGCATTTACGTGTAAAACTCAGGTTTCTATGTTTCTTGCACCCAGAACAATCTGTCTTTTTTTCCTCAGTTTCTTTCTCTGTCTAAGAACGTTCTGCCATGTTTTGTTCTGTTTTGCTTATACTGGAGCAATATGAGGGACTCAAGATCAATTTGGATGAGCTGTATAATCATATCACAAATCAACTTGTATCACATGTGTATTTATAAATATGTGAATACATGAGTATGTTTCAACAATAAATCATTACATTAACTAAAACAGCAATAACAATATACATATACATACACCCATATAGATATAAAGAATGACAACAGTTGATAAAAACGATAATGATCTTCACTCTTCTAATTTGGATCGAAATAGAAGTCCTTCTTCAAATATGAATCCTGTAATATCACCTAGGGTTACTGTTCCAATCTCTAGATCAAACCAAAAGGTTTCATTCGATCCAGTATCTTCGAAAAATTATTCTGAATCCGAGCTCAATACTCCTACAAATAATGGTGATTCATCATCATCTTCTTTGCTTTCTCCAAATATTAAACCAAGGATGGGAAGGGCGAGGTCTAATTCAAGAAGTGAAGGTTCACAGTATCAAAATGATTTCGACCAATTTAATACTACAAATGATGTGATACAACCATTGGATAACAACAACAACAACAACAACAACAACAACAACAACAACAACAACAACAATAATAATAATAATGAAATTGAATTACCAGAGAATACAATTGCTAACACTAATATGATTGACACAACCAACAATGTCAAAAAAAGAAATCATAAGCATAAAATTAAAGATACTATACAAGATAATAATAAATCGGATATCAGAGATAGCAACAACGACAACGATGACACCAGCAACAAAAATAATATCTCTCCATCAGTTTTAACATCTCGTAACAAATACACGTATATAATCATTTTAAAATCGTTAAATAAAACATTTGAGACTAAATTTTTAATGGTTCCATTCAAACCCGATATATTAAAATTAGGTAGACCTGTGGTCAACAACAATAATAGCAATCATAATAACGACAGCAACAGTAACAAAAACAATAACAACAACAATAACAACAACAATAATAATAACAATAATAATAATCGCATGAATACTCATAATATTATAAATGATGGAACTGATTTACCTAAACGAAATGCAAATAGTTTGGTTAGACCAGACAATGGTAATTTTGATTCAAGAGTACTATCAAGAAATCATGCATCTTTGACCTGTGATCCAGGGACAGGTAAAATTTACATTAAAGATTTAAAGTCAAGTAATGGTACATTCATTAATGGAAATAGAATAGATTCACATGAAGTTGAATTGAAGATTGGTGATGTTATTGATCTGGGAACTGATATAGATACTAAGTTTGAACATAGGAAGATTAGTGCATTAGTTGAAGAAATTACAATAATCCCATTATTAAATGGACTAACATCAAATGATCCTCATGATAACAATATTATTGATAAAATGAATGGTAGAATTGAACCTATTACAGTGAACCCATTGTCTGCACAGAGAGCCGCCTTTGAAACTGCTATGTTTGGAGATGTCAATAACTTAGATCTAGAAGATGCAATCTTAGGACCAGAGACAGAAATATTAAGTGGTATATTCATAAATAATGCCATAGGCACCAGTCCTAAATTGATAAATGTTATTAAGTTACTTTCCACGGAATTGGCCTTAGAAAGACAAGAATATGAGAAGTTGAAATCAATGGAAAATTTTATGATTAATTATACAACAAATCTAGAATATATTAATAAATTAATGATTGAAAGGAATGATAAACAACTAATTAAATTACAGGACACATTAAAGAAAACTTTTACTGAAAAACACGAAAGAATTTTAAAGGAAACAATGGATCAAATTACTACAATGAATAAAGAACAAGAGATTTTCAAAGAAAAACATATTGAAAAGATAAAGGCAAATAAAAAATTGATAAGTTCTTTAGAGATGCAAGTTGAAGATTTAAAAACAAGACTGCAAGTAGAAAAATACAAGAATTCTTGTTTAAATAAGAACAAACAAATATCCTCGTCATCTAAATCACTGGCGTCTCTTTCTTGCTCATCACAGCAGAATATTCTAAAGGATGAAGAGAATAAAACGATGGGTTCTTTATCTGAATTGACTTTATTTTCAACTAAGATAAGTTCTAACGAAAAACATTTGAAGATTACAGAAAATAGTTTGCCAGTATTTTGTAAAAAGAACAATGATACTAATTCAACACAAGATATAAGAGCTACCCAATCAAATGATAATGGCACAATAATAAATAAAGAGAATTTGTTAACCCAAAATAATAATAGAAATAGCGATACTCCAGTATTGAAGCAACCTTCAAATAATAATAATAATAATAATAATAATAATAATAATAATAATAATAATAATAATAATAATAATAATAATAATAATAATAATAATAATAATAATAATAATAATAATAATAATAATAATAATAATAATAATAATAATAATAATAATAATCACATAACAAATGAATCATCTAATGATAACAGCAGAAACAAGAAAACCATATCAACAATCATATTACTGACGACCGTTTCTGTTGGTATAATTGCAGTTTTTCTAAAACAAAAATTTAGTTAAGAGACGATTCACCCATATATATATTGTAAGGTCAGACAGAGAGAGTGGATACGAAGGAGATCATATATACGCATACTTATACAGATGTTCTACTTAATTTCTGATGATCTACTGTCATTTCAAAAAAAAAAGTGAGGCTTTTTAGATATATAGATCATAAAATAGAATGCCATAGCATATTAAACAATAATCTCCTCCCATATATTATTGATATTCTAATATATTCTAAATTTTACAAGACTTTTTTATTTTTCAAGTTACCTAGCAGTAGAAAAAAAAAACAGAGATAACGAATATTTTCCAATTTTTTATTTACTTGAGACCCGTTATTAAGTTTGCTTCTGCATAAAATTCTAATTATCAGTGCCTACATATTTTGGTAGGTCTTCTTGAACCTAAACATACTATTATGAGTAGTAGAGCAAAAATTTTATTTGAAGAATACACTTTTCAAATATATACCTCAATAACTTGTATATGATTTTAACTGCATTTTAGAAAAAGAAAGATTATTGATGAAAACCAAGATCTTAAATTTATTAAAATGGTTGAAGAATTCTGATCAGTTCCAATTTTCAGATGCACTAGATGTGATTGACACGGGAGAGTCTGGTCGTGGTGTTTATCTAATAAAATCTGAAAAATTAAAAAAGAATGATACATTAATGTCTATACCAAGTTCATACCAATTGAACTTCCATACCGTATTATATCATATATCCAAATTTAACAAATCTATTTCCATCCCAGGAATAACAGGAAATGAAGAAAATAATTTAACAACATCGGTGGATTTTTCACAGGATCAAGATCCTCGTTATAAGACATATTCAATGCTGTCTCAAGAATTCATTTTACAGTTATCTTCATTCCAGTTATTGGCACTTTATATATTAGCCGAATGGGTTTTGTTATCACACTGGGTTAATCATAATAATATTTCTACAGATAATAAACCAATCGTCTCATTTTGGCAACCGTTTTTTGATGTGTGGCCGACTTCATCTGAGTTGGGATCAATCCCCACTATTTGGAATTGTCAAAAAAATAATAAAAATTCTATGATATTTAATACCCTGATCAATTTTTTACCTTATGCATCTCAAAAGCACATGGAGAGAATTTCTAAATTGGTTTGTAACGATTGGAATACAATATTCCCAATAATCAAAAAATGGAATGAAGTTTATCCACTAATTCCCTTAACCAATGACGATCTATTCAATACCTTCTTGGAGATATATTTTATTATCAATTCAAGATGTTTATATTGTGAAATCCCAATAAAGAAAAATTCTGAAGATAAAATTCTGAGTAATTTTACCATGGTACCATTGGTCGATTTTTTGAACCATTCTGATAAGACTGACTTTTATTGTTACCCTTACGTAAATAGATTTAAAAAGGATAATATATCTGGTATAGGTCAATTTGAGATTCGTGTTGGTAACTATGAATACAATCAATTGGGAGAACAAGTTTTTTTAAATTACGGTGCCCATTCGAATGATTTTCTATTAAATGAATATGGATTTGTTCTTAAAGAAAACTATTGGAACTTTATTGACATTAGTGAGCAAATCATAAAACTGTTACATGACAAAGTTTCTAATTTAGATGAACAACGTAACTTAATCCAATTTTTAAAAGAAAATGAATATTGGAATGATTATACCTTGAATAAGGATGAAATAAGTTATCGTACTTTGATTGTATTAAGTTTGATTGTTACTAAAGATTTTGATAGAGTAGCAAAATTTATGAATGGCTATATAAGTGAGGATTTCTTTTTTCCAAAGATTAAAGAGGCTCTGCAAAATTTATTGAAAGAAGTCTTATCCGATTCCATAAAGAAAATCAACGATTTAGAGAAGTTATTTAGAAACACTAATGATGTTGGGATTTCTCTCTGTTGTAGAAATATTATAATGATACATAAGGATTATATCGGCATATTACAAACACATATAAATAAACTATAATAAATATATATATGATTAAATTTATCAAAACTTCAGATATTTAACGTGCATATATATGCATAGCTAATTTTAACCATCACCCTAATACGTGAGTATGAATAAATATATGATTACATTGTATACTATATGACAATACTTTATATATGCTTGTATATTTGTATATATTCTATTTACATGTGAAAGTTTGATTTTAAAGTTTGCTTTTTGATATCTAATTTACCTCTTAATAACCAAGACAACATTTTATTCCATTTACAATTAATTTTATTTTTATACCCTAAACGAACAAAATAACCATTTAAATCATCTATTATCTGTAAGTTCAATCTTTGCATATCTTTATACGCCCTTGATTTTGACTTAAAATCTTGCAATCTCATAATTATAAGTTCATATAATCTATCAACATTAAATATTGTATAAAAATCAGTAGAGTCCAAAAGATACGGGTAGGATTTTGTTATGATTTCAAGCTGCTCAGCTATTATAACTTTTAATAGTGTTTTATAATTTTTAATCATCAATAAATCATGAACATATTTGCAATCAAAAAGTACAGCTAAGGATTCAATACAACTATTCATTATGCATTTTTCTAACCTTAAACATTGGAAATCAGTAAACTCGATTATTGAAGTATTAAATTTATTCAATTGTGACATAATATGAATTAAATCATTTTGTTCTTTTAAATTATTATTCTTTATAGTTTGATTAAAACTTAAGCGGCTTTGCAAATCTGTAGTTAGTATTGGAATTTGTGTTATCATTAATCGTATCTTATCACCCCAAAGTAAAGGATTTAACTGTACAGAAAACTCTTTAGAATATTGTGATAACATAGCAGTATTCAATATCAAATTTGAATTATATATTGATTTATTAACTGTCAATAACTGTTCATCTTTATCTGTCAATCCAAGAAAAAACTTTGGTTTCTTTGAATCATCCCAAATCTTATTTTCAAGTATCTCGAGGATACCCATTGGTGGATTAATCAATAAAACGTTTGATTTATCATTTAATGAGCCCTTATATTTTTTAAAATCTGCCAATAGCTTCTTTGGATTTCTTTCCATAACGACCAAATTCTCCAAGATTATTTTATCATTTGTTACCAAAGTAGGAGGTGTACAAGCTGCCATATATTGAAAGATTGGGTCTGATGAAACACTACCGCCTTTTACAACTATTTTAGAATCATTATTTAGAAATCTTTTCAATTTTAATGGGTCACTAAGTAAAAGAATTAGATTTGGAATATTCTTAGAAGGGTCTGATAGTCTGGCAATTTCGTGAGATATCAGTAGGAATAAAGGAGAACTGCCCAAGGTATAAATCCGTGGCAGCTGCATTTCAGAGAGACTCTATAAGACAACCTATACGCCTAATAAAAGAGAAACGTAGCGGTAGTGTGTGACTTTATTGATATAAATAATAGTTGGTCATAATATATATTAGCATAACTTTATATGATGAGGTAACACTTCTCTTCACAATTTCAAATTCTTAGCTTGTATACAAAAAGGTAAAAGGGAAGAAAAATAAAAAGCGGTGAAAACTTGAAAGTCATTACAATAGTGAATATTTTTAAAAGTAGTCAACTTAAAATCACTAATCGATATGTCGTTATAACAAGGAGATGTAATGAGCAAGATTTACGTTCAGACAAGATTTCAGTACTTCAGTATTTAAGATAGAAGAAGATAGAAATTTTCTGCTTCCTCAGTAAGCCTCTTCTACAACTAAAGGAAAACAAAAGAAAATTAATTTAACTTTTCATACGGAAATCTCGTAAGCTCTGAATTGACTTCTAGTGCAGTACTGAACATCTTAATAATTGTTGCTAAATATTCGTGTACAATGTTGATTGTAGGGTTAACAGGTGGTATTGCAGCCGGTAAGAGTACTGTATCACGTCGACTTAAAGAAAAACATAGGTTACCTATAATAGATGCAGATCAAATTGCACGGGAGATAGTAGAACCTAGTCAGTATACTTATAAGAAGATAATATCTTATTTCAAAGATAAGATTCCTGATCTCTTGCTATCTAATGGAAGATTGAACAGATCTGCACTAGGTAAATGGGTCTTTTCGCATCCTGATGATTTACAAAAATTGAATGGGATCACTCATCCTACAATAAGATACACAATATTTCAGCAAGTTATTGGATATTATATAAAGGGTTACAGTCTATGTGTGTTAGATGTACCATTATTATTTGAGAGTGGATTGGATCAATTCTGTGGTGTTACGATTAGTGTGGTATGTGATGAAGAATTGCAATTAGAAAGATTACAGATAAGAAATCCCGAATTGTCCATTGATGACGCAAGGAATAGAATAAAATCTCAAATGTCTATGGATTTAAGGAAAGCGAAATCAGATTACATAATTTATAATGATGAAACTTTAGAAAGTTTGAATAGACAAGTCGATTTATTAGTGGAGAACATTAAACCTGGTGTCATTAGAACACTTTTGGAATACTTTCCACCATTTGGGTGCCTAAGCGCTAGCACAATATATGTGTCGAAAAAATTGTCATCACGCTGGAGGCAACTCAAACAAGATTAGATTAGATACTATATAAATTCAAAATAAATAAGATAGTTAAATCATTAATTGGGAAAATATATATATATATCTTTATTATTTTTATCAACCTTTATATATATATTTGTGTTACAACTATTCTATGATTAATTTGTAATTAGTTTAATATGTTACTCTGTAAATTATTTTTTGTAAGAAGAATACCTTATTGGATAATAATTTTTGGTTACTTCAGGAACTGGCTTATATGGCAACCCACCTCTATCATTTCTTAATAATAATTTGTTCTTACCAAATGGTCTAGCAATTATTGGTTTATTCAGTTCTGGATTATTTAACGCTTCAATATCCTCGTTAGTGATTATTGGTTCCTTTGGTATGAATTTCTTTAAATCTTTACTAAAGTTACAAAACTCGTTCCTATACAATAGGGGTACCATTGTATCACATTTAATTGGACCACCTCTAGTCTCCACTATATCATTATTCTCGATACCGGATTTAATGTTGTTTAAATTTAATGGAACCACCTGGATAGATTGACCCATGGAAGACAAAGACGTGTTAACAGTGTCAAGATACAATTTTTCACTTGGTTCACCTTCAATGAAGGGCCTTAAAATTTTCTTTAAATCATTTGGTGTAACTTTTAAACCTTCTTGTGGTAAATCATCACCATAGACTCTCACAAGATCTTTATCATCCATGAATCTAAGCTTACTGTTTTTATTTTTCAGCCTTCTTTCAGGAGTATCATTATTATCTGTTGATGAAGATTTCAAGATTGACGTCAATTTTATTGATGAGTTAGATTTTAAGGTGGGTGGTTTAGCTTCAATGGTATTAGATGAGGTAATGATATCATTAGATGGAATTGTAATTTTTCTTTTCTTAATGGTGAAATGGTCTTCTTGTATCACATTATTATCACCACTAATAGATCTTTTTAATGATGTATGTTGTTGTTCCTTATCATTTTCATCCTTTTGTAAATATTTGGAAAATGATATTTTCTTTTTATTTATACCAATATCAGTACCAGTGGTTATTTTCTCAGCGGTAGTAGAATCATAATCGTTAATTTCATTATCTCTAGTTATTTTATTAGAATCAGAAACTGTCTGATTATCATTAATATCATTATTATTACTATCACTATTATTATTAGTAATATTAACAACGGTATTCTTATTAGTTGAGTCAGCAATATATATATCTGGTTTAGAAATTTTCTTCTTTGTCTGCTTGGTTTTTACTGTTGCTGGAGTAGAGGAAGAAGAAGAAGAAGGAGCAGATGGATTTTTGATTGATTTAGTCACACTTGTCGACACTTGTGGCTGCTTTATCTTCTGTTTAAGTTTAGGTTTAGTCAACGCAGACGGTAGTCTTTCTCTTAATAGATCTTTTGAATAACCTAAAAGCTTCAAAAACTTCAAATATGTGATAATATTATCTTTATTATTGATATCTAGATTACATAGTTTGATTATTCCGGATAATAAAAGGTCCTCATTTGGATTAGAATCTTGGGTTGGTTTTAAAGACTCTCTTAATTCATTATCTTTAATCAATTTATCTATAAACTCCTTTCTGACCTTTGCTAGTTCAGTAGGTAAAACTTTATTAATATGGTCAATAATTCTTTCACTTGGTTTAACCTCTTGTTGCTGTTGCTGTTGCTGTTGCTGCTGTTGGACAGGTTCAATAGATTGTTGCTGTATATTATTTTGATAGTTAAAGGTAACTTTCAGTTGCTCCAATTCAATAATATAATCTTTATACATGTTTAATAAACCGTTATATAGGTTTCTATCAGCATCAGTAACCGATTTATAATTAGAATCTTGCGGATCATTAATTAAGAGATTATCTAAGATGAATTGTCTCTTTGCATAAATCAAGGAGTTTAAATGACTTAAAATTCTTTCATAATCATTTATTGTCAACAGGAGGGGGGTTGATTTGGAGTCAGAACTGGCAACTCTTTGATGATGTATTATTGTCTGCCATTTTGACAGATCTGATCTTATCTGTTGAATGGTGTTAGCAGATAATGTATTTGATATATTTATCATTTGTGGGATGGGAGAATTTACCGACATATTTTCAAAACTATAGTGATAATTATTAATAAGGATAAAAGTAAGGATAATAGTATAATAAGTTAGCTACGAGAATGATAATAAAAATAATAAATAAGTATATGAAACAGAGATAGACGGAATAATAAGTTTGCAAATAAAATAAAATAAGCTAAAATAAAATAAAAAAACAAACAAACAAACAAACAGTAAGGATAGTGACTAATGATAATAGTAACTTTATTTATATAGTGTATGTATATAAAACGCAATAAAGTGATAAAACTAGAATATAGATAAAGATTACTTCTATTTGTATGTGTTTTTTTCTTTTTCTTTAGTTGTCCTTCCTGTTATTTATTTGAAAATACTTAATACTTAATGAAATTAAACTATCTCTTCTTTACAGGTTTAAAAAGATAGAATCAGTAACTAAACAAACTTAATAAGCCAAAATTGATGGGGAGAATGATAAGGAAATAAAACGGTCACTTTATATATATATGTGCAGATGTAATAGTATAGTTTACTGTGTACGTCTGTTATCTTTATAAACACTTGGAAGAACAGAAAGAGGACTAGGCAATAACAAAATTGGTAATTTTATAATCACCTTTCTGTATCGTCCGCTGCTCTTCTAAAAAAAAAAGAATAAAATAAAAAAAAAAATAAAATAAAAGATCGCTTCTAACGAAGATAAATGAAAAAAATAAAAAAAAAATGGAGACAATTCTTTTAGTTTTTATTTTTATTTTTTTTTTGTTGTTGTTCTTTTTGTTAAGACCTAAAATCACACCAGACGAACGTCTGTCTAGCGCACGTCGCTACCATAAAGTTTTTTTCTATGGGCAAACAAATAAACCAGTAGATGAATAAAGATAATAATAGTAATAATAATAATAATCATGATAGTGATAATGGCTACAGCGATGTTTCAGAATAATGATTGATTGTTGCAACAAATGAGTGAGCAAGTATACCTATCTATTAGTTTACCCTGGTAAAGAGGTGGTATGTGATGTATTATTGTATATATAAAAAAAAACAGTTGACTGCAAGTGTGAAAACTGTCTTCTCTTGTGCTTGTTTCTCTATCCTTGTTGTTTGCATATACCTTTGAACGTTAGTGATAACATCAGCATATTATTGAACCTCCAATTTTCTTTTCCTTATTTTTTTTTTTAGTTCTCTTTCTACAACATTTGATTCAAAAAATAAGATAAAAATAGAAGGAAGATCTAGAAATATGGGATTAATAGTCATGTTACGATTCAACAGTGTGTCAATACCTAAATCTGGTTTAAGGATTTTGAGTCATATCAATATTAGGAGTATTTGCAGTCAAAACAACAATAATTTTATTATTGTACCAACACGCTTAAATAGTATCAGCTATTTTATAAGAAACTATAATACTCAAAGACACAGTATTAAAGATAGCCAATACTTCAAGAATAAACATAACAATTATTTCAAGGCTAAACACGATAATCAGTATAATAAACATCGAAATAGTCAGTTAAATAATAATAATAATAATAATAATAATAGTAGTAGTAGTAGTAGTAGTAGCATCAGTGTACAGGATTTCAATATAGTTGAATTTAAAAAAGAAACTTTAGCGAAATTAATCCATTTATCAAATGAGGGTTCAGTCACTTTACAACAACTGTATGATGAAGGGATCCTTGATAGGTCTTTATTTTTATCCATACAGAGAATGAATTTCCCCAGTTTAACACCGGTTCAACAGAAAACTATTAAACCTATTCTGATAAGTGATAGTAATGACAACGTCAAACAGCCTGATATAATAACCAGAGCAAAGACAGGCACAGGTAAGACTTTCTCCTTTTTAATACCTATCTTTCAACATTTAATCAACACACATCAACAACATCAGTACATGGTTAAAGCTGTCATCATTGCTCCAACTAGAGACTTGGCTTTACAGATTGAAACTGAAGTTAAAAAATTACACAAAAATTATCGTGTTTTGAGTAAATATCAATCTATTTCTCTAGTAGGTGGCACAAATTTACAGAAATCTTTAGATTTCATGTATAAGAGGAGACCAAATATCGTTATTGCCACACCTGGTAGATTTATTGATATCTTGGATAGGGTAGGAGACAAGTTTTTCAAATTTGTCGATTTTAAAGTCCTGGATGAGGCTGATCGGTTGTTGGAGATAGGTTTCAAACAAGATCTGGAACATATTTCAACCACTTTAAATGGTCTAAATGTCAATGGTGATAAACATATCAGGACTTTATTATTCTCTGCTACATTAGATGAAAAAGTACAGAATCTTGCAAATAATATTATGAATAAAGAAAAGTGTCTTTTCATTGACACAATAGATAAAAATGAACCTGAAGCACACGAAAAGATTGAACAATCATTAGTTGTGTCGAAAAGTTTTGCTGATAGTATTCACGCCACGATTGACCATCTTAAATTAAAAATAGTAGAGAACAACAAGACTAGTAAAACTACCAATATTGATTACAAAGCTATACTTTTCACCCCTACTGTGAAATTTACAAAGTTTATATATTCCATTTTAAATAAAGAATTCGGTAGCCAATCATTTCCAATATATGAATTTCATGGACAAGTGTCACAATCAAGAAGAACTAATTTAGTTAAACAGTTTAAAAATGATTCTAATGGATTATTGATTTGTACAGATGTTGCAGCACGTGGTATGGATTTCCCGAACGTTAAAGAAGTGTTACAAATCGGTGTTCCAACCGAGCTAGCAAATTATATTCATAGAATAGGTAGAACTGCTAGAAGTGGTAAAGATGGGAAAGCGATTATGTTTTTATGTGAGAAGGAGCTACCCTTTATTGATCAATTAAAAAGAACTAAAAATATCGATATCATCAACAAGACTCGATATGAATCAACTAATGAAGCAAAGGACCACTTAGCTGCAAATTTTCAATCTCAAACTATGGCTTTGGGAAGTTTGTCAGAATCTATTATTTCATTGATATCGTATTATAGATCGTGTATCAAAGAATATATGTTTACTGAAAAGGTGATTTTACCAGAAATAGCAAAGACATATGGGTCTTTATTGAATGAACCGTATAAAAAACTGCCTGTAACAAGAACTGTCATAGATAGATTAGGTCTAACACGGAATCCAATATCAAAAACTATGTTTCAAATAACGAGACGAAATTTAAATGAGGAAAAGAATGATCACTTGAATACACACAGTCATAAATATAGAGAAAAAAAACATAATTATCACAGTTATTCTCGTATGAAATTTCAATCTAGGAAAAACGATACTTCTTATGGTCATTCCAAAAAGTGCTACCAGTCAGAAGATTTTGAATCTGATAGATTCTATACAACTCCAAAATAAAGTGAACATATTCACTCTTACCTTCTGTATTTTAAACGTCCATGAACTAAAATAAAATAAAAAAAAAAAAAAGCAGGAATAGAAAACTGAATAAAATATTTTAACTCTTGTAAATAATAACCACAATATGAAATAATGTGATAATTTATGTTTCAATTATCGTCTGCTAAAATCCATTTTATTTATTTTAATCTACATATTTCTATGTATAAACCTAGCGATAATAATTTGTATATAATGTATAAATGGATATAATTAGATATATAGATATAGATAGATAGATTTGTTCATTCAATTGTTAGAATATGTCTGCCTCAATTAAATACTAAAAAATAATTGAGAGAATAAATATTTGAGTAGTAATTGAGGAAATAATGTGTGCATACATATGCATACCCTAATTAGGGTTTACTCAACGTATCAGCTGACAAAAAAAAACATGTGTTATATCATAGTCATCTCTTTTCATTCTCTACATACACATATACAACAATTATAATCAAAAAAATCTTATTTGGAGATGAACTCAATAGCTGACTCAAAAGTTAACCATCTTATAGTTTGTTTTTCTTCTCCGTTTCTTTCTATCCATTTCTAAAAAAATGTTGAGGGAAGCTAAAAGAGTAGAATAAGATCAACAGTATGACAAGAGGTCAATTGATTTTAATAGAGGGTTTAGATAGAACTGGAAAAACAACACAAACTGAAATCCTATGCAAAAAATTACAACCAAAAGTGGAATTAATCAAATACCCTAAAAGAGACACTCCAATTGGGAAAATAATCAATGAATATTTGACTAATCTAGATTATTCGCTACCTAATCAATCTATTCATCTATTATTCTCTGCTAATAGATGGGAACTAATGGATCATATTATCTCATTATTGAAAGAGGGAAAGAATGTGATCCTCGATCGATATGTGTATTCTGGAGTAGCCTATTCTGCAGCCAAGGAAACACCAAGGATGGATTGGCAATGGTGTCTTTCTCCTGACAAAGGGCTATTAAGACCAGATTTGACAATATTTTTAACTCAAGATGATTTAACAAGACAATCTGATAGAAATGGATTTGGTGATGAAAGATATGAGATTAGTAGCTTTCAACAAAAAGTTAAATCACAATTTGAATCATTATTTAGAAATATTAGTGATTCAAATGAAGTTAAATTACTTAATGTTAGTGGAAAGTCAATTGAAGAAGTAGAAACACTGGTATGGGAACAAGTTGAATTGTTATTAAAACAACCAAACCAAGAATTCAAATATTTTTAATACCAATATTTTTTTTTATAGATGTGTATATCTGTATGTGTATATTCCACCATCATTGTCTAACTAATTCTCTATTAATAGAAAAATGCCTCGATGATTTATTCTTTTTTTTTTAATTTTTAATTTTTCTATTTTCTCATTTATAAAATAGCATAAAGGTTTTAATTATATTTTTTCAGATCAAATAAAATATTGACACCACAAATATAGTATGAAAGACTATAATGAATAAGGTAACACAACTGCTTACCAGCCTTATTCAAATTTTTATTTTTTTATATTATCTCTAGTTTTTACCAAGTGCTAATCATTCGACAATCTATTATCACAGACAGATCAATATCATTGAATAAATTATGGCATTCGGTGATAAAAATATACCTTGTAAATTCTTTCAGCAAGGTAATTGTAAATTTGGTAATTCATGTAAATATGCACATGTATACGTTAACAACAATAACAATAATAGCATGAATAAAAACAATAATAATAATAACATGAATAATGGCTTTAATAATTCATTTAATTCATTTGGAAATTTGGCATTTGGTTCAACTGGATTTGGAAATAATAGTAATAGTAATAATACAAATTCAGCTTTTGGTACTCCAGGATTTGGAAGTTCTAATATGAATAATAACAGTAACAATCAATTTGGGAATAATGTATTTGGAAAACCAGTTTTTGGTTCAAGTGGATTCGGATCAAACAATACATTTAACAATAATGGCAATAACAATAGCTTCACTAACTCTAATAATACTAGTAGTGCTTTTGGTGCACCTTCTTTTAATACAAATACCTTTGGTAGTAATAGTAACTCAGCATTTATGTCTAATAGTGCAACTAATAATAATAATAGCAGTTCAACAAATAGTGTATTTGGTCAACCAGCTTTTAATAATAATTCTGTATTTGGATCATCAACATTCGGAAATAATAGTATGAATAATAATAATAATATATCAATGACTTCTCCATTTGCTAATATACAAAATAATAACAACAATAATATGAATCCTTTAGCGTTTGGTAGTTTTCAAAATAACAATAACAATAGTAATAATTCTACAACACAGTCAATATTCGGACAGACACAAACAACACCGATGTTTGGTTCAACAGGATTTGGTGCCAATGCAAATACTGTCAATCCTTTCACAACTAAACAAACCACAGTATCTAATTCCATCTTTGGTCAAAACGCCACTAATACTAATATTAAAAACTCTAGTATGAACTCCTCACCATTCAGTCAATTACAGAATAATAACAATACGACAGCAAATAAAATAGGTTCTGTGTTTGGCACAAATGGATCACAATCGCAAACAAATATAGGTTCATTTAGTAATATACCAAATAACAATAACAATAATGCTAATAATTTTACTAATATAGCAGCCACTAATAATAATGTAAAATCTGTTTTTGGGGCATCTACAGGACCATCAACTTTTGGTACTCTACAAAAAGCAACCAACCAAAATTTAACAACGGATAGTAAGAGCAGTATTAACAATAACAATAGTGGTGCTATGAATATTTTTAGTAATCAATCCAATAGTAACAATGTAAAATCAAAAACTTCAACAAACACTCCTAATTTATTTGGACAACAAAAAGATGAATCAAAATTTACAAACAATTCATTTGGCAAAACCCCTGATATGCAACCCAAGACTACAAAAACCATTGATAAAACAATCAATCAAGTAAATCTTGACAATATATCAAATCCTATGATATCGGATGCTGTTAAAGATTTAGACGAATCTATAATAAAAGCATTCCAAAGTCCTATATTTACTTTAGGTAATGTACCTGATTTTCCACCACCTCCAGAATTAATTGTAAACCTTTAAATATAGATGGTATCTATATAAATATTATATATATATATATAGAAAGAGTGAGAGAGACAAATGCATACAAAATTTCATACTAAATTAACTAGATCTTGACAATCACCATGAACAATCAAATCTATTCCATCATCTCCAAACAGTTTTAAAATATTATTATTTGGTAATTCATTGCTGATAAAGATAACGACAAATTTACCTAGTAATCTTTGTGGTCTCATATTTTTAATAATTCCCTTAATAAGGTCTCTTACACCTGGTATCTCTAAAGTGGTACCAACAATCATTAAACAATCAATTTTTTTAGATTTAATATCATAGTTTATTATACGAGCGATCTCATCACCATCTGGATGTAGCTCGTTATAAAGAACAATCTTTGGTCGCAGTATACCTACACCTTTAGATCTAATACCGGCAATCTTTCTAACCTCTTCAAATTCTTCGCATTGAGAACAGTGCGGTATCAAAATCTGATCTATTTTAGTTTCAGACGTGTCTAATTCTGTGATAAAATCATATGGATTCAGTGGTTTGATTTGATGGCATTTATTACATTGAGTGTAATTTATTGAACCATGCAATTGAATTAGTTTTGGGTAAGGTGATTTTGTTGGTAATTTAGTAAAGAATTGAATTGGATCCAAATCTTTAAAGGAATTTAATTGGGTTTCCATAGAGTCTATATTCTGTGTATAAATTCTTTTAATCTGCCCTCTAGAAATTAAATTATCTATAAGATAATGGAAGGGAGTTGGAGTATTAGATTGGGATAAATTGTGTAAATTTCTAATCAGTTTATTGAATTGTAATGTGTATTCATTCGATGAATATATTAAATTGATATCGAATAATGATTTGTTATCTTTAATCTTAGAGTCCGTTAGTCTTTGTTTAAATAGACCAATTTCATTGGATCTAAAATCTGGGATGCCTGCTTTTGTTGATATGCCTGCGCCTGTGATCATAACAATATTTGTACAGTTATTAAAAACACTCTTTAGAAAAGTTAATTTTTTAGAGTCATTTTTACTATTTTTATCAATATTAGTATTTAAATCCAAGATTGAATTCTTAGGTGGTTTATTCTTTTTAATTGTATAAAAAGGTTTTATGTATTTGTTTGATTTTTTATCTTCAAGTTCCTTTAATTTTGGTAATAAAAATGTTGGAACGATATTTTTACTTTGAGTTTCAATTTGAATATCAGTATCATTAGGATGGTATTGCCTATTTTTGAATGATTTCCTCTCAGTCTTTTCAATAGTTGGTGGTGGAGTTAATAAAATGGTCATTATTATTGTGTATTAGTGTCTTCTATTCTTACCTATTCTATTGATTGTGGCCGGTTTTTAATAAAATCAAAAAATTATCAATCAATAAATATGAATATCTCAAGACAAAAGAATACTAACTGTTAACTGAATTTAGACACTTAATTGTATTAGACTATTAATCATTCTCTTTTTTAAAACTTAGCAACTTTCATAATATCCCATATAGGCATTGGCAAAGAAAAAATAAATAAATAAATAAATAAATAGAGATGATAAAAAAAAAATTGTTGTGTTGGTCTATTTGATTTGATTCAATTACTTTTCCTAAAAGGGTATAAAATCGAAATAGAAATATAAAAGAATAATAGAAATTTATTAATCTTAAAAAAAAAAAGAAAAAGATGAAGATGAAGAAAATTGTTTTCAGGGTTTTTTTTATCGATGCTTTGATAGAAAAAAAAAAAGAGGGCTTCCCTAAGTCAAAGAAAGATATTTCCAAAAACCAAGTAGGGTTTTATAGTAAAAAATTTTTTTTTAAAAACATTTCGTATTTTATATGTACTCGTTTAAAGAAAAAAGGGGATATACTTTTTTATTTTGAAAAAGAAAAAGAAAAAACTAATAATAATCATAATAATAATATACGAATGTAATAAACAACCAATTCAACAGAAAAAAAAATTCATAGTTCTAAAACTGTTGGTATGGTAACGCATACTCAATAAATTTTCAATCCGAGAAAATTTAATATTTTTTTCTTTTCTAAGAAGTCTACTTCTATTGAAATTCCCGATCGATGATTTTGCGGAATGTTTGGGTGTTTGAATGGTTATGTTTTTTTTTTTTTTCTTTTTTTCGGCTTCGGTTTTATTTCTTTTTTTGGTTTTTCTTTTTTACTTTTTTTGATCTTCGATGATTTTGGACTTGTCGAACTTAAAAACAGAGAGAGACAGAGAGACAAAGAGAGAGAGAGAGAGAAATGGAGTTTGGTGATTTGTAAATGGTTAAAAAGGAAACTCACTAGATATTTTGCTTAATTATTTTTTTTGGTTCCTCTGTGTTTATATATAGCATATAATAAGTCCTTTCTACCATCCTCTAACGGCTTTCTTATAAACTTTGGATACCAAAACACCATTTTCATATTATTTATAGATACAAACTACTGAAACCAATAAAAACAAATAAGTAAAATAAAATACAATGGATATAACAGATTCTATGCCAACACAACAACAACAACGACAAATTTTTTTAACACCAAATCGATATAGAGATTATAGTAAAAACAAAAAAAATAATGATAATGATAATGATAATGGTCCAGACTACAAGTGGAAACCTAAAATTACTGTGAAATGCAAACATTTTTTATATCATTTAACATATTCTGAAATATTAAATATACATAATAATAATAACAGTACAAAAGAGCATGATAATTATAATGCAAGGTTATTAAAGATAACAACATTCAATATTATGGTGTACATAGATATCCCCACAATAGACTATTATCTAGATGAACTAAAGGATAATAAACTATCTAAATTTAATAGAAAATTTAAATTAAATAAATTGAAGTATTCCATATGGAAATCTTTTACAAACAATGATCCGGAATTTTGGGATAAATTTATTCTCTGTCATAGATTTAACGAAAATAATGAATCACCAACTATTAATTGTAATCTCTCCATTAAATCAAGTGGTTCTTTGCGATATGTGGAGACTATCAAATTTCTAATTGAAACTATATATGACACATTACTGCCGTACAATAATATAATAAAATTAAAGATCGATTTAAATGTATCCAAAATTTCTTTGAAATGGTTTAAAAATTTTTTGAAAAAACCAATTCTAAATTATATTAGATTCAAGGAGATTTTAAATTCAAATCTATCACCAGTGAATTCTTCTGATTTAAGCATCATTGATTTCCCATTTAAAGAATATTTTAATAAATTAAATGAGAAATTTTCTTTCAACGAAAATAAACCAAAAAATTCAGATGCAATAGATACTATCATTGTCATAACGAACAGCATGGGTATTAAAGCATTATTAACAATATTAGCTGATAAACCTTTGACGAATTTTATTGACCAACGATCTATCGATGAATTTTACAACGATTCTTTGTCTAAATCTAATACAAATTCATTAACTAGACAAATTAGTAATAATAGTTCCACAAGCCATAGTAGTACCAGTACCTCAACTACTGTTAGTACATGTAGTTATGCAAATGACCTCTCGACCACTTGCGATACTAATAGCGTTGCTTCTACTAACATCAATGATTTCAATAATATTAATAATAATGGGCCTGTTGGTGGTACATTAAGAAGGGAGTTATCTTCATTATTAAATTTTCAAAAAACGGTGTTAACATCTAATAAAGATAAATCTGTCAGAATAAGGTCATTATCGATCAATAGGAGGACTGGTAAACTTTTGGAACCTCATTTGAGTAAGATACCCTTTAAGACACAAGTCATTAGTAATCATAAAGAACCATTTGGGACAATCAGTAGAACAAAAGATATTTTACAATTGATTGATCAGGAAGATATACATCAGTTAGAGAAGGAAACAAACATCAATAAGAAGTTGAAAAATAAAAGAGTTGGAAACACTAGACCATTAGACTCAGATCAACCACTTTTGACTGACGATGAAGATATCTTTATTTGTGGTGACGAATTTTCTGGAGATGATGATGAGGAAGAAGAAGATTATGGTTATGATGATGAAAGTGAGGATGAGGAAAGTGATGATAATGATGAGGGGATCAGTTTCTATGTTCCAAGTTTATTATCTCGTTCGGGTTCTTCTTCAGATATTAATTCCTTAAACACAGTTCCTTACCCAAGGAAGGGAAGATTTAGATCGTTAAGTTTAATGGATCCAGCTCAGAGGCAACCATTTAACTATGATAAAACATTAATTAATTTAGAAAACAATCATGATAATAGTAATAGTAATAACCAAAACATCGAGAATGCTATTGAAAATGGTATAGCTAAACCTAAACCTAACAGTTTTACAAATATTTATATTCATGATGGCAATTTCAATGATACATATACCCCGAAGCATTATAAACGCAAATATAATAATAATTTTAATTCCAACATAGTAAACATTTACTCAAATACCATTACAACGCCGATTAATCCAAATCTCAATGGGTTGATTCCTCCTGAATTTTATACTAGATTCTCTACACCCTCTTTAAGTAATCATAATTCAACTAGTTCATTAAACAGCACATATCTTTCGCCCTATTATACCAACAACGAAAATACATCAACTCCAGGTCCAACAACATCAACATCACAGATAAATATATTTGAAAAAAATCTGATAAATAAATCATTTGAATTAAATAGAAACATTAATAATTCTGGAGAAAATATTTTTAATAAATTAATTAACAAAAAAAACGAGGAAAGAAATAAACATTTTACATTGATGAATTTTTCTGAGCGTGAATTTACAGATGACAATAATAATAGTGATAATGTCAAAGAAACTCATGATAATCGTTTATTAAGAGAATTAGAAGAAGAAGATCAAATGATGGGTACAGTTCAAAAGGATAATATTGCTAAAGGTATTTTACAGAAACCTCCATCTGGTATACCTTATAAAATTCATGGCTCTACTACTACTTCGGGAAGTAATTTAACTTTATTCAATTATAACAATTCCGATACAAATACTGTAAAGCCAATTAGTAAACAGTCCACTTTAACTCAATTGAATTTGAGTTTATATAGTGAAGATGAACATCCATTAGAAAATTCGAAAATGAAACAAAAGGACTTTGGCAATTATATAGTAGTTTCAGAAGAACCTGAAGTTTCTGCGTTTAGGAGAATCGCGTCATTAAACTTATACTGTTCAGATGATGAGCAGTCTGATGAATATTCCTCAAATATGTGGGTGTTGGGTGGAAATAGATGATTATTAATTTTCATTTTTGTGTTTTGCAATATTATTATTTTTATAGATTAATTTTTTATATATCCATTTTTAATGAATTAATAATAGATAAGTAAGCAAATGATTGTTCTAATAATCATTCATTTTAAAATTTATACAAATTATGAATAAAAGTATTCTTATATATTCTAAATTAATAAAATATTATCATACAATGCTTCCAGCATATGATAAGAACAGTGAAATATTTTTTTCTTATATTGACATGTATTATTAAGATCCTTCCATGAATGGAGATATGTGATTTATATCACAGTAGCAATTACTGTCATATTAATGTCTTTTTTTTTTCTTTCATGGTCGTTGTTCGTGATGATTCAAACAATATTTTTTTTTGTATCTTTTAAAAAATTTTGAATTTTCTTTCGATGCGATGAGCATCTTGAAATTTTTTGTTATAAGAGAGAGCTAATATCATCGATCTAATTTATATTACTATAGAAGAACAAAGCATAGACAAGAAATTAGTCACCAATTCGAACCAGAAGAAGCAACTATTTTAATTTCAGAAAGTAATACTAATTATTTTAATAAGATCTGGTATTAAACTAAATAATATATTCTGCATTTTTTTTATATTTTTTTTAACAATTGATAGATAAATAACATATATGTATATATGTTGTAAAAGGATATCTAACGTAAACTAACTATGAGAGATAATACATTGGGACAAGTTCCACAAAAAAAAGAAAAGGTATTCGAATCTGGTGGATCTTCTAATGATAATAATAATAATATTGATTCTGATAGTATGATCTATAAGAATGACGGTAGTAGGCAGATACATGGTTCAGCAATAGAAAAGACGTTAGATAACTTATTGAATGAGGCTAATGATCATTTTCCAAAAGCCGAATCCTTGATTCATAATACTCATCAACAGGTTGAATATCATAATAATAATGTAAGTGATACTGGCATCAATAATATAAAACAACCAGTTGATGCAGTATCAGATAACAAAAATATTCCAACAGATTTTGAAACTGTTATTGAGAATGCAATCATTTCAATGGATTCGAATCAAACATTAATTAATGATAAGAAAAAGTTGCATAATGATTTTACAAAAAATATTCATAACAATGAAGAAAAGCCATTTATTTTGGAAAGTATGCTAAGTGAAGATCATAATCCAACTATTTCATTTGAGTTAGATGATCTAGTTTTCCCAGATACAATTAACCATGATTTTTCGAACGATAATTGTATCTCTAATTCTAATATTACAACTACAGAAACTATTACTACTACTAAAAATAATAATAGTCATAATGGCAATGATCTCAAAAGGAAGATAGGAGATATTGATATAGATTTTAAAGAGTTCGAAAAACTTACTAAATCAGCTAAGATAAGCATCAATGATTCACATGAGCCACCGTTTTTATCCCCTGCATCTTTATCGCCAATGTCATCTCTTTCCACGGATAATAATGAATCCAAAACTACAGAACAAGATAATAGTAGTAACAAGGATATTTTAAATAAAACTAGTGAAGCTACTATTCTGCATAAGGTAATTGAAAATAATAACAATAGTAGCATACACAAGAAAAATGTGGATAATAATTTAATCAATAAAACATCAAATGATTTATCAAAAACTAATAGCAAAATACAAAATACTTCAAAAAGTTATAGTTATAGTAGCAACAGGAATATGTTGATTTCAAGAACAAATTCTACATATAATTCACAATCGTACATACCTGAAAAATTAACAAAAGAATATACAATGCACCAAATTTCAGAGATGAAAAAAAGAATAATTAACACACATAAATTACTATTAAATTTCAATTTCTTAAAGGATAGTTATGCAAAGACTTGTATCGAATTGAAGAAATCATTGAATGCTTTGAGGGACAGTGAAATACATAGAGCACATCTTTTATTAGAAAATGAGCAATTGAAGACAAAATTACATAAGCTAGAATCATCTAAGAGTAAACAATAATAATACCTTATTTTTTTATATGATAGAATGATGCTTTTTCTTAATTTTACAATTTGAGCAAAAAAGATTAATATACAGCTTTATACGGATGCATTTATTTTTAATATTATTCTTTCTTTATTATTAGAGTCAAAAGCTGTTTTTGCATTAAGTATCATTTTATCTGTCAGGTGTTTAGAAGGATATTGATAAATAAACTAGGTATGCAATTACACAGATGTGCACTCCATATAGTCTTTACCATTTTTTAATTAAATTTGATGCAAATCTCACTAAGAAGCAAATATATACAGAAACTTTATATATCTAAATCACTACCACTATCACCATCATAGCCATACTTATTGTTTTGAAAATTCCTATTAGATTTGTTATTTAGATGGATAATATTAGATCCCATCACCGGATCTAATAATCCAGCTGATCTTAATTGTAGCTCAAGATTTTCAATCGGAAATTCATCTGGATTGTTTCCTAACTTACTGAAACCTATTAATCTTATAACTTCTTTGCCTTTATAATAACCAATTAAAAATGGTAAAACTTTAATATTTAAACTTTTAACCAAAAAAGGACAATTTGTAGCATTAATTTTAACAAATTTTGTATATAAATGTCTTTGCGCTAGGATGGCTAGTGTATCATTCATATATTTACATTTTGGAAATGTATCTAACTGAAAATGGATCACAATTTTATCAATTTCACTGCTAATTTGAATTAAATGTGATTCCTTATCAATTGTATCCAATATACCATAATTACCAAACTTGATTTGTTTCTCTACCTTTTTAACATGTTCAGATATTTCTTGTAATCGTTTTTCTCTATATTTTACATAAATATCATTATCATCTAGTTCATCTTCTAGGCTATCCAGAAGTTCATCTACATCCTTATCATCTGGATCATACACGTTGTCATTGTTAGCTTGTTGTTGAACCAGATGGTTTTTCAAAATATTCTGTTCAAATTGATGGACTTTATTATAATTCATATGAGCTTTTTTGTGAGATAAACTACTCTTTTTTTACTTTCTTCAGGTTTGGTTTTTCCTAGTGTAACTAAGTATTATATGTAGGTCAAGAAGTTTAATATTAGTAGATCTGTATTATTTCTTTTTTCTTTTTTTTATTTTGTATGTTGTAGAAAAGTTCCTTTTGAGTGGATTCATAATTAAAACAGGCAATTGAAAAAACATATACATTTACATAAGATGCGAATATATTGCAAGATCAATGTTTTATTTAAGGTTTTTATTTGTTCATAAATACATTAATTAGGAACAGAAGCGATATTAACTTTATATTTACATATATATATCCTTGTTTGCGTATAAAATTTTAAAAATGAATTGTTTTAATGATATTTTGGGATTAACGACTACACTACAATATAGTAATAATAAAAAGTTAACCAGATGACAAATAATATTAATAAACAATGCTGTAAAATAGGTATTAAGGATTGTTTTATAATATGTTTTCTCTTATTTATAGTTTGATATTTCTTTTTTTGCTCATAATCCATACCCACTGGCATAGGTAAATAATTCTGACTTATTAGTTTGCTTTTAGCTACAAAAACGTAAATAATCAAAACCAAATTAGCAAATATAAAAAAAGCATAGACAAATAATGGTAAGAAGGCATTAGGTAAATAACATATTTCTGTTTGTATTGTATCTGTTGTTGTCCCATCATTTAACAAAGAAAGTAATTGAATAGCAGGTTTATTGATACCCATATTCATTGCACATGATTTTACAGTAATTTCATCTGTTGTATGGCTTTCACCATTATGTTGGTAAGTGTGTTTAATATGACAATAGTCGTGATCATCTCCAGAAAAGATATATTTGGGTGCTATAATGGAAAGGATCTTTTGGCTAATTGAACTATCAATAACTGTTTGGTATTGTTCACCACGCACAATAGGGAATGGTTTTTTAGATTCACGTCTAGGACCACACTGTTGTTCCTCTGGATCTCTCCAAAGTGGGACATGTGTTAATAAGATCCTTGGAAATGGATGTTCCTTCTGTGTACTGTATTGATTAAGAAATTCTTTAGGTACTGAAGAAATATTTTCATTGCTTGTATCAGACAAAGATATTGTATCTAGCAATACAAAAGTATGATTTCCAACGTCATGTGTGCTAGAAGTCTCACCAAAAAAGGTTGAGAATCTCTTAAAACTTGATTCAATAACGGTGTCACCAAATCCAATATCATGATTTCCAGGTAATGAGAAGACAGTCTTTCTATTTGACTTTTTAGGAAAAATCGAATGGAATCTCTCATATTCGTTGATCCAATATTGGTCATTCCATCTTCTACCACCATCAAATAAGTCACCAAGGAAAAAATTAGTATCAGGGTCGAGATAGTATTGTATATATTTCCAATTTCTTATGTGATAATGATCTACTATTGCCCTCGTAATGTAATTGATTATTCTTGGTCTATCTGGATAAGAATGAGCATCCATAATCTGTGGATCAGCATATAACGCTACTCGATGTGGTTGGCTGTTAGAACTCCATTTTTCCCATCTGTTCCACTGGCATTTGTTTAAAGTACTCCTAACGTATGATGTTTCATAATATGAGATTAATACAATCCAAAACAGAGAAGAATATAGGAATAATTTCCAATGAAGCGTGGATAATTGATTCTCGAACATATTTAATATTGAAGTTCCATTTATATTATCTTTAGATAATAATAAATCTTTTGAATCGTGAAAATAATAATTATCTTTATGTTTCTCATGATCAGAATATCCTATCCTAACACTTTCTGATGCAGGTAGTATAGATTTTCTACCATTCCTATTAAACATGGCATATAATATCTTTCGTAATTATCTTTCTTTTTTTTTTTATTTAATTTTCTACTTATGTTCGTTATTCTAGTACAATTGAAATAGAAGGAGAAAAATATTAATACACCTACAACTTTTCTAGCCTTACTTAAGCATTGTAGGTTAATTATCAACAATATTGCAAAAATATATAATTTGTTCTTTGTGTGGCTGCATTCGATGAGTAGAAAGATACTAACAGTAAACTTATTGATCGTTTTCTTTCATTTCTTTGTTTATTGCATTCAAAAAAAAAATATAAACAGGAAAAGAGAATAATTGACATTTGAAAAGGCGCTATCATCCATTTTACCTCAATTTCGAGGAATTACCTGATTAGGAAACACTATAAATGAAAAATTGGTAAAAACTGAAAATATAATTAAAAAAAAGATTATTTACTTCACAAAAATATAGATGGTATGATTGGAAAGTGAAGATTTAAAGAAAACGTTGGGTTTAATATTAATAAAGATTGGTCTAATAGTTTATCTATATTTTTTAAAGGTATTCGAAGAGTATCTCTATAATTTTTTTTTATTTTTGTTTTTTTAACCTGTATATATGTACAAATATATTTCCTTGGAATTTTTTTTTCTATGAATAATGGATTCAAAACAGAATTTAAAAGATTCACGATCATTGAGATCTAAAGGTACAGAAGATAGCTCGGACGATAGTAGATTTGATTTTGAGCAAGATGAATATTCAATTGATCCAAACAAGAAATTTTTAATCCTTCATTCAAGGGTTAGACAAAATGATCAAGAGGTGTCGATAGATAGAACACATCAGGTAACTGATGATGAGAATGATTATGTCAATAGTAATACTGATTCTAAAGTAGAATTGGATTTAAATTTAAAATCCGATAAGTTAGATGTTCAGAAATCTAAAGGATTGATTACAAGTATGATCTTAGATATAAAAACAAATAGAATCGATGGAGTTTACACTAATCGCAATGATGTCTCCATGGATGGGAATATCGTTAATAATAATGTCACCAAAACCTTAGTAGACCCATTAAGTGATGAAAGATATACATCTTTTCACAAGAAAATGTTAAAACAGGAGAATAGGATGCATCAATTTGATGTGAATCAGGGTATTAATGAGGCAGAAAGATTGGATCTCATTTACGATAAATTGGACCTTCCAAATTGGGTTTCTACCTTACAAAGAGTCACAATTATTAATGACCCCACTGATGAAAAGGAATTACTTGAGAAGAAAATAATGACTAAACAACATATTAAATCATTATTGAATAAATACAATAGAATGCAGAAAAGAAATCGCTTTCTTCAGAAATGCATTAAAAGGATTAGAACTATACCAATTCAAAGAACTGCAAAAATATATCAAAATCTAGACCGTAAATGTGACATTGATTATCATAGTTCCTCGGATGAGGAACAAGATGAATGTAGTATCGATAATGCTGAGATATGTAGAAGAAGATTACTAAGAAAGGAAACACAATGTGGTGGATCTATTATTATTGGTATATCATATACCGAGTTACATAAATCAAAATTTGTTATCATGGCAGAACCATTGAAAAAACCATATATTTTTATGACATCGAAGGAGGAAAGACAAAGTTGGAAAAATTTAACTGGGATTCCTAAAACATTACAGGGTAACGTACGTACAAACAATCAAATAGCAGAATATAAACAAAAAATACTCATACCACTAACATTGACCGCTGAAAGACTTAATAAAAGTATTGATGCAAGTGACACTGCAGTTGAGAATAAAAATAATATTAATAAAAATCATAATAATAATGATGGTGATGATAATTGTGAGGCTAAGAGTAAACATGAAAATAATCAAAATATTAATGATCTTCAGATCAATAAAATTACTGAGGTTACAAATAGCAATGATATGGGCAATAAAAATCTAACAGAAAATAAGATGAGTAATGATAATGAGGAGAATAACATTCGGAGGGATAATAGTAATCAGAATATACAATTAGAAAACTCATGTGTATCTTCATCAGATGGATCAACATCTTTACTTTTGTCTACTTCTACAATAAAAACAAACCCGAATAATTATGAAAATATTACAATGAATGAGAAACAAAATACATCAATAATAGCAAAAAGTGAATCATATGATGTAATAACGAGTCGACTTTACGCCTCAGAACCTTGTATTAGCTTTTTTGGGGAAGACACTGGTAATAATAATATTGAAAAAAGAATATATAGTGTAGGAGAAGATATTGATAATAGAAGATCAATACCTACGGTAGCTGAATATAGACACATGAATAATAGAAATATCATGTCAATATCCAGCATCACTAATGGCACATTGGATAATGAAAATTACCAGAATGGTAGTGATTTTTATAAAAGTGACAGTGATAAGTATAGTGTTAATATCCTTAAAGTTAGAAAGAAACCAAAATTAAATCCTATTGAAGGAACAACAGCAGATTTTAGCAGCACTTAATATATGTTATGTTATTATATATGATTATAATGGGTAGTATTCCTCGAATGCATAATGAGTTTTGTGTATTATAGTACTATATTGAAAATTTCTTGTAACCACATTTACTCATTACCATTGTTGAATTTAAAGCGATTTTTCCTGATAAAATCAGTTTGTTACTCCTAAAATGTTTTTTAACAAAAGTAACTAATTTATTACACTTGTTTGTTTTCCTTATTTGTGCTAAGGGAAATTGATACTACAATTTTTTTTGATGTTCAACATATTGATAGTAACTTAGTAAGTTATATAAAAGAAAAATCAAAAATTGTAAATTGGGTAATTTTTAATGACTTGGTTTTATTCTTTTCAGAATATGTGATGTTTGATTGCTGTAAATTGATTTGTGTTTAAAATGTTGGGATGTATTAAGTAAAGAAAACTAGTATGAAAATAGTATTTCAGATTTTCAATCGACATTTTTATTCATTATCATAGGCTCTACAAATATATTAGTAAAACATCGTATGTTCAAATACTTAATTATTAGACATAAATCACCTTAACCATTAAATTTCTCAATAATTTTGATTAAAATCGTGATAATTAAGAGTCAAAAAACCAATAGCGTGTTGTTTTAGTTCTTAACTTAGGCAAATTGAATCAAACATATATATATATATTCTTATCCTCTTTAAATTAACCGTGAAAATATGAAATTAAAAATTAGAAGTTATGGTTTATTTGTTATATTTTTTCTAGTCTTATTACATTTTTTTGTTCTTGCGTTAATAAAATATTGGTACAAAACTCTCTGAATTGCAGTTTTTTTATTGATGCTTCGAATTATTTATGAATCTACTAAAACAATAATGTATGTTCCATTAAAATAATTACAAATTTATACCTTAATATCTCTAATTATAAAATTTATAACTAAAAAAAGGCATTTACTAATTATAATAGCATGATACGGGTTTTTGGCTAGATGAAAATACCTAAATGTCTGGTATTTTATACTTGAATTATATCTTTTTATCAATAATAAAGCATTTTTAACTAATATAATAGCTATTATAAAGCACATATAATAGTCACCTTGTATTGTTAAGAAATATCACCGATTATATCTTATCATTCAATGGGAGAATTACTAATAAAATTTTCAACCTATTATTAACGAGTTGCTATTCAATAAAGCATGTTATCATATATGTAAAAAAATCTTTCACTGTTTATTATTTTGTTATTTGAAAATAAAAAATCAATCAAATTATGAAAGTTAATTATTGTCACAGATCTACATAAGAAGTCATTAATATCTTGTAAGAACAATAGCAAAAATATTGTAAAAAAATTCTATCAATTATTATTTTGATTGAACCATATAGCATAATACAACAAAGTATTCGCCAACGAATAAACTAATCATTTCTTTTAAGTGATAGCTTTCTAATCAACATTGATGGTTTTCTGCTGATATTTTTTATAGGACTATTTAAATTCACACTGGATTTCCTTCTACTTTTTAATTGATTAACTTTTTGAGCTGGTCTATCATAGTCTCCCATTGTGACATTGTGTGAAAGGTTTCTATTATTTGTTTCTGTTGAAGAAATTGTCATATTACCATTTACTTCCTTATGTGCATCATTTAACATACTGTTATTCTGAGTAATTTGCAAAGTATTCTTATCCAGATGTAATATTGGACTTTTAGGTAAAGTTTTTATTTTACTCTCTTTGAAAATTTGTACTGTTGGTTTTAAATAAATAGAGGTAACTGTACCTATATTTAACTCCAATTCTTCTAAGATTACAGGGTCAAGTTTTGAATTTATTTCTATAATTGGTATTTCTCCATTTAAAAGATCCTTTAATGTTTTTTGGTTAATGATGTCAGGCCTTTGTTTAGCCATGGAGAGCAATCTTGAATACATTAATGCTCTACTTCTCAAATCGGGATTATTAGTTTTTTCAATAAAAAAGTTGAATAATAGTTGACACAAATTCTCTATCCGTGATAATGATGTTTTTACATATAATTTTACTGAAGCATTTAAAATAGCAAATTGTACTTCTAATTGTTCGTCTTTAACATTAGAGACTATATTCTCAAATAATTCAATGTAGTTATCCAAGACATCTGAATAATTTGAAATAATCCATATAATAGCATTTTTAACTTCTGGTTCTTGAACATATTCTATATAATGCATAAGTGTGATAACTTCTTTTTCATATCTATGTGGATATTTTCTTAAAATGTTTCTGAATACAGCTATGATTTCTTGAACTACGTATTCTACACCAAATTCAATCAGATGAAATAATGTTATAATACAATTATCAGCTGCTTTTTCTCCTAATTTCACAGCTAAATTACCAATTGCTCTTACTGCTTTTCGTGACATTTGGATATCAATATCAGTAGAATATTGTTCTAATTCTTCCAAAATTTGGGGTAAATTGATTTCATTTGCTAATAAATAGAGACATTCCAACTTTGTATCTTTGATATAGATTGGATCGTTAAACTCAATAAAAAAATAAGAAACATCAACGTCAATAATTGGTTTTTCTCTGGACAATAAAAGTAAAATAATATTTCTAAGTATTAAAAACTGTAATTCCGATGGTTTTTCCAAAAGGGCGGTAACAGAATTAGATAATCTTATTGTTAGAGCTACATCCACTTCATCAACATAATTTATTAAATATAAGATAAATTTTAAAGCGTTTAAAGCGACTGAGGTATTTACATGTTGCAACTGTGGTAGTACAGTGTCAATTAAGGCATAGGCATCAGAATATGTATTTGGAACTACTGTTGTAACTAAGCACTCCAACACAAAAGCAATATCCCATTCATTTAATGATGGAATATTATCCAATAAGTTATATGCAACATCGATGGATAAACTTAATCTGTCCACATTCTTTTCATTGTCTAATAAAGAGTACAGTGTCTTTAATGCAGCTATCTGGACACTAGGTGATTCCAGATGTTGCTCTATAATGTCATATAGAATATGTGTTAAACTCATTACTCTTTCATGGTCAAAATCATTCAGTTGTAATAACGAATAAATAGCAGCTTCTAATAACCTTATAGAAACAGATCGACGATTAACAAGACTAATAATAAAATTAAACGCCTCATCTGTAAATTTAGTTAATGGAACACTGATCAATGTTTCTAACGCTAATAGTTGAATAGTTTCATCATGACCCTTCAAATCATCCATTATATAGGAAAGTGCTTCAACCATACTTCTTGGCTTGATAGAACCAAATGTTCTTACATATTCATGACAAATTTTTCTAACTTCAAAATCATCTTCGATTTTCCAAAACTTAAGTATTTCAGGAAACAATTGGATCATTTCTGTATAATTACCTAACATTAAATTAGCTATAATTTTTTTAAGGGCCAATTTTCTTCTCATGCCACTTACCTTAGCTCTTTTCAAATCTACATGTTGTAAATCAGATTTGATTTCACTTGCTTTGTATCTAGAGAATACGCGTTGGTCAGACATATTATCCTTTTTAAAAACTTTACTACAAACACTTTTTTTTACCTTTTTCTAGGTTCACTATGCATTAAATTTTGCAATTATTGATCTTCTTGATTAAGAATTAACTGTTTCTAGTGTTAATTTAATCACTTGTACTTTCCTATTACTTTGGTTATTAAGATTCTATTATTTATTTTCAACATTTAATTCTGATTTCCACAAAATGATTTGACATTGTTTACAAAAAAAAAAAAATAATAATAGTAATAATAAAAACAAGATTCGACATATATTTCTGAAAAAAGTTAAAGAGATTTTAACTTATTTGAAAGCTCCAAAGTTCAATAAAAGTTAATAACGTTTGAATATAGAAATAGAAATAAAGTCTTTTGGTCACATTTACATGTCTAGATATTTGAATATTTAATCCTATATAAGACGTTTAAAAATCTTACTTCAAAAGAAATGGAAGGATGAGCTTATCTTACTTTCTATTCCTAATGATATGATTATTTGACTACTTATTCTATTCATTAATGAGATACAAGTTAGATTTATTGATATATACTTTCATCATAATCAATTTTAATTTGAACTCTTGCAAAAGGAAAAGAGTGACAAGAATATCGTGATTTCATAATAATTAAATTTTTATTACCACAAAAGTGTGTTCAAACTACTGCTTATTAAAAGTTTATTAGCATGTTCAATATTTATGGGATATGTGATTCTCTCTTATTTTATATAAGTTGAATTCTAACCTGAGGCATCAAGATAACAATCATAAGTTGCTTTGTTCAATGAAAGATCATATAAAAAAGTTTAGAGAGATGGAAATTATAAAAATGGGTAATGTTACATTATTATTACCTATTAGTGAGATTTTTTATAGGTTTCATGGAATGATTGTTTTTTTTATTTTTTATTACAAATTTCAAATAACTATCGTTTACATTGAAAATATAGAAGTTTTTTTCCTTGAGGTAATAATTTATATGTGTGAGATGCAAAAAATCTGTTTTATTTAATCAAAATTATTATTTGATCGATTTGGAAAATTTTTTGAAGTATGCTATTATTACTTCTATGATTTTCTTTCGATGTTAGAAAATTATTTTCATTAGTAAACCAAATAGGAAACTCATTGCCTTACCTTTTTTATTAGCATTTAATAATAATATTAAGATCAACAAAATGGGGTTTATTGTTATTACTATTAAAGAATTATACTAGAGCATACAATGTCATTTGTGTAGACATCCATACGCAATCTTGTTTGACTAATTTACAATGAAGAAGAATATAAAACATTTTATTTATTATATTTTTTGTAGTAATGACCCCAATTAAAACTATATTTATCGTGATAATAGAAATAATGTAGTCTATTGATGTCTGTAATTGCCATTTCTAAAACAAGTCAGCTTCATAACTGTATTTATTTTTTTCTGTTTTGGATAGCTCATAATCCTAATAAGATCTATTGATAAACTTTATCAAAATTTTTGCTGTATTGAAAAGATTTGATATACCTTTAATAAAAGAAAAAATTTTCCATACTTTTATTAAATTATAACCATTTATTCATTTTGATTTACAATGAAACAAGACGATTTTGAATTTATATCAAAAGATTTATAATATAAATAGTAGACAATTAAGATTAAGAGAGAAAAGTTGATTAAATTTATTTGAATGACTAAATTTACTTGAATATATTAAAATATAACAAAGTAAAACAAAGACAACGCACGATGCTCACTAATATATTTATATATGTGTGCTTATTTTTATTAGCTCGAGCAGCTGAAATAACTAATATAACATTTTCTGATCTTTCGCTGGCTCCTTCTGGGCCTCGAAATCCTGCCTTGGCTTGGTTAACAACATTTAATTTTAATATTGATGATGCATCCACTATCAGAAAGGGCGATACTTTTTCAGTTGATTTGGCCAATGTTTATCGTGTTAAATTTAACAATGAAAGTGCAATTATGGATATAAAACTAGCAGATGGAACTATTGCTTTTTTATGTTATGTTTCACAACAAGGTTCTTATAAATATGACACCTCTATTTTTACATGTATCGCTCAAGAGGATTTAACTTCTTACAATTCTATTTCTGGGGAAATCTCTTTTTCATTAAGTTTTAATAATGGTGGCTCTACTAAGTATGAGCCCGAATTAATTGGTGCCAAACTTTTTAAAGCAGGAACTCAGAGTATTTCCCTAAATAGTCAACTATCTGCAATTGTTAGTTTTGCTACTACTATTAATTCGGATAGATTTTACTCTCTAGGTAGAACCACAACTTATAATAGTATGGAAAGTTACTACTTAAATATGAATTGCTCGTCCGGTTATATAATTAGTGGAAAGGAAACAATTAATTATGATTACCAAAATGGGGGTTATAAATTAGATTGTTCTTCTTTACAAGTTGCTACTTCTAACAACCTTAACGACTTTCTATTTCCCTTAAATGCATCCACCAGTAATATTGATTATTTCTGTTTTGATGATACAGTAACAATAAATGTTGGTGAATCTGCTTTTGATTCATTATTATTTATAAATGGTCTTCAATCTGCTCCCAATAATGTTAATTCTATTGTTCACCGTCTTGATGCAGCATACACATGTATGAATACTATAGCAAGTACAACTTATTCTACTTCATTTTCTGTTATTAACACATTTGTAGTGACACAAGGTCAAAATTATGCTGTTGTTACATTTGATCCTTTGCCTATAGTGTCTAGTACATTATATCTAACTACCAATACACCACAGATAATAGTAACTTCCACCACCACTACTGGTTGGACTGGCTCTTTCAGATCCACCTACTCTACAGAAACTACTGTCATCACAGATTCTCTAGGATCCACCACACCCGAAGTCATCATACACATAGAGACTCCAAGCACTTTTACCGTTCCTCTTACCACAATAACTTCCGCCACCACTACTGGTTGGACTGGCTCTTTCAGATCCACCTACTCTACAGAAACTACTGTCATCACAGATTCTCTAGGATCCACCACACCCGAAGTCATCATACACATAGAGACTCCAAGCACTTTTACCGTTCCTCTTACCACAATAACTTCCGCCACCACTACTGGTTGGACTGGCTCTTTCAGATCCACCTACTCTACAGAAACTACTGTCATCACAGATTCTCTAGGATTTACTACACCCGAAGTCATCATACACATAGAGACTCCAAGCACTTTTACCGTTCCTCTTACCACAATAACTTCCGCCACCACTACTGGTTGGACTGGCTCTTTCAGATCCACCTACTCTACAGAAACTACTGTCATCACAGATTCTCTAGGATCCACTACACCCGAAGTCATCATACACATAGAGACTCCAAGCACTTTTACCGTTCCTCTTACCACAATAACTTCCGCCACCACTACTGGTTGGACTGGCTCTTTCAGATCCACCTATTCTACAGAAACTACTGTCATCACAGATTCTCTAGGATTTACTACACCCGAAGTCATCATACACATAGAGACTCCATTATTATTTAATCGTACGCTGTCTTTAACCACCCCTATCAGCACACATGATAGAAATTCCGTAAGTTTTGACTCATTTATTTTCAGAACTTACACTAACCATATACTATCATTAAGTTCTTCTCCTTTGTTTGACACTACTGGCGATATTACTAGAATTTTAAGTACTTCAGATATCACATCAACATCTAGTAATTTAATTTCTATTGAATCTTCTGCTAGTTCTTGGGAGACATCAAGGGTTATTGTGCAGACTCAAAGCAGCACTACTTCTATAGATTTTAGTGCTTCAAAATATACATCTGTTATACCTTTGTTCTCGATCATCAAATCTAGTCGCTCCACTCCAAAAAATACATACATCTCTACAATAACATCATTTACTGATTTAACTACAATCCCTTCTTTTTCGGTTGTGTTTCCATCTACAACAATTAGTTTGTCTCAAAATAATGATACTAAATCAACATTAAATACTTCAAGTATTCATAAAGTACAATATTCATCGACACATTCTAGAAATGAAGAAACTATAGTAGTACCAAAAGTCATTCAGTTTAATTCTGGCACAACAAGGAAGCCACCAGTGAATGTTCCATCTAAGGCAACTGCGTTTACATCACATTTGGAGATGCTAACTACATCATCTACCACTAATAATATAATATCCATTTTTAGTGGTACAGGTAATTCCTTAAAAGTCACTAGTTTTGTTTCAGGTATATTAACGTTAATCTCCGTATTATTATTAGGATAACATAACCATATATATATATGTATATTTATTTTGAAAAAACTTCCTAATTTCTTTTTCAATGAATAAAATTGAAGCTAGTTTGTATTGCTAATTTTTATTGTATGTTATCTTATATGACAATTTTAGAACTTAATCCTTGTAAAAAAAATAATTCTTTTGGACTTTTTTGCTCTTTTGTTAGAAATAAATTTAGAGTGAATATAATCTATTTAAAATTTAACTATTATAATATATATTTATATACATATATTTTGAACATAGGTGCTTGAATATCTATATGTGTATTAATATTATATTTGTAATATATATGAGACGTTTCTTATTAAATGATTACAGAAGTGAAATTAAAAAAAATTTCAAAATGTCCTTTTCAATATGGTGTGAAGATTAAAAAAATATTATGATATCGGTTGTCTTAGCACAGAATAATTAAAATAGCCAACATAGGTTCATGAAATTATTTATCTTTTATATTAACTTTAAATGTATGTGTTGAATAACCTTCTAATATAGGTGGGTTCGAAGAAGCTTGACTAGATCTGCTACTAGGATTTATATTTGTCCTCTTTGATTGTTTAAGATCCCAATCTTTATGGTCTAAGGGGTTATCCATTTGATACATTTGAAATTTGTAATTTGGAATAGTTGGAACATCATTTAAAAAAGAAGGTTTTTCCGAAAATAGTACCCCAGTGAATAAATCTTCATTTTTAAATAACAGTTCTTCTTTATGAGTTTTATCAGATTGTTTCTCTATTATTAGCTTGTTATTTTCAAAAGTATACTTTGCCGATTGTCTAACGAAACTTGTGTTATTTAATATTACCCTTTCGTAATTCTGAATATGATGATCAACAGCATTACTGATATTGCCATTTGAGACAGGAACAGTTTTTACAAAAGTTAATTTTTTGATTTTATAATTAGTTGATGGAGAAGGAGACCACTTATCAGTTATATTTTTTTCATTGGAAGGCAAAGTCATATTGATAGTATTTATTCTGTTGTTTTTATTCTTATTCGACGATACTATGTCTTGATAACTTTGTATTGATCTTTTGGAAGCTAGCTGATTTGGGTATCTCTTAATTATTAATGCGTCTGTATCTGTATTTTTATGTACATCAGATATATCATATTGATTGTTCGTACTATTTAAAATCATAATTTTACCTAATAAAGACGATTTATGATCTATTAAAGTATCATCTAATGGATTTTTATCATATATGTTTGTCTTCTTAACCAAACTTGTTGAATGCTTATCAACTTTATGTTTTAGACTATGGTAATTAATTATTGGATCATCGTTGATATCTCTAAATTTATTTATTGGATTGGACCCGATCTTACATTCAATAATTCTTTTGAATGTGGTTTGGTTTTGTGTAGTTGATTTGCTGTTGGTGTTATTGCTAGTATTATTACCACTATATAATATTATTTTATCAGAAAGGTTTTTGTTCTTGAAACTGGACAGCTTATTATTCTTTAGTTGATCTGCTTTAGATTTACTGGGATCCACCATCACAACCTTCATTTTCCAGTTATATATATAATAAATACTGTAATTATAAGTAAAAAAAACTTTTTTTTTGTTTTTATTTTATAATGTTTTGCTTATATATTTCTTAAACTTGTTTTAATTTTGGCTTACTTAGATACAATATCCAAAAATAGCATTATGTTCTAGCAATACAAACTTCATTACTGGTGTTTAATACTTTACTTTTGTAATTAAAGTTTTAAAACAACATCGAAATCAAAATTTTAGAAAAAAAGGAAAAATAAAAGAAACCAAATATCAGAAAACAAAGATTCCATTCTCCTTGTACCTCAGAAAGTCCAATCGATTACTCTAGAAAGGCATACAGTACTGTTTTCTTTCTTCTTTTTCTTCTCTTTTTTATTTACCCATTCAACTAATCGCTCCTTATTCATTATTGGTACCTATATACTTTTCCATTAGTGAGTGGAATATAACATTACTAAAAGCTAAAAATAACAGCAGTATGGCTGCTACAATAAATTCATAAGGTGATACTAGATCCATTATTTCCATATTAGAACTGGTGTAACCAATTGACAAAAAATGTTCTTAGATTAAATTTGGCTGTGATTATTTCAATTTAGAAGTTCTATAGGTTTATTGGATTGGCCTCACTAGAAATTATTAATATTATTATGATATAATATCTGTGTGTGAGATATTGGGGTACATTGAAAAATATGCTGGTGAACGAAACATATAAATATTATTTTTATATATACACCATATATATATTAGTTTTATGTAAAACTTCTTTATAACTTTATATTTTCAATTTTGTTTGCATTACTATTTTGATTAGAAATAGTGTTACCCTTAATGTCTTTCTTTTCACCCTTTTTATTAATGATTGTAATGTTTTTAGCATTGGATAATGTCTCGATGATATTATCATTTTTACTTTTCTTGACACTACCACTTTGTTTTGCCAATTGTTTGGCTCTCTTTCTTTTGGCAGCCCTGCGTAACCTAGTCTTATCTTCTCTGGACAATTCATCTCTAGACATAGTGGTACCATCTTTTAATCTGATTTCATTCGAACTATCTGATTTAGTAACAGAATATATTTCTTGAGGTGCTAGAGTAGATGCCGAGGACATAGTTAATGGCTGTGCATCTTCCATAGCAATAGCTGCAGTGTCCACCCTAATTTCTAATGTCTTTTTAGATGGTCTTGGAATGAAGTGAGCTGATGATAATGCATCTAATTTATAGGTCAAATTGGCAAATAATTCAGATATTTCATCATGACTCTTTTGTAATTCTTCATTTATCTCCATATTTTCGTCAACACCTTTGTAGTCATCCTCATATAATTCAGCTAAGGATTTAGCAGATTTTGTATCACTTAGTTCAAAATCCGGTTTAACTTTTTTATTTTGTATATCAACAACGGTTCTTTTCAATAAATCGTCGAAATTATGATTTTTAATTCTATCTCTAATCATTTCTTCTAAGGATTCCGTCACAGAGCTTGTTATAACAGGAACAGGTTTTGAATTTCTATCAAACTCTAAATCTTCTATCAACAATGCATCTTCTGGACGATCTTTAGCTTTGACTTCACCCTTTAATGCCCATTTTTTTTCTTCGACAGCTTCTTTTTCCAGTTGTTCGATCTGTCTCTGTATTTCTAGTTGCTGTTTCTCAAAACTTGATAATTTGTCCATATCCTTATCATTTTCATATTCACTGTCATTATTTTCTTCAAACAAATCTAATTTAACAGAATCCATTGCAGTTTCATAATCACTTTCATTCAATTCATCAAAATCTGAATCATTTGTTTCGCGGCTCTTTCTGTTAGGTGCTGCTTTCTTTTCAATTGGTTTATCAAAGAAATCATCATAATATAATGCCTCTTCCTTATCTTCTTCTTCTGAAGGAATATCACCAAAATAATCGATATCGTCATCCTCATCACCTTGATCCTCATGAAGATCGTTTCCATTCTCTAAAGCCAGAGTTTGTTTATTGAATTCATCAATATCAAAGAATTTATCATTCAATTCATCCTTTTCTGAAATATCTTCTTCTTGTTCTTCTTTCTCACTACTATTATCGGATACAGAATCATTTTGATGAATAAATATATTTTCTTTTGCATCTTCATAGACATCAGAGGGAAGATCACTTTGTTCTTCTTCTATTACCTCTTCGTTTTCCTCCTTCTTTTTGTCGTCTTCTTCTTCTACCTCATCTTCTTGAGATTCTTCATCTTCTCCTTTTTCTTCTTGAGATTCTTCCTCCTCCTCTTCCTCGTCATCATCATCAGCATCATCATTCTCTTGTTGAGTATTGGAAGAGACAATACTTTGTAAATCCTGTATTCTATTGATTAAATCACCCTCAATACTATTCAGAACAGTCTTAGCCTGCCACCAGACTTGATTAGCGTCCAGCCCATCAACAATAATCTGATCCAGTCCAATTTTGAAGGATTCATCAGCAGCCAACTGTTTATAGGATCTGATGATAGAATCCATATGCTGTTTAACCAATCCTAGTGATTGGTTAGTTGACTTATTGGAACTAACAAGATCGCATGGGTTATCGTTTAACAATTTCAATATTTTGGAACTCATTATAAATAAACAGATAAAAAAATTTGTATATATATATATATATATATATATGGTTCAATGGCGTTTATAGTACTAATGTATAAAGGGATTATAAATATATATGAATACCTATTTAATTGTACAAACTGGAAGGAAGGGAAACGGAAAGGGAAAGACAAGCGACTAGTAGTTAAAGAGTATGTAGATAATCTTTTTAATATAACCTCATCTCAATTTTCAAACTCATCGCTTTTCATTTTTTTTTTTTGCATTATTTCTTCTTGAGAAAAGAAAAAAGAAAGTTTTACGCCCATACACCCTCTCTGTCATTTCTTACGACAATCTCACACCCCTTAAACTAAATATACAAAATATACAAAATATATTATATTACGTTACATTATGTTACGTTATGTTATATCATACATGGCTATACAAAATTAGGTAATACATTCTATAGCAGAATACATGACAACAACTTTGTTACTCTAGTACACCATGCCAGGTAATTTTAATGATGAAGTTACTGAATTGAAGAAAAGAATATATCAATTGGAACAATTGGTTCAGAAACAAAATAAGATTATCACACAAACAGGACAAAATGTTCTTGAGTTGCAGATGGATAAACAGAGACAAAGTGTCTCAGATTTGAATTTGTCAAGTAATAACGATCATAATAATAGTAATAAAAGTAATAATATAAATGGAAGTAGAAGTAGGAGTAGAAGTAAAAGTACTAGTAATAATAAAAATTTCAATAGGTTTGTTGATTTTGATACTACAGATTTTGTGACAAATGAGGATCTAGTTCAATTGGTCGGTGAGATACAAATAGAACTGAATAATATCGAGGAGAGATCAATCAGGAGAATGATCAATTGTAATAAAGCAGACCTAAAAGATGTTTTGGCTCCTTTGCCCAACCCTGACGGCGACACACCATGTATACAAACTGGCAACAACCATAAAGATGAATATCGATACGAATATGATTATGGGTTTTTCCCAAGGACAGTGAGCGATTTTGTTAATATTACTGATTTTAATTTAATCAAATTGGCCAAGTTTTATGAATGTTTGCCCGCAACTTTACAGGACAGGCTTGAGTTAAATAAATTCTTGGATGAAAAAATTGAAAATTTGTCCATTTCAACTGATAAACCTTTCTCAAACGAGGTTTTCATTACTGACGAACAAATCGAATTGGAATTGAAAAATTATTCAAGAGATCAATTGGATGATATTTTTAACGACGTAGCACGTTATTTAGGGTTACGTAATAGAAGAGGTACAGATATTTGGTAATATTTTGTTCTAATTTCTAACATATAAATAGATATATATATATATATGTGTGTGTGTGTGTATTTTCCTTCGTGCATTCAGGACAGTTGTATATTGTATATTCTCGCACTTACTAAGCACACTTACTAATTCAAAAGTTTTTTTTTTTTAATTATTTTTTCGTTTTTTTTCCTTTTTTCGCTTCTTATAAAAAAAAATAAAAAAAAAAAAAGAAACTTTTCGCAGCCCTTCGTTTCTTCGAAGAGAAAGAAACAAACAGAAACGAAAATTGCTTGACGTCTTAGTATGTGTGTGGAAAACACATTGCACATCACTAACACCTTGTCAAGCCGTTATAATATACGTATATATATATATATATATTTATATATCTATATGTATCTGTATATATTGAAATAAGTATATTTATATTCATGTTTGCACACATATTTATATCTAGACAAATATATGCTTGTGTTTATGCTTGTGTCTGCAGATTTATCTATACATGACATAGAAGGTTTGAGTCACCTTGGTAAGAGACAAGGTGGAGCAAGGTAATACACATATACATATACATATACATATACATATACATATATCAAAGGTTTTAATTATGCGTTTGCCTAGAATATTCAGCAATCGTTACTCTGGGTTACCTAGAGATGAAATAGCGGCAACTAGATTAGGAACACATGATAATGATAACAATAGAAGTGACAACACGAATATCACAACTCAGCTTGAGAATATAGACATAGAGAATCAAAATTCTAATGTATCTTCCATTGAAACTCTAGATTTGCCACCAAATCCCCCTAATTATGACGATTTACAAGATATTGATCCGATGGATATGGATATAGATACTGATAGACATACCAATACTCCTTCTTATCTTTATACAAACAGTTTTAGTACAGAGAACATCAGAGATAAATGGAACCGTTACATAAATAACATCAATGACAACGTTATTCTTCCTGTCAGATTCAATGTGATGGATCCCCTAACACAGTTATACTATCATATCCAGGAGAGAACAGACTTCTACTTGAATAAAATAGGTAATCCAATCATCCTTAGAAGGCTGTTTTACATCATCTTAATGTCCTTAATAGCCTTCTATGTGATGTCCAGTGGACTTATGCCAAATAATAGATCCTCTCATTTCGGTGGGATGTTTTCTGATCATGAAGTATTGATTCAATATGCTAGACAATCGATGGATTTGGCCAAATTGGAAAGAGATCTACAGTACATCAGTTCGATGCAACATAGTTCGGGAACAAAGGGTGATGTTGCTATAGCTAATTATATCGTTGAATCCATGGATGCAAATAACCTGAAAGTTATTAAAGACTTTAAATATATGGCTTATTCAGAATACTCAACTGGCAATTCAACTTTAACTCTGTTCCTTGGTTACAAGAAAGAACAATTGGATATTCCGTTAAACCAAAATAATTTTAATCCATTATCTCCATCAGGCCACTTGACAGATATAAATCTGGTATATGGGTACAAAGGTTCAAAAAATATTTTAGAAGAATTGAAAAATAACGGTTATTTGAATTCAGATTTTATACTTTTACTAAAATATGATATTTTCCCAAATGAACAGATATTATTGGCGGAACAGTATGGCGCAAAGGCTATTTTATTTATATCAGATGCTGCTGATGGTAGAAATGGGAACAACAATGATTTAGTACAGCAGATATCTGTGTCTTTACCCCAATTTGGTACAGGTGATATATTGACACCAGGCTACAATGGTCCCTTAATTGACGAGATTGATATATCAGACGCTAAGAATGTACCAAAGATTCCAATCTTACCACTTTCATATAACCAAGGTCAGGATATACTAAAACATCTTCAAAATTATGGGATCAAATTTCAAGATAATCAATATAGTGGCACTATTGGTCCAAACAAGGTCAAAGTTGATCTAAAAGTTGATATAGCTGTCAAGGAAAGACAACCTGTGTTTGATATCATTGGTAAGATCGAAGGTAGAGAACAAGATGATAAGGCTATTGTCATTGCTGCATCTAGAAATTCTGTCAATTACGGGGCAAGGTACCCTGGGTTTGGTACTTCGGTTCTATTATCCTTGATTCAGCTGTGTCAAGAAATGAAGTATAAATACGATTGGAAACCATTGAGAAACATATATTTTATATCGTTTGGTGGTAATGAATTTAATTATGCAGGCGCCACAGAATTGATTGAGGAACGCTTAACAGCACTAAGAGATGAAGCTTATTCATTTATCGATATAACTCAACTTGGGATATGGGATGACTCTGCTAGAGATATTAACATTCAAACACATCCTTTCTTAAACAATTTTTATAGAAATGTTATCCCTGCGCATGGTTTAAATATTAATATTGAGCATATACAACAATATGGTGATTGGATCCCATATTTAGCAAACGGGATCCCCATTACTGTGATTTCAAACCCCTCAGTTAAGGATAAGGTCTTGCCAATTAATACTAAAGGTGATACTTTTGATTCAGTAAAGGAGTTGTTACATGATGGTTCAAGGGAGGAGATAGCTGAAGAGTTGTTGTTATATGTATTTGAAGTGATTTTGAAATTATCAGATTACCCGTATATTCAATTTGATTTAATAAATTTTGGTAATATAATGTTAGATGTTTTAAACAACTTCCAAAATGAGATAAATCACAGATTAAACACAGAACTGGTTGAAGAAAGTTTGACTTTTTGGAGAAGAATTGGATTAGAATGGGAAGCATGGGTCAGATCTTGGAATCATATCGTTATGGTACAGGACGGTATTGAACCATCATTAGTTTCAGTCAGTCGTTGGACATGGAATAGGAAATTATCAAATATTGGTAGACGACAATTATCCTTAGAAGGGCTACCTGGTAGGATATTCTTCAAAAATGTGTTATTCTCACCTACTATGTGGTCGGGTAATTATGGAAATGGGCATTGGACTTTTCCCGGTGTCAGAGATGCTATTGATCAAGGAGATTGGGACATGGCACAAAAACAAATGGATCTTGTAGCAGAGGTTTTAAAAAAATCAGCAGAAATGTTTGTTGAAGAGAATGATGAAGACAACATTTATAAGTAAGAAAAGGGAGAGAAAGAGATAATGTTATAGGTATGCATTGGATATGAATAAATATAGATATAGATATATACATATACAGAAAACATAAAGAGGTATAAGTTGATTCAATAAATATATTCAAAAGAAATCTACTTTCTTATTGATGTTTTTTGTTGTTGTGTTAGAATGATTAATGTGAAAGTGAAAAGCAAATGAATAATGATAAGTTGGAAGAATATTTGGAAACAAGATTTAGTTGTTAATATGGATTTACGTATTACTAGTATAACGCAAAGATAGAGCCAAATAAATGCATTTGCCATACACTATTAATCGTTATTTATCAGAATTTGTATATATATATGTGTGTGTGTGTGTTGTCTATTTATTTGTTTATTTACTTTTTTACCTTTTTATCTCGATTGGATCCCATGGAATTTATCGAAAAAAAAAAAAAGAGTAGCTTCGTAATGAAAAGTTTAGGGAACGAAGGTTCAACTAAAGAGAAAAAGTAGATAAACAAATTAATAACTTTTTTGAGTTTGATACAGTAGATATTGACTAGAAGACCTTTGTATTTAAAAGTGATGCAATTTAAGGGCATGGTATTCTTAACCTTTAATTGTTATTCCATTACTAGTTGTTAAGCTTGGGAATTAGTGCTTTTTTTGTCCAGCTATTTTTTCATTCTGTACGTTGAAGTGTTATTCATTACGTTTGTTATCACTTAAAGGGTGCTAATTATCACCGTTTGATAAATTACTAAAATTAGAAATCTTAAAATTATAGATATGTCGTTCGTTAGAGATTTTTTTTTCGGTAGAGGTGAAGAAGATCCAACTGGATTAAGTAAAGAATGCCCATCACAGGATAATGCCCCAGATCCATTAGTAGAAGGTATATTTTATCCACGTACTTTATACAAATATAATGGGCACGATGATGAAAAGATATTTATTGCTATAAGAGGCAGAGTATACGATTGTACTACTGGCAGGTCTTTTTATGGTCCAAGTGGTCCTTATAACAATTTTGCTGGTAAAGATGCATCTAGAGGGTTGGCTATGAATTCCTTTGATGAATCAATGGTTAGAGACTGGGATGAACCAATTGATGATCTACAAGGATTAACTGAAAGTCAAGAAGCTGCTTTGAATCAATGGTTGGACTTCTTTGATAAGAAATATCCATGTATTGGTACTTTAGAACCAGAACCTGGTGTTAATGATACTAATTAGATCAATTAGGGGAAAAGAAAAAGAACAGACCAAAATAAAATGTATCTGTTTACTTTCATATACATTTATGGATATAGATTGATTAAGTCATCTCCAATATAAGTATAGGTAAGTTACGTCAAAATAAAAAAGAAAAGAAAACAAAAAAAGAGGGAAAGTGTCAGATATATGTGAAGATAAGTGAGAAACTTACTTATAATACTAATTATTTATTTGTTTATTTGTTTATTTATTTATTTGTTCTTTTATTTATTTATATATATTTATGTTTTAATATTTTAAATATTGTATTGTTTGCACCTATCCCCAATTTTATTTATAAACTGTCCTGGTATATAAATTTTGAATGATAAATTATCTTAATCAAGTTATGATTCTTATTATGTTTAAAGTAAGAACTTTTTTGTTTTTTACTGTCGAGGAGATTCAGGTTTTCAATCTTTGTGTCATTAAGGAAACAATTCTGTGTTTTTTGGTTAAATTTATGAATATCTAAGCATTCTTCTTTTATGATATTTGAATCTTCTACAGTTCTTATTGAAGGTAGTGAATTGATATTCACAATACCATTGTTAACAAATTTAATATATTTTTTCTGTGTCAAATTATTATTGTTATTAACATTATTTTCATTGTCTTCTAAACCCTCTAAAGAGAAGCATCTTATAATATTTTTATTATGGAATATTGGTCTAACATCTGCATCGTTCTCTACTAAATTTTTAATTGATCTAATTGTAGAAACACACCTGAATTGTTGATTTGCATTTTCAATATTATTTGAAAGATTGATTGGGTTGTAATTCAATATTTTTAATTTAAATTTCCTTTTTTTTAAATGTAATTGTGACATTTTGCTTCTCTCTAAAATATTTATTTGTGGAAAATTTGTACAATCTCTATTAAAAGTAGCAATCAGTAAGGGTTTATCAACAATATTCGAAGGTAGGTACTCTGTTCTCATTGAATAACTGTCTTCTGCTCTAATATCAAATTCAGGTATTTCTAAATTATTAGTTCTTTTTTTTCTATGGATTCTATGGAGTTTGTGGATCCTTTTTCTTTTCTTCCAACTATTACATTGAACTTTTCTTTTTAATTTAATCAAAAATAGTGGAATCTTTAATGATAATGACTTTCTACGAGGTGGTGGAGCTCTCATTTGCTGGTTTTTACTTTGTTTGCAGTTTTTTATTATAAAGTATTGATCTAGGTCTTTGTTTCTTTATATATATATGTAATAAAGTATATTTCAAATACAATTAGCAATAATATGTTAATAGTATATAGAGCAGGAAATAGAAAATAAATTGAACGACTTTTTGCTAAAAAAAAAATAAGATATTACAATTTTCCAGTTAAATTCAATGTTAAATGGTTAATATATAAACAAAAGATAAAAAAGAAAACTGTGCATAATACTATTTTAAAAAAACAACAACATTATGAAATTACTAAGTTGATATAAAATAACTAAACCTACTCCATCTATTTAATTTTACTATTGTTTGCCAACGAAAATACTAATCTAATCTTGAGTTAGTTGTTGTTCAATACCTTACATAATATATATGTATTTATCTATGCCTGAAGATAGAAAAATTTGTCAACAACTACAATGTTTCTGCAACTGGTCTGATTAATTTCACTAACTTAAAAATTACAGGCCTGAAATATATTGATCCTGTGTTCAAAGAGTAAAATGTTCTATTTTTAACTAAATAACTCAATGTACACCTGCCTTAGCCTTATCCTTTAATTTTATGAAGTTTTGAACGCAAGTTGACAAAAGGTTAATGTGATTCAATCATAAGGTAAGAATACAAGAGCGACTATTTCCGGGAATTCTTTTGATTACTTTATTGATGCCTTGCTCTAAACAACCAATTATGTTTTTTGCAAAAAAAGAAATTATTTAAGCTTATTTACTTCTTAATTCCAACATATTTTGACTAGCCAAGCTTAATACAATTTCCAAAGTATACTAAAATAACCTAATGATACTTAATACATAATTATATTATATACATTAACATATCATATATTAAAGATAATATTCCTTTCATTATATTTAATATCTTTATTAAAATCTTCTCTTTTTCAACTTCCATATCTTGTTTCAAAATTGTTATTGAGTAAACGCTTCTCTTGGTAGGTTATTGACACTCATTTGGAAATTTTTAATTGCTTCATCATAATTCCAGTTACTTTGCTCAGCTAACATGCAGGTGTATTGATAATTTAGTTTTGTTATATCATGTAATTTTTGCAGTAAATCAATTTGTAATGGCAATAGATTATGATTAGGTGGTATTTGTAATCTAATTCCAGATGAATCTCTAATCTGCGAGAATGATGGATTCAATGTTTTATTTGGTATCTCCTCTATTTTTATTACAGAATTAGAGTGTAATTGTGGCATGTTTTGAGATGACCATGTATTACTTGAAAATGCTCTAACAGTTACCATATCTGATACTATAACAAATGTATTATTTATCATCACTAATACCCATGTTCTATCAAAACATTTTTTAGATAATTTTGTATTCACTGATGTGTTAAAGTTATAATTACTATTATTATTATTATACAAACCAGTATACATCCTTGTTCTATATGATGTTCTCACCATCTCATTACTACTATTACCACTTGATATATTTTCAGGTTTTTCAACTTCATCAAAATATCCATGTAGTGTTATCAATATTCCATTAATTTGTGAGAATTTTACAACCTCCATTTTATATTCCTCTGGTTTATCTTGCAAGTGGTGCTTAGTCTTAGGTAACTTTTTAAATAATGCTAAGATTTCACTTGGACCTTTAGCTAAACGGGCCTGCCATTTCGTACTATTGGAAATTTTTGTTATATTTCTAGAATTAGGGATATAATACCCGAATGAAGGTGTCTGATCAGTTGTTTTTACGCTACTACTGGGAACAGAGCTATCTAAGGCCATTGAAAATTGAGAATCTATAGTATATAGAGGTAATATTTGATTTCTATCTGTATCCCAATAGTTCAAAAAATTTGTTATAAATCCACCAGTTGTGGAACTTAATTGATCGTTTTCAAAAAAAAACTGTTGAATTTTTATGGGGAACTTATATATTGAATTTAATTTATTTCGATCTCTCACAATAATATTATCCAAAATAACTAATTTGGGGAAAAATCTTAACATATCATTCTTATAACCATGATATTTAGTTACTGAATTATTCAACATTAACAATTCCCTTAAACTTAAAAATTTGTTTTCCCATATTTGAAAAACTGTAGTCCTTGTTATTTGGTTATTAGCCAAACACAAATTTTTCAAATTGGGAAAATATTTAGGTACAGTAGAAATCATGTTTATATCTCTTAATTTATTATTTGCTAGATTTATGCTTTCTACTATCATATTTGGTTCTTCTGATGCAATTTTAATTAATGCCGGAAAAGTTCTTGATCTTGTAGACACATTAGACATCATCCCCCTTCGAATCAAATCTTGATCGCCATCTAAATTTTCCAGATTGAGCATTTTTTTTTGTATATCATACCGTTTCAAGATAACATTTCTTAAAACTTCTATTGTATTTGACGTAGATGGCACACGTTCACTCATTATTTTTACCCTTAATCTATCTCCAAAAAATAGCATACCATCACATTTTATGATATGTTCAGCTTGAATTCTATTAGGCACATACCCAACAATTAATGGACCTTCAATTACAACATTTTGCAAATTGATACCAGTGTTTCTATAAAGAAAATTCAACAGCTCAGATGAATTGGAATTTTGCCAATTTCTGATCCCTATTTTCACCGTTGTCGATAGTTCATTGACATCATTTATGGAATGAAACATATTTCTGTTAGTTACCATATTATTTACATTAACATTATTTTTGATAGCTAATCCTGATAGAGTTCCTGTAGTAATATAATCAGGCGTAAAATTGTACAAAAACGTTTCCTCTTCTTCTTTGCTTTAACTTTATTTTATTTTATTTTTTTAACCCTTATTATTATAATAGGTTATAGGTAGTTTTGGTATGGGAAGAAAGAAAAAAACACTCAAAGACATACAGTGTATATTCACTGGCTGATAATTACACATATGCCTCACATGTATGCGGTTTATATCAAGTTACAGTTTCTTTTAGTGATATATTTGATAGTTATGCAATTTGCCTTCCTACCAAATGATATACCTTTGAAAAAACATTGTTCTAAACAATAATATTAAAAAAAAAACAGAGAAAAAACTGTACAATATTGCAAAACCCTATATGGTTTTGTTATTTTATATAATTAAAACATGAATTTTTATCAAAGCCCTAAGTAATTATTACAAACAATCTAAAATTTCTAATTTTTCTTTACAGTTAGCTGTATAATATTTCCGCTACCATGCTAAAATAACAAAACTGAAAAAAACAAAAAAAATAAAATTAAAAGAAAATTTTTCACTTTTTAGAATAACAAAACAACAAACTAATAAAACCTTCAATATAAAGTGTAAAAACGCTAGGTAGTTGAGTTACTTCCTAAAACCTTATTATTGTTTTTTTGCACTTAAACCTCTTATATATATGAATTATAAGGATTTATATTAGTTCTAGAGTATCCCCATAATCCAATTAAAATCTGATTGATTCTTTTCCTTATTACTATAATTATTGTTTTTAAAACTTTCATTATTTCTCTGTGCTTATATTTTTTTCTTATAATAAGGATAAGATAAATTGAGGTCAATTTATTGTGTAATTTAAAGTCAAAATGGCATTGAATTATGATTATGATGAATCAAGCGAAACTTGGCCATTTTTCTTGCTAGCTGTGATAGTTATTATATTAGTACCGTTAACTGTATGGCAATTGATATGGATAATTCGTGGTGGTGATAACAATAAAAATAATAATGTATCGAAAAATGATGATAAAGCAAATGATGAAGTTATGAAGCCACTTAATAATATTTATACATCTATTGCAATTAAGAACTTTCGTAAGAAATTTTTGAAAAATAGTGTCAATAGAATCTTTAACAAATGGAATCTATTTATTGCAATATTATGGGCTCTCGTGATTTTCTTGATCAAAAGAGTTAACAGTAATGATGCAATTAAGGAAGCTGCATTAGGGTTATTTGATCCATATGAACTGTTAGGTATATCAACAAGCGCCACTGATAAAGAAATTAAAAGTGCTTACAGAAAATTGTCTTTGAAGTATCATCCAGATAAATTACCAAAAGGTTTAACCGAAAAGGAGAGAACAGCTTTAGAAGAAGCATATGTTCAAATCACAAAGGCATATGAAGCTTTAACCGATGAATTGATCAGAAATAACTATTTGAAATATGGTCATCCAGATGGTCCACAAGCTGTGTCTCACGGTATTGCGCTACCAAGTTTTTTAGTAGCTGCTTCTACTTCCCCATTCTTAGTGGCTACCTATATCTTATGCTTTGTTTTGGTCTTGCCTTGGGCTGTTTCTAGATGGTGGGCAAAAACCCAATCCTATACTAAAAAGGGTTTACATACTTTAACTGCATCATATTTTGTCGATAGATTAGTCAATTATAAACCTAGTGAAATTATTACTATTGATTTAATTATTAAATGGTTATCCAATGCACAAGAATTTAAGGATTTTTACCCACATTTAACTCCGAAGGATTTTGAAAAATTGTTACAAGATCATATTCACCGCAGAGACAGTGGTGGGCAAAATGAGATTAAATATAGAATTGTAGCTAAGTGCCACTCACTTCTTTACGGTTTACTAGATGTTATTTGTGCATTCAGAAATACCGATGCCGCCATTATGACCTTAAACACGTTCAAAGCCATTGTCCAAGCAGTACCATCTGTTACCGATGCTGAAATCTATCAATTACCAAATGTGGATAAAGAAATTTTCCAAAATGGATCAGTCGATGAAATTCACACTTTAGGTAAATTATTTACCTATGATGATTCAAAGATTGGTAAAATTCTTGGTATTAAAGACGAAACACATCTAAAAGAAACTTTACAAGTTGCTTCAAATATCCCAATTTTAAAACTTTTAAAAGCAGATTTTGTAGTCCCTGGTGAAGAATATGTCACACCATCTTCCATTGCTCATATATCTATCAAGGTTTTGGTCAGATCTGCTAAACATAAACTAATTCCAGCTGATAAATTTCCACAAGAAAAATATGAAGAATCTAAATCTTTTGAGGACCTAAGAGATCCTTTTGCACAAATGGGGAAACAACCTATGTTGCCATATACCTTTGCACCATATTTCCCTACAAATAGACGTAATGCATGGTGCTGTATGGTTATTTTACAAAAGGACAATAAAATTATTCAAAATCCATTAGTAGTTGAAAAATTATCATTAAAAAATTTACAAAACAATTTTGGAAAATTGGATATTAAAGATTTTGATAAAGATTTTAACCTAGAGGACTGGGAAATCGGTACTATAAAGATTCCATTAGGCCAACAAGCTCCCCCAGAAAAGGGTAACTATTATTTCAGAATTGTTATTAAATCCACTGATTATTTTGGTTCAGATCTTGATTTTACAATGGCTATGAATGTTTGTGATCCTCCAAAGTTAGAAGTAGCTGAAATTGAAAAGGAAATGAATGAACTATATAGTGATGATGACGAGGAGGAAGATTTTGAGGAAGATGAAGAAGATTATAGTGATTATACAGATATTGATACAGACACAGAAGTAGAAGAAGATGCTGTCGTAGAAGAGTAATGCTGACTTTAAATGCATAATTTTAGAAACATTAATTTATAAACCTTCAATGCTATCTACACTTATATATAGTTTTTTATTTAGAGATTGTTGTATTCTATTCTTAATTTTAAAAATTATCAAGCATTATTTATGACATTTTGTAAATGTATCATATGACCCCTATAATTATTATAGTTTTAATAACTTTCATAAAAATCTACCATAAAAAATGTACACATTCATACATACAATTTTATTTGAAGAGCAAGTTATAATATATTAAAGCCTTTATATTGAACCAACATTAACTATACGTTTGGATAATAATAATCCAGTACTGGAACCTTGGAAATATTTTGCATTTTGATAGAAATGTTTATATATTGATATTAGTTTGAAATTATCCTTATAATAAAGTAGAAGAGCGGCTAGATTTCCAAGAGAGACATGCAATTCTATAGCAGCTACATTATTATCTTGCCCAGTTTGTTCCATTTCTTTTAGAATCTTCAAAGCACAATCTGCTCTTCTATATTTTTTACTAATAGCTAACAGTTCAATATAGAGGACAGGATTATTATTATCATCATCATTATAAGTGGCTTGAACTCTACCCAGGATTCCTCCAATAATTTGGTCTGTTTTATTATCAACTAGAATTTTACCTGAGAGAGGACTAGAATTGTTTTTACAAATATTAACATAAGTTTTCAAATATTTCTTAGGAAAATATTCTATAAGAACTTCTTCGATAAACCTTAAAAAGAGTCTTGCATTCACATCAATGCAATCAATCATTATAAGTACAGTACATTAGATATTGATCCACTCATATTCTTGTAAAACATAACTATTTAAAACTACTCAATAAAACATAATAAATTGTTCTATTTACAGTTCTATTATAATTTAGCCTTATTAATGATTGTTTCGATGATTTCTTTTAGTTCTGTAAGAGTGTAAAAGACAAGGCATAAATAACAAAATTACGTTTACTTATGGTATATGCTTAATATTTATTATTAATAGTTATAGTATTTTATTAATGTACATTTTCATATCCCCAAGCTTTTGGGAAAAGTTCTGAAGAAGATTCTTTAAACAAGGTCAACAGATGAAACTTCATCAAACAGAAAGATATCCATAGCTTGGAAAAATGATAAAGGGAAGCAGTTCAACAATCACATAATTATCACCGAAATTGGTTACATTGCATACAATAATTAGACTCCATACACAATTCATAAAGAAATTAAAAATAACGAATATACATTATTTTGATAATAAAAGGATGATAAAAGTTGTCAAACACCCAATAATGTTGAAATATTTGAGAAGACATTATGCTACTGTAGTAAATGGGTCCAAAAAACCATATATATCTACATTAGAGAAAAATAATATAGATGACTTGAATCAGTCCTTAAGAACTATTTTTAATCCAAAAATAGATAAATCTGTTGTAATAAAAGAGTTTAAACTTTTAGTAAATAAGTTAAATACTTCATCGAACATATTTTATGAAAAAAAACATTGTATTCAGGAGCTAGATATTATTAAAAATTTATTACTGGATGTTTTTGGTTCCAAATATCAAGTTGAACTAGATACAAAGGTCAGACTTCAGACTATTAGTGAAGAATTAAAAGCTATTATTGAAAGTAATAAGATAAATAATGAAGTAATCTTTCAAAGAATTGCACAGTTTAGAAATACACAACCTATTAATGTTAATGTATCACTAAATGCTACAAAGACAAAGTCATCCACAACCTTGGGGGAGAAAGTATTACAACCTTCGTTATCTTTGTCATTGGGAAACACCAACGGTCATAGCAAGAACACCACCAACAACGCAATAATTGTTGAAAAAGATCGTAATAATCATAATAATAATAGTACTTTCACAAATATAAATAAAGTAAATACTAATAATAAAAACAACGGTCAAAACGATATTTTAGAAATCTTGGATAAGTTGGAATCTCATTTATTAAACAAAAATACAAATACTAATGATCTTTATCAAATTTTTAGTAATATGTTAGAGGAAACGAAACCAGAAAATCAGTTGGGTAAACACTTACAATCATCCTCGGATAGTGATATAATAAATTTGGATTACTTAAAATCATATTTAAATAAGATTGAAACCCAGGAATACCAAAAAAAAGTTGTCTTAAAAGAACAACAACGTATTTACAACTGGAACACATCTGTAGCAGCCATGAACAAAACAAATAAACTAGTTTTAAATGATATTTTATCATTATTTAATCCACTAACCTGGATAATGTCTGATAAAAATCGTCGTATTAGATCATTATGGGGAGTCAAAAATTCAAATTATTTCACAGAATATAAGATATATGATTTGCAGACAGATAAGACAACAAATTATAATACCAAATCAGAAAGATTTCCTTTAAATATTGAACATAAAGATATGTTTGAAATTATTAATAATGCTCAACTATATCCTGAGTTTATTCTATCAAAACTGAAAAGTCAGCAGACAGATAATTGGAGACTAGTTGGATCACTTTTCAATGATCCAAATAAAATAATATTTAAAAGAATGATTTCAACCAGTAATATATCATATTTTTCTTATATTTTGAAAAGTGTGTGTATAGTAATCAGTTGTAATATATTGTATAAAACCTGTATATGTTTTTTTGACTGGAAGAAAGAAATAAAATCTGAGGAAGCATCCAAGCTCTGATCTCCAAAAATCATGCAATAAATAACCTTAAAGTTGCACTTTTCACTAGATCACACCAATTAGAAGAATATAAGTATATGTTATTGAGAAAGTATCTAGTTAATTTTATATATTCATATCTTCTGTATCGCTATATTGACATTTGTTATGTTACCATTCATCTAAAAACTTTAAGGAATGGTATTTTCTTGATGAATTTTCATCTGTTAAGTATCCTTTAATTTTTATTCTGGAATAATACACAGGACAATCATATGACTCACAATTTCTACTGATGTAATGACCTTCTAGATTTGCATTCTTGGTATACTTATAAGTACATGTTCGACAAACAGTTAGTATATTATTAAACTCTTGTTCTCTCGATATTTGGGTCCTTAATATATTGACCGATGTGTCCTTTTTCTTTTCAAGACACATCTGACATAGTAGTGAATCTTCTAAGATTATAAATCTATTACCACAATTAGAACAAAATTGGGAGTTACCAACTTTTTTGTTGTCTTTTATGGTACATAAACCTTGTTTAGAAATGGATCTTTTCAAATCAAATTTCCATTCTTCCACATTGATACCCATAATATTAAATAATCTTGAAAGTGGAGGAATCAATGTTTTGTCAATGTAGTAGTCAGCGTCCAACGATAAATCAGTCCCTGAGAAAAAATCCTTTGGAGAGACACTTCTATTTCTCAAAATTTCTCCTGATTTTCCTTTAACAATGAGATAAGGGATTCTTTCTTTATATTGTGGTTCAGTCCTGTGATCTTTCTCCATTTGTTTTTTGGCTACCAAAGCACCAGCAGGTGCAGTACTATCACTTTTATAGCTACCCAGCTTCACTTCTTTAGCAAAACAAAATTCTTGAATAGACACCTTGCCTTCATATAATTTAGAAAATTGTTGTTGTACATAATCTTTAACTAAAGTAAGGTCACTTGTATCAAATAAGATTTTTAATGATTTTTCTACAATTTTTTGCTGAGCTGGATGACTATCTCTTCTAACGGTTTCTATGCCTTTAGAATCAAAAACCGCTTTAGTTTGTGATATGTTTTCATAAGAATAACCAACATATCTTTTTTTGGAGAGTAAGATACTGGGAAAATAGACTTTCTCAAATTTTAAAAAGATTGGTTTGGGATTATTTTCAGAAACTTTAATTGAAATCTCATTACCTATTCGAAATGCATCCTTTTTGCTCTTACCAGGCAAATACACAAACAAACTATCCGTATCACCATATACAACTTTGGCTCCCCATTCAGGATTCTGTTCGATCATGTCAATTGCGTGTTCTAATGTTTCTCTACCTGTTTGCACTATAGCATCAGCTAAATCAGAGCATGGCATTCTACCAGAGAATGAGGCTGATGTGAAACCATAGACCACATTAGCTAATAACTTTAATGCTAGTTGCTTGTTATTAAGTTGCTTTTTCAACGTTTTTTTTGTTGGTGGTAATTCAGATATAGTTTTCTTAACCATAACTCTAAGATCTAGGATTTCTGTCAACATTTTGGCCAAAGTAGATTTTCTTACAGATTCTTTAACAAACACAATACCATTCGGTGAAATAGTAATATCATTCTTTAAAAGTTCTAGCAAATTTTCCCTTAATGGTATCTGTGTTGTTCCTATTTCATTACTTTTTAAATTTAAAGTGTCAACTCTTCCTATCATAGTCGAATAACAGTAATTATACGCAATCATAATAGATGGATATAGAGATTGGAAATCAAGAATTATTAATGGACTCTTATAAAATGCAGATTGAGGTTCCATAACTAACGGAACACATTCCAGTGGCTTCTGTCTTTTCACATCTTGTTTACTTGGTGAATTCATTAAAAAACTTTCTAATTTACATAATCTTAAAAGAATTGATTCGACTTTATATTGTGAACCTCTATAAAAAACAGAATTAAAATCAATACCTAATAATCTAGAAAACTCTGTAGTTCTTTCAATGAAATCATCTTTTTCTATCAACAAAATATTTAACTCTGTGCGTTTCATCCAATATGATATTACTGTTTTTAATTGTGTTATAGTTGAGTCTGATGACCAAAGAGAAGTTAAAAATGAATAGGAAAAATGTGGTAACCTCAACTTTAGTACATGTTGACTTATGTTTTCAATAGAATATTGTGTTAAATTAAAACTGGCTCTCATAATTCGCCATATATTTAACATATATCTTCCAGTTATCAAAAATCTTGAGGTATGAGTATATCCCCATGCGTCTTTTATTTTGTTCTGGTATTTATTATTGACTCTAGAAATCTCATTTACTATATTAAATTTGTGAATTTGAGTACATCGATCAATAATATATCCCCAAGATGACTTATGAATCTCATATCCTGAAAGAATATCAGGATCAAAGAGTAGTATCAAATCAGTCAAAGCGTCAAACATTTCAAATTCAGTTTCATAAAACGCAACAGTTATTGGGCTTGCTGCAGATTCAACTTTGTTAATAAATTTTTTATTATGTATATCTTTATTGACCACCATTATTCCTTGATGTTCCATATCTAAATCAAAGGGATATGTTTCATCATCAAGTATCCAAAATATCATAACTACTTCGTCTAATACTGGATCTGGATATTTGTCTGCTCTGGTATTCACATGAATTTCCAAAGATAGATGAGTTAAGTGATTTTGTAGTGTAGTAGATTTTTTATTAAATGAATCCTCACTAGCACTTTTGTCTGACATTGTCATATCAATTTGTGATGAGAATTTTTTTTTCTTTACTGGTTTAGTTGACATAGGTAGTGTATTGTAAAATGAGGCAATTTCTTTATATGTTGGTGGTTGAGTAACATATCTCCATGTAGAAAAGAGTTTTTGTTGTATTTTAGTCTCTAATATCACACTATTTTCTTGGAATTCAATGGGTATTCTATCACTTAAATGTAAAGAATTGATTTCAAATCGTTTACCTGCATAAACAAATAATTTATTTCTTCTATCAAGTGGATTGCTGAAGAACGGATCTTTAAAATTAATTCTAGGGTATCCAAGATTTTCTAAATCATCCAATATTGATTGGTAAGTAATTTTCGATTCTTTATAAATAAAGCAATTTCCTCCATTCAAAATCGGAAAGTTTCGAGGTTTTGGTATGTTTCTAAGCTTTTTAAAACATATATTCTCTGAAACTAATGAATTAGAAATCGGTGACCTAATATTGTTTAAAAATTGTAGGCACTTTTTTCTTTTTTTTGTCATAGTTTGTGTCAAGCTTATATCCAGTGAATATTTTGGAAATGCTCCAACTTCTTCAGGGTAAAGTGTAGACAAATCTAAAGAAGGTGACAAAATATTTTTCGTCTGTGTGACTGCTTTATAATCAAATATATCATTTCGCCCAATATTTGAACCTATTTCATAATTAGTTTCATTATTATTTATTGACGGATCAACAATATCATGCCCTTGCACAATAATATTGCTGTCATTGGGTGGTGTTTCCTTACCTATATTATATAGAGAAATCTTTGAAATATCAGGACGTACTGGCCATAAATTTGACACAGATTCTTCTATTTTCTGAATATTTTCAAAAATTTTACTCGACTGGATAAAATTATCAAATGTGGACCTCCTATTACCAAAATGAAAGGCCGTACTTTTTCTTGCTTTATTATACATACTTTGGTTTTCTTTAGTTCGTTGCCATTTTGGATAGGCATCTGATGAGTTTCTATTAACACCTGTAGGTTTTTTGTAGGTGTCCAATTCAAAGGTTTGTCTTTGCTCCATTAAATCTTTAACCATTTGTTTAGTTGAAGTTATATAATGAACAGAGTTAGATGTATCAATATTATTATTCAAATATTCTATAAAGCTATGATGCAGTTCTTTAAATTGGAGCTCTTTTCTATTTTGAATAAATTGTGGTAAAATATCAATCTCCAATAGGCTATTCCCTATTCTTTGAAAGCTCGATCTTGGCAAAATATTAGTATTACCATTATTTGTAGTATCAGATCTTTGACAAAACTTGGTTAAAAATTGTTTTAATTGAGAGTTTAACATTAAATTATCAATGTCTAGAATTTGGTTCAAAATAGGAGATCTGAAATAACACTCTGTTAACTTAATCCAATCACACCCAAAAAGATTAAAATCAGTAACAAATTGTAAAAGATATGGAATGTTACTTTCAAAAGTTTCTATTTCTTTATTTAATATAGTGCCATTTCTTAACATGTCAGATAATTTATTAACATAGGATGGGTTTAATAATGATATTTTATAAAATACAGACCAGCCAATGTGATAACCATAAAATGGGATTGCCTTAACTAATGAGACATCAGCAATATATTTAAGATTTCCATTAAATGTGTAATCAGACTGAATAGGGACATCATGCAATTTTGATTCTAACAAAAGGTGCAAATGTAAACATTTTTGGTTTCTGAGAGTAGATGAATCAGATTCGATTTTACCATCATAAGGTATATATATATAGGGGAAAATGCCATGAATATGGCATAAAACTCGATGACCTGAAGGTAAACATCCAAATACCCTGATTATGGGGATATGTTCAAATTTATTTAAAGGTAAACTTTTTGAGTAATTAGTATCTAATAGTGCAGATGGCTTTGTCAAATAATAATCATGATTGTTTAATTGCAAATGAATTAAATTTGGATCAAGGCTGCTCAGTGAAGAGTTATTACTAAAATTTTCTTCTGTTAATGGCATTTTTTTGGTTGATAAGCTTTTGACATATATTTATAATATATAGATATTCAACTCATTATTAGAGAATAATCAAACAAAGATACTAGGATATGGATAAAATAATCGATAATAATTAGTTATATGAGAATATGTTTTTGATTATGTGTCTAAGTATATTTAATAAAGTGAAATTGTATCTGAGGATATGTGATAATTAAGTTTCGACAATGAAGAGTAAAGAAGATTTGTAGTATGATACTTTACAATGTGATTTCATTTATCAACATATGTTTAAACTTCAAAATTATTAATAAGAAATATTTTGGATATTTTAAAGATTAACTAATACTTTTTAATATTAAGAATATATTATTTATTTATATTTAGAACAAATATGTAATACTGAGAGAGTTAAACAGGACTGTTGGATAACGATACACGCCTATTTCTCATATGTAATTCTATTAGTTTATAGTTTTGGTTGATATTTTGCATCTCTTCTTGGAATTGAATAAAATAAAAAAACACTTTCTACTAATTTTTAAATTAGTTTTATTTTTTTTTTATTTTTTTTTTGATTTATGGCAGTACAAAAGGAGGACGCTCTGACCCTTCATCCTTCATATGCCAGTATACCTTTAAAAGAGATCAATTTGATATATATATCAGGATGAACTTACGTTAGTAAGGCAACAAGATATATAAGAAGAAAGGATTGGTTTATTATCCTACTGTATTATTTCGCTTTTTGATATACTTCGATGGATAATAGAAATACAATTATATATGTGAGAGTTAAAGGTAAAAGACCAGTAGACTTTGTAGACCCAGAACCATTTGAATGGGATGAGGATAAAGACCAACAATTATGGAAATTTATTTCAAAATTGGATAATTCAATAGACCAAATTGATTGGACTAAATTGTCTATAATTTTAAATGTTCCTATATTTTTCTTAAGGAAAAGAAGTTACAAATTGTTTGAAAACCATATGTTATTAATGAAGAGAAAATTTAATATTAAGAAATTGAATTCTCTGGACTCAACAGGTAATGTAGAAGCTTTTAAAAATTCTTCAATAATTAAGAATTCTAAGATGAAAGTGCCAACAGCAACCAATCCCTTAATGGAATCATCAATAGATAAATCAGTGTCTACAGAGAGTACTGGTTCAGAAAAAGATGCTTACATAAAATCAGCTGAAAAATTAAATCAAGCAACATTATCTGAAAAATCAGCAACAGAAGTATTAAGTCAATTGCATGTTTCAAAGGTGTTAGCAAGAACATTAGACTCAATTAATAATAAAAAATTAGATAAGTTAAAGGAAGTATCTGATGATGACACGTCTTCAAGTTTAAGTGTGAGTAAATCAGCCTTAGAAGAAGCCTTGTTAGAAAGGTTACATTTCTAGAATTTGGAATAAAGCAAGCGTATATTATTTTAGGGTTATACTATTTGATTACTGAAGTATCTGTACTTTATAGTTTTGTTCTTTTTCTAGAATTAGATATTTGATATATATATCTATGTTATACAAAATTTATGCTAGCATATTATATGTTTTTATTAGATAATATAATCTATTGGTGTATCGATTGACAGATTTCCTCCGTTGTTCATATTACTATCAACAGCGAATGATTGTTCTCCATTTATTACTGTTAATGGAATAATAGAAGGTCGCCCATGTGCACAATGAAAAGGTAAAACACACTTGCTTAAATCATTAATCAATACTTGACATTCAGATTTTGTCAATTCATCACCAAACATTATAGCAGATCTGCAAGCCTTTGAATTGAAAAAATCCATTAAAAATGACGGTATGCTATTAGTATATTTGTACCAGGATTGATGTTTTATTCTATTATTAAATCTTTTCTGTATTGATATCTTGTTAGAACATTTTAGATCCTCCATGTGATGTATCATAACATTTTTAATAAAGTTTTGATTTCTGCCAAATCTTTCAAAGATAAATTCTGACAATGCAGTTATCTTTAGGGTATTCTTAACTTTCTCGGGGATATTAGCTTTATCTTCATTGCTTATTACTGCTTCTTCAAGTAAGCAATATTTAATACCCCATTTCATAAATTCTTCTTTATAATAGCTAAAAAGTTGAAATTCGTCATGATTTATTTTAATCAGTAAAGGTTTTGGTATATTTTTCAGTAACAAGGCATTATCAATAATATCATTAATATAGTTTTGTAAGTGAGATTCCAGTTTAATTCTTTCATCACAAGCATGTTGATCTAGGATCAATAATGTTGTTGTTGAAAGTTTGCTAAACTTAGCTAATATAAATTTTTTATCAAGTTGACCAATGATATCACAATTAGACAAATGATCTTTTTTAAGTTCGTATGTTAGTTTATTTAATATGTCTTCGTTTATCCTCTTAATGTTAATCCAGGTAGTATTACCTAATTTTATCTTTTTGGAAATTGGAGTAGTTGATAAGAGTTTATTCTTGCAATTTCTTTTTAACATTATATCAGCAATTTTTTTGGCAAGAGTACATCCGTCATTATAATTTATTTGAGTAGATTTATCTATTTGTAGATATTCGCCTTTGTTGGAATTATCCTTTGCACAATATGGCAAAGATTTTTCTTTGAATGAGCTTGTTACAGGTTGAGTAGCCATAGCAACAGGATAACCTTGTAAACTTAGGAAACCTGAAAATACTTTTAAAATCAATTTCTGTATAATATTTTCCATATGTGGTCGTATTATAGTTTTTTCAGGTTCTTGCAAAAAATCATTCACATCTAATGGTGATGTTATATCTAGAACATAAAAAGGAAACCACCGAACATTTTTCCCTGACGTGGCAGTAGACGAAGGGTAGTTACTGCAGTTCATGTTAATGTTTCCAGGCCAGCCTGAAGAAAAAAAATAGGAATTTATTAACTTAATGAAAGTTGGGTCATAATACTTTCTGCCGTTAATAAAAATAAGTTGCAAGTCTTTAGTCTTTAAAGGGTAAGTAGATATCATTCCTTTCAAATTAAACTGTTTGAAATTTAACGCTACATTTTTCATAACATTGTCTGGTGTAATTGGATTAAAAACATGCCGTATTAATCGAACATAATAATTAGAAGCATTTGATTGCAGATTTGCCATTGAGTAACGTATAATATTTTTTGGTTTTCCATTATGAAGGTAGTCAATAGTAATGGTAACATTTGGATTTTTTAGAACAACTTGAAATAAACTCATTTTTAATTGATGGAATATTTTAAACAAAGGTTCCTCAAGGACTATTTTCTTTCTTACTGGTATATTATAAAACATATCATGAATTAAAATAGTAGTTCCATGCTCATTTAAAGGGATATATTTTAGGGTGAATATTTCATTTAATTTATCGCTAGGTATCCATTCTTTTGTTTCATTAGATACCATTTTACAAGGTTCATTACTTTGTAATTTTTTAAGCCAAGTTGAGCCGTATCCAGGACATTTTGAGACAATATATAGTTCTCTTGATAGCTGTGTCATTGAATATAATGCAATCCCTTTAAAACCATAACTGCTCAATTTAGTTAAATCATTCAATTGATTGATCTTTGAAGTCAAATAATTCTGCTTTCCCAAACGATTTAAATCTTCATGTGGTATACCGTCACCATTATCCTTACACAATATATTACCTTGTGAGAAATCACAGACAATATATATTGTAGAAGCATGGGCATCTATACTGTTTTGTAACAATTCATTAACCGCCGAAGTGTAGGATAAAATATGTGGTTGTGCTTGTAACTTTATTGATATGGTCCCGTCTAACACTCTAAGTTTGGACATAACCATATAGGCTTACACACGTATTGGCTATAAAAAAACTAGTTCATGTATCGATTAATGCTGCGTTTTCTGTAAGTCGTAGAGCAATTTTGATGTAATAATGCTCATAACATCTGTTATTTTCTTATTCAAATGTTTTTGATATTTTTATTTTAAAAAGTGTGATCATCTTTTCTTTTCTTTTTTTTCTTTCAAAAAAATAATAACAATAAAGATTAAAGACAACATAGCATGTACACTTAATTATATATGCATGTATATATATATATATATATATTGATATAGTTTTTTGCGATATACTAAAACAATTGAAACAAACTAGTTGATCATATTATTAAATCTATCGAGTGTTCATCATGATTAAGGGAGTAAGTTAAAACAAAAAACAAAAAAAAAAAGCAAATGAAATAAAATGAGAATGATCAGCTAGCTCTTACAGTGGTGTTAAATAAACTGGTTTGGTCAATTGTGTTTGCACTGACTGTCACAGTAACATATTTAATTTCTGGAGTAACAGTGATAGTGACTGGATTAGCAGTCTCGGTAACTGTCACTGTATTTACAATATCTGTGCACTGTTGTGCAGAAGCGTTAGGTGATACAGTATCACCATCAGCAGTAGCAATGGCAGTAGTAGTAGTTATAGGGGTAGTGAAGTCCACCTTCAAGTCCTTAACATTTAGATTATTCTTAGTTGTTCTAGTTATGGTTTGATAAAAGATTAGGGTGGAGGTAATAGTAGAGGTGTAGGTGGTACTGACGTCTGAATAAGTGGAAGCAAGTTCAGTAACAGCGGTGGATGTAGCTGTACTAGTAATGGTAGTAAGACTTGATGATGGTTGGGAATATAGGGCATTGGTAGTAATAGCTGGAGTTGAAACTGGAGTGTAATATATCGTGGTGAAAACGGTTTGCGTCACATAAAAAGTAGTTGTAGGGTCAGCATATGTGATTGTGGTAGTAATTGGTTGGACAGTGTAGGTGGGGGATAATGTTATAACAGATCTATTTATTGTGTTAGCAGGACTGGTTGTATTATCATACCAGGCAGCCATAGAAGTGTAACATAATGTGAATAATAAAACTAATGATTGAGTCAATTTCATTTCTTATTTTCCTCTGTTCTGTTTATTTGATACTTATGTTTTAATTTCTTGTGATAATGTTAAACTGTTGGGAAGAGAAGATTTTATAAGTGATATTTGAATGCAAAGATATGTATGGAAAGGATAGCAGTTTGATGAGATATTAAGATACAGTTACTGTGATGGTGCTAAAAGATAAAAAGAACAGAAGGAGAGAGAGAGAGAGAGGCAGAAGAGGGAAGGATTCAGTTGCCATTATTATTCATTAGGTTCTTTTTATATATTATTTGTATATACATGAGGGTGTTCATGCATGTATGTATGGATGTAAAAACAAAATATTTATTTTAAGAGTTTTGATCAATAATAGAATGATGTCATTTCTACAGCATAGGTAGCATCTGTATCAGTATCACTAAAAATACACTCCAGAATGTTTCAAGGGAAAGGAAGGTAGGAAAATTCAGAACACAAAAGATGAAATCAGATAAGTAGCCAATTGGTGTGGCTATGTGTTTTTGCAAGAGGACATAGTTGAGTGTGCCTGAGGATCGAATATCTTTCTTTCTTATCTCAGAATCAAAACGCCATCAACAAGTTTTACGAAATACAGTTAGAAAGCAGCTCCATGATACGAAAATGTTGTTTATTTTCATCGTTGAATGCCATCAAATTGTTTTTTTTTCTGTTTTGTTTTTGTTTTTATTTTTATTTTTTTTTCGTGTTTTTGGTTCATTTGGAAACTTCACGAAATTTACAAAAAAATTTTCGTGTTTTCTTAGGGGAGTGAAAGTGAAAATAAAATAAAATAAAATTGGATCTGAATTCTTTACAGTTGCATTTTAGAAAGTGGAGACTCTGTTTTTTCACCAAAAAAAAAAAAGCATAAAGACTTGAAATGATTTTTTTTTATATAAGAGAATACGCCATTCAATACTTTTTTTTTCTTTTTTAAAGAATATCTAATAATATTCTTGTGAATTTCTTGTTCCCGATAAATTCCATGCAATAGGATCTACGTTTTAAATAACAAAAATAAGACTGGAAATAGATCAGCCTTTCAAAGATAATTCTTCTCGACTCCCACTTAACGTCGTCTTTATGCTTCCATAATTCACAATATTTAATTGTGATATGTTTTGGCTTTCAAAACTCTCTTGCTCCTCTTGTCTCTCTTGTTCTTCAATGCTTGCTTCAAAACTATCTAAGTTTGCTTGAGTCACATTATTGTTATGCAATTTAATGATATTATCGATGCAGCAGTACTGAAAACAGTTCAGCAGTACAGGACAAATAAACATCACGAGGAATACTTGAAAATTTGGCCATGGATCACACCAACCTATCACCAAATTAGCAATTAGGTAAGCTAGTGGTTCCATAAAAGTTAAAATCATATAGATGATAAATTTCATCATAATCAACCCAATCAAAAATAGTATGAATTGTTTTAAAAAGGCTTTAAATTTAGGGTTCCTCCTTCGTAAATAATGAGAAGGGGACGAGAGGGATCGGCTTTTATTTAATCCACATTCTAAATGCTGTTGATTTCGATGATTGTTTTCTTCTGCTTCCACTTCCTCTTCTTCTTCTTCTTCCTCGTTATTATCAAAATAGTCTCCACTTTTGATATTAGAAATATGACATAAAGAACCCAAGCGTTCCAAACCATGTAAAATACAATATAAGATAGGGATACCCAGTGTGGTGTCCATGAGTAAATTGACAAAATACCAATCGCATTCGTCATCGTAATTATTTTCGTTACTGACGTTAATACTAATATTACATAGTAGTATTTTTGGGTTATTGTAATTATTATTTTGTTTCCATATACTTAACATAATATTTAATAAATGTATTACAAAGGATCCACCAAGTTGCTTAATTATATCGTATAACCAGATAGATAGTCTTCTTTTAGGGATTTCGTATGTCCTTTTCAATAATAACACCAAAATAATTAAAATGCCCATTATACTTTGAACTATAATGGACACGGGACCTAACAGTTGGCATTTCCCAATATTTGGTGGGTTCACATGTGGATGGATCATTATTGCACTGAAATCAAGACAGGAATACAAAAGCCTTGAAATAAAGAAACTGTAGAAAGAAGATGGAAAGAGAAGTTGGATAAGATATTAGATATAAGTTTTGTCACCTGTATTATTAAACTGTTGTATTACTTTCTCTTTTGTTTTTTTCTTTCGTCTTTCGATTCTTATCTTATTTTGTAATAAAACATGATTCATGCTTCTTTTTGTTTTTTGTTTTTTTTTTTTTTATCATGGGGTTCCCTTTGACTTTTTCGTTTGCCAAGAAATACTAGCTTTATTCATTGTGTTGTGTTATTGAAAGAGATAGAAGAGATTACAGTTTTGTACGACATATGTGTTATTAAGATCATAGAGTTTATTATAAGATAAATAAATAAATAAATAAATAAATAAATAAATAAATAAATAAATATGTCTTGTAGTATGTGGGAAAAAGAGACGGAGAAGCATTCACTGGTATAATAATATTATTATTTCTTTTTTTTTCTATTTATGCTCCTATTTTATTTTCCTTGAGTAAGGGTTATCCCTACAATTGACACTCCAGTTTATTTATTAATGTTCTTGGCACCATGCTTATGTTATTCTTACTTTTTCTGCTGCTTATAAGTTTTATATATAGCATCACAAAGTTGTTGCAATAATCCATGTGGATCCATTTTATGAATATCTAAATTATCTTGGTTTTGTTTGTTTTGTAAGTCACATGGAGGTACATATGGTTTTAGTTTACTTATTATATCTAAAGGAATATTATTCCACTCATCATACCTCTCCATCCCAGTAGCAGAACTCATCCATATATTTCTGTCATTGTTATATGATATGCTAGACAACAGATTATTCAAATTTAATGAAATTTCAAGCATCGTGGTTTTATTTGTGGTAGGACAAATGTTACTAATACTACTATTATTATTATTCTTATTGTAATTATTACTGTTATCAGTAGTAGTACTGGTGGTACTAGTAGCACTGTTATTGTCATTATTTGCGCATTCAGTGAGATCGATGTCTTTCCTTGGTATAAACGGTAACGGTTTATAACCATTCAACAGTATTTGCATGTTTAATTCATGTGGGTTTATACATGTGACATTTTCAACACGTGGCATCGGTAGATAATTAAATATTTTTTGTCTTTTCTTATTTTGGAATTTCATTATATCTATATTTGGATTGTATTTATAACCTTGAAGTGTGCAAGTTGTTCTTTTTAGACCATTTATTCTTCTTCTTTCCTTATTTTTGTATCTGGTTGCTAAAGTCTTTGAAATAGTTAAAGTGTATTGATATCTTAAAAATGTGAAGCTAAACTGATTACGTACCACAAATTGAGATCCAATATGAAAAGGAGATCTTCTTAATAATGGAAAAATAACTGTCACCACCATATGTTCTTCTTCTTAGTATTGTTACTTTGTTGAGTCTTGACGTATTATTCTGTTAGATACTTTTTATGTGGATATGTTCACTAAAACATATATTCAATAGCTATCTATTTATTTATTTATATTGCAGAATGTACATGTGTACAGATATGTATCTTAAATATTGTGCCTTTTGTTTTAAAATCACCCTTATTCTATAAAAGATGTTTATTGACTTGTTCTGTTTTAAGTTATTGATCAAAGCACACCTTTGTTATTTGCTTTCTCTGGCAAAATTCTTGTAACTCTTCGTTTAATCGTTTTTAATGTAGTAGAAGGGTTTTGTGTGGAGTGGTCTTATTTTTCTGGTTTTTTTTCTATTTTTTGTTTTTTTTGTTTTTTAATTTTTTTTTTTCTTTTTTTTTCTGGTTTTTTTTTCTTTATTGAAAGAAATTAAAACTAAAAGGATGTGTGGATGTGTTTTACTTACAAATAGAGGAAGGAGGAGAGGGCCCCTAAGAGGAGGTCGAGGAAGAGATGAAGTGGGAGGAGTGACTGATGGAAAGTTATATAAGTTATATCTATTTCGTCTGCAACTAGATATACTTGTATCTATGCGTGCGTAGAGAGATAAGTGAGATAATACAAAAAAAAAAAAAAGAAGGCAATTATTTTGAGCAAAGTGTATTATTTTTGTGAGTAGCTCTATATATGATGGATAGAATATTAGTAGGTAAATATATTTATTTAGTTGTTTAATTATTTTTTTTATTTCAGTTGATGTAAATAAATACGGATATGTTTTGAATATCCTAAAATACAAATGCCAACGTTTTGATCACATTTATACTTTCATGCCAATGGGTAATGTCATAGATCTTTTGATTGTCGAAGCAGGGATGCTCAATACCTTTTCACGATTGGATCCCATCAACGTATTCACACCAAATAAGACATCCTTTGATGGATATTGCAGAGATATAGGACTGTTTTTTTTAATTCCATCAATATCGTCTTCGTGATCTTCATCTACATCTGTTGTTGTATTTAACTGATTGAACTTGTGTAAGCTATCATTATATTCTTCAGTGCTTGTAATTGAAGCTGAGGTGTCACTTTCATCATTGTTTTCACTAGTGTTCAGAACCATGAAATTTTCATGACATTCAGTCTCGTAATTACTGACCATATCATCGATCATCTGTTTGTATTCAGGTTCCATGACATTGGATTCTTGGAATTTGACCATTTGTAATCTCATCAAAATTCTTTTTTGAATTATTTGACTCAAATAGGTTTTCATTAACTGTCCCATCTCCTCCTTTTTGTGTACATAATCTATACCATTGTCGTAATCATGTTCCTTATCTTCACTTTTCTCCATTGAAACTTCTACTGATGATCCTTGTTCCTTTCTATCGATGTTGGCCTTTTCTTTTTTACCATCATCTTCTGTTATTTCTTCATTCTTTTTTTCTATTGAAGAATCTATATTATTACTATTGTTGTTGTTGTTAACTGATTCTGTTATATTCTCAATAGTTGTGCCTAATTCGGTGAAAATTGAGGAATCTGAATCACTGTTAATAAAATCAGATGATACTTTTCCCTTCTCATCTTCTTCATCTTCTTCTTTAATGGTATCGAACGTGTCAAGGACATTGTTCTCCATCAATGGACTACCATACCTCAAATCATCATCATTTGTCTCGTTCATTGAATATGGAATACTCATAGATAATGGGATCACTTTGTTTTTAACCACAATAGATGGTTGTCTTACTAAAGAACTTAAAGAAGTAGATGCAGTAGATTTAATTAATCTTGATTTTCTAACTGGTGACCCATTCTCTTGGCATGTAACTGCAGAATAATATGTAGAGGAAGATGGGGTAGAAGCAGTAAGGATTGATGCAGCCCTTCTGATACTGGAATTGGTTCTCCTTAATGTACTGTTGGTTCTGGTTGAATCTCTATTTCCAGTAAATGGAGAAATTATGTTATTGTTGTGGTTGTTATTATTTGTAGTGGTAGCAATGGTGGTAGTAGTAGTATTTTCTAGATTATTCATATCAGGACTATTTATAACACTGTCAATTGGAGATTTGACATCAGTTTTTTCACGATTCTTATTATAAACATTATCAGTCTCAGTAGTACTGATACTATCCTTATTTGTGTTGATGGTTAATACATGTTTTTCATTAATAATTGCTGGTTTAACTTTTTCAATCAAAGCAGGCTGTAAAGCTTGTAATGAGGATGAATTTGGAACATGATACTTATGTGGTTTTATATGGTTAATTTTTTCGCTGCTGCAGTTGTTTCTCAATTTCTTATTTTTTTTATTTTTAGTTAATAAACTTTGATGATCATTAATTGATGAGATGGAGGAAAAGGAACGTCTCACATTGAAATTCTTAGATTGGTAATTGTTAACTGTTCTTTTTTTAAATAATAACAATCTAATGTGTTTCACTAATTTTTTTATTTTAATACCAATCATTTCAAAATATCTCAATAGCCCACCCTTACACCTAATAGCCTTCGATCTCTTTAGAGTTGATTTTGGGTGTGCTCTCATCGAACTCATTCTTCTAACCGGTTTATTATTGTTGATTTTATTATTTTTGTTATTGTTATTATTGTCGTTATTCTTATTAAGATTTGGTTTAGATTTAAATTTAGATTTAATATTATCATAATAAAGATCAGTTTTGTTAGATCCATTCTTATTTGAATTTTTACCATTATCATTGTCACTAGAAATACCAGAAAATTCCATAGAATCAACTTTTCTCATTGTGGGTTTACGATATAAGCGCATTGGAGTTCTCTTAACAGTGGAAGAAGTACGGTGAAGAGATCCTTTAGAGGAAAAATTACTTGAACTGGAAGAGGATGGTAATCTTAATGACTCCATTTTGGAAGAATTCAAATAGGATAACGAGGAAGATGAGATGATATCATAAGAAAGATTATCTGCAGTAGGTATCTCAGTAGGCGTTGTATGTTCTGTTTTATCAGATTTAATTGACGGACTTTCCACTTTAGAAGGTAAAGTATAGTTCTGCTGTGGAGATACTGATGACGATGAAGGTAATGATGATAATGGAGTAATTAGACTTTCTACTAGTGAAAAATCCCTGACAGTTTTCTTGGGTGCCAAAGTTTGAGGATATTCAGATTTAGGATGTTTTGAGTTTCCATTGATATTTAGCATAGAGATAATATCACTGTTAGCATCTGAATCTCTCGTTTCATGAAAAAAACTTGGTGATGTTGTGTTATCTGATATATTAGCAAATGAGTAATAACCATTTGAAAGATTCACATTCAAATTTTTACGTTTTGAACCATGTGATTGAGGTGTATTATCGGATATCAAGGGAGTCACTAAATCCTTTTCTTTGGTTATTTGATGTTTTTCATTCCGTAAGGATTCATTAACAAGGAAGTGGTTATTAAGTTCAACTTCATCGTTAGTCTTAAATCTTGAGGAATTATTCGAAGGGAACTTAAAATCCATTTGTTCTCCCTTGAAAGACTTTGTCTTGGTTCTAGTTGGTGTTCTGATAATCATTTGAAACTGTTGTCAGAATAAAAAAGATATATATCTACAAATATATAAACTCAATAGGGAGATTAAGTTGGCGCAAAAGCAAATGTGTCTAGTTGCAAACGTATTAAACTATTATATTATTAGTATATAACGAAATAAAAAAGAATTGAGCATCCACCTTCTTCAAAGAAAAGGTATATCATTAGATAGTGCAGAGCCCACAAACAGACCAAAGTTCGTGATCATATGATTTATGTATATATATACCATAATATATCTAGACTTTCTGTAATGAGGTTAACTAATATAAGTGTAGAGAGGGGAAGAAAACCAGTATGTGGTTATGTCATGCTGTGATTTCTCTTCCAGATGTAGCTTCTTCTGGTATTGTTGGGCCTACATCATGTTTTTACCAAATACAAACACTCCTCATCGAGTGGTTTGATCAAGGCATTCATAATAGTATTCAAGCAAGATAATTGTTTTGTCTTTTTTTATCTTTCAATTTATTTGACCAGCATTTTTCCAATTTGGGTAATAAACCCAGCTGCCCTCGAAGAAAAAGTGACTTTGAAAAAAAATTCATTTCTAGTTTATCTGTTTTGAAGAGAAGTTAACAGAAAAGGCAAGTAGATTTTATACTTAGTCAGTCTTGAATGCGTATTAACAGGGCATTATTAGCCATTATTCAAGTAGTATTCAAACCCAGCAAACTCTTTTCTCTTTTTTTGTCTGTATTCTTTGAATTTTCTTATCTTCTTGTCTGTCTAACTATCATTTTCTCTATCAATTAAGTTATTCAATAGTAAAGGATTTTTTTTTGTTCCACTTATTCTTTTATCATAGAGAAAACTGAGTTGAATATAGAAGAAACTAGACAGATAGATCAAGCATCAGCTAGTATTCTACAGCTAATTTCAAGATAAAAAAATAACTTAGGAAATCATATTCTTCTCTTTTTTCTTTTTTTAGTGTTTTGTATATTTACTTAAACTTAAATGGGTAAGAAATTATTTCATGCTTCGCATTTTCTAAAAAGTTTGTCTAGAAGATCTCCTAAGAGATATTCTAAATTGAAGCCGGTCATTAAATCAGATACTTATAGAGTAAAGCCGGGGAAACCCCTAGAAGATCAAAGGTTAAAAAAATACTGGAAGAATAGAAAACATTTGTTTTCTAAAATAGATGGAAACCAAATTTATATGACTCCTGAACTGTGGTTTAGTGTTACTCCGGAAGATATTGCAAGATTTTTATCTCAATTTATCAAAGCATGTTTACCTCAAGCACGTTGTATAATGGATGTATTTTGCGGTGGTGGTGGAAATTCAATCCAGTTTGCTAAAGTATTTCCTCGTGTTATTGGGATAGATAACAATTTGGAACATCTTTATTGTACTGCAATGAACAGTCATGCTTATAATGTTGACGATCATTTATGGTTGAGATATGGATCTTGGTCTAGAACGTTTGCTAAGAGAAACAAATCATGGTTGAGTAAAGAGACTATCGATTGTATCTTTGCATCTCCACCTTGGGGAGGGCCACAATATCTTAAGTCTGGTTTATATGACCTAGAGACTATGCTAATACCAATGGGTATCACATCATTACTTGAAACGTTCAAGCAATTGAGTAGCAATATTATAATATTCTTGCCAAGAAATTCAAATCTAAGTCAATTATCACAAGCTACGAGTAGAGTATTTGGTCCAGATGTGAAATGTAAAGTACTATATGTAAAACAAAATGGTTTTATGAAGGGGATATTATGTATGTGGGGTGATTCCCTCATGTATTATCAAACTGAAGATGAAGAAACGCGGAGTATACAAGAAAACAGTAATGTCATTAACATTGATACTGATCTGTCAGATAGCTCTGAACCAAATTCAAAACAACCTCAATCTTCAATATCTAATATTGATTTGTATGATATAAATGGCTAGAGATAGATATTTTTGGGTGATATATCTCATAATTTTGCTATTTCATTAAACATTTGCATAAGTTTACATAATGATTGTAATTGTTTCAAATGATGCAGAGAATATTCCAGCAACAATTTTATTTTTGTTTTACTTTTCATCATTGTCAATTATTCGACGGTAGGTATATTTTATTAAATAATATAGAACCTTTACAGATTTTTTTAATCTTCTCAGCAAAAAAGTTTTTCGAATGCAGCTCTAGAAATTTGTCCTCTAATTCATGATAGATAATTGGGGTTCCCTTTAAAAATAAATATGTGGAATTACTGATACCTGTAGGATTTAAATGAACGCTTTCCTGAACATATGATTTAAGTTCATCTTTGTTAAAGTATTTGTCGAAATCAACTATTGTTATTTCAGGGTATACTTCATATTCATTTAGTATTATATTTTTAATTTTTAAGCTATTTTTGTTACTCGACTCAAAAAATAGAACTAAAGGTGATATATCTATTATCCTTTGAAACTCTAGATCAACTTTATGTCGTTTTAGGCTTTGTCTAGTATTTTCTAAAGTTTTTGATTCTACATTAATGTTATTTTTTGGAATGTTGTGTTGGTTGAACTGTACCTCCTTTTTAATACTTTCTATCTTATTAATGACATTCTTTTGCTCTTCTGTTGTGCTACTTTGAATATCTTTATAGTTACTATGTATAGGTAACCAACGTATATCACTGTTAGGTTGAATAAACCCATTGTCTGTATTATAGTATGACAATGTTTTATTAGAGACAGTAGTAAAAATAGTACATATTATTATCATTATTAATATTAGTGTCAACGTTCCAATTTTCCTGGTTTTAATACTTTGTTTCATTTTATTGTTGGTTGGTTTTTGACAGACGAATTACTATTTTCTTATTAGCAGCAGTTAGTGGGTTTAATTATTTCACGTTGAAATTAAGGGAAAAGAAACTAGATCTGAAAAAAATAGTCTTTAAATTCTAATCATTCAACATAAACTTCTTGTTAAAAGTTTTGTATAGTATTTTTTTTACCTTAAAAGCTTGTAAGTGATGACTCAAATAAAATCATCAATTTTGCTGTGTGCCTTTGTGTTCCCTTTTAATGACTAAATTATATAATCATTTCTTTTTTTTTTGTTTTGGCTGTTTTTTTATTGTATGTAGGTAATTAAATTGCAATTTCTAAAAGCGTGAAAAAGAATACCATTGGTATGGTAAAAGCAAAGATAACTGAAGATTAGAAGAAATAATCAGAAAAGAAATGGCAATATATATTTTTCTCTAAGGATTAATTATGAGATTTTTTTTCCTCTATCTATTGGTTTTTTATATTTTCTATGAATTATATATTGACAAGCTCTAGAGTTTATGCAGTTGGATCGCTATAATCATTAGCCATCGAGTTAAAAGTACGATCTCTAATCCTCTTGGAACTTTGCAAAGCTTCAATCATCATATCTTTCCGTTCTAACATTTTTTGTAAGTCATTTATTTTATCTTCTTTCAATTGTATTAAATCTTCGAACTCTTTATATCGATTATTATAATCCAAATCTGATGCAGGACTTACACTTTCGGTGTTAAGATTTTCTTTGCACTTGTGTTCTTGGTTCTTCTGTTGGAGTTGAAATAATTTATCTTCTAATTGTTTAGTATATAATTTATATTGTCTAATCTCTGATTCTAAACCTTGAACCTTTGTCTCCAATAGTCCTCCAACTTCTATAGGTAACATTTCTACAATCTCCACAATCTGAGTGTCTTGTAGTTCTAAAACATCCTTATCTAATAATTTTTCTAAGTGTTGTATTTTATCCTTTAATAACTTGTTTTCAAAAACTAGATTTTCATTGCTTAGATTAGTCTCTACAAACTTTGAATTTGAATTAGGGTTTTCATAACTTATCATCAAACCTCTATCAATAAATTGAGGAATCATTATATTCTGTTTTAATTCCTGGATAGTATTTTCATGTTCTTTTACTAAATTCGTTAATTCCCTGATTTTTCGATCTTTTTCTAAATCAGATGTATTGTTATTCATATTACCATTGTATGCCAAACCAGCATTGATAGATCTTTTAGATATACTTAAGGACACATTTTTAGCTCTAGAACCAAATCTTAATGTATTTATTGTTTCTGCATATGCATCCTTTTTAGGGTCAATTGTACATATTGTGGTTATTATACTATTGCCGCTTAGTGCAGGTTGTAATAATCTTGTCAATTTTGAATCTCTATAGGGAATATGGCTCAAACCATTATTAGTATTAGAACTACTACTTACATTTTCTTTTATGTTTGATTCAGCACTTAATTTAGAGATTACTGTACCAAGTGCTAATAAAGATTTGTTTATATATGCACCTTCTTTTCTTCTTTCTATTTGTCCACTGGCTCTTTCAGAACCAGCTAAATCGCATAAAGACAGTATATTACTTCTAATTGTGCTAGTATAAGTGTCGGTTGAAATTAATTTGATTTGAATAATGGCATGGGAGCGAGAACTTCTTATATTATAATCTGTTTTTCCAGTTTTACGGGATAATTCACCCATTTTGACCCATTTCATAAGTTCATTACAATCTTGGCAATTTCTTTCTGTCAATCCAGCAACATGAATTCCATTACCTTGTATTGTATGATCCCCTCTTAATTTTAAATTTTCGTTATTCTTGGTTGGATCTAATAAATCATGAATCTTTTCATTGTATATTTCTAAATACGATACAGTTATATTGAATCTATGATTAGGATCATTTTCTGTTTTATCGAATAAGTATGATCCACATAATTCTACAATCCCTTTTTCAGTATATCCCTCACCAAGCATAGTATAAGTTTTTCCAGAACCTGTCATACCGTAAGCAAAAAGCGTAGAATTAAATCCATCAAATAATTTATCAACTAATTCTGATCCAATTTGATTAAAAATTGTATGATTATCGCATTGAGGGCTAAAAACATGATCAAATGTGAAGTCTCCATGATCAGGATGTGAAATTTGGTTTGAATTTATTGCAGTCCACTGAGGAATTAACTCTGCTATTGGTTTAATTCGAATTGCTACAGTAATGGTTCCAGTATATCTCTGTGAAGAGGTTTTCTCTAGAGTGTATCCATTATTTGAAGATGATGAAAAAAATCGTTTCTTGATGGTAGAGGATGTGGTCGATACAGAAGTTAATGAGGATGTAGAATTACCGCTAGTCGTTGAACTGATAGATGTACGTCGAGGCCTTGAAGGTCTTCTAAGATTGGAATACGAAGATACAGTAGAAAGTGATGGCGATAGACATGATAATGTAGGATTAGTCTTCGGTGTATTAAATTGTGATCGTATTGATTGTCGTCTCATATCGGGACTTGGACTAGCTTTTGATGTAAGCATGGTAGAACAGGCACGATGCTACTTATTTGTCCTTATCTCTTTTGGTAAGTTTTTTAACATTGCTGAGTGTTTTGAGATGTAATTGCTTAGTGAATTAATACTTACTCTATATATTACTGTATATTCTGTTCTTGATAATAAAAAAGAAGTCTTTTCTAAAATTTTGATCTTAGATTTCCATTTTTGGAAAAGAACCAAATATTTCTCAGATATGTAAAATATTAATAAAACGAAAAAGCAAAATACTGAGAAACAAATAAAAAGGATATATAGGTGTAGGAAGAATGATATTGGCAATTACAATAAACACTATAAGACTTTTAGAAAGAGATAATTCAACTCAATTTTCTGTTGAAACTGGAAAAGAAGGTTTGGAAAGATGTGAACAAGTTGGTAAAACTAACTAGATATACAGAGATAAAACCTGCGTGCAAGATTTTAATAATAGAGCATCATAATAACGACTACAGTATGTTGCTAATATAAAGTGAGTGAAATATGTGCTTATACCCTACACTTTACTTACCTAAAAGACAGAAAATTACTAAGAAAATGCAAGTGTATTTTATATTAATATGAGTTATTTTTCAGTTTTTACCTTTTTATCTTCTACTTGTTTGAAGGTTTATATAAATATATACTGTGTAATAATGTGCGTGCATAAAGTAACATATGATTATTACTCATTTCCAAGGTAATTTTTGATTTGGACCTGGTAATAACAATGAATCTATGATATCTTTGTTAACTTTGTTGGACTCTGATTCTTCAAATAATTTATCAAGCTGTTTAATAACGTCACCGTTTAGATCATCATTTGGAACAAGAAGACAACCATCGCCACCTAATTGGGTCTCTATGGTATCAAATCCATATGTGTCTGTTAAGGTTTCTTTAAATTTTTGTACATTAGTTGAGTCCTGGATTAAGGTAAGAGTACATCCACCGCCCCCAGCTCCAGTTAGTTTAGTTGGGCCAATATGAAGCTGCTCGGACAACAGGCAAATTTTGGCAATAGTCTCATGAGACACGCCTAGTGATTGTAATAAACCTTGATTTATATCAACTAAAGATGCTATAGATTGGAAATCAGGTTCGTTTTGAGTTAAAATGTGACTAGCTTTACATGCAATTGAGTCCATGGAATCTAAGACTGGTGTGATAATATCTGGATATATTTCATATAATTGTCTGACATTACTAACTAAAGTTTTTGTGGAACGTGGTACTTTCGTATATGTTAATAGAATTTCCAATGGATTATTCGACAAATCTAGTAATTTAGCCTCAGTACCCTTTTTATAAAGAATTGCACCACCATGGGTTGAGACTAAATTGTCAACACCAGATGGATTACCATGAATACATTTTTCACCGACAAATGCCCATTTATTAATCAAATCTTTGTTGGTTTGTTGATTAGCCAATTGTAACATAGCGTACGAAAGTGCAACAGATACAGCAGCAGATGAGCCTAGACCAGCACCAATTGGGGATGTGGAAACCATTGTGAATTTGAGACTAGAGGTATTTGGAATTAGACATTTATAAAGATATAAGAAACAGAAAGCAGCATTGGCATGTAATGGATCAACGATATTGGATTCTTTGATTAAGTTTTGGATTTGTTCGGCTACCTGCTGATCGATTGTGTCATTGATTTCGATGGAAGCAGATGGAGATGGTATTTTGGATAAGGAATTGCTTTCCCATGTATAGTATAGCTTAATATCTGGAAAATTCAAAGTGATTGCGTTGTCAGCTGTGGGTGTTACATATAGATAGGTTCTTAAAGAATGAATACTGGCAGCAATGGCATGTTTCCCATATACGGCAGAATGTTCACCGAATAGAATAACTTTGGCCGGAGCGGATGTTAAGAATGGCGGTTGCATTATACGTCTATATTATCCTGTGGAGTGGTTTGTCTCCGTTAGAAAAATAGTTTCTTTCGAAGAGAAAAGGGAAAGAGTTGATGGTTCAAAAATGCTCTAAAAGATTTCCCGGTATTTTATTACATGTTCATACATGCATTTTAATAGTTATTTTATTTTTTTTATATACGTATTTTTTTTTTTTGTTTCGAGGCACAGGAACATTTAAAAGAACATGAGGGAAAAATAACGGAAAAGAAAAAAAAAACTAACCAGAATATATTTTACGAGTATAGTAGAAGAAATTGATAATATTTCATATATTTATTTATGAGATTGCAGTCGGTAAGCTAAGGAATTAGTGAATTGGGAAGTAATATATATAGTAACTTTATCTATAGTATACAGCTATTTTACTTATTGGAATTCTTTTTTATCACTAAATATTCGAATTATTAAAATATTATATGCATTTGAATAAATAGAAACATGGTATCTTTATAAACATGAATACACATAGACAAACATATCTGAGTATATATTTATTGCACATGTGACTTTGTCAGCTCTTGTATGTATGTATATATATATATGTTATGCTCATTTCCTTCTTTCTTCTGACAGATGACAAAATGAAAAGAGAGGGGAGATTACAAAGAATGAATCATCACGATTAGTAATCAGTAACTGGGAGAACCAAGTTTCCGAAAGAATATATCTTTTCCAAACGTTGCGGAACAATTCCGCAATGATTCCCGAAATGTTTTATTTTAGGTTGGAATAAGCATTTGCAAATTTCTTGTGTGCTGTGAAACGGCCCTCTGTCTTTTCTTTTCTTCTTTTGGTTTTGCCCGGTCTCGAGAAAAGATGAAAAATAAAAAAAAAATTGTGAAAAAAAAATTAAAGAACAGATAAAAAAAAATTTTTTTATAAGACATAGCGATGAGGTACATAGATATATGGTTACATAAATGGATTGAAAAGTGTTGTTTGGTAATAGTAATACATACATATTATTATTAGTAAACAAGAAAAAGCTCTATTAAAATTCCAGGAGTTTATTTGTTTTTCCCCCTCCATTCTCCATATATTAAATATTTGACTTGATAATGTCTAACATAGTTGGTATTGAATACAACCGTGTCACAAATACTACATCTACTGATTTCCCAGGGTTTTCTTCTAGTGGTGAAAATGCATGGGATGTTGAAAAATTTAGAGATACTTTTGATATCCAAATTTCAAGTTTAACTGAAAGGGAAGCAAATTTCGATTTAATTCACATTGACACTTCCATTGCAAATGCCTTTCGTCGTATTATGATCTCAGAAGTACCATCAGTTGCTGCCGAATATGTTTACTTCTTAAATAATACATCTGTCATTCAGGATGAAGTCTTAGCTCATAGAATAGGTCTGATCCCATTAAAAGTAGATCCAGATATGTTAACTTGGGTTGATCAATCTTTACCAGAAGATGAAAGATTCAATGATGAAAATACTATCGTTTTGACACTAAATGTTAAGTGTACAAGAAATCCAGATGCTCCAAAAGATTGCACTGACCCGAAGATACTATACAACAATTCTCATATTTATGCACGTGATCTTAAATTTGAACCTCAAGGTAAACAAGTCGAAACTTTTGCTAATTGTCCAGTAGTTCCATGTGATCCTGATATTTTATTAGCTAAACTAAGGCCTGGTCAAGAAATTTCCTTAAGGGCACATTGTATTCTTGGTGTTGGTGGAGATCATGCTAAATTTTCTCCAGTAGGTACCGCTTCTTATAGACTATTACCACATATTAATATTACTGAATCAATCAAGGGTGACTTGGCTGAAAAATTTCAAAAATGTTTCCCAAAGGGTGTCATTGGAATCAACAGCGATGGTGAAGCATTTGTTAAAGATGCTAGAAAGGATACAGTGTCAAGAGAGGTCCTAAGACATGAAGAGTTCGAAGGTAAAGTAAAATTGGGTAGAATTAGAGATCATTTCATCTTCAATGTGGAGAGTACTGGTGCTATGACACCTGAAGAAATCTTTTTTAAATCTGTTAGAATTTTAAAGAATAAAGCTGAATATTTAAAGAATTGTCCAATAAGTCAATAAATGAAGATCAACATATATGGAAAAAAAAAATAAACATGTACGAAAGATTAAAGAAAATGAATAATATACATATATATTGACTGAAAGAGATATTTTATGTGATTTATTATAAATTTAGTATGTATATCTATAAACGTAAATATGATCTTTTATAATTTAAGGAAAGGTTGCATTAAGTGAAAAGGATTGATCATGCCATATATGTATATGTATGTATGTATTTTTAGGATAAAAATTCATTCAATGCTTCTGAATAATTGATTTGGGTAGCAACCAAAAATCCATCATATCCATCACTTTTTGTATATCTGATTTCTTTTGGTTCTTTATAACCCAATTTAATAAAGTTAATACTTGTCAAAGTTAATAATGTATATTGACTTAAGAATATAAATAAATCAAGGAACCATATCTGCAAATTAGCTACATAATTATTGGTCGGTAATCTTTCACCAATAAGTTGAAATGTCAAGCCGCCTCTCAATTCACCTTGACTAACACCATTACCATTTAAAAATATCGAGGGAGTATTAGTTAAACCAGTATCTATCAATCCGTTTCCATCAGACATATCTATAAAATTGATTCGATTGAAAAGTCGATAAATAAGCACAGTAATATTAATTAAGATTATAGCATGAAATAAAGATGTTCGTAATCTTTTCTTAAAATTTATGACTTCCTCATCGATATTAAAAGATTCATTATTCTGTGATGTAGAAATACCTTCACTAAAAGCGCCTGGAATTGAAGCTGTCATATTATTTATTGCAAACGAATACCTATTGGTGTCTGTAGCATTATTAGGACTATTAGTAGCTGTATCAGTGGTGTTATTGTTATTGTTTCTTACTCTTTGAATTACTCTTACTAGTTGACTATCACCAGGAAACGGATTAGAAATTAACGTTTGAAGGATGAGTCGAAATACAAGGATCCATGAAGATGTGCTGAACTTAATATATTGATAAATTATTAATATGTAGCCTAATAGGATAGTATTTTTTGTCAAATGTTTCTGGGCATTCTTCTTCCTTAGTTTGAAGACCTTTCTAGATCTACAATGTGTTGACGTATCATCTATGGAATTCATTCTTATCCTAATCTTATTATCTGATTAACAAGTCATTATTGAGGTTTTCTCTCTTCTTTTCTATCCCTTTAGTTCGTATTCCGCATTTATGTGTATTCACTGTGTATTTCTGTAATTAGGGGGATAGGTTGAATACTTGAATACTTATGTGAAAAGTCAAGAAAAATCAATCACATTTTTCGAAATTTTATAAAACATCATACAATTAAATTCGTATATAATAGAGGATAGGATGAAAAAGGGAGATATTGGTAAATTTTTGAAAGTATGACGTTAGACTTTTGTATATATACATATACAGGTCAGCGTGTATGCTATAGTTGTCATTGATACTAAATTATATAAAATCACTATATAAATGAGTAATTTGAGCTACGATAGTGTTAGTCGATTCTTTAAGCGTTTAGTTAAACATTCTTTGTTGATATCTGATGGAATGTATCCAAACTTATGAGACTGCAGTAACGATTTTATATATTTATGTAAATACGTAGTATTTACTTGGCTGATTTAACACAATTATATGTTTTATTTAACCTCATATGTATGTAGTGTTTTTAAAAAAATGTAAAAAAAAAAGTTTAGTAGTTACGTGGTATATTAGATAATTAATATATATTTATTTATCCAATACTTCAAGCTACAGCTATAATTAATATAATATCATATATTCTCTTTAAAAGTTTCTTATGATATTATATTGTTATGGCAAAGGAATTGTCATACAGCCTGATATACACTATTTTTCGTAAAAATAATGGATTAACAGCACTTGACCTGTTACTAGCTCATACACATACTATAGGCTTGGTAATTCATTATCACAAAAATTAAAAATGGTAGAAACTTAATAATTATTACGAAAATATCTTAAACATATTTGATCTACCGGTTATCGGAAACTATACTAAGCAGGTATTGTGACATATGAAATCCAGATATCACTATAAACGATGTTGTAAACTCTTTAGTCAGTGACGACGTGCTTGTTTTTCTTTTTTATCTTGTTTATATGACTATGTTTATCTGTATATCTGTGTATATTAGTTTACTCCTTATGTAGAGTATAGTTTATATATTTTATATAGGCAACAAATCAAGCTATATTTAACTGTTTTAGAATCTAGAAGAGTATATCTCTCGTAATAGGGATTTCATCTATTACAGTAATCGTATAAAATGATATACAAAAATTTGAATAAAAATTAAATGCCACTTGCCAGAATTGAACTAGCGACCTTTGCATTACAAGTGCAACGCTCTACCACTAAGCTAAAGAGGCACTCTGGAGACGCTTTTGTCGTAGTTTGGTATGGTGAAGTTCTTTGTGTATTCCAGGGAAGCGCAAATAATATTAATAGTAATCCAAATAATCGAGACAGTAATCAACTATAGTCGATAGTATAATTACTAAAACGGTCTTATATATTAAGCGGCTTATATTGAGCTAATGTACTTATTCGAAGTTACTTGACTTGTTACTTGCTTGTTTTTTTATTTATGTTTATATATAATATATATATTATTCACAAGAAACGGTTATGGAAGATGGTCTTTTATCTCCAGAAAACGTTGTCCTTTTATATGTTTTCTGGAGCTCGATCGATTATTCGGATTAGCACATTAATGATCTGACTGATTCAAACCCTAAGATTTATTACATTAATCTAGGTGCACTAGTGGATTAGAACTGCACCTCAATTCTCTAATCATGGTAATTATTATTCTATTCTACAACGACTTTTTCCGTGATATGAGGTGGTTAAAGATTTCAGTTTTATTTGGGGAAGTGCTAGAAGTATCAAACGGATAATCTATTAATAATCGAGATAATATTTGATACAATCGATGATGCAATTATTAATACCATCTTTATATATTAACGGCTATATCGAGCTTTTATATTTAAGCTTATCGCTACCTTGCCTATTATTATTTAGCTTAGTATCTTGTTTGTTGTTTTTATATATACAGTATATAATTATGTATAAGAGGGAAGTGACGGAAGGTAGTTTTCATCTTCAGAAAATGTTGACCTTTTATATGTTTTCTGGAACTCGATCCACTATTCAACTTGGTATATTAATGAATTAGTAATCCATATCTTTATTATTAGTTAATTGAGCTTATATAATTGCTCGTTGTTCTTCTATGTTATATATATAGTGTTTGTGTTTACCATATTCATGACTTAAGTTGCTGGTAAATTGGACCTCTGGTTTATTAAAAAACATATACAAATAATATACATAATTATATATTATGTTTATACATGAATGTAAATTAATTCTTCGTCTTTTTAAGTCTCTTTTTAAATATCTGTTTTCTTGAAAGAATTTTATTCTTCTTTATTATAATTCTTAATGATATAGAAAAAAGTCCTTAATAAAGAAACTTAATGTGTATAATGTCTATTCCCTGGCAAATATATATTATCGTTACCTTAATTATTTAAAGGTAGATTGTAAACTTTATTTTATTAATTTTTATTTCTTTGTTTTAATATGTATTTTTAGTTTGGTGACTAATCAGTTATTCTCACTTATTTTTTGATTGCTATTCCTTTTACAAACTATAATAGTGTTATGATTAATAGTACTTATTAGTTTATCTTTATGTATCGTGTAAATTGTTAATATGAATTTGTTGGGTAAATATAAAAAGAATTATAGTTCTGTATTTTGAAATATTTTTTTTTGTAATAATTTTTTTTCAAAATTTACAGTTTGTTCTAAATATATGATTTTGGTTTTTTTTGCAGAATGAAGAAAAACCTTTTAACAATACAACAAAACATTTTTTTTTGTATATTACAAGCTAGATATTAAAAACTATACTTGTAAAAATATAGTGTCTACAATTCAACAATCACAGTAAAAAAAATGCGCGATCAAAGAATTAAAACAATTTTTTAAGTAATTCAATTTATGCAACTAATTTTATAGACATTAGATTTTCAATTTCGCCCTTTTAGATATTTGTTTCAGGTAAAAATATTTCCAAGTAAATAAAAAAAAATAATAATTAACAAGTAATATATTGTAAATTACCCAAAAAAATAAAATACGAAATGTACGTTATCGGACCACTGCTAATAGGGTGCTAAACACATGTATTGATATGAAGTACTTATTAATATATAACTATTATCTATACAAATATCTAGATGCTTGGATTTTATCTTATAATGCTCCACTCTTTATTTATTTTTATAAATTTCAGAAAAACAAAACAACAAATAATAGTAGTTGTTGAGGTTTGTTTCATCTTTCATTAGTTATTTTATCATCATTACTATTTTATTACTCTTTTCCTTTTGTCTCACTGCAATCAATCGAATGACAAAATAACCCTTTTATGCTTGATCATAAAAAAGCTAAAAACACAAAGAATAAAAAAAAGAAAAATTAAATGAATACACAAGAAATAAATTGACCACACATAATTATATATACATATATACATATATTATACTACACGATCTTCACCAGTTAATTTTACTGCAGCCGAATACTTCTGTAATTTGGTTAATAATGAATCACCATTCTTAATAAGCAATTGGTATTGAGAATTCTTATTATCTGGTCTATTTGTTTCTACTATACCATTAACTCTATCGATGATACAATTTAATTTTTTGTTCGGAATAAATTTAGATAGATCATCATCTAAAAAATCCACTGAGACCCCAAATGAATTAGCCATTGATTGCAAAGATAAAGTTTTATATGAATCTAACAGCTGTGCATAACATTTTCTTCTCATTTCCCTGATGAAATAATTTGCATGCTTGTTCAAATATTTGGAAGGAATTAAAACATTTTCATAGGTTTCCAATAAGTAAGGAAAGAAACTTGAATATTCTGAAGTGTAAAGAGATATAGTCAATGATGTGATTGATTGTAATGCAGGGGTAGAAGTCATAATGGATAGAAGTTCTGGTGAATCAATAATCTTAGTCTTTAAATCCGTTCTTTCTAAAGCGAAAAGACCAGCTACAGAAGCATACATAGCAATGTTTTCATATGATGTTAATTCAACTGAAGTGAACGTAGCTAAAGAATCGACTAATAACTCTGCAGCTTTATTAAATTCTCTGACTGATAACGAATAAATACCCATATAAGTTTTATATCTATTCCTTCTTTCCCAGTCACCACCTTTTTCAATTAGAGATTCGATTTCTTGTAATTTTTCTTTAATGAAGTTTTTATCATCATAGAAGAAACCAAGTCTAACGATCATAAGCAAAATATCAATCTTTGCACCGATAGATATTGCGGTCTCGAATGCCTTACCTAATAGGATATGCTTTGCGTTTTCGAAATCACCAATCTGCGTATAGTATGCACCTAATTTGTTCCAACTGATGGACAATTCCAATGCACCTTCGTCATTTTTCTCCAAAGTTTGAATATTCTCATTCAACTCTTTTAGTTTCTTTTCATTTAATTTTATTAAATCCTCATATTTATTTTGATCAAACGGAAATAACCCCAATTCAGTCGTGATATATTTATAGAATGGACCCATTTCATCTTTATCAATTAAATCAATAATCTCTTGAATCAAAGCCAACTTCTTAGTATTGTCCACATTATCATTTTTGTCATTCTGATAGAGGGATAAAAGAAATGTTTTATCGGATACCACAAAATTAGGAACCATCAACACTTCTGGTTCTTGAATAACATTTTCTTCTTCACTATCACTTTCCTGTCTGGTCATTTCAATTGATTTTTGTAGAGTTTATGAATAAGTAATGTATATTAGATAGAACAATAATTTATAACTGTGATGTCTCTTGTATATACTTTACAATTGTTAGATTCCTAAGTTGCTTGTAGGAGGACTTATTGGGCTTTGCAAGATATTAAAATAATTATAATTTGATTAGAACAAACACTGTACATTACTCTGTTGAACATACACAAGATTTAACACCTTATTATTTTTTTTTAAATAACCCCACGGATCCACCGTACAAAATGATTTTGAGAAATTACTATTTTGGCTATATCATGTGTGCAAGACAAAATAAAAAAAATGCAGAATTTTGAAAGAAGATGATAGCGGTAACAAACACTTATAACCTGCGCACACACACATGTATATACATACATGTACTCTAGTAGAATATTCTAGGGTTTCCTATATCAACTGCCTTATAATAATCTGTTATATACAACTTCAGATCGCACACACACACATATATATATATTCATATATGAAATGTCATTAATACACCCAAATACAGAAAAATATCCATTTCGTTTTGAACCATTTTTACAACAAGAATATAGTTTTAATGGAGATCCCGATCGTCCCATATGCGAGGATTATGATCCAAAGATAGGATCCACATCCTGTCCACTTGGAATACAGTGCCCAAAGAAACATGTGTTACTAAACTTCAAGAACAAGATTGTGTGTAAACATTGGCTACGAGGGTTGTGCAAGAAGGGTGATCAATGTGAATACTTACATGAATATAATCTCCGAAAGATGCCTGAATGTGTGTATTATGCAAAAAATGGGTATTGTACACAATCACCTGAATGTCAATATTTACATGTGGACCCACAATCGAAGATACCAAGATGTCCATACTATGATTTAGGGTTTTGCAAGGAGGGTCCACAATGCCCTAAGAGACACGTGAAAAAGGAGAATGTTTGTCAATTATATTTAAACGGATTTTGTCCCAAGGGTCCTCAATGCGACGAATCACACGCATTGTTCTATGATAACGTATTATTGGATTCGGTAATCCAACAGAGAGTCACCATACGTAAGGACTATGAGATCAATACAAGAAAGATGGATGAGGCCATTGAACGGAGATTAAATGCAATAGTGAATGGTGAAATATAACGACCGGACAAACAACAGCAAAAGGAGCAAATTACGACTATATTCATTCATCTGCGCACACACTTAGAAAAGAAAAAGTGAAAAAGTGAAAAAAGTGAAAAAAAGGTGTCTCAACACAAACCAAACAACTCATACAAAAAGCTAACAGACACAGGTAAACTTACCCTTTTTTCACAAAAATACCCCACAATACATGCAATTCTTGGAACCAAAACAAAAGAGAAAACAAAAACAAAAAAAAAAACAAACAAAAAAGGGGAGGGAGGAAGATGAAGAAACAGAACTCCCCTTTTGTTGCATCTTGTTTTCTTCCTTTTTTTTTTGTGAAGGGAAAGGAAAGAACAAAAAAGAATATGACAAAACAATGATTACAACAAGCAAATATTCTTTAAAACATTACTACTGGTGGTAAAAATTATCATTGACATTGTTACCTGCATGTTTGTGTATTCTATCAGTATACAATACGGTGAAATATATCACAGTAGACACATACAAAAAAAAAAAGATAAAAAAAAAGGAACAAACATCCAAAATTTTGACAACAAACAGGTAAATAGTATAATACAATGCAACACAATATAACATAATACATTACGACTGAGGAGCTTAAAGGATATAAAAGGAGAAAAAAAAGGTGACACAAACTATGGACTTATTGAAAATATTGAATATAAAAAAAAAGAAGACTAGAAACCGTATTTTTACCTTTATTTACTGTTAAAATATATAAATATGGCAATGTTTTATTAATGTCCAAAGTTATTGTGCATCTTTTTTTGTCAATTTTTGTGTGCTTTTATTGTTGTTCCTTGACACTTAAAATCAAGAAGGATAAACTAAGTAGATATCAAAATTAATAGTATAGAAATTAAAGAAGAAAGATATATATAAAGAACATTAAGTGACATTTATTAGCAAATAATCACATTTTATAGTACAGTTCAATCCAATCTAATTTATTCTATTTTCCTCTACTCTACTTTATTTATTTACTTTTTGCTCCTTTAGTAACTTATTAACTATGCATAAAACATATTCTTTACGGAATTCAAGGGCTCCAACTCAATCACAACTCCAAAACCCACCTCCACCAGTATCCACAACAAAGGGAAGGTTTTTCGGTTATCGTGGTGGTCTGGCTTTCACATTTAGAAAGAATTATGCAGGTGCATTGGGCCCTCAATTAGCTAGAAAATTGGCACAATTAGTTAAAATTGAGAAAAATGTTTTAAGAGCTATGGAAATTTCATCTATGGAAAGACGTCAAGCCGCCCAACAACTATCGTTATGGGGATTGGAAAATGATGATGACGTTTCAGATATAACTGATAAACTTGGTGTATTAATTTATGAGATCAGTGAATTGGATGATCAGTTTATTGACCGATATGATCAGTATAGATTGACTTTGAAATCCATTAGAGATATCGAAAATTCTATTCAAGGGTCTCGTGACAGAAAATTGAAAATTGATGATAAGATTGCTTATTTGAAATATAAAGACCCAAACAACCTAGCCAAGATAGAGGTCTTGGAACAAGAATTGGTCCGTGCTGAAGCCGAATCTTTAGTAGCAGAAGCACAATTATCAAATATTACAAGATCCAAATTGAAAATGGCCTTTCAGTATCAATTTGATTCGATTATTGAACACTCCGAAAAAATTGCATTGATTGCTGGTTATGGTAAAGTTTTATTAGAATTGTTAGATGATTCACCGGTAACTCCAGGCGAAACAAGACCTGCATATGACGGATATGAAGCATCCAAACAAATAATCATCGATGCAGAACATGCTTTAAACGAATGGACTTTAGATAATGCTCAAGTTAAACCAACCTTAAGCCTAATTAATGAACCAAACATTGAATATGAACTTGACTCATCTTCTGATGAAAATCCTGAAAGAGAACAAGAAAATGAATGGATTGCTGATAATGTAGATGAATATAATAATGATAATAATGATAATAATGATAATATAAACTATAAGAATGATATTATTGAAGAAAGCAATGATATTGATATACAAAATGTTACTGATCGTATACAGCAATCATTATAAGGCTTTTTCTTGCATCCACCTCCTAAGCCTTGTTTATGCTCTCTTCTAAAACATCTCTTTTTCCTTCCTGATCCTTCTTTCTCTCTTTATATGTTTGTGTACTCTTCCCAAAATAAAATTTTTAAACTGACTCTTTTGTTATTAATAGTTAATTTTCTTTTTTTTTTTCGATCATTTTTTATCTCTTCTTTTTTTTTTTATAAAACCTAATTATTTTACATATTCTAACAACCATCATCAATTATCTATATATATTATATCTATATATCTATATACACATACAACGTCATTGTTATGTAATTTCAAATGAACCCATAATAGCTATATAGTGTTCAATATTTCTACTTGATATGTTGCTTATGTCTAACATCCTTGCATCTTTCATATTTCTCAATAAATATACCTAGTTATTTACATACTTTTTATTTCGGATTTTTACGTCTCATTAAGACAAAAAAAAATTAAATCCAGTAAAACTTTACAGTAAAGAGTTTTCACCACTATCTACAAAAACTATACTATTTTCTTCATGAACACACGCGTATATACAACAACTCTGAGATCGAAAAATTAGAATACTTTTTTTTTTGTTAGTTTAGCAGCCCTTTAGTTGTGCTCGAAAATTCCACTCATAACCTGTCCACATCATCACTCTGGTATTGCATTATGGAAATTGATTCTATTTCTGATGATCAGTTATCTAAAAGTCTGGCCAAATATTCTTTACTTCTAACTAAATTATCTACATTATCTCAGGTTAATAAATTAACAAATATAATTAAACATGACCATATAAAGAAGACCCAAATATTGAACGACTTCATTCATGACACTCAAATTCAACAAAACAAACAAGTCAGAAAAATCGAATTAAAAAGAACTGATCTAACATCATCTTTAGCCCAGTTTCATAATATTTTGACTCCTTTGTCGGAATCTAATCAAGCTGCTAAAACAATTCATTCTGATATTTATAATAATGATATAGAACACAAATATTTGGAAGAAACCTTAGCCTTTCTTGAATCAACCAGAACTTTGAAAAATAACATCAAATTAATTGACTCTGCTCTCCAACAACACAATTATCTAGTAGCTGCAAAGGGGATTTATGAAGTCAACCAGTTACCCAAGAGTATTTTAGAATCTAAATTTGCACAGGCAATCATTCCAACACCAGATTTACCGTATTCTGTACCAGAATTACTCACAATGTGGACAGATCAATTACGCGATCTTTTTAAAGAAAATTTCTCAAAAGCAATGGTAAATAATGATATCCCAATTCTAACCAAATTTTTTCAATTGTTCCCCCTAATTAACGAACCAACATTAGGTTTAAATTTGTATTCTAAATATATAACTAGTATGATTGCTCAAGAAAATCAAAAGTTTACTATGGGATCTATGAAATTAGATTCAAGATTTGACTTGATTTTATTGCAATTATTCAAAATTGTATCTACTATTATTAACGAACATTCAAAGATTATATCTAAAACTTATGGGATTAAATATATGACATACGTGATGGAAAAAATAGAGATTGAAGTTGAATTGCAATGTTGTCTTGTATGGAATTATTTCCAAGAAAAAAAACTATCAAATTTATCGCAATCTAATAATAGCCAAAATGCTGATAATGACGATACAAACAATGATAATGAAAATGGTGTGATTAACAAAAAAGATATAAGCAATAATAATAATAATAATAATAATAATAATAATAATAATAATTTATTAAAGCTCAAATCATTAATCAATGAATTTTCATGTTTTTTACAAAACTGGTCAATGTACTGTAGATTCTTTTCTGTAAGATGGAAGGAATTTTTAAATTCTGATTTAGAACCCATTACAAATTCTTCTGTTGATATAAATATGACTTTTAAGGATCATAAAACTGAAAGCAGCGATAATAGCTCTATTGACACAGACAATTCCAAAAATAAAGATACTATCTTATCAGTGGCGCCTCCGATATCTGATGGTAGTTTCCTAAGAAGACTACAAAAAGATAAGAGTATTCAATTATTTCAAGAAATAAGTTATAACTATCTACTAACATCATTCAAGAGAAGTATTGAATTGGAAGAAACACCATCATTGAACGAATTAATTGTAGATGATCCAATAGTACATGAAGACTTGTCCTCTTGGCCAATAAGCTCTGTCTTAGAAGACTTAACACTATTATTAAGACAAACTTTGATTAATAGTGTCAACACAGGACAATTCAATATCCTTGAAAATTTATTAACACAATTACCTAAATTTATTCAAAATGAATTTCTTGTTAAGTTTCTTCAAAACAAATTTAAGTATTCACAAAATAAATTATCAACAGGCTCAATGATAAAGTTAAAAAAATATCAGACTAAATTATTTCCACAGGAACAAGATAAAGAAGGTATTAAATCACCAAGATCATCTGTTTCAAAACTTTATAATGGTCCAGATAGTATCGGTATATCAACTACTTCCAATGTTTTACATAACAACACTCCTATGGCGACATCAACTTCAACTACTGGAAAATTTAACCTCAGGGGTGCATTTGCTAATATCCAATCGAATTTACAATCAGTTGTGGCTGTTGAAGAAGACAATTCAGAATCAATATTGGCATTACATCACTATTTGATATACATAAATACATCCTATCTTGTTGTCTTAGCAATGAGAAAATTGTTAATTCAAGAAATTATAGAGGATAATCCAAAATTGTTAATTGATAATTTCCCCTTCTATGCGGAAGCTGATAAAATTAAAAAATTACTTTTTAATTGTGAAGATAAAGTAGCTATACAAGTGAAAAAATTGCAAAATTGGTCCATTAAATATTTATTCCAAACAGTATGTCTTCCTAAGATCAAACCTTTACTTGATTCTCTATTTGTTAATACATCACAAAACAAATATGTTTGTGGCATTGAAAATTTTGAAAATATGAGAGATATAAACACATTTATTAAGAAATGGAATCAAATGATGCAGCCATACCAAAATGTACTATATCAGCGAGCTTACACTGACTTATTAGAATTAATTGTGAATTTCCTAAAACATTTACTTGAAAAGAAATTATGGAATTTAAAAGTTAACGAATTGGGGGCAATAAAATTGGATAGAGAATTGAGCCTCTTTATAGAAGTGATTTGTGGTACTCATTATTCTATTAGAAACAGTTTTACTAAATTAACCCAAATAGTCCTAATATTAGGATTTGATGATGATGACTTCGATGTCTTTTCAGGTGATGTAAAGGAAGAATTAGTTACATCTATTAAATGGGTGTTAAGTCCTCAAGAACGTATCCAAGCAAGAAACTTAAAGGTGGACAGGAGAATATAAATAAGTCAGCAAATCTTTATTCTACATCACTATTGAGAATGGATAAATGCAAGTAACCAGGTGTATTTATATATACATACACATATACTTACATATTTCTCGATATTAACAGTTATATATTGCATCACTTGTAGTATGATCACTTTAATAATTGTTACTCTTATGTGTTTTAGATATTACTGCTGTTACTATAACTACATATTTTCATTTTTATAAGTATTATAAATATCACTGAAAACGAAGTTTGAAAATTTAAAGATAGAAGATTAATTAAGAAAAAAAAATAAATAATAAATAATAATATGAAAAATTTAACAATAACTCATCACTAAATATACGCCTCATAAACTTTGATTAACAAAATATCATTACAGAGTGCAATCATCCGACTTAGTATCAGATATACATTGATACTATTAGTTTCACAACTCTGGATCTGTATTTAGTTAGGCTCATTCCTGTATTTACCATTTATTCTCTTAAAATCATTTACTATTATAGATATTAAAGGAGAGCATAAATTCCTGCTACTTGAAATAATATTCAATAAATAACAGAGCTTAAGAACTTGAAGATCCAAAAAATATTGTCAAAATTGAAAATTTTGGCAGCTTATTGAACCCCTGCACTTTCGAAGTTGGACTTTTGATTGTAACATTACATAAACTTTCGTTTTTAAATTTGACATATAAACTTAAGTTTTTATTTTTTGTGGGTTACATATACATATAATTATTATTAACGATGGAAAGTCTGCAATCATTAAACACGGAAACAGAATTAACTAGTAGTAGCCATAACAGTCATATATTAGATCCACAAAATGTTGTATCAGAACCTGTTAATAAAGGAACCAATGTTAGTCTCAATACTGATCTACAGAAGGGTGCAGATAATTTCCCAGATATTGATATACTTGACCAATCACAGGAAAACAAATTAGGTGATAAATCAATACTCAGTAGTGGATTGTCAGAACAATTATCGATTGCCACAGAATCTCATGATATAGACATACTTGACGATATACCTCCTTTAGAAAATATTACAGAAGATGTTGAAGATATTGGTGTCATTGTTACAGATTTGGATCTAGGCATTACTGACGAATCAAAACAAAAAATTAATACTCCAGAAACTCAGCTGAAATCAGATGGACATAATGAAAATAGTACTGATATAACAAATTGCGAAACTATACCTGTGATAAAAAAACAAGAGTCCGATATAATTATTCAAAAGGAAACTTCAACGATTACTGAAGATGTTATCCCAGTTAAGAATAATAATATACATACTGAAAGTATTGAAGACACCAAAGACAACGACGTAGAGTGTAAAAAAACTGTTGAAAATAGTAATATAAACTCTATTACCTCAGGTATTTCTAGTTTACCGAATGTGAATACTACTTCTGATCTAAAAGTACCTGATGTGGGTACAGACGTTGAAGAATCAATAGACAAGATACCTAAAAAAAATTTACAGTCACCTTCTAATGAGAATGTTACTAAAGAAGAGATGCATGAGGATATTGATATGAGAATGAAACAGGAAGATGTGGATGCTATGAATCTTGAACTATCAACAAACTTAGGTGATGATGATTTTCCAAAACTATATGATTTCGACACTAAAGATAATAATGATATATTTTCTTCGCATGATATTTTAGAAGGGTCGATACAGACCAAAAAAGAATTTACTGAGAATAATACCCAAATATCAAAAGAAAATGATACCTCTGCATTGCCCGACCCCACCGACGATAAACTACAAGAAGAAAACAGAACAGATTTGAGTATATTTAAGCATGGATTAAATACATCACTATGTTTACCAAAGACAGAAGAGATCAATAATGAAATAAATATCGATGACTCACCTCTTTTAAGTGATGATCAAATAAGTAACGAATTAATCACGTCATCAAAATTTAACGCTGAGCATTCTTCTAACATAAATATGATGGCATCATCTTCATTAAATAATAATGAAAAATCTACAGATTTACAAAATCTTACGGAGGGAGAAAGCCTTTCATTAGATGCAATAAACAATAATACTCTTGATATCAAAATAAAACAAGAAGAAAACGAGAATAAAAATGTAAATAAATCTAACGGATCATCACAAATACATCAGAATACGTTTGATAAAAGTGAAAACAGAAATACACCCGCCTCTATTATCTCAGAGAGGAATAATTTATTGTATAGAAAAAGAAAAAATTCGCTTATACCTGGTGTGTTTTATCCAAGCAATTTATCAGGCTACACTTTCAGTTCAGTTCAATCTTCTAATTCTAATAACAACACAATACCTAGAGAAATACGAAATGGGCTACCTTTAGAGAGTGCCTTGGTTATCTCTAATGATTCCGCAAATGCTGTAAGTATACCGAAAAGTGAAGCGAGCGGTAACCTTAAAAATGAATTATCACCAGAAGTTCCTAAAGAACAACCCACAATATTTGCGTATGCTAGACTAGATTTTCAAAGTTTTACCTTTTACGTTCAAACTTTACATGCAGTTATAGGAAGACGCTCAGAAAATGATACAACACATAAAGTGGATGTCAATTTAGGCCCTTCTAAATCAATTTCAAGAAGACATGCTCAGATATTTTATAATTTTGGGACTGGTAGATTTGAATTATCTATTATTGGTAAGAATGGCGCTTTTGTAGATGATATATTTATAGAAAGAGGAAATACAGTTCCGCTTCATAATAAAACAAAAATTCAAATTGGCCAAATACCGTTTCAATTTGTATTACCTGAAAAGGATGAACAAATGCAACAAAAGAGCATAGCTGAGGATAAGAAAGAGATTAAAGGAACAATTAAGGAACGAAACACAACACAAGCTTCAGAATCTAAACCTAAATCAAAACCCCAAAATAAAACAGACTCAAAACCCAACGAACCGAAAAAGAAAACAACTAAGATTTCTAAGCCTACAAGAAAAGAACCAAAGGAAAAAGAGAAAAAAATCCCTAAACCTCCAAAGAAAGTTTATACTCTGGAGGAAATACCAGTAGAGTATAGAACCAAACCTCCATTTTCATATTCTGCTATGTTGACTACTTGTATTAGAAAATATTCTAGTGAACAAGGTATGTCATTGTCCGAAATATATGAGGGAATACGAGAATTATATCCATACTATAAATATTGTCCTGATGGTTGGCAAAGTTCTGTTAGACATAATCTTTCGCTGAATAAATCATTTAGGAAGGTTTGTAAGAAGGGTAAAGGCTGGCTTTGGGGTCTTGACGAGGCATATATTGCTGAACGAGAAAAGATAAAACAAAAACAAGCAGAAGCAGCGAAAGCCAAGGCGCAGGCGGCCCAGCTAAAATTGCAACAACAAAATGTTGCAAAGGGTAAGACTGTAGTAACACATGGTAAAAAACAAGTGAAAGCAAATATATCCCAAACTTTATCAGCAAATAGAAGCGGAAAGAATGGTGCTCTTACAATAAATAAACAATCTGCTCCTTCACAGACCACAAAAGGGAATGATACGCAAAGAACTATGAAATTTTTGCAAGAGCAATTAATAATCATGACTAGAGATAGAAAAGGTTTAGATAAACCAACAATTGCAATAATTTTAACACAGGCTTTAGCAATGACAATAAATCAAGTCACTCAAGCTGCTAAAAGTCAAGGTATAAAAGGTAATCCTTTAACGGCATTAATGGATAAAAATCCACAACATCTTAACTTAATCCTTTCTGCTGCAGTGAATGCTGCCACAGCCAAGGTTACCAAAGGTAATGTTAAACAGTTGGTTGACCCATCAGTTTTGCAAGAAATTAATGCAAAGACATCAGCCAGTGACAATTCTAATCTAAAGAAGAATAAAACAGCTATAAAAACAGATAAGGATGCTACCAATATAAAACAAACTAGTACTCCCGTAAAGTTATCAGTAAAATCTAATTCTTCAAATAATACAAACAAACCAAATACAGTGACTAGTTCTTCTTCGACGTCATCTCATACATCTTCTATCTCAACACCATCTGCACCATCGGGAGGATTTGATCCCACATCTTTGTCAAGGTTTTTCCAACCTAAAAATCAAAATAATCGAACAGCTACCTCTTCTATTTCTTCATCAGCTAATCATAATAGATCTATCACAATCTCTAAGGTTTCTTTAACACCAGCAAAAAGACCACATGGGAATATTAACACTAAAGAAAATAATAAAAGACTTAAACAAAGCAATGATTCTGGTAATTCTAATGACAGTAGTGATAGCGATACAAGCGATTCGAGTGATTCGAGTGACACAAGTGGTTCGAGCGATTCAAGCGATTCAAGCGATTCGAGTGATTCAAGCGATGGTTCAACTAATAATGTAAGTGACAGTGACAGCTCTAGTAATAATGATTCAGATTCAGATTCAAGTGATAATGATTCAACAAAAAATGACAACAATAGCAAGAATACAAGTAGCCAGGAACAAAAGGTGGCAACTGAACTAACTATTGGAAATGAAAATAATGAAATTAGAAAAGAAAAATCAAACAATGAAAATAATCATGGTAGCGAACAGAATACTATTAATACTGATAAAGTACCTGATAACAAAGAACAGGATCATACAACAGAAAATGTCGTTATTGAATCTAAAAATTCAGAGGAAGATGAAAATAACAAGAATGTTAGCAGTGACAATAAACAGGTGTCTATAAATGAAGTATCTAACAATATTTCAGAATCAACTAAAGACAAAGTGGCCAAGCCTGTAGAAGAGTCCATGAAACCCACTGAATTTAATTCAAACGAGAAATTATCTTCAGAAGAAAAAAAAGTAGAGGCTGATGAGCAAAATGAATAATATTCCTTCTTATGTTACAGTAGGATTTAATACTAAACTAAAAATAAAAAAAAAAAATAGAATTATTCTTAAAACATGATTTAGTACAATTATATACCCTAATAATATATACATACACAATATTTTGCATAAATACAAGAATGCGTTACATATCAAAGTAAGCAAAAAGAAAGATTTATAATTAATTTATATTATATAACCTGAATGTTTCCCCACTCCTCTTTTTCTCACTACATAAAACGTAATTTATAGATTTAAATTGTTATTTTTTTTTTGAAACGTTATAGAGAACACGCATATATCGAAAAACATATAATGAAAATACAAAGAAATATGATGAGTAATTGACATAAGACGGAATATACAGTCAATAATATATTTTATCTATATATTTAAATATGAATAACATTTGCTTGTTTGTTCCGTTTGTTTTATTTATTTATTTATTATTATTATTTTTTTTTTTACAAAAGCAATCATCCGACAACATTATTAAATGAACCTTCCTTTTCCTTTATTTCCCAGAAGGTTTCTCCAACATCATGGTTACCATGGTAAACCCAACCATTTTCAGTGACATGGTATAGATTTATAGACCCACCAGAGTAAGCATCTCTATGTGCGGCAGCCAAAATGGATCGTTTCCCTAAATATAAAGCTTCTTCTACAGTCAGATCCCATCTATAATTTGTGTCAAGTACACCGTAAGCAAATGTTTGACCAGAACCAACACAGAATAAATCACCTTTTAATCTTGTACCATCAGAATCCACATAATAAACAGTTGGGCCTTCCTTTTTAGTGTAACCACAGATCATAGTACCCATTGAAAGACCAGCTCCCTTATATTGATAGACTAAATTACTTAGAATCTTGGAGGCAGCCGCCACAGAGATTCTTTGTTTTTCTTTTAATTCATATAGTCTGCATTGAGAACCTAACCAAGTTTCCCAATATTGACAATCTGCTGCACCACCTGCCATAGTACCTAATAGAAAAGGGTTGATTTCAATGACTTTTTTGACAGTTTGGGATGCAACCCAATTACCTGCAGTGGCACGAGAATCCACAGCCACAACAATACCACCTTGGAATCTAAACGCTAAAGTAGTAGTACCATGGGCAATTTTAATTTTACAGTCTGGATTTTGTGAATCATCAGTGTGTGCCCTTAAGAATTGCTGTGGAGATGAAATTGGAGGCAATTCTAAAGATGGAGTCAACCTTTGGAATCTCTGTGAACCAGTTATAAGATCATTAGATAAGGACTCTTCGTTATCATATTGTAGTTCTCTAACAAGGGTATTACTTGGTGCAAAGGAATCAGCAATAGCTTGCATGTCGAATATGTATATATGTGTGTTTGTATAAAAATAAAAATAAAAAAGAATTCTTTAATTTGTTGTAATCTGTTTATAGTAGAATTGTTTAATATTTGAATAATATGTACTTAACCTAATCCAAGCTTCTGTACAGCTGCACATATATGGTACTGTCAATCTTTAAAATTAATTCATTATATTACACACTTTCAACCTTAGTTTTCTTTTTCCTCGCTTATTAACAAACTTAAAACCGCCACCGACTGTTTTCGATGTTTTCTTTTTTTTTTTTGCTTTTTTTTTGTTCAATTGCGGAAAATGAACATATTTCGGAATTATTACGGAAACGAGTTTACACGACTATTCCGCTAATGGACAAAGGTACCGCAGTTTTTTGCTGGCAGACCAGTAAAAGAAAAAAAAAAGAAAAGAAAAAAAAAAGGGGAGGAGGAAGAGGAGGAATTATTAAGTGCAATATTTTTTTTCGAATATTTTTTCTTTTTCCTTTTTTTATTTTAATTTTCAAGTTAAAACCTAGTTTTCCCAAATGTTGTAAGTAAAATTTGTAGATCCAATTTTAAAAGTGTAGAGAGCCTCTGTTTCTGTTTGGGCTAGATAGCTCTACTGCAATGATTTCTGAGAAAATAAATCGAATCAAAACAAAAGTATTCCTCCGTAGAGAACTCAGTATATCAGCTTATAATTATCAAAGATAATGTTTCGGCTTAAAAGAGCACATGTCCCTGTAGATCACCGTAGAACATTATTTTTTTGGAGGACTGTTTGTACATTCTATTTAAGTTTTTATATTTTACTCTTGTTTTAAAATATGTGTTAGTGACCAAAAGAAATCCTTAATAGAACCTGCTTGATGCTAACTACCCCTTACTTTGCTATTGACGTCTCGTAGATATATATAATACTCTATCTCAAACGTTTCATAAATGACTTTAGATCAACTTCTATATAGATATTTTCATTTTTATTTTTTTGTTCACCTCATAAATCCTATTGAAAAACTCATTTAAAATCTGAAAGAAGTCTTTGTCAGCCCAACGTTTACATTTACATTCACATTTACACAAGTCTTATGTCAATTTTAAAAATTGTTATTAATTTAATACTTCTATCCCTAAGGCTGTTTTGTATGTTTTACTCTGTTTCTCTCATCCCTTTCCCCTTTATTATCAAGCCTTATGAGTCTATATATAATCCACAAGTAACAACAATGTTGTTTATAGAACTATATATAGATAAACTAGTCAATGGATAGTGACTTAGACTAATTTGTCTATGGGTTGACTTACCACATTACATGTGAAGGAAGAAAGGGGTGTGTAAGAAATAAGAATGTAATGTCAATACAATGTTTGTTCTCTTTTCTGAGTGAAAATAGGTTCTACACACTTTAAATTCTGCCGCTATATAGAAGAGAAAAGTTGAAATATGATTAGAAATCTCGAAAAAAAAAAACAAAATAATAGGTCGTTAAATGTTGTAAGCAGTAAACATATGCCATTCTTCATTGGCATTCCCTTAATGGTCTTTCCAATATGTTCAATACTCCTTTTTATTTATTTTTTTTTATCTTCTTGTTTGTCAGATATACATACAATTATGTATCTCGAGACTGTTTTGTATCATCTGTACATCCAGTAGAAAACACATTTGTGTTTTTACTTATAATTCAGCTTTTGGATTTTGGATTTTTTTTCTTTCCATTTTTTGATTTCTCTGTTCTTTTCTTTTTTTTAATGGATAAATTACCACAAACGGAAATGACGCAGTTTTTTTTTCTTCTGATTCTCTACTCATAATTCATTCTTGAAGATATTACCTGAAATGGAAATTTCTTACACAAGAAAAACCAAAAAACCAAAAAAAAAAAATTCTGAAATTTCAAAAATTGAACAATCTTTCTGGTTTCTTTCTTTTATGACGAGTGGAACTTCTCTTTCAATACCCTTCAATCAAGAAATCATTGTTGATGATTGAAGATCGTTCACGTTTTTGATAGTTAATGTAGTATTTTTTTACAACTAATTGATTAAAATATTTGGTAATATTTGTCGTAGGTGTGCATCGTTACTTCTGTGTCGACAACTGCTAGTTTAACAACTGTTAACTGGGTTTATTCGCTTTTACACATAGTTGCTTATTAGGCCTATCCAAACCAAGTCAATTTCCATACATAACCGAACAGTCAAGATGTCTGCCAAAGCCCAAAATGTTATGAGAGAATTAAAGATCGAAAAATTGGTCTTAAATATTTCTGTTGGTGAATCTGGTGACAGATTAACCAGAGCCTCCAAGGTTTTAGAACAATTATCTGGTCAAACCCCAGTTCAATCTAAAGCTCGTTACACTGTTAGAACCTTCGGTATTAGAAGAAATGAAAAGATTGCTGTTCATGTTACTGTCAGAGGTCCAAAGGCTGAAGAAATCTTAGAAAGAGGTTTGAAGGTTAAGGAATACCAATTGAGATCCAAGAACTTCTCTGCTACTGGTAACTTCGGTTTTGGTATTGACGAACATATCGATTTAGGTATCAAATACGACCCATCCATTGGTATTTTCGGTATGGATTTCTACGTTGTTATGGGTAGACCAGGTGCTAGAGTCACCAGAAGAAAGAGATGCAGAAGTACCATTGGTACCTCTCACAAGACTTCCAAAGAAGACACCATCCAATGGTTCAAGCAAAAGTACGATGCTGATGTCTTAGAAAAATAAACATACTGCTAACTTTTTTTTGGTATATTGTTAAATAGATTTCTTCTTTCTTTATTTTTATAATATATTTATATGAAAGTTATAGTATAAAATAAATACATAAGCAATTAAGTCATATGACGTAATATATATATATATATATATATATGCACCTATGTATACGTTATAGACTTTGTCGGATATTCAGATCGCCGTCGTTATTTATAAGTCTATAGGTCATCTATTTGAGTGAGCTGTGTGATTTTAATCCATAGATAATAATTTATTTAATTGTTTCAAATGGGTTTCTTGAATATTAATGGCGTCCCGTATCACATAAACATTATTTTCCATAAATTCATTATTAATTGCCCATTGATTTATGATTGTCTTATTTAGGTTACCGTTTTCCTTTAATAAAATCATTTGATGATCAAGATATGAATTCATGGATTGCAAAAGTGACACATCCAGACTTTCAGTATCATATCTGTCCATATCAATTCCCTTTCGTATGCGTTTGTTAGAATCTAGCGATGTGTCGTGATCAACGGACCTTTTCTTATCATTATCATTTGTTGTGCCACTATTCCTATCATGGTTATTATTCTTGTTGCTGTATTTATTTAAACATTTAATAACTTCAGGATGTAAGCTAAAACGATTATCTTCCTTTGTTTTTAACTTTATAATTTCTAATTGAATCTGTTGTTCCAGTTGATCCCATAATTCATTATTAATACGTTCTTCTTTATTCATGATTAATAAAAGGCAAAGAAAAAAAACCAAAAAAAAGAAAAACAGAAATATAATTTACAATTGTATAGAATAATTTACAGTATATATAACATATGAAACTTATTTGTATCTGCAGGGACAAGTTTTATCATCTGTAAATTATGAATCATCAATGTCCAAAAGGATCGCCATTCAATTTATTTATATATAGATGGTGTCCATATTAAGAGCTTGACAGCCTTTTGTTCTTCACAAAGAGGAACAACGAAACTTTTAAATTCTTTAATGTGATATAACTATATACGAAAATAATATATACAAAAAAGGGCCAATGATTTATGTATATTATGTAAATTCTATGTATGTACAAGTGTTTAATGTATATATATATATATATATGTTTGTATATGTATATGCATGCATATATCAGACTTTTGGAGTATCGTGTGCATGAAATGGCGACCATATGCCTCTGACACTTTTATTCAAAGATCTAATATTATCATTCTTTGTCCATCTACGTAAAATGTCGCCACTTGAATCGATCAATAATTTTAATTTCTTATCAATTTCATTGGGTTCCAAATTTCTCACACAGATTGGTTTATTTCTACCGTTTGTATACCAACCAGTTATAACAGGGTGGCCAGACTTCTTAACAATTTCAAATTCTATATGTTTATATCTTTTAGCTAAATCATTTAGTCTTTCAGATACCAAAAAATTCCTTATACCCTGTGATGATCCACCCCAATTACAGTATTGAATGCTTATTTTCTTACATGGGAAAATAAATGAATCAGTAACACCATTTCTAGCAATTGAATAGCGACCTGTGATACCTTTAACGACCATTTCTATATATATATATATATATTTGTTTATATATCTTTTAAAGTTCCCAAACTTTTAATGTCAGAATATATGCGCATTTGTATTATCTAGTAGGAATGTACAAGTATACATATTCACAGTCCTAAGACGCGTAAAAGATGCATACAACGTGTAAATCAGCTCTTTTCTCAGTTCAATTGATATTTCTTCTTTATTTTTTTTTTTCTTTTTCTTTTTCTTTTTCTTTTTCTTTTTCTTTTTCTTTTTAGCCTGTTCTTCTCTGTTTTCCGACTGTTTTTTTGTTGCAATATTTAGTAACAATCGGTTAGGGAAAACACAGATAAAATGGTAAAGGGGATAAAAAAGATACAACGATTAGGTTTATAAATAAGTTGATATATTTGACAAGTCCCCATTTTGACTATACAACACCATTGAAATTCTCTATTAATTATTAGTTTTCAATACTCCATAGTGTACAACAGAAATATTCCTCCTTTCTACAGGTCATGCTACTAAGACCAATTTCTCATTTGATTTTATATTCCTTTACCTTTGGTGGGGCTGTATTTTATTCCTATGTAGCTAGTCCCATTGCATTTAAAACTTTGGCAAGAGACCAATTTTCAGTTTTACAAAGTAAAGTGTTTCCTTGGTTCTTCACCATGCAATCCTTGTCACCTGTTGCATTGGCTCTAACTTTGCCTATCCCATTGGCTACCCCGGCATACTATGCTCTTGGCAGCTCCTCCATTATGGGATTAATTAATTTGTATGGGTTGTTACCATGGAATAAGTCAATTAAGATTAAAAGACAAAAGTTACAGAAAAAATTTGATAGGGGTCAGTTGACTAAAGATCAATTCGATGCATTGGATACACCATTGAAAAAGGAGTTTGGAAAAGCCCATGGTCTGAGTCTTCTTTTTAATATGGGCCATATTTTGGCTATGTTGGCATATGGTTGTTATTTGACTTCTGGATTATTGCATTATATTCCAAAATAAATTAATATTATTAAGAAATGGTCATCGTTTCTCTAATATTGAGATATATATGCGAGTATATGTTTATCAGTTTATTTATTCTTAGTCCTACCTTTATGTACATATGTCAAATTGATTGGTATTATATGTTTCTATATATATTCTTTTTCACTAATATTATATTAATACGATAAAATAATATATAATATCTATGTTCACTTTTGCACATAGAATTATTTGTATTTTTTGAATTCTAAAGGAAGTACTAACATAAAGAAAGCACCAAAACAAAAAAAGGGAATGTAACTTTTTCATTTATCTTAAGTCCTTATTTGTTTAAATCATTTTTAGTTGATTGTTTAAGGATATATTTATATCATAGCTGACGAGAGAGTATTATTTTGAGCTGTGCTATTCACAAGTTTGATATGTTTTACTATTGCATCTTCATCTCGCAATTCTGTTTATCACGATAAAAACTTCAAGAAGGGTAACTTATCGTCGGTATATAATCATCATCTACTTGTAATCGTAGTGATAATAAAACACACATGCAAAGGAAAAACCCATATGACTAGTTCACACTTAAATTTTCAATCGTAACTGGCAAGGACATTGTCCTTCAAAGCTAATTTTTTTGCATATGATAACTGATCTGCAATAACTTTTTCATCTTTAATTTTTATTTTATATATTGTGTTTGGAAAAACAGAAGTCTTGTGATGTAAACTCCGTTTTCTTATTACCCAAAGGAGTAAAAGATGTCACATAGAACTTTATAGTAAAATACAAGGTGGTATTGCAGAATTATGTATTAATAAAACAAGTTCCTCAAGAATGTTATTCAGATTGGAATATACACAGTTTAAAGTATAATTTGTTTGTATTATGCAACTACTTTTTGTTTCAGGGATTTCATGGATTTCAAATATTTCAGATACCACCTTTGTTTTGCCGGTTAAAATGATATCGTGTGTTTCTTTTGTTTTGTTTTTTTTATATTATTTTTAGATGCAACTTATTATTGATTCTGTGTATCTACTGATTAATATAATAAAAATAAACATATACAAGAAAAAAAATTATAACATATAATTACATTGTAGTTGTAATAATAATTATCACTTCACAACTCTTCATACAGTAACTATTAACAAGTGTACTGATTTAATCTCCTAATAGTCAGCTGTTTATTGTTCAATACGTTCTTCAGTAGTTTGCTCAGTCATAGGCTTTTCTTTATTTTCTCCCTCTTTTTCTCCCTCCTCTTCTTTTTTTTCTTCTTTTGTTTCATGTTCATCGATAGTAGCAGATTCTTCAACAGCTTCAATATTTTTGACGTTTTCTTCCATACCTGGAGTTAATTCAGTTATTAATGGCTCTTCTTCATTCTTAGTTTTAGTAGAGTTAGAATTTTCTGCTGCACCTGTATTAATGAACGATGTGATATTAGCAGGTGGGATAACAGCAATCATAATAACAATATATTCATAGATATTCTCTGGTATAGTTCTTTGATATATACCCAATAAATCGGCTGGGTTAGGATAAACAGCTAACGCTTTATAAAATTTAACAGCCGCCTCCATTTCATTACCTGGGACCATTGATAATCTCTCACCATATTCGACATTTGTTGTAAAGACTTTTTCCATTTCGGTTGGATCAGTAGAGATAGGATCTTTTTCCAATTCTTCACTCAAAAATTGTAATACGGCAGAAACACGTGCCTTTTTGGCCTCCATAGCCTCTAACTCATCTTTCTTCTTTTGTTTTTTTGCCCTTTGTCTTAAATTCTTTCTAAATTCAGCGTTATTTCTTCTTTGATAGTCAAACCAAACTGCATAGCCTGCCACACTAATTGCTGCAGCAACACCAGAAATAGTAAGGATACGTTTAATGTTACTCATGTCTTGTTCTCTTTCCTTTTCTTTTTTATATTTTGCTTGTCGGTGGTTAACGTGGTATTATGTTATATTATTTTAATGGATGAGTAGTACTATATATTAAGTTATGTGAATAACTAGACAATCCAATATATTCAATGTAGTATATGGAAAGGGCATTTTATCTATAGAAATATACAAATCGATGTAGGTAAATGAGTATTAATATATTCTTTTTCATGTATCTTTCTTAATTGTTGTTTATCATTCTCTCTTTTTTCTTTCCTTCTTTCTCTTTCCCTGGTTAAACACAAATTTTCCCTATTTGGAAATTTGTTTTTCTTTGTTCTATTCTTTGTGTTGTCATAGTAACCATTGTTTCAGCACTGGTTCGAAAACCACATGAGTCATTTGTTCAATTAGCGATTCATCAACAGGTTTGTTTAAGATTTCTTTGTACTTTTGCTCTAACTCTGTGTCTTTGTTCTTTTGTAAGTACTCATAATCTTTTATGTCTAGATCCAAATCTACTAATTCTCCATCTTGTAATCCCAATGATATGCTGTGATCCGGTATTACGTTGGATGCCACTTGTCTCCAACGTTGATCCATGAACTGCTGTATATTAGTATTTTCTTTTAATTTCTTTGAATTTTTGCATTTGGTATTATTAGTACTATTCATATTCGATTCGTCAGACGGTTCTCCTGATTTGATCTTTGATTCAACTAATTTCCTGTACAATCTCCTTGATTCCATTTTCTTTTCAATTACTGAGTCTATTTGTTTTTTAAGAGTGTCAACATCCAAATGTATTTGTGATCCCTTCTCAGCGACCAGTTTGTTTAAATCTATTCTTTCCTTTCCATCCATACTACCATATTTACTGCACTGTAAGAATCTTATAATCTTTGTTATCCATTTGATAAAACCTTCAAATATCCCCTCTGTATCATTATTATAGACGTCATGTACAAATTCAAAGAATGAGTTTTGATGCTTTGTCACTAACTGAATAATATTTTCAATTATATTGAATTCTGTCGAATTCTCTAGTTGTCCATTAATAATCTCATCCATCAACTTAATTAGATCATTCATAAACATTTCAAAGTTTTTTAAAGCTATATCCATTCTTGCTATTTTAAACAATTTGACCATTGGTTCATAAATCATTGTCACAATGGCTTTTAAAAGTTTAGACAATTCAGGGTCTTGCCACAATTTCCTCATCAATCTTTTATCTCTTTCTTTAATGTATAATTGAAATAGTTCTTTAATATGTTGAAAATATAATCCACTATCTTCTTTTAACTTCCAACCATTATAAGATTCAATGACTTCTGTAACTGCTTCATTACTAATAGTCTTGGATTCAAAATATTTCATTAATATAATTAAACACATGGGCATATTCATGGTACGAGATTCCTCATGAATTCTTTCAATATTAAAGTATACTCTATCGGTAGTTTTATCCCCATTTGTGCCATACCCTGACTTCTCTTTGTCGTCCCGATAATGATTCAAATGATCCATTTCAATAAAAGTTTTTAGGACATTAATGATTTGTGATGCATGTTTAGATTCCTTTAGTATAATAGTTTCCAATTTTTTGATGATATTTGTCTGACTTTTCAGATCTTCCGTTAAAATAGTAGAAAACATCGTTTGTAATAGCGAATTGTTACCGAATGGTTGTGCCAAAAATAAATCCATCATTCCTTTCATTATTGACATAGGATTGGTGAATCGCATAATTTGTCCCATCATCGTATATGGCATTATACGATGTAATTTCTTTATTTGTGTATAAAACCCATAACTATTATCATTTCCTAGAAATAGCTGATATATTATTGACGATAAATATATTTTAAACCATTCAATGAATTGTTGTAAAAGTGGTGAAAGTTCTTCAATACGTTTTTTCTCTCTGATTTCATTCACCAAACATAAAAGATATTTTTCATCCCTCAATAACGAACTTTTAAAATCTTTCACTAGATCTTGAAGTTCTAGCGATTTTTGTAGAGCTAATTTCTGGAATTTCAATTGATTAGTCAAATTATTTATATCCACTAATTCACGATATCTAATATCTTCTTCAACTTCTTTATTAAATCTTGTACCATCAATAATATTTTGTTTGCTCAAAAAATTGACAAATATTATATTCTCTGAAGTCTCCCTATCGTTAGACAACCTTCTTAAATATTGTCTAAGAGAAGTTCTCATCTTTTCATGGACTAAAGTATTAGTCTTTGCATCACTTGCATCTTCAAATATGCCATCTATATTTTCTTCTTCTTCTAGCTCATCTTCCACTTCATCTTCTATAGTATCAATATCTTTTCCGTCATTAATTCCTTCATTTTCAATAATATTATTTACAATATTTTTTGCATCAATAAGGATCTCATTTTGTTTCAAACCTTTTATATTATCATCATCATTTATGGAATTTTGTGTAGAATTTAATGTAGAATTCAATGTTCTACATTCTATTTCCGTTGAAGAAACAATTGTTTCCTTTGGTTGATCTGGTACTCTACCATTAGGCAATAATTCATTACTTGTAGTCAAAGAAAGACTCTGTTTAGTCTTTTCAGGTAATTTAGGTAACTTTTTGCCTGGTAATTCCATTTTCAAATTGTGTGATAAAATCTTGAAATCCTTATATGTTTTTGCACTATATATAATTTCATTGGGTTTTTCTTTATTACGAACTTTTATGACGAACCAATATTTATGATTACTGGAATCTTTATCTAGTTTAGAAGAATGAGAATCATTCCTTAATTTAATAGCATCGCCATTTTTAGTTGTACCAGTAGAAGAAGGCATATCGTTTCCGCTTATGGATAACTTGGCAAATATTGAGGTTGGTGCGGTTGAAGCAAGTGTATTTTTCATCCATTTAGATGTGGAAGTTATTGATTTGATTGTTCCACTAGTTAATACTTGTGTAGATTTAGATAATGTAGAAGAATACGATTTATTTTTAACACTTTGTGATTTTTTCCAGTTTCTATTTTTGAAGATATTGCGTTCTTTAACACAGCCAACGATATTAATATCCCAATTATTGATGTATATAGGTTCATGAGTAATTAATTGTTTTAAGTTTTCCATAGTTGGAATAGCAAATTCTTCAACTTTTGATCTTTTACGGAATTCATCTTTATTTAATTGGAATTTATCAGTTGAATAATATTCCACTTCGTCGCTTACCCCTATACCAGAATTAAATAAAAGTAAAATAATTTTAGTTAATTTTAAACCAATCTTCTTCCTTTTTGTTGATTTTTCACGATCATAGCTTTCGCTAAACCCAAGAGACATAAAATGTTCGAAGAAAATCTGAACTTTTTCTTGCCAAAATGCTTGATCAACCTCGATATTTTTAGATACCAAGGGGAAAGTCATTATAAATTCTCTTAAAAGGTAGGAGCATAAGGGAAATTGTGTATTTACGATTGATTGTTGTTTATTATAAGAACTCAGATTTTTATTATCTGTAGATTTGAATGACTTCAATTTGGGATCCTTATCCGTGAAGGGAAAACCAAATCTTCTTAATGCATCTTTATTGTTTAGGTCATTTAATTCTTTAGCCAATTGAAATTTTAAGAACTCTCTTTTCAAGTAGTGTTCCTGTGTAGGTGTTAAAATTTTCGACATCCTTTTTTAAATGCCTTATCTCGTGATCTTGTTAATATCTTTTCTTAGGTTAAAATGTGGTCAACTAACTAGACGTTCAGTGGTTTTTAATAACATATGCCAACTCAAAAAAAAAAAACAAATTATCAACAGCAGATGGATCTAAATAGTTGGCAGTTTCTGTATCTGTACATTTTTTAAAGTTCCGTTCATCTTATATTATCGTTATTATGTATTCTTTTATGTATACGCAACTATTAAAAAAGGAAAAATAAAATAAAGATGTCCAAAATTTGAAGGTTTACATATGTAAAAATACACATATGCAGACAGTAAGATCAAAATCTAACTATAGCTCAATAAAGAAATATAACTGCTTATACATGATAAAATACTAAGTTTAAAGGTTTGTTACACTGTCAGTAATACTCTACAGGAGAAAAATAGGTAGAAAAAAAGTAACAGGAAGTAAAAACTTATATGATTACTACATGTCATCATCATTTATGAAATTAAAAGGACTAATTCGTCCTGATAAAAAAAACATAATAAATACACATAATAAAGACGTTCATGATGAGACAATAAATCGAAAGAATGTTGGATCTAAACCACATAAAAATATTTTTATTGGTGATGATAATGATCATATTATTAATTCTGATGATAGTAAAGCAATCCATTTTACTTCAGCTAATTCAAAACAAAAAGCCGAATCTCCAGTAGAGAAATTGATTAAAATTATGGAGGAAGCTGAAAAATATGATACAGATAGCCAATTTAGATCATCAATTCCAAGCAGTGATGATTTTAAATTGAAACAACAAAACGAAACAATAAATCCATTAACAAATAAATTTAATAAGCTAGATATAAATTGTGAGGATAATAAGCATATTCAAAATGATGTTCATACTAGTCAAATGCTAGACTCTTCTATAGAGAATGCTGAGTCATTGAAAAAAGAAGCTTTAGTGTATGAATTGAATGGTGATGCATTATCTAGGATTACTTCAGAGATTCTTTTATTAAATGATTATAATTATAATTTAGAAAAATTTCCATCCGTGCTGAGTACACATAAAACTAATTCTCCATGTAGTAGTAATAAATATAATAGAGATAGTAGTAATGGTGATACCGATGATAATTCATCTAATATTTCAATCTCGAATTCAAAAATATCTACAGATCCAGCTATAGCATTTAATCGTAATAGGACTATCCCTGATTCCCCACTTAAAAAAGAAAATATATTATCAACACATTCTTTAAAATTTAGTAAAACAACGACAACTTTCATGAAAGAGAAGGATAACGTTACTTCTAATAATAATAATAAAATATATACAATTGATAATTTATTAAAGAAAAGAGGTATAAATAGACAACGTAGTAAAACCTTAGATACCTCAGATTTGAAAAATGCAACTAGTAAAATGTTCCCATCAGTGCCAAAATTTAGTTCAAATAAACCTCCACCAGTGTCAGGGAAAACACGGTCTAAGAATATAGCAAGGAGATTGAGCCTTTCTTCTCACGATAAAAATAAGAATAAAAATAAGCATTCCCAAGGTGGTAGCAATAGTAATACAAATACAATAGCTAGTCATATTGTACGTAAGATAAGGTCTAATTCGAATTCTTCAAATTCAAATAAAAGTTCATATATTTCACCTAGAACATCAAGTGGTTCTTTTACAACAAGTGATATTCAACAACAGTATGATAATAGTAATAATAGCACAAATAGTAATAATATGGTGACAAATTCAGCGTATTCATTAAAACGAAGAAGTAGTTCTATTGTTAATGCCTTAAGTAGTTTTGTAAATTTACGTTCATCAAGTTCGTTGTCTGACAAAGGACCACAATTGTCTTCAAATTTTCAACAATATGCCCTTACATTAGATGATTTACCAGCTGTTCCTGAGCCAAATAAAGATGACGAGTCATTTGAGAAATATCTATTTAGAATATCAAATTATGGTAAATTTATTGGAATTATATTGACATTAAAGAACGATACATATAAATTGAATTGTCTAAACTACTTTCTTTCTAATTACTTTGATTTTATGGACGATCCGATAGACATTTCACTAAGAAAATTATTGATATTTTTAGAGTTACCAAAAGAAGCACAACAAATTGATCGATTGTTAACTGAATTTGGAAAAATATATTATAAACAACAGAGGACAAAATATATGGAGAAGTGTATTTGGGAAAATGAACACCAAGTATATTTTATCATTTTTTCATTATTAATGTTACATACAGATTATTTTAATCCAAATAATAAGATTAAGATGACGAAGACTGAATTTATTGATTTGGTACATAATGATACTTATTCCGATGGAAATAAATTACCAATAGAAATTTTAGCATATTACTATGATAACACAATAAGTAAGGAGTCACCGAAATTTGATTGTTTTCTGAGTAGAGATACAAATGCAATAATATCGTTTGATTCGATAGAAAACACTAAAATGTATTCACCAAAGGATTTAATTAAAGATGGTTGTTTACTTAATATGTCAAAACAATTGAAAATGAATAAAAGGGAAGAGGATGACGCACGTGGATATATTTTACCACCTACAATACCGTTACCATCTGCACTAATTGAATCTAATACAATAAATACGTCTACTTCATTTTTTAGTAATAGACCTACATCCAATTCAATATCATCATATTTTTCTTACGGTAATAACGGAGGGTCTGCAAATAATTCTGGAACTAATTATAACAGTAACAGTACAGGTGGGTACCTTCAAGATGATATTAATATTTATAAGAAAATTTTAATGGATGATTTAAGAGGTGTTTCTCTAGATAAATTTGTTAATAAAATTTATTCAAGAAACAATTTTGCATTAGATAGTGAGTATTTCCAGATTTTAAATAATACTAATGCCGGTAATATTGTAAATTCATCATACAGTAATAGTATCTACAATACTCTAATGGAGAGGAATTATGGAAACTTATATGATAAATATTTAAAACTTTTAAGAGTGTCTCGTGGTGGGTATTTAAGGATTAGGAAAACACAATTATATAAATTAAGACTACCAGCATATGAAAAATATCACCAAGGCGATGTAAAAAAAGGAAGTGACAAAGAAAATAGTGATAACAATGAGGTTGAAAATGATAAAGATAAAGATGATCAATGTTATTACTTAAAAATTATTCAAATGGGTGACATAAAAGAATATATAGAACCCGGTTCAAAACAGTCAGGATCCCTTAGAGGTAGAAGTAATTCTGAAGGAAACAAGTTATTTTCTTTAGGAAGTAATAGTCATAATAACGATAAATTCAATAAATGGAAGAATAAATTTGTAATTATTACGACTTGTGGGTTAATAATTTGCGATAAAAATAAATCATTTAATATACAAGAACCAGATATTGTTAAGAATCAGCTTAACGGGGAATGTAATTATATTATTGATTTTAAATATAATAAATGTGAATTATTAAGTGTTTACAATTTATTTGCAGAAAGTGTGAAAAATAATTTCGATTATGAGGAAGAGAATGAAACTTTAGCTAATAATACTGGAAATACCAATCAAAATAATAGAGGTCACGGGTATTCAATGGATGATGAATTATTTATTAAAGATTACAAAGACAATGTGATAAAGAATTTACACGGAAGAAATATTAATGAAAAAAATGATGATGATAATGATGATATTTGTAAATGTGATATCATGAATATGAGGGCTAATCAAAATGGAGAGGAAGATAACAATAATCAAGAAGAGGGAATTTACAATGATCAGGATGATGATTGTAACGATGATGATGATGATTACAATTATTTAAAGGAATTTGATGAAAATACATTCTATATCTGGAGTCAATATGGTAAACTTATTTGGAGATGTGAGAATAAATATGAAAGAGACAATTGGGTTGATTCACTAAATTTGATGGCATGTATCGATGGATGTCAGTATAAGATATCTTGTATAGATAATACATTACTAAGTCAAAGAAAGCAGAAGTTTGAGGATAGATATAAGGAGATCCAAGAGAATAGATTGGAAACTGTAAAATTATTTAAGGAAGAAGAAAAGTTATTGAATCTTTACAGACAATGTGTTCCAATATGTTTAAAGACAAGAAAGGAGTTGATACAAAATATTAAACAGCTGGCTGTTAAAATGGAATGGTATGATTTTGAAATTAAAAGAGATACTATTTATATGATGATATTGAAATGTTTAATACCAGATAAATCTTTCAAAGAGGAAAGTTGTGTTAATGGAAACAATGATGATATTAACGATGGATCAAATAGAAAAGATAATCAAGAAGAAAAGATTATTAACTGTTATGAAGATGCAAGTGATATTAGTGATTCGTTGTCATTTATAACATTTAATTAAAAAATAAATAAATATAAAAATATAAAAATACACAGATAGGACTATTATTAGCCTTATTATCCATTATTTATGCATACACGCACATATATATATAATATATATATATTATATTATTTTTTTGAAGTATCAAAATGTCTATCAATTTTATTTGAACCAATATTTAAAATTTTAGGGCAGCCATCCTTATTTTTTTCTAATTTAATGCATTCTAAACAATAATAGGCCTTGTGAGTAGCGATTGGGTTATTACATATTATACAAGATTGTTTAGATTTACCAAATGAACAATTATCACATATTCTAACGATTTTTAAAGGGCCTTGAAAGGATGTTAATTTGTTATTGTCAATACTATTATAAGAAAAAAAAGAAGAAGAATTATTCATTTTAATGTTATGAGAATCACAGATTGGGCATCTACCATCACACTTATCACAAAGATAACCTATATGTGTACCTGGTTGTCTTAAACACATAACTAAATCGAACTGATGACGTGACATGATTGATGATTATGATTGTTATAAAAAAAATAAGTGTATATATAGGTATAGAAATAGATAGATATAAAAAGTATATAAACTTGTTTGTCTATGCTTGTATCTGCATCCTACTTGATAGTTATGGTGGCGAGGATATTGAATGTGTGTATAATTATGTGTTTTTAAATGTGTGGACCGTTTGGAGGCTACCTCCCTGGAAATCATTTTTTTAAATCTAAAGTATTTTTATTGTATTTATTATACTTCAAAAAAAAATTGCAAAGAAGCTAGTAAGAAGATATAAAAAGGCACACCTTTATACGTCATATCTGGACATATAGTACGTATATTATACATATATATATATTTACATTAACAAATTTAGTTAGGAAGATAAATAAATAGATAGACAAAGCGTATTATTAATACTATTGTTAAGATTATATGATAATTATGGAATGTAGTATATGCTTTGATAGGTTTGAATCAAATAAGGATTCAGTAGTTCTATTAGCCAAGATCATACCATGTGATCACAAATTCCATTTACAATGCATTAGAGAATGGCAATTACAATTAATGAAAGATATGGAGACGATTACACGATCGTTAAGATGTCCAATATGTCGCGGAGAATACGTTAAAATGGCACTTGAATATGCCAGCAGCTGTAGTACATTATCAACTGCTACCACAACTAAGAAACAGATTGAAATAGATGTATTGAACGGTTTTCATGTAAATAGTATCACTGAATGGTATAAAACAGGTGAGCAGATGGTTCAAGACTTAAAAAAGTAGAGCAACCATGGAGTAATTTTTTATTCTCCTCTCCTGCTTTTCAACTGTGTTTCACGTAACGGATACATACACATTATGCAAACATACTCGTCTAATGGTATCAGTATCATTACTGTTATTATTATCATTATTATTATAGCCTTTGATGAATATTTTATTATGTATTTTCTGTATTTCTCTCAATAACCCTAACAAAAAAAATAAACAAAAAAAAGTTGAGAAAGTTTTTTCTAACAACAGATGGATGTATGGGTGTTACAGTTTATCTTTCTTCGAGGCAAATATCAAAAAAATTTTTCATTTTTTTCTGTTTTTTTTTGCCTTTAGATTTTTGATTGCTATAAAAAGAGAACAGAAATTTGAGATTACCAAAGGGAAGAGTCTTTCGTTCTGGTCATCTGGTGGTGACATCTTTGCAGGCTTATCAGGCTGCAACTCCTCCTATTTTTTTCTTTTGTTTCACACGTCATCAACATCCAGAACAATCATTATACGATCGATAATGAGGTAAGTAACTGTTGTCATAGTAATAATAATTATTATGCTGATGGCAAATATATGATAGTGGTAGTTTGGGTATAATTGTATGAATACATATATATATGTGTTTATTTGTTTATATGTGATTTGTATTATTATTTTCGTTGAACATCAGGACCTATTTACTGATTGATTCGTCAGTCAATTTTTACTTCCAAATGATTAGAATTTTTTTAAATACCAATTGTTCCGACTGAATAGTTGTATTAACTGTATGTCGACAAACCCAATTTTCGTTAAGTTTCAGCCTTGTATGATGGAAGTTATCATATGTTACCATACATCATTTATTATTAATTATTTGTTATTATGTCCTGTTATTTCCTGTTATTGATGTTGTTTTCTATTTTTTTTCTGTCTTCTCTTCTTCTACTAAATATATTTTCAAAATGATGATTTTATTTTGGTGACCGGGCGGACATAATTAGTAATCATGTTCTTAATGGGTAGTCACATATTCCAAAGGCTGTTCCATTTAAGTGTACAAATTTCTTTTATAAATGGGATGGTTGTGTGACATTAAAAAATATCTGTTGCATGATGAATTGATGAATGGTCTCAAGATAGCTGATTTTGTTTATTTATACTCTTTTTTTGGTTTTCCTTTAAGTGTAGTAAGAGAATAGACGACTAGAAGACAGAGAAAAAAGAGAAATATTGTGTATTTATATTTCCTTGTTTATTTTTCAATGTGTACCTTAAATGAAGTACGAGAATATGAGAGATGGGGGAGCTTTTAGGAATGGAATTATACAAGATAAATATAAATAAAAGAATATAAAATAAAATGATGATGATCATTTCATATTCACACTGTACTAGAACTTTTTGTTCGATGACTACCAAAAAAAAAATAACTGATTTAATGACTCTGAAGTTTTATTTTTTATTTTTTTTTATTTTTATATTTTCTTACCCCCTCTTGATTGCATATTCTTTTTTCTTGTTCTATCTTCTTATTTTGAATACTCTATAACTCTAAATGTTAATATGTGTTTAATTCGAATATTGTAGTCCACGTATTTGTCGAGGTCGTTCAGTCAGAAAGACGAAAAAAAAAAAGAAAAGGAGAAAGAAGAAGGGGAAGAGTATTAGGGCTGTGGCTTTGTCTAGTTTGTTTTTCTCTTTGAGCACTTCTTGTTTTCTTAGAGTTTTCCAGTTTTTCCTCTTGTGACTCAAGGTTGGGAAATGAATAAAGGTAGTTTTTTTTTATTTGGGAAAATCTGCAACGACATTAAAGGCGGCTTTAATATTATATGTCTTAGCAGTATAACTCATTAAAGTGTCTAACTATTCATTTATTTGTGTATATTGCTTTTCTCAATGATATTTACCTATGTCAAGGAAGTACCGTGTACAAAAAGTATGCTTTTTTTTTCATTACATGGTATAAAAAATTGTTGGAATATTTAAAGTAACCTACTTTACACACTTATTGGTTCTCACAATTTGTACAAATTTTATTAATTACTAGTTCAGTTACGAATTCAAATACACATATAAATACGAAAAACCCACAAGTATACAGTATATATAATGAGTGGCTGTATATTACGTTTGATATATGCCTACTTCATCGGTGGTATCACATTTATTCCAATTTGTTGTATATTGTTGTTCCTTTATTTTAATTCAAGAGTATCAAATAAGCAGAGAGTTGAAAGTGACGATGATAATGATTTTTCTTTACTCGTTAATATATGTTCAGGATTTAAGGCCGGTGAATTAGAGGAATTACAAAATGTTCAGGTGGAAATGGATGGGTATATGTATGTCACTAATCAATACTACTATCATTCTAGTGAATTAATTGAAAACCCAACTTTATCTCAATCTCAATCATCTTCATTTTCAGGTTCTACAAACAAGGATACTAATTCAAATGATTCTATATTTAATGGAGATAACAATGATAATCAAATGATTTTGGCCAGATCACAATTGAAATCAAAACAAAAATTTTATGTTACTTTAAAGCACGGCAACTTATTTCTGTATAAGGATATAAATGATGATAATACTAATAATAAAAATGACTTATTGCATGCTATATCCCTTGAAAATTGTTTTGTGACGATATGGCCAAGAAAGTATTATGATACGTTTGATAAAAAATATCACCTTTTAACGGATGGTCAATTATTTACAAAGAGAACCTGTATTGCTATATTTAAAAAGGACTCAGTTAAATTAGAGGATTCATCCGGCAAAAGTGTGAGGAATTATGATGATATTTTACAATTTAATGTCAATTTAAATAGGGATATAAATGGTGCAATGAACCCAAATGATATTTCTACCTTAAATGGAGAGAAAGTTTCTTCTGATCAACTATTTATTAACGGATCTAATCAATTTTTTCTTTATTTCGATAATAATATGGATAAAGAAGAATGGTATTTTAAATTAATTAATGCATGTAAAAATAATAAAAAACTAGATAATACTTCATTTCTGAATCCATCAATATCTGCAAGAACTGCGCATTTAAACACACATGATATTTTGATGCTAATACAAAATTTGAATTCTACTGAAGGTCAGTTACAGAGCAAATGGTTTAATGCATTACTAGGTAGAATTTTTTTATCTCTACAACAAACAGATACACTGAACAAGTTTATCTGGGATAAAATTTATAAAAAATTGTTGAAAATCAATAAACCAGGATTCTTAGATGATTTTATTATTGAAAAAGTTGATGTAGGTAACAGCATTCCTTTTATCACAAATCCAAAATTGATTGAATTGACACCTGAGGGATCTACTAAGATAGGTTTTGATTTGATCTATAATGGGAATTTGAAGATTATTATCTCTACTAAAGTTAATATTAATCTTGGTTCGAGGTTTAAATCAAGAGAAGTAACACTAAAAATATCAGTTGAGGTGAAAAAATTAATCGGTCCACTAATGATACTAATGAAACCACCACCATCAAACAGATTGTGGTATGCATTCCAAAAACAACCTATCATGGATCTTGATATTGAGCCAATTGTCAGTTCCAGTAAATTGTCATACACCGTCATCACCAATGCCATTAAATCTAAATTTGCAGATGCTATAAAGGAATCATTAGTAGTTCCTTATATGGATGATATTGTTATATATAACACGGAAAATGAGTTATATAGAGGTGGTATCTGGGATCATTCTTTATCTAATGATAATGAAATAACTAATAGCAAGAATAAGAAGGTCCCTACGTCAAAAGAATATATTAAATTAAAGCGTGAAAGCAAGCTTAAATCTTCCATGTTAAAAGAAGATCCTGCAAGAAGATTTTTATCTTATTCTCAAGTAGAAAGTAAAGCATCATCAGCCTCTAATGATGCACAGAAGTCGGATGATCATGTATCTTTATCCTCAGGAGAAAAATTTGATAATGGTGATAATAATGGTAACAATGACACCAGCAAATCTGTTGATTCAACTCTTATAGATAATCTATCTGCCTCCAAGGGGAAGAAATTGTTTAAGAATTCAATTAATAAGATTAATAAATGGTATAAAGAAAATGTGGGTAATTCCTCAGATATTGATGAAAATGAAGTTGATTATTCATCGAATAATAATGAATCACAATATAATGATTTTAGTTATGGTATTAATGGTAATACTAATAAAGCATCATCTGAGGTTACTGGATCAAAAATTAGTCCCACGATGATCATAAATAGAAGAACAACAATATCAAAATTATCAGATAATGAGGTACATAAGAGAACCACAGACATGTTAAATTCGGGAATATCATTTGATAATAACGATCCTACAGTGCAACTAAGAAGAAAACAAACTGCAAATATATCGGGATTAACATTAAAAACTCCTGAACTGCCTGCACAAGAGATGTTTATTAATAAAACTGTTATGTCACCATTAAAAACAGATCAAAGATTAAATAATGGTAAAAATAATGGTAACAACTCAAATTTAATTCAAAATCAATTTATTGAATAAGATAGACTAAATAGTATTCTATTTGTCAAAGATTATTTCTAAGTAATAATTCTAATTAGGTTACAAGTATATATATATATATATTTGTACATATTGAATAGTAACACGATGATTATTGCTATTATTTAGGGGGTCTATCATTAAACGAGTCTTGATATGTTTAAATTTCTTTGTCTGTGGTTTACCCTTTGATCGGATAGGAAAGTAGAAAGGGCGAAGAAGAATTCCAACCTATTTATATCTTTCGTTAAATATATATATATGGATGTTATTTTTCTATATAATAAGACCAGTAAGAAGAGGTGTCGTAGAGAATAATCACCATGGGTTTGTTTCAAAATCATAGTTATAACTATCAGTGGCAGCAGAATTCTTGTTTTCATTATTATTACCACTGTTATTAGTAATGTTGTTAAAAGCCCATGAAGGACCAGCTACGGATGTTGTTGGTGCAGTAAAATTGGAAAATATTGTATCACTGTTGGTATTTACTGCGTTAATGGAGGTAGAAAAGATTCCGTCAGTAGATTCATTTTCACTTTTATCATTTTTAATAGTGAATGGATTAGCATCCGTTATGCTGTTGTTATTCTCACTATGTTGCAGACTATTTGAATCGGATTCTTCTTTTTCTTCTTCTTTTTCCATATAATTCATACGGATCTTATAATTTGCATCATGGATTTCGTAAATAGCATCTTGTATGTCATCAGGTAAAAATGGTTGAATTTCTGCATCATTTGCAAATGAATCAGTTAATTCGGTAACAGTAGGAAGACATAGTAATGGTATTTGTTTTTCTTCCAAATAAATTTGTTGTATTGTTGACAGTTTAACCATTTTCAAAAGATGTTTTCTTAATTTAGAATTAAACTTATGTTCATTGACTTCATAATTATATTTATCGATAGCTTTCAATAATTGTGAAGGGGTCAAATGTGGTAATAGACTTATTGCATTTTCTAAAGATTCCTCTGAGTCAATGGATGTAGCTATTTGTAACCATTGTAATAATTCAAATACTGGACTTAAATGGGAAAATGCAATTTGATGAAATGTTTGATAATAAAATAAAGAATTGGTATCATCAGTGATTGTTTTCCCCGATTCTTCATCAACAGGTTTAAAAGTTGTTATACTATGCAATATCGGATTATTCAAATCAATATCTCCTAAGTCTTGTATTAAAGTAAAAGGGAATCTTTCCCAAATAAAATCGTCAATTAACTTAGGTTTTAATATAGTTATATCATTATTTCTAATCCATGACTCTAATGTTGATAAATTTAATCTGATCTGAACTGCACGAGCTCTTGATAATACCTTTTTTTTTTTATCTTTTAATATTTGGTTAAAAACCGTACTTGAAAACCAATTTATGGCCATTGATAAACATTGTTGTTGGAATAATGGATGCACTTGGTGTAAATTTAAAACATATGTTAAGGCACCAAAAATTTGAGCAATTTTTAAGGGGGATGGCTTCATTTGTTCCTCTAAAGAAGGTGGGTATAAATGTTTCAAGATTTCAGGATCAAATATGGGCCTATGAGTATATTTATTTGTATTATCATCTGATGAATTTTGATTAGTAATTCCATTTTCTGCTTCGTCATCACCTGTTTCTTCTTCAATTACATCAGAATTATTAGCGGCAGTGGCATTACTAGTATTACTTAAAGTGTTTTTTAATTCCAATTCATTTTTTCTTTGTAAATTTCTGGCTTGTTCTCTCTTCTTAGCTAACTTAGCCTGTCTAAGTTTTTTAAAGAAATTCCAGTCTCTTTTATATAAAGTCTCTTTAACTTCCTCAATGGTTGTATAATTGAGTAGTGTTTTCTGAATAACGGGTGTCAATCTTTCATGGATTGATGTAACCAATTCGTTCATAATAATACGTAATGTATTAATCAATTCCTGTAAGAGGCTTGGATGTCTTTTAAAAAAAGATTCGTCTTTACTTAGGAAATAATACAAATAAGTTAAGGAACTGATCCAATAAGATTGAGTGACAATATCGATTGTTTTTTTTGTTGTATTCTGATCTGCTTCGTTGTTGGGTAATATGTCCGATTTGTTTGAGGGTGTATTATGAAAACGATTATGACTTGAGTCTCTTGTTGTGGTTTCTGTTGCTGTATCGAGATTATTAGTAGTAGATATACATGAAGTGATCTTTGTGAATGCCAAAAAAAGTAAAGATTCCGTATCAGATTTAGATTTTCTCATATGATCAGAATATCTAGCACATTGGAATAATATTGCAGCAGGATAAGTGGTTGAATGAGGATGACTTGTCGGTAAATTAATTAAATAATTTAAAATTTGTGGTATATCGTAGTCGGAATATTCTAAATATTGGTATTTTTGCAGAGTATTAAAGTCAAATCTTTCAAAATCTCTAAAACTATAGGAATCATTATTATGACCATTTTCATTGTTATTATCAGGAGACAAGTTAATGTCCAAGGAACTCTCCTTATTCCCATGATAATAATCATTATACAAATGAATGCCTGCTAATTTTTTGTTAATGTTTTCATCAATATCATCTAAATAGGTTGATTGTCTTTGATTTTGGCTTTTATTTGAAAATACCAATTTGTCAAGATGTTGGTGTATAGCATTATTATTGGCATTTTCATTATTGATGTTTGTAATGGAAGTAAGTATTGAGTCTCCATTAGCATCAATACCAGAGTGCATTGCAGGTAAAAAGGAATCCCCCCAAACGTTTTCTTCCATGATCACTTACTATTAATGGGATTACTGATCTAATTGTAATACTTATCGTAAAATGAATCTAAGTTTTACTGGAAAGAAAAGTATGTGAATCTCTCTTATACATAAAATAACACAAATTTTTGCCTAATTCTTCTTTTTTTTCCCTTAGACCGCTCTACTGCTAGTATTTTATAAAGTGAGATGCAGATGGTAGTGGCAATGTTTATACCAGTTAGTTTGTATGTAATGTTATGCTAGCTACAAACAAAGCATATTTAATAGTACCGTTTTGTGTTCTTTTAATTCTTTTTTCAATCTCATTTTCATTTTCATTTCGTCATTTTCAAATTTTAAAGATACCTCGAGCAACTTTTATGGCGACATATTTTTTTGTTCTCTCAATAAATCCTATAATAATAGAGCGATTTTGGTAAAAGAAGGAGATTCTTATATTTTTTCTCATAGATTGGTTCAATCTTATGGTATTCATAAATGGTTTGATAGAGTATCTAATAATTAGACACTTTATATAATTATTTTTAGAGGTGATTGGGGAAAGGAAAACACAAGATAAATATAGAAAAGAATTAGCATAACTTTTATTTTTTATTATGATGTTGCAGTCAGCAGTCAGTTTAGATGGGAATAAAGAGCCAGCATCAAGTTCAACTCAAATTATTGAGTCATTGTATGATAAGGTAGATTCTTTGACAAATACTAATCTACAATTGACATTACAATCTCAAACAATGTTAGAGAATTTAGATATTGCACAAAAGAAAGAAGTCAAACTGATTGAAAATATTTCAATGTATAAGTATCAAAGAGACAATTTGGATTCAATGTTAAGTAGAAAAGTAAGAAAGATTAAAGAATTTGAAGAAGAATTGACAAGTCTACAAATGACTGTTAATTCCATTAAAAATCAAAACAAAGATTTAAACGAACAATTGCATGATTTACAACAATTGCAGATATTTAATAAAGAAAAAATGGATCAGTTAGATGTACAATATGATTCACTTTTAAAAGATCAACAGGTTTGTAAATTGCAATTTGAAGAAGATTTAAACAAGATAAATAGGGATTTGCAAACAATCAAATCAAAATATATCAACAAATTAAATGAAGAAATTAAGAAGTCGGATTCTTTTGAAATTAAATTAAATAAATTTAAAAGACTTATAGATAAGACTGAAAAACTTGGTGGATTCAAAGAAATTTCCAAAGATATAATTGATAATAAATGCGAACAAGTCTTAAAAAATTTAGATCTTGATTCTTGGATCACCTTATATAAATTATCTGACAAAGTTATTCAATTGTATGCAAAAGAGAATGAATTAGATTTAAGTTTATTAAAGGATTATGATTCAATAGTAAATGACCTAGAGATAGACAATATTAATAAGGAGTTAAAGAACATTCATTCTCATAATAGTCTTATCTCTCTTAATAATAATACAGAAAAATTAACCATTACAAAAAGAAGAACCAAATCTGCAAAAATTAGTTCCAGTCCATATCTTCCTTCTCCAATATTAGCTAACAGTACATCATCTTTCTCTTCTTCATTATCTTCACAAGACAATATTAGTAACAAAAATGATGAGAATTCATTTTCAAAATCATTCAATCGAACAGAAGTAAGAGTTCATTCTGGAGGCAGACCAACATTACCCGGTGTTAGAAGAGTGTCTAGGATTTTTTCCAATGGTGACAGTAATGTTATATCATCTCAATCTTCATCTAGCAGTAACAGAAATTCTAGGGTTTTCTAAGAGGCATAATAATGATACCTTACTTGTAAGTGAAATAATTGTATGTAAATATAGCATAGCCTCAATTGCTTTCAAATAGATAGATAGATAGATACAATTATATGTATGTATGTAGACAAAGAGATGACAGCAACATTAAATCATATACATATTTCTTTATTTCGTAATAATTGATTGAGAAGTATACAAAAGCAGAAATTTGTAGGATCATTTTAAATTTCATTGTTTATCAATTCTTAAATTCAAGGTACGTTAACTTCATGTCAAACTTTGCTAAAGGGTAAAAGAATATTTATGAATCTAGAAAATACATCTTATTAGGTTGATGATGGATAGAATCCAATTACCACATTATACTTTGAGAAAGCATACCACATCTATAACGAAATTGTTAGTGATAGATAAGGACATCATTGAACTAAATGAAGAACTACAAAGAAAATGTGAGAGTACACATATTACTAATATCATCCCCAAATTGATATCAACAGATGAAGCAGGAAATATTGTGCTATGGGATTTGATAACAAGACGTCCTATTGGAAATGCAGTATCACCTTCTGGGGTTGCTATAATTGATATTCAGTTAATAGCAAACAAATATTTGGTTTATTTATCCAAGGATTATACATTAAGAATATTAGATTGGTCTAAATTTCCATCAGATTTAGATTACATCTTTGAGATGAATGTGAATACTCTAAACTTTGCCAACTTTGCCGCTTCTTTGGATTCGAATATGGAGACAATAACATTATGTTGTTGCAATACTCAGGATTCTGAGACTATAGATGTTTACCATATTAGTATTAGTACTAAGAGATTGACAAGGGTATTCAATCATATTGATTTCTACCCAATGGTTAAAAATGTGTTACAAAATATGTTAAATAAAGTACCCGATCGGTTAGGTATGATTATGAAATTTAAACAAGACTTAAAGACAAAAACCACATTTATTGGATTTGAGAGCGGTATCATTGTTGGATATCAGATTGTTCTTGATAAGATTGTTATTACATACTTATCAGCAGCTCATTTCCCTGAGCCGGTCTTAGATCTTTATATTTTGTCTACCCAACAGAATTTCCAGAGTAACGTTCCTGTTGTCGCTACAAATAAAAACAATGATAATAGTGATATGGGAATCTTGTTGAGTTCATCTACCAACAATGTTGTTATAAAACATTATTACTCTGCTCATGTTAATCAAACTTCAAGAGGGGACAATAATCTGGAATTGATCACTAATTTACAAGTTTCTAATTCAGAGAGATTGGAAGTTAAAGACAATAAAATAGCACATGTTGCAGCATTTAATCAATTTTTGATATGGTCGACATGGAATGGCAAACTATTTATCAAAAATGTTGTAAAGAATACGGTGTCGAAATATAAAAGATCAAAGAGTAACATACGACCAAATGAATCATCAAAAGGTTCTCTCAGTGGCAATCCAACTCAGAATAATGAATCTAAATATATGAAAATTAGTGCTATGGAAGTTTACCAATCAAGACTTGGCAATAGTAATGAAATAGTACCACTGAACGTGATGGTCATGAATTCCTCAAGACAAAGAAGATTAAGACAATTTATTTCTCGTTCATGGTGTTTTATTGGTTACCATGATGGGACAATATCCATATATGAAATTGAATGATATTGTAAGTTGATGTTACTGTTCTTTACAACGATGCTTCCATATGGTAAGATATATTATGCGACTCTTTGGTGTATTCTTGTTTAGAACATACTCCCTATATATTTATTAGTCAAGAAAGATTCAAATTTTAGTAACCTACTTTCAACTTGTAAAAGTTTAGGCACACTTACTTATAGGTGGTACTGTACAGAATATTTAATTGGCTATTACTAAAGTGTAGTGATTCGTTTACATACCATCTAATCTGTATACTCCCATTGGAATATTAATAGTATATAAAAAGGAAATAGAATATAAAATTGAAAATATAAGGATATTAAATATATAAATATATTATTTATGGTCGAAGTTATAACATATAAATATTAATATATATAATGTGTATTTGCAAGCCTATGGATGTAGTGACATTGTTTCCTTTTCCTTTTTTATAATAATGAATTCTATGTAAGTCTATAATACAAGTGTCTCATTTTGAATATATATTCTCTAGGTATCTTTCCCCCACTGACATACTCAATAATAGTTGAATCTGATGTATCAAAGTAACTAAAGAAAATTTTTTAATACACTAGCTTTTGGTGAAGATTTAATATTTACCCCATTTTTGTCACGATGATGTTTATTGGATGAGTGGTATCCATCTTGACTATAATGATGATGTTTGCTTAATAAATATTTTTTTTCTGAAATATCTCTTATAATTAAGCTTAGGGCAACATCAATATTAAAGTCATCAATACTGTCAACACCAACAAAGCTTGAATTCCATTGTGCAGCTAACTGCTTCCCCTTTTGGATTAATAATGGGCTAGCTAAAGGAGCATTTATGTGAGTACAAATAATTACAAATGGTGGTGGGGAATCTGGTGATGCAGGATCTAAATTAATACTATCTAATTCAGTTTTAAATTTTCTTAATTTATTGATTTTAGCTATCTTAGATTGTTCCGATTCTTGTGATTTCCAGATATTTTTCAGACTGTGGATTAAAGAATAAACATCTTCTTCCTGACCATTCTTCCAACCAGTTTCATAATTCCTGAATTCTGTCCATGCATCCAGTATACATGATCGCAATACAGGTAATAGTGATAAACCTCCACCTGTAGGAATATCTTCTTGTGACAGATCGTTTTTACTATCAACAGAATTTGATTCACCATCGATTGGTACTGAAGTTGGTTCTTTGTACGTGGGTGGTTCTGGAACGATATGATGGTTCAATTCGGGAATAGCACTGTAAACTAATATATAGCCATCGATCTTTCCATTTAATTCTGATGCACCAGAAGCAACTAAGAGGGAAGTAGTAGACACTGGAACTCTAGGTTGATTTGCAAGACCTTTTAAAATAGATTTATCCAAATTTCTAAATAAAGAAACTTCTAGAAAAGGTACTACCATATCTGGCTTAAACCCAGCAGTATCAATTATATCTATTGATATTGGACAGTATTGTGGTGGAATATAATTTCTTGGTAAAACATTCGACATCCTAATGGTTTCGGGACGTTTACGATTAGGGGATACTCTGGTTTCAAATTCCGGTGATATATAACTGTCATTATTGCTACTATTATAATAATGATATAAAGTGGTGTTACGAGTCTTTTTCAATACATTACTATTAGGAACTTTATTTTTTTGTGTATTTTTCAAATGTGTATAGTTATCCCTAAAGAATTGGAAACTTAATGGAGACAATTGAACGTATGGTGTCACGGCAGGTGATTGAAAGATAGGAGTTAACTTTTCACTACTTGGAGTTCGACTTAATAATCTTTCATGAGGTTGTTCATCTAATATAGCTCTTGCCAGTTTAGAATGTGGTATGAATTCAAACAGCCAGTTGTTTTGATTCTTCGTCGGATAATGTGCTTCATGGACAATCCTCAAAGTCAATCTTGAGATAAAGGAAGTTTTTCCTGTGGACTCACCGCCCAGTACAGCTAATCTAATAGGTTTTTGTTCATTAGAACAGGTTTCCATTACGTTAACAAGCTAATGGATCTAGTGAAGGAAAATAGTAATTATCCAAAAACAGGCCAGTTTGGAATGAAAAAAAAAAATTTGCAATTTATTAAGGATAGTTTGGTGCAGCGTATCTGTAACAATTTTTTAATGCTTATTAATGCATATACAATGTTAATGGATTAGATATATAGTAAAAACTTGTCTAGTTACAAGTTTAAAGAATTTATTTGAGCTGGACTGTTTGATTTCAGCACAATAAATTTCCACAGTAGTTAAAACGAAGTCAAAGAAAAAAAAGAATGTAAAAAAAGAAGTGAAAGAGGAATGACAGAAAAGGTCTCTTGATGGTGTATGCCATGTAGTTAAGTGTAGTTGAGGATACTCCTCTATGCCTATGTATTAATATGTATAGTATGACTATATCATATTTGTGGATATGTTAAAAAAAATGTGTATGGAATATTAACACTGTATATAATGTATTTATGTATATATATAAAAAGTTAATAGATCAAGAATCTATGAAAGAAATAATACAGATAAATTGAGAAAAATTGTTGGAAGTTTAAAATATTTGGAATGATATAACTTTATAGGATTTGATACTTATGAATAAAATAATAGAAAAATGAAGTTGTCATTCCACTTTATTTTTAAGTTTGTTTATCTTTTTTTTGTGTTTCATAAGGTTAATTAATTCCTTTATTTATCTTGGTGGTCCTGATTTTTTGCGAAGACCATTTGAGGATTTTCTTCCATTGATTCCATATAGATTATTCAATAATGTACTATGAAAACCAAAAATATTTGAAGTTGTGTTGATTATTGTTGAATTGGTAAACTTATTTTTATCAAGCAATATCTTACCATTCATAGTTGAAGTTTTGTCCTCCATAGACATTAACATCTGAAAATCATTTTTCAAGATTTGGGATTTACTTAATATTGAGGATGAAGTAATTGGTGAATTTTTGATACCGATTGATAATGGATTTGATAGAAATTGGGCTGAAAAACATCCGACAGTACTTATAAGCTTAACATCAGAATCTATATCTATATTGGCATTCTCATTGTTGCTATTGTAGTTGCTGTTATATGCTTGCGTTTTGATAGAATTTTCATTAAATGTCGTTTTTGTTAGTGATGATGAAGGGTACCCTGTAGTAGAGTATAATGTGGAAGAGGTGGATAAAGAAGATGACATAGAGTGGGACCTTTCTTTTGTGTTTGGATTTAATTCTGTTTTGGTGAAAGTACTAGTTGTGGTATTCAATTTGTCTTTTTTATTTCTAAGTAATAAATTTTGAGATGTTTCTATATCATGCTCCAATTGCTTGACATTGTTAAAGGCATTTAATAAATGGGGTAATTGGTAAGATATACTTCCATAAGGAGATCCAGAGTAATTTGTAGGTGAATTTATTGGGGTTGAACGAGCATCTACTTCTTCTTGTTTTTGTGGTTGTTCTTTTATTGAGTGTAACATAGTTCTTCTCATGGGAGAATGTGATACACTTTCTATTTCTGTCTCTGTTTCTGTATCTGGGATCAAATCAATCATATTATTAACATATTGACTTATATGTCCTAATTTTTTGACATCCTTTAAACTAGAACTCAAATAAGGATTAAACGATATATCGTCAATAAAAAATGGATTGTTCTCGTCCCTTTGAATATCTTCAGGTATTAACCATTTAAAATTGATATGATTGTACATTATTTCGATGTCGAGAAACAATCTGAAGGATTCATTGTACAACACCTCATCTTTGTTTTCAATTGATTTGTCAATATTTTCTAGAATATCACATATGAACGTATTGAATGAGCTTATTGTACGTTTCAGTTTATCTGTGGCTTCAGATTTAAATTCGGTCTTATTGTTATATAGATCAGAATGCAATAAATAATCCAAAATTAACTGTAACTCAAAATTTATTAAAAGACATTTGGCCTTAATAAAACTAGAAATTATTTGTAGTTTAAACCATTTCAATTTTATTATCATATAGAACCAAATTTCAGTCAATAAAGTCATTGAATCTTTAAGTAAGTTGTCCATATTATTATCAATAAAGCTTCTAATCTCTATTAACCCTGTACTTAAAGATTCTAAGCCAAATAATAATTTATTAGATTTTTGTATAGATTTTAAAGCAATGTCCTTGTACTTCCATTGTTGATAAGAGACATCGTCAGATAAATTCTTTATTGAACTGATATGTGGAATATGGGTATCTGAAGTGTTTGTATGCAATTCATTTCCACGATTAAATATATTATTAATATCAGTATTTAATAATGCAAACTCACATGACTCATTATAGAATATTTGTAGTTTAATTAGATCGGATATCATGTTCAAAGCCTCGAAACAATAATTAAGGGATGTTTTGTATGCTTTCCAAGTGATATCCTGTTGATATATTCGATTTTCGATGACATCCTGAATATCATGAACAGTGATATCATTTTCATCATAGAATAGAGATGTTATATCATCTTTTGGTAGCAATGGATCTGACATGGATTAGTGAAAGAATATCAGGAAGAAAAAGGGTGACAAGGCGAGGGAATATATAAGTATCTAATTGTAAACAGTCCTTAAAATAATTCTATTGAGTGTGATAACACGTTAAAAGACAAATAGATTGATACAAGTTGCTGAACAAATATGAGTGTATGTATGTATGTATATATATGCATATATATGTATGTGTAAGTATGTTTGACTTCTAATCTATTTAATTTAAACTCCTCTTCTGCTTGATGCTGGTTATTAAAAAGAAACATATAGTAAAATTGGTTGTCTATTATGAGTATTGTAAAGAAACCATGTAAGTCATCTATAATTCTTCGCTAGAGAGACATTCATTAGTCATTGCATTCAATCAAATTCCACATACCTCGAGTAATTTTTTTTTTTTCGTTTTTTCTTCTTTTATTTATTGGAAAAAGGAAAAACGGGATCTCTGGATAAAGAAAATTGGATAATGCTCTGTCATGTAGTAAGAAAGACAAGAAATGGGCAGAGTGTATGTGTGTGGTAGACAATCGAAAGAGAGACTGGAATGGAAAGGATGGTTTATCTGAGTTTGAGAGAAATGTTTGCTAACAATAAACTTTACTTAGTTTAGATAACAATGGAGAGTTTCTAAAGAGGTTGTTTTTTTTTGTTCTCTTTACTTTGTTTTTAATTTCTCTCTTTCCAACAGTGTGTTCTTTATCTGGTAGGAAGTGGAATAAAAAAAGAAAAAAAATAGTGGAAACTTCTTCAACGTTTTAATTTAAGTTAGTATTAGGTTAGTTAAATCTTCTTTTAATAATCTTGAAATATTCAAGGATATTGAGGATGCTTTCAAAAATCAATAGAAAAGAAGTCTACCCAAAGTAAATACATGTCGTAAGAATTTTTTATTTAATATTCAATCATCTTTTGACTTTGAATAAAATAATGAAAGTATATATGCAATAAAAAGCAAAAGCAATTATAGTTAAGTTTATGATAGAGGCAATAAAGGGTCCTTAGTTTTTTTTAAAAAAATTCGTATTTTTGTTTTTGTAGTTTTTATTATGTACTCTTTAAAAATATTTTTTTAGTTTACCAAAAAAGTTTGTATTACATTAAATAAAACACTATCATGCAATTGCAGAATTCTATAGATATGATTGTCACTAATAGTTTTAATCAAAATATTAAAGAAAATATATATACATATATTATGGAATCTTGTTATTTACGGAGTTTTGAGCCTTTACTAAAACAGATATATTATTAGACTTTGTTCTTTGTTAAGTCTGAATGATTGCAACAATATTTTTTTTATATGCTAAAGTTCTATTAGATTTTAGATTTCGTTCTATAAAATAAACGAAAGATTATGTTTATTTATTGGTTAAAATATCAATATAGTAAAGAACTACACTTATTTGAAGTTCAAAAATATGCTTATTTGTTTGTTTTTTTAATAAATCTCATCTAATTTTCTTTACAATGTCAAGTAATATCTTTTATTTTTATATTGAAGGCATATAGCGAATACAATTAATTCAATTACTTCACTGTAAGTACTATTGATAATTAAACTATAGTAGAGTTATTTTTTCTTTATACCTTTATTTAAGTCTTTGGGTAAAGTGTATTTAAGGAGATAATAGTTAAAAAAATAATAGGTTATTTTGGTAACAAGAGTAACTTTCTGTCAGAAGTTCCAAATAAAAACCAGAAATTGATATATTATGAAATAAGGTTTAGTTGACTATTTCCCTTTCAATGTTTAATACTTAATTCTAATATATGGATTTTTGTTTTACTGATTAAAAGATTCTTAAAAACTAATTTCTTTAAACACCTTTTTAATATATCTAAAGATAATTTGTATAAGTTGTTTATTTTACACATATGTATTTTTCTCTGCATTATTTTTATCATTTGTATATTTTTTATTATTTTCACCTTTCCCCTCTAAAATAACCGTTTAATTAACAAGTTTTTTTAAAAAAAACCTTGAATCTTCACTGTTTCTCTTATAATAACTGTATCTATCTATTAAATAAAACATAACCCAATAAGTTTTCTTTTAAAATCAAAAATTTATATATAAAAAACATTTATTATTATACTATAATAACAAAAATAAACAAATAACTACCTGTAAATAATGAGTGAAAAATTAGTTTCCATAATAATGAAACTTTTTTTTTTGTAAAAGTACATATATATAAATACGTAAACAAAAAAAGAAATTAAAAAATATCAAAAAATAATTCTCTATATATTTTGTGATACATCACACGCTTTTCAAAGATTTGAAGTGATAAGTTTTAATTTTGAATCTTTTATTCATTGTGTAAGAAGAGAATATAATCTTATTCCTATTTCCTTTACAAACTGTTTTATTTTATTTTATTTTGTAAATCAATATTACTCCCCTTTTTCCATATAATTTAGGTTTTCTAAAAATACATTTTCAGAAATATATAAAAAAAAAAAATATGATTAAGCCTACATCATATATTCCCCTCCCTAAATCTAAGTGAAAAATAGAAAGATATACGCCTCGTTGTTTGTGATAAAAAGTCCTACCCAATCAGGAAAGTTCTGTACTTTGAAAATTTCCTAATTTGTTTGATAAACTTCTTTGTCCAAACCCTACATATGTCATTAGAGTACATTACTATAATCAACCTTACCTTTCTCAAAAAAATATATATGAAAAAAATGCAAAGATTGTTACATTCGAAAGAAAAACTAAAATAAATTTGATTAAAAAGACCAATTTTTAACTTCTCACCCCTATTTTCTTATTGTGAATGTTTATTCCAAACTTTATAGACAAATTATTCACTGCATCAGCCAAGCTACACTTCAAAAACACATTTAAAATTACACCTGAATGACATGACAAGTAAAATTTTGTATCATTTACATTCAGGATGGCATGTAGATCAAGCAATTGTAACTGAACATGAGAAACTGGTAGTCATCAGATTTGGCAATGACAACTCAAGAGAAGCTATGCTAATGGATGATTTATTATTATCTGTTAGTGAAAAAGTTTCCAATTTTGTCACTATTTACTTGGTAGACATTGAAGAAGTCCCTGATTTCAATGAAATGTATGAATTAACTGATCCAATGTGTTTGATGTTTTTCTATCAAAATAAACATATGATGTGTGATTTTGGGACTGGTAATAATAATAAACTAAACTTTTTAATTGATGATAAACAAGAACTTATAGATATATTTGAAGTGATATTTAGAGGCGCTAGGAAGAATAAAGGTTTAGTGGTCTCTCCTTATGATTACAGTGATCAGAGAGTAGATTGAATCAGAACCTTATGTATCAATTTTATTTTAGTATAAATTATTTAATAAAACTTTTTCATTATGTAGTTTATTAATTTAATATCACCTGATTCTTTACAAAATTTATCTACTAAAAATCATATATATTGATTACACTATAATCACAAAAATACTACAGATACATTAATAGTATCACATTTGATAGAAGAAAAAGCCAATCAAATGAGGAAAAAACAAACAAAAAAAAAGAAAAGTAAATAAAACAAAAATGGATTTGTTTACACGTTAATTAATTTATATATATACTATCTAAACCACTAAATTATACAATTAAATAAAACAAGCAAATAATAACACAAAATAAAATACAAATACAATATAAAAATATTTTAAATTATACTAAAATCAACTCGTTTATTTGGCAGCCTTAGCAGCAGACTTAGTGACCTTACCAGCCTTGTCGGACTTTTCAACAGACTTGATAACACCAACAGCGACGGTTTGTCTCATATCTCTGACAGCGAATCTACCTAATGGTGGGTAGTCAGTGAAAGCTTCAACACACATTGGCTTAGATGGAACGAACTTAACTAAAGCAGCGTCACCAGACTTTAAGAATTTTGGATTGTCTTCTAACTTCTTACCGGATCTTCTGTCGTTCTTTTCTAATAATTCATCGAATCTACAAGCAATGTGAGCAGTGTGACAGTCTAAGACTGGAGAGTAACCAGCAGAGATTTGACCTGGGTGGTTTAAGACAATAACGGTAGCGTTGAAGGATTCGGTGGCCTTTGGTGGATCGTTCTTGGAATCACCACAGACGTTACCTCTTCTAATTTCCTTAACGGAAACGTTCTTGACGTTGAAACCGACGTTGTCACCTGGTAAACCTTCAGCTAATTGTTCGTGGTGCATTTCGACGGATTTGACTTCAGTGGTAACACCAGCTGGGGCGAAGGTAACAACCATACCTGGCTTGATGATACCGGTTTCGACTCTACCGACTGGCACAGTACCAATACCACCGATCTTGTAGACATCTTGTAATGGTAATCTTAATGGCTTTTCGGTTGGTCTGGTTGGTGGTTCAATAGCGTCAATGGCTTCTAATAAAGTCTTACCCTTGACAACACCAGCCTTGGTTTCCTTTTCCCAACCCTTGTACCATGGAGCGTTGGTGGTGGCTTCAATCATATTGTCACCGTTCCAACCAGAAATTGGGACGAATGGAACAGTCTTTGGGTTGTAACCAACCTTCTTGATAAAGTTGGCGGTTTCCTTCTTGATTTCGTTGAATCTAGCTTCATCCCATTTGACAGAGTCCATCTTGTTAACAGCAACAATTAATTGCTTGACACCTAAGGTGTAAGCTAATAAAGCGTGTTCTCTGGTTTGACCATCCTTGGAGATACCAGCTTCGAATTCACCGACACCACCAGCAATAATCAAGATAGCACAGTCAGCTTGAGAGGTACCGGTAATCATATTCTTGATGAAATCTCTGTGACCTGGGGCATCAATAACGGTGACTTGGTACTTTGGAGTTTCGAATTTCCATAAGGCAATATCGATAGTGATACCTCTTTCTCTTTCAGCCTTTAATTTATCTAAGACCCAAGCGTACTTGAAGGAACCCTTACCTAATTCAGCAGCTTCCTTTTCGAACTTTTCAATGGTTCTCTTGTCAATACCACCACACTTGTAGATTAAGTGACCAGTGGTAGTGGACTTACCGGAATCGACGTGACCAATAACGACAACGTTAACGTGAGCCTTTTCTTTACCCATTTTTGTTTTATTTTATGTATGCTGGTTGTGTGTTTATCTTAGAAGGGAACAAGATACAGTTAAAGGAAAGGTGTGAGAGAAAAAAATATAAGAATTGAGAACAAAGCGGAAATATATAACAAATAAAAAAACATGGTGACAATTATCAAGAAAGGAAGGCAGAAGCAAAGTCTAAAGACAAGGAGTGATGAGAAATATGTTGAAAAAATGTCATGCTAAGTGAAGTAATATATACAAAATTTAGAAGCAAAAAAAAAATGGGGATAGCTTAATCCTTATTCTTGGACAGAGAGGATTACAGACACTATCGATGAGCTAAGAAAATAGACCAGGAGGGAGGAGGGAGGGGGGGCGGTGAAACGGTTATTGGACATTCTGCGTGACAGGAATTCATTTAGGCGGAGGTCTCCCTCTTGCCCCCACGTGGCTCTTCCTCCCTAGAAGGAAACATGATAGACAAACAAGGGAAAGACTGGGCTTGGCTATCAAAAATCTGGATAGTAAAACAACGATAAGACCCCACACTATCACCAATAGTGTAATGACATAATGAAAAAAACGCTTGAAAGAGCGAGAGTATTTACTACTTGCAATTCTGAGATAATAAAATTTGCTGGGATTGAATATCCTTTATTTTTTTTTCTTTTTTTTTTATCTGTAGATGTATCTCATTATACTATTTCCTAATACGGAATTAATATCTCCAGTCAGCTTAATCCAAAAAACACCAGAAAAAATAATTGAAAAAATTCTTGGATGTATGGATGTTTGAAACTACACAGTCTTTAAAATTAACTATTTTTTAATTTATCATACGTATTATAACTATTATGTTCTAGTTATATACTTATAACTACATCTTTTTTGTTTTTTTGCCTAGTTAGTAGATTGGTTTACTGATGAATCCGTATAGACACTAGACCTTACACTGCTACCTTGTGACTCATTTAAGTTATCCAATTGATCTAAAATACCATTTTGTGTCTCCATATCTCTAAAAAATGAACTTGTGTTGTTATTATTACCCAGTATATTTGAATGATCCAACCTAATTGATCCATTATAAGGTGATGATATCAAAAATGATGGGGAAGAATTGTTATTTCTTCGTATATTTATTGGCCACATGCCTTGTATTCTAGTAATCCATCTATTTATAACAGATTTGTCTTCTAAAAGTTCCCACTGTGGTTCTGCATAATTATTGTTATCGTTATCATTATTATTATTACTATAACTAGTACGGTAATCATAATAATTACCACTGTTTGTGTTATCGTATATATTATTCCCTCTTGATGACATTGTTGGTCCAGATATGGAGTTACGTTCAATTTTCTTCTTAATCCACCTTCTACACAGTTCCACAAGTGTGAAAACAAATATGATTGCAAGAAATATCCCTAATACATTTATATCATTGCTTTTAGTAGCAGTTGGACATGCGTATATGCTTTTAACTTCAAAAAAATAGGAACAATTATTCGAATTTCCAATATAATTAATTTGTGCTCTGGAAGTAATTTCTCTATCACAGACAAAACTCAGTAGTGTTGATCTTTTATCTATCCCATTAGGACATTTAGATCCTTGTTCGTATTGTAAAGTTAATTTTTTATTCCCAAATAGTTTAGGTTTCGTATTAAAATTACCAATTGATATCACCTCAATTTTATTTGTTTTAGTATTATTTACTGAATAGTAAGCACCAGTTAGGTCACTCAATTTTTTGGTCTCATCATTATCCGGAATGACGGGGCTTGAGCATATACTAATAGTAAAATTTTTGTCAATATCAGGTCCATAACCTTTTACTAACCATCTTGTCTTTGGTTCTGGTTTTGTCTTCGATTTCTTCTTTGTACCAGGCAGATTCGGTGTAGACGATAATTGTGATAAATCTATATATTGCCCTGTAGCAGGATTGGTTACTGCACAAAAAGTACCATCTTCGTGTTCATTTGGTGTCTTATCATTTGACTCTTTACTATCTTTATTGGGAATCATATTTTTTCTTTTCAGTTCATAGCTTTAAAAATAAAACAAAACAAAATATGCCTATGTTAGCAACTTAGATGCTCTAACAACAAAACAATGCCATTTAGTAGTATCTTTATATTACAATATCTGTTTAGATAGATTAAAAACACGTTTTTATAGTAGGAATATTTCTTCACTACATTGATATGTTTTAGGGTTTATTACAAAGAATAAAAAGAAAACTCGGTATAAGATTAACAAGAAATTATTAGGTTAAAATGTTTTTATTTTTTTTAATTACCTTCTAAGGAAAAAACATGACAGGAAAAAAAACAAAAAGAAACCTAAAAAAAGGACAAAATAACAAAGTGTCACAAAATAATATTATTGATTTTTTTTGTCTTCAAATAATAGAAATATCTATAAGAAAACAATGTTTTTTCATTATTGTACCATGTAAGAAGAATCCAGGAGATAGGTCTTATGCATAAAGAAACATAAAGAAGAAAAAAAAACTAAAATTCATTGGTTTATTTCATTATGTCAATTACACTTAAATCAGGATATGGAGATATTTTTCAGAATAATCAAGAATTTGATGAAGTCTTTCAAGATTCGCTAAGATTAGAAAATACAATTAATCAAAATGGTACAACAATTGAAAAAGAGTTAGAAAGAGTAGAAATATTAATTAATAATTATGATGATTCAAATGTTTTGAAAAGAAAAGAAAAATCATTTAAAAAAAGTTGTAAATGTCAACATGGGAAAAAATGCACGTGTGGCAAAAACTGTCAGTGTATATCATTGAAAAAAGATAATAATAAGAATAAGAAACAAAAGCAATCTAATTCCAAAGATGATGATGATTCTTTAAGCTTATCTAGGTCAAAAAAAAAAAACTGGTCTTTACTATGGAGTAAAAAAAAAAAAATTAAACAGAAAGATATACACTTTAGTAAATCTCAAAGTTTAAAAGGAAACAAGCGGACACACCTTAAAGGTGAACTGTCACCAAACTCTCCAAAGGATAAAGAAATGATTGAGATTTTTACAACTAATAATGACAAACACTCTATACAAAACCGATTAGTTTTCCCTGATCCACTATTAACAGAAAATTACAACAAAAGTAACAATGATATTAAATATAAGGAAAGGTCTTATGACGTGAATGATGGCAATAATAGTAATCATACTTATAATCAATATACTGGGAGATTTAGAAATAGAAAAAATAAAAATATATACAGTAGTCAAACGATGTTATGTCAACAGCAAAAGCGAGAAAGTTTTGCTAGTTCTGAAGATTACTCAATCTTCAAATCACAAAATTCTAATAAATCTAATAAATCAAAAAATCATAATAGAAATGAAGAAACAAAAAATATTCATAATGATAAATCGAATCTGAAACCCTCTGAAATTAAAGAAAAACGAAATATTTTAGATAAAGTCTGGAGTAGTTTTCGCTTTAAATCATCAAAAATTCCTCAAATAAAATCAGAAAAAGAAACATATCCTAATGTAGAAACGTTATATTTTGAATTAAACGATGAAATGGGTCAAAGTAATATAACTACCAATGTAAACAACTTTTTGTTAACAGAATCTCATTGTTTATTAAAAGACAAAGTAGGCAACATATCAAAAAAATATTAACCCAATTAATAATAACTAAATAAGGACACTATTTCAAAATTGAAGTGCAATAAATCAGCAAACTTCAGTTTTATTTAATAATTATTTACTAAAAGTTGCTATATAAATTTTATAATCAAAATAAGAAAAAGAAGAAAAAAAAATGTCGTTAGAAGAAACACCTTCTTAATATTGTAAAGAAAGAAAAAACTTTAATATACCTGTATGTAATAATCCAAATTTAAACTACTACTAATTATAAAACTGTGGTTCCTTTTGACAGCATTGTTTCTCTTCCAATTTACACGTAAAGTTTGTTTTCGCGTCTTTCTTTCTTTCTTTTCTTTTTTTTATTTTGATAATTTCCCGTTTTGTTACAATTTATCAAATCAGGAATAGTTTCAGAATTTAATAATAAACATTTTAGAGATGATAAATAAAAATATTAGGATCCTAAAACAACTAAAATACTTAATGTAATTCTTCGATGTATAACATTTATTATTTTGCTGAAAGAGGGCCCTTCAAATTAAAAAAATTAACCAGCAAAAAGGTTAAAATATTTTTTATAATTAAATAGAATACCATTATTGATCCATTTACCGTTACATCTTTATAGCACAAAAGTTCATACAAAAATAAGAACTTATGTCAATATTAGGTCAAGAAGCACCGGAAGGTATTAGTATTGTTACTACGGCGAATAGTGCTGCAACATCTATAATACATAAAGCCAGTTCCACAGTTATAAGTATACAAACTGATTCAAATGGATGTGTTATATGTGAAGGTACTGTGAATTGTCCTGATTGTGCAGATGATGAATATTGTGTAATGACTTCTTTGACATGTACCTCCTGTCCTTATACATATTGTGTTTCAAAAAATGACGGTGCAATAAGTGGTGTATTAACTAATTCCACTCTGGGGAATGGGACCACAGGAGGACTCAATTTTAGTGACCTTAATAAAAACTCTACATCCCATTATGGAACCATTCATAAGATTCAAGGTGCTGTGGTTGGTAGTGTTATTGGGTTTGTCTGTATTATGTTAATTATTTGGTACAGTTTTTATTGGAGAAAGAAAAAAAGATTGGCTAAAGCTAGAGAGCTTGCAGACAAGACATATAACACAAACGACGTTGATGTTTTAGAATTAGCTGATATTGATGAGGACGATATATATGATTCCGATGACGATATAGATGAATTTGAAGAAGATATGACAAATAATGTCAATACCAGCAACAATAATACGAATAATAATAATAACGCCTGGAATAGCAATAGAAACAGCAATCATAATGGTAGTATAATGACACCATCTCAACGATTACAATATATCAATGAGATCAGATCAATTAAACACCGTAATCTTAGGAATGAAACAAATAACCTATCCATAATAGATAATAGGGCTAGTAGCGCATCCAATATTTTACCTATTGGATATATTCCTGGTGTAACAAACACCAGCACTATGAGTAGTGGGATAATGAAAAATCATAATCCACTAAAAAATATTAATAGCAAGAGCCATTTGAGTGCCTATAATAATCATTTGAATATAGTGGGAGATATAAGATCCCATATTACTTTAGGATCATCCATTTTGGAAGACATTTCTGAAGATATAGAAGATAATACCAGTACTTATATCAATAATTTACAATCTCCTCCGAATACAACAGACACTATAAAAGGCTCTTCGGGCTTTTCTTTGACTACAGCTATTAAGGGAAGACCAAAATTGGTTCAGATTAATGAATCAAAGGAAATAGAAGGTTATGAGGATGCAGACCCTGACAACGAGAGTATAGGGGGAAAAAACCAAAATAACAAGAGTATCAATGACAATATTACTAGTGATAGATATAGTATGAGAAGTGATATCACTGGAACTGGATCATACATATTAGATTTTGAAATTAATCCACTGGACACAAAATTACAGCCACCAATACCTGCAGCCAATAAAAACAATATTACAAATAAACTCTCTACAATAAATGATTTAAAAAGATCTTCTAAAGTTACTATTCCTCTAAGGAACAACAGGAATAGCATAGATGATTCAGAAGATATATCTATTACCACTTCTGACATGGTCACAATCGATACCAAAGCTGTTGACAACCCAATGGAGGGTAACTCAATAAATCAACAAGAACAAGGTGATAACATTTTTAGTGATAAGTATGAAATTATATAGATATCCTTTAAGGGTACTCCAAATTTATACAGTTAGTAACCAATTCAAGACAATTTAATAATATTATATAATTACATTTATAATTCAGTGAGGGGTTTAACAAAATAATATGTCAAATCAATAACAAATATAAATATCCTAAATATAGTATTTTTATATTTGTTCTTCTTTGTTATTAGTGTTGATTACAGTTCATCATGTAGAGTGATATTCAAAATGGTTAAAATTAAAAATTAACAAACAAACAAACAATCTTGTACCTAAATGCACCGTAAAATACAATACATATGAACGTTAACACATAAAGACATGTATCCATCTATCTATGTATATAATAGTCTTTTAGATCGTATGGCGTTATCATTATATAACACCGATATTTTATAATTTTTTTATGGATTTGAAATAATGACGAACAACAGCAAGCAATAATAGATATACATAACTTATAATCCAATTGCCTCTTCATTATACAAATTCTGAACTATAGAATTTACTTGTTGTTTTAGAACATCTTTTTCACGGTCATCATCTTCTCTTTTTGATTATTATTGCAGAAAGCAGATAATGGGTTCATATTTCTTTTGACTAGCATGTAATATCGATCTTCAGTCATATAGAAAAACTTACACATATTTTTGCTCGTGGCTTTCTTATTAAAAGGCTGAATATTTTCTCTCTCTCGCAACTCTCGTTTCTTTTTATTTATTTATATATATACACACTGTTTTTCTTTTTGTTCTTATATTCCCGCTGATGTACGGATTTTCATCAAGGCGGATCTTTTCTTTTTCTTCTCTTTTCTTTTTTTTTCCCTGTCTGGTCGAGCGGTCAACGGTGCGTGCGATCTTTGGAAATTCTTCTCTTTCCTCGAGAAATTTCTCTTGATTTTGGATTTTCCAGACTTTTTCCTGAACATCGGTATTAGTAATTCCACAGTATTCCTATAATGATAGTGTGTAAAACTATAAAATGGAAATATTACTAAAAAGTATTGTCATTATTAATATGTTGTCCTGTCATTCTTGCTGATTTTGTGTTACCAAATACTTCTTTTCATTTAATTGACTCTTTTCGTCTCGATTTTTCGCTTGTCCCAGTTTTTTGAATGTGATTATTCTTCTCTCAACTTTTTTTCTTCCTTTTCCTTTACACTCTTAGTCCTATCTACACATATATACTTGTTCGTACATACACACACACATATATATATATGTGTGGGGAGAACCTTTAATCATTCTTTTCGTGCTTTAATGTTCTAACAGCTTCCTTTACTAAAGTTTACTTGATAAATATCAACACATTAAGCCCTGCAAGAACTTCGTAATTTCTCTGAGAGAAGTAGTAACCAATACCTGTATATACGTCCATTCAAACATATATACACAAATAAAAAGTGACAATAGTTTGTTCCTTCTTTTTATTCTCTCTTTCCAATCTAACATAACAAATACATTTATTTACGCATAATGACATTCACTGAAATTGATAAATTAGCTGTCTCCACCATCAGGGTCTTATCTGCTGATCAAGTATCTAAAGCTAACTCTGGTCACCCAGGTGCTCCATTAGGTTTGGCACCAGCTGCTCATGTCATCTGGTCTCAAATGAAAATGAATCCAAAGAATCCAGACTGGATTGCTAGAGACAGATTCGTTCTTTCTAATGGTCACTCTGTCGCCTTACTCTACTCCATGCTACATTTAACTGGGTTCCCATTATCTATTGAAGATCTAAAACAATTCAGACAATTGGGTTCTAAGACTCCAGGTCACCCAGAATTTGAATTACCAGGCGTTGAAGTTACTACTGGTCCACTAGGTCAAGGTATCTCCAATGCAGTCGGTTTAGCCATTGCCCAAAAGAACTTTGCTGCTACTTATAACAAACCAGGTTTCACATTATCTGACTCCTTTATCTACGCTATCTGTGGTGATGGTTGTTTACAAGAAGGTGTTTCTTCTGAAGCTTCTTCTTTAGCTGGTCACCTACAACTAGGTAACTTGATTGTTGTCTATGATGACAACAAGATCACTATTGATGGTGATACTTCTATCTCCTTCGATGAAGATGTTGCTAAGAGATACGAAGCCTATGGTTGGGAAGTCTTGTATGTTGAAAACGGTAATGAAGACTTAGAAGCTATTGCTAAAGCTATTGCTCAAGCCAAAAAATCTGTCAACAAGCCAACTCTTATCAAGATGACTACCACTATTGGTTACGGTTCCTTAAAAGCCGGTAGCCACTCCGTCCACGGGTCTCCATTGGCTGCTGATGACTTAAAACAATTGAAGAGTAAATTTGGTTTCAACTCGGAAAAATCTTTCCAAGTTCCACAAGAAGTCTATGACCACTACCAATCTACAATTTTAAAACCAGGTCAAGAAGCTAATGCTAAATGGGATGTCTTATTCAAAGAATACCAACAAAAATACCCAGAACTAGGTGCTGAATTGGCTAGAAGATTAAAAGGTGAATTACCAGAAGGTTGGGAATCTAAGTTACCAACTTATAAGCCAACTGATTCTGCTGTTGCCACTAGAAAATTATCTGAAATTGTCTTCCAAAATATCAACGAATTTATTCCTGAGATCATCGGTGGTTCTGCCGATTTGACGCCATCTAACTTAACTAGATGGAAAGAGGCTGTTGATTTCCAACCAGACAACACCAAATTAGGTTCCTACAGTGGTAGATACATTAGATACGGTATTAGAGAACATGCTATGGGTGCCATCTTGAATGGTATTTCTGCTTTTGGTGCCAACTATATCCCATACGGTGGTGCCTTCTTCAACTTCTTAAACTATGCTGCTGGTGCCATTCGTGTTTCTGCTTTATCCGGCCATCCAGTTATTTGGGTTGCTACTCATGATTCTATTGGTGTTGGTGAGGATGGTCCAACTCACCAACCTATTGAATCTTTAGCTCACTTCAGAGCTTTACCAAACATTCATGTCTGGAGACCAGCTGATGGTAACGAAGTTTCTGCTGCCTACAAGGCTGCTTTCACTTCTAAACACACACCAAGTATTATTGCTCTTTCCAGACAAAACTTACCACAATTAGAAGGCTCCTCTATCGATAATGCTATCAAAGGTGGTTACATTTTACAAGATGTTGAAAACCCAGATATTATCTTAGCTGCTACTGGTTCTGAAGTCTCTTTATCCGTTGAAGCTAGTAAATTATTAGCATCCAAGGGTATTAATGCTAGAGTTGTTTCTTTACCAGATTTTTTCAATTTTGACAAGCAATCCGAAGATTACAAGTTATCTGTCTTACCAGATGGCATCCCAATTTTATCCATTGAAGCTCTTTCTACCATTGGCTGGGGTAAATATGCCCACCAACACTTTGGTTTAGACAGGTTCGGTGCTTCTGGTAAAGCTCCAGAAGTCTTTAAATACTTCGGTTTTACTCCAGAGGGTGTCGCCACTAGAGCTGAAAAGACTGTCGCTTTCTACAAAGGTAAGGAATTGATCTCCCCAGTAAGAAGGGCTTTCTAAGAAGTTAAGAAAGTCTTTTTATGCTACTAAATATTTTTTGTATTATTCCTTTTCATTTTGACATTTTTTAATCATTTTTTTCCATGTATTTTGTTTTAAGATTCCTGTCCATTTACAACGTTTAAACAAGACATATAAGATAAATTTACATAACGTATATATATATATATGTGTATAGAATCTTATTTGTATAGGTACTAAATTTAGGGTTACGATTTACGATTATAAATTAGTAATTTTTCTCGAGCATTTAATCAATTTACACTGAAACTTCAAAGGCGGAGAGAAAGAAAAAAGAAAATAGAAATTGTCGAGCCAATAATCGTGACTTAATTATGTGGCGAAATACCTTATATATAAGCAGACAGTATGTTTTGTTAAATTATTAATAAGTCATTTAGTTTAATAAATATAATTCTTGTTCTTAGTTTTTTTTTTCTTGATCGCCCAAAGAAGTCATAAATAAATTCACTATCGAACAATAATGACAAAAGATCAAAAGGAAAAACAACTAGCAGTTGCATTTGTTTGTTTGGGTAACATTTGCCGTTCCCCAATGGCTGAAGCAGTTTTTGCAGAAACAGTGAAATTAAATGGTCTTGAGTCCCATTTCAGTAGAATTGACTCATTTGGAACAGCACGTTATCATATAGGTGAACCACCAGATGATCGTAGCTCTTCTACATGTAAAGCACATGGTGTTCCAGTTAACCACAGAGCTCAACAAATCAAAGATCATCATTTTAAAGAATTTGATTACATTATTTGTATGGATGAAAGCAATTACGATAATTTGAAAAGAATATGCAAAGATAAAACACTTTGGGATAAAATTTATTTATTTGGTCACTGGAATACTGATGGAAAGTATAATAAGATTGTTGATGACCCATATTATGGTGGTATTGAGGGATTTGAGTATAATTTTAACCAAGTAAAATATTTCAGTGAAGAATTTTTAAAAAGAGAATTGTAATGTTTTAGCTTTATTCATTATTAGATCTGTGACATTTAAAAACGCATTCATATGTCTTATTTAATAGAAATCATGCTACTAGTTTATTGGCAATTAGAAGGAATGATGTCTGAGTACAAATAGGTATGAAAATGCAAGTGATTTTAAATAGGTACTTATATATATAACCTTTGTACTTTGTATACCTTTTATATATATATATATATATTTGTTTAATGTTGATTTAATAGGACGTTAATATATTTATATATTATGTTAATGTTATTATATATATATAGATATAGATAAATAGATATAGATACACGCATTATTTTATATTGTATTATAAAACTTCAAAATCTTTTTCGTTATAGACAAAGTCCGAATTACAACGTCTGGCTAACCAACTTTTCTTATAATCGAAATATCTCCAAGATTCTTCTTCTAATTTATTAATATTAGTGTTAGAATTTGAAATGATACCAGGAGGTAATTTTTCAATTTCTTTATAATACCAGCAACGATCTTTTTTATTAAATTGCCAATTTCTATTCTTATTTAATTCCCTAGCAGCTAGAAACTGTTCATAAGAACCTTGATAATGGTAAAATATAAAGAATAATGTATCTAAATCGAATTTTGTAAAAATCTTAGCCAATGAAGTATTGGAGTAAATGTCATTATAATATCTTTTACCTTGAGTTGTTGAGCTTTTACCATTAATAATGTTAGTCCCATTATTGTTATAAATGTTAGTGACACTAGTTGTACCATTTGTGTTGGAAATGGTGGTACCATCAGTACTTATAGTATTACCCGCATTACCATGTCTTGTGGTACTTTGATTATGAAGATCTACTATACCATTTAGATTTTTACTTGAGGTTATACCATTAGCAGCGGAACTGGTATTTTCATTAATATCATATGGATAAACGAATCTAATTGGTTCATTAGGAAAAAATACTGAAGTTGGATGTGGTAGAGATAGTGGCTCTCTATAAAAGGAAGGCGAATCAGCATCAAGTGAATCAGGACAATTCAACAGAGAAGATTCCAATTTTGATACTAAGTCTTGTGGCATAGTATCTACCGGTTGTAATAATTTTTTTTTGGAGTTATGCCAATATTTCAGTTCATCTTTGAAAAGTTTATTCTCAAAAGCCTTGACATTTGTTTCAATATCCTTTTCCATAATTTCTTTAATCTCATCCGTACGATCTTTTGGGAAAGTCAAAACCGGTTCTTCGGTAGTCTTTTTATTATTAGTTATGGTATTATCTTTTTTTTTATTTAGATTAATATCATTTGATGCATTAGGGGTAACCGTTACATTATTGTTATTGTTGTTGTTGTTATTATTATGGTTGTTAGAAGTAGAAGAAACAGGTTGAGAAGAAGAAGTATTAGTGGTTGTTATTGATGAAGATGTAATAAGCTTTTTCTTTGGTGTGCCGACGATATTTTTTTTCTTGTCGTTGGAATTGGTTGGTGTGGCTAGATTATTAGTATTACTTGATGACGGAATAGTAGCTGAAGTTGTTGTAACTTCACAGCCCATGTCTTGATATAATGTATCATATTCAATAAAATCTGGATCATTATTATTTTCCACATAGTATAAGATATCATCTTTATATTCATTTAATTTAGACGACGACATTTCATCGTTTTGCAACAACTTCAAAATATTTTCTAAATTATTAATGTGATACAAATGTCTTTTAATAGACTCATTTTCATCTTGACTTATATCAGAATCACCACTATCAGAATCATTTGAGTTTGTTCTACTATTACTACTACTACCGTTATTATTATTATTATTATAGGTCTCTAATAACTCAAGTTGTTTTTGTAATTCATTAATACAGTCTACCACAAATTGGCAACTTTCATTTTTAATCTTATCGTTTGGATCAATAAAAAGTTGTGGATTAGACAATGCAATTTTAGAGAATTGTTTAATCTTCATCAATTTCTCAATAGACTTAAACAACTCCATCTTGGTTTCAATCAACTTTCTCGAGTTGACCAGATTGTTAAGTTGGTCCTTATCCTTTATATCCTCTTTACTGACCCATAACTTGATCTGTTCTCTGTGTTTCTGCAGTTTCTTAATCTCTCTTTTAAGATCCATTTCCAATTTCTCTTTGTAAGATTGATTTTCATTGGGATCAATAGACTCAAACTTATTGTAAATCAAATCAAATTCCTGCACACCATCCTTGACCTTTTTCAGAACCTTGTCGATATCTTGTTGTAACTTTCTTTGAGACATTAGGAATACTTTTTAATTTCTGAGGAGTCAACTATAGATAAACTGGAGAATGTTCCAAATTATATTATGTAATATATAAATATATTATTTTCTTTTTTGTCTTCTTTGTTCTCTTTTGTAGGTATATATGAGTAGGACAACCGTATCTAGCAAGACACTTTTGCCCAAAATGATCACAATTTAATGACGTTATGACCTGTTTATCATAGCACAAGCACAGTTTCCTTACCTTTTTTTTTTATCATCTCTGTAGAATTTGGTATTTTTGTTTTTGTTATGACAGAGAAAGAAATACAAAAGAAACTTTCGAAGGAAAAAAATGAAAAAAAAAATCCAAAAGTGTGGGTAGAGTGTACGGATGTACTAATTTTAGCGGCACTATCAAATAGCTAACATCCATACATTCCCAGCGTATAAAAAGCAATTGCTGTTTTTTTTATTTTATTTTATTTTTTCTTATGTGGTTATAGTCATAATGGGAGTTGAAACAGTATTTGAGTATGAGTATGAGTAGATTAGATATCATTTGTGATGTCTAACAACACACATAACACTATTGATTATTCGATCATTATTATCTTTCATTTAACAACAACAACAACGACAGTAACAATCAAAAAAAGTATAGATATAAATAAAATATTGATCAAATGAACTCTCAATTAGAACAGATCGATCAGGAAATAATACGTTATTTACAGAAGATAGATATCAATTTAAATGAATCCTTTAAGATAATCACACAGGATATTATACCCAATGTCAGAAAATATGGACAGACATGTGATGATATAATGGATAGTTGTCAATGGCTAATAACTATGTTCGAACAGACAAGTAATGTGCAATTATTTGGCAGTGATAATCCAATAGAGAAGAATGCAATCGATAATGAGAATGAAAGAAGCATATTTCCTACTATAGTAGATAAAGTTAGCAACACTGACAGAAATAATATTAATACTAATGACAACAACAACAGCAGCAATAATGATAACACAAATAACGATGATGATTTCCATACAGCAAATATTACTACAACAGGGCAAATATTACAATTACCTGAATTTAGTGATGATGAAAACGATGAACTTAAAAAATTAGTGAATGAGAAACAGACAAATAATAATAATAATAGTACATTACAACGTCAAAATCGTAAACGAAAAGTTTCATTATTATTACAACAACAATATGGATCTAATAGTAGTTCTATACCATCACCTGTAATACAGTCAAAGACAAGAAAAGTTAATGATAATGATAAGAATGACAAAGATACAGATACAGATATAAATACAAACACAGATGATGTTTATGATAGTTCACCATTAAAAAATGATATTCATAATAGTACTATACTACAATTTCCTACGGCAGAATAAAAGTATCATATATACAAAGTATACAAGTATATATAAATATATATATACATATGTATGCATGCATGTATGTATGTATGTATATGTGAATTTAGTATTAATATTCCTCTGTGCATATTTATATATTTATGCATGTATATATATTTGTATGGATAAACAATATGAAATCATCACATCTTAATGAACCAAATCTTTGTAATGGTAAGAAAAAACAAAAAAAAAAAAAGAAAAGAAAAGAAAAGAAAATAACAAAGGGAAAATACTTCAAAGAGGAAGGGAGTCAGAGGGAGGAGAGAAGGCATATATTTGCTTGTATAATTATCTATTATATGCTCTTAGAGTGGTAATAAGAAGAGTACAGTTAATCCATATATTCCTATATTATTATTGGCACAATCAATTATTCTACAATCCATATAAGATAATAAAAAACGGCATATCAAATAAATATATAAATAATTGTAATACATACAAACGCACAAATATACATATATAGATATATATATGTATACAACCGCATTTTCACAATCTTAATGGGCAATATAATGTCATCAAGTTTTGCACCGGAGTGTACAGAATTGAAACAAGTATACGACGAATGTTTCAACAAATGGTATAGTGAAGAATTTTTGAAAGGTAGGGGTGAAAATGAGAGAAATCCATGTTTAAAACAATGGCAATTATATTCACAATGTGTAGCATTACATATTACAAAGGATAAAGATTTAAAGGAATCATTAGACCAGGCAAGATTAGAGGCACCATTTGAGTCTGGTGGTGAATTAATAAATAATAAGGATAATAAGAAATAGATAAACATCTATTATATGACTGTTATCATGGGTAATGAAATGGGAAAAGAAAAATTCAGTGAAAAGATAGAGAAAAAAAGTATATATGTACATCAGATAAGTCAATATAAGTAAAAAAAAACAACTAATAAACAAACAATTCAAATGATAACTATATATATATATATACATATGTTTATAATACATGTAAATAATAAATATATATGTATAAAGTATGAATAAAAGAATATTACCTGTAGCTATAATCACAGGGTCCACCGGACATATTGGTAGAGCTGTTATAGAGAAGTTAACAAAACAAGGTATAAGTTGTATATGTTTAGGGTCTAAAAAATTATCTTTATCGTCATTTTCAATTTATTCATTACCCCTTCATAATGTTGTTAAGGGACAAAGACATCAATATATTTCAGTAGATTTTACTAAGCCTTTGAACATAGATGATTTAAAAGAGACTAAATATTCGGGGATTGAGTTCTCCATGGACAATCACAGTCATAAAATAAATATGAAAGAGAATAATAATTTAAAATTGCTTGGATATAAAAATTGGGAAGGAAATAGTCTGTGCTTTAAACCAATTTATAAATTACAACTGTTAATAAATCTAGTTGGTATAAGTCAAAACCAATTAAGTATAAAGATGTCAAGTGAGTCTATTAATAAAATGATAAATATTAATCTGTTAAATCCTATAATAATGACACAATTGGCAGCACGTGAAATGCTAAAAGATGCTAAATATCATATATGTGATGGTGATAGTTATGGTGATATAATACACCATCATCCATGCATAATTAATGTATCCTCAATACTAGGTGAGATTAATATAGATGATAATATCAATAATACAAGGTTTAATGGGATATCCATTTATGGATCCACAAAGGCAGGACTGATACAATACAGTAAACTGCTAAATAGTGAATTGAAAACGCCGCCATGGCCAAGAGTATTAAACATATCACCTGGACCTGTTATTGATAGTGCCATGATTCAAAATCTACCCTTTGAGAACCGCCAGTTACTTTTGAACCATAGTAAAGACGGTTCTAAAGCAACTACAACAAAAGAGATAGCGGAATTGATATGGAGGAAGTATACATGCCTATAGCTAAAGACTTGAAATAAAACAAAAGAACCTTAAAAGTGGTGGGAATATGTAGTGTACAGAAACCAAGAGAAATGTCTTCTTTATATTTATTTCTCTTTTTTTTTTTGTTTTTTTTGTTTTCTGTTTGCTTTTAGCCGTTTTTTCCAAAAATATTCTTATTATTAGCCTTTTGGGCAAATAAATGTAGTGTATTCCTTTTTTCTGTCAGGCTTTCTCATTTAGGAATTATCCCAAATAAAATTTCCAAGAATGGGAAAAGTATTAAAGATAATAAAATATCAATACGTCACTTTTAAAAACAAATATACACATACGTATATACATATACATATATACATACATACATATATATATATATTGGATTCAGAAACACGAATTCTAGATGAGGAATTTAATATTTTGAATACAGCAAGAAAAATATGTGTGTATAGACTATCTATTAGGGAGGAGGGGGAGGAGGTAAAGATACTTTTGAATATGAAGATAATGAGGATAAACTTTTATATGAATCAGAGTCAGAAAATCATGACAAGAGTAATGCTGTGTTAACAATTGAAAGATTTATTTTTTAACTTGGCAAAGGGTCAAAACAAGTAACTTCCTAGCTTTATAATGTTAGTAATAATCTGATAGATATAGTAATGAAAAATCCTAAAGAATGATTATTAAGCGCTATTATTAGGTTTCTCAGTGGACTAATGCACTTATGGATGAATAATATTTGGAAAAGAGGAGACATGGTACAAATACTTATGGAGAATTAGACGCTTTTCTTGATTCGAAAAAGGACTGGAATTACTACTATCTGCAGATAGTTGTACGACACTAGAGAGATGCATTAATAACTTCACTCCTTCATAATTAATCTTTAACGTTCTGTTCTGTTTTGTTTTTTTCTGTTTTCTTCTACTGTCTAATTGAGCTATCTAAGTCGTGAAATAAGCTAACAAAATTGTTTAGTTAGGATTGGATGGCTGATCTGCTGAACTTGTTGTTTGTCCGTAGTAATGCAGTCTTTCTTCAAAAATGCTAATACTATTTTTTTGTTTTTTATTGAATACTAAGAAGATGTCTGGGTGTTCAATCTGCCCAAAAATTTTTTTCTTTTTTTTTCTTTTTTTTCTTTTTTCTTTTTTTTGGAAGAAAACGGAAAAAAAAATTTTTTTTTTTTTCTTTTTTTCTTTCTTTAAGTTTCTGTTTGGTTTTTAGATGAAATTTTTCAGTAAGAGGGGATGGTTGGTTGGATAAATCACCTTTTTCTCTCCTTTTGAAGTATATTTTAATTTTAGTTTTATTCTAGATTGCTATATAATATTTCGTACTCTCATCTTCTGTTTGAAGATATATTTATTCGTTAGCTGTTTTTCATAGCAAGACCCTTTCTTCGATTCTTCCCTCTGAAAGTCTAGCAACAACATTTAACAACAACAACAATAATAATAAGCTAAAATGATTATTTACAAAGATATCTTTTCTAACGACGAATTATTATCTGATGCTTACGATTTAAAGGAAGTTGATGGTGTTATCTACGAAGCTGACTGTGCTATGGTTAAGGTCGGTGGTGATAACATTGATATTGGTGCTAACCCATCTGCCGAAGGTGGTGAAGAAGATATTGAAGATGGTGCCGAAATCGTCAACAATGTTGTTCATTCCTTCCGTTTACAACCAACTGGTTTCGACAAGAAATCTTTCTTAACTTACATTAAGGGTTACATGAAAGCTGTTAAGGCTAAGTTACAAGAATCCAACCCAGATGAAGTTGCCGCTTTTGAAAAGGGTGCTCAAACTTACGTTAAGAAGGTCATTGGTTCTTTTAAGGACTGGGAATTCTACACTGGTGAATCCATGGACCCAGATGCTATGGTTATCATGTTGAACTACCGTGAAGATGGTACTACTCCATATGTCGCTATCTGGAAGCATGGTGTTGTTGAAGAAAAGATTTAAGTAAATAAAATTATATATCTATTTAATTATTTATTTATTTATTTATATATATAAATTTCATTTTAGATAATAATAATATTATTAATAGTAATATTTATAACCTTTGTAGTAAAACTTGTCCGATTATTTTTTCTTCTTTGTTTTTTATTTTATTTTATTTTAGTTTCCTTTTTTTTTTACATCTGTGCTCTTCTTTCTTTCTCTTTTTTTTTTTGTATTAGTTTATTATACACATATATTTATATATGTGTATATATGTCAATCTGTTTATATATTTAATTATTCACTTCTTCTTGAATTACATGCTACTATCCTTAATTTATCCACTTTAATAACATCGTTATTCTTACTGTTGCTATTACTATTATTGCTACCGCTACCGCTATTACTGTTGTTGTTATTAGTATTGCTATTGCTGATATTATTATTGTTATTATTATTATTGTTGTTGTTGCTATTATTAGTGTTATTATTATCTATATTTTCGCCATTCTCTATGTTACTATTGATATTTAATAAATTATTAATGGAAACATTTTCTACATTAACCGAACAATTTTTGACAATAAATGTCCAAACATCATCACAGAACCCATAAGTATCCAAATCACCTTTAACAGTCAATTTTGACGATGTTTGCTCTTTTAAAATCTCTGATACACATCTGTCGAAAGTTTCCAAGACTCTCATTGCTAAAGACGCCTCGATTCTACCTTCACTGATTAATGTATCTAATGCGTCTACTAAACTGTTGCCAATTGTACTTCTACGATATAATTCATAATAACCCGGGATTGCCATCTCTCTGTCTATGTGTGTATACTCTTCTTCTTCTTTCTCTTCTTCTTGAATATATGTTCTTGCTTTTTCCAAAGATAATATTACACAAACTTATGTATATCTCTCCAACGACTAAATATTAATATGTTTACACAGATATACGTATATTACACATTATAACGTAAACGTGTCAACAGATACAGCCAACATTATCCGTTCTTGTTCTTTTGTTATTGTTGTTGTTTTCTTTTTCTCCTTTTTCTTTTTTTGTTTTTAAGTGTTTTTAGTTTTTCAGAGTTATCATTTATTTTCTCTTTTTTTTTTTTCATTTTCCCTCCAACCTATTTTTATTTTATTTTATTTTGTTTTTTAATCTAATAAGTGATATATAGAGATAATCATATATCTAATATTAAAGCAGAAAACATAACAGAGCATTACTGTTTTTTGGTTAGTAAAGAAAGATGGAGAGATATCCAGAGAGTTGAGAAGTAACACGATGAGTAGTACGATATTTTATAGGTTCAAATCACAAAAGGATACATCAAGGATATTGTTCGACGGTACAGGGTTGACAGTATTTGATTTAAAGAGGGAAATTATACTAAATAATAAGTTAGGTGATGGTGCAGATTTCCAGCTCCGTTTGTATAGTATTGACACAGGCGAAGAATACGAAGAGGACCAGGTGGTCATACCAAGATCTTCTACTGTTATCGTGAGAAGATCACCAGCCTATAGACCTGTAGGTATGGGATCTTTACTTAATGGTAATGCAAGAACTACAACTATAAACAGTAGCAGTAGTAACACTATAGTAAATGCTACGAGGTATGTTACTGGGAGACCACGTGTTACTAAAAAGAAACCAACAATGACAGCAATAACAACAGCAGCAGCAGCTACCGCAGCGATATCAAATGGATCAAATCCACTCGTCTCTAACAATTTCGCTTTATCGTCATCCCCTCTAATAATGGGTAACCATGTAAATAATAGGGTTGATACAGGTATAACAGAAGAAGAAAGAATAGCAAGAATGTTTGCTACACAGGCGAATGAGTGGGAAAAGACACAGGAAGAAATGTCATCCATAACACCGGTTATAGTTAGAAATAATAATAATAGTGGCCAAAGGGGACATGATGAAGGACCACCACCGGCAGGTTATATGTGTTATAGATGTGGATCACGTAATCATTGGATTAAAAACTGTCCAACAAACAATGATCCAAATTTTGAAGGCAAAAGAATTAAAAGGACGACAGGTATCCCTAAGAAATTTTTACAAAATGTGGAGATTGATGTCCAAAATATGACACCAGAAGAAATGTTGCAACGTAAGATTATGATCACGGATGATGGTAAATTTGTTGTGCAGGTTGAAGATAAGCAATCATGGGATGAATATCAAAGAAGACAGGAACAAAAACAGTTGAAATTTATTGGTAATAATGATAAAGATATTAGATGGAGACCCAATTATTACCCCTCTTTACCAAACGACTTAAAATGTCCAATAACTGGTGGGATCTTAAAGGATGCAGTGAAAACGAGTAATTGTTGTAATAAAATTTTCTCCAAGAATGCATTAGAAGATTTATTGTTAGATAATGATTTTGTATGTCCATCGTGTGGTCACGAGGAAATCTTGTTAGATTCATTAATACCAGAAGAAGCAATAAGAGAAAGAGTTAAACAATATATGGAAGAACATGATAATGATAAGAATATGAATAATACTAATAATAAGAGTGTTGACATGAATAAGAATATTAAAGTAGAGAACCAGGGAGAAAATAAAGGGGTTATTGATGTAGTAAAGAAGGGTGTTAAACAAGATAATAATAATAATAATAATAATAATAATAATAATAATAATAATAATAATAATAATAATAATAATAATGAGAATAAGGATCAGGATGATAATGAGGATCATAGTACAGTAAAATCAAAAAAGATTAAACTTTCAACAAATGAATCAAATAATAGTGACAATAGTAATAGTAATAGTAATAGTAATAGTAATAGTATATCCACTCTGCCTCCTCCTCCTCCTTCAGCACCATTACCATTTGTTCCAATGCCATTTGTTCCGATGTTCGCACCATTTATTCCAACACCACCTTTACCAACAACAAATACAAGTACTAATACCAGTACTAATGCAAATACAAATACAAATATAGCAAGTAATAATATTAATACAAGTAAGTCTTAATTAAAGACAAACGCATATGTATATACTTATATACATATTGTTAGTGGTTGTTTTAAGAAATATACGAAGATATGGACACTAATTATGCAGAAACGCTTTCAAATTATAGATTCATTTAACTTCATTAGTAAATCATGTATGTGATCCTTATATAGATTTTCTTGAATACATATATATGTGTGTGTGTGTAGGTGTTGATATTGTCTTTTTTATTTGTTTGTTTGTTTATTTTAAGATTATGTTCCAAAAATTCTTAACAATAATGTAAGAGTAACTTTTTTCAACCAAAACTTTAAATTGAAAAAAAATTATCAAAAAAATATTTTGATTAAACAGAGAGGAATGAAATATGGAACTATATTTACCACAAATAAACAAAAAAAGGTTTGTAATTGAGCCAATTGGAAGACAAATAAATGGATTTTTAAAAATCTACATTTATCATGTGAAATGACAGAAAAAGTCACAAAAGTTTGTATTAAAGAAGACTCGGATACAAAATGTGTTTAATTATATGTTTTACTTTGTCTATTAGTTATGTGGAATATATATATATATATATACATATATACAACAGAGGGTAACAGTTACAATACCACTTATATCTACTTATTATAAACAAGCTAAGTTATTATAAAACTACTAACATCCTGCTGTAAGTTGATTTCATTTCATTAAGCTAGTTTGATAATGGATTCTAATAGAATCGTTATTACTATGAGTTCTTAGATTAACTAAACAACACTCATGAATACAGATGGATCAAAAACACAACCGTTATGTCTGACTTTTTTCTTTGTATTATTTATACTTATATAGGTAAAATGAGATGGACAGACGTTCATTATTTATTTATTTATTCAAAAGGTGGATTCTAACCCTAATTTTTTAACAAACATCCGTACCTTATAAATCCAGACCCCACCAGCACCCACTATTCTTGTATATTTTTGGTATTCCTCAAAATGCAATTAACAGTATTTCTGTCCACGTGACTATTTCCACTTTAGGTGAAGGATTTACAATTCACACTAAAAACAAAAAAAAGAAAAAAGAAAAAAAAAAAACAAGAAGTCTTCAATTATGTTCTTTTTTTTTTTGTTGAAACCCTCTAGAAACGAAAATACGCATATTCATAATTTAAAAAGTCGAAACGTTATTATTATTATTGTTATTATTATTACTATTATTATTAGAGAAAGAGATTGTAGTGGAAGATGAGAGTGTTGGGAACAACAAAGATTGTTGCTGTTGTTGTTGTGTGATGATAACAAGAACAAAAAAGATAATACACTAGTATACTAGTAGCAGTAATAGTAGTGGGGTTTGGTGTCATGTGTGTTTGTTTTGTGTTCACGTTAAGATGTCTATTTTTTCTTTCTTTTCTCGTTACTTTTTAGCCATTCTTGTCTCCCCCTACTAGAAGACATCGTCACTCGTGGGGAGTTACTTTCACTCTGCTTCATGACGTCCTCTACTTCCTCTCTTTTTGTCAAATCAATCGAAGGATTCAGTTTACTTTTACTGCACTATTGCTTGTCGTTGGTGTGCCGTTATTATTGTCCATTTTCCCATCTTCTCACAAAACTTTCTTTCTTTCTTTCTTTTTTCATATTCTCTTCATTCTTTTCGATCAAATAATAGATTGCAAGAATAAGAATCATGGATAATGAATATCTTGTGTTTCCCATTCCGTATTCCTGTTATAAATATTAAAAGTAATAAATAATAATAATAATAATAATAATAATAGTAATAAAAGAAAAAAGAAATAAAATTTTTTTCTTTTCATTACTTTTTGTCTTTAGTTCTTTTATGTATATAAAAGTTGTGTCTTCACTTCTAACCATCTATGTGATTCTCTTTTTCAGTCAGCCCCCTTCTCTTTTTAACATCCTTACAACTTTATTCTGTCTTGTTTCTCAACTTTGAAAAGAACAACCAACCAACCAACTACATATCATATAAAATCAATCATAATGGGTGCTTTAGACGTTATTACCAGAAAGTCCGGTGTTATTGTCGGTGACGATGTTAGAAACTTGTTCCAATACGCCAAGGAACACAAGTTCGCTATCCCAGCTATTAACGTCACTTCCTCTTCTACCGTTGTTGCTGCTTTAGAAGCTGCTAGAGACAACAAGTGTCCAATCATCTTACAAACCTCCAACGGTGGTGCTGCTTACTTCGCTGGTAAGGGTGTCTCTAACGAAGGTCAAAACGCTTCTATCCAAGGTTCCATTGCTGCTGCTCATTACATCAGAGCTATTGCTCCAGCTTACGGTATCCCAGTCGTCTTACACTCTGACCACTGTGCTAAGAAATTATTACCATGGTTCGATGGTATGTTAGAAGCTGATGAAGCTTACTTCAAGGCCCACGGTGAACCATTATTCTCCTCTCACATGTTAGATTTATCTGAAGAAACTGACAACGAAAACATTTCTACCTGTGTCAAGTACTTCACCAGAATGGCTGCCATGCAACAATGGTTAGAAATGGAAATCGGTATCACCGGTGGTGAAGAAGATGGTGTCAACAACGAACACGTTGACAAGGCTGCTTTATACACTAAGCCAGAACAAGTTTACGCTGTCTACAAGGCTTTATCTCCAATCTCTCCAAACTTCTCTATTGCTGCTAGTTTCGGTAACGTCCACGGTGTCTACGCTGGTACCATGGCTTTGGCTCCAGAAATCTTAGCTGACCACCAAAAGTACACTGCTGAACAAATTGGTGCTCCAGCTGGTTCTAAGCCATTATTCTTAGTCTTCCACGGTGGTTCCGGTTCTACTGAACAACAATTCCATACTGGTATTGACAACGGTATTGTCAAGGTCAACTTAGACACTGACTGTCAATACGCTTACTTAAAGGGTATCAGAGACTACGTCTTAAACAAGAAGGACTACTTAATGTCCATGGTTGGTAACCCAACTGGTCCAGAAGCTCCAAACAAGAAGTTCTTCGACCCAAGAGTCTGGGTTAGAGAAGGTGAAAAGACCATGTCCGAGAGAATTGCCGAAGCTTTCGGTGTTTTCAGAACCAAGAACACTTTATAAGTGTAGATCAAACCAGTAATTATTTTTATGAGTACACATAGATAATTATTATCGTTTTTGTTTTTTTTGGTTTTTTTAATGATTATTACTAATAAATTATTTATATACTACTACTACGAATATATAGAATACGTATGTCTTTATATATAAGTTTTATTATGTTTTAAAAAGTTTTAATGATATAAAATAAAGTGAAGTGAGATAGGGGAGGGGCGGCGTGTAAGTAAGTAACTTGTTTAGCCATTCTATTCGAATAAGTGTTTCTCTTCAGATATTTTTCATAGCCTTTTTTTGTAAACTTAATTCAGAAAATGCCTACTTTCAAAGAAATATCCACCTAATCAACTTCATTACGCTATTGAAAGCTGCTATACAGTTTTGTTTCAATTACAGAAAGCATCAATATCTCCTAATTCAACAGAAACCACAACCAAAACAAAAAAACACCTCCAACAGTATAACGTTTACCATTTGTATTATTATGTTTTGGTTCAAAACTCAACAAAAAATATCTAGCTTACCATCTTTATGGAATCTATCCAACCAAAATGATCAAGTAGTAAAAGATTTCTATAACTGTTACACTGACTACACGATAAGAGAGAAGTATATATATTTTCTTAATCCAATTAGAAACTATACTCCGCCTAAATATCCAATAGTGTTTTGCCATGGGTTATCGGGATTTGATCAACTGATTCTTATCCCTTCTATGAAACAGTTACTTAATTTATTAAAAAATCATATTCAATTGTTGGCCACCGATCAGAATGATTTATCTCCCTTTGATACACATATGACTAATGGCATCAATAACAGCAAGGTCGTCACACCTTTACCATCTTCTTCATCTCCATCTATATCTTCTTCATTTTTAGCCATTGATTATTGGTTAGGCATTCAAAAATATTTACAGGCTATGGGCTGTCAAGTTTATATAGCTAAAGTACCGAGTTTTGGTAGTATTGAATCTCGTGCATTAACATTACATACATTATTAAATAAAATTGCTTTATCGAAAACAGACACTACCACATCTTCACAAAACGGTAACATGAAATTCAATTTAATAGCTCATTCTATGGGTGGATTAGATTGTAGGTATTTGATATCAAGGATTTCCAATGATGCCAAAAAGAAAAATTATCAAATTTTGTCATTGACAACTATATCCACACCACATAGAGGTTCTGAGATGGCCGATTTTGTAGTTGAACAATTTGAAAATTGGAGCCGTTTCTTAAAGTTAAAGCCACAAAATGAAAATGGGGAAAATGCTCCATTGTTACCATTATGTTTCTATCAATTAAGAACCACTTATATGACCCAATATTTCAACCATATCACTCCGAATAATCCGAAGGTGGCATATTTTAGTTATGGTGCCGTCTTTAAACCATATTGGTATAATGTATTTCGTCCAACATGGCAAATTATAAATGATCGTTCCAATGGTGAACCTAATGATGGTATGGTTACAGTTAAGAGTTCACGTTGGGGTAAATATATGGGCACATTATATGGATTAGATCATTTAGATGTAATCAACTGGCAAAACAACTTAATTTTAAAAACACCGTCAAAACCAACTTCAATATTCTCATCCTCATCTCCAGTGAATTTTGTAAAACTTGATATTTTACAATTTTATCTTTCTATTACTCATAATTTAGCTCTCAATGGATTCTGACAAAAGTAAATAAGTAAGTAAATCAATGAGTTGATTCAAGCTCTTCAAAGTATTTCATTATATTACCCAAGATACCCCTTCTCCTTCTCCCTACAATCTCCTAATATTCTCCTGCGATTTCTTTTTTTATTTCTGATTCAATTTTATATTTACTTCAATCTCATCGTGAATATCTTCTAATTCATCACACAGCTTTTCCATCTCCTCTATTCTTTGTTCAATATCATTCAACTGACCCATATATCGTTGTCTTAGAGTTTCCACTCTAGATAGAGTATCATTATTCATCACATGGAAAGTTTCATTAATTTGGTTCAATAATGTTTCATTATATCTGATTTTCTCACTAAATTCTGATATCCATTGAACGCTCTTTGTGTCTATATATTCTTGTAATGATTTTATACACTCTTCGATGTCTTTTGAATTCATATTCACCAACTATACCTCTTTAATAATATACGTATACATGTACATACATCTATAGTAAAATCAACTCTTCCAGTTCCAGGACCTTTTTATTCCAATATTATATGTCTCTTTTGTATTTAATGTGTTCGTCTCCTCAAATTGAATTTATTAAAAGGTGAGAGAGATATTTTACTCTTTATTTTTTCCTTTTCTCTGACAAAAAGTATCAATATCTAAGCCATATGATGTGATAACATATTGTCAAAAAAAATGTTAAATATTAAAAGAATATTGAAGAGAATAGAAGAAAATAAACTTAGCTTCAATTGAAAATAGTGTATTCATTCTATTATCATCGTATATGATGTATGTGGTTGATTGATTCTCGATTCAGTTATTAAGTCTATTGAAATTCTTTTGAAATTAAACACTACAGATCCTAATAAAAATAGAAATGTCACAATCCATGATAAAACCTGTAATAGGCTCATTTTTAGTTAAGTTTGATATGAAAAAGGGGAATACCCTAGTGTGGTCACGCAATTGTGAACTCTTTCAAAAAAAATCATCTTCTTCATTAGCGTTTAAAGCCATGCCATCAGGTATTCATGATGAAATTAATGATACAATTTGCTTTACCGCTACAAATTCAGATAACAAGTCTTTATATATGGGATTATCGATTTTCATGCAAAATTCTTTTGAATTAATTAACTCAGAGTTACAATCCAAAGTAGATCTACAAAATAAACATATGATTAATAGAAATAAAATTAAAATGTTCTCATTTGCAATCATTTTAGATATTAAAATTAATGAACCCAATGATAATTTATCAGATATTGTCAATTCAAATATTCAATTTTATTCAAACCATTTATATTCCACTTTAAAATTATGGTTATCACAAAATAATACTGACAATGCTCATAACAAAAGTATCCCAAATACAACCATTTTAGAAAATTTTCATAACAACTATCATCAGAACCCAACAATATTTACAACCAAATCCATTTCTCCAGCACATGACTCGATAAAACAATCTTTTATAGATGATGTAAAGTATTGGTTGGAAGAACTAGGCCCTCTATTATTTATCCTATGGAAATCAATCCTATTAAATGAAAGAATATTGATCTTAAATTTATCAAATGAAAAAGTTTTCAAAATAAATGCATTATGTAATTTCATTAAATTAATTCCAATTAATCAAACTTTATTATCATCTCTTTCTTCAAAATCATCTACCATACCCTCAAATTTCTTAAATTTATATACTATTGGTATATCTGATCTAGATGATATGAAAAATATTTTGTGCAACCCTAACCAAGGGTATATTGCGTGCACAAATGATAGTTTGTTAGAGTTTAAAACAGAAATTTTTGATAAATTAATCAAAATTGAATCGAATATGGAAATAGGCATGAGAATCTCTGTTACCGATAATGATAATAACGTCATAAGGGCCACGCCAAATGATTTGCGATTAAGTGATTATTTATTTAAGTTGTTAAATATTCAAGACGAAATCTCCAAAAATAACTTCAAAAAATACAACACCATGACTGAATCTATCTCTTGGGCTCAGTTCTTTTGGGATGAACTATATCTTTTGATGACAGCAGGATATTTGAAGCCATCTTATCAAAACATTAAAATAGATTTACCCAACGATAAACAAAGACTCCCTGATGGGTTGAATGATACAATAATTTCATTATTAATTGATATTTTTCAAGCAAAAAACCAAGGCTTACATAATTCATTGGAGACCATCATATTATCTAAAGAATTTGATGAATTGACAGATGATACCATATATTTACATCCAAGTGATCTAAAAGCTTTGAACCTAGATTGTTTCAGCAAACAAGACTTCGATTTCATCATAAAACTAAGCAAAAAGTGGTTTAATAAAAATATAGAAATTGCCGGTTTTTCTGATTACTTAAACATAGCCTGCTAGGGAAATGAGGTACTCACGCCAATGGAGTGAATGAGGCAGGGAAAAAAAAGAAAATAAACATAAATAACTCCATACACACAAACACACACACACATATATATATAATGTATTAAACTAACATATAGAATAATCCCAAAATAAAAGTAGTAAATAAATAATGTGGTATGAAAATACTACTTTTTTAAAAGTGCAATGATAAAAATATTTAGTTTATTATGACCTAGTTCAATGATCTTCTTTTCCTCTGGTCATTTTTATTACAGTAACTTTTTAAATCGTTTAAACTATTAGCCATAAGGCACATGCAATTATAGAAATACCGATAATAGCAGTGATAATACCAGCACCTGCTCTAGAGCCTGCAGTGATATGTAAGGCTGCTAAATTTGTTGGATTGGTTTCTGTACCAGCAGCTGGATTACCTTGAGAACTACCACCGGTAGTAGATGTATATGGAGCGGGTCTTTGTAATGCTTTAGTGTTGATCATAACTTCTAAAGCACTCATCTGTTCACCAAGACCATAATAACCGTCCCAACCATCAATAAACCAATTCAAACCACATGTGTGTCCATCAGTACCACCAGAACATGATCTTGCGGCTGCTTTAGCTGAAATGTTTAATAATCTCATAATATGGTCAGAAGTTTCCGGTACTAATTGTGCGGTTAAACCTAAAAAACGGGAGAAATAAGCTTTAAAGGAACGTTGATCTGTGTTACAAGATAAAGATGGTTGACATGCAGCTTCATACATAACACCTGTGGTACTATTGAAAAACACTTGTGAAGCATTCAATAATTTCTTAGTTCTTTCGTGCCAAATTTCAGATCCAGTGAAATTATACAAGTATGCACTACCAGATAATAATAACCCTTGATTATAAGTCCACTGATATTTTGTTAATTGAGTACAATTATCTGTTACAGATGCACCATCATAAACAAACATATATGTACCATTAGAGATTAAATGAATATCGTACATCCAGTCCCAAACTTTTTCTGCCCAGTCTGCATAACTTGTGTTACCAGTGTACCTGGCTAATCTAGCAGCCAAATGGAATAAAGCACCATTAGAGACAGTATTTTTATAGTCATAACCAGTATTCCAAACGAAAATTTGCCATCTTAGCCCACCACCACATGTGGTATCATCCCAACGTAAAGCCATAGTATTAAAGACAGCTTGAGCTAAGTATAACCATTGTGGGGACTCCTTCGGTGGGTTAGTAAAATTTCTTTCAGCAGCGGTCATTGCAGCAATCCCCCAGAAAGCTTGATCATCATTACCTTCTGTTGTGGATTGATTCAAAGGAATATAATTATTATTTTCACCAGTTTGATGTAACATAGCTTGCATAATTATGTCGTTATATGAGTCATTCTGCATAAACCACCAATAATCGATCATACTCCCCCATGCACCACCTGCTTCCCACCAATAGTATGGGGGTGAAAACATACCAACAGTCTTACCATACTGATCCCCTGTGTAATAATCCATTAACCCATAAGCAACCAGTGATGTAGCATTAATTAAAGACTGTGGGTCATCTAAATCTAATTCTAAAGCTTTAGAATGAGAGATAAAGGTGGTTAACGTCAGTAAGGACGATACTATGAAATTTTTCCTATTAAGTCTCATCTTGCAGTTATAAATATGAATCAAGTAAAACAACCTCTGAGTATTTTTATCAAATATATATTTAAATGAATAAATATAAATTCAAATCAATTTGTAATATCTTCTCACAAAACTAGAGGAAAAGCAAAAAATAATATATTGTTTCTGTTTTATATTTTTTGTTAGTCTTAATAAGGATATTAAATTCCGAAAAAGCAGAATAGTGTATAGTCTTATTGAAAGATCAAATATTAGAAAGCAACAACTATAATAGAATAGTAGTATTTATAAATAAATAAACAAAAATAAGAGGCAAAGGAATATTTAAACTATCCGAATCTATAAATGTAAACGGATTGTTATTAGTTGCACTAACAGCACAACAACGACAGAAACCAAAGCAGACAGAGATATGATACCCTAGTTTAACATGTCTGTTCCTACAACTTGTCCTTTATTTCTTTTTTTATTCCCTCTACAAAGTTGAAAATGATCCAAAAGGAGTTTGAAACTCCTTCGAGTGACATAATTTGGTCCAAAAGTTTGCTTTTTCTTGTCTCTTTTCTTTTTCAAAATACACAGAAGAGATGTATGGGTGTCTGTCACGTGTGCAACACGTTTTGTTTTCTTTATTTTCAATTTTTGTTTTAAAAAATAAAAATTCTAACTGCAAATTTTTTGGTGTCGCGACGCGTAAAAAATCGTAAATAGTTCACTTGAATGGATGGTAGTACAACCAGTTGAATAGATGATTAAGATCTTAAAGGAAACCATAACACAAGTTAACCAACTTAACATGGCTATTTGTTTTAATAACGTTGGTTTCTATTATATCATACCTACTATCTACGGATATTGCTGAGGATAAAAAAAAAAAACCAAATCCAAAAAAACAAGAAATAAATACAAATAAATTTGAACTAAAATCAATCAGCATATTAAATTCAAAATGTTTAGGCAAACAAAGAAAAGAATTGCTGCTAGAAGAAATTTCGATTCCTATAGTGAATCCATTTCAGATAGTTTCCAACCTGGTAAAGATAATTTCACAAGGATAAATTTAAAGGACGGAAATTTAGATAGCGAAAAGAAACTTTATGACATAATATATCCAAATAAATTATCGTTCTATGAATACCCACCAAGAGGAGAAATAACATTAGAACAGTTCGAAACATGGGCAATTGCTAGACTGAAAATCTTATTAGAGATTGAATCAGGTATATCAAGAAACAAAAATTTAAATGAAATTGAAACTTTAATTAAATCCCATTTTAATAAATTTTTGCCGTTAACTAATGACAATTATATAAACAAAAAAAAAGATTATTATTCTCATTATATTCTAAGACTTTGTTTTTGCCGCACTAAGGAATTAAGAGAAAAATTTGTTAGAGCAGAAACTTTCCTTTTCAAAATTAGATACCAAATGCTAAATTCCTCAGATCAAATCAAATTTGTGCAATCACTAAATTTACCTCTTCTACAATATATATCTGATCAAGAAAAGAATAAATATTCAAAAGAATTATACCAAACCATTTCATCTCAATTACAATTCCAATTAAATTTAACCGATGAGCAACAAAGATATAATTATTTCCAAAATGAAAAATTCATCAAATTACCATTTGAAAATGTTATCGAAATGGTTGGTAACCGTTCTGTATTTTTAAAAGAAGGCTATGCATACTTGCCTCAGTTCCAACAGTTGAATTTGATTGCCTCTGAATTCGCTAATAAATTACAAGACCAACTAATCAAAACATTCCAATATTTACCAAGATTAAATGAAGATGATAGGCTAGTACCCATTTTAAGCCATTTGTCTTCTGGTTATACAATCTCTGATTTTAATCAAAACTCAAACCAATACAACAATAATGAAGATGATGATATAACTGCCGAAAGTGTTTGGTCAGAGAGAATCAACAAACATTATCCCTTATGTATTAGAAACTTATTTAAAGGTTTAAAAGAACATCATCATTTAAGATATTATGGTAGACAACAACTTTCTTTATTTTTAAAGGGGATAGGCTTAAGTGCAGATGAATCTATGAAATTTTGGACAAAGGCATTCACGGATGGTGGTCACATGAGTTTAGAAAAATTTAATAAAGAATATAGATACAATTTTAGACATAATTATGGGCTAGAAGGTAATAGAATCAATTATAAACCATGGGATTGTAGAACAATTTTAAGTAAACCTAGACCAGGTAGAGGAGACTACCATGGTTGTCCCTTCCGTGATTGGAGTTCAGATAAATTGACAGTTGAATTAGCTAAATTGGGATTAACAAAATCTCAGATTAGTAGTGTACTAGATTCGTGTGAAAATGGTGAATATATTGTTGCAAACACTAAAGTGTTTGAATATACCCATAATTTAGCCGATAGTGAACTTGAAAAGGAGGGATTAACTTTAATGGATCATCCAAATCTATATTTTGAAAAATCAAGGCAACTCGAAAAGAAACAACAGAAGACAACAGGCTAAATATATGTGATCCAGTAAACTGTTATAGAAATCAAATAAGTAAAAAAATAATGTTTACAAAGATATATACATATATATATATATGTATATATGTATGTAGATATAGTTGTCTATTTACAGATTTAATGAACAAATGGAATTAAACAGTTATAAACATAAATATGTAGATAAACTATGTTTGTCTGTTTGTCTGTTTGTCTGTTTGTATGTGCTAGAAGTGATAGAATGTAAATTAAAGAAGCAAATATTTTCACTTTCACATCATACCTGGCATGCCACCTGGCATACCGCCTGGCATACCACCTTGAGAAGCTGGTGGTTCAGGAGCATCAACAATAGCAACTTCAGTAGTAGCTAATAGAGAAGCAACACCAGAAGCGTCCACTAAACCGGTTCTAACAACTTTGAATGGATCAATGATACCAGCAGAGATCATATCAGTATATTCACCCTTGGAAGCATCGTAACCTTTAGCAAAATCTTCACCAAATTCATCAATCAATTTACCAACAATCACAGAACCTTCTTCACCGGCATTTTCGATGATTTGCTTAGCTGGCTTAGTGATGGCCTTTCTGATGATATCAACACCTAACTTTTGGTCAAAATTTTCAACTTCAACATCATCTAAGATTCTAGATGCCTTAACTAAAGCAGTACCACCACCTGGTAAAATACCTTCTTCGACAGCAGCTCTGGTGGCATTCAAGGCGTCATCATAACGATCCTTCTTTTCACCGACTTCGACTTCAGAAGCGCCACCTACTCTAATAACGGCAACACCACCAGATAATTTAGCCAAACGTTCTTGCAATTTTTCCTTTTCATAAGAATTAGTGGTAGTAATATCGATAGAGTTCTTAATTTGCTCAATTCTTTCTTGAATAGCCTCCTTAGCACCATTACCATTTAAGATGACAGTGTCTTCTTTTGTAACAGTGATGGAATCACAAGAACCTAAATGTTGTAAAGTACATTGCTCTGGTTTCAAGTCTAATTCTTCAGTAAAAACAGTACCACCAGTCAAAATTGCAATGTCACCTAAAGAGTTCTTTCTGTTATCACCGAAACCTGGTGCCTTAACGGCACAAACCTTAACTTGACCTCTTAACTTGTTCAAGATACAAGCTGCTAATGCTTCACCATCAATATCTTCAGCAAGAATTAATAAAGGTCTTCTACTTTGGTTAGATAACTCTAAAGCAGGTAAAACATCTTGGATAGAAGAGATTTTCTTTTCACTTATTAAAATTAAAGGTTTTTCAAATTCGACCTTACCAGATTTAGCATCAGTGATGAAATATGGAGAGATATAACCACGATCAAATCTCATACCTTCAGTGACTTCTAGTTCATCTTCCAAAGTTCTACCTTCTCTAATGGTAATAACACCCTCTTTACCGACTTTTTCCATAGCAGAGGCCAATAACTTACCAACATGGGAATCACCATTAGCAGAGATAGTTGCTACTTGAGCAATTTCAGCAGAGGTAGTAACTTCTTTCTTATTTTCAGATAAAAATTTAATGACTTTTTCTACTGCAAGCTGAGAACCCCTTCTTAAGTCCATTGGATTGCAACCAGCAGCGACGTTTTTAACAGATTCAGTGAAGATGGCTCTACCAAGAACAGTAGCAGAGGTAGTACCATCACCAGCGGCTTCGTTGGTCTTAGCAGCGACTTCTTGTAATAATTTAGCACCCATATTTTCAAATTTATCTTGTAAGACAATTGCCTTTGCCACAGTGACACCATCTTTAGTAATCTTTGGAGCACCGAAAGGCTGTTCAATTAAAACATTTCTACCCTTTGGACCTAAAGTGGCTGAAACAGCATCAGCTAAAGTTTCAACACCTTTTAGTAGAGCCGCTCTACCTTCAACACCAAATTTGATATCTTTAAAAGCAGAGTAAGAACGTCTTAAAAGTGGTCTTAGAGCTGCTTGAGAACGAACAACAGATGATCTTAACATATTGATTTTTTGTATTATTAAGGTGAGGTGTGGGGAGGGGGAAAAGAGAAGGTTATTTATACGTTACTGAGGAAAATGTAAAAGAACAAAACGAAGACTATTATTGATAAACTATTATAACAAAGTGGATTCAAATCAAGATTCCAAATGCAAATTAAGGCAAAAAAAGAAAGAAAAACAAATGGTGAAGAAGGAAAAAAACATAGTAGATTAAAAGACACAAATATAGAAAAGTTGATTTTAAGTTAACCTAATTGAATTAGTCAAAATAGTCAAATAAATAAAACAAGAATATTAGAAGAGGGGTAATATAGGAGATGGAAAAAAAAAAAAAAAAGAAAAAAACAAGAAAAATAAAGACAAAGAAAAGCCCGTTAAAAGTGATCGATTTTCTTCTTTTATCCCCGCTTTTTTTTTTGCCTTCACCAAAAACCTTAATACTTTTCTGAATTTCCATTTATGGAAATTTTTCTAGCCAATTCAAAATGTGCATTACAATATGCAAAAGTTAGGGTGTTACTTTCAGATAACCATAAAAGCCAAGATGTGAGAGGCAAAAGACATCAGGGTTGAGAAAACTTTTAGTTCTATTTAGTATAGAAATTATCTAATGGACAAGTTCCAAAGAACACAAAATAAGTAAAGAGATAATGTATATATCTAAAACAAGCCAACCAATCGATATAAAACATGATAAACACATTTCATTAAAAAGAAAAAAAATAGGACTGAATCCATTATACATCAATTATTCTTTGAACTTCCAAATTTTTAAGTATAAAATAAAATTCATTGTTGTGCTAACACAACAAAAAATAAACAAATATCCACCTGTAAATGATGGACACAAGATTAAATTTTTTACAAAGATTTGGAATAATAGGTTTTAATTTTGAATCTTTTATTCATTGTGTAAGAAGAGAATATAATCTTATTCCTATTTCCTTTACAAACTGTTTTATTTTATTTTATCTTATAAGTCAATATTATTCCCGTTTTTCCAAATAATTTAGGTCTTCTAAAGATACATTTTCAGAAATATTTAAAAAAAAAAGGTGTGATTAGGTCTACATCATGAATTTTTCCCTCCCAAATCTAAATGAAAAATAAAAAGCTATACGTCTCATTGTTTATGATAAAAAGCCCTCCCCTATTAAGGTGATTTTCAAAGTATAATTTTTGGGAGTGTGTGGATTTATCATTGTTGTTAATTTATGCATGACTCGTTTTCTTTTCTCTCATAACTACCGCATCTTTTGTTCCCCTACCCAAGTCACAAATCTTTCTCCATCAAAAATAAAAAAAACAAGAAAAAAAGAGAAAAAAAAAAAGAAAACACCAAAAAGAACAAAAAGGAAACACCCATACATCTAGCAATCGATTTCTTTATTTTTTTTTAATATTATACACGTGCATGGAATGTATGGGTGTATATGATACAGGCGAAACAAAAAAAGGATATCAAGGGTTCTGTATATATTTTCCATACAGAACCTTTAAATACGAATGATAAGCCATCTAGACACTAGCCAGACTCTCTGTACGTTCCTTTGAGAACCAACAACTGTTAAATATCAGAAGATATAGACAAATAGCATGAATCTATCTATCTGTAAGAAAATATCGAACTGTTACTTTCTCTCTTTCTTCTCTTTCAAAAATTAGAGAGAAGAGATATTGCTTATTAATGAGACAATAATATTCAATCGACTTAAAGGACTAAAACAAACTAATAAAATGGATAATAAATAAGTTCACTACAGGGAAAAGAAAAGGATAAAGATAAAGATAAAGATGTCAAGAATTGATTTGAATTTAATTCGACTTGATTCAATATGAAATAATGGAGTTCATAGCTGTAACAAAATCAAAATCAACCTTATGGTTATAATCACAAAAAATGTCAATATAAACCGTTTATTCAACCATTTTAGAAAACAAAGAAAATATAGATTGTATCCAACAGTTAAACAACAATCCACATTCTTTAGAAAAAAAAAAGAAGAAACTTATATTAAAAGGTATCATTTAATAAAATATACTACTCCGTTGGTTACATATATATATATATATTATTTTATTATACTATACTATATTACATGCTTGTATGTACATGAACCTTTATAGATATAGCTTCGATCTGTTTTATGAATGTTTTGTCCATGTTATCAAAAACGCGTAACCTTTTCATTTCCGTTCCATTTTTCATTTTACACGTTAACGCGACTGTCCGCTTTCTTCTTTATTTTTTCTCTTTACTTTTTGTGTTTCAGAAATCAAATAATGAATAGATTAAATAAACAAATAAGAAGAATAGAGTCCTTTTGTAATTCTGTCATATTTAAATGCAATAAACAAACAAAAAAACATAATTTAAATCAACGAATTTCTGTGTTTTTTGTTTTTTATATATATTCAAACAACTTCAATCCATTTAATTAACAATACTAAGGTGAAAAAAATCGGAAAAAAACAACAACAAAGAAATGAATAACGGTTCACCAACGCCTAGACGTTATACATCCAGACCTGACTTCAAAAATTACGGATTTGATGGGCTTGAGAATAGGAATAGTGGCAATAGATACATGAATCCAAGAGAAAAATTGATTCCAAAACAATATTATGAAAATGCCAGGACTGTCGATGAATTATTAGCTGAAATCAAAATGTTGTCTAGACAATTACGAGAACAACAGGAAAGAGAGTTGAAACTGAGAAATTTGTGCGAGACTTTAAAGGGGAAATTAGGTAAATATTTTGAGTTTCGCGAACTTGCCTTGAGATATAAGCATGAAAGAGACGAACTTTCCTATAAACTTTACAAAAAAAATATCTATGAAGATGACGATGATAACATCAATAACAGTAATAATAATAATAATAATAATAATAATAATAATAATAATAATAATGTCAAAAATTTTGATTTTGTTGATGACTCTGATGTTAATAAAGATTTGGACGATGATCATATATATATTTCTAAGAGAAGAAATAATCATTACAGAAATAACGAACATAGATCTTCCATGTCTACAAATAAATCAAATCTAAATCAAAATGAAAATGATTTAGAGACAAAGGAGTTAATCAGTAAATTGTATGAAATGATCTCCAGTTTAAAACAAGACAGTATAACTTTATCTACACGATCTAACTCAAATAATTGCAATAATACTGATGATAATGACAGGAATAGTAGTGGAAATAATATGAACAATGATTCAAACAAAAATAATAATACTGATGATAAGTCGAAGTACTTATCAGAAAAAGATTTAGATGTTATTAAAACGGAAGAATTGAGAAAACTAGAAGATGCTGTTCAAGAGTATCGTCATAGACTAGAAGCAAGGAAAGCGTATGAAAGACGCAAGATTTCAGCTCAACAAGAAATATTACAGATCCAAGAAGAATTAAGAGGTTTAGATACAGGTTTTAGTTCCTTTGAAAATAACAACACTAGCAATACAAAAAATAGTGTAAAATTTGCAGAAAAAGAAACTAAAAATGAGGTAACTAGACCCAAATCAAAAAATAAATCGAAAATTAGAGAGAGATTTGATGACATTGGTAATGAATATGATGAAACGTCGTTTTTCCAAACCAGTTCGACATGACGATAGTACAAAATGAATTAACACTACCTAGTTCATTTAAGTTCCATAAATAACAACCACATATAATATTTTTATAAAATATGTAAAACTTTATAGTAACAATCGATATTCATTATTATATATTAGGTTCTTAATAGTCCGGTATAAACAATAACATGAATCGAGACAAAAGAAGAAAAAGAAAAATGGGAAGTAATACTTATTGATAATAATAAGCTATCAACATATGATCTATTTTAGCAATGTTTTTGAATTGCGTATATACCAGATATTTTCATAATGTCACTGCAGACGATCGTACAAATTTTCTAGTTGACAATATTTTTATTTTCATATCTTTTTCTTCACAACTTTTTTATATTTCAATGCTTAAGGTTTATTTGTAAATTCTTCCAAGAAAGAGAGTTTAAGCAAATATTGATAAGCATTGTCTTCCTTAACTAACAACTAAAACTCTAATACATCAACACCCAAAATATTATATTTGCCCCTCCTTATAAAATGTATCCCATGCTGTTTCTAAACTATGATTAGTTTCTTTCAGATTTTTCAACTAATCTTATTAATTCTCTTTCGGATAAAATTTTCCTTAAATCTTCTCTACTAATTTGAACAGAATCAATTTCTATACATCCTTCCAACATTACTAGTAGCACTCGTTGATTATGTTTATCCTTTAATGTACCATTATATGTTCTCAAATTGAACTCACCTATTTTGACTTTCACATTTTGAACTCCAATCCTTTGTTCTACTTCGAATGGTCTAAACCTTATATCATAAAATTCACGACCAGTAATATTTCTTATATTAATATTCTTATATATTCAGATAAGATAAATAATCAAACAAATCCTGTCTGAATGGTAATAAGAATATTACTGTGATAATCACAGCATACTGAAAGCAAGTGTGTTGCCGATAAGTCTGATCATGATGAAAAATCAATAAAAGAAATCCGTTGCTAAAGTCCAAGATTACTATGTTGATAAAAGTAACAACTTAAGACAGATTTTAAGGCTTGGAAAGATTCAGTTAATATCTTTTACCAGATTTATTTTAAGGTTTTTCCTGATAATAAGTTTATACTTCAATTGATTAAATTATGTTTGAAAGGGACGGCAAGAGCATGATTTGAAAGCGGAGAATCCACTTTTACGTCATTAAAACAAACTATTCATGGCATTGAAAATAGATTTGGCTTAAATCATCTTTTCAGGGAATTTGTTGATAAATGTTGAAATGATAATTTAGAAGGTAAGTCTATGAAGAAAATTGGTGATAATTTTCAAGAATTACTAGACGTTGCTGCTGAATTTATTTTAGAACAATTTTTGGCCGGTAAGTTCTATTGAATTAACTGGGTGTATTTTAAATAATAAAATCCCAGAAACTACTACATGGGCACAATTATTAGACATGACTTGTAATTATGAAAATACTTTCAAGCAAGCACAATCAAACAGGACCGAGTTGAATTTTAAAATTGCCAAATCTTATAAAGTGATAGAGAAGAAGAAGCCTGTCAAGTATTTCGAGTACAGCAAAGTGAGTCATTTGGCTCACCAATGTAAGAACTCAATTAATAATACGTCGAAAAACTAGTGAGGTCCTCAAAGGAAATTAGCCCGAGAACAGAGTTAGGAGCAATGGTTGCTAGAATTGAAAAGAACAAAGACCGTATTGTTCAAGAATCTTTAAAGAAAAATGTTAAGATTGGAAAAAAAGTAGTAAAAGCAAAATTGGATTTGGATGCTCAAATTTCCATTATTGCAAAAGATTTAGTAAAAACATTGGGATTGAAGGTCCGGAAGTTAGACCAGATATGGTCTTTAGGCAGAATAAATCCAAATAAAGAAAGGCTACAGACAAATATGTGCGTAGATGTATCCTTCGTTATCTTTAACACTGAGGTTGAAGCAACATGTTTTTTGGTCTTAAGCAAATCAGTACGAGAGTTGTTGTTATTAGGTCTAGGCTTTATTTTTGCGTGTATGAATGTAGCAATACGTAAGTTGCAAGAAGCAGAAACGGCAGGTAGGAGGTTGGACAATTGTACTTCTGCTACTGTGGAAAAGTTGGGTGAATTTTTGATCCATGGTACGAATGCCTGTAAGGTGGGAAGTATGACGTACAGTGGAAACACTGTAGTTAAGCCATACAAAAAGTATTCATGCGAGGTGAAACTTTTAAAAGAGTCGGATTCTAAGTTAGAAGCAAGGAATTACAATAATTGCGGTTCTCAAGAAAGTGAAAACGATGACTACTGAAGATACTTTATAGAGACTTACAAGAAGGAATTATGATGCTTTAAACTACCTACATAAACATATAAAAGTTAATACATTTATTCCTAGAAAAAATGTTACAAAAGGTAGCTGCCCAGGTTATAAAGTTGACTTTGAGAAGTCTAAGATTAAGAATAAGGAATTAAATGTTAACTGTTTCTTATCTATCAAGAGAATTAGTGCTGATCGTATATTTCCTTGTATCTGATTTAGGTTATTTGAAGTGACAAAAATGGTTGGAGATCTGAATGTCAACATTAAGAGAGGTATATCAAGCTCAAAAAGACATAATATAGTTGATATCAGCTCAATGAAACATTATGTAAGTACAGACAGTCAATTTCACCAAATTCCAAAATTTTCACTAGAAGAATTGAGAAAACAAAATCGACGTATTATTAGGATAATAGATATTAGAAGGAATGACTACAATCAGGAAGTGTTACTAGTAATGTTGGACGGTTGTGCTGAAATCGATCTAATTAAAATTAGTAAAAAAGATTTAAAGAGATGTTTGCCCAGGAGAGAATTAATAAGAGTAGTAAAGAAAATTTTTTTTATAAAAAAAAAAAACAAACAAACCATAGTTTGGAAACAACGTGGAATTTGTCTCATAAGGAGGAGCAAATGTAATATCCCTGGTATTACTATTTAGGGTATTGTTTGAAAAAAAGAGAGTTGACTATATTTTTCTGAACTTTCCTTTTGGCAAAATACTACACTACAAACACACATAAAAGCAGGATGTAACCGAAAAAGAAAAACAGCGACAAATGAACAAAGATTTAATACAAATAGATATTAAGTCTCTAATTATATATCCTTTAGTTCCAGTGTATTATAGACATATATAAATATATATTCATATTGCAACTAAAGATATAGAGTGAAGCTATATCTTATGTTTATTCAAATGAATTATTGTTACTATTGCGCATGGATTGTGACATATGAAATTCTGATATCACTATAAACGATCTTGTGAACTCCTTGGTCGACGACGACGTTCTTGTTTTTCTTATTTTTCTTGTTTATATAACTATGTGTATCCGTATTGCTGTGCATGTTTAGTTTACTCCTTGTGTAGAGTATAGTTTATATGTCATATACTGATAACTAATCAAGCTATATCTATCTGTTTTAGCATCTAAAAAAGTATATCTCTCGTAATAGGGTTTTCATCTATTACAATATATCAAAAAAAGTGGCAGCAATCTTAAAAACACTCCGATGCGGGGAGTCGAACCCCGGTCTCCACGGTGAAAGCGTGATGTGATAGCCGTTACACTACATCGGAATCTCAATTCATTACCATCAGGATTACACAAGATCCTGAATGAATCTAGAACTATTTATTATTTTAATAAGCCATACACGTGCTACAACATTAGATGCTGCATAATAAAGAGATTGGATTACATAAGATTCTGGCAAATCTAGAATTACCTATTGTTTTAATAAGTCCCACATATATTACTAATTACCATGATTAGAGAATTGGGGTGCAGTTCTAATGCACTAATGCACCTAAATTAATGTAATAAATTTTAGGGTTTGTATCAGTCAGATCATTGATGTACCAATCTGGATAATTGAGCGAGCTCCAGAAAACATAGAAAAGGACAACGTTTTCTGAAGATAAAAGATCATCTTCCATAACCGTTTCTTGTAAATAATTTATATATTATGTATAAACAAAATAGAACAACAAGCAAGTAACAAGTCAAGTAACTTCGAATAAATATATTAGCTCGATAAAAGCTACTCAAATTATAAGACCGTTTTAGTAATTATATTATGGCCTATAGTTGATTACCGTCTCGATTATGCGAATAACTATTAATATTATTTGCGCTTCCCTGGAATACACAAAGAATCTGACAATTTAATATTACAACAAAATCTTGAGGGAAACAATGTTAATAAAACTACCCAACCAGGGGAAATTATTTATATGTTATTTAATATACATGACAATAAACATCAAAAAAAAAAAACGTAGTGCTATTAATAAATTTGTCATTATTGTATTGTTTCACGTTGTTCTTATCTTATATGAATTCGAAAATGTATAAGACAAACGCAAAATTTAAACACAACCTTTCTTAATTTTGGTTCTTTACGTAAACTTTTATTGTTAAGTTTCAAGTCATTCATTACAACAATATTGTTATTTTTACATAGAAAATGAGCATAATAAGATGTTGTAACATAAAATACTAACATAAGAAAAAACATATGAACCTTATAATATCAATCCTAATCTCCCAATCCATCTTTAGTTCATTATACCATAACTCGTATTGTAAACAAATTGTAATATTTAGATTGAAAATAAAAGTCAATCAAGGTTCCAAAAATAATATTTGAGGTTAACTGATATTTATCAATAGGATCTTTTAATTTGAATTTTGAAATTTAGGGTTTATCAAAATTTACATGTTGTAATACATAAATGAATAAAATCATCAGCCTCCTGAGTAAATAGAATATCATAACATGTAAGTATGTAAACCATTGACATGCAAAAATATACAATTAAATTTAATTGAAGAAGTATATTGCAAAAACAATTGGAGGCCAAAAAATAGAATCTAATTCAGAAAATTATTAACTCATAATTTTATATAAACAGTAGCACTACCTTATCACCACAAACTATATAAGTACTTAACTTACAATTGTATATGATTTTACTTTGTGAAATAACTAAAAAAGTTATAAAACAATAATCGTTTTATTTTCCTATATATAATGTCTTTATATATAATTATTATTGCTTTATTTACCTGTTCAAGAACATAATCATTCAAGCTATTTTCTAAATGTAAACGTTAACAAAGGTTGCCAAGTATAGTAAAGCATAGATATTATCGACACATTCATTATGCTTATTATTTTTACCGGAAATTACAGGAAAAATCGTATTCCGCATTTTATTTTAAAAATTCACAGAAAGAAATTTAGGAAAAAAAAACTAAATTTTGTTATAGACTAAAATTAACATGAATATTTAAAATTATCGCTATAAAAAAGAGGTCTCACCAAAAAATCAGCAGTGAAAGAGCCAGAAAGGTTAAAGCTGGATAAAACGTATAACTGCTGTTAACACACATACATTGTTATGACTATGAATTTTATTAAGAATGCTATCTGGGGACCTGATCCAAAGGAACAACATCGCAAGATTAAGGCCTCTTTAAAAAGAAATGGAAGACAAATAGATAGAAATATTAATGAATTACAAGCATTACAAAGAAAGACGAAACAGTTGATCAAGAAATCTGCAAAAGAAAATAACCTAAATGCCGTAAGAATTTATGCTAAAGAATTATATCAAATAAATAAACAATATACTCGGATGTACACATCAAAGGCACAATTAGATTCTATAACGATGAAAGTTGAAGAAGCTTATAAAATGAAAAATTTAACGAACTCAATGTCTGTATCCACTGGTATTATGAAAGATATGAATACTTTGGTCAGATTACCTCAGCTACAATCAACAATGGTAGAATTAGAAAAAGAGTTGATGAAAGCCGGAATTATAACAGAAATGGTAGATGATACATTTGAAACTTTGTATATGGGTGAGAAAGATGAAATGGACGAAGAAGTAGAGGAGCAGGTGAATAAGATAATTGAAGAATACACAACAGAAAAGTTTGCAACAGTTAATAAGGTTCCAACTACACAATTACCAGTCGGGCAAACAATAGACAAGAATAATAAAGAAGAAGAAGAAATACCAGAAAACCAAGTTGATGAGGAGGCAGATAAAATGATAGCTGATATGAGAGAAAGACTAAAAGCTCTACAAGCCTAAGTCGGGTGATTTTCTTTAAAATTTCACTATATTTTCCTTCCATGATTAAAAATAACTATTATTCCCATGTTATATACATACACATATATATATCTACATACTTAGACTTTGCATTTAAAATATTCCCTAACATTATAGCTTAATTGATAGAAATGTGGTACATTAACATACCATTAAGTTTCCAGGGATACAAACTTTCAACTAATTTTACAACTAGTTAATTAGTAGCCTTAACTGAGATGTATTTATCTTTCTGCTTATCTTGTTCTTTTCTGTTCCTCACGCCTCCCCATCTTCTCCTTAACTTTATGTCAATCAGTCTTCCTCTTGTCTGTTGTTTTCTTTTTTTCCTCCTTTCCTATTCCTTTTTCTTTTTTTTTTTTTTTCCCATTGATGAAAAATAACTCTAAAAATATTGCAAGAGTAAACCAATAAATATTTAATTAATAATTGCTATTGAAGGAGAATAAAACTCTAAGGATAAAATTACTTATCTACAGCTCCTAGAATTCTACTAATTAATAATAATAATCAATCTAGCTACAGAAAATATATATTTGAGAATTATATCTGTTTCTACAGCAGCGACTAAATTACAAGCCCTATGAGATTTTTATTACGTGTTAAAAGGTCTTTTTTAACAACAAGCCTCCTTTTACTCTCGCAAATAGCAACCTTTTCCTTGGCAAATAAGGAAAAAATTAATGAAAAGAATTATGAAGTATGTGCTGGTATGTACTCTAAGGATGATTGGGGTGGAAAAATTGATCCATTTATTTCTTTCAATGTAAAGAAATTCCAAAAAGATATAGCGGACACAGATGGGCTATTATCCGTAGCCATATACGATTTCCAAGATTATCTCCATCTTGGTGCCAATTTAGCAGACGGTTCTAAACAATATGTTTGCGATGATTATGCAGTCAGTGCTGAATTATGTTCAGAAGATGATTTAGGTAACTTTATTATTGAAACAGAAGCTTACGATCCTTACACAAAGGAAAATAAAACATTGATCAATCCAATTATGACATTTTCCCAGGATTTTGTTGGTTTACATGATACTAAATATCCTGTAACAAAAACCGGGTTTTATTGTGTAACAGTTTTTACCAGTTCCTATGATGTTAAATTTGATGCTATAGTCAATTTTAGAAATGCATATGGCCATTTAGCTGGTTCTGAAGTGAACAAATTACCTCTTTATGGGCTATTGGCGATTGGTTATGTCATTGCAATGGCCTTATATTTTTTCGCCTTTTGGAAACATAAGCACGAATTGTTACCATTACAAAAATATTTGTTAGCATTCTATGTATTTTTAACTGCTGAAACTATTTTTGTGTGGGCTTACTATGATATCAAAAATGAAAAGGGTAACGTAGCAGGCACTAAAGTTTATATGGTATTTTTATCCTTGCTAACAGCTGGTAAATTAATTTTCTCATTCTTCATTTTATTGGTAATTTCCTTAGGTTATGGTATTGTATACCCTAAATTAAACAAAACTTTAATGAGACGTTGCCAATTCTATGCAATTTTTAGTTTCCTAATTTGTTCGGTCTTTTTAGTACAAAGTTATTTAGAAGATGCTGAAAACCCATCTCCATTCATTTTAATTACTTTCATTCCTCTCGCACTTTGCATGCTAGGTTTCTACTTAATGATTTTAAGGTCCATGACTCAAACTGTAAGATACTTAAAAGAACAAAGACAGGTAGTGAAGTTAAACATGTACAAGAAATTGTTGATTATTATTTACACCTCTTTGATTGTGTTGATGATTGGATTTATAATTACCATTATAATTTTTTCTAGTATGAACACAATAGCTATGATTGAAAAGAATTGGAGATCTAGATTCTTCTTTACTGATTTCTGGCCAACTTTAGTCTATTTTGTTGTCTTTGTCATAATTTCTTTCTTATGGAGACCAACAGATACATCATACATGTTAGCTGTCTCCCAACAATTACCTACTGATCCTGAGAATGTAGCTGATTTTGATTTAAGTGACCTTCAATCATTGGGTGATCAATTTAATGATAGTGACTTAGAACATCATGACGATCAAAGCATTATTACTAATGAAGAACACACATACAACAGCAATCCACACTCTGATAGTAATGCTGCAAATCCACAAGAAGAAGACTTGGACTTCTCTGATCATGCAAATGAACATGAAACTGTCAATCATACCAAATAAAATATATACTTAGTTGTAAATTGAAGATGAAGTTAGAAAATTTGCAAAAGTATACCTTGTAAACTGCTTAAATAGAAATATTTTCATCAATGACGTTTACACATTATTTTATGTATTTTATGTATAATGAAAAATTAAAAAAAATGCTTTTTATCTAATAGAAATATACTGTTATTACTCCATGACTTTGATTAAAATATTATGTTCAGAAAATTATTCTCATATGTATTTGTGTTTGTAAATATCTTTTAAATAGACTACTCAATCCATTTCCCATCTAGATGGCCTCGATTATTTTTCATCTTTTAGTACAATCTAAAAATTGAAAAAAAAAAAATAGAAAAGTGGAAAATATCATCGACAAAATTTCGACTTCGAGCATCGATGATTGATGACTTTAGCAATTATTCTAAATACAGACAGAATATAACATTAAGGAAGCTATTAACAAAGAAATTGAGTATTTTCTTTGTCATTCTCAGATAGATTGTATTCGATAGAGAAAATCAGATTGCACTGCTTCTATTTGCTTTTAACCTAACCGTGCAATCATTTTTATTTATTTTTACAAGAAAATAAAACTTAGAATAATTTTAATCAAATATAATAGCTGTGAGTCAGCGCTATGGAAGAATCTACAATAGATTCAAATCAAAAAAATATAATTAATAAAAATGACATACAATCAAATTTAGATTCTACTGCAGCTTCTTCACCAGAAAAGAGTGTTACCATGGTAAATGCATCGACATCACCATCAAATGCTAATAAACATGATAGAACCACACCATCCGAAACTCAAGTTAAGAAACGAACAAAAGCGTCTAGAGCTTGTGATCAATGCAGAAAAAAAAAGATTAAATGTGACTATAATGAACTGAAAAGCATATGTGGCTATTGCGAAAGAAATAACGAAACTTGCAGTTTTATAAGAGTTCCATTGAAAAGAGGGCCTTCCAAAGGTTATAATAAATTATACAAAGCCAGTTCAAGTAATCATATATCCCCTTTACAAGACAGTAACATTGTAGATAATAACAGTAAAAAAAATAATAACCTTTCAAACATGAATTTATACACTGCCTTAAATAAGAATACAATAACACCCAATGATCACACAGTTGCACATATATCCAATAATTATAAACATGATAGTAATCGTTTATCTACTAATAACGCAGTTATAACATCACAACAATCTAACCAAGTTTTGTTGCCACCTCTATCACAATATGTTCCTTCAACAAACCTTCAACAAGCCAATAGCAACACAAATGAAAATAGTACTAAGACTTCTTTAGTTAATGAAAATGATACATTACATAATACAAATAGAAATACAGTTCAAAATATTGTAAATCAAATAGGACAATTAACTCCAACTTTAAATTTTACTCAACAACAATTTTGGAAAGTACCATATCATGACTTTCCCCTTCAAAAAAGAACGTCAATTGATTCATTGGGTAGTGATTTATCCATGAGAAATATAAATTTACATGAAAATACCATGTATAATTCAGGCACTATCCCTATTCAAAATCATAGCAATAACACTACTACTGTGATGTCTTCAAACTTTATTCAAACAATATCTGCTCCATCTCCTATCACAGAAAATAACGTTAGTAATAGTAACACTCTCAATACCAGCCTATTGGATAATGGCATTCATCCAGTAGGTGGAGGTAGGTCTAATAGTATCACGGGGAATACTAACAATACGTACTGGCCATATATAAAAAACCTCAATCATACTTCAAATGAGGAAGAGCAAAACATACCCTTCAGAAGAACAAGTTCAATACCGTCTTTATTAAGACAGACATCATCTACAAATATTGCTGGACAAAATAATTTACATAATTCAAGCACAAACCAACTACCCCAACCATATTCATATTCTCAATTCTATCAACAAGCACATCAACAAACTATGGGACCAATAAATTCATTTGATAATTTTGCAACAAGTGGATTTCACACAAGACATGGTTCCATTGCAAGTGAAGCTATGTCTCCCGGAACTTCAGCGAATACAAATGAAAGAACTATAACTCCTTCTAAAACAAAGAAAAATAGTCTAGAAAGTACTTCAATAAAATCAATAATTACTCCTTCATTGGAAAAAGAAAAACCCTCAACAACAGTGTCAAATACAACAAAACCGCTCAATGGTATCACCAATGATTCTACTAGACATGATTATTTTAACAATTCCAGCAGAATAGAAGTATATGAAAATAAGTCAGACAAACATGTACCCTCTATAATCTCACTCAACTCCATTATGCATCCAATAGAGAACAATATAAATGAGCACAAAGAAATTAAATATAGTGGAATCAAAAGCGGGCACAATAGTAGTATCAATTCATCCTCAAATCCGACAGAACTACTAAATTCACCATCGTATACATTACAATTGCTTAAAGATAAACAGTCAATTACCAACTCACACAGGACATCTGCGAGTGTTATTAGTACACCAAATGGTAATAATTTCAACTGCCCCGCCGTTATATACGGACAAATCTCTTACAAAGAATTAATTGATATTTATTATGAATTTATTCATATTGGTTTCCCAATCATTCCCTTAAATAAAAAGATGTTACAAGATGAAATTCTTATGCATTATGATTCTCTAAATTCAGCAATTCAGGAATTAAATGATTATGTATTCTTATGGTTTAGGAATTCTTTAGAATTGTTGGTAAGATTGGCTATTAAAAGAGGTAGTGGTCATTCGTTATTTGATACACGCATATCATCACTTGTTAGATCCAACATCACTGGGACTTCAAACAATGACAATCCAGGAGGGAATGGATTGGACAATAAAGATGATCAAATATCTGGTAATGGCAGTGACTTAAAACGAAACGATTATTTTGAAATTCAAACAGTTTTTATATCAGCATTAAATGAATGTTTTCAAAAAATTGTCGATATTCATCCAAAATTTAGAGAAAACAAAGACTTAATTTCACCAAGAATTAAAGTAATTTATCTTTGCACATTCATAATATTAAACTACATACTTTCCTATGTTGGCTATGATAATTCATTCGTATTGGGGATGTCGGTAACAATTTTCAACGAATTTAAATTATACAAACAGTTACTTGTCGGAGAAATTCTAACAAGAATTGAAAAAACCAATGAGGATACTACATATGAAATAGGATATTCCCTTATTTTCAAACGATTATATATTCTTTTGATAATATTTGATTCGCTTCAAAGTTGTGTATTTGGAGGACCCAAATTATTAAATATTCCAATTAATTCGACTATTGATAAATTTTTTGATAGCTTCCCTGGATCAGAATTCTACAATAACTACGATCAAAAGTTTATTGAAAGATGGTGTGTAGAAAATGATACAACTAAATTAGCATATATCATCGAAAGTCTTCATTTAGGTGAGATGCTAACAGAGCTGTCAATAAAGAGAAAGTCCATTAATAGATTTCAAATTGAAAAAGGTAATATATCTCTTTTAAAATGGACCCCTATATGTACATTTCTGGAAAAACGTACATCTACTTCGCTTGCAGGACTATTTCATAGAATTTTATATGTACGACAAAAACTTACAAATAGTTTAATATCTCTACAAAGTGATCATCCATCAAATCCTAGCATCGAAACAATATCCGACCTTTCAGATATTTTAATAGAACTGATATCAAAAATTTTCCAATTACTATCTTTAATATTTCAATTAAACCCTACAAATAGTATTAGCATGGACCATAAATATTCAGACCTATCACCAACCCCTCATCACCAATTAATATCTCTACACCAATCTGCAAATAATACTTCTAAAGATATTAATAACTTTTACCAAAAATTGATAAATTTACACAAGAATAAATATAATAAGGAAAAAAATAACGACTTGATCAATAATTTAGAGGTTGGTACAATATCTCCATTTTCTATTCCAATGATTTATGAATTGCACAATATTATAAGTATAATAAACAAATTACCAACGCATTTAATACAAATTGTCATGCAAATTAACCTATCTGAGACTATGATACCTCATGATATAGTGGTCAAACTATCAAATTCCATGAATGAAGTTGTACAAATTACAAACCTTTTTAATATGGTTAAACCATTCAAGATATTTGATACTGATTTGAATGAACGTACACTTGGAGATTATAACGACCAAGACTTAATTATAAAAAAAGAATTTATGCCACAAAGTCAACTAAATGGTAAAAATGAGATTATGGAGCATTTTATTAAAAGTGGTTGGAAATTATTAGACGACATAGAATTTGGCTGGTTATAAACTATTACGGATATACACACGATAGTATGTATCAGTCACATACAAACCAAAAAAAATCAACATATTATATATTTCCATTGTAAGAACTTTTATAAATATTCATTTTGAACTGTATTTCAATAAGTATACTAATATATACTATATCTAATACACTGTAATATTCTCATTAATACTCAATAGTAAATTTTCACGTAACATTTGAATTATTCTCTATTACAATCAATATTTTCTTCTTACTTTTGACATTCTGTCGCTCCCTTCCTTCGTTATATATATATTATCTTTTTTCTTTGTTAAAGGTAGCAACTAAATTTATCTTATTCTACAACTTTTTTTTTAATTTAAGGAAACATAAAGAGATTATATAATAAAAGCCCTATCCCAAACAAACGATCATAAAAAAGCCCAGTGAAGCAATATTCATGAGAGTACTACCAACGTTATTATAACTACCAATTCAATTATGGAAATTGACACAAACACACTTATATTTGTTATTATCATTCTTTTTATCTTTTTCTCCTCACCAGGTGGTGATGGTGTATCATCAGAATATGAATTTAATCAGCTAGGATTGTTAAAAGAACACATGAAAATGGAATTTGATCTTTTTATGAATATGACCTATTTTGAAAACTTCAGAAATATTACTGGATTTAAATTAAGTTATCAAGATGTATTAGATAACCCTAGTTTAAATGCAACTTATCCAATTGATCAAAAAGATTATGATCACTGGGAGTCCACACAAGAGTACTTACTTTTGCCTAATAGTATTATAAATTCAATTCAAAAAGATGTATGGAATATGGAAAAAAAAAAATAACATATATCCTTGGAATATTTCTTCTACTTTGATAGGTAAAGTAGATGTAATATCAAATAACTATTTTGATAAAATACGTATGCCATTACCCAGATTTTACGAACCCCCCCTACAGTATTAATGACAATAAACCACAATCTGGAGATACGTATATAGAAGATTGGTCTAACTCAAACCAAGGACATAATGTTACATTCAAAAAAGGTGAACTAAGTATTAAAATATCTCATTTAGACACTGTTGCCAACCAAATTGATTCACGAAAAAGGTACAAGTTTAATTCACAAGATGATCAATTCAAGCTATTAACTCTTCAGATAGATTTCCAAGACAAACTAGAAAAAGAAAAACATTCATTAAATTCATTAGCTGTATATGATATTGAGAGAGGCAGGATACTGTCATTTTCTGATAGTGCAAAGTTTCATTCACTATTTGCATTCCCACATTATTTAACCATCTTGAACGAGAATAATTCAGATAGTTCAAAGAAACAGACTGAAGCTATTTACTCAAAAGTGAAAAATTTAATCAAAGAGTATTGGTATCATTCAAATTATGTTGATACACTTACAATGTCAGATATCCGCCAGCCATATGATAACGCAATTAACAAATGTGAATATGCAATTTTTTTGCAATTAGAACCATGGAATCAATACACAAGGGATGAAATGAATCTAATAGATAAGGAATTGCATTGGCCCCTAGGAAGACCAATAAATATTTCCCATATTCCTCCAGTTATGATTAAATCAGGTTTAATGTATTCCCCAGATTGTGGTTTAACTTTGGAATTTAATCAAGCTGAAGGCAGCCTTACGGCAATTAACATAAGAACCATGAGACTTCACATTCTCTTCGGTATCATACTGTTTATAGCTCAAATTTATTTACTTCTTCGACAAATGCAACATACAAATACTCCATCAAGTGTTAACAAAATTTCATATTATTGCTTCTCTATGATGAATTTGGTAGATGGACTTCTTGCATGTATATATTTTATTTCTGCTACCATCATTCCTGAGCTATATTTACCATTAATAGTCAGTGCATTTGTGTCATTTATTTTGGCATCGATTTTCGAAACTCGATATTTAATATCAGTATGTGCATCACAAATAAATGAACAGTCAGTGAGTATTAGAACTTTGCTGAGTGGTAATTTACAAGATGAAGGTAGAGAATCAGCAAGACCTATTATTATTCCTGATGAAGCTTCCATCAGCAGTTCTTTATATGGCAGAGTCTTTTTCACATTATTTTTGTCTGCATTCATTGTACTATCAGCTTTAACGTGGCCACTCCAAATTAGAAAAATCTTTGAATACTCGTCTTTGTCTATTCTCTATTCGTATTGGGTCCCACAAATTTTTAGAAATGCCATTAAAGGTATTCAACCAAGAAATGTTCGATTAAGAAATAATAATGTAGCTAATAGAAGACAAAATAAATTGCCACTTTTATGGTCATTTGTTATAGGTACCTCAATAATCAGAATTTTCCCTATTGTCTATGTATTCACTTATCCATCAAATGTATTCAGACACCATAGAGACGTAAAATTTGCAGTGTTACTTTCTCTATGGGTATGCTTCCAAATTGCAGTATTATACTCTCAAGATATTTTAGGTGCTCGTTGGTTTTTACCACAACATACTATACCTGAGGGATATTCTTATTTCAAATCCATTACGTTACAATACTTATCTGAACATGGTGATTCTAATTCTACAAGTACTTACGCAATAGATTGTGCTATTTGTATGTCAGAGGTGCTTGTTAATGTGGAAGAAGTCCCAGAAACACATAAAGTGGATATATACAGTTATATGATTACACCCTGCAACCATATATTTCATACAGAATGTCTAGAAAATTGGATGAGTTATAAATTACAATGTCCAATATGTAGAGCTCCTTTACATCCAATCTAAGAACATATATGGTAAGGTTTATATAAAAGCTATGGTAGTATAAAACTATACAAAAACATTAGGTCGATCTATGTTCACACTAGTTGGATTTTCTTACGATGTGAAGTTTTGCATTTATTATATCACTTTTTTTCCCAGATTTCCATGAATCTCAAAACTTATCATCTTTATTTTTTGCCATTCTCTTATTTTTATTTTTTCAATTTTTAAAAGTTATTATATCTATCTGTGGAACAAATCGAATTTCAATACAATATTCTCGAAAAAAACTAACCTACTTTCCCTCTTTGTTATTCTTATAAATTCAATACATTACTAGAAACTATTAAAGAATCACACACTACCATCCTTACATTCTCACCAATTCCATATAAGACAATAACGTATATTACATATAACAATAAAGAGAAAACATGACAGGTCCAAAACAAATTAAAGCATGCTTGTTTGACATGGATGGTTTGTTATTAAACACAGAAGATATATATACTATAACCTGTAACGAAATTTTAAGCAAATATAATAAGGGCCCACTTACATGGGATATTAAATTAAAAATACAAGGTTTGCCAGGTCCCGAAGCTGGTATGAAACTAATTAATCACTATGACCTACCTTTATCTTATGAAGAATATAATGAATTAAATATGAAAAATCAAGAAACTAAATGGTCCAACTCTGCATTCTTACCTGGTGCCAAAGAGTTGATACATTATTTACATGAACGTAATATTCCTATTGCGTTATGTACCTCATCGAATAAGGCAAAATTTCATGGAAAAACCGATCACCTAAAAGGTTTTGATTGTTTTGACGTTATTATAACTGGTGATGACCCAAGAATACCCAAGGGTAGAGGTAAACCATGTCCAGACATATATCAGTTGGGACTGAAAGAAATCAACAAGAAATTTGGCAGTGAAATTAAGCCAGAGGAATGCTTAGTTTTTGAAGATGGAATTCCAGGTGTCAATGCTGGTAAAGCTTTAGGTGCATACGTGATTTGGGTTCCACATCCTGAAGCCATCGAATTTCTTGGGGACATTGATACTGTATTAGAGGGTCAAGGTGAATTTTTATCATCTTTAGAGAATTTTGACAAAGAAAATTATGGATTATGAAATATTCAGTAATTAATTCAAGGGAAAAAATAATACCAAAACATGAAAATTAATCTTGATTGCATATTACCTATTTGCTTTGGGTTTCTTTGTTGATTTACTAAAGTTTCATGGTCATATACCTGATCTTGTGTATTTATACATTATTATGGTTATATATTATTTTATATCCACTATTATTATCATTGTAATTCTTTATTTATTTATTTATTTATTTATATTTAATATTATACAAACTAGCCCAATAAATACATAGGATTATCTTAAAAAAGTTTTGAGTGTTATATACCTTTGCATCAAGTTAGGTTGAGAAGACCAATAAAACAATTCACTTCTAAGAACAACAAAAAATGCTTTCTCAAGACAAATAAAAAATGTAGTACTTATAAAATGGATAAAAAAAGCTTCCTATAATTAATAGTATAATATGACTATAATAAAATAATTATCAGTTTAAATTTTATTAAATTTCTTCAATATTTCTAAGTAACTTTTGTTTTCTACAATGGAGAATGTTTAAAAAGGAAAGAAATACTTTCACCATTATGTAGACGACGAACACTTTCAGAAAGAACACTACTAATATCAATAACATCTAACTTTGGACATTCCTTCATCTTTTCTTCAAATGGAACGGTATTAGTACATACCACTTTATCCAGCTTGGAATTATTAATGTTTTTAATAGCATTACCAGAAAGAATACCATGAGTAACAATTGCAATAACAGATTTAGCACGGTTTTGCAATAAGATTTCAGCAGCCTTAGCTAATGTACCACATGTGTCAGCCATATCGTCTACAATGATACATATCTTGTCAGTAACATCACCAACAAGAACCATACGGGAAACTTCATTAGCTCTAGCTCTTTCCTTGTGAATCAAAGCAAAATTTAAATCTAAACGATCTGCAAGCCCGGCTGCACGCTTAGCACCACCAGCATCTGGAGAGATAATGATAGCTTCTTCATAGTTAACATTTTCCTTAATATATCTAACAACACTTGGTTCAGCATATAAGTTATCAACAGGAACATCAAAAAAACCTTGAATTTGAGAAGCATGTAAGTCCATAGTAATAATATGATCACAACCTGCAGTGGTTAACATATCAGCCATCAATTTAGCAGTAATTGGAGCACGAGACTTATCTTTTCTATCTTGTCTAGCGTATGGGAAATTTGGAATAATTGCTGTAATTCTTCTTGCTGAGGCAGTTTTAGAAGCATTAATCATGATCAGAAGTTCCAAAACACGGTCATTAACTTCCCCTGAACCAATTTGTGTAATAATGAAAATATCTTGATCTCTAACAGACTCACCAATTGAGAAAGACACTTCACCGGTTGGATCTCGTTGTAATTTACAATCAGTTAATGGAACTCCCAATCTTTTAGAGACTAATTCAGCTAAACCTCTATGAACATCAGGCGCTAATAGTTTAATTGAATTATTGGCCATTTTGAATTTCCTTTTCTCCTTCCGTATATGTTTCTTTTTTAGACGTTCTTAACAACCTCTCTTCTTATTTTATCTTGGTAAGAAAAGCTCAGTTATCCTAGTAGATCCAACTACAACAGAACAGTTTGAACGCAAAAAAAACAGTCTATTACATCTAGAGCAGCAAGTTTGTTGGCAAAGTAAAAGAAAAAAGGACTGATATTTGTAGAAATCTGTTCTTCCAATAGGTAAAAACTATTTCAATCTCATCGGATTCTTATTATAAATTTAATTAAACTGGAAAAATTTTTCAAACGGGAAAACACAAAAAAAAATTTATTGCTCTATTTTTTTTTGTTTGACATCAAGAAAAGAAAAAAAAAAGAAAAAAAAACAAAGAAAAAAAGGAAATCTAACAATATAATTCAAATAAAAAAGAAAGAAACGCAATCGATTAACAAACTGATTTGTGATAAAGATGAAGGACAAATAGTTAAGACTTATGTATGTGTGTGTTTGTGTGAATAATTTACAAGGAGTGTTTAGCAATATGATAGGCTATGTTTATCTTGTGAACTCACAAATAACAAAATAAACGGAACTGACCGCACTTATCTCCAAACAATGTTTTTTGTTTTTGCTCCAGTGATAAGATAAATTTGCTTTTAGATATATCAACTTAGTATGGTACATTACAACTATCTAAAATCTCAATATATAATATCATATTCTATCTATCATAATAAATAAAACGGAGGAACAATTACTACGAAGTAATCATTCCTCCTAAAAGAGTTTATTAATGTTTTTATTGTGTATTACAAGCTATTATACGATAATTACCCCAGTATTAAATTAGATCTGGTTAGTATGAACTTTTGGGTCATACTTAACTTTAACTAATGGCCTGTAGATTGGTTCCCACATCTGATTTTTAACCCATTCAACACAGGCTTCGAAATCACGTGGGACTTTTACATTTTGACCAGGGTTAGCTGGATCTAATTCATTTTCGATAGTGGCAACACCTTCATCGAGAGCTTCCAATATCACAGCAGCTGCAATTCTTGATGATGTATGAGTGATCACTTCAAGTCCGGGCAATAGACCTGGTGTAGAGTCGCCCTCTCTCAAGTTGGATAAAGATGCTAATTCATCTACAGCAGCTGAAATCATTCTATCACTTATATAAGAAGCACGAGATAAAACTGCACCCAATCCAATACCTGGGAAGGAATAACAATTATTATTTTGTGAAATACGATATCCATTTACTGGCTCAAATGGGGAACCTGTAGCCACCAAAGCATCGTTATTTGTCCATTTCATCAAATCTTCTGGAACAGCTTCATGTAACCTAGTTGGGTTGGATAATGGGAAAACGATAGGCCTTGGATTATGTTTGTACATTTCTTGGATGATCTCTTTGGTGAAAGCACCAGCCTTAGTGGAGCACCCCACTAGGCAAGTTGGTTTCACATTAGAGACAATTTCAAATAATGATTTAGTATCAACACCAACCCAGTCTTTATCCGGTTTAGCATAGACGTGTTGTTGTGCAGTAGAACCCTCTTTATATGATTGTAATATTAAACCACGTCTGTCCATTAAGTAAATCTTTGAACGAGCTTCCTCAATTGGCACACCACGAGTAACCATATGAGACACGATTTGATCAGCTATACCAAGACCAGCAGATCCTGCACCAAAAACAATAACTTTAGTGTCCTTCAATTCTCTATGAGTGTGTTTTAAAGCAGCAATTAAAGAAGCCATAACAACAGCACCTGTGCCTTGAATATCGTCATTAAAACATGGCACTTCATGACGATATTTGTCCAGGATTCTTCTTGCGTTCTTAACACCGAAATCTTCAAAATGTAACACTGCATGAGGATAAAGCTTCTTAACTGCTGTAATGAACTTTTCAACAAATTGATCATATTGTTGGCCGCGTATTCTAGAGAATCTATTACCTAAATATAATTCATCTCTTGCTAATTTCTTGTTGTTTGTACCTACATCCAGGACAACAGGCAATACACGACCTGGATGGATACCACCACAAAGAGTCATCAAAGCCATCTTAGAAATAGAAATACGAACACCACCAACACCTTGGTCACCAATCCCTAAGATACCTTCTGCATCAGATACAACGATATAATCGATATCTTTAGCTTCACCACCATAAGCAGCCAGTCTTTCCTCGATTGAATCTGGTTCAGTAATATCTAAGAAAACACCTTCAGTCTTACGGAATCTGTTGGAATAAGTAGCAATGGCATCACCTTCTGTTGGTGTATAAATGATTGGCACCAACTCCTTAATATGTTTTTTCACCAGGGCAAAATAAAGTGTTTTGTTGGTGACTCTCAAATTAGTCATAAAATCATTTTTAGCGATAGAAGTCTTCAAAGTACATAATTGTTTATAAGCTCTTTCCAATTGTTCATCAAGAGTATTAATTTGTGGGGGTAATAGCCCGTTTAATTTAAAGTCTGCTCTTTCTTGTTCAGTGAAAGCGGTACCTTTATTAAATAGAGGTGAATTCAATAGATATGTACCTGATAGAGGACATTCAATTGGACCATCAACAGTCAATTTGTTTCTTTGAGACTTGACACCTTGGAATAGATATGAAGTTGTAGTGTTATTAGTATTATCTATGATGTTGCTAGAGAGATTGAAATTATTTCTCTGCAAACTTGAGGTAAAAGACGTGTCTCTTGTAGTAGTAGCATTGTTGGGTTTAGTAGACTTAGAATACAGACGCAATTGTAAAATACTGGAATAACTTTGTTTAGATGCCTTTGAGACAATATAACTAGTCTTTGTATTTATCATGGGTGTAAGAAGTGAAAAACTGGAATGGTGAAAGCTACGCAAAAAGCAACTTACTATAATATATACCAATTCGTCAAAGAAAGTGCAGCAATATACTTACTAGTATAGACATATATAGGAAGATCCAAAAAACAACACACAAAGCAAGAACAAAAAAAAAAGTTTTCTCCATCCCATCTCATTCTGCAACAACCGCTTACTATAAAAATAGCCAATACAAAGCCGGGAAAAGAGCTCTTTATACAATCGCAACTATATATATATAACGAAATGTCCAAATAAACACCATTTACTCAGTAGCAGACAGGTATGACAAAATATTACTTGACTGAGTCAATAATCATCAGACAAAACTCAAAAAAAGAAATTACCGAACCGTGAAAAATTTTCATTAACGAAAAATAAACAAAATAAAAAAAAAAAGAAGAATCATCGGAATCTCCAATTCTCTTCTGCTTCTCCTATTGTTCTGGCTTCATTTCCTTTCTCATTTAAAAGAAAGTAAGAATATTTTTAAAAAAAGAAAAGGAGCAGCACTCTATTGGCTTGATCTTTAGCTTTTTTTTTTTTTACTTGACTTAATATATAACATGCTTAATTTTGTTATATTTTGATCTGATATAATCTATTTTGACCTCTGGTTTAATTTGCATCTCTCTTCGATAATGTGGTAGCGCCTATAGATAAATATAAAATATGTTTTTTTAAAAAAACGACAACGTCTTTGAAAAAAAAAAAAATCTAGGGAAAAAAAATAAGTTAAAACCAAAAAGGGAAGGCCATAAATACATTATCGATACCAACACGAAAAAGGTTCAAGCAAGATACAATATTCTGTATTTTCTCAATTGTAATTATTGTTTGACAAGACGGTTTATGTAATAAAATGTCTTGGAATCATCCATTTACACGGATTTTCATATATAGCTTAACTAATTTAAATAATATTTAAGGTGCTCAATAGTAACTTGTTTTCTTTGTGTACTGATAAATCTAACTGAATTTTTCACATTTTTCATAAAAGTGATGGTAAAAATATGCATATAATTGCAAAAAATCAATCAGTAATCCTTTTATCATTTCTCTATCTTTGTATGTTTGAATACTATTCATACAACAGCTATTTATTAATCGCAACTGTTTTTTTTTGTTTTTTGTTAAAACTAATATCATTTATAATCTAGCACAAAAATAAAGATAAAAAATCACAAAAAATACCAAATCATACGATTAATTCTTTTTCTGATGGAATCTAACTATTCAATTATTTCCTTCTAAAGAGTAACATTTAGAGATTTATATATTTTACATGGCTTTGTAATGAGGAGGTAAGAAATACTTATAAGATGCTCCTCTTCTATCTGTTCCTGCATAATAAAGTTAGGGTTTAATTTTAGAGAAAAAAAATATTTGGGAAGTTTTATAGGGCTTTCAGCTTTTTCTCTTTTATTATAGGAATATTTCTTTTTTTTTCTCCTTTCTTTATATACCAAAAAAAAATAGAAGCAAGAAACAAAAATAAAAAAAATTGTAGATAGATAGTGCAACTTCTTAAATTGTCTAAACCTTTTTAGAAGTGTCTCATTAGATGATATTACGTTTTTATTTAACTTGAAAGTTATTGTAAAATTTTGAACACATACACATATATATATGTATATATATTTGTCCATCATTATACAACTTTAAAATAGATTTGTATCAACTATAGGCTCCTCTTTAAATTTATTGATTATTTTAGAATGGATAGACCAATTGATGAAATCGTTAGAAATCTATTAAAATTCGTTGTAAGAGGGTTTTATGGAGGCTCTTATGTATTAGTATTGGATGCTATCATTTTCCATTCTGTTTTAGCAGAGGAAGATTTGAAACAACTATTATCTATAAATAAAACCGAATTAGGTCCACTTATTGCAAGATTAAGAGGTGATCGATTGATTACCACTCACAAACAAAGAGAATATCCTCCAAATTCTAAATCTGTAGAAAGAGTCTACTACTATATCAAATATCCACAAGCCATTGATGGTATTAAATGGAAAGTTCATCAAGTAGTACAAAGATTAAAGGATGATCTAGATAAAAATTCTGTGCCTAATGGTTATATGTGTCCTATATGTGAAACTAAATATACCCAATTAGAAGCAGTACAATTATTGAATTTTGATAGAACTGAATTTTTATGTTCGTTATGTGAAGAACCATTAATTGAAGATGATTCAGGAAAGAAAAATAAGGAGAAACAAGACAAACTAAATCGTTTAATGGATCAAATCCAACCTGTTATTGATTATTTGAAAAAAATTGATGATTCCAGGATCGAAGAGAATTCATTTGAATATGCATTGGCTAGGTTAATTCCTCCACAGAACCAATCACATGCTGCATACACTTTCAATCCAAAGAAAGGATCTACTATGTTTAGACCCGGTGAAACTAATAATGCACCACTAGGTAACGAGAATTCTAGACGTGCCGGTATAAATTCACAAGCTACTTTACATGTTAATATTACCACAGCCAGTGATGAAATGGCCCAAAGACAATTAAAGGAAAGACAAGCTGAGGAGAAAAGAAAACAAAATGCAGTACCTGAATGGCATAAACAGAGTACAATTGGTAAAACTGCACTAGGCAGATTAGATGAAGACGAAGAATTTAATCCAGAAACCACACAACAAGCTGCAATGTCGTTAGGACAAGCATCTTACAGTAGTTACAATAGCTACAACAATTATGGAAGAGGCAATGGTTTTTATGGAGGGAATAACAAATATTATAATAACCGTAAATTAACTGAATCAGAATTAGAAGAAAGAGAAAATGAGAGAACATTAGCAGATTATTACGCCAAGTTAGCTAAACAACAAGCAGAAAAACAGAAAAGACAGGCAGAGAAAAGTGAGGACGAAAATGACGAATTAGAATTATTGGACGAAGATAATATGGTAGACGAATTTGAAGATGTAGAATCTACTAATAAAGAGGCTAAACTTTCAGAAGATATAATCCCAGCATCACTTAGAAACAATATTGTTGAAGAAGTGGATGAAGATGAATTTGATGATCAATTTGATGACGAATTTGAGGATGTGGATCATATAGAGGCACTTGAAGAATCAATGCAAGAACAAAAGCCTACAAAACAGGACAATTCGACATCTCTTCAGGCAGAAACTAGTGAAGGTACAGATGATAAGAAGAATTCCAAGAACGATGCTAATAATGGTGAGGAAGAAGAAATAGAAGTTCCATTTGAAGATGTGTAAACAAAAACAGAAGAAAATCATTTATTAGGTTTAGTTTATGCAGCTCCTATCGCAAAATCCATTTCTTTATATTATTAGGAACTCTAAATTACTATTCACATATAAAAAAGACTTATTTAATGGATTTTGTATTACATAAATATATAACGCTATAGTTTATGATTATGTGTATCAGAAAACGAAAGAAATGGAAACTATAAAAGACATTAAAAAAAAGTAAACAGAAAAATAAAAAAAAAAAAAAAAAGAAGAAGAAAAAAAAAAAAAACATTTGTTTAAAACAAGCAGGTGAAATTTAACGAAACGATGAGCTTTTTTAAGTGCTAGCGTACAAAATAATGCTTGACAGCTCGAAGATTTTTCTATATAATAGCCTAAATTAAACACAGTTCACCCAACATTGCAAATTATTATCCAATTAAGACATGGCAGAAAAGACGACTTGGAAAGTTATTGCTACAACAGCACTATTGACTGTTGCTACTACAAAATGTATTGAGTGTGCATGGAACAATTACAAACAAAAACAACATAACACAACTAAAAATGCCGATAACAGAATCAAAGCTATTAATAGAGAATATGAAGACCATTTATTCCGTGAACAACTGGCTCGTAATTATGCTTTTTTGGGTGAAGAAGGTATGAAAAAATTGAAAAATCAATACATTGTTGTTGTTGGCGCAGGTGGTGTGGGTTCTTGGGTTGTTACCATGTTGGTTCGTTCTGGGTGTACGAAGATTAGAGTCATTGATTTTGATCAAGTTTCTTTAAGTTCTTTGAATAGACACAGTTGTGCTACTTTAGTAGATGTAGGAACACCAAAGGTTGAATGTTTAAAGAAACATATGAAAACCATTGCACCATGGTGTGAAGTTGATGCAATTAATGAATTATGGAATAAAGATAATGGCGAAAAGTTACTGTTTGATGGTGGTAAACCCGATTATGTAATTGATTGTATTGATAACATCGATACTAAAGTTGATCTTTTAGAATTTGTCTATAAAAACAAGTTAAACGTTATCTCATCTATGGGTGCTTCCACGAAGAGTGACCCAACCCGTATCAATATTGGTGATCTCACTACAACTGAAGAAGATCCATTAGCTCGTAGTGTAAGAAGAAGATTAAAACAAAGAGGTATAACCGAAGGTATCCCTGTGGTATTCAGTGCAGAAAAACCGGATCCACGTAAGGCTAAACTTTTGCCCTTACCGGATGAAGAATTTGAAAAGGGTAAAGTTGGGGAATTGAGTGCTTTAAAGGATTTCCGTGTAAGAATCTTACCCGTATTAGGTACTATGCCAGGTATATTTGGGTTAACAATTGCTACCTGGGTTATCACTAAAGTTGCTGGTTACCCAATGGATCCAATTGAGGGGAAAAATAGAATTAAGATATACGATGGTATTTTTATGTCACTAGCAGGACAAATGTCCCGTATTGGTATGCCAGATCAGCGCATACCAATATCTGTTGGTGATGTTGGCTATATGCTGGAAGAAGTATTTAGAGGAAAATCACCATTAAGTGGATATTCTACAAAATTAGTATTATCTAAATGGGATCCAAATCAACCTGTCAGTTTACAAAATGTCGTTATCATGACCAAAGAAGAACAAAAGAACCATGAAAAACGTGTCTTAAATGGCGGTGAAAAATTGGAAAATGTTTACACCAAAGAACAAATAGATTTAGTTAATAAAAGATTAGATGAGGAAAAATATTACTCTCAATTCAGATAATTAATCAATCTGCATGCGTATGAATACGAATTTGTGTAGATAAAAGTTGATACATTAGACCAATAATAAATAGATAAATGAACTAGATTTGCTATTCAATATATATATATATGGTTTATTATAAATAGAATTACTCATTTTTCAATTAATAGTGTGCCTCCGTATTTTAGAAATTTAGACAGAATAAGCAATACAGGCTAGTTTGCTATATTGCTTATTATTCTTTTCATTCGGAGTTTCTATCATTAGGATAGAATCCGTCAACAATTATGATTAAAAGGCCAAACAGGTTAATTTTAAATTACTATTAATGCTATTAGGATTTTTTTTTTCCTTATTGGGCATAAATAAAAACAGCCAGAGTGTAATATCAAATCTAAATACTTTTCTCCATTTCAGATTGTATGTATCTAATATGAAAATATTACCTAACTGGTACATTCAGTTACTCGAGACTTCTCCCGTTATTTTATTTTAAGCTTCGCATTTTTGTCAAAATTCCTCGAGATTTAAATTTTAGAACGAAAAAAATAAAAAATAAAAAATAAAAAAAAAAATACAAAGAAAACGAGAAATAATTCCGCCGGAAAATGTCGAAATCCCGGAATTTGAGCTAAAAAGAAAATATAACGCGTGGTGATTATTATTATAATAGCAAACATAATAATATTACCATAGAAAAAAAAATTGTTCATCGCCATGGTAAACAAAAAAGAAAAAAATGAGAAATTTTGACTAATTTGATATATTATTATGCACATTTACCTTTGAGTAATATGGATGAAGAGAAGAATTCCCTGTTACAGTAATGCAACTCGAAGTGCAATAACGATGATAATACTATATTTCTGATTCTCCTTTCTTCTACTTACGATATATATATATATATATACAACAATTGTTTTTCCAAGTTTCCATAAGATGCCTTGTTTATGTACTTTCCCCTATATCTTGGTTGCAGATTTCATCCGGTTTTCACAAAAGTAATTTTTTCTATTAAAGAGAGCATCAACTTTAGTAAGACGAACTAAATAAAAGTATAGTGAATATTCCAGTATATTAACAATAATAAGAGAAGAGATGTCTGACAAAGCAGTAAAAAAAGATATTGACCCAAGAAAATCATTTCTTGCAGGTGCTATAGCAGGTGCTGTTGAAGCATCCATCACTTATCCATTCGAATTTGCTAAGACTAGATTACAATTAATTGATAGGTCTTCAAAGGCCTCAAGAAACCCATTAACTTTAATTTATAGGATTGCAAAGACCCAAGGCATAAGTTCCATCTATGTAGGTTGTCCTGCCTTCATTGTGGGGAATACAGCAAAAGCAGGTGTTAGATTCTTAGGGTTTGATGCAATCAAAAATTTATTAAGAGATAAAGAGACTGGTGAGCTTAGTGGTAGTCGTGGTGTGATTGCTGGGCTAGGTGCTGGTCTTTTGGAATCTGTTGTAGCTGTAACTCCATTCGAAGCTATTAAGACAGCTCTAATTGACGATAAGCAGTCTGCTCAACCAAAATATCAAAACAATGGTCGTTCTGTAGTACGAAACTATGCAAGATTAATAAAGGATGAAGGCTTCCTTGGTTTATATAGAGGTGTGTTACCTGTTTCTATGAGACAAGCGGCTAATCAAGCCGTAAGATTAGGCTGTTATAATAAGATTAAAACCACTATTCAAGATTATACTAATTCTCCAAAGGATAAACCTTTATCATCTGGATTAACATTTCTTGTCGGTGCCTTCAGTGGAATTGTCACCGTTTATTCCACTATGCCAATAGATACGGTCAAGACTAGAATGCAAAGTTTGAATGCTTCTAAATATACATCGACATTAAATTGTTTTGCAACTATCTTTAAAGAAGAAGGCTTAAAGACATTCTGGAAGGGTGCCACACCAAGATTAGGTAGGCTAATATTAAGTGGTGGTATAGTCTTTACTATTTATGAAAAGACTTTGGTCATTTTAGGTTAGTTCTCCTTTTCTTTTTTTGCGTATCTTCTTACTCTTTAGTGTTATTATAGAATAAAGAGCATCTAGATATACTATAAAATAATAGTAATAATAATATATATTATTGTTAATTAATACTATATAATATTAAGTGTGTATATTATTGTAGTTACACAAGTCTTGATAGATAGTTTTATGTTAATGACAATATTGGTTTATTATAGTAATAGGAAGAACATAAGTTATTTTTTTGGGTCTTGTTTTTATACAAACAAACCCATAAGTCTCAAAAATGTAGCTAAGTAAAAATATAGTTATAATTATAAATATTTATAATATATACACCCATATTTATATTTATAAATCTAATTATATCCTATATTATATTTATCATTAGGGGTATTTTATCGAATATATCAAGTTGTATTTCTTTTCAGTCAGTCTATCTTTTTTTTTTTCTTTTAATCTGCAACAACATAACAGATGGATATATGTGAGCAGTATTATTCAAGAACTAGTAAATGCTACGATAACATTAAGGTAACGTAGTTTCAGTCTGTGCTAAATATCTACGTTCTTTCCTCTTAATCTTAATAAAATCAATAATACTTTTCAACAATATAAAAAATCCTAAGAGGCCAATAGCAACAGCTAAAAATGGTACACTTTGTTTTTCGTCTTCTATTCCATGACTTAATTGGGATTCAAATTCATCTTGTGGTAATTGGTTTTGGTTTAGACTTAAATCTTCATAATTATTTGGATCTGCAGGTTCAATCCTATGCAAACTCTTATGTTTCCCCACTTTAGATACAACATCATTTGGTATCATAGAATAACCATAGCTTAAAAACGTTAATCCTAACCCAAATCTAGATCCTTGTTTTGCAGCATGAGATGTGTGTAACATATATGTAATCAAAAATCCAATAAATTGAAAACACGTGCTAACAATAATATTCCATACCAAATTAGCCATATTCCCTACGGGCAAACCCTCAATACATAATTCATCATACATCTCAGAATTAGCCAGGTCAAGACCATAATATGATGGGACCAAATCAGCAGCCGCTTCATCATAAGTTGGAGGTCTATCATTCCGCGTCTCATCTCCCTGATTTGTCCTATTATTATCTGGCTTAGCAGTTAAGTTGCTAAAAACACCATCGAAGACTGTTCCAGCACCAACTAACCCATTACTATTACTTGTATCGTTATTTGTACGGAAGACTCTATCTAAAATATTAAATCTTCTTCCAATGTTATCCATCTGTCTTGTAGCAATATTTCGAAAATTTTCAGGTATTAAACGACTGGATAAGCTATTATTATTATTACTATTATTATTATTATTTGCATTAGTGTTTTCATTGTTAGGCATATTCGTCTCATTCTGTTCTTGGTTCTCATGATTCAACATATTATCACCGTTATTTATTGTAATAGCATTATCATTTGATGATTCTGCAGTCTGTTCATTGTGTATATTACTAAAATTTTGTAGCTCTGTTTCTTCTCTATTCATATTATTTAAACGATTGAAGCTAGATTCCATTTTCTTCTCTTAATAAACAGAAAATATCCTAATCCCTAAAATCTCTCTAAATATACGTAATCCTGTCAGTTTTGTTATCACTACTTTGTTTGTTTATAAGAAAGTTACGTATATATAGAAATGATGTATGTTTATTTGTCCTCTGATGTAATTGAAAAGCCTATTTTTTTTTCTTATTCTTTTCTTTTTCTTTTATTTGCAATTTAGCATTTTCAAAATGGAAATTGAAGACAAAAAAATTGAAATTAACTGAAATAATAGTAAGATAAAAAAAAATGTCACATTTACTACAAAGCTACTTATTACATAATATATCATACCACACATGATTCTTTGCAAAGATTAAAGTACGAAAGATCGATATATAGTTTCCATGTGAATTTGATATAAAATAATCAATATTCTAAAATCTATACATTATTATCAAATTTTAGCATATTTTTATAAATTTTTAATACCTTTTAGTACTGAAATAAATATAGCATTAGTTTCATAGGGCAGGTATAGGTGCAATTTTCGTGAGATTGACAGCTTCCACTTTCACAGGTTGTTAACTATCAGCAATTGGCTCTATTTTAACTACGTTTATACTAGTATTATTCCCTGATAGATTTTCATTAGTGCTATCTATGTTACTTTTATTAACATCATTGTTGTAATCTTGCTTTTCTGGATCAGCCTTCACTGTAGTTTTCTTTTTTATATTAATACATACACGCAACGATTGCCCTGGAATGTGACTCATTATGTAGCATAGACGTGGTTTAGAATTAGGTGCTAATGGTCTTGGCTTATACTCTATTATAGTATTCAAATCATATGAATTCACAGATGGTCCTAAGTCGATACCACCCGGTAATACTGTACTAGGTATTGGCGTTCTGAAGGTTCGTGGAATATCTGCAACATCTGGTAAATAATTATCATTTGTTAGTGAACTGCCAGATAAGGGTCCAACTAAACCATTATTACTTGATATGTTGTTTAAGACATTACCACTCGTAACATTACCACGTCTATTCAAACGTCCTTGTCTTCTTTTACGCCTAGTATCTCTTTCTTTATCCCTGTCTAATCTTTCTAATTCGGCAATGGAAATTTGAAGTAAATTTGGTGTATAATTTTTCGTATCAGATGGAACTCTAAAAACATCATCTAATGTAATCACAGGTAGTAATCGACTTCTAATATCGTTATCTTCAACTGGTGATCCATCAAATTTGTAACCTAATAATGCTAATGATTTATGATACATATGTACTTGTTCTCTGATAGAATGTGAAATTGCAGTCACAAATTCCCCTGGTAATTGTAACTCTTGACACATATTTTCCGCAAACTCTTCTGCACAATTATCTGTATTGGATATATCCCATTCGAATTGATCGATCAGCTGATTTTGTCCCACAACAATGTCTAATTTAATTTTGATTCTTAGGTCGTCACCGCCCAATCTTCTTCTTTTCAATTCATTATAAGGATTTGGTTGATATTCATAGATTTGTTCACGGATAGATTGAGCAATCATATCTCCAAATTGAGCTCGATATGATGTATTGAATCTAAAGTCTTTTACCATTTCATGTACAAAGTTTTCAATAGATACCACTGTTTCATTTCTATTCCACAAAAATGTATCTCTTAAGAAAAATTTATCTTTTTCCTGGTCAAATTCTAGACGAATTGGCACTAATTCCTCAGATGTCTCATTCATAGCTTGTTTATGTATAGCTAATTCGTCAAGCTGGGTTTCATCTTTATATCCAGATATTATTTTTGTGATAGTGTTACTTATACCATTCCCGTAACCACTATAACCACTGCCCCATATACTTGCAGCAGGGATATTCTTTGTTGTACTAGTTATTGATTTCATCCTAGTATTTTTCAATTCCTGATAATATTTTAAAGTATGAAATAATTTAGCCATATACTCCCTGTTACTAAACCCATATATGCTGAAAGGTTCATAGCCTCCTTTTTCTTTCTCTTTGCCCTCTACATCATGCTTATCTCTTCTAATAAATTGTTCATAAAGTAAAGAGTCGGTAGTTGGTCCCTTGCTTTCAGACCAATATTCTGTATAAGGTAATTTCGCTTCAGGTAGATCATATTTAATCGTTTTATATTCTGGTAATTCCAATTTAGGCATTGATAATGGAGGTACATTGGTCGGAATTTGCAAACCCGTAACAGTGGGCATAGTAGTAGTAGTAGTAGGAAGAGTAGGCTGTGAGATTGTAGATACTGGAGTAGTTGATGTATTAGATGCTTTTTTAGATGTCTTAGCTGTAGTGTGCTTACGATGCTGTCTGGTAGGATTGTCAGCACTTGCATTCTGGTTTTTTATACCTCTGCCTTTTGCTTGCGTTTTACGTCGAGTCGGTGTTGCTATAGGAGACATCTGTTCTGGTATACTATTATTAGTTGGTATAACTGTTGTTGGAATATTTGTATTTGGTGGTAATGGAGATTGTTGCAAACCAGTAAAATTGTTCATTTCATTAGGACTTTGGGTTGTCTGCATATTGATAAATTGATTGGAACCTCCTGAATTAACATTATTTTGTGTATTGGGTGCTATGTTATTATTAGGATCATTTATTTGTTGTTGTTGTTGTTGTTGGATCTGTTGTTGTAATCTCTCCTGGACTTGTCTTTGTGCCATCATAATTGTTGAAACTATGGCCATATTGCCCTTACTAATCGCTTGTGCCTTCAGAGAGTTCAGTATTTGTAATTGTTGAGGTAAGGGTAATGCAGCGATTTGTGGTGGTAGAGTAATAGGTGGTGTACTATTACTAATTCTTGATGCATTTCTTACTTGTTGTTGCTGTTGTTGCTTCTGAAGTTTTTGCCTTTGTTGTTGAAGTGCTTGAGCAGTAGCTTGTTTGGTTTGTTCAGACATTTGAGCTAGACGTTGTTGTACATTCATTTGCTGCATAATAGCAGCAGAACTTGAATGATCATTCTCCATATTACTAGATCTTTGCAATCGGTTATTTTGCATTTCTGGAGACTGCACAGGTACCTGAATGTTATTATTATTATTATTTTGTTGTTGTTGTTGTTGCTGCTGCTGCTGTTGGACACGATTAGCCAAAAGCTGTTGATGCTTCTGTTGTATGGTTCTTAGTTGAACAGGCGTAAGTGATTGTAAAATAGGTTGAGGTATTTGCGTGATGCTAAAACTTGGGGTTCCGATGTTACTCAGAAAATTTCTTGGATCCATTGGATTGTTATTGGAGTTTTGAGATGTTGTGTTCCTTTCATTATTAATGCCCTGATTATTATTATTATTATTACTATTATTATTAGTATTAGTATTGCTATTCATGATTTTTCAGATAAGCTGGAGAAAACGATAAGGTAATTTAAAAAAAAAAGACAGAGTGACTGCAATATAAAATATATGTTGATGTGCTGTTTTATATTTTTTTCCCGCTTTTTTTTACTTTATTCTTTCCAAAAATAAAATCCCAAACACTGTAGAATAGTTGTAGTTACTCTTATCTCTACGAATTAAATCAAATATATATTTAAGAGAGGATGAATAACGTGTAATATATTTGTTTAATAGATGACTTATTTTGCTTGTTTAATATTTTTTTTCTTATCTACATTAGTCTTTTAATTACTTCGCTGCATTTTTTATTTTTCATTTTGTTTTTTAAATCTATTTTTTTTTTTTGCTATGAAATTTGGAAAGTACAAGATTCATAAGACAAACAAATGTTTATGTAGACAATGTGCTAGTGGTGGTATTATTTAATATCGATAAAGGTCACTGAGAATAAAAGATTTACCTTGTGAATATAAAAGATAGTACTAGAAGGAGCAAGGAGGGAATAAAAAGTTATCAAGAAAAAAAAAAGTAAAAAAAAAAAAAAACAAAGAAAGAAATGTATATTTCATTTTATATTACCGACTCAAGAAATGGATTAATTTTCCAATACTTACCAAGTACAGATGCACCATCTTTTACTAACCTTTGGACAAGAATTAAGTCCACGTGTCCCCAGTTAACTAAAATACAATCCAATGACCCTTTATATCGCAATAGCAATAATAGTAGTAATAACGATGGTGACGACAACGATTACACTATATGCTCTCCCACGAACAAATCTGCAACACACGGTTTAGTTGGGAAAGATTTAGAGGTATTTAAATATTTCTCTAGAGTTAACAATATATACTATTGGAGTTTGAGATCGTTGAATTCAGATTCTGTTGCCTCACAGGAGCTCAATATAGAGCCGCATGTTATAATGGCAGAGATCGATCGGATGCTATTGGATTATTTCGATAAAGATAAAATGACAATCAAGAAGATAGTGAATAATTATGATCAGATAACGTTAATCTTTAATTGTTGTATTAATGGTGGGGAACCGATGACAGGTGGGATGTATATGAATAGAGTTAAAAATATTGTTCCAATGAAATCAGATTTTTCCAAAGTGATTAATTCGACTGCATACACTATACAGAATGTCGTTGCTAAACATCAATATCCAATTAATAGTTTTATGGAACACACTGAAGATAGGATGTTCCGTTCAAACAGCAAACAGTTAAATAGATTGAATACAGGTGTTGAGGTTGTTCCATGGAGAAGTAATAAGTCGTTGAACAATAGTAATCGTACCAGTTATAATAGTAATAGTGGCAGTAGCAATAGTAATATAGGAATGAGTAATTTCGCTAATAATGACAATAGAAATGAATTATATTTAGATATTAAAGAGACGATGTGTCTTGTGATGGAAAGGTCGATGAATAAGAAGAGAAGGAGTAGAGACAGCAGACAGTTTAAGACAGTTAACGGTAGAATTACAGGCATCGTTGATTGTAGAAGTTATTTAATTGGAGAGGCACCGTTGGTTACAATTGATCTAAATAACCATGGATATGACTTAGGTTTCCCCTCTTTACATCGATGTGTTGAACTTGACCAATTTGATAGTCAGAATACGAATATATCTTTTATACCACCAAATGGTAAGTTTCAATTAATGGAATACAATTTAGATATACAGAAAGAAAGATATGGTATTATTAGTTTAGATTATTCCAATAATCTTGGTATAGAAGAAGATGAGTTTGAAGTTACTATTAATATCGGTTCGTCAAGAAGGATATCAGAGATACATGATTTATGCATTGAATTACAATTCAAAGCAAATGACAATACAACAAATATGTATGAAGAAGCTTATCCTATAAAGATTAGAATATTACGTAGTACCCATGGAAGATTTAGTCAAATAGTTAGTCAAAATAGAGGGATCTGGGAATTTGATCCAAAGATCAGTACTGGAACAATAGCTATTTTAAGAGGTTGTATTGAGAATCAAAATGAAGAAGATACAGATAAAAATAGAAATAACAATAACAATAACAATAACAATAACAATAACAATAATAATAATGATGATGGTGATGGTGATGGTAATGATAGTAGTATCAGTAATTGTAAAAAAGTTAAGAAAATCAAATCAAAATACACATTAAATCGTGTTATATTGAGATACAGACATGAAGGTGAATCACTAAGTGGTATTACAGTGAATAGAATAAAAGTTGAAAATCAACTGTCCTCAAGTAATGGTGTTCATTCCAATAATAAAGTTCCAACACCATTCAAGGGTGTCAAATATCTAAGTTATGTTAAAAATATAGAGATGAGAACATGCTAGTCACATGATTTGTATTGAAAATCTCCTAATAAATATAAACTTTATTACTGGAAAATAGGAACTAATTCCGAAACAAAAGGAGAAAAAGAAAGGAAACAAAAGGAAAGAAACAGAGAAGACAATCACAAAAGTGAAGTTGGGCGGCTAATTCTACAAAGGCCGTAAAGAACAATATGTATCCCTTTTTTATTATTGTTTTGTTTTTTGCACCATCATTCCCTTTATTATTATTGAGGGGTATATTGGGGATATATTGTCTGTAAGATTATTATTCATTTAGCTGTTTATTATTAATTTGGCAGATGGGAGTTGGAGAGAGAAGAAAGACAGTTGCAAAACAAACGTTAATACCGCATGTAATTGTCTTCTAGCATTATGATACAATAATAGTAAAAAGGTATTGGAGAATGAAACAATAAACAACAATAAACAACAACAACAACAACAACAATATCATCGTCATCAACAATCGTTTGATTAATTAATTGACTGACTAATTGATTGATTGATGGATTTGAAATGTGATAATAGTAATAATACTAATACTAATACTACTAATTCTAATTCTAATAAAATAAATTCTATATTGGGTCCCAATTGCTTCATGTACTTCCCCTCTTATTTCTCTCTCTCTCTCTCTTTTTTTTTTTTTATTGGTTCATTCCTCTTTTATAGAATGTATCATTATCTAACCTTTTTTTATAATACACACACATACACACACACACATATATATATATATATATATATATATGTATAGTTAGTTACTTAGTTAGTTAGTTAGTTAAATAGATAGTTAGAAATAAGTCGGTATTGTCTATATGGTTTCAATGTTGTATCTTTTCATACTTTTATATCTTGGTATCTTATCTGCAGGTATCATTGTCTATATATATAAGATAAGGAATATCTAAAAAAAAAATAAATCAAGATATAATCATTATGAGTGGTGAAAGTTGTAATAAGAGCTTGACTTTTAAAGGAAGGGTCGTTGTTGTTACAGGCGCAGGAGGTGGACTTGGAAGAGTCTATGCATTAGAATTCGCTAAGAGAGGTGCCAATGTGGTTGTTAATGACTTAGACAATGTACGCGATAGTAATAGTTCTAATAATGGTATGAAAGCGGCTGACGTGATTGTTGAGGAAATTAAATCAAATAATTATAGTGGTGACGCTATACCTAATTACGATGCAGTTGGTGGTCCACACACTTCAAATATCGTTGATTCTGCGATTAAAAAATGGGGGAAGATCGATATTTTAATTAATAATGCGGGGATTTTGAGGGACTCTTCTTTTGTTAAGATGGATCTCAATCAATTCAATTCAGTTATTGAAGTCCATTTAACTGGAGCTTTCAAATTAATTAAAGAAGCTTGGCCATACATGAAAAACCAAAAATTTGGTAGAATCGTCAATACTGCATCACCTGCAGGTCTCTACGGTAATTTCGGCCAGTCAAATTATTCTGCTGCAAAATTGGGATTAGTTGGACTAGCTGAAACTTTGGCTAAAGAAGGTTTTAAATATAATATTATGGTCAATGCTATTGCACCGTTGGCAAGATCAAGAATGACAGAAAATGTTTTACCTTCATATATTTTAAAAGAACTAAATCCAGAGAAAATTTCCCCTTTAGTACTTTTTTTATCACATGAATCAACTAATGTGACTAATTCAATTTTTGAATTAGCTGCTGGCTTTTATAGTCAGATCAGATGGGAACGTTCTTCTGGACAAATTTTTACTCCAAATGAAAAATATTTAACTCCGGAAGCTCTCTTATCTAAATGGATTGATATTAATGATTTTAAATCTGATAAATCTTTTAAAAAAATCGAACATCCAATCCAATTAGCAGATTATAACGACCTTATAACGAAAGCCAAAAAATTACCTCTAGCAAATGAACAAGGTAGTATTCAAATCAAATCTTTAAAGGATAAGGTCGTTGTTATCACTGGAGCAGGTAGCGGATTAGGTAAATCACATGCCTATTGGTTTGCCAAATATGGAGCTAAAATTGTAGTTAATGACATTAATAATGCTGATAAAGTAGTTAAGGAATTGAATTCTAAATTTAATCAAAATATAGCAGTTGCAGATTCCCATGATATTATAAAACAATCCAAATTAGTAATTGACACAGCCCTGAATTATTTTGGAAGGGTAGATGTCTTGGTTAATAATGCTGGTATTTTAAGAGATAAATCTTTCTTAAAGATGAGCGAAAAGGATTGGGATGATGTATTACAAGTACATCTTTATGCCACCTATTCCATGTGTAAATCAGTTTGGCCAATTTTCTTGAAACAAAAGACTGGGTTTATTATTAATACAACTTCAACATCGGGCATATATGGTAATTTTGGTCAAGCAAATTATGCAGCAGCTAAAGCAGCTATCCTTGGATTTTCAAGAACTTTGGCTATTGAAGGTGCAAAAAAGGGAATTAAAGTCAATATTATAGCACCACATGCAGAGACTTCAATGACTAAGACAATCTTTGGAGAAAAAGAATTGCAGAACCATTTTGAACCTGCTTTTGTTTCTCCCTTAGTTGTCTTGTTAGCATCAGAAGAATTACAGAATTCTAACAAGAAGAAACCCGTAAATGGTATGTTATATGAAGTTGGAGGTGGTTGGTGTGGTCAAACTAGGTGGCAAAGATCACAAGGTTACATTTCAAGGTTGGCAAATATTTCACCAGAGATTATTAAAGAACATTGGGATGACATAACAAATTTTGTTAAGGGTAAACAAGTTCATCCAACATCAACTGAACAATCTTTAATGGCAATATTACAAGCTGTACAAAAAGCAGAAATGATAAGAAAAGATGAAGCAAATAGTAAAGTTAATACTACACTAGCTAAAACAAGTAAAGATAATGGTACGTTGAAAGGTATATATAGATACAATTTCAAAGATTGTATCCTTTACAATATTGGAGTTGGTGCCACCAGTAAAGAATTGAGATATATCTATGAAAATGATCCAGACTTCCAAGTTTTACCGACGTTTGCGGTTATCCCTTCTATGAATACAGTTCAATATTTAAATATGGATGATTTAGTAGATGATTTTAATTTCGCTATGCTATTACACGGGGAACAGTATTTTAAGATAAACTCTGAGGGCATTAAGCTTCCTACGCAGGCTACTTTAAGAACAGAAGTGACACCACTACAAGTTCAAAATAAAGGCAATAAAGCTGCTATTATTGTTGGAGGTTTTAGTACGTATGATGTTGATAGTGGTAAATTATTAATGTATAATGAAGGAACATTTTTCATTAGGGGTGCGTATGTTCCATCAAAGGATAAAGAAATTAATAAAAAAAGATCGACTTTTGCTATCGAGAATTTTTCTGTTCCTAAGAATATAGCCACACCAGATTTAGAAGTAGATATTCCTACGTCAGAGGATTTAGCAAGTGTGTATCGATTATCTGGAGATTATAATCCACTACATGTCGATCCAGTTGTCGCAAAAGCAGTTAAATTTCCTAAACCTATTCTGCATGGTCTATGTACTATGGGCATTACAGGAAAAGTTTTATATGAAAAGTTTGGTCCATTTGATGAATTAAAAGTGAGATTTACAAACGTTGTAATCCCAGGTGATAAATTAAAAATCAAAGCCTGGAAGAAAGACAACGGAATTGTTATCTTTCAAACTATCGATATTAATACAAATGTAATTGTGTTGGATAATGCTGCAATTAAATTAAAAAATTATGTAGTTTCAAAATTATAATTTAACAATGTACACTTTTGCACACATTCCTGCAACAACGAGATCAGTATAGAATCGATTCTAAGTACCTGATTCCTATTTTTTTTTTTTACTATTTATTAAATATATGATTTTAATAATGAAACTTTCCTATATTTTGACAGTTCTTCGCGTTGCAATTTATTCTGTCCCCTTATGATGAATAATATGTATTTTAAAAATTCAAATCTTATTATGTAAATATACATATCACGATAAATAACGATTTTTCTATTATATTATAGCAATTTTATAATGACATGCATTGTTTCAAATAAATAGGCGCTTAACTATTAAATGTGTGTAAAAATACAGAAAAATATAAAAGAATATATTAATAAGTGATAAATATTAGTTTTCTTCAGAATGCTTTTGTGCCCAGTGTTTACCAACAACAGGGATTCTTTGGAATAAAGTCTGTTGGAACAATGGCCAACCTTCAACAAAGACAAACAATCCAACTATAGATGCACCACCCCATAACATTAAGTTAGGAGAATAATTTAACAGATTTTTGAATGATAATTTACCCAAATGTGGTGATATTTTTGTATTTATTCTGGTATTATACTAAAAAAAAAAGAATTAAATAAATAGGAAAAAAAATTATAGGAAAGGTTCCGGAAAGGTTAGTAATGATGACTCAATTCAAGATCATTTCAGGACGTATAAAAACAAAAATTCCGATAAAGAATTAAAAAAAATTCAATCGAAAACATACTGTTGTAGCCATTTTTGTTGTTACGTTACTATTAGTGATATGCTTGGTTAAAGTCGTGTGCTTTATTTCGCTTGGTTTTTCCAACCATATTTTATTATGCACTGGCAAATTTTATTTGTTTCCTTTAAATACGGGTTTTTGATCTTTTACTATTTGAAAATTTCTGATAAATATTCCGATGCATTATTTCCATTTTATTGGCTAAAAGGGGGACAGAAGAAAGAGTTGTGGAAACACCGATATTTTATTTTTCTTGAAAAAAGGATGGTGCATTAGTTATGTTAAAAAAAAAAACAAGAGAGAGCTAAATAGTATCACATTTTTAATAATATCTTCGATAAAAGAGTAATAGTAAAAGAAGGTAGTTGGATGACACCATAATAATTTGAGCAAATTTTTTCCCTTATAGATGTTATCTATATTTTAGGATATAATGTTAGATTTTTTTATGCTTTTTAACGGTATATATACATACATATGGTAGAGAAAAATTGGACGTTTCTTTCACGTAACATTTTTTTATAAAAATGGTATATGTTAACAATGAATAAAGGTGAGAATGCTAACATAATATATTAGATTCTATCTCTAACTTTATTTAATAAATTAATCAATGTAATATAAATATATTTCAACTATTCATGGCAGTCTGTGTTCCATAAACATGGGAAGTTAAAGAAACAAAAGTCTGGTTTAGTTTGGTGTATATTAAAAAGTGTGTATCTCACTTCATTTAGGAGAGGATTAAATTCTACTTCAAGGCCTTGTTTTTTTGGTAGTGGCATAGAAACAATTATATAATGCAAAAACTTGATAAACTTCTGTATCTAGCATCATAATACAAACTATTGAGTACAATATGAAGATTTCTTATAAATCATCGGAAATGCTGTTTAAATTAATGACTTCTCCAGGTTTGAATGCAGGTAAACCTAAATATGGGCAGCCACTACATCTAAAAGCATCACCAAGAGAGCATGAACCACAGCCACCTACTTTCTTACCATCAATAGTAAAATCGATTTCAGTTAATTCATCTTCAGTGAATTTAATAACTTTTTCTTGTTGAGATCTAATCCTGTTTACTTCCTGTTCTTCTTCCTCTTTCATGCCACATGTACAATCTTTGCAAGCTTTCTTCTTTTTTGTTTTAGTTTTACCACAGATGATCATAGATACATTACCAATTTTCCCATCCACTAAATCATCCTCATCAATAGACTCGCCATCGGCATCATCGTCATCATTAATATCTAGGAAACGAGCCTTTGAAGAATTACTGAAAATATCATTTTCATTCTCATTGTCTAAATCGTCATCTAAGTCATCAGTTATCACTGCAGTTTTAACGATTTCAACGTCTGGTGTAGCCTTTTTAAATGTTGGCAGAGAAGCTTTTTTGAAACTTGGTAAACTTTTTTTATTTGATTCGTTGGAGAAATTTGTCTTAGTTTTTAATGATATTGCTTGAGGAGCTACATGATTCTCCTGTGTCTTGATCCAATGATACTCGTCATTATCGTTTTTACCGTTGTTAACAATTTCAAATCCATTAATAACAGCGTCAATCTTATATACATCACTTAATCCATACAATACCCCGTTTACTTTTAAAGAGTTCTTCAAAAGTTCAATAAGTTTTTTAGGAAATTTAATATCTTCAGGTTTTTCGGGGGTTAAATATCTAATTACATCATAATTATCATTTTTCAACTTTATTGAGCCATCATTAACTTTATTAATTAAGTACTGGTCAACAAACTTAAAACCTTTTTGTTCAGCGCTGGCTTTAGCATTGACAACCATCTCAGGAGTGGTTGAAATAGCGGGGTGGATAAGCAAAAGACCAATTTTAGACATTTTAAAGTAATAAAAAATTAGTTTTTTTGTTGCTTCTATAAGAGATGACTATTATTACAGTCTTTTTTTTATCTCCTTTCTTCTTCACAAGGGATTTAACTGAATAAGTTCTGAAACAAATAGTTGTAGACATGCGCAAAATATGACATCACAACATGTATTCATAACTCTTTTATTTGTCTTTATTTTTTTTGTTAAAATAAAAGAAGAATTATAACTCTTTCTATTATTCCACAATTATATATAGTCATGCTTATAATTTATTAGTAATCACAAAACACAAAAAAATGAGAATATTTATTTTTTTTTCTTTTTTCTTTTTTTTTTTCCTCTGACAAAAAACAATTTTTTTTTTTCAATCGGTTTTTCTTTTCATACGAATTATTTACTACTGGAAATAATATAAATCAAACTGCTTCTGTGATGTTGTTTCACTTCTGCATCAAGCATTTATCACTTGATCATAAAGAGGACCATTAGACGTTTTAAACAAGTTGTCCTCGTTAATACTAGTGAAAAATTACTGTCGTTGATTATCTAATAAGAAAAAAGCAATTGTTAACGTTTAGGAGTTAGCAGCTGTATGTATTGGGTAAATAGGATAAATTCTCATATGTATTCTAAAACTTTTATGTAGCTCATAGAGCTGAAATAGGGTGTTCTACAATAAGATAACTAAAAAAGTAAGAGTATGCTGGATAACAGACGGTAAAATGTTAAGTATCATCGTCTACATATTATGGAATGTCGATAAAATTATTTGTTAAATCTTTGGTATTTGTGGAAGGAAATCAATGAATTCTGATTTCTATAAAATCAGTAGCATCCTCATGCTATGTTTTTACTTTTTGTCCAATGTTTCTCTATATTATTATTTCTGTATTATACATACAAAAGAAAACTGAAGAATTTTACTTTAATTTTGTACATTATAAATATATAATAAGTGATAGTTGGGAATATAATAATTTATCATTGACTTATATGCATTTTGTCTTCTAATACCATCCTTCGGAATCACATCTTTTGATTTGTCATACTTAGGATTGTATAAACTACTAAATCTTTCTCTGTAATCCAATTATCATACAATAGCACAACAATCCATTGTCTGGTTCATATCTTTTAATAATTGTTCTCTATTCCATCGGATACTTTTCCTCCCCTTTCAAAATCTCAAGTACCCGGTTGAGGAATATATCATGTTTGTAGGATGTCCTATTTACCTAATAAGTACAGGTGCTAAATTTCAGCATGGATAGCCTTTTGTATAGACACACTAGCGCTTCTAGTGCCCTAAATCCTTCTACAAGCAATGACATTAAATTTTTTAACATTAATACCAGGCAAGACGCTTTAGCTGCATGGAATACTCCAGCTAACCCTCTGTTTTAATCTAATTTGAATGCTATAATGAATGTTGATCCATCTTTAAGAAAACATAAAACTACTGTTCAGGTGTGTAAGTTATTCTATTTTGAAGCTGGTACTCTAGGTCTGTTATATAGTCCTTATATCTCAACTAAGGATTGCTAATAACCTACTAGTTATGCTTATATATGACTTCCTTGTTACGGTTAAATACCAAGGTACTATTGTTCCAAGATTTATCTAACCATTCTTTTACGTATAGCAATCCTATATACCCAGGGCTTAATCTTTATATTCCAACCAACTTATTTGATTGCTCCAATCTTGGTTTATTTAATTATTGATTCACATATTTGTATAATCAGAGATTTAAGGCCTGAGTAATCACAAAGTTTACTACATTTGTTTTTCACTTTTGTTCTTTTAAGCAGTTATTTCGACTAGATTCAAGAATTTTTCCAAGAACAAATGCATTCATATTATGTTATTTATCAAGATATAGTCTATAACGTTGGACATAATAATGTTAATACAATAGTGGTTACTCGACTGGTCAATTCACAAATTATCCTCATTGATCAGTTGAACATTATGGATCTTCAAACCCGTGAGTCCTCCTTAAAACAAATTATTTGTGATACACTAATAGGTACCTACGAATCTACTTCAAAACACTTTTTAAGACTAATGATTCATATACTAACGACGATGTTTTCTCTTCTGCCAAGAGAGAATGTCAATACTGTTACAAGGTTTTGAAATTTTCAGATCCACATTCTTTTTCACTCCTCCTTTAATCTTCAAAGCTATTACCGTTTCTTTTTTAATGAAGCCTAAGACCAAGTCTGCTAAGGCTCACCCTGAAAATGTCAATGAAGTAAAGGCCCAGTTTGACAGTATCTCTGTTCATCGCTATGATGATTCCATAGACCCAAATTTGCTTAGACTTATTTCAACTTCATTAGTTCCAGTATATTATATGATGCTTAACACTGTCGCTACTGTTATCCTTTGTCAAATACCAAGAGATGTTGCATAATCTTTGTAATTCTCATTCTAACTCTACCGTAATTATATTATGTTCCAATTCAGATATTCCATATAATCAAGAAAGTGATTTGCTTATTAAAATCGTCAATGGTAAATAAGTTACAATTCATGCCTTTTATGCATTCATCGTTGATCACATCGTTTTATTTACTAGTGATCTCTCTCTTCGCCATTTTTCTATTTTATTGTATCATTCCATCTTTTTATACTTTGTTTAAGACCACAAATGCCTTTTTAGTGGGGTAACGTAACGTTATTTGTCCAAATGTGTAATGTATATTTTGTATCTGTTGGGATATAAAAAAAGCATAATTAATGTTAGAGGTTCTCAAAGGTGTATTTTGTTGTTAGCAAGGATTAATGATAATTTTAGTAAATCTATATTTAAAACAGATATGCCAATATCATTATAATGGTTTTCATATTGTAGATTCTCTCTGCAAACAATTCTGGCCTTGTATGTGCCATTCTCTCTTCACAATAAGCATGGTATAGGTTCCTATGATTATGCTTTCTGGTACATGAGCTTTCAGGATTCTGGTATTAAAGTTTACAATGTCTATATCAATTAAATTATGTTTTTCGTTTTGTTCTAAATTTGCATTCTTTGTTATGGTTTACTGATAATGTATAGCCTTAATTTTTGGAATGTGTTTTGCATAAATTTTGTTATCATGGTGTTTTTTATTCCCTTTCTCAATAAATTATATATTGTACAGTTGGAAGATCTATTGTAATATGTTATCCCATTAAATAAGGTATTATACAACATAGAACAAAGCTCAAAAAGATGGAGTGCTATCTTTAAACCACTTTATTGTTCTTTTTAATGTTGATTTATCTATAGTTAGTTGTTGGTTGGTTGTATTGATACTTATTAGGATTTATACTGGCTATGTAACCATCCTACTATTTTTTTATGAAACTTAATTGAAAGTACCTCAAAGCATTGAAAACTATATTTTTGTAGATCTTATTCATCGTATTCTAGATCATGTCAATGTTTAATACATGTATTCATCAACTAAAACAAGACTTTCGACATTATTTCTTCAAATGAAGTTGATTGGTTAAAGTTTTCTCAATTCTAATGTCAGGACGGTTTAAGAGGAGAAAGCAGGAAAAGTCCACACATTGTTAGCCCACATCTGCCATGTTTACACATTTTAAAACCATTCCAATATACTCACTCCGACTTGTTTCGACCAGTAACTGTGGTTACAAAACCTGAGTGGATCATATCGTTCACTGAAGAGGCATCAAAATTCAAATGGACCTATTTATTAAAAAGGAAAGATTATGCTATCATTCTTCATGTCTTCAAGCTGTTTAGTGCAACTATCGAGAGACAGTTCCATGCATCCATTTTGAAATTTCAATTTGACTGTGGAATAGGGTACACAAATTCTGCAGTAAAAACATTTCTATTTGAATATGGTATACAGATTGCATATACTGACGCGGATAATTCCTAAGCTTGTGGTGTTGTTGAAAGACTAAATATGATTCTAGTGAATTATTACTGAACTGCCATGAATAGTACTAAACTTCCACACCACTTATGGTATTACACAGTGCAATATGCTCATATTATCCCTAATTTCATATACAATAATGCTATGGAAGACTCACCTCGATCTAAAGTAGGTTTATTAGTCTTTAACTGGAAATTACTGCTTTCATTCGGTCAGCCGGTTATTATCAATCTTAATAGAATTGCTTCTAAACTTTGCATCAAAGGAGAAAAAGGTTTTGCTCTGGTTCTTGATGCGGAATCTTATGGTTACCTATTCCACTTTCCAGTCAAATGTAAAGTGGCATCCTCGTTCAATTTTATATCCATTAAAAATAACATTGATGTTGATGAAAACGAGGAGTATAGTGACTCTATTTTTGATAACTTCATCTTTTATGTCTAACTTCGACAATAATACATCCACACATGGCGAAATTGAAGGTGTAACTTTGGATAATATAGTTCCTTCAGTTTTACTTATACTACTAGTTTAACTATTTTATTATCTGCTTCGACTGAAAATTTAATTGTAAATGATACCTTTTTTACACAATATGGCACTAAAATTGATTTGAACATACAAACTAATTGTAATTCATATGTACACAAACTTTACTCAGAGGATATATTTATTCTAAGTGATCTAAATGATATTAATCAACTACCTCTAACACTTGTTGAGCGTTTACTCCTATAAACCGCAATTTTTACTAATATAGCAGTCTCATTCACTTCACAAATCACAAATTCTTCATGGATGTCATTGGTGCAGATTAGTTTCTAGAGGATAACAATATAAATTATCAACATATTGACAAGATGTAATGTCAAACAATGTTAATATATGATGATCTTATAGTTATGTGTTTTTGATAACACTCAATTTAGACTGAGTAATAATAATAAACCACTTGGATGGATACAAGATAATTCTATATATCTGAATATTATATTAATATGGATCTATTTAAATTACTATTGTTATTACTCAGTCTAGATCGACTGTTATCAGAAAATACATGATTATAAACTTATGATGTTTGGTAACTTCACTTATTTTCTTAATTTATTGGTAATTACCATTATTTGATCACATCCTTCATCTAGTGGCATACCTGATACAAAATCAATATTGATAGCCTTAATTCATTTAGAAGGAATTTTTAATGGTTGATAAACACCAATAGGTAACAAATATGAATTTTCAGCTTTCTGACGTGATTCACAACTTCTTACAAAGTTAGCAATCATGTTTTTCATCTTTTTCCAATAATATAATGTAGTAATATTAGTATATATTCACTTTATATAAGGATGCCTATAGTTTTTGAATTATGGTAAGTTATTCATTGATGTTGTAACTCTCAATAGTTTTACAGAATAGTTAAAATACAATTTGATAGGGTATATTATCAACATATCTATGTGCTCTATTAAAAGAAGGATTATGCATTCGTCTTTTATCTCACTTATTATTACGTAACGCATTAAATAGACTAACCAGATCACCTTGTAGGTTGAAATAATTTGGAGCTAATTGGTTCGAAAAGGTAATAGAATATAATATGAATAGTGTCACATAAGCTTTGTCCCTGGATGGCTATGTGTATTCTTTCAAAGAATAAATGACTCCATGGTAATTTTATGTCTGTTTGTTGATGGCATGATATTATTAAGTAATAATTGTCAATTGGCTAATGGTATTATCTCTCAATTTCAATAACAGTTTAAAGCTAAAATTGTTGAGAAAAGTATACAATAAATTAATGAATATGATGGTCTCGGTTTTGTGATAGAATTTGTTAAGGATTTATCCATGAAAATGAACATGACAAAGACTTTCGAAGAAAACCTCCAAGGCTTATATGTAGATTTTAACAAGAATAGGAAAGTTCCAGGAACATTGAAGGAGACAATAAGAAAAATAGAATTTTATGCTACTGAATAAGAGTACAAGAATTAGGTTAAATACTTATAAAGGATGATTGGTTTAACTTCATATATTGGTTGGAAGTGCAAATATAATATACTATATTATGTCAGCACGATGTAAAAGTACAGTTTAGCAGAATATATTTTCTCAATGAAAATTGAATTAGAGTTAGATCCTTTAAGTCAAGCATTATATATACTTCTTCTATTGAAGGTGGAATTTATTCTAAAAGCAAAGAAATTCTTAGATTAGGAAATATGACTATTCCAATTCAAATTGTATTAGACAAACATGCAAAATGTGTAATATTAACTGGCAGTTGAACTAATTTTTATGAGATCAAACTAAGAAATATATTTAAAATCAAGAATAAGTTTTATGTTATCAATATGTTTTGCATATCTGGAGAGATTGAAAATAGGAATATGTTGCTGAACTCTATTAATGTAGATAATAGCATTGCTAATATTTCCATAAAATCTTTGATTGTGAAAAATTTTACCAAGTTTACTAAGAATTGGATCTGTTAAAAATTAGTTAACCTATAGGTGGTATGTTAAAATTGAATATTCTTGAATAAATAGATGTACTAATTAGGCTTTAGCGGATATGAATCTATACTGTTGATGAAAGGCTTTAGTATCAAAAATTCTATTAGCATTCATTTTAGATTGATATGATAAAATAATATAAACTTACAATAGAGTATTGATGGTATTATAAGTTATCAGTTATTTATGGTAGGATATTAGTGGTATTATAAGTTTATATTGCATCGTTTGCTTTCTTTTGTTCTATGTACTTAATATGCATATATAATTAATATACATTATAACACATTCTATTTTAACTCTTTTTTTATATGTTTTTATAAAATTTTGTAATTTTTGGTACGATAAATTTGGATTGTCAAATATTATTCTAATCTCGGGCCAATAGATATCAAAACGCAGAGTAAGCATTGTTTACTTATCAATAAATGTAAACAAAACAAATTGATAAATTCTTGCCATTTGTAGAAGAGTAGTGACAAATTCTAAAATATACAAAGGCAATGATTTTTTCAAATCATTTTCTTACCCTTTGTAGATTATAAATATATAACAATAATAACTGAGAATGTGTACAATATATCTAATTACCATAGACGCTTATTCTCAACAACTTTTTATCTATATAGTTAAAAAAAATCGTTGAAACAAAAATATATTAAATCATTCTTTGATGCATATATTGAATAATGGTAAGTTAAGAATATGTGTTGTCAATAATTGGATGCTTAATTTTGAAAATCACTGTCAAATGTCGTTTAAGTGATAAAATTTTTGTTTTCTCAAAAACCTGAATCACATTTTTTTAAAACAAATAATTAATATTTAAAAAAATTTAGAAACCAATTTCAAACAAAAAAAAAAGTCCACAAGCAAAAATGTTGAAATAGAATGTTCTATAACGAAATAGATAGAACAATAAGATTTTAGCAGACACTAAACGATAAATTGTTGAGTAATAATCGTTGAGAGGTCACCAAAAGTTATTGAGTTTGTTTATTAAATATCTTACCGTTCGTAGAGGAAAATGGCTCAATATTAACATATATAAAGCCAAGGATTTCATCATACATTATTTTTATCTTATTTACAATCTTTGTATATTATTATTTCTATGCTGTATAGAGAAAAAGAAAATGAAGAACTTTATTATAATTTTGTATACTAAATCTGTTTAATGTAATATTGAGAATGTTTACTATATATCCAATGACTACAGGCGCTCATTCTCAATAGAAAAACCAGTCACAATTCCCATATTCCAATAATTTTTAATATTTAAATTTTTTTCTATATAACTTCAATAACATTATCTCATTTCTGAGTATTTTTCTACCAAAACTTTCCGATCTCACCTTATTTCCTCAAACAACAAATATCATATATTTATTAGTAACTATATTGTTTAAATTATAATCACTGGTTGTATATTTTTCTCTAACTAAACTAATAACCGCGACAAAATTCATATTGTACACATCGCATATATATACTTAGGGGAATAAATAATTTCACTAGTAAGAAAATTTTGTCACTTTGATTTAAATTACTTGCCACATTTTTTTAAAAAGATTGAACTAATAGAAGTAATAATTAAATTAAAATTATTCATGATTAAACTGTACAAGATGTAAAAGATCTATTAATCTTGAAAAGTTTTCAATCTATCTTAAAGATAGAAGTACTTTCAAAAGCATATCATCCTATCAAACATGATTTGGCTTCAAAAATATTGAACAAATATATATCATACTTATATAAATTTACACTATTATACAGTTTCCACAGTACATAGCTTGAATCTGTTAAAACAATTACTATTTCTTACGTCTAGAACTATTTGCATGTCTTCCTCTTCCTACACGAACACTATGGTGTTTTAAACCAGTAATTGCAAATGGTGATATATAGTTATCTGCAGATCCACCACCAATCCAATTGTTCAAAACCTTTTCATTATGTTTGCGGGTCCATTCCTCTTGTTTCATCACTTGTTCGTATTCTTTTTGATCTTCTCTCAGAAGTTCAACCCCTTGATTTTGCTTACTATGGTCAAAACCCTTTTTACCGTACCTCTTTTGAGAATTTTTAGATAAAGGACTAGCAATAGAGTAACGGTTACCACGATTGTTCCATTGGAAATTGGCTTTTAAATGTGGAGTAACTTTACCAGTACGGGCATCCACAGAAACTGCACATCTTAATAAAGTGCCTTGTCCACCACAAGATGGACAAAAGTGCTTTGGCTTACCATCTTTTGGTAATGGGAACATTTGAAAACATGCATGGCATCTTAACATATAATTGCGTAATCTTTTAATTCTTAGACCAGAGTGGAAATTCATCAAATTCAAATTCAATTGTAATGCTACATTTTGTATAGCAAAATCTCCTGTAGCCAAAGCTACTTGATTCTTTGGTAAATCCAACGCTTCTTTCCTTTGTTCTTCAGATACTTCTACACCTCGTAAACCAACTGTATCTTCACCACTGTCTTTAAGTAAGGCTTCTGTTAAAGTATCAGGAGTGATCCATTCACCGTCATCGTCATCTTCCAAATCGTCATCTTCCAATTCATTTATTAATTCATCTTCTTTTACAGTTAGGTCCTTTTCTGGTAAAACATCAATAATTTGATTTATTGCAACATCTTCTTTTATTTCAACCTGTTTTGATACTGATTCAACTTCATCAGATTTTACATTAATCGAACCATCCGTTTGAGTGCTATCTGAGGCTTCTGCAGCTAATCTAGCTTTCCTCTTTTCACGCTGTCTTTTACCTCCTCTTCTACGTTTCTTTTTTGGTTTATTGTCAGTTGCTTTCCGAGATTTTTCAAGTTTCTCATTTGGTGTATTTTTTTCTGCTAATGAACCATCTTTTTTAGAAGTTATTTGCTTAGTAATATTCCTAACACCCTTTTGAGGCGTTTTATTTACTTTGTCTGTTTGATACTTTTGTTCCTCCTCCAACTTATCACCAGGTCTTTTCCTCAATCTCCAATCGCCTTTGTTTAACTGAACTTCCAGTTGATAAGTCAAAGCCAAAATATGAATATCATTAGCACTCAGCACAGAATAATCACCTGTCAATTTAGCAAATTGAGATACTCTTTTAATAGACTCTTCTGAAGGATGAATTAGATGAAGATTGCCTAAACTTTGCCAAATTTCTAAGTTTTTTCTAGCTTGCGCATCTCTAATTTCTTGAATAATAGTAGGTGTTGTATAAAACTCTTGTGCAAAATTTTGATAATGGGTATAAGGTTGAGTAATTAAAGGAGTGGCATCTAAAATAAGTGCCCTAACGTGTGCAAAGGACATCTTTCTATAACAGGCTTATTATTTCCTAAATTTAATTTAGCGAATCGAAGAATAATAAAACCAAAAAAAAAAAAGAGAGAATATTGAACACAAATTGCAACCTATCCAATCGCTATACCTTTTGTGATGTAGATGCAATTATAAAGTATTCTTCTCACCTCATGTGTATGTATGAAAAGGTAAAATATAAAATTTCTATATTTCTTTAATCTTGCCTCATCTCATCTCATCACTTCTTGTTCGTTCACTACACTTGTCACTTTTTCAAATTATGCTCCTACATGAAAAATTTTTGATATCTTTTACCCTTTTTGGATATCAAGTAAAGTGTTGTGATAATGAATATTTTATTAATAATTTAATAACAGAGGAATTTAATATAAGCATTAAAAAGATATATACATGTTTATTTTAAGAAATATTATCACAATGTTTCGGTATATTGACAAAAATATTTCAAAGATTATATGTATATTTTCTATAATAACGTTATCAAGGTAAATTAAGTACAACAACAGATAAATTGAAATATAATAAGAAAAAATGCCAATTGCTACTGATTTAAAATCTGCCTACTCCACTTTATACGATAAGAAGGATCCAGAAACAGCTATATCTCAGTATGATTCTATTTTAAAACAATATCCTGAAAGTATTCCCGCCTTAGTATATAAATCTGCTTGCCTTGAAAAGCTTTATTTTAGTTCAACCAGTTGGCATAATGAATTAACATTGGAAAATGCAAATGATTCATTGTTCAAAGCATTGAAAATTGCTGATCATCGTGGAGATAGGTCAAAGATCGGATTTGTTTATTTTAGAATATTCATACACTACTTCAATAATCATGACATCACAGAGGCTTTAGATAACTTTAACAAAGCCATGGAGTATGGCTATGACAATCCAACTACACCTTTGTGGGAATCTAAATTAAATTCAAGCTTAAAGAAATGGAAGAAAAAAGGCCTTATATCAGAAGATGCTTGTGTTTTAAAGAAAAATACTACATTAACACCAACAAAAACCGTAAATGCTCCACCTTCAAAGACTACAGAACAAGAAACCCTTCCAGAACCACTACCCAATATCTCTAATTCAATAACATCTTCACTTGCTACAAATAGCATCAATGCAAAAACTGATCAGGTTAACACCTCTAGTAAAACTGCTTTGTCTTCAACACATGAGAAAACTAGAAAAGAATGGTACCAAACGTCCAATACTATTGTAATTTCGCTATTTACAGATCGATTACCAAAATCAGTGTCATCGATACACAGTGAATTAAATAGCGTAAATAATACACTAACTCTGTCATGGAATTTACCTAAAGAAAACTCAGAATTCCAATATTCTATTAATTTATCAAACCCTATAATCGACGATTCAATTAAATTCAAGATATTTACAAAAAAATTAGAAATAACTATAGACAAATTAGATAGTGGTAAAACTTGGAAAACTTTAGAGAATACCAATGAACAGAATACAAAAAACGACAACGTAAAAACTAAAAAACAAAAGGACTGGTCAAAGATCAACTTTGATGAATACGAAGACGATTTAGAAGAGAATAATGGAAGTGCAGATGCATTTTTTCAAAAGTTATATGCAAATGCAGACCCTGACACTAAAAGGGCAATGATGAAATCGTTCATTGAAAGTAATGGTACTACATTAAACACAAATTGGGATGATGTTAAGAATAAAAAAGTGGAAACTTCACCACCAGAAGGTATGGAATTAAAACATTGGTGATAAAGAAAGGATTTTACTCCTCACATTTTGGATAAGTATACAAATAGAATAGCAAAAATCAACTATGACATATAAAATAATCATATACCTAAAATTTTAATAAAAATTTATACAACTTGTACGAATAATGTTAGATAATCCAATCTTCTCCTCCAATCTGTTGTATATATGATGTCCCTGAAAATAGACTTCATTGATGTAATCATCATTATAACTGAAATTGATATTTTTTAGAAACTATTAAACGTATTATTGACTTGAATAATGAGGTAAATTTATGATACCAAACTGTACAAAGTTATTAAGTTTTTTATTCCATTTCTATTATGTACTTGGAGATAGTTAATACTTTAAGTGTATTGAATATTTGCATAAGTAGAATTTTCTGTGTGCTCAATAATACATCTTTTTAAAATAGATGTAGCCAACGACCTATATACAACAAGATATGAATACTTGATTATGGATAGTCTTATTAGTTGTCTTAAAGGGATGAGAATAAATATATTAGAACAGGAAAAAATCAGGGTTATAACTACAGTTAAATGTGGCTTTGAATATTGTTTATTTTCTTTATAAAGTTTTAACTTTCCAAAATTTTTTGTTACAAAATATTTACAACCTCGAAATTATTTAATTCGATTTTATTCAATTCAAAAACAAAGGTTTTACATTCGAAGTTTTCCTAAACATCTTGCTTTAAATTAAAGAAATACTGCTTGACTATCGTACTTCTTTTTAATCAAAAAATGCTGTCTTCTTTCAATTAATAATTTTTTACAATTAAATCTATGAAACATATATGATTCTTCTAATCAGTAACCTTGTAATTTTCTTATTCTCTGTTTGCTTTTAATTAACCGTCTTATTCCCTCCTTCACTAGTTTAATTTCAGAGACATTTTACTTCTTGCAAAATATAAATAAAACTCAATTTACATTTTAAATTTTCTCTAATATCTAAATGTTGTTTAATAAAAAGAATAAATAAACTCATTTTGGATGTTATTTTTTACCTTGTATATTTAGGACTATAATAACTGTCTTCAGATGAACTCGAGTTGTTCATAATTTAAGTAATATTAGACGCATTATTCAACATACTTACTGATTTTTGTCATGGGCTACACTATTTAAATAATAATCAAAGAATGCTAATAATTATAATATCAAAGTCTCCTGAGAGACATATTTCCAGCATAAGATTATATAAATTGTATATAACCTAGGTGTAAAAAATTCTAACCTCCAGCTTCTATAAATTTAAAATTTTTTCTTGAAAGTTCCCATATATTTATAACCCTATTTCTTTAGCTTATTATTTATCATTTACATTCATCTCAAAACAAATATTGGACTCTAACTTTTTGCTAAATGGAAACTACTTATTGTATATGCACTGATTTCTAAATCACTAAGATCTGAAGTTATTTTTAAAAACTTCAAGATAAACAAATTGTTTTCTTATAAAACAAAAAACCTCTTTTAAAAAAAAAGAAAGAACATAATGGACCAAACCAGAAAAAGAATTCCATTATAGTTCATTTATTCTTCTATTAAACGGATTTTACAAGACATATTAATGCCTTGTTGTAGTGATAACTTTGCTTCTAAAAAGTAAATTATGACAAAATAAATCTATTCTCAATTTAATTAGTCTTAGATGCATGCTATTAGATCTGTAAGTTGTTATTTTCATATTACTGTAAGTTACATACAAAAAGACAGACAAGACGCAAGAATTACTACCAGAAAATAAAAAAATAACAATAAGGCAGAAAGATAAGTATAGAAAATGATACTTCAAAGTATAAAAAAAGAAACTAACTAATATATTTTTAGGAATTATATTTCGCTTGCAATTTATTTACAATATATTTAAAATATCTATAGAAAATAAATAATGAATAAAATATAAAAAGCCCTAATTGGAAATCCTGAAATACGTAGTCTATAGGTAACGCCTAATGTCGAGGCGAAGGACTTGGGACAACTGAAACTCTGGGTCCAAGGTTATAAGTGTATTTGAACGAACAAACGATCATTGGATGAACATTGATGGCAAATTACTAAGAAGCCTACTTAAGAGACCTTTGATTATTGAAGGATAGTGCAGGAGGTAATTATGAACATTAATATTCGTATTCTATCTAATAGATTTAATTGAAGGAAAAATAACACGAATAACCAGGATTAATCTATTTAATAGTTAAAATCAACCAATTATATAATTTTTAAGTGTTTATGTATATAATTAATATCCATATTTTGGTTTATTACTTGTAATAACTCTTTACAAATCTTTACATAAAGTAGCAATAATCCTCTATATATTAAAAAAAACATTATACCATGTTCAAAACTATTTTTTAATATAGTTTTTTATTTCATATTCTATCTCAACTGCTTACCTTACATCAAGTAACAAATCATATGTGCATTTATTCTTATTTTTAAAAATCATTAACAAAATAATTATTCTGTACTATTATTGTATAATGGAAAAGTCATCATCACCAAGATTACATAAGATTCTAAATGAATCTAGAACTATTTATTGCTTAAATAAGCCATACATGTGCTACAACATTAGACGCTGCATAATAAAAAGATTAGTTCCAGTAAGATTACATAAGATTCTGACGAATCTAGAATTTACCTATTGTTTTAATAAGTCGCACATATATTACTAATGGCCATAATAATTGTGTCATTTATCAGTAGTGCACCTGGTTACCAATAACTAATAAATTGGGGTGCGCTTACTAATTCACTAGTGTGCCTGAATTAGTGTAATAAATTTTAGGGTTTGGATCACCAAGCTCATTAATGTATGAATCTGAATAATTGATCGAGCTCCTGAAAACATATAAAAGGACAACGTTTTCTGAAGATAAAAGATCATCGTCCATAACCTTTTCTTGTAAATAAATTATATATTATATATAAACATAAATAGAACAACAAGCAATTAACAAGGAGTAACCTCGAATAAATATATTAGCTCAATAAAAGCCGCTCAGTATATAAGACCGTTTTAGTAATTATATTATCGCCTATAGTTGATTACTGTCTCAATTATTTGAATAACTGTTAATATTATTTGCACTTCCGCTAAAAGTACAAAGAATCTCATTCTTTCATATTGCAACAGCTAATGTTATAGTTTGAACTTAGGACTAATTCTTTAACAGGACTATTGAACGAATAGTAAGGGCAATAACAAATATATAAGAACGTTATATATAACTAGGAGGGTTAAGGGTTTATTGCTTTTTTTTTCTATTTATGTTTATATACAACATATAGATTATTTACGAAAAAACTGTTATGGAAGATGATCTTTTATCTCCAGAAAACGTTGTCCTTTTACATGTTTTCTGGAGCTCGATCAATTATTCAGATTTGTATATTAACGAGCTTAGTGATCCCAACCCTAAATTTTATTACATTAATCTAGGTGCACTAGTGGATTAGAACTCTTTAATCATGGTAATTGTTATTATTCTATTCTACAACAGTTAACTGTTGTGGAATAGAATAGTTATAACCATCAAGATTACATAAGATCCTGAATGAATCTAGAACCAATTAGTGTATTAATAAGCCATACATGTGCTACAACATTAGATGCTGCATAATAAAAAGATTGGATTACATAAGATCTTGGCAAATCTAGAATTTACCTATTGTTTTATTAAGTCCCACGTGTATTACTAATCACCATGATTAGAGAATTGGGATGCAGTTCTAATCCAGTAGTGCACCTAAATTAATATAATAAATTTTAGGGTTTGAATCAGTCAAGTCATTAATGTAGTAATCTGAATAATCGATCGAGCTCCAGAAAACATATAAAAGGACAACGTTTTCAGGAGATAAAAGATCATCTTCCATAATCGTTTCTTGTAAATAATTTATATATTATGTATAAACAAAATAGAACAAGCAAGTAACAAATCAAGTAACTTCGAATAAGTACATTAGCTCGATATAAGCCGCTTAATATATAAGACCGTTTTAGTAATTATACTATCGACTATAGTTGATTACTGTCTCGATTATTTGAATTACTATTAATATTATTTGCGCTTCCCTGGAATACACAAAGAACTTCACCATACCATACTACAACATTAACATTGTTTTTGTCCGATGTAGTGTAGCGGCTATCACATCACGTTCTCACCGTGGGGATCCGGGTTCAACTCCCGGCTTCGGAGTTTTTTTGTCAAAAATTGCAATGTTGCATCACCGTGTTTTCAACAAGGAGGTATTATCCTAATATCAATGTGATATGTAAAAGATGAAAATCTTATCACGAGAGATATACTCTTCTATACACTAAAATAGATGAATTTAGCTTGATTGATTACCTATATATGATATGTAAACTATACTCTACACAAGGAGTAAACCAACATACACCTATATACAGATAAACATAGTTATATAAACAAGGCAGATGAGAACGTTGTCGTCAACTAAAGAGCTTACAAGATCCTTTATAGTAATATCCAGGTTTCATATATCACATGGTATATAACGGCCTGATGTCATTACAAATGATTTGACATATCCTTTAATCGACAATACTTCTATTGTCTTTTCTGCTTTCAATCTTCATATTAATCTGTATATCTTTTATTTAGACTACTCTTTCTAAAGATGATAGTTCATATATCACCTATAGACAACAACACGAATTATTTACGTTGTTATATATATTTGGAAAACATGTCTCCCATAGTACATTTTAGTCTGCCAAACAAGATGTATGAACTTGCCTTTATAAAATAAATATGAAAATCCTTTTTTTGAGGATATGCAAATACCACATTATATTATTTAAAGATATAGACACATACATCTAAAACAGAGCAAAGAAATACCAACAAGAAATTTAGGGATACGATATTTAATATTTAGTTAAAGTAATCAGATTAATTATGCTAGATTAGTTTAGTCAGTTTTATACAATACTATAGACAAGAACATGAGCTTTACTTTCACAAGGTAGAGTTTTTTTTTCTTACTTCCATCTAACAAAGTCTATCATTATAACTTTTTAGAAGATGACTTTGGACAATATTGACAGCTTTTGTTTTCCCAAGTAAACAGTTATGTCTCTAATTACCTAATTCAAGAACATTATAAGTAACTAAATGATCAATAATTCGACTTGGCTTTGATATCATTTTATAACATCTATTCAACTCCTTGGTTCCACAAGGTACTTGTTTTGCATACATATATAATCATATATCCACCTATATAGATTACGCTATATAAAGTATTTAACCTATTTACCATATATGGAAAAACAAACCAAATTATGTGTGTTCTGTTTAGATGGTCAAGAAAAGTATATTTAACCAGACGGATTTCAATCTACTAAAAAGTTAATAAAAAGCGGGCCTCTTTCATCAGGTTCTATGTAAATATAGTATTAATTAAAAAGGAAAAGTTTATTCTTTGCTCATAATGTCACATGCAAGTTTATTATAAAACAAGCTCTAATTGGCCACCCCCCTGATGAATTATTAACTTTACTTTATTCAGTAAAAGAGCAACAATTATTCACTATAAAAATTTTGCAAAGCTGACAATATATATTTACAGAAGAAAAGAGATATACATACTAACAGAGCTGGTTCTTATTAGTGTAATCCATTCTTCTTGTTCTTGTTGTTCTTTTGAAAACAAATATTAGAAATCGCCAACTCTTAACCGTTTTTCATATAATATTAATAATGTGATTTTGAATCGTATGTAACCATCACTACAGGATGCAAACACTGCAGCATCATAGTATCTATTTTAAACATTAAAATGTCAATAAGTGTTAGTATCTTTCAATTTACTACTGTTTGTACTCGACTAGGATAATAATAAATTCATATATCAATTATCAGGCTAATTACCCACATAATATATCACATAGTAATGTGTATGTATTGTTCTTGAACATTTTTGGATAATACTGCTTTCTCTTTTCATGTTTCCTCTTTAACTTGTTGCAACATACTTTATAAAACTCTTGCAAAAAATTGCCATATATAGAAATAAGAGATAGATAAAGGGATACAATAAACAATCAGTAGATAGTATCTCTTTAATTTCTATTGTGTTTTTGTTTGATAACATCCTTTAATCAAATTATGCTCTAATGACATAATAACTATAAGGGGAGTAGAGCCATAATATCTATATTTGTTTTACCATCACTACTCACACCCCAAATTTTAAAAGTTATACAGTTATTTCACACACACACACATATATATATATGTATATGTATGCACTAGACATATTATATTAACATTTTAAATATTTACTTTCTTTCTTGATCTTTTTTGATGGGTTAATGTTGAGTCTTAAATTCATACGAAACATACTCATATTAATAAACAAAATATTATGTCCACAGCTACAACTTTAATTAACACTATTATCGGTATGCGACCCCTCTATGATTAAAAGGAAAACTTATATTATAGTTTTTTACATAAATTTTGACCAAGACAATTTACTAACAATATTACTATGATATATGTACACCTATGTACCTTATAATTTCTTTCTATTTCACTTTGATTTTAATTAGCAATCTTTTTGCCTCCATTAGCAGTCTTTATAGCAGATGGTTTAAGTACTACTTTTTTCATTGATTTATTATTGACGTTCTTTGCATGGATTCCAGGTGTATTATTTGCACTTTATATTGTATTCTCCAGAAGACATAGTTCTGTTTAAATGTAAATCTATAAATTAAAAAACTAAAGATAAATATGACCAAAAGTATCAGTGTTAATTTTAAAAAATATATTTTAGTACAACAGCAAAGAACAAATTTCAATTTACTTAGTGTAATAATTATATAACTTTTATAAATATATGACGAAAATATACATAATTACCTAAATCTTTGTTATCTTCCTTAACAATGAATTTTATTAATCTCATATTTGCTCCTCCACTAAACTTTACATTCTTAGAATACCAAAAAAAGTTTTGCTAAGCTTTTTTTTTTTTGGTCTTTTATTTTCATTTTTAAATTAGATTTTATTTACATAATAATTCTTAAGAGAATATGATATTCTAGAAACAGTGAAGGTTTATTAATTTGGACATTAAACAAAAAATATTTTATTCGTCCTGAAAAAAAGACAAGACAAATTATTTTTAATGAAGTTTATAAGAATATTAATATCTTTTTGGTTTTTCTAAAACTGATAACTTCTTTCTTATACCAATATTTTTCTTTTAAACTAATAAAAAATCATCGAGGATATCTAAATTTATATTTTTAATAATATATCATTATTTTGGATTCAGTTACCATGGATACCTTAATTCTTATTTTAGATCTTTGACTTACACTGAGAAACCTATTATAAAATTATCAATAATTGGACCTGCTCTTCTCTTCTATTTCAAAATCTAATGCAATAGGGTGTACAACCTAATGTATGTATTTTTGAGAATTTTCCCTGTTATAAATGATTTCCTTTTCCAAATACATTTTTGATGTTGCTATCTTTAAGACAATGGATAACAAGAATACTTCTTATTAATATATATCCCAACCTTCTATGTAAAACCTTAATAAATTGTATGTTAGAATTTCAATAATATCTGATGCTGGAGTTACTGTTTTCACCAACATAATATCTACTTTTTTCAAATAGTTCAAACAACTCCATAACTAATTTATTAGTATTTTGCTGTATTTCAATATAGTTTCCACTATGTATCAAGGAATATTCCGATATGCACTTTCATATAATTGATTATATTATCACAACAGTTAAGAAAGTTTTAATTTCCGCTTATATCTATGTATATCTTGAATTCTATCCAAATCAGTGTTTGCTGAAATTTCATTGAAGTTGTCAATTAATTTTGTATCACTTTTTGTTTTTTCCTTTAATAGTAGAACAAATAACATAAGAAAAAATAGATCTTACATCCACTTGACATTTATTAAAAAAGCACATGTATTATTGATTATTCAGTACAAACGATAAATTATAGAATTAATACAACTATTCACGTTATGATTTATTGAGAATGCAAGAAAAGAAGAGTATTATTATAAAAATATATAAATGCTAAATGCTTATTAAAATATTATTTATACCTCTATCAGTTGAATGTCTTCGCTGCTTGTAATAGAAGAATATCGATTATTATATCTATCTCTAATGTTTTGAAACCAACTAAATATTGGTAAACTTCTATTTTTAATTGATTGTATTTCAACATAAGGTGCCTTCCAAAACTTTAGTTGTAGTGAACTTAATACTACACTAATTGAACTTAATGTCATAGCTAACCCTGCAACCATTGGATGCAAGTATATACCCCATGGCAACAAAACACCCATAGCCACTGGAATCATAAACATATTATAAAATAATGCCCAAAATAAATTTAGTTTCACTCTCTTAAAAGTTTTGTCACAAATATCAATTGCATAAATCAATTTTCTTAATAAATATCTGTCCGAGCCAACTTGAGAATCATTACTTAATATAACAATATCAGCAGCCTCAATAGCTACTTCTGTACCAGTAGATAGTGAAATTCCTAAGTCACTTTTAACCAAAGCTGGCGAATCATTGATACCATCACCAATAAACACGATCTTCTTAGTTCCATTTTCTTGCAATTGTTCCACAATATCACATTTTCCTGATGGTAGAATCGAACTAAACACATTTTTGCAATCAATATTTGTTTGTAATGCTACTGAGAGAGCACAACTATGATTATCACCAGTAATCATATAAACAGGATAATTATTCATCCTTAACCAATAAATCGTATCTGCTGCATCTTCTTTAATCATATCTAACAATTCAAAATGACAGATAATCCTATTATTAACACAAACAAAGGCAATTGTGTATCCATGCTCATTTTTCAATTCATAACTTTCTAAATTAGATACTTTTAGCTGCCTCATTAATCCAGTACCACCTATAGATAGTCCCATTTTAGTCCCATTGGAATTATCTTTAATTAAAGCAGATATACCCAGCCCTATCATGTTTTTATATTCAGTTATTTCATATCTCTTCAAATCCAATTCTTTAGAATCTATTTGTTTTTGACAATATTCAATAATGGGTCTAGTGATTGGATGTTCAGTGTTTAATTCTAAGTCTATAATTATACGAAGTAAATTATCTATATCAATTTCACTTTCACTATCTAATATAAAATTTTTAACAAATAATTTACCCATAGTTAACGTACCTGTCTTATCAAAGACAAACACTATATCTTCGTGCTTAGTATTATGTCCCAATAACTCAATGACTTCAGCACTTTTAATTAAAATCCCATTCTCTGCTCCAATGCCAGTACCTATCATAATTGCTGTTGGAGTAGCTAAACCGATTGCACAAGGGCAGGCCACAACAATCACAGATGTAGCCAATTTAATACATGAATAAATTCTATCATGAGAAAAGTAATCCCAATTTGTTAAATATTTTGATATTATGATCCAAAAGATAAAGGATAACAATGCCATAGTGAGTAAAATAGGTACAAAGATCGAAGCCACAAAATCTGCTACTGTTTCAATTGGTGCTTTGGTCATCTGTGCCCTTTTCATAATATTGATAATTTGAGACAACTTTGTATGTTCACCAATAGATGTAATACGAATAAAGATATGCCCTGGACCATTGATTGTACCACCAATGACCTCATCATCCATTGATTTCTTGATTAAAGAGGATTCTCCAGTCATCAATGATTCATCAATCTGAGTAATACCAGAAATAACCACCCCATCTGAAGGAATTTTCATACCTGCCTTAACCTCTACAATATCATTAATTTGCAAAAGATCTTTTGGTATCTGAGTTACAGATTGATCAGCTGTACCATAATGTTCCACCAACAAACATGAGGATGGATATAATTGAAGCAATTTAGTCAATGCAGTAGTAGTCCTTGATTTAGCTCTATTTTCTAACATTTTACCCAATGAAATAAAAGTGAATAACATTATCGATGTATCAAAAATAACATTAGGTAAATTCGTGGAATTTTCAATAATCATATTATGAATAATTGACACAAGTGACACAATGTAGGCGACCGATGTTGATAGACATATCAATGTGTCCATAGTACTATGGTTGTTTTTCAACGAGTTCCAAGTAGATATATAGAAATAACTTCCGATAACATACTGAACATATGTAGCTAAGACAAGTCCAATTAAATCTCTGTAGAAAAACCCTTTTACTATGGGGACTTCTTTATATGGAAATACTTTCGATTCGATAATAGACGGTATAAACATCGGAACACCCATATACAATGCCATTGACACCATTGCAGCGATGCAAGATTTACAACAATTTGTCTTCCAAAAAATAATTTCATCCTGTTTAGTCAATTGAGAGAAATTATTACCTAACTCTTCAGCTGTATTCACTACTGACTCGAGGTCCAATTCTTGATTTATCTTGAAAATAATATCACGCATACCAGTCTGATAAGGATCATATTTAAAGGATAGAGTGTACTCATTTTGAGAAATCATTTGAATGTTTTCAACTGAAATATTTAAAAAATCAAAAGATTTTTTAGATAGGGGTGTAGAGGGACATGATGATAGTAAGAATAATTTCAGTTTACCCGATACTAATTTTGTACCCTTTTGATCCATCATATGATATTCCGAATCTGAAATCAGTAGTACATCAAAACCACAATCTTCTATTGTTTCCTGCAATTCATTGACATTAGAAAGAATTGGGTTATATATAATATGAGACGTTGCTGTCATCAACGATACTTTAACATCATCCACACCATCTATGGAACCAACCTGTTTAATGATACCGTTTACACATGCACTACATGTCATACCTTTGACAGTAAATGCCACAATTCTTCTAGGAGCTGCATCCATATTAATATGTGTTTCTTCTTATATGTGAATATTATAGCTTATTTGGTTTTTTTATTTAAAAAAAAAAAAAAAAAAAAAAACAAAATTAAGAAAAGAAATATACACTGAAAAGTAATTTAAAAATACAGTTATCAAAAAATTTTCTGTACTGTAGATAGATAAAATTTTGCTAGTTTAGATGAAAGCACCGCTCTTAGTCTTTAATTAGCAAAACAAGCAATAAATGAATCTCATCAAAGAGATAAATATAAAAACAAAAAAACTACGAACAATAATGGTATAAAACAAAAAATGTAAAGGAACAGATTAGAAAGTTTAAAATAACAATTTTTATTCTTGCTTTAACTACTTTTTTATTCTCTGTAGTATTTATAATTAAAAAGAACATAGAAAGAAAAAGAAAGAAAGAAAAAAGACAAGCATCGATCTTATTCCAATTACACCCAAATGTCATACAAACAAATGATGAAGTGAGTGAGTAGAAATAGGATAACAAAAATTGAAAAAAGCAAAAGAAAACGACGAGTAAATCATCTATAAATCTTTCCACACAGAATAAAGGAACTAGAAAACAAAGAACAAGAAAAAGAAGTACAGCATGCTTCAACTCATCGCCTATTAATCCACAATTTGTGTGCGCATATAAAATGAATCAAAAGAGAAAAAAAAAAGCACAAGAAAACACATCTTCGCCATTATATAATACACCCAACTTTAATTTTAATTTTTTATTTTAATCTTTAACTATCAGAAAGATTACATACCATTGTTGTTTTATTTTACTATTGTTATTGTTTAAGGAAATAAGGGGTAGTATTAAAATGAATATCTATTGTGCTAGAATAATAGTCTCGCTACAATACAGCAATTCTTACATTCTTATTGTTGATCTTTCTTTTTGCACCCTGAAAAAGGGAAAAAAAAAAAAGGAAAAACGGGAAAGCCGGGAAAATTAAATCTCCGAGGTCATGTGGTCCGTTCAAGGTAAGGAACAAACTGCCTTACTTTTTCCATCTCTCTATATTGTATAGAGAGAAATACCAACACTTGTAAGGAGACTTCTTTTTTCGTCTGGATGATCATGAATGGAAGGGTGGTCAGAATTAATTTCTACCTTTTAAGCAATGAATTATCAAGTCATCCTTCTATTACATATATATATATATATATACATCAAAATATCTTTTCTCTTTTATTATTATTTTTTTTTCTTTCTCTATTCTATACTATCTACATGAATTCCTATTAGTGAATCTTTAACATATTATTTTTCTTCTCCTTCTTCCCCTTCTCCCCCCCTTAAAATCCCATTCTATCCATGACACTTTTCAGAGTCTTTTGTGCTAAAGGCCTAGCTTGATCTAAACTTCCTTTAGTTGCCACTTGCAATAAATATCCTGGATCTGTAATCAATTCGTTGTAACAAGTTCTCACTGGCGTCAAACTCTCAATAATTATATCTGCAACATATGTCTTAAATGTATTATAATCATGCATATTCTTAATATCTGACTCAACTTGCTCTATGGTTTTACTTTGCAATCCACTGACTATATTGATTAAATTGGAGACACCTGGTCTTTCTTGTGGGTCATAATAAAATCTATCACTTAACGAGTCTGTTAAGCATTTCTTAATCTTTTTCTGTATCAATTCTGGTGGGTCATTTAAATATATTAAGGACATTGAATCGCCATCGCTCTTTGACATTTTCTTTTCAGGCTTGGTTAAACTTAAAATTTTCTTGGTTGGTGCTAATATAGTCTGTGGTTCTACTAAATATGATCTATTGTACATCCTATTGAATTTCCTTGCAATATGTCTAGTCAATTCCAGATGTTGACTTTGATCTTCTCCCACTGGGACATGTGTGGACCCATACAACAATATATCAGCTGCTTGTAATACAGGATATGCAAACAACCCTAACTTGACTTGATCTTCGCTGGCCCCCTCACTTTTACTTTTCCACTGGGTCATTCTGTTCAAATACCCCATCGATGTAATAGTAGCCAACAACCAATTCAATTGTGAATGCTCGGGTATCATTGATTGGAAACTCACTATGCACTTCTCGGGTGATATCCCAAGTGACAATATACTGGCAACGGCCTGTATTCTAAAATCTCTGAACTGTTCACTATCCAATTTAGGTACTGTGATTGCATGTAAATCGGCTACACCAAATAAACATGTCTGTGTTGGTAATTTATTATCGTTCAATTGTTTCCACACCCGATTAGCACCTAAATAGTTGCCTAAATGGAAAGGTCCCGTAGGCTGAATCATACTGAATATTATTGCATCTTGAGGTAATTCAGGAACATCATTTTTTATCAACTTTATACTATTTTTTACTAATGTACTGTATCTCCTTTTCATGATTAATCATAACAAAATATTATAAGCAATTTTTAAACAAACGTGATATATATATATATATGTGTGTGTGCGTTGTTCACAAAGAGAATATTACGAAACAGATGTACCAACTTCGATCAAAACAACATTAGAACATTATTAATAAGTTCTTTTAATGATCTTTTAATTGCACTTTTCTGTTCTATCTCTCTCCTTCTCGAGCGTTTATTATTATTAATATTATTAGTAATCTGTCTTTGTCGTTCTCCCTTTCTCTAGAATTCAGCTAATTTATTTTTCCCTCTCTTCTCCTCTTTTCTCCACATACATTTTCTCTAAATCAATTTTTTTTTTGTTAAATATTTGTGTGTGTTCGAAGACTACCGACACCCATTTTATACCCAAAATAAATATATTTGTCATTGAAAGGGAAAATAATGCATAAAATATAACATTAATATCTACATACTTGTTCATACTCTTATGTCTCAGATAGAGTGAAATAGAAAGGACATTCTATGATAAAACAGTCATCAGCCGACACAACATAATATAATAAAATAAATAATAATAAAAAAAAATAAAACATAACATGTCTCTCTCACTACTCAAATCGTTAAAGTTACAAAATAGCAGAGTTTGGGCCATTGACTTTACTTCACGAGAGAAGATAATTGCTATAGCATCACAGGACCATAAAATTAAATTAGTGAAAATAATCGACCCAGATACAAAGCAATTTAAACTATTGAGCATTTTAGATGAAACAGTGCATAAGAAAGCTGTCCGATCTGTTGCATGGAGACCACTAGCTACTCCACCTTGTCTAGCAGCTGGGTCATTTGATGCCACTGTGTCTATTTGGAGCCACATATCGGATGAAAATGAATTTACCAATAATGAACAGTTTGATGAGACTCAAGAAAATATGGAATTATTGGCTATTATTGAAGGACATGAGAATGAAATTAAAGGCGTGAGTTGGTCATATGACGGGATGTTTCTTGCTACTTGTTCCAGAGACAAATCGGTATGGATTTGGGAAACTGATGAAGCTGGTGAAGATTTCGAATGTGTTTCTGTTTTACAAGAACATTCACAGGACGTCAAGCATGTCGTATGGCATCCACGCAAGTGTCTGTTGGCTTCCAGTTCCTACGATGATACTATTAGATTGTGGTCGGAATTTGATGATGATTGGGAATGTGTGGCTATATTAAATGGTCATGAAGGTACCGTTTGGTCATCTGATTTTGAAAAAAGTGGTAATGTTGATACAATTAGATTATGTAGTGGTAGCGATGATTCTACAGTACGTGTATGGAAATATCAAGGCGAAGATATGGATGGTCAACAGGAATGGATTTGCCAAAGCATCTTACCTAAAATACACGAAAGACAAATATATAGTGTTTCTTGGAATGAAAATGGGTTGATCGCCAGTACAGGTTCTGATGGAACCCTTGCTGTATATAAAGAAAATGGGTCAAATGAATGGGAAATCATTGCTAAAAAGGAGTTATGCCATCATGTTAGTGAAGTGAATCAAGTGAAATGGGTCTCCATTAATGGAAAAGATTATTTAATTACTTCTGGTGACGACGGCTGCGTGAATATTTGGTCATTTGATAATAATTAGTAACAACAACAATAACAATAATAATAATAATGGCTTTAATTTAACAACAATATAAATTAAGATGTAGTCATCTTAGCATAGTGAAAAAGAATATTTAATTTTAATTTATATAGTTGTTATAATTTCTGATTTTATTCCATTTTTCCCTATATAATCATCTTTTATAGACTATATTATTAATAATAATTATCGTTATTTCACTATCATTTTTTCCATAAAGTGATCACAATTAGATTAGAGGTTGTATCTGTTGAGGACGACATTTCTGTCTACATAATGGACATTCAGGTCTTTCATTAGTCCAATTTTGTAAACAGTCCCAACAGTACACATGTCCACAAGGAGCACAACTTGGGTCCACCATGAATGAAAGACATAGTGCACATTGACGGGATTCAGACGGTATAAAAGGTAAAACTGTAGGATCTTCTAATGAAACATGAGCAATTTGTGATTTCTCTGGTATTTTTGTAATAATTCTTATTGTATCTGACACTATATCATGATGTGATTCACATTTATTCCTATCTCTACATGTAAATAATAGTAATTTTGATTTGATTAAGGGAAAGGCTTGTGTTAGTGTTTGTAGTAGGAAAATATAACCTATCACCTTATACATTTTTGAATTATTTTTGCGAAATCTTCTTTCATCATTATTAATTCTATGAGTGATTACCTCTTTCATACCAAATATCCTTTTCCAAATATCGGAATATTCACCTTTAAAATAAAATAATATTAAATGCAAATTTATTCCCAAATCTATAGTCTCTTTCAAAGAAAATTGTTTATCATCTTCTGCCGGGTCGTCAGTATTTCTTGTATGAAATACTTTTAATATCTTGTTTATTATGTAAGGTCCAAAACAAATAGATATGATATATGCTAAACGTTGCCCTTTTTTAGTCAATGCTTTACCAAGTTTATTAACATACATCAACTGACCATATTCTTGACCTAAAGTTCTTTCATTTTGGAAAACTGTAAAGAAAAGGTAAATAAATTTAGCGATAGTGTTAATCTGATTTGGGTATAAATTGACAAAATATTGGCCTTTTAGATTTTGTAAAAATGTAGTAAATTTCTCTATAAGAATAGTTTCAATTTGCTTATCTTTTTGATACGACTGTATAATACTGGCAACATCTGCATATTCAAACCTTTTGTTTTCTTCCACGTCTTCAACCATCTTTCTTCTTTTCCTTTCACAAAATACAGGATAGATTATGATAAATAGATGTATTGACAATTATATCTAAATTCTTTTTAATAATACATTTATGTATGGGTATACAAATTGCATACTTGAATCTACTCTTAAAACGTATATTTTGATATAGTACATATATTTCACTATCTTTCCGTAATTTATTTTTTCAATAAATTGATTATCTTTGAATCCATAAAAATAAGAATAACTAAGGTAGTATAATATTAATATATTAAAAAACACCTCTAAAATACGTATTGAACATAAAAAAAATAGAAGAAAAGAACAATAGAGAGACATATTTAAATAATTAACCAGTTTGCTGTATTTACCAGCCTTTTAAATCATTAAATTAGTGATAATATATTTTGTTCTTGAATATTGGTGGATATATTGGAATAAACAAAATATTCTCCTAACAACTTTCTGATTAAAACAAAGTGTAGTTTCAAGTTTTCTTCTATTTGACTAAAAAGTAAAGGAAAATTACCTAAGATAATAACTAAAATGGTGACTATTGACACAGAACCTTTAATGGACAATCAGTCCCATAATAATATACAAACCGACATTAATGATATCAACTCAACTAATGAGATCGATAATGCAGATACATCGTCTTTGCAAGCAGTAATTTCAAATAACACATCATTAGAAGAAAATTTAGAGGCTGGAAAAGATACTACTAATAATTCACAGAATAGTGATCCTATATTGATAGAATATCATTCCGCCTGTCAAGCCGGTGATTTGGTTACAATAAAGAGGTTAGTTGAATCACACGCAATTACTATTGGTCAAGATTTTGATCCAATCGAAAAAGTAACTGGTTTACACTGGGCTGCAATTAATAATCGATTAAGTATTGTAGAATACTTGTTAAAACAAGGTGCTGATCCAAATTTTAAATCCAGTCAGTTGAATGCTACTCCTTTACATTGGGCTGCAAGGTATGGTTATGTATATATAGTAGATTATTTGTTAAAAAACTCAGATGCTGATGCTACCTTATGTGATGATCAAGGATTTAATGTTCTACATTTAGCTGTAACCAGCTCAAACATCATGCTGGTTTGCTATATATTATATTTCGTAGTGGACACTGGTCTAATTGATGTAGATTGTAGAGATTTACAAAATAGAACACCATTGATCTGGGCAGCATATCAAGGAGATCCCTTAACCGTATCAATGTTGTTAAAATTTGGTGCAAATGTTAAATTAGTAGATGATTCTGGTTTTACTGCCTTACATTGGGGTGTTGTAAAGGGGCAGGTACAAGTATTAAAACATTTGATTAAGGAAGGCCAAGCTGATTTTTTTGCTAAGACAATGGATGGTAAAAATTGTTTTGATATCGCCAATGAATTAAATAAACAGAGCTCTTTGCGCAATAGCTTATTATATAGTGGTTTTGATGAAAATGGATACAGAATCAAAAGCTATTTGAAGAATGATTTGCATGCAAAGACAATCATGTTTTTTGCGCCATTAATACTAATGATTCCAATTTTTGTTTCATTCCAGTTTTTGAACCCATTGTTTGTTCTATTATTTGGTGCTGTCATTAGTTTATTATTAAAATTTGGATTAAACAAGTTTGTATTGCCTACATTAATTATTAACAATAAATCACCTTATAAAGTGACTTTTTCAAAATCACCTTTAGTAGCCGGAATATTTTTTAACAGTCTAATTATCGTATCTGCACTATGGTTTTGGAAAATGATTTTTGTCATTTTTTCGAGACGTTCGATACTATCGTTACTATTATCTATCCTAATCATTATGTCATTCATATTATTTATGCAATTAATTCAATCAAATCCTGGTATTATTGAAACTGAAAAAAATCATGATGTTATTCGTTCCACAATAACAGATTTATTATCAATCGGTCATTTTGATACGAATAATTTCTGTATTGAAACTCAAGTAAGAAAACCAATTAGAAGTAAATACTCTTCTTTTCAACAACATGTTATTACAAGATTTGATCACTTTTGTCCATGGATATATAATGATGTTGGGTTTATGAATCATAAAAAATTTGTTTGGTTTGTTACTTGTGTTGAAATAGCAATTATAATTTTTATTAAATTATCTTTTAAATACTTTGACATCAAAGAGGATTATTATGAGGTGGTATTAGGAAAGGATGCAAAATGTTATCTTTTAGGAGATGATGAGTTATGTTTTGGATATCAATATGATCCAACAATTTTCTTAGCTAATGCATGGTCTGCATTGCAGTTAGCATGGGTAACAATGTTGTTTATCATTCAATGGGTACAAATCATTCAAGGTGTAACTAATTATGAGTTTATCTTATTGTCAAAAAGAAGGTCTACAAACAACCGCTTCAATGAATATTTCAATAGTGCTCCAGAAGAATTGTTACATAAATCAAATTCGAATATTTTAGATGGAGATGCCAATGGATTAGATGATTTTAATGATACGGTTAATGGTTTTGATAATGATGGTGGTCACAATAAAGTTATAAAAATGAATTTGTATTATAAAATAATTGGGATGGAATCATGGATAAGAATCATTAAAGATAGACATAAATATAATGATCCGTTAAATATTCTATACAATTCTGCAAGCAACTCTACAAAAATGAATAAGATTGACTATTGGACAAATATTAAAGACTTTTGGTTAGACGGTGATTATAAAGCACCACTGTGGCTCAGATTAATAGAATCACCAAAAGATAATAAGGGGTTACTAAATGGCCATGTAGTTGATTATAGCAAACTTTATGATTTATCAAATATGCAAAATCCAGAAGATTTGGTTTAAAATATTTTGCTACATTTGTTCCCAGGTACTTATTTAATTTTTTGTTATTTTTTTTACATTTTCTTTTATATTGTTTTCAATACGTAGAGCAAATCATTCAAATGACTTGGAAGTTTTACTGGAACAAGAGAAATGTCTTTTGCTTTTTGCTCTAGTTTATTTTCAATCCCCCTAACCGTTTCCAAAAATACTTTGGTTAATTATTACGATTAGAAAGGATTTATGACGATATTTATGGAAATAACAATGCATGAATGCACGAAGATCAATTCAGTTGTTTTTACTTTTTTGGTTTTGTTGGTGAGTTACTTTTTCTATTACTTTTGTGTATAATATAACATTTGCTCTTTGAGATTCAATCAAATTATATTTTCTCCATAGTTATTACTCTTGGAAAAAAGTTTTGTTAAGTTTTCTCTTTTAATAGTTCGTTTTTAATCGAAAGATGAACCTTACAAAAATTTATACTATAGATTTTTCTTGAAGTAATATATACTTCTTGTTAAACATTAAATTAAACCTTTAGTATTTATTATGTACAAGAATAATTCTAGTTACTGCTTTATATCTAGTGCATTGATACATATCAAGATAAAATTGGCATGAATCATTTTATGTTAGTGATACTTATTTTAATGCGGTATAAATTGTTGGGTAATTACCAGTTGAATGGTGTAAAAAAACATTTGCATATATGGATAGCTAAATTGCTATCTAGAAAGTATGGTAGTTTCAGTAGTTTCTTTAACTAATTTGGAGTTTCCAATTACTCATTTGGAATAGAACTCTGTTAAGTATTTTACTTCATAGAAATATGAAGCTGACATAAACATAATAAAGAAGCTTCATCACATTTTTTATATTCCTATAACAATATCCAAGGTTTTAAAAATAAATGTATTACCAGATATTAATATTCCAAAGATAAAATTTTTACAATTTTCTTTAAAAATTAGGTGATTTTCTGGATGGATATACAATATTTAATAAAAATTGCATAGTATAGATACTCCATTTTTCAAAAACTCAATTACATGTACGTGCCATTAATAGCTTTATGTCTATCCACTTAGTTGCTTATGTCAATACAACCACTTAAAGTACTAAGTTTACAATATTTTAGACTTTTTATGAGATACATATTTTATTACATATTATTCCTATGAACTTAGGTTTTCACAGTTTTTAGCTCCTAATATCTTTTTTCATACATTTGTTCACCTCTAGTACAAAATAAAAAAGAACAATGTACAAGTTTTACAAATGTTACATACAAAGAAATTTATAGAAATGATACATGATAAAAATATCAAAGTAAATTTGAATCAGAAACTGTTTGATTATAATCCAAAGAATTACAAACTTTAACTAGTACTCTGTGCGTTTCATCTAAAGAATCCATGTATCAATACAGAGATTCTTCTTATCAGTATCAACATTTTACGCATTCCTATTATGCTCTTTATAATGAATGGCGAGATGATGAAGACTTACCACCTCCGGATAATCCATTAAGTAGTCTTAATCATAATGATATTTCAGCAACTAGTCGAACAAATAGCGACACTGAGATATCCAATACCGTTACAAATGCCAACAACAATACTACTGAGATAAGGCCTGACCAAGCTGCCATGTTTACCTCTACGAATGGTGACTCTTTAGGTACACAGTATTGGGAGTTTTTTGATGATGAAGAAAATTGGGAAATATTTAATAAATACAATCTTCAGGTTGAAAGCAATGGCAGAATTATCTATAATCATATTATAGGTAAAGATATGCTTGATTTTAATGACAGCGGTACTTTAATTAATCCTAATAATAATAGCGATAACGCTATCCATCACGATAGTAGTAATCCAACTGATATTATAGAGACTAATCCAACTGAAATTGAGACAAGCAATCATAGAGAAGATGTAAACATAATATCTGGTTCCTTATTTGATCCTAGAATATTAAAAAAAATTCGTAATAAAGTTAATGGTTGGAATGATATGGGTTCTTGTATTCGTTAATAATAGGTTAAATCCCATCCAAACTGCTATATAATTGTGAATAGTAAAAATACTCAAAATATACGTCATGGAATCAAAGACGAACAGCACTTTTTAAGAATAATATCCACGTTTCCTCACTGAACTTTCACTCATATTCAATAAACAAACGCATTACATAATAAATGCACTTTGCTTTTCAAAATACCAATATAAATGTTGAGTTTCCCTAGTCAAGTCTATAGTAAAGAGTAAGCGAAGTTTGTGTTATGCATCGATATTCTTTTTAACAAGTATACTAATATCAAATAATCTGAAATACTTAAAAAAAACCGTCATTATCCTCAGTTATTGATTTCAAAACATTATCCATAGACTAAAAACTACTCATTACACAGTGTATATTTCTAGCACAGATGCCAAGTCCAGATCTTCTACATTTGGGCATCATACAAGCATAACTTACATATATATATAATAATAATTATTAAGTTCAGGATTTGCTTTTCAATATCTTACTACTATCAAATTGTTATACTTCCATTTTTAATTATTATGCATATTTTTACCATTAATGGAGTTTATATGGTTAGATCTTTGTAAATATAATAATAATGATAAATTATGACGTTATTGCAATTTTTGTATACTTATATTGTTATTACAGACAAGCTTTAAAATGTTTCATATAATGTATTCTATAAATAGTTACACGTAGACCATTTTAAAAATAAAAAAAAAATAGATAAAAGAGGAATTAACTACTGACTCCCCTCTTGTAACTATATACATAACCTTACTATTATTTAATCAATAACAAGAAAAAAATATAATGTCTTCACTCAGTTATTATCAAACTATAATTTTTTTTTCTTGAACTACTTGCTAAATGTTTAATATATCACTGAACTTCAAAAAAAAAAATACCAAATTCTAAATCTCAACAAGATACTTCAGGTGATACTTTCATAGTTTTACCAAAAAATTAACAAAAAAAAAGACTTAATGTATTATTAGATTAGCCTGATATAATTTATTCAATATAAACTGTATTTGAAACCCATAGGGATTGAATGATTTCAAAACGTCTTCCATAAACCTTAAATCCGAATACTCATGACTGTTAGGAAAACATAAACGATTTTTACCTGCAAGACTATTTTTGTGCCGGTGCTATATATGCGCCCTTTTTTTTTTATTTGTAATTTTTTGTTCGTAAATTTTTCCAGAGGACCGCCACTTTTCCATCCTTATTTCCTTTTTTATAAACGGTATTTTTTTTCTCATGTAGAATCTCTGTTGTAATATCCTCTTTTTTTATTTTTATTTTTTTGGTATTCTCTCCTGTCTGTTGAATAATACCTTTCTTACTTCCTTATATAATATGAGGACCATTTTTCTGTCATCATGATGAATACCTTGCTGCGCTTTAGGGTATTAGTTAGAAGAGTAATGTTTCCCTTTCTTTTGAGGTACATTATTTTGTCATTATGGTGCAGTACTACTGGCAATTCTCAATTTGTGGAGAACTTTACATAAGTACGTTATACTTGAGGAAGTAAAAAGAAAAGAAAAAGAAATGCGTATTCACATAAAACTTTAGTAATGTTAAAGGAGATAACTTAATTAGTTGCAGTCTAGAATTTTTTTTTGTTTATATCCGTTTTCTCTTTATATGCGTTTTTTTTTATTTGTCCTTATACCCGTTTCAAGAATAGGTAAGATGACATAATGGTCATTTCATTTCATTTTTATTTTTTTAATCCGCCCCCCCACATTAATGAAAAAGATAGTGGGAAATATCTAAATTTCGAAAAAACTGTAATAGGCTAAATGGTTACCGTCTTAACAAGCATAAAATAATCACGAACAACAGTTAATTAAAAACATCAAAAGATCCTCTTCAATTGTTAAGGGCTAGAGTTTTATTTGGATAAAAAATATTTTAATATTAAATAATTTACCTTTATGGAAACATGCTAACAGTCACTACCGACCAAACACACTGGTATATACACATATACATTTGACAACTCTTGTAAAATTTTGTTCGATATATTGAGTGTGGCAAACCATGTCTCAATTCTGATTAATAATTAGATAAATAACTATATAAGCTGGAAGAAGACATAATCTATTTCAAATCATCAATACAATATACTCTATTCTATTGGTTCTATTGGCTAAAAACTTAGTTTATGTTTAAAAAGCATGGTAGGTAGAAAAAAAACCTTATATGATTTATATTATTAAGAAAATTTCGTTCATTAAATATTCTTCAGCGAGCACTACCTTTACCAATTATTCATACTATCAGGTTGCAAATTGTCTTATTCAACCTGCCTAGTAGTTGCTATATATTTTGTTTCGGTATATTCATTATGTATCTTCATTATTGTCATTTAATAGTTTTTCCTGAAAAAAATAATCATTTTATTGTATTCTTTAATTTCTCATTGTTTCTTTCTCCTTTCCGGGACCCTCCGTTTTATAGGTTATCTATTGTATTTTCTTATCTTAAATATATATCGTATCTAGTTACTATCTTCTGTTTTAGGCAATATATGTATCGAAAAAAACAAAAAGCCATTACACATTGTTCTTTTGAGTTTTTATTTTGAAATTCTAGACGCCTTTTTTGTGCTTTTTATAATTTGATATTTTTCATTTTCTTCAAGTTCAAACCCTATTTCAATTCAAGCTATGTAAAAACAAATATAGTACACATCAATTGCATATTCTTGTATAAAAAATATAATGATATACCTACCCTACTCAGAAAATTTCTTGTACATCTTTTGATAAAAACAAACAAATAAATTAATGATATTTTTTAAAAAGAATAAGAATTTAAATTCCGTATACAACATACACCTCTCAAACAGAAAATATCTTCATATAAATCCTAAATTTCTGCATATAATCTAGACTTCCTCTGGTTTTATAGTTATATCCGACCTCTATTGTTCTTAAATAGGAAATCATTTTATTTGGCATTTTCTGTCTAAATTCTTTTGTTTTTCTTTCTTTTTTCCCATTTTTTTAGTCGTTTCTTTTTCGGTTGGATCAATTATGTAAACTTATGTTTCTATTAATCAATCAATTACAAAAGAAAGAGAATAGAATTATAAAAATATGAATTCATTCTGGTAACAATACATCACCGCATTCTCCGGTTTTTCGACTTTACTTGTTTACATAACATAATGACATAATTTTTTTTATTGTATATAAAGTTATTGTCATCTTATGTTTATAGCTCATTCTGTACACGTTTCAAATACCATCACAATTGGTAAATCGCGAATTTTTAAACCTAAGAACCATCTGATAATCATTCTTGTCTATAGATGCATATTTTCCTCCGTTTTTTTTTTTTATTTTTTTTTTTTCATTTATAAGCCTTTTTTTTTTTTTTTGAATAGTCTTGCACAGCATTTATCGAAAATATCAAAAATAAATGCCACATTAGTAGTTATATTTATAGAAACTTTTCTATAATTACCTCATAGATTTTTAGACTATCTTTCCCATATCTTTATTTTTTGGTTGTTTGTTTCTACATAGAAAATAGGTCCGCACAAATCAATCGAAAATTCAATAATATATTTTGCTTAGTTGTTTTCAACAGACTAAATCAGCTAACTTAGTACCAATAGCAATAACATCTCTTTTTTAATCTTTACTAAGTTTTTTAATACCAGGACTAGACATATATAGTAAACACAATTCAGTTATTACTTTCTTCTCTTCTAAACAAAAATCTGAATTTCCCTACTTCTCTGCATCTTTCAACTACTTTGCCAAACTTTATATATTAAAATAAATAACAAAATTTCTAATTAAAGTGTTAATTCTCATAAAAAAAAAAGAAGTTGTATTATTTTTAATCTATTTCACTTTCACCAAATCTTATTTATAAAATAAAAAATATACAAATCCAAATAACAGATTATTGAGTTAGACTTTATTTTTTACTAATTCATGAATTATAATGGATTTAACAATTATGCAAATATGGAAGACAAAAATAAATACATTCACCAAAAAGACTTAATAACAATCAGTAATCTATCAAATTCAACACCTAATGTCCGAGTTACTTCTACTGAATCTAAAATACATAACTCACCATCATTAAAAATAGAATCTGATCAAGTGACAAATAAAAATAAAAATACTAATGAAAGTATACTCTCACCAAACTTAAAAAATACTGTAAGTATTCCTCCTTATCAACAACCAATTATAGATCCTTCCATAGTTCCTATAACAAATTCTAACCACATAATCAAGACACCTTTTGGCTTACAGCCTGAATTATCAGTAACACCATCTGCAACAACACAGCTTCAATACTATGAAACTGTGAAAAGTGAAGCAAATTTAGATAGGACACCAATACAAAATTTTTCCAACAATAAAACAAGTAGTATATCAAATATTTCGATGATTCCAAATACTGGAATCAAAAATACAAACTTACCTTATGTGGGGTTTACTCCATTTCCCACTACAGCTAATGGCTGCACAGAAGCTTATCCTGATTCTACTACAACAAGAGTAGTGAATACAACACAACCAGGACAATTATCAACTCAACAACCCCTTTTGTTGTCTGCACCGACAATCCTGCAACTACAATCACCTATGCATTTGTTACAACCTGTCATTGCCTTTAGTCAAAGACAACCGCAAAATCAGTATTTAACGTCTATGTCATTACCAATTCAATCCACAACGACACACTCTTTGCAGCAGGATAATGTGTTTCCAAAACCATGGAAACCACAGAATTTAAATACTATTCCAAATGTAAATAATAATAACAATAAAGTTAGCCCTATTATCTCACAATTTAACACATTTAAAATTGTTGAAACTAATCCATTAGATCCTATAATTTCCAAAGAAGTAAAAAATGATTCAATACAAGCTGCAAAGAAAGAAAGTTCAACTAGTTTCGAGAATAACAATGCTCTTCAGTTACCTTTGGTACCTTCACATATTAGCAATACTACTGCAAGTACTGCTAGTGCTACTGACACTGATACTGGGCAATCTGATATTGTAGTTAGTGACAAGGAAAATGGCCCAATAATGAAAATGGCCACTGAAGCAACAGATAATAGTTTGAATCCTACAACAAAAGAGTGTGTTGAGGAGAAAGAATCAAATACAAATGAAAACAAGAGCCCAGTTAATGAAAGTTTTAATATAGAGGAAAACAATACATTAGGTTTGAACAAAAAAAAGTCTAAAAGATTAAGGGATTCTAGGAGAGCCATACAAAACAGAAATGCACAAAAGGCTTTTAGACAACGGAAAGAAAAGTATGTAAAATTATTAGAATTAAAAGTAAGAGGGTATGATGAAGTAATGCAAGAAAACATTATACTACGAAAGGAACTTTCCAATCTAAAAAATATTATATTCCATATGGAACAACAAATACAGATGTATAATGATCAATATATGAATGATATACAGCATCGTCAACAACAATTACAAAATATACAATCACAACAATTACCACGTATTCCTCAATTATCTCATCAATTCCAGTCTCCTCCTCCTCCTCCACCTGCTCCTTCACTCTAAATAGATTCTTCACTACAATCTTTAGGCATTAAAATATTGTTTATCAATACTGATAAAATCAGTATGTTTTCTGCATGCTTGATACAACCAAATTCGGAGAACCAAGTTTATAGAAATGCAACTAGATGATTGGTTCTGGTTAATTCAAGTCCCTAACTATACTATTTTATTTTTATGCTGACATTTTAACGCATCTATGGACAATAATATGCACTGACATATAATTATAAGAATAAATACACACTGTTTTTTTTAGGTAATATATATCACCACATAATAATATATAACGGTATTTGATTGTATATATGTTTTTGATAAAAATATCTATATTTTATATTATTCTGCTTCTAAAAATCGGATATACTTCCACTGTATTCATCAAGAAAAGCGGAAATAATTATAAACGAAAATTCAGAAATGAAATAGGAACAAAAGGTATTTTGCTCCTTCACCTAAACGGGCAATAAGATTTTAAAGTTTTTCCTATATGGTTTATAGGCGATCCTTAATACATAATCCATAGATTAGGGTTAATAAAAATATAATATGAAAATATTGTTCAACCTAATAAAAATTATTAGGTTTTTTGGTTGTTTTTTATTTTTTTTGGAATCTCCCCCTTTTCTTGAACATTCTAGAATATCCCGAAATTTGTGAGAATTTCATTATGTCAGATTTAAAGTGTACCCCTTGATCTCAAAACATTTAAGACCATCTTGACACATTTAGTATAATATACTTATATGTACGCGAACACAAATAAACATATATATAAGATATTATAAACCAATTTTACAAAAATTATCGTTTTTATATACGTTTTTTGTTTTAACTAGAAAAATAGTTACCATAAACGATCCAGACGACACTCAGTATGTTAAATGTGTCAAATCGTCTATTAATTTCTAAAACCGTCCCTTTGGCAAGGATTCCGTTTTCCATTGTCACAGGAAATGCCTTAAGGCATTATGTACAATTAAGAACTGATCCAAATAAAAAAACTTTTCTTTCACAGTATGCAACAGATCTAACTGCACTGGCAAAACAAGGGAAATTGGATCCAAATATAGGTAGAGATGAAGAAATATCTCGAGCCATACAGATTCTGTCCCGTAGAACAAAGAATAATCCCATCATTATTGGAAGAGCTGGTGTTGGGAAGTCGTCGTTGGTCGAAGGTTTAGCACAAAGAATGGTTCGTGGAGAAGTGCCTGAATCTTTAAAGGGTAAACATCTATATAATCTAGAATTAAGTTCTTTGATTGCAGGTGCTAAGTACAGAGGTGAATTTGAAGAAAGATTGAAAGGCGTATTAGATGAGGTTGATGATAAGACAATCATGTTTATTGATGAAGTGCATATGTTATTGGGTCTAGGCAGTGATGGGAAAGGTGCCATGGATGCTTCTAATATTTTGAAACCAAAATTGGCTAAGGGGTTACGTTGTATATCTGCAACTACCTTAGATGAATTTAAAATTATTGAAAAGGATCCTGCGTTGACTAGAAGATTTCAACCTATTATTTTAAACGAGCCTTCAGTCCAAGACACTATTTCTATTTTAAGAGGATTAAAAGAAAGATACGAAGTGCATCATGGGGTAAGAATTACTGATGCTGCTTTAGTATCAGCTGCCGTTTTATCTAATAGGTATATTAATGATAGATTTTTACCTGATAAAGCAATTGATTTGGTAGATGAAGCCTGTGCTGTGTTAAGATTACAGCATGAATCAAAACCAGATGAAATTCAAAAATTAGACAGACAAATAATGACCATTCAAATTGAATTGGAATCATTGAAAAAGGAGACTGATCCTGTGTCACAGGAAAGACGGGATAAGTTAAAAGAAGATTTAGAATTGAAGCAAAAAGAATTGGGCAGATTGAAAGAGATCTGGGATAAAGAAAAGTTGGCTATTGAAGAAGTTAAAAACTGTAAAGCTGATCTGGAAAAAGCAAGAATCGAATTAGAACAGGCTCAAAGAAATGGTGATTATACTAGAGCCTCTGAGTTAAGATACTCTAAAATTCCAACGTTGGAAAAGAAGATTGAAGCTACAAAAAAGAATAGTGTCGAAAATAGTGAAAATAATAATCTATTACATGATTCTGTCACTTCTGATGATATATCCAAAGTAGTTGCTAGAATGACAGGAATTCCAACTGAAACTGTAATGAAGGGTGATAAAGATAGATTATTATACATGGAAGAATCATTGAAGGAGAGAGTTGTAGGTCAAGATGAAGCCATACATGCTATTTCTGATGCAGTAAGATTACAAAGGGCTGGTTTAACTAGTGAGAAGAGGCCAATTGCTAGTTTTATGTTTTTAGGTCCAACTGGTACTGGTAAAACAGAATTAACTAAAGCTTTAGCTCAATTCTTATTTGATAATGAATCCAACGTCATTAGATTTGATATGTCAGAATTTCAGGAGAAACACACTGTATCAAGATTAATTGGTGCTCCACCAGGTTATGTATTAAGTGAATCAGGGGGTCAATTAACCGAGGCAGTTAGACGTAAGCCATACTCTGTTGTCTTATTTGATGAATTTGAAAAGGCACATCCAGATGTCTCTAAATTATTGTTACAAGTACTTGATGAGGGTAAATTAACGGATTCCCTAGGGCATCAAGTTGATTTCCGTAATACTATTATTGTGATGACATCTAATATTGGTCAAGATATTCTTTTAGCTGATGAGTCTGTTGGTGAAGGAAAGGAAGGTTCTGACACAGGGATTGTTGATCCCAAAGTGAAGGAACAGGTTATTGAAAAGATGAAAAAATCGTATCCACCTGAATTCATTAATCGTATTGATGATATTCTCGTATTTAATAGATTATCAAAGAAGGTGTTGAGATCTATTGTAGATATTAGAATTAAAGAAATCCAAGAGAGATTAGTTGATAAGAGAATGAAATTGGTTTTAACAGATGAAGCTAAAGAATGGTTAACAGACCATGGTTACGATCATTTTTATGGTGCAAGACCATTAAATAGATTAATTCATAAGGAATTACTAAATACCATGGCAACATATATCCTAAAGGGCCAACTAAGACCAGGTGAAACTGTCAATGTTACTGTTGATAAAGATGGTAATTTGATGGTCAAACCAAATCATGAAGAAGGAGAAACATTTGATACTGAAGAAGAAAACTAAACATAAATGAATTATATATAATCTAGCAATCATTCACTGAGTGTGTTTATGAGTTCTTAATTGCCTATTATTATTTTGAGGGTATTTGTCTATAAAATAATAAACTAATGGAGTTATAAAGTAACGGGATAAATGTAGATTCACAATATTTTAGAACCAGCGTCTTCTGTTTTTATTTTTATTTACTCACATACTATATAGCTGTTCTGTTTTTTTATAGTATATATTTTTCTTTACAATTTTTCCTATAACAATATAGTATTCTGTAATCAATATATTTGTTATTGGTATTTTTTACTTATTTATGTATTTATGTTATTTAAAGTATCTTGTCAGATACAACCATTGAAGATTTCAAGATTTTTTTTATGTTTGAGATCTTCACAAAAAGATGAAAGAGAGAAAATTTAAACCACAGATTTCATATGTTTAATAGGATAAGATATGAGATGGGGAGAAGTTTTAATTTAGGAATCCAGGAAGCAAAGAAACAACGTTTTATGTATTAAGTTTAAAAGAGAGCAAATTATTTTGGTATTTCTTTTTATCTTAACTAATAATTGAATATGGATACATTCAAGCAAAATACAGAGAACTTCTTAAATTGGTTGGTTAAGGATATTAATGTGAAGATATCACCTAAGATTAAGATTGTAGATTTTCGAGAAAAAAATCAAGGTCGCTGTGTTATAGCTGTTGATAACATTGCAGAAAATGAAGTGTTATTTGAGATATCTAGAGAATCAATTTTGAATATTGAGACATGTGAATTTTCTAAAAGATATCCACATGCCAAAAAAAAATTGTATGATAATGTAGGGCATTGGGAAGGACTTATTCTTGTGCTTCTATACGAGTTAAGAGTAGTTGGTAATCATAGTAAGTGGTGGCCTTATTTTGAGGTATTCCCAACTAAGGAGGACATGAATGGATTGATCTACTGGAATGATGAAGAATTAAAACATTTGAAACCTTCTTTGATTTTAAACAGAATTGGAAAAGAAAATGCAAAGAAAATGTTCTCTGACATTAAAGAATTGATTAAAGAATTTAAGATTGAAGATGAATCTATGAAATCTATTCAATGGGAGGATTTTGTCTATGTGGCCAGTGTGATTATGTCCTATTCTTTTGATGTGGAAGATTATGAGGAAGAAAAGGAAAGCGAATCAGAAAATAATGATGATCAAGAAGAAGAGATTATAGAAGTTATACATGAAGGAGAAATCACTTCGGTTCGTGATGATAAGAGATTAAAATCTATGATTCCATTAGCTGATACATTAAATGCAGACACCAAAAGATGCAATGCTAATTTAATATATGATGATTTATCTTTAAAGATGCATGCTACTAGGTCCATCAGTAAAGGGGAACAGGTATATAATCTTTATGGAGAGCATCCTAATAGTGAGATCCTCAGAAGATATGGATACGTAGAGGAAGGTGGATCAAAATATGATTTTGGTGAAGTACCCTTTTTTACTATTGAAAAAGTATTGCAAACACAGTTTGAAAATATAACTTCAATAGATGATTTACTAAAAGAAATATGTGTCATTATCAAAGAAAACGATATCGTACAAGAAAATCTTGAGTTTGAAGATATTGTAGTGGATTCGTGTGAATGTTACATTGATGGTGATGTACCTTCAGAATGTTCTTTGTTTTTACAAATCTTAGTCACATTATTACAAATACCAGATATCGATAAGATGGGATCAGAAGAATTGACAAGGTATGTCCAAAGAGTATCAAAAAAATGTTTTCAGCTATTAGCTAGTGGTAAAATAACTAAAGAATGTGATAACATATGGAAAATATGCATAGATGAAAGACTGACCGGGTACTCTTTGGTTGATCCAACCTTGGACACAGCAAAGTTACACACGGTCAGAGATAAATCTATATTGAGACATTTAATGGCTTCCGTAATATTAAAATGTGAATATGACTCATTAGTAGCATGTAAAGATGCATTTAATAAGAAATTTACGGTCATTGAAGATAAAAAGTTAATGAACAATATCCTAAAAAGAAAGATTGAAGTCGAATCCGACAAATCTAAAAAGAAAAGAAGAATTAGTAGAAGACAAAAGAAATGATGTTTGAAGACGCGAATTTCCTTATTACTTTTGGTTTGTACTTATTTGTGCTATTGTGAAGTTATTATTGATATGTAGTAAAAGTATTATATAAGTATATATTGTATATTATTATAGATAAATTGTTGTTCCTGTGCGAAATTACTATCATGGAATTACTGAGGCATTAGCTATATTTTTCCTATTTTTTTAAAGGGAAGGAACAGGATACATCATGCAAATAAATAGAAATATATAACCTAAATGCACTGAATGAGTACACATATGTATTCACAAAGAGTATTGAATAAAGTACATAATACAGAGTACTATATAAGTATTTGTCATAATTGGGTAACTATACTGTATAATTTAAAATACTTTACTAGTTGAATTTGACAATAAAAACACAAAGAGATAATATTTAAATAGGAGTTTGGGGAATATTATTTTATTTTATTTGATTCGATTATTGTGTTGCTATTGAAATTATTTCTTGTACTTCATAGTTTAACTTCTCTATTACTTTGGACCTATAATCTATTCGACAATGGATGTTGTCACAAATTTGTGGAAAGGTGACGATAGTAAAAAAATATCGGTTAAAGAAGAAGCTAATCAAGACTCTAGAAATGTTTTAAATGAAATGAATATGTATTCTGCAGCAAAAGTTGAACGCAAGAATAACAATAATATAAATTTAAATATTTCACATAAAGCAAGTAACATTAACAGTTCCTCAGACAGTCGATCAAATCGAAGCCATTTATCTTCCCAGGGTAAATCTAACAGCAACCATGTAGATAAAGTATCCTCTATACAACAAATGATGACAGATACCCTTGTAGAGAAAATTATTAAAATGGCATTGCCTCCTTCATCTATGGCTATGAAAGATCAAATCGCAACCAGAATGGTCTCAGCAAAAAATAGACCAAGTTTATCTGTTCAATTATTATCAAAAAATTTCATTGCAATGAATTCCAGGTTGGCACTCCCCTTTATGATTATTGATAGTGTAATAGATTTTATCAATTGGGAGAATATTCCAATGACGTTATCCATCATGTGTCTTTATACATTATGTATCTTGAACCCACTGATTTCCCTCACTTGCGGTCCATTATGTTATATTTTATTTCAAATAATGGTTCCACATTATATGAATGTCCATTTACCCAATCCAACAGATTCAGTTAATTGTTTACTAGAGGTTAATCGTAGTCCTGCACAGGGTCCACCTTTGAAGGATCCAATTTTGCCTGAACCAGTACCTGAATTCAGTCAAGAATTTGTGATGAATTTACAAGATTTACAGAATCATGTGTTGATATATGTGGTAGCATATGATTTTATATATTTTATAATGAAAAAGTTTGTATTTTTCATTAATGAACAAATGTCTACTGCATGGTTCATAATATTGTTAGGTGTGACAATATTCAATTATCTTTTTATTGATATGATATGGAGTTTGATTCCTATAAAGCTTCTTTTAATTTTGTTGGGTTGGTCACTAATCATCTTGCTTTATCCAAAGAATAGGGACAACTTCATGCAAAAATTGTTATCTGAAGAAACAAGAGTATCATGGTTACAAATCACGAACCAATATGAACATAAGATAAATGAACAACTGAGATTTGTAGAAGCTCGTGAAAATAGGGTGGTTAACATCTTTGAGATCCAAGTGTATAAAAACGAACATAAGGAATGGACTAGTATAGGATATTATAACGACCACTACACGTTATTTTCCCCGTTGAGATTGAAAGAGGAAAAGATTGAACCTTTATGTGTTAAAGACATTGATGAGATTGAACCACCTAGGGGTTGGAGCTGGATTAATGATGGTTCTTGGGAGTTAGATTTATCACCTGAAATATGGGTACGTGAAAATTTTATTAATAATGTCAGAATTGATTCAAGTACAAAATGGGTATATGATAAGGTTGAGGATTTTACAGAAGTTTCAAAATGGTATAGAAGAAGAATGTGGGTCCGTAATGTAATTCGTGAGATAACAACGACAGCTAGCAAGACTAATTCACAAGGTAATAATAAAGATGAGAAGGCCTATGATAATCCAACAGATTTTGATGAGATGACAGATACAGTAATTACGGAAACAAATACTGGAGATATTCACACCAATAGAGGCAAAAATAATATTAATAATAAAGAGTATGAGTATGATAATAATAACCATATAAACAAGGATGATTTTGATAGGGACACATCGCGAGAAGAAATAGAAGAAGTGAGAAATCCAGTAAGGGAAGATCGTAGTTCAAGTCATATATCAATCAGAGGAATAGCACGTGAATCATTAACTGGTGCAAAGGTTAGATCATTTATTACACCAACAACCTCTTCTTCTTCTACAAATTCCCGCTCTACAGAGATCAATACATCACCTCTTTCACTTTTTACTACTTCATCCGATGTTCAAAAAATAAAGAGTAATGATTCGTATCTAGATAAAGTAAAATAAAGAGGAATAAATAAGCATATTAACTGAAGGCTCTATATATATATGTATCTGTATATGTGTGTGTATGTACATATGTATGCATTATTATATTTTCATGAAACTTTCTAAGGATAATAATCCATTAGATTTTTGTTTATTTTTATTTTCTTTTTCTCTCTGTGATAGAAGATTAGATAAGGTATTCATTTTTCTTTTCTTTGCTCTAATCTTGGCTTTATTTTCGCTCTTATTGACCTTTTTATTATTTTGAATATCTGCCATAGATTTATTATCATTATTATTATTATTATTAGTTAAAGTCTGTGTACTACGTAATGATGGTAATTGTGTATCAATTACATCATATGCAGTCTCATTAGTACAAAGTAGACAACAATATATAAAAGAGGAAGAGGAAGAAAAGGAATGAGGGTTATTATTTTGATTTGGTTTGATTTTCATAGAAGTATTGATACTGGGTACTCTAACAACACCGCATCTAGGACAAAATTTGCCCATTGAATCAGTTAATGATGAAGGTAAATTCAACTGGTATTTTTTAGTTGAGTTATAAAATTTCTTTAAATATAGACCAGATAAACTATTTGTCGTTTTTATTATGGACGGTAATTGATGTAATAGATCATATTGATATTGTAAATGTCTATTTCTAAATTTGATTTTTTGATCTTTATTCATTTTTTTGTGTGCTGTAATGATATTTTCTTTACTTCCTCTCACTATTGATTAAAGTTAACATTTATACAGTATTTCAGATCCAAACAATTAATACCTGAAGGAAGCTGTTTTCCCTTTGCAATAAGATTAATAATTGATATATGATTAGATCAATTATAGCAGTACAATATATGAAGGAAGATCTGCGATGCCCTCGATGAATAAAATCTTCAGAGATTATGGTGTGTGGAGGGATAATATTTATTAATGTAGCAAAAAGTCTTCGTTTCGAATCTTGTCGGCTGCCATTTCCAGCTAATGTAAAACTTTACTGGTTCATATCATTCAATAGAAAGAGTAGAGGAGACAGAATGATGATGATGGTTAATACGGTATAATACTTGTATTCATTTCCTTAACATAGTTGAATTTCTATCTCATTTAAGGCAGTTTCTTATCTCTAATTTGTTTATATCGAAACATAATATATAAACGATAATTTATACTTTACAGTACGAGAAAATTTAAACGAAAATGTTAAAAGAAGAAAAGAAAAATATATACATAAGTATTTATATAAATATACAGCTATCTACAAGAATATATATAAATATATATCTGTTTGTATCTGTCTTGGTTTGTGTATGTAAAGGTTTGTAAGATAAGGACAGCAATCATTTATATATTATTAGACCAAAAATTATTCATCCTACTTATATATATGCATATATTGAAGCAAGATGAATAGAGAAGAAGTTTTAAAGAGTATTAACAATCAATGCCAATGTCAATTAGCTAATTTATCTCATATATTTGAACAGATAAAAGTTTCATATAAAACTGTAGATAATAATAGTTGTGTGGACAATGCAAAAGTTAATTTAGTAGACATTAATTTAGACGGTAAAATTGTATTAAAAGATGGGAATAAAATTTATACATATCATTTTGACAGTAATGATATGGAGTCTATAGTCAAAAACAAAGAAGATGACCCGAGCAAATTGTACGATGTGTTCCGTAGCATGTGTAAACTACTATCAGAAAGATACCAAATTGATCATCATCAAAAAGTGAATGAAGTCATCCCACCGAATACTATATTAGATTGGCTAGTGATTGGATTAGTGTGTTTACCAACTTTATGTTATTTAAATAGATCTGTATTGCATTATTTATTTGATTGGAGTGGCTATTTATCATCAGTTCTTATACCTATATTAGATAATGATACTGTATTACTCACAATAATTATATTAGAGTTTGTTACACATTCAATTGAAACATACATGTTTTTGATACCAAAATTAAGAACACATAAAGTACCAGATAAATTATGGTATAGATGGATAATTTGGGGTATTATTGAAGGTTATGGACCAGTAAGAAGAATTGACAATTATTCTTCTGCTTGTGATTGTTCTTGTTATTATAATCAAAACCAGAATCAGAAAAAATCAACTATCAAACCATTAGTGGTTGTTGATAAAGAGAAAGGATATTAAGACAGGATACATAAGGTTTGTGTATATGTATATATTTTGTATGTATATATGTGTGTGTGTATATGTGGTTGCTATTTGACTCTTGAATAAAAGAACATGCCTATTTTCTCTCTTTTTTTATCCATGTATGAGCTTTCTCCGTAGAATCCGAATGCAAATTTAGCAAACTAGAATAGCATTGCTAACTTAAATTCAAAATTGATGAGGTAAATGTTACTAGAATGATCTTGTAAAGAATTTTCATAATATTCTGTCATTATTTTGCTCCTGTAAATTATTATAATTTTTTCCTTTCGTTTCTTTCTTTATTCGTTTCTTTTTTTTTTTCTGTTTTTTGTCAAAATCGGAAAGCATCGCTCAAGAAAATCACAGAATTCGTTGTAGAGCGAAATTGATATAGTGAAATATTTTGATAAACAGATTGTAAGAAAGGGGGATAGGAGTTGCCAGAGAGAAAGATGGTACTTTAATACCAAAATCCTATGTATAGGCATAGACACGATCACATTGGAACCATACTACAGTGAGCACCGAGAAGTTACAAGATAAAGTTCTTCCCACTTTTTTTGTTTGTTTGTTGATTGTTTTTATTCTCTCTGTTTGTTTGTTTTTTTGTCAGAAGAATTGCTCACGGAGGAGCAAGAAGCATTAGAAGATAATGGCAGTTAATAAAGACCCTTCACTAGCCTATAAAGATATCAAATTATATACAGATTATAACTTAGATTATTATGAGAGTCTTTTAGGCAAAGACATTAGAGATGTTCCACACTCGACGAGTTCTAAAATTATGAAAGATTCTAATAATCTTTTAGAATCAGTATTAAAAAAAAATATTGCATCTAAGTCAGACTCTAATTCATTGGATAGTGTAGATGGTACAGTCAGTTTGAAGAATGTAAAAAAGAATTTTCCCTATTTGCAGTATAAGCCATGTGTGTCGTTCGATACTGTACCTATCTCGTCTCCAAGTAAAGATACTTTAATTGAAAAAGAATATCCAAGTTATGATTTTCCAGGAGTTCAAATCCCACCCGAGTTGTATACTATGGATGAATGGTATGATACAGAGAGTGGATATGCTGCCAATGACAACAGTGAATATTTTATTCATAACAACTATCTAACCTCTGATTCGTCATTCGATTTCCTTAACAGCGGTAACGATAATAATAACGATATTGATAATAATATTAGTAATAACAGTAACAACAACAGTAACCCTTCTTCCTCTGCATATAGAAAGAGGGCCTCTTCTCCGACAAGAATTAAGAGTCATAATACTCTAAGACAGATGCAAAATACCTTCAAACTATCTATTGGTGGGAAAATAGTAAGAGAGGATTATCCCAGTAGGCCAACAGTGGATAACGATGCAATGGTTATCAACAGAGCTTATGGTCGATGGAATGTATTGTGGAATAAACGTAGACTTCAAATTGATGATAGATTATTGAATAAAACAGTATTTTTCAAGTACTCAAATATTTTGTTTCCTGATTTAAACAAGGATAAGAAAAAATTGGATGATGACCAAGTAAATTTATCCAATGGAAGCGACAAAGAATGGGAACTTATGACTAGAAAAGAGAAAAAGCGATGGTTGATCATGAATGAAGTGGTTGGTTATCCAACTGGTCCAAAGACTATTTTATGTCATATTAGTGGTAGAAAGCATACTTGGGTTGGGTTGGATTACACTATAATGAAATTAGCTCAGGACACTGATCATGTTGTCATTGTAGCAAATTTGAATAAGTTAAGAAAATGTGCTCATTCAAATTATAGATATATTTCTTCAAATAGTTTTGACAGAAGACGGAATCACTGTCAGCATCGACATACTGCTACAACTACTGCCTCTACCACTAACCGTAGCCGCCATCATAAACGTCAAGCTTCTTATACTTTGGCATTGTCTGATTTGAGCATTAGAAGTAAATCTATTTCTAGGGATGAAAATATCACTACTGTTAGTAGTACTGCTAGTGACGGTGATGACAAGATCGGTATTAAATTGACTAAGACAAAATCCATGGATCCAGATTTAGTATCTTATAAAAGTTATATAAGTGATAATGATAGCAATTATGATGAAGATGAGGATGAGGACGACGGAGTAGATCCACAATGGGCTTATGGATATGACAGACAAAGTATTAGTGACAAATTAAAGGACATTCTTCTATATATTAGTGTCTTATTATCAAAACATCCAACATCAATTAAAGTTACAGTGGAAATTGTGATTGGTAAATCCGTCAACATCTTAAATGAAATGGTTAATGTTTATATGCCTGATTTATTTGTGATGGCAAAGAAAAAGGTTACGTCTGAAATTCGTTGGCATTCTGTTCATTTGACTGATAAGTTTTTGAAACATTCCCCTGTTCCCATATGTGTGGTATTTGTTAAACCAATGTGTCAGTTTGAAATAGATTTAGCTAATCAATTTTCAAATGATTCGAATACAATAACAGAAACAGAAACAATAGTAGATGTAGATGAAAGAAAAAAGGACAAACCAGTATCTATAAAAGCTAAACACTCTTTGGAACAATTAGATAAATGGATCATAAGTTCAATTGAAAGTGGTAGTAAGATGGCACGTCCACAAGCACAGCCGAAAATGATGAAATCAATGATTGAGATTGCTCTTGCCAACAATAAAGCTAAGAGTAGTCATAGAAAAACACGTAGCAACAGTAGCCATGATATGCTTACGAGAAACACAAAGTTAAGGACTCCAACTGAATCACCATTAAGGCGTGAACTAGTGCGTTCTGATAAGATTAATTCATCTAGTACCCTTGGTGTCCCACTAAGTAAGACAAGGACGATATCCACTGCAAAGCCTGTTAAGAATTGGAGTACTGATAAGAATAGTTTAAGAAAGATTAAATCCAGCACCCCAGACGATGTTCCAAGAAGTCAGCACTATAGTAATGGAAATAGTAGTAGTAGTGGGGGTAGTGGTGGTGGTGGTTTCTTTTCTTCGTTATTTAAAAGACGTTGGTAAATTTTCAGAGATGAGTAATATTACATGAATGAACAATGTATTATATATATCGTAAATACATACTTATTCTATATGAACTGTTATATATATATATATAAATTTTTTAATAAATAACGGACATGTTGAAATGATTATGAAAAGCTTTTAGAGGTTTTTCTTTTCTGTTTTTCTGTTTTTCCTGTTCTGCGGTTAATATAGAAGTAGGGTTTTCTATGTTAAAGCAAAAAAAAAACTGTAAAAATATTATTGAAAAAACAACAACAATAACAACGGCTGGGAACCAAACCCTAACAATCTGTTCGAAATAAGCTTATGTGCGGGTTTGAGTATAGTTAATGATGCTCTCTGTCAATAGTTTAAAGAGTATTGGAAGTAGATGGATACTACCATTAAGACATGAAGTTATATTTTGTAGTATAATCATGACAATGAACATATAAAACAGAATATATATATATATAAATTAAAAGATGTCCAAGAATTATAGGAAGGGTCTTAATATAGAATTACATCCAGGTTTAATTAATCCAAGATTATTGAAACGTGGTAGAAACAATAACCCATATTTAGATAATGCAGAAGGTAATAGTAGGAATAAGGATAAGGAAAAGAATGGTGTTGGCAGAAGACAGAGGATAGGTACATTTTACAAAAAAGGTGATATTAGTAAACCATTAGAGTTCGAAAGAAGACAGTGGAAAGAGACTGTTTTGAAGATTGAAAGAGGTGACTTACCTGACACGTTCCATGATGAAGACAAATATATTTTGAAGGTTGATGATATACCCACTGCTGAATGGTGGGATAGAAGATACTATTTACCTGAAAGATTATCGGATAATGAGGAGGATGAAGATGAAAGTGAGGATGAAGATAAGTTTTGTCCATCAATTAAATATGTTTTGCATCCAGTACCACCTGAATTACCAAATATAGAGAATAATAATAATAATAATAATAATAATAATAATAATAATAATGTACCTTTTCTTGGAATGAGGCTATACTTAACATCAAAAGAAAGAAAACAATTACGTAGAAATAAAAGACGGTTACAGCAAGAAGATATGGAGAAAAAGATCAAACTGGGATTACTATCTAGGCCGGCCAACAAGATAAGAATGTCTACTATAATGAATCAACAAGGGAGAGGTGTTGATCTACCGACGGGATGGGAAAGGGAAGTTAAGAACGCAATGATTGCCCGTAAAAGAGAGCATGATATAATGAACCAACGACGCCATGAAATGGCTGTTAAAAACCGACAAAGTAAGATGGATGTTCATGGACAAGGCGAAGGTGTTATATGGGTTAGAGTATACCATTTCAAACAGTTGATCAATCCATCGATTAGGTACAAATTGTCTATGAATTCAAAACAGTTGGGGATAAAAGGGTTATGTTTACGTAAGGGGGAGGATGGACCAGGTATAATAATAATAATGAATGAAAAAGAAAAGTCAATAAGATTTATGAATAGATTAATAATGGACCGATTACCATGGAGAGAGAATTTTATGATCAAAAGCTATGGTGAAAATGGAAATGGAAATGAAGGACAAAAAATGATCAATATGTCAAATAATGAGATCAAATTAGTTTGGACGGGACAAGTTAATTTGGAGGAATATAATATGTTTCCTAATCGATGGTTTATGAAGGTATGTCAAAATGAACAAGAAATTAAATCTATATTAGCTAAGTTTGAGGCAGAACATTATTATAAGTATATATGAAATAGAAAAGAAGCAACAACAGCAAAAAAAAAAATAAAAAAGAAAGAAAAAGAAAAGGAAGAGGAAGTAAGGGAATGGGGTGAATAGCATAATAATTTATTTATTTATTGGTTTATATCTCCGTATATAAATAAATAAATATAAGATATAAATATAAATATAAATATGTTTACATGATTAAACGATTAAAAAACAAAAAAAAAGCATAGAAAACAACTATATATATATATATATATATAGTTGTTTTATATGTTTTTTTTTTTTAATTTGTTTATTATTTATGTTTATATCATATTCATTCTTGGATCTTAGCTAAGATTTCAGAATCTCTGAATAAGATAACTTCATCGTTTTCTTGATCAGATAATTTGATGGTAGACCCACCAAATTGAGGGATCAAGACTTGGTCACCTGGTTTAATTTGTGGAACCACTTTATTACCATTAGCATCGGTGAAACCTGGACCAACAGCAAGAACGGTAGCTTGGTTCAATTTAGCGACATTCTTTTCAGGTAAGTAAAGACCAGAAGCAGTCTTTGCTTCAGCTTTGATTCTTTGAACTAAAACACGGTCCAACAATGGGACGATAGATTTGGCAGACTTTAATAAAGTGGACATCTTTTTTTTTATTCAATTCAAATAGTAAAAGGGAAAGGGCAATAAGAAAAAAAGGAAAAAAAAGAAAAAGCAGCAAATAAAGAAAATGGTAGGGAAGGTAGGTTTGTAGTTAGTGGTTGGTGTGGAATATAAATATGTAACTGATGGGAAAATGTGGCATTAGGAAGAAGGAGTTGTACACCGAAGACACTTATTTATTCGATGGTAAGACAAGCCCACAAGTTGCTTTTATTCCTTCCTCCTGCATCTCCATCTCTACCTCAATCTATGTTCGTGGTTCCTCATGTTGTTGGTGTAAGTAAAGTGGAATCTTTTCCAAATGAACGTGCCACACACAAACAAAAAAAAACAAGAAAAAAAGATGAAAAATTCAAATTTAGCCACTCGTTTCTGTCACGTGACCCCACACAACAAAACAAAACAAAAGAATTTGATTCGATTTCCGAACTTTTAGAACACAAATTATATACAGATGAACAGTATAAATACATATGTATAATGTACATATATATATGTAAGTGTATGTACATGAGTGATCATGTATGTACGTATTTCATATCTTAGTTGTTCTCAAGTTTTGTCCTGTTCTGTTCTGTTTTGTTTTGTTTTGTCCATTTATTTTTTTTTAGAAGAAATCGTCTAAGGTTCTTTGAGAATCTCTTTTAATCAAATCCAACATTCCCTCTGGTAATATTGGTTTATTTGTGCTTTTATCTAATACATATCTAAATGGCATCTCAGTGGCTTCATGTTTATTAAACCTAAACTCTGGATAATCGACAAATGGTATTTTATCCAACGGTACCGAATCCCTCATTATTATCTGACATACCCTGATCGCAGTATCTGTGGTCATCTGCTTGTCACCAAGTCTTTTACCCTCTAATAAACCAGGATGTAATTTCTGTAACTCACTAGTTCTATCTCTTGGCGGGTGGTCACCCAAGATCCCGCCAAACAACAAATACTTGAATTTGTCTTGGTCTGCCACAGAAAGATCCTCTTTGGCACGTGGATCCAACAAACACACATTGCCTGGTTTCAATGGTGGCAGTTTCAAGTCAGGGAACTCGTCAACCAGACTTTCAAGACCCTTGTGCGTCCATTGTAAACCCATGTCTATCAATATCTTGGGGATGTTTTCCAGTGTAATATCCCTTGGTACAGACACAAGGATCAAATTGTGGGCACCGATGTCTCTTATTATTTGTGCATACTCTAATGTCACCCATTCACTGAATCCATCTTCCATGTGTTCAATAATATAAATCATTTTCCCCCTATATATGTATATGTGTATGTATACTATATTATACTATATTATATTATATTATATTATATTATATTATATTATATTATATTATATTATATTATATTATATTATATTATATTATATTATATTATATTATATTATATTATATTTTCTAATCCTATCCGGTATAGAGATAGAGTTAAAGTTAGAGTCAGGGAGATGCAGGGAGGGAAAGAGATGTCTTTGAATCTCAGAGTCTCTCTGTAATTTTTTTTTGTTATTTTATTTGACCAAAAAAAAATAAAAATAAAATTGATACAGAAGTCTTCTTGCGTTTCTATGTATGTGGTGTATGGGTTCATCAGAGCATTCGACTCTCAAAAGAACAAACAACAAATATGTTACGTATATTAATATGTTATATGTATTAATATCGATGTTTTGTGTGGATTATTATCTGCCACTGTAACGTAATTGTTCTCTTGTCATCACCTCTTGTTGGAATTGAATAACAAAAACTATTCTTTGTGGGTATTGATCTATTGGTTGCCAATGTGCTGTTACATTGCATGGAAACCCACTTTCACAAAGATATCCTTGGATCAAACCACACAGCATGTAATTGCAGGACTCGTAATGCACTTGGTTCCGTTTGGATCCCGATATAAACTGGGTCCACTGCGGCTCATTGTCTATGATTCTATATTCTGTATCATTCTCTTGTGATTTCATTAGATCGTTGGACACATGCCCAAATAGATAGGACCATACTGTCCCGTGAATAAATTGTAAAATATCTATGATCTTCAGGTCTCTCCTCTTCATCTTGGGTATATCTTTTCCAACTGATACATATTCCTTGTCCTCTATATAACTCACAACACTCATGCGTTGTGTGGTATTAGTATCTATACTCATGTTGTTGTTACCACTGCTAGTAGCACTAATAGCATTTGCACTGGTAACACCACCACTCACACTTACGCTCCCACCACTTGTAATAGTAGCATTTTCACTAAACTTGTTGGTAGACGTAGATGTGGTTGGTAAAGAAGAAAATGAGGACTCTTTAAATTTGTTTAAAATCGGTTGTGGAACCGAGGATCTGTAGTTTATCAATTCTAATATGTTCACACCTAATCGGTACCCGGTTTTAATCAACTTGTATTGGAACTGTTCAATCGAATCGGATTGTTTGTATATATATTGAATCAGTTCTTGGTACAGCAATGTCATCAATGATAAGGAAACTCTTTGGTTCCTTTTGTTATATGATAATAAACTATGATCATATATCCTTGAACCTGCCATTGGTTGTAAACACTTGTTATTCTCTACTCTCTATTCTTGGTACGCTTATTCTATACTTTTACTCTTACTCCTACTCCTACTCTTTCTGTCTCATTCTTTCTTTTCTGTTCTTATAAGTTTAGAGTATTCTAACGTTTATATACTCACTTCCATAGTAATTTTTATATTTATTTTAAATTGATTGATCGATTGATTGATTTGTTCAGTAAGAAAATAAAAAAAAAAAAAAATAAAATTTATAGATCAATAGATGAATAGATAGATAGATTAATAAAGGATCATATTTATTTATATACACATATATTATATTCCATACTCACAAAGCTAGATAATATTAGAAATTGTATAAGAAAATATACGCACACACACAACCATACATACATATATATAGATACATATAAACATATATACGTATTGATATATTATGATAACCATAATGGATCAAAATGATAATAGACCTTATTATAATCCAGACACTTTCAATATTGGTTATTCAGCAATTTTTCGTCCTGGCATAGGGATCCTTGATCCATATAATGTAACTCTGGCCGATAAATTATCTATAATAAGTAAAGACAACCATGGATCCCTTGGTATAGCTAACAGTGGTATTGGATCATTGGGCAATATTAAAAATATTATCCAAGTGGATCCAGTGGAACAAAGTTCTATAAAAACACTTTGGAGTAAGTTTGATGTTAAAAAGTATCTCAATTCTCTATATTCAATGTTGATAAGGCAGATATGTCTACAGCCATTCCAAGTGGCCAAGTTATTGTTGCAGTTATTATCACCTAATGATATTGATTCAAATGTTTCCTCTTTAAACAAACTATCTGCGACATCCAATAATAATCCAGAACAACAACAACATGAGTATGATTATGACGATTATGAGGAAAGGGAGGAGATAGATTTTTTTCCACCGAAATTTAAGACTTCACAACAACATGATTCTAATGATGACGATATTCATAAACCCATACTTGAACCATTACCTTCACATTCACAATCCAATAATATGAATGATGTTGATGATAACAATAAATCAAGACTTATTTTCCCTAAATTGGATACATGGACCATTATAGCCACATTACAACAAAACTTAGGATGGAAATCTTTGTGGACATCTTTTCAAAATATGTTATTGTATGATACCTTGTATCCAATCTGCACATACACATTGAAAAGAGGGTTGTTGACGCCTTTATTATCTCTCTTTATGCAACCCATTAAAATTATATATTCATTGACCACACAGACATTACTTAATTGTACAGTGGAATTCATTACAGAATCTATATTATTATTGCCCATCGCATTAAACAGTGTAAAAGATGTGATGCTTATGGGTCTGCACCCAGAGTTTAAACAAAGAAGAGATATTTATTGGTTCCATGATTTGGAATGGAACCAAACGTTGATCTCTATTCAACTGTTTACACTACTGAAAGTCATTATTAATAACCTGTACCATCATCTATTTGAATCAATTGTAGTCTCTTACTGCGGTATCAATTTATCACATTTGTCATCTCATGAAAGATTATTAATTATAATAACCTTGAAGTTGATTATTGATTCAGTCCAATTAATATTTAAGTTGCCATTAGAATCTCTAGTCAATAGATTTAAATGGAAATATGTGATTAAAACAGATAAGAATGAACTAAGCAACGATTCTGTTTCTTTACCATTGATTTTTAAACCTATTAACGTTCATTCACAAGAGATCTGGACAGGTCTTTGGCGTGGTTGGAGATTACATTTAATTTCTCGTATATGTGGTACAATCTTTAAATACTTAAATGGATTAGGCACTGATTTAGAATGGGAGAAATTCTAAGAGAAAAAAAATAAATACTAGTAAAGCTTGTATATTTACATAATACATACTTTCATATCTCTTTCTTTCTATTTCTATCTCTTCCTCCCTTCCTCTCTCTCTTTATATATATATATATATATACGTGTGTGTATATGTGCATTTCAAAGTAAACAGTGAATCGTAAATAAATATTCATTTTTGTTTCTCACTCTCTGCAATTAGATACTCGCCCAACACTCTCAACGGATTATCTGGCTTCTCAACAGCAATTCGTCTCATTCCTTCAAGTAAAACTGGCGTTACTTTATCATTTAAATATCGTCTCGTGTATGAGCCACCGCCTATATCTCCTAAAGATTTGGATGAAGTAGTTTGAGGATATGCCTTTAAGGATGGTTCAGTTGCTTCTAGAGATAGCTCTTCATTTTTCAATGTCTCTGTAACTGGGGAAGGTGAATATGTTGACAGGGTCGGTAAATTATGTTCTTGCTTGTCATTATTAATATTATTATCATTGCTGTTGTTGTTGTTATTTGGATTTGTGGTAATAGGAGTATTATCAGACTTTATTTCATCGTCCATTTTATATAGTAGTTCACCAAATACTCGTAGCTCCTGATATAAGTGTAGATTGAATTTAAATGGTCATTTTGAGTCCGCCTTTAGGATATTTATTTGTTCTTGAATAAGTCACTCACTAGTCTTCACTCCAATTTGAAGATGACTTTTTAATATTCTGTATATTCCTATAAAGGATAGAAACATAACGAAGGAGACGAAGAAAAAAAAATAAGGACAGAAAAATAATATACAACTGCTAACAAATACTGTGTCTGTATATATTTGTAATTTAAATACACATAAAAAAGAAGATTGCTAAAGAATTTTCCACAAGGTTACCATTTGTTTGTTACAGAAGTTTCAATCACTAAAAATCACTTGACAGCTAGCTATTGTTAACATTATTTTTAAGAGATAAGTCGCGTGTTTTCCTAATAAAAATGTCAATCGAAGATCCATTTGACCAAGTCTTAGAAGACACAAAGGAGCAATTAACTAGGTTAATTAACTATCTACCATCACATAATATAGATAGTGAAGTTATTGATATTGTTAAAGATGTAACTGATACAATAAACGATTTGGATAGATCTCTTGTTGTTATGAAAAGGAATCAATTGGACACAAGTGAAAGAGAAACCAGCTTAAATGAAATTAAACAACAATTGAACGATTTCAGACAACAATACAATATTAATGGACATTTTCAAGCACATTCAGAGTCAAATAATGCTGCGGCAATAGACCATAATCTGGAAAATAATAATGATCAAGGTCCACCAATAAATAAAATAAATGGTTTACAAGACCAAATTTTACAAGAACAAGATATTCATTTGGATAATATCCATCAGACCATGAAAAATTTACATCTTCAAGCGCAGACTATGGGCGAAGAATTGGAGGATCAAGGCAGAATATTGGACGATCTGGATAATAATTTTGATTCTGTAACAAATAAACTAAGTAGATCAAGAAGACAATTAGAATGGGTTTATGAAAAGAATAAAGAAAAATTTAATGATTGTTGTATTCTGTTACTTATTATTGCATTAATTATTTTATTAGTCCTAGCATTTATAGCATGAGTTATATTTAATTGATATATACATGTATATCTAAGATTTTTCTTTTACTAACGATCACTGTGCACTATGGCCTGATTTTTTTCTTTGTAAACTCTTGAATGCAGCAGATGCACCTGAACTTGCAACTGATTGGTCCAATATATTCTGATTCGATAACGTATGAATGACTTCGTAACGACTACTAGTTATAACCATATTTTTAGGTGCATTATATTTCTTTGTATTGGATGTTGGGGAGTTTAAAATAGTATAGTGGGTATTGCTGTGGCTACTATTATTACTAGTATGTGCATTCGACGATGAGTTAGACAGAAATGATTTAGCCTTGAAGTGAGGAGACAGGACTTTTTTATGTTCATTGACTGTCATACGTGAAAATAAGGGTGATGATGACGGTAATATAGGTGATGATGGAGTTTTATGTATATTATTGGTATTGACGCGTAATGTTGTTGGTAGACTTATTGGATGGGGAATAGAAGAATATGTTGGTATATTGTTGTCAATACCGTAAGATTGGGTATCTGCTATTGATTTATTATTATTTGGATTATTACTGCTTGAAAAATTGGCTGACGTTTGTCTTTGTCTTGGTATATGTGCGGTTGGCGATGGAATGTTATTACATGTTGTGTTTATATGTATATTATTGGATTTTTTTTTATCATAATAATTTGGACTTCTAAATGTAGATGGACTTTTTGATTGTGAAGTGATTTTAGAAGCCATTTTCTTTGTGTTAAATTTTGGTGAGTGTGAAGGAGGTTGCACCGACACTTTGGTTGAAGTTGTTGGAGTTGTTGGAGCATCAGTGTATTTCATCTTAGAAGAGCCTGCCTTATCAATGACTGTAACATCATCTAATTTACTCGTAACATTATCTACATGATTTTCAATATCATTATTTGATTGATCTTCAATTAATTGTCTGACAGTGAAAAAGCAGTCTACCCAGGTCCTTTGTTCATTAATATTTTGGTCATTCTTCAATTCATCAGATTTGGGTAAGGATATAAACCATATATTTTTTCTGTATTTCTCCAAGATCAGAAATCCACTTTTGGCAATTTCATCAAATTCGAAATCATAAACAGATAAATCGGAATCGCCTATATTAACTATAAAGTGTTCAACAGAAGCCTTGTTTTCATTAGTTTTAGTAGGTTGAATATTACAAAAGTATAAAGAACCATTCTTCTTTAAAATTAATAAATTTAAAATATCATTAGGGCTTTTAAGATTGTTTTGATGAGAAGTGACAAACGTTGTGATTAAATCATTGTCAATTTGATTATAACTAGTCAATGACATTTCTGGTCCGTTTTGTTTATATGGAATTTCATACAAGTGTACATATCCTTGTTTAAAAATATTTAATTTTGTTAACTTTGCAGTGGAAGATGTTAAAACATCATTTTGATTTGGTAATTGAGATAATATTGTTGTCTTATCTATTTTAATTATTGGATCTTGCGATAGATCATGATTTTTATTATTAAGGCTGCATTTTTCGTTATTTATTTGATTTTGAGAATCCGTATTTAATGTAGTCACTTCTTCGTTTTTAATATTTGGCTCTAGAGTTGTAGTAATATTCATAATATTATGTAAATTGTTGGTATTTTTAACACCATGCTGTTGAGAAATAAAATCCTGTTTATCTGTTGTATTATTATTACTGCTACTAATTTTGACAGTTTTATTATTATTAGTAGTAGTAGTATTAGTATTAATCTTGGGCTTTGTGCTTAATCGAATAGGAGTTATCAAATCACTACCAATATTATCAATATCTGTTGTCATATCTACAATTTGTAATTTATTATTTATATGTGTGGTTGATATTCCTAATTTTTTTCTCCATTCAACTATACTACTTGTTGTATTTGATATTTTTGTGGGTTTTTTTTTCTTTTGTTTGGTGATTTCAATACTTTTAATTGGAGTATCAATGACATGTAATTGTCTATTTGGTATCATCCTATGATATGAATTTGCAGTAAAGTTAGTCCCTACATTATTGTTGTTATCATTGGATGAAACTCCTTTAGAATGTCTTGTTGACACCTCATTTTGTCCAATTTCCCATATACCTTTCCATATATTCTTCTTATTTTCCCAATTGATATCATTGAACCAAGGATTTGATTTTATGTTATTTAATGATAATCTCTCTTTAGTGTCAATCACCAATATCTTTTTAACTAATGAAATCACAATAGATGGTATGCCGCTTTTAATCCTCGAATCGATAATACTTTGGGATCCATTCCATAAGTATTCCAAGGAAACAATTTTTTCGAAAGTTTTTAATTCATTTTCACCCCTAAAAGGTGGATGACCCTCAAAAAACTGGAAAATCATACAGCCTAATGCCCATATATCTGATCCAAAACCACATTGGTTGTGTAGTAATAGTTCTGGGGAAACATATTCTGCAGTTCCAACAAAAGAAGAAGCACTTGTTATCTGTTCGTCATCGTTATTATTATGATTATTATTATTACCGTCACAATGAGTAAACAGTGCTGCACCAAAATCTGTAATCGTTAATGACCCAGTTTTATTTAGCAACACATTTTCAGGTTTCAAATCTCTATGAATAACCCCTTGTGAATGTATATAATCTAATGTATCTATTAATTGTGCAGTGAAGTGTTTGGACCATGATTCACTAAAAGTACCATATTTATGTAAAAGTGATAATAATTCACCACCAGAAGCAAAATCCAAAACAAAATAAAGATTTTGTTCGTCATGAAATGTATAATAAAGTTTGATGATCCCTGGGTGATTTCCTTTAGCTAGAAGATTCAAAGTATTTTTCTCTATTGTAACGTATTTTACTTTCCCTTCTTTTATAATATGTGCCTTAGAACAAACTTTAACAGCAAATATTCGTTTGATATTTCGTTTGTCATATGCTTTATACACTGTTGAATAAGAACCATGCCCAAGTTCTTCCTTAAAAATGAAGTCTCTTGCTGAACATTTTCTTGATGTCATTGGATCATTCAAAAACACCAAGTTTTTATATAAAGAGATAGATCAATACAGATTAACAACTGCAAACAAAAAATAGGAGAAATGGGAAAGAATATTCTTGGCTTTCACAAATGCTATTAAAGTGTTAGATCTATGTTCTATCTCCAACACAGTTAAATTTCTTTTGCTAGATTATCTAATGTCCCAGTTGTCGATTAAGTGACTGATCCCTTTTACATATTTTAAAGAAGTGAACTTATTGTTGCTACTATAATTGTAAAGTCCCATAATCTAAAAAAATTGTCATGATTATTTTTTTTTTGTTAAATGAAAAAATCGTGTTTAATGATAGAAGGTTGATATTGTTTTATTTTCATTTTCGATTGCATATTTTTGGTATTGTCTTTTTCTGCAAGTTTTTTTTTTATTTTTTATTGTTTGTTTCATTGTTAATTATAAAAAAAGAGTATTATTTTTCTGAATAAATGTGTCAATTTTGGTGTGAATCCAAAGACAGAGTATGCTAGAGCATACTTTTATAAAGCGACAGAAACTGATGGTAGTATATGTTCTGTATATTATTGGTAGTCTGTAAAAAGCTCTAATTGGAAACTCTGAAATACGTAGTTCTCGGATACCGTCGAATGTCGAGGTCGAAGGACTTGGAACAACTGAAATTCTGGGCCCAAGGGTTGTAAGTGTATTACAGCGAACGAACAAACAAACGATTGTTGGTTGGTTATTTTGGTGGAAAATTACAGAGAATCTTATTTGAGAGATCTTTGGTTATTGAGAGATGGTGCCAGAAGTAATTATCGGCATTAACATTTATATTTTATCTGATAGGTTTCGCCTAGAGGAAGAATAAGACAATATCAATAATAACTAGGATTAGTATATCTATTAGTTAAAATCAAACTAATTATATAATTTGTAAGTGTTTATATATATAATTAATATCAATATTTTGTTATATTACTTGAGATAATCCCTGACATTTTAATTGGAAATTCAAAAGTTCTTGAAGCTTAAAAATGGTAATTATAAGTTTTTAGTTTAATTCAATGTATTTGGACGTTTTCAGATCGACAAAAAAAGATAGATGATAAATTTTATGTACTATATTCTGTAATTTAGTTTATTTTATAGTATTTTTAATTCCAAGGTATCAAACTTATTCTAGCAATTTACTCTACTTTTTACATTTACAACATACTCATCTTTTAAATAAAGAAAAAAAAATGATTATATTCGAATTTTTCTTTTTAGAGACTTAGATACTGTATGCTTTATGATGTATTTATATACACGTGTATGTAATATATTAAAATATCAAAAAGAGATAATATTATACTAAAATAAACCTAGATGAAAAGTCAAATTGTTTTTGTTTATGAACAAAGAATAGACTTACAAGAAGGAAATAAATAATGAAGATTAACGTATAATATATTAGACAATATTTTGTATTATTTATTATATTCATATAAAAGACCATCAATTGAAGTGAAAAAAAAAAATAATATTCATGTAAAGAGACTCTTAGAAAAATTCTTGAAATTTACTTATTTAAGTGCTTTTTTTTCCTTTAACATATCAAGGAGCTCCATTAATCCTCACCTTTACTAATGAATCTTATAAGATCTCTCGAGATAAGAATGTTAAACATTTAAACAACACCTACCTAGAAAAAAAATTAAATCTTAGGAATTTGAAATTTAGTTTTTTCTCAAAACACTAGATTAATTACTTTAAGAATATACTGAAAGAAAATAGGTATAATCAAAATATTGCCACATGTGCATCAAAAAAGAACATTTGAACTTCATTACTACTAATTAAGGCAATAATACAGGAAGAGATTGAAAACTAGAAACCATGAACTGTAAATAGTTATCAAACCTTACAAAGTATATGCAGTAGATAATAATAGTATAAACATTATTTCAGGTTATTTAACAGTCCCACAGTCTACCTGGTTTGTTATCAACACCATTTCTAATATAAAATCATAAAAATTAACTTTTAATTTTATGCTTATTATATCTAAGTCACTAGAAAGACGGTATTAGTTCGTATGGTTATAATTTTTTTTTTTTAAAAAATAAGAATTTATTAATTATGTCTAAAAGGTTTCTATAATTTCTTTTGATTTTTAACAGCATTTCTCCTGTAAATCGAATCACTACAAAAATAGTACTACATTGATTTCAAATTAACCTGTTCTATAATATTTTTAGAAATTTTTTTTTTTTGTTAATTAACAATTATCATTTTAGAATGCATTGCTGTGAACTTTATTTTTATAATTTAACAAAAAAAAGCTTTTTTGTGATATATAGTTATGTATAAAAATATTAATGCAAGCGATATGTATATCCAATGTGTAATAAATTTTATATATACGTTAAAAGTGAAAATCTCAAATGAGGATGAATATATAAAATGTTTTTTTTTTATTTATTTAATCTTTTTTGTATATACACTGTTGGCATTTTTATTCGACAATATTAAAATAATAGATTCTATTTAATATTATTATCATCCATATTAGTAGTCCAATCAAAGCGTGGCGACGTATTAAAATTGTCCGAGCTTTGGCTTTGGTTGTTCATTCTAGGAGACCATCTGAATTTATTAATACCAAAATCCATTTTAGGAGTAGTCAACGGTAAATATTCTTTGTTAGTATTATCAATTGGATCATTAAAGGGATTTGAAACAACTATGCTTAAGTTATTTGGATCTTCTGGGACATTCATCTGTTGAACATATTTTTTATTACGCTTTCTTAAAAGATATTTCCATTTAACAACAATCATATCTAACACATCCACATTTTTTTCATTTTCAAGATACTTATCAACCTTATTTAACGTGTAAAGATATCTGACATAAAGATCAATACCTAGGCATTCTCTTGGATTGTACACTGTGTATAACGGGATACTTTCTAATAGACTATTAAACTTAATAACACCTTCATAACCATGGGTGTAATTCATTTCTTGAATAAACCGTCTGTATTGAAGTCTTTTATAAATCATCTTAGCTTTATTAATAGTATTCAATGTTCTATTTAAACCGTCAAGATCGACTTTAACGTCATATGGATCATTTGGGTTCACTTTCATATAATTATTAACCAAGTTTTTCACAGTCAATGGTCCTTCCCAGAGTTTGAAGGATAATGTTCCATCAAATGAATGCATTAGTTTAGGTAATTGGGAAAATTCTAACTCACCAGTCCCATCCGCATCAAATTTACACCATGCATCAATATATTTGTTGATTTCTGTCCTATCCACAGGCGATTTGGAACTCACTTTTCGATAAACATAGCTAAAATTACCAATAACCAACGAAATGAACATATTAAGAAAAATATACATGGATAGAATGTTCCATGACATTAATAATAGGTATGCATATTGAGCAGAACCACAATCACTAGTTTTTGTAACAGCGTCTTGATAACAATATGGTAAATCAACTGTGAAATCGTCCATAATATAATTCCAACCTTCACCAAAACTACAACGGAATAATACAATAAGAGTTTTTGTTATTGTTCTGAAATTTATATTATCTGTTGTATTAGGACCTAATCGGGTTAAACCAAAAATTTGATTCAATGCCATAGCATAAACAAGGAATAAGATCCCCCACGTATATGTTAATGACAGAATAGATGGTAAACTTGCCGCTGCTGTTTCTAGTAATTCAGAAAGCATATCACTTTGAGGTATAATGAATATAAAAATGATTAATTGGAAAATATCTTTGACATTATGAAATGCAGTGCTATTGTACGGAACATGGAAACCAATCACCGATAATAAAAATGCAACATAAACAATACAAAAACGGATGCAATTCCATATTTGACGAGTATAAAGCCGTAGCCCTTCGCCGTATATATGAAGTAATTCCTGAAGAAGGAAAACTGTCGTTGAGAATATGAAATAAATCTGGCTGAACTTTGTTATAGAATTATCTTTTTCATATGACAGGCATAAAAGGACAATAATATGCATATATAGAACAACTTGTAAAAATGTTGCATATAAGAAATTCTTCTTTTCCACAGCTGCAAAATATATAATTCTTCTGAGACCAGACATTTCAAATAGATTAGGAATTGCTTTAGGTTTGGCTTGTGACAGCATTTTTTTAGACTCCAACCAAGCCTTTTCTTCACTGGTATAATATGCAGCACCTGTATTTTCGGCATAATTCTTAATAATAAAAGAAACAAAAAGATTCAGCATAAAAACCATACTTAGGAAGTTGAAAAGAAGTAGAAATATGGCACTTGCTGGGTTACTCCATGGTTTCGGGATTGTACCAACCCCAGTAGAATTCATTAAATTCGTAAGAAGATCTACCCATCCTTCTAATGATATAATTTCATAAAGAGATTTAAATGCACTGGGGAATGAATCTAAATAAAGATATGGTTGAGAATATACTCTTGGCATGATTACGTCCCATTGGAAAACTGTATTAGTATATTCATTGTAACAGCCTGATAAGCCTACATTACTATCATTACAAGTTCCTAGACGATTTCTAAACAACCCAATTCCCCATACAGTAAATGGAAATAATAAACTAAGAGATACCAGAGCTGCTTGGAATAGTTTTCTCCCACCTTGAAAAATCACCATATGAAACGTTTGTCTGGCAGTATTACTAATCGTTAAACAACGCAGAGCTCTTAATGCAGATGAACCTCTAAAAAGCCTTGAAAGATTACCTTCATTTCTTAAGAATGTGATAAAATATATCCATATATATAAAAGAACCACAAAATCAATAGCATTCCATGGATTTCTTAAGTAAGCATTAGGGGAATAAATAAATCCGTCAGCAACTGTTTTTACTATGAACTCGATGGAAAACATTGATACAAAAGCACAGTCTATATATAGAGGCCATCCCCACACACTAATATTATGGATTTTTCTAAATAAAGGGGTAACTAAGCACGATGTAACCACTAAGAGAACAGTTAGGATGGCGTATAGTCCAATAAATAAATCTCTTTCCACTTTATGGAAAAATTTTTTTTGGGTGTATAAATCAGTTTCATCATCATAAAATCGGATTCCATCTGTTCTCTTTCCGACACTGGGGGGAACTAATCTTTGACAAAATCTTCTGAAATTATGTTTAGGAGAAAATAGAAAATAGCTGTAATTAAAAGTGGGATGCTTTTTTAGATATGCTAATTTTTCCTCTTCATACTCATTAAGTTGTAATATGTATGATCTTTCTTCGTTGTTTACTTTTTCAGTGAATATCACTTCAGTCTTTCTATAAAATGGGTTTTTGGAAAAAGGTTTCCAAATATTTTCATATGCTTTGAAATTTATTTTACTGCTGAGATATTTCATAAATATATTCTTTTTAGTAGGATTCGGTGTATTGTTTTGCTTTTGTCTCATTTCTTCTGCTAATTCATCCATATTATGAGCTATATTCATGATTGCGGTACCTCTCATTAGAAATTGTTTAAAATCTTTAGTATCAGATACATTACTTTTATCAAAAAATTTTTTACGTATACGTTGCATTAATGATGCATGTGTATACTCTTGAATCTTTCGTGGATAAACCTTTTGTAGATAATGTTTTATTTGTAATAATCGTTTTTGAGCTTCATCAGTTTCCAAACTTTCTGATATCAAAGCAATGAAGATATTCAAGACTACTGAATTAGATAAAATAAACCAAGTGATTAAAAAAACAGTAGAAAAAAATGCAGACGAAATATTTGGTGAATATTGTTGGACAATATACAAAATATTAGTCCAGTTTTCTGTAGAACCTATAATAAACAATGAAAGAAAAGAGTTTGGCAATGAATACATGGCAAAAGCATTATCATCAACTTGATCACTAGGAACAACACCTTCAAAATATACTGACATAATAATTGCCACTAAAAATAAAAAGAAAAAGTAAAAAGATGATAAATTCCAAATTAAAACACCATTTTTCAATACGATACTCCATAGATTCTTAACAACGCTTATGGTTGTAATAACACGATAAAATCTTGAAATCTGAAAAATTGATAACCAGTAATAAACATAACCTATACGTCCTGTAACAGCCATACTACTAATAATCAGTGTGATAATGGAAATTATGAAATCGTAGACATAATCCAATTTAACCAAAAATTTCCACATATTAGGAAAGTAGAGTATTATTCTCAAGATACTCTCTACAAATAAGGCAATAGATACACCCCAATCGATCCTTTTAACTTTGAAAAGGTAAGCCTCATCAGAATTTTCACTAATACATGCCTTAGCAATCAAATCAGTAAAAATAAGTAACACAAATATCCATTTGAATTGATTGTACCAATAGATAGATTTAATGGACCAATCTGGTAATGGAGTTGAAGATGCTTTTACCTTAAAATATTGCCAATAACCTCTTATAAATCCTAGGAGCCAATTATTGTAATTATGCTTTTCAAGTTTCTTTTTTCTATGTTTTTCATAGGCTAAGTCATAAGATGAAACTAAAACAGCGATCAATAAATTCATCATCCATATAGTCAAAACAAAGATGCAAACAATAAAAAATAACGCAGCAGCCATTTCGTCAGAATCCATTGTATAATACATCAAATCAGTAAAAGTATTTGCACTCATTATAACAAAAATTAGTTCCATAGAATTTATAATATTATCAAAGCTGACCCTACCATTATATGGATTTGCATTTGAGATACACTCTGAATTGACTGGGCATAAAAATCCTTTAGAGCGCCCTCCCGAGGATCCATCACTGTAAATATATGGTAATGGTTTCTTTGAAACAGGATCAAGATAACCACCACAGAATTGCATGTCATACTGGTAGGTTTCGGTTGGATTGTTTGGGTTGATCCATACGCACTGCCTTCTGAAAGAACCTTGAAATAACTGAACTCCAAGAATAGCAAAAAATACCCAAAAATAGACCAACATAGAACCAACATTAATTAACTGAGGGATACCATATTTCAATGTTCTTAATATGGATGAGACACCGGTATCTGTATTTAAAAGTCTTAAAATTCTTAATAAAGCAAGAGGTTTAAATATTCGAACACCTTTTTTATTATCAACATTCTTAATAGATATGAATAATCCAATCCAAAAACAAATCGTAGATACAAGATCTATTCTGTTCCATGATGATCTGGCAAATGCTCTTGGAGTTTCAAAATCGTCAATAGTCAAACCAGGTTCTTCTATATTTGAATAATGATTTCTTATTATTTCTTGTCTTTTTTTTCTTTCTTTAGATGTCTTGATTTTAAATGGTAATAATAAATCAATAAAGTCCCTTCCATATTTATTAACTAAAAATTCATATAATTGAATAACTCCACATCGTTCCAAAATAGATATGTACTCTTTTCCATGTGCAGCAAACATTTCAGAATCGTCCCAGAAACCAAAAGCTAAAATCTTAGTTACATCATGAGTTGTAAAAACAACATATATGATAAATATTAGATAATCAGCCCAGGAATGAAATCTATACAAAAAATTATGATTCAGTGGTTGATATGTTCTGTATGCTAAAAGACACGTAAATAATAGTAATAAAATGATATAGGCCCTTTTAGTAACATTTTTTTGATGTATATTAGCTAATTTTAATCGTATATGGCTTGTAGATTGCAAAAAATTTAGCGAATTACCATATAATCTTAATGGTTTCTTCATGCCTTTCAATGGCTTATCAAAATCAGGAACCATTCCAACTAATGATTCAGTAGTTTCATATACTATTTCATCTGCAATAATTTTTTCGTTATCTTTCTTTAGATCGCTTTTAGCTAGAATTAACGAACCTTCCCAATGGACAATGCTAGAACCATCCTTTGCTAATTCATTTCGAAGAGATGATTCCTGGACTGGGATATTTTCAGATACATCTTTTTGATTAGTATCCCTAAGTTCATTATAGTTATTAGAATTTTTTAAGTCTTCCTGTGCTTGAGTCTGCTGTTTCCATAAAAACCTATTTGGTTGTTGTATATCATCTTCATCAATATTATCTTCATCGCTGTAATTGTCTTCATTTGAGATCTGTGGTAACCAACCAAAACCTTTATCGTCAACTGCACTTCTAAAGCCTCTCTCAATATCTTCAAATTCATCCATATCATCTGCAGCTATGAAAGATAATACTTTAGCTGATCGTGGTGCAGCATCACTAATTTTAGTTTCTTTACTTGTTATTGATACTGACCTTGATATTGGCCGTGATCTAGAAGTAGATCCCGATTTGTTGCTATTTTCTCGCGGCCTTCGAAGCATATTAGATATATTTGTGATAGGTGTAAGAGGAGATGGGATGAAAGAACCACTTGATGGTGGGATTGGTGCCAGATTAAGTGATGTTTCATTTTCTTCGTTACTAGTTCGAACGTGTAGTCCAGTTTTTAAGGATAAATTAGGGAATTTTTTTGTTGACTTATTATTTGTTTGATTTCTAAACAAATTTGCCATTTGAAACATATTTTTATTATCTGTAGACGTGTTAGTTAGTTTATCTTGGGAGTCATTAACTGATGTTTGTGATATAGCATCTTGTTCTATTTTAGGAGGTGATATTTGCAGCGATGGTATATTTGGTTGATATAGATTGATATCAGTGATTATATTTTCACCAGTATTAGTTCTTGATAAAGATTTTGGTTCAAATGGACCAGTAAGTTCTCTTGTCTGTTCACTCATTTGTAAAAAAACAAGGTGATAATAGAAAGAAATAGAATTATAATTAGAAATTTAGTTTATGTTTTAATTAGTAAATAGATCTGTAATAACTTATTCACAAATTTTGTGAGATATATTTGAAACTTTTAGTCGATCAATATGATGAAATAGTAATTTGTCAATAATATAGATGAGTTTAATAACATGAATTTAAATTAATTAATTGACAATAAGAACTCCTAATTCACATTAAGTAACCATGAACGGGGAAATGTTTATTTCATTTATTCATTTTATTTGTCTAATTAGGTATTGTTAGATATGTATGATTATTATTAGCGGTGATTCAATTTTTTCAAAGGTTAATTCTTTCGCGTTTTCTATATTTGGAAACAAAGTGAAAAAAAAATTCAAATATACATTAAAACGATCAAAGGGAAGATTTGATCTATCTTTTGATATGAAGAAATACTAATATAGTAAAACGCATGTATGCAACGAACAAGTATCTATGCAGGTGTTGCTTCTGTGGTAGATGAAATAATTATAAATATAATTAAAGTCTGATTCTTTTGATGCTTATATAATGATTTATTACATATTCTGGCCTAATCATCTTTATCTGAAGGGTTTACTACATGATAACAAAGAACTATATGCAATCTCGGTAAGGTTAGAAAGTGGTAATTATTTGGTTTTAGATGTGATCTCAGGAGCTACCTTCAGGAAACCTGGGTTTACTGGGTCAATTTTACCTCCATATTATTGTGTCGCAAGGTGTTTTGGTAATGAATGGCTTTTGGTGGATGAGAAAACTTGGGTAATTAAATATGAAGCGCCTAATTTGAAACTTATGCAATTTTTATCTTTAGAACCAATATTGTTGACATTGCCAGAAAGGCAGGAAAACTGTAAGCCATCATCAGGGGGCATTCAAAAATTATTGGACTATAAAAAGTATCAAGTGGATAAGGCCAGGTTAAAAAGCGATATTGATCAAATCAATCTTTATTATAAATATTTATCAGATTTCAAAAGAAAATTTTGTCAATTGTCTTTTTGTCGAGATGAAAGTAAAACTATTGTGATTTCCAGATTTATAGATTTGTTGATGGAAACTCGTATATATGTTTACTGTTTTAAAATGTATCTCATCATGTCAATGTTTATTTGTTTTGTTGCAAGTCAAGTATCCAAATTACTAAATGGTTTTATGTCCTTTTTCTTGAAAATATCTGTAACCATAAGGCAAATAGACCTTCGGTGTCAGCAAATATGTTATTTTCCTGTGCAATTTTTAAGGATTAATCAAAAAAAAGTTCTAACTGAATCGTTGCCAAAAGTTGAAACTTTCAATAATGATAATGAACTACAACTACCATGTCAGTTTTATCCAGACTATATTCGTTTTTATAATACCATTTGGTTGATAATTAACGATATTTCCTTTGGATTAATATTAGGGGCTTTAATGTTTGAAAATCAAGATTATTTAGTTAATTGTCTTCATGGGAAAATACGATACTGTCTCTATGATTTTGTTAAAAAGGTGACTATTGGTCTTGCAGATAATCCATTTGGTATAAAATTAAATGCCGAGCTAACACATTTCTTAAGTGAATTGTTTCTTTGGATTATTGATTTCTCATACTTACATATAATAGAACCTTTGACTGAGGTAGAAACTTTAAGAAAGTTAATTAACTGGAACAGTAATGTTATGTCCTTTGTTGGTGCTACTTTTGGACTATCATTAGTTGTTGACTTTTTGTCGCTGTGCGGTTTTCATATATTTTTATTTTATCATATCATTAATAAATTATATGCATGGCAATTAAATGCAATGACTAACTTATATTATTTGTTTAGAGGGAAAAAGAAGAACAAATTACGTAATAGAATAGATTTTAATCATTTTGAATTAGATCAATTACTGATGGGGATGTTACTTTTCATTATCATGGTCTATTTAACCCCAACAATTCTTGCTTTTTATGTTAGTTATACTGGTTTGAGAATTTTACTGATATATGCAGAGATTAGTTTTGAAGCAGTAATAACTTTGATTAACCACTTTCCTCTTTTTGCTTTATTACTACGTATGAAGGACCCAAAGAGGTTACCTGGTGGTATATCCTTTGACCTAAAATTGACTACAAATGGGTCTTATTTATTTTTAAGGAATAATCCATTAAAAATGGGAATGTTATTTAAACCATTTACTATGGTTTTGAATCGAATCTTAGATAATTACTGTTCTATTCATACGTTGATTAATATAATTAAAGGCAGACCGATTATAATGGATAGGCACAAGTTATATCAGGTTTTGTATTCTTCTTTACCTAAAGAACCAGTAAATATTAATGAGACATTTAAACAAATATTTGATACAATACCAGTATGAAGCAATTTACATGAAAATAATAGTGATTATAATGATTGTTATTATATTTTCATTTTTTAGTTTATATATTTACAGAAGGCATGTATGAATATGGATAGTGAATCAATTAAATAATTATATATATGTGTGTATATGTGATAATATTAGGTGTGCATTAAAATGTATATATTAATTATTGGCAAGCAGAGGAGCGGATATAATATAATTAACATTTGTCCAGTTGAGTTTAAAAATATATATCTAATTCTTACCCTTACCTTTTTTAGGAGTAGCGTCGCTCTTCTTTGTCTTTTTTGGTGCACCTTTACCACGATGTTTCAAATCACTAACTTTGTTCAATCTATATTGTTCAACAGGATCAACAAAATCCACATCTGGAAACAAGGTAGACAAATTCTTAAACTTAATCCAGTCTGGGTTACCATAATAACCTGCGACTGCAGGACCTTTCAACCTTTTGGAAAGAATATATGAACCCGTCCTTACTCCTGTAGGATTAAAATTTTGCTCAAAGATTTTTGCCGATAGTCCATAAAGTTTTAATAATCTTTCCTTTGGAATAGCCATTTTTTTTATCAATAGACTTGAAATGCACACCTTAAGAAGTAGTGTTATTGGTGTTATTTTAGCTTAGACATTAATGTACATAAAATGAGTTGCGCTTTACATATTGGTCTATTGCCATCAAATCACGGCTTTTTGTATTATTTTGTTTTCAGTTTTTCCTTATTCATTTTCCCGTTTTTTTTTCTTTCGAAAGCTTAAATTCCCAGATTTCAAGAAAGCAAGCTAAGACTCAAAGATCAGAAATAAAAATACTGGCACAGACAAGACGCAAGGAAACAAAATATGATGCGTGTTACACAAGTATTTATGAATATAGCATAACCAAGTGAAGTAAACAAGAAATAAGGGCCTTTGTTGCACATATGTATGAACAAAGGAGCATAACCGCATATCAGAAATTATTAACACTAACGAGGATGTAACATGGTATTACGTTTTTCCCTTGTAACAACTTCACTATACCCTCCTGTGAAATATATAAGATATATACAGATATTTCAAAGATACCTGAATATTGTAAAGTGACGTTGTATATTTTTTATTTAATTTATATATTTAACAGTATTAGTGATAATAATAATAACTTAAGAAAATGACCCTGTCAAGTAACTACAATTACCATTCAGCAGCGGCTTCGGTGGTTTCTTCAGCCCATTCTTCAGCAGCAGCGTGTTCTTCAGCAACTTCTTCAGTAGCTTCTTCTTCAGCGGCTTGAGCAGCTTGTTCTTCAGCAGCTTGTTGCTCAATTTCTTCTGGGTTTCTGTAGAAGTATAAATCTGGCATGATAGACCATGGTTGAGTTCTGTCGACTAAAGCACCTCTTAATCTTAAGACTTCTCTAGCTAATAAGTACCAGATTAAACCGATGGAGTGCTTACCTCTGTTGTTACATGGAATAGCAACGTCAACGTATTCGGATGGAGAGTCTAAGTCAGTTAAGGCAATAACTGGGATGTTAACGTAGGAAGCTTCCTTGATAGCTTGAGCATCAGATCTTGGGTCAGTAACAATAACTAATCTTGGTTCCTTGAAAGAACGAGTGATGTAGTTAGTGAAAGAACCTGGAGTGAATCTACCAGCAATGGCAGTAGCACCAGTGTGAGCAGCGAACTTCAAGACAGCTCTTTGACCGTAGGTTCTAGAAGAAATGGCAACGACATCTTCAGCATTTGGAATAGCAGCAATGATTCTGGCAGCTAAGACAATCTTTTCCCAGGTCTTACCAATGTTAATGACGTGGACACCATCTGGTCTGGCTTCGTGAACGTATGGTTCTTGGTGAACCTGTAATTAGAAAAACAAATTATTCCATATCATCGATTATAAATTGTCAAAGACAAGCATAATTCAGATACAAAGTCAATGTTAGTAAATCTTCCTTACTTGAATATTATATACTCCAATAGATAATGAGATCATATTTTATATGTAGTAAATTCCTATTTCAATTGAACTCTTAAACTCAGTTCCTCTGTAAAATGGATATTTGCTGATTGTGACCATATTCTTTTTTTTTGCCTACTTATTTACGGTAAAAAATTGGTTAAAAACATTAATGACCACAGAATACTCTTGCATACGTATATGGTTAGCCTTGTTGATACTATTATGCGTATATTTCTCTTATCTCAATTTATCTTTGTTTTTTATCTAACTAAATCATAACATACTTGAACGTTTCTGGCACCTAAGTGAGCGTTAGCAGCCAATAATAATTGGGCATCTTCTGGAGTTAAGTCAAATGTAGCTGGTAAGGACATTTTTATCTTCTTCTCTACTCTATCGGTTTGCTTACTCTTTACGTTGAAAAGACGTTACTACATAGTAATAAGTACTGCTAAATATCAAGATCTCCTCCTCATATAACCTTCGTAGGCTATTGTACAAAATCGGTTCCAACTATCCTTTTTTTGTTATTTGATTCTGGAAGGGTCTGTATTGTTGGCTTACAGCAGTATTCAATATGGAGAGGGCTTATTCCAGTAACCATCGTGCACACAGTTTCTCTGTTCTTGCCAATCCGTTTCGACAAAACACAGGTTTGGTAAATCAAACGGTAGAATTCTCACCAGCCCTCCTTGTGACGTCCTGAGGAATAAACTTGCAACAATACTCTAGACAGAAGATGCTTAGTCTAATGTTCTTTGGTCTAGACAGAGAGAGCAATAAGTCCACGTATGTGTACTCATTGAGGCTACAGCTGGTAAAGGATTATCTTAGAAAGAAGTTTATTACTTCTTCCCCTCGCATCATAAAAGAAAGTTTTATTCCTACTGATTCTGGTTTATTCAATTTTGCTACGTTCGTCGTCCGTTAAGTCTTCAGGAAAATTGTTACAACTTCGAAATTGCAAGACAGTGTAGCCTCGGATCTAAAGAAAAAATAAAAATGTTTGTACTGAAAAAAATTACAAAAATTATAAAATGTACGGATGTTTAGTGAACGTCACTAATATGTATGGGTGTTTTTTTCAAGAATTTAATTTGTCTCATTTTTTCTCATAAATATGTAAGTTTTTTCGTGCAGTGTACTGTGCAAAATCTTCTAATGTGGTAGAGCTTAATGATTTAGACTTATTCATATTTCATATTCTTAGAGTTCAATAGTGACATTTATTGGTTAGTCAAGTAATAATATACATTTTTAGTTTACGCCTTTATACTACACTCTTCACAACTCTTCTACAATTTAATTCCCAACAGTTAGAAATAGAGTGTCCCTCAATTTGAACAATTTTTTCTTTATATTTCAGCTATTATGTGGCTATGCTAGAGCAGAATTCCAACGTTATATAGTGATATTTTCATTTTCACTCTAACTGGAGAAAGATTTATAAGTGCAAACTTTGTAAATTATATAAAATGACAAACAGTGAGTTTATATATATGAATATCCTACAGCTAGTTCAGCTGTGTTATTTAAGTAAGAAATATAAAATTACATATTAGCATATATTTAGAAACTACTGTAGTTAATTAGATCTTTAAACCAGATCCCTTATCGGGTTATTTTTATGATATTTGAGTAAGTCTTTTTTTCCGTACTACAAATGAAAGGCTAATAGGTTTGTCAGGAAAACAGATATTTTACTATTCTTATGTTCAATATATGTATGTGTGTACTTAAGGAAAAGCGCTTTAAAAAAAGCAATTGAATAAATGAATATAAAAAGGAAGGATTAACTTTCTCCCTTGTAATAAAATGGGAAGATTAAAAATAAACTTTTGTCATAGTACTATTTTAATTATTTTGTTAACATTTTTTATAATGTTTTTGTTTTGTCTTTTAATTATTTCACTAGTCAGATAAGGTTTTTTTTATATATATACAAGTTTATAGCATGTCTGTTTATTCATTTGTGTGTTATAATTATATATTTAGATATTAATAATGTGAAAAGATTTAATTAGTAAAGGGGAAAAAATATTGTCACATAAGGTTTGATTTTTGACAGGTAAATTGATATTAAGAAAATGGGAAAGAGCAAAAAAAAGGTTCAAAGAAAGGCATACTATCTTGAGTTCTTATTGTATAAGGGTGGATGTACGTGTGTCTATGTCCATGTTAGTGAGTTTTACAGTAAAAGGAATGTATTAAGATTATATTGCGATGTAGAAATCGTAATGAAAAAGAAAAGCAAGATAATAAATTAGGATTTAGTTAAAGTACATTGTACATTAGTTATATTATTTTTAAAAATTTCTCTTGATTCACTATTTCCGAAATGAACAGAGATGCAAGTGTTACAGATAGATATCGAAGATAACAAAAACAACAACAACAATATTAATAATAATAATAATAATAATAATAATAATAATAATACATATTTCTTTTAGTAGCAGGTGTAATAGACTATAGGTGTGGTAGTTATTACTGTAAACTGTCTCTCTGTTTAAAACTATTACAACAGAAAATACAACCATTGTGATAGTTAGTTGTTTTACTTAAGATATCTTTGCTGATATTATCTTCCCTCGATTCTTGGGCTATGTTTAAACTCCCAGTGTAAAAACAATACCTTCCATACGCGTCTGCTAAAAAAATTCACCTAAAAAGAACAAAAGAATACGCCATATAAAACGGGGATGATTCATATTGTTTTTTCAGTGGCTTATTAAAAAATGAAAAAATAACAAAAAATATTATACCAGCCCTCTTTCAATTTTTACTATGAAAAAAAGGTCTTTTTTTTTTCATTAGAGGCATCTCTATACTGGTCAAGGGCAAATTCTATTGTAATCAACATTTCTAACTTTGTGGACACTTTTCGATTATAGAAACTGTAGCATGTTATCTTTTATTCTAATATATTCTCATTTATTAGCCTTCTTTTATTTTGTTTTTTATGAATTAAGATCGCACACAGCCCTTTTCGAAATAAAAAAAAGTAATTTTATAGAGATGGAGATTGTTTTTAACAAAGGATAGCAGTAAACTAATTAAATATTATAGATGAAATTATTAATTAAGCATCAAAAGAAATAACTTATATATATGTAGATGTAGTAAAAAACTCAATCCGTTTTTCTTTGTTTTTTCTGTAAAATATTTCTTGTCATCATTTATGTATAGTCAAAAAAACCAGTGAACTGTTTCCTCTAGAGTGTTAATAATTAAAAATTGTTGATAATATGAATACAACAAATAATACTACATCTTCAAATCAATTTGAGTTTTATCAATATAATCCCAAGATTGGGGCTTCCATCTTCTTTACTATAATGTTCTGTATTACTTTTATTGTATTATTAATTTTAGTGATCAAATATACCTGTAAAAATAGATATAAGGTAAAAAGTTGGTCTCAATTAGAAAATGCTAGGTACTATGCTTTAGGGAAATTAACAGGTGCATATATTCCTTTGTTAGTTGGCTGTGCCACAGAGATTGCGGGTTATATTGGTAGAAGTGTTTCAGCAAAAAATAAGGAGTTAATGGGTCCCTATATAGAACAATCTATTTTATTATTAATTGCACCAACTTTATTTGCAGGTTCGATTTATATGATATTTGGTAGAATGGCATATCTATTGTATGAAGAAAAAATGATGATTATGCCTGCAAAATTTAGCACAATGATTTTTGTCATTGGTGATATTTTCAGTTTATTTTTACAAGGTGCTGGAGGTGGTGTTATGGCTCAAGAAAATGGTCATAACACAGGTTCTGCGTTAGTCACGATTGGTCTATTCGTTCAAATTGCATTCTTTGGATTGTTTATAATAAACGAAATAATATTTTACCACAGAATAGGTAAAACATCGAATAACATTCCAAAAAAGTCAAAATCGTGGAAATCCTTAAACCTCATATTATTAATAAACAGTATTTTAATTTTGATCAGGTCTATTGTGAGAGTTGTTGAATTTTTAGAGGGATTCTCAGGTTATATTTCTAGCCATGAATGGTTCTTATATGTTTTTGATGCATTGCCAATGTTTTGTTTAACATTAATATTTACTTCAACTTTTGGAATATCTAATTTGTACAAACTTCAGGAAGAATCTGTGGATATACAAGTTTATAATGTTATAGTAGATGTTGAAGCAGATAAAGAAAAAAACAATAAAAATGAAAAGTTTGAAATATGATCAAAATCTTTTATTCTTTCATGGTGAAGTTACTATTATTTGCATATAATAAGTCCTACTATCATTACTATATTAGTGAATAATTTTGCACATTATTAATAATTGCAAAATTGTAGCATAAACTCTCAATAAAAAAATTATTTGACAGTTATCTCCAAATACTAAATGAAATATATATTATACTTTTTGTATCTTATACTGTAGATAGTTCATTACTTTTAAAACATATCAAAATAGTTATTGACTTTCTCATAGAAATTACTTAATTGATAGTCAATTGTTTCAGGAATGCTGATACAAATGTTCATTCCACCTTTTTTAGTAGTGGCTATTGAACCTGTAAAAATATCAGATATTCCTTGAGGTTCGTCAAATATTAAATCTTCAACAATGAACCCATTATTATGATGTGCAAAATCCTGCAAACCAAGATTAGTTATTTCAAAAGTACCTCCTGGACCTTGATTATGTAATTTCTGTAACAGGAAATCTTTAATTTGGATAACATCCAATAACTTCACCTGTTGAATAGTATCATCGATATTAGTTTTGGTAAATGTTAAAATATTAGATTGGATAAATTGTGCTACACACCATACATTAGTCAGTTCTGCACGATTTATTTTAATTTCCAACCCTGCAATAAAATTTCCTATTTCAAGTACAGAAGGATCTATATTTAACATATTTTGACACACGCTTCTAGTATTCATTGGTATATCGATTTTAAATATTGATCCGTTATTTGTATTGGCATTTTCATTGTTGATATTAGAATTCAAAACGATAGCAAAAACAGCAGCAATATATGATGTTAATGAAACTTGATTTTTTTTACAATCGTCAAGTATTGATTTCAATTTCGAATATGGTATATTTAAAATGTGGTGTATATTAGAGTTTTTAATTTGATAATTGAAAGGTTTAGAAAGTTTCATATTTAACAAATTATCCGGGAATTGGTATTGGTTAAATTGTAAGAGCTGGGAATTCGATCCCGTGGCCAAGTTGGGAAAATATTTAATTAAGTATGGTATTATGAGTCTCTTCAGATTCCAAAGTTTAGAAATTGGCCATAGATCGTACGGATGTACGTATTCTTTAATGGGTTCGGTAAGGGAATCAGGGTGATACAAAACTGGATTGTTAATATTGTCCATTTGAGGACCTAGGTTTTCTATAAAATATTGCCAAAATTTAATGGTACCAATCCCATCCGAAAGAACATGGTCCACAGCTAAAATTAAAGTAGTTATTTTAGGTACAATTAATAACTTCCAAAGGGGACATTCTTTAAAATAAGGGAAATTGTATTCTTTAAAGATAGAGTTAATGTTATTTGTATTTAACTCATTCCAATCCTTGTACTCTACCACATCTTCAAATCGAATTGGTTCGAATTTAAATGAAGTCATATATAATGATTTGTCATTACAATCCTTATCTTCTTTTGCCTGTACATTACTATATAATTGTGAAAAATTCTGTATGGTCTTTTGTAAAGCATAACCGATTTGTGATTGTGTAGGTAACTTATTTAATTTAATGGCCGTGTAAAAACAAGAATGTAGGTTCCAAGTACTTCTGTAAAAAAAGTATTCTTCTAATGAACTTAATCTATGTGTCATTGTAAAGTGGTGTGTGGGTCGTTATAGCCAAATGAATGAATTAAATCAATTAGTATAAGTAAAACTTTGGTGTTTTATTATTAACTTTTTATTAATTTGTTGCTATTAATTGTTAATTTGGCATACTATTAATGTTTACTTTTTGATATCCGTATTAACAATTATTGAACTAAGATGATTATTTCTGACATATCTCCTAATAATAAAAAAGCCTTCTAAACAAGATCTGACATAATTATCACACTATGGAAATTATCAAATCATGTACAATACCTTATACTAACTATTGCACATATATTTTATTAAGTTCTCCGGTGATTACAGAGTGTTGGAATCAACATATGCAACATCATCAGATGGAAAATGTTAATTCTATCATAATCAGTCCTTTTTTTAAAAAAAAAAATGTGTCATAGGAAATTTACTTTATTTATAAAAAAAAACATTATTACTATACAAACAATAGGATATATGAAGTAATATGATATTATATCTATATAAGAATAGGTTTTATGTGCAAAAATGTGTGAATTTGTATTGTCTACTTAGTCTACTTTCATTTGAGTTAAACCTAAGTCTTCGTTTTGTTCTGGAGTTCTTTCATAATCTTCAATCTTCATATTAGGGTCTTCATCTGGTGCATAAACATTTTGTATATAAGAGCCAGCCAATGGATCTTCCATTATTACGGTAAATTTACGTTTGCCTGCTAAAGCCTCTTTCAAGTCATCAAAGAATTTGAGCCAGTTTGCTTTCGTTGCTTCATCCATAGAATCAGAAGTTTGAGTAAAAACACGAGACTCTAGTTCATCATAAACTTGTTTCAACAACCCTTCTAAAGTGGTGAATCTACCACCTAGAGTACCTTCTTGAATATCCAAATGCAATTCAGGGACTTTTAATAAACATGTTTCAGATTTCAAAATATCACGAGATAGATCACTTGGATCATCACAATATAATGTGATCCTTCTACCTTTCTCTGGGATGGCGCCACCAGTTTTTACTTCATTGGATTTATAGCCACAGTGATCACAGACGGTGGACATAATAATAACTTCTTTGAAATGTGGGATATCAACAGGTTTCATATGAGTATCACAAGAGCTACCACAAGATGGACAACTAGCTGTGAAAGTTTGAACTTCATTGTTAAAATTTTCAATATCAGTAGAATCTGATAAGAAACCATGAACAGTGGTTTCGACCTTTGCAGCTTCTGAAGTGTTTCTTCCACGGTTGGATAATGCTTTTAATTTTTCTTGACGACGTTGTTCCAGTTGATCTCTAGTTAAGATCCCAACAAGAACATTTTGTTCATCTGAACGTGCATACTCTCTATGCGACCATTTGTGTTGTGGTTCACCTGGTTTATATTCGATCCATGAATTACCAGCAGGATCATCAAGGATGAAAGTGAGTGGTAGTGTGTTTGGCTCACATTGAATGTAGCTTTTGACTTTGTTAATAACTGCCTCAATTTGATCGTGTAGATTCTTATCGACTTTTAACCTTTCTTCTTGATCAGCAGATAAATCATCAATCATTTCAGTTAATAAACCTTCTACGGTGGTCAAGACACCACGCTTAGGAGGAATTTCAATATCTAATTCAACAAACTTACAAGTTGCTGTCTCAGATTTGATGACTTGTCTATTGAAATCTTCTTTTTGTTCTACCTTCAATTGGTATTTGGATCCTAACTCTTGGATAGTGGAAGCTGGTTGAATCTCAGAGTTTTTAAATCCACAATGTGGGCATTCAAAGGACATGATGACCACTTCTCGGAAATATGGGATTGAAGTCAATAAAAGACGAGTAGTCCCATTTTCGTGGCAATTCATACAAAGAGATTCAATCTCCTGGACTGGATGACCCATAGCATCTTCTGCACCAGTTTTCTTTAAACCAATGTCGTTGTTAGTATCGACATTATTGGTATCTTTAGTAGTTGTTGTTGTGGTAGCATTATTGTTGTTGTTGTCTAACTTTTCATTTGAAAGTTCTTCAGCAGCTTCACCTACTGGTTTGAAAAATTCCTCTTGCTTTTGACTCATTATTGTTGAATTTATTATTATTCTTATAAGTCTTCTTTTTTTCTTTGTTGTTTAAGTACTCTTTTGTCAGTGAATAATAATAGGTTCTTTCTTCTCAGGAAAAAAAAAAAAACAGGAACGTAAAGTAGAGGTTTGGTATGTATATATCTGATATAAAAGAGTGCTTCTTCTGTGCCACCACATCCCTTGACATATTCTATTGCAGTTAGTCCATCTATCTTTTTTCAGATTCCCCTCATACAATGTATTCGAGATTTAAATTTTTCTTCCATTGTCGAACAAAAAAGAATAAAAAAAAAAAAGGAATATAAGGAAATTTTATCGTTTTTTCTTTTTTTTTTTTTCTTTTTCAATCGAGAAAATTCCCAATCTCATCGAAAAAAAAAAATAAAAGGCAATAGGTAAATTTTATCAAATAAAAAAACAAACAATAGATCATTTGGATATAAGTTATACAAGTAGAGTTTTTCTCTGCATTGAGTATAGATGTATAGACCTCCTGAAAGAGAAAGTGATAAATAAGAATGAGTATGTAGTGTTTATGAGTGGTTCAGTGTAAATGGTAAGTTTTGATATAGATGAGTATTGCAAACTTGTAAAGGGTTCCTAAAAGTGTTGGCTATTTTTCCGGGTAATTTTCTTAGATGTTTCAGAAGACTAAATTTTATTTTTTAGTTGGTGATGATCTAAAAAGAGATGTCCAGCATTTTTAGACCAGGTCTCCGTATGTGTGGACATTTACGTATTTATTTATATATGTATGTTTGTGTGTGCCTATGTGTCTTTGTGTTAACGTATTTATACTGGAATATATTGCTTGCTATTACTCTTGTTTTTTCTCCTTCTTGTCTAAGACTAAAGGTAAATAACACAATAGAATTCACTTTTTAAAAATAAGTTATTCAAAATGGCTAGAGATCCATTGATTGGGATTGTTGGGAAACCAAGTGCAGGAAAATCTACTTTATTAAATTCATTAACAGACGCCAATGCAGCGGTAGGTGCATTCCCCTTTTGTACTATTGATCCAAATAAGGCCACAGGTTACTTGCAGGTCACATGTGCCTGTTCAAGAATAGGTAAGGAATCCTTATGTAAACCAAATTATGGTTGGTGTGAGTCAGGTAAGCGTCATATTCCCATAGCTTTATTGGATGTTGCTGGTTTAGTACCCGGTGCCCATAGTGGTCGTGGGTTGGGTAATAAATTTTTAGATGATTTAAGACACGCAGATGCGCTGATTCATGTTGTTGATGTTAGTGGTACTACAGATGCAGAAGGCAAAAACACTCGAGGATATGACCCATTGTATGATATTGAATGGTTACAAGATGAAATTAGACTTTGGATTGAGGGAAATTTGAAACGTCGATGGGGTTCTATTGTCAGAAAACACACAGCTACCAAATCGTCTATTGTGGATACATTACAAGCACAATTTGGTGGGTATGGGTCGCTGCCAGTCATGGTGAAACGGGCTTTAGACAGAATTGAGGATTTACCACCCTTGGAAAATTGGGATGATGAATGGATCACGCGTGTAGTTAAAGAATTTATGAAGGAGAAATTTCCTATGGTATTAGCATTGAATAAGATAGACCATCCAGATGCAGATAAAAATGTTTCAAAGATTATGTTACGATATCAAAAAGAGCATAAAATGGTGATAACATCTGCTGTTACTGAGGTGTTTTTAAGAAGATTGAAAAAACAAAATTACATTCGTTACGAAGAAGGAACGGAGTTTGTTGACACATGTGAAGACGATCCAGACCAATTGAAACCATTGGACGAAAATGTTTTGCAAAAGATAGATAAGATTAGAGATTTAGTGTTGTATAGATTTGGATCCACTGGTGTCGTACAAGTTTTACAAGAGGCTACTGGGTTATTAGATTTGATTCCCGTATATACAGTTAAGAATATTCATACTTTCACAGGTAATGATGGTAATCATGTATTTAAAGATTGTATTTTAGTTAAAAGAGGGTCCACAGCAGGAGAAGTTGGACGTGCTATTTTAGGTAATAATGTTACCATTGCAGCCATCGAAACAGTCGGTGGGGTACGTGTCGGTGAAGATGCCAGGATCGAAGAAGGAGAAAACGATATCTTATCCTTTAAACTGGCTCCAAGAAGTAAAGAATGAAATGGTGTAATCTTTCCTACATCTCACCTTATAAACATATATTTATATAGGATTAAATGTAGTGTTGGTAATTAAACGAGGCATATATAAGCTTAGTTAATAAACTAACAATTGCAGTCGAGTTCGTTTCTAATTAATCAAACGACTACGATATTGTTTTCCTTTTTTTTTACACTTTATAAGACTTTCTAAAAAGGATTACATAATATATTATTTTTGGAAAAAAAATTACTAAGCTATGTGAGGACAATGAAAATTGAACAAAAATGGGTAAAGTCGTTTTTCGTTTCTAGGCTTTTTGTTTGTTTGTTTGCCCTTTGTATTTTTCACTAGAGACAAATTAAAAAACTACGAGGAAGATTCAAGGAAGAGAAACAAAAATGAGAAAATTTAGATTGCAGCACCTTTTTTTTCTTAGTAATTGATGTTGATCATTTGATACGGAGCGTCTTAGTCATCAATGGAATTTACCTTTTTTTTTTTCTTTGTAAGCACAATTTCTTACTAATTAATTCACCACAACTAACAAGTCTCTACGTTTTGATGTGTGGTTTGGTTTGGTTTGGTTAGTTTCCATGTGCTAGTTTTGTGTGTTAATGCCGCCTCTAGTTGGTTACTGCTACCTTCTTCCCTCCCCCCCTTTCACCTTATCTAATTCATATATAAAGGTCTCCCCTCCCAGGTTATTCTCTTTGAACGACTTCTTCTGATTCTCTCAACGTACTTTCGTGTTTCTACAGTAATATTTGCACGTAACTAGTCAATTAATCAATAGATTATAGACAAACAAACAAGCATATAAATACTTGCATACATTTTCATATACAAATATAAATATTAAAGATGGTTGCTCAAATTTCTTCTGTTTCTGAATTTGATTCTACTTTATCTGGTACTGACAAATTAGTTGTTGTTGATTTCTTTGCCACCTGGTGTGGTCCATGTAAGATGATCGCTCCAATGATTGAAAAGTTCGCTGAACAATATGCTGAACAAGCTACTTTCTTAAAGGTAGATGTTGACCAAGTCCCAGATTTAGCTCAAAAATACGGTGTCTCTGCTATGCCAACTTTAGTTTTCTTCAAGAACGGAAGTGAATTGACCAGAGTTGTTGGTGCTAACATGGCCGCTGTCAAGCAAAATATTGTTTCTAACATCTAATCTACTAATTGATTAACTTATGTGTTTACTTCTAATTTTTTTTATTGTTTTATGACTATATTTAGATATATTAATAATATTTCTTTTGCATAGATGTACATATATAAGCTTTTGTATTCACGTTTAATACATTTCTAACATTGAGTTAACTTTTCCTTTTTCTTCGTTTTTATTCTTTTTTTTTGATTATTTAAAGATTAAGCTATCTATTTATAAAGCGTATAAACACAGAAGTATAGCGGATGTATTTTATCTCATTAATGACATTTTTCATATATTCATTATATTCATTATATGTATATAGTTAGTACATTGCGTTTTTTTTTTTATTTTTATTTTTTTTTTGTCTGCTTACTATAGTTCTAGAGTAGTTCTAATTTCATCATCTGTATAACCAAGGATATATAGGACATCCAATAAAGTGTACGTATTCAATTGGCATGGTGCTTCAGATTGAACTTTTGGTTTAGCATTCCAGGCGATACCGAAACCAGCAACACCCATTGCAGGTAAATCATTACCACCATCACCTATCATCATAGTCTCTTCTAATGCAACCCCCCATTTTTCAGATAATAATAATAAAGTCTCGGCTTTAACTGTACCATCTACAATATCACCAAGTACATTACCAGTTAATTGACCTTGTTCATTAGTCTCTAAGACATTGGCCCTCATAAAGTCCATTTGTAATTGATTTAGAATATATTCAGCAAATGGTACAAATCCACCAGATAATACTGCTAATTTGGCTCCTTTTTTCTTCAAAAATTGAAATAGTTCTGGAACACCACGAGTAACATTTAATTTAGTCTTAACTTCTTCATAAATTCTTTCAATTGATAGCCCTTTCAACAAAGCAACACGTTCTCTTAAAGATTCTTGGAAGTCAATTTCATTGTTCATGGCACGATCAGTTATCGCCTTAACTTGTGGCTCAACATTAGCGTATGCTGCGATCAATTCAATAACTTCTTGATAGATTAATGTGGAATCCATATCAAAAGCAAAAACTTTTTTACCTTGACGATACTTATCATCTTGTTGTAAAATGATATCTACTGAATCAGTTAAACCCTTAAATACCATCTTATCTATAGGGAATGAAGAGGTCAAATATTGGTCAAATGCACGAGAACCTAATCTTTTAGTTTGAGTAAACTCCGTTTGGATTTCACTTGGAATATGAGCTACAACTTTCAATAATAATTCTTGTATTCTTAGATCGGACAAAGGTTCTTCAGATCTACTGATAAATGTTAAAACATATTTGTATAAGGACATGCTGTCTAAGTCTATGGGAACTATTTGTCAATTTATTATACTGTTTGTTTGTTTCTACCTTAATGAAGCTATCCAATATAGTTTGATCAGTTAATTAACTTAATAAAAAGATAGAATATCTTTTTATCTCTCGACAATTTTCAACCTATGTCAAATTCTAACTCTCTACATTTCTCTTTTATTTCTTATGACGCTTCGAGAAAACAGATCTTGCATAATACATGTCTTCACTATTTATAAGTAGTCCCTTTTTTTTGCCTACGACAAAAAAATGAGATCCTTTGAGGAAATTTTTTTCTTTTTGCTTCTTTTTTTTTCTTCTTTAAGGTCTTTCACTTCGTAAAGAAAGACATTCTCGAAGATTTTGATGAAAAGATTACTCACAAAAAATTGAAAGATTAATTCTGAAACAAAGCCCACTATTGACTATTTTCGTCTATGTTATTAGAAAATAATAATTATATGACTAAAAAAAAATAGATTTCCAGAAATGTAATTCTCATTTTTTTTTTGTATTATGTTTCTTAGATTGGATTATATATGTCGATTTCTTAATATTTCAGTATACTACTAGTAGTTTTTTTATTTTAGTTTCCTTATAGTTTATTCAATTTAAGGACCAGCGACTGTGTACACATTGTTTGTATACGTACGTATCTCTGATCTCACATTTTACTTTTTTACCCTGTGTCTGTGATGTCTAAATTACGTATTTTAGTTCCAGTAAAGAGAGTTCTAGATTATCAATTAAAACCTGTATTGAATGCAGCACGTACAGGTATAGAGACTCAAGGTTTTAAATTCAGCATTAACCCTTTTGACGATATTGCTTTGGAAGAAGCTTTAAAATTGGAATCTGCATTGCCAAAGGGTACAGTAACCACTCATGCAGTCTCTATTGGCTCGAATCTACAGTGTCGTGATATTTTAAGAAACTGTTTAGCTAAAGGTATTCATGATGTTACATGGATAAATAGTGGTAAGTATGATCTTCAACCTTTAGCCATTGCTAAGATCTTAAAACAATTTGTTACCCAAGGGGATTATAATCTTGTCCTTTTGGGGAAACAAGCTATTGATGATGATTCCGGCCAAACAGGACAAATGTTGGCAGGACTGTTAAATTGGTCACAACTAACTAATGCATCAAGTGTTACTGTTGAATCAGATAATATTACTGTTACAAGTGAAACTGATGGTATACAAGATCAAGTTTTACGAGCTTCATTGCCATGTGTCGTTACTGCAGACTTAAGACTTAATACTCCAAGATATGTACCTTTGCCCAAATTAATGAAGGTGAAGAGAAAACCAATTAAAGAGTTGTCTTTGGAAAAGGATTTCTCAAATGTGGATATCCAATCAAGACTAAATATTGTGTCCTTAAATGAACCTGTTGTAAAGAAATCTGGTATAGTGGTGGGCAGTGTGGATGAATTAATTGCTAAATTGAAAGAATCTAAAGTGATTTGAGTTATATTTCATTCCTTCTTTTTTATCAGATATATATATATATATATCGTTATTATTATTTGGTGTGGTTGCTATATCTTTCCATATTCCTTGTATTGTCTTGTTAATATGATTAAGAGTGAATATTTCTGGATCTATATAATATATATATACTTGTAATGATATCTATTTATATATTAAATGGTGTTATATGTTATTCGTAGGACTTATTTTATTGGGAGATAAGACCTTACGATCTAACAAACTTGGTGGTATTTGGCTCAAATATTTTTTAAAATAAAATTCTTCAAACTTTCTTGGTTCTTCTTTGTACTCCTTGCATTCATTTAATAATTTATCACATTGTTCGATCCAAGGATCAAATATTTCATTTAAGGGTGGTAATGGTTGTAATTTGTAATTTAATGGCACTATTTCATGTAATTCCAATTTTGGAGGTATCTGTTTTGGATAGTTTGTTCCGTAACTATTGTATAATGGTATTTTTCTCAATAAATCTTGATAATTTATACCATTTTCGCTACTCATCCTGATAAATGTTTATCTTACTATTGATGATGGTATATAGCACAGCCCTTTTTAGTTATAATATACGTGTCTATATCTAAGTCCTTCTTGTATTGGATTTGTTTGTTCATTTATTGTTGTTGAATGAAGGGAACAGTTTAATTCCTTCTGGGCCACTCGTTAATGATAAAATGGTTTTATTATTCTTCGAAAAACTAAAAGTAAAAATAAATTATAATAAAAACAAGTATTGATACAGAAAAAAAAAAGAATCTTATAAGTGAACAAAGACTACATCACTGTATATAGAGAGGAAGAAATAGGGCAAATATATGTATGTATATATGTTTTATTATAGAATTGTATAAATATTAGTGATTATCCATTATTCAATGCAACGGGTCTTTGTGTAATGTAAGTTACGATTAATATCAATTCCTAATGTCAAAGTTGCAACAGACCCTAGTCTCTCTCCATGAACGAAATTGTCATAATATAGTTTATAACAAGGCATGTAACGATCCACAAATTTTATTACTTGTTCATCAGTCATGCCATTTCCTTTCTCTTTTATAGTCGCATGTTCTTGTTGTTTTCTCCATTCATATACATTTGATATATCGTTTGTTGCAAAGACAATCCCTAAAGAATTGATCTCAGGATTATTCCATAATAAGTCACTATATGTAAATAGTTTGGCATTTATATCTATCATGTCACCGTTTAATAATAAGTCTTCGTCGTCTGTAGATAATAATGGAGTAAATCCGAGAAACCAACCTTCAATAATACAGATATCAACAGGGGTTTTACATTGTACAACAATATCACTCCTGTCTCCTTCACCATTATACTTAGATTTATCGTATCTAGGTATGGATATGTAGTCAGCATCGTTTTCATCATTTCTACTTTGTAAGATGTTTTGTAAAACTTGATTTAATAATGGTATATCATGAGTACCTGGTAACCCACGCCCTTGTAACAACTTATTATGAGAATATTGTTTGTTAATTTTTAATTGGTCATCATGTGTTAAGTAAAAATCATCTAATGACATATGTGCAATGGAATGTGAGTAACCATACTTTTTTAGCAAATGTTCATACAATTTTGTAGTGGTATACGTTTTACCTGATCCCTGGGGTCCTGAAATGTAAATTATCAGTGGTTCTTTGTTGTTTTTCTCAAACCATTGAGGAACAAATTTATCCACAAAGTTAAATACAGTATCCGTAACAGTGCTAGTTAACATGTTTTTATTATTTAATGAGTTGTCTGTATAATCTTTGTATCTTTTATCTTTTTTTTTCTTGGATTTTTATTTTATATATTGGAACCTCCAATATTGAGACTTTATTAATTTCTTAGTAGTTAATCTTACAGTATACTTTGGCCTTTGCCTTTGAAATAAAGACGTTTAAAGTTGTTCTTCTCCATTGTAAACTTTCCCCTTTTTCACAACCTAGTTTGTTTATATAAAAGGTGACTTCCGTAATGTGAATTCCTCTTTTCCCTTTATTCACTAAAATCCGAGAAAAAAATATGCATATTACATTACATATACTGAATTACAATATTATGGTCATTTCACTATAAAAAAAAACATATAATAATACACATAAAAACATTACTGAAAAACATTCATATTATATATATATTTATAGAATAGGTTAAATAGCATATTATACAGTCTATCTCTTAAAACATACCTTCGATTTCACCATCTTCGTTGACTTCAATATTCATAAACCCACAATGAGTTGGTAATCCAGGAATGGTTTGGATTTCAGCAGCTAATGCATAAAGATATTGTGCACCACTAGCAATCCTAACATCCCTGATTGGGAATGTGAATCCATTTGGAACACCCTTCAATGCTGGATCGTGAGATAAGGAATATTGAGTCTTGGCAATACATATTGGTAAGTTACCAAATCCTTGAGATGTATACAAATCGATCTTTTTTTGAGCGATTTCACTTAATTCAATGTCCTTTGCACCATACATGTCTTGGGCAATTTTTGTAAGCTTGTCTTCAATAGACAAACCAGTATCTAGCTCGTATAAGAACTTGAATTGATCATTTGAGCAATCCTGAGTGGCCTTGATTATACCATGTGCTAAATCCACAGCGCCAAGACCACCTTCTTCCCAGTGGTTTGATACGATGGCATCAACAGCGCCGGCCTTTAAGGATTGCTCTTTAATTATTTCATGTTCTCTATCAGTATCAGAAGACATTTTGTTGATAGCAACCACGACAGGTAGGTTGTACTGTCTTGCATTAGCAATATGCTTAGCCAAATTTGCACACCCAGCTTCTAATAATTCTAAGTTCTCATTCAAATATTCAGTCGGTAATGGGGAACCAGCTTTGACTTCTGGACCACCACCGTGAACTTTTAATGCTCTTACAGTAGCTACAATAACGACAACATCTGGAGTTAAACCGGAGGAACGGCATTTGATGTTGATAAATCTTTCACCACCCATAGTGAAATCAAAACCTGCTTCAGTGATGACATAACCAACTTTGTTGGCTTTCATTTCTGGAGTCCATTTTGGATTTACACCTGCTAATTTCAAAGCAATCTTATCGGCTAACACTGAGCTTGCGCCAATGGAGATATTGGCAAATGGACCTGCATGAACGAAGACAGGAGTACCTTCCAAAGTTTGCATAATGTTTGGTTTGATGGCATCCTTTAATAACGCAGTCATGGCACCAGCACAGCCGATATCTTCACAAGTAACAGGTTCACCAGTTTCTTTATTGGTACCAATAACAATTCTACCTAATCTTTCTCTTAAATCTTCTAAGGAGTTACAAAGAGCCAAAATTGCCATACACTCAGAAGCAACAGATATGTCAAATCCAGTCTTTCTTGTGAAACCACGTTCAGTAGGGGCTTCACCAACGGTAATACCACGTAAAAATCTGTCGTTACAGTCAACAACACGTCTCCAACTGATAGAATCTGGGTCAATATTCAAACGAGCAAATCTGTGAATCTCATCTTCTGTTAAATCATCTGGATTGGTCTTATTGATACCCAATTTAGATAATCTTCTTATCATGGATTTAGTGAATTTTCTTTGACCTTTCTTTGTTGGAACCAATCTTTTATATAGTGGACCATCCTTTTGTGTTGATTCATGGAACATTCTGGTGTCAATGGCAGCAGCCAGCAAGTTGTTTGCCATGGAGATAGCGTGGATATCACCAGTGACATGTAAATTGAATTCATCCATTGGAATAACTTGAGAATAACCACCACCTGCAGCACCACCTTTAATACCAAAGGTTGGACCCATGGAAGGTTGACGCACGTTAGCAAAGACTGTTTTATTTAGATGGGCCCCAAGAGCCTGAGCTAATCCAATGGTGGTAGTAGATTTACCTTCACCAAGTGGTGTTGGAGTGATACCTGTCACTAAGATATATTTACCGTTTTCTCTATCCTTTAAACGATCAAGAATCTTTAAATCAACTTTACCTTTTACAGAACCGTAAGGTTCGAATTCCGAGTCGTGAATACCTGATTCTTTGGCGATTTGAGTGATCTCTTTTGGTATTCTAGCTCTGGAGATTTCGAAATCTGATGGAACAGGTTTCAATAACTTCAATGGCTCATTTGCATATAAGGGTTTGTTACTGTTTGCACTATCAAGGCCTATATCATAAATGTCACTGTAGTATCTCTTTGCAGCGATCAAAGTATTTTGCATTAACATGGCCACGGTCATTGGACCCACACCACCTGGGACTGGAGTAATCAGTTTGACATATTGTTTAGCGACCTCGAATTCAACGTCACCAACGCACCTAAAACCAGATTTCTTAGTAGCATCCTCTACGTAGTTTGTACCTACATCAACTACGGTGCAGCCTCTTTTATTGTCTTTGAACCATTCACCTTTGATGAATTCAGGTTGACCTATTGCCACGACCACGATGTCAGCATCCTTGAAGTAGGTTTCAATGTTTGGAGTCTTTGAATGGACCAAGGTGACAGTGGAATTCAAGTGGGTTAATAAAGCGGCCACTGGAGACCCAACGATGTCTGATCTACCAACCACAACGGAACGAGTGCCTTCGATCTGGACTTTGTAACGGTTTAATAATTCTATGATCCCCTTTGGAGTGCAAGGCAAGAAAGTTGGATTGCCATGTCTCTTGGCCAATTCACCCACATTGAATGGGCCAAACCCGTCTACGTCCTTTTCAGGTAAAACTGCAGAGGTGACTTTGTCCTCGTTGATGTGTGGGGGCAAAGGCAACTGTATGATGATACCATGGATCGATTCAGCCTGGTTCAATTCAGAGACATGTTTTAACAGTTGGGATTCAGTGACATCCTTGTCCAAATGGATGAATTGGACGTTGATTTGGGCATCTTTAGCAGCATTTCTTTTCATACGAACATAGGTGGAAGAATCAGGACGCGTACCTACTTGAATAATGGCCAGAGATGGTTTGAAATCCGGCATAGATTGTTTTAAGGAATCTATTTCAGAAGCAATTTCATTACGGATGGAAAGAGCACATTCTTTCCCGTCTATAATTTGTGCCATGGCTGTAATGTAATACGTCGAAAGTGAGTACAGTGTTGTTTTGTTGTAAGGGGATATAAAGATAAGTTATATTACTACAAATCTTGTAAAGACAAGGCGAAGAAAAGAAAAATGTACGAAAACGAACAAAACCTCCCATTCCTTCCATTTCTCCTATAAAAAGAAAGAAAGAAAGTCAATTAAGTAAAGGACATTTTTGGTGTGTATGGCATATACGTGTAAAACATTAATCCTGCGTGTTTAATACTTCTATACTCAATGACAAAGAAAAGATTATGGGTTGGCATATATATATTTATAGAAAATAAGAGAGAGAGAGAGAAGGCCAAAAAATAAAAAGAATAGAAAAAGAGTGGAAGGATATATGTAAAAGGGATATGTGACATAATCAATATAAAATTAGACTTTTTTTTTAGTTTATGTGTGACTCTTTCTGTTTTTTATTTTTTTTTTCTTTTTCTCTCCCTCTTTTCATCCCACTTCTTTTCCCTTCCATATTCCTCGAGGATCCTGGAAGGGAATGTCACACGAATCACTTTTAGTCGACCAACCGAATGGATTCCACTACTAATCGACCGGCTCGAACAACTAAACAAAATTGAACAAAATTAAACAAAAATAAATAGATAGATAAACAGACAAACAAATAATATAATATAATATAATATAATATAATATAATATAATAGACTTTTCCCACAACATTTCAGAGATAAAGAAAAAATAATACAGGAAAACAAAAAACAAAAACAAAAACAAAACGAAGCGAAGTCAAAAAGAAAAAAAAAAAATGAAATAACTGAGAAATAGAGAAACGGAGGTCGAGAGAATATAAGTGATATCACTGCGAACGACTCTGTAAACGACGCTGCCATTCGAGACGAAACAATTCTTTGTAACAAGAAAAAAAAAAAGGCCCAGAGTTACGTTAGATTACCTAAATAGGGATATCCCGATGAGATGATTCTTTGTTAGATCTATGTATAATAGATACAATATTGTAGACATATACGTATATGTGTATGTGTATGTGTATGTGTATACAATTTTTGGATTTTACCAACTCCAAAGATCTGGTTGATAATCTTCTGTTACACTTGAGTTGTCACCATATTGATCTTGCCAATGATTAAAGCCTCCACGTAGAATCCAAACACGAATATGTTCACGGTCATTTTTGTTCATAATTCTTAACAACTTCAGTGCTGCTGAAGGACCTCTTTGCTGTGATTGAGCACAATGGAAGATCGCATTCACACATTTTTCGTTTGATGATGTCGCAAGATTTCGAAGATCTTCAAGTAATTGGTCTAATAATTCTGGATGATGTGACATCTGTTTATACGGTCTATGCCATCCGCCTACAATATGACCTCCAACATAGTCACTTCCACGAACATCAATGACTTGGAACGGTTCGTGCAACAAAGTGGTATGTCCCTTTTGGATCCATTGATATAGTTCTGAAGCATTTATATACCTTAAATCTGCAACACTCATCTATTTAGATATCCCTTACCTTATTTAGTGAATTTTTTTTGTTTTTTTTTGTTTCTTGGCTTTATGTTCGTTCTGTCTTGTGGGATATGCGTCTTCTGCTGTTTGACATATATACATCTGGATTATAGAAGCAAATAATGGAGAATATCTGTTTGCACTCAGTAAAGTCCCTTTCTTTTTTTTGTGTGTGTGTTTTCTCTTTTGTTTTCTTCTTCTTCTGTTTTTATTGATTTTTTATTGATTTCTTTTTTTCACTAGAACCCCGGCCGGCCCGTTACCGGAATCTTCCGAGGACACCGAAAGTGACAGAATTGAAAATATTCGGGCTTTTTCATTAATTTCTTTTTTTTTTTTGCGTCTTCCCCCCCCCCTTTCCAATTCCTCAATGGCGTTTCAAAATCGACAGGATGACTCTTTTTTTTTCTTGTTTTCATCGTTATTTTTTTTAACTATATAGAAAAAAAAAAGAAAAGATAAAAAAAAATCAGAAAAAAATTTAACTTAGAACCGATGCTATTTTATAAAGCACAGAAGAAGGTGAAAGATTAAGTAATTTTAGAAAACCTTATTAACTGAGTAACTGTTAATAGTAATCTATATATATATAGATTATCTTATATGAGTGTATCTACCTCTTGATTATGAGGTAAACATTTGTATACCAGTTATTGTTTTACTTTTTCTCACTTTAGTCCTGTCCTCTTCTCTATTTCCTTTTTTTTTGTGTCTGTGTTTTGTTCCAATTATCTTTAAAGCGATCTATAATAGTATCAATATAACTAAATACAAAACATGGGTCTACTATCCAGAACTGTATCGGCAAGGTCCTTTTCAACTACTAAAAATGTGGCTAAGAAATTGAATAAGTATTCTTATCAAATTACTGAACCAAAGGATCAAGGTGCCTCCCAAGCTATGCTTTATGCCACTGGTTTCAAGAAAGATGACTTTAATAAAGCTCAGGTTGGTGTCGGTTCTTGTTGGTGGTCAGGTAATCCATGTAACATGCATTTGTTAGATTTAAATCATAGATGTGCTGCATCCATCGAAAAAGCTAACTTGAAAGCCATGCAATTTAATACCATCGGTGTCTCTGATGGTATTTCTATGGGTACTAAAGGCATGAGATATTCTTTGCAAAGTAGAGAAGTTATTGCTGATTCCTTTGAAACTATCATTATGGCCCAGCATTACGATGCCAGTATCGCCATTCCATCCTGTGACAAAAATATGCCAGGTGTCTTAATGGCAATGGGTAGACACAATAGACCCTCTATCATGATCTACGGTGGTACTATCTTGCCTGGGTCTCCATCTTGTGCTTCTCAAAAGAACCCAAATGTTACTAAAGAAATTGACGTGGTCTCTGCTTTCCAATCCTATGGTCAATATATCTCCAATCAAATCACCGAAGAACAAAGAGAAGACATCGTGGAACATGCTTGTCCAGGTCCAGGTTCCTGTGGTGGTATGTATACAGCCAACACCATGGCTTCCGCTGCTGAAGTCCTTGGTATCACTCTACCAAACTCTTCCGCTTTCCCTGCCGTTTCAAAGGAAAAAATGAATGAATGTGATTCTATCGGTGAAGCAATTAAGAAAACTATGCAATTAAACATCTTACCACGTGATATTTTCACTAAAAAGGCTTTTGAAAATGCAATCACTTATGCTATCGCCACTGGTGGTTCTACTAATGCAGTATTACATTTGATTGCCGTGGCCCATTCTGCAGGTGTCAAGATCACACCAGACGATTTCCAGAGAATCAGTGATAAGACTCCATTATTAGGTGATTTCAAACCATCTGGTAAACATGTTATGGCCGATTTGATTAAGATTGGTGGTACTCAGGCTGTCATTAAATTCTTATACAATGAAGGTTTCTTACATGGTGATTGTTTAACCGTCACCGGTGAGACTTTGGCCGAGCGTGCAAAGAAGGCTCCAAGCCTATCTGAAGGACAAAACATCATTAGACCTGTCTCCAATCCAATCAAACCAACTGGTCACTTACAGATCTTATATGGTTCTTTGGCCCCAGGTGGTGCTGTAGGTAAGATCACTGGTAAGGAAGGTACTTACTTCAAGGGTAAAGCACGTGTCTTTGAAGAGGAAGATTCTTTCATTAAGGCTTTAGAGCGTGGTGAAATCAAAAAGGGTGAAAAGACTGTCTGTATTATTAGATATGAGGGTCCAAAGGGTGGTCCAGGTATGCCAGAAATGTTGAAGCCATCTTCAGCTTTGATGGGTTACGGTTTAGGTAAAGATGTTGCATTATTAACTGATGGTAGATTCTCCGGTGGTTCTCACGGTTTCTTGATTGGTCATGTTGTTCCAGAAGCCGCCGAGGGTGGTCCAATTGCTTTGGTTAAAGATGGTGATGAAATTGTTATCGATGCAGACAATAATGTTATCGATTTGAAGGTCTCTCCAGAAGAATTAGCTAAACGTAAGGAACAATGGACTCCACCACCTCCACGTTACACAAGAGGTACTTTATCCAAATATGCTAAATTAGTTTCCAATGCTTCCCTAGGTTGTGTTACTGATGCTTAAGAGCTATATTATCTAAATTATTCTTTTAACAAGACAAGCAATTACAAAAGGAAGAAAGAAAAGACAATTGATCATTTATAAAGATAAAGAACTTTTGAAATCTTCTGATTAATCATATGTTGTGAAAGTTTTTTTTTTCATATTATTTCACTATTCTTTTCGTCTTTGTTGTTTTCTTATATTTTCATACTAATGAAAATTATATAGGTATTTATTTATTCATTTATTTATTTGTATATTTATTTATAGTATTTATTTGTACGTGCATAAAAAGTTATAAAAGTCCATTGAATGGACCATGATTCAAAGGCGTATGAGAGCTTTGTTTTGACTAAATAGTATGTTTCCAATATTGGGGTGTTGCTGTAGTATGTTTACACTTTGGTGATAGATTTTTGGAAGCAAAATCTTGCAGCGTACCTAAATTTTGAAATACAAAATTATTTTGAAAACTCTAACTTTACTATAGATAAAGTTGATTGTAACCTTAGAAAACATAATATTATATAATACATATAAATACATATATGCTTATTATAGCGTTGTCAAGTTATTTTTGTAGTAGGTTTTCTAGCTACTCTCATATAATATAGATTCATATGCTACAAATAAGCTCTCTATGGGTAACAATATTTTGCAAGAAATGTCATAAGAAGTTAAAGAATTATCCAAAACATTTTGTGTTAGAGAATTCTTTCAGTTCTATAATAGTTGAGAATCTATTATAATTTATTATCCTAGCATATACTATAAAATATAATAAATTGTTCTTGCATGTGTTCTTCATACATTATATACAAAGTTAGCATCCTGTAAGAAGTAATATGTGGATAAATACATATATAAAATAACTGTATGGTTTATAAATACAAAAAAAAATTAAGTCAGAGTTCCTTGATAGCAATACTAGCCTATTACTATCAGACTCTTATAATATAACGATATGGTCACCAACAACAAAAAGACATGCTAATTCACTTGAGTCAAAAACGATGCGCAAGCCCGGAATCGAACCGGGGGCCCAACGATGGCAACGTTGGATTTTACCACTAAACCACTTGCGCTCTAATTGTCGTCTTTTGTTGTAGTATGGTATGGTGAAATTCTTTGTGTATTCCAGGGAAGCGCAAATAAGATTGATAGTTATTTAAATAATCGAGACAGTAATCAACTATAGTCGATAGTATAATTACTAAAACGGTCTTATATATTAAGCGGCTTATATCGAGCTAATGTACTTATTCGAAGTTACTTTTTGGTACTTGCTTGTTCTATTTTGTTTATACATAATATATAAATTATTTACAAGAAACGATTATGGAAGATGATCTTTTATCTCCTGAAAACGTTGTCCTTTTATATGTTTTCTGGAGCTCGATCGATTATTCAGATTACTACATTAATGACTTGACTGATTCAAACCCTAAAATTTATTATATTAATTTAGGTGCACTACTGGATTAGAACTGCATCCCAATTCTCTAATCATGGTGATTAGTAATACACGTGGGACTTAATAAAACAATAGGTAAATTCTAGATTTGCCAAGATCTTATGTAATCCAATCTTTTTATTATGCAGCATCTAATGTTGTAGCACATGTATGGCTTATTAATACACTAATTGGTTCTAGATTCATTCAGGATCTTATGTAATCTTGATGGTTATAACTATTCTATTCCACAACATCTTTCGAGCTTCTAAATGTTATATATGTATTATAAATAGGTTATGTGTCTTATAATTTAAAGTATTTTCTAATTAATAATTTCAATAGTTAATTGTTTTTTACTTCTTCTTAAAGTATTTTGCCTTTGAAACTGTGATTACCCTTTTTGGTTATTATTTCGCTTTAAATTTTATATAAGGTTGTTTATGTACATATTCAAGACTAAAAAGCATTATAATAAATACCAAGAATATAAAACTTATCTGAACAAAGACAGACTGCAAAAGTAATCAAAAATTATCTACTTCTGAATATTTTTTACTGTAATTTATTTATTGGTTTGTCAATTGCTTACAAATTTATTTTATTAAAAAAATTAAAAGCAAGAGGAAAGCCTTTTTATATAATTACTATTGAAAAAGAAAAAATGAAAAAGAAAAGGGAAGAATAAAGTTTATTATTCTCAACAAAAATTCCAGTTTGCATAAATTATCTTATCTTGTTTTTAAAATTTGAAGGATGTGATTTTTTTTTTGCAAGGAATAATGAAAAACGAAGAAACATATATCTCAGTATATTATTTTACTAACTGGTGTCGGTACATTTGATATATTTGTGTTTATTGATAATTTTGTTTTTATTTTGTTTGTAAATGTAATTAAAAAAGATGAATGTGAGATCAAAACAAATATTTTTTATTTTATTTTCGGCTTTTAAGATTAAGAGAGTAATGAATTTAGAACAAAAGAAAATAATGTTTAAAAGGGTTTATAATATGTGAGTTAGTAAGTTTATTTCTTAAACTGTAAAATAAAAGAATAATTTATTTATCTACCATTAGTCTTGTAGCTGTTTTTTTTGCTGTAAAAGTATCTGACAGATAAGTGAATACTTTAAATAGGCAGACTCTGTTTTTCTTAAATAATCAAAAAAGGACAGAGAATATACTGAGAGAGTAGTATGGATGTGTTTTTGTATTTTCTTATTGAGAAAGAACAACAGAACCTAGTTACACAATATATAAGTCTTTGTTAGGCATATTTTACCTGTTCTCAACTTTCGTCTTAGTATTAAGAAAGTCTAATACTACTTTAAAAAAAATCAATAATTTGAATTTTCAACATTTGAAAAATTTTATAACAAAAAAGATTTTGATTATTTTTTTTACCTGGACATCATATGCTTAAGTTTTATAACTTGCTAAACTAAGAGGTAGAACGTTGGTGTATAGTTGTTCAAAACAGTGACTGGTGACTATAAGTAAGCTGTTGAGATTTTTTGACCATGGTTGAGGTATCTACTGAAAGTATATTTATTGGTGCCAATCAACAAAATCAAGTAAGTGATTTTAGTAAAAAAAGAAAACTGGTTGCATATGGTGCAGGTAAGACTGTTGCATTATGGAACCCATTAGATCCAAATAATAGAGGTGTTCTCTCTACTTTAAAAGGGCATAAATCAGACGTGACTTGTGTTAAGTTTATGCATGGAACCGATCTGTTGGTTACTGCATCAGAGGATTTCTGTGTTAAGATTTGGCGATTTCAAGATAATAATGTTTCTAATGTAGATCTGGAATGTATTCAAACAATTGATCATTATAATCATACTATCGTTACTTTGACAGTTTTACCTAGTGTTATTGCAATAGGTTGTGCTAACGGTCTTGTTTCCATTTGGATTCAAGACTCAACAAATGGAGGAGTTTTTGTGTTGGGTAAGGAATTTCCTATTGAGAAGAATGTCTTACCATTATCATTATCACTTTCAAATGTGCTAGATAATAAATATATGTTAGCTGTTGGTGGCACTGCTGTCCATGTGTTTATTTTCACATTTATTGTTAATTCAGAGATGCACACTGTTGATAATCATAAATTAGCTGCAAGATTAGAAGGTCATGAGGATTGGGTAAAGTCACTTTCTTTTCGTTATCAAGAAACTCCAGGAGATTACCTTTTGTGTTCTGGAGCCCAAGATCGTTACATAAGATTATGGAGAATCAAGATTAATGATCTAATTGAATATGTGGAAGACAATATGAACAATTTAACCCTATTAAATAATAAACAATACATTTTTGATATTGATATAGATTTGAAAGTTTGTATTACTTTTGAAGCTTTGATTATGGGGCACGATGATTGGATATCTTCTTTACAATGGCATGAAACTCGTTTGCAATTGTTAACTTCAACAGCAGACACAGCATTGATGGTCTGGGAGCCAGATGAGGTATCTGGTATCTGGGTTTGTAATTTAAGGCTAGGTGAATTGTCGTCTAAGGGTGCCTCTACTGCTACTGGTTCTTCTGGTGGGTTTTGGTCATGTCTTTGGTTTACTGATAATGAACAAGATTATATATTGACTAATGGGAGAACTGGTTCTTGGAGATTATGGGCATCCAAAGACAATTTGATTACCGAACAAAAACTGGCTATTACAGGTACTACTAAGGAAGTAACTGACGTTTGTTGGTCACCAGATGGGAAATATTTGTTGTCCACCTCGTTAGATCAGACTACAAGGCTATATGCTCCATGGTCATTTAATGCAAATGGGTCTAAAAGAGCGGTGCGCACCTGGCATGAATTTTCCAGACCACAAATTCACGGATATGATATGATATGTGTTGAAGCGTTAGACAAATCTAGATTTGTTAGTGGTGGTGATGAAAAGATTTTGAGATCATTTGATGAACCAAAGGGTGTTGCTGAAATTTTGCAAAAATTTGTTGATCATTCTATTGAAGCTACTGAACAAATGCCAGAATCAGCTTCTGTTCCAGTTTTGGGGCTATCTAATAAAGCTACTGAAGATGTCAATGAGGAAAACGATGTCAATGAAATCGAAACAAACGATAATAAAAATATATCTTATGATTTGGTGCAATCATTAGAAAGTCCACCTATGGAAGATATATTACAGAGACATCTATTATGGCCAGAATCTGAAAAATTGTACGGTCATGGTTATGAGATAACATGTTTAGATATATCACCAGACGGACAATTAATTGCATCGGCTTGTAGGTCTAATACTCTACAACATTCAGTCATCAGAATATTTGAAACTAAGACATGGTTAGAAATGAAATCACCTTTGGCATTCCACAATTTAACTATTACGAGATTAAGGTTTTCAGATGATGGTAAATATTTATTGGCTGTGTGCAGAGATAGAAAATGGAGTATCTGGGAAAGAAATTTTGAAGATAACACATTTGTTTTATTACAAGGTGATGAGAAACCACATACCAAAATTATTTGGGATGGTGATTGGGCTCCTAAGGAATATGGTAATGTTTTTTTTACTGCCTCTAGAGACAGAAGTATTAAATCATGGGCATTTGATGGTAAGAAGAAGGAATATATTCAACAAGATGTAATTAAGCATACGAGGCCAGTAACTGCGTTATCTGTTCATGATGCTGTTATTGATGGTAAAATATTTGTTGCTGCAGGTTTAGAAAATGGTGAAATTTTGATTTACAAATATGGTTCCGGAGGATTCAAATTATTAGTGAACTTAGACGATAAAATAACGCCTGCTGATAAAATCACAAGATTAAGGTGGAAAACCAACAATACTGGAGGCGATAACCAACTTTTCTTAGCCTCGGCTAGTAGTGATAATTCTACTCGTATATACTCTGTTACATATTAAACAATGAATTAATTTTCTATTTGTAAGGGATACTTTTATGCACCATTAATTGTACATATTTTATGTGTATATACAATAAGTCTTTTATAGAAAAAGAGAAAATATGTTGAATACTAACGGTAAGATAGGAATTGCTATTTCATTGTGTTATTTTCACATGAGGAATCTATCTTGAATAAGGTAATTAAAGTTCCCATGAAGACAACCATTTTAAATAGTCGTACGTTAACATAGGACCTATCATACCTTGACATATTGGTGAAAATTTAATGTAAATATAGATACAACCTGTAAATAAAATCAAGTAAATTGCGGTTTTCAAATAGTAGTAAGACTTTTCTAGATAATAATTCATTGTAGACCCAAACAAAATGATTGCAAAATATAACGCTGGAGCATAGTGGTGTACATAAGTGACTCTACCCATAACTACAAATGGGAGATAGTTAGCTAACCATGAAATAAATGGGAAAATACCCTGGATTATGTAAGACATCCATTGTTCCTCAGTAAATAAAGTAGTTTGCCTTTTTTGTTTTATTAAAATTGTTAACACAGGTATTGGAAATAAGATAATAAACAACGTCGATATCCAAGTATTAAATGGTGACCCCATCATAAAATATCTGGCCTGATCCATCCCCCAATGATTCATTCTAAGACCTCTATGTAATGTAGGCCACTCCCATGCTTTGGAAGCTAGTCGATCGTATTTGTCAGGGTCTGGGATTAATGCATTATTAGAAGATGCCATGGCAAAATTTATTAAGATAAAGTCTGTCCAAAATTTAGATTTTGGTGGGACATAATCATCTTCTACTTCTAAATTATCATTCCAATGGTCTTCGATATTCCACCATGTAGATTTATCTCTAGAACTCCATGATTGTTTGCAAACGATTTCTGCCTGACTAAACCCCCAGTTGGGATAAGCGAGCCCAGTTGTAGCTAAGTAGCATCCAAGATCTGCATGTTTTAATCTAAAAAATGTAGAGATAGGATGTACTAGATCTGGATTTTCTTTATGGAAGTCTGGGTTAGCAGAATCCAATTGATCTACAATTTCAATAATCCAATCATCTTTACTATCTCCATTTATATCATCCCCATATCCTGAAACTTCATAATTTCCACGAGAAACATGTGATGGAATTTCGTGGGAATGTAGATTTGATCTAGTGTTATTATGAACTAATCTGATAAGACTACCATTGCCAACACCCAATAACTGACTATTAGAAGTTTTTTTATTGTCATCAAACTTCATTATTGATCGCCTAGAAAATTGAATCTCCCAGACATTATTAGAATCAGAATGTCCATAGCCGGTAATTTGTCTCTGACCGGATCCATCAGGATACAATTGAGGATGAGAATGTAGAAGATTTGGACTTAATCCATGTGACCTTATAGTGACCTGTGATCCAAACAAGACATTCCGTGGGCTATTTTCAATTTTAGTACCTTCTAGATTGACCTGAAACAGAGTATTGGTGGATGCATCACCTGTTCCAGACTTATAAAGTAAACTGAAATGGATCTTAAAACAAAACAAATAGATTAGGAAAGGAACTATAATCAAATCTATAATTCTAACCAGCCAATGTCTAACATACTTTATTCTCCCAACCCTTTTATCATAATATAATTTGAAAAGATCTAGCACAGTATATAAACCTACTACTGATGTAATAAATAGTCCAACCCATTTTACAGAGCATACACACCCTAACGAAATACCTGTTAGGAGCATCCAAAGTGACCATTCCCTGGTCATTTGTCTATCACGCAGGTCGTAAAGTTTACACATGCACGCGAAACTCAAAGCAATAAAAAATAATAACATAGAATCTAACAAAATAAATTTGGATAGTACAATAAAAGAATGTTCCAAAGTGACCATTAACGTAATTAAATAGACCGACCAGTAGTTTAATCCCATCCACTTAGAAGAAAAAAATGCTAATGGGGTACAAAGAGCACCAAACATCGCATTGAACTGCCTCATAAATTTAAAATTGACGTTGCCAGGATAGTCTGAATTTGACTCGAAATCGAAATGGCCATCAAAGCCAGCCAACCATTCACTTAATGCAATAAGCATCTTCCCTAAAGGTGGATGGACATCATGATAAAATTCGTGTTTAATGTAGTACGAACCAAACTTACCAAAATGGGCTTCATCCCATACAACTTGTCGATTTTTATCAATCTCTTGAAATCTCACCTTAAAGGACAAAAAAGTCAAAAAAATTGGTCCTAACAATTCTAGTATGCACCATTTGATATTTTCATTGTTCAAAATTTTTGTTCTTAGACCATTGCTATCTGTTTCTTTCTTATGATCTTTCTTATTTATGTGTTCTTTGATATCGTGGTTGTAATGGTCATTATCGTTGTTGTTATGTTTTGCTAACTCTTTAGATACCTTTGTTTCTGGTAATTTGGAAATGTCCTTGTGAATAGGTACATCAGAAATAGACATATCGTTGCAAGAATAAAAATTTTCGAACTTATATTACTTGACTGACTTGGCATCAACAACTGGAAGAAACAGCAATTGTAACTAAAACTTTCTTCCATCTAAAAGCGCCATCACTATAGATCTTCTTCAGTTATGAATCCTTCTGGGCGAGAAATAAATTGAAAATATGTAACAGCCTGATAAAAAAAAAAATAAAAATAAAGGCATTTTATCTGTATAAAAAACGTAACATTTGCAGAATTGCAGAACAACCATAAATAGTATAGTACAGAATTATATGTTGTATATAACGTGAAATACGTATAAGCAGAATGTGTGCATGTTTGATCTGTGTATTTATGTCTGTGTGTGTGCATGAGTCTGAAGTAATCTATTATTGTAAACATCTAAATGAGCGGATTGGGGTGGTCTCTTTGTTGCGAATGCAGGTAAGAAGAGCATTTTGAAATTCTCTCTCTTGATATTTCTCATATATTAACGATAAATACCACCATATATCACCAGAATAGAAGGCATCAATGGATTTTGTGATACTACGTTCTAGAAGTAATTTTACATATGCTAGGGCTGCCAATTGATTACTTTTGTTGATAAAAAGTTTGGATTTACTAGAATGTGTATTTTGATGAGCATCACGCAATTTTGCTTCTATTAATGGCAAATAGTTTTCTAGATTATGGATATTTTCACTAAATCTTTCATTCTGTTTTTGATTCTCTATATCTAAAAATATTAATTGAGAATAACCAACAAGTGCATCAACATTATTTTTGTCATAATCAAGGGCCTTTTCAAACTTGTTTGATGCAGTTATTAAATCTCCTTCCAATATGTAATAATAACCTTCCATGATACTACAATTCATATCCGTTGAATTTGTTGTTAATTTCTTGGCTTCCCTAATAGCTTCCTTAGCTTGTTTTAATAAATCTGAAAAATCTTCATTACGGTCAGCACTATTGTCGTCACCATTATTATTGTTTTCAGTTTCTTTTTCTTGTTCATATAATTTCATGTAGAGTTCAGCCGTTAATAACCATATTTTTTGTAACTGTAGTTTCTGTCTCTTATCTGGTTTGGAATCATTATTATAAACATTATGGAATGTTTCAAAAAGATCTGGTAGAGATTCCATTGATTCCCTTGTACCAAATATTTCATCAATTAAATATAGTTCGGTTATTTTAAAATTAATGATTTCCCAAGCTGTCTCATTATTTCTTTCTTGTGTGTCATTGTCTGTATCATTATCATTATTTTGTAAAGATTCCAGTGCTGAACATATAATCGTGTATGAATCTTGTTTGTCTTCCTTAATAGATTTGCAAAGTGATAAAAGATGCCAAGCTTTATAAAAAAATGGGTTTTCTTTTAATATAAAAGATTGTAAAAAATTGATCGACAAATCGATCTCTCGCAATGAAGCCAAAGTATAAGCATATTTATAATAAATTTCAAATTTAAATGATTTAGATTGATTTTTATATTCAGTAATTGCCTCATTATTTGAAAGTAATGCCATTGCATTACAAAGATGTGAAGTTAATTGGAAGGATTGTAAAGAATCTATTTTCTTGGAATTTAAATCGTAAAGTATATACCATGCTTTAATTAGCATATCAGAGATTGTTTTTGGTAAAATAATACTAGTATTGTTAGAGATAAAATTTAACGATTCCCTATTATTGTCGACATTATTATCTATGGCAAATATTTTGAGGTTAAGATTTTGATAAAGGGCAACCAAATGAGTAAATAATTCATCTGAATAAGTGTCCTTGCTCTTGTGGGAATCAAAATATTTATCATTAATAGACAAAAGAGAATTATATGAATCAATTAAAAACACATGAGTATGCAGAGTATCAGCTTTGTCAGTGTCATAGAATTTAATTATATTTTCGAAATTTAAGATAGATTCAAACCCTTCCTCAATAGAATAGAAAAATATCATGGCAGTTTTCGCTACGACATGACTTTGGAAGGTTAAGCCCATTGAAGATATGATAAAGGGTTTCCATGGATCAATAACTTTTTTAATGTTATTTTCATCTTCAGTTGAAAATAGTCCTATTGAATGCAATTTGGTTAAATGAAGTTGCAAAATTACGTGGAATTGTTCTAAATATTTATTATTCTTTTGCAAAGCAGTAGGGAATTTTGCATTTAACAGATTTTTATCTTTCTTAGAATACTCTAATAACACTTCATTAAATTTTAAAAGATCATTTAATTTTAGATCATTATTTAAAATAAATATGAAAAAGAATAGAAGTTTATCGGTATCGGAGACTGCATCTAATTGGTTTAAATGTAATTGGAGTGTCTGAGAGATTGATCTAAAATAATCAAAAATATAACCATTGCATATAATTTTTGTGAAAGGTATAACATCTTTAACAAAATATTTAGATAAAGTTTTTAATCTTGATATAACATCTACAGATTCATTAAGATTTAATGTGTTTAGTTCATTGTAATAGAATTTTTCTAGTTGTAATAACAAATTAAAATTATCATAAGGTGCTAGTTTAGATGGTGCAAAATGCTTCAATTTATTAAAATACTCTATTGATCTTTCTTTGTTACCTTTATAAAATAATATAATAGCTTGACAATTTTGTAAAATGTTCAAAACCAAATCTAAATATGGTTTATTGCTAGATAAAATAGTCAATTGGATGGATTGATCACATACAATTTGAAGTTTTTCACATTCTTTTAATAGAATATCTAACCTTTTAACAAAATTAGAATTACCAATGATTTGTTCATTATTATTTTTATTAGTAGATGTTTTATATTTCGAGATATTATAATATAACCTAAAATGTAAGTTCAAAATATCGTCTAATAATTTCACTCCAGAATCTGGTTGGGAAGCACCCAATATATGAGAATCTAACGTTGATAAAATAGGATCTGATATTTTATTCATGGTAGATGATATCTTCTTCGAAAGGAAGGAAGAAAAGAAAGGATACAACGATATTAGACGAAGAGGAAATGGATATTAAGAAACACACAATCGTATTTATAGATATACAGACCAGTAGTTTAAACACCCCACGTATATTTATCGGTTAATTTATTCAACAGTCTGCCAGTAGATATAATTTGATGCAGTCATACCAATATTATTTCTTCTCTTTTGTATACTTACATATTTGAATTCTGCGCTGTTTGCTACACTCAAGTTTTTTTTTATGAAGTTTTTTCAAACTCTTTAAATTTAAATTTTTCATGGTTTAATTTGCATAAAGAAAGCAGAAAAGACTTATATGACAGTTTTATTTAGCAATTTCTGATGCAGTCTCAAAACGTTATGACTTAATATTTGTTAATACTTCTACTACAATTGGTTCAGATATTACAAGAAGGATATAATAAACATAGTAAAGTTTACGCAGATAGATACACAAGGATATATAAACACGAATTTTCATGTAAAAAATGAGCGATCCTAACGTTGAAAGAAAGAAATCGTATAGATGGGTAAGTGCTTCAAAGGTAAGCTACGATGGTTTAGATTGGAATAGTTCAGATGATGATAGTGATGATAGTCGTGTCTATGATCAGAATAATAAACACGATGATGGAGTTGGGGGAGGTAAAATAGAAAACCAAATTGATAACTTACCATCATTGCCGAAATTGAATTACTTAGATAATGAGTCTATATATAGAAGTCTTCATGAAAATACAGAGGAACAGCAGTATACTAGTGAAATACAAGACATTAATTCTTTGAAAAGCTCAGTTACTCGCTTGAAAAATGATGACAATGCTCTAGAATCTAATTTTAATGTGCTCAGTTTAAATAAGAGTAGTAGTAGTTTCGATAATCATAAGAATACAGATATTAATAGTAGTGCTATTAAAACAATCAGAAGCAGTGGTAATAGTATAATAAGTACAAGTAATCATGCAAATATTTTACCCTTAAAAAAAAATCTTACATCGACACCTTCAAGAGATATTAATGAAGACCTTGATAATTTGATGGAACAGATATCCAAGGAAATTACACCGCAATTATCAAGAGATAATAATGGGGTTTTTCAACAGGATTATACAATTACAACTAATAATGACAGTAATTCTAATATGGAGTCATTTGTTTCCGCAAAGGAATCACAGAGCCCTTATATATCAAAGGATAGAGTAGTAGTAGATACAGAGAATAAAGTACCTCAATGTGGATATTTAAAGCAATATTTAGATTCAAATGCTGAAAATAACGATATTGACAATGAAACTGATAATAGTAGTAATACAAATGATGATATATTATCATTTACAGATTCTATTAAATATCAGGAGGACAACAATAATTTGAATGATAATTTGGAAAGGGAAGAAGAATTGGAACATGGAGATGATGATGATGTTATGCTGAGTGAAGATGATTTTAAATTTCATAATAAAAAGTTAAGGGAGTCTATTCTTGAATCAAGTGATGAAGAAGATAATAATAATGTCAGTAATGATAGTATTGGTGATGATTATGAACATGGGCATATATATAGGGAGGAAGAAGGCACAAGTAGTTGTACAGAGATGAAAAAGGGGGAGAGCAAAGATCCAGGGGATAATTTGGAAATTTCAAAATCAGAATATTTTGGTACAATTACACGGAATGATCAGCAAGATTCTGCTTCTAATGGTGGTAATACAGAAGAGGGAGGAGGAGGATGTGAAGACGTTTCTTATAAAAATGATTTTGTAGAAGGTACTGATGATGATAAGCAAAAGGATGAGGAAGAAGAGAGTTTATCCATACCTGAAACTGTTAATGACGAGTCCAGTATGAATACAGACAATACAAATGAAGGTGAGAAATATTTAGATAATATAGAGAATGATGAAAATGAAAAGTTGGTGTTTCCTAATAATGATGGTGATGATGATGAGGCAGATAAACGTAGTGTACTGAAAGCTGATGGCAGTGAAACAAAGAATGATAATGAGTCAGTCGTGTCTTTTAAACATGAAACATTTGTTACAATGAATAGAAAATCTGAACAGGAAAACGAGGAAAAGGATGATTTAACTGATGATAATGATGATGCTAAGACTACAGAAAGCTGGAAGCCAGATACAGAATCATTACGGTCAGGATTCGTTCAAGAGACAGCTAAAACTGTAGTTCCTCCACCAGGATTTGTGTTTGATGAAAATGGTAAATTGGTGGATTTAACACCATCTAGTATGAAACCAAGAGTGGTCTCCACATATTCTGAAATTGAAAGTGGTTGGAATGTGTTTCCAACAAATTATGGGGGTGATTCTGTAGAATTAGAGACTATTCATGATACTAAAACATTATATGATAATAGCACAATTTATAATGTTCCTGGTCTTTTAACTAATAATCAAAATTTACCTCCCTTACCAGATAATATAAATGCAGAGACTTCAGCAGGAATTATCAACAGAGATAAAAATACCATATTAAATCATCAATCAACACCTATGTCAAGCAATGTTTTAAATAACTCATTAACTGAGACAACTACACCTAGTGCTAGTAATATGAATATTAATAATGATAATAATATACAAGGTTTAAAGAATACCCCAAGAATAGATTTGCACAATGATATGCCAGAAACCAATATTAATCAAATAATACTATCAAAAACTTCGCACTCATCGAAACTTGAAAAATTAAACAACTATTATGATACACTGTTTAGATATGACACTGGACTGCAGTTATGGGTTCAGCATTCGCTAAACATGCCAAGAGAAGAGAAGGAAACAATTTTGGATTATAAACAAAGTAAAATTGTTAAAGAAGCCTATGCAAATGCCGAAGAATTAAGTAAGAAACATACGGTTAGTAATACTATGGCTAGTGTCAATCAAAATGTAAATCATTTGAAAAAGAAAGTGTTACAACATACAATGAATCCAAAGACACTTTTTTCTTCAATCGGTAAGGGGGTGAAATTGTAAGCTATTAATATACATTATATATAATTAAATTAGATTGATTTTTTTTTTGATCTATCTTATTTTATTTTTAAAAGGAAACAGTATTCAAGATGGAATTGAGTTTAAAGTAGAAACTCTCGTTATTGCTATTAGTTCGTTGATTTCAATAATATTTATTTGTTTATTTTGTAGTTCTTTGTATTAATTATTGTATTTGAAATGAAAATGAAAAAGTTAAAACAAAATGTAAAAACCAGAGAGAAAAAATGGGTTAATTATCAACAAAAAGTAAACGAAATTCTTTTATCTATACACTTCAAGTAACTCAGCTCTATCTAATATTCCTACCTCTTTCTAACAATTCAAAAAATACAATAAAACAAAAACAAAACCAGCTACCAATAAAATTGTTTCCAATTTGCGTTCGATAAAAACCAATTAAATGATATATAATCTTTTTGTTTGTTTTTAGACTATAAACAAACTTATACATCACTAATTTCTCTTTTCCTTTAATTTTAATTGTTACCATTATTTTTATTATTACTATTAAATCATTGTATGATTTTCAATCGATTAACATCCTAATAAACAAAACGGTCTACTCTTTTCAAATGTGATAAGAATTAACTTGTTTAATACAAAATAAAAGAAAGTAAGTAAATAAAAAATTAATCTTTTTATTTGTTTTCCTCTATTAATTAACAATAGTTGAAACAACAGCTAATTATATCTAACAAAAATTCTTTCGAACCTTTAACAATTGATACTTAAAAGAAAGACATCCATAACAAACGAATTTTATTAAACATTCAAAATACAGAAAAGAAAGAAATATAAATGTGTTACACTATAGTTTTTTCCTATTATTATTGTAAGAAAAGAGTGCTAATATGCACAGTACTAAGAACAGTTTCTAAATAATTGAGTTTCTGTATTAATGCATTCTCATCAAGAAAAGACAATTATGGAGACAAAGATAAAAAAAATTTCACAACAACACTAATTATACTAAAAAGCATCAGTCAATACATACACCACCCATATGATATAACCTTTTAGTACACACACACACACACATACATATATATTTATACGTATATGTATCTTTGTGTATATATTTATGTAAGACATGTCTTTGACACTCACCTTCTTTTCTTTTTGTTTTCCTTCTATTTCTACTTGGTAACGCCATTTTTTTTGTCCCCTTACTCCTTTTTATGTTTTAATCAATCTCAAGCTTGCATAATTTATCCTGGAACACTCCATCCTAATAAGTATATAAAACTGGTATGAAATGTGAGTAACCTACATAACTAGTGACACATTATAGTACATGTGGCATTTCTATTCATTGCTTACAATGAAAAAATCACACTAACACCATGACCTACATTGACAATAACAAAGACGATACTTTTTATTTAGGGTTCGATCTTTCCACCCAACAACTTAAATGCCTAGCAATTACTCAAAATCTTAAAATCGTCCATTCTGAAACAGTTGAATTTGACAAGGATTTGCCTCATTATGGTACACAAAAGGGAGTCTTTATCAATAATGAAAGAATAGAGTCTCCTGTGGCTATGTGGCTAGAAGCCTTAGATTTAGTACTAACCAAATATAAATCTGCAAACTTTCCATTAGATAGAGTGCAAGCCATCTCAGGATCCTGCCAACAACATGGTTCTGTATATTGGTCAAAACAAGCACCCAACTTATTAAAAAAAGGAATTAAAAACGGTGAGACAACTACTCTAATAGAACAACTATATCCAATGGCATTTACTAGATTGACCGCACCTAATTGGCAAGATCATAGCACAGGTAGTCAATGCCAACAATTAGAAACATTAACTGGTGGACCAAGTAAAATGGCTAATATTACTGGGTCTAGGGCCCACTTTCGGTTCACTGGTTCTCAAATATTGAAAATTGCACAGGAAGAACCCGAGACCTATGCAATTACAGATACTATCACTTTGGTGTCTAATTTCTTAAGTAGTATTTTATGCGGTAAATTAATACCATTAGAAGAAGCAGATTGTTGCGGAATGAATCTTTATGATATCCCTAAAAGAGATTTTAACCGTGACTTGACACAATATATAGATACTGAAGCTTCAAATAATAGCCACAATCCAAAGAACAATAAAACTCTAGTTGAAAAATTACTTGGACCACCTATTAAATGTGGATTCACCCCCCATAATTTAGGTCCCATTGGCACATATTTCATTAAAAAATTTGGTTTCAAAAAGGATTGTAATATTTTCCCCTTTACTGGTGACAATCTAGCTACCATCTGCTCACTACCTTTACAACAAAATGATATCTTAGTCTCTCTGGGGACAAGTACCACTGTTTTATTGGTCACAAATCAGTATCATCCTTCACCAAATTATCATTTCTTTATTCATCCGGCTATACAAAATACATATATGGGTATGATTTGTTATTGTAATGGTGCCTTAGCAAGAGAAAGAATAAGGGATGAATTAAATAAGAACCATAATCTCCCCACATCAAATAGTTGGGAATTGTTCAATAAAGCCATACTAGATAAGGATGTGGATACGTCTAATGAATTAGGTGTATACTTTCCATTAAGTGAAATTGTACCTAGTGTGTCTCCTGTAACAAAAAGAATCATTTTCGATAAGACTACTGGTGAAATTGATCATGAAGTGAAGCAATTTATTAATAAAAGCCATGATGCCAAAAATATTGTTGAATCACAGGCTTTGAGTTGCAGGGTGAGAATATCTCCATTATTAAATAATTCTGTAAAAGAAAATAAATCTACAAATAAGAAGGTTACCGTCTCATTTGATTATGATAAAGACATCCCACTGGCACAGTTTTTGCATAAAAGACCAAACAGAGCATTCTTTGTAGGTGGCGCTTCTAAGAATGATGCTATCGTAACCAAATTTGCCCAAATATTAGGTGCTACTGAAGGAAATTATCGTTTAGATACGCCCAATTCTTGTGCACTTGGTGGTTGTTACCTAGCATTATGGTCTGATTTATATAAAAAGGAAATCATATCTTCCAAATTTGATGTTTTCTTACAAGAAAAGTTCCCCTGGAATGAACTAGAACATATTTGTAACTCCAATACAGATATTTGGAATGAATATAACAACAAGATAGTGCCATTAAGTAGACTAGAGTCTTCTTTGTAAATATATATACATACTCTTGTACACACACACACACCTACACACACACACACGTAGATACATACATACATACATATAGTATATATATATATATTCATTTCCTTCGTACACACGCACTTTCCCATTTCTCTATAGTACATGTTAATATTTCATATCTCAATATATAATGACTTTTATTTCAACACTACCAAATTGTCCTCTGAAAAAAAGTCGACAAAATGAAAAATTACTTTGGCAATAAGACAAGAATAAGGACAAATTCCCAACTCCGAGAAGAATAAAATATATAGACCATATATATATCAAAAACGATCTCAGGCAAACGAGACTGAGCTCAAAGAGAAAAACAACAGGATCAATCCTAACACATACTCTAAAGATTATCATATTTTAACGAATGAAGGTTTTTGTCAACTCAAAACTTTGAAATATGTTGAAAAAAAGTGTACAAAGGTTACTTTATCCCAGGCAAGGAATTCTCCTTAAGAGAAAATCATTTTCTACAAATACAATATGCAGATCTATTCAACCATTTCTAATGCCTGCTATGTCTCCAACTATGGAGAAAGGTGGAATCGTCAATTGGAAATTTAAACCTGGTGAGAAATTTGAAGCAGGTGATGTCCTATTGGAAGTGGAAACCGATAAAGCACAGATCGATGTGGAGGCTCAAGATGATGGCCAAATGGCGAAAATTCTTGTTGATGATGGTGCTAAAGATGTCAGTGTTGGTACTCTAATTGCTTATTTAGCTGACTCAGATGATGATCTCTCTAAATTAGTAATCCCTACTAGTGACAGTCAAATATTGAATAACAAAACAAATCAATCATCCAAAGAGGTAGCAAGATCTAATATAACTAATTTAACTAAAAGGGAAACTACTACTAGTGAAAATATCACAGACAGCTCATCGACCGAATTATTACCATCTGCAGCTATTTTATGTTCTCAAAATAATATTTCTATTCAAGAAGCTAAGAACAAAATTGCAGGATCTGGACTACATGGCAAAATATTAAAAGGTGATGTTCTTGCATATTTAAACATGATTCCAAAAGAGTCCGTTGATAAGATTAGCCAATATGTGGAACTAAATAGTAAACTTGATTTATCAAATATTGAAATTCAAAAAGTTACAACTTCCAATGCTGAAAGTACTGAAAATGGTAAAAAAGAAGAAATTGATACTGTTGAAGAATCTACGACGAATACAGCCAAAATAACACCCATTTCTTTTACTGAAGATCTTATAATCTCAATCCCTAGCAACGTCACATTCAATGAGTTACGTCACTCAATGAAAAAGTTTATTCAAGAAGCTTACCACTATTCACACAAGCCATCCATATCTACATCACAATATTTTGATCCAATCTTTGAAGATTTACTAACTGTTAGCCCACGCCAATCAAGATTCCATTATGATTATAATTTATTATGTATGGATAAATCAACAAAGCAATCGGAAAGAGATATTTTTGATATTCTATCCTCAGATAGTTCCACAACTAAGTGTGGAAATGCTCAAAGTAATCAAACCAGTTCTAATGAATGTTTATTGACAATAAACGTGAATGTTGATAACAACTTTACTGATTCTTTAGAGAAGGCAAACAAATTTATCAATTATATAAAACAGCTGGAAAGCGTTGCTTGAAGGTTAAATAAATAGTATTCATTCCATCATATTCTTGTTTGTTCTCCCTTTTACCTTTCCTTTACCTCATCTTCCTATTACTTCCTCATTTTTCATTATTAATAATTCCTAACTTGTATCACAATTAAAAATACTTTATTTTCTAATTTATATAAATATATAAATATATATTTAGATATTTGGTATTTGTTATTTTTAATATCTCTATTTCTTTATCTATAACACAAAATTTAAAATACTAAATAGCCATTGTCTTCGAGGAATAAAACAACTTTTTGAACAATATGATTAATAGTTTCGTCTGAAGAGCCAAGTTTAATATCAGCATCATTAGTTGAACTCAATCTGTAAACATTAGTACCTTTAATACTTAGATTATTTTGAGGAATAATTAAGCCAGAACCAGCCTGGATGAAATCTGGAATCAAATTCAATAACTTAACATCGTTATCATGCTTATAGATCTTGTAATGTCTACCACCACCAAACTGTAATAAAGTAGACAATAGGGCAATGGATAACTGATTTTCAGTCACTTGTAACTCATCACCGAGAACAATAGCAAAACCTTGCTTTTGTCTTGGTGGATTAGATTCTCTTAAGATTTTAACCACTTCTGGATATGAGAACCATTCCGGAATATGACCGCCAACTCTTAGTCTTCTTCTTAATTCTGTACCCGAGATATTCAAAGTCTTAGTCTTACTTGTGTCAATTTCATCGATTGGAGCATAACAATCTTCATCAGGCAAATACGTGACCATTCTGAATGGAACCACTTGAATCTCTAGTTCATTCTTATAGGATTCCACTAGTTCTTGTGCATCATATGGTCCATAGAAAGCAGCACCTTTAGAGTTGGAACCAGGACCAGCATGATCTCTTCCAACAATAAAATGTGTAGCCCCATAATTTTTTCTAATAATTGCATGCCAAACAGCTTCTCTATCACCAGCCATTCTCATAGCCAAAGGTAATAAAGATAAGAAAGCTAACCCACTTGGGTAACGTCTGATAATCTCTTGATAGACACGAACTCTAGTATGGTGGTCGATATCACCTGGTTTAGTTAAGCCCACCACTGGGTGAATCAATATACGAGCATTAACCTCCCTGGCTGCCCTTACAGTTAACTCCCTATGGGCTCTATGCATAGGATTTCTTGTTTGAAATGCAACAACACGATCCCAACTACGAGATTGGAATTCGGATCTTAATTGATTTGGAGTCTTTCTCAAACCTGGATAATCATAATGTACAGGTAACTGGATAGCATCTAATTCACCACCAATATAGTACTCACCGACAGAGTTATTTAAAAATATAATAGCTGGGTGTTCTGGATCACCTCTAAAGACTTTTTTTGCTTCTAATTGTTTATCTGGTTTATAAATATCACTAACAGTTATAATAGCAATCGGAATTTCACCATCTTGTAACAAGGTCAACCTTTGGCCAAGTTGTAAAGATTGAGCAAATGTGGAATCAACATCCAAATTTATTGGCATAGTCCACAGAATACCATTAGCTAGTCTAGAATTATTGACAACGTTAAGATAATCCTTTTCATTTAAAAACCCAGTTAATGGGGAAAACCCACCATTTAAAATCAATTCAATATCACACAGTTGTCTAGAAGTTAAATTCCATGTTTTAAGAGTCTTAGATTCCTCTAAAAGGTCCTGATGTCTTTCATTATCTCTAAGTATCAAATCTTGTAAGATACCACCGTGTGGAGCTGGCATGATTAATGTTTTTTTTATTTTTTTTTAGTTAATAAACTCTTCTTTTATATAGCAAAAAAGAATAATATACAACTTATAATTCTGTTTGGTTATCTTTACGGTGAAGAAAAATATTTGTCTAGAGACAAAGAACAGGATTCTCAGCCAACAAGTCAAAAATTCTACGATTCCTTAATTTTTATATATTTCTTTAAATTGCTAATCCATTAAATAGCTTCTTGATAATATCGTCATTCCTGCACCGTAAAAAAGGTAAATAATAACTTACACTATTAAAATATTGTGACATTTTTATTCTTTTCTATTCTATTACACAATCAATGCCTATTGACAGATTGTGGAATCAATAATGGTGGATGGATTTGGAAAAGAAATAGAAACAAGAATATTCTGAATGATAAACCATGCTCAGGTATGGTCAGGGTCTTCCAAGAGATGCATCTATTTGATCGATCTTCACTCTCCTTGGATTGGAAATAATCGAAAATCACAGTCTTTTAGCAAGTACATACGCCACATACTTTTCCACAAAACTAGCTATCTAACTGTGAATTGTTTGGAACCTCTTCATAACTCTTCTCACTAAAGAAAAACGCTCAAAATTTCTCTCCCCATTATCTAAGATACCCTATCACCAATTATATCCCACACGTTTTGCCCTTGAATTAACCAAACTGAGCGTTTGTACCACAAAAATTGTGACACACACAATTTTTTTTCTTCCTCACTCTCTATCTTTATTTCTTCTTATGTGGTTGAACTATCAATGATAAAATATACACAACACACAACAACAAACTGTGGAATTACAAGATCACGTGCCAAAAATAAGCATGTGATCGAGCACTTGTTCATTTATTTATTTATTTTATGTATTTCATACAGGCACACATATATCTACATATATATATATATATATAAATTATATTATTAATACATAATGTAATGGACTTATAAGCTACAGAAGATATCAGAAAAAGAACACCGCATTTTTATTTTTTCGTTTTATTTTGGAGAAAAAACAACCACACTACACCTATATTTACTCTTCATTGTAATAATCCTCTTCATCAGAGTCAGATCTATTATCTAATTCTTTAGATTCTAACAAAGCTTGTAATTCAGCATCTTCAGTAGCAGTGACAGCCTTTGGTGCCATAGTAATATTACAAACACCACCATACTTACCGATAACTTCACTAATCTTTTCAATAGCTTTTTCTAATAATTCAACACCAATATTTTTATCTAATGCTTGAGTTGTAATAACATATAATGGTGCTGCAACCAGTTTAACCTTAATTTGCATTTGTTCAGTAGATAAATCTTCTGCTGCTTTTAAAGCTTCCTTAATAGCATCAATACCTTCATAACTGAAACAGGAGACTTCAACATCAGCTCTAATCTTAACAGCTTGTGGAGTCAATCTTTTAGAAATGTAAGTCTTTAATTCTTCTAAAATTTCCTTTGATGGTGGTTCAATACCTTCCCACACGGAATCGTCAATAATAGACAACTTAAATGCTTCATAAGCATGGCCAAACTTTCGACTCAAAGGCCATGCAATACTCTTGTACAAGTCCTCTAATGGGATTTGGAATTTTTCAGCACAGAATCTTAAAATAGAATGAACTGTTTTTGATTTTTGATATTTTTCTTCACATTTAATAATATCTTCAGAAGATACACGACGCTTAGATAGATCAATGTACCCCTTTTCCTTATCAACTCTTAAAACAACAACAACATCATTCTTACCAACACGGATCAACTTTTGAATAGAACGAATACGTCTACGAGACAATTCACTCAGAAGAATCATACCTTCAATGTTATCATATTCTAATAACTTAACGTATGCACCCATTTCCGCAATTTGTTGGACGTTGACCATGACTACATCGTCAACTTCTGGGAACTTGTTTTCATAGAATCTGCAATGACTAGTTGACATCTTAAACAATATTAGTAATATTAATCAAATAAACAATTGTATGCTTGCCACAACCTATTGTTTCTTGTCCACCAGGAATAAATATGTATATTGATGTGGTTCCAGAGATAAATTAGTCCATTACACCTTATTTAATGGTTGTAAATGAAAGTTTATTATAAGTTTAATGGTCTTTTAAAAGAAGAAAAAATTTTTCTTTTTTTTTTGTCATTTTGCTCTCTTAGCCTTTTTTTCAAGCATACAAGAAAAACTAAAAAGAAAAAAAAACTTATATCGTGTAAAGTGATAATACATCCACTCACATATATATAATATATAAATAACATATGTATATATACATATGTATTATATTATAAGCACGAAAGAAGAAGAAGAAAACATAATTTATAAACTGTTCAAGATATACGCAATCGGTCTATTATAATTTGGAATATAATATAACGATAATTAAAAACGACAAAACTATTTGACTATAATACAAACATAAACATATAATTGTAATCATAATTAATTAATGAATAAGTATATATATATATATATGAAATGTCTCATTACAATTATCTTAACACCAAACATGTAAGAAACGAGCCAAGAAAGTCTTACGATTTTCTGCTTCAATTCTTAATTCTTCTCTGAGCACAGCTAAGTCGACTTGTTTTCTATCTGAATGCAAATCCATTTCATCCAAGGAGACCAGGATTTGTTTCCTCTTAAAATACAACTTGTGACCAACATAACATACAATAAGAATTGGCAAAGATAAGTACCCTTCAAAGAATGATTCTGCATCTGCACCGTTCCCACCTAATGGAAACAAAGAGGTCCAAAAGGATGCAATAAGAACCAAAAACAACACTGCAAGACCATAATACGAGCCAATGACACCTGTCTGCGAAATATATGGCAATTCTTTCAACGAAATATTTTGATGTTCCATAGCTTGACGGAATCTGATGTGTGAAATGTTAATAGCCATCCAACAAAAAATTGTAGATAAACCAGATAATGCACTTAACCAAGTAAAAACCTCTTCTTGTTTATCAGAGGCAGCAATGAATGATAATAAACCAAAGAATAGAGTGGCTAGAGTAGCATTGATTGGTCTACCTCTTTTATCAATCTTAGACAAAATTTTTGGTAGGTTACCAATATGTGCCATAGATACCATACATCTAGAGCATGCATAAACAGCACTATTAGCAACAGAGATAATTGCAATTAAAATAATAGCATTCATCAAAGAAGGTAAACCTTTAATACCACCATTTTCGATTGCAATAACTAAAGGAGATGCTGCTGCATCCACAGAACTAGTACCATTTAATAATCTTGGATCATTATATGGTACTAAACAACCAATTAATGTCAAAATAGTTACATATGATGCAGTAATCAACCAGAAAGTCCTCTTTGCTGCTTTTGGAATAGTCTTTCTTGGATTCAAGGATTCTGCAGCAGAGACCGCGGTCATTTCAATACCAGAATATGAAAACGCAGCAGTAACAAACACTGAACAAAGACCTTTGAATTGGGTACCAGCAGTATCACCCACAAAGGCACCTGGGTTATGCCAATATTTACCACCAATATAACCACCACGAGGGCCCCCACCACAAGATAATACAATGCCCAGAATAGTAAATCCAATAATTGCTAGAATTTTAATCATTGAAAGAATAAATTCTGCTTCACCAAATGACTTAACATCCAACATATTAACAAACGCAATTGCAGAATAGAAAATCGCAACCCATGCATCCGAATTAATTCTGTCGTTCCAATATCTAATGGTAATGGATGCAGCCACTAATTCCAATGGTAATAAAACCAACCATTGAGCCAAATAATTTAAATTGATAGAAAACCCGAAAGATGGATCTACAAATCTGGTAATGTAAACATTAAACCCACCAACAACTGGGAAAGCTGCAGCCAATTCACCTAGGGAGTTAATAACTGTGAAAAGACAAGTAGATATGATGACCCAAGCGATAACCAATGAAGCCGGACCACCAGAATTCAAAGCCCCACCAGAATTAACGAAAAGACCAGTACCGATCGAACCACCAACAGCTAAAGTTAAAAGATGTCTAATATCCAAATCTTTATTCATTTTAACTTTTGAGATGTGCTCTTGTTCAACGGACCCATCACGTAATTGTTTTTCATTCGAGAAATTATTAGTATTATAGTCATAATCATCATCAACATCGCGTCCATCATTACTACTACTGTTATAACTGCTATTATTATTGAGATTTATCTCTTTTTTCTCACGAGTGAACATATTAGACTCAGATTTTTCATATTCACTTTTATTTTCACTGTTATTAATGTAAACATGTGTGTGATGATCCTTTAGAGATATAGTAGATTCATTTTCTACCGTATTCGAACCTGTTGAAGTACCATTAACAACACCCACAGGGGTGTCTGCCGCATGGAAGCCATCAATAACATCTTCCCAATAGGCTTTTTTGAATGGATTACCTACCATATTATTTTATGCGATTTATCAAAAATAAATAAAAAATTTTTTGGTATTACCTATTACTACTTTAGCGATCTTCAGGGAGATGAAATAATATATTTAAATATTTGAATTATATATTGTATAATATCTTATCTACGCCAAACCAAGATCACTAATATACACACATATATATATAAGTTAAAACATACTGAACAAGAAGAAAGTCTACATGATCAATATACAAGCATGTCTTCTTTCTTTGTATTTTTTTTCCTTTCTTTTTTTTTCTTTTTCTCTTTAGCTATTCGCTTCCACAGATCGAAAACTGATTTAAGGCAACTTCCCGAGCAAACAAAATAAATAAATATATATATACAAAAATTCATCGAATTAAATTTTCATGTAAAATTCTGACTAACCTAAGAAAAAAGAAAAAACAAAAAAAAGACATGACTAAATAAAAAGTAATAAAATAATAGAACTGAAGAGCAGATGGAAAAACAAAAACAAGAATGAGAAAACAAATTATTATATTAAAATTTCCATCTTGTATTAGAATATCATAAAACACGACTTTTAATTCTTGTTCTTATTTTTATTTTTATTTTTCATTTTGTGTTTGTGTGTATATTGGTTAGTTGGGTTATGGCAAAATATTTGCTATGAAACCTTTTTTTTTTTTTTTTTCTTTTTTTTTTGATAACTAATCACGGGAAACACTATCAATAAAACAAACATGCCAGTGGTGTCAAGATATATATAGAGTATATGCTAATACTGTCTCGATATTGGGATGTAAGTTTATATATGCAAACACATATAAGATTCGAGATCTCATAGATCTTTTTGTGTTAGTTAGGTTATATTTTATTCTTGTATCTCCCTCATCCAAGCCATATATGTAATTCCACATTAACTATCTTATATAATGTAGCATTTTTGTTTTTAGTATAACATTTCTTTGGATAGAATGTTCTTGGTAGATTATTATCCATTATTTGACAAAACTAAAACGAAAGAAAAACCAAGAGATTTTATGCAAAACCTATTGCTTTCTTTCTTTTATAGCACAACAAGTTTAATACAAACATAAATGAGCATCCAAGTAAAAAGTATCCAGACATGGCGGCTAACAACTGCAACCTTTTTTTAAACACCCATACATTCTGGTTACGCGTCAAGATTTTTCTTTAATTTTTACCATTTTTTTTGTTTTTGTTTTTGTTTTTTTTTTCTTACATATCTTTTACTTTTTAATTAGTACGCGTCAATAAACATTTAAAAAAAAGAGAAGAAGAAAGAGTAAGGAAGATAAAAAGAAAAAAAGATAAAAACAAAGAGAAGGGAAGAACGTGCAACTGGATCAAAGTTTAGCAGTATTGATTTATAAGACAAATTCTTTGTCTTTTACTATTAATCATATGCTAATTATTATCTCATTTGCTCTAATATCCTAAAATTATTCCCATTATTTTTCTTCAAAAATAATTTACTCATCGATTCAAGTAAACTGACTAATTTTTCGAGATATATTCACCAACAAACATATATACATAAACCAATACAATTTATAACATTATGGGTCGTTTGCTAGGTTTGGAATTATACAATTTCAAATCTTATAAAGGTGTTGTTAAAGTGGGATTTGGAAATTCTAGCTTTATAAGTATTATAGGTCCAAATGGGTCTGGTAAATCTAATATGATGGACGCAATTTCCTTTGTTTTGGGTGTACGTAGTTCTCAATTAAGGTCTAATATTTCAAAGGATTTAATATATAGAGGTATTAAAGATACCATCGACGGAGTTGATGATTCCAATACAGAGAATAATACCAGTGATAACACAGCAGATGAAACAGAAGATACCACAGATGCATATGTAAAAGCATTTTATCAACCAAATGATAATGATAGTGATGATTCTGATATAATTGAATTTATGAGGCAAATTTTACCTAATGGTGAGACAAATTATTTCATTAATCAAAAACAAGTAACTTTCAAGAAATATTCTGAAACTTTAGCACATGAAAACATTTTAATTAAGGCCAAAAATTTCCTTGTCTTTCAAGGTGATGTCGAACAAATTGCGTCTCAATCACCAATTCAATTAACTAATATGCTGGAAACAGTATCAGGATCTATTCAGTATAAAAAAGATTATGAAATACTAAAGGAAAAATTAGAACTTTTAAACCAATCTACTGCTGAATCAATAAGAACACGTAGAAGAATACATATGGAACTGAAAACTTATAAAGATGGGATTGCAAGGGATAAAGAATATAAAGCTACAATGAAAAGAAAAAAATATAATGAAATGATCCTTGCTTTATGGAAATTATATCATTTAAAATTAGACAAAGATGAGTTGTTGAGTAAATTAACAAAATATGACGATAGATTATTAGACTTGAATGTAAAAGTTACAAAACAAGATGAAATAATAAAAGATGAAAAAAAAATTGTTTAATCAAAACAACAGTTTACTTTTAAAACAGCAAAATAAATTAGAATATATATTAAAAGAAAAACAATCTTTACAACATAATTTCAAATCAATCAAATTACCGCAAAGATCTTTGATCCAAAAAATTAATCAACTAGAGAAAAGAATTGAAATGTTAACTAATGAAATAAGTAGACAGGAAAATAATGTCAAAAGATTTACTAACAATTTAAATACTGTAGAAGATGCTAAATCTAAATTCGAAGCCAAATTGTCTTCACTTAACGCAAATTGTAACAAATACAAACTGAAAGATGATGATTTGTCCTTTTATAAGGAATTAAATGAGAAATATCTCCTCAATGGTGGTTCTCAAATAGAGGAAAAAATAGCAATTATAAATAATGATAAGAATGAACTAAATCATGAAATTGATTTATTACAAAGAAAGATTGATATCTCTAAAGAAAGAATCGATGAAGAAATAGTGGTTGATATGAATAAGTTGGAATTACAAAAAAATGATTTGACATTACAATTAAATGATAAAAATTCTATTAATTCACAACATTTAAAAGATTTAAAATTCTATCAATCTGAAATTGAATCTAAAAATAACCAAGAATATGATTTGAATTACAAATTAAGAGATACACTATTGAAAATTGATGAACTAAACGCATCAAAGAGAGAATCTTTAAGAGAAAGACAATTAAGAGAGAATGTAGCAACTTTGAAGAGATTGTTCCCTGGTGTTAAAGGTATTGTTCATGATTTATGTCGTCCAAAGAAGGATAAATATGCTGTTGCAGTCTCCACCATTTTAGGGCGTAATTTTGATTCTATCATTGTTGATACACAAACAGTTGCCCAGGAATGTATTTCTTATTTAAAGAAACAACGTGCAGGTGCTGCCTCTTTTATCCCATTGGATACAGTTGAATCTGAATCAGCAGTATTACCTACAATAAATGGTGTTCTTAATGGAGAATATTTACTAACAAGAAACGCTATTGATTATGAACCAGAATATGAAAGAGCCATGCAATATGTATGTTCTGATTCTATTATATGTTCCAATTTAGCAATTGCTAAAGAGTTAAAATGGAAATACAATATAAGAAGTAAATTAGTAACTCTTAACGGTGAAGTAATCCATAGGGCTGGGCTAATGACCGGTGGTACCTCTAAAGAGGGAAATAATAGATGGGATAAAGAAGAATACCAAAGTTTAATGACATTAAAGGATACTTTATTAGAAAAGATTGAAATTGTTTCTGACGAAATTAGGCAAGCATCCATGAAAATTAGAGATTTAGAAGAGAATATTTCCGTATTTAATACCGAAATATCATCAATCAGAGATCAACTCACCCAAATTGATAGAGGTATTCATGAATTGGATATTGAATTAAAATACCAAACAGAGTTGATTGCAAAAGATTATAACCCCAGATTGAAGGAATTAAATGAGAGAATATCTGAACTTGAAACCAAATTAAAAGAATTACTCTCAGAGAAAAAAGAACTCCAATCCAGCATATTTGAAGGCTTTAAAACTAGGTTTGGCTTCTCAGTTCAAGAATATGAAAAATATTCTGGAACAGTTATGAGAGAACAAAATAAAGAGCTTCAACTCCTAAAGAAAGAGATTATTATTATCGAAAATAAGTTACAATTTGAGAATGAGAGATTAACCACTACCAAAAAAAGATTTGAAAAATCTAAAATAGATTTAGATAATACAACAAAAGAACTAAAAAATCTTGAATTAAAGGAAAAGGAACAAATTGAGAGGGTTAATACCATCGAAAGAGAAATTAAAGAACAAGAAGAACTTGTTAAGACAACCCAACATGAAGTAGATACCAGACAACTGAAGATTAATAACTTAGAAGAAGTTTATAATGATCTATCATTAACATATCAAAATTTGGAACACGAAAAGAATGAAATCAATGATGATATTGAAAAATTAGACCTTGTACGCCTAGGAACTTTGAAAAACTGTAAGATATCTAATATAGATATCCCAATTTTATCGGATACATCTCTATCAGATATTCCAATAACTTCAAATGAAACAGAAGCTTTAACTGCTTCCACTATGTTAGAGATTGATTATGATAAATTGCCAAACAAATATAAAGATAATCATTCTAATAAAGTAAAGGCTGAAATCGAAAATAACATCAAAGAAATAGAAGAGTTATTGAAAATTTTACAACCAAATGCTAGAGCAGTAGAAAGATTTGAAGAAGCACAATCTAGATTTAATGAAGCAGATAAAGAAACAGAGAAGTTAAAGGCTGAAGAAAGAAAAGTTCACGCAGAATTTAACCGAATAAAGAAATTGAGAAAGGAATTATTTGAAAAAACTTTTGATCATATAAATGAACACTTAGATGGAATATATAGAGAACTGACAAGAAATACAAATTCCGCGGCCGAATTATCAGGAGGTAGTGCATCGTTAACATTAGAGGAGGAAGATGAACCATTTAATGCTGGTATTAAATATCATGCCACACCCCCCTCTAAAAGATTTAAAGATATGGAATATTTATCTGGTGGTGAAAAGACGATTGCAGCATTAGCTCTATTATTTGCCATTAATTCATACTGTCCCAGTCCATTTTTTGTACTAGATGAGGTTGATGCTGCATTAGATGTCAAAAATGTAGAAAGAATAGCTTCTTATATCAAAAAACACGGTAACAAAAATTTTCAATTCATTGTTATTTCATTAAAGAATAGCATGTTTGAGAAATCGGATGCTTTAGTTGGTGTATATAGAAAACAAAAAGAAAATACATCAAGAGTAGTCACTCTAGATTTATCTAAATATGCGGACTAGCATAATTATTTAGTTTTGACCAACTTTTATGGAATATGTCTATGACAGTGGCTAAGTTCATACATCTAACTACATATTTTCATTGTTACCATCGCAGGTATATACGCCATTATTAATTGTGTGTCCAACAGTGTAGATTTGACTTTGTGTACGTATTTTTTAGTTATTTTTGATATATTAATTGATTTGCATATATTACGTTGTGTTCTATTGTGTTTATACCTATTCTTTTGTGTCTGAAGTATCCTTTTCTTTTTTTTTTTTTTTGTATGGACAAGTTTGTAAAGGATTACTTACAAATTTCTTTAAGGTAAATTTAAGGGAACATATTATCTACACTTAAAAATAGTGGATATATAAATGAATAATGAAGACACAAAGGTTGTTATTAAAGAGTAACTAATCTACAGGCTTGAAAGATTTTCTATCTCAACTGATTTAGTTTGTCTTGTTATTCATATTCCTGTTTTGAATCAAATTTAGTTGCTTTTTTTTTTTTTTTTACCTGAAGCAATATTATAGAATATAATTAAAAAGAATAAAGGATAGTATTACCTAATCATTTCATTTTATCTATATACACATTTAATGAATAAGCAAGAAATAAAAGCACCTATTCCAGTAAGACATAAGGTTTTATCAGCATTGAAGAGTGAGAAAGGTGTATATAAAATCACAAACTCAAAATCACCACCTTTGAATATCTACCAAGATCTAAGAACCAGATCTGCGACCCCAAATACGCCAACATATGGTTCAGTATATCAAAACGAAGCCGAATATAATTTAGAAACAAGAACGAAGTATTATAATTTGGATTTTCCAGATGATAAAGGAGAGTATGAAAGGGTCATTTACGATCCGAAGTCTAGGTGGTTCAGTAGAAAAGTCAAACCAAAATTTGAACCTCGTCTTTATATTCCATATATGATTGAAACTCATAAAGACCAAGCTAAATATATTACACAAATACTTACTAATCTTTATATTGCTATAAGCTCGACGGATATTGAAGGTTTGATTCCTATCACTAGTAAAGATTTAGCAGATTTGAAAAGTGAAGTTGATGATCTCGCGTTGAAAACTGATTTATTTACATTGTCCAGTCGGTATACACCTTTAGAAATAAATGGAAAAATAAGACAGTTTAATGAAGATGAATTGTATGATGAAAATTATTCTTCTACTTCACAGAGTGCAAATGTTGATATTTTTAGTAAAATTACTGCTAAATCTCCAGCTATAGTAAATGTAAATCATTGGACAAATGAATTACGAAATTGTCTAGATTTTAACTTCCCTGTGTTATTAAGAAAAAGTTTGACAACAGTGTTTTATTATCTTGCTCTTACACAAGGACAAGACATTTCTCGAGATTTATTTGTTGATGTTTTTGAAATACTGGTGGATGAAAATGATGACGGAACAAACTATGTAAAATTGTTAAAGGAGCATGGTTTAGTTTTAGACCATACAATTCTTTTTAATTTTATTTGTGACTTCTTTCCATATCCAGATTCAGATTATGCTAAATATGATTTATCTTCAAAAAGTGATTTAAAACTATTTAGAATACTATTAAGATTAGCACATTATTCCAAGCCATTTTTTAATGAAAAAGATGTAAATTTATTAAAAAATGCGATGGATTTATTGTTGAGTAGTTTTTCACCATCAACCATGTCCATAATTTTACCAATTATTACATCATATGTTCCATTCCACTTCAATAAAATATGTAGAATAACAGATTACCTTCCTTTTTGTTTCAGTCTTTGGACTTCCGTAAGTGCTACAATAGCTATAGATACTCATCTATTCGAATTTACAGGGGATATAGCGAAAGATGTCTATGAGAGATCATTAGAAAATGGAATTCAATATCTAACCGATTACAACATTTGTTTTGATAAGTTTGGTATATTTACCAAAGAGCAAATAACATTTCTGTTCAATAGACTCCAAGGACATTTAAGATTTAATACACAAATTGATTCATATACAAAATTAGTTCAATCATTTATCTATAGCATAAATGGTTCAAAATATCAAGGTATGTTAAATCAATTTTCAAAATTACTTAAAACAATCGAAACATTTGTACATCCTTCAAATACAGGGATATGGACGAAACCTATAGCTAAATTTGTTCATTGTTTCATTAAGATGTATCACAGAAGAATACAATATGAAAAAGAAGAGGTCAATAACCGTAGACTTAAGGGTCAAGAATTATGCTTAACCAAGGAATGCAACGATAAAATTATTGATTTATTTTTAAACATCGTAAATACTGGTGCTCAAAATAGGGGTCAAGATATTTCGAATTTTTATATATCTTGCATTTCATATCTATTAGATCTGGATTCAAGTAAAAGACATCTAATATTCGATCATGTTTTAGAGAATATTTATGATTTTTTAGCTGGTGAATATATTAATTCTAAACATCGGGTTATTTCCTCTCTTAAACAATTGACAAAAGCATCCAGATTCTTAGTGGCTGATCCCTTCTATAGGATCCATATCACAAATATATTGTCTTTGTTAGTAACAAAATTAGATTCGAACGATCTTCCACTTACCAGTCAAATCATTAATGCTATTGTTTCTACTATTTCTTTTGTTCCAATTTCTAATTTAGTATCCAACAATGACTTTTTGACATTTGAATCATATACACTTCCACTGATTCGGCAACATTATCAATACATAAAAGAACATGATGGAGGTATTTTCCCTTACAATAAAGATCTTTTAACTAATGCTTTTGAGGCTTCTACCACTGAATTTGAAAATATTCTAAGGGTGTATGTTGATAAAATATTTTCTTTGGTTGATGTAGAAGTAGATGAAGGATTAATTATTAAAATAAATCAAACCACAATGATAATGATGGAATCTATGGATAATGATATGTTGAACTATTTCTCAAACCTGTATAAAAGAAAATTCTGGGATAATGATGCATTTAATGTCAAAGATCCAAATTATGAATTAGTCACTATACCCTTAGCAACTTTGGTAAGAAATAATGAAAAGATGATATTAGAAATTGTTAATTCACTAATACACCATATCCGATTACAGATTGAAAAAGGTGCTGGTTCTATTAGGAGTTACTCTGAAATTCATCAAAGGGATATAAAACTTGTGCTATATTTGACGACTTTAAATGATATTTTAAGACAATCACATAGTGCTATTTTAAAGATGGATTCAGATCTAGTCGAATTCATAATTTACGTTTATGATAATATATCTAATCCTCCATTAGATGTTTTGACATCCATTCTAGTTCATAGTACATTATCAAGCCTTACTAATACAGAAATAGTTAAGTATTCATTGTTTTCAAAAAATGCTATGCTATCTTCAGAGGAGAAATGGGGTGGTTTGCAAAACGACATAAGATTGTATGACCCTGAAAATCTTGATTTCCAGTGGCATATTCCTACTGAAGAGGAAATCTCTTATGCAGTCACCCTTTTTGAACATATCACTAATTACTGCATTGAAAAAATATCTCTTTTAATGTCTAAACCTACAAATGATAAAACATATACAGATATGATTCAGAAATATATTCTAGTGTTGTCACACTGTCTTTCAGGTTGTAGTTTATTATTTGATCCAGATTTTAACAAGAATAAGTCAGTTATTTCGAACATTTCCTCTTATCGAGAAAAACTTTATTTATTAAAACAAATCAGGGATAAGAATTGTGATAATGATGAATTGAATATAGATGTTGAACAAATCCATTCTGAAAAAGACGAAAGTTTATATATGGTTACTGATGAATCATCATATGACCAATATGAAGATGATATAGTTGTAATTGATGATTCTAGGAATGAAAACTTTATGGTAGAAGACAGTATATCAGAAGTTCCTTCTACTGTGGGAACTCCAGTACCAAGTAACCAAACTGATGCATCTTTGATGAATGCTAGTCTAGCACAAAGAGATATGAATATATTTATGTGTAATTATTTTTTTGGGGTGACTACTGACGAGAAATTAAAACATCCTGACTATATTCGGGTTCATGATATTAGAAGCAAAATTGGTTTATTGATACATAAGCTCTTTTTGTTTCTTTCCGAACAGTGTGAAAATAATACAAAATTATTTATAATATTATTACATGGTTTGAAGGTTTGGTTCACTGATGTAGGAAAAGAATCTTTATTTTCAGATGATCCAGGTGCATTTCTAGACATTGAATTCATTGAAAATATTCAATTATTATCTCATAGACCAGATGCGATTACTAGAACATATTTAGCCGTGAAGCTTAATGATTTCCACCAGAGCAGAGTTTTGATGCGTTCAACAAATAGATATCCGTCTAGGCTGGAAATACAATTGTTGAATGATATTATTCTAATGGCCACGTCAATTTTCCCAGATATTCATAAAGTTGGACAGGCAACTTTGGTTCATTCAATGAAGCAAATAATCGGATCATATTCTATTTTAATTAACCAGGTCATTCAATTGATGGAGAATATTTTTAAGTCTAAAGACTATAAACGTTTAGATGGAATTTTAAAAGTTTTATCTCTTAAAAAGGTTCGCAGGAAAATATTACGTGATTATAAAAATATGGAAACATTGTTATTGCTTTTAATTCGGTGTTGCAAAATCAAGGAAGATGAAGTGGGTTATCATGCTAGTAACATTATTGCCAACTTTGTGTCTCATATTAAAATACCTTCTCATATCTGTTTGTTTGATAAGCGAGCATTAAATATGTTGGCGCCGGAAGGTTTATCATTAAATTTAAAAGTGAATGCTGTTAAAATGACTAAAGAAAAGAAAAGGCGTTTATGTATGGAAAAATTGCATAGTCTTCGAAATAAAATGTTGGGTTTGTTGCAAGATGATATTGATATGACTTGGAAAAATACTATATCAATTATTAGCTTGGCAGTGAAACTTGAATCAAATTTACAAATGCCTACTGATAAAAATACCCTTAAAGTTATAGTATCTTATATGAATACAAATCATCCTAGTGTTATAAATATTGTATTAAGGTCTATATTGTTAATTTTTAATAAATTTTTATCACTGGCGGATTACCAATATGACATTGAAAGAGCTTTTTCCTCTAAATTTGATCCTTTTTTTATTAGATATATTGACACATTATCACCTGATTATAAAAAGAGTTTTAAGAAAGAAATGTGTAATTTCGACAATCCTACATACTTCCTTGATTCGCAGGCGTTTATGGGATGGTTGTGTTGGGGTGTTTCATTTAAAGCCTTGATGATAGAAGAATATAAATTGGATTTTAGATTTGATGAATTGGAAGCAATGAAAATGTTGGGTCAGTTATTAACAGAAGAATTATTTATTCATATAACTTCGACTCTGATAAAAGACAACGAAAACCGTAGTACATTTAGTGGTGGTGAAGTTTCATTTTTTGTATTAATCATTTTGTTATCTGAGAAATACAATGGAGCAATCAGATTGGAACATCTTATTGAATTATGTCAGAAATATTATGATAGGACAGATAAGGCATCGATGATAATGACAGTTGAGATTATAGCTGCATTAATATGTAGCTTTAAGTACTTATCATCAAAGACGATTTCTAAGATAGAAAACTTTTTAGCAATATTCCTTCCTCAATGTTTAAATCATGAATTAAATCAGGACGGGTTTGAAGTTTGGTGTACTTTATTCTGGTGGCTACCAACTGTAGTTGATATACGGAGATCTAAGTCTCTTTGTAAGTACGTTTACAATATTAAAGGGATACTAAACACCCAAACCGATGATGCTGCTCACCAATCATACCGACTGATACATTTGAAAAATGTCATGTTGTCGTTAGAATATAAATCATTTGATGGAGCTTCGATTATAAAAGAATTAGTTTTTGATCATCCATACGAGCAAGTGCGAGAAAATGTGGCAAAGTTATTTGTCACAATAATTCAAAATGAAAGTTATCCTGGTTTTGAAAATTCAGATAAAGCCCTTGAACATTTTAAAACTCGTTCAGGTCTAGGTTTACCGTTAAAGATAGTCCCTGAGTCAATTGATAAATTTATTAAACAATTATTTTTAACTGCTACCTTAGAATATAAGAATGTGTTAAATTTAAGTCCGCAAGAAGTTTTAAAGACCAAATATTATTATAGAGCATCTACTTTATTTTATTGGATTAAAGAAATGTCAAGAGGTCCAACAAAAATTCTGTTAGTTCCATATATTGATTCACATGTAATTCCATTTTTAATCACTTTATTAAATCAAAAAGATGTCTGCAAGATTTCTGGATTAGATCCTACAAAATTATTTTTAAATATGACAGACATGCCATTGAGAAGTCCATATATTGGGTCTATAGTTGATCGATTATGCCAAGTGACCCCAATTGATTCATCATATCAAATCAGAGTTCAACTAACGTGTATCGAATACATTTTATCTTCGCAATTATTGCAATTATCGGATATTGAATTGAATAAAATCCGTGAATATGTATTGTACCAACTTTATAATGAAAATTTTGTGGAAGTTAGAATCCGTGCATCCTCATTATTATCCGAGATTATTCATTGCACTGGTGTTGACATTAATTTATTAAAAAAATTCAATAAAGATTTACCAAACTGTTCATGGGAACAAAAACAGAAATTGTCAAAGATGGACACAAAGATTCATTCGACTATTTTAGGTATTGGTGCAATAATATCTGCATTCCCATATATATTTCCTTTACCCAAATGGATTCCAAAAGAATTAAGTTTAATTTCATCTTGGGCAAGAACTACGGGTATTGTGGGGACAACTACAAAAAATATTATAAGTCAATTTAAGAAAGTTAGAGTGGATACATGGATATATGATAGAACTGTTTTTACGAGTGAAGAATTAGAAGATTTAGAAGGTGTTTTATGGAGAAGTTATTACGCCTAGATGTTTCTTTTTTTTTGTTTGTTTTTTATCTTCTTTTTCTAGAATAGATAGACTAATTATTCAATTATATGTATGAGTATAATATACATACAGAAAATATAATTATATATTGGATATAGCACATTTATTTATTTTACTTTCTTTTTATGTATCTTTAAAATAAAATAAAATAAAATAAAAATAAAAAAAAAAAAGCGGAAAAAGAAAAAGTTCAAAGGTCTGGTAAAAAGGAAAAAAAAAAAAAAAAGAATGGCACTTAGAAATGGTAAACCAATATTACAATCATTTATATTATTACAGTTATTATTTGCAAAGACTTTTTTATTGGGTAATACTTCCAGATAAGTTATTTATAATAGAAAGATTATAGTGGTAAAAGAAAAAAAACCAAGAATATGGTATAAAGATAAACAAAAATAAACACATACATATACATATACCTATATATATATATAGAAGGAAGGAGGGAAAAAAATGTCAGGCTTAAGGACAATATCGACTGGTTCACCAAAGAATTATGATTCCATAATGAAGATTTTATTAGTTGGAGATTCAGGTGTTGGAAAATCGTGTCTTTTAGTGAGATTTGTAGAAGATCGATTCAATCCGTCCTTTATTACCACAATCGGGATAGATTTCAAGATTAAGACGGTGGATATAAATGGCAAAAAAATCAAGTTACAATTATGGGATACTGCTGGACAGGAACGATTTAGAACAATTACTACTGCATATTACCGTGGTGCCATGGGGATTATTATAGTATATGATGTGACGGACGAAAGAACATTTGCAAATATTAAACAATGGTATAAGACTGTGACAGAACATTCTAATAGTGAAGCACAAATCATGTTAGTTGGAAACAAGAGTGATATGGACAACAGAGTAGTCACGTATGAACAAGGTGAAGGGCTAGCAAAGGAGTTACAAGTACAATACATTGAGTCAAGTGCAAAAGATGATACAAATGTTAATGAAATTTTCTTAAGTTTGGCGAGATCAATACAAGAGAAATTAGATTTAAATGCAGCACAGTTTGGTGTTGGTAACAACAGTAATAATGGTACTAGTGGTGGTAATAATGGCATTAATATAAAACTTAACAACGGGACTAACAAATCAGGATGTTGTTGAACACAAGATTGTAGGTGTATTGGTACATATTGATGAAAGAAACTGAGATAAATGAGGATATATATGATTTTTTTTATATGTATTTTTTTTTTCAATAAAATGGACACAGAATATAGAAGAAATTATTCAATCGAACCACCAGGTAATTCCGCGGAGAAACTGGGCTATTCAAAATGCCTGAAGGCTTTTCTTTGTTTCCGTGCGTGGTTTCCACAATTCCGCTTTAATGTGTATATGCACGTGACTTTCTCTTTGCTTTCCTCTGTCTTTCCCCCCTCCCCCCTTTTTTTTTTTTTAAGTTTTTTTGGTCTGCCGTGTTTTGTCTTTTTGTTTTTTTTTTTTTTTCCACACACCACGTGGACGTTTTTGGTTTTCTACCACCAAAGCAATGCAGACAGAGAAAATTAAAATGAGAAGAGCAGACGGAAAAGAAAAACCGAGGAGAGGAAGGCGGAGGGGGAAGGGGGAAGGGGGGAAGAGCAAAGATTGTTACTGTCACCTAGTCGCTCAACCACTGTCTGGCGAAAATATCTTTAAATCGTTAGAAGGAGAGGTAAGTATCAATAGTAGAGGACTAAAAAAAAAAAAAAGAATAAAAAAAGAATACATGAATGAACGTGTAAGTAGATTAAACAGGTAGAATCCTGGAACTATCATGTATATATGTTTCAATGTATTCTGGTCTAGGTGAAAAAGAGATATAAAAAGTGAAATATATTGACTTGGCCCTTATTTTTATATCTTTTATACCTGCATTATAGGATACGATACAATTGAAAAATAAAATATAGAGAAAATAGTATAAAGAAAATACTAATTACTGGAATAAAGAAGGAGTAGCAAAAATGTTATTTGGAGTCAAGTTGGCTACTGATATGTATCCTCCTTGGAAGGAGTCCTATATTAATTACGATGGTTTAAAAGAGTTATTAAAGGAAAATAGTGATAATCTTCCTCCCACTAGGTCCCATATCTCACGAGAAAATATTTGGACTGATGATGATGAAAATAAATTTGTTGATGTTTTGGATAAGGAACTCGAGAAAGTTTATAGTTTCCAATTAAATAAATATAATACACTAATGAATAAATTGGATCAATTGGAGAAACAAACAGACTCTGAAGAAAAGATTAAAACTTTGAACTCTGACACCTTCAAACAACTTCTAGAATCTTATCTTAATGAAGCACAGGAACTCGATAAATTTACAAGACTTAATTACACTGGGTTTGTTAAGATCGTCAAGAAACATGATAAATTACATCCTAAATATCCCTCTGTCAAATCTCTATTACAAGTTAGATTAAAAGAATTGCCATTTCATTCGGAAGAATACTCTCCATTATTATATAAAATATCATTTCTCTATAACATTTTAAGAGGCAATTTCGGTACTGTATCCAAATCATTAGCAAATAACTCTAAGTTGTCAAATGTTGGGTCTATTGATGATATTCAAATGGAATTTCAAACTTTTAAATTTTGGATCCATCAAGACAATTTAATGGAAGTTAAAACAAGGATCTTGAGACATCTGCCTGTGTTACTTTATTCACCTGCTCCAAATGAAAATGGTGATTTGGTTGATAAGTTTGAAAATGATATCTTTAATTCCTATAAGTACAATGACAAGGAGATTGATAACGAAAGTGAAGGTCAAAATAGTTTGACATCTAAACCAAAATCCTTTGATCCAACCATAACTGTTGTTTATTTCGATAATGAATATTTTGAATTGTATAATAATAAGCTGTTGAAAAATAGCTCTGCTCCTACTTTAAGACTGAGATGGATCGGCAAATTGATTGATAAACCAGACATTTTTTTGGAAAAAAGAGTCTCTATTGAAAATGAGGATGGTAAAAAAGATTTTGATGTTACAAAATTGAAAATGAAACAAAAATATTTAAATGGTTTCATTTTTAATAATGATATTAAATACAAAGAAAAAATTTTGAAAAGATTGAAAGATAATGGTACTGTGGATAATCAACTGAATAAAGTTTCAAATGAATTTGATGAAGTACAAAGATTCATTATTCAAGAAGAATTACAACCTATATTAAGAACAGTTTATCATAGAACCGCATTTCAAATCCCAGGTGACGATAGAGTAAGAATTACAATAGATTCTGATATCTCATTTATCAGAGAGGATTCATTTGATAAACAAAGGCCTATAAGGGACCCAAAGAATTGGCACAGGACAGATATCGATTCAGACGTTACTAATCCAATGAAATTATTAAGAAAAGGCGAATATGCAAAATTTCCATTCTCTGTCATGGAAGTCAAAATTAAAAATCCATACAATCATGTATCAAACATCTCTGATTCTAATGATCCTAATATTAATGGATCTAATTTCGCTAATATTAAATTGCCAACAAAACATGTTCAATGGATTAACGAATTAACAAATTCGCATCTAGTCAAAGAGGTTCCAAATTTTTCTTTATTTATTCAAGGTGTGGCATCTTTGTTTAGTGATTATGAAAGACTTGATATTCTTCCATTTTGGTTGCCGGATATTGAAAATGACATTAGAAGAAACCCATCTCAAGCTTATGAGGAAGAAAAGAAAAAATTGGAAAGACAGAAGGAAATTCAGGCCAAATTAGATGGTATGCGAAGATTATCGAAGATCCAAAAAATTTCACCATCGGTAAATAGATTTGAAGATGAAGCCGATAGATTACGGTTATATGAAGCTGAGAATGCAGATTTAGAAGATCATGAGTCATCTGAGGAAGATGAAGCAGAAGAAATTCTAAGTCTATCGAAGAGGAAGAGACAAAGACAAGAACCAACTTTTTTTAAAATCTTGACAGGAAGAGATGCAAAATTAATTGGAGTGGATTCTGAAGATGAGGAAATTGAATTACCAAAAGGAGTCAAAAAGCCAACCAGCTATGTTAAAAATGCAGGACCCGTTAAAGTTGAAGCAAAGGTCTGGTTAGCAAATGAAAGAACATTTAATCGTTGGTTAAGTGTCACATCATTGTTGAGTGTTTTAACCTTTTCGATTTACAATTCAGTCAGGAAGGCTTCTTTCCCACAATTAGCAACCTTTTTAGCATATATTTATTTTAGTCTTACTATATTCTGTATCTTATGGTCATACAGAACCTATTTAAAAAGACTTCACGTCATTCGAGAAAGAAGCGGACAACATTTGGATGCCCCACTGGGCCCGATTGTCATAGCAATTGTCCTTTCATTGACATTAATTATTAATTTTATTGTTGCATTTAAATCAGCTGCAGAAGAGAGAATGAAATTATTTGAACTGAATTTTAATTTGTCTGATCATGTAGTACCAGCAAGATTAAAAATGATCGAACAAGGTTTATTCAGGTTGGTGAAATATATTTCTTAATTGGCTGACTGTATTTGGTCGTTATTTTTCCTGTTGTTTTATGCTATATATGTTTATATAATCGATGAATAAATAAGCAAATTCCTAAAGGGTAAATGTTGTGAATGATTAGTGTATATTTCATAATATTTCTAGTGATGGTGCTGTTTACATGTTTTCTATAATCTTAGTTTGTATGTCTTTTATATCATCGGAAGAAATTGTCTCGTTGGCCGACAAGAAGGAAAATATCACTGAAATCGTATTGTTGATTTTTTTCATTTCTTTAATTAGAGTTCCTTTGTCAGATGCAGCACAATCTGTTAATAAATGTGAAGAATTCTGCGAGCTAGATAGAAGATTTGTTATTTTGTAAGCTTTTTCAATAATAGAAGCATTTAATACACTACAAACTGAAAGAATTCCATAATTCTTTATTTCAGAAATAACACTACAGAGACTATAACATTTTTTTAATTTTTTGTTTTGGTCAATTACTGTTTTCATATTAAGATGTATAGTGGAAATCCGGGTTTTAAAAAAGTTTGGTAGTTCCATAAAATGGGTTGATAAAAATACTGTACTGTTAATATTCAGCATATATTCAACTATGGATAATGCTAATGCTAATCCCTGGTTTATATCTGATCCTCGGCATAACTCGTCTATAATAAGTAAGGAATCACACGATATGTTTTCTAGGTAATATATAATTTCTTTCATTTCAAAAGCAAAATTGGATTTATTGATTTCCATTGAATCATTACAAATTCTAGCATGAAGCTTTTTAAAAATAGGAAGGGTTCCTGAAGTTGCAGGTATCAGGCATCCTATTTGAGCCATGATCGAGAGTAACGCAATCTGTTTAAGATAAACGGATTTTCCACTAGCATTGCAACCTGTGATAATATGAAAATTGGAACTTCCCTTAATACTCAGTATATCATTAGAAATAAATGGAGAAATATGATTTTCTAAAATGGGATGTCTGCTCTTTTTTACATATAAAAAGTCAGCAAATACAGGTTTACAATATTTATATTTAATCGTATTACTAGCAAAACAACAAAGCATATCTAACATAGCAATAGCTTCTGCTAGCATGAATAAGGAAGATATGTTTTTATTTTTTATTTTGTCAAAAAGGTCATCAATGATTTGTTCACTAATAAGTAACACTTCGTTAAAAGCTTCATGTAATCTAGCATTAGCTTTTAATAAATTTATTGTTGAACATTCTATATAAGATTTTTTATTGCTTTTGTTAATAAAGATTGAAGGTAAATCGATAATTTTTGAATTAACCGGTTTTTTTATCTTTAGAAAAAAGCCTCTTTTAGTTTCATATCCATGAGCAATATTATGATGATATTTAGTACTTAACATTTTTATATCTTCCAAAATTTCATTCAAAATGTTTCTGTAAACTTCCCTTGACACCTTTAATAAACCATTAGATCCACTTTTTACTGCATAACATTTTTGTTTCTGTAATTCATAGCTATTATTAGCCCAAATACAATCTTCGTTGATATATGTGTTTACTAAATCTGTTATTCCCAATAGGGTTTCACTGGATAATATATTTCTGATTTCTTTTAGAAGATTAGACTGGGTGTTGTCAGCTTCAAATAATAAATATATTTTTTTTGAAGAAAGAATCGTTTTTTTGAGTGCTAAAATATAATTTATTTTTTGATCTACGACTCCACTAACACTATTTGAAAATAGTAATTTAGAAAAAAGCTTATCCAAGTCTTCAAATGTTTTTAACTCTTTGGTCGTATCTGTTAATATATCTCTTTTTTTCGCAAGTTCAAAAGCAGACTCTAACCTCAACATAATATTTTTTTGATGTGTAAGGGGCTGTAAAATATTGTTTCTTAATAATCGTTTTCCCATTGGTGTACAAGTGCTATTTAGAAAACTGAAAAGTGAAAGACCTGTTTTTTCGTTCTTATTCTCAACTAATTCAAGGGTGCGAATGGTTTGAGAATCAATTAGCATTGTATCTTCCGGATTTTCAAAACGAATTCTAAAATACCGAAAAGCAAAAGTAGAATTGCTTATTTTTTGATCAAAATTATTCATAATGAACCACATGGCTCCAGATACAGCAGCAAGAGCATATTTTTTTTCATGAATTTCTTCGTATAATGAATCAAATTTTTCCTTTTCAATAGTATGTTCTTTTATCAACTCGAAGCCTTTTTCACTAGAAAATGTTTTATTTGGTATATGTTTCATTTTAGTACACTCTGGAATATTATTTTTTAAAATGGTAATTAGTTTTGAATAGTAAGGGGAGGATGAAGAACTAGGCGTAACTATAAAGGTTGGTTCATAAACCTGAATTTTATGCAATATTCTGATAAAAATTGAAGTATCAATCATTTCAGAGAAAATTAATTCCCCAGTATTAAAATTAACAATACAACTACCAATTTTATTTGATAAAGTATTCGGGGTTTCAAAAATTGCAAAAATAATTGTGTCTATAGTATTAGACCATTTACTAGTTGTAATATTTCTTGATATTTGAGGAGTATTTGACTTTTTATGAATAAACAGAGCATTCTTCTGAATGAATAGACTTTTATTAATGGCTGGAGTCTTTTTTGAGCTTGATGTATCCTGGAGAAACTTCTCTTTGATGCTATCTAAATATAATTTTGTTTTACGTTTTACGTTATCATACTGAGTTTTTTCTACATTTTCTTTTAAAACATCAGTTTCAAAGAACTTTGTATTGAGAAAACTAGAGAGGTTAGATGGTTCCATTACTGTTTGTTCTTATTTGAATGGATTGTTATAGAGATATGTGTATTCAAAGAGATTGAGGCTAGTGTGCAACCTAAATACTTAGCGGCTAAAAAAATAACAACCTTTAGAAAAAGATAAGCGACCCCAGTGAGGATTGAACTCACGATCTTGCGATTAACAGTCGCACGCCTTAACCAGCTTGGCCATGGAGTCTAACGCTTGTTGGACTTCTGTTGTAGTATGGTATGGTGAAATTTGTGTATTCCAGGGAAGCGCAAATAATATTAATAGTCATTCAAGTAATCGAGACAGTAATCAATTATAGGCGATAATATAATTACTAAAACGGTCTTATATATTGAGCGGCTTATATACGAGCTAATATATTTATTCAAAGTTACTTAACTTGTTACTTGCTTGTTGTTCTCTTTTTGTTCATCTATAATATATAAATTATTTACAAGAAAAGTTATGGAAGATGATCTTTTATCTCCAGAAAACGTTGTCCTTTTATATGTTTTCTGGAGCTCGATCAATTATCCAGATTTGTATATTAACGAGCTTAGTGATCCAAACCCTAAATTTTATTACATTAATCTAGGTGCACTAGTGGATTAGAACTGCACCCCAATTCTTTAATCATGGTAATTGTTATTATTCTATTCTACAACAGACTTAATTATAAATGAGGTAGTATATTTATTATTAATTTAATTGGTGTCGAACATAGTTATATTTTGTGGTAATGAAAATTATTTTAATGATAGTAATTATGGCATATAGTAAAGTATCCATGTTGGAAAACGAACTTTTATTACTGTTTGTTCCATGGGAATCATTTTTAATTTAGTTTTTCTGTATGTTACGTGGTGTACAAATGTACCACAATGTGCGGAAAATATTCTATTCTTCACCAACAGTGTTTTCCTGATATTTGAAGAAAAACAAAAAATCTTAAAAGGTTGAAATAAGTTAAAAAGTTTATACTGTACAGAGAAGCATTTTACTTTAAGCTATTAATCAAATAAAACACATGAATGAACCCCTTCCATTTTGGGAATTATGTAAACAAAGGGAACAAAATAAAAAGTGGTTACAATAAAGGAAAAGTTACTATTTCTGTTCATTTTTGTTCACTTTAAAAAGATATTACTCGGCGGCTAATTTTACTAGTTACAAGATGCAAGATAAATCTGCTTCCAGTTTTGATAATCCCTAAATCATATTATTGTTTGTGTTTAGTTTTAGTCTTACCTATACCTATATATATTTATATATATAATCCAACTAAGAGTAAACAAACATCGGCTTTCCAAATAAGACCTCACATCTTGAAAAGTATTTTATTTTCTTTAATCTTGACCTTTATTTTCTTTAATCTTGACCTTAATTTTCTTTTTCCTTTCATTGTAATATCGGTATATTTACATACATCTTACTCTTACATATTATTATAATACTCAAGGTTTTATTTCTAACTATATTCGAACTGACTGACAATTTATCACACCAAGTCCACATTAATTATTTTATAGAATAATAAATCCGACTGTCATCAAAAGTTTCTGTTTAAATGTGAAGATACGTCTGACTCTAGTCAAAATAAGCTTGTTCAAATAGCATACCAAATACTTTAGACATAATGATATGGCGAAATTTTTATGAGAACATAGTAATGTACGACATATATGTGAGTAACCCTAATGAGGGTTTGGGATTTAAAAATCTTACAGAAAAATTGTTTATTTTTATTTTATTTTACTTTTTCCCCATTTGAAAGAGAAGAGATATTTTAGTATGAAAGTAAGCAAAGTAGGTAAGGTTGAGTTATTTATACACCAGTGCACAATTGTGATTTAGTATGGAACATATATGTAAATAGTGAGGTTTAGATGAAGAGAGATATATAATAGAAACGATATTTTATTAGCAAATTGGCAATTGGGGATTTCGGAGGGCAACATTTCCCCCCTCCCCCTTTCACCGGATCATTCAGCTACTAGGCAGTTAGGAAGCAGTGATAACTAAGATACCACAGTCCTATGACTTTTGTCCATCCTAGCAACAGACATGTTGTTCCTTTAGATAATATACACATAAACTATATAGAAGGATAGCTATAAAGAATATTACAGCACCCAGAAAGAAAAAACCTGGATATCGGGTACTAAAGGTACAGATGATAATTGCAATTAATCATGATGAAATCAAGATGCACGCCCGGAGTTGAGTGAGTCGAATAGTACCCGCAACAAGCAATCAAAAAATAAATATGACCAACGTTTATAGAACGCAAAGATGGAACAAACTAAATAAAAGAAAGTACAAAAAACATAAAACATTACAGGGAAGTCACAGGAATTCCATGGATATCGAGAACGTCGTAACCCAGTATGATTTGTTGATAATTTACACAATTTTGATGACAATGCATAAAAGAAGAGCAGAGTTGTGTGAAAACAGCCCCAATACGAAAAAAGATTTACGTTCCTACGACTGTTTGCCTAAGATGATCATTACCCTCACCACCATTGGTAGAATCAGGAGCCTTGAACAGAGCCCTGTAGAGAACAAGTCCACTTCCCAGAAGTATCGAGTCCTTAAACAGTTGAGATGGATCAACATGAGATACTCGGGCCAGCCATCAAAACACTACATCTATTTACAAAAAAAATAAGTTAGAAAAGAACGGTATTAAGATAGAGCATTCCTTTGATTTAGGAGCTCTTGTATATACAATGGGTATCACACAAAGTAAAAAGATCATGAGGCGAGGAGGAAACATACATTAGGTAAACGAACTGGACAAAAGTTGGAGGGTAGGAAAAAAAAAGAGCGCTCTTTATTTTTTTTCTTTGTATGTTTCTTAGTTAAGATGAGAAAAAGACACTAAAGCAATCACACGATAGCGAATTAAGGTTCTAGGTTAATATACAATGGACAATGGACAACACATTAGAAAATGGATGTATTGTTAGTGGGATTAGGAAAGAGGAATAAGAGACATAAAAAAGTAGCGAAAAGAAAATTGCTAGATGATAATAATACAGAAAAAGTGAGGTTAATAATGAGATTGAAAAAGTAAAATAGCGTTAATAATGTGGAGTAGCCATAATGGATGGAAGTAGAAAATTTGGATTGAATTACTGAGGTGTGAGAGATACTTTTTTTAGCGGGCTATATTTTTTTTTCTTTTTTTATTTTCATTTTTGTTATAACTGTTTTTTATTATAACATTTTTTTTTTTTTATTTTATTTTAGCAGTGCACTATTTAGATAAACTGGGACTAGAGAATTAATAATATGAGAGATATAGAAGAAAAAAAATAGAGATGAAAAAAAAATCAAAATAAAAAGTAGAGATGGAGGAGGGGATGGTAAATGAAAAGAGAGAGAATTGGAAACGATTTAGGATGTTGTTCATTGACTAACCAACCAATCATTCAGATATACATTATAGCATAAGTATGCCTCTTAGATCATGAAGCATAAAAAAAAAATACTACGAGATATAATTGACTTTTGTTATGCCACCCAGAGGAACAGAACCACCAGTTCCATTAAGATGTGCAAATTATAAGCCCTAGGAGTATCTTCAACTTGTTCAATATTTTATTACGAATAATAAAATAAATTTTGATCAGGTAGGAATAGAACCACCAGTTCCATCTGACAAAGAGAGCCGCGAGTCAAACAAGAATCCAATATTCCTATGTCAATTATTATCTCTGAAAAATTGTCCATTAAAAATCTCAAACACCATTTTCCTATTTCTTGGCTTGTAAATTCAACTACAACTGTAAAATCTGAAATCATGTAAAAAAAAAGCGCCTCTGTAAAACTATCACCTTATGAGTAATAGTGGAATCAAGAACTAAATTCAACTAATAAAAAATATCTTCCTCAAATCCTAAATTTGGGTTAACAATAGTCTTGAACTTGCATAATGGCAATCCACAGATCCTATTGTATTCACTCTCTTGGAATAGTAATGGAATTGAATAAAATTAAACAATAAAAGGGTAAAAAAATCTCCGAAAATTCTCTAGTAATAAAATATATAAAAAGTCTGCACTTGCTAGTATCATTCTCACTTGTTGGTTGCATATATGTCACAGCATATATATATATATATATATGACCTATATTGTCAGTATTCATTATATCAGGATAATAAGGGCTTGTATCCACCCATCTACAAAACATTTTTGCCATGACTGCTATTGAGTATTAGTATTAATATTATTATCGTATGTCTGTTAGTATTGTAAAGTAATGTGTCCTAATCCCTTGGGAGATATTCACTCATCTTAACGGATCTTTTTACCACATGTGGTAACACCACTGGATATACAAGAACTACTATGCCATTAGAATACGCTATCCTAACACAGTCCCTCCAACTTAGTTTTTCTGTAAATAGACGGGTCCCTTTGGTTGAATTCCTAGCACTCACATGAACCACCCACTCTCGTTGATTCTTTCATGTAAGAAATGGAATCCTCTATAAGGTCACTGTCAAAGTTTCTAATTCTCCTAGACTGGATTTTTGGGTATGTCTCTTAGCTACAGGTCGTAGCCCACCACTTTTTTAGTATAAAGGAGAACAATTGTTCTTTTAACATTTCCACTATCAGCTTCACAGATCAAGCTATGTATTATTATCTCCATTATTTCATTATTTTAGAATCAAACTGAGAAATTCTTTTTTTTCAATCTTTTTCTTTGTGATCATTCTGACATGTTATATATTTTCAAAATTAATTTACTTTTTCCCTTCCACTTTTGTTTTCTAATAGATGTTGGACATGTTCACTTATTGGTTGGGTGTGACAGGAGCTATTGGACTGGTTTCTTTGTACCTTTTGGAAGAAAATGTGTATAGAGTAAACACCTATTCCTTTAAATATTATTTTGTGTCTCTTTCTTTTTTTTAAAAATAAAAAAAATTAATGTCAGTGTTTTCCCGTAATATTGAAGAAGTGACACAAAATGGAGTGCTCAACGACAAAATAATGATTTTTGCTTTTATTGCATTTTAAAAAGAAAAGACACAGAATCAGGGAGGGTAAAAAAGAAGAATGGGAAATGTGGTTTGTAACCGTATTACTTTTAAAAAACACATATTGTTTTTTATTATGCCAGAGAAAACAGTAATGATAGCAGCAATTTTGCGACAAAGATAAGAGAAATTTGGGATTGAAGAGTTTGTTTTTGTCTACAGCTATAAGAGTTTACACCATTAAGAAAAGCTTGCTATAAAGTTACTTTATTCTTCTTTTTTTTTTTCTTTTTTCTTTTAAGAATCTTAACAAGCTATTTTGGATAGAACAAAAGTTATTACGTTTGTTATTCCATCCTGTATGATTAGTTGACTTTTAAATGTTTAATTAGTTATATGTAGAGTCTACTGTAATTGTACCCTTAAGTTGTTATGTGGTTCTCAGTAATTTGAACAAATGATTTTTTTAAGGCTTCTAGCCAGTATTTTTAGATTTGTTTTTGAATGTTGATTTTGAATAGGGCAAAATTTTGTGTCTAAAATTAGAAAACAGACATTGCACTTTAAACTATTATTCAAAGAAAATATCTAAATTTGGTGAAATTGAATGTTCTAAAATAAATGAATAGACGAATTAGAGTTTATCAAATATAAATCAATATCAAACTGCAGAATATGTTCTTTTTGCCCATCAATAAATGTAAGCAAAACAAATTGATAAATTTTGGCAACTTATTAAAGAAAAATGTTCAATATGAACATGTATAAAACCCGTACTTTTTTCATAGTATATAACTATCCTTGTAAATTTTTTATATTCCATCATGGCTGTAATATACATATAAAAGAGAATCAAAGAATAATAATATAATTTTTGAACCATATAAATATATAATAATAATAAAGAATGTATACTAAATATCAAATGGATACCGGCACATATTCTCAGCCAACTCTTTGAATGTTGATTAAGATTGTAGAATTATTTTTAATTTATCTAAACCTCTTGTACACGCAGGCATTGTCAACGGTTCTAGTAGATTTTCTTTTCCATTGGCTGTTCTTTGACTCAATTCTGAGCGGAACAATCTTTCTTTTAATTATTTAATTCTTGATCCAAAAAACTTTAACTCTTGTTTTGAAATAATCTTAATTTAACCAATTTAATGTCACTTTAGAGTCAGCTGCAATTATTCCAGACAAATTTATAGCAGCTAATTCAGTCTCTGCTAATAATATTCATGAGATTAAGAACTTTTTAGTAAAACCATGGAAAATTTTGTTTCCTAACCACATCGTGACATAAGATCAAATTCTGTCATCTTAGTAGTATTTAAAGTCATCATTATATTGTATAAGTTGTGATTGTCTTCCACTCTAAAAATTACTTTCGTATTTCTTGTTACGTAAACATATTTTAAACTCTTTTTTATTATCTTGATCACTTTTTTATAAATATATAAAACTAACTGTGATATTTTGCTTATTACAAAGTATAGATCAATTATTACTTAAAAACTAATATAATTTAGTTTGAATAGTTCCATTTTCTTTTATATTCATCTTGTATCCATCAATGTTAAAAACTAACTTCTGCTTCAAAGTGTCATTCAATAATATTGAATATTCATCCATCAACCTGTTAATGTAACTTTCCATGTTTGACATTTGTCTCTCCTTTTTTATGGTATCAACTATTTTGGGTGAAAATTTTTTTCTAATTTCTTAACAAATTCTTCTATTTCTTGATCTATTCTAGCAGAAGTTATAAAACCATCAGCATACGCTGCAATTATTACATTATCATTTTCTGAAACGAATAATCCAGTTAAGTAAATATTACCCTGGAGGCATATTCTATTCATTGATTCTTTTAAGATTTTATATCATCTTTTTGGGTTCTCTCTTAGTCCATATAATACTCTTCTTAATGTAGTAATCCTCCTTGCATTTTTATAATAATAAATATATAACATTTCATTTAAAGTTGCATGATGGACACCTAATATCTTTATTGCCAGATTATTATCATTAGCAATAATTAAAGGAATTTGCAATAAATTAAAACTTAAAATAAATGTTTCCATATCAGTATAACTATTACTTTTCTGCAAATCTTCTCTATAGATAATTCTGACTTTATATATCTTAGCTTTATTAATTATGAAAATTAAAGTCGTTCTTAATATTTTTCTGCTCCATTATTATTATGATAATGGTTATCTTCTGTTCCATAAATGTTCATTTTAATTTCACCATATTCCTCTTGTTTTATGATTATGATATTCTGTAAAGTAATTGGATTCTCTCCTAATATTTCTTGTGGCGCTAGTTCTTCGCTAATTTGTTCTTTTTCAATTATAGCGTCTTCAGACAATTAATTTAAGTTGATATTCTTCATGCTTCTAAATTTGATAATCGATATTACAATATCAACGTCTTCTTAAATATTATTTGATAAATATTCTTTAATTCTTTTTTTATTCTTGTGTAATTCATCTACCAAGTTATCATGTTCATTTTACAACAGCTAGTTGCAACAATGTTACAATTTCATTCTTGTCATAACTAATATCTTGTATATCTTCAATTTTGATCTTGATTTTATTTAAATTTATATTAATAATATCAGACTCGTTCTTCTCATCCAATCCCCGAGTGACTATGTAATCAGATAACAAATAATCAATAGTACAAATCATTTTTCTTTATGTTGGTATATAACAATAGTATTCAAAATCTTTTGGATCCTTGAAAAGTGTTATAACTCTTTTTCCTAATACTTTTTTTTTTGCTTCTGTGATTTCAAATAACAGGTGGCGTATCAAGAGGTATAAGGGATCTTAATTTAATTTTTAATGTATGGTTTGATATTTTCCATAATGATGATTCACCAATTTTCTTGTTAAATATACAATTTCTCACATTTACTGAAGCTAGAATTGCGTATGTATAGAACCTAAATGGAAGTCTTAATTGTTGTAATAATGCTCTTGTGTCTTCAATAATTGTTCTTACACTCCTTTTAGTCTTTCCATTAGACTGATGATCTTCAATAGAAGTATAGATGGTGTTGATACAATTTCGATGAATTAATTGTTCGATTATTTCATTATCAAGCTTTTTTCATATCTCTACTATAAATTCCTTCATCTTTACATCATATTGTTTTTCAATCCAATATATATTATAACCAATTTGTTCTCCTATCTTATTCTTATATGTCTTGATATGAATTGTTGCAATAACAAATCCTAATACACTATCCATCATTACCAGTAGATATCTTTCTTTGATATGTACAATCAGAATAAATATATGCAAACTTCATAAAACACCTGATTCTTTTTGCGAAGTGTAGTGAAATATAGAATCCATGTAATGAAAGTGTCCACATAGTTTACCTGAAGCACATCTCCCGCACCAAATATTCTTAGCATTTCTTTCTTCATTTACCATTTTTACATCATCGAAATCAGTCATTTCTATAGATTTAATGATTCCACTAGCTAGAAGATGATCCAAACACAAGTGGGCTTCTAAAAGTATGATGTTAGATTTTTTTGGTGACTCGTACTCTTTGTCTAAGGTAAAACCTGTTGCTTGATATAATTTGTCTGCAGAAAAAATTATTACATCTTGTTTTAGAGAATAATATGGTGTAACACTAACCACTTTATTTCTACTTTCTTCAATTGATAGTATTCCTTCTTCAAGTATTTTTGTTTAGTTTCTATCATCTCCTGCACTCCAATATTTAAGTCCTTTTATTAATGCTGAAAAGTTTGATAATTAGTCTTCATTACGGACAAGATGTATACGAGTAGCCGTATCCATAACTGCTTTATCATAAATTTTAACTTTCGAATCTATTTTTCTTATCTTCTTAATATATTGGTTGTGCATTTTTTACTGTTCTCAAAATTATTGTTTATTTTTTTACAATGTTCCTGATAGTGTAAAAATGAATTATAGTTGATACATTCTCTTTTGTCAATACGTGTTAGGCTTTGTGATTCATTGCATTCCATATTCTTTAATCTAGTTGAATCTTAAATTACCTTGATATATCGTTCAATAATTATTTATCTTAAGTCGTCACTTAATTTACCAGTCATAAAAGTGTTAATAATTTTTCGATTATCATTTTTTTTAAAGGTAATATTTGATGTTATAACCATTCTGCCTTTTAAAAAGTATAATACATATCATGTTTTTTTTTCGCAATACTTTATGTCTCATACATTAACTGTTAGCCGTTATAAATGCTATTCCTGTTTAGTTTTATTTAATATTATTATGTTGTTAAAGGATCGTATCGTGTGATAAATAACTATTTCTTTATAAAAATATAATTAAACATATTTCAAATTATTAAATAATTTTTAACGAAAACTTTTTAATTTAAATAATATTATACGACTATTTAAAGTAAAATAGTTTGTACGGAAAATAATAATTATTTATTTATTAAAAATATTAAAAGTGAATATTAAAATAATAAATATAATCATGTGATTATTTAATAATTTATATAATATGATGTAGGTTTGGTTTTTGTAATATAAGATAATTTATAATAGTTATTATAAAGAAGACAAGATAAATACCTGTCATGAAGCAAATGCAAATCGTACTTACTGATATTTAATTTCTTTTATGAAAATTTTGTAAAAGAATAAATTTGTATTTTATAAGATAAACTTATGTCGTGAAACTGTAATCTTGTTTTAAAACTTTATTGTTTTTCTATTTACTGATATTATTGGTTAAAACTTTTTTTTTTTTCCAATTCTTGAAATTTTGTTTAAAAACAGAAAATTCAATATAAACTAACAAAGATGAACGACTAATTGAACGAAGAATTTCCTATATGCTTGTAACTTTGAATAATTAGTACAAGATTTGTATATGTTGAAATATACTTAGAGATATTGTTGATAATTTAAATTCATCGTACCAAATGACAGTAAAAATGTAAATATATGTATAAAAGAATACTTAAAAATAAAATGTGTTACATGCTATTTTAGTTATTTGCATATAGATTAGGTGAATCAAAACATAAGTAATCAATACAATATAGATTTACAGCACCACTAATATCATACTATAAATGGCTGAGAACTTATAATACCATCAATACCTTATTGTAAGTTTATATGTTTTTGTCATAGTAATTTTATGATGAATTTTTATAGTTTTCTTGATACAGAAGCCACTAAAATTATTATTATAGCCATTGTATATCAAAGAAATTTTTTATTTTTTAAAGACTTTACTATGACAACAATGTTATATATGGTGTCTGGATGTATAAAAGAAAAGAAAAATTTTCAAAAGAAAACAACAAGATATAAGAAGGTACTTTATTTACTTTCATACAACAAATATATATATATATAAATAGTATGTAAAAACAGAAGAAAACAGCAAGAAAGACATATAAACAAAAACATTTAATGTGTATATCGGTTGAGGCCACAGGCATCCAATAAAAGTTTTATGTAAACAATAAATACTCCTTTTTTTCAAATAAACATTTCTTATTACACAAAATCAAAATATTAAACAAATTACAAACGAAACGTGTGTAATTATGTAGATTCTACTTTAGATTTGGTAATATTTTCCACAATGGTGGAGAGTTTGTATATGTTAGTAATATGCAAATTCTTTTAATATTCAGTTCTTTTATTATCAACTATACAGAATAATAATGATATTCAATATTATATGATGCAAATGAGACTAACGAACTTTTTTGTTATAAACTGTTTTTTTTTGTTTATTTGAATTTTCATTTTTCATTTTACATCAATAAATGGAAGAATATAGGTAACATCATATATCATGACAGGTTGTGTATTCTAAATCATCCTTAGTATGCGCTAATGCATCACACTTGTTCATGCTTTTAATTAATCTTGTAATTTGTTCGTAACAACTTGATAACTTTATTTTCTTTTTCTGAAATCTAGCAACTTTCCTAAACTATTTGGAATTTAACAAGATTTCTTCAAGAATGTTGGTGTGTTTTTCTTCCTTTGAATTCCAGAAAGTATTAAAATTAGAGTTTATTAGGTTGGAAAAACATATTAATTCTAATAATTGCTTTTCTTAATAACAATTTTTGAGGCACCTAGTTTTTTCTTTGTATTTTCTACTTATTAAAGGTGGTTGTTTAAATGAGTCGTATCCTTTATTTATTTGGCTTACATCAGGGAACTGTCACCTTTTAGTTTCTTTATCATCACTTATTAACATTTCTTTTTGTTTCTCCTTGAGTTTTAGTTATACCAGAAAATTTACCATCATTGGCTACTATACTGAGAAATGTATTCGATTGTAATTTATCATCGTATTCTATACTCACTTTATTAATTGAATGTATCTTATTATAATATAGATGCATATTAATAAATAATGGAGTACTTATCCAAACTTCAGAAATATACGATAATGATAATTTTTTATCTATCTCCAACTGATAAATAGCAACTTTAACTAGATATCTGTATGAACTAAATGCTGGAATGATTTACCACCTTTTTAAGAAGTTGCACATTTTCTTAAAGAAGAGAACTGTGTGTTATATACAATCTAGTATTTTGGAGATATATTCACTAAATTCCAAAATTAAAAAGTAAAATTATGAAAAACTCTTGCAAAAGTAAAGAATATATAAATGGATAACTTTACTTATTAAATTTCTAATTTGGAGGAAGAATATATATAAATGGTGTTTTTATATTTTCTTTATAATTGTATAATTGTTTATCCCCTGAAAAGAAACGAGAGAACATACTTTATAAAATCATTTAATAATAATATAAAATATTATTTACAAAATACAGACACCAATATTAAAGAAATACATACTAATATTTTATCTCCAGAGGAATAAAAGATTATTCTTTTACACTTTCTTCTGTTGTCTACTAAAATATAATCTAATGTGTTGATTAATTAATTTACTTTTGTACATGTTTTTTTACCAATAGGAGTAAATTGCTACTCTTTGGATTATCCCCTTGAAATTATTAGTTTGTTCATTTATTTTAGGATTAAATTTACAATCAATAGTTTGTTTAAAAACAAAAAGAACTGTATTTAATCTAAACGTTTTAGTAGTTGATAAAAAAGATATTTGAGAATCTCAAAGGAAGATTTGGTTTTCATATTTGACATTTTAGTAGGTAGAATTTATAAATACAACTCCATAAATTAAATATACTAGGATCTTGGTAATACTAACATAGGTACAGAAAATACGTAAGTTTTTTATTTTAATTAAAACCTACTGATATATATTTGTAAGGATCTCTTCATGTATGTCCTGTTCAGTTTTGAGATAGGTTAGAAGTGAATGCTGTTCTATTTTTTCAAAAATATAGGTATGAAAATATAAAGAACCATTTGTGGAAAAATTAGTAATTATTGTTGTTTGTTTTTATGACATTTCCAATAATGGGTTTATTCCATCCTGCTTTAGTGTTTAACTGTTTAAAAAAGTTAAACCATTAAAATATATAATGGTTTAATAATATTTTTTGGTTTTCAAGAACTTTGGTTATAGAGAATCTTAAATGTGGAGTATCTAAAAAGTAGATTAAAAAGATCAGTCACTCTAAAGTAATCAGAGTATTCAATAAAATCTATTAAAGTTAATGGACACAACAGGGTTTTACAAATAACATAGTAATTACTTTATTGCATTTCAATAATAATATACTCAATTTTTGGCTTGGATTTACAATCAAATTATATTAAGTTAAATATCCCTGTTTACAAACGAATTGTTTCTAAGAAATTTTACTTTTGTTATTAAATTTTTATTATCTAGGGATAAATTTTGATCTAATAAGCAATTCAATTATTGAAACTATTTTAGCGTGTAGACTAATAATTTTTTACTCAGTAGGACTTCTATTGAATCTTAGATTAGAATAAGGAATAGTGGCTATTAAATTAAAGTAAATATTATTTTGTTAACCTATTCCTTTCAATTAATTATTTGATTTTTGTCTTGAATGTAATTGATCTTTTTTATAATTAAAACATGTTTTTTTTTCTATAAAAAGATAAATGTTTGAAAGAGTTCAAAACATGGTTATTTTTAAAATATTTATAATTACGTAGTTTTTAGATGTTATTGGTGTTATAAATTGGAAAAGCATTACTAATCATCAATATTGTTTAGTGATGGATTATTAATGTTTTAGATGTGTGTACTAGGGTGGTTTGCAAATTATGATTAGATAATATTAATATTAATATATTTATATACACAGATATAAAGAAGTTGTTTTTGAGAAAAACTCTTTGAAAAAAGACAATAAAGACAAAATCTTATTTTTTCTCCTATATGTTTCCATCAAAGATTTTATTTAGTCTATCAATAGTCATTTATTCTTAGCAGTTTTGTAACTGAAATATATGTAACGACCAAGGAAAAAAAGTACGAAAATAATTTTACATATCATATATAAGAAATTGATAGATCTTTTCTACCATAAACACATCAAAAGTCATATAAATTTACTATAACTATTATCTTTGGAAGCAGCTTATATATACTTTCCTGTAATAAAATAAGTACAGAATAAGCATTGCAATAGATAGCTAAAAATATATATATATAATAAATTCCAAGTGTAATTTATCTAAACAGGCATTTTCAGTCATAGATAATACCCTAGGGATTACTTACACAAGCGACTGAACAGAATCAATATAATAATTGCTTTACCAAAAATAATAGAGAAACTTTTGTTGATATAATAACAATAAATGAAAAATTGCATTGTGGTGAATTTCTAACTATAAAAAAACCAATTATTGAAAAATAAAATATAGATAAATTAAATAGAATATAATAAAGACCTCACTTAATAATGATTTATAATTTTTTACTTACTAATAGTAATAATTGTTACTTCTTTAGTTTTATTGATAATTATTTTGCTCCATTTATTTTTTTTACTATTATCGTTACTAATATATATAAAACCTTAATGTTCTTTTTCCTGGGTTTTTTAATCAAGTATTATTATATTTAAGTATAAACAAAAAGTAAAGGGTTATTTCAAGTAGTACACTAAACTATGGATATTACCTATATACATAAACACTTACAAATTATATAATTGGTTGATTCTAACTATTAAATGGGTTAGTCTTAGTTATTCGTGTTGTTCTTCTTTAGAGTGAACCTATTAGATAGAATACGAACATTAATGCTGATAATTACCTCTGGCACTATCTTTCAACAATCAAGAGTCTCTTAAGTAAGCCTTTTAGTAATTTACCACCACTGTCCATTCGACGATCATATGTTCGTTCGAATACACTCACAACCTTGGGCCCCGAGTTTCGGTTGTTCTAAGCCCTCCGCCTCGACATCAAGCGTTACCTGCAGACTACACATTTCAGGATTTCCAATTAGGGCTCCTTACAATTTAAAGATGAATTAAATATTCCTATTAAAGTCTCTAAAATGGTTAACAAACATGATGTAAGAGTTGTTATATGTAAATGGATGAATCGTATCAATCAGTATAAGTATAAACACTCTTACGTAAGCTCTATATATCACTAATTAATAACCCTGGTGTAGTATTATTACTTCTCGTTGTTGTTCTTCTTGTAGGATATTAAGAGGCAACTCTTAATATCATTACTAAGATGTATTTAAATAAAATGATTACCCCTGGCATATCTCTCAATAATCAAAGGCCTCTTGACAAGATCTGATATAATTATCACTCCCTGGAAATCCTCCAATCAGATTCAATACCTTATACAAGCCACTGCGCGAATGGCTGTATCAATCCTCCACCCAGACGCTCAGGTGTTACTCTCAGAATTGCGTATCTACTGGATTTCCAGTTAGGTTCCTTATACATGAATAAATTTTACTGTTCAGTTCAATATTTACAAAAAAAAAAAATTTAAACAGTTAATATTCAATATTGTATTAATTTTTTCATATTTATATAACATTGAATGTTCCTATTTTCAATTTATTTAAAAACATATTGATTTCTGACTTATATAATTATTGATATCTTTTAAAATTATTAATCGATTTTTGAATGAATTCTTTTGAATTAGCCAATTGATTAATGTGTTCACTAGGATCATTTATATTGATATTAAAATCTTCAACTAACAATAATAATTCCAATTCACCTAATTTAGATCTTTTCAATTCTAAATCATTTTCACAATGATATACTGATCAACTTTGGAACAAATATTAATTCAATTACTATCTAAAAATTCATTAGAATAATTACATAGTCTATCACTGGTAAAACTTTTATCTTTATATCTTGAAATAAAACTGTTATTTAAAAAAAAGCAGATTTTTTCCTTTAATTTAATGATTCATTGATGATGTCCTATAGAAAAGTATCTAATTTATCCGACTCTTTGAAACAACTACATATACCATATTTAATTTATGTGATATTATTTTTATTTAAAGTATTCTATAAATATGTTTATTATCTACCTTCTAATGTAAACTAATGGTTCTAAAATTTAATTTAGAATCTTCATTAATAGTGTGGAAATTCATTTCTTAATTGTAAACGAGAAAAAAATATTACAAAACCATATTTTATAATACAAACCGGTTAAAGTCTTACAGGTGATCAGATCAATAAATAAGCCTTTATGCAAATAAATATATCTATATACACCACTCTCGATAACTTTTTTTTGATGATCTGTTAAACTTATCAAAGTTCTATTCAATTCTTAATTTTTTTAGTTGTTCTTTCCATTCAACAGGTCTTTTATTATCCTTTGTAGAAAAAATCAATAAACTCAAACAAACTTTTAACCGAATTCTATTTTATATACACATGTCTATACAGAGATAAAAAAAAAGATATAAGAAAAAAATAAATTTTTGTCAAATAAAATAAAAAAAATTTTGTTTATTTATGACTTTATTTAAATAGATATAAAACTAATCAATTACTTAAAAAAAGCAACTAATCAACTCGTGATAATAACTAAAAAGTAAACAAATTAAAAAATAAAAAAAATGTTTTAACACCTTGCTTACTCTTCTAACATAAAATAAATAAGAAAGAAGTTCACCTAAACTATTGGAAACACTAAAGAAATTCTTTTTTACAACGACAACTAGATTTTTCAGCACTTACCAACTTACTTCATGCACTTGCAGTGGGCACATTCACATTCCTTGTCACACTGACAGGATCCACCAGTGCACTTGCATTGTTCAGCACAGCACTTGCAATTATCTCCACAGCACTTAGATCCTTGAGAGCAGCATCCACTAGTTTGTCTCACCTGCTTGCAGTGGGCACATTCACATTCCTTGTCACACTGACAGGATCCACCAGTGCACTTGCATTGTTCAGCACAGCACTTGCAATTATCTCCACAGCACTTAGATCCTTGAGAGCAGCATCCACTAGTTTGTCTCACCTGCTTGCAGTGGGCACATTCACATTCCTTGTCACACTGACAGGATCCACCAGTGCACTTGCATTGTTCAGCACAGCACTTGCAATTATCTCCACAGCACTTAGATCCTTGAGAGCAGCATCCACTAGTTTGTCTCACCTGCTTGCAGTGGGCACATTCACATTCCTTGTCACACTGACAGGATCCACCAGTGCACTTGCATTGTTCAGCACAGCACTTGCAATTATCTCCACAGCACTTAGATCCTTGAGAGCAGCATCCACTAGTTTGTCTCACCTGCTTGCAGTGGGCACATTCACATTCCTTGTCACACTGACAGGATCCACCAGTGCACTTGCATTGTTCAGCACAGCACTTGCAATTATCTCCACAGCACTTAGATCCTTGAGAGCAGCATCCACTAGTTTGTCTCACCTGCTTGCAGTGAGTACATTCACATTCCTTGTCACATTGACAGACTTCGGTAGAAGAACATTTGCATTTACTTTCACAATGGGAACACTTACAGTTAAATGCACACTTACAAAGCAATCCTGATTTTGAAGATTGTAGAGCACATCTACATTGTGATTCCATTCTTTTCAATTGGGAAAACATTTTAATTTAATTTAATTTATTTTATTGTGATATTGTTTAAGTTAATTGATTACTGTATTTTTTCAGTTTGGTTATCTGTTTTAGTTGACTATGAAAATGAGATGGAAATGAGACAAAAAAAATTCTCCATTCTGAACTATTTGTTGTCCTTATATATATGTAAAATTAGAGGAAGTTTATCATAAAAGAATTATGAAATAGACATAGTAATAATTCACCAATAGTCAAGATGTGTCAGTAAAATCTTCTCATATTTTCCATACAAAAGAATAAAACAAATGAATCATAAAAATAACCCATCTTTTCCCTCTCTCCTTTTCTTCACTTTCCGCCCTCACCTATAACGATACAAGTCTAGTGCACTCTTTATGCTGTGCGTTGCTATTGCTGCATTAAAATAAAATGTCTATAACCATCACACTATTGTCGCAGATCCAGAAAAATCTGAGAAGGCACAGAAAAAATCAGATATTGAAACAAAAAGAGAGAAGATTTGTATTGTATTGTACTGTATTGCATTTGTATTGTGTTTTCATTTTAGTTGAGAACTTAATGCTGTCTCTTTAATTTTGTTCAGCAGCAAATTGTTCTCAAAAAATTCCCATATTGCAACTTATCAAATTTTTTTTGTTTCTATTTTTCTGTCCCAGACCTAGTAAAAAAAAAAGAATCAAAAAAAGAAGAAGAAAAAAAAGAAGTTGTTAAGCTGTTTACGTTAGGTTTTTATATTTTGCACCTAAAAAAAAAACAAATACTATGAGGGTTTGACTAAAAAAATATATATATATAAGTCTGTTTAAAAAAGACTTTTGATAGGACACCGAAGAATTTGTAAAAAAATCTTTGTATAACTAAAATAAAAATATACTACACGTTTGTTATTTTGTTTGCCTTAGACCGGGCAATGTTCATCAGAACATAAAATATTGTACTATTTGAGAGCCACCATAATGACCAACATTTTTATAAGCTTGTTCTTTATGATACATTATCCTTTTGTTAATTTACATTATGAAAAGACAAAAATATAATATACGTATTTGTTCTCTTTTAAAAAAATCATCTCACACAACAAATTATATCTACAAATAATAGTAATAGAAGATGCTGATTATTTGACAACAAGAGAAAATTAGAATTCCGTTTCCTAGTATATAAAAACACACTATTTCCATGATGTACATAAGATAGGATTGATCTGTTTCTATTTTTTTTTTATCTTTTTTTTTATCTTTTTTTTTTTTTTGTCATTATCTTATAATAATATTTGTGATATAATAAATAACATACAATTGTAGTTTTTGGTTCACTAACCGAAAGTATGTTACTACAGTATGATTCCTGTGTAAACATTTGTATGCAGTTAGTTTTTACTGTATAATAGTTTTAACTTTTATTTATTCTTAATATTTTACAATCATCATTAAATAAAAAATATCTGTTTCTCCTAATTATCAATAATTCAGGACAAAAATATATCTTTTAAAGACGATTTTATTATTTTTTTACTAAGACCATATTTTTATTTTCTATTTAACACTATAAAAATTAAGGTACGTCTACTTAAGAACTTAGTACTATACGAAATCATCTATCTGACTTGATAACCTATTTGTAAAATCAAATTGATGCATACTTTTAAATAGTTTAAATTATGTAAACTCTTGAAGATATTCTTCGAAGATTCCAAATGGAAGTACGATAAAATAACACCGTGTACTAGATAGAAAACAGTGAAATAGAGTAACAAATCAGATTATAATGAGTATTAATTGTTGTTTCATAGTTTTGCTTCCATCTAAACATAAAATACTCTTGAAAAATTTTTTAATTGTTATATAGAACCTGAATTTCAAGGATTTCGGTAGCCAAAAATTCAAACCATTCTGATTGAATAACTATTACTTCTCTCATTACATCTGGCTTGCACATATTATTTTAATAATTAATTTAAAAGTTCAAATATAATATCGTCACCTTATTCTTTCTTTTGAAAATTGCTAATCATAAACATATCTTGATACCCCCGTAGTAATACTTTTTTCTTTTTATTTTTTTTCTATTAAACTTATTGTACAATGAGAAAAAAAGGAAAAAAAGAAACGAAATTTCCTGTGAATCCAAGTACAAAATGAATAGGAACTATATGTTATAACATCATCAAGAGAAATCTTCTGGAAACAAATGCAAATGCTACCAAAACACATAGTTTTCAATTATCATAGTATACTCTAGGTGAGAAGAAATTAGCTATGAAACAAAAAGTAAGTGCACTAGATTTGCAGCTTTTAGTTGCTGAATTGCGCAATTCTATTGAATCATACAGATTAAACAACATATATAACATTGCTGATTCAAGCAAACAATACCTACTAAAATTTAACAAACCAGACTCTAAAGTTAATGTTATAGTTGATTGTGGCTCTAGAATTCACATTACCGAATATGCAAGGCAAACACCAACAATGCCCTCGAATTTTGTTGTGAAATTAAGAAAACACTTGAAATCAAGAAGACTAACGAATGTTAGACAAGTTTCTAATGATCGAATTGTTGTATTTCAATTTGCTGATGGTCAGTACTATTTGGTTTTTGAATTTTTCAGTGCTGGTAATATACTTTTGTTAGATGAAAATTTAAAGATTTTATCTTTACAAAGAATCGTTAAAGAATATGAAAATACAGTTGGAAAAAAGTATGAAATGTTTGACCATTCTCTTTTTTCCAATCACACTTCCATACCAACTATTACAGACACTGAATTTAACACTGCATTGATTAACTCATGGTTTCAAGAAGAAAAGACACACCTAGAAACCTCCCCAGTCCCTGAAAAGAAAAAAACTATCCATAGATTATTATTGAATAAAGTACCCTATTTATCATCCGATCTATTAACAAAAAATCTGAAAATGAATGGTATCACACCCTCTGAACAATCTTCTGCATTTTTTAGTCAAGAAGATGTTATCTGTAATGTGTTAAAGCAGACCCAGAAAGAATATAGTGAACTACTTCAAAAGGAAGTAGTGATGGGGTATATAGTAACACGAAAAAACTCAAATTATATAAAAGAAAGAGACTCTGTCGATCTAGAATATGTTTTTGATAGTTTTCACCCATTCAAACCATATATAAATGCGACAGAAGATAAAAAGATCGTTGAAGTGGAAGGGTCTTATAATAAAACACTAGATACATTTTTCTCCACTATTGAATCATCCAAATATGCACTTAAGATCCAAGCTCAGGAAAATATGGCACAGAAGAAATTGGATGATGCACGTTTTGAAAACGCCAAGAGAATTCAGACATTACAAGATATGCAACTTATCAATGAAAAGAAGGGACATTTAATTATAGAACATGCTAATGAGATTGAAGAAGCCAAGTGCGCTGTCCAAGGACTCATTGACCAACAACTAGATTGGAATACTATTGAAAAGTTGATAAAGGCAGAAAAAAAAAAGAAGAATAAAATAGCTGAAATGATCATGTTACCACTAAATCTTAACCAAAATAAAATTGATATTAAATTACCTAATGTTTATAGAGATCATTGTAGTAGTAGTGATGAAGAAAATACATCCTCCGATTCCTCAGAAAACAGTGATTCAGATGATGAAATACAAGTAGATGTAAATAAATCTATTTGTCATGCTCATGCAAGGTCTAAAATAAGTAATAATAAAAATTATGTTGTTGTCACGATTGATCTTACCTTGTCTGCATATGCAAATGCTAGCGAATATTTTAACCTGAAGAAAACAACAGCTGAAAAACAAAAAAAAGTAGAACAAAATATTGAAAAAGCTATGAAGAACATAGAAAAAAATGTTAATCAACAACTAAAAAGAAAACTAGAAAAAAGTCATAATATTTTGAAAAAGGTTAAGAATCTTTACTTCTTTGAAAAGTATTACTGGTTTATCTCCAGTGAAGGTTTTTTAGTATTAATGGGTAAAAGTGCAGTTGAATCTGATCAAATATATGGCAAGTATATTGAAGAAGATGATATATTTGTTTCAAATAGTTATGATAATGTTGTATGGATCAAAAATCCAGAAAAGTCAGAGATTCCACCAAATACATTGATGCAGGCTGGTATATTATGTATGGCATCTAGTGAGGCATGGTCGAAAAAGTTAGCTGCTTCTGCTTGGTGGTGTAGAGCTAAAAATATTAGTAAGTTTAATACATATGACAATAAAGTACTTCCAGCTGGTGTTTTTACGATAAAGGATGAAAACGAAAAAAATATCTTAGCACCCTCTCAGTTAGTTATGGGTCTAGGTTTGATGTGGAAAGTGAAAACTTTGAATGACACAACCTATACTGAAGATGGTACCTTTCCTTCTACAAATCATGAATCTGTTGAAACTAAATGTGTTTTTGAAAATGAAATCTCTGAAGAATATCCTTCTAGTTTCCCGGAAACTAATAGTAACTTACCTCTTTTAGAATCTGTTACTAAAAAAAGTGTAGACACATTGTTTACCAGAAATGAAAGTAAGATGATGGAAAAGGAAGAAAAAGAAACAACAGAAGAAAATAGCACATCGATCACTGCTGCTAATGTACTTCTTAACATGAAGAAAAATGTTCGTGGTAAGAAGGGCAAACTAAAAAAAATGCAAAAAAAATACAAAGATCAAGACGAAAGCGAAAGAATTATGCGCCTGGAAGTCTTAGGTACCTTGAAAGGTATTGAAATGGAAGAAAAAAGAAAACAAGAAGAATCCACCAAAAAAGATCAACAAGAATATAGAAAAGAAAGACGAGAGAAACAAAAAATGGCTCAGCTTTTACATTTTACTACTATGGAAAAAGTAAAAATTAATTTTGTACAACTCAAGGAACAATTAAGGCCATGTATTTCCAAAGAAGATGAGGTTTTAGATATCATCCCTGTTTTTGCACCCTGGCTTGCTTTGCTGAAATATAAATACAAAGTTAAAATACAGCCCGGTAATGCAAAAAAAGCAAAAACTATGAATGAAATTCTAAGTTTCTTTTTGAATAGACAAGTTGATACAACTAAAAACAACAATACACTTGATTGGCCTATGGAACATGATATGATCAAAGCTCTTACTGCACAAGATTTAGTTAGAATTGTTTCAGTAGATAAAGTTTCTGCTTCTCTGAATGGCTCAAAAAATGGCAAAACTAAAAGCCATAATAAAGGAAAAGGAACCAAAGTTAAAGGTAAAAATACAAAATAAGAAGATAGAAAATTCACAATTTAATATAATAATATCAGGCAATGAATTTACATATGTATTATAAGTATTTCACATTGATAGGAAATATATATTACAGTTAAGATGATATAATATCCAACTATTATTTCTGTCTTTAACAGTTATGAAATTTGTAGGGGTATTTGTCATTATGTCAGGGTGTGTTACATAGCACCATATGTTATTATATGCTTACTAGTCTGATTTTCCACAATACAAAAGAAAATCTAAGTCCCTAATAAAATGATTTTAACTAAAAATACCTTTTTAAGATCCATATCTTTCAAAAAGCTCAATTGAAAATTACTTGAGCATACGTTAAATGCTTATTAATCAATCATTTAACTCCTAACATTAATTATAGCCAAGATTTTTTTGAAAATTATTGCATAACATTTAAAGACATATTTTTAACTAATGTGACAGTCTTTAACACCTTACACCTAAAATACAATAAAATTTTCAACAAATTAACAATAAATATTGTAGAGCAAAAAGATGTGAATAATTTTGCTAATTATTACGCAGTTACTATAACATAGCAGCCTGAAAAAAGATACCTAATATATAAACTATCATTGTTGTCATCTATCATTACTAAAATTTTTAAAATAAAAGATTTTGCTACTCTCTACTTATTCTATGCAAAACTATATATATGGTAATACCTACTTTATATTTTCAATAACAACATAATTTTTATCACTTTACATAAACATGCACATTTATTCACATGTTATTAAATACAACTCCAGCAATATTATATCCCAGTTTTGGACTACTATTAATATAAAAAGATGGAATACTATTAAGTGTTACGCATAAAGTCCCAAGTCATCCAAAATATTATTAATTAAGGTGATATCATTCATGTACTCTGAATACTCACTTTCTGCAGTCATACTACCATTATGAGCCTCTTCTTCAACAAACTGATGATCTTCAGGCTCCAAATTGTACTTTTTCAATAAGAAATACCGAATGTCATCAACAAATTCAATCGTATCTGTTTTTTGACGTTCAACAATTCGTTCAGAACTTTTAACAATGGCCTGTTCAAATTCTTTTTTTTGACAGAAATTCTTCAAATTATCAGCTACAATTTTAGCAACATATTGCTCCAGCTGTTCTAATCTATTTGACCAAGCAAAATATAATATATCAAAGATAGGGTATTGCTCAAGGATTTCTTGACTTTGTATAATAACTGTAGTGGCAATGGATTTCAATCGATCTATTAACAAAAAATCACTTAGTGATATGACCCCTAGAGCACAATCCCAAGGTAAGTTTGACTCATCATAATAAAGATACCGGAGTACCATTTCGAATATAGCAGGGTCGTATGCAGGAATATCTAAAATCTGCACATTTAAATCAGGATATATGTTATTGTTTTTCGAAATAAAGTAACTTGTAAATTCCTCAAAAGGGTCAATAAACATACCTCTGAACTAATCAGACCGAATTAGTATGGAAAGATAACAGGGGTATATTTTTTGAATTCCATTATTATCTTTAATACGAATCAATATATCAGGCAATGCTGAACAGGATATTAGGCGCCGATGCAATTCTGGAGTAAGTTCATTTGGTATTAGAATTGCATTATGAATTATGTGGCACTTAACAAAATTCGAAAGCTGTTTTTTGGCAGATGAAGTAAATATGTATTGATACTCCAACATTAATGCGGATTTTTCAGATGGATCTGTAACATATTTGACTTTATTTAAAAAATCCAAAAGATCTTCTAATTCCAAAATACTTGCAATTTCAATCAAGACGTGGTAATAAGTATGTTTGATGGTATATAAAACAGGTATCAAATATATAAATTTTAATAAAAACTTTAACGCATATATAGGTATATCATCCCTTATTTTCATGACACTATCATTTAATTGTTGTTTGCAAATAAAATCAAAGAATCTAGGACATCTTGCTTGAATCATATATCTATGGGCCTTTATACCGAAGAGATTATCACCAACATTTTCGTTACCTTTATGCTTTGATATCAAGCTGCCTGACACTCTATCTGTAAATTTTTGTAAAATAACGTCAAAAGTTCCAAAATTTGAGTTTTTATTCAAAAGAGAAGATATATGAGTAGCAAATGGTTGATTCATATCAATGACTTTGAAAATATCATAAGTAAGCAGTAAATCCCTTATTGAATCAGTTAATGCTCCATATATACAACGTGCTCCCTCATATCTATCTCTCTCACAGATAGCACCACTTTTTAACAATAACCTAACAACTTCTTCGTGTCCACAAAGACTTGCTAGAAATAAGGGGGAATTATCAAATTTATCAACAGCATTGAGGTTTACGCCAGCAGCTATAAGTCTATCAACATTTGGAAGATCCCCAATGTGGCATGCAAAACAAAGTTCTTCAAACTGTTTATCCATTCATATGATATTTGACGTATAATTTTCAATATAAAAAGTATTGAGAATACAAGAAAGAGACAAGTTAAACAATAACTCACAAATCAGTTTTTAATATATTAGATTAGATAATGAAGGTAACAGGGGTAAGTAAACTCACGTTACCTAAGAGAAGAATAACATAATGGAACAATTATAATACTTCATGGGGAAATATTTTAATTTTACATGAAATACATAGGAGGTTTAATATTTTATGTTTTACCTATGTATATATCATTTTTCCATTTTTTACATATTCATATTATTTTTTTTCCATCGTTTTCAACTTAAAAGTGCACTTCATAACTCATAATTTTTGTACTCTATTTTTGTCTAAATCATATGGATAAAAAAAATGAGATGTACTATAAATGTTATGACCTTTTATGTAAACTCTTCTTTATCCTTTGCTCAATAGCATCTACTTTTATAACCGATACTTTTTTTACGTTATATTTAAGTGATACTCGAAATGTATTTGGCTTACTCTATAAAAACTCAAAGAGAGATCTCATAAAAAATTGTTTGTAGTTCATTTATATAATCATTCAGAAATTTCGTACTAATAATCAATGTGAAAAGCAAATAAGTCAATCCCATTGAGTTACTATATTTTATTCTATACAAATGAGGACCTTATTGAACGTAAACAAAAAATATAAATAGTTTGTTCATAGAAATTATAGAGTACCGACGTAGTAGTATAATTTTTTTCGTATGTACTTATATGATTGCTTGATTTTATATTCAAAATATTACATTTTTGGTGTCAGTTGTGACGGATTTGAAATTGGACATCCTTTACTTTTCTTTTTGTGATATGAACGAATATTTGTTCTTTTTCTTCGAATTTTGACCCTACTACCCTTTAAGATAGATCCGTTAAGTAGAAGAGCCTTCTCTACACATGCTTCTCTATCAAATTCTACATATGCAAATCCTTGTTTATGATTTCTATGGATATATTTATTATTATTGAATAACGTAATCCTAACAACCTCTCCACAATCCTGGAAAAAATCTTCAATTTCATTTGGTGTGATTTCGAAGTCAATATTACTTAAAAAGACAGATTTCAAATCTGACTCATTTTGTTGATTTAGCATTGTTAAGTCAATCCTATCATGGGTTTTAGTACTAACGTCACTTGCATTTTGCTTATAAATACCTTCAGCAGCCATGTTTTCTGATAACGATTGTAAAAAGATACAAAATAAGAAAAACAAACACCAGTAGAAAGTTGAGAAAATTAGCAAATATCTATTATTTTATAAGACTCTCTATCTGCTTAATTTCTTTTGCTTTGTTTTCTATCAAAAGTTATATATCTATTTTAGAATTGATATAGAAAGTTGACACACGCATATCCTAGAGAATACAATGAGACCTATAAGTGTTAATCTTTTCAATAAACATATGTAAATTTCTACACTAGTCTATTGAACCGTGTACAACGACTTAAAAGTTATGTTCACATTAATGTGACACAAACTAGTAAAACGTTAAAATTCCAAGATTGTATTCTTCTTGTTTTTATCTTTGGTATAGAATAGCTTTCCTTATTATAGAAACAACAAAATAAACCAATGTTTTTTTTATTTTTTTTTCCTGCTTTTTGCTGTTTAAAAAAAAGCTTCTTCAATAAAGAAAAATTTTTTTATTGAAAAATTAAAATTATTTTGATTCTGATAAACTAACTCATCGCTTCAATATCCAGGTTAATTTAAGTTTTAAGCTGGTACTTGGTAGTTAAATGCAATGCATAGCTTACCAATTAATAGGATTTAATTTAACTATTGAAAAATTTAGTCTATTCTTCCCTCACTTTGAGAGCAGAAATTGAAGATTCTAGAGAAAGAAAGATAAGAGAAATATCAAAAAAGAAGAGTAGCACACAAACATCAACATTACATCTAAACTAAAGAAAAAAAATCTGTCCAAAATGGTTTCTGTAAGGAAGAAAAAGATGAATCGTTCATCTGTTGGTAAGGCCACTAGAAGAACTAAAGATAGAAGAAGAAAAATAAATATAAAGTCTAATCCAATTATTGCAGCTAACTGGGATTATTCTTTAACACTAGCGCAAAACTATAAAAAATTGGGTTTAAGAGCGAAACTCCAGAAACCAGCTGGAGGTCAAGAAACAGATTTATCCAAAGTAATGAAAAAGGAATCTGCTACAGTAAATAGTAAATTTAATGATAATAGTGATAGCGATAGCGATTCTGATGAGGACCAATCTCAAAAAGGACATGTTGATACACAAGAAGATGAAGAATTTGATGAGAATAACATTCCTGAAGGTGAAGCTAGACTACAACGTGATGCTCATGGGAATATCATTAAAATTGTCTATGGAAAACAAAAGGCTTATGATATTGATGAAGATATTAATGAGTTCAAAAAAAGAATTCAAGAGACTGAAGAAATGACAGAAGTAGTTAAGGAATTGGAACGTTTTGCTAATCGTCCAATAATTAAAAAAGAAAGACATCAAAGTGAGAGAGAAGCTGAATGGTTGGGAAGACTATATAAAAAATATGGAGATAATTATAGGAAGATGTTCTTTGATAAACTCAATATCTATCAACAATCACCTGGTGACTTAAAGAAAAGAATAGAAAAATGGAAAAAAACACATAATATTGAGTAACATTGTAAAATAAAAGGAAATTATTATTACAACTACGATGTTGTAGGAATAGCATGATATAAAATGCATAGATATACTAAAGAATGAAAACGTAATATATTTTATTTACTGATCTACTTTTATTTATCTTCTTTTTTACTTAATTATTCTACCAAAACTAATAATTATTTTTAATGAATAATTTTCGTAGAAAAGTATTGAAGCTTAAAGATAGATATATGGGATGTGTGGGTCATATATATATGTGAGAAAAGTAATTAGAGACAAACCTTCATAAACCTATATATGGATATAATATGATAAAAAAAGATGAGAAAAATTTTCACACTAAAAGGTATTTATTTTTTGATTTGCCTTTGCATTTCAATCAAGCCTCAACAAATGCTCTATAAGTAGTAAAATCTTGGTCCATAGACTCTAAGTCAACTTGTGTGTTTGGAGCGATAAAGAAGACAAAACCAGGTTCAGCTTTTAATTTGACACCTTCAGTACTAATAAAACCATTTCCCTTTGTGGTAATTAAAATACTTGGACCTTCAAAAGGTTTAAAATGTCTTACACCAGTAGATTGCTTAAAAGTAGTTTCTAAAACAGCAAACTCCTCAATTGGTGGATTATATAGGACTGATTCACCATTACCAGATGATCTTTCAAACGATTCTTGTTGCATCTTTTGATCTTCCACACTGCCATATTTATATGTTAACATTTCTACCAAATTTTTAACATCCTTAAATTTAGGGGTAAAACCAGCTCTTACAACATTATCAGATGCAGCCATACATTCAATGATATCACCACTAATGTAAGCGTGTGGATCTTTAGCTCTTAAGAAGATAGCTTCACCAGGTTTCAATCTACAATGATTCAACAATAAGCAACCACAGAATAAACCAACATCTTGGGGGAATTGTTTATTTAAACGAATTATCAATTCTGGTAAATCAGACTTGTTGAAATCTTTTGGACTTTGTTGAGCTCTGTCAACCAATTTCTCACTTTCTTTAGCAATAAATTCATCAGAAGCAGTCATAACCTTATTGAAGACTTTTTGTAATAGTTTTTTGTTGGATTTATCGTCTTCAGATCCTTCAATGGCGTCTGGTTTGATACCATTGATAAATTCTTGAGCAACATCTTCACCAACAATAGCTTTAAATTCAGGCAAACGTTTTAATTCATCTGCTATTTCATTCAAAGGTTTAAATCCACAGAACCCTTCGAAGTCTGTAACAGCAACAGCCATTTCTGGTTTATGGTTATTATCTGGGTAATTTTTAGGATCTTGCTCATGTAACATTTTCCCTAAAGCCTTATCTGGGTGTGCTTGGATGGATAAAACCTTTTCAATAGATAACACTTTAAAAAGAAATGGCAATTCTTCTTTATTTTGGAATTTTTCAACAATCTTTTCACCAAGCATATTAACAGGATCCTTTTTAATCATATCTTTTAACAATTCCCCAGTTTCAGCTTGTCTGGAAGGACCGTTAGAATGGGTTCCCATCCATAGTTCAGCATATGGCTTGGATTCATCAATTTTTACAGATTCATTAGAATGGGCAGCATATTGGGCAACAGCAGATTTGGAACCAATCTTACCCCAAGCATAATTTTGATAAGTGGCCTCCAATCTAAATAATTTAGAACTCATTTGGTGTAAATATATTGTATTTAGTTGATCGCTGGTGTTTTGAATTACTCAGGGATAAAAATAAGAAAGAAATATACTTGTATAAACCAAAAGGAACAAAAGCAAAAATTTATAATAATTTTTGTTGTTATTCTTGAGGTGAAAATAATACACAAACTAATTCAGTAAAAAAAAAAAAAACGGAGAAAAAGACCAGTTTGAGGAAGAACAAAAGTGGAATAAATGCTAAAATTAGCCTTATATATGTGTATGTTGTATATATTTGGAACAACTACAAGAGTAGAGAATAAGAAAGAAAATGAGAAGTAAGAAGTGAATCACAATCAGAAGGTTTGATGCGTTGGAGTGGGTAAATCAACAAAATAATATTCCAGTATCAAGCACAGGTTAACCTTATCTATTGGTCTTTATCTCTTGAACGTAGTTAAGCATACTTTAAATTTTGTTAATACCTTTATTATCCTGGGAAAATATACAGATTTTCAAGAACCTAAAATTGCTATAGTAGTTATATTTTAAATTTATATAGGGTCAGTAATATCTATTAAGTATAAACATTGGAGTTGTGCTTTTCTATGTATGTATATTTATGGTACTTCATACACATTTGTGATTTTTCAAAGCATAGTTACATTTACATTAAAATAGCTAGTTTTAAAATAATACAAATTGTGGTGATAGATGTCAATAAAAAATATACAATTTGAGAGGAATGTCTAGCTACATTAGGAAAGTAAGATACATACAATCCTTAGTAGTTAATTTATTAGTAATATTATTTATGGTGCATTATGATTTGCCATCCTAAAGTTTTTAGTATTAAAGACTCCATGAAATAATGAGAAGACTGGAATTTTTGAAATAGACAATAACGTATACTCTTGATTATAATTATGATGTTCTGTTTGTATTTAATATGAGAAGATTTAGATACAGGTATAATACTCAAAAAGTTTTCCCTTCAGTACTTTTTTTTATTACCTATGAACCCACATATTCTTATCCATACACCAGAATATTCTGCATATACATGTAAAATATTTTTCCGATCTTTATTGAATATTATACAAAAGAAGAATTTGTAAGAGTTGTTGTATGTAAATGGATGAATCGTATCAATCAGTATAAGTATAAACACTCTTACGTAAGCTCTATATATTACTAATTAGTAACCCTGATGTTGTATTACTTCTTGTTGTTATTCTTCTTCTATGATATTAAGAGGCGACTCTTAATATCATTACTAAGATGTATTTAAATAAGATGATTACCCCTGGCATATCTCTCAATAATCAAAGGTCTCTTGACAAGATCTGATATAATTATCACTCCCTGGAAATCCTCCAATCAAATTCAATACCTTGCACAAGCCACTGCACGAATGGCTGTATCAATTCTCCACCCAGATACTCAGGTGTTACCCTCGGAATTGCGTACTTACGGGATTTCCAGTTAAGTTCCATACAAAATTTCGAAAAAATATATATATTAATCTGGAAAATCTCTATTTTATGTATATGTCTTATTTGTAGTTTTTTAAGGAATGTATTACTTTTGACAAAATAATTCATACGAAAGAATTGATTAACACTACAAATAATGACACAATAAGAAGAACACATTTAGAAAATAACAAATATATATAACAAATCTCGTATCTTTTAAAATGAATTTTCATTACTTAAAATTGAAATTGTAAATATACAACTGGTAATGTACCCACTATTAGAACTCTCAGTAACATTATTATTTTCTTATTACCTAAATAGAGTCTAGTAAACCTTTTTCAATAATATTTCTGAACACTTATCTTATTTAACTACATACAATAATCAACTAAATATCCTCCAAACAATCATAGCATCAAATTTCAAAAGAGTAATGAAGTTGGATCATACTACAATGCTTAAAAATTTCAACAAAAAATAAATCAACTTCTCAATAAATGAATAATGTATATTAGAACTAATATTAAAAAAGTAAAATACGATATTCAAAGTTTTTTGATTATTTAAAGTAAATAAAAATTTTAATTTTTCCATCTACAGTGCTACAACTGAAAAAAATACAAAGTTTTTTAACGTTTTAATTATAATATTAGAATATCTAATTATTTTCATCATGGACACTGCAAACTATAGACAACATATATATGAATACATATAACCAATTACCATCTTCTTTGCACAAAACATCAAGTACATCAATTCGTTACACTAAAAAATGGAAGACCAAAATTTTTTCAGAATATGTTGCTGTTCTTCTTCTTCTTCCCATTGCATTGCATCAATCAGCTCGCGATCAGTATCTATGTCAATGTCATATAGTTTATAAATAATTCTACACCTTTTCCAAATTTGAAATGCCAACCAAATAAATATAAATAAAAATAAGGAAATATATGATGCAACGAAATCAACTGTATTAAATTGCGGTGTAAATGATGTAAATCCCTGAGTTATGATAATTATTACAATAAAAAATATCGCATAATACGCCAACCATGGCATTAACTTAGCTTTGTATGGCAAATCATCTCTTGAGATACCTCGATACTTGAGTACTTGCATAAACCGAATATGCGCTACTGAAATTAAGAGCCATACAAAGAACCCCGCAATACTAACAATATTTAACAACCATTCGAATGCAGTACCACCACTGATAGATAATTCTAAATATGCTAAAGAACCAAACATTGAAGTAGTTAACACTGCAATATATGGAACTCCTGTTTTTGTCGTATTTTTAAAAAATTTAGGTGCAGAACCATTTTTAGCCAACCCATACAAAATACGTGATCCGACATAAACATTGGAGTTCCCAGCAGAGACTATAGTAATTAATATTGCACCATTAAATATGCTATCAAGGAAAGGAATACCAGAATTTTGAATAGCAATAATAAATGGAGACTTTGACACATATGTTGTCACACTTGTCAGCTTGGGGTCATTATAAGGAACCAAAAGACCAACCAAAAATAGACATAATATATAGAAAATCAATATTCGAAATATCACTTTTTTAATTGCATTTGGAACTGTTTTTCTAGGATTAGATGCTTCTCCTGCTGTGACTCCAACTAATTCTGTTCCTTGGTATGTGAATGCTGCATTAATTAAAGATGATACCCAACCAAGAAAACGCGCTTCATTTTTATTTGAAGATATAATACCTGGGCCCCACGAACCAGGGTTCTTCCAATACCTAAAACCAAATGGTCCATATGGTCCTGCACCACACACCATACATATACAAAAAATTATAAACCCCGTTATAGACAGAACTTTTATAAATGCAATCCAAAATTCAATTTCTCCATAATAACGAACAGGAAACATATTAAAAATAGTTAACAAAACCCAAAATATGGATATCCATGCTACTATTGGAACCTTTTCTGTCCAGAAAAATATTACTTGACCTACAACACTTAATTCTACAGCAAAAGTCACTGCCCATGAAAACCAATACATATAACCATTTGCAGCTCCAAATGCGGGTGATAAAAATCGTGAAGAAAACACAGTAAATGAAGAAGTCACAGGAATAAAAGTTACCATTTCCCCCAACGACTGAGTTACAGAAAATATAACAGTTCCCATAAAAAGATAAGCAATAAGACTTCCTACAGGACCCGCGTTCATTAATGGTTGTGCTATACCAATAAAAAGTCCTGTACCAATAGTCCCTCCCAGAGCAATCATAGCTATATGTCTCTGTTTTAATTCTCTTTTGACACCTTGTATCGTCGGTTCATCATCTATCTTTGGTATATTAGTGAATAAAACATCTTCTATTAGAGAATTTTGACTTAATTGTTCACAATTCGTCTGGTATATTTTTACGTTCTTAGGTTTCTTTTTATCCCCCTTCATTTTCTTATTCTTTTTATTATTAAATGTTAATATAAAATTTACTTTACAATCATTCTTTAATTTTTAAAATAACAAAATCGATATTTTGTTAATCATGTTCTTAATACTCTATGTGTTATTTGAAACAGATGTATATATATACATATATCTGTCCCATATAGATAGATTTTTTTTATATTCATTTATTTTAGCAATGGATACAATAAACCGTCTGCCACAATATCAAAAAAACTTTAAAAATAAAAATAAACAATCATATACAAAGAGGATACTTGAAATCAAAAATGGGATAAAATAAATACTAAATTAACAAAAAAATGTTTGTGTTATTTGATGTAGACTAAAAATGCAAAATAAAAAAACTAAGCAAATAAATTATCAACACAGAGAAATATAACATATAAATAAACTAGAATGACTAACCATTCAAACCCCCCTCTAAGAAATAGCAAAAGCTATTAAGAATCACAACCATATTTACACGTAAATAATTCTCCTTTAAAGATTCTTACTCATCCTTAATAGTCTTTGTTAATTCAATAATATGTTCCTTTGCCTCAGAAACACTAACTTCAGGTGACACCTTAATTTTTTTAAATTTTAATTTACCATCAGCAAAAATCCAATATGATCTAATGATACCAGATGTTGGAGTCTTTTTAGCACCAAGAAGACCAATTAATTCTCTTTTCGGATCACTCAAAAGATCATATGGTAACTGTTGTTTGTTGTGAAATTTTTCTTGTGCATTAACACTGTCTGCACTTATACCTAATACTGCAGCATGTTTCTTTAAATCATCGAAATTATCACGAAATCCACAGACCTGACGAGTACAACCTGGTGTTGACGCCCTTGGATATGCAAAGAGAATAATAATTTTGTTCTTTTCAGCGATGTCTTTTAAAGAAATTTCTTTATTATCTTGATTTAAAAGCGTTAAATCTGGGATTTCATCACCAATTTCCAGAACTTTAGGCAATTCAACCACAGAGACATTACCTTTTCCATCCAAACCCTTTTCTTCATCAATCTTTTTAGTAGACTTTACCTTTGAATTAGTTTTGGCAGTATTCCTCTTTGTTACTTTTTTGTCTATACTTTCTACCTGTTGATCAGAAATTTGCTTCTTTAATCTTGATGAGCGTCTTAATTGCATTGTATATTATTTTATAAATGAATAAATAGAATTTGGTCGACCTTATCCTCTAATAAAGTGAATAGTATTACTGATCTAAATTGAGATGTCTTACTCTTTTTTGTGTTCTCTGCTTCACTCTCTACAATGTTTTTATCTCTCTTGTTCCTCCTTCTTTTCAATTTCCAAGAAAAAATTCTCTTCTTCTCCCTTTTAATTTTATATTTTTCCATTTAGGACAAGCAAAAATACATACACACACACATACAAAAATCCAAGAAATGAAAAATAGTATCTAATCCTTATAGGATACTCAATCAACCTTTAAGTTTATATTTCTTATTATTCAGGCAACAGCATTTATATGCTCTAAAAGCATATAAAATCATAGGTTGAATATGTCTTAACTATTAAACATACGATATAAGACAAAATCGACTTATACTTTGTAATATTTCATCAGAAGCCAAGACGCTACATTGCTTAGTCAATAAAATTAACACGAACATTATTAATATTATTTAATATATATATACATTCACTTATTCATTTACCCATATGTATACATAAATGTATAAAAACCATATATTATCTTGGCTCGTTCTTAGTTTCATAATAATAAAGCGGCAGCACCCATAGCGGCAGCACCCATACCAGCAGTTAATAGGTTAGCGCCGTTGGCAGATTTGGATTTTGTGGAAGTTGCAGATGCACTAGAAGAGGATTTAGAAGAGCTAGAATCCTTAGAAGAGGAAGAAGCAGTGGCAGAACTAGAAGACTTAGAAGTAGAAGACTTAGAAGCGGAGGAGGAAGAGGCAGAAGATTTAGAAGATTTAGAAGAAGAAGAAGCAGAAGCAGAAGAAGTAGTAGTAGCAACAGACTCAGAAGAAGAAGAAGCAGAGGCGGTAGCACTAGAACCAGAAGCACCAGAAGCACCTAAATCAGCTGTTTCTGTAATAGAGTGAGCCTTGAAGTATGAGGACATAAGTGGGACAATTCTAGAAGAATACCATGGTAATAATTCCATAGCAGTTGTGACTTGAGCAAAGTTAATCATGGTAAACAAAGTTGTATAACTGTCATCTGTGTAAGTAGTAATGTGAGTATAACATTCTAAGACACCTTCTGGAATGGTGAAACTAGGATTGTTTTCAGCTAATGAAATGTATTCTGTTAAATGAGCGTTAACATCAAGTAACAAAGCATCAAATTCGGCAACTTCGTAAGCGTCAAGGGCAGAAGTTAAGGTAGCAGCACCGGCCATTAAAGCTAAAAACTTTTTGACAGACATTTTATATGATATTTTTTTTATTAAGTAAATTTGACGATACACGTGTGTGCTTATTGCTGTTGTACTTAGAAACAAGAGATACTAAGGTATAAGCATTGCGCACCCCCTATATCTTGAGCGTTACCATCATAACATTAAAATTATACCTTTTCTATATATATATACTTCTAGACTCCTTAACAACAATTTTTCACTCCACTTCATACTCTCTGTAAAAAAAAAAAAAACACAAGAAAAATTATTAACGAGATTTCTAATTCAATAGTGCTTTTCCATTTCACAATATATTTTACGAAGTAATAATCAAGATGGTCTTACATTATTTCCATTATGGTTTCTTTTGTGTCGTGAAAACAATATTTTTAATTAAATCTACAAGATGTATTGCAGATAACCTCTTTTTGTTTTATTTTTATTCTTATTTTTAGAAGAAAAAGAAAAGAAAACAAAGAAGAAAACGAAAAGGAGCTGGCCGTTTTCTTAAACGAGATGATACAGTCGTTGAGGTAACACGAGCAAACAGTAATAAAAAAAATTAACCCCAAACACTACAAGAACATATACTACAACACCAAAAATGATGGGTAATTTTATTAATAATTTCTAATAAAATAACTAATATCTTCTGAACACTACTGTCTCTCATAATGCAAGGCTTAGTCAGTTCTAACAACACCAAATTAAATATATTTCATGGCTATACATACATACATACATATATATATATATATATGTACAAACGTAGACACACCTAAACAATATAAAAATATCATTGTATACTTTTGATACTCGAATATAGTAAGCCTTTGTTCGTAATATAGATATCTCTACTAGTCGTCTATAAAGCTCCTCACCCCCCTAGGAGATATTTAACACCTTGCAATAGAAGGAGTATTCTATCAGAATTCTACAAGTATTAATCTTCCCACTAATTTTTTTTTAAAGATCTACCTGGTTTTTCCAGAAAACTGGGATCAAAAAAGCAACTACTAGTAATACATGTATTACACTTATCTCTATAAAATCTATTACCTTACTCCTCATATACATTACCACAAATCGTAAACAACATTTTTATTCTCTACTTTTTCCTTATTCTTTTTAGCTTCAACAGAAACACAAACATCACTATTGAAAGCATCAATCTTACAAGAAAAAAATTATTCTAAATGAATTCATTTTCCCTCCATGTTATTAGTGTAGATTTTTCCAGTATTACTGCACACTGAATCTGCCTAATTTTAATGATACACACAAACCATATATATATATATATATACATGTTAATAGTTAGATTTCTAATAAGACCCATAATAATTCAAACAACAATTATATAATTGTTGATTTACTATAACTCTAGCCCTTCTTGATGACTTTGAAGTATGAATTTGTTCACTTGACACTGTATTAAATTCTCAGGGCTGATAAAAAAAGACAAAAAGAGTGATTGTGAGTTTAGCAACAACTAACATTTCATTATTTTTTTTATGTTTAATCGTTCAATAGTTTATCTGTTTAGGTATTTTATTGTTTGTTGCTATAGAGACGCCGTTTCAGGTTATATAATTCATATTTTATTTATATCACTAATGAACAATAGAAATGCTACAAAATCATGGTAAGACAAGAGAGAGAAAGAATTAAAAAATAGAAAAAATTTCATAATTAAAAAGGACCTTTTAACCAAAAAGAAGATATGTTTATTAAAAAGTTCATTGCTTTTTATCTGTATTTGGAATATTAGTATTGTATATTTCTTGTTGTAAAACAATGATATAGTCTATATATTAAACGAAGAAATTTTCTAACATTTGATCCTGAACAAAAGAATTATAATATTTTGTTAACTAACTACGATTACTAATTAATAGTAGCAAAAATAAAGACAAAGATTCATAATAGCTAGAGACCATCTTAGGATTTAATAAAAGAATGAATGGTCGTTTACTTTGACCAAACGTCTTTTTTTTTCTTTTTATTTTTTGGAAGGCATGAATTTTTTAATCACAAAAATTTTCCACCCAAAAAAAGAAAAAAAAAAGTGTAGAAAAGCAAGAACCAAAGATTTAATATTCTTTTTTTTTTTGTTTCTCGTATAATCCCCCATTTGTAAACGAAGATCTATATTATTTAATCTTTTTCTTTTCTTTTTTTTCTTTTTTTCTCTTGAAAAAAATCTTCTCCTCATCACAAAAGTTCTGTTGTTAATCTTCAAAAGGACCATTTTTTTTGTTTAATTCCTTATATTTCAACAGATATTCTTAATTAAGATACTCTTTTTACTTCAAAAAAGACAACTTGTTTTATTTTATTTTACGAAGTTCATATGAATTTGTTATTACTATTATTATTATTACTATTATTATTATTATTACTATTATTATTATTATTTTCTTTTTCTTTATATGTTCTTTCCTTCCTTTGTAATATAACATTTTTTCAGTTATCCTACACACTATTAACACTAGTAAATTGCAATAAAATGCCATTGTCGTAATGCTTTATTGATTGCAGACAGAAATCCAGATACTAAGTGTTCGTCTCTATTGTTGCAAGGTAATCACAAATTATATTGTTATTTTAAGAAAATGTTCCCAAATCCTATTAGTTCCTATTCTTACGGCAATGAAATTTTATTGATTATACTCCTCTCAACTGTTCAAATATTCGTATTTTTGTGGTAGAAACATGTGCAACTTCTCTCACATGTATGTCCAACTATACATTGTTTTCTTTTTCTTTTTTACTGTCTAATTTGTCCCTTCTTCCTTTGTCAATCACCTCTATAAATATATATTAATATAAATAAACCTCTTTCTATATTATGGATATTGGCACAGAGTATATAATCTGCTCCAAACCTGATCCTAATCCAGGTTGAATCTTTATACTTCTACAGTAGTTAGTAATTTCCTCTTCTTTCTCTTTTGCTTCTCTCATCTCTGTACAAGTGAAGTTGTTCACTGATTCGATTTTATTTTCATTTCATATTACTCATTAACATTTCACTTCTAGCTGTGTATTTGAATATCATCACTCAAAAAAACAATTGAACAAAATCGTTTATATTCCTAATTAATACCCTTTAATTACTTTATCAATTCATTATCTTCAATTTTGATAATTACTTTTTCTATTATTTTTTGTAACAATATCCGTTAGTCCATACATATAGATAAGTTAAAAATAGGCAATACAAATATCTGTTCTTTTTTTCTTTTTTCGGTTTAATTTAACTTAAATATTAGAAGATGTCAGCCATCTCTAAATACTTTACGCCCATTCCTGATGCATCCATAACATTTAATGGAGCTAATATTTGTGTGAAAAATTCTATTGATTCAAATAATCTATCCAATGAGGATAATGAAATAGGTGGACCTCTTTCTTCTAATAATACACCCAATGCTGAGTTAGGTTATATTCATGATTTGACCTTCAGAGCTGAACAAGGTGAGGTTATATTAGTCTTAGGAGATCCAACATCCGATTTATTTAAAACTTTATTTCACAGTCACAGGAATCTAAATTATTATCCAAAACAAAGTATCTTATTTAAAGATAATGAATTCAAATCATTTTCATCAAAATGCCCACAACAAATCATCTATAATAATGAAAAAGATATCCATTTCCCATTCTTGACTGTACAACAAACTATTGATTTTGCCTTAGCTTGTAAATTTAATATACCAAAGCAAGAAAGAGACAATTTAAGAGATGAGTTGTTGAAAAGTTTTGGTTTGTCTCATGTGTTAAAAACTATTGTTGGTAATGATTTTGTTCGTGGTGTTTCTGGTGGTGAAAGAAAACGTATTTCAATTATCGAAACATTTATAGCAAATGGATCCATCTATCTATGGGATAATTCCACCAAGGGGTTAGACTCTTCAACCGCTTTAGATTTCTTATCTATCTTACAAACCATGGCAAGGGCCACTCGTTCCATCAACTTCGTCAAAATCTCTCAAGCTTCTGATAAAATTGTTGGTAAATTCGATAAAATACTAATGTTAACAAATTCATATCAAGTGTTTTATGGTACTGTTGATGAGTGTTTAACTTACTTCCACGATGAATTAGGGATTGAGAAAGATCCAAACGATTGTATCATTGAGTATTTGACTTCTATTCTCAATTTCCAATTTGATTCTAGTAAGATGGATTCTCAAAATATCCCGACTTGTGAATCTGATTTATATTCGCTATGGACAGATTCAACATATTATAAAACATGTAAACAGGATACTGCTATCACCACAGCTATTAGATCTGATGTTAATCCAGATGACGTTACACCAAAATTCACTGTCCCATTAACTACACAATTCCATTATTGTCTTCGTAGAGCTTTCCAAAGAATCATTGGTGATAGAAGTTATCTGATCTCTCAATTTGTTTCTGTGATTGTTCAATCTTTGGTTATCGGTTCTCTGTTCTATGACTTGCCTGTCACAACTATAGGTTCTTTCTCAAGAGGTTCCCTATGTTTCTTTTCACTTTTATTCTTCACTTTCTTAGCCTTAACTGATATGCCCGCTGCTTTTCAAAGACAAGAAATTGTTACCAAACATGTTCAACTACATTTCTACTATGGTTCCTTTGAGACTTTATCTGCTACCTGTTTTGACTACACATTTAAATTTATATTGGTTGTGGTCTTCACTATCATTCTTTATTTCTTAGCTCATTTACAATATAATGCAGGTAGATTCTTTATTTTCTTACTGTTTTTGTCCATTTACAATTTTAGTATGATTTCATTGTTTTCTTTGACAGCATTAATTAGTCCTACTTTAGGTATTGCTAATATGTTAGCAGGTATTTTATTGTTAGGTATTGCTATGTATGCATCATATGTTATCCATTTAGAAGACATGCATCCATGGTTTGTTTGGATTGCTTACATCAATCCAGCCATGTTTTCTATGGAAGCCATCTTATCCAATGAAATTTTCAATTTAAAGTTAGACTGTACAGAATCAATTGTTCCCAGAGGTCCTTATTACGATAATGTTTCATTCACTCACAAAGCTTGTGCTTGGCCAGGTGCAACCTTAGGTAACAACTATGTTAGAGGTCAGGATTATTTAAGAAGTGGGTTGAAGTACACATATCATCATGTTTGGAGAAATTTTGGTATATTGATTGGTTTCTTATGTTTCTATTTGTTCTGTTCATTATTTGTTTCTGAATTTATTACTCCATTATACACAAGAGAAAACTTGCAAAAATGGCAGGAATACATGCATAAACATAATCCATTTGGTAACAAGAAGAGTCGGAATTCCCCAGTAGCTAATGAAACAAACCCATTTGATGAGGAATTACAACCAATCTCCTCATGCTCTGTTTCCACTTCTGTTGAGTCTTCATCTGCTAAACTAGGTAGCGTTCGTGAAAAAGATAATTCCTCAACTTTCCACAAGAAAGTTAAAGGCCACAACATTGTTGAAACACAAAAACATGTTATCTCTTGGAAAAATATTAACTATGTTGTTGAAGGCAACAAACAATTAATTAATGATGCCACTGGTTTTATTAGTTCTGGTTTGACGGCATTGATGGGTGAATCTGGTGCAGGTAAAACTACTTTATTAAATGTTTTATCTCAACGTGTAGAAACTGGTGTGGTTACTGGTGAAATATTAATTGATGGTCAACCATTGACAAATATTGGTGCTTTCAGAAGAAGTACTGGTTTTGTTCAACAACAAGATGTTCATTTGGATTTACTCACAGTGAAAGAATCACTTGAAATTTCATGCACTTTAAGAGGTGATGGTGATATGGAATATCTGGCTACTATTGCAAAGTTATTGAAATTACCTGCTGAAAAGTTAGTTGTTGATTTAAGTCCAACAGAAAGAAAGTTATTATCCATTGGTGTTGAGTTAGTTACTAAACCATCTTTATTGTTATTCTTAGATGAGCCTACTTCTGGTTTAGATGCTGAAGCTGCTTTGACTATAGTTAAATTTTTAAAGAAATTGTCTGAACAAGGTCAAGCTATTTTATGTACCATCCATCAACCAAGTAAGAGTGTTATTAGCTACTTTGATAATATTTACTTATTGAAAAGGGGTGGTGAATGTGTCTATTTTGGTGATATTAACGATGCTTGTGATTACTTTGCATCACATGATGAGTCATTGTACTACGACAGGGAACTTGATAATCCAGCTGATTTTGTCATTGAAGTTGTTGGTGGGAATCGTGCAGAAAAGTACTCTGACTCTTCTAGTGATGTTGATAAGGTTTTCGAAAAAGCAAGTATTGATTGGACTGCTATGTGGAATAATTCTCCTCATAGAAAACAAGTTTTGGTTCAGCAGGAAGAATTAGAAAGGGAAGCTATTGCATCTGGTATCGACTTTACTACATCTGCATGGAGTTTACCTTCGTATATGACCCAATTGATTACAATTATTAAAAGACAATACCGTTGCACAAAGAGAGATAAAGCATATGTTGGTGCTAAATTTGCATTGAATGCTGGTGCTGGTTTGTTCATTGGTTTTTCTTTTTGGAGGACAAAAGAAAACATTAGTGGTTTACAAAATGCGATCTTCTTATCCTTTATGAATTTATGTTTATCTTCACCGTTGATTAACCAAGTTCAAGACAAGGCCTTACAGTCTAAGGATGTTTATGTTGCTAGAGAAGCTAGATCTAACACTTACCATTGGTCTGTTTTATTACTTGCCCAAACTATTGTAGAGTTACCGTTAGCAATTTCTAGTTCGACATTATTCTTCTTGTGCTGCTACTTCTGTTGTGGCTATAGTGATGCTGCTCATGTTGCTGGTGTCTTTTACTTAAATTACATTCTTTTTAGTGTGTACTATCTGACCTTTGGTTTATGGTTATTATATTCTGCTCCTGATTTACAAACAGCTGCTGTTTTTGTTGCTTTCTTTTATAGTTTCACAGCTTCCTTCTGTGGTGTTATGCAACCATATTCTCTTTTCCCTGGATTCTGGAAGTTCATGTATCGTGTATCACCGTATACATACTTTATTGATACTTTCGTAAGTTTGTTACTTCACGACAGACCAGTACATTGTGGGGTAGGAGACACTGTTCCAGGTCAACCATTACCAGGCCAAACATGTTTAGAGTTCATGACCCCATACATGAACGAATATGGTGGTATCTTGAAGATTAATAATAGTCGTTCTGTTTGTGCTTATTGTACTTATACTGTTGGTGATGATTTCTTAGCGGTGGAAAAAATGAGTTATCATCATAGGTGGAGAAATTTTGGTATATGTATCGCCTTCTGCGTCTTTAATTTCTTTGCTATGTTTGCAGGTTTCTACTTAACATATGTAAAGAATATTTGGCCAATTGTTTGGGCTTATCTCATGAAGATAATTCCGCTTGACAGATTTTTCAAAAAGAATGTCGTCACCAAAAAGAGTGAGAAGATGATAGAAACAAAATAATAGAATGAATATTCATTATCCTTTTTTCTTATTTATATACTCATCAATATATATAGAATTGTACTTTTAATATTTGTATTTTATTTTTGCTTACCTAATAATATGTATAGAAAATTTTAGTATTCGGTTAAAAGTCAGAAACCTAGATATACCCAATTATAGTGAGCGTTCCTTGTTTTCCTTTTTTGCATTTTATTGTTTTAATAAATTCTGTAATCTGCTAACTACCTCTGAGAGCTGGTATAACTGCATAATGATTTATTCTTAGATCAATATAATATAGGTTAACTAGAGAATCCAATTCGAATTTATCTTTGTTTATAAGTGCTAAACTGATTCTACCAAAAGATCATTAGTTAAATCAATGCCAATTTTATGTTACAATATATTATATATATATATATATGAGTCTTTAATAGTATTCGAACCTATATAATATCATTCCATAATTCAGATAGAGTTTTGTACTTTAATTTTTTTTCATTCTCGAATTCAATTAACTTTCCAGAATTCTTGTTAGTATCAAACTTTCCACGTGTAGCAAAAGCACAGTACATGTAATTAGCGCACTCTCTGATTTGTAACCAAGGATTGCTCTTTGGATCTGGTATAATAATACCATCGATAACAAGTGGTGAATCATATATTCTTTGTAAGGTTTCAGGCGTCTTATATCTTGATGTAAAATATTCTTTGTCTGCTTTAAATTCACTGGCCGCTGTATCATAGAATTTACACATCCTCAAGCCACCATTGGACCACAATAATCTTTGGTTTTTATCTATATGACCAATCTGAGAACCACATATGCTATATTTATTTACATCTTCATTTTCTTCATTACTAACTGGCCCTAATATACCACCCTCCATTGGATTAATTGAATACGTTTCTCCAGCTATTAATTCGCCTAACCAAGTTGCTTCTTTATCTCCATAGATACATGTTCTCAAACGAAAATCTAAATTAGAGAAAAACGACATTAATATTCCATTTAGCTTTAATGCTTTATTGAAAACAATTAATCCACTATCAACATGATGCAACTGCAACTTTTCAAAGAAGTTACGATATATAAGAGCTTCAACGGATGGTAACTTATTATCTTCTACATGTTGATTTCGTTTACTCCAATTGATATCAAACATCAACTTTCTGTTAGTCATTATAACTTCTTCTAAAGAAGGTTCAACTTTATGAATAAGATCAGTACATCTTCTGAAAGTATGCTCCTCAATTAAGCTTCTATCTCTATACATCAAAATACCACTTTTTTGGTAAGAATCAATATTGAAAAAGTCCTGTGACGGAATATATGGAACAGCATCAATATCAATAAATAGAGCTTCTTCAAAAGTATTAAAAAGTTGAGCCACCCATTTATTATAAAAATTATGGATGTAAGATGAAACAAATTGTTTATCTAAAATATTAGAGACATCAACTAAATATATTTTTTGGTCTAGCTGTTTACTGTAATGAGACAGATCTTTAATGAATTGTTCAGAGAGTTCACCTCCTGTTGTAATGACTTGTATGGGAAGTGAATTTCCCAGGGCTTTAAATACTTTTAATTGTCTATAAAACATTATTCTGTCACTATCTTTCATTGTTACAACTATTCCTTTGCCATTAGAATAGTTGGCCCAGCTTTGCCAAAAATTTGCATTAAAGGTATCAATATCTTTGATTTGTGGAGGCTGAACAAGTGTATTAGTAATAATATCACCCTTAGAAAGATCATAAACGGTAGGCCATATTAATTCAGACTCAGAATTTTGAAAATTCATAAATGGAAACATTCTTCTATTAAAGTCTTGAGGGGTGATATCCTCAAAATCTTCTTTACTTATAAGATCTTTTAAATTTTCATTGCCATGTATAAAACAATAATCATAAACCCTCAATCTTTCTACCATTAATGTAAAGACTAAAGAACCAACACTATCATTTTCATACTCCTTAAGAATATCTTCATTTGACCAATGTGGAATCTTATAAAACCCCTTAATCAAATATTTACACTGCTCTGTGCTATTTAATCTATTCCAGTAATTTAATACATTCTTAGTCTCTGTTTTATGAAATAATTGAAAGAAAGATGGCCTTTTAGATTGCATCTTAATTGTATTTTCTATTTCCTTAAAAGCAACACGGAATGGTGATACCTCAGATGCATAATGATGTTCATTTGTTAATGACTCTATGATATTATTATTGCTTTTTCTATAATTCTGCGTAGCACTTTTATTCTCCGAACCAAATGATAATGAATCGTCTAATAGATTTGTGTGAACAAAATGATTCGAATTCACATTATGGGAATACCTTTGAGTGTACCAGGTAACAAGTGTAATTAACACTATTAATACTATTATTAAATGTCTTTTCAATCTTTGTCTTCTTAACTTACGAGATATAGTACTCGAACCTAATACTTTCAGAACAGCCATAGCTATCGTTCAAAAAAAAAGCATACATATGAGTAAAACAGTAATTTAAAAAATTAGAGTTGATGAAATGAAGTAGGATAAATATCTCTCTGCCTATATAACATTTTTCGCCACTACATTATTAACAAGATACACTTAAATTAACATATATAATTAGAAAATCTACATTCCAATCATTTGGAGTTTTATATCAATTAAATTCAAAATTTTGCAACCGATTGTCATTATCACTAGTTGCAAAATTATCATTATCTTCGGTTGCAAGATTTTGAGTTTTTCACGTTCCTTTCTATAATAAAAAAAAAAATAAAAAGAAAAAAAAATGATTTTACAACACAAAATCTAATTGCCAGTTAAATGGAAAGTCATTTGAACAAAAGCAGACATAGGAGCACACAAAACACTTGTTGCGCAAGATGATCGATCTTAGTAGTCTAGTTTATTTGCTTATTAGTTTTAGTAAATTGAAGGAGTGTTTGCTACGGTTATATCCAATAAAATTTTTCCCTGAATATTGACTATTCAAAACCTCCGAATCTAACATAGATAATTATTTTTTATTTCAGTAATAAATCAAAAAGAAGTTTAACTTGGTTAATTATATTATATATACTAGAAAAAGGGTCCTATATATACATAGATTCATATTCAAGCACTGTAAAAAAAAAAAACTCTGTTATTGCTTAACTATCCAAACAACTAGTTTTCACTCCATAGCCTTGCTAAATTATTATAAAAATTCATTTTTTCCTGGCTGAACCTTATTATACTTCCATGAGAAGATGAAGTGGTAGTCGATTCAGATTTTTCTTTAAAATATGCACAAAACCGAAATTGTTTACATTCTCTAGTTTGCATCCACGGTATATCTCCAACATCAGGTATGATGGCCCCTTCAATCATCAGCGGAGAATTATAAATCTTTTGCAATGATTCTGGGTCACTATAATGTGACTTGAAAAATTCCTTATGTATTTTAAAATCCTTAATAGCAGCATTTCTAAATTTACAAACATTTAATCCGCCATTAGACCACATTAAATCGTTATTTTCATTAACGTGTGCGATCTGAGCAGCACAAATACCATCGATATTATTCTCATTTTTATAAAACATCCCCATCGTCCCTGCATAACCTGGATCAATTGAATAGTCATTGCCAGCCAATAATGGACCTAACCAAAAAAATTCTTTGTCTCCATGCACACAGTCATCAAAATATTTAGACAAATGTAATGCGAATCCCATCAATAAACTAGATAATTGCTTTTGTCTATTAACAATTATCAGACCACTATCAACCTGATGGAAATTTCCATTTTGGAAAAAATTTTGAAAGACAATCTCTTGCATTGTCAATTGGCTCTGTGTCTTTGTACTAACCTCTTGTTTCTTAATTTGTAAAGCCTCAGTGAATGAAAATTTAATATTATCAATTGTAAGCAGATGTTCTTCCTCAAAAGTAGATGTGACTAACGCAAATTTATTCAAACAAGCTTCTCTACCGTTAGCCACTAAAATTTCTCTATCACGATACATATACATCCCAGTCTGTTTATATGAATCTATATCAAAAAACTTTTCTAGTGGGATGTATGGTACAGAATCAAGATCAATCAATATAGCTTCTTCAAACGTACTGAATAAAATAGCTATCCATTTGTTTAAAAATCCGGTAATATGTTTCATGGTAAACTGCTTGCTAATTATATTAGAACAGTCTATAACATATATATCCTGATTATACTTACTGGCCAAATAGGAAAATGACAATAAAGTTTCCTCATCAAAATCGTTTCCAGTAGTAACAATCTGTAATGGTAACGAATTATGTAACACTTCCAATATAGCTAATAATTTTTTAAACGTATTGATATCCTCATTAGACATTGTGACGATAATACCTTTTCCCTTGAACTGATTAGACCATGAAAACCAGAAATTTTGATTAAATTCTACAATATTATTAGTATTGATATATAATTGTACCATTTCTTTGCCCTTTTCAATCATATGGTACAATGCTGGAACCATAGGATTAGTGTTATTTTCATGAAAATTTAAATATGGAAACACTTTTTGATAATATTCATAGATAGATATACGTGTCCCATTTATTTGATTTAAAACAGTACTAACATTTAATCCACCTGACATGAAACAATAGTCATAAATTCTTAATTGTTCAATGGTTTTGAAAAGGGTTTTATGATTTTCCATAGTTGCGAAATCAGATTCTTGTGAGATTTCAGTGATGTAGTGAACACAGTGGTCAATTAGAGATGTATATTCTGAATTGATTTCTGTTTCAGATCCTATATTGTTGATGGAATTCGATTTATTTTCTTCATGACTTTTACTTTCTATAATATGTGACTTCCCACTTTCATTTTGAAATAAATTTAAATATATTTTAGAATATTGATCAAAATAAGAAAGACTGGCTGTTATTATAATTAGAATGCATGCAAAGAGAAGATTTCTTTTCAACTTGTTTACTCTCCAATAGAAACCGTTATGAAGCCTTGCCATGGTAAAATTATAATACCACCACGTATAACTTAGAACATGGATCCTTGAAGATAAACTATAACAACAATATTAGACATTTCTAATCCATCTTTCATTTGATCATATTAAAATATAATAAGCCTACAGACATGTATTCATTAACCGCTTACAGCCAAATCTTATATACACACACACATATATATATATATATATATATTTTTCTTATTTTCTAAATACAGATCAAAACACTCAACTTGTTGTTTATAGTTGTAATTAAATTTATGGACGGCATCATAAGCCTCCAACGGAAACTATAAACCCGCAAACTTTTAAGTATTCGTAAAATAGGAGGAATTTTACTGTAGGCAGCTAATCCCGCATGGACTATGTCTTTAAGGATTTAATCTATTACGGCGGAATTTACGGGATTGTTGTTGCAACATTTTAAAGCCAAATTGTTGTAAAAAAAATAAAAAATAAAAAAAATACTATGACAATTTCTTTGTAGTTTGCATCTTCAAGTTAAAATAAGATATAATGAAATCATGAAACAATTTCTTCCTGAACTATGTAATATGATTGTTAAAAATATGAACAGATATGTGCATATATATATACTGTATACTTTCATTTGAACTCAGCGTCATCATTAATAAAAATTCTTGTGATAAGTTATTCTATTCAGAATATATCTTATTTATTTTCCTGCATTATATATATATTGTAGTTTTTGTTTACTCTTTCTGCTCTGCTTTTTTATGAATATTTTCAGTAAAATTTATACAAAAATGTTATAATTGGAAATCTTAAGATAAGTAGTCCCAAATAACGGTTAATGTCAAGACAAAGAGCTTAGAATAACTGAAACTCCAAAACTAGATTGTAAATACATCTGAGTAATTGTCAGATTAATATTGGTGGCAAGTTTTTAAAAAAATTATTTAAAAAAAAACCTCCCGTTTTATGAAATCATGTGATTGAAGTAATTATCGACATTAACTTTTCTATTATCCCTTGATAGATGTTAGCCTAACAAGAACAATAAGAATTCTGTTAATTCATTTATCAGCCAGCATCAACAACTTAATAAAATATGAATGTCTGTATATTATTAATACTCTTATTTTTGTATATTAATTTAAATAACTCTTACTGTATATCATGCAAAAAAAATAAATACAAAATATCTGTATTTTATTTAATAAAATAATAAAAATTATTTCAGTGATCATAAATTTTACTTTAAAGTATATTATTTATACCCTTAAGATATAAATACCATAAAAAATTTGTTCTAAATTTTTTACATAGAAATATTGATAATATTTTTTATTTTAATTAAAAAAATAGTTATTATTCAACTTTGGAAGGAATGAAAAGATTACTCTTCCTCCCCCCACTTACTAAATATTAATTATATATGGATACAATAAATAATTTTATACTAAATTTTGGCTGTCATATATATATGTCCAAACTATAGAATACATAGAAAAACATTTTCTTTTTCAATATTTTAGCACAATCCTCTGTTAGGTTAATTTATACTAACAGAAAATTGATTCAATTTTTAAAAATATACTGTAAAATTAAACTCAATATACAAAAAAAAGACTATATAGTTTTTATAAATAATAGTTAGCTTCTTTTGTACTTTCCATAAAGTGTATACTTTACTTTTTGTATTAAACTTTTAACACTGACACTCTTGCCAAAAAAGGAAAGTTTAAGAAAGGTGTCTGTAAATCATCATGTATGTTGTGACATTGTATATGAAAGACATACTTAATTTACCATACATATACAGATAATAAACCTAGGAGAATAGAAAGTATAAATATACTAGTATCTGTAGTTTCAAGTCTATTTACTGTTTTCCTCTTTGAGTATACTTATCTATTTAATAAATTAATCTATATTTTATTGCTAATTTTTTTGTATATTATTTGTAACATATTTTTTGCTTTTATTATTAATTAATTAGATTGATTATACACAAAAATCTCCTTCACCATAAAGATATAAAAGTAGAACAGATATTCATTTCTAATTCCTTTCATTTATACTTCTCTTTTACACTTTCTTCTTAAGACTCTTCTTGTTTCTTTTTTTTTTTTGACTTGTTCTTCTATGTTGACATCTCCATAGGCTTTTTTCACATAAGGAACATCAATATATTCATTATATTAAAGTTACTTATACAACAAAAAAGTTTTTTTCAGAAAGTATTTTTTAGCTTTTCAAGTATTGATTATTTTAGCGACAAGTATGGTTAACGGATCAAACAGAAGACAATTCAAGCAAACTTTGGATAAGTTTTCTACCTTATTTCAAAAGAATGAAAGTAACGTTTCAACCCATGTCTTGAAGGAATCTTCAACCAAAGTGTCCATTTCTAAAATCAAGTCCTTTTTTAAAAATAGTACTAAGGAAAACACTACTAGAAGTGATCCAACTCCGGTTAAACATGTGCGTTTTGTATTCTTTCCTGAAACAGCCGCTGCCTCTTCAAATGTTGAGACTTTCCAAAGTACTCAGCCAAAAGAAAAAATTGTCAGTAAGAGACCTTTGAAGTCCTGTTTCAAAACTACAAAGACAGATTCTCACTTCTCTGTTGCTGAACAGCAACAGCCTGGGAGGAAAAGAAAAATTGTTTTGAATAAAATCCAAACTTTTTTCAATGAAAAGATTGTTCCAGTGTTCAAGCCTTCTGAGAAGAAGGAAAATGTTGTTACTGAATTAGAACAGAGATTATACCAAAAGTCCTCTAAAACTTTTGAGGTAGAAAATCAATTAGAACATATTGAAAGACTATCAAATGAGATAAAATCAGTGGAACAACAACAAATTCAAAGAAAACAACAATTTGAACTAGAATTTAATGTCTGGCAACCTAAAAATATGGAGAAAAAGAGGCAAGAATATGAGCTAAATGAAATAGATTTACACTTCAAAAAAATTGAAAGAGATGGACAGCTACAAATATTACGAGATTTAATATCGCAATTAAGATTCTTCGAAGAAGAAGTATATAAACTACAGAGCCAAGAATCAGCAATGTTAGCTCAAAAGAAAAAGGAAGCTATGCAGAAATGCAAACAAAAAAGATTACAAGAGCATCAAAAATTAGAACAAATAAAACAGACAGAATTATATGCTTGGCAATTAAATCAAGTTAGAAAGAAGATAAATCGCCAAAGAGAGAACTGCAATCTTAATAACTGTCTATTTCCAGTAAACCCTTGGAAAGTGAGAGAAGAATTAAAGCGTGAACATGAAGATCAATACAGATCATGGCACATTAGGTATATAGACTTACAAGAGAGAAGGTCTAGAATACCACGAAGCATTAATCAAAATAGAAGGGAGGATATGTCAAATATACCTCCACATAAAGTAAATCAGACAAGCAGTTATAAAAAAGAACAATGTTTGTTATTAAGAGAGCTTGAAGAAATGAAATATAGACAAAAACAAGAAGAAATAGAATTACAAAAAGAAACTATTGATTACATCAGAGCATATTGGGACACTAAGAGAAAACAGCTAGGGATGGCAATTCAGGAAAGTGAAATTACTAGACAATTGAGCATATTTAGTAGAAGGCTTGGAACAAATACGATCAACCTTTACCATAAATTAATCTAGAATCCCTGACCACGATTCTAGCTGATATTGTGTATATCTGGTTTCTTTTAGAGAAGCTATATAATATGTAGTGAAGTTAACTTGTTGGATAATATTCTGGCCAAATATCGTTCATTCAGTTTTCTCCAGTCAGCTCCTCTAGAACCCTCATTGAACTAGTTTTACTGTCAATTGTTAAAGTGTGCATATAGCCATTACTATTATGCTATTCACTTTTGATCTTCTTTCCTCACAGATCCAAGTCCAATTTGTTTGCATTTCTCTTAATAAAAAATAGCATTTTTAGCTTAAAAATTATGCTTATGTTTTGATTCTTCGATTAAGTGATGGTATTATTATCTTTATTTTTACCATTATAGCAGTTTCTATATTTCGTTTTTGTCCTATCTATATTAAGAAAAACAAAAGTGTCCTAAAATAAATATTCATCAATAAAACTTCAGATACAACTTATAGAACCACATAACCCATTTTCAAACGCCACAATCAATAAGCGCTTATTTGGGTTTTTAAATTGTGATTTGTTGTTTATATTAAAATTCTTATTTAGAATATTTTTAAGAAATACATGCTCATTTCAAAGAACTATATCTCTCAATTTCTGTTGTTAAATTACAGTCATCCTGTTTATATGCATTTACAATAATAAAAGATTGTGCCATATTCTCTGATCGTGTCATTTCATTTTCTCCTATCACTTTCTTCTGTCCTATTTTTTATTTTTTCTTCTATTTATATTATTATTTTTTTCTATATACACATTATTTTCTCTAATTTATTAATTTTCTAACGTTTTCTGTTTCATGCTATCCATGTGTATTATAAAGATAATATACATGTCAATAGTTATATTTGTGTGTAAATACTTATTTATTTTGTCCCTCTGTTTTGTCGCAAATCTTTGACAGATTCATTTTTAGGATTCGACAAAAAAAAATAAAAGCAACTCCGAACCTTTCTTATCTGTGAGCAACTATACACCATATATGTACATGTATACACACAAAGGAAGTACATCTTGAATAATACTATTCAATAACCCACTAAATACCTTAATACATAATTATTTTCGAAAATTATATGTGAAAAACTTTTTTTCTCAATAGAATAACTAAAATATATTGTTATGGAATAAGTACTCTCATCAAAGAGAAAAATGTATACTGTTGATCTTTGTAAAAGCAGAAATAATAAGAAAAGAGAAAGAAAAGAAGAAAGAAAAACAAATAAAATGAATCTATAAATTAGAGTACTTGATCCTATTTACGTAACTCCTTTGATTTATTTACATGAAATCTATACAGCCCTTATATGTAGGGAAAAAAATTGTACTATACCAAACAAAAAAAGAGATAATCAGTATAAAGGAACCAAGAAAAAACCATTAAAAACCAAATAAGAATAGTAAATCCAACAATAGGTTTTCAACTAATTAATCAGTTATTTATTTATTGTCATCACCTTTAATCTTTTTAAAAGCAGTAGTGATAAAATTTTCTAATTTGCGTAAAGTATTTGTATCATCTGGCGACGAAGAGTTGAAATTAGTTGTATTACTATTATTATTACTATTAGTAGTATCAGTATTTTGCTTAGTAGTGTCCTTCATTGTTCTTTTAGCTGTAATATCATTGGTTGCATCAGCTAAGGCTTCCCAAAGACATTTTTCCACTTGTGAGGTTGGCTTTTTAATGTGGATCTTATACTGAATCTTCATATTACCACGGATTGATTTATTATTATTACGTGGGACACCCATATTAGGTATTGTTATAACATCACCATCTTGTGTCCCTGGAGCTACTTTCAATCTAATATTGCTGCCATCTACAGTAGGAACGGTGATAGTGCCACCTAATGCAGCAGTAGTGATTGGAATATCCATTTGATACCAGATATCGTATTTATTTTTGACAGTGAACTTTGGATCACGATTCACTTTGATATTGATCAAGATATCACCTCTTAACATATCTACATTTGGATTCAATGCTTTGTCTAAAGCAATCTCTGGATAGGACCCCTTCCCAGGGATTCTAATGACGTCACCATCCTGCAAACCAGATGGGAAATCCACTTTGATTGTTTTATTTCTATTGTATGTGACACCATCTCCATGGCAGTGCGAGCAGTAATCCTTTGGATCTACTTTAGTACCTTCACCATGACAGTCTGTGCAAGTAGACATCATTTGGAACCCAGCCCTTGAATGGATCTGTGTCCCAGTACCGTTACAGGAATGGCATTTATGTCTTTGAGTGTTTGGTTTCAAACCGGACCCGTTACATGAACTGCATGGGTCGATGGCATTAAATTTGACATTAACGTTAGCTACACCAAAGACGGCATCTTTGAAATTCAACCTGTGTACAATCTGAATTGTATCTCCCTTATACTGTCTATACATCTGACTTTGGCTCTGTTGGTACTGTTGCTGTTGATGCTGGAATGGATTGCCACGTGCAGAATTGAATGCAGCACCGAAGAGATCTTCAAAATTGATTCCACCAAAATTACCGAATGGACTGCCACCACCAAAATTGTTGGTGAACCCAGCGTTTGGGGAGCCTGAAGAAGGAAAACCACCATCGAATGCGGCAGAACCGAATTGATCGTACTGTCTTCTTTTATCTTCATCGGATAGTATCTCATATGCATTTTGTAAATCATGGAATTTTTTCTCTGCTGTTGGTTCTTTATTTATATCAGGATGGTATTTTTTAGCTAGTTTGTAATATGCCTTTTTAATCTCTGATTGTGTTGCATTTGAAGACACACCTAGTGTTTCGTATGGATTTTTAATAGCTTGGTTTAATTTATTATTATTTATATGGAAATTACGACGAATATTTAATCCAATTGAATATGAGAGACGAGAAGAAGTGGGTATTTTAGTGAAAATGATTCTTGACTTTACTAGAAACGTCATTCTTTATTTTTAAAACAAAAAAAAAGTGGTAATATATAATTATATGTTCCTTTATTAAAGTTTCAATCTTTTCTGTATAGTTGAAGTGTGTGTATGATGTGTAAAATGGGGGTCCAAAATTGAAATTAAAAAAAGAAAATAAAAAAGAAGAACAAATATGGATAATGTATGTAGCTTACGTATAGAGTAAATAGGTATTCTCAGTTGTTAAGAGATGTCTTTTTAAGAAATGTAGTTTTACCTTTTTTTCAAACGTTTATATAAAATTTGATTTACATATAACTGAAAAAGATCGTTAGATATATCAAAAGCTCTCTTTTTTTTTTTTTTTTTTTGATTGCTATGGTCTTGTTGTTTTCTTCTCATCCGCGGGGCAGCTGACCAAAAGCACTTCCGTTGAAATCCTAACACCCTCCCTTTATTCTGTCTCCAATTCCTTCTTCCGTCCTTTTTTTTTGTTTCTTTTTGTTTTTCTTTTGTTTTTTCCGCATTCTGAGACTCAATAACGCTGTCACATCGCGTAATTCCAGCCCCAGTCGTATCCACAGATAGTAATCAGTAGAAAACAACAAATCCTATGTACATATATATATTATTTATGTGTGTAGATGTAGATAGATGAGATGATATGCGTATGTGTACATCATTACATAGTACATGTTAATTTAACTTGTGTAATTATGATGGTTGTAGTAATAACAAACTTCTATTATTTCCAGTTGTAAATGACGTTTGCAGCAGACGTATTATTATTAACAAGAACGCAACCCATTTCACCTCCCCCCCTCTCCCCTTCTCTGTGTTATAGAGGACATCCTCTTGTTGCAGCTAATAACAGTACTGTATATTGTGGCTGTGTATCATCTGTCAAATAGAGCGATGTTGCTGGCTGGCTCTATAACAATGAAGATCTTGCAATGACGCAATTTCCGGCACAACGACAACAACAACAACGATAAGAATGACAAAAGCAACGTTTGTATTAACTGTTGTGATTGGCAGATGCCATTGTCAGTAAAAGTATCCCTAACAACTAACAATAAAACAAAAAAGAAAACAACAACGTCTCCTTCACTCTGTTGACTCTCCCTTTTTTCTTGTTTCTTTGTTGTATTTGAACTTCCTATATGTTCCAGAAATTTAATATATATATATATATATATACGTATGGTTGTGTATGTGTTTACATATTTCTTATAAATTATAATTAAAATAAATAAATAAATAAAAAAGGAACAGAACCAAACAAATATAACAAAAAAATATCATAATTTAATTACAAAATGTCTGACACTGGTAGAAAAGACTTCTCTGATAAAGCCAAGGAAGCGTTAAAGCCTGAATCTGAAAAAGGTTACGTTGAAAAGGGTAAAGAATATGTAACTGATGCTGCAGATAAAGTAGCTGGCACTGTTCAACCCGAAAGCAACAAAGGTGTCTTACAAGGTGTTTCTGATGCAGCTAAGTCAGGTAAAGACGAGGCTGAATCTCAAAAGGCTGGCACTGAGTCTTATAGTGAACAAGCTAAAGATTATTTGGATTCGGCTAAATCTAAATTAAATGAGGCCGTTGAATACGTTTCCAACACTTTACATGGTGGTACTGATCCAAAAAAATAAACAAATATATAAATAAACAAATAATAACAACGCATGTACTTTCTCTCTTTCTCACTCCCCTTTCTATTGTTTATCTCATTAATATATATATATATATATATTCATATGTATAACTTCTATCTAATCTTTTTTTTTTTAAAAAAAAACAAACAAACAAACAAACATTATATCTCTCCCCTTTACTTTTTGCTTCACCCTGTTTTTATTCACATAAAACATATCTATCTATGTTGGACTTATTAATATGCTATTTTTTTTAATCTAATATATTCTAAATATACTTGTTTCTTTTCCATCTTCCTCTTTCTGCTCGCCATCAGTATCATTATTATTCACTTTAAATTGCACACTTTTATCAATATCTTGCGATAATAGAATATGTTTACATTTAGCAAACAATTTCAAATAATCTGTCTCAAATCCCATATATCCATCATCGTATCTCTTCCGTTTTTTACCACGTACACCTAGAGATGGTGCAATTGGATTATCTTCAAAATCATGGAATAATTTAATCATACCAATCTCTTGACGTCTTTTTTTCAATAATTCATGTATAGGTTTCAGTTCCCTCGTTATATCTTCCTGTGTCTTATCTCCTACTATCTTCCTCTTCTTATCTTCTTCAATCAAATTGACCACTTCCAACATATGTTGTTCATCTGCTGCATTAGTCCTTGTTTCATCGCCGGAATTCATATTACCATCGTTCACTTTCACCCGATTCTTCTCGTTCTTTTTATTACCTTGTTCATTCTCTCCCATTTTCACCCTGGTTGGACTATCCGCATTACCATTTTTTGCTAATGGCGTCGGCTTTGTCTTTGTCCTCGCCTTCGGTTTTGTTCTTGTTTTTGGTGTCTTAACCTTTTTCACTTCTTCAGGTGATATGATTTGAGAATCCCTTTTCTCTTCAGACTCGTTACTGTTACTTAATCCATCCTTATCCTGATTCTTACCTTCATTTAATGTATCTGAAATATCACCACTTTCATCTATCTTTTCATGCTTATTATCACCTGTTTCAGAGGTAGGGTTATTAGCTTTCATTTTATTTGAAGCTGAATCTGAATCTTTGCTTTCTGTCTTTATATCAACACTGATCAACGAAGTATTTTCCTTTGAATCATAATTGTTTTTATCCTCGTTCTCATTCGTCTTATCAGTCTCATCATTATTTCCACTGTTAGCAGAAGCAGAAGCAGAAGTAGTGACAGTACTAGTACCAGTCTCAGTGACAGTAGAGGTTGCATTAGCAGTGCAAGAGACATTTTCACTTATTTTTCTCTTGTTTAAAAAGACTGCACGTCTTTCCCTTAATAATTCGCCAACCTTAATTTCTTCTTCCGAATCCTTATCCTCATCATCTGGATCCTTTCCATTCGCATTTAATTCCAATTTAATCCTATAAGCCCCATCTTCACATAGTGTACCGAATAGTTTTAACGATTCAATTATACTTATCTGATCCAATTTGGTCTCCAATAAAACATAAAGAACCCATAATATCACTGTAATACGACTCTTTATAGTATATTTGGTTGTATCCAAAAATGTAAAAATGGATATATCATTCTTAAGTAGTAAATGTTTGATGTCAATATCTTCGTTATTACTTTTACTATCATTATCGTTATCATTACCGTTACCATTATTACTATTACTATTATTATTATTATTATTATTGTTGTTGTTGTTGTTGTTGCTGTTGGTAGTAGTAGTAGTGGTAGTGGTAATAGTATTATTATTATTCTTAAGGTCTGATATATCTCCACAAAAGTATTCGATTTTGAATAATAATTCCTTTATAAATGTCGGATTCTCGCAGATTGTGAAAATCATATTAGCCACATTATATGATGGTAACCCATCGTTTGAGGATTTATCATCTATCTTCTCCTTATACAATTTCTCTAAATCTATTGGATCATTACCTATTGGTAAATTCTTAAGTATACACTTAAGCCTTGGTGTATCTTGTAATGATTTTTCATCAGGTGAAAGGTACTGTAAACTTGGAATAGAATGGAAAATCCTTACTTGCGATGTCATCTCTGGATGAAAATTGATTGTTGTGTTCAATCTACCAACATTAACAATCAATGATAACATGCACATCGAAAATGCAACGTTGTGATCAGATAACAATTTTTCTCTTAATACTTTAGATGATTTGTTAGATGTAGCTAAACATAGAATATATAATTGTGAGAATGTCAATTTTTTATGTGTAAAGAATCTTCTTGCATCAAACTCTTTATCTGTGACATTCATCACTTGGACCTGTCCCTTTTCATCATATAAATCTCGAAATGGTACTAATGTATTAATATATGCCTTAGTAAAAAGATTAGAGAATACTTCTCTTTTATCTGAAAGCAACCCTCTGAAAAATGAATATTGCACATCTTTTCTTGTCAAATAATCACCATCTCTTTTCTTAACACTTCTATTAAACCTCGCAGTGACCCTTCTCTGTTTTTTATTAATATTATTATTGTTGGTGTTGCTATTGTTAATGTCTGTTTCTTGTTCATTTTCATATTCAGTCTTATTAGCCTTGTTAGATCTCTTCCCATTAATTTTTTTTGTTTTACTTGTTTCTGAAGTAACAGAGTTTGATGAGTTTATGGACTTCGTATCTGATATATTACTAGAAGTAACCTCTTCATTATCCAAAACTAAACTATCAGCTTCGATTTCATTACTAACGCTTGATTCTGTTCGAAGAGGTTTTGAATCTTGAAAGACGTCATGTATCGGGTCATATACTCTCCCTCCCATTGTCATATATGTTAGTTTCTTTTGCAATTTGTAATTACTATATAAAAATTAATGCTGGTTAATATCTATTGCAGTGTTCCCTCTTGTCTCAGGGAAAAAAAAAATATTTTCTAAGTTTATTCTCTTAAAACACTTTCAATGATGATTTCTCTTCAACTAGCTGTCTCTTACTACAACATTTAATTTTTTTTTTACATTTTTTTTTTCTTACTAAATGGTGCTATGTCTCTCTATTTCGATCAGTGACAGATTTTGCAGATCGAGAAGGAGGATTGCTTCTCGAATCTACATCCAGACACCACATATAACTGATCGATGAATATGACAACATAGATAGATGATATGAATATATTAAAAGAACTATACTATCAAATACAAGAAACAATAAAAATAATTAGCAATCAGTATACTATTGATACATACATTTATGGATACTATTTTATAAACTAAAATATGATTACTCCCTTCCCTGTCTTGCTTTTTTTTCCTCTCCTTTCCTCTCCTTTCCCTTCACTTTCTGAACATGGATGCTATTAAAGTCTGGTCATATAAATTGGTTCACGTGTACTGAAGTCAAGAATCTCAATAAAGCTTTGAGTATTCTTTTCCACTGCAACCACCAGGATATTATTTTTAAAACTGACAGACCAAATTTGATCGGCATCCCCCAAAAGTCTCCAATGAGCCAATTCACCATTCCTTAAATTGTATATATTAAATTGCCCTTCAGATCCACTAACCAATATATTATCATCAACACAAAATGTGGTAATAGCACTTAAGTTATCATGATGGTATGCAAATTGGCGAGAATAATCATTGGAATCCCAGCCTTTCAAAGAACCATCTGCTGCTGCACTGACTAAATATTTATCTGATAATCGTAGAAGTCCTACTAATGCAGAATGCCCGGTTAATGTTTTCCATGAACGACTATGTCTTGTACATGTAGATCCAGATGCTGTGACTATTTGGTATGGACCATTTCGGTTTAAATCATTCATATCCCATATTTTTATTGTAGCATCCATACTGGCAGATATACATCTATTCCTCTTGTGATCAAATATGGTAGAGTATATACGGTCTGTGTGACCAGCAAAAATATGAAGACATTTCATCTTACTAATGTCCCAAACAATCAGAGTATTATCATATGATCCACTAATAACAATATTACCATGGCCAGACACTGTACGTACTGAAGCTAAATGTCCTTTCAACACACCAACAAAAAATGGATTTCTACTTGTTGAATCAAAAATCAAAGGCCATTTTTTTTGTCTTCTTTCTTCCTCAATGTTATCACGGTTGTATATAGTCTGGTCTAATTTCCAAACATGCAATGTATTATCCCTAGATCCGGTGACAATATACTTGACACCATTATATTCCACAATATCAAGACACCGCACTGTTGACGTGTGACCTTTGAAAACATGAGTACAACAACCACGCTTAATATCCCATATACGAACACTACGATCTGTTGATCCACTTACAATAATACTATCACAGTCATATTTTAATGCCCAAACTCCACCATCGTGACCACTTAGTTCTTTCAAAAATGTTTTATTTTTGGAATCATATACACGAATCATCTTATCGTCTGCACCAGTAATAATATAATCGTTTTCAAATTGTAAGCATGTTACTACACTGGTTCTGTGTCCTTTTAGTGTAACTCTTTGTGGAACAAAGTTTGGATTATACCAATTTTTCAAAATGTGACATCTATTGACAAAATCTAGTTTATAAACATCCTCAATGTTATCAACTAATGGATATTGTTTTTTCAATTGTATTTTATATTGCTTGAACTCTTCTTTGCTAATAAATCTTTCAGACAACAGTAAATGCTTCCAAAGAAATGGTGTGTTATAAATTATTTTGTTCCATGTGGTACAAACTGATAGTGCATGTACAATATCTATAAAAGATAATTTTGTCAAGATCTTAATGGCTATCTCAATAGGTAATGAAGATATGAAATCTCTTTTTAAATTATCCCTAATTAACACATTTAAATCCGTCAATTGGCTTCTATTCAGATTACAAATTATATTATATGCTATTCTTTGTAAATCTACTGGATCCATATTTTGTAAATCATGATTATTAAATATTATACCCATATTACTATTATTATCGTTGTTGATATTCTTGATCTTTGGTTTTCCCAGATCATTAAGCTCATTTAGATCTTTTTCATCTGGAGTACTTATTCCTGAAGATGCAATAGGAGACAATGGTAATGGATCATCCAAAACAGTTGTCGTTGTAATAGTTGTGTTAGCATTGACGATAGTAGAATTATCTTGAGAATATTCTTCTGTTACTAGATGATCTTTTGTGGTACTAGTATTAGTATTCTCCATTAATTTGATTTTTTTAATAAGTGGTCTTCTGTGTCCATCATTTTCAGCTTTATCTTCCCTTGCCCTTTTTTCATTCTCGTTTACTAGTAACGTCTGTGACGCTATCATTTTCGGTAGAACGCCACTCGAAACTAGGTTATTCACATTTTTATCTTGTCCATTCAAAGATATATTTATGTCATTAGTAGATAAATCATTCTTATTAATTGATGTAGAAGAATTTATAAAATTGGATCTTGTATAATTTTGTGATTTTGATAATAAGTCTATTATTCCACAATTAGAAGATGAGTATCTATAAGGGACTGGAATATCACGTAAAGGATAGGTGGATGTATTTGAAGGCATAGTAAAAGTAATGTGGACTACTTTTATATGCACAGTACTAACAGACACTTAACGAATAAAACAAACCAACTAGAATAAAAAAGAAAATAAAATAAAAATATTAGGATAGGATCAAAACAAAGGTATTACGGTCAAATATAGATATATGTATTATTTTCTTAATTTATTATATGAATGAACCACCAGAAATTTCGCTCTGAGATAAAAATAAAATTAGACTTTGAGTAGAAAACAAGTAAAATAAAATGCAAACGGACAAAAATCCAAAACAGAAAAATAAGTACGTTTTTTCTTATAGGTTAACTCAGTTATTCTGTTATATTATTGTACTAGCTAATTATTAGGATTTATATACATATATGGGTATGTGTATATTAGTGAGCCTTTATCCACGTAGTATGATCCTGTAGGTTTGTATCATGCAATATTCCATTTTTCATTCTTATAAAATCATCTCTTAGGTCTTTTATCCTAGCTTTTTTTTTTTTTTTTTTTTTTTTCAATTTTCTTTTTATGTTGACTTTCTAATAAATTAAACATCTACAATAAGTAAGAGAATGAAGAAAGCATGAAACAAGCAACCTAGATGGATAAAAATTGGTAGCCTAGGCCTCTGTAATTTTTGTAATATACAAGAATAGAACAGAAAAGTATTAGATTAGAATATATACGGTAAGTCAGAGTTATGCTAATTTTAGTTCTAAAATTTAGTTATCATAATTTATAAGAGACTTTGCCTCTCATGCATTTCTACTGATTCTATTATTTTTAGTTTTATAAAGATTAATGGTAAGGGGACCTCGCATAAATTTACAATTCTGACATTAGTTAGATGATTAGTAATATATGATAATGATTTTACTGTGTTAACATTCTTCTATTACTGTTTTAATTATACTTTTCATTTATAATCACTTGACTCACTCCCAGAGTAATGAACATTAAGAGAAAAATCCATCCATCTATTTATTTACTTAGGAAAATACTATTGTAAGTCTTTAATATTTTCCTTTCTAAACACTTTGGAGCTTGGTTATCGCAGAAAATATGTTTAATTTAATTAGTTCTTTTTTTTTAGGGTCTAATTTTTTTTAAGGTCTTATTAGAGGATTTAATAATATCTTGAATTTTTATGTATACTTATAGATAAATTTTTTCAGATAAAAAAAGCGAAGTTTTATTGAAATCAAAACCAATCTTGGCAGTACCAAGCTAATCATTCAACAAATACCAATAAATATATTTTTAAAGTCATTCTCCTGTGTGTTTTTTCTTTGATATTCCCTTCACTAATTTTAACTATACCTTTTAATAGACGTAACATAAACCAAAATACACTAGTTTATGTACTTTTATTTAATAGTACATATGTATTTTTTTTACAGATAATGGTTAGAAAAGTTTTAATGATCAAGAATAATTATTTTATGTAAACTAAGATTCTACAAAAAGTTTGAATATTTAAAATATATGAATTTTTTATGCTTAACAAATTTATAGTTTGCTGTTTGGAAATATAACCTTGTAAAAAAATTAAAGTTTTTGAGTATGCTTCTTTTGCGTAAATCAATCTTTTTACTGTAATGTTACAAAAAATTGATAAAAGTTAGAACTTGTAGTGGTTTTGAAAATAGTAATGATTACCACATTTTAGATACTTTTTATTTATTATATTAATATAGTACTAGCGTAATGTGTTGCTCTATGTTTTTCTCATTTTCTCTCTATTTTTCTTTTCAGTTTTTTTAAAAATCTTAAAAAAAAAAGTTCGAGGAAAACCTAAGTATTTTTCTCTTATAATGGTACACAATCTGTACCGTATACAAAAAATTAAATAACTAAATTTAAAAAATAACAATTACAAAATAGAATATAGAAGCTTATTATTTTCTAACATTTGTTAATTATTCCTAGATAAATTTTTGGATGCTAAGATAATGATTCTAGTTAGAAAATAGACAACATAATTACAGGTTTTTCTTTAAACGAGAGATTTGATTTACTTAATATTTGAATAAGAATAGATATGGATAGAAAATCTACAACTTTCTAAAAAAATAAAGTAGAAAAGACACAGAAAATAAATTGTCACATCAAGCATGCTGTCAGCTTATGTGATTTTGAAACACTTTTAACTCCCCATTTAAAGGTAACAGTAAATTATACTAATTAATTTACCATAATTATTTTGGTTGTATACTTCTATAAAAACCTTATGTAATATTTTGAGCAGTAGATAATGTCAGTCAAGTGTCAATATATTACCCTAAGGGGCTCTGTAACATTAGATGGCATTAACATTAAGATTATATGTTTATCGAGATAAAAGTCCTTTCAAGGCAACATAAATGTTTTATGGTAAGTGGTCTATAGTTTTATTAATAAATTGGGAAGCGCAAAAAATATCAATCGAATATTCAATAATCGAGACAGTAATTGTTATAAACAGTAAATTAATTACCGGACGGTTTTTCGTATATATTAGCAGTTATATCGAGCTTATACAGTTGTTTGTTGTTCATCTATTTATATATAATTTTTCTATATAAAAAAGGAGCTGGGGAAAATAGTTTCATCTTCAAAAAGCGTCGTCCTTTTATATGTTTTCCGGAACTTGATCAACTACTCAACTTGATATATTAATAGATAAGTAATCCATATCTTTATTATTAGTTATAACAACATAATCGAAGATCATAGAACACTTAGGACAATAGATTCTGGTGGCGCAGTAGAAAGTATAATGCATACAGTGTACATACAGATAGTATTTTGTGGTGACAAATGGACACGTAATACCTAAAACACAATAGATAGCTCTGGATCCAAGTAGAATCTTGCCTAATATCAATGATGTTATTTCTTTAGTGTCCGACGTTTAGTGTTATAGTTTGAACCTAGGACCAATTTTTTTAACAGTACTATTGAACGAATAGTAAGGGCAATAACAAATATATAAGAACGTTATATATATCTAGGAAAATTAAACGATTATTGCTTGTTTTTTTTTTTGTATTATACAATGTGCTACATATAATTATAAATCAACCAAACATATAAATTTAGATACCAAGATACTGGTCCTTTATATATGAACTATGGGTTGATAGTTTCTTATTTGAGGTTCTGTAACGACTGCCACCGTAGATACATTTCTCCTTAATTAGCTATTTAATGTTTCATGAATGTTTCATTTTGTTACATATTATTCAACAATCACATGGGATTTATCAACAAACCCTAAGTCCTATAAATCCAAACTGGAACTTTTCTTGACAACCATCACAAAACCCTAACAATTTTTTTCAACCCTAATCGTTTTTTCTATATAAACATAATACTAAGGTTAATTTATAACGTTTAGCGTGATTAATTGGTTTCGTGGTCTAGTTGGTTATGGCATCTGCTTAACACGCAGAACGTCCCCAGTTCGATCCTGGGCGAAATCACTTTTTGCTTTAAGTTTTGCAGTTTCCTGATATTCTTGCTTAGGGTTTCGTGTAGAAGATTGAGGGTTGTTAATATTCTTCTAAATTTTCCTTTTTGCAAAATTTACCTGTAATAGATGGAAAATCGATTACAAGAGATATGCCCTTCTGGAACATTAAAATAGACAAATGTTTCCTGGTTTGTTGTTTATATATGAGATATAGACTGTATTCTATACAAGGAGCAACTAACATACACAGATATACAGATATTTATACTTATACAAACAAGAAAAGCAAGAACAACTTCGTCGACTAAAGAGTTTATAAGATTGTTTATAGTGACATCAGGATTTCATATATCACGTTTACAAACATACACGAAAATAGGAGTAACAAACAAATAAGAACAAACAAGAATTAATTAAGAATAGAAATCTAGTATATAAGTATATACTATTTAGTTCTGATAGAGTAGAGATATATAGAGATATACAGAGTTTATATTTTCTTTATATTCAAGTGAATTGTTATTCCTATTATAATAAGATCAACTTGTTACCAGAAACTTATAATCACGGGGTTATCACATTAAACGTTTAATATCTAGCAATATAAAGGATGGAACTGTTGTGCCTAACCAGGTCCCCTAGTAGATTTTTTTTACAACCTGTTATTGTAATAGACAAGACCTTTTTTTGTAGCGCATGAATCGGGAGGATAGAATGGAGTCTGGAAAGGTTACTAGTAGAAGGATCAGAAAATATTATAGATGGAGGCAAGAAATATGACTTTCAAACTTTGTGTGTTATGTATTTACCCTAGTTTCCGTTTATCTATGTTTTCAATTTTATAACTAGATTTATCTATTTTAGCATAGAATCTGTCTACCGACCTAGTAAAATAAAGTTCATTTACTTGCCAAAATTGGTCCCTACACTTATACAGTTCTCTTAATAACTGATCTAGAAACGGTTCTTGATAATTACTAATTTAGATAAATACGGTATACTAACAATACAGAGTCAATATATTATCATGTTTCTTTCCAAAGAGACAATAATAATAATAGTAAAGGTTATCGTACATAGCCGAAAATAATAGCATTAAGGGGTATAACAAATCGGGTAGGGAATTAGTAGAGATGTCTCCTCAAAACGAGCTTTCAACAGCTGATTCCATAGATCGTCTGGAAACTTTTTTTAAAAAAGATACCAAATCTCAGTATCACATGGTTCTATTTTATTAAAAAAGTAAAATAAATTTCACGGGAAAGTTTATTTTTTTATTTAGAAAAAATTACTATATTAGTTTTTATGCAAGAAAATAATAGCAATGTGGATTGAGTTATTAAGTGCACAAATCATATGAGGGATTTTGTAAAAAGCTTTAATTGGAAATCTAAAAATATGTAGTTCGTGTGTAGTGCCCATTGTCACAACAAAGGACTTGGAATAGTAGAATCTCAGAACCTAGACTGTGAGCGCATCCAAAAGATTGTTGATTTAATATTGATAATAGAATACAAAGAGACTTACTTAAGAGTATTCTGATTATTAATAGAATGTCAAAAGCATTTGTCAGCATCATTGTAGATGTTAAATCTATTAGACATCTTTAAAAGATATCAAGAATAACAGGAATAACAGTATAAATTATATATTTTATTTATTAGTCAAAATTAAAAGTTTTATAATCTACAATTATTTATATTATTATCAACTTTCATAGGTTAGTACATTATCTAGAATGACCTCTTGCACATGCTAGACCTCTTTATAACTATATTGGTATACGATTACCATTCAAATTGCCGAATTTAATCAAAATACACTCTTTATAATGGTCATTTCACTACTTTTTTCATATACATGTTGTTGTGACAAATGAATTTCTTATTTATTGAAAAAAAATGTTACCTTAAATAAAAATATAAATATTCATAATACTTCGTCTATACATATGCAGATATAAATATTGGATTTTTTAAACGTTGTTACTTATGCATTTCAGATGTTTAAATACAACCTGGTACCAATACAAAATATATATAGGATGCAATAAGGATAGTTCATCTGTTTTGAATATACCCTCCTATTATGGTGATGAATATATTGATGTTTTCGATATTTGAAGAACATCCTTTTAATTATTGAATATTTTGTTATCATCTACTTATTGTAAAGGAGAAAAATAGTTCACCCAATTAATAGGGAGTAGGTTCATAAACTTGGTGTTAAAATGTCTTTGTAAAATTTTCTGTAATATTTGAAATTATGGAGGAATGATTTTCATTATTAGAATTTGTGATAACTGCCACGCTCTAATTTCTTGTTGCTCCTTTTTGTGCTTTTTTCTGATGAGATTTTAAATGCCTCATCATATTGGATTTAACATTGAAGGCTTTCGTGCAACCTTCCCAGGTACATTTAAAAGGAGTATCACCACTATGAATTAAATAGTGGGTTTTCAAAGTAGACGGTCTAGAGCAAATCTTACCACATACTGGACATTGCTTTCTCAATCTTTTGGCAATATTTAAGTTTGTTTGAATAGTATCCAAGCTAGGGACACCATTAAGTGGATCGTTATTTATCTTAACATCTCCGTTGAAGACGCAGTTGTCTCGAAATTTTATTCCTGCCTTTTTTTTATTCTTTACAATTTTGTTATCAAGATCATTTTTTTCCATATTATCCTTATTAGTGTTGTCATTATTTTTGGGGGCATCAACCGTTATAGAATTTGAGTAAATATTGGGATTTACTACCGAATAATTTTCCATTGGGAGCACAGTAACAGGTACTTCACTTGTAATATATTGTTGTTGTAACGACGATGGAATGCCACTTGGTGGATTCAATATACAGCCATTATTAACTGCAACTGTAGGTTGTTGTTGTATTTGGTACTTTGTTGGCATCATTGGTATATAAATATGATATGGCTGATATATTTGGGATTGATGATTTTGTTCAAGCGGTATGAATGGTTGCAGTTGCTGTGGCTGCTGCAACTGTCTTTGTTGTTCTTGTTGCTGTAAGATTGGTTGAGATGAGGGAACAGGTAAATTTGGTGTTTGTAATTGTGGCATTGGAGTAAGAGAATTTGTTATGTTGTTTGGAACAGAGTATGGTATTATATTTGGTTGTATAGGTATAAATTTGTTCATATTGGGATTGTGGCTATCTATATGTGTTGTTGAGTTAGATAATGTATGGGGGAATTGTTTAATAGGTGATCCTAATTTAACATGCTGAATCTGTGGAGATATTTCTGCAGGTATATTTTTAGCTACATTATTATTTGTACTTATTATGGCTTGTTTAGGATATGTATCATTAACTGGTACAGCAGTGTTATTAATTTGTTTCATCTGTCCTTCAATAATACCTAGAGTTGCTTCTTCTCTTATATTGCAATTATTCTTTCTTATTATTGTGTTAATTGGAGGTAAAACAATTTTATCGACAGGTTGGTTGTAAAATTTATTAGTATCAATGCTGTTTGGAGTATTATAGAGATTAGGTACAACTTTTATACCAGTATCAGATTTAATATTCGGATTTACATTATCAAGATTTACAGAAGGGTATAAAATAGTATTGTACTGAGTATCTGTTACTGGAATTGGATGTTGTATTGAATAAACTTGTGGAACAGGTAATTGATCTATAATTGAGTTATTATGGCCAACTGAAATTGGTTGATATTGGTTGAAGGAGGAATGCATGATAATACTCATTGTACTGTTAAAATATTATCAGCAAAATAAGTCCAAAATGTTAGCAGGTTTGTCTTATTATCTTTTTTTATTTTAAAATATCGTAAATACAAAACCTTTTTTTTTAATAATAATAATAATGGTAAGTAGATATTCCTTAATAGATAAAATAATAATTCTTGTTCTTTAAATCTATGTTTTTTTCTTTTCTACTGGACAATAGCTTTAATCGAGAGAAATGATTTCTTGTAAATAATACAGGCAAAAAAAAAGTTATTACTACTACACAAAGATTCGAAAACAGTTAAAAATGGTTGAAGAATTGAGTATTAAGGTTGTGTGACAGATTTTGTTTTCAGCAGCTTATCGAAGCTGTAAATTCAAGTTAGAAGAAAGAAAAAACAAAAAAAAGATAAAAAAAAAGGTTTCTTATATGGAATAAATATTTATATAGGATTGTATTCTATCATTATGTATTAAAACCAACAAGCAAACAAATACATTCCGAAAAAGCATCTTTAGTAAAACTTAAGATTATTCAAACTTCAAAGAAAGGACATATTTTGAGACGAACAACAAAAAACAAAAGGGAAAGATTATTTTCCACAATAGGTAAAAGTGCTCGCTTCTGATTGAAAATCTTAGATCAAAACCGAAACTGTTCAAAAATAACAAAAAAAAAAATTGAATTAAAGAAACTGCAATCCAAAACGAGCGCTATTATTTCGGTCAAAAAATATCTCTTTCTTCACATTAAAAAGATTTTCCATTTTCAAAATTACATTCTTCGCTGATTTTTCGTCTTTGAAGAGAAAGAAGAAAAATATCTGCACAGGACAAAGCACAAATGAAAAACAACGTATTAAAATTCTAAAAAAAAAAAAAAAAGAAAAAAAAATCTATTATGAAAAGGCTCTTTATCCCACGTTAATATTTAGACAATAGAGACATAAAAATTTTCGTAGGCAATCTTTGTTACCTGTATAGTCCATTATGTTGCGGTTTGCTAATCTTCCATACCACAAGTTAGTTACATCCTCTGACATGCTATCATCAGTTAAACAACGTTAATTGTTTATTTTTTTTTGAGGAAGAATACAATACATAGGAGATTTTATAGTCTATTATGTTTTGATACAATCATCAGTTAAAATAAAAAAGGAAAATGTATCAGAAGTAAAGGTTTTCTAATATTTTTAACGCTTTCGTATATTATGACATGAAAATATTTGCAAAGAGATCTGTTACTACTTTATTATTTTTGTTCTTAGTGATCTAATTAAAATAAGCTCGTAAACTTATTTCTCATCATATGTATTATATTGTACACATATAAATTCAGTCTGATTCAGGGTTATTGTTATTGTTTTTTTAATAAATAAACCCTCCTATACAACTGTAAAGGAAGTAGGAGCATCAAGGTATAAATTCATTAATATCTTTAGGATGTAAACCTACTTTTTCTCGACGAATCTAGCAAAAGAAAAAGTAGTTTGGAAAGAGTGATATCTAATTTTATTGATCGAAAAACAAACGAGAAAAATAAAAAGGAAAATAAAAAAATGATATAATAAATTTTTACTCGGGCCACCTTGCTTAATAAAAGTACAGCTCTCTAAATCATTCTAAATAAACACCCAAACCTCCATAGATTATTTGTGTATACATCTATTATTAAATCAACAATAGAAAAAATATGTTAAATTTTTAAACATCACCTGTTAGCCAAAACAAACAATACGTTTTTAAGGAGAAAAATTAATTTCCGGTTTTTAACATAAAAATGTAAACAAAACGTGTTAATAACGCAAGTAATTAAAAATTTATTATCTTTTGTTTGACAATTTTAGGTGTTTATTGGTTTACACCGAAAAAAATTTTTTTTGTTTGAAAATATTAAAATATTCTATTTATTAATAGAAATCATAAATTAGTAGTGTTTCTATGTTTCATAAAATCAGAAGATCGTTATGTAACAAATAATACGTTGATAATAATATAAGCTATTTACCAAAAAGTTTCTTTTTTTGTTTAATGACTTAACCTATGGTTGAAAGATTGATAAACTGCAATAATACTGTAGAAATTGAGTTCTTAAAAAATTTAAATAATTATAAAAAAACTGTAAATATACACTACCAAATTTAGCAATTAAACTTTTTTATTATATCTTTGAAACAATAGTAGTTTACAAAAATAACAGGGAATTATCCAAAAAAAAATTTTTTTGTCTAAAGAGTGTGATCTCGGTTTTTTTCTCTATTGACAATGATAAATTTTTGTGGACGTGGGATACTATTGTTATATTTCTTTTGTTTTTCTGTAATGACGATGTAAGGAACAAATAAAAAAATCAAAAATTGTCAACGTTTTTTTATTCAGTTCAATTTTAAAAAAGTTTTTTTTTTCTAATCAAGGAAATGTCTTTGTATCTATTGTTCTAACTCAAATGTTTTGTTTTGTTTTTCCTTTGTTTTAGAGATATTTGCGATAAAAAATCAGACACGTAAGCTGTTTTTATTTTGTTTTTTTTTTAAAAAAAAAAATTGACAAAATTTATTCATATGTTTTGCTATTTTTTTATTCAAGGACCATTTTGTCCAGACAAAGTTACACATGGACCAATAAAGATCTGGCAAAACTATCGAAAATAAGAGGAGTAGTCATTTAATAAGTTAAAACAATATAAAGTAATCTTTATCTATTGGATTATAGGTAATCTTCAACAGTATGGCAACTGAAACTCTCTGAAAATCAAATGCAACGACTTCGCATAAAGAAAATCACAGGGTTGTATTGTAAAAAAATGGCTGGTTTCCTTTTTGCTTGCTTTTTGCTACTTTATCCAGGGAAACCTTTTCTGGATTTTTCGTAGAAGTAATAATATCAGTAAAACAATCTTGATAGGTGAATATAACTAAGAAATAATTGAATGAACTCTTAGAAAGATATGTTACAACGAGAAGAATGAGCAGACATCGGCTTGCTATTCGAATAATGAAATGCTGGACTTCCATGACTGAAAGTGAGATTTTTCCTTTGTTTCCTGTTTAATTTTTAAGAAAGAAATATACTACTGTTTGTTTGTTCGCTTTCTTGCTTGCCTTTCAAAGCAAATTACTTTATCTATTGACTTGAATGGGAATCCTTTCCCAAATGTTAATGTTTAAATCACCAAGTTAATTTTAAATATAAGGATGAGATGAGTTATTTGATGAACACATTTTGAAAGAAAAAAAAAATTTTTTGAGAAGTTTTTGTTCTATTCTTTTAGAACTCTAGAAGAACTTAGCAATAGATATGGTCTATCGATAAGGTGTGTATTATTCCTTGTATATTGAAATTAACAAAAGATAAATAAGTAGAAATTGAATCGTTCTTTAATATATTTTGAGAATTGAATGTGATTAATTCCCACTTTTTGACATACTATTACTTTTGGAGCAGAGTACATAAAAAAAGAAGGGATTAATTTTATTCCAAAGAAAGGCCTTGTCACTATACTTGTTTATGTTTTTCCTTAGTTTTACTGTTATGGGGATAAACAAGTACAGAAAGAAAAGAGCAATCCACAATTCTCTACTCAATAATTTCTGGTTTTATCTACTGAAAAATTTTAGTTCGACACTAATACTTTGGGATATTGAATATTAGTGGTGTCTCTCCATTTTGAGATCAAACCTTTAATACAAAACGAAGTGAAAAATTTTGTTTAAGATGTAGTTCTTTCTTCTTTTTGTTTTTATTCTCACTGGCATCCATAAGAAGATGGTCTAACGAATACATAATGTCAAAATAGAAAAGGGTCAAGGTTCTAAAGTTAGAAGTTGGTTCCAGTAATGGCAATTTACTATTCTTATTTTTTTTTAATTGTTCATTCGAGGTTTAAGATAATAAATATATTATTTGATGATGCAGAATTGAACGAAGTTCGGTTACTTATGTTTTTGCACCTCATTGAATATTAATGTCTTGTAGGAAACATAAATAATTAATTTCAGAGTGTTTGATATTTCCATTACCAGGGAAACTTCAGGAAATCGAGAAATTTATTACAGAGTTAAGAGATGTATGATTGAGTATTTTTCTTTAACTGTCTGAAAAATGCCTTCAAAGAAACTTTCTTAACATTGTAATGATAGCCAAAATGCTCTGTGAGGTTTTAATCTACAGGATTATCTATAGATTCTTATTTTCTAAATATCCAAGTTTCGACATAGTTTTAATATTAATATGTAAATTAAATTTGATAATAAAAATAAACTATTAAAGCTCTTAGAATTTTCACCCAGATAAAAAAACATTATAGTTTGAAGTACTAGAATATAGCGTATTCCAACATTGTTTTATACAAGTAGGAAAAAAGACTTTGGATAAGTATAGGTATTGAAACATTTTTTTTCATATTTTTTACCCTATATATAGTAGTCTCTTCTGTAAACAATAAGAAAATCAACATAAATTTGTTTTCCTAGCAATAATATGTAGGTATACTATTGATAAATATTAATTATTTGGCCATAAGTATGATATCAAAAAGTATATCTTTTTGTTTAGTGTGTTTGTTTTTTTGTTCCAATTAAGTATTTATCTTAATTACGTGATGTGGCTTCTATAAAGTAAATTTAAAATATTATATAAAAATATATACTGCAGGTGATAGGTAAGACATACTGACAAAATAAAGTTGTATCTACAGAATAAAAATTACTTCAGTTGAATAGGTCTAACTGAAATTGTTTATACCTTCCTTCTCATGTTAATTGTTTCTCCTACTTAAATATATGTATTTTTGTGTGTATATGTGTATTTATCATATTTGTAATTAGTTTCTTGCAAATACGCGACATCTCGTTCAAAATCTATGAAATTTTGTAGGAGAAAGATAGAAAGAAAAGAAAATATTAAATCTAAAAATTTAGACTAAAAAGAAAAAAAATTTAGAATGAAGAAATGCTATTGCTTTATAGATGAGATTTTACGCTATCAGATATCATGGATGACAAGTTGGCCCTTAGTCTAATCTCTATTTAGAATACAAAACTAAGAGGAGAGAGGAGTGTATATATTTGTAAGCCAAGAAAGCTAAATTCTTCAAAGCATGACTGGTGTTAACCAGAGGGGTATATTATCTTTCTTTCAAAATGTATCTTCTCAGAAGACTAAGTTCAAAGAGAATACTGCTTCAGATGCAAACAAACACTGCAAGGATGAAAAGACGGATTATAGGAAAAAAGAGTTAGAAAATAAGGATAATGGTGATGTCATTTTAATTATGGATGAGCAGGTGGAGAGTGAAGATAATCATTTAATTAATGCTGATTTGAATCCACAAAACCACGAATCTAATCAAAATAAGAATATAAAAGATTCAGAAGAGAAAAGTAAGGTAGCATTGGGTACAACAGTTGAAAATATTGATTCTAGACAGGGGGAAACTGCATTAAATAGTTCTACTAAGATTTCATTTGAACCGTCTTTTTCTGAAAATCAAATTGATGAGAATCTGGATGAGAAAGGCAATGAAAAAGAGAAAGATACATCAAAATCATCCGAAATCATGTCTAAGAACTTGATTAAAAAAGAGCAATTAATAAAAGATAAAGAATTGAAAAAATTGGAACGTGAGCAAGAACAGTTAATGAAGAGAAAGAAAAAAGAAGAGGAAAGACGTAAACGTGAGGAAGAAAAGCAGAGAAGAGAACAGTTGAAGGAAGAAGAAAGACGTAAACGTGAAGAAGAGAAACAGAGAAGGGAACGAATAAAAGAGGAGGAAAGGCGTAGGCGTGAAGAAGCGAAACGAGCCAAAGAGGCAGAGAAACGTAAGAGAGAAGAGGAAAGATTAAAAAAAGAAAATGAAAAGAGAGCTAAGCAAGAGGCTAAAGAGAGAGCACAACTAAGAATTGGTAATTTTTTTAAAAAGAGTTTAAATGAAACCATAAAGCCTGTAGTGACAAAATCAGATTATGAACGAGTCTTTAGACCATTTTATACTAGAGATAATATTATCATATCAAACATTTCAGCCTTATCGCAAAATAAACTGGAAACAAACAAACAATACATAGATAATCAATTATTGCATAAAAGTGACAATAGTGAGAGTATATTTGACTGGGTCAAATCTAAAAGGGTAGAAAGAGGGTATAAAATTAAATTGAAAGCAGTGGCATTATTGCAACAAATGACTACAAAGGAGAAGACAGATGAAGAACTTCAGCATATGCTGTCTATGATTCCACAAAAATATATTAAATTTTATGAAAACGTGAGACCCCCATTTATTGGAACATATTCTAAGGACTTTAGACTGCCAGTGTCTAGGCCATTCTGCACGGATGTAGCAGATTATAACTACGATTATGACTCAGATCTAGAATGGGTTAATGGAGAGGATGAGGAGGGTGATGGAGCTGGTGTTGATAACTTAGAAAGTGGAGATGATGAAGATGATGATGATGATGAAGATGATGGGAGTGAAGGTGAATTTGATGGATTCTTAGATACAGATGATCCAAATAACACAAACCAATCTAAGAAAAAAATTATTGGGCCATTGATACCTGTTGTTTTTTTAAGACATCAGTTAGATGAGTTAGAAGCTGATGATAAAGATTATTTTAAAAATACTAGTGTACAACCACTGATTGAAAACTTGCCACTTCCAATAGATCCAAGTAAAGCAATCACAGTACCAAAGCTTGCAGATCAATTAAATAATGTATCATCGAAAAAACAGTCTTTCAGTTGTGAAAAGCGTACTATCAGTGAAGTTGGAATCACTGGCAATGATGGCTCACCTGGTGCTAAAAAACCAAAACTTTTGATCACTGATTCTACTGATTTATTAAGACTATTTAATGAAATACATGGCAGTACATTTTCATTAGGTACTGTCACAGAAATTGCTCAAAAGGGACTGCCGCAATATAACAAATTGACCATTAAGAATACTGTACGAGAATATGCTACCAGAGTGAGCTCCAAAGGCGATAGTTCTCGTAAATGGGAAATTAATGATATGGAATTTTGGGAAAAACTAAAAACAGAAGCTGTATAGCTAAATTATGTTTTTTTCTATATTAAATGTAACTACATAAATTCATTCATTCATTCAAACTTTCAAGAATTATTATATACAATGGTTTATCCTTACATTACTATCTCTCAGTATTTTACTGCGTTTATTTCTTTTTGACATTTTATTTTAGTTTTGCCTGATTAGGAAATATAATTGTGAAAATTTGATTTGAATTTTTTTTTTTGGCAGAATAAAAAGAATTGATAAGGATTTTTGATAAACTTTACAAGAGAGCTGTGAGAATGTAATATTTAAGAAAGTGGGTATCTTTAAATCAAGACCACATTGAAGATTTTTCATCTGACTTTAGAGCATAAGAGTATACATACGCTGCTGAACTGTATTGAATAAAATGTCTGAATCTCCAAATTCGCCAGTGAATGATAATACACCTGCCAGCTCATCACCAGCACATATTCCAGATTCTATTCCACCTCAACCTTCTTCCCCAGCATTATTTTACAACTCATCATCATCGCAGGGTGATACGTATGGTCGTGACAGTGCAAACAGATATATTAGAGGTTCAGATAGTTCCTCTTATAATAATGTTGTATCATCTCCGTTCAATTATCCATCTTCTCAGCCACACCATGCAAATTCTAGTATTAGACAGGGTGTTACTGATAGATTATCTTCTCAAACTAGTGCTACTCCAAGAATCAATGGATCTTCTGATATCCGAAGTGATTCTTCTCTATTAGATTCTAACTTGTCCCAGAGGAGAAGAATGAAAAGAAATGATATCCAAGCATCAGATCTTTCTTCTCCAAGAAGATTTTATTCTGGGTTGGGAAATTCGTCTCTCCATTCGTCAACATCTTCTTCAGATGCAATGTCTGACACCGGTGAACCGGTGAGAATTATTTGGGGTACAAATGTTAGTATCCAAGAGTGTGCTACAAAATTTCGCAACTTTCTTATGTCTTTCAAATATAAATATCGTAAAATATTAGACGAGAGAGAAAGTTTTATCAATACAACGACAGATGAGGCTTTATATTATGTAAATATGTTAAATGAAATGAGAGAATTAGGTACGTGTAATTTAAATTTAGATACTAGAAATTTATTGGCTTTTAAACAGACAGAAGAACTTTATTACCAATTATTGAATTACCCACAAGAAGTTATCTCTATTATGGATCAAACAATTAAAGATTGTATGGTTTCCTTGGTAGTAGATAATCAATTAGATTATAATTTGGATGAGATTGAAACTAAATTCTACAAAGTTAGACCATATAATGTAGACACCAAGAAGGGTATGCGTGAACTGAACCCAAATGATATTGATAAGTTGATAAGTGTAAAGGGTCTTGTATTGAGAACAACGCCAATTATTCCTGACATGAAAGTTGCGTTTTTTAAATGTAATGTATGTGAACATACTATGGCAGTAGAAATTGATAGAGGTGTAATCCAGGAACCTGCAAGATGTGAACGTCTTGATTGTAATGAGCCAAACTCTATGTCTCTTATCCATAACAGATGTTCCTTTGCAGATAAGCAAGTGATTAAATTGCAAGAGACTCCCGATGTAGTACCAGACGGACAAACGCCTCATTCTATATCTTTATGTGTTTATGATGAACTGGTTGATTCATGTCGTGCAGGTGACAGAATTGAAGTGACTGGTACATTTAGATCTATTCCAATAAGAGCCAATGCAAGGCAAAGAGTGTTGAAGTCATTATACAAAACATATATTGATGTAGTGCATGTTAAAAAAGTTTCAGATAGAAGGTTGGACGTTGATACATCTACAGTTGAACAAGAAATTTTACAAAATAAAATGAATAAGAATGAAGTAGAAGAGACAAGAAAAGTTTCTGAGCAAGATATTACCAAAATCAAAAGTGTAGCAGAGAGGCCTGATCTTTATGAGGTTTTATCACGTTCTATTGCGCCAAGTATTTTTGAGTCAGAAGATGTCAAAAAGGGCATACTTCTACAATTATTTGGTGGTGCTAATAAAACATTTGAAAAGGGTGGAAGATATAGAGGGGATATTAATATTTTGTTATGTGGTGATCCATCCACAGCAAAATCACAAATTTTACAATATGTTCATAAAATAGCTCCTCGTGGTGTCTATACGTCAGGTAAAGGGTCATCCGCAGTTGGTTTAACTGCTTATGTGACCAGAGATGTAGATTCCAAACAGTTGGTGTTAGAAAGTGGTGCTTTAGTATTGTCAGATGGTGGTGTTTGTTGTATAGATGAATTTGATAAGATGAGTGATGCAACAAGATCCGTTCTTCATGAAGTTATGGAACAACAGACAATTTCAATTGCAAAAGCAGGTATTATTACTACTTTAAACGCAAGAACTTCTATTTTGGCAAGTGCTAATCCAATTGGCTCACGTTATAATCCTAACTTACCTGTTACAGAAAATATTGATTTGCCACCACCGTTGTTATCTAGGTTTGATTTAGTGTACCTTGTATTAGATAAAGTGGACGAGTCTACTGATAAGGAATTGGCCAAGCACTTAACTAGTTTGTATTTGGAAGACAGACCAGAACATGTGGCCAAAGATGATATTCTTTCTGTGGAATTTTTGACCATGTATATTAATTATGCAAAACAACATATACATCCAGTTATCACAGAAGAAGCTAAGAGAGAATTGGTAAGAGTATATGTCAACATGAGGAAGATGGGTGATGATTCAAGATCTGATGAGAAGAGAATCACTGCTACCACCAGACAATTGGAAAGTATGATTCGTCTTTCTGAGGCACATGCAAAGATGCGATTATCTAAAGATGTGGAGTTGCAAGATGTTCAAGAAGCGGTCAGATTAATCAAGGCAGCTATTAAAGATTATGCTACTGATCCAAAAACAGGTAAGATTGATATGAATTTGGTACAAACAGGTAAATCGGTCATCCAACGTAAAATGCAAGAAGATCTTGCTAGAGAAATTATTAAGATCCTTACAAATTACAGTTCAGATTCTATGAGTTTTAACGAGTTAATTAAACAGATTAATGATCAATCGCAAGACAAAGTTGATTCTGGGGATATTTCTGAGGCTCTGGCAAGCTTACAACAAGAGGATAAAGTGATCGTTCTTGGAGAGGGTGTACGGAGATCAGTACGTTTGAACAATCGTGTAGTATGATATAATGTAGACCTATGTATCAATATAATCCATATATGTATGTGTGTGTGTGTACTCGTTTGTATATTTATTAGTACAAGTCATTGTAATTGTACATGGTTGAAAAGTAGTATCTTACATTATTTTTTCTATATCGTTCTGGTTGATACAAAATAGTTAAAAATATTAAATTTTGTTTAAACCAATCATGTTCGGGTATGACAAAATGGTTAAATTTTGTTCAAAAAGCTGGAAAGGGAAAAGAAAAGAAAGAAAAAATAAAACAGCGAATTGTCCGTTTCATCCTTCCTTCTCCAGAAATTAAATGAGTCTTGACATGGTTTGACTACATTTAAGCACTTCAATTAGGAATCGTAGGGAACCCTGCTTGTCGGTTTGTTTGGTAACGTATACATGGTTGTGACTCTCATATAAAGTGGCGAACTACTTATAAGTACAAATCAGCATATAGCGAACAAAAAGAAAAATAGAAATATTGTAGTAGGAGAGATGTTAAGTAGATTACAAAATCGTAGTATTCAAATTTTCACCAAGGCACAGTCTGTAACCATCAAATCCGCATGTAAGTTGTTGTATTATGGTAAAGTTGGTAAAGAATTGACGTTGCAAGTCTATACTAAAGAAAAGTGGATGCCTCCAAATTTACAAACATTTCAAAAAGCTTATTATGATCTTTATAGCAATATCTTACATTTTATAAACAAGCCATGTGATTTGGTTGCTACATACAACAAGTTGAATCCAAATGACATGATCAAATATGGTGCAATTGGTATACAATTAGTTGGCTTTTATACAGTAGGCGAAATTATTGGTAGAAGAAAATTGGTTGGTTATAGAGAATATTATCATCCAGCTGAGCCAGTCACACACTAGAAATAAGTAGAAATAGACAAAATATAAAATAAAACAAAAAGAAGTTTTGATTAATCTTTTTTTATCGTGGTTTAGCAGCAGAACTATTACAGCACGTAACATATTATGATATATGTATATTTAATTTATATACATATGTAAATTTTTACTCGTGTATTTATGTAAAATATTTATATTCTTTTTCTTTATTCTTCTTTATAACGTGCACTAATAATAATAATAAAAATAATAAGTTTGACTAATAAGACTATATCTTTTTTGTTTATTTGTTGTACCTACTAAAAAACAAAGGAGAAAGGTAAGATCGAAAAGAAGAACGAAAAAAAAAAGATAAGAGTAATGCAAATTTGATTATTATTTAGTTTTTATATCGTATCTTTACATATTTTAGTATCGCACGCTTCCTTTTTATTGTATACTGGAAACTTCTTTCACTTTTTGATGTAATTCTGCAATTCGTTGCGCTATATCCATAAATAAAGAAAATTCTTCTATCACAGCTGTAACAATTGTATTTAGACCTGCTTTTAGGGCATATAAATTAGAGCTTAATGAATCCGATTGAGATATATTAAAGAATGATTCTTCCTGACTACCATTCCCGAACAAATCATTGTTAATGCCATTGATAGCACTTTCAATATCATTTAAGACCCTAGTGAATTCGTCTAATTTATTTTGATAAGAATTGATCTTATTTTGGAAAAATTTATCTAATTCTATTGAAGATACTTTAGATCCACTAGTTAGTAATTGAGTTAAAAGGATGGTAAAAGTTTCTGAATCCATTAAATGTTGATCAGTTAATAGCTTTAAATTCATTATTTTTTTCAAATCACTTGACAATGACTGATTAATAATAGACTGGTTTTTGAAAAGGTATGAAATGTCTGTTTGAATTGATTCAATTAAGCATGTGTGTTCCTCAGTACCAACTTTTAAATGATTCGATATAGTCACTTGTCTTTGAATATACTGATCTAACTCTTGGATTGCCTGGTTCAGTTGCGGTGGTAAATCACTAATTCTAGTCATGGGTGTTATAGCTAATTGAGAGATTTGATACAATGGAGATGTCTGTTGTATAGTTTGCTGTTGAAGTTGAGACCCAAAGAGGCCACCACCAGTAGTTGTACCTCCAAATGTTGTTGTGGGTTTAGCACCAAAAAGACCACCACTAGAATTAAGACCAGTATTTGTAGTGGTATTGCCACCAAATAATCCACTACCTGTTGTGGTAGCAGGTTTTGTTCCAAAGAGACCGCCAGTTGATCCTAGGCTAGTATTTGCATTAGTGTTATTGCCAAATAATCCTCCAGTGGTCGTTGTGGCAGGTTTGGCACCAAATAATCCACCTCCAGTGGTTGTTGAGGTGTTATTACCAAATAACCCACCACTTACAGTAGTAGCAGCGGGTTTGGCACCAAATAACCCACCACTTGTAGTAGGGGCGGATGCTTGAGATCCAAATAACCCCCCAGTAGTGCTTGTTGTTTTAGGGGCTCCAAACAGCCCACCCCCAGTAGCAGCTGATGTTGTTGTATTTGTGGTATTATTGTTACCAAATAAGCTTCCGGTTGTGGTAGTGGAGGTGGAAGTTATGCCTGGCTTATTTCCAAACAAACCGCCATTCGTAGTATTTGATCCAGTCGTAGAAGTAGTGGTATTATTGCCAAAAAGACTTGTTCCGCTAGTATTTGCTCCAGTATTACCAAAAAGGCCAGTTCCGGTGTTTGTATTGCCGAAAAGACTGGCTCTACCAGTGCTTGTGGTGTTGTTAGCCGGATTACTTATATTGTTGGTATTATTGTTACCAAATAAACTGTTTGTAGTAGTGGAATTACCTAACTTGTTTCCGAACAAACCTCCTCCAGTAGTATTTATATTGTTATTGTTATTGCTATTACCAAAAAGACCTCCTCCGGTAGTAGTCGTATTATTAGTATTATTACCGCCAAATGCACCTGTTTGGCTGTTAGATTGCCCAAAATTAAACATAGTGCTTGGCGTGAAGTTTAAATGAATAAAAAATTGACTTTTGGTTAATTTCTATAAAAATGATAAAAACAAAACACAGAAACCAGTTCTTTTTTGTTTTACTCAATTATTCAAATATCTTGTTCTTTAGCGTTTTTATTATTTTTGTATACGTTATAAATATATCCACATGCGACGATAATAATACTGATGATGCTGGTACAAATATTGACTATTAGATCTTGAAATTTTATTTTGTTTCTTCTCCAATATTTTTTTTTCTTTTTATTTCTTGAAATATTGGGCCTTTTTCATATTTTATAAGTTTTTTTTTGTTGTGTTTTTTTTTCTTAGTTTTTTTTTTTTAATTTATTTCCTTTAAAAAAAGGCGAATTCAAAGCCTTTCTATTCCGTATAACAGATATTTTGGAGTTTGATATAGTTTCCGTTTCGGTTTTCAGGTTGTGCAACAAAATATTTTTTCCGACTTACAGACTTTAAAATAGCTAATAGGGATTTGATAAAACAGTTAAAAGCCGAAATCAAACGGGTTTACAAAAAAAAATATTACCCTGTAGGCTCAATTGTAAATGAAAACATAACTATTGAAGCTTTAAATCGAAGTTGGTAATGCTAATTTCTTTGCTTTGGATTCTACTGTTATATGTTGATTAATGTTTGAAGAACTGGAAATAGTTCATACATTAAATATTGTGTATCTATAAGGAAAAAAGTACAAAAATAAATTTTTATTTATTTCTAAGTTTTAGTTTATTCAGCAATTTAAATTATTGTTTGCTTATTTCTTTCGTTTTCTTTTTTCCTTTTTCTTTTCTTGGTAATGTTTATTTCTATGTTAGTTAAGAATAAATACTAATTTTATTGGAAATGGAATGCTAAACAGTCATGTACATTGAATTTTCCTGTAATGCGAAATAAATTTGTCTAGGTTTGGTATATGTTTTTAGAGTGTACCTACTAGCTGTTTTTTTAGTTTTTTTTTTCTCAAAATCATTTTAGCTGTTTATTGAAAAGCTTGTAATACCAAGGCCAAAATAAATAAATTGGTCAATTTTGTTGATTTTAAATCTTTGTTTTTCTTCCTTTTTTCAAAATATATATATATATATATACTAAAAATAAAACTCAACTTTAAACACTATACTGAATATAAGGAACAAGAATCAAATAAATATAATACACCCCACTTTTAACAAAAAACAAGACTACACAATGTAACTAATCTAATACCTTATTTTTACCATCCAATCCTTTTCATTCCAACTAGTCCACCCATTGACATATCAATAGGAATCCTTCGATGTAGCTAACAATCAATACAAGCAGAAACAAGCACACAAATACATACCAAATACCCTTTCTAGAGACAGCACTACAACTTCTCCTCGAGATGTTTATGATATAAACTTGTATATCCATTTCTCTTTCAACTATATTTAAAACACTCACAGGACATCAAAACCGCCCAGTGTATGGAATTTAAAAAAATGGCAAATTAGCCGCCTTCGTCCATCGTGATATGTTCTTTTAAGTTACCCTCAAATTTCCTAAATTTTTATTTGAATTTTTAAAGATTCGAAAGGGACATAAAATATACTAAAACAAACAAACAAACAAGCAAACAAGAAAAAATATATAGAACGGTGTTTAGTTTCCTTTCTAAACACCATAGAAGTTATTATTTGCTTTTGCACCAGTCACTTCCTTCTCAACATACGTGATTTGTAGTTTGTTAGATATATTTAACAAGTTCCTCTATTGACTCTCATTCAGTTGTTCAAATATCAATCCTTCGTTGTTTATAAAAATAGTTAAACGAAAAAAAAACCCAAGACGAGAGTAGTTCAAAAGATTATATAAGGAGAATGGGTATTCCTAAATTCTTTAGATACATCTCTGAGAGATGGCCAATGATCTCCCAATTAATTGAAGGTTCGCCAATACCTGAATTTGATAATTTGTATTTGGATATGAATTCAATTTTGCACACTTGTACTCATGGTGATGATATAGATTTAGTAACGTCGTCACGCCTCTCTGAGGAAGAAATATTTGCACGTATTTTTACTTATATTGACCATCTTTTTTTAACTATTAAACCCAAAAAAGTATTTTATATGGCTATTGATGGTGTAGCTCCAAGAGCTAAAATGAATCAACAAAGAGCAAGAAGATTTAGATCTGCAATGGATGCAGAGAAGGCTTTAGCTAAATCTGAAACTCCTATAAATAAAGGTGATATCTTCGATTCTAATGCAATCACACCTGGTACCGAATTTATGGCTAAGTTGACTAAAAACTTAAAATATTTCATTAACAATAAAGTATCCCACGATTCGAATTGGAGTGGAATTAAGATTATTTTGTCTGGTCATGAAGTTCCTGGTGAAGGTGAACATAAAATTATGAATTTTATTAGAAACATTAAATCTTCAAATGTAGAAGATAGTTCAAATATAAGACATTGTATCTATGGGTTAGATGCTGATTTAATTATGTTAGGTCTTTCGACACATGCTCCTCATTTTGCATTATTGAGAGAGGAAGTGGTTTTTGGTAAGCAAAGATCCTCTCAATATAAAACTTTAGAACAACAAAATTTTTATTTATTACATCTTTCACTATTGAGAGAATATATGGAATTAGAATTTAGAGAAATTGCAGATATATTGCCATTTCAATATGACTTCGAAAGAATTCTTGATGATTTTATATTAATCATGTTTGTTATTGGTAACGATTTCTTACCTAATTTACCTGATTTGCATTTAAATAAAGGCGCATTCCCTGTAATTTTACAAACTTTTAAAGAAGCATTACTACATTTAGATGGTTATATTAATGAACATGGAAAAATTAATTTAAAAAGATTAAATATTTGGTTGAAATATTTGTCACAATTCGAACTAATGAATTTTGAAAAAGATGATATTGATATTGATTGGTTTAACCAACAACTGGAAAATATTTCTTTAGAAGGTGAAAGGAAGAGAGCCAAGCATGGCCAAAAATTGTTAATAAGACAACAGAAGAAACTTGTTGGATTTGTAAAACCTTGGATCACTAAATTAACCACTGAAATTGATCCTAAGACAGTGGATGATTCTGATCCAAAGTTATGTTTGCTTTTGCCAAAGGATACCGATGATAAAGATGGAGGTTATAATATAAAGAATAATCTACCATTTGTAAAAAAATTGACACACGATTTAGGCCTATTTATTATACATTCTAAATCAAAAGATACATACACTCTAAAATTTGATGTCGATGGTGTAAACCCACATGAAACTGTTGAAGAACGCCATGAACGTATAGCACAAATTAGAAAAACAATCAAAAATTATCAAAGTTCTTTAGTAGTGGAAGATGAAGAAGAACTGGAGAAAGAGAAAAATATTTATGATTCAAGATTTGAAGATTGGAAATTAAACTATTATAAAGATAAATTCCATTTCAAGGATAAAGAATCTATCATTAATGTAGCTAAAAATTATGTTGAAGGGTTGCAATGGGTTTTGTACTATTATTACAGAGGTTGTCCTGCATGGGGTTGGTATTACCATTACCATTATGCACCAAGAATATCAGACTTAGCACTTGGTTTAGACCAAACTATTCAGTTTGATTTAGGTTCACCATTTAAACCTTTTGAACAATTAATGTCTGTTTTGCCAGAGAGATCTAAAAATCTGATTCCAACTGCCTTAAGGCCGTTAATGTACGATTCCAAGTCACCCATTTTGGACTTCTATCCTGATGCTGTGGAATTAGATATGAATGGAAAAACTGCTGATTGGGAAGCTGTTGTTTTACTTCCCTTCGTAGATGAAAATAGATTAAGAGATGCTATGAAACCATATATGGACAAATTAACTCTAGAAGAAAAACAAAGAAATGAATTAGGTACCGATCTTCAATTTATTTTTAACCCACAGGTAGACACAGTCTATAAGACACCATTGAAGGGGGTCTTTACAGACATTGAACACAACCACTGTGTTGAAAAACCATTCCACTTGGAAAAACTGGACCCAGATCAAATCAAGTACGGATTACTTCCAAATGATAAGATGGGTGTAAATATATTAGCCGGGTTTCCAACTTTACAAACTATCCCATTTACTGCATCTCTTCAGTACAATGAAACCTTAGTGTTCCAACAACCATCTAGACAACAATCTATGGTCTTGGAGATTGAGGATATCTATGACGAAAATAACTTGACTTTAGATGAATTGGCTAAACGTTATATAGGAAAGATTGTTTATACCAAGTGGCCATACTTAAGAGAATCTAAATTGATCTCTATCTTTGATGAAAACAGTGTTTTTGAAGGCAAGCATACTGTTGATAATCAAGGCAAAAAACATTTCAAAGTTATTCATAGATCTGCGGATATTCATGAACAAAAAGAATTTAAGCAGTTAAATGGATCCATGATGAAGAATTATAAAAAACAAATGGCAGTTCTGTTGAAGAATATTAGAGCTTTTGTTAAAGTTGTACCTGTCACCGGTTTGATTAGAAACAGTGAGGGTGCGTATATCAAAACATATGCTAAGACATCCGAAGTCTATCCCTTGCAATTAATGGTTGAATCAATTTCTAATGTAGATGAACGTTACATTGAAAAACCACCTGTTCCAATTGAACAAGAATTCCCATTGAATTCTCGTGTAATTTTCCTTGGTGATTATGCATATGGCAGTGAAACCACAATCAATGGTTACAGTAGTACTAGAAGATTAAAGATTACTGTTAACAAAAAGTCCCGTGGGAGCGAACCAACAATCGGGAAAGAGATGGTTGCACGTGATGCTAGTTTAATTCATTATTTCCCATCTTTTGTCATAGCCAAGGAATTAAATCTAAATAGACTGTTTTTAGCCAGAATCACTTCAAAGTTTTTAATTGCTGATAATGAAGGGAAGCAAGTCAATGTAGGTATCCCTGTAAAATTTGAGGCAAAACATCAAAAGGTTTTGGGTTATGCCAGAAAGAATCAAAAAGGGTGGGAATACTCAAATTTAACTGTTAACTTATTAAAGGAATATAGTACTAGATTCCCTCATTTTTTCTATAATTTGTCAAAAATACCTACCAGTGACATTCCAATGTTACAGGACTTGTTACCTAATCTTTCAAGTAGCGACTCAACAAAGGAATTGAATGAAATCAAAAATTGGCTTAAATATGTTACTGAGTTGTTTGTAACAGTCTCTTTTGAAAGTGATTCATTGAGTAAAGGCTCAATCAGAAGTGTAGAAGACTATATAATTGCCCATTCATTTAAATTGGAACAATGTGAATCCAAAAATTTGGCAAAGGTCCCACGTGAAGCTATTTTGGATCCAAGAGAGTCCATTAGTTTATTAAGAACACAACGTTTCAACTTGGGTGATCGTGTAATGTACATCCAAGATTCAGGAAAAGTTCCATTGTATTCTAAGGGTACTGTTGTTGGTTACACCACATTAGGCTTGAATGTTTCTGTTCAAGTATTATTCGATCACGAAATTGTTGCTGGTAATACGTTTGGTGGTAGATTAAGAACTAAGAGAGGTTTAGGCCTGGATTCATCTTTCTTACTAAACTTAACTGATAGGCAATTAGTCTATCATTCTAAAGCATCTATGGAAAATAAAACACGTACCAAAGGTTTGCCAAATGAATCAAATAATGCTGTGAATGAAAAAAGATTAAGACAGAAGAAGGAGCGAAAGGCTCGACAAGAAGCTGATAAGATAAGAAAGGAGGTAGGCCATAATCTATTAAGTTTGATACAAAAGAATCAAGATACTAAAGCTGGATTAAAAGAGAAAGAAGTAGAACAACCAGATGATATTGTTGAAAAAGAGGTACAAAGTGCAGAGAATGAACAGGATAGTTCTAAACCACTGGAAAGCTTATTAAATCGTAATGATGAAGCTAAAAAAGAAGCCAAACTTCCTGAATCTTTGCCGCCAAATAAGGCTGTTGCTACCTCAGTGTTTAACGCAGTCCTTAACCAAATAGAATCGACAGATGATCAAAGTAATCACCCACCTACTGAGTCAAATAATTATCAGCCTACTCCATATCATACCCTTGACCCAGCAAGTTTACCATACCATATGCCACCAGTCGTAAATAGTATGTACGTTATGGGAAATAATGCTCAACCTATTATTGGAACAATACCACCTACACACCCACATCCTCATGGACATGCATATCCTTACTCAACTGGTCCTAGCTTACCAAATAGTCATCCTTATCCGAACGACATGCCACCATCAGGACAACATCTACGTGGACCTGTGCAATATCCTCCAATGGTCCCACCAGGATTTGTTCCACATCAAGGTATATTGAGTGGCAACGCACCTGCTCATGCCAAGGTTAACCAAGAACTTCCCGTAGATAAAAAAGGCACTAAGAAATTACAACATATTTCTAAAAATGCTAAGGGGAAGAACTCTACTTCTAAAAAGAAGATAGAGGCATCAACAAATCAATCAAATGAAAAAAAAATGTCCGAAAAAGTAGAAAAGGATAACAAGAAAGAATCTATAAAAAAAGAAGAAGAATAATTGCTATAATATGCAAATTAAATTTAACTGTTGTTACTTATCAACCTTATCTTCTTAGTTTTACAATCTATTATTTTCGAGTACTTTTCTCCTTTAGTATTTTTGAACCTGGTTATCCTTTATTTTATAACGTAGATTTTTATTTATAATAGTGTCATTTGGGAGCAACAATTTCTTCTACTCTCAGGGTATCTTTATTGTATTATATAATGTGCTTCAAACGAAAGCACAACAACCTATAAACATATATTATTATGTATACGTTATTAACTGTCTAAAGTTGTATTCAAATTGATGAACTCCCGCAATATTCAATAGTCTTCCTCATGATTTGAAATCAGACTGGATATCTTCTTTTCATATTGTTCATTTCTCTTCTCAAACCATCTTTTTTCAAATCCATTAGACCTATCAACTCCATCCCATCTATATCCTGGTTTAATATCAAATCTATTTTCAGCATAAATACCTTGAAAGAGTTTTCTTCCTAACAAAGAAACTGCTGTATTATTACTATTGCAATTACTATTATTATTATTAGTAATAGATGAGGTGGAGACATCAGTTTTATTAGCTGTTGTATCAAAGCGTGAAGCAGGGTCTTCAATATTATATAAATCTTGCTTGTTTGACTTTACTTTTAATGAGGTATGTGACTCATTTTGTTGAAGGAATAATTGAACTTCACCAGCATTCAATTGTTTTAAAGTTTTCTGTCGAATTACTTCTCTTAAATCCTTTTCTTGTGTTCTTCTTTGTATATCTTGATTACTCAAAACATGTCCTCTTTCATCTCTATGAACTGTATCAGTATTTGAATACTTATGATCTTCAAACGTACCTGATACTTGATTAGAAACCGTATCTGTAGAAGAAAACTCCTGTTGTATGGTGTTTTTAGACTTTACATTAATAGCAGAAGACCCACTTAGATTATTTATTTCATTTGTCGTAACTATTTTATTTGTACTCAGATCTTTCCATAATATTTCTTTTTGATTATCTTTTGTTCCTGATCGCAGTAAGGTACTATTAGGATAGATTCTGCTAATTTGTTGTTTAGAGTGATCTATAATAGTAACGTTGCTGCTCTTTTCTTTGCCTTTCTTCTCTTCTTTGATCTTACTCTTACTTTTATTTTTGGTTACCTTATGACTTGTTTGGTTCTTAATGGAACCATACATAGAAGATAAATAACTATGCAATGACATATTTTTAATAGTAATTTTGTAATATTTCAGTATTAATAATAATATTCTCACAAATATATGTCCAATGCAACGTCGTAATATTACCAATAAAAAATTCTGTGACAAGTAAACAATAGAATAGAATACAAACGATTTATCTAACTCACGCACACTTTATTTGGCTGTTCTTCCTTTAATACCTATAATGCTTAGTTATGAACATCTAGGCTCTTAACTTTCTTAACGTGTTAATTAAATAATTTTTCCTCTATTGATAGAAATCTGCATTTTGAGTTTGTTTAATTTATTTAATAAACTTAAAAGATTATTTGACACAAAAGAGAAATATAAAATACATACAAGTACAAAAATACGCAACCCACAAAAAGTAAGTTACTACAACATAGTTAATCGTTATAATGTGGAATATTACCATACACTAATACACATACATAGCTACATACATACCTTTGCATATATACATCTATGTGCAAGATAGAAAGGGAAGAGAAAGATACAATACAGTTAATTAATGCATTGTTATCAAGTTTAAATTTAAAAGAACTAATATCTTTACAGTATAAAATTATCAAAAGAATAGAGTTAATGATAGATAACCCAATTGCTAAAAAATGTGAAGAGATCAGAAATGTTAATATACCTAATAAAGAATTGTTATCAACTGACCTTTTCTCAAATTCCATAGATTACCGCCATCAAAATTCAAGACAAAATGACATTAAAAGGGAAATTAATGGATTATTGGATATTGTAGATGATAGTCAAGACTTAGTGTTAACTCAATATAATACTAACACTAACACTAACATGCCATATGGTGGTTCACAATTGAATACACAGGTCGAGGAACATGCTTTTATCAAAGAGAATGGCAGTTCTCCTTTAAAAGAATCACAAGACATCAAGTTAACAAACCTAATACGAGCTAGAAGACAAAATAGTAAAAACTCATATCACATGAATAATAATAACAATAATAACAGGACAAAACCTAATACTACAACAACTGGTGAAACGAAGGGTTCTCAAGACTTAGATAGTAAAATCCCTAGTGAACCAATTCCTCTTTTAATGACAAAACATTCCTCAGCCAAAAAAGTGAACTTTAATATTAACCCAATCACAAAGAAACCGTGGATTTTAGAAGATTTTAAACCAAATTGTCAAGTCACAGACATTAAAAGAGGGAGACAAAAATTGGAACAATTTTATGCAAAAGTTGGTAAACCGAATCAAGTTTATCCCAGTAAACAGGACCATTGTCATTCAAATATAAATGATCTGTATGGATTAAATAAGAGCAATAGCGAATACTTGTTTGATAATTTGAGGCACCGTTCCAGATCGCCACCAGGTTATGGTAGAATGGATTTTCCTTCCACACAGGAACGTACTGAGGATAAAATAAAGTCACAGAGGATTATCTATGAAAAGACATTATATAGATTTCATGCTGCAACAAATTCAATGACACCGTCATTTGAAAGAGAATTTCTGTTCAAGAAAGATCTCTTAAATACAATAGTAGATGACAACAATTTCACCTGGAATGAAAAAAATCTTAAAATATTTTTACGTTCCAAATAATAACACAAAGAATGAAATAACATTAGCCAGTATCTACAATAAGTACACACCTACTAGCAATACATAAAACAATAAAACTGTCCACTGGGTCCCCTCTATCGGCTGATCTTCCCTTTGTCAGTCTCTTACAATATCAAATTCGATATATTTCTATATACTTTGTTATATTATTTTTTTTCATTTTTCGTTTTCCATTTTTACTTTTTTACCTGATGTGTTTAAAAATCATTCTCTAGTTATTGATTTACTATCATTTCCTAGAAAACTGTCAATATGAAACAGGAAAGATAGAAATTATAAAGACATAGACATCTGTTCTATGCAGAATGTAGTCATCAATATAAAAATAATCTTAGTCAGATATCCCTATAAAAAGGAAGCTTGGTTAGTCCCTTAAGATTGTTTAACCCTGCCTATGTCTTTTATTATTAAAATATCTTATTTATAAATATTAATCAAACATGGTGTTATCTAAATATTATTCTGGTAAGCTGAGGGACAACTCAGATAACTCCTCTAAGAGGTTAAATTTACAGAAAATAACCAGACAAAGTAAACTCAAAAAGAATGAAAAAATTAAAGATCAAAAATATCTCAAAAAAATACTGCCCTTTTCTGATCTACTAAAGAGGGCATTGCATTTCCAAGAATTGAATAAATTGACTCAAAATGACTTGAATTTTTATCGTTGTTGGAATATGAGTAAAATACTTAAGAATAAAAAAGTATTGTATAACCAATTAGCTAAAATTAGAACATTCTTACCCGAAAGACTTGGCAACTTAACCGATAAAACTGTAATTACCATAACCAAACACACTAATAGAGAATTAGAATACTATTCCCTTAATGAGGCAAAGGACTGTTATTATCATTTAGAAAAAATAGTAGGCGACCATGTAAAATCAATGGAAGATGATCCCAATAATGTTGGAGTTTATAAATATAAGAACCATGACATCATCAATCAAACCTCACTTGGGGATGATGCCACTATACTATGTTTGGATGGTTACACTTTTTTATACTTTGGGTTTAGACGAGATCATATAATACATGGGAAACCAAATATCTACAGATTTATTCAAATGTCACACAACACTTCTTCAAACTCAAGGTATGCATTTGAAGTAAAAGCACCAAGAGCCACAGAATTTCGTGATGTGGCTACTTCATTAAACTATGTGGCCATAGCATTTGGCAATATTCTTTTCATCCATAATTGGCTGTCAGATTCTGTTACTTCTTACTCTCAATATTACAATGTTAATAAAATAACCCGAAAAAGAGGGAGTTCGCAGGGGTCATCTGACATAATGGCTTTATGTTTCGTCAAAACCAACACAGAAGAATTAAACCATTTAAATGCTATTCTGTATGCAGGTTTTAGGAATGGCACTCTTATTGCCATACCATTTCATAACAATAAAATTGACTTCGATAACAGAGTCATGGTACCCTTACCTATAGAACTTAGGAGTATCATTAGCCTTCATGAATGCTTTGATGGAGGATTAATTATATCAGGCCTTTCAAATAGTATTTATAACCTCCAAGAATTACTATATATACCGATATTTGATTTACAGAACCTAAAAACACTTAAGGTGATTAAATTAAACACACAATATTATAACATCGTTAGAAATCAAGAAATTTGTTGTGTAACTAAAAATAAAAGGTTCTTCTGTTATGGAAAAAGAGGATCCAAAAAAGATTCTCTAAGTATATCTCAAGGTGGTTTTGATGTTTATTCATTAGATTCATTAAATATCAAAGAAAATACTGGTAACCCAAAAAAAATATTCGAAATTTTTCCAATAAATAATATGTCTGATTATATTACTGATGATTTATCCTTCACTGATAGTACGTTATATTCAGTATCTAGTATTGATTGTTTTGAACCACCAGCTATTTCCTCAAAAGAAGAGAGTCATTATAGAGGAATACAATACGAAACAGAAAAAGTTGAATCAGATTTAGGCTCCGGATCTCGAATAGCAATGTTATTTAGTAATACTACATCTTCCAATTTATTATCCAAAACATCTGTACTTGTCTCTGTTGAGCTGGTTTAAAAAGCATAAGATTAATTTAATAATGCACATGTTAATAAATTTGTAGTTTGTGTAAATAAGAACTATTCCAGATTTCATTTTTATAAGGGTGTTGCCTTATATTTATGATGATATCATGATATTTGGTGCCATCCAAAAGAAAACATTCACTGACTCACCTATCCATCCCTCCACGTATCTATATTTAAGATACAACGAAACGATAACATTAATGAGAAATGAAATTTAAAAAAAAGTTCGAACCTACTCCATTACATCATCACATATACAGTGAATACTATAGAGTATAGATAAGGCTAATACCATTTTAACTGGCATCATTGTTACCGCTACTATCTACTATTCACATCCTTAAATCAATGACCCATAAAATAGAATTTACATAACAAAATATTAGAACAATAACTATAACGTTTGTTTATAAACACTAAAAACAGAATTAGTAAGTTAATGGAATATAATATTGGTGAATGTTTATATATATATGTATATATAGGCAAAACAATCAAATTAGAGATATTATGAAAAGGATAATAAAAAAAGAGTCTGGCTAAGAAAACTTATTCTAACAATGTAAGAAAATATAAAAAAACAATATGGATAGAACAATATTTATAAGGACGAATGGTTCTTAATTAATAATTAAACCATTTAAAATAATAGGACAGTAAAAGAATAATTTTTTTTTGTATTTTTTTTCTATATAGTTCAGCTTTATAAATTTCATAAATTTCATAATCTTTTAACTTAATAAATTTTGTTAAGCTTCTGATAACAATATAGTGTACATGAAATGAAATAATGCAAATAGAAATACAAATGGAGAGTAGACTTAATATCGTGTATTAACATTAAAATTTTTAAATTCATCATCTCCTAAAAACATCAAAGAAGTATCATTCATAGATATTTTATTATCTGAGTTAAAAGTATTATGAAAGTTTTGTTGTGGGTATGGATTACTGACAACTCTTTGTGGTTGTGGTGTTAAAAATGATAAATCTGATGATGTTGAATTTGTAAATAGATTAGGTGAAGTAAATACACTATTTGGATATCTTAAGTGTGTATTTGGTGTGCTCATGACGTCATTAACGGAAAAATTATTGATTGTTGAGTTCAGATTAGTATTATTATTACTATTATTGTTGTTGCTATTATTAGTATTTACAATATAACCATTAGAGGCAAAAGTGTTTTGTTGACACAAATTTGCAGTGCTATTAACAGCACTAGTATTAGTTGTGTCATTAACATCATTTAGCAAGATCGAAGATGGTTGGTGTAATTGTGGCGTAACAAATCTCTGGCCGATGTTATTATTTACAGTATTAGTACTGTTATTAGCATTATTTATGTTATTAATGGACAGAGAAGAAAAAGGCACAGACAATGTATTGTTAAATTGTTTTTGATAATTTAATGGAGAAGTTGCCTGGGGATTAAACAGATTCAGCATATTATTATGGAGAGTTTGAGTAGACGAAATATTAGAGTTAACATTTAATCTATTGTCATTAATATAAACCGATGAATTTGACGATGCTACAGAACTGTTTCTTCTATGATAGGCATTAGCTGGTAAAGATACATGACGCTGATGTTGTTTAGTCTTATAGGAAGTATCATTACTTTGTAACTTTGTCCGATTAAAACCATTATTATTCTTCATAGTTGCGCTTATAACAGAAGATGGGCTAGTAACAGTGGCAGGCAATACGGGATTAATAATAGATGGTAAATTAGGAGTAATATTACCGTTATTACCATATACTGAATTATTTTTAGGATCATTTGATGCAATCCCTGTTAATTCGACAAATGCTCTGACTTTCAATTTAATTTTCTTTGCATAGGATGTAGTCTTGATACTTGGTAGAAGATCCTTCGTCAAAAGGATCAAATTTGAAATTTTATTAGTGAAATCATTTGAGAATGATAGATATTTTTTATTATTTTCCATTATTAATAGATTATCTGGATAATTCAACATAATGTCATAATTTTTAACATCTAATAGAGTCTGTAATGCATAATTTCCATAATTGTCTCTAATTAAAATGTTTAAATTTAAGGTGAAAGAATCAATTATGGTTAAAAGGATATTCATTGTTTCATTAATTACATTATCATTAACATTAGGTAAAAATCCACCCTTTATTGATGATTTGATGATATGAAATAATTTTTTGATAAATTTTTCAATCACGTTAGATGAAAATTTTAGACATGATAACTGAATCAATTCATTATGTAACTTATTAAACATTTCATTTAATAAATAATAATCTAATTCTTTAATAGCTAATAAAAATTGTATAATATAGTTACCAAATTGGTCATTGATTAATCCAGACAGATATTGAATAATTTTCCAAGAGATAGTACAAATTTGTTGTAATGTGCAAACATTTAGCAGTTTCTGTAACACACAACAACCATGTTTATGTGTTGAGATTGTAATAATATTATCTTTTTCAATGATTGTATCGATGATAAAACCAAATTTTGTTGATGGGAATTTGAAAATACATTTTTGTATGACATGATTCCCATTTAAGTCATTTATCAAAGTTACCACCTGTTCAATACTGGTAAACTCTTGTGAAAACCCTCTAATTATCAAGTCTATTTGTTGTTCATTATCTACTGTATCAATAATCTTTTGTAGTGATCTTGTACCATATTGATTAATGGAAATTTTGAAAACATACGGATAAATTGATTCAATAAGAAAAGTTTTTTGAGCTGTAGTCAAAAATTCACATAATTTTTGAATTAGATAGTTACCAAATGGATCCAAGATCAAATTCAAAAAAGAACCTTTAATTTGCTCGAACATTAAATCTCTGACTAAATCAGATTCCACATCAGAATTTGATTCCAATTTTTTTTGAAGAAAACGGCAACCAAATTGATCAGTAGCTAATTTTAAATAATTCAATTTTTCTAAGGGAGTATTAATGATTTCATTTGGAGAGATTAAATCTGAATTGTTATTATTATTATTACTATAATGATGGTGTATATTATAGGATTGACTACTGTTACTGTTATTATTATGATTCAACTTACCTAGCATAATAGGTGACTGAGTAGTTGTAATATATTGACCTAAACCAGTTAAATCTAAGGATCTAGCCTTTTGATGATCATTTCTCTTTATATTCATCTGACTGATTGGTGGTGGAGTAATGGGTTCTACAATTGAAGAAATTGAATTAACAGACAATTGTGGTTGATGATGATGATAATGATGTTGAATTTGATTGTTGCTATTAGATGCAACAGTAGCAGCAGTCGCAGAAGAAGATGAAATAGTAGGGGCAATACTAGTATTATTAAAAGACATGATAGAGCTATTTAAACTTGAGGTAGTAGAAGTTGATCCACTACGATCTAATATGGAACAGTTGTTGTCGTTAATAATACTAGTGATATTATTAATTATATTATAGTTCTGTAAAGATTAATAGAAAAAAAGAACAAAATGAAATAAAATAAAAGTCAATTATTATTGTTAGTATATGTATGCTTATTATTATTATTGTTATTCCTGATTGTTAGTTATAATTATATGTGTTTTCAATATCAATATATTAACAACTAATTCTACCCCAACCAGATAAGTATGCACAAGGGAGACAGATACACACTACCCTTTCTTCTTTTCTATTCAATACCTAACAGTTAAAACTTAGTAGTTATGAAATAAAAAAATAATAGAAAAATAAAGAAATAGAAATGAAGGGAAGAAAAGAAAGTAGATCTAGTATCTTTTGATAAAGTTTTGTATTCCTTACTTTACTCTACGGGATAAGTTTTTAATTTCATTATTCTATACGGATTGATCTCACACACATAGCTTTTTATTATATTAATTAATGTGACAGGACTCTTTTTTTTTTTTCTTTTTTCTTTTGTTAGCTTCTCGAAAGCAGCCAAATCAAAAAAAAAAGGAAGCTAAAAAGAAAAAAAAGGACAGAAAAGGAAAGTGAAGAAGCCACAAAATACGAAAAACAAAGAATGGAAAAAATAGAACAAATATTAGGGTAAAGAATAAAAAAATTAATAAATCCACAAAATCCAGAAAGAGCAGAGTAGGGTTAAAAACATAGACAAAAAATAACACGGATCAAAATGGATGAACAAAAAAAAAAAGAACTAGTGAATAATAACATGATCTGCCTATATAGTATGAATATGATAATCAGTACGATTCTTATTGCTATCACTATATTAGACTGTTCTTCATATAGAGTCTAATTTTTGAGACTAATTGACAAACCAACTAACAATTAGGAATCAATAGGAAGTGATACATACCATAAAAGTTTAATTATTATTTCAATAAAGTCAACTAGGTTTGTAACCTGAATTAATTGAAATTTTCTATTAATTATACCAAATACAACTTGAACGTACTTATTATTTGTAGAATCAATATCAGTAATTAAGTGATCTGACTATAATATAGTTATCTGTTCAGTTCTTGTGCACTGTGTATAATATATATAAGTAAAGAGAAAGATGGATGGATAATGATAAATGACTTTTGTAAAAGAAATTGAAGAGGATCAAAAGTTAACAAATTTAAAAGACAAGGAGAGGAAGAAAGAATGTAAAAAAAAAGGCTTGTTGTTATTACATAAAAATCTTTGAATAAACTCAAACATATTGAAAACACACACACAGGGGAAAAAGAAAAAGAAGAAAAAAGAAAAAAGAAAAAAGAAAAAATAAGAAAGAAAGAAGGAAAGAAAGAGAAGCACAGGTAATGCAGAAATGGATGAAAAAAGAAAAGAGAAAAAGAAAGCCTCTTTACATTCAGAAATGTTTATATTAATACAGTCAAATACAAATTTTCATGTATATTTGAATATTTTGCTTATAGAAAAAAAAAATTGAGAAATACATAGAATTTATCTCCCTTTACAACATAAGATGAAGAAAGATGAGTAACACAAAAGCACACAATAGTAACAAGAAAAATAAAAAACGACTAGAATGAAAATTAAGAAACTCTCAGGATCAAAACAGAAACATTTGAAATGTTAGAGTTAAAACATGGTGAAAAGAAAAACCATTCAACGACGTGCTACCCTTCTCATTTATTTATTTATTAAAGTATTTTCAATATGAAAATCAACCTTGGAATCCCTATGTTCTTTTTCACTCTTTTAATAAAATAACATCAACACTTTATCTTTAATCATACTGATTACTTTATATGCATAACAGTTTTTAAATACACCAACATTCATAAATAATCAATATCCTGAAGACAGTTCTAACTACTTTTAATGTATCTAAATACATATATATAAATATACATACATAGATACATTTATCGATAATATAAAGTCTGCACTATTGATTGGATCATCTCTCCCCATTCTAGAAGCTATCCTTCCAAAAGTGGCAAACACACAAAAAGGGAAAGTCTCGACACGAAATGTTTCATAAGAAATGATTCAGCTTCTTTACCCTTTTGCCCTTTTTTTTTTCTTTCTTCCTTTTATATACCCATCCTATATTAAAATCAACTAAAAACAGTAAAAAGATAAAAAGGTGAAAAAAAAGGAAAGAAACAAAAAAATAAGACAATAACAAAGAGGAAATTGTTTATGGGATTGTACCACATTTAATTTATTTATGCTCTATTATTTGAGGAAAAAAAAAAGCCAAAATTTTCTTTTAAATATTAAGGTGATTTGGCGCTTTCTTTTTTAATAATTCTACACCAACCCTAATATCGTAATACGCACACAGCTATGTTAACATGATTTTATTTCCTTTCAAACCCTTAATGTTTTTTTTCCATTTTCTAAATTTTTCCAAAACGGTATCAAAATCAATTTTTACAAAAAAAAAAAAAACCGAAAACAAATCTTCAAAAAATTAAAAAAAAAAAAGATGACGTGTTGTTTTTATTTTTTTTATTTTTAGTTACCATGGAAACTACAGCCGAAAATTTGCCATTGGTTACCATGGCAATGAATATTTTTTGTAAACTATGGGAGTTTTCGCTTTTCAATTTTTTTCATTTTTTTTTTTTTTTCATTTTCTTTCATGTTGTTATCTTTATTTCATTCGGTAAATGTACAGTAAGGCAATTCAATAAAAAAATAGAAAATAACTAAATAAATAAATAAACAAAAAATAAATAATATTCAAATCTATCTGTTTATATAGTATGTACGCTTCACTTTCAAAGTGTTTAACCTCTTATGTGTATTATGTAGTCATAAATTTTTACGTAATAGTCTTTGTAATTGAACAAACATTGTTTTTATCCATTAGCATTGACTTTATATTATATATATAAATATATATAATACCTATGCAAAACAGGGATAAGAACATAGTGTGTATGAAAATATTAGTTTTTGCCTCATTTTATTGAATTTATTATAACACTACTATTCTTTTTAGCTAGTCTTTCTTTCTTTTGTTTTTGCTTTTTGTTTTTTTTTCTTATTTTTTTTTAACTATTGCTTATCTATTGAATGTAATATACCCAATTGTTAGTCAATGCCAATATGAAATCTTTATCAAGATCACATCTTCTAGAAAGCACTGATAACCATTCTAATAATCATATTATTTCTAACTCTAGTATTTCTAATAGATTCTCCTCTTCTTTCTCCTCATCAAATTCTGTCAAAGAAACAAATAAAATTACATTATCATATGATCCTAAAAACAAACTACAAATTTTGAATCAATTTGAAATTATTCGTGAAATTGGTATTGGAACACATAGTAAAGTTAAGTTGGGGTATGATTTGTCGTTGCATAAACCAGTAGCCATCAAGATTATGAATAGGAAAGAACGGAAAAGAAGCCAATTCAAATTTGAACAAAACCTTAAAATTAAACAAGAAATCAATTGCCTGAAATTAATCAGTAAACACAGAAACATTATCCAATTATTTGAAATTTTAGACGATTTTCAGTCCAGAAAGATTTATTTGATTATGGAATATTGTCCTGGCGGTGAAATTAAATGGTGTCCTGAAACTGTTAATGAACTGGATGCATCTGGTCCACCACAATGGTCATTTCAACGGGTTAGAGAAATGGTTAGAGATGTCATATTGGGGCTAGAATATTTACATCATAAAGGTATTATTCATAGAGATATTAAACCAGCAAACTTATTAATTTCAAATAATAATATCGTCAAAATATCAGATTTTAGTATATCTGTTATAATAAACGAATCTCATCAAAATAACTCAAAATACAATATTATATCTTCTCCTTCTACTACTACCACAGCCACTTCCTCTATTCCATCCTCTTCTGCATCGTCATGCCTTTCTGGAACTACCACAACAAATACAGAGGTTGGTTCAAATATAGATTATTTACAACTAATAAAAACAGAGGGAACACCTGCTTTTTTTGCCCCAGAACTCTGTTTAGGGTATGATGCGTGGAATAAGTTTAAGTTGCCAAGCAATGATACCACATCCAATCGTAGTAGCAATACTAATTCTAGTACTAATTCTACCACTAATACGGATAATTATTTTCTATCCACAAAAATTGATGTTTGGGCATTAGGTATTACAACATTCTGTCTTCTCTTTGGCATGCTGCCATTTAAATCTAAATTTGAATTAGAACTCTTCAATAAAATCATTAATGATCCAGTAAAATACCCAGAATATGTAGATCTAATGACAAATAATATATCAGAAATAACATCAATACAAGAATACGAATTAGCAAAAGATTTTATTGAACAATTATTAATCAAAAATCCGTTTAATCGAATATCAGTAACTGAATGTAAAAAACATCCCTTCATTTGTTTTGATTTTAATAATAAAATAATTAATGATTCAAGGACGAAAGATTCCAAACTATTACAAAAATTGAATTTTTTAACAAAACAAGATGAAGAAAACATTGTAACATTAGATAATAATAAGGATGATAATGAAAATAATATTGCACAATTTTGTACCGATACAGATGCTTTTAATAAAGGTCACAAAATTGATTCATTTTTAAATCCAACCAATTCTTTAACAATGACAGAAAACCCTTCTTTAGTTAATATTCATAAACATAAATTACCCACCATTAATCCTATCCCTCCAATAAAGAAATCCATAAAATCCTTAAATAAAAAAACTAGAAATAAAAGAAACAAGTCCAAAGAAACGTTGGATAATAATGAGAATAGTGATAGTACTAATTGTAATAACAATGACAATAACAACAGTAATGAAAATTGTAACAATGATAACTATGATAGTAATAGTAGTAATACAATGGTTAATTTACCGATTAATTCTTCCTTTGCATCGTTAGATAGTTTCTATATCGAAAATTTTGCAATGACAAAACTAATCCAAGAAGACTCCGAAGCTCTTAATTCAAAATTTAAGTCTGCATCTCAACCCATAGTAACTGAACCTATTCCTAATACGAAATCATCTCAGAACGATCTGACAATGCCAAGGAGAAGACGTAAGAGACATTCTAAAAATAAAAAAAATATCGGAAACATCTACAATGATAACAACTCAATTAAAACAAATTCATCAATTAGATTAAATATTCATGATCTTAATTCTCAACCATCTTCAAGAATACCAAGTAATCATAAACTATTACAATCTCCAACTTTTGGTCAAAATTTCTCAAGTTTTTCAAGTAATTTAACATCGTCAAGCAATGGAAGTATTAATAAAGATTTATACAAAGGTAGGGTATCTCCAAACAGCCCATTAAATAGTGATTTATTGCCTAGATCAAAATTTATTGATAGCCAATTGGAATCTCCTATTTCTTCTTTTAACCCCATTTCATTTGACAATAAAAATAAAGAGATAGGTAAACACTCATTCAATAAGGATAATCAGTATAATGAGAAAGATATATTTAATGCTGTTTATAAATCTTCAATCAATAAAAATATCAATTCTCCAATGGGAAATAGTAGATCACCAATAGAATCAGACGTATCATTATCACCTTCTCAACCATCGTATCATATCACATCTACAGATGCAAGCGTTGTATCTTTTAGAAACATGCCTCAATTCTCTGATTTAATACCTTCTGGACCGATCACTCCATTGGAATCATCAAGTTCTGCCATGTCATCGACTTGTTCTTCTTCCACTTTATCTTCATCAATTTCAACATCATCTTCTTATTCAAGTTCTAGTTCAAACCATGATTCGGATTCGGGTGAAGAGTTAATATTAAATATTGGACACTCCGGTCATACAAGGAGACAATTATCTCAACAAGCTCAAAACTTAAATTCTGTAAAAACTAATGACAAAGACCTCGTACGAAAAAATTCTACAATTTCCACACCATCAAGAAAAATTTATTCTAGGAAAGAGTCACCACAATCAACTTCAAATAAAGTATCAGATACAAACAGCATTGATACAGAAAATATCATTAGTGGCAAGTTTATTGGTGGTGATATGGATTCAAGAAAACTTTTAAAGGATGTATTGAATCATAACTCATTTACCAATAACAATAAAGAAAATATGGATAATAAGATATAAAAACCTAATAGCATGCAGCAAATTATAGTTGCTAACTTGTTGAAATATGTGAATACCTTTGGAAAAACCAAAAAGAAGAAGGTGACAAAATCAAAACAAGACATTTTTATAATTAAAAATAAATGAATGGTGCTTGTTGTAAGAATATTAATACTAATCTTGATTACATATATTTATATATTCGTTTAAGTACATATATATTTAAGAATATTAAATTGCATAAAACACAATGAACAGTCCATGTATATAGACTAATCATTAGAAGTCAAATCGACAACAATACAAAAATGATTGTAAGCCAAAAAAAAGTTCTTCTATTCAGATATGCATGGAGATGTAAAAAATATTTGATAACCTAAATGATCGAAAAAAATATTTAACTTTGACTATTTGTCTTGGATCTTAATAATCTTAATCTATTCGTTATACTATCAATATACTTTTGGATGATCATCTTATTCTGATCGTCTAAAATATCATCATTTATACTATCTTCTAAGATTGTTTGCAACATCCAAAGTGATGTCGCATAAGATAATTGACAACAATTCAAAATTTTCCCATTTAATTCCATGGTTGTGGCATTCTTTGAAATTTCTAGTGCTCTATCATATAATAATTTTTCAACATAAACATCTTCAATATCATCGATTGTTAAGTTTTCCTTGCTTAAAGATTCACATAATTTTGTTCTTAATAATTCCGCCTTCTCTAAACATTCATTAAATTTATCTCTAATCCACTGAACTAACAGATTTAATTTTAGTGAACAAAAACTTTCATTGGATTCATACCACCACTTTGAGGTGATTTCCATTGATTTACTTAGTAGTTCCAGTACTTTTACGTATAATGTTATTGCTTCTTTACAAAGAATTCTTGATTCTGAAGTAAGGATTATATTATCCATTAAATGAGAATAATTTCTTTCATATGCATGATTATTATTATTATTGCTATATTCATTTTGATATTCTTGATGTAACTCATTATCCTCACTATTCATTAGTATATTTCCTGTATTAAATCTCTTTGAGGAACTATTCAAATATAAGGGTATTAATTGTTCAAATTTGACTTCTGCATAAGTGTAAACAACGAATGCTTTTGCTGACAATTTTTCCAATTTATTAACAATTACATTATGACTATAATTTTCGATCTCATTATGACCATTATTATTACCATTATTATTATTTTCATCTTTTACATTTAAAAGTATATTATCCTCAATATTTTTAAATAATTCTTCATTGAATATTGAAACATCAACATTTGGGGGATTCAATGGTGGACGTTTATGAAAACATTGTTTGTTGCCAAAAATTCTAGTGGATGCAATACCTAATGCCTTTGATAGAGCGTTTGATGGATTCAAAATATTGATTGAACCTAATCTTTCATTAAATGAAGATCTTCTTGACCTTACTTTATTATTATTATTATTATTATTATTATTATTATTATCTTTAATATCTCTGGGAGTTATTCTATTGTGATCACCATTCTTTATATCCAACTCTGCTAATTCATCAGCCAATTTATTAACTTCAATGGTATTTTTTTCTACAACAACATAATCCTTCTCAAACATTAAATCATTATCGACTTCAATATTATTTTTATTACTGGGAGCCTTTCTTGTAATATTGTTTTGAGACTTTACAATTGAAGAATCATTTGATAGATTCGATTTGATTTTTGAAAATTGGTTAAATGACTTCCTTTGGATAGAATCCTTAATCAAAGTATTTTCGTATGAATTCAAATTAAAATCAGCTGTTTCATAACATGACAGATCCATACTAAGTAACCTGTTATTAAAGAATTCATCAAACGTTATTCTTTCCCTTGGATTGAATGTTAATAACCTGCAGATCAAATTTTTCAAATCATTATTCAGTTGTATGTCAGAGATGTAGTTCGAACTAAAATAATCAGGGAATTGAACCATTTTATTTTTATCTGCGTTCCCATGATTATTATTATTGTTATTATTATTATCTAATGCTAATTTTTTAATCTTTTTATACAATTCCAAATGATTTGACGCTTTAAAAGGTGGATGGCCGGAACCCATCTCAAATAGCACGATACCGAGCGACCATAAGTCTGCCTTTGCATTATATTTCTCATAATTTAAGATTTCTGGTGCCATATAGAGTGGTGATCCACATAAGGTTTCAGCCAATGAATGATTTGGTAAAAACCTAGCGAAACCAAAATCTGCAATTTTCAATATTGGCAAATTGTAGATTCCTATATACCCCATTCTATGAAACTCTTGTGAACCTTTATAATTTATGAAAGGTTTAGTTAATAATAGATTTTGTGGTTTAATATCTCTATGAACCAAATTTTTTGATCTTAAAAATTTCAAAGCAGATGACAATTGTTGCAGATAATTTAAAATCAATGCAATATTCAATCCATTATATTTTGGATTTGGTGATGGATAATATTGAAAAATTTTGGATAAAAAGATATCTCTATCTTTAGTAATACTATATTTACCATAGTCACTCTTATTACTATTATTATTACTATTATTATTATTTCTTTTAATCAAGATAGTTAAATCACCTATGGAACAATATTCCATAATCAAATAAAAATTATTAGAAGTTCTTTGACAATCGATTAAAGATACTATGTGATTATGTTTTATTTTTTTCAAAATAGATATTTCAATTTCTAAATTCTCTAATAATTTCTGATTATTATTTAATTTTGATTTTGGTACAATTTTAATTGCAACTGTATTATTATTGTTGTTATCAACAGCATTATTATCACTGTTTTTATTCTTAGTAAGGTTTTTACTAGTTGTATCATCTGCTATCAGCAAATGCCCTTTATAAACTACAGCAAAAGAACCTTTGCCTATCTCTTCTTCTATAACAAACTGTTCATTAATAACACCTGAACTCTCTTCATATGACATTAGATTGGTTGAGAAGTGAAAAAAAAAAGAAGAGGATATCCGTATATCTGTGTATTTTGTATATTTTATATACTTGTGTATCTTTGTATCTGTGTACCTGTATATATAATATATATATATTTATAATAATCTAATATATTCTGTTTATTTTGGTTTAAACATGATATAATATTAATTATAACAGGATATCAGTTCGAATACCACAAAATACCTGTATCATCAGTGTGTCAACTGCCAAAGATTAAAGAATCTATAAATAACTTGTTTGACTCAAAAAATAAATAATAAAAAAAAAAATAAGTCAAACTCCCTTCTGCTTAGTAATAGTAATTCGTAATCAACGATTCACCTATCTGACAAATTTTTTTGATTGCTTTCTATATTTATTTATTTTTTTTTTTATTTTTTTGTTTTTTGCCTCCGCGGAACAGCCACCCACTGTTTAAAATCTCTTTCGCTTTCCTGTTTCCCCTTTAAAAAGAAAACAAAATCATATGGAACAAAATCGCTGCATCAAAAACCAGCAACAGCAACAGAAACAGAAACAGACGTCATCTCCAAACAAAACTGAAAATGAAACCCCTTTTTTTATCTGCCCATCTGGCCCAACCATCTTTGTACAAATTTAAATGATCTCACACCGAGAGACAACTAACAAAAACAAAAACAAAAAAAAAAAATAAAAACAAAGAAAGTAAAAGAGAGAAAGAGAGAATAAAAAAAAGGAGGTTGAATAAACTGTGAGATAAATTCATTTAAATTACAATAGAAACATACAACTTTAAATATTTCTTATTTCTTGTCTTTTTCTTTCTTTCTAAGCAGTTGGAAACTCCTCTTTTTGAGATATAGCTTTATAAGCAAAAAAGAAAAAGATATGGAAATAGAAAAAAAAATAGCCGCCGATCTTAAAATTAATTTTTTAACTCAAACATAAATACACACACACACACACACACAAGTATATATATACACTCTTATAGAAATTATAACCAGTAATATCCTCCCCTTCACTTCTTATAACAACAAACAAATAATTATCTTGATTATGCTGAGTAATAAAATAATAAACCAATGTTTGGAATGGTTATACAACCAAGAATCACCAGTAATTTTTACATCAAAAGATTTTGAAAAGAAGTATAAAAAAGTGAAATCTTTAAATTCTGCTCAATCTAAAGAAATATTAGATTATTTAATACAAGAGGACCATTTAAATCTGATTAAATGTGGCACAATAAATGTATATTATATCTATATTAATGATAAATACGAATTTAACACAAAGCAATGGTATACCTTATTGGAAAAGAATACAAGTCAAAAGCATCTTCTAATTGAAAAAAGAAAAGAATATGAAAAACTATTAAGGGATAAACAAGAACAAGAACAAGAACAAGAACAAGAACAAGAACAAAAAAATATAATATCAAGAGATGATTTATTGAAAAAATACAAAATATTAACAAATGAATTAAGTCTAAAAGAAAGAGGGTTGAAGAAATTGAATCAACTCTCTAAGAGATGGAATTCTAATTTTATTCAAAATTCTTTAAATAATATAGAAACAATGAAAGAAGATCTGATAAATTTAAAAGAAAACATCGATATTTTAATTGAATATCTATCGAAAACATATAATGTGAATGAAGATGAAATTAAAAAAGAATTTGGCATACCTGAAGAATTTACCGTATTCATATAATAATAAAGATTTATTATTATAGTCAACAGCAGTCTCTATTTTTTATTTTATACATAAAAGTGGAAATGCACTAAAATTACCTTTATTTTATTTTTTTGTGTTTACAAGAAGCAAATAAATCTAGAAAGAAAAAAAAACAAAAGAAAAAAGTATTTTTTTTGTTTTCGCAAAAAACATCTCTAAGAGAAAAAAAAAGCAAAAACAAAATGAAATCAAATGAAAAAAGTTTTCTTGTAGGAACGGAGGACTAAGTATGGTTAAACCTCTCGATTCGATAAATCCATTTTATTTTTACTTATATCAATTACTGGTACTAACTATATTTCAGAGATACAGAAATCGATATACACATTATAAAAACTTTATATATAGCTAAGACAGATCGTTTCCTTCTTTATTTTCTATTGTTTTTATTTTTTTGAAATAATGACTGCAAGTTATAATATCTTATTCATTCAAGAACCTTCGTATAGTTCGTCTGAATGGACTAATTTAGCTAATGATCCAAATTTTAATATAATTAAACATATTTTAATTCCAAATGTTTCAACAACAGAAAGTTTTGTCAATTTTTTACAAAAATGTGAAAATAATAATAAACCTATTCATGCAATCTTTGGTGGATTCCCTGCATTTTACCCAATCAGTGGTTTAACAGAAAATATCATTGATTTACCCGTATTTTACAACAATGTTAAATGTATTGCTTTATGTTCGAGAGGAGTTAATTTTATTGATGTTGCTTGTTTAAATAAACACAACATTAAACTATTCCATTATGATGAATCATCTACTCCTGCTTCCTTACAAAAATTTCAATTAAATCAAGTTAGCAATGATGTTGCAGATTGTGCCATGTGGCATGTCCTTGAAGGTTATAGAAAATTTTCTTCATTTATGAAGGAATTAATAGCAACAAATCACACAATAAAGGCTCGTCAAAATCTCATCCTTAAAAATGATAACGATTGCCAATTGGATAAATTTGTCTTTGGTCATGAACTGTCAATTAAGAAGGGCAAATATATAACTTCTCCAAGAGATCAAAAAGTTTTAATTATGGGGATGGGATCGATTGGTATTAAGATTGCTGAGAAGTTACATTACGGTCTTGGAATGGAGGTTCATTACACAAGAAGAACACCCTTTAAAAAAACAGATGATTCAATAAATGATCAATGGATATACCATCCGATGTCTGCATTATATGATGATTTATATCAATTCGATACTATTGTTGTTTCATTACCAGGTACTCCAGAAACTAATCACCTAATTAATTCAGAATTTTTGAAATGCTGTAAAAAGGAAGATCTAATATTAGTGAATACTGGTAGAGCAACAGTCTTTGATATGGCTGCTATTGAAGAATCGATACAAACAGGACAAATTAGACATATTGGTATGGATGTTTTTACCAAAGAGCCCACAGTTGACGACATTTTATTGAACGAAGATTATCTACATTTAGTGACAGTAACACCACATATTGGAAGCGGTACAGAACAAGTCTTTGATCAAAGCACAAATTTGGCTATTTTTCAACTAAAAAATTATCTAATCAATTTTAACCAATAGTGAACAACGTTTCAACAACTTCCAAGAAAAGAAAGATCAAAGGAACACTGTCATGACCAGAAATAGGAATAGAACCAATGGCTCAATACATATGTATTATATATGTGCTGATCTTATCTTTATAAATAAATAATGGAAATATCGAAATCTTATATGGCTCCACATTCCAACTGTTGACTCTGTCTTTTTTTCTTCGTGATTGTCTGATATCTGACTCTGTCTCAGATTGCAGTAACGTTTCTTATTTCTAGTACCATTTGAAACCCTATATTGTAAGAAATTCATAAACATAAAAATAAAGAATAATAAAAATATACCCTCATAGAAAAAAATAAATCAGTGGAAGATGGATTTACACAAAATTAACCTAAAGAAACAACTTCACAAATCAACCTAAATAGTCAATAATATTGAATATATCCTAATATGCATTAATTAAACATTTACGACCACATAAACAAATTATAATGAGATATGAACCACAAAATACAAAAAAAAATTCTTGGTATTTTTTTAGTGATAGAACATATGTTGTACAATAAATATATTTTATTAATGATATCCAAAATTTACAAGATAAGCAAATCAAAGCTTAAAAGACCAAACATTTCAAAAAAATTATGAACCCTAGTTTAATCAAAAATATATGAGAGTATTGAAAAACAGATAGATGCAAAACCTAAGTCTTTTATTTTATCAAAGAAATTAGGTGTTGTACATAAAAGGATGTTAGATCACGTGAAAGTAGTGAACGATATTGCCGTTCCTAGACTCCATCGCTTAAGATTTCCTATGAAAAAATACTCTTTTTAGTTTGAAATTCTGATATGTCTAAAAAAAAAAAAGAAAATGCCTTCGAAAAAAATGAGGGGAGTAAGAAAAAATAATGATAAGAAAAGAATGTATTAGTCATCAAAGGAGATGATTAATAGATTAAAGAAGAAAGATCGAAACAGGAAAGCATTTAACTAACTACGGTAATCTATATAGATACATGTATTTATAAATCTTGTTTTATTGTGGCATATATTTAAAAGGAAGAGAACAGGAAATAATTGTATGATCTTTTTATCTTCTTCACACCATATTTATTATTCGTATGATTATCTAATAAACTTACATAAGCCAGGAGGATATATACCTTTTTTAAAAACGGTAAAGAAATGGAAAAAAATAAAGTGATTATTGGTAATGGTAATATAGAGGATATTATTACTTTTGAATCTACTACCTCTACTACTAACCCACAAAACAATAATAACAGTAGATCTAGATTTCCTACTAGTAAATGGTTACAATTCCTGAAAACAATTTCCAAGAAAATTGATGAATTGGGTGTGGAGACTACAGGTATTAATAGAGTGCCACCATATCAGAGGGGTACCCTTGCTAACCAATGTAGACAAGTGGCAGGCTATTGGGTCGCCGCCACAGGAGGTCTTTCATCAATGTCCTCGTACCTTTTAGGTCCCCTAGTCTTTGATTTAACTTTTAAACAAACGATGACATCTGGTTTAGTTTCAATGATTATTGGTTGTCTTGTTGCTGCTTATTGCTCTACTATGGGTCCACAATCAGGCTGTAGACAAATGGTTACTGCTAGATATTTATTTGGTTGGTGGCTGGTTAAATTGGTCGCATTAGCATCGATTTTGGGTGTTCTCGGTTGGTCTGTTGTTAACTCTGTTGTTGGTGGTGAGATGTTAGCAGCCATATCAAACGATAAGATTCCAATTTCTGTTGGTATTATCATTGTTTCTATACTTTCATTCATTGTTGCTGTTTTTGGTATTAAACAAGTTTTAAGGGTGGAAACCTTAATATCTATACCTGTTATTTTAACGTTTATGTTATTGTACATCTCATCAAGTGATAAATACCATTACATTTATGATTTTGATAATAGTAGTATACTGAATCATCAAACTTTAAAAGGTAACTGGCTATCATTTTTTTCACTTTGCTACTCGATCACTTCTACATGGGGTTCGATTGCTAGTGACTACTCTATTTTATTTCCAGAGGATACTCCAAAGACACTAGTATTCTGTCTTACATTTTTTGGTACAGCCATCCCAACACTATTTGTGGGTATCCTTGGTATAATATTATCATCTATTGCTATGTCATATAAACCATGGTTGGATGAATATGATACACATGGTATGGGTGGTTTACTTTGGATGGGGTTTGAGCGTTGGAAGGGATTCGGTAAATTTTGTGTTGTTATTTTAATTCTTTCTTTGGTATCAAATAACATCATTAATACTTATAGTGGTGCCTTTTCAATTCAGTTATCATCTTTATGGGCTGCAAGAATACCCCGTTGGTTCTGGTGTATTGTAAATACAGGCATTTGCTTAGTTTGTGCCCTTGTTGGTAGAAACCATTTTTCCACTATTCTAGGTAATTTCCTACCGATGATCGGGTATTGGATTAGTATGTATTTCATTTTATTATTAGAAGAAAATGAAATCTTTAGAAGATACTTTTTACATCTATATACAAAGGAATTTCCACCAGTTACAGATAAAGAACAGGAAGATAATGATACTGGATCTATTGAGAGATATAAGGACGCCTATACAAATGCTTCTAAATATTATAATATAACTACTTCTGCCACCACCAATACTACTAGTATTACAAGAAATAGAAAGTTTTTTAATAATATCCATTTGTTAAAAAGTAGACAACAACGTAGAAAGATTAGATACAATTGGGATAAATGGGAAGATTACAATGTATTAACACATGGATATGCGGCTACATTTGCATTTGTATGTGGCATTTCTGGTGTTGTTATTGGTATGGCACAAGTATATTGGATTGGTCCAGTAGCAAGAAAATTAGGTGATCATGGTGGTGATGTTGCTATGTGGCTTTCAATGGGTATATCTGGGTTAGTTTTCCCAATTTGCCGTTATTTAGAATTGCGTTACTTTGGTAGATAAGTTAAAAAGGTAAATTAAAACTTTGGTCGAACCAGATTAATAGATATTTAGTGTATTATGACACCATTGATAAATAAACTACATGATGTGTAAGTTGTTTTATATATTCTATGTTTTAATATCCTTTCCGCTTTGTTCCCACTTTTATAATGCAAGATACTTTTCCAGAATGATAAAACAAGAGCAGAAGTAGCCCTTAATATGTTCTAAGCTAGACCTAAAAAAAATAATATATAACTGCACAAAACCCTATAAACTATTTAGGGTTTCATATTTTTTTAACAAAATGGTTCTTTTTTCGAAGGATTTGATTTTCTTTGAAGTCTAAAGAAAATTAGGAAAAATGCAAAGAAAATCAAACCAATCAAAAGTCGTTAGAAAATTTCACAAATCATTAATAACTTAATTTTTTTTCTTTTTTTTGTTTTCGTTTTCGTTTTATTTTTCTTCCCTGGAGTAGAAAACAAAATATTTCCAGTAATTTCCGTTAAGTGCAGAGTATCCTTGTTCTGTTCTTCTTTGTTATAATGTATGTATCTTTGAAAAACATCTCCCTTTCTCTATTCACAGCGTATTATACATATATAAATATTTGTATAGGAAAACGTTATGTATATTTACAATCTTATGAGAGGTTAAAACTGCTGGAGATTTGTTTGTCCTACTCGAACCTTTCTCGAGCGTATTTTCAGGGACTAAGCTTAAGTGTGTTTCATTCTATTATCAAGTTGCTTTTATCATTTAGCATGTTTTTAAAGTCACATCTTATACTTTTTAGTTTTTTTTCATTTCCATATTTTCTTGTAACACATAGGTGTTTGTAATCATATCCCCTCTTTGATTTTATGGTAGCTTACATCAAGTTATAAACAGCGTTTAAGTACATACATTCTTCTCACTTCCGTTAACTTTTAAGATTTATCCAAAGATCAGCTTCTTGACTCGCGAAGAAAAAGGGGGAGGAAAACTGTAATATAAAAAAAGAGTGACGTAAAATATTCTATCAGTTTTACATATCTATCAATTATTTAAGGAAAAAAGGAATATAAAATAAGGATAAACGAAAAAATTAATATTCATCATGATACAATCTAGATTATCTCTGGCATTATTCAGAACTTCTTTACGTTCTATATTGGTACCAAGACAACAATCTGCAAGATTATTATCCTATTCCAGGATATCATTCAACAGCGCCAGTAAGTCTACTACTCCAGACAAAGTACCTACGGCAACAAAATTATCGGAAGTTAATGGTCCAGAAACTTTAATTGGTCCAGGTGCCAAGGAAGGTACCATTCCTTCTGATCTAGAACAGGCTACAGGTTTGGAAAGATTAGAGTTATTGGGTAACTTAGAGGGTATTGAAGTCTTTGATACAAAGCCATTAGATTCTTCAAGACGTGGTACAATGGACGACCCAATCATTGTTGATTCTTACGATGATTACAGATACGTTGGATGTACTGGTTCTCCAGCTGGTTCCCATACTGTTATGTGGTTAAAGCCAACTGTTGATCAAGTAGCTCGTTGTTGGGAGTGCGGTTCTGTTTACAAAATTAATCCAGTTGGTGTTCAAAAACCACATGGTCATGAACATGAAGATAAGATAAGTGTTCCTTAAGGTAGAGAAAAAGAACACAATTTTGAATTCTATTTTTATATTTTTTCAGTCATCATAAAGTTAAACCATTAATATTACTATTATTATTTATTATTATTATCATAATTTAATTATTCTTTATCATTTTGTTTAATTGGATCTTACTTTATTTTTTTTTTTTTTTTGAATGCTCTATTTTTTATTTTATTTCATACTTTAAATTATTTATTCTTATTTGTCTGTATGCATATATATAATATATATGTTTATGTATGTCAAAATATATGCCATAATATATTTTTGCCTGTTTATCTGAATCATTCCAAGTATCTCTTCCTCCACTGAACTCAATACAGAAGGATCCAAGATGAGCCAATTACATATGAAATATCAGTAAGAAACAAACCAGGAAAAAAAATAAGAAGAAAAACAGTACAATATATTGCACCCTAAATAAAAGAGAATCATTTTTTGAAAACGGTAACTATTCTTTAGCACAACCCTATATTTAAATTGGAAAAACCCGGAAAACTATTTAAATCTTTCAAACATCCATACCCCTCAATACATGAAAGCCTTTTTTTTCCCTACTCGCCCCTTTTTTTACCCCTCTCCCTTAATGCAATATATTATAACTCGTATCAAATGAGGTAGAGAAGGGATAAAAACAAACAAAAAAAAAAAAACACGAAAGAGTCAAATAAAGTGAATTGAAGTCAATTGGATTAAATAGCTGAATTATTAAATATATTTTATTGTAGTATGCTCAGAGGCAAAATACTTTCCACATATCCAATATTTTTATCTTTTCATCCTTACTAAACAACTTATAGAATAAAGTTCAGATCTATAATAGATAATAGGTAATATATATTTATATATTTATCTATACACGAAGAATAAATCCTTTTTTTTTTAAAGTAAAATCCTGCCTTTAATACTAGTGGAATGAGAACAAGTAAGAAGAAAACCTCTTTAAATAATAATATTAATAAAAGAATGAAAAGTAATTATAATAGAAATAATGGTGATGATATAGATATAGACATGGATATAGACAATGAAAGTGACAACAACAATAATAATAGTAATAGTAACAGAAGTGAGGATATTATGATAGACAATGAAAGTTATGATTTTAAGTTTAGCCAATGTTTTGGTGATAAAACAGATATTGTAGTAACTGAAGCAGATATTATCACAGCTGTTGAATTTAATCATACAGGTGATTACTTAGCTACTGGTGATAAAGGTGGTAGAGTTGTCTTATTTCAAAGAAACCATAATGTAAATACTTCTTCATCATCCAATTATACTTCTACTGTGACTGCTGTTTCGAAACATGCAGACCATAATAGTAGCAACAATTGTGAATATAAATTTTTGACAGAATTTCAATCACATGACGCCGAGTTTGATTATCTAAAGTCTTTAGAGATTGAAGAAAAAATTAATCAAATTAAATGGTTAAAACCTATACAAAAATCCCATTTTTTACTATCTACTAATGACAAAACAATTAAATTATGGAAGATCTACGAAAAGAATATCAAATTAGTTTCACAAAATAACAACATTAGTAATAATAATAATCTTTTATCAATAGATCATGGTACCAAACATGCACAATCTGTAATATTATCTTTAGAAAATTTAAAATTACCCAAATTATCAAAACATGATACCATAATTGCTGCTACACCGAAAAAAATATACAGTAATGCACATACTTATCACATCAATTCAATTTCTACAAATAGTGATCAAGAAACATTTTTATCGGCTGATGACTTAAGAATTAATCTGTGGAATCTAAGTATACCAAACCAATCGTTCAATATTGTAGATATTAAACCAACTAATATGGAAGAATTGACTGAAGTTATTACTTGTGCAGAGTTCCATCCAATTAATTGTAATTATTTCATGTATTCTTCTTCTAAAGGTACAGTGAAATTATGTGATATGAGAATCAATTCTCTGTGTGACAATTTTTCCTCAACTTCCTCAAACTCAAACACAAAAATCTTCGAAGAATATATCGATCCAATTAATCATAATTTTTTCACAGAGATCACGTCGTCTATATCTGATATAAAATTTAGTCCCAATGGTAGATACATAGTATCGAGAGATTATTTAACAGTAAAAATCTGGGATATTAATATGAATAACAAACCATTGAAAACTATAAACGTTCATGACCAACTAAAAGAAAGATTGAGTGACACATATGAGAACGATGCAATTTTTGATAAATTCGAAGCCAATTTCAACGGTAAGAGTAATTCGATAATTACTGGTACCTATAATAGTCAATTTATGATATATCCAAACGTTTTAGATCCATCATCACATGAGAAGCATAATAATACTAATAATAATGGTAATGGTACATCCAACGAAATCGTACTACAAGCAGATAAAACAGCATTTAGAAACAAATCATACTATAATAAGTCATCTTATAACAATGTAGTTAAAGAATGGGGTGATGATATAGATTTTAAGAAATCTATATTACATTTCTCGTGGCATCCAAGAGAAAATTCGATTGCTGTTGCAGCAACCAATAACCTTTTTATATTTTCTGCATTGTGAGAGTATATATATATATATACTAGTAATATCTAATCCTTTAATATATTTATTGATTTTATGTTATTATCTTCTTGTTCATAGTAAAATATACTTGGTCTATCTTGTGTTATTAAATACAAGACTATAAATGGATAAAAGAGATGAGAAAAAAATTGAATTATTAAATGTAGTATCGTACATATTCATATATATGATTATAGAAAATAATAAAAAGAAGCAGGGAAAAAAGAATATACATAACATCAGTATTATCAAAAAATTGCAGAATTACAAAAATCGAATAAAGATAAAAGAGAAAAGGATAGAGAGGTATAATAATAAGATAATAAGACAAAAAAAATGTTATCTCCGATTATAGTAACTTTATTTTTTTTATTTTATTCTATTTATTTTTTTGTTTAAACATTTCAAGGAATCTAATCATCACGGGTAATATGTCTGTTAACCACTGGATTCCAGAACAAACTCTTGTCACCATCACCCCAAAAGAATGGTTTTTGCCTCATGTTCATAAATTCGTAATCTCTTGGCCAATCTTCATCGGGAACATGTTTTAAATGTTCTCTGTGTTTAGCATGCTCAACTTCCACGTTATAGACATGGTATGCGGTCAAGAGAATAGTAGGCAAAGCGACAAACATGGAAATTTTAAACCATAAATTTGTGGTGGAGCTAGCATGAGATTCAGTAGCTTGTAAAGATTCTCTAAATTTCTTAGCAGCAGCTAAATCTGGTTCACCAAAGGCTGATTTCATTAAATTTGGATTAACTTTTGTACTGTTAAATCTTAGAGATCTGAATAATAGCCCTTGTGTTGGGGTTGTTAATCTAATTAATCTGGAAGTATTCATTTTTTTTTTATGTTAGAATTATTGTTGTATGATTTGAGGATATGCTTGTGTATGTATTTGGTTGTACTTTGTCTGCTTGTATCTAGAAATAAAAATAGAATCGCTAAATGACTTTCTATTTACCGAGTCTGTGTATATATAAATATAGGTATATCGTAAAATTGCAAGAGCAATATAAAGAACCTATCCTTCAATACAATTAACATATCACACAGCAAGACAAAGAGAAAATAAAAGAATAAAACAAAAACTTGGATATGATGACAAAGTAATGGCAAGGAACTGGAAAATCTAAAAATTCGGTAGTTTTACAAGAAACAGATAAGAAACGTAACCTGGGAAAACAAGAAATGCAAGGAAAAAACAAAAAAGAAAAAGCCAAAGCTTCGAGCATATCAAGTCGACAACTGGAATGGTTAATAACTACCCGCAGACACACTACAGCACAGAATTTATAACCTCATCTCTGGCTCTAGTAGATACACAATGTAATATTTATATCTTGTTTGAAAATCGGATGCCTATATTCTGGTCAGTATAAAATTCTTGACAATCCCTCTCTCTCTGTTCCACACTTGCAATAATAAAATGCAATGTCTCTCCATAATAGTAATAATAGTAGTAATAGAAATTTGTTGATTGTCCGAATCCTCCCTGCCCCCATCTTTTTATTTTTATTTTGATTTTTTGTTTAATTTCTCTCTCTCCCCCCTTCGACAAGTGCCACTACAACTGAGGAAATATGTATATATGAATATAAATATAATACATCTATGAGTGATGAGGAAAAAGGGAGTTGATGGACTTAACGGAGCAAATCGAAATTGTTCTTTCCTATTGGCTCATTGCACTAAAAATGTAAAAAAAAAAAACTAAAAAAAAATAAAAAGAAAAAAGCAATATGACAAGCAAACAGAACAGGTAGTCGTATTATGTGATATTACGTGTGCCTGTTAATTCGAAACAGTTTTAGTATGTTCAAGGACAATCAGCTTCAAGATAATTACTCCAACTATTTTCTGCTTTACCATTCCAAGAGCAAACAGAGTTTTTAGGGTTACACTAATCTATTTGTAAAACTTTCTTTTGCTTATTTAAGTTTATAAAGGGTTGTCCACAGAATTTCTGGAGTCCATCTCTTCACCTTTTTCCGTTGTTGTGCTTACTTCACGATGTGCTGTTGGGTTTGTTAGTAATAATTTCCAGTTTGATATTTATTAATTCATTGCAAGTTAGAAATATTAGTAATGAAAGTAAAATCATTATACAGCAGCAAAGCGCCATTCTAATTCATTTATTGTATAGTTTCTATTTTCATTAATATTATGAGAAAGAAATTCTAAATTATATCCATATAATTATATATAAGTTTATATATGTATTGCTTGGTGTGTGGTAATTATTAGGACACCTAACGTAAAAAAAGTATGTTGTTGAACATAATGGAGATTAACGGGGACAATATTGGAGCCAAAATATCAATCTCAGTAATTCAAATGATATTATATCCTCTTATTCTTAAACGAGGTTACTATGCGACGTAGAGGATAGTAAAAAAAAAAAAAGAGAGAGAAATAAAAGGAAAGGAGCAATAATAAATATATCTTCTAATATAAAACAAAAAAATAATTCTAGCATGAACCTCAAAAATGAACTTTCTTGTTAGATAATACAATAAAACAAACAAACAAATAAATAAATAAATATAAGCAATAGTAAAAGTTTTAATAATAGCAATAGGAAGATCTTGATGTACAAAATAAATATCATCGTTTTTCTTTTTTTTTTTTTCTGTATGTAAGTACGTAATTCTTTTTTTATTTTGTTATGAGACTAATTGATAATATAGAGAATCATCCATTATTTAGAATTACATCCTGATTCCCAAATATTATTCTTATTTCTACCTCTCTCTCTTCTCTCTTTCTTTATACATAATTATTTCTTTAGCAATTGCACCTATTAAGGAAGAAACAGCAAGTATAGAGGGGTTTATCATAAAATAACAAATAATGTTATGATATTGTTGCTGCTGCTGTTGTTGATTTAATCCATTTTTCATACTTTTTTCTGACATCCATTTCGTGTATACATGTTCCAGTTAATTGATTGCCCACAGTAAACCAACCAGGTCTGATATTGTGATCTCTACCAAATATCTCTAACTTACGTGCATGTTGCCCAACCAATCTTTCAATTATCCCATACAACTCATCTGGTTTCCTACTTGTCTCTCTTGTAGTGGATACGATTATATCTATATCAATATGCTTGTTTAACCATTGTGGATTGCCTTTGACCCCAACCAACAGATGTTCCTTTGAATGGTTTAACCAATGGCCCGTTCTACCAGTAACTATAGTCCTGCCTAATTGATTTGTCTTAATCCATGATACTTCATTGATCACTTCATATCCCCATTTACTTAAGGATTCTTTGCCTAACTCAATAGCACGTCCAGTGACCCAAAGAAATAAGATCCCTTCAATCTGCAGTTCACCCAATGGCAATTCCAATAATTCGATATCGTTACAGGTACCATATGGTAAATTCATATGGATATTCCATGCTGGGTCTGCTATCACTGCAGAAAATTTCCCTAAGATGGTAAAATCGAAGTTTCTAACGTCACAACGAATCCACTGCGGAGGAAGAAGTAATTTATTTGAATATGCACAACACAAACCATGCGTATAGAACATTAAATTGTTAATTTCTCTAGAATTATAGATTTTTGATTGTTTTTCAACGGACTCGTTTAGTGTTTCTGGGATATATTGTAAATAATGTAGGTATCGACAAGAATTCAATTTATGACATGTATCCAAATATGAGCAATCACCCAAGGACAGATCGGTCTGTGGTTTCAGATTCGGAATATAGTGAATATGCGTTTGGATACATTGAAGGAATATATGATGCTTATTTTGTTGGCTGACTTTATTGAATTTATTCAACTTAGACCATTGGATAGAGACAATTTTATTGTTGGAAATATAGACGCATTGGGAGAGTAAATGAGAATGTTCTCTATTGTGGCAGATTGGGAAATATTTAAATTTCTCGACAGAATGTCTGGCACGTTCTTTATTTAACAGATATGAAATAGGTTCTTCTTTTAAAATTCTTTCTAATCTAGAGTATAAATTTTTCTTCAAAGGGACTTCAAATAACAACATGTCATGAGCCTCATCACAATGAGTCTCAGGATCCATGCAATTTTCATTACCATTTAGAAGTTTTAATAAATTATCTGTTAAAGATATAGAGGTGGGCCCATAATCAGTCGCCTTTTCTTTATGCTTTTCTTTATGCTTTTGTTTCTGTTTCTGTTTCTCTCTGTTAGTGTTAGTTAACATATCATATAAAATCTTTAAAGAAAATGTATCAATATGACTTACTACACTTTTATTCTTATCATATTGAACTAATAAAGGGTCTGTCAACGTGATTGCGTTATTTGTCAATCTATTAATTTCATGTATTATCCCAACAAACGTTTCAAAAGTTAAGTGATCGTAGCTGCAGTTACCATCACTCGCTAATGTATAATTTGAATTCAATTCTTTTTCAAATATCAAAAAAATATCTTTTAATTGACCAGATAACGGAGGTCTAATTAATTGAACGTTATAATCTAACAAAAACTTAAGGATGGTAATATCAATTTTTTGCATCTTGATTATATTTTATCTGTGATAAATCATCTATGGATACTTCTATGAAATGTTCACTAAATTGATCGAGAAATGCTGGTGTTGCTATACAAATATAGATTAATTTATTCAAAGGTCAACTACGGTGTACATCCAGTTACCCATTTGTTCGTTTATCAATCTGTTTATCTGTAGAATCCTTTAGTGTAAAATTGTTGAAGACATTGTATGTGTGTATCTTTACGTTGATACAGAGTTAAGGTTTTCCAAACAAAATATCGAAACAAAGAAGGAAAGAAAGAATGAGAGAAAGAGAAGAAGAAAGATCGATGTAAAGAGTGGATGGTGGCAAGTAAAAGCAGCAAAAGTAAATATATACTTGGCAGTAGAAAATTGGATCTACCGTAGATGGCTACTCTGTACATGTGGATGGGATGTATCCTAAAATAATTTACTGTTTATAGAGGGTGAAAGATATAAAGTTACCGATAAAGTCATCATTATATATTTCCAGCCCAAAAATCTACAGTGAATAGACTATAAATACGGTTAGTAATTTGTTTATCAGCAAGATCTGATAGTTGTTGCACATATTACAAAAGTAAAAAGTACCACAATGACTATTTTTAATACGGCTATTGCTACTGCTGCTATTACTAGTACCTGGAATGTTTCATAATTGCATCATATAATATTGTGCAAATACATATATATATATATATAATTATATATATATGTATTTATTTTTTATTTGAAAGGTAGAAAAGAAAACATTGAAACAAAACAACGCTTGCAGTTTACTAAGGTTCATACATATATGTTCACTACTTCTCGTAGCTGTGATGTATGCAATATAAAGACAAAAAAGACGACACAGATCTGAAACAAATCTCACTGCGAGGCATGCGGTTATAGACAGTCTAACAGAGGACAATTAAGGTTATGCTATCTGATAAAACAGGGAACGCTGATGCCACATCACACCAACAACCCATCCTGATAAACCAGGTCAGTTGTTTTTACAGGAGAAACAGAGTTGAGGAGTTACTGATAGATTTCAACACTACCGATTGATTGAATTGAACGAAATTGAATTAAGTTGAATTGATCTTTGTTTTCTTTTCTTTTTTCTTTTTTTTTTTTTTCTGTCTACTGCCGAATTTCTGGGTGTTTGGGTGTTAATGCTACAAAAGGGAAAAAAAATTTAAAATAAAAAAAGGAAAACGTTCTAGTGAATGCTCGAAACTTACGGACAAGACTTCATTTATACCTACTGATGATACCACGATCGAAATAGTTTTACACAGGTAGTATGTTCTAAGAAGTCCTCATGAAGTAGCCTCCTCTTTGCATTTATTACTATCATATGACGAGAAATTAAAAGTACTTTTACCATATTTTTCTTTTTCCTTTATTTTTTTTCTATTTTATTTCTGAAAGAGAATAAGAATAAGTGATTTTAAAAAGAATATGTGCGATTCGTTATAGTGCGTTTCATTCAATATATAACAAAAGAAACAGAAACAGAAGCAGAAGAAGAAGAAGAAGAAGAAGAAGAAGAAGAAGAAGAAGCAGAAGCAAATATATATATATATATACATATATTTAATTGATAAATTACAAATTATGACAGAATCTTATACCTTCTCCTATGATGAAAAGACAAAACTATCACAACCCATCTTTGAGTGGGAGCTCGGTAGTTCATATACACCTAGAGTTTCATTCCATTTTAATCCAAAAGTGTCAAACTACCACTACGGTGTAAAGCACCCAATGAAACCATTTCGACTCATGTTGACTGATCATTTAATTTCTGGTTATGGTCTTCATAAAATAATGGATCTATATGAGACAAGAGAAGCAACAAGAGATGAATTACTACAGTTTCATTCAGAAGATTATATCAATTTTTTGTCGAAAGTGACTCCAAATAACATTAACAAGATGCCAAGGGGAACTTTGGAAAAATTTAATATCGGTGATGATTGTCCTATTTTCCAAAACTTATTCGAATATAGTTCTCTATATACTGGTGCCTCCCTGGATGCTACTAGAAAACTTATCAATAATCAATCGGATATCGCTATCAATTGGTCTGGTGGCTTGCATCATGCAAAGAAGAATAATCCATCTGGGTTCTGTTACACAAATGACATCGTTTTGTCTATCTTGAATCTTTTAAGATACCATCCAAGAGTCCTTTATATCGATATCGACCTGCATCATGGAGATGGTGTGCAAGAAGCATTTTATACTACAGATAGAGTCTTTACAATCTCTTTCCACAAATATAATGGTGAGTTTTTCCCTGGGACAGGTGATATCGATGAGATCGGGTACAGTAATGGTAAGCATTTTGCGTTAAACGTCCCATTGGAAGACGGAATAGATGATGATTCCTATATCAACCTGTTCAAGTCCATCATTGACCCGTTAATCACATCTTATAAGCCTACCGTAATCATCCAACAATGTGGGGCAGATTCCCTGGGTCATGATCGTCTTGGTTGTTTCAATTTAAATATTAAAGCCCATGGTGAATGTGTCAAATTTGTTAAGTCGTTCGGCATCCCCATGTTGGTTGTAGGTGGAGGTGGTTACACACCGAGAAATGTGTCTCGTCTTTGGACTTATGAGACGGGGATTTTAAATGATGTGTTGTTACCAAAGGAATTGCCAGATTCCATTCCGTTTAGAGATTTTTTTGGCCCAGACTATTCCTTATATCCAGTATTGGATGATCTATACGAAAATAAAAACAGTAAGAAATATTTAGAAGATGTCAGAATACGATGTTTGGAGAATATTCGATATTTACAAGGTGCACCTAGTGTTAGATGTGATGCAGATTTAATCCCGACAGAGAATATCAACGCTCTAACAGAAGAAGAAGAAGAGATTATTAGGGAATTGAATGAAGAACAAGATGATACAGAGGATAGTTCTGGTCCTTCTTGGAGGTTGCAACAAATTGAAAAGGAAAATAATAGGATCGCTGAATTCTTATAAGCATCTATTAATTCATCAGACATATATTGTATATGTATCCCACTCTACATTTTTTATAGATATAAAATATATTGAGACAAATTACATATAATAAAATACTAAATATTCATAATCTCATAGTTTGTTGTGCTAAACAAGAAACTTATTGTCATAATTATAGTTAATAGAATTATATACATTGATATGAATACAGATTAGCATATTTCACTGATGATTTCGCTTGTTCTTTTTTTACTTATTTTTTTGTTTCTACCATGCACTTTATCTTCTTTTTTTTATAATTTTCCTCCAACTGATTAGAAGCGGAAGTAACCATAAATATGTGGGATATTTAAAAAAATGGGTTATATAAACATATATATAGTTTAAGCAAGACTCAAGGTAGCCCAACAAGCAAAGCAAAAGCACATCTCTTCATAACTTTATCTATTCATCCATTCCTTTTTTTTTTTTTTTGCCTTCTTCAAATAATCACATTACATTAAGAAGTAACAATATGTCTAGTTCTAATACTAATATTTTGCAGTATATCTTAAAATGGCAACTAATAATCTTATTCTTTAGTATAGCATTGAAATTATTAAATAAATATTATTTAGAAAATGTTGTGTTTTATATACTAGATTACCCAGGTGATGAAGTAAAAGAATTGTTATGGTGGCAAAGGTGGACTACTATGGAAAGACTTGGTTGGTCAATTATAGATTACATTGAGAAAAGACAATTACAGTCAAATATATAGAAGAAAATTTGGTATTTTTCAATTGCAGAAGAAAGAGAAGAACAAAAATAACAATTTTTTACATACATGCATTCATAAATACTTTTCTGCTTACATACCATCTTCATGATGCAGATCAATATTGATATAAAGGATCTTTGTATGGTATCTTAAAAGATTCAAGATAGAAAGAACAATGTAATTTGTATAACAGAGTCCAGATGGATTGTTCTTCTTTGTGTTTCATGACCATTTATTTACTTTTAATATACTACTATATACTTGTTGTGTTTAATATACATATATAGTTTTCATATATATTTTGCTTTCAAACCTAAAGATCAGATTTTATTTCTACATTGCCAACTGCCCAGATTTCATTTTCATCTTCGAATCTGTCACTGTACATAGCCTCTGCATCACCACCGGCAGCAATCCTCTCTCTTTCAACATTGGCTAATCTTTTACCAACTCTTTTTGTGTAATCACCTATAGATCTGACTTGAACTATAGTCCCTACGATGTTATCAAGACTTGTTTTGCCATCGGATATCTTGTTGAACCATTCTGTAAATTCTTTCATATCAATATCTTCAATCAATTGGAAAATAGCTAAGTATGCTTTTTCAGCTGCCAACTTGATTGGAATTATAGGATCACGTAAACATGAAAACACAGATAAACCTAATGTATCAAGGTATGGCTTTATACATTCATTCAATTTATACCTTGCTGTTGTTCTAATCACAACCAAAGAGAGTCTTCTCACATCATTAGAGTTACTAACAGGTTTCAATGTAGCAACAGATAAGGTGTCAATGATCTTTTTGATTTGTTCTTCATTTAACCCAAATTTACTTTCATTTTTAACCTTCGAATATGGTGATTTAGATTCACCAATTAATAACAGTAACTTACCTGCAGCAATTACACCATGTTCACTTAATTCAATATCAGGTGAATTGATAGCACTTAATATATAATTGACAAATTGTTGGAGTAAATCTTCTTGGAAAATATGATTTGGTGCATCTTTTAAGAATGAATTCAAAACTAAAATTGCAAATTTACCAGATTTACCATCTAATGGGACAGATAATACCTTCTCTTGTAGGATCTTGCGAGCCTCATCAGAAGATAGAATTTCAGATAACGAACCAATTAGTTTAGCATATGCAATGGCTAATTTATCATTACTTGATAACATTTGTTCTTCAACAAGGTTAATAATATTAGTTTTGGAAGCTTCAGTTAATTTAGAGCCAGCTTTTGTAACTACTTCCAATAAGGCCTTTAACATAGCAGTCTTAACACCCTCATCTTCTGTCTGTTTGGCACCATTGACTAATTCATTAACCAATGGATCGACACGAGGTTGATACTCAATTAAAGTACCAAGCGCCTTAGCAGCACGTAATCTTAATGTTTCATTAGAAGCATCACTTAAAGATTTGACAAAAGTTCTTTGTAACTGTGGAATAAAGGGTCTTAAAAATTGTGGGATCTTGACAAATAAAATATTTAAGGCATATAAGATAGCTGCTTTGATGTCACTATTGAATCTTTCACCAACAACACGAATCAATGGACCAGTAATGACACTAACGTATGGTTTCAAGTTTGCTGCTGGAGTCTTAGAGACAATATCAGCAATGGCTAAGGCGGAAGCTTCACGCTCATCACTGGAACCATACATCAAACCATGCAAAAAGATTGGTAAAACACAGTTTGGACCCTTTGGAAGACTGAATGCTGCTAAGTCTTGACCTTGAGTACCAACAAGTTGAAGACTCTGTTTGGCTGGAATAATTAACTTCTCCAACATTGGTTTATCCACCTTTTGGATCAAAACAGATAAAGCAGCAAAGGTGGATTTCATAATTCTAGGGTTATCATCATCCAAACATAATATAGAATGGGAAACAAAATCTGGAATATACATGTCAATATCCAAAACTGTACTTTGAAAGAAATTTGGAAGACGTTCCAAGATAACAACACGTTTTTCCACGTCATCATTTTTAACTAAGGACATTATTTGTTGTAATAAAGGATGTAAACCGTCCTCATCAGTAACAGACAGTAATATTTTATCCAATGCAGTCTTTAAGGAGTCAGATTCTTGGGAGGATTCGGTAGAAACTAAACTTTCAACAAGCGCATTGATAATGGTCGATAAACGCTTATACAGGGCGGTACCAGCTACTTCTGCCAAAGAGCCAAGTGCAGAGGCTCTGAATGAATCAATAGGTGGTGCTAATAGTGTTGGAATTAAAATTGGGAAAATCACTTCTGATTTTGTGGACATAATTTCCTGTAAACCTAATAGAGCAAATTCACCATTGTCAGAAGATTCCAACAAATGTAATAAATAAGGAATAATTTCATCAATAGCTATCTTACCAGTAACACTTTGATAGACATCAAAAGCAGAAGCAGCAGCCTGTCTTACAGATTCATCATTGTCTGTTAAAGTTTGACGAATAATACTAACAATTAATGATTGGAATTCCACTAAAGATTCTACATGAGCTGATTCAATTAATTCGTGCAAAGCAATACAGACACCTTGTCTAGAATCTGGATTAATAGATTCTTGAAGTGATGCTTCTAAAGTTGGTAATAATTGAGATAATGCATTTCCACCAACACGACGAACCATATCACCTAAGGCTTGAGCAGCAATATTACGTAAGACTTCAGATGAAGAAGCCAAATTCGTAACGATAATACCCGTTAATGTTGGAAGAACCTCCTTAACAGTACGTGGAGTATTTGGAACTAGTGCCTTCCAAATATCAACAGTTGAGGCACGCACAATACCTGATGTATCGTTTCTACAAACAAATAATGCAGCTAAGACTCTGTCACGACGTTCTTTACCTAAAATGTCCACAATCTTGTTTGAAATTTCACCATGATATTCACTTTCTTCCTCGTTGAATGAGTTTTTAGAGGATATACCAGTAACTTGGAATAATAATTCCCCAGTTAGTTGGACAGAAGATAAACGGATACGTTCATTTTCGTCGAACATACCTCTTTCTAATTCAGGTAATAGTAAATCGATAGCCTTTGTTGCATAATTTTTTACAATTAATTTACCAGCCTTCAAAGCATTTTGTTGAATGTCTTCATTTACATCAGCCAAACCAGCCAAGATAGGTTGAATAATTTGATTTATGTATGGAGCAAATTGAGCACCAAAACAAATAGGAATAAACAATAACAATGGCATAAAACCCTCCTTGATATAAGTACGGCTACTTGACACACCATCCAAAATAGTTGGAAGTAACTCTTCTAATTTATCAATACCTAATCCACTGATAACTTCAGCAAGTGCTTGAGCAGAACCCAAACAATCACCTGATTTACTTTCGTCTTTTAAGGTGTCTAATAAACGTGGAATTAAATCTGGGAATTGCTCTTCACCCAGTCTTTCCACCAATGCACCTAAGGCACGTGCTGCAGTTGCTCTGGTATTTGGAACTGGGTCAACCATTGCTATTTCAACTTCTTCAATTAATTGTTGCAAATATGGAATTAAGTCTTTTGTATCAACTAAAATGGCCATATTCCCAACGATTTTACAAGCTTTTCTCTTAGTATTGGCAGATCTGTCATGCATACCACGATGGATAACATGAATAATTAAAGCAAGAGATGGACCATCAATATAGTGGACGAATTGTGTTTGAATTAAAGCATCTAAGGCATCTTCTGTGTATTTTGTTGGATCACCAATAGCCTTAATTAAAACAGGAACTAGTTGCTGGATTTCAGGGTTTCTGATAACTTCACCGAAACGATTTAATGACTCATCAGCGGCTTTACGAACTTCCTTGTGAGAATCGTTTAAAACACCGACGATCTGTGGGACAATAGTTGACAAAGAAGCAGATAATTGAGCAGGATCCAAGTATGCCATATTTCCTAAAAGTTCAACAGATCCCCTCTTAGTTCTCCATGATATCTCATCCAAATTGGAGATAGCTACAGGTATCAATTTACTGACACCAAAACTAGTTGTATTTGACATAATAGCTTTAGTAGCCTCAGCAGTGGCATTACGGACTTCAGGAACGGAATCACCTAGATTTTTTAAGATATTTGGAAGTATCTCAATAACATATGGTTCAAAGAACCTCTTTAATGAGATGGAAAAGTACTCATATAAGAATGCGACAGATTCACGGCGTTTTGCCTCCCTCTTATCTTCTGAAGCTTCGATTGTGTTTCTAATGATATCAAACTCTGATAATGCAGAAATACCATAACCTTTGACTAAGCCAGCTATACCCCATGCCGCACCTTTACGAAGAGCTGTTGGAACAGCAGGGTCTAATAATTTACCCATTAAATTATTGATGTAGTCTTGGACCTTATCTTTAAATTGAAATACCAACGGAGCAATACATTCTCCAATAGCTTGTTGAACATCAGAAGAAGGTGTATCTAAAGTGGCCAATAAACGCTCTACTATGATAGAAATTCTTGGATTGTTGTTTTTTAAGTATCTAGCTAATGTACCATAAAGAATACTGACGTTTTCTTTAATAGTAATTGATGTGCCAGATTTTAAAGATTCTTCAAAGATTGGAATTAATTTCTCGGAATTCTTAGATCCATATTTAGCAATAATTTCAATACCAGCTTCCTTTATTTCTTGACAAACTAATGAGTTGATGTCACCTAGAGCACCATCTTCAACAAGGAATTTAATCACACTCACAACATCATCAGAATCATCAGTGAATCCAGCAGCTAGTTCTTTTAATGCAATTGCAGAGGTACTACGTTCTTGCCATGGGTCCTTACGTTCTGCAGCAGTAACTACCACTAAACCAAATTCATCAATGATGTCTTCTAATGGCTTAGCTTTTTCTTGGTAAAAAGCTAATAATTTCTTGGTAAATGTGTGTAATGAGCCTGGTTGCTCTTTTTCTAAAGCAAATGCACCAGCAGCATAAGCTCTAGCAGTGAATAGACGAAGCCCACTATCTTCTTGATTGAAGTGTGATAGAAGTGAATCCATTAAATCCTTGTTTATGACAAATTTATTAAATTCCCAAAGGAAATCTGCTAATTCACGGTTAGCTTCATCAGATTCAAATCTACAAATAAACACTTCAGTAGACCATTTCATGAAAGGTTCCAGTTCGAACTCATTATCTAATGCTTCCAAAATAGTTGAACGGACGAAAGAATTCGGTGATAACAACTTTGAAAGGATAATATTAAGATCAAAATTGGTTGGAGCTACGGAAATACTTTGACAAAGTGCATTGAAACATTCTTTAGCCATTTTAGCCTTAGAAGCCAATGTTAATAATGACAATAACACATCAATGATAGATACCCTTGGAATCGAAGGATCTTCAAAAACAGATGAATGAGCAGATATAATATCCATGGCAAGAAGCAGGTGTTCTTCTTCTTTGTCTTCTTCAACAAACTCAGTTTTTAGAACGGGTTTGTTGGCATTCTTCAAGGCAACATTTCTTCCTTCTTCTAGCACATTGATTAATAATGGTAATAAATAGGTCAGTGTGATAGGATCTAATGGTTGTTGATTTGAAACAAACTTAATTTTGAATAATACTCTTGATAGAAGTTCTTCAAGTGGTTCTTCAACATAGTTTTCGGGAATATTATTGATGTTGTTTACACGAAGAATTGATAAACCAATAAATAATTTGAATGTGCCTAATCTTTCAGAGGCATTTTCAGACAATTTTAAGAAGGTGGTAATAACCATATCATCAATAATTTTTGAAGTGTTAGAAATCTTAGCAAGTTGTAGTAATTTTGATACAGCTATAGGATACCACTTATGGACACCATTATCCACTAAGGTAGCATCGGCACTTAATTTCTGAATAAGTTCCATACTACGAATAAGATGAGAAACTATAGACCAAATATTGGACCTTATTTGAGATTCCTTTTCTAATTGTTGATTGACAAGTAACTGTTCTTCTTTTGTGTATTTGACTGTATTTTTCTTGGCTTGCATTTTTCTCACATCTTGTTCCCATTTTAGTGTTTCATAATCCTTACTATTTTTATGGGATATCTTCTTGGCCATTCCCTTTTCAAGAACATCAACCACCATAGTACCTTCTTCACCTTTCCATATCATTATATCTTCATCAGAGATCTTAGTTAACGGTTCGAGATCTAAATCAGTTTCTAGTAATTTGATTAAACATGGTGTGATGACAAAAGGATTAATAAATGCTAAATAGGCGGCCGCATTTAGTGCACATCTATAATATTCCTTATTTACTAAATTAGCAGACTTCGTGATATCATCTATGTTTTCCATAAATGTCTCACGGTTTTCAGAAACTATTAATGAAGGATCAAGTTTAGCATTTAACACTAAGCCAGCCCATCCATTCTTTAGTTGGAATGGGTATTGGCAAACAACGACTGATTCAACTAATACTTTTATTGAGGATTCTTTATCTTCGATTGGTTGAGAAATGGCTTTGAAAATAGGTGTGATATATCTAAAGGATATTTTTTCATCTTCATGTGTAGAAACCGTTTGGATTTTCTTTTCTAAACTTTTAATGACAGACAAACCAAATGTTAATGGATTCTTTTTGAATAAATGATTCAAAAGATCAGCAGCACGTAAACGATCACTCACTGTTAGGGATGTAGAAATCGTAGTATTTACCAAAAGATCACCTAAAAAAGCCTTATTTGGGATATCGTTGACAACTAAATTAAATTTGTCTGGAATTCTTGTGTATTCTTTATTTAAATATTCCATTGATGCTAATAAACTTTTGTGCTCGTGTTTGTTTTCATTATTTAAAACTTCAGTGAAAAACTCAAAACATTGATTTTCAAAGTTTTCTAATAATTCTGAGCATGCATGTTCAATGTTTTTTAAATAACCAATTAACCATAATTTTCTTATAATAAGCTTCTTTTCTTTAAAACCACTTTCAATAGTTTTGTTGATTTCAGGTGAACTTTTCTGTAAAGAAAAGTAGTGTGCATAAAATGCATCTAGCATTAACATTAGCGCATTTTCATTAGACTCCTTTAAGATATAATTGGATAAATTTAAAGCAATTTTTTCAGATGCGTCAGTAGAAAATTTGGGTATTTGAAATAAAATTTTAGATGCAAGAGCTTTATAATCAGCATTCAAATTTGATTTGATATTTTTAAAGACTTCACCAACAAACTTTGATAGGTCTTCTACTTTTGTGGTTTCACTACAAATGGTGGATAATAAAGTATATAAGGATTCAAGTGTAATTTTCCTTACTGTTTCTTTTGAGCTTTTTAAGGAGGAAAAAGTTTGGGCAATTAATTTAGAAGTAACAAAAATATTCAGTAAATCTACCTTTCGAGAATCAATAGCTGAGTAGAATTCATTTGTGATTGCAAACCCTAATTCAGGAGATCTTAAATTAGCCTTTTCAATATTGGGTAAGATTTCACTCTTAAAAGTATCTTCAGTAAGGAACTCATTAATAAATGGGGACAAAAACAACTTCTGACAGAATGTGGATGGTGGTGTTTTACTTAAAATAACTTCTTTAGCGATAAATTTACAATATTTTTCACAATAATTCTCCTTTAATAAATTGTATAAGGCAGGGTGGGATTGTGACAACTGCAAAATAGCAGAAGTTAACGCACCCATTACTATTACAATACCAGTAATTGGTAGTTTATTTTTAACATATTCATCCAAAACGGATCTTGCAATGTCATTAACATAGCTTACAGAATATTCTGTCGATGTAAGGCATTGAACAAAGGTTTTTTTGGTAGATTGAAGAAGATATTTGTATAATCTAACAGAATGTTGATTTTTTTCAGTAATATTTTTTTTGTCAGGTTCATTTGCAGCCAAAAAAGATTCAATACATGTGCCAACATAACAAAGTGCTTCTAAAAGCTTTGGAGCATATTTTTCAAATTGTTCTTTATCATGGGAAATGAATTCTATAAAAAGGTTCACCCATTCTAATAAATTTGTATAATCCACTATTGCTCTAGATCCAACGTTTTTATTAGTTTGGAGTAAGATAAATTGAACATATTTTTCTAATAATTGAGGTTCTAACGATAAAATATCCTTGAATATTTCTTTAACAATTTTCTTGGATTCAGTGTCACAATAAACAGTAAATGTTTTTAATAAAATAGCGGAGATAAAGCCTAGTTGTGAGATTTCTAGTGTTTCACTTTTAATTAATGAGTGTAAAGATTCCAGGAATGGAATACGCTGTGCGACTAAGGAGTCGTGACAACGAGATTCCATTACTGGGTAAATATCATTCCAAACAGGCAAAGATGACATAATTATCGAAATTAAAAGTAGCAATAAAAATAATTAGCTATCAGCTTGTACCTAGTTTTAAAATGTTAGATAGATTTGAGAAAGAGTAATGGAGATAGTTAGCCAATTGTCAGTCTCACTAGAGCTTAATGTCCAGCTTGTTCTTTTGTACTGCTAAAACACATGAATATCCTATTAAAATAAGTTACTCTGCACTTCAAAATGTTGGTATGTGCAAGTATATATTGTATTTTTTTGTTTGAAGTTTTGTCCACTCTGAGATCTTTAATAAACTTTTCGAACAAAAATCAAAAAAAAAAAATTTCGTCTTCGATGATGAACTGAAATTGTCATAATAAAATCAAATGTTTTGACGACGTACACATCATCTCTCTCTACTTATTCCACAGTGTTACAAAGATACGATGAGTGGAATGTATAGGAGTAGCATTTATTCTATAACTATGCTATATGATATTTTTCTACTATCTAGAAATATATATCGATACACCAGGTATATTTCTAAGTTTTAATAAATTGGCATAGAGAGAAGAGGAATGATGGTAGAAATACTAATTTTGTTAAGATCTATATTACTCTATTTTATTATTCTTGCTCCTATCCTATAAATGAGTCATCAAAACAGTTAAATTGATTATAAATGACATAGATTATAACATCACTTTCAATATCTTATGAAGTATTTTTTTACTTAATGTTCTTCGTCAACCTTGTGAACCCAACTGAGTATCTAATATCTCCTTGTTGATCTTTTGTGCTAATGTGTCTGGTTTCAATAATTTGTTCTTTTTGGTAAATAAATTGGGATAATGTTTCTTGTTCTATTAGGGATTTGATAAAATCATTTACAAATTAAAGAAATTTTAAAAACTTTCTGTAATAGCTTGTTAGACATTATATTTTTACCCTTCTTTTACATTTTCTTGTGCTTTATTATTATTATTATATATCTGATTCTATTGGTAGGTGTTGGTATTTGTGTGTTTTTGCAGTTTGATATCAATGAGGCTTTAAAAAGATTTTTTCATTATAGAAACTATGGGTTACCGACCATTTCATTACAATACTATCTTTGTAGCATAATTAGTGGTCTTGTTAATTTGTTTTTTTTGTATTTTTGTTAAAATTGCAAGTACAAACATATAGATCAGTATTTATCCATTCGATGTTATTAAGTCGGTGATACAGACTGATATATAACATAACTTTTTATTTAAGAATTCTACGATTAAAGCTGCTAAGAATCTATATGCTAAAGAAGATCTTAGTGTATTCTTTAAAGGGTTCGTGTCAACTTTGTTAAGAGTTTCGTTAGTGAATGTAGTCAGTTTTGTCATATTTGAAGTTGCTTCGAGACTGATGGGGTTAAACACTTTGAAAGAATTCATTTTTTTATTTTTTCTATCTAATAGTATATTTATATTATTCTTCTTTCCCTACATATGGATGCCTTTTTATTCTTCTTGATAAAATTTTGATAGAGATATTTTTACTAATACATGTAGATAGATAGAAAGAGATGTTCCAACAAAGCATTTTATCCATGTTTATATATAAAAAGTTTGATTTACATCCTTTTGCTAATGGATAGTTTTTGATATCTTTTTTTCTTTGTTTTTTTACCCTATAATACTTATTATGAACGGTAAGGTTGAAGGTGATAGTTAAAGTTAGTTGCTAAAGTTATAATCAGTGTTTGGTATCACGTTTTACTTGAAAAAAAAGAAAAAAGAGAAAGAGACTATACATAGTACCAATTAAGAAGTCTCTTGTTTTTAATTAAATATAAAAAAAGATATATGCTTTAGAGGATGATAACATTTTCTATAATTAATAATAGTAATTCCCATAATGGTTCCCAAATTTTATCTTTTCAATTGTAGGCAGATGTCAGCAGGTATACTGTGTTTTATTTTTACGGATATGTCCTCTAAACAGCAACATGAACATGACATTCATTGACTGTTAAGATAGTACTTATACTTTATAATTAAATGGTTAGTTATTTTTCAGTGATAGTATAATAATAATAAAGGGTTAGCAGACCTGGATATTATTAGCAAATAATCATGGTAATAATAATTGCTTAGTAACAACTATGTATATATATATATATATGTATATATTGCGTTTCATAGTTTCGTCCATAATATTGTATCATAGCACTGCTAGAAAAACGAATACAATCATTTAGATACAGAGTTTCGTACATTCGGACATACCAATTAGATACGCTTACTAATCCAACGCCTAATTATAGAAAAAAAAGAAATATGGGGAGAGAGAAAATGTTATATTGAAGTTTTTTGAAAGTGTGGTGCCATTTTGTTAATTTCTTTTTTGATGTTTTCTTTTTTTTTTTTCTTTTTTTTTTTTCATTTTTGCTTCGAGAAATCAGAAATTTTAGACAAGAAGTTATTTGCTCAGAAGCAAATTGGTATTTACTCTGCCATAAAAGAAAACAATACAAATTCTTCATCAAATTTTTGAGGAATAAGAATATTTGTCCGATTCTTCGTGGTTAAAGTGTTTATTGTATTGAAAAATGATTAACGATTTAAAATTTCAATCTTACAAATCAAAGATGACATTAATTATGTAATATAAAAATATATCTATTGGCTTATTACACATTGTAAACTACTAAATATTAATAAATAAATTATAAGGATATTGTGAAAATCCACATGGATCAAAATGATATAAATACTCTATGTTGATTGAAACATTCAAAAGTTCAAATTGCTTCTGTGTTTATAGTTGTACTCCACATAAGGAAAAAAATCAAGATCAAAAAAACCAATACTACAAAGAATATTATTCATTTTTATACTGTAAACTAGATTAGAACAACCCAAAAATAAACATCTTAAGAAATGCCATTTGTTAAAGATTTTACTCCAGTTGCTCTAAAGGACACTAACTTATTTAAGCCAATCCAAATTGGTGATATCGAATTAAAACATCGTGCGGTTATGCCTCCATTAACTAGAATGAGAGCTCATCATCCAGGTAACATTCCAAACAGAAATTGGACTGCTGAATATTACGATCAAAGATCTAAATATTCAGGTACTTTAATTATCACTGAAGGTGCATTCATTTCCCCACAGGCAGGTGGTTACGATAACGCTCCAGGTATCTGGTCTCAGGAACAAGTTGACGAATGGACTAAAATCTTTAAGAGAATTCATGATAATAAATCTTTTGTCTTTGTTCAATTATGGAATTTGGGTAGACAAGCCTTCCCTGATACTATGGCTAGAGATGGTTTACGTTACGATTCTGCTTCTGATAATGTTTATATGAGCGAGGAACAAAAGGAAAGAGCCTTGAAAGCTAACAACCCACAACATGGTATCACCAAGGAAGAAATCAAACAATACATTAAGGAATACGTTGAAGCTGCTAAGAACTCTATTGCTGCTGGTGCTGATGGTGTTGAAATCCATTCTGCTAATAGTTACTTATTAAACCAATTCTTAGACCCAATTTCTAACAAAAGAACTGATGAATACGGTGGTTCAATCGAAAACAGATCTCGTTTTGTATTAGAAGTTGTCGATGCTATTGTTGAAGCTATTGGTCACAAGAAAGTTGGTATCAGATTTTCTCCATATGGTCTTTATGGTACCATGTCCGGTGGTGCTGAACCATTAATTGTTGCTCAATATGCTCATGTTATTGGTGAATTAGAAAGAAGGGCTAGACAGGGCAAGAGATTGGCTTATATCCATGTAGTCGAACCACGTGTCACAGACCCATTCTTAGTTGAAGGTGAAGGTGAATATGAACAAGGTACCAACGACTTCGTTTACTCTATTTGGAAGGGTCCAATTATTAGAGCTGGTAACTTGGCATTACATCCAGAAATCGTTAAGGAACTAGTTAAAGATGACAGAACTTTGGTTGCTTATGGTAGATTCTGGATTGCTAACCCAGATATCGTTGAAAGATTAGAAAAGGGTTTATCATTAAACAAGTACAACAGAGATACTTTCTATGCTATGACTGATAAGGGTTACTTAGATTACCCAACCTATGATGAAGCTATAAAGCTGGGTTGGGACAAACAATAAGTTATGTTTGTTTTTTGGTTGGCTGGTTGGTTGGTTTTTTTTGATTTATTTACAGTTCATTGTAACAAAGAATTTCATATATAGACCACTAATATACATTCATATATATTTATAAAAATAAATTTATACTATCATTATTTTTAAAGCAAAGATTTTACAAGTTTACTCTATTTGTGTTACATCATGTAATTTAAGTATGTTTTACTTTTCGTAATTCTGAATAATGATGAAACTCCATATGTCATAACTAAATAGTAATATGAATATATTTATGCATTAGATTGAGTTTGATGAGAGATATATCCTTAACTGATAATGAATTCAGGCTGTTCCCAATATATAAATTGTAAACTTTTATAATGACACTGCAACATATGTTTTTATAATTTTATATGTATTTCTATACCTATATGTGAATAAATGAATTTACATATTTCATGCCTAAACAAATTCATGAGATGAATTACTTGGTATTTTTGCGTAAGGTACTAATTCCAGTTGTTGGAATCTTTCGGCATCTTTGTGATAGTAGAAATCTTGAATGTTTCCCGTGCACCTTCGATAGAAACCATGTAAGAATCTTTACTTAGAAGTTTTTCTTTCTGTTTCACAAAGATATATTTTTGATTTAGATAATCTTTAACATGGTTTGATATTGTATTAATATTGATTGTTTTTTTATTAAATTGGTCAATGATAAACATTTCTTTAAATGCTGGGAAATTCAACTAATGTTCACAATTGTTGAAATCAAAGGAGGCTAATTCAAGATGATGATCCCATGAAGTTGAGAAAACCCCAAAATTGTTATTAGTTGGACTGGAAAACCAACTATTTTTAAAGTCACTATGGCCTGATAGCTCTTATATTCTGATATTTGATATCCAGTATAGAGAAAAAATTGGTACAGAAATTCTCATAGAAAAAGCAACAAAGAAAAGAATAAATATGACGAAATTAGATACGTATGGGTAAAAAATATCCAAAAGGATTTGAAATCCTTTGTTGGTTTTAATAAAGATGATAGTTGCTAACAAATTCTGGTGATTAGTAACTATTATACAAAAAATTTAAATAATTGCATTATTTTCACACTTTTTTAAACAAAAATTTGACTAAAACAAATATTGCTGTTATTTTCTAAGTGGTTTATTTTGATTTGGTTGAATTGATAATTAAATAAGTATATATCTCGGTTTTAATGTTTTTTTCTTCTAGTTATTGTTGTTTTTTCTTGTAGATCAAAGTATAATTTTTTATGTTTTGAATTTGAAGTTTAAATTTTATGTCATAAAAGACTTTTGAGCAATCAGCCTGTTTCAAAAATAGAGAAACGCTCTTTTCCAATTTAATAAATAATAAAATTCACATTTCAGTAATCTTATTTTGCATCGACAAGTCATTTCAAAACTTAATTCGCTTCGAGTAAGTTGAACTTATATCTATAAAAAGTACAAAACTTAAGTATCCAAATTCACCAAACATTATTTTAAAATACTCTTTCTTGAAAGAACAAATTGATAGTTAATGTTACCACCATCTTTGTAACAGTTCATAAGAAGAAAAAAAAAAAGATATTAGAATATATTTTTCCTCACAATACCCCACTCTGTTTATTCTTTATTAATAATATTTCATCATGTACGTGTTCTCTTTTAATTTTCTTTGTACTCAAGATATCTTCTACTCAAAATTTGACAGCTTTAACAAAATAATTGAAAAATATAAAAAAAATAAGAGAAAATAAGATGATTTAATGTTGTTGGTTTTTGCTTTAATTTTAAAAATTTAATAATATCAAAAAAAAAAATACACATCTAAAGAATATATAATAACGAAATATAAACAAAGAAAAAAGAATAACATTAATCAAAAATTTATTTAAAAAAATTCACCTTTTCTTTTTTGCATTTTTGTTTACCTTACATTTATCCAATCCTTTAATCAACTGGATTCCATTCAGTCACCTTCATAGTCCCCTTCTCTTGTAAATTGGTATGGAATTTGAATGCATTCTGTAGCATATGTGGCTCATGTAGGCAATTATGTTGAGCACTATAATGTTCAGCCTTGTGCAAGTATTCAGTTAATAAATCTTTGTAATCTGGATGAGCACATTGTTTAATGATTTCGCGGGCTCTTTCACGTGGGGCTAAACCTCTTAGGTCTGCCAAACCTTGTTCAGTAACAACAACATCCAAATCGTGTTCAGTTTGGTCAACATGAGAAGCCATTGGAACAATGGAAGAGATACCAGTTGGATCGGTCTTGGATGGTCTAGCTGATGGACAATGCATGATAGACAATTTAGCGTTTCTTAAGAAATCCGCCGAACCACCTAAACCATTTAACATACGAGAACCATTGACGTTAGTAGAGTTGGCGTGACCATAAATATCAACCTCCACAGGTGTGTTCATGGCAATGACACCTAATCTACGAATAATTTCTGGAGAATTGGAGACAACTTGGGATCTCAAGCAAATTCTGTCCTTGAATTTATCCCAGTTAGAGAAAACTCTCTCAAAACCTGTTTCTGTTAATCTAATTGAGGTAGCAGTAGCAAAATCTAAGGATCCATTGTCAAACAAATTTAAAAATGAATCTTGTAAGACCTCAGTCCACACATTCAAATGCTTGAAATTAGCATCAGTTAAACCTTCAATGACAGCATTAGCAATGTTACCAATACCACTTTGTAAAGGTAATAAATTCTCTGGTAATCTACCATGGTTAACTTCATTTCTGAAGAATTCAACTAAATGGGATGCGATCGCTTGAGACTTTGCATCGGATGGAGTATTTGGTGGGACTTTATCTCTTACAGTAGATTCAACAATAGCGATAACTCTATCTGGATCGACTGGAATTGAATTCTTACCGCATCTATCATCGACTTTAACGTATGGGTAAGGTGTTCTGTAAGGTGGTAAAACAGGCATGTCAATATCATGAAGTCCTTCAAAGGACGGGGTTGCAGTGTTGACTTCAATAATAACTTTATCACTAACACTAACAAATTCTGGAGAACCACCGACAGATGGACCAGGAACAATAGACCCATCTTCTTTAATAGCAGTAGCCTCAATGATCATATAATCTAATATTTTACCGTCTGTACGGTCTCTTGTATAGAAACCATATGTTAAATCTTGTGGAAACATTGAAAGATGCTTATCGAAGAATTTAATTTGCCCAGTATTAATAGCTTTTGCAATAGGTTTACCGACTTGATGTGGTGCTCTCTTTATAATCATGTCATGTGTAGCCCATGATTCCTCTTCCGGACCTGCGGAAGCACCAACGAATAAGTTAAATTTCAATTTACCTTGCAAATTATTTTGAACTACATGGTCTACTAATGCTTCTGGGAGACATTTTGGAGTACCGACACCAGTGAATCCAGACCAACCCAAGTATTGTCCATTCTTAAATAACGGAATTAATTCATGTGCTTTTTTTACTCTATCTAAGTAAGGGGCATATCTAACTCTTTGTTTTAACAATTGTGAAACGGTCATCTTAATACGTATTTTGTTTTTTCTTAAACTGGAAAAAGACAAAATATGTATTGTGTAAATATATCTGTAGTCGTATTCTTATTATCACTAGATATGATATATTTTAGTAGTCTATAGACTTATTTATCTTCACTTATTTTTTTTTTTTAGCCTGTTTATTTTCTCGAAGTTAAGGGTCCAAACGTAAATTAAAAATTAAATAAAAAAAAAGAAGAAAAACGGAGGAAGGGGATGAGATAAAAGGAGTTCTAAGATACTGTTTTTCTGTTATCAAATTGGTAAGATGAACCAGAAATTAAGACTGTAAATAGAGTATAATTCCTGAATATAGTTCAAAGTGTGTGTAGACACGGAGAGGAATACATGGTCTATGAGAAAAATCATATACAACATTCTATACATGCACACACGCACCTGTATATTATATATTATCTATATTTTCAAGTTATATAAATTTTGTCTCCGCTCAACAAGAAATCTGCGATAGCACTATTTTCTGGAGATATCGATCAATGATGAACGAGAAAGGAAAATAAACAAGCCAACAGACAAATAGAATGAATTAAAGCGACTATGGCACTGAAAACAACAAAATAATTATCACAAGCGTATTGTATCAACGATTCTACAATGATACTATAATGATGCTTATAAGACATACAAATGTTTGATAATTTAGGTTGATCGAACAACTATTACCTAAAAAATATTCCGGCTCAAGAAATCCTACTTTCATGCTTTCTTGTTTTCGTTCTTGGTATTGTTTTGATAGGCTTGCTCGACAAATGAAATGCCAGTATTAATTTGCAAATATATATATATATATATATTTTTTTTGGTTCGTGACAGAGAGGGGGGGAGGGGGAGAGGGAAAGGAAAAAAAAACACAAACGGAGATACAGCGAGAAAATTTTAGGGGAGGAACAACAGGAAAATAAAATCAATTCCGTTCTTCCATACCGTTTTTTTTTCTTTTTTTTTTTTTTTTTTTTGGATTCATTTATTATCAAAAAAAAAAGGAAAATATCAAGTGGATTTGTTTTTTCTCCTGAAACATTATTGATGAAAAGTACTGTGATCTATAGTTTATATGTCATCTCTACATAAGTCACAAGATTATGAAAGATGCCATATTTAACTATATATAGCATACCAAATAATCATTTATTTTGATGTTTTGTATGTAAAAAAGTTAAACCGTTTTATCTGATACAGACATCTACCATAGGAACTTTATTGGAATACCCTACTTTAGCTACGCAAAAAATTTGCAATTGAATTGTTCTTGCTTTCGCTCTCTCTCTCTTTTTTTATTTTTTATTTTTATTTTTATTTTTTTTTTTTTCAATCAAAAAGTTATTTTGGCACCGACGAGGAATCAAAGGTTGTTTTTCGATTAGATTGGTGTAAATTAACGATTATTTAATGAAAAATTTCGTTCCATAACAGTTTTTTAAGATCTTTTGTAGTCAATACATCTTTATAATAATCAAATTCAAAGAAACTAGGCCCAATTGCTTCACCTTCAGGCTCATCATTTGGGTCATGGTATGTAACCAAATATGGATGTTTCAATGCCTCTGAAGCAGTTATACGTTTGCGTGGATCAAATATTAACATTCTACGTAATAAATCTATACCTAATGGATTTGCAGTGGGGAAAAATTGGGCCCAATCTTCTGCTGCTTGATATCGGGGCAGTGTGCCAATATAATCACGGGCACGTTTAGATTCGATGCATTCTAACTCTTCACTATCTGTCTTCGGTGTTCCAATTATACTGAATATCAATAATAATTGATGTCTATAGTCTCTTCCAGGGAATAATGGTTTTTTATTAAACAATTCTGCTAATATACATCCACATGACCATATATCCATCGCCTTTGAATATTTCGCTGCTGTTAACATAACTTCTGGTGCACGATACCATCTAGTCGCAACATATTCTGTCATGCCACTATTATACCTGGTGGAATCTGGATCTTTACCGTTGCCGCTTACATTACCATTGCCATTACCATTACCATTACTATTATCCTTTGTCTCATTTAATATCCTTGCTAATCCAAAATCACATATCTTTAAATCACAATTTGAATTGATCAGTAAATTCGATGGTTTCAAATCTCTGTGGATTATATTTGATCCGTGAATCATTTTAACACCACGTAAAGTTTGATATATAAAGTATTGTATATGGTCATCTGTCAGATTCTGTGTCTGGATGACTTTGTGTAGATCCGTCTGCATCAATTCTTGAATGATATAAACCTCGTTGAAATTTTCAAAGGAATCAGGTCTCTGTATATCAAATATTGATATGATATTTTCATGTTGAAAGTGTTTCAAAATTTTGATCTCACGTAATGTTCTTAGAGCAAATAAAGGTTTTTCAAATGGTTCGATTTTTTTAATTGCCACTATTTCACCTGTTGGCTTATGTATAGCTGAACAGACAACACCATATGCACCTTCTCCTAAAACAGATTTCAGTTGGAAATCGCTTGATATATTGTAAACAATTTTTTTACCCATATTTGAACTTAGGCCTAGAGATATTGCCTCTTTCTATATTTCTCACTCCCTATTCACTTATCTATATATTTCACCATGTTAACTATTCTCGATCTAAAGAGAGGTTCTAATATAAAGAAATGACACTGAACTATAATATATAGGTACTAATATAAACTACTTTCCTATATATATATATATACATATACATATATATGTTTGTGTGTGTTGCGTGGTTCTATTGGCTAATCATAGAGAAAAGCGCAAATCGTGTTAAAAGTTACATCAATTTTTTTTTCTTTTTCTTTCTTCCATGTTTCAAGATGGAACAATATCAATTTACTTGATTGAGATATTTTTAACCTCAAGATATATCAAATGAGTTCACTCTCATTTACATCAGAAAGTTTATTCTTTTGACACATTGAAACTGATATGGTGTGATATCCATCTATCTATCTATATATAATGCAATACAATGTGATGTCACATTAGAGACAGGCTCATAGTGTGTCATAGATTAAATAAAAAAGAACGTAAGTAAAAATAAAAAAAAAAAAGAGAGAAAGATAAAGAATTCCAATTACATTTCCAACTATTCTTGTGTATTACAACGAATTCTTTATTAAATGCTGATTATTACTACAAAATATCGGACAATTATCATTAAATATGGTGCTTTCAACTACATCTGCTATTCGATTCGATCTCTTTAATCACACCTGCGTTACGTAAATCAACTCTTCCTTATTTTTGTTTCACTTTTTTTTTTAGCCCTAAAGTACCTTTTTTAGGTTTAAAACCCCCCCTGTGTCACTTTTTTCTTTTATTTTCCTTTTTCTTTTATCAGCACTGTAGACAATTACAAGTTGTATACATTTTTCCTAAATTAGTAGAATTGAAATATATCATAAAAATATGACCAGTTATTTCTGTCACTAGTTACCCTTGCTGTAATTGTAATATACACTCCGATACATACATGCATATACATATACATATATACTGTTGTTTTCTACTTATTAATTTCCTAACATTAAATAAATAAAAAAAAAAAAGAATAAAACATATACATAGACTTTTCTTTCTAGAATGAAATTGGTTGAATGGGTAATACCCTTTTTGGTTGGGTATATTACTATTCTACCAAAATTCCTAGCTAATGGACAAAATAATGATTTCAAACCAAAAGTTAATAAAATTAAAACTCAATCTTCCTTTAAAATAACTGCATTTGACGATTCAACTACTTTACTTAGAATAGATAATGGTAAGTTAGTTCTTAGTAAAGATAATGGTATTAAATGGAATTCTATCGAAGATATCAATAAGAACGGCGATGAAATATCTTGGGTCGATATTGATCCCTTTAATAATAGAAATAGAGCATACGCCTTGGTTAAAGATAAAATAGAATATTATTTGACTGATGATATGGGTGCTACTTGGAGACATTTAAAGATTGACACTCCACCGAAAAAACAACCTTTATCATGTGACTTGAAGACACATCCTTTCAAAGCAGAATATCTATCTATATCATGTATTTTGTGCCCAACTTCAGATCATGATGCTGCAGACGACTGGCACCACTACATGGATATTTCAAAATGTGAATCATTTGTCTCCGTTTCAAAGGATGCAGGGAGAACATTTAATCAAATCATATTACCTGAAAATGATAACCAAATAGCACATGATGATGATAAAATAGTTTCCCAATTTATAAGTACTACTTGCGAGTTTGCTAAGATTAATGAAGATTCCACACTATTGTTGTCTGATTCTGCAATTATATGCAATAAAATGGAACAGTTCATGCGCATAGATCCAGATGACTACCAAGATAGTAATAGTGGGGATACTGTTGGTGATATTTTTGAAAATATGATGAATCCAATAGTGACAAATTTTGTATCAAAATTATATTACACTGATGATTTTGGTAAGAATGTTAAACAAATTGAAAAATTTAAAGATATGACTGTAAATTCTTTTAATATCCTAAAATCATATCTTGTAGTCATTACACAAGACGATATACATGATCAATTCTCCCCAAAGAGGGTATGGATCTCTAAGGATGGTACAAACTTTAATCAAGCATATATTCCTTCACAGATTAGACACCATTTAGCAGATTTCATTTACGAGGATGATTTAAGTAGAATCATACTTCCAGTTTCAAGGTCTAATAATAATCATAAACAGAATACTAAGGATGGGAAACAGAAACATAAGGTAGAAAAATCTGTGTCTGAAGTCTTTATATCGGATTCTACCGGTATAAAATTTACTCTTTTAGAGGGTATCTCAGGTAAAGGTCATGGCACTACAGACTACCAAACTATAGATTTCTTAAAGGGAACAAGCTTTATTACAAAAATATTTTCATATATGGAGAAAAAAGAGGGAAATGGTAAGAATTATAAATTTCACTCGAAAGGAATCACTAAAATAACAACAGATAATGGTAAAACTTGGAATTTTTTAAAGATTGTGGACCCAGGTAATGAAGATAAATACCCGTGTAATATTGCAGATGTTGAAAAATGCCATTTGACCCCATTTTTGTTTAGTGACTTTGAATTGGATCCAACTCCTGGTATTCTAATAATGATTGGATCTATGTCAAGTGGTTCAAGTTCCAATTTTGTTAAACAATCGACATTTTTGTCTCGTGATGGTGGTATATCATGGAGGCAAATCTTTGATTTCCCCACGGCAACTGCAACAGGTGATTATGGCAACATTATTATTGCAGTTCCATTTGATCCAAATCAAGATAACGATCCAGTTAGTGAATTCTATTATTCTCTTGATCAAGGGTTTTCATGGCAGGAATATGAGTTGGAAGAAACTATGACTCCTATGGAGGTCCTTACAGTGACTAGAGATGGGTCAGGCTATAATTTCATTATTTCTGGTGTGGGTTTAGGTAGGAACGATAAACCACATACTCCATTTGAATCAAATTTGGTGTATGCAGTTGATTTTTCTGATGCGTTCAATGGTAAGGATTGCAAAGAATCTGATATGGAAGAATGGTTTGTCAACAAGGGGCAATGTGTGAGCGGGTCTAAATTTTCATATAAAAGAAGAAAACAAGGTTCTGAATGTTTAGTTAGGAAAGTTTATGAGGATTTAACTTGGAAGGAACAAATTTGTGATAAATGTACTGAAGCAGATTATGAATGCTCATTTGAGTTTACTAGAGATCCTAATGGTAAATGTATTCCCGATTTAAATCTAATAAAACTGTCTGGTAAATGTAAAAAAAATAAACAAAATTTGAGTCTCAAGCCAATGACTTTAATCCAAGGTGATAAATGTAAGACTCCAATGAAAATAAATGATGTGGCATTTAAATGTTCTGAAGACAGTTCTCCTCAGGGGAGTAGAAATTCGATAACAGTAACTGAAAATAAATTCAATAATAAAATTGTTTTCTATCAATATTTCGATTCCTTCGATGGTGAGACAATCATATTCGCTGATAATACTGGTATTGCTTATATTTCACATGATAATGGACAAAATGTCCAACAGATTGAAACTAATGGTGAAATCGTTCAGGAAATCGTTTTTAATCCATATTTTAATAACTCTGCATTTCTGTTTGGTCGTAGAGGGTCTCTCTTTATCACACATGATAGAGGTCTTACTTTTACTTCTACAAAACTACCTGAGGCTAGGCAATTGGGATTTCCCTTAGACTTTGATCCAAAGGATAAGCATTCTTTTATTTTCTACGGTGGTCAAAATTGTGAAAATCCATCATCTCAAGAATGTCATGCAGTGGCATATATTACGAGAAATGGAGGTCGCAGTTTCAAAGAACTGATCAACAATAGTATTCATTGTGAATTTGCAGGATCTCAATATAAACATCCATACAGTCGCGATTTGATCATTTGCCAAGTTAGAGATAAAAATTCTCTTAGACGTTCCTTGATATCAACTACAGACGAGTTCCAAAATGATAAACATGTATTATTTGAAAATATCATTGGCTATATGTCCGGAGATGGCTACAGTGTAGTAGCTGTAAATCATGGTGCTCGTGAATTAAGAGCATTTGTCACACAAAATGGGGAAGAATTTGCTGAAGCCAAACTACCACAAGACTTAGCCAATTTGAAACAGCAAACGTTTACTGTATTAGGTTCAGAGATGGGATCAATATTTATGCATATGAATACTAATAATAATGTAGATCACTTTTTTGGTGATCTTTTGAAGTCAAATTCCAATGGTACATCTTTTGTTATTTTACAAAAGGATGTTAATAGAAACAATCAAGGTTTAGTAGATTTCGAAGTTGTTCAAAACTTAGATGGGATAATTTTAATCAATATTGTGTCAAATGCAGAAAATGTAAAGAACAATCAGGAAGCTAAAAAGTTAAAAACAAAGATTACTTTTAACGATGGTTCTGATTGGGAATACATAAGGGCACCAGCAAGAGATTCACATGGTAAAAAATATGATTGTAGCATTAATGATATGGAACATTGTTCCTTGAATCTTCATGGTTCTTCAGAATATTTTGATAGTAGAGATACATATTCATCTGGTTCTGCAGTTGGTATGATGTTCGCAGTGGGCAATGTTGGTGAATATTTATTGCCAAAGAACCAGTGTTCGATTTTTTTTACCAAAGATGGTGGTGTGACATGGAAGGAAATAAAGAAGGGTGCACATCATTGGGAATTTGGTGATCATGGTAGTGTTATAGTTGTGGTTTCAAGTGATAAAGCAACAAACTACATCACATATTCCTTAGATGCTGGTGGTACTTGGAAAGATTATGTATTTACACAAGATAACATTCTTATTTCTGATATCGTTACTGTGCCACACGACTCAGCGTTAAGATTCCTATTAATAACAGAAACAAGTGATGTGAATGGTCCATACACCAAGACATTCACAATTGATTTCTATAACAGTTTTGAGAGACAATGTATTTTTGATTTGGCAAATCCAAATAACAATGACTTTGAGTATTCTAGGATAATCAAATCAAAGGATGAATGTTTATTTGGTCGCAAAACTGAATATTTAAAAAAGATTCATGATGAGTGTTTTATTGGAAATATCCCAATGAGTGACTTTTTTAGAATTACTGAAGTCTGTGAATGTACAAGGAAAGACTTTGAATGTGATTACAATTATTACAAAGCTAAAGATGGGACATGTAAGTTAGTTGAAGGCCTGTCACCCCAAGCACCAGAAAATATTTGTAAACTTGATCAAAATTTAATTGAATATTCGGAACCAACAGGTTACAGAAAAATTCCATTATCCATTTGTCAAGGTGGTTTAACATTAGATGTAACGATGGATAGATATCCATGTCCAGGTAAAGAAGAAGAATTTAAGGAGAAGTACGGTGTAAGTGGTACTTATTTCTTCCAAATATTCTTTTTGTTCTTCATTGGTTTTACTATATTTGGTTATATTGTCTATGATCGTGGCATTAGAAGAAACGGTGGTTTTGCAAGATTTGGGGAAATCAGGTTGGGTGACGAAGAACCGCTTGTTGAGAATAATCTTGTAGATAAAATGATTAATGCTGTTGTTAGAGGTGGACTTACTGCTATTTCAGGGATATATGCTGGAGCACAATTGGTTAAAAGGTTCTTCACCTATTTGGGATCTTCCGTAAATAATAGATTTACTTCTAGAAGAGGTCCAAGTTATTCAAGTCTTATTCATGATCAACTGTTAGATGAAGCCGATGATTTGCTAGCGGGACGCGATGAGGATGCCGACGATTTGGCTAGCTTCATCGAGCATGATAGCAATTTTGATATTGACATTAGTGACAATGATGATAATGCAGGTAGGGATGCTACTGATACTACAATCTCTGATCAGAGATATACCGATCACCTTGAAGAATCAAGGGAAGTTCCATTATCAACTGACACCAACAATCAAGAGGGTGCTACGCTCTCGTCTAATAACAAGGATGATACCAACGGTTCTGGTATAAATTAGATAGATTTTGAATAGTGTAGATTATTTAAGTTTATATAGCAATTCAAATGATAGTTATGGTAGTAATAGTATAAACAGGATCAATAATGTATAGTTTATGTTAATATTATTTTTCTAATATCTAAATATAGTTTAATAATGTAATAAATTCAAAGCTTTTGCGTTCGTAAGAAAACGAAAAAAAAATTGAAATGAAAATTAAATAAATAAAAATAGAATTAATCAGTTTGTAGACATGAGGTGAGATGATATAAACTAAGATTAAGCAGAAAGCTCAGTGGTATTCTTTTCAGATTAATAGATATTTCTCCTCTCCAGTCTGTTTTGTAATTACAATGGTGAGGCCCAAAATATGTAATAGAAAATTTAGAGAATGGCAATACTACAAACTTTTCATGTACGTAAAGTGATACAATTTACCTTTTTTTCTATATTTTTATCAGCAATTTCGTACTAACATATTATAATATAGAACATCACAAGATGAGAAAATTGATGAGGAAATACGAATTGATGAAATGACCTGGAGACGATGGCTCAATTATGCATTCAAAAGAGCGCATGGATTGTTTGGAGAAGGTCTCGAATATTATTTTATTCATCAAGATGATAAAGTTGCGTATGTCAAAGTCAATTATCAAGACAAAGATTTATTTTCATCCGCTATTGCTACATATGTATCATCTGATGAGTTAGTTGGTTATCCACTTATAGCGTCAATAGTCCAAGAAACTTCTAATCTAAGCAATCTTGCTGTTTCAGAACATGATAAATTATGGCTACAAAAAGAAATTGAAGAACAACAAAATGACAATATTCATTAAGCCACTGCCAAAGATACATTTTTAATAACTCTACATTTACAGTGAATATGAATAGTGTATTTATATGTAATTTTATGTAATAATATACCATAAATAATAAATTACAAAACAAAAATATATTAATCTTCATTATACCCACTGAAAAAATCCACAAGATGATTCATTGTCATTTACACTCCCTCTAGGACGATTACAAGTCCAGAATCGTCTCCCAGGATTATTTGATGATTTGGAAGTCTTCAATACAGTTTCTTCACCATGCTTACATTTTGGTGGTTCACCAAAAATATCTTTAAACGTCAATTTTTGTTTTTGAATATTACCTTTAGAAGTTGGTTCTGATATTATTAAATCACTAGTTGCTCTTGATTGGTTTGGGTATATAGTTTTCGTAGTTTTTTTCGTCTTGCTTCCCACTGATTTCTCAGTTGTAAAGAATGAATCTATTGTATTGACCCTAGAGTTACTCTTTATTCTTTTCGATAAATTGTTTGCTGAGGAGTGCAAAACTGAATTGCTATTGTTAGTAATATCTGTAATTGAAGAAGAAGTAGAAGAAGAGGAAGAACAACTGATACTTCTTTTTTTGTTTGATGTCGCAGAAAACATAGTAAGAATATTGTGGTTTAATAAATTATATTTGAAACTTGCTTCAAATTTTGGAATTTTTACATCACTCTTTGGAGCACAATTAATTTCTTGTATTGCAAAGGACATATCAGTGAAAACAGGGCAATGATCAGATCCCATAACCTCTGGTAAGATATTACTGTTTCGTATCTTATCTTTCCACTTATCACTTATCAAGATAAAATCTATTCTTGAGCCAAAATTAGACGGTCTAGTGTTTTTTAAAGTATTCCAGACCGTGTACATTTTTAATCTATGTCTACCTTGAATAAATCTTGTAGAATCTATCAAAATACCATCTTTAGAACATTCAGGGATTAAAGAATCCGTTAATAATTGATTCAAAATACGTCTATGGGGTGTTTCAGGATTCAAAATAAAGTTTTTATATATAGGATAATAGATCTTACTCATATCATTTATTCCGTTCTCTATTTTGATATTTGCTTGATCTAATAATTCTGCTGAATCTATCAAATCCCGACACACATTTAGATCACCCATCAAGATCACCCTTTTACCCATTCTTTCTAAATTTCGTATCCTGCCAAATAAAACTTTTAAAAACCTCATTCTGAAGATTTCACCTTCTTCGGTTTTAGTCGAATTAGCTGGACAGTATGTGGAAAATATGATTAAATTACACGACAGTTCCACAATAACACATCTACCCTGGGAATCAATTGTTAAGGCATCATCTTCACTCAAAATATCATAATACCCACCTATATTTATATTTGGATCATCTCTATAACGTGTTGTTCGTTGTTTATCCAATTTTATTTTGAGGTAACCAGTGATTCCTTCTTCAGCCTTAACTACTTTCATAAAATGGTGCAATGGATGGCCAACAGGATATTTTCTGATCCAACAACCAACGCCTGAATAGCCTTTCTTGGAAATAGGTAAAGATATAAAAGAATAGAAACCATCTACTTGGCCCCATTTTTGGATCACTGATCTTTCAATTTTCAATTCCTGAAAAGTAATAACATCTGTATCAAAATAATTAAATACTTGCTTTAATGATTCATTCATGCGAGAGAATGGTTGATATTGAAATAATGTCCTGACACCATTCACATTAAATGTTACAAACCTGATTAGTTTTGAGTCATTTTGCTCTTGTCCATTATCCCCAATTAACGGTTTTTTTAGAATACCACCTGTCATGTTCGTTGGTTACAACTATCTATGAAATAAATTTATATGTATAGATATATAGATATGTGTATATTGCCCGGGTTTAGAAGGAAGAGAGTTATATTTTTATTTCCTTTTATCATCAGTAAACTTTCTTGTTCTATTTATTTTGTTACTTTTTTTATGAATATTTAATGCATTTTAAGTTCATTAACACAATGCGCAATACAACAGACATATAGATCAATAAGCTTTTATACTATATAAGTCACAACTTCTACTATTTCACTACACAAATGTTTACAAATAGATGTATATGTGCTGGTATTTATATATACACTTTAGAAAGCAGAAAACAAGGTTAAAATTACATTATATATATATAATCAGATTTTAATCAGGTGTTTTTACCAGTTGTAATTTTTTCTCTACCCATAAATCGCTTGATAGCTATCTTCTCTTGATACAATATTAAAGTTAATAGAATTATAGCCAAAATGACATTAATCGAAAATTGTCTAAAATTCCTAACGTATCCAATCAATAACCAATCTACACCACATATAAATAGACAAACTAAGGTGATCATCTGTAAATTCTGGAAATTGAATAAAAAGGAAGACTGGTTATTATGGATTTTTCTATAAAATTGAATAATAAAAGTTCCACAGTATATAATACGAAGAGTCATATTGAAAATATTACTAATAATCAACCCATTGATTGATAATTTCAAAAAATCTATCAAAATCCAGGAAGTTAATAAGAAGATACCAGAGAAGACCATCATGAAATATGAATGTTTCAAAATTTGATCACCAGTGGCCACACTTTGGAAAAATGCTTCAAAGATACCATTTAATGATAAAAATGGGAGATAGAAGCAATACACTCTAATTGTATCTAGAACTGATGTAGTTGACCACTTAGACCCAATCAGAAACTGTAAAAGAAAAGAAGAATTTGTGGGTCCAAAGACCATAATCATTAATGATAGGTAAAGGTAGAATCTTGTTAAGTTAATAAGAACATCCATTGATAATTTTAAATTTTTTGACCTTTGATTTGTTAGAAGTCTTGCTAAAAATAACCTTAAAGACTCTTCGATAGGCGCAAATAATAATCTGGTCACCAAAGAACCATAATTTGACAATAAGGAATAAATCCCTTGTTCCTCAACAGTACAAAGAGAATTAATAATCAATTTGTCACCCTCAGTTAATAAATGTTTAAAGCATAATTGGAAATATACTTTTTTGAAGTGCTCAAAGATTGTTGAATCAAAATAATGATACTCTTTAGATGATTTAGAATTTTTGGAAGTATTGTTATAGATTTTAGTTAACGATAGGTTGAAGGACCGTCTTGGAGCAAAATTTTTCAAATAATCATAGAAATAGAATAATAATAATGATATAGAATGGAAGAACTTCCCTAAAGCAAATGCTAAAATAGCGATACCTTCCTTTGATATATCCTGTTCTCTATCTATGGTAATATTAAGCCATTTTTGATCAAAGGCGTAAACTACCACAAAGTTCACGATACATCCAACTGTGACTGCCATAGTTTCGAATCTTGATCTTGTTGAATAATTCAGCATTAACTGATTAATAATGAAAAAAGGTTCGCATAATAATTCAATAATAATACTACACCAAATAAACAATATTGACCAAGTGAAAAATGGCAATGATATAAAATATTCGTTGATATTTCTATATTGCCATGTAGTTAATACGAGGGATAATGGGATACCAATATACAATGGAACATGCGAAAAATTCACAGCTATCTGCAACACATTATTATTATTATTGCCGCTGTTGTTATTTTTATTATTATAGTCATATTTTTCGTCGGAATTATTTCTGCAGTTATTATCCTCCATCATATCATCTTCATTATGTGTTATTCTTAAAGTTGATAATCTTATAGCTTCTCGACTGAAAAACAAAACTGTGGATGAAATAAATTCTAAAAAGGATGTAATTCCAAATATTCTTGGTGATAAAAATCTTATCAATAAATTATTTAATATGAAAGTAATAATTTTAGTAGAAAATTGGCCTAACATAAGGATTGTGGCACCCTTTGTAGACTTTTCTAATATTTGTTCACTAGATGAAGGTAGCTTACGGTGATCATCATATCTAGCCTTTTTTTCGTCCATATTCTTTCTGTCTAAATATGCAAAAAATTAAATGAAGGTTAACGAACGAAGAATAAGAGTAGAGTGAACAATTGTTTGACGTTATATACAGTCCATAATGTTTGGAATACTAAAAATGTAGCAACTAGGTCACTCTAGAACAGCTTTCACACTAAGAAGGGTGATGCGAATATTTTTGATTATCTTTTATTTCAATTTCCATAAGAAAAGAAAAAAGGAAAAAATTGAAAAATAATTAAAAATGATTTGCAGGATTAAAAGAAGCCTTTATATAAGAATATGAGGATACATATGCAAACACTTATAGAGAGGAAGAATCACAGATACCAGAAGAAGAAAATAGGATAGGATAATTTCTTGCAAGAGCAATTGTACTTATATGAATGATGTAATTATTAGCAGTATAAAAATTTTTACTTTTACTATGTACAGTATTTTACATGATAATCTTGGTATTTTATTATAAGCTTGTGATAATATGCGTAATTGTTTATATATGATATTATAAATTATCACATAATAATGTATATTTAAATAAGAGGAATATCTTTGCTATATCTCTCCAGACTTAGGTCTTTCCTAAGTAAGTATGAAGTAATGATTATCCATTGTTTTCATTCAATTTAAATATATAGTTCAGTGTTCTTGGTAGCTATGATAAGTCAGAAAGAGCATGTAAAGTCATTAAAAAATAAAAAAAAGTTTAGAAACTCTCTCTGCCTGATAAAAAAAGAAGAATGATTTGAGAAAGCATTAATGGTTAATATATTTGAATCAAAAATTAAATAGATACTACGAAGAAAGAAGGAAAAAAGAAGATAAAAACAGTTATATTGATGATCTTATTAGCCAATGTAGTCGTATATTGTATTTTTTTTTAGGGAGGGGGGAGTAAAAACTCCTCAACTTCATAATGAGTAATATAACTTACGTTTAACTTTAAAAAAAGAAAACAAGAGTGGAGATAGTATTGTAGTAAGACATATTGTTATGACTGTTATTTAATAATAAGAAGAAATATTAAACATAGATTACATATTAAATTATGAACGTGGGTCTAATTCTTTGAGTTTTTAGTGGTCTTAGGATAATAAAATTTATTTATATTTAGTACCGGACAGATTTTCTACAAATAATTTTTATTTATTAAAAAAAAAAATTACCGATGAATGATTTCATCCACCAAATAATCAACAATGGATTGAATACAATTTTTTCAAAAAAGTGATACCGTTGACATAAAGTTTTGATATCAAAAATTCTATTAGCGTTCATTTTAAATTAATGTAATAAGATAAGATAACTTACAATGGGATATTGGTGGTAATTATAAGTTCTCAGCTGTTTCATAGTGGGATATTAATGGTACTATATACTATAAATTGTAATTGTATTGCTTACCTTATTTTGTTTTACATACTTAATATTCATAGGTAACTAGTGTACATTATAACGAATTTTATTTTAACTTTTCTTTTATAGGCTGTTATAAAATTCTTTGTCATTTGGTATGCAAAATTTGGATTATTAAATATTTCTCTAATCTCATTTCAACAAAGTGTACCACTTTATGTGACACAGTAACAATAAATGACTGTAGTCCTAGACAGAATCTTAAGTAATTTAGACTAATTATAAAAATCTAAATTACCTCATACCACAGGCGCCTCTGTTGTAATATGAAGTGGTGAAATTCTTTGTATATTTCGGGGAAGCGCAAATAATATTAACAGTTATTCAAATAATCGAGACAATAATCAACTATAGTTGATAATATAATTACTAAAACAGTCTTATATATTGAGCGGCTTATATCGAGCTAATATACTTGTTCGAAGTTACTTATTTTGTTACTTTCTTGTTGTTCTATTTATGTTTATATATAATATATAAATTATTTACAAGAAAAGTTATGGAAGATGATCTTTTATCTTCAGAAAACGTTGTCCTTTTATATGTTTTCTGGAGCTCGATCGATTATTCAGATTAGCACATTAATGATCTGACTGATTCACACCCTAAAATTTATTACATTAATTTAGATGCACTAGTGGATTAGAACTGCACCACAATTCTCTAATCATGGTGATTAGTAATCACGTGGGACTTATTAAAACAATAGGTAAATTCTAGATTTGTCAAAATTTTATGTAATCCAATCTTTTTATTATGCAGCATCTAATGTTGTAGCACGTGTATGGCTTATTAATACAATAATTAATTCTAGATTCATTCAGAATCTTATGTAATCTTGATGGTTATAACTATGCTATTCCACAGCAATGACAAGCAGGTGTCTGCCATCTTAGTATAGTGGTTAGTACACATCGTTGTGGCCGATGAAACCCTGGTTCGATTCCAGGAGATGGCATTTCTTTTTGACCAAATTTTTACGGCATTTATTATCTTTGTATCACTATAAACGGCCTTGTGAATTTATTAAACAATGAGGATGTTCTATACACGTACACACATACACACACATATATATGTATATGTCTACAAATTTTTATATTGTAGTTTACTACTTGTATACAGTACAATTTATGTGTCATATGTAAAGAGCAACCAAGAATCAGCTTATTGTATTTCATATTCTAGAAGCGTAGCGTATATCACTGGCAATATGCCTCCATCTATTACAGTGATAACAACAAGTTGATATCAAGAGTTAGTATGTCATACGATGTGTAAATATATACATGTTTAGAGGTACACCATGAATTTTAACTAATTCCAAACAAGTTAGATGAAAATGGATTGATTTCAAAAAGGAACAAAAAAGAAGAAAAGTTTGTTAAGTGTTATACATTAAATCTTGTTAATTATTATCAGATTCCATTTTCAACGACGACCACAGTAATGTACAGTAATGATGACAGTAAGAACGAATCTGTGATGATTACAATGCATTAACGTTTTTTTTTCTTTATTCTTCCTTTTCTGATGACAACAACTAATCATAATAGTATAACTGCATGGTTTATTTTTACTCATGCTTTATAACATGGCTAAGAGCCTTAGTGATTATGAAAAAAAGGAAAGATGAAGACAAAAATGATGTATATGATCAACCCCCCCATAGTATGTTACTTTTGTGAGAAAAAGAGAAAACAAAGAAAAAAACGAAGAAAAACCAAGGAAAAAAAAAACCAACGATAAACAAGCAAATAATAGACTCGAAAAATACACTATGACTTGAAGAGACAAGAAGGGGAAAAATTAAGAAGAGAAAGGAATCTTTCTATCTTTCTATAATATTTTTTTTATGTTTCTGTTTTTCCCGTTTCTTCTATTTTTTCTTCTCTTCCTTCTCCGGCCACTCTTACCGCTGTCTGCCGCTGTCTACCGCCTTCTGGCCTTCTGGCCTTCTGGCTTTGTAGCCTTCTAGCCTCGCACTCTCTATTTTTGCCGTCTAACAACAAAATGTTTTTCTGTCTAAAAATACCGTTTCGTCCTTGTAAAAAATAAAAAGTTGTTACCTGTCTCTTGTAAATTTGCTTTTATTTTTTTTTCTTTTTTCTTTTTTTGACAGTTTAACAAATTTTTCTGTGGTTCCCAGTATCTTTTCTTGCTTTTTTAGTTGAATACTGGTAGTATATATTCTTTTTTTGTCTGTATCGTTAGATCATCGAATTAGTTCTTACAATTTCTTAATCCAATACATGTTCGAACTCAAAGTAACCAAAACAAATAAATAAAACAAAAATAAATAGAAAACCACAAAATATAACAAGTGTGTATTGGTGATAGAAGAATACTATTAGATACTCTTATCTTTATTTTTTATTTTTATTATTTTGGTGGTTTTTCTTTTGTGTGTGTTAATTAATCTTTCAACTCTTCCTTCCATTCCCTTTTCTTTAAATCATTATAATATAACTAACTAAACAAACAAACAAACAAACAAACAATCATAACTATAACCATAACCATAATGAATGGTGTAAAAAGAAGAGCTTCTATTTCCCTGTCTAATAATAACACTACTTTAAAGCAATTTAAAAAGGATGGTACAACTCAGGATCATATAGACAATACTACCACTAAAGATAATAATAGTGATCATAAAAGTGATTCTAATACCAATACTAATACCAATACTAATACTGACTCTGATACTGATAGCGATAGTGATAGTGAAAATGATAACGAATCCTCTCAAACAAAAAATCATGTTACTACATCTGCACAAGACATCCATATAGCGAGAGAAACCGCAGAGTTATTCAAATCTAATATCTTTAAGCTACAGATTGATGAATTATTGGAACAAGTCAAATTAAATAACAAACATATCTTAAAAGTAGAAAAATTTTTACATAAACTGTATGATTTGATACAACAAGTCCCTGAACCTTCTGAAAAATCCTTGATAGAAATACAATCCTTTTTCAAAGATAAAATCGTCTCAATACCCTTTGTGGACCCAAAACCCAATGTTAATAACACTAACTATAAATTCACATATTCAAAACCTGACGTCTCTTTAATAGGCTCCTTTGCTCTGAAACTTGGTATCTACCAACCAACAGGTTCTTCGATAGATATATTATTGACTATGCCATCCGAATTGTTCTCTAAAAAAGATTTTTTGAATTTTAGATGTCTACATAAAAGAAGTGTCTATTTGGCTTGGCTCACACATCATCTATCTGTTTTATTCCAAAAGGAGAAAATGGATTCCTTTTTAAATTTGAAATATGAATACTTTAATAACGATACTCTACTACCAATCCTAAAAATATATTGTGAAAATAATAAACGAGATTCTCAGGATAATAATAATAATAATAATACAACCAACGATTATAATTTCTATAAAACAAAATTCTCAATAAATTTAATAATCGGTTTTCCAGAAAAAATCTTTGAACCAAAAAAATTATTACCGAACAGAAATTGTATTAGAATAGCACAAGATAATAATTCTAAATCAGACACCTCGAGTCTGCCTTCTACTCCATTATACAATTTCTCTATTTTATCTTCCACCACATACGAACCATATTTAAAATACCTTTACCATACCAAAAAATCCACCGAATCTTTTAAAGAAGCCTCCATATTGGGTAGACTATGGTTGCAGCAACGTGGTTTCACTTCTAAATTAGCACAATCTGGTTCACTTGGCGGATTTGGCACTTTTGAATTTACCATATTGATGGCTGCATTATTGAACGGTGGTGGCGTTAACGGTAATAAAATCCTTCTACATGGTTTCTCGTCTTATCAACTGTTTAGAGGTGTTATTAAATTTTTGGCAACTATGGATCTCTGTGACTTTGGTCACTTACAATTCCATTCCGACATACACTATGCTGATGGAGTCTCTAAATACATAAAACAAGGTTTTCAAACACCAACTTTATTTGATAAAACCAATAAAGTCAACATTTTAACCAAAATGACCGTTTCTTCGTATCATGCATTGAAAGAATATGCTAAAATGACTCTGCATATGTTGAATAATGTTGTACAAGACCAATTCTCTAACATATTCCTAACCAATATCAACAAGTTTGATAATATCAAATATGATCTTTGTTTTGACTTGAAATTTCCATTAAATGAAAATGACAATAATGCTGATAATTCATTGATATCTAAATTTACACCAAACGAAAAGATTAAGTTTATAACTTTTGAAAACTTTCTGGTTAATAAAATAACATCTGTCTTAAACTTCGCCCTAGGTGATAGGATCAATACTGTAGAAGTTGAATTAGTTGGTTTACAATCGCAGTTTCCTATAAGGAAGAGAAAGGTATATTCCAATAATTCCACTCATTCATTTAATTTTGAATATATTAAAATTAAACTACTTGTCAATCCAAATGAAAGTGAAAAATTGGTTACAAGAGGCCCACCACATTCTGAAAATGTCACCCCTGAAGCTGCCACTTTTAAATCCTTTTGGGGCCCAAAGACATCTCTCCGTAGATTCAAAGATGGTTCCATCATCCATTGTTGTGTATGGACTCCTTCTGCCAATGAACCAATAATATCTTCTATTGTTAATTATGTACTAAAAAGGCACATCCTGGCTAATGTTCAAATTAATAATAGTGTTACCAAACAATTTCAAGAATTGATACCATTACCAAATCTACCTGCAAGTAAGACCACCTCAGTCTTAAATATAACAAGTTATTATAATTTAAAAAAATCATTTGACGATTTGTATAAGGTAATTTTCAAGATGACCTTGCCATTGTCTGTCAAATCTATCTTACCTATTGGTTCAGCGTTTAGATACACATCTCTATGTCAACCAGTTCCTTTTGCATACTCTAATCCAGACTTCCTACAAGATGTAATACTAGAATTTGAAACTTCACCAAAATGGCCCGACGAAATTTCATCTTTAGAAAAAGCCAAGACTGCCTTCTTATTGAAAATTCAAGAGCAATTAACAAAAGACCATGGGTCTAAATATAAATCCTATTTCACAAGAGATGAATCTATCCCATTTAATCTAGATGTCACTACCCTAAATATTCTTACTCCGGAAGGATTTGGTTTCAAATTTAAAGTATTAACCGAACGTGACGAAGTACTATACTTAAGAGCAATTTCCAATGCAAGAAATGATATTAAACCATTATTAGAAGAAACATTTTTGAAATTTACCGCCAAATATCTAACTTCTGTCAAACATACAAGAACTTTAGAAAATATTTCACATTCTTATCCATTTTTCTCACCAGTGGTAAGATTGTTTAAAAAATGGTTAGATACTCATCTTTTATTGGGTCATCTAACAGATGAGTTAGTTGAATTGATCGCTATTAAACCATTTGTCGAAGCTGCTCCATACCATATACCTGGATCAGTGGAAAATGGGTTTTTGAAAATTTTAAAGTTTTTAGGTCAATGGAATTGGAAAGAAGAACCATTAATTCTTGATTTAGTTAAACCAGATGAAGATTTGGAAAATGGATTTGAAACAAGTATTGGTGGATCTGATATTGATACTAACACAATAAAAAAACTGTCTGAAAACTTAACATTAGCCCAATATAAGGGTATTCAAACCAATTTTGGTAACTTAAGAAAAACTGACCCAAACGGTTTACATCTTCAATTTTTTGTTGCATCTAAGAACGATCCAAGTGGTATATTATATTCTAGTAACATCCCATTACCTATTGCTACTAGACTGACCGCATTATCTAAAATTGCAATGAATTTGATCCAAACTCATGGTCTAAATAAACAGACTATTGATTTATTGTTTACGCCTGGTTTAAACGATTATGATTTTGTTATCAAATTGAAAACGCCAGTTGATTTAAAGCACTCATCCGGTGTCATAGATAACACTGAGTATAGAAATATTACTAACATCAATGCACCACTTTCATTTCCAGAGGATGTATCTCAATTAAGTGAAAGAATGGATCCAACTTATCAATTAGTCAAATATTTAAACATGAAGTATAAAAATAGCTTGATCTTTTCTAGCCATAGATATATTGGTGTCACAGGTGGTGCAAAAGGAAATAAAAATGTCATTACTGGTTTAATAAAACCACATTTCAAGAAATCGCAAAAATTCAAAGTAAATATAGATGCTAATGTCAAACCAATTGACAAAGAAACTGTGGAACTCAATAAAAATGCGTTATTCCATGAAATTGTTGCATTTTCTAGTGATCTAGTTGTCAGTTTTCAAAGCAAATAAATTCATAAAAGTCTTTTTATTTTCTTATAAAAAATATAAAATATTCTGTTACTTTATGTATTCTAAGGTTTTACCCATACTTCTCTATTTTCTTGTTAGGAAAACATACTTCTTTCCTATATTCTGAGATACATTTATATACCAATGTATAGATATTGTATAATATAATTATAAACATATCTAAGGTTTTTCTATTATACTGTTGGCATCAGGTTTTCTTTTGTATTTTTGTCGATTTTCTCACCTAGAATTTTCTTTGTAATAAATTTCTTCAATTCATGAGGTAAAACAAAAAAAAGTAAAATAAAACACACATTGTTTTTTAATAGTAACGACTCTCTCGACAAAACTTCCACATTTCATACTGCTGCGAAGAATTTTTTAACAATCAAAATCTCATTTGAGAACAAGAAATATTAAATAGCTTGTTAGTTGTTCTTTATAAATTTTTATGTCTGTTATAGAAGAATATCATTTAAGTGAGGAAAATTTTTCTGATGATTTAGATAACGATTTTGATAATTTATCAAGTTCTGAAGATGTTCCGAATTCTCTTAATGGCTCACCAATAAACCACAACCCAGAAATTCAGCGCCCTGCGGATGCAAATAATTTATTAGATAAAACCAATAATCAGTTATCAACATTATATGAAGAGAATGATGTAGATGCATATTTTAAAGAATTTCAAAACATGTGCAAAATCATTGAGAAAAATATCAACATATTAGAATATCCTAGTAATTTAAGGAATGTCAGTGAAGAACAAAACCATATTAGTATGTTACTTGAGAATTCACAAACAAATGATTTTGTATCTTTAATATCTATTTTAAATGATATTTTATCATTCATTAGAATCGGTATCGAATCATTACATGCTTTTATAATAGAGAAATATAATAGGAAATTTCCTGAATTAGAAGCATTAATTCCAAATTTGATAGAATTTGCGAATTGTATAAAAGTACTAGAAACAACTGAAAATTTCACGGATTCAAATATATCATTATTATTATCTAGTGATGCCCATTTAACTAAAGAACAAATAATGATATTGACAATGACAATGAAGACTGGATTTAATAAATCCTATAAATATGATATACAAGAGAAGGAACAAATATTGGAAGCCTGTGATCACACTAGTAAATTAAACGAGATCATTGATGTTATTAATAATTACTTAAGTGTCAATGTGCATTTAATTGCCCCCAATTTAACGGCATTGATTGGATCAAAAGTAGCATCTCTATTAATTGCTCATGCTGGAGGCATACTTGAATTAAGCGAGGTTCCTAGTTGTAATCTAGCATCTATTGGCAAAAAAAAATATCAAACACATACACACCACGCACATTTCAATGGAGTTAGACAAGAAGGTTATATTTACCATTCTGACTTAATCCAGAAACAAGATATAGGTACCCATAAACAGATGCTGCGAATGGTTTGTGCAAAGATTGCTTTAGCAGCTCGTGTAGATGCCAGTCAAATGAATAATATAAACAAAAACATGGAAAGGAATTCAAGTTTGGGTATTAAATGGAGAGATGAGATTATTAAAAAGATTCGAAAGTTACATGAAACGCCTATCATTGCGAGTTGTAAAGCCTTACCTATACCTGAAGATAAACCTAAAAAAAGAAGAGCTGGTAGAAAATATAGAAGATATAAAGAGCAATATAAGATGTCTCATTTACGTCAATTACAAAACCGGATTGAATTTGGTAAGCAAGAAGATACCATATTGGATGCGTTTGGTGAAGAAGTTGGTTTAGGTATGAGTAAAAGTTCATTACAAGGAATTACTAAAACTTCGAAATATAGTGTTATAAGTAAAGTTAATAACAATGCTAAATTGACAAAGGCGATGAAATCACGTATAAAGGAAGCTAATGAACAGTCTAATGAATACTTTTTAATGCTAACTAATTCGAGTCAATTGGACTCTACAGATGAACAACAAATGTCTAATGATACCAAATTACAGAGTGCCAAATCTAACAATTGGTACTCGCATCATCTATAATTATATTAATGTTGCATCTGTTTAGCACTATCTGCATGGCTTTTATCTCATACCCTACAATGTTAAACGCTAACAAAAAAGACATATAGATTTTAACATATAAAAAGAGAGATACTTCATCATATCCAAGTCCTGACATAGTATTCTTAAATTTATACGTTTAGAAGTACATTTTATGTATATTTAATCAAACAGTTGGAATGGGTCTAACAAATCTTAATGGACCATCACTGCTATTGTCTATCTCCCTTTAAAGGAATATTTTGATCTGTTTTCCCAAACAGGAAATAATGACACCAGTTGAATCTTTCAAAGAATTTTTTTCCATTTTCTGTATTTTTTTTAATCATAATGTAGCAATCTCCTAAAACAGTAAATAAGGAAAGAAAACAGTCCCGAGAAAATTCAGAAAAAGCCACAAAGCAGGTAAAAAGCAAACATTATTGAGGTGTGGAGATGAACGGAGAGATGAACGGAGAGATGTAAGGATAAGTGTATGGAGGTGCATGTCTTTGATTTGTGGCTAAAGGTTATGGCTAGGTGAAGTTGAACAAAGTTAAAGGGCACAACCCTGTAATCATCTTTTGGATCGTAACACTTTTACATGTATCGCTTCTTAGTAGTTCTTCTAGGTCCTGCTCAACCACAGTTTCCTTCATATGTATACGTAAACACCATTATATATAAAGATATTCAATCACCAACAGGTTTATTAGATTATTCACGTATATTCAAATAAACCATTAATTTTTTAACATATAAAATCATAATGTTCTCAAGAACAGATAAACATGTGGACACTTTGGCTAGTGATATCAGTCAATTAAGCTTTGATTCACCATCTAATAAATTAGATTATAATTCAAACGCTCATTCTGGTGTGACCCCACTAAGACAAAGGGATGGAAACGTTAGTAGATTTGGTTTTGGACCAGGTGTTAAAATGAGTACCCCAACTCCATCTCCAACTAAATCTACAATATATGATATAGGAAATGACAGTTCGGCAATGATGGTCGATGATGAAATTAATACTAATAAGACAGATGTGTCTAATTCCCCTAAGAAGCTACCAAGGGATTTTTATAAAAAAGCATCCTCAAATAAAACTCAACGGTTGGTAAGTGTTTGTAAGATGTATTTCCTCGATTATTATTGTGATATGTTTGATTATATTATAAGTAGAAGACAAAGAACTAAAAGAGTAATGGAGTATATAGAACAACAGAAAATGTTAAATAATGTACCAGTAGATACTTTAAATAACGAATGGTTTGGCTATCTACAAAAGGAGCATGAAGTGCTTAGAAAGAGAAGGCTTAAACCAAAACATAAAGATTTTGAAATGATCACTCAAGTTGGTCAAGGTGGATATGGACAAGTCTATTTAGCAAGGAAAAAAGATACTAAAGAAGTATGCGCACTAAAAATCTTAAATAAAAAGCTTTTATTTAAGCTGAATGAAACTAATCATGTTTTGACTGAGAGAGATATATTAACCACAACGCGCTCTGAATGGTTAGTTAAGCTTTTATATGCATTCCAAGACCCTGAAAGTTTATTTTTAGCCATGGAGTTTGTTCCTGGTGGTGATTTCAGAACTTTATTAATTAATACAAAGTATTTGAAGAGTGCCCATGCAAGATTTTATATAAGTGAAATGTTCTGTGCTGTTAATGCTTTACACGAATTAGGTTATACACATAGAGACTTAAAGCCAGAAAATTTCTTGATTGATGCTAAAGGTCATATTAAATTAACAGATTTTGGGCTAGCAGCTGGGACAGTATCAAATGAAAGAATAGAGAGTATGAGAATTAGATTAGCTGAAGTTAAAAACTTGGAGTTCCCTGAATTTAAAGAAAAATCAATCGAGGATAGAAGGAAAATATATCAACAAATGAGACAAAATAATATCAATTATGCAAATTCCATGGTAGGTTCTCCTGATTATATGGCATTAGAGGTTCTAGAGGGCCACAAATACGATTTCACTGTCGATTATTGGTCATTGGGCTGTATGCTATTTGAAAGTTTAGTCAGTTACACACCATTTAGTGGATCAACCACAAATGAGACATACGAGAATTTAAAACACTGGAAACAGACGTTAAGAAGGCCACGCTTAGACAACGGAAGACCTGCATTTTCTGATAGAACTTGGGATTTAATAACTAGATTAATCGCTGATCCAATAAGTAGGTTAAGATCGTTTGAACATGTTAAAAGAATGCCATATTTCTCAGAGATCGACTTTGAAAATTTAAGAAATATGTCTCCACCATTCATCCCACAATTAGACAGTGAAACAGATGCAGGCTATTTTGATGATTTCACAAATGAAGCTGACATGGCAAAATATGCTGATGTTTTTAAGAGACAAAATAAGCTATCTGCTATGGTAGATAACACTGCTGTCGGTTCAAAGTTACTAGGATTTACTTTTAGACATAGAAGTGGTAAACAAGGTAGTAGTGGTGTATTATATAATGGATTAGAACATTCTGATCCATTTGCCACCTTCTATTAAAAAGAAAGAAAGAGGAACAAAAATAGTCAAAAACATAGGATAATAACAAGAAGAATATCAAACAAAGTGTATTATCTTCACGGACATTTATGTTACTTTGAATAATTGAGTAACTTCACTGTTTCATATTTATCTACCACTTTTATATTAAGATACCTTTTTCTTTAAGTATATAATTAGCATTGTCCTTCAAGGATTATGCATAATACAATCAAACTCACTTTTGGAAATGGGATTGTTTTAAAACTATATATGTGTATACTTATCTATTTATATTGGATTGGTAAATATTTGGAATTGTTTCATATTTTGGTACAAATTTTGCAAGTAGTAGAAAACTTCAAAACATAAAAAAAAATAATATGAAGTAAAACTTTTCATATATTATTTACAGTATAATAATTATATCAATAAAAAAACAATGGAGTTTGATATTAACAATTCGAAACAATTATCGAAGAGAAAAGACTCGCCATAGCGAAATGAACAAGGTATTAATATTACATACCTCAGCAGAAGATCTTGAAGTCACTGTGAACAAAGTGAAGAAAGTAAATTCCAAAAATGGACCATTTGATTATTGCATAATTTTTAGTGACAAGAACATTTATCAATCTATAAGAGATTTTATAAGTGATGATTTACCCGTATTTATACTGTTTAATTCTGAGACGAACCTTACATCTTGTGAATCTGAATATGACCATCCTTTAGACAAGATAATTAATTTCCATGGCTATGGAGTATACAAACTTGAAAATGGACTTACACTAGCATATTTTACATACAATGCAGATAATATGTCATCACATATATCAAATATAAAAGAAAAATTAAAAACTGTGGCAATATGTAATATAGATATTCTAATAACTTATGAATGGGGTAGGAACATGTCGGAGGTAACAGAAAGATTTAAAGGTTTATCTATTGTCGACACTGTTGCTGAAAAATTTCAGCCAAAATATCATTTTAGCTTTAGTGACACTAGTGAATTTGTTGAATATGGTCCATTCATTTGGAGAAGTTCAGGAACTCTTTCAAGATTTTTAAACGTTCCTCAATATGGAAAAGGCAGGAAATGGGCATATGCTTTTCAAATTGATCCGTCAAAGCCACATATTGGAGTATTTCCAGGAAATATTTTAGACAATCCATATGAAATAACTTGTAAGAAGAGACAGTCCAATGAACTATTGTCTAAAACCAGACCTAAAAAGGATACAAAAAAGAGAAAAATTCTACCAGAGATGTGCCATTTCTGCTTCTATAATAAGGATTTACAAGACCATATGATTATATCAATTAATGACAAATCATATGTTACTATAGCAAAAGGGCCACTCAGTCTACCGTCTGGTGATATGCCATTTTCCGGTCATTGTTTGGTGATACCAATCGAACATATTCCTAAATTAAACAACAATTATAGTCCGGATGCCAGACTATTTGAATCTCAATTATATAAAGAGATGATAGGATACGAAAAAAGTATTATTACAATGAATTATCGGAAATTTGGTATGTGCAGTATTGTATTTGAGATCAATTCTGAAAGGTCAATCCACTATCATAAACAAATAGTCCCAATACCAAAACATTTAATACTGAAATTTCAGAATTCATTAGATAGGCAGTGCCATTATAATAACGAAAGGGTTCGCGGTAATGCCAAATTAAATTTTAAAGAGTATAACATAGAAGATTTGGAATTTAAAAATATTTTGGATAATTCTAAATCTAATTATATCCAGTTCTCTGTATATGAGACATCTGAGGTTGAACCAAGGATATTTTTAGCTCAATTTCAACTACATGAACGGTTAGATTTACAATTTGGTAGAAGGGTCTTAGCATATCTTTTGAATCTCCCGAAAAGAGTTAAATGGGACTCACCCGAATGTTTACAGACACCAGAAGAAGAAACTAGTGAAGTAGAAAAATTTCAACAAGCATATAGAGATTACGATATAGCCTCTAACTAAATTATAATTCAATAAATGCTAATCGACTTATTTACTGCAAGACACTCATTTGTAGGCATAACATAACACCATATAAGTATATATGTATCATTATTTCTCTTAATTGAGTTTGTAACACTCCCTTATCTCTTATTATATCCTTTAAATTTCTTCCTCAAAAGAGATTCTTATTTTATTTTATTTTTTTAATCTCTGTGTAGGAACTAAACAAAAACAAAGAAAATAAAGGAATGTTTAAGATCCTTCGACCAACGAATGCTGGGAAACCCCGCATAAAAGTGTAAAATAGAGGCAATCGTTGGTGATGTTGTTTTGTAGATCTATGAAAACTTTCTTACAAGGAAATTAGCATGAGATATTAATGGATAGATTCTTAACTCATTATTTTCAATAACGTCTCCTTAAAAGCCCTCTTCAAGTTTATTTGGTTTATTGTAATGTGTTATTAAATGAATTGGTTAATTTCCAGAGACACTTATATACTCAAAAAATTTCATTTACGAGTCTTAAACAATTTAGTTATTCAGCACACAAATCCAATTTGGTCTACAGCAAGATTTTTATCTAGTAATACTAAGAAGAAAAGATTAATTAAACAAAATATTTTTGAATTATCTAAAGTCTATGATCCATCCCTAGTGGAAAAAGATTGGTATCAATATTGGGAAGAACAAGAGTTATTCACACCACAGTTTGAGAAAGATGGTAAAATTAAAAAAGAAGGATTATTCTGTATACCTGCCCCTCCCCCCAATGTTACAGGTGCATTACACATTGGTCATGCCTTAACCGTCTCTTTGGAAGATTCTATGGCTCGTTTTTATAGGATGAAAGGTAAAACTGTCCTTTTTGTCCCTGGATTTGATCATGCTGGTATTGCTACACAATCTGTAGTAGAGAAGGCAATATGGAAGAAAGAGGGAAAATTAAAATTAGATTATACAAGAGAACAGTTTATTGAAAAATTATGGGACTGGAAAGAATTGTATCATTCAAGGATAAAATCTCAATTCAAAAGGTTAGGTGGTTCCTATGATTGGTCTAGGGAAGCTTTTACCCTTGATGATATAAGATCTAAAGCTGTAAATGAAGCATTCATTAGATTATTTGATGAAGGCATTATTTATAGAGACATGAGATTTGTTAATTGGTCTTCAAAACTTAAAACTTCAATCTCTAATCTAGAGGTAGATACCATCGATGTTAAGGGAAAGACGTTATTAAAAGTTCCAAACTATGAAAAACCCATCAAGTTTGGTATGTTGTATTATATTGCATATGAGGTAATTGACTCTCCTACAAATGAAAAAATAGTCGTGGCCACATCAAGACCAGAAACGATATTTGGTGATGTTGCTATTGCTATACACCCTGACGATGAAAGATATAAACATCTACATGGTTGTTTTGTGAAACACCCATTTTTAGATAAGAAGTTACCAATTATATTAGACAAATTATGTGTTAATATAGAGTTTGGTACAGGTGCTGTAAAGATAACACCTGCCCATGATGAAAATGATTATCTTGTAGGGAGACGTAATAACTTACCAATTGTTAATATTCTGTCTGATGATGGGTGCCTAAATGAAAATACTGGTCCAGATTGGGAAGGTATGCCGAGATTTAAGGCTAGATCAACGATTATCGAGAAATTAAAAGAAAGACAACTCTTTGTAAAAGAGGAAGAATATTCAACAAGTATCCCTGTTTGTTCAAGGTCTGGTGATATCATTGAACCTTTATTAAAGTCTCAATGGTGGGTATCTCAAACTGCAATGGCTAAAGATGCCATAAAAAGGGTTCGAAACAAGGAAATTAAGATCCAACCAACCACTGCAGGATCAGATTATTTCAAATGGTTAGAGAATATCAAAGATTGGTGTATATCGAGACAACTTTGGTGGGGACATAGGTGCCCAGTGTATTTTATTGATCTTGAAAATGGTAAAAGTGATAAAAATCAAAGTAAATATTGGGTTGCCGCTGCAAATATAGAAGATGCGAAAATTAAAGCAAAGAAGAAATTCCCAAGTAAGAGATTCGATTTAAAACAGGATGAAGATGTACTGGATACTTGGTTTTCTTCTGCCTTATGGCCTTTATCTACTTTAGCTTGGCCTTCTCCAAATAAATCTCTTTCTCAGTTTTATCCATATTCTATCTTAGAAAGTGGATGGGATATATTATTTTTTTGGATCACAAGAATGATTCTTTTAACCACAAAATTGACAGGTATTATTCCATTTAAGGAAGTATTTTGTCATCCTTTGGTTAGAGATGCACAAGGTAGGAAAATGTCCAAATCCTTAGGAAATGTTATAGATCCAATTGATATTATTAATGGAACAACGTTATCGGAACTTCAAAATAAATTGAAAAAAGGGAATCTTCCTAACAAAGAAATAGAGTTAATGACGAAACTTCAAAAAAAAAGTTTCCCTAATGGTATCCCTAGGTTAGGTGCAGATGCCTTGCGTTTTACTTTATGTTCCTTTACTAGTAACAATAATTCATGTGATATAAATTTAGATCTTAAAAAGATAGAAGAAAATAAAAGGTTTATAAATAAAATATATCAAGCAGTCAGATTTTTACTATTACATTCAAGAGAGACAGTGTATAATGATAGTGATAAAAAATTGCAACTGATAGACAAATGGGTACGGTGTCAATTAATCCACACATCTAATAGAATAAATGATTATTTTGAACAAAGAAATTTCATGGGTGTAACAAATGAATTGTATCAATTTTGGTATCTGATATGTGACAATTATATTGAATATGTAAAATTTGTTTTGTCAAAGGGGACTTTAGAAGAATGCAGAATTGCAATAAACAATTTACAATACATTATAGATAATGCTCTTTGTTTATTGCATCCAATGATGCCATTTGTAACAGAAGAGTTGTGGCAACTTTTGCCTAATAGAACCGAAAGAGATATATCAATATCTGTAGCTCCGTATCCAAGTTTCAAAGAGATTAATAATAATAATAATAATAATAATAACATCACAAAGAATCCTGATAATATTATTGGAGATGAAATTTGGTCAGTGATTCAAAATATTAGATCTTTATGTGAGTTATATGGTATTAGAGAAAAAGGAATTGTTAAGATAAGTACCAAGGACAAAGATTTGTTGCAACAGTTAAATAATGGTACTCGTGATAAAACCACCATTATTGAAATGATAAAACATTTGACATATCCGAAAATAGATACTATTGTTGTTGAAGAAACGATTAATGAAATGAAGTCCACTGATTGGGTAAATAAATATATCGATTCTCGAGTATCAATTTCTATATCTTTAAAAAACCAAGTTCAGGATGTCAGGAATACAGTAAAGAAATATTGTAAAAAAATTGAGAAATTGAAACAAAAATTGACAACGTTAGAAAGGACCATCATGACAGAGAGTTATAAAAACAATGTTAGTGAGAAAATCAGAAAAATAAATAATCAAAGAATCAATGACTTAAAAGCAGAAATTGATACTTATCAGGAGACAGTGAATAAATTAGAGAACATCTTGTAAATAATATATACATACATACATACATACACACACACACACACACATATATATATATATTTATATATTTCAAGAAGAAGAATATGTATATATTGAAACAAAATACAATTTCATTTCATTATTAATTGGAAATATTTATTTAATTAATATACAAAAAAATATAACACAAATTATATATATAGAAATGCTAGTTGTGATATTATTCAGTTAAAGTTTGTTTAACTTTACTCTCTATAATCTTCCTAAAATGTTTAGACAACTTTAAAATATTTTCTTCACCAACCTCCAACACTTTAAATAATGCAGCATCATTAAAGTCACCATTACTATCCAATAACAAGACATTTTTAACTACATTTGAACCTTCTATTAATTCTAATACTAGCCCATGTACCGACCTAGAATTCTGCATAATTTCATTACTTGGGTCTACAATGTAACTGTCATCATATGTTACAGCAATAACTACCCCAACAGCCATCGATTGTAAAGCGATAGCGGAATCAATCAAGGCTAAAGTGGCAGCATTGACACATGCAATGAGTTCTTTAATATGGAAGTATTCCATCTTTTCACCGGATTCCATGATTTGGAAAGTGATTTGACATAATTGGCGGGGATACAAATAACCTACAATGATTTGATTTAGAACGGAATTTAATTTATCTTGGATCAGAATTTCTCTTGTTGTTGGGACACCTACGGAAGGACGAACGATCAACTCCAGTGCCAATTTGGTGGGCAGTTCTTGACGTGATTTAGGTTCGATTGGACCGGTCACACTACATAGTACTGTTGTGGTGGAAGTCTTGTAATGTGTTGAACCATCTACTTGAGATAGATATCCTGTTGAAACATTCAAACCTTCCATATCCATACTGATATATATATATATGGTAAATTTATAGGAGTCACGAAGGAACAAATGCATGCATAAACAAGCACAAGTACATACAAAAAAAAAGACAAATGGAAATATAAGAGAATAAGAAGTCAATATTCCTTCAATGCTTGCAAATAACTAATATGATACATAATCCAAATACCGTTCAATAATATTCTGTAGCTCTTTAAAAAGAAGTAATAATAGTAATACTACTAATAATAATATTTTTTTTTTCTTTCTCTTTTTTTCTTTTTTTTTCCTTCTTCCTTTTCAAAAGACATCTTAACAAAAAAAAAGAACACCCAAAAGAATTCGAACCAGGAAAGAAAAATTAGGAAATTAAGAAAAAAAAAATAAATCTTTGTACAATTTTTATAGACATAAAAATACATGTATACATCCAGATATAGACATAGACATAGACATTCACACGCACATACACACACACACACACACACACACACACACACACACACACATATATATATATATATATATATATGTCAAGAAGAAGAATATGATGTGAAGTATGATATATATGAAGATAAGTTAAAATCGGTTACTTGTAAATAAGAGAGAAAGAGAGAGAGAGAGAAATGCAATCAGATCATTTAAGAAAGGGACAAGATGTAAATGTGATACAAAGTTTAGTAGCAGGATCAGTATCTGGACTAATGTCTAGGATAGTTACAGCTCCATTAGACACTATTAAAATAAGGTTGCAGACCACTCCGACACGTTATATTAAACAGACCCCATCATTTACTACCCTTTCTTCAAACAGTAATTTGAGGTTAATTATTAGAGAAATGTTAGTTAAAGAAGGTATGAGATCGTTTTGGAAAGGGAACACGCCTGGATCGTTAATGTATGTGGTGTATGGGGCCACGCAGTTCAGTACATACTCCGTATTCAATAGTTTGTTAGCACCGAGGCTGAATCTGCCGAATGAATTGCATAGTTTGATTGCAGGGATGGTGAGTGGAATAACATGTTCATTTGTTTCATATCCATTCGACACATTAAGGACGAGGTTTGTTGCTAACAAGGACAAGAAACTTTTCAATTTGAAAGATTCATGCAAGGATATATGGGTCCATGAAGGTGTGAGGGGATTTTACAACGGATGCTTGACATCAATGGTTACTTTCACGTTGGCTAGTGGCATAATGTTTAGTACATACGAAAGTATAAAAGTGTATAGTGAAAATAGGTTGAGTAATAATAATAATAGGAATAGTAATAGTAATAGTGGTGGTGATGGTAGTGACGATGATGACAGGACGAGGTTGAATCGAGTATTGAGTTCCAGTGCCAGTACGATCAGTGCAGTAGCATCTAAGATTATGACTTTCCCCATTGATACGGTTAGACGTAGAATTCAGTTACAAGATTCTATTCATTTGAACAAATTTTTCAAAACGGACCAAGATTTGAAGATATATAGAGAGTATCGGTGTTTGAAGAAAAGCAACACAAGGGGATCGAATTTCATCAAAATATCGGTATTGATGGTCAAAAACGAAGGCATTCGATCTCTATACAAAGGACTGATGATTGGGTTGTGCAAATCTGTACCAGCCACTGTTGTTAGTCTCTGGACATACGAAAGAGTGATGAATCTCGAAGAATTGATAAGTAAACAGATGTAAAAAAAAAAAAATTATTCAAAAATGAGAAAAAAAAAAAGAGAACATGGCACGTGTCCATCCGTACACCCTGACAGGTTCTAGAAATTGCATTTTTTGTTTTTTGTTTTTTTTTGGTCTCTGTGTGTGGGTGCATGGGTGTGTGGATGCATCTTCTCCTCTTTTGGGTCTTCCCTTACCCCTCTTTATTTTTTTTTTTTGTTTTTGGTTCTATTTTTACTTTTTTGTTTTGTTTTCTTGTGCCTGCTTTTAAATTTCTGGGCAGTGAGAAAAACAAAAACAGCCAGAAAAAAAGAAAGAAAATAAAATCAACAAAGTAAAAGACAAAAAAGAGAAAAAAATTTTTTCTCTTTTTTGTTTTCAATGGATGACTACATTTTTGCTTTTTTGTTTTTGTTTTTTTGTCCATTTATTTATTTCGAAATCTTGTGACTTTCGGGATTTGGTGACTTTTGCCCTTGCTTTGGTTTTCTTGAATGGAGGAGAAGATTAGAAAAGGGTGAGATTTTTTTACTCATCTCAATTATCTACGTGTCTATGATAGATATAGATATATATATATATATATCTATATCTATCTATTTGGGTGTGTGTGTCTGTTGTATATTACTTTTTACATTTTATACTTTGCATGCGGTACATCTGTTACCCTCTATATATATCACTCGTCCCTTTTTTACAACAATATCTATCACATCTTGTTTTCTTTCTAGTACATAATATATATATGTGGATCTGATATCCCGCTACTCTTTATCTAATTTCTTACATAGTAAATAACTCTACTATTTCTAACAAACTCAAATATATCTATATCTATATATACATACACATATGCGTATGTGTATATTTGTTGTATAGTGTGCAAGAACATTCCTTCCTGTCTCATATAATCTCAAAAAACAAAAATATAAAAATAGACAGAAAAAAAAAGAAAAATAGAAGAAGATAACTTATAGACATTCAACGTATTTTTTTTTTTAAACGTCCTCCCTTTCCCCTTCTCCTCTCCTCTCCCCTCCCGCTATTCTTATTTTCATCCTTTTATTTATAATAAATCAAAAAAAAAAAGCGATCATTAAATTAATAGGATAGGGAGAAAGAATAGATAAATAACATAAAATAACATAAAATAAAATACTCTTGAAGATGTCTGATTATTTTAGTGTTAAACCCATCCCAAATAACCCACTCGACTTAAATACCCCCGATAGTGAGTCTGCCACTGTCTCAAATAATTTAACTGCTATTCCTAATACCACCACTACTACCACAACTCCTTCAACTATCCCTTCCACTACACTTGCCATTCCTAAATACCAAGATGATACCGATGCAAAGTCTATTCAATCCTCCCAATACTTAATGGAAATGTTACCAGATAACCTCACCATGACAAGAGAACCCTCCGTTATCACCTCCAATACCACTATCCCCAACATCAGCATCAGCCATGCTAATACCTATAGCTACTCTTCAAAGGATTTGATCCTGCCAAAAACAGATTTTAGATCCCCATATTACATTTCCGTGCCCATCCCTAATCCAAACGCAAAACCACAGAAGTCTTTGTCTAATATGGACAACAACGACAACAACGATAACGAAGAGTATTTCGTCAGAGAATACCCAACAGATATCCTGATAGATAGGTTCCATAAATGGAAAAAGATCCTCAAAGGCTTGATCGGCTATCTAAGAGAAATAGCTTATTCACAAGAACAGTTCGCTAGAATCAACACTCAACTGAAAAGTTCTGTTAAATTTCATTTCTTGACTGATATCGAAGAAGGTTCCAACAGATTGATCGACCCTTTGACTACTATTAAACCTGTCAGGAAACAACAACCTAAGACTATCGCACAACAAAAAAAAATGACTGATTCCTCAAAACAACAACAACAACAAGAAAATGAAACTTTTGATAATACGTATAACAATAATGCTAATAATATTACTAATAATATGGATACGTATCATAATAATAATAATAATAATAATAATAACACTAACGAATACCCCTTTGAATATGACATATTAGCCACTTCTGGGTTTATGAAATTTGGTTCCGGATCGATCCAAGATATCCAAGTCGTATTGAAAAAACATCATTTGGCTCTAGCAAACCATCAATTGAAGATTTCAAAAGAAATCTCAACTGTCATTATCCCTAAACTGGAATCCCTTAGAAAGGATCTGGGCTTCAAAATTAAAGAAATTAAAGAATTGCATAGTGATTTCAAGACTAACATGAATCATCATCTTGATTTAACACATAAATTGCTACATAAATATATTGCATCTGTCAAATACATGAACTCCATAACAAAGAAGAAACAACAAACACAACAAACACAACAAACTGATTTGACTGCTTTACAACCAAAACATGACCCATACTTACTCAAATTACAACTGGACTTACAATTAAAAAGACAAATTGCAGAAGAAAATTATTTGCAAGAAGCTTACATCAATTTGCAATCCTCTGGTATGAAATTGGAAAAAATCATTTACTCAAAGATTCAAAATGCTTTACAACGTTATTCTGCCTTAATTGATTCTGAAGCAAGACTTACCATCAAAAACCTATGTCATGAACTACAACAAGGTATGCTATCCAAACCACCAGCCATTGAATGGGATCATTTTGTAAACCACCACCCAACATGTTTAATCAACTGGAAATCTAATGATCCCTTACCTACCCCAAGAAAATTTTCTGATATCATTTATCCAAATATGAAAACATCTTTTGCTAAATGTATTAGAGCAGGATATTTTTATAAAAAATCAAATTTTTCAAAAGAATATAGGAAAGGCTATTTCGTGTTAACTCCAAATTACCTCCACGAATTTAAAAGTAGCAATTTTTACAAAAACAACAATACTACTGCTGCTCATGCTAATACTGGTGCTGCTACAGCTGCTGTTGCTAATCAATCATCTGGTAATATTACAGGTTCCAGTTCCAACCACAAATCTTCTTCTACTCACTCTTCTTCAACTTCACTAGCACAACAAGATATAGCAACAAATAATACCTTATCGTATACTGGACAACAAACACAACAACAAAACCAGCAACCTTCTTTGACACCAATTATGAGTATTCCATTAAATGATTGTTCTTTGGTCAAAGTCTCTGACCATCATTTTACATTAAAGGGCAAAGCTATCTTTATTGATTCCATAAATAAAACCAAAAATCCATCTTTAGCTAATGCATATAACAATTCTTTTGTTAGTTTATCAACTAGTATGAGTAGCAATTCATTGTCAAACAGCAGTTCCAGTTTAGGTGCTACTACTCCAAATAAATCTTCAATGCTAAGTAAAAAATCCAGATTTTCTAAACTATTAAATCCTGGTAAGTCCAGACAGCTAAAACAGGAAAAACAACAAAGATTATCGGAACTACAACAGGAAACATCAATCAAAGAACAAGAATCAAAGAATATTGTTACGTGGGTATTCAAAACATGTAATGATGAACCAGAGGATTCAAATGAAAAACACTTTAAAAAGTGGGTTCAAGATTTAAAACACTTATGTTCATATAATACAACAAATGAAAGAATGCAATATATTGAAGAAAAACTATGGAAGAGTCATTTACATAGATCTTCGAAATTAATGCATATGACGAGTGGCATGAGTTCTCCTAATATTAACGAATATAATGGTTCAACTGGTAACTTTGAAACCTCTTACTCCACTGTACAATTAATGGAAAATGCAATGAAGAATTCTAATGCTAACAACAACAATAATAATAGTCTAACTAAACCCCAATACATTTCTATCAATAATACACCAATGTTAAATGCTGAATCGTCTTTTAGATCTAAAATTAATACACCTGCCATTGATGATAATGGTAATTTAGTTACTATGGCTGAAAGGAAGAGTTACTCATTCTCACCAAATCATTCTTCTACATCAGATCTTTCAACAACAGCCAACAATGATCAACCGTACCTATCTACACAACAACAATGGCAAGCCCATCCAAATTTACCAACTGTGATTACACCAACAGGTAGTTCAACGAGCACGAGGTATGGTCATCATCAAAGAAATGTTTCCTTACCAGTTTCTCTTGGACAAATGAATATAGTTAATTCACCGGCAAGTGTTACATCAGAGGTTAGCGGCTATTTTGCCATACCCGTGAACAGAAGTTCTAATGAACAATTACCAAATGCAATGACACCGCCATTATCTAGAACTACTTCACGTGGTGCAAGTTCAGTTAACATCAATAGATTACCAAAAGTTAGGCTTAATAATCAGGATATGAAAGATAATTCAAACAGACCAACCATCAAAGAAAATGCTAGTACTGGAAGTTTACCTTCTTTAAATAAACAAAATACCAATGAATTGTATCAGAGAACTAATTCCAGTGCTACTAATTTACAAACACTTCAAACAAGTAGAGTACATCCAATACGTAAACATAAGAAAAATGTGTCTTTCACTTCATTAAACAGTTTAATGTTTGCAAAAAAAAGTGGGTCAAATCATGCATTTACAGGAAATCAATTTATTGGAGGTGGAATCCGCGAAGATGATGATGACAATGATTCTGATAAACCAAATCAACCAGCTCTAAATGATAAAATTAAGTTGAATCAATCAATATACTCATGATTAATAAATATATTTGATAGACATTTTTACTTTTTTTGTATTTATAGACAAACTTTATTATTTTTTTATATTTAAGAATATGAATTAAATATATTATTATGATCATCTTTACACACACTTTTTTCAATATATGACAATCGACTAGTATTTATGTAGGACAAACTGACAGTTGGAAAGAAAAAAGGAAAGTAATATAGTATATATATATATATATATATATACATAAACATGATTATCACTTTATTTCCCATATTTCAAGTAGGTTATCCTTAAAAATGCGATTATCAATGAATAATACCTAATTTTACTGTATTTGTTTCACTTGAACCATTACATAATATAATATTTACATAATGACGTTCTTGTATAGGGTAGTTTCAAAGAGTATCACAGTATCTCTTTTCTTTCTTGGCTTCTAAATCGAATCACCTATTTTAAAAAAATGACCCATACAATGTAATAAACCACCATCACTACTAATTGTATTGCTATTGCTATTATACTCATTATGATTTTGAGAAGGCAGTATTTCTAAGACTTCACCTACCCAAATCTCATGATCTTCAACTTTAAAGACGTCTTTGGATAGACATATTAAAATTTTCCCCGTATTTTTTAAAATGGGTAGCATTATATTAGGTTGTGAACTGAAAGATACACTATCATAACATATATAATCCTTATTCTCGATCAGACAAGAAAAAGGTCTTGTCATTTTATCTTTTATTCCTCGACTAAACTGTTTGGCCAAATTAATATTAGTTTCCTTAGGTTCCAAGAAATGGATGGCAAAAATTTTATTCTTTTTAATGTTTGCTGATGTGCCCGAAGGTGTTTTAATGTTAAATTGAATCAATGGTTTGGGGTTGATTGAAAGCGATGTCATAGATGATATTGTGAGACCATGAAAATCTAAGGGTTTTGTACCTTTCGGAATAGCCGACGTTACAATCATAGTTGGATATGACAAAGTCCTCATAACTTGACGAAAGGCTTGTGACATCTTCTGTTACGGTATCACTGGTGACCAAGTATTTACTTATCAAACAGATATACTTGAATGAAAATATTTTTTTCTATATATTAGTTGTAAATCTTGACAGGTAGGGATTGAACTAAAAATATAGCTGGAACTGTAAGATGTTGCCACAACTCTATCAAATATAATTATATTTCTTCTTCCTATTCTTTCTTCTCCTCATTTTTTTGGTGTTGTCTTTATCCTTTAACACATCTCGAAGAACTGATCTTTTCTTTACTTTCTTCAATTTAAATTGAAATTTTATTGCGGTCAAAAGTGAAGATTCAGAATATTTTTAATGCAAAATACTGATATAACTGCCTTGGACAATTTAGAGGAAATGAGAATTAGATCTAAAAAGGGATGAAAACGGCCTATGAGATTGAAGTAAATATGTAAAACATTTGTATGAACAATAAATATATGGATATATAAAGGAGCCTGTATAAATATTTTTAACAGAATTGTACTGGTAAACCATATACAACTGGCGCAGCACCATTTAAATATTTGAGATTGCAAACTTCTCTTGAATTAGCAACCGCGTAGGGGACATTCTGATACCCAGACACTTCTCCTTGCAAATTCTTATCGATACCAGTTTTCTCAAATAAACTTAAACTGAATTTGTCAATATCTTTATCTGTTACATCCCATAAATTTCCTAGAATTAACGGACTTCCAGCAATCAAGTAAGAATAAATGGGCCCTGTAGATTCCAATTTGCCGTAATATTTCATAGATGCAGAAGAACATCCTAATAAAAAAGTAGCAGCAATTGAATCACAACTTTTAATTTGTTTTAGTTTTAAATATTGTTCTCCACTTCCATGTCCGACATAGATAAAAATAACTGACTTTGTAATAATATCTAATAGATCAAGTTCGGTTGGTTTCTGATTTATTAATAATCTTGAATTTACTGTTGATTCAAATATTCTTGTAAACAAATCCTTGAAAGTTGTTTCTGTCCTAAGTAAATCATTGTTTGGATTTAATATCATCCCTATATTTTTTGTCAAAGAAAGTCTTAATGTTAATTCCATCTTATTTCTAATCAGTAACTGATCTAACATATTCAATGATGGTATTCTGGTAATAGACATATTTTTGAAAATGGGTAAACTTTCCCAAGGAAATGAATGGCAGGTACTACTAATCAATAGAAATATATGACTTTTCTCGTTTTTAGATCTTTGATTGATGCAGGCTTGAAATTTCAAGTTGCCTCTATATCTTCTTATAGCATCCGTTATTTGGATATGCATTTGTCCTATATCAATCTCATCATAGGCATTTTCTTCTCCCTGATATAGTAATATATCAAAGACAAAATATAAGAGATCTTCTAATTGAGAAATGTACAAAGAATCATTAGGGTTTAACTTTAAAAATAATTCTAAAATCCACTCTTCAATCTGCACATAACCGGTGTTATTACTAGTATGTTTTCTACTTGGTAAGAATTCATGCAAGATTTGATTAAACTGTTCCACAAATTCTATAAATAATTTTTTATCAATAACATCTGGGTTACAAAATCCTTTAAAGCCTCCAAACCAATTATTTGTAATCTTTTGTAACAAAATATCAAGTCTTTTGTCTAATTCGTATCTTTTATTCCACCACTTCCTCCGCTGTTCTACGGTTTTTATTGAACTTGTAACTTTACTTGATGTAGTCATATTATTCTGCTCAATTATATCCTGCATTTCTTTAAATCCACCCTGAAAAGAGAAATATTCTGAATCTAAATCTCTAGAATTGCTACCCTTTAACGGTATTCTTAACATTGTCCATTTATTTGATGCTGAAGAATATTTTGAAAGAATTATACTATCTGTAATTTTACAAATATCGAAAAATATCGCATTAAAATTTAAGGATGAATCTTCAAAATTGTAACGGGTATTCCATTTTGTATATTGAGCTATTTTTAAATTTTCAGTTAGTGGACACAAACCCACTTCATCGTAAATATTTTTATCCAAAGAACATAATTGTTTATCATAAAATAATGGTATATTTCTTGATAACTCAGTCAAATAAAACCAGTATCTTAAATCGTTTTGTAACAATTCCTGATCACTAACAATATTAAAATATATGGACAATACTATCGAATACAGTGAAGAAAGTTTTCTTAATTCAATATTAGAAACCTTGTCGATGCTAACATCTTTTATATTATCGATAATGTCCTTTAATCTTCTTGTAACAATAAATCTATCGAAACCTTGTCTTATATTTTTGGATTTGGGGATCATATTAGATGATTTGGGTGATTCTTTATCAGAAGTTACATGACCTATAATATATTCATTTTTTAATAAAGGCTGATATTTTGATTTACTAATTGCAGTTTTCGATGAGGGTAATGCAAGTGTGGATTCAAATAGTGTTCGAAGAAATGGATCAGCTTCTATATTTTTTAATAAATTATTATATTTTGTCTGAATTTTATTCAAAAAATTCGTAACTGTGTGCTGAGGTCTACATATGGAATCATCAATAAACTCACCAATTTTCAGCCTCCAATAATTTTCTAAAAATCCATAATCTTCTTGTGCACTAGGAATGTTCATAAAGTATGACTTCAATGATTCAATTATTCGAGAATATTCATTGTTTAAATAAAGATATTGACATAATGTGTGGATATCATAATTACTTTGTATGTGTTGAAATACATTATTAATTTTTTTTAATGTAGATATTCTTAAAGTTTCCTGTTCAGTAATAGTGTAGAATTGATACAAGCAATCGAAACCCTGGAATATCAAAGTAGGTTCATGGAGTGTAGGTAGTACTCTGGATAATTCATTTGTATAATAACTAGCTTCTTTAGCAAGACCAAGTGAGCAAAATATATTAATTAGGTTCTGAAAAGAAAATATGATGCAACGAAGAATGGACAGTCTAAAAATTTGCGAGAGTTTATCTACTTTTTTGATTAAAGATACAGAAAGTCTTAAAGCTTTTTTAGCCTCTATTACTGATTCTATAAAACGGTTCTTGTTAAAATAAAATTTGGAAGTTGCAGCATGTAAATGAATATTAAACAACAATATTTTGATATAATGTGATACTGCCATTTTTCCCTGATTATGAATATCGTATAATTCTTGATATTCCTGTGGAATAATAATGCAAAAAAGTTCTTTAAATGAGTTAAAATCATTTTTCCAAGTATAGAGCTCAATATATGTCTCCAAATAAGTAAGCCGTTCATTAAAAGATAATAACTTTAGCAAATTTTCATCAAGTGGATAATAAGCATCACAAATTTTGTCTAATTTGGATGTATACTGTAAAGACACTAGAGACCGAACCATCCACATTTCTGAATAACTTATCAATAAATGATAGTAGTCTTTGTGAGCTTGTATTAATTCATATAGCTCCAAAATAGGTCCATAAAATCCACAAATGTAAAGATATTGTAGCAAAGTTTTAATAAAAATATTTTCTAAAGATGATATTGTCTTATCATGTTTTATGCCTTGATTTGACCATTTCTGAATATAATTTTTTGTAATGTTATACAAATTAACTGTCTGATGTTTATCCATTTCAAGATTTAAATAATATATCAATTGTAGTAATACCTGATATTTGTATAAAAAATGATATTTCATACATGCAAAGTTTGATGTGTAATCGTGAATAATTTTTGAATTCCCTAATAGACTACTGAAAAAAAGAATATTAATAGATGACCAGCTTTGCAAAATATTTTCTCTAGTGATATTTTGGCTACTACAAAAGATAGAAAGCTGAATTTCAGAAGCATATTGAAGTGAGACTAAAATGTTTGTGGTTTTCAATTTTCTCAAACGCATACAAATAGATTGACAAATTTTAATAAGTTGTGTTAGTGATTCAATATTACTTAGAAAATAAAAACTGTAAACTCTTTTAAACTTTTCTGTTTGCGTATTGGGATCTGGAATAAGACATAAAAATTTTATTAATTTTAGGAATGTATCATCTATGTTTTCAATTTCAGGAAAAGTCAAATATTTAATGATTTCATAATCAACAGCATTAATAATAAACTGTGCATTTTTAGAAAACACAAAACTGTTATAACTGAGGTTTATTATATTCGTTAATCTTTTAACATCTAAGGAAAGAATGCATATATCTTTTAAATACGAAAGTACACTAAGAATATGATCTGTTATGTGTTTGGAATACTTTAGGTTAGAATTCAAAAATATCAATGTTTGATCAATCAGTGTTGATTTTTTCTGATCACAAAGATAGTTACTTTGAAGTATAGCTTTCCAACAGATTTCTAAATGATGCACTTTTTCAGACAATGATATTTTTTTATTTGAAAGAAAGTTTTTATAAATGTTATAGATTGAGTCATGTGTTTTTTGAGAACTTAGTGCCTGTAGTATAAAATTTTGATCTCTATTTAAAAACTTGGTCAAATGATCTTCAGTTAAACCTATTTCTGTTTCTTTTCTTTGGAAAACACAATCTTGTAAATCAGAATTCGTACTCGTGATATCAAAATTAATATAAAATGAGTTGAAATATTTTTTTATGCAAGATAAGTCATTTGTTCTTCGAGCATAAATTGGTAGTTGTTTTCTAAAGGTTTCTGAGTTCATATTTTTGATATAATCTTCAAATTTTAAATTAAATTTATCAATATATTCCAAAAATTTCATCCCAAATAAAATTTTTGCATTTGGTAATATAGTAAACAGATTCAAAAGTATTTTAATTGCTGCATTTTGTTTTAATTGAGAGCATCTTAAAAGATATCTTTTATCAAATGCAAATAATGTTAGAATTTCTTCTTGATATTTTTGTGTTTGTCTTGTTTTAAGAAAGAATTGTAAAATAATTATTTTCAATGTGGAAAGATAATAATTGTTATTGAATGTGAAATCTTGTAATAATATTTCTTTCATACTGCTAACTTTGAATAAATTAGTTTCATTGAATAACAATAATGTATGCTTTTCTACTTTAGACAATATTTCAATTTTCTTACTTATTAATAATTTCCCAATAACTGTCAAATGTTGTCTCACGATCTGCTTTATCAACAGAAAAGAATGAATATTCCTTGCAAAGGAATAATTTTTTTGAAATATTTCATATAAAGATGGTAGAATGTCTAGATTAATATCATCTTTATTTTCTGTGAATGAATTTAATGGCTCATTAAGACTTATATATTGTGCATCATCATAATAATTGATGCCTGATGTATAAAGGTTCTCCTTATTTGAAGCACAAATAGATGGAATTTTAGATAATGCAGGGATTATAGTTGGAGATTTAGATTTAAAATCAGTATTATGTTCAATTTCATTCAAAGCACTTGCATTTTTTGACATCCTTTGCAATGAATAAAAACTTAAAAACAAAATAGTGTGTACTAAATCTTTGGAAGGCAATTGAATCTCGAAAGTCTTTAACAAAAATACAAACTTAAGTGCAGTAAATAATACCAACTATTGTACTGTTTTTTGTCTTTCTATCCAAATCAAAACAAACCACAAGAACAAGTCATGAACTTAATCTCCTTATATATTTAGTTATCTTTTTTTTTTATCTTTGTTTCTTTTAATGAAATTCGATGTTTTTCCATTTTGGGACAATCATCATTTCCAAAAAATTGATTTCTTCGACAATTGCCATTTAAAAGAATGGTGAGTATAAAAGAAAAGATAGAAAATATTAATGTTATTCATACCATTACAAAAATTGTTCTTTTAGCTTTACAGAAAATGAAAATAAAACCATTCAAGACCGTGAATAGTTTTATTGTTTGGAAGGAAAAAAAAATAAAGTAGTCTGACATTTTCAAATTAATTAATACGCATGCTTGTAAGTTCGCAAATAGCTACATACTAACACATCCTAAGAAAAATAGATAAAATAATAATAATAATAATAATAATAATAATAATAATAATAATAATAACAATAATAATAATAATAATAATAAATGTCTTTATTTGGAGTATTGAAAGGAGGTCCTAGTGGTGATATTATTGATAATACGTTAAAAGATTATTTTGCGAATGATATTACTCAGGCATTAATACTAGAGGATAAATTGATAATTATCAAATATTTAGTACCATTGACACCAACTTTTCAGGTCAGTACATTAAATTACATTTTTAGATTATTTAATAATGATTCATTATTGTTATCGCAATTGGTACGATTTACTTCTGAGTTAGAACCTTGTAGGAAAGAAAGATTATTATATGAAGAATTCCTTATAAAATATATTTCAAAGAATCCATCTATACTATACAATTATATCGCATCATTACCATTAAAACATAACATGTTGCAAAAAAATATTATTAAAGCAATGTTTTTTGGAAGTCAAATTTATAATGTTTTATATAAAGCAGAGAGTGATTTTACGATTTTTCAATATATAGAAATATTAGTTGATCACTGGGAACATATTTTTGAGAAATTAAATGATGATAAAGATTTTAAATTTTGGAATATTCTTGCAGATTTTTTAAGTCGATGTTTTTCATTTCATCCCAAATATGTACCTTCTTCTATGGTTGATCACATTTTTTTTAAGCATTCTTCAAATTTTCAAGTATTATTAAAAATTTTGAGTGAAGGATCTCTACTAGAAAGATCTAAGATTATTGGGACTTATATTTTACCTCATTTGGAATTGAAATGTTCATCACAAAACTATAACACAATCTATAAAATTATCAAAAGAATTTTTGACCTCGACAACCAACATTTACCCATTAACTTAGAAGTCCTTTTATCCTTTAAATCATTATACTTTCAAGAGATATTAATTAGATCAATGGCTAATAACAAAAATAAAAAACTAGAAGTACTTGGAGATTTACTTGAGCGTTTTGAAGATATTTCAAATAATTCAGATTCATTTGACGAAGAAGTTATTAATGATAAAGATGACCGAATTTCAAAAATACTTTTCATAGCTTTGAAATATAACTTCTCTAAAGAAGAAAGATTTGAATTATCACAAAATGAAAAATTTTTGAATTGCGTCACTTCTAGACTTCAGAATAGAAATACTGCTATAAGAGAGAGAACAATGTTTTTGGCTAAATATTTAACAGCTAACGAATTAAAATATGAGAGTGACTATAGGATAGATATTCCTGATTTAGTATTACTAAACGACATTGCAGAGATCAATTTTTCAGTATTGTTTAATTCCAATACTGAAAATAAGAGAAAACTTCAAACTAATGAAGTGACAAAAATTTCAACTGAGATGGACATTTTATCATTAGAAGATAGTGATGATGAAGATAGCGATGATGAAGATGAGGATGAAAATAATAATAGAGGTAAGCACAGAAAATATATCGTATTTTTAAAAGATTTATTAAAGGAGTACATTGAACTCAACCAAAATCAAAGAAATGATTTAGTATCATTATTAAAAAGAACTGTTAAATTGGTTAGACAAAAACGTTTATTACCGCTGGAGGTGAGTTATTATGCTGAAGAATTAATGCAAAATATTGTCATTTTGAATAACAATTTTGAAGAAAAAAATTTTGAACAATGGAGAATAATGGCATTGATAAGTTTAATAGTTGTCGTCCCAGATAAGATCGATGGGCTTTTCAAGATTTTATTCAACGCAGAACTTTCTTTACAGCAGAGAATGTCGATATTAAGTAGCATAGGGTTAGCAAGTAGGGAACTTCGTGGAATAGATGATAAAGAAGTATTAAAAGCTGAATACGACTTTCCATCTAAAAGATTACCATGGGACAATAGAGACGTCATAAATACGTCTGAAAAAATTGACGATATAACTAATATGGAAAATGATCAAAATAATTTGATTTCTTCTAGCACAGTGACATGGAGATCTAAGAAGCTTGATATAATTTCTGGAAAGCAGATGTTAAAGAAAAAGAATGAATTTCGTATATACGCCAGTAAATTTTTCTATCCCTTAGCCAATGGTTGGCTAAATGGGATAAATTTAGGGTCATATGATAAAATCTTCAAAGCACATTATATGGCAACATTAAGAATTGTTTACTCGTGTGCAGATCCAATACACAACTATGAATTAATGACACAAATGATGGAGATAATTATAAATCAAGCAATTGAACAAAAGGTACCTATAGATGTGTAGTCTAGATATATATTTATATATATGTTATTGTAAGGCTATTCCCAATTCCATCCAAATTCTCATAATCCTAAGCAAGAGTGCTTTTGATTACTTTCTATTACCGTGGTGAAAGATATGTAAGTTCCTTTTAAACCGAGAAAAAGAAAACGGAAAAAACGTTTGAAAACTTTTGAATCCAAGATTGGAATAGTTTAACATTGTGCACCTTAGAAGATATGGTAATTGGGGTTATTGAGCAAGGGAGAATAAGTAGACTTATTTCAAGTGAATGTCTTGGTTTAAGTCTAAAAAGCAGGGATTGTTTGGTGTAGCTTTTCACATTTCGAATTTTTAATAATTCAATCCAAAGCATAAAAAGGGTCGAAACACATTTATAGACCGTTAAATTATCAAAAAAATAAGGAAGGGAGGGAAAAATAATATAAGGAGAAAATTTGTTTATAAACAATCTTCATTTCTTCATCACCTTATATTTATTTTGTTTCATCTAACCTATATTCTCTTTGTGTGTTCTGACTTTATATAATATAGCATTGAATAAGAATGTCTTTTTTCAATACATTAAGACAGAAGGCTTCTTTCATTGATAAAATAACAGAAAGTTTCGGTAGTACAATTAGCAGGGATGAAAAATTCAAATTAGCTTATAAGCTACCGCCAAATGAAAATATTCAAGATGATATTAATGCAGATGTCTCCTTTGTTAGCATTTATGATACGAATGAAAGTAATAAGCATTCTGTAATAGATTTAAAACACAATCCCCGAGAAAAGGTAGCATATGTATTCTCTGGTAGAATCTATTTAACCCCACATTATCTTGTCTTTAAGGATACAATAGATGGGAAATCTTGCGAGATGATTCTTAATATCTCCACAGTCAAGAAAATGGAAAGATCACCATCGCCTACTTATGCTTTTGCATTAGTGATCACTTTATATTCAGGAAGTCAAGTTATTATCCAATTTATCGGACTTCAGTATAGATCGGAACAATTCTGCGAGCAATTGAAGAAGAATTTAAAGGATAATATTCCAAAGGCAAGACTATTATCTGAATTCTTAGATACATGTTACTCAGAATTCATTATAAATAAGAACGTATTGAGAACTCCAAATGTACATCCACCTAAAGCTGGTCTGGGGCAAACATTTAAATATCCAGGCACAGTCGATTTAATAAAAGAAAAAAGAAAATTGAAAATGTGGTTTGATTATTTTAAATTAAATGGTCAAAATATAGCTATAGTGAAGAATCCAAATTTTCAAAAATTAGTCAGAATTGGATTACCAAATAGAATGAGAGGTGAAATATGGGATCTTTGTTCTGGAGCTATGTATTTATGTTATGCTAATGATGGTATTTATAATAAAATATTAAAGGATAATCAGGGTAAAACTTCTCAAGCTATTGAGGAGATTGAAAAGGACTTAAAAAGGTCTCTTCCAGAATATTTGGGTTATCAAACAGAAGAAGGTATTCGGAGGTTAAGAAATGTCTTAACTGCCTATTCTTGGAAGAATCCAGATGTTGGTTATTGTCAAGCTATGAATATAGTCTGTGCTGCACTATTAATTTACCTCACAGAAGAACAGGCGTTTTGGTGTCTTTGCAATATATGTGATATTTATGTACCTGGTTATTATTCAAAGACTATGTATGGTACACTGCTGGATCAAAGAGTTTTTGAATCATTTGTTGAGGAAAAACTACCAGTCCTCTGGGAATATATTGTTGCTCATAACATCCAATTATCTATAGTGTCTTTACCTTGGTTTTTATCTTTATTTTATACGTCAATGCCATTAGAATATGCCATAAGAATCATGGATATGTTTTTCATGGAAGGTGCAAAAACTATTTTTCAAGTTGCATTGGCTGTTTTGAAGATTAATGCAGAGGATATTTTACAAGCAGATGATGATAGCATGTTCATTGTCATCATTAAGAACTATTTCAGAACATTAGGTGAAAGTATTCATCCAAATTCGCCAAATATTAGATATAGACAAATTACAAAATTCCAGCAATTATTAGTAACATCATTTAAGGAATTTAGTGTTATCACGGACGAAATGATTGCACAAGAAAGGAATAGATATAAAAAGGAGATCTTCCAAAACATTGAAACGTATGTGAAGAAAACACAATTGCGTCATTTACCAAGAGTATTCCATCTAACAGATGAGAATTTATCTAATGTTTACGATATTTATTATCAAAGTATTGAGACACATAAGATCAGTATGGGTATAGGCTCATCAAACATGACTTTTGATGTCTTTGTTCAGTTTATGGCTAAGCTCTGTGAATGGGCAAAGCCAATAAATGTAGAGACTAACCCTGCATTCAATAAACAAAGAACGACTTTCTTAAAAATTTTATTTCAAAAATGGGGTACATCTAATTTAAACGAATTGACTTTAAATGATGTGGTAGTCGGTTTGGATAGATTAATGACTAGAGATCTTTTAGAATCTATTAATTATTTTTTTTCTTTATACGATAAAGACAATGATGGAGAATTACAAAGAGAGGAGGTTCTTCAATTGTCTGAAGGGCTACTACTTTTAACAGAACCGTGGAAAAGTGGGAGATTAGTTGATATGTTAACAAAGAGAGCTATAGAAGATAATATTGCTGAAAGAATTGCTCAAGAGAAACTTAAAGACATTCAAGATGATAAGCAAATAGAATTACCAACAACATATGAAGTTGATGAACTAAAATATAAAACAGAACAGTCAGAGCGTTATTTGCAGGCTGCTAGTAGTTTCTTACAAAGATCTTTTGAATATGCAAAGACAGTGGACCTGTCCAATAAGATTGATCTGATAGATTTATCAGATAATGATGAAGATTCTGATAAAAAATCTAAAGATAAAGGGAAAATATATGAAAGTTTAAAGGCGAATGTAGCGCTTGATCCAACGCATCCGAAAGTTTTAGATTTAGCAAGCTTTAGAATGATAATATTAGCAGATGAAACATATGAATTGTTCTTTGCTAAGACATTACGATCATCTATTTACGTTAATAAAGATTATAGTGCTGATGTTAGTAACAACAGTAGAGGAAATGCTCTGCGGTGTATGCTTGATGGAATAGTTGCTGATGGTAGGAGAGTTGCTCAACAGGTACGTCTTCGTGTAGATTCTGTGACATCAAGAGGTGGGTCAGCAGCAGCATCAAGTGTGGATCATTCCATGCAAAGTTCGACAGAGGTAGCAAATTCATCCTATGATGATATAGATGATTTTACTAATGATGGAAATGAGGCTACTCATACACACATAATGGATGTAATGAGTGACGATGAAGAAAAGGGTGCTCTTCTAAAGAATTCTTGGTTGGATGAAGAAATAAGCAATGAAACACCGAACTCTGAGTTGACAGATGGACCAAAGAAAAGACCGGTGAGTGTGATTGTTCCAGATGGGCAAGTACATTTGATTGACTTTGAAGAGTAATATTTGAGATTAAAGATATAGTTTCAAATGACTAACTAAGGTTTCGATCCACAGTAATATTGTAAATCAAATATATACATAGAAAAATAAATTCCTGTAGTTTTACTAATTGAAATCATAAACTATATAACACATACTATTTTCTGTATGTAATATTCCTTTTTAGTTTGAAGGTAATGATTGTTAAAGGAGAGCTATACACCTCAAAGTCATCTTACTGTTTGATCCATCTATAGTTCTCAAAGTAAGTAATACTTGTCAGTTCAATTTAAAGATATCGTTAGTTTCCCTTTACACGTCAAATGATTCCAAACATTATTTCCTGGAGAATATTTCTCTCAAAACAATCAAAAAGAAAAATATCATAGCGAACGAAACGACCTGTAAAACTTCATTGTACGAAGATTCTAACACACAAATGCACACACAAGTAAAGGTACACACATAGGTAGGTAACCTACATTGAGACATAACTTTATATCAATATATTGTGAATACACATGGGATACTATAAAATTTGATCTTTTCAGTTGCACTCAGAAATATACAGTTAGATTTAATTTGTTATTATAATATATTGTAACTTTATTTTTCCTGCACAGAAATAATGTTGCCAATCAATTATGTACTATATTCGGATACAAAACGAAAGTTATTATTGAAGCCGATTAAAACATTGGCATGTAATCCTATGTTAAATAAAATTAAACCCTTCAGTATACTGCATCTTCCACCCAATCGTCTCATAAAACAACAACAAAATAAGATAACGTGTAATAGTCATAGCTTATTATACCTTCAGGTACAAAACCCTTTAAGAAACTTTAGTACGTCTATAATAAGAAAAGCTAGCTGGCAAGATGATGTGGCTGATAGATATACTCGTTTGAATAGGTTTCAACAATATCAACAATGTGATTATTATAACAATAATCATAGATCCAGCGATTCATTAGGTAAACTTACAATTATTGGTCTTGCTGCTATGACAGGGATATTTATGACATCAAACTTACTATTCGAGTATGTTCCTCCTTTCACGTATTTTCGGAATAAACCTAAGGATTTAGTTTACACTATTTTAGGGATTAATATAGCTATATTTGGTTTATGGCAATCTCCAAGATTAGTGCCTTTCCTTCAAAAGTATATGTTATTACAAAAGGGTCAATTGATGAATAAATGGTCTCTTATTACTAGTGCTTTCTCACATCAAGAATTCTGGCATTTAGGTATGAATATGTTAGCATTATGGTCCTTTGGCACAACTTTGGCTACTATGTTAGGATCAGCGAACTTTTTGTCACTCTATATGAATAGTGCTATTGCAGGATCGTTATTCTCTCTGTGGTATCCAGTTTTGGCCAGAATATTTACAGTCAGTCCAAGTCTAGGAGCTAGTAGCGCATTGTTTGGTGTTTTTGGTTGTTTTTCTTATTTGATACCAAATGCAAAAATATTATTATTTATTTTCCCTGTTCCAGGTGGTGCCTGGGTGGCATTTTTGGCTTCGATTGTATGGAATGCAACTGGATGTGTTTTAAGGTGGGGATCTTTTGATTATGCAGCACACCTTGGAGGATCTGCCATAGGTGTTTTGTATGGCTGGTTGATTCAAAAAAAGATTGAGGAAAAAAGAAATAGATTAAACAAAAGATGGAGTGAATCATTATCAACATCGTCAAGATGGTTTTGAAAATATCAAATTAACTATTATACAAATATTTCTAGATTCAGATAAATACCCGTTATTGTTTTTTATCCACTATTTCTTATTGATTGCCTAGAGGATATTAGTATGTAAATAGTGGTAGGGTATAAATTATCCTTTGGGAATATAATTACATATTTACATAGATATGCTGTACATATTGTAGAACTAAAAATATATTATTTTCTATTTTTTATCTGTCCATGTTCTAAAACATAATAACCATTCATTGATTTTGAAGCTAAGGATGTTGGTTTCCATGAACCACTTATTTCACTTGGCCGTACGCTACCCTTTTGTTTTTCAATCAATTCCAATAAATTATCATATTTTAAAGATGTATTTTCACGTGGTAATAATCGTGCGTTATTTGTATCATAGAAAGTCTCTTTTTCGGTTAATTCAATATTTTGCAAGATATTAATGAATTGAATCTGCTTTTTAAGTGTGTTTCTAATCTCTTCTATATCAACATCCTTTTGGGATAATCCAGACAATTTCAATAATTTAAAAATCAGTTCATTGGATGGGTTAATAGCTTTTGATGATTTAGTTCCATTTGGAGTAGATTGATTGTCCAGTAATACTTTTTCACTATTCCAAAAGTTTGTTTCAAAAAATTTATTTATATCCTCCTGAGATTTAAACATAATACCTATTGTATTACTTTGAAACTTTGTTGAATACAACTGTCTCCTCCTCAGTATTTTTAAAAGTCGAATGGCAGAAAATTTCCTTAAGTTATTTGATGACATTGATTTGTAAGTATTCTCAATATTTCTTAATATTCACTAATAACTATCTTAGATCAAAATAGTTCAAATTTTCTCTAGTTACTTCATTTGAGTGGGTATGTTAACATAAGTAATTTCAAGTTTGAATAAAAAGTTTTTAAGTTTATAATTTCCTTATGCTTTTATTATTAAATCCAATTTTATAAATACTTAGAAGGTTTTGGCGCTATCAGAACTTAAAATCACGTGAAAACTTTTTTCTTATAACTTAGTACGAAAGGAATAAAAAAATTTTTTTTTGCAAGACAATTGTTAGAACCAAAAAGAAAGTTGCGATGAGATGAGCTTTGATAGTATAACCACATAAAATAAATTTTATTTGCATGGCATTTTTCATAGAGTGTTATTTGGTGAGTTGTGATTACATGTATATTTCAAGTTTGATAAATTTCCTATTTATTAGCTTACTTTCTTCTAAGGAAGGGAGACGAACAAACATTATATTTCAAGCTGTAGCCTTATAAAGATGAGAATTAAGAAGAAGAATACAAGAGGTAACGCTAAGAATTTCATTACTAGAACCCAAGCTGTTAAGAAATTACAAGTTTCTTTAGCAGATTTTAGAAGATTATGTATTTTCAAAGGTATATATCCAAGAGAACCAAGAAATAAGAAGAAAGCTAATAAAGGTTCTACAGCTCCCACTACTTTCTATTATGCCAAAGATATTCAATATTTGATGCATGAACCTGTTTTGGCTAAATTTAGAGAGCATAAAACATTTGCTAAGAAATTAACCAGAGCTTTGGGTAGAGGTGAAGTATCTGCTGCTAAAAAGTTGGAAGAAAACAGAAGCACATATAAATTAGATCATATTATTAAGGAACGTTATCCAAGTTTTCCAGATGCTTTAAGAGATATCGACGATGCTTTAAACATGCTTTTCTTATTTGCCAATCTACCTGCTACTAATCAAGTTTCATCAAAAATTATTCAAGATGCCCAAAGATTATGTAACCAATGGTTAGCATTTGTTGCAAAAGAAAGGCTAATTAGAAAAGTCTTTGTTTCTATAAAAGGTGTTTATTATCAAGCTTCTGTTAGAGGAGAAGATATTAGATGGATTGTTCCTTATAAATTTCCAGAAAATATTCCATCAGATATTGATTTTAGAATTATGGTTACATTCTTGGAATTTTATTCCACTTTATTGCATTTTGTTCTTTATAAGTTATACACTGATGCTGACCTAGTCTATCCACCAAAGATTGATTATGAAAAGGATAAGATAATAAGTGGTATAACTTCTTATATCTTGGAATCACAAAATGAAAAGAACAGTTTATTGAATCTTGATAATGATAATCAACCATCTTCTGCTCCTAAGAATGGTGACAAGGTAACTGTTAAGACATTAGATGATGTGACTTTAAAAGCTGCGATGACAGCAGATAAAGATTTTGTAAATGAACTAGATAGTAAAGGAGAAGAAAGGGAAGAGGAAAGTGTTGAAAATGTTGAATTAGACACATTTGAAGACAAAAGTAAAAATCCTGGCGATATATTAGCTCAACCATCTCAATATGACTCTCCAATAGCAACATTATTCTCAGACTTTGTATTCTATGTTGGTAGAGAAGTACCATTAGATATAGTTGAATTTTTAATCTTATCTGCAGGTGGTAATATTGTCAGTGAAATATCATTGGATCAATTGGAAAATAAAGATGATATTGATTTAACTAAAATAACACATCAAATTGTGGATAGACCAGTTTTAAAAAATAAAGTTGCTGGTAGAACTTATATTCAACCTCAATGGATTTTTGATTGTATCAACAAGGGTGAATTAGTGCCAGCGAACTTATATTTACCTGGTGAACCATTACCACCACATCTTTCACCATGGGGGGATGCTAGTGGCTATGATCCAAATGCAGAAGATGAGGAAAACGACAACGGAGAAAGCAGTGAAAGTGAAAGTGAAGTATCTGAAGAAGGAGATAATGATGAAGAAGCCAACAGTATTACTCTTAATAACGATGAAGATGAAGATGATGTGGAAGATCTTGCTGCACAAAAGGAATTGGAATTAGAAGCAAAAGGTATATCTTACAGTGAAGCCCACATGGCAGATGACACTAAAAATAAACAGGAAAAAACAAATAATAGAAAGAAGAGTAAAAAGTTGACTGAGGAAGAAGAAGAAAAAGAAATGAAGATGATAATGATGAGTAATAAACAGCGTAAACTTTACAAGAAAATGCAATATTCAAACGCAAAGAAGGTTGAAAAGATTGAGAATTTGAAGAAGAAAAAGAAGCAAATTGAAAAGACTAAGAAGAAGTTAGAGAAGCTTAATAAGGAAGATTAAAAATAAAAAAATAGAATTAAGAGGAAGTGATCATCTCTTTATCAAAGTTATATGTATACAATTTTTCAAATCAATTAATATGCATTAATACCTGTATAATAAATAAACAAGAATTATATTACCTACAATAAAACGTAGAAAATAAAAAGGAAAAAGAAAAAAAATAAAAAATGCACTCTTAGTCTCTCTTGTAAAATATGTATACATGTACATGCGTATATTGATGGTAGTAGATATTAGAGACCTTGATTTATTTATTGCATTCTACTATCCATAGATTTGCGATCTGGTATTTTTAGATCGACATAGCCTTGTAAATCTCTTTGTAAGTTGAGTAACTGTTGTTCACCACGATTGATTTGATCCAAATCTGTAGATTTATTTACATTTGTGTATGCTTTAATTAAATATCCATTCTTTGTGATTTGTTTCCTAGATTTAACATCCCATATTTTATATAATTCTAGAATGATATTGTGTTTTAAATGAAATTTAACACCTATAGTAATATATTGATAATCTAATATATAGTATAATTCGTTCATAAATTTTCGCAAACATGAATCCTTTCCTGATGTATTTAGTATGATTGATTCAGTAATTGTTTGCATTGAGACTTTCCGAGTACTCCCTGCTGCTGGGATATCAGAGATAGAAAATGCCCAATTATTAGATGTTGTGTTGAAGGATTTATGTTCTACAAGGTTATTGTTATTTATCGGTGTGTCTAGTTGATTATCTATAATTTTATCAATAAAAGTGTGATCTACTGGTAAATTATCTGTGTTTAATTGAGGTATTAAATTATAGTCAATAATTTTATCATCAATATTTGGTATCACTTCCAAAGGTAACTCTTTACTCACTTTGATCCTTGTTTGTTCAACCAGTTGGTTTTTAACATTAACAGTAGATATCTCATAATTTGGATCAGGTTTCCATATGGTAGATAAATTAGAATATATAATTGGAGCTGTACCAAATGAGGTGGTCATTGTGGCTAGAAAAAGATTATACGAACCATCGTCAATCGCACTGAAAAGACTTAACTGTTGAACCATATTTCTAGGATGGGTGTAGATATGTATCAGACTTAGCTGTCAATATGTAACTATTTCAATTGTTTTCATAAATCGGCTTGTGTAGAGTGTGTACAAAATACGTATATACCTTCTTAAATATGTTTCTTTGATTTCGAAGACCAAAAGTTTGTGAAGTTTTTACATTGCAGAAAAAAAAGAGAAGTTGGTCAAGGAAGGGAAAAGAAATTGAATGGAAGGTGAGAACTGTATTGGATGGAACCACAGTAAGGTCATTTCTACTAGCTGTTATCTTTAATAATCAGACAGTAGAATTAGCCATATCATTAATGAAATGTGGTAACTAAGTCGTTTATTGTTTATACGTGTATGTGTAATCATATATTTATAAAAGTTGGGTAAGGGGGGATAGGTTACAAGTATATATATAGTGGTGCTTGTATAGTGAGTAAATTTGTAGAAGAGGGAAGAGACAAACTCGTTTTTTTTTTTATATTGAGACCAGAATTACATTATTTGAATCATGGCAGTTGATGTTCCCCGTTCTGTGATAAAGAAATTGGTTATTGCAACTTTTTGTATGATAGCTTTGCCATTAGTAACTTTCTTTATTTCAAATAGTTATATATCCAACTCTATAATATCTGGTGGTTTGGCAGCTTTAGTAGCCAATGTTGTATTAATTGCATTTATTATAGTTGCATTTACCGAAGATATTAAGGTTGAGTCCAATGAAAAAAAACAAGCTTAACATTATTCATTTATATTATGTCTGTATATACGTATACGTGTGTATTTGTGTATATTTCAACAAATGAATAAATGAAGGGCATATCAAAGATGAAGGAAATACTGGTTTTATTATTAACACAGTACATAGTTTAACAAAAAATATAAAAATAGCTCGATAGTATGTATATATATATATATATATATATATATTTGTATAAGTTGATGTTTAGTGGATATATTTTTATAATAATAGCTTATATAATCTATCCTAACATTAATCTCTTATTGTGTCTTTTTTATTGGATTAGTTGGCTTTTCTAAAGCTGTATAACTGATTTCAATACTCATAATCCAGGATAAGGCAACTATTAGGATACCTAATAGAAGGAACGAAACAATTAAACACATGATTAACCCTTCAGTCCATATTTTACTTAAACCATCATCATTCTGTGTGTTATCTTGGTTTTCCTCTTTTTGTTTTGTCTTATCATTCATGTTATTATCACTATCACTATCCTCATAATAATTGTTTTCTTTGTTTTTGGTAATAGCTGTATCTAACTCTTCTAAGGATACGATATCCTTTGTATTAATCAAAATATCAATATTAATGTTTAAATATTCCTCTAAGAAAATGTATGCACTTTCAATGAAATCATTGATTTTAGAAATCTCATAATTTTTCTTTTGAAATTTAAACCAAAAGATACTATAATCCTCAACAGGATAATCATATAAAATACTAGATCCACTTTGTGCGATATCTTTAATATCAAACAACGCCAACTGAGCATCAAAAGATGGTCTCTCTAAATTTGATTCATTATTTAAAATGTTAGTTATATGATTTTCAAAGAATTGATCTAAAAATTGCACATTTGTTTCATCCTGGTTATTGTTATTGATCAGAGAATCAATAATTTTAAATTTTTCAAACTCAAAGACTATTACTGGTTGATCTAAAGTAGCATGATTTAACAAATCTAAAGTTGATGATAATCTATAATTTATCTTATCTTTAGTTCTAATGGATATATATGACGTTGAATTGGTGTTTGCATTTTTGGCTAAAATAATAGATACAAGTTGTGTAAATAAAACAAACAAAGTAGGTAATATATTTCCTAACATGACCTCCTATATCTAGAAAGGGACAACTAACTCAAAGCAAACAAAAAATTAAGATGGGAATGAATTAGATAAAGGTTTGGTGGTGTTATTATTAAGTTTGCCAGGAATATTTATTTAATATCTAGTTACAGCACTTTATAGTAGATATATTGGGTAGTCTAGAATTATACTGTCTCTATTTGGTTAGTTAGTATTTCACTTTATCATGCTTATCTCGATTTACAAATCTAGGATGCTCTTGTTTGTTAAATCCTTTTTGGTTTGGCATATTTTTTTCCTTCTTTTTTGATAGTTCTTTTGTTTGAGTTTTTGACGGAATGTGTGCACGGAAAACAGAATCCGCAGTGTATTCCGCTTCTTTGCGTCTTCAAATCGTTAGTGTTGTGAGATATATTGATTGTGGTACACAAGAACCAGTATGTAAGCATGTTAAATCGAATAAAACAATTAGTTGTGTTTTTTTTTTTTCAGCTATATCAGTATTATAATCAATGTAGCATGTGTTATAGCAAGAACAAGAGGGTAGAGTGGTTTCAATTTGGTTGTTTATGTAAAATGTTAATGTGCATAGTGTTTTGATTTTAAGGTAAAAAATTTTCCTTTTTAGGACTGGATGACATAAAAAATTGTATTTTACATGTATATATGTGTATATTTTATATGTATAGGTATCTGTGTTTTGATTTTGTGACGCACTAAGAAAAAGATATTTGAATATAAAAAAAATAAATGGTCACAAATTTTTTTATTGCGATCAATAAAGGACAGATGTTTTAATTGAAACCAGAGGTAGGACTATTACCATATTGGCAGCATACATCTAGTCTTTTTTATTCATTTTTTTTTTTTGGATTGTAGTAGTAACCAATTAAAGAAGTATGCGGTTAATTCAAAATAGGGAAGCGTTCAGTGACATTACACGTTCAACAAATAATCAAGAACATGTACAAAGTTGCAAGAAAAATTCGAGTAACTCTAAACATTACATTATATTGAACGCTAATGATTTGATAAATAGACAAAACAAAATATTTAATCATAGCGCAGCTGTTGTTACACATTCTACTAATCTACAATATGAAAATATTCTTGGTAATATAGATAGTACAGAGTATGAGAAGGAGGAAAAATTTATGTTGGATGTTACGGATGTAACTGAGTATACAGAGGATATCTTCAAGTATTTATACAAATTAGATAAAGAGATTGTCGCTCAATTTTTAAATAAAAAATACACGATAAATGAAGTAATCAACAAAGAGACACTTTTTAACTGGATCATTAAAATCCACATGATTTTTGGTTTCTTAGAAGAAACTTTATATTTGACTCTCTATATTATCGAAAAATACCAGTTTTTAGCTCAACAAAGTTCATCTCATAGTGAAGAATTACAACTGTTGGCTATAACAAGTCTTTTTATTGCAGCAAAATATGAAGAAATTGTACTACCAAGAACAGTATATTACTCTCTTCAAACTGATGGTAACTATTCGATTAATGATATTATAAATTTTGAAAGGATAATACTAAGAACAATTAATTATGATTTAAGCTTCGCTAACCCATTAAATTTTTTGAGAAGATTGACTTTAATAGATAATTTTGACCTTCCAAGAAGAACTATAGCAAAATATCTTTTGGAGATCACCTCAATTGATTCAAAGACATTTATACATTTTCCTAGAGCCCAATGTGCGGCCGCATCGTTGTTTCTATCAAGAAGGATGTTCGGTAAACACGAATGGGATTCAAAGTTTGTTGATTATTCTGGTGGTTATAAAAAGAAAGATATTGTGTTTATATGTAAGTTGATAATTAAATTTCTTTTATCTCCAATCGTTCATTCAAATTTGCAACATAAATATGAATCAACAAGGTATTTGAAAGCTTCCATAATCTGTAAAGAGTGGGTATTAGCAATATTGAAACAACAAAGAAAGAGAAGATCCAAAAAGAATAAAAAATATTCAAAATTAAATGAAGATATTAATTATTGAAAAGTGGAAGTTCGAAAGAAAAATTTTTTATAAATAAGAAATATATAGATATATATTTATTCATTTATTGATTTAAAATATGCAATGCTTATTAATTATAGATGAAATGTAGATTTTATTAGTGACAAGTAAATGAACAAATTGATTCCTACTAATCCCTACGTTGGTATTATTATTTGTATAGCTAATAAATATGTTCACTTACTTTAAATAGTGTATAAGGAAATGATAATGCAAAAAAAAAAAAGATGAAATAACATTGCATAATATTATGCAATATTAGAATGCAGTCAGCAATAGAAATGATGCAATAATGTTTTAGTATTTTTGTTTTGTTTAATTTTTTAATGCTTTACAATTTTTAATGAAATCATTGTAAGTATTTTGATCCTTAAACTTTTGAATCAAACATTCAATTTTCATAGATGGATTAATTATTTCATCAAGCAATAATGAGGAATATTTCTTTATGATTCTAGAAGAATCCTTTAAATCATGATAATCTTCATTATTTAAAAATGGGGTAAGCCATTTAATTAAATTTTCTTCTGTTTCTTGTTTATCCTTTTCTACAGATTGCATGGTCATCTTTTTGGCAATATACATGGATAAAACACTAAGTAAAGAAGGTTTCAAATGAATGAATAAAGTTGAACAATATGCAAATTCAATGATCATCTTAGCATATTTTCTTGTTCTTTCGTCATAGTTATCAGATTTGGATATTCTTCTAATGAAATCCATTGGGTTTGGCCATGCAATCTCAAAATTCAATGCTTTCAAGATTTGATATTCTGCAAGTTTAATATCACGGATAGAAGCAGCGCCATCTGTGACGTATGCATAATTGGAGATTTTAGGTAAGTTAATCTCATAGAATTTAGAGGCAATAAATAGAGAAGTTATAGCGACCAATTGTAATTTTGAAGTAGAAACTTTAGATGTAGATAAGAATCTATCCATTATATTAATAGACAATAATAACGTTTCAGAAACGCATTGAAATTTTTCATGAACTTGGACTATCCAATCCACCAATATAGTTCTTAATTTGGGTCTTAGATAACACATTGAATGTTTGTCCTTTGTATAATTGAAAGCGGGGGATAATATAGGTTCCCTTTGGTAGAAATACTTAAAGATGTCGGAGTTGTATTCTTTGACCATTTTGATATCATTAGTGCTATTACTATCAATGTCATTGTCAGACTCTTGGAAATTTTTCCATATTTTCAGTTTCTTTTGGGACAATTTATCTTGAACATCTATATAATCAATTGACCTTTTTTTAGTTAGAGATACCATTGGGGATGCAATGAAACTGTTTGTTAGGCTTTGTTGCCTTCTCCATTTAAATATTTTATTTGGATCTGCATGTAGATTTGTGAAAGTGATCGCAGATGGTAATAATGGTTGGTTAATAGATACGTCTGCTAAAGCTTGCCTTTCCTGGGACTTGGAATACATGATATATGATGATAGTTATAGTAGGTTGGTAGATGTAGGCTACAAGGTTTGACAAAATGGACGAGCAGTAGCTTGGCTGGATATGTTGCGCAAGTCAGTTACAAAAAGACATATGGTTATCACTCCCCTACTTTACAATATATATATATATATATTCTCTTATATAAACCATTATTAAAATCATGTTGTGAGATAGTATAGAAGAACTAAATACGAAATGATGAAGATAGTATAAAAGAACAAACTAGTAATAATAACTTTACCAAGTAATTATTCCTAAATTGGGTAAGTTCACGAATTTAATTTCAATATACCATACAATAAGGCAATAAAAAAAAGAAAATAAGGTAAAGCAAACAAAATTATATTGAGGTATACGCGTTCCCTATTAATAAAAAAAAATCAAAAAAAAAAAAAAATAAATTAAGCACAATCTGATTATCAGTAATAAGTATCGTATCCCCCTTCGATGTGCAGAAGGTGTATTATATTTCACGTTCTCTTTTTGTTTTTAATCTGGCAAGATGCCATTTCTCATGCTGCAAGATCTGGCAAAGAACTGAAATAATGTTTATTTTTTTATTATTTTTCTCTTTACGCGTTTCGCGTTTCTCTTTTTTTTTTTTACGTGTTTACAAATTTATTTAAAAAATTCTGCCGTGTTTCGTGTTTGTTTTTTTTTTCTGGTTTTTTTTTTTATTATCCTTTTCATTTTCTGTTAGGTTTGAAATATGCGTGTATAATAAAATAATAGCGTGTGTGAAACTAAAATAGAATGAAAAATGGTTTTTGAGAATGGAAGATGAGAAATTATATTTGTTGCTCTTGAGTCTATCTTTAGCAGAAAATTAAATATGAAATTTGTAAGACTTAGAACCTTCTTCTCTTCAGATAGGTAGGCGTTTGAACCCCTAGTCTTTTCTTCTTGAGAATTCTTGTAGGGTAAAGAATGTGAAGAGATATAGAAAAATAATTCTGAGACTCAACCAAATAAATATTTTTTTTCTGTTCAACAGAAGACTCTCCAAGTAAATATAATTAATCATGTACAATAATATCCAAAATCTTGTAGAAGCTTTCTTTGTTTAGGGAAAGCAAAAATAGTGTCAGGCAAGGTTGATGGTAGGGTAGCAGTATTATATAAGTTTTGGAACAATTATTATGACATATTTGTCTAACCGTCTAATAATTCAAAGCATTATGTATAGAGAAGGAAGAGAAACATTCTTTGTTAAGATATAATTTTATTTTATATTGGTATATTATATATATATTTATATATAATATAAAATACAGAATATTTATGGTTGTGACATGAAAATATGTTGTAGGATTCAAAATTAGCTAAAGTAATTTCCTAACTTTTGATTTTGGAGTGGAAAAAAAACTTTAACAATGTCATATAGAATATAAAATGAGAGGATATTAGAAAGTTAAATGTTTTAATATTTATAATTTAATATTCCTTGATTACCTGAAAGCAGTATATTCATTCTTAATTATAAAATAATCAATTGTATAAAAATATAATAAAATCTTAAAATGACCTCTTTGAGAAATGAAATTTCTTTGAATTCCTAAATGAAAGCTATACCATACCGTCAAGTTTACTACTGATCTCTTCTCTTTGTGATGGTATAATTATCTGCAAATTTGGATAGAAATTGAAACAGTTATCCAAAAAATGTTCTTTTCAAAAATTATTAACAACATAAAAATAAAAAAACCTTATAGAAAATCACCATACCCACTTTCTATCATTAAATAAGTCCTTACAAAATGAGCGAAAAATCGTTATCAATTTATTGCATAATCTGAATGCGATTTACTATAAATATACATATGCACATCCATATTTTTACAATACGGTATTATTTTTAGCCACTCTCTTTGCTATGGTTTATTATATTCTTATCTAAATGGGCCATACATTCAATCTCAATATGCCGATGCACAAGAACCCAGTTATAAAAAGTGATGAAGCAACTTCTCGATCATGCATATATTTAAGAGAAATTCGCACTACTTACTTTAAAGATATTTCAAAGTTCTATAATTTTCAGTTTTTATACATACTTTACATTTATCCTTAAAAACTACATTATCAATGTATTATCAATTATATATTCCTATCTACTGATCACATATATCTTCTGTTCAAATTAAGCATTCCATCAATTAAATGACATACAAACATACAAAACTTTTTTATTTTTTTATGGTTTGGAAAACAATAATAATATAGGAAACTAACTAATAAATCAAGAACATTCTATCCTTCAATTAAATGCAAATACAATAAATCATATTCCATCAACAACAAAATGTCTTTATCATTTTTAATAAAAAAAAAAAAGGAAGAGAGAATACTCAAATTTAAATATGCTCTTCTTAAATAACAACCATTATATTCCAATAAGTTTCCTACGAATATTCACTATTGTCAGGTCATAGATAACAATAATAAATTAATAATTAAATGAATAGTTAATTATATTTGTTGTTATGATCTTTGTACAATATGATCCTCTTTCTTTTCCTAAAACATGTAAATTATACGACAAAGATCACGTGTGACTGAAACTTATTACCATTCTTGGTTGATGTAGTTAAATGGTATAAATAACAGCACAATAAATATATTAGGATTAAGAAAAAACAATTCTTTTCTAATTAAAAGCAACATATAGCATTGCCTTTAAAAAAATCTTTCTATTTTCAAATGTTCATTTATCCTACTTAACTATTCTACAAGAAAATAACATAGATATCATCATCGTCATCACTTTTTTAAGTATCTCATGTTTATAAATCAATCTGAACAATCTCTGTTTGTAATGTTACTAAATCTAAAATCACAACTTTACCAGTTTTAGAAAATTCTGGTATTGCGAGCATACTAATCTGGTTTCCATTAGATGTTTTTATATTTCTTCTTGCAAAATCTGGCTGGTTACCAACGACATATAAATGTGGCCATTCATTCAAGATAAAGGGATCTTTATTTTTATATGGATAACACCACAAAGTGTCTGGACATGTAGGCACAATATTCTGCCATTTCATGGTACATTCCATTAAATCTAATCGATGTTCCATTGTATCCCCTTCACCAGCGTCTATGTCCATATTATCATTACTTTCACTAACATTTTCAGTGTTGTCACTTCCATCACCATCATTAGTATTATCATCCATTTTAGAATATGGGATAATATATTTCATAATATCATCAATATTCTGTCCTGATATTGTTAAAATGTCCCAACCATTAATTTTAAACTTATATGGGTTAGTCACCAAATTGAGTATTGGCCTATTCTCTTTATTAAAGTATGATTTTAACTTATCATTAAATAATGCCTTATGTAATGGTTGTTGTGGTAATGATTTGTCAGAAGGATCATTCTTACCGGGTAAAACATCCACTGAAATAGTTTGTAAGATATTCCCTAAAAATTGACTAAATTGATCAAGGCAATATACTATATTACCTTGATCTGCATCAAAACCATTATTATATTCTATCGAGTTACCACAGATAATTAATCTAGATATTTTAGACATTGCCTCAATGTTTCCTTGAAGACTTCCATTCAAATATTCTTGTAATAATCTCACTTTCAATAGATTAGATGGTGAAGTCGAACTTATATTTAGTCCTGAAATTATTGCAACTTTTTCATTAGTATTGTTTAGTATAATTTCTTCAGTACCAATATTGTTGTATTTATTATTAATATTATCCTTTATAATAGGGAATGGCATAGGTGATTGATTTAAACCTTTTGGGTAACATATATCTAATACTTGAAATGTTCCAGGATCAGCTTCCATACCTAGCAATCCTACCACTGCCCCGGTAATAAATGGTGTAGATTTAATAAAATCACCAACAAGCAATAATCTCCCACTCTCATCTTCCAACATAATTTGATCACTACCATCTGGATCCACGTAACTTTTTACCAGATCTGGCGCACCATAAGTATCATTAATAACTTCTTCTAAAACATTTGGCTTATATCTCATTTCACAATAGATGGTACCGATACACCAACAAGGTTCACCAGCTTGAACATCCAAAACATTATCTTTCTTAACAACAGACTTTCCATTTAATTGGAAACCATTATTCCACTTTCTTTCACATTCTGATTCAACTCTACCGCGTAATACAGTTAATCTATGTTTGTAGATATTAAAAAACTGACTGTCATAATCTCTTTCATTCCATTTCAACTCGAATGGATTCTTTTCTTCAAAATCAACATCAATTTGAACTCTGGATGTGACTTCTGGATCTTTCTTTCTGTTCTCATTAAATTTTTGTAATAATGAATCCATTGTAAATAAAACAGATCAAATTGATTATCCGAGGAATTCCATATAATTTAAACTGTGACCTGTTCTCTGTTATGTTATTGTTAAATAGTAAATATTGAAAATCGACGAACAAAGAAAAAACAACTTAAAATATCAAGTTTAAAGGACCATATCAATTACAAACCCTTCTTATTAGTCTGGTCATCAATTTCTGAAACGACTGGTGGATTCAAAAATATCTTTACATATCTTTTAAAATGTGTTGTCTGACATTCATACAAAAAAAATATTATCAAGGAAAGCTTGAGAAAAAAAAAAGCCACCACGAAACGATGAAATAATGCAAATTACTAAAGCAAAATAAATTGGATCGAATCAATCTGACTTCTTTTTCCAGTAGCAATACGAATACTAAAATATTTGATGAAATTCCTCAAGACAAATTCCTTTAAAAAGAAGTAACGTGTGCTATTCGCCTTTAATTGCATCGTTTAAGAAGATTTTAACATTACGTTCACCCATGCTTATTAATAAGACAGCACCTTCGTTATTATTAATATAACATAGAAGAGAAAAAAGTGGGTGTGACACCCCAAAAAATCTTTATTTTAAAATTTATATTGGTAGGCAATAAAAAGAAGTATATATGTACAGAGACATAGTTCCTAAAAGTATATAAACATCTATGGAAGGTATGCTTGTAGATATTAAATAATTATGGGCTTAACTTTTTAGATGCTAATTTATCTCACTTATTTCAATATCAGTAAACCAAACAACAAAGACATCTTGAACATATATTACATATTATAAACAGATCAGCTAAAAAAAAGAGAATTCAATAAAATATGGTATCAGGTAAAAGATATTCTGAAACGGCCCACAAAGTTGCTCAAGGTAGAGCCAGAAAGAAAAGACAAGAATGGGAAAAGAGAAATGAAGAAAGAGAAAGATTAGAAGCTGAAGAAGCTAAAAAATGGGAGCAAGGTGCTCGTAAACCAAATCAAAAAAAACTTCTTGAGGAACAAAGAAAATTGGCTAAAAAGGCAGCCAAGCAAGAACGCAGAGAATTATTACGTGCTGAGGAAGAAGAATTAAGTATGGGTGGTAAGGGCTATTAAAAATTGCAATGAAAACGACAAAATGAACAATAATGACGTGTTCAAGATTGAAATGGTCTGTTCCATTTCCACACAAGGACTCAAAGACAGTGATCAACCATTCCAACGTAATGAAATCTTTAACATTATCAAACACAAACGATGGAAAAGAGACTAACTGCAGCTTTTAGGAAACAGGCTCAGTTTTTATCAAATTTTGATATTTATTTTTTTTAAAATAAGATCGCTACCAATTTGCCCAGTAAAGTAAACAATAAAATAACACTATTTCCCATATGCTTTATGAAGTTGTAAATTGTTCAGCTTTACAATACATCCATTTGGAGGTTAAATATTATTTTGCATAAGCATTAATAGATACATTATCTATATATATATAAAACAAAATCAAAGAATATTATTTTTAATATCATATCTAGACAGTCTATTTAAATTTTAATTACAAAGAATAAATAAACCATATATTAATGCGATCTACATTTATTCAATTTTATTTTCTATTTTACTTTGATTACTCTATAAGGACATTCATTAGCCACTAGTAATTTATTAAGAAAGGTAATGTTAACTTTACTATTCGCCCTTTCAACCCAATTCTTATTAGATTTTTTATTTTCTAGTTGAGATTCACGATCTGCAACTTGTCTAATAGCATTCCTAATATGCTCTTGAAATAACTTCATTTCTTCTACTGATGGGTATTTATAAATAAAAAACATATAATATCCATCCTTAGCTCTATTGGTAATTTTTCTCCCTTCATATTGTTTGCTTAACTCTTTAAGCATAATACTTTTATTATTCATTTTAACATTGTTACTAATACTATTAATATTATCAATAATATCCTTATTACCTTCCATCATGTACCATTCTTTAATAAATATCTGCTTAACCTTTACTGTAATCTTTCTTCTCCACACAGCAAAATCTCCAGGTACCACTGATTTCTCATTAAGATAGACTTTTCTAAGATAGTCAACGACCTTCTTAGATTGGCAATCATCAAGGAAACTTTTCATTTGCATTGCTTGAACAGTGATACTTGGCTTGGTTTTTCTGAAAAGACTTAAGAAATGATTTGTTGGATAAAATCTCATTTTGAAATACGAACAGGAATACGCTAACGATTCTTGTGAGTATAAATTATTAGAATTAGCAAATCTAAGTATGGGTCCATGTAACCCCTTTGGAAGTTGCTGTTCATTTGCAGGTGGGGTATCTCTCGATACTGGTAATTTAACTTGTGGATAGTATTTCAAATCTTTTAAGAACTTTAATTGTAGTTTCATCATTAGGGCTAACGTACACCTTATAAATCTGAATTTATTTAATATTTATGCTAATGAAAATTTTTTTATTTATTCTATTGCCACATTCTAAATCAACTAATTTTTTTCAAATCTCACAATGATAAAAATGTCCATCTCTCTCTTTCTATATAGATATATATATGTCGTGTGTTTGTATGTTTATCACCTTAAGTTACAAGTTCTTGTCGTATTTATACTTTTATTACAATTTTTCTTCATTGTAAAGACAACGGCAGCATGCATTACAAAAAGTGAGAAAAAAAATAGAAAGAGAAAAAGCTCTAATACACTTCATTAGGATATCCAATAATAATGCAATGCCGATATAAGTCTAGGATAAGGCGCAACAGTATACAAACAAACTGTAATTTTAAGTAAAAAATATCTAAATATATAGTATATATAAAATTACCAGTTAATATATTGTCTTAGCACAACTCTAAAAATCTTTAATTTTCCACTTTGCATTGTGTTCAACTTATAACTTGTAGCAACAATGTTACCATCACGATTTTCTATAACTCTTATTTTAGTTTTTTCAGGTTCATATGCCGTAACTATAGCCGAATAACTATCTTCGTTACCCACTTCTATTAGCCTTCCATGCCTTTCTAACTTACCCTTTCTTATCACAATGACGTCACCTGGAACAACGCTAGTCATTTCTTGGTCATCTAAACTACTACCTGCTTTGAAATTTACCACTGTAATACCAAATGTACGATTAGCTATTGGCAATACAACTTCTTCGTTTAATGAAGTTAGAAGATCATTAACAAAATTCTTAGTATTAACTTCTTTATCTAACAGGGATTCACCAAGCCTTAAAATCTTTTGGTTCAAAGAAATTGGTAATGGTCCTGTAATCTCAAATGGAATGAATTTTTCTTCAACTAACACTGCAGTATCAATTGGTGATTTTGTAGCATAGACGACAGAAATGTTTGCTTGTGTATAGTTCTCAAAAAGAATATAAAAAGTACGAAATATCCATTCTTCACCAGTACGCTTGGTAATTACTGAATCACCTCTTTCAACATTGTATTTTAATTTAGTAGCTTCAATTTCTTTTGGTACTGCCATTGGGTCAGGAGAGATCCACCATGGATTTTTTGAATTCAATGTAATCTTGACAGATGTTAATGATAAAAGCAAATCCCTATGTGTTGTTGTTCTTCTTATTAAACCAATTGGTTTATTATCTGCTGGAATAGATGGTACAGGTGGAGCAGAAGTAGGATGCGTGGTAGGAATTGGTGGTGGAGATGGAGGTGGCGATATATTGGATTTTGTGATCTCTGTGACAGGCATTGATGCTGGAATCGGAGGTGGAGAGGATGGAATTAATGGTTGTGTAACTTTAGGTGGCCTAGATGGTGGAACAGATGGAGCAGATGAAATTGGAGAATTAGGTAAAGGTGGAACAATGGGTGGTGGAGGTGGAGCAGATTTTGCAAATTGCATACTAATATTAATGGAAGGTTGTGAAGCAGGAACATTACTAGAGATGGGTTGTGAAGAAGACGAAGAAGATGAAGAAAAAGAAAAAGGTAGAGGAGGTGGGGGCATGTGATGAATCTGGTTACTTTGTGAAGCTGATCCTTGCGATTTGGAAGATAAAGATTGATCAAATTGAGGTATTGGTGGCTGAGGCCTTTGTGATATATCCATCTCATTAGCAACAATTTCTGCCTTATTAAGTGACTCTTGTACAGATTGGTCAATACTAGAGACTTCAGATTCCGATTCAGATAGATGTTCTTTCAAAATCTCTGTTGTGGTGGGAGGAACCCTTGAAGAATCGGTGATATCCTGAACATCTCTTTCATTCAATAAAGTAGTATCGATAGATGTATTTTGCATCAATTCCTTTTGATTATTTTCTTTGGTTTCAGTATTATTTGTTTTGTTAAGTAGTTCATTGAATACATGAGATGAATTGGAGATATTTTCATGTAATTCGGCTTTATCTTCTTTTATTTCTTCTTCTTCTTCCTCCTCTTGTTCATTCTCTTCTGTTTCTGTATGTTTCTTATTTAAAAAGGATAAGGCATTAGGATCAGCAAATGGCATAATTGGTATAGCTTGTGGCAACATATCTTGTTCTTTTTGTTCTTCTGATTTTTCCTGTTCATGCTTTGATTTTTTAATTGTAGTATCATTAGAAGAAGAAGAAGACATCATGGATGAAATTGGCATACCAAATGGATTAAATCCTACGGAACCACCACCAAATCTACTAGCACCTGCTAATTTTGCCATTCTTTCTCTTAAAGCAGTTCTTCTAGCTTCTTCAGAGTCTTCCTCAGAATCTTCTTCCTCTCCAGAAGATTCTTGATGAGCACGATCATTAGAATCATTTTCATTTTTTACTTTATCGCATAATTGACCATCATTCATATATTTTTCTTCTTCTTCTTCTTCTTTTTCTTCATGAAATCCCTTTTTCTCTTGATCAATTTGATTCAAGCTTATAATTGGATTTTTACTATCATTATCATTATTATTGTTGTTATTATTGTCGATATTGATATTTGAGAATTGAATATTTTCACTTTGGCCAGATATAATAGAGTCAATATCATTAGTTTGTTTATTAGAGTGGGAAGTATTAATAGATTGAGTAGAATGAATAGAATTTAAACTTTTTCTTCTTTCCATCTTCTCTCTTTGTTCTAATTCTTCTTGTTGCTGAATTCTTTGTTTTTCTTGTAAAATAGCAATCCGATCTTTCAAACTCATTTTGGGTAAATCATCAATATCCTTATTATTATTATTATTGTTGTTGTTGTTGTCATTATCATTATTGTCATTATCATCATTATATGAATTAATTACATCAATACTTTCAGTTGGAATATTAATGTATTTATTATTCTTAGTTGTATTATCCGTTGAACCATGTTGTGTTTCGTCTTTATCTTTACTTTCTGAGTCAGTAGCATGAGGTTTGTCATCTAAATAATATTTGACAAAATTTTTAGGAAAGATACCTTCTCTTTTTGAGTTATTATTATTATTATTGTTGTTGTTGTCATCGTGGAACTCACCAAAATACCATTCGTCATCCTCGATAGAAGTGACAGTAATAATTTGGTCTTTTTCAAAATTCAAATCATCTTCATAATCCGAATGGTACGGGAATAAAGCGATAACTTTGAATGGAACACTAGGTTCAGACATATTATCCCAAAAAACGACAAAAAATAGAAAGGAATAGTCCAGAGTAAAAATAAATAGGAAGGCTTAGTGTGTTGTGTGAAAAATTACCTGTTATTAAACTGAACAGATAAGTAAAATAACAACGTACTGCCAAAATACTGAAATATATATATACATATATATATATATATATGTGTATATATGTATATATGTATATGTATATGTATATACACGTATATATGTATATATGTATATGTATATGTATATACACGTATATATGTATGTATGTCTGCAATGGCTTAGAGTTTTATCAGCGGTTACAGGTAACAAGAAGAGCCACCTTGTTAACGTTTAACAAGAATCTGTTCTTTCTCTCCTTCTTTCCTTTTTTTTTGTTTTCATTTTTTTTATTTTTACCTCCTTTCTGCCATCCCCTGCTCTTCTTTTTTTTTATTTTTTTAAACAAAAAGAAACAAAACAAAGCCAAAACCTAGTGGGTGTATGGGTGTGCGCATATCTTGTTTAGTAATGATGCTGAGTAAGCGAGCACCTTCTTTCGCAGAAGAAAGAGAGAAAAAGAGAAAGAAATACAAAGAATAGTTTATTTGTCTCTTCACAAGGAGACACACACAAAATATATATACATACACATATACATATACATTTATACACATACACATACACATATACGTACACTTATATGTTTGTTTGTACATGTCTTCTCTCTGTTTCTGTTTGTTCTGTTTTTAAGAATCTTCAAAACCTCAAAAATGAAAAAAAAAAAAAAAGAAAAACAAACTAACAAATATTGTTTTTGTAATTATTTGTTTTTTTTCTTATTTAATTTAATTTGATTTGATTTGATTTGATTGACATAGAACGAAACCTTCCAAATAATGAGGGAATAGCAAATAGAAGAGCGATGAGTTTGTATACAAAAGTGATAAGTATACACAATAACAGTTGAATTCACGCTAAATTGACATATAACTATACTTCTTTCAACAACTATTTTTTTCTCTTTATTTTTGACAACTGTTTATTTACTCTTAACAAAAATAGATACAACATAGATTATTACAACATACACCAATTACATATTTAATCATGTCAAATAATGAAGTACCACTGTTCAATAGTGCTAGAAATTCTATCTCAAATGGCCATATGATCAGTAATAATATTTCTAATAATAACAGTAATAATAGCAACAATAATAGTGATAAGAGTAAGAGCCGAGATATGATCAAAGAAAAATATAAGGATCTATTAATGGAAAGAATGCGTATGAATCCATCTATTTCAACTAAGGATAACGATAATAAGGATTATCAAATTGATGAGAACGATTTGAAATATAATGATTTGGATTATTTAGATGACACTGATGATGATTCAGACTATGATTATTCATATACCAATAATTATAAGAGAAATAAAAGTGATGTAAATGTAAGTGATACAAGTGATAATGATATAACATTGGATGAAGATAACGATGAATATGTCTCTGGTGATTATGATTTGGATGAATCGTATGACTATGACTATGAATATGATCAAAGAAATCCACAACATAAATATAAATATAATAATAATGATGATGATAATGATGATGATGATGATGATGATAATAATAATAATAATACGCTAATATCTAATAAATCTTTTTTTCATTTGAAATTTATTTTCATATCCTTTCTACTCTTCTCTGGTATCGTTTATTTTATCAGAATAGGTGGATCCTATAACAATGATCTATATTCATCTCCGGTAAAGACAACTGGATCTATCACAAATATTCAAAAACAGATCAATCATTTATATAATGAACTGAACGTAAGAGACAAAAAATGGAATAACGAATTTGATGATAAATTGAGAATAGTCATATCGCAATTCGAAAAAAATATTAGAAAACTGTTACCAAACAACAATTTCATAAACAATTTTCAAAATGAACTGAATTTAATCAATTCAAAGATAAATTCTTTACAGGATTCATTCTATAATAACAATAGTAATCATAACAGAGACTCAAATTTTAAAATTTTACAAAACTTTACATACTTACAAAACGAAATCCTAAATGAATTGAACCATTCTCTACCCTTGGAGATCCCAGTTATGATCAACAATTCTTCATCTATTATGATAATACCTGAGTTACATACATATATCACGAAATTGTTGTCAAATTTAATCCAAAATTCTAATCTTACCAATGTACCTTCACCAAATTTAAATGATTTAAAATTGAAATATGATTTGAATAATTATATCAAAGAAATCTTGACAAATGAATTTCAATATATTGATAAAGATTTCTTGTTGAGTGAACTGAACCATAATTTAAAGATCAATAAATTAGAAATCTTAAATGAATTAAAAGATAATATTAAAATGGAATGGAATAAATATGCTTATAATCAAAACAATAATAATAATAATAATAGAAACAATTTTCCTGAACGATACTCTACTGTACTTTTAAAAAGATTAATAAACCAAATATACGACACTAATCAGCATCAATGGGGTAATGATCTAGATTTCATGACATTTGCACAAGGTACAAGATTATTGAAAAGTTTGACTTCGAACAATTCACCAGTTGGAAATGGAATCACCTCAATGCAACTATTATCTGATACAAAATTAGATTCGATGTCAACGTACTGGCAAAGTGAACCAGATTCGAACGGACAAGTCACTATTGGGATCAGATTTAAACAGCCAATATATTTAACCAAAATATCGTATTTACACGGAAGGTTTACAAATAATTTGCATATGATGAATTCTGCACCAAGGAAAATATCAATATATGTCAAATTAATGCAAAATATTGATACAATAAATTTACAAAAAATTGCAAGTCGAAATAATGAAGGTGATTTATTTGCCAGAGACAAATCATTTATTAAGATTCAAACATACGAGTATGATATTTTCAATAAAAAAATCAAACAAAATTTCTTATTGCCAAGCTGGTTTATAAAATTTAAACCATTGGTTAAATCAATGATATTTGAAATCAATTCAAATTATGGTAATAAAAAGTATGTATCGTTGAAAAAATTTATTATCAATGGTGTTACGGAGACAGATCTGAATATATTAAAGTCAAAGTCTTTCCCTACACAAAACCACAAAGATGATGAAAGTTCATCACCTGAATACCATTTTGATTCTAGTTTTGAACGTATCCAGCAACAACAACAACAATTGAAAGAATCTAATATTCAAAAAGAATCAGCAGAACGTAGTTACAAAAGTAAAAATAACCAAAGAGATACAAATATGAAAAAAGTACCATCCTTTGGAGAAGATGAACTTGTTTAAATTGCCATGTAAAAGCTACAATGTTTGCCTACCTTTTCTTTTTTTTTCTCTTTTTCTTTTTTCCCTTTTGCATTCTTACATTAATTCATTATAAAGGATAATATATCTATAGTTATATTCATCCATTTTTGAAATTTCTAATATAGCTACATTGCATTACTATATTCAATATATATTTCTATACCAACACCTATACGAATATTAATATTCGGTTGCATTTATCAAGAAAGTATATATATACATATATAGATCTAAAAATACAGACATAAATAAAGATATAAACATATCTATTCATATTACGTAACGACATGTTTAGATATAGTAAATCATGCTTTCAAAAAAAGGTAAAAACAAAACAAACAAACAAGCAAACAAACAAACAAACAAACAAACAAACAAAAAAATGAGGAAGGAGAGAAAGACGGAAAATTTGCGCTTTTTTTCTGTCTCTCCCTATTTTCTTCTTTTTTATTTTTTATTTTTTATTTTTTTGGTTCGAGGAGGCTCTTTGTGGAAATTTTTTTGTTATAGTAACAAATTTAGTATATGATATCATATTGTGAGAAAAATGGGTGGAAAAAAAGAAAAACAGATAAAATGAAATGACATGTTAGTAGAAAACAAAGTGTATGCATATATACATATGTTTGTCTATACGTCTGTGTAGTGGTGAGAATCCCGTAATATTATCACATTAAATCAGACATCGTAGTTGGGAGATGTTAGCACCAAATTGGCATTGTCGTTCTTCTTCGTTTTTCCCTTCTTTCCTCCTCTTTGTATTGCAATTACCGCTTTGGGACATATATCAAATCTTTTCAATTTTATGTCTGAATTAGGCAATATTGTTAGCTTTCTTTACCTAATCAAATAAAAACAATAAAACATCAAAAAGACATAAAACTGAATAGAAATAACATAAAGGAAAAGAAACCAGTTCAAATTCTCCATTACACACACACACACACAGATATATTGTAGGATATATTTATACGTATATATTTATTTAGATTTCATAAACTGTTTGACAACAATATTCGAGGATTGAAAATAACTGTTCCTACATTATTTAAATATCTCCCCTCCCCCTATTTTAGACAGATCATATCAAAACAATCTCTTGAGTGTCTTTTACTTTGCTTTGATCTTCTACCCTCTTCTATTTGGTTTTTGTTCTTTATCTGTAACTCCTTTTTGAGTATTCAAGGAAAATACAAACGTTCTGCTAAAGTGTCAAAATTAATATTATCTACTTAGTTAAAGATGAAGTTCTTCCCTAGTGGATTAAAAAGCCCTGTTGTTATCGGAAGAAAAGAGTCGTTGTCAAATTTGAAAAATTTTACTAACGCATCCCATTCTGATTCCAATTCTTCAAGTTCTAGTTCTCAACAAGTTCCATCAACTCCGTCCTCAATACCACCAACACCTACAACACATATATATTCTTCTTCCTCTTCTTCAAATTTATTCCAAGAACTACCTCCCGAATTGTTTCGAAATATTAGACCCTTATTAATCATTCTTAAAGCACAAAAACAAAAAGTTTATTATAATTGGACTTTAGAAAAGAACCCAGATAAATCTTTGCAATGGGAGATCCGTTATGCAAATGACACCGTTGAAAAACTGACCTCCTTATCCCTAATTGGTCCTCAGATGCAGCTTGTAACAAGCAACACTAAGATAGAATATGTTTTACCGTTGATCAATCGCAATTCCTCTTTTTCAAATTTCCAAATATCTAATGATAATCTAAAATTCGATGAACCCAACATCGTTCTATCCTGTAATAATACCAAACAACTAGATTTGTTAACTAGTCTTTGTTCTTTATCTATCTTTGAAAATATATCAGTATATAAAGCGTTGACTGGTACCGTGATATCTACTATGGGGTTCCATTTACCTGATATTAATATGATACTAAATTCTCAATATAATTTTAAAGATTGGTGTGAGATTTATATTCAGGGGAAAGGTTGGATCAAAGCATGGTGTCATATAAACAGAAAATCAAATATTAATAAAAGTCATAGCAATAATAATAATAATGAGAGTGGCAGTAGTAGTGGGGGAAATAAGAAAAATTATAAACCAAAGGGGAAGTACCAGATTAAAATATATAAAGATATTAAATCAAATAATCCCACATCAACAGCAAATTTGATTTGTTATATACAAGATTGTGACTTTGTTCAAGATGTGTTTTTTTATAATCAATACCCAAATTTTGATGATTGTGAACAATTTATACAAAATTTTAACTCAATTAGAATTTTAGGTGATGTCAGATATAATAATTTAGACACTATACTGGATGATAAAAAGAAGAAAATGTTTTCTCCAAAGAGAAACGTCTCAACAAGCTCAATAAAGTCCGATTCAAGTGTTAATTTCGATTTAAAACATAATGGTATCATCATTAGACCAATAGCACATAAAGGGTTACCACACCTGGATTCAATGATTAAATTCATTATACCTATCTTTGATGTTACAAGAAAATACGGTCGTCCAAATCATTTCATTGTCTCTAGAACTGATAAAGACTCTTTGATGTTTGGACTACCAAAATTGCCAAACACAAATTACTTCAAAATCAATGACAATGCACACTTATTGTCTGAAAGGAATATGATTGAATCGGATTATGACTTTAATGATCCATTAACCTATTCAATGTCTTGGGTAACGGAATACCTGAATAAAATTTATAAATCCAAAACTTCCTAAAATTATACTAATATTATTATTTGTGCACCTTTATAATATTATTTGATTGCTCTATAATATTTCTATTATTCTCTAATAAATAATTTCTTTTAATTTAATTCTTACCTAGATTAAACCAGAGAGATTACATATTAATATACAGTTATCTTTCTTATATATATATAGCTTGGTGGATTTTTTTTTCTTTTTGATATTTTGTAAAGAAACAAAAATATTTATAGAATATAGGTAGTTAACTTAATTTTTATATATATCTATATACTGGTTCTTTTTTTAAATAATATGTTTAAGAAAAAAAATATTCAGTTTTGTTTTATACATTATCTTGTTCAATGCCTATACTGCTTCATTTTTTTTTGAGTTTTCATTACATCTTCATTCTCTTATTTGGACCATTTTCGTTTGTGAAGTTATCATTATTATTATTACTCCTTTTGTTATTAGTAGTAGTATTAATAATCTTCCTATATCTAATTAATGCTAAAATTTCTTCTATTGAATGTTCTGTTCCATTTTCAGTATATATAAGGTTGAAATTACAATCGATCTTTTCCGGTTTCATCCCACTTATATGAAGTATCTTATAGATTGGTCCATTTCTGTGCATTGTGTCATTAAATATAGATAACTTATTATTACTTTTTGGCTGATTGAATGGCATTGATGCAACTTGCTTTAAAGGTTCGATCTTAGAATTGGGTTCAATTCTACCCGAAATTAAGTGCTTATTTTCTTTGAATTTTTCATTTCTTGATTCAAATTTTAAAGTAGATGCAATAGCTGTAGCCGAAGGTACTATTGACTTATCATCAAAAATATTGCGTACACTTGATTTAAAAACATTAAAAGTATCACTAGCTTCATCATTTTCATCTCTATAGATACTAGAAGAGCTTGAATTCAAATTATTTAGATTTAGATTTTTTGTCTTAGCTTGGCTATTATTTCTTATAATCCTGTTTTGATAATTTCGTATTAAATCATTTCTCTCTTGATTCAATATTAAATTGGGCTCATGATAATTTATTTGGAATACAGGATTGTTATTTTGATTAGAATTTTGAAAGCCATCATGATCTGTAGTTCTATTTACTTGTGAAACTTTAAAATTTTCATTTTCTTTCAACAAATTTAATTCATCTAATAGTTGCTTTTCAGGTTTAGCATTAGCCTGGATTCCTAGATTAAGAACTTGGTAAGCTTCAAAATATCTTTCCAACAGCACAAAAATATCTGTAAAATAACTATAAAAATCACTCAATTCAACACAGATATCAGATCTATACATGTAATAAAAAATATCGATTTGGTCTTCAGTGGAGTAAAAATTTGAACAATAATCTAGCCATACATTTAAATATTTCGGATCATTTTTATATCTATCAAATCGTTGGCAATATAACAAACATAATTCAACAATCTCTAAAAGACTACTTCTCTTTAAAGTCCAATCACTCATTATTTTATGTGATTCGATCTCTATATACTCAACAAATAAGGATAATGGATCATCTACTAGAGAAATTTGATTTAAGATTTGTTTCCAATGCTCATTTTTACTTGATTCATTTGAAGTTTTGGACGTTGTTTGCAATTGAGATATTAAAGATACTGACCTTCCTTTTCGTTGATATGAATAATTCTCTTTATCATCTTCTAACTCGTCAAACAAAATTAACTTCTTGGGCATTGGAAGAAAGATTTAGTGAAAGAACAGAAAAAAGAGGTTATTATTGAAGACTATGAATCAGAAAAAGAAAAAGAAAAAAAATTTTATGTTAGTAGCTACTTCAGCAACTATTTTTATTAATTGTGTGTTCATATATTAATGCTGTCTTTGACTATTTTTATTCTTTCCACTTTTGTGTCAGTTAATGTTGCTGCTTCATGTTTGTTTTAAAATTAGAGGGCATTCAAAAACATCGAAAAAAGGAGAAAAAAAAGAAACAAAACCCTCATAGAAGTATAAAGACAAATACAATAAATAAGTGTAGAATAATTCTAACCCTCATTATTTTTAGTTTTATTTTTTTTCATTTCCGTTGTATTAAAACAAAAAACACCAGAGAAATAATATGAAAGGGAAAAATGAAAAAAAAAAATAAAATTAAAAAAAAAGTTATCCGCTACCGGATAAAAAGGAACTGTAATAGAAAAAAAAAATGATATAGAATTTTAAAACTAAGATTGAAAAATTAAACGGTGAAAAATAAAAAGAAAAAATAAATAAGATAAGTTTCTTCACAAAACAATATATACGCAACATTAAAGGATTAACTGAGATCGAAATAATTCATTACAAGTGCTCGTACATGCATATATATACTTATGAGTAGAAACTTTTCTGAATTGCTAGTTTTTATACTCTCAAAAAATTGAGCAGTAAGAAGCTAACACAGTCATATAAGTAAGTGTGCTATAATTGATAATTTTCTTTTTTCTTTTTTCTTTTTTTTTTTTTTTTTCAGGATTATCACCTTTTCATAACCCCTTATATCGAGAATAAAAGTTAATTGATATATTCTCTATTTTATTAATTTATCGAGTTATTTATAACTGGAATGTCCAAACAGTTCAATTATACTACATCTGAAAGAAGATCATCTGTTGTATATTCTACTAGTGTTGGAAAAGGTGGATTGTATACTCCTGCTGACTATATCCCAGAAAGAGAGGAGGAAACAGTCTTTCGTGAATTACAGGAGGAGGAAGAAGATGTACAAGGTGAAAGGGATTTAGAAGCAAACCCATCATTTAACACCTCCACTCTAGATGAATTATCTCAACTGCGAAATAATGCTCCTAACGACAATAATAAGAAAAATAACTATGGAAGTGTAAAACCCAGCGCTACAATAAAAAAAATTTATATCATAAAGGTCTTCTTGATGAACAACGTGATTTGTTAATTGACAATAAATTATTAGATCAAAGTCGTAGACAATCAAGAAGTCAAGTCCTTTTAGATGAAATCTATAATAGTATAGAACAAAATGTATCCACTTCAGAGCAAGAAATCGCTGAAGTGTGGGAAGATGCAATTGATAATGGGAAACCAATTAAATCCTCATATCGAAGAGAAGCACAAGTATTGACTTTTAATGCGTTACCCTTGATTTTCACTTTTATTTTACAAAATTCTCTGTCATTAGCATCAATCTTCTCAGTATCGCATTTAGGCACCAACGAATTAGGCGGTGTCACTTTAGGCTCTATGACAGCTAATATAACCGGATTAGCAGCTATCCAAGGTCTATGTACATGTCTAGACACTTTATGTTCACAAGCATACGGTGCTAAAAATTATCATTTGGTAGGTGTTTTGATTCAAAGATGTGCAATTACCACTATTATTGCATTTTTGCCTATTATGTATATGTGGTGGTTTTGGTCTGAATCAATTTTAGCATTAATGATTCCGGAACGAGAGTTATGTTTCCTTGCAGCACGTTATTTAAGAGTAACATCCTTAGGTGTCCCAGGTTTCATCTTGTTTGAATGTGGTAAAAGATTTTTGCAGTGTCAAGGAATATTCCATGCTTCTACGATCATACTTTTTGTCTGTGCTCCTCTAAATGCCTTAATGAATTATCTTTTTGTTTGGGATAAAACGTTAGGTATAGGTTATCTTGGTGCACCTTTATCTGTAGCAATAAACTATTGGTTAATGGCCTTAGGCTTATTGTTATATACAGTTTTCACAAAACATGAGAGAAATCCTTTAAAATGCTGGAATGGTATCATTAAAAAATATCAAGTATTCAAGAATTGGCAAAAAATGTTTAATTTAGCTTTACCTGGTATTATTATGGTGGAAGCAGAATTTTTAGGTTTTGAAATATTAACAATCTTTGCATCTCATCTTGGTACTGCTGCGTTGGGCGCCCAATCTATTATAGCAACAATAGCATCGTTGGCATACCAAGTCCCCTTTTCAATATCTGTATCTACGAGTACAAGAGTGGCAAACCTTATCGGTGCTTCTTTGGTAGATAGTTGTATTTTAAGTTGTAAAGTTTCATTGTTTCTATCCTTTGTCTGCTCCTCTTTTAACATGTTTGTCATTTTCACTTTTAGGCATCAAATTGCTTCTTTGTTTAGTGGAGAGGCTGATGTTGTGAAATTAGTGGTATCAACGTTACCATTATTGGCACTTATGCAAATCTTTGATGCATTTAATGCATCTACTGCAGGCTGTTTGCGTGGTCAAGGTAGACAAAAGATTGGTGGATATATTAACCTTTTTGCCTTTTATTGTATTGGTATCCCAATGGCTAATTATTTAACATTTCATCGTGGATTAGGTATCAGCGGTTTATGGATAGGTATATCATTTGCATTAATCTCAATGAGTATATGTCAAAGTTATGCCGTGTTCCATGGTGATTGGGACCATATAGTTCATTCCGCAAAAGTGAGAAATGCTGAAGGAAGAACTTAACTATTATAAAATGAATAATCGGAAATTTTTATTTTATTTTCACTCCTTTTTCATCCTTCTTCTTCTTTGTCTTTTATGATTATATGGTATATTTATTTATTTATCGTATCTTTTTGTTTTCTTTCACTTATTTCGTCTAACTGACTCTCAATTTCGACTGCATATATTTTATACTTTATATAAAACATTTAACAGCATCTTTTTTTTTGTTATTTGTATTAATATATTGTATTAACATTTTCTCTGATATACTTTATACAAGGCTATGTATTTATTAATGTAATAATAGATTTTATGAAAATATTTATAATATTTATTTTATTACACAATTATCATATAAAATATAAATGCACATATATAGATACATATTTATGCTTATATATATATATAATTTATATATTTGTAGAAATGGATAGAAAGTAAATTATACACAAAAAAGATTTATTAAATTGCTTTTATTTTGTCATTTTTATTAGTTTTTTAATTTCTTAGATTCTGGTTCATTTGAAGTATTATCACTTTGCTTGGATTCTTCCTCCTCGCTAACTCTAGACCTTTTAGCTTCTTTAATATTTTTAGAGAAGATTATAGATAATTTCTTTGGATTAGCAATTTCCAGTAAAGATTTTTCGAAATTAGATAATTCAACTTCAATACCATCGATAGTGACTTTTTCTTTAGAAGTTTCATGCTCATCAACTTTCTTTTCGCCTGTAACTAAGTCGTCAATAACGTCATTATTATAATATAACGGTAAGACAGGTGATTTGTTTGTCTTAATGAAAATCAATCTAATTTTATAATTATCAAGCAAATATTTTGTAACAGATTCCACATTTTGTACCAAATCTGATTCATTAAACCAATTCAATTGACCTAGATGAACGTTCAAAGTTGTACCACGGGGTAATTTAACTGGCAATTTATGTAAATAAACTTTTTTAATAGAATTAATTAAAGTTTCTTTAGAAAACTTTTTTTGGGATGAAGAGTAGGTTTTGATTGATATTGGAGTAGTCTCTAGTTTGTTGAATGCTTTCCCACCTAATAGTTTAGGTAATGTTGTAATTACAGAATCATCTGCTAAAATCAAAGAAAATTGTTGTATAAAAGCTCTTCTTGATTCGAAAGCCTTATAAGTCGTTTTCAAAGTATTAACAGAGATAAGTTCATCGATTATGATATTATCTTCGTTTAAAGAATCAAATAAATCATCCTGACTAATTTTATCGACGTCTGTATCCTTTAAAATCAAAAGGCATTTGAAGTCTTTTAATGCGGTGATACTGTTTTGTTTCCATGGTTTGTATAGGGAATGTTGGATGTCAATTAATTTCAGTTTAAATTGTTTGACAGATCCGGAGAAAGAAGTGGCATTAACAGCAATTAAATGGACATTTTGGTCAATATCTTCTATGTCAGCACCAAGCAAATCATTGCCATTTTTTTCTTCTTCTTCCAGTTTTCTTTTAACAAAAAGATTTAATTGCTTTACAGCTTTAGTAATTCTTTCTTTTGGTATTTCTTCTACTGATTTAGAGACTTCTGTCATTTTGACCGTCGAATTATATCTTCTCTTATATTTGAGTGTAAATGTAAATGTAAATCTAAAGCTAAATCTAAATTTTTATATAAAAATAAATATTTAGAATTTACAGGCAAAAGTTATATGTGAAAGTCAGAATAAGGTCAGAATTATTCAAGTATATTCTATACACTGTAACAATAGTTATATATCAAGAGTATTACAGAGCACAAAAGTTAGTATTATTTATTGTCTACTTGAACAATTCTTGCGATGAGCTTTAAAAGTTCAATTTTACCAAATTCTACGAAAAAAGAAAAACAAAAAGATTCAAAAAAAATTTTTTTTTTTGAAGGACTTCTCAAACGAAATAAAACAGTAATAAAGAAGATTCCGGGCGGAATTTAAGAAGTCGCAAATCATGTGATCATTATTTCTGTCCCATACTAGTACGAGAAAGACCATAGTTATTTCAAATTCAGACTAATGGTAATATAAACTTACACATGAGTATACAAACATATATATATATATATATATATATATCAAACATGATTGTTGTTGTCTCTAAAACCTTTGTATCTATGAATCTGGCAATAAGGAAACAACAGACCATATTACAAAAAGGGTAAGACTGGAATTGAGAATTTGGAGAGAATTTACAGAAAATTCCCCTACGGAATTTACAACAACTGGGAAGTTTTGCAAAAGTTTGAAAGAGAACAAAAAAAATTAAAAAAGAAACAGTGATTAAACTGAAAAGTTATCTCAGAGGGTGGAAACACAATAAATGTGTGTGCTCTATTATCTGTCTGCAATGTACACTACACAAGTAATAAGATTATACGGACATTTGGCGCAAGCTATAACATTATTTATATACACAATTGTATCAGTGGTTTTTCCCTAAACCATATAGGTATATAAGGAATCAGAAATGGGTAAAAGAAAGAAGTCATCAAGAACTCCAGTTAAGAGAGTGGTTCAAAAATTGGATACAAAATTCAATTGTTTATTCTGTAATCATGATAAGTCTGTTTCTTGTACATTAGATAAGAAAAATAGTATTGGGACTTTAAGTTGTAAGATATGTGGACAATCATTTCAAACTAGAATCAATTCGTTGTCACAGCCTGTGGATATTTATAGTGATTGGTTTGATGCTGTAGAGGAAGTTAATCAAGGGCACGGTAGTGATGTAAATAGTGATTCTGAGGGGTCAAGTAGTGATTATGAAACAGATTCTGATGAGGAAAGAAACTCATCTACAAGGATTAAATCTGGGTCTTCTAGAGTAGTAGTGGATTCAGATGAAGAAGAAGAAGATGATGATGAGGGTCATAGAAATATAAAAGAAAGTAATAGGGGTAGAAATGTACTTGACAGCGATGAAGAAGATGAAGATTAAGAACTGTTTGTCAATAAATCTATAGAAATTAGACAGACAACTGCATAAATAAATATTGATAAATGAAAAAGTGCTATTTTTTTTATATCCCCAAATTCTAAGTAAATTAATAGGAAAAAAGAAACCAATACAAAAGGTATAATAAGATATTTTTACTACATATGTATATTCAATGATATTATATAACTAGCATTAACTAAAGTTGAAAATTTTATATATTAAAGAAGAACATAATCCCAAATGATATGAGATATAAAAAGGATAAAATAGTCCAAAAAATACAAAACAACATTATAAATGGTGTGAACACTTAATAGGAAAGGCAGTGTTTTAACCTAATATTAGTAACATTAAATATATAGTAATATAACATACTAATAATATTAAGATGCAAAAAAAAAAAAGCAAAAAACAAAAAAGAATAAGCTAAAGTAAAGTAAAATCGAATCAATATAATATATAATTTAATTATCAGAATAGAATAAATAAAGAATAATGGAATAGAATAGAATAAATAAGTTAAAAAGGTCGGATCAAATTAGGATAGATGATTCAGAATAAGGTTGGAGTCTTTCCATCTGGGAATAATTCCTCCTTTAATGGAACACCAAGTTCTTCTCTAACATCTTTTAATTCTTCCAAGTAGGCTTTATATTGGTCTTCATTTTCAACCTTGTATTTCAAAGCTTCAAATACTCTTATAGCAGTTGGTAAATCGTTGACTCTACGAGCAGCTCTTAAAGCCTTTTCTAATACAGCGGGAGCAGGAACTAAATCGTATGAGAAACAATTATTTAACACTCTTTGTACTTCGAATAAATCATAAGCTTCTTCAAATTCCTTTTCAAATCTAGCGGTGAATTCCTCAAAAGTTTCTTCATCATGCTGACTAGAATAATTCCTCACACCAAAAAATGAAGTGTTCTTAACAGTAGTTGGGATAGTGGTGTGCATCACAGATCTAAGAGAACCATTAATGCTAGTATAGGTACGAGGGACTATTCTTAAAGTGCCTGGTATAGAAAGACTACGCATAACGGTTCTAGATAACATCTTTTCTTTTTATTATTAGATATTTAACTTTGTTCTTGATTAAGGTGTCGTAATAGTTGAGAGGGAGAGAAGGGAGAAAGTATCAAATTAAATTGAAGGTATATGTTTAAAGATTAATTATTGCGTGTTCTATTGTAACGCCTGGTTATGAATATGAATGTATGCAATTGCATGCGAATGAAAGAGAATAATATAAGTCGCTAAGAAATAAAAACTTTCTTTCTTACTCCTTAAGCAGAACGTACAAAGAGTTAAAGATGACTAGAGAAGACGTGGGAAAAATGATATTAATAAAGGACACATATTGACGAGAAGGTAAATAACAGCAAGACAACAAAGAAGATATTCAGAACTAGGTACAGGAAGAAAGAAAAACAACTGTTACGGTAAATTGCAAGTTATAAATATAAATACGTAAGCATATTAATGCAAGAGTACCACCTAGGAGGGGGGAAACGATTAAGACAAATTGAAGTGGATTGGAACAGAGATTGGTATTATCCGCAAAAAGGGACTTCATCTCATAATGTCCGTTATCTTCTGATAGCGAAATCGACAGTCTTTTGACAAACAATCGAACAACTCATCACTGCTAGAAGTTGACTATCAAGGTAATTAAACCTGCTTTCCACATTTCGATTAGATCTGGTCCATTTTATTTCGACTTATTCTGAAATATTTATAATTCGAGAAAATCCCTTCCCCCCCTCCTTTCATCTTCATCTTCAGCGAATCGACGGACAAACAAAAATGAAAGAAAAAAAAAAAAGAACAAAAGAATTTGAAAACAACAAATCTCTAAGCTCTGATTTGTTAATTTTCCTAGAATTAATATAGAAGAGTATACTGATAATTAGAGCAATTTATATAAGGTCTTATAACACAATGTTATATACAAATATTTTAAAATTTCGAAAAATCATTCCATACTTACTAAGATTACGCAGTACCTTAAGTCTCATGTATAACTGTATCTTTTGTGTCCGTAAACTGCACTTTTATTGAGCCTATTTGGTACCGTTTAGGGTCTGTAACTACTTCACTTAGAAGTGGATGTCTCGTCCAGATGAAAAACTTATTAACATGTAGAAATTCAATGTAGAGATAATGATCCAAACCAATATCGATAATATAGTTGTAATAAGGCTGTTGCTCATGTCTTTGTAGTGTATTGCGGCATTGTCTGTATTACTAGATTCACTATGGTTTGACGTATTCATATCATGCATTTCTAGATACTCTTCACTGCCAATATCTTGTTTAAGTGGTTCATAAGAAACATCATATCCTAGTAAACTATTGCCAAGCGAAGTAATTCGATTTTGTGTATGTTTATTATTATTATTTCCACTATTATTATTATGAGTATTATTTGGATTGATTTGAACACGCATTATTTTTTTGTTACAAGTAAAATAGATTAATGGAGCTGAGACAAATGGTAATAACAAAGATAACAACACCTGAGATGCATTCAAAGCTCCAGATAGTCCACTTCTCCCAGCAACAAGGACTAAAATCAAACACGGTGTAATAGCTACAGCTCTTGTAATCGATCTTCTAATTGTTGGAGAAACCGACCAATTAAGGAACCCCTCACTTACCATTTGACCACTTAATGTACACACAATTCCTGCACTTTGACCAGAAAATAATAGAGCCAGCACAAAGATTAAGCCTGCGCCTTTCGATAAAGTCGTAGATAAAAGGTTGTAAATTGAAAATAGGTCAGCTTCTTGAGCATCTTGCGTGGTACCATATAGTGTGGCACCTGCTACAATCAAAATAGCACAATTGACAAATAATGCCACTGTGAAAAGAGATATCAACAATTCTGCCACCGTGTAGTGTAAGGTTTCATTTATTGCCTCAAAGGACGGTTTATAATTATCATGATTATTTTCAATATCATTAAGATCTGGCATATAGTAACCTTTTTTGATATCATAATCTCTTAGCCTTGGTTGTACAACACCTGATCCTAAGAATAAAGAATGTGGCATCACTGTTGCCCCTAATATAGCAAGAGATAAATAAAGGCCATCTCCCTCGAACACAGCTTTACTTGGTAAAAATCCATTAAATACTTTTTTAGTAGACCCCAAATCTGCATAAAATAATTCTATAGCAAAACATATAACAGTTAAAACAACTAGGAGTGATACAAAAGCTTCAAAGAGACGCACTATTTTTAATGAACCATTAGGTTTATACGCGAGTAACACAATTAACACATCTACCACAGTTAGTATCACACCTATAGCCAAAGGAATGCCAAATATAATATTTAGTGAGATTGCAGTACCAACCACTTCTGCCAGATCTGTTGCTATAATAGCAATCTCCGCTAATATATATAAAGTGATATTTACTCCATGCGGGAAGTGTTTACGACAATTTTGAGCTAAATCTAAGCCTGTTACTGCACCTAATTTTGCACATAATGCTTGCCAAAAAGCTGCCATAAAATTGGATACTAAAATAGAAAATAATAGTTTATATTTATGTGCTGCACCGGCGGCAACTGCTGTTGAATAATTCCCCGGATCCATATAAGAAACAGAGACCATCAAGCCTGGTCCAATAAATTTGGAATACTTCTTTAGAATTTGGAGAATAGATTCAAGTGGACTTAGGTGAGTTGTGGTATCAGGTGAAGAAATTCCATGAATAAAGTGGTTTATTTCATTTCGTACAGTTTCAATTGTCTCTACACCTCTTGAAGAATGCGATAAGTCTGTTGATTCCTTTTGTAAAATGTCACTACTTGACGGTATTGGTCGTTCCTCTCCTTTATTATTTATATTTGTGTTATTTTCGTTACTATTCATAATTATAGAATCAGCATATTCTAGAGACATTAAAAAGTATTGAAAATACTAGGATAATTTAAAACAGGTTTGCAAATAAGAATATAGAGATAGATAGGTAAATATATTCGTGTCTATATTTGTAATTTAAAGAGTTGTTTGTCCTATCTAATATGTATTGCTAAATACCAGATAAACAGTTTCAGGATATATCGATGTCTATACCTCAACATACTGTAACAGCAACACATGGAGTCAGTGTGCTGTTTTTTTCTATGTTTGCTTTTTCAATTTTTTTTTTTTTTAAAAAATGGTTATTGTTAGGTTGATAATTTATGACAAATACATAGAAAAAAAACTGCTACGATTATTGCATATAGTTGTTATCTTCCAATATATCAATTCTTTCTATGATAAGCAGAAATTTCCTTTTTATAGGCAGTAGATATAATAATTTCATTTGGTAAATCATTTCGCCTTGATACTGTAAAAGATATTATATAGGAGGTTTATTAACCATATATACTGAGACTATTCTATAACTTTTTTTGAATATACAGGTATATACCGATATATGTAGACTCAAACACAGGTATGTGTACTAGTATCAACAATTCTACTATTTTGGAGTATAACATAAATAAAATGGCTATAGTCGACAAATGATAAATTGCAAACTGGTCTATTTGTTTGAAAACAAATATATCTATATATTTACAATCATTCTATGAATATGTTTAATTTTGTAAAGACTTTTCAATTTCTTCGACTATTGGTCTAATAATATCTTTTTTGTTTGGAACCATATGTCCACCTGGATGTTCATATGTTTTTACTTGATCAGTATCATCTAAAACATTTTTAAAGATTGATGCTAAATATTTAGATCTAACACATGGCACGGCTTGATCCGATTCACCATAAATTAAAATGATTTTAGTCTTCATTCCTGGGGCAGGAGCAAAACTCTGTTGATATTTCTCAGTGATTCTTAAATCACCTTCTGGTTTAGATGGGTCCTGTTCAGTGAAAGAATAACCTGAGATAATTACACTAACTTTAAATTCTGGATGATCTGGAACCAACTCAGTAATCTTATTAGTAATTATTGTGGACAATGCAGCCCCTTGTGAGAACCCTACAATACCATCGTATGGGCCATTCTCCTTAATATGGTTGACTACGGTTTCAATACCTTTAGTCACATCTAATTCACTAGAGATTTCGCTATGATAGAACCAAGCACGATTCAATTGAGCATCCACAGTAGCTTTCCACTTTTCATCATCCATTTCGAAAGGTAAATCTTTCTTTTCTAATAACACTGGGCCATCAATGTAATCACACTGAACGTTAGCCTTTTTTAATAGTTTTCTAATACCACTTGATTTTTCAGAGAAGACTTTCCCATTCTGTAAGAAACCATGAAGAAACAATAATTTAGGCATGTTGCTAACAGTCATCTTTATTTTTTGAAAGTTACTTGTTTTTATGTGGAAAAAGCTAATGTTCTTTAGTATTCAAATGTTACTTCTCAAGGACAAGCAAGCATCAATAAAAAATAGTAGAAACTAAATTTTGTCGCAAAATAAAGCAAATAACAAAAAGGAGGAGAAAATTAGCTCGAGAAAGACGATCATACAGTTTACATTTGATATACATATATATATATACGTAATAATTTATACATCTATCATTGTCTATAGCATCTGTCAAATAAATCCATCTATTTTTTTTTTCTTTTTTTTTTTTGTTTATTTTTTTTTGTGCCTTTTTTCTTCAAATTGCCGTAGAGAATATTTTAACGGTGAAATAAGTTTCACAAAAATTTGATGTCTATGTTAGACATTGAATATCTGCAATACAGAAAAGTTTTTTACATTGGTTTCCTATAAATTTAACATGCAAGCCATAAATATACTAAACCATAATGTTGTAAGAAAAAAAAAGACTTTAAATGTATAAATAAATCTTAGACACAGATGTCAATCATTATCAGTATTTGTAAAGATATAATCAGTTGAGTCGTCTTTTACTCACTATGTAAATTTGTCATTAGTAAATAATATCGATTTTTAATATGTAAACCTCTTTTATGTGATTATTTTTTTTTGGTTCCAAAAATTATTTCAGAATGATTAATGAATGAGAAAATAGTTTATATTTAGACTGCGATCATGTTAAATTGTTATTTTTTGGTAATTAGTTATTCTAACTGTTTGTTGTTTTGATAAGTATAGTAAATATGTCATATGGTACTATATATTATAATGACGTAATATAAATGTAATTTTTGTAAATAGGAATCACAGTATTCTTGTTCTATCATTTGGGAGAAAACAACATAGTAAACAAATTAATGTAGAGTTAGGTAGTCAAGGCTAAATCTAACGTTCAAAACAGAAGTTACAGGAAATTGACCCTCTAGATCACAGTATAGGGAATAGTTTTACTTTTAAATACGACTAAACCAAATTAATATATTTGTTTGTATACAACAATTAATTATATGATATTAAATAGGGAGTCTATAAATCTTATTACTAGAAGAACAATAAAATAACGGCAATAAAGTATAAAAAGCTAGTGGAATAATAATGTAGGATTCTTTAGTCATCCCATGCATATGGTGACTTGGATCTTAGATATGCACCGTATCTACTGAAAAGAAATGGAACTGGTATCATCACTAAAGTCACCATAGCAAGTAAGAAGCTTCCCCAATTTACACCCATTCCTTCATACATTTGTAATCCGAATAATGGAAAAACACCGCCCATCATACATCTCACAAAACTATTAGATGCTAATGCAGATGCTGCATATCTTCTATATGCATCCACAGTGTAATTAAAAATACCAATAAAAACATATAAAACACCAATGCCAAATATAGAACTGCCAATAATGGGTCCAATCCAATGAACATGAGAATAGCATGTCCAAGCAAAAATCATTAAACCGATGGGACTAAGAAACGCACCATAGAATAATGGTTCAAACCTCATCTCTGGTATAGATACACCATTGTTTTGTTTTATTCTATTTTCATACCTCTTTTGAAAAATTATTGATGTTGGGGTGGCTAGAATCATTCCCACGGTTAAACCTAAATAAGAACATGCAGATTCCATTTCATTGAAATGATACAATTTAGGGAAAATATATGGGAATGCAACAAAGAACAAGTATATGATAGCTAATTCTAATCCTGTATAGAAACAAAGTACTGCTGCCATAGGGTCAAAAATTAATAAGCCAAATGGTCTTCTACATGATAATACCATAGCACTTAATAAGGAAGTCTCTTTTCTAGTTATTTCTAGTGGTGCATAATAGTTATTATTGCCAGTTTCTTTTCTCAATCTTTTCGCTTTTTTAACCAATAAAATTGGCCTGTACGTTTCTGGTACTGTAACGATAATAATGATTAAACTAACACCTGATGCTATAATAAAGGTGATAAATACCCATCTATAATCAACCGTAAAAAATGCACCAGAGACAATTGGTCCTAAAGAAGGACCTAACATTGCTGCAGTGGTATAAATAGCCATAGGTACTGTAATACTACTCTTATCGAAAATATCACTAATAGAACCACCTGCTACACTTAAAAAACTTGATCCAAAAAAACCACTAAGGAATCTACCAAACATAATACCGACAATCGATTTTGACCAAGTTGTTAAACATTGCCAGATTATACTTAATGATAAAGAAAAAATAAAAGTAATTTTACGTCCATATAATTCACTAATGGGGGATAAAAATAGTGGGCCAATGGCTAGACCAAAAACGTAGAAAGTAATACCTAAGACACTCACTTCATGAGAGACATGGAAATGTGATATTATATGAGGAGAAACAAATGTCCAACAGGAAGATATCATTGTGATAACCATTGATGCAAATGTAATGATTATCGAAATATAATATTTTCGAATAATAGTTAAGTGTCGGGAAATATCTTCTGGATCTGCTGGCTCATCTAGTCCCGAAAATGACACTTCATAGATAATTGGTGGCTTTTTTGAATCCAATGTTTTGGTTTCTGCTTGCAATTTAGAACTTAAGTCTCCCTCATTTGACTGTGATGATAACTGATCACTTAGGTTAGTAAGCTCAGAAAAAGACTTGTCAGAGGAATGTATAATGAAGGTGGAGAGGTGATTTTCTATATCATTGTTTGGTGGAGGTTGATTGTCGATGCCTGACATTTTTTATTAACATATATTTGTGATAATTCTTGAACAAAAATCAATTTTTAAATAGGGGCTATGAAATATTTTAATGACTGGTTATACTTCAGCGTATAAAAATATTAATATTGCTCTACTCAGTTATAATAAAAAATATAAGAACAATGTTTTTATTAATTAAAATGCACCATTATATCTGCGTTCGAAAATAAATGGATGATTATTGAGATACATTAATCACCTATATATGTATATATATAATACACATTATTATTTTCTGGTATTCTATATGAATTTTAGGATTATCTATATTTATCTTTCCGATTATTAAGTTAATATGAATAGCAGATGCCCTCGAGAAGCATAATAGAAACTCTACAAAATACACTTTAAAAAAATAAAAAAAATTATTTTTCAATGTACGAAAATTGAAACATTTCTTTTTATTGTGTTTTAAAAATTTTTCTTCTACATCTAAAAACCTATATTTAATTTACTACAGTTACAATAATTTTGTTATTCAGATTTGTTTACCCTGCTTTTACAAAATATCACACCAATAAGAAAAATGTATGTGTATACTGTTTTTTTCTTAGGAAAAGAAGAATATCCATAAAAAACTTTAACATGGTAAATAAAAAAAATAAAATACCTTATTTGAATATTGAAAAACGTCCGAAACCTATACTTAAAATATAATAAATAAAAAACAGAAAATTTTTTGTAAATGTAACCCTCCTTTGTACTTCTGTAAAAAATGCTTGAATCTGTTTACACGGTAGATCAAAATTCTATTGTTTTCAAAAAAGAAAAAAAATTCTTAGATAAAGTTGATATTGTCTGAATTCGACGCACTTAACCGGGAAAGTTTCCTATGTAAAAACAATACAAGAAAAAGGAAATAAGTATAGCAAGCGAGAAGATTCGGAAATAATACACGGAAATAATATATGAAAATAAGAAATTACTAACAGCAATTATTAATCTCCATATCTTAGTTGAAAACATAAAATACAGCAATACTTTTAAAAGTACAATTGTTGTTTTAGAATATATGATTAGGTTTCTCCAGTTCGGTGTTTCTTTATTGACAATATATAATGATAAGTAAAATGTAACGTAGCAATAGTATTACCGTTTAAACATTAATGTTTTTTTTTATTATTTGTGTTAATAGTACAAGATTAACTCGATAAGATGTTGTAAGGAACTTAACTGGAAATCCAGTAGATACGCAATTCCGAGGGTAACACCTGAGTGTCTAGGTGGAGGATTGGTACAGCCATGTGCGCAGTGGCTTGTATAAGGTATTGAATTTGATTAGAGGATTTCCAGGGAGCGATAATTATATCAGATCTTGTTAAGAGACCTTTGATTATTGAGAGATAGGCTAGGGGTAATCATCTTATTTAAATACATCTTAGTAATGATATTAAGAAGTAATTCTTAATACCATAGAAGAAAATGACTAACAACAAGAAGAAGTAATAATACAACACCAGGGTTATTAATTAGTAATATATAGAGCTTACGTAAGAGTGTTTATAGTTGTACTAATTGATATGATTCATCCATCTATATACAACAACTCTTACAGATGTATACATGATCTTATATATTTTGTGGTTCATTATATTTTAATGAAAATAACTCGTTAATCAAAGGTGGCAAATATAATTATCAATTGAAATAATCTTTGGAGTTTCACAAGAAGTAGAAAAATTTTTTAAAAATTGGTGTGGAAAATATTTCTATATCTGAATATTGTTCTGCTAAAATCATATGTTCTAAAAGTTAAATGTTTAAGTTTGAACCAAATTTTCTTTGTAATTTCTCAGTACATTCACATATTTAATTATTTTTTTTTTAGTTTTTCTGTTTACATGTTGTTGAATTTACATAAACAATCTATGTTTAATGCCAGGGATAATTTTTAAAAAAAATATATATTCACAATTTTAAATAATTTATTGTAATTAAGTATTTACTAGAATAAAAATTTTTCACCTTTTTATCACTTATGCATATAAGTAAATGAGAATATGCTGAAGGCAAGTGCTCCTCTTGACGTTTTTTAATGAAATGAAAAATCATATGGTAGAAAAGAAGACAAAATGAATAAATCATGTTAATAATGCAATTAAAAACAACATTTTTTCTGTTGAATATAATTTAACCATCTCTTTATATAAGTAATTAAAGATATTTCGAACAAAAATGAATAAAATTAGATACATTCATTAATGAATCATATTAGTTGTAAATGTACCATTGTTTTGATTGGTTTTCTTTGTTTTCATCTATATATGTTTCTGTTCTTAAAATGGACATAGAGGTTGCTTTTTTTTTTAGAATTACATCATTTAAATAAAATTTCATAAACAATTATACATTTCCCTTTTTAAAAAATAAAGAGAAAATTCTATACAGAAAAACAATATTTTTCTTTTTACATGGTTTTTTAATAGTTTATAGTCTAGAGATGATTTAATTCTAATCATGCTGCTGTTACGTAGAAATAAACTCCAACAGTTGGTGAATAAAAAACAAACTAATATGATTGTTTTAACAAAAACCTTTACCCTGGTAGTTAATCAATATTGATAAAGTTACTAACATATGCAGAATTAGAAGAAACTGATCAGATTTCATTTAAAAGAATTTGCTTCATTTGAAAATAATGTATTTTGCATTGCTTTTGTAAACTACATTCAATTTGTTTCTTCCTATTTTTTTAAAAGATTTGAAAAAGGTAGTTTTTTTTATATCACAATCTTTTTTAAGTTTACAATAAAGTCAATTGGTTCTGTCTTCTTTTAGGTTTTTTTCAAGGACGTTTTATGGCTATGAAAAACTACATAATAACTACTGGTTATTTCATGAAAGAGCTTATATACCTTTAAAAACAAGCAAATCAAAAAAAAAAAAGGATAATAGATTATTTGATATTTCATATTAAGAACCTTTTAATGGAATACATACTATGCTTAATGATTACCTATCTGATGCTCCAGTACCAGATATTGTTTAGTATGAATAGTACAAATCATAAATAAATGCAGAGTGGTTAGAGAATTGGTTTTTCTTAGGGTTTTGCTTTTTTTTTCAAAAATTTTGTATTGTGCGGGTAAATTTGTGCAACATCTTAGGGTTCATATTTATCAGAATTTTTGAAACTTTTTGTGTCAAATTTCTTTTAGAAGAAATTAAATGCATTCTATTTTATTGATAATGACTTCGACGCATTTATGTATATTGGTGTTTCTTTTCACCTTTCACCTCTCTTGTTCTTTGTTTAAATAGAATCAACCTAACACCAACCAACTGTAGCAACAATGTCTTACGAACGTGAAGTGTTACCTACTAATGTAACACCAGTACACTACAATTTACAATTTGAACCTAATTTTCAAGATTTCACTTTCATTGGTTCCACCTCCATTCAATTGAGAGTTAATGATTCTTCCATTGACTCTATTTCCGTTAACACTTTAGAACTTGAATATGAGTCAGTTAAACTGAACGATCAAATTGATAACACTGGATTAGAAATTGATACTGATAAGCAAGTTGCTAAATTTTCTTTCCCTAAAGGTACTATTGGTTCGCTAGCTACTAGTGAGGATGCTATGATTACTTTAGATATCAAGTTCAAGGGTATCTTAAATGACCAAATGGCTGGTTTCTATAGAGCTAAGTATATGGATCCTAAATCTGGTGAAACTAAATATATGGCAACTACACAATTTGAAGCTACTGACGCCAGACGTGCATTCCCATGTTTTGATGAGCCAAATTTAAAGGCTACATTTTCTGTTACATTAGTCTCTGAAACTAATTACACACACTTATCTAATATGGATGTTAAAGAGGAATCAGTCAATGAAACTGGTAAGAAAGTTACTGTCTTTAATATCACTCCAAAAATGTCTACTTATTTGGTTGCTTTTATTGTTGCTGAATTAGCATATGTGGAAAATACTGAGTTTAGAATCCCGGTTAGAGTTTATGCTACACCAGGTACAGAATGTAAAGGGCAATACTCAGCTGATTTAGCTGCTCAAACACTTAAATTTTTTGAATACACCTTTAATATTGATTACCCATTACCAAAAATGGATATGGTAGCAGTTCATGAATTCTCTGCAGGTGCCATGGAGAATTGGGGGCTTGTCACTTATCGTGTAGCTGATGTATTAATTGAGCCTAGTGAAGCTTCTTTAGATCGTCTCCAAAGAGTTGCTGAAGTTGTGCAACATGAATTAGCCCATCAATGGTTTGGTAATTTAGTCACTATGGATTGGTGGGAAAGCTTGTGGTTAAATGAAGGTTTTGCCACATGGATGTCTTGGTATTCTTGTAACAACACCAACCCTGATTGGAAAGTTTGGGAACAATATGTTGCAGATAGTTTGCAACGTGCTTTGAGTTTGGACTCTTTAAGATCATCTCATCCAATTGAAGTTCCAGTTAAAAATGCTGCTGAGATTAATCAAATTTTTGATGCTATTTCCTATTCCAAGGGTTCTTCTGTGTTAAGAATGGTCTCTAAATGGATTGGTGAACATTATTTCATTAAGGGTGTTTCTGAGTATTTATGTAAATATCAATATGATAATGCTAAAACAGAGGATTTATGGAGATATTTATCTCTTGTTACAGGTAAGGATGTCACAAGTGTAATGAATGTTTGGACCAAAAAAGTTGGTTTCCCGGTTGTTAGAGTAGATGAAACTGAAGATGGTAAAATTACCTTGACTCAAAATCGATTTTTATCTACTGGTGATGTCAAACCAGAAGATGATGAAATTATTTTCCCAGTACTTTTATCTTTAAAAACTAGTGAATGTGTTGATGAATCTTTGATATTTAATAAGAGAACTGAAACATTCGAAATTAATAAAGGTGATAATGATTTCTTCAAAATTAATGGTGATCAAATTGGTACTTACATTACATTATATTCTGATGCAAGATGGAAAAAATTGGGAGAACAAAGAGAATTGTTATCAGTTGAAGATCGTACAGGTCTTGTTGCTGATGTTAAATCATTAGCTGCGTCTGGTTACACTTCCACTGTTAATTTCTTAGATTTAATTTCTCATTGGAGAGAAGATGAATCTTTTGTTGTTTGGAATCAAATTATAAATAGTATTACTGCCTTACAAAATACTTGGATTTTTGAACCATCTGAAATCAATGATGCTTTATTAAGATTTGTTCTTGATTTAGTCTCCAAAAAAGTTCACGAATTGAAATGGGATTTCTCTGATGCTGGTAATAATTCCAACAACAATAATGATTACACATTACAAAAATTGAAGGTTACTTTATTTGGTGCTGCATGTGCAGCTAAGGATTCAGAAGTTCTTGCTGCCGCAAAAGAGATGTTCAATAACCAAGTTTCTGGTAAAATGTCTATTCCATCTGTCATTAAGCCAATTGTTTTTACTGCTATTGCTAAGAATGGTAGTGTACAAGAATATGAGATTTTGTTAAACATTTATAAGAACTCATCTAATACAGATGAAAAGCTAGCAGCTTTGAGATCTCTTGGTGCATTCAAGGATCCTGCCTTGATTGAAAGAACTTTAAGTTATCTATTAGATGGTACTGTTTTGAAGCAAGATATTTACACTCCATTAGTTGGTTTAAGAACTCATCCTGAAGGTATTAAGGCTATGTGGAAATGGGCACAAGAGAACTGGGATGAGATAGTCTCTAGATTACAACCAGGTTCGCCAGTATTAGGGCATGTATTAACCTTAACTACGAGTGGATATACTTCTACCGAAGCCGCTGATGAAATTGCTTCCTTCTTCGCATCCAAGGATACACGCGGTTATGATCAAAGTCTTGCCCAAGCATTAGATGCCATCAAGGCTAAAGCTCAATGGGTTAAGAGGGATCGTGAAGTTGTTTCTAGCTACCTAAAACAGAATGAGTATTTGAAATAAATTTGATATATATTATATGTAGTGATATTATTACTGTTTTTTTATATCCCAACTTTTGTGTAACCACGCATATAATCTCCTTTGATATATTATTTCTAGAAATAACATTAATTTGATGACGTCATGCTATTAATATATATGTGATAGTTAAATTTGGAAAATAACCCTTTTGTTTAATTACACAAAAGGGTGGAATTTTGAGAAAAAGAAAAAAACAAAAAAAAAGAAAAGAAAAGCAAATACTTCTGTAACGTTTGTTTACCGCACCTAAAAAACTTTAAAAGTTACAAGAAAGGGCTTTTCCAAAAATAAAAAAGAAAAAGAAGGATATTGTAATGGAAAACCTATATTGCATTATTATTTCATCTTAATGATTTCTTTTTGATTACATGACATATCTACTTCATAATAAAGTTGGCTAATTTTTTGTCTACACGTGTTATTTCATGTATGTTGAAATTATCAGGGACATGTTTTTTTTTTGATATTTCTTAAAATCTAAGAAGTATCTTATCTTTTACTTGCTAAGTTAAAATGACAAGCTTATTTTTTAACGAAAGCCCTAACTTTGAGAATCGTGTGTTTGAGAAAATTCTTTTTCCAGTAATATACGACCTTCTTTTTCTTTTTCGTGTCACATGACCCACTTTCATACTACGCTGAACGTTAGTAAGACAAAAAACAGAGATATCAAAAAAGAAAAAACAAAAAAGAAAAAAAAAGTAATCGAGTGATGACGCCAAGCCCACCTGATCTGTGAGAGAAAAAAAAAACTATTAGGGAAAATAATTAAAAGTTCTCGAGAAAAGAACTGGTGAATGTGAAACAAAGTTGTAAAAAATATGAGGTAATATATAAATTGATAAACGAAGCAAGAAATCTGTTTCATTATCATAACTTACTGTTTTTTTTAAATTTTACGATAACCTTCCTTTATTTATATTTCTTTCCTTTATAAACTGAATTCGAGACGAGTAATCCACAATATATATAATTTTTAAGCATGAAACTAACTTCTGCCTGGACTTTGGCTGCTTTGGCTGGTTTGGCGTCTGCTGAAAAGTTTGTTAAATTATCCTTTGATAAGTCAGTTGGATCTTCATATAGTGAATCGTCCAAGAATCCATTACAAAAAAGAGATTTCGCTTCAGATCACGGCTATGCAGAATTTGACTTAACTAATCAACAAACATTTTATTCTGTGAATTTAAGAATTGGTACACCATCACAAGAAGTTACTGTTTTGGTCGATACAGGTTCTTCAGATTTATGGGTGATGGGTTCTAATAATTATTTTTGTAGTTCAAATATGAATAATTTCAGAGAACTAGTTAAAAAGGAGAAAAGAGACGAGGTTACCACTGTTAGAATTACATTATCTCCAGAAAACGTTAATGGTGGTGGTGACGATAACCCATTTCAATGGCTTTCTGAAATTTTACCACAAATTGGTGGATTTGGTACTGCTACTCAAACTGTCGGCGTGGGTGGTGGTGCTTTTGCTACTGGTACCTCTTCTGGTGCTATTGATTGTTCCCAATATGGTACATTTAATGAGTCAGAATCTTCTACGTTTAAATCTAATCATACAGGATTTGAAATCTCATATGGTGATAACAGTTATGCGTCAGGTGTTTGGGGTACTGATACTTTACATATTGGATCGGTAAATGTTAGTCATGTCTCCATTGCTGTAGCTAACTACACAAATTCAACCATCGGTGTGTTGGGTATTGGTCTTCAAGGCTTAGAGACAACTTATTCTGGTGGTGGTTTCTCTAATTCTTATGAATACGCTAATTTCCCAATCGTCTTAAAAGATAATGGTATTATTGAACGTGTTGCATATTCATTATATTTGGATGAACCAGATGCATCAACTGGAAGTATTTTGTTTGGTGGTATAGACCATTCTAAGTATAAAAATGGCCTTTACACTGTACCTTTAGTTAATATTTATTCACAACAGGGTATTAGGAAACCTATTGAATTTGATGTTACTTTTTACGGTATTGGAATTCAAACAGAGTCAAAAAATATCACCATTGCTCAAACTTCCATTCCAGCGTTATTAGACTCTGGTACTACAATTTCATACTTCCCACCATCTTTACTAAAATTGATTACTGCACAATTAGATGCCACATACAGTTCATCCTTAGGTTATTATACCATGGACTGTGTTTCTGAAGATGACCCCACTCTATTAGTTTTTGATTTTGGTGGATTTCACATTACCTCACCTTTAGCAGACTTCCAATCTCAAGTTAGTAGGTCTAAATGTTTGTTGATGATGGCCGCTCAAGCTGATAGAATAATATTGGGTGATGTTTTTTTACAACATGCTTATGTTGTTTATGATTTGGAAAATTTGGAGATTTCAATGGGTCAAGCCAATTTCAAAAATTCTTCAAGTACTGACAGCATAGAGAGTATTGGTACTACAGTCCCAAGTGCTGTAAAAGCGCCTTTGTATTCTTCCACTTGGGTCAGTACTAATATGATTAGCGCTGGTGGTAATATTTTCACCAATGTAGTGAATGTTGGTACAAATAATGGTAATTCTACAATTTCTTCTGTTGCTAAGGGTTCTACTAGTAAAGGTAAGACTTTTACTGCTACTACTACTCGTTCTCAATCTACCTCTACAACCTCATCAGATGAAAAAAAAAAGAATATTGCGCCTGTACCATACTCCATTAACTCTATTGCTATCTATTCATTCGTTCTTTTCATAGCATATTTGATCTGATTTATCACGTCACCATAGGAAAATACCAATTTTTTTTTTGTATTTTTCCTTTTCATTTATTTTTATTTCCTCAAAATACATTGATGACCAGTTTTTATGATCCATTGTAAGATGTTAAGTTAATTAATATACATATAAGCATATATCGTTACATACATATTATACAAAAATAGACAAAACTGTTAGTTTTCCTTTAAGTAAATTTAATTATAATCCCCAAATGACACACGTAGGTATGTCCTTGATACGTATATATATATTGGTATGTACCACTTATTATTACACAACTGTATAGGATATTATTTAAGATTCGTTTGCTTACTAATAAGTAGTCTGTGTTTGATAAGGGTTTTAAGAATCCAGAGGAATTACAACAAAAAATAAAAATATTAAAGGGAAAAATATTAAAGTTTTATAAGAGACATGTACGATATTTCTTGTATTTACGAAGATAAATGCATGTGTTTAAAATTGTATATACTCTAATATATCTATGTTGTCTGCTAATTATATTTTTCCTAATAACTAGTAAGAAATATTTATTTTAAAGAAGATATCAATGTTGAACTTTAAAAGATTATATTCACAAAGAACTTTGTCACAATTAGTACAAAAATATCCCGTAGGTAGTAAGATAAATGGTTATACCATACAAAGAGTCTTACCTCTACCCGAGTTCAAATTAGCATGTGTCGATTTATCTCATGAACAAACAGGTTCAAAACATTTACATATTGACAGTTCAATAAGGCAAGATGATGATAATAATGTGTTTTCAGTGTCATTCCGTACCCAACCACCTAATAATACTGGTGTACCACATATTTTAGAGCATACTACTTTATGTGGTTCTGTAAAGTATCCTATACATGATCCATTTTTCAAGATGTTAAATAGGTCTATGGCTAATTTTATGAACGCAATGACCGGACCAGATTATACTTTTTATCCGTTTGCTACAACAAATAAAAAGGATTATTACAATCTAATGAAAATTTATCTGGATGCAACTTTCAATCCCCTATTAACTAGTGACGATTTTATTCAGGAAGGATGGAGAATAGAAAATGAAGATGTTAATGATATTAAAAGTCCTTTGATCTTTAAGGGTGTTGTTTACAATGAAATGAAAGGGCAAGTATCCAATAGTGATTATTATTTTTACAATAAATTTCAAAGTACAGTATATCCATCTTTAAATAATTCAGGTGGTGATCCTAAATGTATTACAGATTTAACTCATGATGACTTAATGTCATTTCATGACAAAAATTATCATCCTTCCAATTGTAAAACATTCTCATATGGTACCTTTCCATTAATTAATACGTTACAAACATTAAATAATGAATTTATTAAATATGGAAGAAGACATAACAGTTTAAAGAAATTACTTCCTATAGATTTCAATAAACTTGACAAAAAACATGTTAAAGTTGCAGGTTATTATGATCCAATGTTTCCCAAAGAGAAACAATTTAAATCTTCATTGACATGGAACTGTGGTTCTACAAGAGACATTTACAATAGTCTACTATTAAAGATACTTTCATCACTTCTTTTAGATGGACAGGCTTCCATATTCTATAAGCACTTTATAGAATCTGGAGTAGGCACTGATTTTACTATAAACACAGGTTTTGAAAGTCAAACTGAGGCTAATTTATTTTCAGTAGGATTGCAAGGCATGACTTCAGAATATGTTGACAAGTTGCCAGAACTAATTAACAATGTCTTTAAAGAATTTGTCACAGCACCTATTAATTCAAAAAAGATTGATGCTATCTTACACCAAATTGAATTAAGCAAAAAAGACCATAAATCCAATTTTGGCATGCAATTGTTATATTCTATTCAACCAGGATGGTCAATAGAAATAGATCCGTTCAAGATTTTGAATTTTGATGAGACTCTTGACAGGTTTAAAAATGACTATAAAGCATATGGTGATGATTTATTTTACAGGTTGGTCCATAAATATTTCTTAAACAATGAGTGTTTAGAAACTTGTGGTAATGTAAACTCTAGTGGTGATTATTTACAGTTTACAATGATTGGTGATGAAAATCTATCCCAAGCATTAGAAACGGAAGAAAGAGAGAGATTAGCCAAGAAGATTAATTTGCTAAGTGAAAACGATAAAAAGATAATTTTTGAGCGAGGGTTGGAACTTAAGAAAAAACAAGAAAGAATTGAAGATATCTCTGTTTTGCCTGGATTAGATGTAGCTGAGGATATATCACTAAAGAGTAAGCTATATCCAATCATAATGGATCAAAATATAATGGTTAGAATCACCGATAGTAATGGTCTTTCATATCTTAAAGGGAAATTTTTGATTAATGATATTATTCCAAAGGAACTCTACAAATTTCTACCTCTATTTGCTGACTCATTAACTCAATTAGGTACGAAGAGTCAAAACTATAGCGAAATTGAGGATGAAATTAAATTATTTACAGGTGGAATCAGCACTCAAGTAAATGGGTATAATAATGTGATATTAAACAATAAAGTTGATTTAAATTTCGAAGTTGCTGGATGGTCATTAAATTCAAAAGCCGATAAAATTATTGAGCTGTGGAGAAAATTAATAACCGAAACAGACTTCTCTGGTAAAAGAGAACAATTGAAAATTTTAATTAAAATGTTAGCATCATCATCACTTTCCTCAGTATCTGAAGGTGGTCATTTATTTGCTATGAGACATGCAAATGCGCATTTTAGTAGATTAAAGTCGATCAAGGAAACTATGAATGGTGTAGAACAGTTAAGTTTTGTGATGCAGTTAAGTAAGATTGTTGAGTCTGGAGATGAAGTGAAATTTGAAGAACAAATATTGAAACCTTTATTAAAAATACAAGAACTTATCTTGAATCTTCCACAACAAAATTTGAAGTTTTCAATAATAACAGATTCTATTGAACAATCAAAATCTATAAAGAAGCACATAAGAGATTTTCAAAATTTATGGTCAACAAAGTCAACTACCAAAGGTGAGACGAACTTGTTAAGAACAAATGAGTTTCCATTATTAAAATCTACACAAAGTAATAGAACTATTTTGAAGTTTCCATTTCAAACTTTTTATACTGCCAGGAGTCAATCATCAAATATAATGGATTATCTTAACAAAGACAATTCTTCGTTATTATTACTAAGTCAAATCTTATCATTTAAGTTTTTACATCATGAGGTTAGAGAAAGGTTTGGTGCTTATGGTGTCGGTATGACATACGATTCTTTTGATGGTAGTATTGTTTATTACAGTTATCGTGATCCGCAACCAAAAAACTCCTTGAATATATTTAACGAAATGAATAATAATGTTAAGATAAATGAAATTACTCAGCAAGATATCAATGACGGAAAATTGAGGATTTTTCAAAACATTGATTCACCAATGAATAAACAAAATGAGGCTATGTGGAATTTCAACTATATGATCACAGACGAAATGAGACAGGAAAGAAGAATTCAATTGTTAAATCTAACAGTTGATGATGTAGCTAATGTTTGGGAAAAATACTTATCATCCAAAGATCAATATCAGGAGGTTATTGTGGGAGATATTCCTGCAGAGACCGGCGATTATGTTATTGATATAATGAATTCATGAGAATTTGTTTTCTAAAGACTTGTAAATATGATTAGAGAATAGTATAGCTATATATACATATGTAAGAATAATGTGTTATATCAATTAAATGTTTCAAATTTGGATTTATTTATATTTTGTAATCTCATCATTAATATAATATTGCGGAGAAGTATTTCATTTCACTTGATAGAAGCTATGTGTATTATTAAAAACTAACCAGTGGATAGAATTTATAAAAACCATATTTAAACGAGTCAAGTAATTTAATGATTTATGTAGTTCCTCAAAAAAAAAATTACCTATCCTAAAGTTCCTATATCTCAAGTAAAATAGTTCATATAGATTACATGAAAATAAGATTTTACAATTCTTTCATTGAGATTGAAAATAAAAAAATAAAATTTTTTGCTAATACAATGGGGACCTAAGAAGCATGCATTACAAAATGTTGAATAATCAGAACAACTATACAAAAAAAATATGAAATGGTTAATAAATGAAGTAAGAGAAGTTAATTATTCTTAAAAACTGACTGGGAAATAGGGACTATTACAAAATAATAAAGATATATTTAAAACTTTGAAAATTTCGAGTATAATTTTTATAACAAAGATTAGAAGATTAAAGATATCACTTTACATCAATGACTTCTAAAATGATATTAGTGCAACTATCTAAGATGATAATTTGTGACAAGACTCATTTAAAATACATAAAAAAAGTATAATTCAAATGTTTCACCACTGTAATTGCAACATATTGTTCTTACAAAGAATAAAAAGAGTTAAGACCCAACAGGAAAGTAAGTTGGCACTAGTTATAGATTACATAAGATAATATAGTAGATAAAACTATTGAGGAATTTTATACCTTTTTGATCAATTACCAGTTTTCATATTACTATCACTGTAATTTCTATACCTTTCATATATATACTTAGTAAAGGCATAAACTTAATATAAAATAAAAATACCATTAGGTTATAAATTTTAGATTTGCTGGAAGTTTCTTAAGGGCAATTTTGTTATCCTTTAACTAAGAGTTTATTATTTTGTGACATTATACAATAGTAAAGTTAGAAACATGCTTAAAATATTTTTAAAGAAAAAATACATTTGAAAAAGAATAAGAAGAAGGATTAATTCTTATTTATCGCTAAACATGGTATAAAAATATATATATTACTTATGATTGTTCTTAATAAAATAGATATATGTTTTCCTAATACGGTTTAGTATTTAATAATAGCATATTATCATCTTCTTTATAGTCTGAGAAAAGCTGTCTTTACTTTGAACTCTCATATTGTCCCACTATTTTACTTCACCATGTCGTTTTATACCTTTGGCCCTTCCGCAACAATAATGTACACAACCTATATCACATTCTTATATATAATGATTCATAAAATTGAAGAAATTATCTTACTAACTGAGTGTTATGTATTATACAAAGTCCTTATAAAAACAGAAACTCAATTTTCTATAATCATCTCATTTCACATTACTAAAATTAAATAAACAGAATGTACTATTATATGTTTATTCTTTTATTTTTTATATAAAAAGTCAGATATCGGCTATTTAAATTATTATAATAATGTTATTGGTGTTATATATAATTTTATATATATTTACGTAAAAAAACATATTAAAGTGTTCAAAAATAAAAATAAAACCATTCTAAAGTTTAGTCTCACTTATTCAGCGAAGTGCTTTAAAATTTCTTCAGCTGCTTTAATACCAGAGATAGCCATAGCACCAAAGGTTGGGCCCATTCTATTTAAACCATATAAAGTGGCAGATTCCATCCCAGCAAAGTAAACGTTACTAACACTTTGATATTTACCTGATTTTTTAACAACTGCTGCCTTGGCATGATTTATATCTAAACCTTTCATACCTCTAAGCTTCTGGTTTTTGTCAATACTCACAATCTTCTTTGCTGTAAAAGCACCAAATGGACCATCGTGTCCAGTTGTAGAGAGAATGACACCATGTTTCTTGGATGGATCACGAGTGCCATCTTCCTTGTAACCAGACAATTCAATGACATTTGGGTCCATACATGATTGTAAATCATGAGCCATTGATACTAAGGTCCAATTTGTAACCACACCAGCGGCAGCAACTGTACTATTGTCATCAACTGGTTTAGTCACTAAATTTTCTACAGCTGTAGCATTGAATAATTTAACATTTGGAAATTGAAGGACCTTAGAAAGAACAGTAGAAGTAAACAATGCTGCATGTTTAACAACGACATAATTACCTTCATCTTCGTATGGAATAGCCAAATCATCCAAAAATAAGTGGGCTGGTTTTCTCATGATCATAGCGGAGAATAATTGACCATTTAACCACGCCCTACCACCAGGTGCCACATTGCTTTCAATAATGGCAATATTTAAGTCAGGTCTGTTCTTAGCAATTACATATGCAGCGGGCAAACCAGAAGAGCCAGCTCCAATAATAACAACATCTGAAACAGCAAATTTATCTAAGTCTTTAAAATAGCGAGAAGTCATAGCACGAGAAACAGTAGATTCTCTAATTGGACTAAACTTGAAATCTGACCAGTCATTGGTCTTAACAACATTAGATAATGAGTGGTGGATGAGACTAGCATTCAATTGTAATTGAACAGCAGAAGAGATAGAGGCGGGTGTAATTGTATTAGTGATAGTAACAGTTTGAGCCATTTTGAACTTTCTATGTGGTTATTTTATTTTTATGTTTGTTTTATTAAATGTGAAAGTTATCAATCTAGAAATAAAATAGTACAAGTTGTATTATTTGTCTTTCCTGTTGGATTATATTAGAATACATACAGAAGAAGAAGTAATGAAAAAAGGGTATCTGTAATTAATTTTGTGTTACTTTATATATGAATTGCACAACAAATTTAGATCAATTTTAACAAATTATTTATTAGTATTATTTAATTATTTCATCTCCGATCAAGAAAAAAATGAACAAAGTTAATGATGGATTTTCAATCATTATTCAATCAGAGGATTGTCAAGTGTATGCAGTTAAAAGATTTAAAAATAAAAAAATAAATATTACCTTATTGTTATAATGGAATTTATGACACGCCGTCTTTCATTTTTATGCATTTTTTCATCTGTCATCTGTCGTCTTCGTTTTTTTTTTTTTTTTTTTTTTGAAGAATAGAAAAAGCAAGAAAGAAAGAACATGTGTGTTGTCTGTCGGCTGAGAGAGGAATAGAAATAGAAAAAAATACATAATTATACAAGTATTTGAAGATCAGATGATACACTAATATTATAATACTTGATCTCATATATTTTATCCACAGAATCTATTAGAGAAGGTTATTTATGAAGTCCTTTATTAACATAAAAAAACGTTTATGAAGTTTAGATACTTTAAACATTATGCAGATATTAGTGATCAGAATTTATTCAGTGTATTTTTGTTTGAACTTGGTATTTTTCTTTATATTTCTTTTTAAATTATTTGTTTGAGTTGGTTCCATATTATAATATGGAGCGGGTTAGAGAGGATAAGAAAAAAAAGGCATATATCACATAAGGGAAAAGAAAAATTTTTCAGTTGTTTAAATAAATATATTCTATTATTTACTTGATTGTGTCAATACAATGTTTTTTATTTTTCAAAAGACAAGAAAAGTTGATAATTATTTATCGACTGCTTCTTAATTCACTTAAGCAATTATTGAACTAGGTTCTTCATCATAGTATTCATCAAAACCTCTCTTGATTTCATACTTATAGTCTCTCTTATTTAGTTTCAGCAAGTTTTGATTAATTAACGTCACTTGCACTTTTCTTTTTTTCTTATTATATCTTTTTTTGATTGTGCTTTTTTTTTTGGCTTTAAAATTCTAAGCTTTCCGTATTCGGCAACTTCTTATGAAATAAACTTTGATGGATATCTTTATATGGGTAGTAGCCTGTTTGAGTATACAAACATATTTTATTATCGTTGTAATAGATATTATTGCATAAACCATATGTATCGTTTCTCCTGCTGTAAGATTCAAGTAATACTAATACAATAAAAGTGAACATTAATCAAGCACATAGTCAACCGTACAAAACGAAATTATACCCCAATATAATTTGATTTACTTATGAAAATAATTCCTGTAAAATATGCCCGTGGGTAACATCAAGATATTTATTGGAAGAAATCCTCGATGTATAGTCCTTTCATCAAATGGGTATCATTTGCTGTTTCAAAGGTACTATAATAAGAATACGTCTTTAAAGAGTTCAAATACAAGATACAATGAATCCATTCAAGTATTAAATGAGAAAACTCCCACTGTAATATTAAAGCAGATTTCTAATGAAGAATTAAGTAATCAAGTTCAATATGTAGAATTAAACAACCAGAAATATGATGGTGTTCTTGGTTTAATCACTATTCATGGTTCTATATATCTAATCCTGATATCGCATTCTCAAAAAATTGGATTCCCCAGGTGGACGGAAACAAAAGATGGCAAAGTTGTACCGAATGAAAATATTTATAGAATATTAGATGTGGATTTTTTCAGTTTAGAAACTACTGTATTTGATTCATATTTTTTCGCTATTAATGACACTAACGAGGAAAAACTTCTTTATGAACATCCATGCGGTAGTTTGAAAAAATTGTTTCGTAGTGGCACATTTTATTACTCTAAGGAATTCGATATCTCAACATCGGTCAGAAATCATGGATTACTTCATAATTTAGAATGTATAATTAATAATTGTGATAATAACTTCATTTGGAATGCAAACCTAATAAGTGAAATCATCACCTGGAGAAACAGACTGCGTTATGTAGAAAAAAAGGCTTTTGATGATTCTAACATTTTAACTTTTATAATTAGAGGTTTTTGTAAGACGCTTTTATTGGAAAATGATTCTACTACCTACCTCAAGAGTAATTTCACCAAACATACTAGTAATAATGTCGAAGGTACTATAACAGCTAATAATGCCAGTACGAACAGTTTTAATAATTATAATAGCAACAAAATATCCTTAACAATAATATCAAGGATTTCTACTGAAAATAAAGAAAATTGTCTTTCTAATGATTGTCTAACTGAAGATGGGAAAGTTTCTAATTTTATAGAGACTGAAATCGTAGCTACTACCAGGGAATTTATATTTTCATACACATTAGTATCTGGTAATGTACCATTGTTTTGGGAAATGGCAGATGGTCAGTTATTATACAATAAAAAGAAAGTCAAACTAATTAAAGATCCTGAAAACACACAACCAGCATTTAACACCCATTTTGATTCACTTGAATCTAAATATGGTGTTGTTAGTATTATTAACTTAATTAAACCTAAAAACGATTCACAAGAAGTGTTAGCCGATGTTTTCCAAAAATGTGCAGAAATAAAATCTTTGAAAATAACTAATTTAGAAAGCCATTGCTCTTCTCTCTTGAAAAATCCAAATAAATTATTACATCTATTAAATGAAGACATTTATGAATTTGGATCTTTCGCATATGATAGGGAAAAAGGTATATATTTTGGTAAACAAACGGGTGTTTTAAGAATCAGTGCCTTCGATTCAATAGAAAAACCAATTAAAATTGCTATGATTATAAGCAGAGAGATTATTGAGTTGACAACAAGGGAAATTGATAGCTTAGATATTACATCAGTGTTTCTTGAATACCATGATCGACTATGGGAGGAAAACTGTTCAAATTTAGAGAGACTATATTTAAAAAGTTCAAACAAGTACAAAAGATTATATTCAAAGTTGTTTAATTCTTCCATTAAATTGTATGATCCACTACACTTTTACATATCTCATTACTTAAGACAATTGAAAACAAAGTTTACTTATGAAAAGGACTCAAGCATGTTCTGTGGTACATTTAATGTTAGTGGGAAACTACCTTCAGATATAGACTTAAAACAATGGCTAACACCAAATGGATGCACGATGGCAAATATTTATATAATTGGTTTAGAAGAAGTTATTGAATTGACACCTGGTCATATGTTATTGATTGATCCCTTTGTCAAATCATATTGGGAGAAAAAAATACTAAAAGAATTAAATGATAATGATGTTGGCTGTAGATATACTAAAAGATGGAGCAATCAATTGGGTGGTGTACTTTTAATGTTTTTTGTCGAAGAAAAAGAGTATCCTGAAATTAAAAATATCGAGGGTGATGTGAAAAAAACAGGATTTGGAGGAATGACATCAAATAAAGGCGCTGTCGCTCTAAGTTTTAAATATTCTGCTACCACATTTTGTATAGTGGTGTCTCACTTAGCAGCTGGTTTGGACAATGTCAGTCAACGTCACAATGATTATAAAACCATTTTTAAAAACATTAGATTCACAAAAGGAGCTAGAATAAAAGATCATGATGCAATTGTCTGGATGGGTGATTTCAATTATCGAATACTAATGTCTAATGAAGAAGTGAGGCAGTTGATATTAGAGAAGGAATTTTCTAAGTTATTTCAAAATGATCAGTTAAATCAACAAATGATCGTGGGTGAATCTTTCCCATATTTCCATGAAATGCCTATAAATTTTGCTCCAACCTATAAATTTGATCCTGGAACAAAGATATATGATACCAGTGAAAAAATGAGAATTCCTGCTTGGACTGACAGAATTCTTTCAAGAGGAGAAGTTCTCCGACAGACAAACTACGGTTCTGCAGAAGATATTCTTTTTTCTGATCACAGACCTGTATATGCTATATTTCAGGCTCACATTACAATCATAGATGAACAAAAGAAAGCTGATCTATCAAACAAAATATATGAAAGACTGAAACAAAAATTGGCTATATTAGATGATGAGGAAAAAGTGAAGTTTTTAAGTGACAAAGCCGTAAGTATATTAGAATTTAGACTTCACTCTGGAAAAACCAATAAGAAAATGTTAACAGCACCTGTCAAAGACAAGAAAAACAATAAACTACCACCTCCAAGTTCCGAACTAAACAAATGGTGGGTCAATAATGGACAATCTGTAAAAATTACGCTAGATATTGACCCCAAAAAGGTTATGATCAACCGTAAAAAAAGCTCAAATCCATTTGCACCGGACGATGGAGAACCCTTCTTTGTACCACGATAATATAGATTACATATACTTATTTTCATAATTATGTATTTACATATACATACAAATTTGTCCATATTGCATTAGAAGAATCAAATTTTTATCCTAGATAAGTACCTAAATCTTTTAAAAATACAGAATAACCAAAATATAAAAACCACGTTATTATTTTCTTATCGTTTTTAGCAAAATTTCTTATTCCTTGATCATAGAATTTGTATTTGACGAATTCACTATTTGATCCTGATTTATACGTTTATTCTCCCTAAACTGTGTCAATAAATAATCGAGGTGCTTCTCTACAGCCTTTAATTTTTTCTCCATGTCACTAGCAGTCTTTTCACCATCTTGCAGCATCCTAAAAACTTCAGCAAAATCTTCAGAAGCTCTCAAATTATCAAAATTTCTTTCTATAGTCATGATCATACCATTCAGATATTTCCCCGTTTATTTATTTAGTGCATTTTAACTATGCTTCTATCACAACTGTGAGAAGATTTTACCATTGCAATATATTATTGTTTTAAATGTGAACTTTCCAAATTCCGATTTTAAATTGTCTCATTTTTGAAATTTTTACCAGTAATTCTGTATATAACTTACTAATGTTGAAAAAAATAAGAGAATTCTGATTTTCAAATGCAAAATCATTCCTCTATCTAAAAAAACTTTTTCCTTCGTAGGATTACATAGTGAAAACAAGTAAATAGTGAAATGCCAATTTTAGTTAGAAGAGATGGTCTTTATCAACCGGTAGATCTACTAGCAACAAACAACAACAATATTTAATATTGCTACATCTTAGTAGACTTTTATTACAACAGGTAATAGATTTTCCAGAAACTTCATAATGAGTGCTAGGTATGCTTCTTTCCTATCTTCTAGCTTTAGGGCTTCTTTGTCGAGTAGTACATACTAACTAAAATATTCTTTAGATTGATACCTACTAAAGATAACAAATTTAAGATGATTAATGATAATGTATTTAGTGTAGATATACCTCAGACACACTAAGTCAACGTGACCGAAGTAGGACTCAACTTTTTGGATCTTTTGAAGAATATACAGGAGATGAAAATAATCCAGTGTCTGCTTATGGAAATAATGCTAGAAATAAATCTAGATTTGATTATTCTCAAGCCAATTTAGCCCAACTGGAGTCGCAAAGCACGGAGCAAATGACTATAATGGGACAGAAATTAAAAGCTTTGAAGCAACTTTCTTTGAAGATGGGTGATGAGATTAGAGGAGGTAGTGATACTGTAAATAACTTGAATGATACGTTTCAAAATACTACTATCAAATTAAAGTCAACATTTAACAACATGATGGAAATGGCCAGCAAATCCGGTGTTAGTATAAAGACATGGGTGTTGATATTTTTTATAGTTGGAATTCTTTTCTTCTGGGTATGGATTACCTAATAGCTGGCTTTTTTATCTACTGTACTCAATGAGAGTTTTCAGTAGAATTTTATTAAAATCAAACATACTTTTACAAGGATGAACACCTATTTGACATCAAAGTATTTTTTTAAGTTATATTGTTTATTCTCCAATCTCACACATAGATTTTTATTAAATATCAATAATATTGCATAATAAGATTGACATTTCGAATATTTATGTACCCTTCATAATTATACTGATAGACAGACACACATATATATATACGAATATAAATTTATATATAGTAATAATTTCATTTGTATTTGTCATGGATTGACTGTTTTTCGAAATTACCCAGCAAACCAATAGTGTCTCTTTTGGCGTCATAGTTTCTGTTTCTTTTAATTTGCTTAATGATATTTACTATTCTAGGAATAATGAAATAAATGACAACGATAAGACCAATTACAATTATAAAACTCTTTCCAAAATTTTTATATTGTTTTTTACCACCGATTCTTATTGATAAAGAATTATCAAATGACCTAAACTGTGATTTTTCAGGAATATTTATTGACAACAAATTTTCTTTTAAAACATATGGTGAATTTGAATCTCTTATATCACCACTTATCTTTGTAAAATGAAGTTGTCTGTTAGTCTTGTCAATCAGCAGAACATCACCTTCCTTCAAATTCCCCTCAAATGGCTGACCGGTTAATTTTTCTATCAAAGTACTAACATCATGTAAATCTACATATCCTAATATGTTTTGCAGATTATCTTCATGTAAAATTTCATATCGCATAGCAGCCACTACTTTCTTTGTACTAGATTGCTTTTCTCTTAATGCCTTTACTATCGCATCCTTCTTCTGTCTTCTTTTTAGAATTTTTTCGAACATATAATTCATTCTAACATTATCATAATCATAATGAGAGATCAAAAAATTTTGTATTATATATTTTTTATGATTCATATTTTTCTTTTCCTTTTCACTTGGATCATCTTTAGTTTGAACACATACTAAGGATAAACTGTTATACAATTCTGGTTGAAAATCGATTAACCTTTCGATATTAGAGGAATCTACTTTGGAGAAAAGTGGTAAAGAATTTTCCTCAATCCATTTCATGATTAAATTTGGGTTTCTCATTTCTGTAGTAGAATAACCATGAAAAACTTTTGGAATCAAATCCCCATCTTTAAATAAAAGCAATGTTGGTAACTGAGTTAATGTTGCCATAGTGAGGTATTCTTCGTTAGGTGATTTAGTTCCTTCTGTAAAATTATAATTAATTATTTTATTAAACTCATAATATCCTACTGTAGGTAACTTCATAATATCATCATTTGACTGGTATAAACGAATGTTTGGGAATTTAGATAATGGTTCTAAAAGATACTCAAATACGTCATAATCTTCAGGAACTACTGTTTTCGGGTCATATACAAAGACAACACTTATAGTCTGCTCATCAATTGGAATAATGCTATCTTTTTTAAAATCAAATTTATATCTCATTTTTGATAATAATTCTGCTTTACTAATTTCAGATAATAAATTATTCTCAAAAAGACTTTCCGCAAAATCTTGATAATCAGATGGATTTAAACTGTAACCATGATTATATTTGAAAAGATTGTTTGTAGTTTTGTTTGGCAATATCATTGCTACTGCTGGTCTTCTATCATCGTCAAAGGTATATTTTTTCGATAATTTGGAATAACCTAAATGTTTACAAAGGATAGGATATTTAACACAGTTCAAGTGTCCAGTTTTGATCCCGGAAAATGACAATTTGTTTGTTACCTGTTTCCACGTTCTTATAAATGCATTACATTCCTCACAATCAAAAAATTCCACGTTTTTGGAATCTAATTTAGTCATATCTTCAGTTGGCCAAAAAGAAACTAAATAAGGTTCATTAGATTTTCCAGATATCATATCAACAAACTCAACATCGCTCAAAGGAATACTTTTGGAATTTAATCCAACTTCATCAAAATTATCTGGATTTTTAGCCTCATTTCTTGCAAATTTTAAAAACCCTGCCACTGACCTTTCACCATTTGATGGATATGTCTTAATTACTCCATCTTTATTGTATAACCTAATTGTGGGGAAGGCTTCAATATTTTCTTCATGGCATAAATCACCACTTTCTACGCAATTAACTTGGTTAAAATAAATATTTAATTTATGACTTTCTTTTTGGAATTGTTTCCAAGTTTCTTTCCAAATAGGTTCTAAGTGCTTACAATGTGAACAATAAGGACTGTAAAACTCAACTATGTGTAACCCTTTAGATAGACTTTCATTAAAGTTAGTTTTGGTTAAAGGTTCAGGGAAATCCGGATATTCCTCACCAGTATTGGTAGTAGAAGCTACAATAATATAAAATACTTGTAGCAACAATAGTTTTGTTAGTAAACTATTTAATGAAAAAGACATATTGTTCCACAATATTAAATTTTCAAAAAACCAGATCAAATTTATCTGGTTGCACAGTCGTTTCAGATCTTTTTAATATTATTTTTTGATTATTTTATAAATTTCACCTTAGTTGTATATTCTTATTTGTAAAGAGTTAAAATACTTAATAAGCAAAATTGGTGTTCTCGGTTATTAGTTAGTTAGATTATTTGTTTGTTTCCAAAAGAAAAGAAAATGCATTTTGATCATTTTTAAACCTTTTTTTTTTTTTTAATTTCTAGACTTTCTTCAAGTTTGCAACAAAGGTGAAAATATAGGCACACAGAAGATTGAAAAGAAGAATCAATTTGTAGAGATGACTGGAAATATTATTGTAATATAGGAAATATGATGATTCCAAGATAGAGGAGTGTTTTTGTATATCTTAAATGACTTATTAGAAAAAGAAATAAAAAGAAACTTGACTGATAATTATTGGCTCTCTATTTATTCTTATCTAAATATTTATATATGTGCGTGTGCATATGTAATGCTTAAAAATAAAATGCAGATAGCTTATTTCTAACATATTCGAATGATACTAGGGTAATTGCAGATGCAGGAACTGTTCTTAAAAGATTAGCAGTAAATCCGGAATAAAACCCTCTTATCCCCTCATTTCTATAAGTTGTTTTAATAAGTGGAATAAGTTTCTTTTCTACTTCTATGGCATAGTTTCCTCTCTTCTTACCAAAGTTATTTGATGACTTTAACTGCATTCGTGTTCTCAGAATTTCGTGAGGGTAAGTTAAACCGGAAGCTATCATTTTTGATACAGAAGACGCTGCTATCAAGTTAGGTAAATGTATTTCGGAGTGACCTCGGTTAACATTGTTATCTTTCAAAGAGTAACATTTAAATTTAAGTTTTAACTTCTCATACACTGGGAAATGAATCGCCACATGGAATAGTCCTAATAAAGACGGTACTAGCCCTCTATAGAATGCTCTTATTCCTTCCTGATTCCATATACAACGGAATGCGTCTATCGTCCCGTAATATTGAGTAGAATATGGGCCCAGATTTGACTGTAGCATCAATCTCGTTTTTATTACCCATATAGGATTAGTTAAAGTGGTTGATACAGCACCAGCAGTGATAGCTGAGCATGAATGTGAAACGAAATCTGAACCAGGAAATAATCTTGGATAAAAATCTTTTGAGAATTCATAGACAGAGAAATAAATGGTCCAAGTTGGGAAGTAGCCTAACAGGATTGGAATTAGCCCTTTATAGAGGCCTTTAATGCCCTCATCCTTAACAATAGTATTCATAGTACCAACTACACCTTTATAATAAGGATTTTCCGCCCCATCTAAACCTTGAACTTGTAATCTTGTCTTAGTGACATCTAGCGGACAAACCATTATGCCAGAGAGGAACCCCGCCAGTGCACCAGATATTGCTGTTATGGTAGTATCATCCAATCTTCGCACATTTTCTGGTTTTGTATAGGACTCTCCCTTGTTACCATAAACTGTGATTTGACGATTCAAATCAATAGATTCATTAAAATTGCTATCATTAGATAATAATTTATTTTTTGATGAGGAAGACTTGGTATTTACTAACAAAGTATGTTCTGTTTCGATTTCAATTTCAGAAACTATATCATAATCTGTGTTATTAGTACTTTCCTTATCACTGCTATTATTATCATGTTGATTATTTATATTGGTAGACTTATTAGTAAAATTCTCTTTAGTACTTTCAATAATATCGTCTGATGACAAAGATGCTATACCATTTGGTAAGAAAACTTCAGGTTGGCTGCTTATATTATTATGTTGATTTTCTTGTTCTATGCGATTATTTACAGGTATATGTTGTCGACTTGGTTGGTTAGAATACTTTATTTGGTTTATTGAATCATCATGGGGCATATTTGCTTTTCTAATGGAAAGTTGTTCTCCCCTTTTTGTTGCCTTGTTATTATTATTCCTAAGTGCAAATACCTTTTCAAAATAATAGGAATAAAAGAAAATGAAAGAAAGGGAAAGAAAAGTAAAGAAAAGAATAGGTTTATCAAAACAAATGAATCTGGTATACTTTAATTAGCCAAAACAAAACAAACTAAAAATATGAATATATAATAGTGAACTATCAAAACAAACAAAAAAATTAGAATATATTAAATCAAAGAAATAAATGAAGTAAATATACCAATATGTTCTAATGGTAATAACTTTATATTGCCAATTAATTTCTTATACTGTTTTATATCCCTCTGTATATACCTTTTTTATCAATTTTAATCTTTATTACTAATAAGCTATTTATTGAATCAACGTGCTATATCCTCACAAGATATATTCATATATTTATATATATACATACATATATATGAATCTATATATATGTGTGTGTATGTATGCCCAGTGTAGCCCCACATGATTTCTTATTTGTGAATAATAATTTTTACAACCATTAGCACGGATCTCTTACTGTAAGATCTGTATTTCTGGCATTAATCTGTTCCTCCTTCTCAACTTTGAGCAAACGGCTTACACCACAAGATTCCTGTTTCTTTTTTGTTTTTTTCTTTTCTTTTTCGATTTCCTCGAGGAATTTTCAGAAAATCTGTATTTTTCTTTTTTTTTTTTTACCTTTTTCTTTTCTTTTTTTTTTTTTACCTTTTTCTTTTCTTTTTTTTTTCTATTCGGATTTCCCACTCAGTTGAAAAAAAGGAAAAGACAATTACGTAAACAAAAGAAAAGAAAAAACAAAAAAATAGAGCGATGGCTAAAAATGGTAGAATTAAAGTAGGAGACAAGATATGGAGAGGTGTGGATCAGATTAGAAGTGTCATGTGATATACTTTGAATAGATATTTAGACACAATTTCTGTTGCCTCAGAAAGGCAATATATATTCATACATATTGTAGGTCTTTGTTTTTGTTTTATTTCTTTCCTTTTCTTTTTTTATATTTATTTTACAAGCAACTGTGGAATATACTCAGTATAATAATGACCGTTAAGGCATACAGCAGTAATCTAGATAATAGCCATAGCACGGGTGTAGACACTAATGAGATTGGTGAAATTAATGAGCTTTTAACTAACTTGGAGATTAATCCTACTATCACATATCAAGTTGCAAGATTGAAAAGCTTAAATTTAAATGAAATTACGGAACTAAAGCAATTAGTAGAGTCTGAATTACTGAAATTTTCAGAGATTTTACAATCACAGAATATTGACATGGATACACAATTGGTCACAGAGGATGGATATCCACGTGGTGATATTGATGTTTTGCAGATACGAATAATAAGAAGAAATATTAACATGTTGAAAAATGATCTAAGTAATATCATAGAACAATCCTTCCACTTATTAAATACTCATTTTAAAGATCTTAATAAACCACAGGATTCTTTAATATCTGGGGTAAATCCAAACAGCACGATTGAATATAAAATCCCATTTGCTATAATCAAGGAAATCAATGTGAATGGTCCAATTTCATCTGCTGGTATACAAAATGACGATAAACTAATCAGTTTAGGTAACATTCATGCAGGAAATCACATGAAACTAAAATCTTTGATTAATGAAGTTATTCAAAACGAGGATAAAGAATTAGATGTTAGAGTTCTTAGAAGAGATCAGGAAATTGTAGATTTAGTTTTAATTCCAACAAGAAAGTGGAACGGTACGGGTTTATTAGGTTGCAAATTACAAGAACTGTAGAAAATATACATATACAAATATATATGTATATATATAATAATAATAAAAGTAAAAATAAAAACTATCCTAGATGTAGTTTTTCAAGATATAATCATTAAATTTTACATATATTCGATATTCATGTTGTAGTTGTAATTCTTCAATTTTCACAAATTTAAAAGATAATAACATATATGTATAAATATTTTAAGAATAAAATAATTATTATATATTCTATGTAACGTATAAAGAGGCAATAATAAAGATATATAGTGATGTTATAAAAATATTAGCTACTCTCGTTGTTGTTTGGGTCATTAATTATTATTTTTATTTATTTTACTATTTCAATTATATCTTTATGATGATTTTTTAGTTGTCCAATATGAACTATTGGGAATTAGCAAGAATAAAATAAGCTATGAGAAAAGAAATAATATTTTAGAAAATTTTGATGTGTTTAAATTCTCTTTTTTATTGTAATCCATGCTCTTTTGTTGGAAGATAAATAGAATATAAGGATATATGTATAATATTAAAAAAATTCTTCAGTTAGATTGGACATATATGTGTGACGTTATATATTCTCTATTCTCACTGAATATTTTGCAATAATTTATCAAAAAAACCCTTGACTTCTTATATATGGATATCAAACTATTATCTTCCATGAATGACAAAAAATACCTAAATAGTCATATGGATGTTTAGTCATATTGAAACAATAAATATTTAGCTTTTTATCATTTGGTTTCTGTTAAAATCTTATTCTTTTAATTAATTTGACCCAGAACACCTTATTTTAGTAGCTATCACACAAAAAATTAAATTTAATCATAATCATAAACTCTTCTTATTATATTTTTGTTAAAATAGAATGTTCTATGATAAAATAGATAGAACAATAAGATTTTAGCAGACACTAAACGATAAATTGTTGAGTAATAATTGTTGAGAGGTCACCAAAAGTTGTTGAGTTTATTTATTAAATATCTTACTGTTCGTAGAGGAAAATGGCTGAATGTTAACATATATAAAGCCAAGGATTTCATCATACATTATTTTTATCTTATTTACAATCTTTGTATATTATTATTTCTATGTTGTATATAGAGAAAGAAAGTGAAGAACTTTATTATAATTTTGTATACTAAATCTGTTTAATATAATATTGAGAATGTTTACTATATATCCAATGAATAAAGGCGCTCATTCCCAACAATTTTATTTAGTGTTATGTTGTAATTTTTGAAATAGAGAATGATAAAAGGTTGTACATATTCCATGACTTATTTTTCTTTACTTAAAAATTTAAATTATAGTTTAGGGAGCAAAAAAGCTTTTAAACAATGAAAAATTCTATAATTTTTAAGATATTACAAAAAACTACATGTAAGGAACCTAACTGGAATTCCAATAAAAACGCAATCCTGAGGGTAGCACTTGAGTGTCTGGGTGGAGGATTGGTACAGCCATGTGAGCAGTGGCTCGTATAAGGTATTGAATTTGATTAGAGGATTTCCAGGGAGCGATAATTGTATCAGATCTTATCAAGAGGCCTTTGATTATTGAGAGATATGCCAGGGGTAATCATCTTATTTAAATACATCTTAGTAATGATATTAAGAAGTAACTCTTGATATCATATAAGACTAAGAAGAACAACAACGAGAAGTAATAATACTACATCAGGGTTATTAATTAGTGATATATAGAGCTTACGTAAGAGTGTTTATACGTATACTAATTGATATGCTTCATCCATTTACATACAACAACTCTTACACTACAATCCTGTATAGTCTTTTTTTATTAAAATAACCTTCATAAATGATAATTTTTGAAATCAAGAAATGAATATTTAACAAATTGTAACTAATAAAACACAAGTTTTCTTTTAAGAACTAAATATTGAATATTAGACAAAAAGAAAAAAAAACAATTAATATATTTTCCAGTATATCACAAATGTATTATTATAAAAACTCATAAATAACATATAAACAAATCAATTTTTAAAATTAATTTAATAATGGGGTCTATTTCAAATTCTAACACGGCATTTTTATTTCAATAAGTTACTCTGTATAATTGTCGTATCACAAAATCTCATTTAACAAGAAGTTCCTATACTCTTATCACTTCTTGGACTTTACTATGACTTTTGCTAAAATTGTGATTCTGTGTCAAATATTCAAGATTATTCTAGAATAGAATACAGAATATTAAAAGACTTGTACTGAAATATAGTTACACTACATTATATAATGAATGATCCCTCTGATTAGTTATATGTTTACTATACAACTCATTACAACCTAAATATTTTACACAATTACGCGATTAGATAAGATAAGATAATGATATAACAGATAATTTTAAAACATTCATTGAAAATGAAGAAGTTATAACATATTTTTACATCTTGCCTTTCCCTTAGAAGAAAAATTAAAGAAGAAAACGTTTTAATTAGTGTGTATTGAAATATAAAATTTATAATAAATATTACTAAAAAAATCTTATATAGTTCATGGCATTATGACCTAAAATGTGAAAATTCCCATGTATACAAATAAATCCCTATACTGGAGTGATTATTATGAGTTGCCTTCCTTTTCTCTTCTGTTCTACATGTCCACAAAATTTTCTAAAACAAACAATTTCAAAAAAGAGAGCAAATCTTTACAATTTTCGAAACAAATAATAAGAACCTAATAATAGCAAAACCTAAGATATCACACTTTATAATAGATGAAGATCCATTACGAGAGATATACTCTTCTAAAACACTAAAATAGATGAATATTTCTTGATTGATCGTTTATATATGATATATAAGTTAGACTCCACACAAAGAGTAAACTAACGCACACAGGTATACAGATAAACACGAAAAGATAAGGGCATCGCAGACTACAGGGCTAACAAGATCATTTATAGCGATATCAGGATTCAATATGTTACAAAAAAATATTGCCACTTGCCAGAATTGAACTAGCGACCTTTGCATTACAAGTGCAACGCTCTACCACTAAGCTAAAGAGGCTCCATAAAACGCACTGTGTTGTATTATGAGGTGGTGAAATTCTTTATGTATTCCAGGGAAATGGTTATTCAAGTAATCGAGACAGTAATCAACTATAATCAATAATATAATTACTAAAACAGTCTTATATATTGAGCGGCTTTAACGTGCTAATATATTTATTCGAAGTTACTTGGCTTGTTACTTGCTTGTTGTTCTCTTTTGTTATACATAATTGTTGGAAAATGAGAGTTTATTACTGTCATTTTCATAAGAATTATTTTTAATTAGTTTTTCTATATATTATGTGGTGTACGGATGTACATAATATCAGGAAAACATTTTAATTGTCACCAAATATGTCTTTCGAAGATTTGAAAAGAAATGAAAAACTTTAAAAGAAAACTTAAAGTAAATAAAAGAATGTATACTGAATACACTATATAATAAATATGTACAGGTATTTAATACAAAAACATAACAAGTATCTATAACTTAATGATGTCTATCATTACCATCTACGCAGAAGGCTCCAAATTCCAACAATAATATATAGATTATTTACAAAAAATGGTTATGGAAGATGATCTTTTATATCCAGAAAACGTTGTACTTTTATATGTTTTCTGGAGCTCGATCGATTATTCAGATTAGCACATTAATGATCTGACTGATTCACACCCTAAAATTTATTACATTAATTTAGGTGCACTAGTGGATTAGAACTGCACCCCAATTCTCTAATCATGGTGATTAGTAATACACGTGGGACTTATTAAAACAATAGGTAAATTCTAGATTTGCCAAAATCTTATGTAATCCAATCTCTTTATTATGCAGCATCTAATGTTGTAGCACATGTATGGCTCATTAAGACAATAAATAGTTCTAGATTCATTCAGGATCTTATGTAATCTTGATGGTTATAACCATCCTATTCCACAACAAGAGTATAACAGGTGAAGCGGATTTAGCTCAGTCGGGAGAGCGCCAGACTGAAGTTCAAGACTTTGGTCACTGTTATCTGGAGGTCCTGTGTTCGATCCACAGAATTCGCACTTGTTTTTATATGTTGCAATATTGTAATATCTCTGATATTACTATTTAGGGTTTGTTTAGAAAAATGAGGGCTGACGAGATTTTTCTGTACTTTCCTTTTTGCAAATTTTACAAACATAGATAAAAGCAGGGGTAACCAACATAGGTAAAAGAAAGTAACGAAGGAAGCAAGAAACAAGGAACAAAGGATTATATAAGTTTAGATATATAATATATAAGTGTATACAATTAGGTTAGCTTAGACTAGGGATATAGATGTATAGATATATAGGAAGATCACATCTAGAGATATAGAAAGACTCTATATCTTATATCTATCCAAGTAAAGTATTATTGTGTTTGCAACAAGATTAACGGTTATCTGAAACACATAACCTAAGGGTAATTACATGTGGAATCCTAGTGTCACTATAAATGAGCTTGTTAGCTCTGTAAGCTGCAACGCCCTTATCTTTTCGTGTTTATCTGTATACCTGTGTGCGTTAGTTTACTCTTTGTGTGGAGTCTAACTTATATATCATATATAAACGATCAATCAAGAAATATTCATCTATTTTAGTGTTTTCGAAGAGTATATCTCTCGTAATGGATAAAGATCTATTACAATTATGGATTTCTGAACAACAGTTGATTTTATTGTAATAATGGTAATAATCCACTTGAATAAATATAAGATATTAAGACACTCTATATTCCTAGACATGATATTAATATATATATGTATATCTCTCTAATCTAACGAGACCAAAGGAGACATATTTATATACTTAATATAAATTCAATTCCCATTTAAAACTAATTTCACTAATCAATAAAGTCAAACTCGGCTCTTTACATCAAAAATCATTAACTTAAGTACATTATCTTTTTACATTCTAGATTTGTTTGTTAGCTCTGTATTGAAAATGCTTTAAAAGACCAGTTTCTTATCAGAGGTACCAAGTATAATTCCAATTAAATTCATTTTCTTAAATAGAAAAATCATAAATACTTTGGAATATATATAAGTATATACTAATTTTCATAGATTAATGTTTGAATAGTGTTTTGTACAAGTTATATATATATTATTAGTTATTAGCTACTTAAGAAATTAGAATAGTTATTTATTTGAACACACTTACATTAGTTACTAACATATTATACACAAAATTGAGCTCTAAATAGGTAAAAAAATTCACCGAAATAAAACAGGAGAAAATAGCATACCTCTTCAGGTGTTTTCTTTGTTAAGAACCATTCTTTGACTATATTGCCTCTTGAACTGAAAATGTGTAAAATATTTTATTCGAAAATCTCAATAAACAGACTTATATATGATATTTATCGTAAGTTTAATCAATATTAGAAAAAAAAATATTATGCAAACACATAAATATAATTATCATAAACTCATATATAAAAATCTACACATCGATATACATATAGAAGAAAAGTCAATTCATTAAAATAAAAAAAAAAATCATTTATTCATTAAAATGAACAAGGAAAAAACCAACAAAGATATCTTTATAAAACAACTTATTAAAATAAAAGATGAATCAACAAACAAACAAAACAAAAAAAGAAAAAAATTTAAAATAAATCAAAAATAAGAAAAAACAGGATATAAACCAAACCCTTATCTTTTTATTGAATGTGGTTTCAACAATTCGAAACTACATATCAATCCAGTACTAATACTCAACACAGCTCCCCAATTACCGAATTGGCCACAATAATTAGGTGCACTAAAAATAGTAACGAATTTTTTCTTTGCGAAAAATTCATAACCATCTTCTACTACCATATGTCCCCTGATAATCAAATCAAACTTGAATCTTGAACAAAAATCCAACACATTTTTTCTCGAGAATGTGTAAGAAACACCACGATCATTTGGTGACCAGGTGGTTACATTTGAGTCTGGATCACTCCATAGTAAATCTGTAATCAAACCTTCATCTGGAATATCCGTTGGTCGTAAAACATTAGAGATTTGTTTCATGGAGGTCAAATCTGGTGAGATCCCACCGTGAATACAAAATATCTTATCTTGAATCATTGCAGCTATTGGCAAACAATTAAACACATCGATGAAACATTTCCATATTTTCGTAGATTTTCTTCTTTTGCATTCATCATAGAACCCATACATCTTAGTAACATTAGCAGACTCATGATTTCCTCTTAACATAAAAAAATTGTCTCTATATTTAATCTTGTAACAGAAAAGTAACATGATAGTCTCCAATGACTGATGACCTCTATCAATATAATCACCTAGGAATAAATAATTAGTCTCTGATGGATCCCCACTTAATTTAAAAATTCTCAACAAATCATTATATTGGCCATGTATATCACCGACGATCTTTATAGGCGATTGTAATTTCAATAAAGTGGGTTGCATAAGAAAAATTTCACGTACATGAGAACAAATCAATTGAATTTCCCATGAATGAATTGGGAAACTTGATGAAGACGAAGATGAGTGTTTCTTACGTTTACTGGATCCATTAGTGTTATTGAATTTCAATAATTTTGCAATCATATCATCCAAATTAATACCATCCTTTGACGAACTGTCATTTGGATATCTTTTCAAAAAAATTGAATGATTATATTTTGTCTTATATGCCACATCTGTAATATATTGCTTAGTAATAGAATTATTTCCATTATTATTATAACTAAATTTTTTAAAAGAAAATGTTGAAGAAGGTGTAAAGGATGAATTAGAATAGAATGAATTAGTTGATGTGGATGAGAAAACAGATGAAAATGGAGTGGAAAATGATTCTAGTGAATTGAAAAAACCAGTGGAGTCAATAGTATTAATAGTATTAGTGTTATTACCAATAGCACTTAATCTAATATTGTTGTCAATACTAGGCTGTAAAGAAGTGACGATATTGGTTGCAGTAGTAGAAGTCAAAGGTATTGCATTAGGTATATTAAAGGGTTGAACATCCTTCGTTGATATTAAAGGTGGTTTGATAGGTGGAGCCGGAGATGCTGATCTCTTATGTGACTTTTTAGATGAATCCTGTGTCTTAGTAAAAGTTGATAGACACTGTTTCGCTTCGTTGCTAACTTTATTAATATCAATATCAGTATTAATGTCAGTATTATTATATTTTGTAGTAGGTAGCAACCTACTATCATCTGGTTCGGTTGGTTCATTAGAGTTTATATCGTCATTATTTGATGCATTATTCAAGTTTTGAGAACTGTTAGTATTATTAGAATGTTTATTAAATGCAGAATTCAGAATATTATTATTGTTACTGTAATTATTATCTGAATGGGACGGGCTTCTTCTTCTTCTCCTCATATATATGCGATGTAATTACAAATCTTTTAAATATATGTATATAGATATAAATACAGATAAAACGTAGGTGACAAAGATAGCAGATATTTATAATCAAACAGGTAAGTAAGTAAGTATAATGATCCACCAACGATAACTAAAATAAAAGTCAAAGAAAGAAAAAACAAAATAAAAAAAATTAAACACGACCGTTCAATGAATTTGAGGCTAGTATACCCTATACTTATAGTATTCCAATTACAAACAAATAATTAATGGACAGATGAAGTCTAGCAGCAGGTTAAATAAAATTAGAAGTTTAATATAAATGGTTTAATTAACTGATAAATAAAAGCACCCAAGGAAAAAAAATCAATAATAAAATACAATTAGGCAGAATTTTGATATCAATTAGCAAGGTAAACGAGTAAATTAGTAACTAAGAAAGGAATATTGGTTTACTAATCATATCAGAATATCTGTGTGTATTTGTGTTTTCTCAGCCAGAATAAACACAGATTTGACGATCTTCCTTGTTCACAACAATAATCTGAATATTAAAAGAGGTACTTTTCTTTGCTCTTACCCTCCCCCCTGAAGAGAAAACACAGAATAAAACGAAAAAACCGAAAGAAAAAAAAAAGACAAAAAAAAAAAAGAAAAAAGGAAAAAGAAAAAAAATACTACCTTTTATTGAATTACCTAACCATACACCCATTTACAAGGTAATCGAAATTGGGAAATCATTACCCGGATTGCCGACTTTTTGAAATATAAGAGAATTCCATGCATCCTTACCCGATCTCGGGTAAGGATGCATGGAAAAGTAGGGTTGGACAGAAGTTTTATTTTACTCATTTTTGTAACTCAAAATTTTAATAAGGGTTTAGTAGGTAATACCTGATTGAACCCTATTCCTTTTTTTTTCCCTTTCTCTCAATAATGAAATTATTTTAATATCAAAGTTTGTTTTATACTTGAAATGGAAGGAAAAAGCATACATACAACAGCAGCAAAAAAAATTAGAAGAAGAAAACAATGTGACGTATAAATCAAAACTAATAAAAAAGAAATAAGGACCCACTGCTTATAAACCATAACATAGTACTAGCTTTGACCCTAATATTAGCTGGATTAACCTCCTTTATCTGTGTTCTTTAATCCTCTGTTTTTTCAAGACAACGAGAAAATTACAATCTCACAACTTTATTATTCCTACAATAAAATTCAAAGGTTACCTTTAAGCTGTGAATTATTAATAAAGATATTTATATTCCTATACTTACTTAAAATTAGATTATAAAAAACTTATTATTTCCATTATATTTGTTTCTTGCTATTTTTTTTCTCCTTTTTATTTTTTTATATTACGATAGGATGAGTGAATCATTAGAGAGACTAATGAAGAGAGAAGAAGAATCCAAAAATATTACTAATGATAGTCCCAATGACAACAACGACAACAATAATAATGTATTAAATGAAGAGATGTTAAAAATAGATAATGAAGAAGAGGATGAAGTAGATGAGGAAAGTGTAGATTATCCCAAAGGAAATAATCCTAATGATATAAAGAACAATTTGACTGGGGATAAAAACACGGATCTGGTGAAGGAAACCATCAAACCTGCTCCTTTATCACCACCATCAAAACCATCTTCAGAACCAGATATTTCAAATTTGGAGGAAGACAATAAAGGGGTTTCTCTTAGAACTGAAAAATCCATAAAAGATATTAAATTAAAAAAAAATGTTAACAAAGCTGATATCAACGATAACAGCAACAACAATGATAATAATGACAATGACAAAGTTATAAACCAATCCGACCTTAAAAGTAAAGAGTATTCCAGAGAACAAGAACCAAAAATAGATAAGGAAACACAACAAGAAGAAGCACCAGAAGAAGAAGAAGAGGGAGAAACAAGATGTATATGTAACGAATTAGATCCACCAGATGATTCAGGTCTTTTTATCCAATGTGAACAATGTGGTGTATGGCAGCATGGATATTGTGTGGGTATTATTAAAGAAGATACACCAGACAAATATTGGTGTGAACAGTGTAGACCTGATTTACATCGTCTGTATATCACGGATTTGGGAGAAAATAGATCTCTATATAAACCAGTTCAGGGACTAAGAAGACAAAAGAAACGACTCACCAGACAATCCCAAGCAAGTAAAAAAAATAAAACCAATAGATCAAAGGATTTAGCAGAAACTTCTTCAACTACTACAGATACATCGCTATCTATCGATTCCTCTTCTCCATCTACTATAACTTCAAGTGTTAGTAAAACATCTCGAAAAACTGATAATTCTATTTCATCCACCATATCACGTTCCACCAGATCTTCCAACAAGAATAAAGATAAGAGTGTTACTACTGAAGACAGCAAAAGTGATGTACGTTCTAATATATCTACTCGTTCTGATAATAATTCATCTATTAATGAAACAGATGATGATATTAACGATAATGGCAATGATTATGACGATAATGAAAACACAGATAGCATTAACCAATCATCAACTTCATACAATGAAAATAATAGAAGACTGCAAGATAGAAAACGTGCCACTTTTCAAGCTAGGGAAGAAAAACAATATCAAAGAATGCTGGAAAAAGCTATCAAAGAGAGTAAACAAGAATCTAATAATACTGATAACCCATCAAAAAGAATTGAAGAAAACATCTATGATGATAAAAATAGCTTAGCCATAAACAAATCTCTTGATGATGAAAAAATATCTAAACCAATAGGTGAGAATAAATCTAATAAAACAAATTTGGCAAAAAAATTAACCATACGAGATAAAGATTCAGATTCTATATCAGATCAAGATTCTATAAAGAATGAAAATAAAGAACAAACATCTGATACGAATGGTAATGTTTTGAAAAGACCACTTGCAACGGTTAAAAAATCTCAAAGAGGTACTAAACGGGCTAGACGAGCCGCTACATCTACTGAAAAGACCACAAAAGGTGGGCGTAGAGGCAAAGGTTCTCGTTCTCAAACAAACCAAAGTACCTTAGAAGAAAGTGGTGGAAATACTCATACATTCAAAGGTCACTCTGAAGTTAACTTAAGTAAACCAGTAAAACCAAGGTTACCTCCAACAAGAACAACGCTAAATGAGATGAAAAGAAGAGTATCTGCCATTTTAGAATTTATTTCGAGGACCCAATGGGAATTAAGCCAGGATCAACAAACCAAGGAAGAACTGATTAAGTTTGTCGAAAACGAAGAATTTGTTAAAAAAGTTACTAACGTTTATGATAGATATAATGACACCTTAACTATGATGGATGATTTGACTAGACAACTATTACTTTGGGAACAGAAATATTGTTTTAACACAATTAAAGTTAATAAGGAAGAAGAAGAAGAAGATTAGTATATACTTGATTCTATTTACATTTCTGTAGAGGTATCTTATTATATCTTTAGAAATAGAAATTAGTGCAAACATACATATACATATCAATTTGCCAAAAGACCTTCCTTTTTGAATTCATCTTAAAGACTCAAGAAAATCTCTTGTAGATAGAATTGATGTTCCACCTAAAATAATCCGCATTCTGTTGTTTACCATTGCTATGTTAAATTGTTCAACTAATCTAGATTCTTCATACGTTACACCACCAACAATAAAAATAATCACATCTTGAGTTTGCGGTAATTGATTTGAAGTTGTATCAACAGCTGAGTTAATCAAACACTTATACCTTGATTCTGCTAAAGTATTCTTAGATAAATCACTTAATAACTGGGACAACTTAGGAACATGTTGCATATATATATTATCAGATGCAGGATTATGCTGGTTCCTGTTTCTATGCAGATCAATTCTTGTATTAAATTTTTTTGCCAATTCTGTTAATAAATCATCCTTTCTATTTGTCTCCAAGTTTTCTTTTTTTTTACCACTTTTTATTTTTTCAAGAAACATATTTCTAAATTTATGCAAATAATTTATGTCTTCTATTGTCAAAAATTCTTTTAAGATATCTACTATTTGACTTATTTTTTCAATATTCTTATTGTCATTGTCATAATAAATCTCATCATATCGTATCATATAAATACAAGCCAATTTTAATTTATAAAAGGGGGCCAACTTTGGGTTCTTTAAATACCGTAAAACTGTATTATAATCCTCTAAATTATCTTTGTGAACGGATAAGTTCTGTTCTATTTCACTCAATCCCCAAATATCCTTATTGTTTAATTGTCTATCCAACTCACCTACAAGAGCCATATGTTTTGACACATTACCAGATAATTTTTTAATCTCTGGATATTTTTCAATAAATTCTTTGATATCTTCAATTGAATTAACAGCACTATTTATCTTAGCTTTATCCTTATAATTACTGACATATTGTTTAACCTTGTCGCCCAGTTCACCAAAATTTAAATACATGGTTTCTCGGAAAAAAAGAGTCTTGTTTTGATGATAGTGTCACTTTTTCTAGGTCTTTATCTATATTTGGTAGGTGAGAAAGATCCACCATATTGTGTTTGATACCAATATATTCATGTATCATAGATTGATATGTCCAAGGTTGTAATAATGGTGTTACAGGGTCATCATATCTGTCTAGTATGATAAGCGAAGAAGGTGTAGAGGGATCATAGGGAAAATCAAATAATTGCTGGGTATCTTTTTTAATCTCGTTTTCAATGGATTTAGCTAACACTAAAGTCGTTTTACTCGAACTATCATATCTAATTATGTTTGGTCGAATCTTTAGGGATAATAATAAAGAAATTAGATTATTTGTGCATTCTTTCAGATAAAATTCATCCCAAATCAAACCGTTTTCAAGTAAAATTCTATTAGGATTAAGATCCAAAGTGAACAGATGTTGATTAACAATTTGATAATCTTGAAAAATTTCTTCCACCTTTACCACTGATTCCATGTCATCTGCTTCTGCTAATCTTTCTAAATAATCCTTAGCAATTTTATTACTAAAAAAAAGATGATATTCTCCATATTTGGGATTGGACAGTTCTCTTATCAAACACTCAATAGATTCCTCGGTAGGTTTCACATATACGAGACATTTTAGATGTCTCATTACATCTCTTTCCATATTTTCTATCGTGTCAACAATATATATTTCGTGTTCTAATAATTCAGTTTGTGTTGCGCACATTGATATAGTAGAAGTGGTATTTTTATCTAAAAGCAACAACTTAATCCGGTCTTGATTCCATTGAGTGATTTTCCCGAGAATATTTTTATTTAATCCACTGTTCTTGCTCTGTGAATTAACAATTCTGTCTACATAGTAATCACCTATTTTAAATAGATCCATTGTTCACTTGTGTTAAGATTGTATATTTTTTTTTTCTAACTTATAAGAAATAATTGTTAATATTATGTGAAAATTTTAGTTTAGGGGCTTCATAAACTAACAGATGAAAACAATTTATGATCAGCATAAAATACTTCAAACGTCTAATAAAACTCCTACTATTCTTTGCCTTCTCCTTTAAGTTAGAACACTTAACATTAAATTAAGGTTTCCGTACAATTATCATTTTTATATTTGCACCTGTTTCAGAAAAAAATAAAAAAAAAATAAGAGAGCAAGGAAATTACAGAAGTGTCAGATAATAGTGACATATCCTGATGATCCTGTTTAAAAATAACACTCGGTAAATTTAGGTCTCCAATAATCACGTATATACATACACATAGTAATAAAAGGTATATTGTCAAAGTTAACGTATTTATAAATACGAAGAAAGAGAAGTTACTAATATAAATCAAAAAAATAAAAAAGATCAGACAGACTATTATCTTATCAACATTTTTCTTTTTTTTTTACCTTCAATCATGGTACATCGAACCAAGTCACAAGAATCTAAAATAAGTTTAGATACTACAAATCAGAATATAAATTCAGATTATTTATCTCATCATCATCATCCAATCAATAATGCAAAACATCCGAGGCAATTTTCAACAAGGTCTCGGGCTAAGAGTACGGCAAGCTTTAAAGGATTGAGGCGAACATTAGGTCATGATATTTCAAAATCTATGGATAAACCGCATCATCATCAACTTCACCACGGTTCTAACAATCCTATAGCTAGAATTAAATCAACTGATTTGCTATACAGAAGAAGAACTTTAAGTGCTTTAAATATGACCTCATTGGGGATTTCAGGTTTCCATAATAAACCTATTATCCAGTCAACATATTCTAGTGGATCTCATTCACATAGTTGTAGTAATTCGTTTAGTCATCCAAGTATTGGTATACGACCTGCAATGACAAAGAGCACGCATTCTGTTCTACAATACAATAACGAAAAACCTAAAAATTCTCTTGACAATATTAATGACTCACCTAGTGAAGAAGAGGTAGATTATTTCACTGATGAGGAATTAAATCTTAATGAAGAAAATGATTCCAAGAAGATAACTCTTTCTGAAAATTTAAATGAAGATATAAACACAAATGATACAGGTATAATTGACAAAATTTCTACTACAACAAATATTACTATTATTTCTAAACCTCCTTCTAAAAAACCACAATTTACTCTAGGTAATGATTATGTCAAACTGGATAATTCTACTCAAAGCAGCGATAGTGATGAAGAAGAATCGTCTTCCAAGAAAGAATTTCACAACATCAAAAGTAATGAAAATCATCTGAATGATATTAAAATAGTAAAAGAAAACAATTTTGCTAAAGCTAAAAAGAAACAAGAATATCAAAACTCATCAGATGAAATATCAGTAGATGAAGAAAAAAAATCTGAACATAAAAATAATACAAATGTAGACAATATTACTATTACTTCTAATCATAGTATATCACATCAAAACCAGATTGTAAGACAACATAGTGAAGATCATATTGATACTGCAGAATCAATCAATACTATAACCTCCAATGAACTAACAAGACAGACACGAAATCAAAAACGCTCTTTATCTCATTCCAAAGATACAGATCATATTGAATACGATTCGCAGACAGAAAAATTGACTCCAACACAAAAGGATTTACTTGTGAATAACGAACGCACAAATTGCGAAAGTTATAAAAGTAAATTTAATCAGCTTAATTCTTCAAGCAAAGATAACTTTGAAGAATCCAAGATAAATGGGAACCATCAGAATCAATCCATAAATAATAGTCCTACAGGCCAGTATATCCCTACTATGATTTTATCACAATCTACCGGAATAGAGAGAACTTTTGAACATCCAGCTTCAATTCAGAATTCATTATCAAATGAACTCCACATTACTGCAACTTCTAGCAAGGGTGATTCAGATAATGACAAAATTATTCCTACTAGTATACCACTTGTATACAATGAGAAACAAAATATAAACACAAACTTTAGTGACCAGGTGATACCAAACAAAGTTAAACAATCCAATGTCGTTTTGCAAGAAAATAATAGAATTATAGAATACCCACCCACGATGGCAAATGATAATCAAAAGCAATCAAGCAAACCGAAATTCCAAAAACAAATCGAAATTAAGAATAAAAGAAGTGGCTTTTCCAATTCATATTCTAGTTTATCAAATAATCTACAAAGAGCTAATGCAGCTGCTTCCTTAGCCATGGTTGCAAATGTAGAAAATAATTCTTCTAAATTGAAACTTAAGAAAAGTACCGCCTCTATTATTCAAGAAAATTCATCAAAACATTCATCATACATTAGTACAATTTTTAATAGGAGACCAAATTCAAGACAGCAGCAATATTTAAAACAAGAAAGGAGAAGCTCAATAGAAAAAAATGCACCATCACTATTATCTCAATTATCAAATAACAATAGGAAGACTTCTGTTACTGGGAATAAGATTAATGTGGATGATAATTTTTCAAATTTCTCTCAATTTCTAAAGAGTGATAATACAAATGATGGTGACTTAAGAACTCAAAGAAAGCTATGGTTGCAGAGGGAGAATTCTATTATGGACCTTAATTTACAGAAAGATGGGAACGCAGATTCTATTTTTATGGCCACTAATGTTGATGTTAAGAGAGAATTTGAACGTATTTCGCATGAATATACAAGCCTAAGAAGATTTTATAATACTATTGATGCAGCTTTAACAAGATTCGAGTCGAATAAGGACCATATTCAATCAACAGTAGGCAAGGCATCAACAAATGCAAATATTAAATCTCAAAGCAGGAAGCCCCCAAATAATAACGAAATAGCCCAATCATTGACATCTCAAAGAGACAATGTGTTAAAAGCATTTATCAGTGATCGTTCAGTGCCAAGTAAAATAAATGATAGTAACTTAAAAGCAGATGATTTCTTCGGAAATACCCAAAATTCTAGATTGCAGAGAATATTAACTACCATCTGGAACCAGGAAAGTGCCAATTTTAACAATGAAATTAATCCCTTAAATGCTAAAAATAGTAGTAGAACAACTATTGACGAGAGTAATACTAATATTAATCCTGATTTGCGTCAAGCATATCATCATAATGGTGCACACCATTCGTCAATGCATGCTGCTCGACATTCTTTAAGAAATGCAACTGAATCAAGTACTAATTTTTACCGACAATAATTACCCTTTAACCTTAAATAAAATAAAATGTTTTATCTGTATAAAGGAAGGAAAAGTCATCTTTGAGATCCTCTTTTTCCTTTCAATGGTACATATTGATGCTAATAATAAAGTACGATTATATTTGGTAAATATTGATATCATTACTGCAATACTCCCTAGTTTAATTCTTCGGTCCCTTATATAGTTACTGATATCGGTCTTATATTATCCTAATTTTTTATTATTTTATTTTTTGTGAAACTGTGTGTTTTAGTTATTTAAAATTTGTAGACAATCTTAGCTCGTGCAATGTCCTTAAATGTATAGTCTTTTACATTATTATTTAATTATGTATTTGAATATATTCTTATAAAAGAATGATGAATAGAAAAGAATTTTCCCTTTATGTGTATACCCTTAAATAGTTTTACTATCCGTAAAATATCTATTCGGCAAGTTAATCAAACAAAAGTATAATACTCATTTTTTCATTAAGTGAAGATTTAACTTCTGTTTTTACAGAACCTTCTTTCTTGTTAGAATTTTTTTTGTCGTTATTTTTCGCAAAACTAAAAAATTATCAAACACTTAAATTTTAAAAAAGCATTGACTTATATTAAACTTTTCTAGTTGTAAAAATCGAGGCTACTCCAAGTTAAATCAATTGAACTAATCAACAATCCATTCTAGTTAGGTTTAGAGATACTCCCTTCCTATTATTTTAACCCCTGTTGGATTTCATTTTTCGTTATTTTTGAATATGGGAGAACTCAAAGACATTTCACATTATGGACCATCTCTGTGTGTAAAATTTTTCGAAGAAACAACATTATATTCTGCTTGTGGCCCATTTCTTCAAATTTTTGATTATAAAACTAACATATTAAAACACCATGTAAGAATATTTAAAAAGAACAAGATTCATGGATTTTCATTTAGTAATAATGGTAACAGCATAGTTTTATATGGAGGTAAATCTGTTCTTATAATTGAAACCAAAAGTTTATTGGCTAGTGACAATGTAAGTGACAGAGAATTTCTTGCTTCTGAATGGATTATTACTGGCGAGTTTAGTTACAATAATAATCAAATCTATTTGTTAACCTGTTACAACTTGGTTCTAGTATTAGATATTAATGCTACTATTCTTTATAGAAAAACTTTAAAGAATGAAAGGTCAATTTTGTATTCTGGGTCAATTAGAGTGTTAAGCGATACAGTATATGTATGTTCAGGGACCGTGATGGGAGGTGTTTTGATATGGGACTTACATAGTGAGTCTATGATACATAATTTAGTTGGCCACGACGGTTCCATTTTTTATGTCACTGTTAGTAACAATGCTAAATTGATTGCTAGTTGTTCTGATGATCGTTCAATTAGACTATGGGATATGACAACTGGTGAACAATTGGCTGTTGGTTGGGGTCATACTGCAAGAATTTGGAATTTGAGATTTTTTCACGATGATACTAAATTAATTAGTGTTTCTGAAGATTGTACTTGCAGAACCTGGAACATTAATCTAGATCCTGGACGTAACAAAGTGGAATTACTTATTAATCATGTATTCGAAGTACATCTAATTAAGAATGTCTGGAGTGTAGATGTGAAAGAGGATGAAATGATTGCAGTTACTAGTGGGAATGATGGTAGATTAAAACTCATTGATTTACAACAATCTAATAGATATGGCGATGAACACGAAACTTTTGATTTAAAGGATATTGGTAAAACATTCAACGTTACCATTAACAAAGATGAAATTATAAAAGGCTTCACATGGTTACCCTTTGGATTGGTTAGTATTACATCTTATGGAAAAATATTCTTGTATTATTATTTAACTAAACAATGGAAACTATTAGAGATTGATGAAAGATTTATGTCATACTCTATTACAAATAGTATAGGAGATCAAAAAGATAACAATATAGTCGTTTTTTCAAATAACAAATGTGATTTACTTCTTTTGAATCTTTCTAAAGATGGAAATTATGTTACTTGTAAAGAAAGTTTACATATAGATGGATTATCTAAAACAACAAATTGTATGATCATACCCTCAAGTCAGGAGACTTTTTTATTAACCTTAGAATCTCCTAATCCTCGTGACAGTTTCAAAATACTTAAATTCAATATGAACTCTCTACAAATACAAGAGGAATACAATTTTAAAAAACCAGAGAATTTTACCTCTTCCTGTCTTGAAATATTTAATCATTACTTATTAGTTGGTTCAAGATTTAGTACTATTGCTATATTTGATTTAAATAAAGCAAACGATACAAATTATATTTGTACATTAATTAAGAGAATTAACCCTGGTGATACTACAACTTCCATTAAACTTATTGAAAGCAAAAATAATAAACAATTATTTTCGGTTACAAATCGAGATGGATATTATAATTTTATTACACTAACTTTAACCGGCACTCAAAAAATTAGGCATGAAATTATACATTCAAATAAGATTTTAAAAGGGTTTTTAGAAGGTGCTTATTACAACAACTCAAATGACTATATAATATACGGATTTAAATCTAGTCTTTTTTATATGTACAATGAACAAAAAGGCTATGAGATAGTTAGTGAAGTTTGTGGTGGTGCACACAGGCAATGGAAGTTATCGTCGTTATTTGATAATACATCCAGTAACAATTCCTTCATGTTGATGTATATCAAATCCTCAAAGTTATATTTAAGAAAAATCTATAAACCAGTAGTAGCAGAAACTTTAATTGATGGTTTACATGGTAGAGAGATTCGTGATTTAAGTATATGCCTCGCACCTAGAAAGAATAGTGACCATTTATTTGTGACCGGCTCGGAAGACACTACAATTAGATTAAATTCTGTTAATCTCACTACAGGAAATATTAAAACTTATTGGGCGGAAAGAAGACATGTTTCTGGTCTACAAAAGCTAAGATTTATTAATTCCCAACTTATAATTTCATGCAGTGCTAGGGAAGAATTATTTTTATGGGAAATTAATGATGAGTTTGATTCTAATCCATATATTTACGTAAAACAAACGTTGCCTGTATCAAGTAATAATCCAGATTTAAGAATAATGGATTTTGATGTTAAGTTTATTAATGAGGAAGATTTTATGTTACACACTGTTTACTCAGATTCTGCAGTCAAGATTTGGTACTACCAAAAAAAGTCGAATACGTTCAAATTAATAACATGTATGAAATATAAGACATGTTGTATTTTTAATACTTTATTTGTTGATTATAATGATTTTTCTTACTTAGTTCTTGCACCTACTGATGGTTACCTAGTAATCTACAGTGTCACAGAAATCGTTAAATGTATCCAGGAAGGTTTTACAACTATAAAAGATGTCAATCTTATTCCTGAACTTTCTATTAAAGTCCACAAATCTGGTATCAAATGTATCGATAAATATGTAAATAAGGATAATCAATTAGAAATCTACACAGGTGGTGATGATAATGGTGTCGGTATTACAAAATTTGAAATTGAGAAAACTACAGGCAAGTTAGCTTGTGTTTCTATGAGTGTTGTTCCTGACATAGCATCGTCGACCGTCACTTCGTGCAAGGTGTTCAATGATGGTCTGAAATTATTGACTACTTCTGTTGATCAAATCATCCGAGTCTGGGATACATCAAACAAAAATACATTGAGGTTGTATGATTGTAAATACACAACTATTGCAGACACGGGATGTTGTGACATCTTAACTATGAATGGTGGGTTGAATGTTGCATTAATTGCCGGAGTAGGTTTATCAGTGTGGAGCTTATAAGAATGAAAATATAATAATTGTATACTAGCTTATAGAATCTATATATATGGATGCACGCTATACATAGTTACGTATTAAAAAAACCGAGTTACTTAATGTTTAATATTTACATGGATACATGAATATTTTGTGATTATCATACATAAAAATACCATTATTATTATCATTGTTGTTCATTAATAGTAATTCTACCCTTGGCGTTGTTTATGCTTTCCATTTGACTTAGAATAGACATAAACTCTTCCCTTTCTTCTTACTATGTAACAATCCTTACAAAATTTTTTAATTGCGCTTTTAGATTTGAACCCTCTGAAAAAAACCATAAAATTAACGTAGGAGGGTAATGATGGCAATGTCCTATTCAATATATTTAAACGAGATGTCAAAAGTGAGGATTGATACTGTGATCTTATTAAGATTTTAAATGAATTTCTAAGTAGATTCAATCTACTTGAAGTAGTCCCTAAAGTTCTGATATGATTCATTTTATGAGTTACTTTAATATTTACCCCTTTGGTATTAGTTATATTTCTTGACATGCGAATAACATGCATTTAAAGACATCTGTACAGATGTATATATATATATTGATTTGTTTATATGTATATCTTTTCCTTTAGAGACTATATACATAAAATTAAGAAATCTTTGTTTATAAATATCTTGCAAAATTAGATTTCGTATGAAGTTACTAATATTTTCTACAAATGTACAAAAATATTTTTAGCTGGCGGTTAAAATTTTGGGCTTAGGCCTGTGAGTATTAAAATAGATACATCTACTGATATATTTACAGAAAGTAGATATATTCTTGAGTATTTTGTAGTGCGTCGATATAATATCAATTTTAAGTTAAAAAGGTGTTAATTCACAACTACAAATCTCGAGTATTGAGCTATTTAATTTTATTTTGTGCTTAAAAGGTTCATTCAGTTTTTTAAATATCCTTATCGTTTTTTCCAGCATCTGTCTGTATATATCGCATTATACTTATTATTGTATTAATAAAACATTAAGCTCTATTTGGTTTATTTAGAAATATTCACATATCAGTATGAATGAATCAGAATTAGAAAGAGTCATTTCTCCAGTAGATCAGTATTCACAAATATTCCAAGTCCCAATGAATCTATCTCCACAACACAAAAATTATCATCAAAGAAATTTCCATTATAGTGGTAGGCATAGTACTGCTATATCTTATGACAGCAATGTATACATGGATCCTTCACTACCAATAATAACAACTCCAAATCCATTAAATTTGGTTAATGCACCAAGCAGAACTGTGTATTTAGGAAATATTCCAAAGGATTTATCGATCGAGAAATTATTAGATTATGTATCCACTGGAATGGTCGAAGATTGTAAAATACTACCTGATAATAATTGTGCATTTATTACATTTGTTGATGAAAAGTCTGCATTATTATTTCACGTGGATTCTATTTTGAGAAGATTGAATATTAATGGTAATGATATTAAAATTGGTTGGGGAAAAACTAATATGTTAGACTCAACGGTAGCTAAAAGAATTAGGTTTGATGGAGCTACAAGAACAGTATATATTGGCAATTTGAATTGTACTGACGGTCATATAGACAATGAAAATATCGAGGAAATATGGGATGATAATAAACTAAGAAAAGATTTTGAAAGATTTGGTACAATTGAATCTTTAAAGTATTTACCAGAAAAGGGGATTGCATTTGTATATTTTACTTCTATCGCATCTGCTATTCATGCCGTAGATACAATTAGTAACCAAAACTCTTTGTACCATAATAAAAAAGTATATTTTGGAAAAGATCGTTGTTCATACATTACTAAAATACAACAGTACAATGCTGCACAATTTTTAGGTTTAGATATAGACGATACCAACACTATAAAACAGCTAAATGACAGAAATTTTATCACAAATACGCTAATACAACAATCTACAGCTGCGGCTGCTATTGCCACATCTGCAGGTGGTATAAATAATCTTGGAAATAGAACAATATATTTGGGCAATTTATCAAAAATGACTAAAGTTGAGGACATTTGTAATATTGTGCGTGGTGGCCTGTTGCAACATATCAAATTGATACCGAACAAGAACATTTGTTTTATAACTTTTGTAGATCCTACAGCAGCTGCACAATTTTATGCAATGGTTTCATTACATGGTCTTACTATTCACAAAAGACGATGTAAAATAGGATGGGGTAAGCATTCTGGTCCCTTATTAAATTCTATAAGTATTGCAGTTAGTCAAGGGGCATCAAGAAATATCTACATCGGAAATATTGATTGGCACAAACCATATGCTGAAACTTTTTTTACTGAAGATAATTTAAGAACTGTTTTCAGCAAATATGGTGAAGTAGAACAAATAAACTTTTTACCTAACAAGAGCTGTTGCTTTATCAACTTCACTAATATCTCTAATGCTATCAGTGCTTTCAAGGAGGCACAGAAGATACCAGAATTCAAAAACTTAAAAATAAACTTCGGTAAGGATAGATGTGGTAATATTCCACAACAAATCTCTTAAAAAAGACTTCGCTGCATATAATTACTTTATAATTAAAAGGCAACACACCAAATCACTATGAAAATAAAATATTAGAAGAAAAATTACCGCTATATTGTAATTTGTGCTGTATGTTTAATATATCATATCATTGCATTGATAACAATAAATCTAGTGAATTTCACTATTTCACTGGTCAAGAGTTCCATGTTTCAACATTATAATAAATTGAAAAATTATGATAAGTCCAACTAAGTCTGTGGAGTATCTGGATAAAGGCGTTATTTTAACTTACTCTTGTGTTTTATGTGCCTCTCCACTATCCCAATTATATATATATGTGTGTGTGCTAGGGGAACTTCTTTTTTATTGTTGCTTTGCAAATTTCCCTTTCAAGTTTTTTTCTTTCCAGTTGAAGACATCCCTTATACTTTCTGTTCATGTTTTAAAAAATATTCTAATGTTCCACGTCTCCGATTATTTCAAAGTATTTTTTCTAAAAAAATAAAAAAAAGTAAGGACTATTTCGGAAGGTTAAGCAAATATGCAATAAGAGATATCTAATCCCCTATATATATTAGGGATAGCAATGATATATAAAAGAAAAATCTAACTAAGTTAAAACAGAAAACAATTAATTGACACTATTACTAGATCTTTTTCGAGATTGTTAATACCACAAAGAAAAAAACATGATTAATATTATATATCCAATGTACCATGAGGACAACACTGATATTAAAAGGAGAAGTGATGCATTGAATTTTAAATCTTTAAAGATTGCAGGTGATTTTAACGACTGGCAAATCGAACCTATGGAGCTGAAAGATGTTGGTAGACAAACTTTTTGGATTTATTCTATTGAGGACTCTAAGTTAAGAAATTGTAAAAAGTTAAATAATAACGGTGAGCTTTTAGTTCATTTCAAGTTTATTGATGACTACAATAATTGGTTCACTACATCAGATTACGCAACCGAACCTGATGAACATAACAATATTAATAATGTTGAAGTTGTAAGGTATAGGGAAAAAGAAGTAGAAAAGGATGGAGATGTTGCCTCAGTTAAAGAAAAAATGCAAGGAGAAAATATTCAGAAAGCTGCAACTGATTCTGAATCTGAAATTCTAGATGAAGGTCCCGGATCACCTGCACCTTCCCTAAAGGACAGAAAAGCACAGTTACAAAACAGTTTTATAAAAGATTTTGATGTTATTTCCGATGCATTACAACATTCAGAAACTACCAAAACAGCTGTAAGTAGTTATGCGTCTACCATTAATAATAAAGAAAATAAGCAAGAAAATAAAGACATGCCTAATATTTTAGACGAGTCTATTATAGAGTCTGAATCAAGTAGTAGAAAGAATGAAAAGTCGGAAAACAATGATATAGTTGAGGAATATTCTGATAATAACTCTAAATTAAACTCATCTGAACAATTTCAGGGAGAGAAACAAGAAGATTTAATAATTTTTACTAATAAATACTCTCTAAACACTTGTTCAAATTTAGGAGCACATATATTGCCTGTAGAAGCAAATATGCAAATTGTGTCCGAAAATGAACAAGTTCTTCAAATGCCCTCTTCATTTCAAGAGGTAATGACTGAAAATATATCTGATGCCCAATCAAAGCATGAAGATGAACATGTTTACCACTCTAAAAACAATAAAGAGCTGGACTCTGAAATTATGCTGGAAAATCCTATTGCAAAAACTACATCAGAAGAATCTATTCACTCTGACAATAGTGATTTAGAAAAATACGTAGATGTAGAAAACCATGATTTAACGGTGCCTAACAGTGCCACTGAAGGATATCAAAATATTTTGCGTAGATTGTTGAGGGAATTCTGTTCATGGTTTTCATGGCTATTTAACGTTTTTAATCCTTCTCAGTAATTGTTTCTTAGTTATTGATCAACAGTGTTTTAGACCTGTTAATAGATTTTTATTTTTTTTTATTTTGCTTTGATTATTCTTTGTTTCTATTTCTTGTTTTTTTTTTTTTTTTTTTGTGACTTTTTCTCTTTTTGTATCCCCTATAATATTTAAGATTAAACTAAATATTTTCTATACATTATATTTAACCGTTATTGCAGTTACATTTATAAAATAATATTAACAGTAATAACAATATAATGGTATAAGAGAATATGTAAAGTATTTAGAATTTTGGTCTTTTCATTATTTTTTTTATAATTCAATGGATATATATATTTCTTTATATTGGTTATTACATTCTAATTTTGTTATCGCATTAGGCAACTTTGTGTATTTCATTTATTCACAGGAGTCATCTCTTTTAAAAGAGGCCAACTTATATAATAAACCCTTCCTAAATTTTGTTATTCCTTCGGGTAAGTTTTTTCATAAAAAAAATCTACAGTTTGCATTTTCTTTTTTTTTTTTTCATTTTGTTTTTTCTTTGCAAGACAGTTTTTTATTTTCATAATATATAAAAAGGCAAACAACGAGTACTCTGATTCTTCTTTTCATTTACGTCCTGTCGTGACTAAACCTTCCTTTCGCCTTCTGATCGTTCTTTTATACCATTCCTCTTTTAGCTGTAAAAAAGGCAACGCATTTTTCACTGCCATTTGTAGTGCATAACAGTGTCTTTATTGAGGTTGGACCCCTCCGGGGCGTCCTTGGCCCATGACCATGGAGATAAAGTGCTACCAAATTTGAAGTTGATTTAAATTCACTTTTAAGTAAATTTCAGTTTGCATAATGCGACTTGGACAGGAGACTAAAACCCAATTATCGATCTTGGGTGCAATGGTTCATCTGTTGTCTCCATCTATTGGAGATCTAAGGATCAGCCTTCGTGCCTCCGAATGGGAATCATTGCAAGGATCGTTAATACAGTTTTCTTTTTAAACGTGTAGATTATTTGTTTTTATTTTTTTTCTTGTTTTCTTTTTAATTAATTTAGAGTGGATACATTACATACGAGATATTGCAGCAAGCAAGTATATATAGTGGTACGTTACTTTTTGTTTATATACTTTTTGTCATTTCTTTTTCATAAGTTCAATTATCTTGAAGGCGACGGGTGAACCTAAAGCTGGAATTGAAACCTAACAATTCATTGATGCCCTTTGTCCAGTCGTTTTCAGTCTTAGCTATACAATATATACCTGAATTTAGTCTATGATTCAACTGTGAATCTTTTACGCTCTCTGTATTATTATTGTTACTTTTAATGTTGTCCAATCCACTTTGTTTATCCTTATAATACGGTGGAATTTGTGTTCCTTCTATGTAAATAGTCCCAACTTCATTAATAATATGAATTTCATCACCTAGATGTAGATTCTCTTGACGGAATCCATCAACTGACATATTTATTACAATATCATTATTAAGTTGATTCATCTTAGATCCAACAACAATCTTTATATGAGAAGAATGTGGTAGCAATAAGGGTCTGAATGATAACGATCTTGGACAAATGGGGGTTAAAAGGATTCCAGGGACTAAAGGAGATACAATAGACCCTCCTGCAGATAACGAATACGCTGTGGAACCTGTGGGAGTAGATACTATAACACCATCAGCCATAGTCCTTGTCAAAAAGGCTCCATCAATATAAATATCTAAGTTTGCCAAATGTGGTGCATTGCCTCTATGAATAAAAATATCATTCATAGCCCTGCGAATTATGTTACCAGATTGAAAATTATTCTTATCTGTCTTAGTGTCGTCATTGTTATCATCAATATTCTTATTCTTATTACGTTTCACAATATAACATTCTAATCTTGTCCTGTGTAAGCATTTAGCTCTAGAACTTATAACCTTGTTAAATATACTTTTATATTCCTCAAAATCAAATGGTAACAAGAAACCTAAAGTCCCTAAGGAAAAGGCTAATACAGGTGGTACTTGATGATTTTCGAACTTTGAAACACTATGTAAGATGGTCCCATCACCACCCAATGTCACTAATAGATCAGTCTTTTGAATGATTTCCTGTTGTGTACCCGTATATAAAACATGTGGTCTATTAGGATCATTATTAATAGTCTGTAAGAAATCCTCGGAAATTTCTTCTGCCACTTCTGGATTTACAATAACATTAACTTGAGGATAAGAGTCATGTAAGTGAGTAATGAATTTCACCATTGCTTCACGTGTTCCTAAAGTGAAAGGTTTTTTTGTAATTAAAACATTTTGTAAAGGGTTTTGCCAGATCATGGATTGTAATTTAGAGTTTGGAGAACTAACAAAGGAAGCCTTTATACGAGGTCTTAACTGGGTCACAGACTTAATCTCTACATTTCTGGATATAGAATAATAACGTGTATTATATATAAAACATTGCCATCTAGTTATTATTCTTAACTGATGGTTGAGCATTATGTCAATATGTACAATGGATTGAGATGACACAAAATGATTTGCAACACAGTTAATTGGCTAGCTAATTTAATATATTATCTAAATAAGCACTTGCTTGTTGTTTTTTTTATCTGAAGTATAACTTTGTTTTTTACTTCTGAGCTTATATACAAATGCGTGTGTGTGGATTGTGCATAAATATGCGTCTATTTTTATCCAATATTTTCCCTTCAAGCAAGTATACTTTAGACCGTGACTCATGTGGATAAGTTTTTTTTTTTTTTATTTTTTGGTTCTTACTCATCGCAGTATTTTCGGTTGTACAAAAGAAAAAGAAAATTTAGATTGCGGGGCTTATCATTTTCTTCTCTTGTTGGTGCAATTTGTTTTTCATGAAGTCGTCGATCTCTACAGAATAATAATATATACTCCAGCATTAGTGTATGGAATGTCTTATTATTGATCTATGGATTCGGGCAATTAACTAAAGAGATTCGCTAAGAAGTTTAGATAGTGTATTGAAGTGTAGATCTTATCTCAAAGATTGAATAAAAAAGAAGACGTTTAATTATGTTTAAAAATATATAATCATAGAAACTAGAACGTTCTGAACTAATAAAACAAATAGCGATGTAATATATGCATATATATATTTATCTAACATTTTAAAAAGATTCCATTTCTTTTCTCTTCTTCACGTATTTCAAACATTATCTGTACAGCAATAAATATGCATCCACTGGCAATCACAAAGAAAGATAAACCATTACTAGTAGAGAACATATCCCATAATAGAGCTTTTGTCCCATCTGGGCCTAAACAAAAGCCGAAGAGATTAGCTATCATCATCATCCAAATATTTACCACAGCACCCGATGCACACATGTGTCTATACCACCATTCTTGTCTGTAAGGTTGAAATACCTCGGTAGCTACAATCTCAGGAATTAAAAACAAAACTATTAACCAGCCCCAAAATAATAATTTTAATTCGATGTCATGCCATATAGCAACAAAGGAAAATACAGCTAATGAAGTCAGTATACGGTTTTTAGATCCGCCCAATGGGATATATATGTAACGAACTACCCACTTGTTATAGGAGCGATGCCATGCTCTCCAAAATGCTAATGCACTGTAGTTGTTATCCACTAGTCGGATCATATTCTCTGGTGTATCAATACCATCTAATAACCCCCATAGTCTGAACAATCTCCAAGGAATTAACAATTTCAAATAAATTATATTCAAATTGAATAGACCAATCATCGATATTTGGAAGGGTGAATCGCCTTCCCATGCCTTTGTCTTGGATACGGCTACCACATAAGTGAAATGTAAGATGAATTCCATGACCAAGATTGTAAGGATGAGTCTAATCAAGTATTTACCTATCCTAATTCTATTAATTGATGGTAGAGTATTTTTAGACTGATAGACGTAATCGTTAAAGGTAATAATAGGACCTGCAATGTATAACGGAGTATATAGCACATATGCAATAAAGTTATTTATTGAGTATTCTTGAATATGATGAGGAGCCACCAATCTTGCCCTTTCATTAGTTAACAATTCGATATCATAGTAATTATCATAAGCAGAACCATTAGTGGTAATACTTTTAGCATTATTGATTTTCTCATTCATTTCGTTGTTTTCACCGTGAATACTGTGGTTTCTATTAGTATTTTCGGTATGAGTAGTGCTATCCATATGATCTTGAAGTTTGTTACCATCTTCTAAGATAGTGGGCAAGGAGATATCAGCAGAATTCAAACGACTAGACTTTTGTAAAGATAGATCTTCTTGGATTAAACTATCGTTATCATTACCTATACCGATATCAGTTTTTTTCAAAGTTTTAAATTGGTTATCCCACCGTTCCAAATAATCCAAATTATAACTAATCAGTCTTAATAGAGTGAAATTAAAGAAAACATCCCAACGTTCAATGATTCCATTAAATTTTAGTTGGTCAATTGGTTTCAGAAAGGGTAAAAGAGAACCAAATGGTAGATTCCTGTATTTGTCATTAATAAATAGAGTTGAGATACCATAGACCCAAGTTAGACAAGTGGTCCAATGTCTTTTTCTTTTCAATAGATGGACAATAGAATACATTACCATCATATGGGCTAAGATTCTTAATGAATTGAATCCGTGGGCGACGAAAAGGAAAAACAGGCCAAAAAACATGTCGAACTTTAACTTTGAGATGCCTATTATCATTAAAACGAATCTTTTGAATAAAACATGGGATAAGATTAATGTGATAAGCAAAGGGAAGTTATCTCTAAAGAATCTATACTGGGCATCACTATTATCTACTTTGCGTCCAAACAACCAACCGTTAGATAACAATCTTTCAAATTTATAATAGTTAGCAATGTTCTTCTCTGTACTTGCATTCATGGCAGTTACAAACATCATAGGTATTACAATAATGAAAGCTAGATAATAAAACTTGAACTCGTATGTATTCCATCTTACATTATGAATTGTAGTAGAAGTAGTTGCAGTACTAGTAGCAGTACTAGTAGTATTATTATTACTACTACTACCAGATATTAATTTATTTTTTCTTTGTTGTGGCTTAATTCGAGCATCCAAGGACTCTACTGAGAAAAACACTCTTAATAAATCAATAGGGATATTCCTATAACGCATAATTTATTTAAATATTTCTGTATTGATAGTAGAAAGTCTTTTTTTTTCTGCTAGAGATCCCACGTTTACTTTATTTGCTAACAAATTCTATTTATTTATTTTTTTGTTTATATATATATTTCTTTTTCTTCTTCTTCTTTTTTATCCTACATCTTCAGTATTTTAACTATATAATAGCAATTGGCTTTTTTAAAATAACAGCTTATAGTGTCATTTAGCCTTTGATTGCTTTAGATTTTTGTGAGTTTTTTAAAAAAAGCTAAATAAAAAAAGAAAAAAACAAGTCGTCTCGAACCAGATCGCGCAAGGGTGTTTGGGTGTGTAAGCTTTGTTCTTTTGTTTTTGTTCTTTTGTTTTTGCAACAAAATTACCAACATTTTCTCCCTCTCCCCTTTTTTTATTAATTGTTTTTATTATGCAGACGGAAGAAAAACAAAGACAAGAAGAAAGACCAGGGTATTGTTGCAGGAACAATAGAAACAAATATGGTTTTGTATTTTTTTGTATTTTTTTGTATTGTGTTCCCTGAAACGGGCGATAATGGAAATAAGAAGCTGTCGAAAATAAAAAGACAAAAAAGTAAAGAGCAAAGATTTTTTGTCTTTTTATTTTCGCTTACTGTTTTTTTTTGGCAGTGGAAGGGGGACGGGAGGGAGGATTTGCTTGAGGGAAGGAAAGATCGCTTTGTCTTTTTATAGATGTTGTGTGTAGGTTTTTGAAGAAGAAATAGCTTTTTGTTAATGATGGTATAGGCTGTGTTTGTGTGTGTGTGTGTGTATTAGTGTATGTGTGTTTTCTTTATTTTCTTTTGCGCAGATAACAAGTGATTCTCATCTAGTTTACAATGTGTCTTCTTCTTGACATGATTAAGTATTACCTTAACCAGTTATTACTATTTATTCTGGAATTTTGGATAAAGATTATTTTGCACAGAGTTATTCTTATTCCTCCTACTCCTATCTTTGTTATTTATTTATTTTTCTAACGGTTCATGTGTCTGGCAGTCTGAGTCTGGCTCTTATAATATTCTTAGTGTTCTCTTTTTCTTCTCTGCCACCTCTGTCTCCGTTGCCTCTGTCACTTAACTGTCATTATTATTTATATTCCTTTGATCATATTTCGCACACTTTTTGATTTGCTGTTTTAGATCCCAGCCATTTTATTTTATTCCATTCATCTATTTTTATTCATATACTTCTGTGGTTACCTGCACATATCATAGTAATAATAATAATTTCATTTAATTTCATTTAATTTCATTTAATTTTATTTAATTTAATTTCATTACATAATGCGAGCTGTTACAAGAAATAGGCTGATGAATAATCTATACCTAGGTACTTTTCTAGTAGCTTTTTCAAGTGTAGCACTTGGTTCTATACTTCCGTGTCCTGCTCATACCGTGAATTCAGAGTCTGATCACAAATGTGATAAAATAGATACTACTGAAAAGAAAAATATTCATGATCCAACATATCGAATAGAATAGAATAGAATAGAATATAGTAACATTAAATTTATTCAAATATCTTTTTTTTACTTTTTATTTATTTATTATCTGTACATATTTGTATATATATATATATATATATGCGCACTAACTTATCTATTCATAATTTACTTGCTTCCTTTTCTTTTGATTGTTGACAGTTTGTTTGTTTTTTCTTTCTTTCTATATATTCATGACATATCTTATTAAAATGCTAATATTATATATATATATATATACATATACATGCATATATGTATAATGAAAAAATGCAGTAGTTTTTTCTACTGTTGAATTTTAATCAGATATATTTAAAAGCTTAATAAATCAATCTCTTCAGATACTGTGTTTTGTTGATTATTATTTGAAGAAATTGTGGTTTTCTGGACAGAAGGTTGGGCTGTCTCTAAATCACCAAATAAATCATCATTATCGTTATCATTGTAACTATCATTATTGTTGCCGTTGTTAGTTAACAAGTTATCATTAGTAGTAGTAGTACTCGTAGTAGTAGTAGAGGTAGTATTCACTAATTTAGAGATATCATTTGCATTACTGGTAGAGTTAGGGGTAATTATATCATTTTTGGTCTCTTTAGCTGCATTGAATAATGAACTAAATGGGTCATTTGCTTTATTTTGTTGTTGTGAAATCTGTTGAATAGCTGGTACAACACCACTATTCAGCGAGTTTACCATAGAGTTATAATTTGTTGCATTTGTTGTCATCGGAGCATTAAAGTTCAAAGATTCCAATGTATTGTTATTGTTGTTGTTATTATTATTATTAGCAGTAGTATTAATTACTGGTTCAGCAGTTTGAAATTCTGTAAAATCATCGTCGTCATCATCATCATCATCATCACTTTCCTCATTGCTATTATTGCCTCCAATATCCATTTTATTGCTAACTCCATTATTATCATTTACAGAATTAGATTGATTATTATTTGCTGGTTGTGATTGTAATGGCTCTTCATCTTTGAAAGTAAACTTCTCATATTTATCCACGTTATCTAATTTAGGTAAACATTTAGGTGGTTGGTCACCGTCATCATCATCACTGTCAAAATCTGCACTAACACTAATACCACGTGATGTAGATTTCGAAAAACCTGCTCTAGGATTCATAGCGTTAGCACCACCACCGCCAACTACTCCTTTATATTTGTTAGCTGTCTCTCTTGCCTTCTTCCTCTCCACTCTCAATTGGTTGTCGTCTTGTAATAATAATACCATAGCCTTGGCTCTGTTTCTTACGTTAATTCCTTGGTCTCTACCTTGCGAATCTATATAATGAAAATCTTCTAACATCTTCACAATCCTGAGACTGCTTCTGACATCGTCGATAAATTTCTCTGAACCATGTTTAACCAAATACTCCAATAATTGTAAGGCTTTGTAAATCTGTCTCCATTCACTGCCTGTCTTTTCAGTAAACCTTTTAAAGATCATCCCGATGATTTCTTCTCTTTCACGGAAATTAAATGTCCCTTGTGCAATCTGTTCCATTAATGTGGATGAAGCACCCCATGGCTCATTATTTGTAGCCTCTCTAACCTTGCCTTCCATTTCTGTCAAGTTAAAAACAGCATTTTGTGCTTTACGAAAATATTTCTTGGCATCATAGATCGATAAGTTGGCTAAAGTATCTTCTAAACTCATTCTTGATTTATTTCCTAATTTGTTTATTTTTTTTTTCACCTTATTGACGTTAGTTAAAGATCTTTGTTGCTAGCTTAAAAAGTATTATATATTGTGTATGTTTGAAACCTTTGTTTTAACTTCAATATTTCTTTGAACTGTTTCTTTCTTCAAGTTTTTTTTTTTTAGTTTATCTTGTTTTAACTCCATGTTATTTCCACCTCCTATAATTTTTTTTCATTCAAATTTTTTATCTTTTAGTGAATAAATCAAAAAAAAAAAAAAGAAAAATAAAAATAACAATAAAAATAAAAAAAGAAAAAGAAAAGGAAAAAAAAGCAGGGAAAACAGAACTGTATGAGATTATTGTTATTACTATTATTATCATCTTCTCAATCTTAGATCTCTCGAAGGTAAAGGATACAGAAAATCTTCGAGCCTGGGGAATATTATTTGAGGAAACTATGGTTGGGATTACTAGTTTTTTTTATGAAAACTATTTACATACTAAGGTTAGTCTTACCTTTCTATGCATTGTTTTGTGAAAATTAAAGGGGAACCATAACACAAATTAGAAATTTTACAAAATTTATAGATATATTTAGGCCTGATCGTGACTATGCTTAGTTGAATGTGTTTTAGAATTTAATGACCATGGATTTTTTTTTTACATACTATATAAGAACCTAATAATAAGATCTTTATTTTAATTGAATATTCTAAGCATACCGTTGACTTAAAAAGTATTATTGGATCTTGGAATAGATTGATATGAAGTTTTTGATTATTTTTATTTTTTTTGCTTTTTATTCTCTTATTATAGTATTTTTCAGAAAGACAAAGTAAAAGTGTCCTGGCATTCACTTGTGTTCTGTAAAATTGAATATGCAAGGTCGCAGTAACTAAATAAGAATCTATAGTTATTAAAAACTACACATAACTTTTCATATTTTAGTAAATATTTGTAATCCAACATTAAAAGCATGTATTTCAATTATTATTATAATTATTATTTATGATCGATACTATTTACATTAAATTAAAAATTTGTTATGTTGTGGCATAGAGAATATATTTTTTTGTATATATACAATATAAAAGAATATATAAAGAAAAGAAGTTAGATTATCAGTAAAAAAACCATTTTATCTTAATACTCTTCCTTTCTTCCTTTCTTTTATTTTTTCCACTTATCTTTACTTACTTAATCTGTAATTTCACCACAGGATTCAATAACAATATCAGCTTTTGGTTGACCAGATGAAGATCCGTGTGATTCAATTTGTTTAACAATATCCATACCTTTACTAACTTCACCGAAAACAACATGTTTGCCGTCTAACCATGGGCATGGGACAGTAGTGATAAAGAATTGAGAACCATTAGTATTTGGACCAGCATTAGCCATGGACAATAGACCTGGTCTAGTATGTTTCTTGACAAAATTTTCATCTGGAAATTTAGCACCATAGATAGACTTACCACCGAAACCTCTCATATGATCAGTGTCACCACCTTGAATCATAAATTGTGGGATAACACGGTGGAAAGCGGTACCTTTATAACCATGACCCTTTTCACCAGTACATAAGGCCCTGAAATTTTCGGCCGTCTTTGGAACAATTTCATCATATAGAGTAAATTCAATTCTACCGATCTTGGTTCCATTAACAGCTGGTTCAAAATACACTTTTTTGGCCATACTAACGACATTAGTAGAGAAAAGACGACGATTCATAGAAATAGATTTGAACATTGTTTTTATTATTTCTCCTTTTTTGTTTTCTTTTCAGCAATCAATAGGGAAATTGCTAATGTGATATTGAGTTTATATATTTAAACCCCTAGCAGATAGCAATGTATATACAGGTATGTATCCAACGTATAAGTGAACTTATATAAATACATATTAGTAAATATTTTAATGGAGAATGAAGGAACAGAATTCTTATTCCTTCTTCTTTTTATTTCTATTTTTATTACTTTAATTCTTGTTTTTGTGTTATTTTATTTGCTTTTTTTTTCTTTTCAAATTTGCTTCTTCTTTTGAGTTGCCTGTATTTTGCTGATAAATTGAACCGATTTATTTATTGTTGAGGGTATATTATAAATATATATATATAAAGAGGAAGAGAGAGAGAAAAAGGTGATGGTGCATTTTCAACGATAGAGTTGTCACTTCAATGGGTTGTTGTTTTTCACCGTAACATCTAGTTTGAATTTTTTCTTTTATTCATAGTAAGAAACTTAATTTTTCAGCCATCTCTTTATCATCGTTACAAAGAGCAGTCAATTTACTTAATCCACCTTTTAAAAAATGATGATCTTGGAAGTCAAATCCTGGAACCACCACCTCACTAATCAATAATCCATCATCCAATTCATCATTCTCTAGTACAAAGCTTGCTTTGTAAACACCGCCGGGTACAACCCATTGGCTTAATTCACCATCAGCTACATTATAACCAACTTTAAAAGAGTACACACGTCCATCTGGATAAATTAATACATATTGTCCACGTCCCTTATGTAATGTATGAATAATACGATTTTCATTATAATGAAATCTACCCCGAGGTGAATCTGGTGTCAATAAATAATAAATCAAGGTGGAGTAGTTTCTTGTATTTCCATCTTTATTTAAGGTGGTGTATGGAGACCTATCCGTTTCTCTATAATAACCACCTTCTGGATGTTTTATTAACTTCAATGAATCGATAAGTTCTTGTAATTTCTTTGTTGGTTTTTCCATTGGTTTAGTAATATATTTACATGGTTCAAGTGTGTTAATTACATTAGAAGACTGGTCTATAGTGGCAGACTCAAAATTTGGTTCAGATCTATTCATTTGGAAATATCTTTAGTATTTAAGGTTTATATATTATTACAGTCTTTTATTTGTTCTTTGTCTTGTTTCTGCAGCTCGCAAGCACAGAATATATACTGATATTAATTTCTATTTTGTTTGCCTTCTACTAATTTTCTTTAGTATTTTTTTTTCTTTAATTATTTTATGGTATTATAGATACATCCGTATACACAGGTATAATACACACATAGATGCGTATATATATACATACATAGATTTGAACTTCACGAAGAGAGTTCCATTACTTTTCTTTTTTTAACTGATGCACTTTCATTCCTATCTTCTTTCTCATGTTCCTGTTGTTGTTGTCTTTTATCGCCCGTAACACCGTTAACAGCACGGAAATATGGTTGACACCTCCAATATGACACTGTCTTATATGAACCACCCCAAGATTGTAAAGGTCCGGTCTCTATTATATCTTTATCTTTCTCTTTAGTACATAACTCGGACACTATATTTTCTACAGGTTTAATAACCTTAGTTTCCCAGTCATCTAATGTAGATTTTCCATCCATTGAAGCAACTACACTTCTAATATCAGTATGATGTGCCAAAAATGGTCTTAATATTTTAAATACGTGTGATTTAAACGCTCTTCTAGAAGCTGGTGACTCACTAGCAACTTTTTTCACTATTTCAAAGTATTCTCTTAAGATCTTATCAACTCTTGGAAAAGCCTTTTCTTTATCTTCACAATTGTCTACATTAAAGATAGCAGGGTTATACAAATTCCCTTCAGCACTCATTACACCATCAGATAGTGTTGCTTTTAAACAACGTGATATATCTTCAGGATATAGGATATTACCGTTAGCAAATATAACAGTATCTTTCGGTAAATTGTCCCTTAAATATCTTATAATTGACCAATCTGCAAGACCTGTTTTTTGACCCTTTTGTTCTCTTAACCTACCATGAACAGTTAAAATTTGAGCCCCTGCATTAAGTACCATCCTAGCATAATCTAAAGTTTTTTCAGGTTCTGGAAATATTCTAATTTTAGCAGTTACCGGTATACTCAAATTTTCATGTAAAGTTTTAATAATTTTATGAATCAAATCCCATTCATCCATCAAAAACGCACCATAATGCCCTTTTTTGGCTATACCTTGAGGACAACCTAAGTTCAAATCTATAGCATCACATTTATCTTGAATCAAAAGTGCAGTTTTTAACACATATTCTGGATCGTTTCCACAGATCTGAACCACCAACGGTCTGTCCACTTTACTGTCACCATCCAGAGATCCCCACATATCTTTCCTATATTTTTCACTTGTAGCAAACAAGCGTGCATGCAACATAGGTGTGTATGTCAATGTAGCACCATATTTACGAGATAAAATACGCCATGCTAATTCTGAATGATCCACCATTGGAGCTAAAATTTTTTTTGGTTGTCCTATTTTATGGAAAAGCTCTCTCCCTGTAAGTTTACTAGTTGTAACCATATTTGCCTTGATACTCATTGCTTTTGCTTTCTTTTCGATGATTATAAGCGTATTGGAGCTTATTTAGCTACAAAGAAGTATTTGGTCAAAATAAATATTTTTTTGTAATATAGTTTAATTATTCATGTAGTAGAGAGTTTTGCTTTATAATAAGCTCATCGCTAAAATTTTGTTTTCAATCTCGGTATTATAACAATAAAACAATATGAAAAAAAACACATATATAATAAAACAAGATACAATAATGATATTAAGAAAAGTTATACACACATTATGTTTTACATGATTGAATAAGACTCTGCGATTTGATCGGCATATTAATACTTCAACATATGTACTAGGATTCGATCTATAATTTTATTACATATATGTAGAGACATCCGAAAATATATATATATAGAAAATGTTAAAATATTAACAACAAGTAAGTTTCCTTAGTTTAAAGCAGAATAACTATGTGATTTACGAACATGGTCAAGATATTCTTTTTTTTAAAAGGAAGGAACGAATTTGTAATGCTTGCGCAAATAAAACACCTACAGACCATACCGGACAAGTGCCCAACATATCAATACCAATCTGTAATATAGTCTGTGATAGACTTGCAGTACCTATCATTTTTCTTATTTCTGCCATTGGAACATTTTCAATATCCACATTTCTTAAATTCAAGTGACTAAATAGCTGAACACCTTTATGTTTTAAATGATCATCAATACGTTCCATTAAATGATATAATTTGATCCATAAAAGTTTATCTGTAACATCTAAGGTACCAGATATAATACCATCTTTATTAACTTGAGATTTTGATTCCATCACCCATAAATATTCTGATAAAATTAATACAGAGGACACCATGCAACTGATAGAAAACACTGGAGTAGAGATAGTAACTTGTTTTGGGTCAAATTCCAAAATGGAAACTATATCTATCCAGAATTCTATAATGTAAAATGCATGCTCACAAGCATCACGCAACATGCCCCATTCTAAACATAACTCAGACATTCGTGCATTCATACCATCCCAATCCTGTCTCCATATTTGCTTCATTATTGGTCCAATATAAATATTTTGGCGCATTTTTGCGAAATGATAGAGTGGAACAATTAATCTTAATGAAGGAAATGCATTGATTGTTTCAATATTATCACGACTAGGCTTGAATATACCACCAGCTTTCATGTATAAATTTTCCCAACGAGCTAGCATGGATGAAATGATTGGATTAGAATTATTTTTCCACCTGAATAGTGAATCATGTTCAGTTGAATGTTGATTACCTTTGATAATTTCTCGATAAACAGTTCTCTCAATAGATATCTTTTCATGAATAGAAATAAGTAATGAAAGTAGCGTTTTGAAAGATATCTTGGAATTCATCGAATAAAATTCAGCTCCACTACACAGATACATTAGACAGCTCTCATAAGTCCCATTACCATTAGATAACTCAATTAATGAAAATTTAGAATCTAATTCAATATGAAATTTATCCAAATTTTGTGTCCAGACTCGATAATTTGGAGAATGAAATAATATTTCTTTATAGCACGGTAACCCACACTTCAGATCAATAGAATGAAAAATTCCTTCCAATCCTGTCAATGAAGTAAAAAAGTTTGAAAGGATTAGAGCAACATGGCATGTTCTAATTCTTGTTTGGGCTTCGATAAAATATTGAAATGATTTTTCCAGCTGATCTTTTGAATGATAGTGATCCCTTAATTCTTGTAGTGCTTTTGGATTACCTAAGCATGGTAAGGAGCGGTCGCTGTCAATTGGAGGTTTTACCAAATATTCTAATGGTTTGTTCAACCTTGTTGCTTTAATCAGCTCCGCTATAGTAGCTAACTGAATTTTCATACTTCTAGTCACATTAATATCATTACTAAAAATGCCAACGAAGGTTAATAAAATAATTGCTTGAATGCTCCATAATGGAGTTGCTGCATAATTGTGTTGTTGTTTTTCTAATAAATTTCTAATTTGAAACCATGCAAGATTTGATAATAAAACTGAATGAATAGAATGAAATGAATACAAGGCGCCTATCATTGCAATACATAATAGTAGTGGATAGTTTTCTTTGGTTGGAATAATACTGTGTAGATGAATGAAAGGAGAAAATTTATGAAATTCATCTTGATATAAATTAACATATGAATTCAATTCTTCTGTTGTTGGAAATTGATTTGGCTTTAAATTATTCAAACGTATAATCTCGTCACGATATTTGTCTGAAAATAGAACTACACGGTATGTTTTGTCATCAAAATTAGTATTATTGATAAATTTTTCATAATTAATGGTTTCATTTGGAAAAGAATCCTTCAAGTTATTTAATGAAAATACGCTGGCAAAATTGGAAAAACTGTGATGATTATTATAAAGATCAACTTGTCTTGATTGAAATAAGTTCACAAAGTCCAGTTGATGATCTAAGTTCGTTTCTGTATATTGAGACTGTGAATTTGCAGGAGTATTAAACACTCGTAACGATGAGTCAGGGGACTGATTCTGAGAAATAGATTGAGAGTTGGGTTTAGGAGGCGTTTGACTATTAGATTGAACAGGTGTAAAATTTTGGTAGTGCTTTGGAATATAAGATGGTGAAAAATCAATTGTAAGCCGATTGTCATCAGATTCGCTTACAATAGAATTTGGATTAGATTTATTAGTATAGTTGTTAGATTGGTTAGTGATATTTTGTTTAGAATCTAAATAAGAAACTGGTTGTTGAATAATTGGATCTTGCTTAAAATTATCTTTTACTATTGGTTTGAGTATGTTGTTGTTATTTCTTTCATTCATTGAATCAAGAGATGTTACCGCTTGATCATGAGGTACTGATAACCCTTTATCAAATGCTTGGTTTATTGATGTACTATTCTCTATAAAATTGGGTATGTTAGTGTTATCATATTGTTCTGAAGGTAATCTAGAAAAAAGTGAATTACTCAAATCTGGTGAAGCTTTATATCCAGAAGGTGTGTTACTCTTTGTATTACTATTATTATTGAAATGGAACAGCGATTCTGTAGATAATGATGTGGGGACGTTTGAAATGTCTTTTGGCATATGTTCAATATCTTCACGGATTTTCATTGGATACACATGATCATGTATATTAGCGAATCCAATATCGTTAAAATGTTGAGAATCTATATGATCTAAAAAGTCGGATTCAACTGGTACATGTGTTATAAATTTAGACAAAACTTTCTCTGCTGTAGTCGATAGTGTACTCAAGTCTTGCGTATTGTTTCTATTGTTTGGGTATTGGTATTCATTAATTAAATTAGGAGCTTGTGTAGTTTGATTACATTGGCATAAGTCAAAATTATCTTTATTATTACTAGTCTTATTGTTTTGATGAATAGATGGTGTGGTAGAATTTGATATAATCTGACTGTCTATAGAAATTTGTGATTCATCTCTTGACGAAGTATTGCTTGTAGACGATGTTTCTGTGTCAGTGGTATAATAACTTAAATGCTTATCATCGTATTGGAAGTACTCTAAATTATTGACTGTATTTGTTTCAAAATTTAAACTATTAAATTGGTTATCCAGATTGATTGATAAATTATTCTTGTTATTTTGGTCCATATTGTTGTTAAGGTTAGTAACATTATTGTTTCTTTTGATTTGATTATTTAAAAACCCACCAACACCACCAGCAGAAGAAGATATAGTTAGGAAATCAGCTAAAAATGGTACATTATCAAATGCTGCTAAATTTTCATCACGAGAATGTTTTATTTGATTTTTGGAGTATGAGTTTTTTGTTGTATCGTCGTATGTTCCAATTTCACTAGACTGTTTGTTCGAGATACTATTTTGAAAAAATATATCTTTAAAATTTACTGTATTTTTATTATCGTCATTGTTCAGTGTAAAAAATGGAATGTTCTCGATACCATTTTCATGAGCTTTATCAACCAAATCACTGGCAGTCATTTGTGGGGTTGAGAATCCAACTTGATGAGGTATTCCACTCATAAGTGCAAGGTCATCTTGCAATTGTTTCCCCGTAGGAAGTTCATTTTGTGCCTTGTAGCAAAATGCACTAGTTGCAGAAAACGATGCATGTCTTTGTCTCACTTGTGATTGTGATTTTTTGTAATTGTTATTTGGCATCGAAACAGTAAAGTCATTGTCAAGATTCTCACTGCTGGGTGATATGTCACTATTTGGTGACTGATCTGTATATTGGTTATTTGGAACATCCAAATGTAGATTTGAGTTGGAAGTTGATTCAAAAACTTTATGTGATAAATTTCTTTTTCTGCCCCTTTTACTGTTTAATTTAGCTTGTTTCTTCTGTAGTTTATCCATTTTTTTTGCTTCCTTCTCTGCTAATTTAGCTGCTTTTCTTAATTGTGATTGTGACTTAGCCATAGGATTTGCAGGCGTAGGTAAAATTGGTTGTTTATTACCTTCAATCTTAATGACATGTCTTGTCGGTTCGATTTTATCCATAATATTTTCATCATTATGGTATTTGCTTAATAAATAATGATGTTCAGAAGTTCCTATTAGAGTGGCGTGTAATTTCTGTTGGTGTCTAAGGACAAGGTCTCTTCTTGCAAAACATCTACCACAAAAGATACAAAGAAACGGTTTTTCATTGGTATGAGACCTCATATGTCTCTTTAAATGTTCTTGGCGAATAAAGGCCCTTGTACAAACATGGCATATAAATGGTCTAGACTTATTCATTGCATCACTATTTTTATCTGTAGATTCTATTAAAAAATTATTAGCATCACCCTGTACTATCTGAGAAAGATTTTCCATGGTGATTTTGATTTGTTGATAGTTGTAAGTATAAATGTTAGTGTGGGTATCGTTATTGCTATCTTTGCTATCTTTGCTATCTTTGCTATCTTTGCATTTATAATATTAAAATGTTTATGATAAAAGTGTCAAAAACCAATCTATCCTTGAAAAAAATCGTTTTCTATTTTTGATTTTCTTTTCTATTCTTTTTCTCATTTTACTATGAGAATTTATTATTTCTTTTTTTTTTTTTTCTTTTAACACAGGAAAGATTTTTTCAAATCTGCAAATAAACGAAAATTTTCACATTAAAAAGCACTCATTTAATTTTAACAATGGACAAAGACAGATGAATTTCATACAGAAAAGTGATGCCAAATAGGTGAAATACTGTTTTATACGTGTACATACATGCATAGTTAGAGAGAGAGTTGTAGCGTGATTTAACTAGTTGGTAGATATCAAAAACAGTTTATCAAGAATGTAAAAACAATTTCTACAGTCTTTAGATGTTTAAGATTGTAAAAAGCTATCAGCCCCTGATAAATAGGGCTTTTTCAAAGCAGTAAGTTAAATAAATTGTATTGTACAGAATTCCTGTACAAAAGATACATCTTATTGTTCTATATTTATATGCTAGTGATAAACCAATCAGGAACCACTTCTAAAAAAAAGCATTATTACTCTTTTTTCATTTGACGTAGTTATAATAAGTAATCCTTTGATTTTCCCTCACAATCAAACCTGGGATAATGTAGTCTTATAATGACAACAATGAAAGTTACTACTGTAATCTTAAGCTCCTGAGAAACTTGAAAATAATAATTTACTCATATCTTTTAAAGTCTTTTATAATTCAAGTTCATGCGCAGGGATTTGAAAAAGCCGTTTAAGTAGACGGTTATTTATAAATCTATTGACAAAGAGGCCTATAAAGATATGTAATCCATGCTTATCTATATAAGAAAAAAAAATCGAGTCTTTTCTTTGTTTTTATTTTTTCTTTTTTTGTTTGTTTTAGAAAGATTATAAAGATTCGGCACACCGAGTTACATATATTTTCGTTTTATTTCATTTTTTTTTCCAACATATATTGATAACAAGATATATAAAGCAAATGTACATGTGTCGTTTATGTTAAGGCTTTTGACCTTAATTTGTAATGATTTCATTCTCTTTTTTTTATAGTTAGTCTGTTGTATATATTGAGCACACACAACGACTTCCAATTTTTCATTCTTATTTCTTTTTGTTATATATACTTTTTTTTTGTTTTTGGAAATAAGGCACAGAGGTTATTTAATTTAAACTCCGTCTTATTTTGCCTAAAACAGTAAAAGATATTATATAGAACTACATGTAAGTATACAAAGTGGTGTCGTAAAATCGTGTTTCAAGGCCATATAATAAAACAAGTATCTTGAGGAATGTTACTGATATTAAGTTGGGATTAGATTTCATGTCTTTTTGGGCTGACTTTTTTTTCTATTTTGACATCATATTTTATTCGGTGTAAATTAGAAGTGTTCAACTTAAATGCGATACTTAAATTCACAAAGTGAGCAAGTATACTAGTTAAATGAACAATTATTTACATAAGATAATTTAAATCACACCAGCATACACATAATCTAAAATGTTAATTCTTGATATTTTGTGTATTAGTTCGGTTCTATGCTATTCAAAAGGCAAAAAAAAAAAAAAAAAAAGAAACAAACAAAATAGTGTTAAATAAATTATTTCCAATGTGTTAATGTAATGCACAATGCAAAATTACTTGGAAGGTCACATTATGCAGGACCAATTTTGCTTTAAAAACTGATATCATGGCAATTTTTTTTAGGATATCGACTTTTTCTTTTGGAATTTTGAGTAGTTGAGTCTCTTAATTCATCTAACCAATAGAAAAGTGCGCAATATCGAAATTCCACTTTTTGTTGTTTTCTTCTTTTTCTTTTTTTTGTTTTTCTTTTTTTTTGCACTTTTTGGATTGTACCATGGTTTGTTTGTTTTTTTTTTCTTGTTAGGTAACAAATGAAAGTTGCGAAAAGGGGAAAATGGAAATAGCTAAAAGCAGCTTTGGAAGAATTTGTAAAGTAAAGGAGCTGGAATAGAAAAAAACATACAACGATGATTGAAAAAGGGAGTGGATTACTGAATAACAAAATACGATAGTTCCTTCAGCGATAACATCTTGTAGTCGATTTATTTTATCTGATAGGTAGAGTACACAAAGAAATAACTTCTAGAGGATCAGGAAATACTGCGTTTTCTTTCATTCTGAAAAAAAAATATAAAAAAGGATTGATATACTCAGTTTGTTCAAAATATCGTTTCAAAAAGTAACCAAATATAATTAAAATGCTTAAAAGATACCCAACCCCAATTTTAAAGCCATACTGGCCATTTTTTGTTGGCGGTCTATTAGTATATTGGGGGGCATCTAAACTTACTAATACCATGTTACATATTGATGAATATGTTAATGATCCAAGAAATCCTAGATTTAGTAGAGGTGAAAAGTTGGTTGAATTAAATAAGGAATGATCTTTTCCAACAGAAAGAAGATTGAGAAGAATTTGAAAGCACCAAAATAAAATAGAGTAAAGCAGGACTAGAGTATATATGTTTAGTTAATTTGTCTGTGTTTTTTTATTGGTCTTTTTTTCTCTTTGTGGGTTGTACTTATCTTCTTATTTTATTTTAAACTTATATTATATTCTATTTTCCCTTCATTTAATCTTTATATTCTTTTTTATCATTATTTATTTGTGTTAGACAGAATAGATGTATATATATTATATGTATTTAATCCTGTTTATTAGGTTATAAAACTTTTGTGCCTGTGATTTAAGTGCCATTAATTTTATTCCTTTTTCAATTGTTTTCCTTTTTCTAATTATATATGCGCTATATCTCTATTATATTTTTTAATTATACTGTATTTGCAGTCTACAATAATATTATTGCTGTTTATTATAAAATATCTATTATACGTATATATATATGTGTGTGTGTGTTTGGACTATTCGTTTTTATGCTTTTGATACTTAAATTAATTACTAAAAACATCCTTAATTTTTCATTTCTTTAATTACATCTCTGAAGATTTCAATTAACTTTTTTGGATCTTCCAATCCCACGGATATTCTCAACATTGTCTTATCAAATTCACAACTATATTCTACTTCATATCTTTTTGTATCCATGCCTAAATAATATGGCCATATAAGTGTTAAATTAGCGGTAAGACCGACACCTTTGTATAATTTGATCTTTTCATAAAAATTTTTAGCTTCATCTATCTGATTAAATGTTAACAATATGATTCCTCCATAACCTCCATGTTTTTTATACTTTACTAAATCATATATTTCTTTGTCTGTCTCTAATAGACTTGGATGATAAATTTTTTTAAATAAATTTTTATTTGGAATCAATACTTCATCTAATAAAGTCAATGTGGTCTTATTGATTCGATTATTCTTGTTAATAACATCCCTTGAGTTTTGTTCCAAATGAATAGCATCTTCACACCAAAGTAAGTCTTCATATTCGTTCTTGATAAAACTTTGTATTTCATTGTACATTTTCCCCCGTGGATTGACAATCAAAGACCCCGCCATCACTTCATGGTCTTCTTCGTTGTTTGTAATGTCAAAATTACTAAATAATTTACCAAGGGAACTGACTATCATATCACAATATTTCAAACCATCCATATTAATAAATGCGCCATTACTTTGGTCAATGATAATGGTAAAGCCAAATAATTCAGATAACCTTTTCAAATCTATCAGATTGGTCATTTCAAAATTATTCATAAGATTAGGCATTTCAACAAACACAGTCAAAATCTGTTCACCTGAGTGCAAGATATTTTTTAAGATGTCTAATCCTTTAGAACCATTGGATTGAATGAAATGGAAGTCATTAAACTTTGTCAATAAATTAAATGTGTCAGGGATACATGTTCCAAGGATGACAGTTTTTTTTCTTAATGGTATTTGTTGTGATGATGGCATGGATAAATGTAAACTCGATGGTATCCTTAATCTTTGATTTCTTTCATTATCAAGATACAGTAATATTCTATGTGCAAAGTGAATTGAAGCCATTCCACTTGGAAACAAATAAACATCTTTATTAAAATTAATTAAATTTCCATTGTTGTTATTGTTGTTGTTTGAACTATTTTGAAAGTGTGAAGATGTTAAACTTAATTCTGAATTATTTGAGGATAGTAAGTTTTCTTCATCCTGTGTTAAAGTTTCTGCGGGAACTAGAGATTGTATAATGTTATTACTACTATTATTATTTTGTGTATTTAGTGAATTGAAACTATTGTCAATAATTAAATTAGTAATGCTATGAGTATTGGTATTAGTATTATTATTTATGTTATTTGTAGAGTAAGTGGTGGCATTTATTAGATTAGTTTCATTATATTCATTCTCAAAATCACTAATATCAGAATCAGTGTCATTAAAATTATGCAAATTCATTAAATCCATATTCAAAATATCATCAGAGTAGTCATCATCATATTCATTATTATCATTATATGAAAAATCTTCTGCAGGATCATTTCCACGGTTTCTACGGTGCAAGGATCTATTATTTGAATCGACCATTTTAGTTGCTATTCTTTTTTTGATTAATTTTTTAGCTTTATCCGCTAACATGAAATTCAGACTCCGACCGAATCTTGTTTCAATGTATTCAATAGTGTTATTATTGCTAGTATTATTATCATTATCAGTATTATTTATTTCACTAGACAAATTATCACTTAAATCATTAATATTTTTCGTTTTAGTCTTTGTTGATTTTTCAATGATAAACAATTCATGTAAAACATATTCTGCAACACGGCTAGATATGATTTCGCCAGTAAGTTTCCAATACTCAAATAAAAAAGAGTAATATTTTTCATTGATGAAAACTACAGCAACTTTACAGACTTGTTTCCAGGTTCTCTCTTCATCGTTAATAGGATCAGATGTTGATAATTGTAAAATTCTGATCTTCAATCGTGGATTTTGGAACTTGATATATTCTCTGACTCGTTTAGCCACACTATACGAAGAAAATACCAGACATTTTTCATTATCTTTGGCATATTTATCTCTTAGAACATCATTCAATCGTTGAACAATAGGGTGTAGTTGATACCTTGGATACCCTAATGTTTCATCCTTAACAGCATTCGAAACATTATCCCAAAGTGGTAAATTCCATGATAGAAAGTGGGTAATGTCTGGAGGGATGGTAGTGTGTAATTTATTCATAGTAATTTACTTTCTAATATATTTATATGTGCGTATTTGTGTGTCTTCAACTTCTGATAATGTAATTTTTCTTTTGTTTTGGATGAGTTCACTCTATTCAATCACATATAAAAAAAGAAAATTATTTGTTTTGAACAATTGGAATCGATGATGACATATACTTACTATGATATTGTATATAAGAATTTGTCTGTAAATAATGTTTTATATAAACACCAGTGATAGATCTACTCTATTTGACTCATTTCAGTACTTTCAATATTACTTTTTTTTCTTTTTTCTTTTCTTTAAACACAGTTGTATTTGGGACACCCGCACACCCTCCAACTCATTTAAACACTTCAAGACTGTATTGTTTAATTATGGTTCTATTATAAGAGCATGGATCTTTACCTGTTACATACAATGTGTTGTAGCAATAGTCTGTCAGAGGGTAATTGGAATTTGAGGATAATGTACAAATAAATATGTTATTATTATTGTTATTATTATTATTAGTAGTAGTAGTGGTGGTGGTAGTAGTAGTAGCGCTATACATTTGGTCCATATTATTACTAAATATCCATTACATGATTGGTAATGGTCTATCTTGAAACAATATTTTGTATTGTATGACATCTTCTAAAATGACGTTATTATTTATCTTATCAAATTTCAACAAGCCTAGAGGTGTCTCTAAAGATACAATTTTGCCTAAAATACGTTGTTTTTGACCCACATATAGAGTAACTCTAGATAATACTGGATCTTTTATATTCTCTTCTATATCTAATAAACCAAATCTTATCTCTTGATCTTGTAAAACTTCCATATTTGTCGATATCTCTAAATCCCCTTGGATTTCTACAATTGTTCTTCCTAAAGGAGTCATTATAGTCAATGGGCTAGTGTTTATATTTTCATTATTTTCATTATTTTCATTGGGTGCATCATTGTTGTTTATGGTTGATAATAATTCAGATATCGATATTTGAACATGCATTGAAATGGGATAATGAGGAGCAATAAGTATTGTGTATGGAACGGTATGTAGCTGTGTCTTTGTTTATTTCTTTTGTGCCAATGTTATCACATTTACTCGACATGGCAACCTTTTGTTATTCTAGATACTCATAAATATGGTAGCGTAGCTTATTGTTTCTTTATTTTTTTTTAGGCTTATTAGTGATATTCTGGTAAAACAAAAAAAGAAAAAAAAGAAATAAAATAAAGAGCAGCCAGATTAATGAACATTGATCGTTCTATGAGCATGAGTGTCTGTATATATTATGGTTAAGTTCATGCAAAGGCAAACGTATCTCCAATATTTTTTTTTCTTCTTTTTTATATTTATCATTCATCTTTGATTTAGCGTTTATGATACAAAGCATAGTAGTTGCTACTGCACATATAAATATTACAGACATAAAATGAGTTGGTTATGGCCATTAAGTTTAATTTGGAGTAGCAACAGAAGAAAAAAAGGGAAAGACAATATAATTTTGTCTTATACAGAAGATTTAAATAAATTGAGTATTGAAATCAATTCAATAGAGAAGAAATTGAATGAGAAAAGCCCATATATTCGATATTTTCACTTCTATGTGTTACCTCTTTTATTAAGTATAATATATTATTATGTTCATAGATATAATTGTAGATTAACGCAATTTTCAAGGAAAAATTTAAATTTGGATCTCAGTGGATGGATAATTTATTTTGTTCTTACGCTTGTAACATACACTATTATAATTTATATACTGTTGAAATTGACGTCATGGGAAAGAAAATATCGGACTAATAAATTATCCAAGTTGCGTAGTCAATATGATAATACATTGAATCAATTTAAAGAAGATACAAAATTTAATGAGTCTATCTCGATGTTACAAAGATTTAATGGTGGTATGGATCAGATTGAATTAGTTAATGAAGAATTGAAGGGAAAATATGAAGAATTGAATAAATTAAGGTTAGAGATAGACAAATTGAAAAATAAGGGTGGAGATTATTATGATAATAGTAATAGCAATAATAAAGTATGGTTAGATAAGATTGTTGGATTAATGAGTGGAGGGAATGATATACTAGTTAAGGTATTGTGTCCAAAATGTAAAAAATTTAATGGGCTTTATCGATATGTCAATGAACCAATTGGATATAAATGTGTGGATTGTGATATGGAAGTTCATGAAATAGAAAAAGGTAATGAAGAAACTAGTGAAAAGAAAGAAGAAGGAAAAGATAAATGAACAGGTAAGTTATTAACTAAAAAAAAAGTCTTTACAGATAGAGATATTTTCTAGGAAGCAATTAAAGCAGGTGAACGAAAGAAAAATAAATAAATATATAAAAATGACGTGACATTAAGTTAATCTAGATTCACATATATATATATATATATATATATAATTAAAAAAATATATACTATTCATATATTTTTATATTTATCTTATTTGGATAAGGACATGATAGCATTGACGATATCAGCGTCATGTTGTTTTAATGCTTTAATGGCCTTACCTCTGGAAACATTAGCTTGTTGCATAACCAATTCGATATCTTCGTTGCTTAAATCACCAGCTTCTTCAGCTTCTTCAGCTTCATCATTCTCCTTCTTTTCATCTTTTTTACTTTCATTAGCTTCAGCAGCAGCTTTCATATCAGCTTGAATAGCTTCTGGAGATCTGTCGACAGTGTCATTATCAGAAAGAGTAGTTTGTTGTAATTGTTGTTGAGCAGCAGCTAATCTTTGAGTGAAATCATCCTTCTTTGGTTCACCGAAGACAACATAGTTACCACCAACAGTCTTGTAAACTTCTGGTCTTTCAATGGCAATGATTTCGTTGTTTTTCTTTCTGAAAGCAACTCTGACAATACCATTGACCTTCTTTAAACCTAATTTGGAGATGATTTCACGGGCCTTCTTTTCGTTCTTGGATAAAACGGTGACGTTAGCGTTGGTTGGGATAGCAGACATGTTGAATCTTGTGGTTTTGGTAGTTGTTGTTTTCCGTTGTAGCAAGTCACTGTATTTTAGTTAAAAAGGACTTAGAACTGTTCTTTTTCTAGTAAAATCTGAACTGTGTAGAAAAGAGTACAGAAAAGATTATAAAACGTGCATTGGGGGGGAAGGGAAATATGCAATGGTTAGTAGTTATTACAATAAAGGATGTGACCAAGAACTAATTATTCTGTGTTTCAGTATTCTTCTTGCATCTTGACAAAGTGGACGACATAGATGAAAATTTTTTCTTAGTTTTTTTTTCAATAAAAATACGTATGATTTAAACGCTTTTTTAGAAGTTAGGGTTAATTCTATTTTTTGCTTTTTTTTCTTTTTCTGTTTCTTGTTTTTCTTATGGTTGAAGTTAGTTATTTTTTTTCTTTGTTTTTTCTTTTTAGTTTGAAAGGGGAATGTAGACAAATGGGTAAGGAGACTGTTATGAGTGTGGGGTTAATGCAAGTGTGTTGTAGGGTTGGACTATTTTCAAATAGGTTAATGAAAAAAAATAGGGTTAAAAAAAAGAAAAGAAATAAAGACAAATCACATTGAAAAGTAATTTTATACGATGCAGTGAAATCTATGGAATTCTTTTTTTTTCTTTTCTTTTGTTTTTTGATTTTTTTAGAAAGTATGTTTCAGTTTTATTTAGTAACAAATATGGGATTTTGTATGGCAAGTATTTGACGTAATGGGGTGAACAGAAAGGAAGGGAGAACGGCCTGCACACACATAATTACAGGTATTCACCAATATCCATCTAGAATTACTCTACAATAAGAATATCTTTTGGAGGGAAATGATTATGGCATGTGGCCTCGAGTGACAAGGTTCAATGTTGTGGTTAACAAGAGTATCCAGTTTATAAAATTTCAAAGATGGCTAAATAAGACATTTGACAGAAAAATGTCATGCCACTCTCTCTATTATAGAGCTTCTATTAAAAATAGTATCAATAGAATTAATAATATTAATAGTAACATTGACATTCGAAAATTATATTTAAACAAGTATTCATTCACAAGAAATTATTCTTCATTAAAAACCAGGCAATGGTATTCCAAAATTAACCCAGATAATGTTAGTGCAGTAATATCTTGGGTTTTGATGTCCCATGCCCTTTGGATTGCATTGTCAACAACAACATTTGTGTCAGGCTTATTGTATTTAATAAGTTCCACTCCGTCAGGTCAGAATTGGATCTCTTTGAAATTGTCTAATTATTTAACACAATCAACTGGGATTGCTATTCTATTTGAACAGGCTAAATTGAAACATAACTGGACACATGGTACTATTCAATGTCATAATTTATATCTTTCAAGAAGACCTTTGCTATCTACTGCTACCAGTTCCACACCAGTTTTACAAGATTATGATAAAGTTAGGAATGATATTATACAAAGGGTTAAGTGGGCTTTAAATGATAACATATTAGTTCAATTAGATCATTTTGATGAGGGGGACTATACACAGTTTGATCTAGTTATTGATTCTTGTGAAGTATCATTGAGTTTTTGGAAATGGTTAAATGGCAAAGGTATCATTGAAGATATATCTTTCTCTGGTGTTAGAGGTATTATTGATAGAACACACTTTAAACCAGTTCTAGACCAGGTTCCCTCAATTGGTGTGCCTTTGCCTAAATATAAATGTAAACCTGGTGATTTTGAGATTGATAAATTTAAAATCAGTGATCTTTTGGTCATTGTATACCAACCTAATGGGTTCAGACCATTTCCTCTGAGTGTATTTCATTGTCAGCTACCTAAATTGAGGAAGCAGTGGTTATTGTATGACTTGGTTAATGGAGACTCGATTAGTGGCACTTTTGATGATTCTTTGTTTGTTTTACAAAGACAATTGACTACTTCGCATTTTAGAATAGATAAATTAAATGTTGATCATCTGAATGCAGGAACTGTTGGGCCATTTGGTTGGATTACACATGGGTTTGTTGATATTGAAACAAGCATAAAATTTCCAAGAATGGAGATAAGTACACATAACAACAACAGCACTGATAATAATAATAACAATGATAATAATAAACAAGGTGAAAAATACGGGACAAATATAAATTTTGATGTTAAGTTACAATTGAAGGATTTAAAAGCAGAGATTCCATTTTTTAAAAATCAGTTTATGACATATAAAAATAAGGCGTTAGTTAAACCTATCGTGGGTTATATAAATTCACATAAAACATATATTCCTATCCAATGTTCTTTACAAAAGTCAATAGAAGATTTTAATGGATCATGGACAATCTATGATTCAAATTTAGTGCAAGATTTATCCTTGAAGTGTTGGGATGCATTTGCTACTTATGTCAATGATGAAGAACAGAGAACACTCAGAATTAAAAAAGTCACTATTTGGTCAGCTCAATTATTTATTCAGGTTATCTTAATGGCATTAGGCTCCATATCTTTATGATTCTGATCAATATAGGCAGGTTTTTTTGTATGTGTTGCTATTAAAGGAGAACAAGGTTATTTTATTGATTACTGAGTTAACTCACATTCGTTTCTTGTAGATGCGTATTTGTATATACCTTTAGATATATAAAAATTTTAATTGTAATTAATAATATTCTGTGTTTAGTTTAGTTCTCAGTGAAAATAGGTTATATATGATGTTACATTATAGGCTGTGTATCCTTGTTTGGTTTTTCATGGTAATGATTGCAGAAATAGTGAGATATGTGTGTATTCTTTGATAGTGGTTACAAAGAAACAGAAAAAGAAATAAGAAAAAAGGAAGAAATAAAGAAATGAAGAGGCAAAGAGAAAAGAAGTAGAAGAAAGAAGAAAGGAGAGATAGATAATTATCAAAGGGCACATATGAGCTATATGACTAACTTAAAAGTAAGCATTTATCATATAGATTGTAGAATATACATAAAAAATTGCATACACATATAAATAATATGAGAAGAGGTCCTGTTGTTGGTAATCTATTTTCAATCACTTCATCTTACCTACTGATGAAGAGCCTTACAAAGTTTTTGAATAAACAGCTACCAAATAATAATAAATTTCCATGGTGGAGGAAAGAAGTAACAACGACAGAGATAACTGTATCATCATCATTACAAAATAGTTTATTAGCTTCGGATGTTACCGCTGTATCATCCTTGTTGATAAATAAAGATGTTGAAAATATGGTATTACATCGAAATATCAACGTAGATAATAAATCACCTAGGTTTGATGATATAGAATCTCAACATTTTATATCGATTTGTGAAACATGGAATAAGTGGATGGATAAAAGATTTAATACATTCTTACTGTATTTTGTTATTGTATTTTGTTTATTATATTTGCCATTACATGATTTATATGAGTATAGAACGATGAAGAGAAAAAGAACCGAATTGTGTGATAAAAACAGAAACGGTGATTTTAAAACAACTGATCTATTGAACGATAATCTCATAAGTTCAAAGACTCAAAATGCTTCCATTTCAAAGGAGATTGAAAGTTCGGATTCTAGTATTATCACGAATAGTATAAAGGATGTTGCAATGGAATTTGAAAATAAATTAGCTACTATAGAGGGAGAAATAGAACACAAAAACCCAGCAAACTTTCAGCATGACAAAGAGGATGTAACTTTAACAAAGAACTTATCGAATTACACAGTAACTTCTTCACTTGTATCCAACTCTGAATTATTATGTTCACCTAAACATGATCACGCATCTTTAAATTCACCCTATAAGTCAGATCAATCCAATCAAACATCACAATCATCTACTGTATTTTCAGCATCTTCTTTTATACAATTTTCACCATCTAGATCTGCTCACTTAAATGCACAAGTAGACACAAGGAATGCTTATTCACAACCGTTTAAATTTAAGTAGCTCTACAAAGACATTGTTATTCCATGCATAACATTAACTACCAAAAAATATATATTTAAACAGGTCAGTAAGCTTCTACTATATTCTCTTTGGATATCTTTCCATTTTGGTGTTGAATAGTTTTTTGAAATTGTTGTATTTCTCTTTCGTCGCTATCAAGTACATCGATCTTTAATTTTTTCTGGTGTTATTGAATTGCAAAGAAAAACAGAAAGAAGAAAAAAAATTTCTTTCTTTTTGTGATAGTTATAAAAAGTGATGAGGTGATGAAATTAGTATAGGCATACATATATCTGTATATGAGAGTATTGAGTCAATACTGTTTATAAGTTATTTAAATAATTGAATGGATTTGATAATACAATAAGAGATTTGTGTACAATGCCCCATCTGTCAATGGCCCAATGGGCTAGAAGGTTAGAACTGGTTTCAGGTTCAGATTTTCAACATCTTTTAGAGCAAATTAAATTACCAGTTTATGTTGATGAATCTATCTTAAAGAGTGAGTTAAGTCTTTTAGTGACAAAGATTGTGAAATTACTGAAATCCAGCAACTCTCCTAATCAATATTACTCGATCTGGAAAGGTTGTCATACAGCTGTCATTATTTGTTCCTTCAATCCATTAGTCTTAATGGCACACGGTGGTCAATTATTAACTGGCATCTTTGATAAATTAGAACATTTCACAAATTATTTTGAGAGTTATATGGCTACATTAGAATTTGAAACTTTGTTATCAACATTAGTTTCATCATTAACTCTTTTAATAGATTTGATGAGAAAGAATCCAACTTTATCTCGTGAACATTTAATTCCTAAATTAAAAGCCGTTATTCCAACATTAATTAAATTAAGTGAGTATAGACCGTTATTAACTCTTCCGGTATTATCTAAAATATTGTACAAGCATTCTACTACTTTTAGGCCATTTACAAACAAATATCGTACTATTTTACAATCGATTTTATTATCTGAAGATAAGCTGAATCAGATGGACGATCATTTGAAAAAGTTGGTGTGTAGAAATTATGCATACTTATATCTAGTTAAGATTAATAATGTAGCTAGTAATAATGTCAATTCCAATAATTATTCTACATCGTCATTTCCTGATGAAAATTGGAGACTCGGTCTATTTAGTGTATTAAGACAATATCATCCAATTTTTAAATTATTTGATGAAATCTTGGATATCGATCAAGATGAACAGCTGAAGAAAGTAATTGATACCTTGCCAACAGTTAAATTAGATGACACTAGTATTGATACGACTCAATTTTTCTACGGTGAGGCGCTAAAACTAGATTTAAATAAACCATTATCTTTATTGAAAATTGTTGATCGTATTCATTTACTAAACGAATTATTATTTTCATTTATTACGTCACCAACCCCATTTGCAGTTAGAATTCCATTAAAGGTAATTAATAATATTGCAGAAATTTTGATAAATTTGAATACCAAGTATCTTTCTATTAAACGTGAATTGCGCCATGATCAGGATTTGTGTACAGTAATTGAGGATATTTTAATAAAATTGCAATCTGAAGGCATTAGAATTTGCTTGACATTAATGAAAACATATGGCAAACAATGTTTAATCTATATTCCAAATGTTGTTAATTCATTGAATCTGTTTATCCCGTTATTACCAAAGAGTGATGGTATCATTAATTATTCACTTTGTGATCAGTTATCAGGAGTTTTCAATGATATGTTTGAATTAATCAATCTATGTTTGCCACATTTAGGTCATCAATTAACAACCGAATTAGATACTTTGAGTAAATTAATTGATGTTGCAATGCATCTTGTTGATGAGAAATCTTTATTGGAACCATTCTTTGAGACACAGAGGAGACAAAGAATTGAAAAAATTGGAAGCAAACCTGTTCAAAAGAATAAGAAAAAAAACAAGAATGACACCAGTGGTACTTTATCGGATTTATATACCCATTCAAGTAATTTTGATGTTAAAATGAGTCTAGAACAGTATGACACAATCAACAAATTTTTGTATAATATTATTAATAATTGGAAACTGTCATCACAGCTACAAGTTAGGATTACAAAATATGTTATAAACAAATCGGTCTATTTTAAACAGATATTTAAGATGATCCCTAGATCCTTTGTTAAATTGCTAAGAGTTATTGTGATAAATCCAGGGTTTGAGAGAGTGTCTATTTTACCAATAGCTGTAAGTTTATTGAGTGAACAATCTGATGATGTCTTTGATGTCTTGTGTCACCCAAGATTACCTTTGGGTAGCATATATAATATGAATTTTTTCAACAACAAACATGATTTAATTGAGGGAAAAAATAATGTATCGATAGATGAATTTGAAATAGTCGAGGAAACAAAAGAACACCAAAATTTGGAAGAAGGGCAAACTTTAGAAAATGTGAAAGATACTTTTATTGAAAATATTTCCAAGACTTCAAAGGAAGTCGTTTCAAACGACTCTATTGATGAAAGTATGATATTGAAAAGGAATAGGAATGGTGGAGATGAGTCTTCTGCAGATATGAGCAGTAAACGTGTCAAGATTGATGATATAGTGAAATCAGTTGAATTTAATAAGAATCAACCAATTACTTCTCTTTTGTTAGAGAATGAGAAGCAAGCCGGAAAACAAGATGAAAATAAAAGAGACGAAACAACTACAAAAAATTCTGGTAAGGATATAGATGATAAGGAAAATTCTGGTGATGAGGATGAAGATGAAGATGAAGATGAATTTGTTATCCCTGAGATAGAATTGAGTGATGATGAGGAGGAAGAGTAGGAGGTTAGATAAAACTAAAAGTAAAAGTAAAAGTAAAAACAAGGACCGTTGATTTTTTAAAAAAGAAAAAAAAAAGAAATATGTATGTATGTATGTGTATATTTAATACGAGCAGAGACGAAGAAAGAGAATATTATATGATTGGATAGATTAAATTAACTCAGTGATTTCATTAACAAAATTTTGCCTAGCATCTTCACATAAAGGTTTATTCGCACTTAGATAGCTTCTAAATAGAATTTTTCCAATCAGTGGTTCATTAACTTGACCCATGACGAAAAATTTATTCTTTTTAACGTTGTAATAATAGAATTGTAAAACATTATCCTTCTTTAATTCCATAATCAAATCGTCATTTACTACCAAAGATCCCTTTTGTGTAAATGCTTTTCTAACTTCATCTACACCAGCATTGATTAAATCACGAGCACCTGGGTATTTGCTTGGGTTAGTATACTCTGGAGAAGATTTTAAGCACTTCACGATCCCACCTTCTCTAACAAAAGTCAAATTAGATCTAATGATAGGGGTCATTTCAATTAAGAATCTCACCCCAGCGTCCAACAAAGAATTAATAATGATTTCGGATTTAACTGGATCGTTTAACGCTAACTTAATCTTTTGTTTGTGGGATAAGTTTTTAAATTCAGGATCATCGATAAAAGTTGTTGACAAATAGGTTGTGTCAAGGACTTTTGAGACTAAAGGCAAGTCATCGTCTGCTATATAGATACCCATGCCATAGACTTTATAGGAGGAGATCGAAAGGGTTCTTACACCAGAGCCCAATAGTGTATAGTTATGTTGGAAGGGGATATCCTTTGTATTTAAGTGGGTTGCGTATGGTTTTAAATCCTCATGAACAGAGATGAAATCACAATCACGAGGACATTTACCTGTATACCATCTATAACATATACCTAAAGCAGCTAAAGATGCTAAACCGATGAAAAACTTTTTTTTACGGTTTGATGAAGAACCTGAAGATGGAGATGAAGAAGGAGAAGGAGAAGGAGAAGAAGTATTATGCAATACAGGTTTTGTCGAGAAATTTAATCTGGTAATGACTTTAAAGGTATTATTATTAGTACTGTTAAGGCTTTTTCTCAATAAAGTAGTATTGAATTGACGTAAAACAGATAGTCTAGTAGCTATCATAACGTTATCGGATGGTGTTTTTAAGGTGGGTTAGCTAAATGTATGGTTATATGATACTATTAACGCGATAGATAATAACATGTTTTCAATTGAATGTACAGTAAGGAACCCCCTTGAATACTAGAATATATATATATGTACGTGTGTGTGTGTATATATATATTATTCCATAATCCCTATAAATTTTGATAAAAAATGGAGTTTTAAAAAAAAAATGATAATAATGATAATAATGGAAACCAGATGAGATCATCAAAGAATTAATAAGCAGATTTTGTGAGGGAAAAAGAAAAAAAGAAAAAAAATCTCGTTTAGAAAACTGTGTAGAAATGGAAATATACGGAAATATACGGAAATATACGGAAATATACGGATACAGGGAAACAGGCACGGGCATGGGTAAAATGAGCAATATTTCCGTGGCTCCGTGAGAAATAGGGACTCTGAGAAAGGAAATAAGACGGAGAAACAAAAGCGGTTGTCATATCAACACTTGGCCCACGTGATTATTACTTTTTGACTACTTCCAAACACACACAAAGTTGATTACTCGAAAAATAGTAGTTATAACAATAAACCAGAAAAGAATCTATGTTCTTTTGTTTCTAATTTAATGATAGTAATCTTATTCTAAATGTTCAAATAGGTTTTATAATGTAATTGAGACGTATGAAGGAAAAAAAAGGGGGTGGGTATGTATATATTCAGTTATATTCTATTGTGGAGGTATATACATCTGGCTTATATAGCCTTTGTCCATTTACAAGGTAATCATTTCTTGAATATCGGTTTTCATTAGTTATATTGTTATTATTTGCAATGAATTTAGATCAAATGTCAATTTAGTATTTTTTTTTTATAGCAAATATAAAATATATATTATTGACAACTCTTGAATCAGATTTTATTATCGTAAGAAAAACAACAAACTTTGTTTCAATCGATTGTAGAATTGTATTGTGCAATATATGAATGTTAAACTGGGACATTCATGAAAATATTTGAAACTCAGAAATATGTAATCTATAAGTAATATTTACTATAAATATATTTTAATAATGTATCAGATTGATCTTACTGGCAAATTATTGAAAGAGGGTGCTAATTGTAGTTATTAGTATTAATATTGTTACCATATATATTGGGTTCTATATATGAAATTAACCAATGGAAAAAAAAACATATCATGGACAAGAATAATCCTGTGTATATATTATTCATTTCTTGGTTAGAATTAACGAGTTTATAATTTATAACTAATTATTTATAATTAATATTATTTTTGTATAATGTTTGGAATAATTTCTTGCGATACCATTAAAATTCCGAACAAAACATTTATTTTGCAGAAAATTTTGATTTTTTTTTTTTTTTTGGCATACCTGACTATGCAAAAACAAATAAATAAATAAGTAAAGAAACAAGTAAATATAGAAATTCTAAGACACCTTCCAGTACTATTTATATACCATTAAAGTATTTCTATTTTTATACAAATTATTTCACATTATATATATTTATGTAGTTTTTCCTAAATTAAAACTTTCCAACTACAAGAAAAAGATGCCTTATTTCTTTAGACTTTTTGCATAACGTTAATAATAAACAATATCCCAAAGAATAGAACAATTACCTAAGAGAAGGTAAAAAAAATCAAAACTAGAACTAAAACCAAAGAAGTAGGTCTTTAATCTTTCTCAAAAAACTCCAAGCATAAATATCAAGAAAACAAAACAAATTTTGTATATATATTGACATGGCCTGATTGCTTTTTTCATAGTCACAATATGATCTCCTTTAAAATAAATCATTTTCTAATAATTCCCTCAATTACCAAACTTTAACACCCACGCTGTTGTTATCTTTATTATCATGGATTATACATCATCACCTTTTTCTCTTTTTAAGAGAATTCCCAATGATTCATCATTTAAATCACCATCTTGTTTACTCTGCTCATATTCCAATAGCATACCTCTTTTAACGGTCTCCAACCTAGCTATATGTTCATTCATCATGGTCTTAACTTGTTCGTGTAATTGTTTATGTCGAAGATCCAAGAGTTCTTTAACATGTCTTTTTAATTCTTCTCCATCTACATTTGTCATATGATGAGTTGGATCTTGATCCGGGTTGTTTTGCTGTTTGTCTTTATTTATATTGGATACAATCTTATTTGCATCCATAAATACTTTCTACACACTGTTAATTTCTTCTAGATATAGCACTCAACTGTTTAACAATCACTCTCCCTCTTTATCATCCTACAACACCATTATCAACTGGTTATATATATATATTATTCTTTGAAGTGGAAGAAAATAAAAATAATAATAACAGTAAATTCAAAAAAAAAATTAAGAAAAAAAAAAACAAAGCAGAGAAAAAACGTAGGTGGTGGTTATTTTAACACTATTGCCAAATCAAATATAAATAGATGGAGACTCTGTACCAATAGCATAATTAAACTACAATAGATTAAACTGCCAATACGCAAAACAGGTAGGGAATAACATAGACATACACACATATAAACAAATATATATTTATATCTATATATATATATACATTTATTTTATATTTAAAAAATAATGTTGGAAGCTACAGTACTTTGCGTTGATAACTCACAGTATTCACGTAATGGTGATTTCCCACGTACAAGATTTGAAGCACAAATTGATGCCATTGAATATATCTTTCAAGCTAAAAGAAACAGTAACTTAGAAAATACATTAGCATTAATTTCTTCTGCTGGCACCTCAACCCCACAAGTGCTATCTACATTCACATCACAATTTGGTAAATTATTATCAGGTTTAAATGAGACCATGATTAGTGGGGAACATATACATTTCGTCAATACCATAGAGATGGCAGTTTTGACCTTAAAACATAGACAAAACAAGCTACAGCATCAGCGTATTATCATGTTCGTGTGTTCACCCTTGCAATTATCAGCTGAAAAGGATTCCTTGAGCAATGTGGCAAATCTATTAAAGGAAAAGAAAATAGCTTTGGATATTATTAATTTTGGTGAGATCGATGACAATACAACCATCTTAACGGAATTTATCGATAATTTAAATAGAAACAACACCGCTGGCGATGATTCCAAGAGTCATTTATTGACTGTTAGACCTGGTCCAAGATTATTATACGAACATATCGCTACTTCTCCAATTATATTGGAAGAAAATGGTTCTATGATGGATGGTTCAGTTGATGCAATGATAGATGGTGGTGTTGGTGTTAGTAATGGTGGTTTTATGGACTTTGGTGTTGACCCTGAGTTAGATCCTGAATTAGCAATGGCTTTAAGATTATCTATGGAAGAAGAACAGCAGAGGCAAGAAAGATTAAGGCAACAGGAGCAACAACAACAGCAGGAGCAAGAACAATCTAATAATAATAATAATAATAATAATAATAACAATAATAATGATAATAGCAACAATAGTAACGAACATGATGAAAATTCTGCAAATACTGAATCAAACTCACAATAAAGTGTTCATATATTAAAACGAACCAACAAACACACCAACCTTTACGCTCACAATATGTAATGGAGACAAATCTACAGTTAATAAATAAGTTTATATATTTGTAGATATACATATATAAATATATATTTAATATATTTATTTATACTGTGATCTTTTTTTTTTTTTACTTATTTACTACTGTTCAATAACCACGCAATTTGCTTATAATCTTTGTGCAGCCTTGATAACATCACCTAAGACACCAGCAGCAGTAACGGCTGCACCAGCACCAGCACCTTGAATAACGACTGGATTGGTGTAACGTTTAGTCTTAATAGAAATGACATTATCAGAACCGCTTAAAGAGGCGAAAGGATGAGAGTAATCATATTTAGCGATACCGACAGAAGCTTCTTTAGTCTTTAGATCAACCTTACCGATGAATCTAAGAACTTTACTTTCCTTAGCGGCTTCTTCCTTCAATTGGGACAATTCATTATCGTATTCTGGTAATTTAGTCAAAAACTCATCCACACTTTCGACAGATTCCAATGGTTTTGGAATTAAAGATTGAACAGGGAAAGCTTGTGGGTTTTCCACAGGAAGACCGGAGATACGAGCCACAATAGTGACTTTTCTTGCCACATCCAAACCATTCAAATCATCTCTTGGATCTGGTTCAGTGTAACCCAATTGTTTAGCTGTTTTAACAACTTCTGAGAATTTGATGTCGTTTGGTTTTGCTGTGGAGAACTCGTTAAAGATATAGGATAGTGTTCCGGAGAAAATACCTTCAATCTTTTCAATTTCATCACCAGTTTGAATAATTTCTCTTAGAAAAGAAATGATTGGCAAACCTGCACCGACGGTGGCTTCATGGTAAACCAAACCGTCTGTTGGATTACCTGCGAATAGTTGATTCCAAATGGCGATATCAGAAGAGAAAGCTTTTTTATTTGGAGTAGCAATAGAGATACCGGATTGAATAATCTCTGGATAGAAACCAGCAATATAAGCGCTCGAGGTGTTATCAACTAAAATAGGTGGATATGGAGAACCCTTTAAGAAGTCGATGATTTCGGGGATAGACAATTGTTTTTCGTTTGGTTCGGCCAATTGTTTCCTCCAGTCATTGAATTGGATACCAGTGTAGTCACGAGAGATTAAACAACCAGCAGCTTCAGCGATAAGGACTACATTATACTGAATCTCGCTCTTCATAGCAATAATTTGATCCAAAAAAGCACCACCCACAACACCAGCACCGATAACAGCCACACTGACAGTCTTTTGAGCACACATTGTTATTAAAATTTAGTATTTTTTTTTTTATATTTTTTTGTGTATCTTTTTTAATTCACCCTTTATACCACTAAAACAGTATACTCGTTAGCTACTTAAAGAATGAAAACAAGTTTTAACTAGGAGAGATGAAGGTATGATATTAAATACAATCATCTAAAGCTAAAACCAATACAATACAAAAAAAGACTATAAAAGGACTTATAAGGCATGTTACCAAAGAATAAAGAAGAATTTAACCACATAAAGGAGAACCACTAGATGAAGAGAGAGGGAGAGTAACAGCCACAGAGATAATTGCCATAAAATTATATAAAATCACCAAAATACAAAAATAAAAAAGTAAAATAAAAGAGAGAGGGGGACGTTTGAATTTTTGAATATTTGCTCTTCTACTTTTATTCTTTTGATCCCACTGCAAATTGAAAATTGAAAATTCAAAGTGAATCACTTTGCACGTGATCTATGAATCCACTGGTTTTTTCTTCTTTTCTTTTCTTTTCTTCCTTTTTCTTTTTCTTTCTTTACAGAGAAAAAAATAAAAGAAGAGATGAGACGAAATCACATGACTATGAATGCTAATTCAATATGTGTACAATAAACACAAATATACAAACACATAAACATACATATATAAATGTATATGTATGATGAAGTATATTGAGGATCAACACACTACGATTATCTATAAATGTCCAAGAATTTGTTTCATAATTGGCACTGCTTGCTTTCTACTGGCTTCAACATTCAATTGTCTAAATTCCCAAAAACATGATTGGGAAAGTGAGCCTTCCGTTCTATCCAAAGATTGACTATCATCATTATCATCATTATTATCATTATTACTATTCTTTTGCCATGGTTCTAATTTTAATAATGGTATCATCCCTTTTATCATTGATGAGACAATCTCTTTCTTCTCACTTGAGCAAACTAATCCCATCTCTCTTGTGAACATATCTTGAGTTTTGTCATTATATGACGACATAATTACAAGTAAATCTAATTGGTTGCCTTCTCTAAATAAATCACATTCTTTACGAAACTGGTTTATCCCATCATATTGTTTATATAACCATTTTAATGATTTCACCATCGAACCAATCCCAACAATCATTCTATCGCCATTTGTTCCACTTAAATCGAATACAAACTGTTTATAATCCTTCCTAATAACATCTCTGACTGATAAACCTTTGATATCCTTCTTAGCCTTCTTTAATGTCTTAAAAAAACCGTCATCCCCAGTTGACTTAAAATCAATCCTATTAAACATTGTTGTACTAGTTTCAAAACCACCTGAGATCTCGTAATAATGGTTTAATGCACTGCGATCTGGAGCTTCTACTTTATGCCTGAAATTTGCAGTGTCTAATAACAATGCACCATACATAAATTTTATCATATCAACCATAGATGATTTATCTTCAATTAAATTATACCAATAATTCATCACCAATGATGTACAACTACCTGTGACCTTAATAATACGTGGATCAGCCTTCATATACAGCGTTGCATCCACATGATGATCCACAACACCAGTAACATTATCAACTAGTTCAAGTGACTTGTTGACAAGCTCATTATGGTCAACTAAAACAGCATTGATGGTTAACTGTTTATCTGACTTCCAAGTAATCAAATCATCTTGGAAATACAATAAATCTTCAGATATGCAATATTCTTTGTTTAACATCAAAACAATATCTTTTCTTAATTTCAAATCTTCGCGAGGGATATTAATGACAGGCAATAATGGGTTACACTTTTTATTTTTTGTGCTTGTCCCCTCATATAATTGTTCTTGCTGCTGCTGTTTGTATAAGTAATCGAAATATGCATATGATAAAGCACTAGATACAGAATCAAAATCTGCTGACTCATTCCCACACACTATATTCAATTGCTTTAAGTGAGGTTCAACATACGATTGGATTGGACGAGACTTCAATGATTCCAAAAACCCACGTAATGTTAGAACAGACATACTGAATTTCAATTATATCACTATCCTTCTACCTTTGCCACTTAATCAATTATTTTTTAATTAACTAATTTATTATTGGTGAAATATGGATACACTATGTTTTATTTATCTATTGAAGGATAAGAAAAAAAGTAACATTTTAACTTTTTTTTTCTTAACTCTATTTTGCTTATATTATTATAAACATCGATTAGTCAACATAAATAGGCAGGACAAATTACTCTCAAAAGTATAGTATACTATAGATACTCTAAAAGAACTTGTGTTAAGTATTCCTCTGGTTTGTCAAATCTGTGCCAAATAACACTCTGTATTTTCCTTCTCCTTTTCTTCCTTTATTAATTATAATCGCGTTGAAAATATTTAAAAACTAAACATTACAATAACTTATCTTGTAGCAGGCTCACTTCCCTTCTCTTATTAAACCATGATTATATATTTGAAACTACATATACTAAAATCTATATAACTTCATACAGTTAATCAATTTATTTCCATCAATATAGTACATACAATGGTGTAAACTCTTTCTACTCCCCCAATGAAAAGAACGATAAAGTTGAGGAAAACCAGATCAAATAAACCTTAAATATGTACAACACCAGATATATGCAATGCATATGATTACATAAAACGATATTCAAACCCAATAATATTTACATATCTTAATTATACCTTATGCCTATATAGCAGAATAAATTCTTCTTCTAATCACTAAGAATGTTTACCACCATATAAAACCTTCCTAAGCTTAATTTTATTTTTTGCTTCTAAAAATTCCTTCATAGTAGTTGTGCCATTTTTCATTAAATTTCATAAAACAGAGAGATGACAATATTTTGATTCGCTAGCAAAAGGATAAGAAGTATTTGTTTATTTGTGTATTCATAGAGACACAAATCTACACTTACACGCAATTGTATAACCACATCATTAAATATACACTAAAGGTAAACTATATCGACAGAAGAACAGGTGAGTAGTAGAATTGATTTCATATAGACTGTCTAACAGTGGAAACAAGAAAGACTCCTCTTTTAATATTATCTTTATTCAATTAATAAACACTTCCATCCTACCTATTTGCATTCATTCATTCATTCATACATATATATACTATAAGGAAAATGAACAGAACAAAGTACATATGGTCTACTGTAAGATATTATAAACCCACGAAACCTGTTATGGAAATGACTACTAAAAAACCATTAGTTTCATCTACTACAGGATCGTCAAATAAGGCTACAACTATTAAATCTGGGCCTCTTAATAATACTTTCAAAGGTTATTCTACCACTTTATCACAAAAACTGAACTCTGTTCCAAAAACAAATAATAAAATATTGGAGACTACAACTCAAACTGGACCCAATGAAAACGCTATTACCGATGTAAAAGACGCTGTAAATCATGGTAAGTTTTTGAATGAAATAAATTGGTATACATCTTGGTATGGATTGGGGTCACATCCCTTTGATAAAAAAATACAAGATATTCTTGCACAAGTGATTGAACCTAAAGATATTGAAATTAAACCGGATGGATTGATATATCTTCCTGAGATTAAGTATCGTAGAATCCTAAACAGGGCATTTGGTGCTGGTGGATGGGGTCTTGTACCAAGATCTGAAACTATAGTGACGCCAAATTTGGTAACTAGGGAATATGGACTGATTTGTCATGGACAGTTAGTCAGTGTGGCTAGAGGTGAACAAGATTATTTCAATGAAACTGCGATTCCCACTGCCACGGAAGGTTGTAAAAGTAATGCACTTATGAGATGTTGTAAAGATTTAGGGATTGGTTCTGAGTTATGGGATCCAGTTTTCATTAAATCATTTAAAGAACAATATTGTGTAGAAAAATTTGTTGAACATATAACGACAAAAAAGAAAAAGAAAATTTGGTTAAGAAAAGATAGAAAAGTAGAATACCCTTACAAATAAGTATCAACCTTTGATTATAATTTTTCAACTCATTATCAATCTTTTCCTCCTTCTCTTTTCCTTTCTGTTTTTGTTTCATGCCTTCTTCTTTATTTTTTATTTTTATATATGGTCCACTTTCCATAAGATTCCTACTTTTTCAACCTTTCTACATAAACATGGATACTAGATATACATAAGCGTATATAATATGTACATACAAACTTCTTTTCTTTGCCAATCGTAATATTACAAATTCAAAACCTACTTACTTCCCTTTCTGTAATTTCTTTCTCTTTTTTTTTATCTATTCTCATGTTTTTCTTTTTTAATGTCACAAAAGGTTTTGCTACTTGAATGGAATTGTCCCTGCATTTTGTGTCATTTTAGATAACAATTATTTATTACTAAACCCACATTACCATTATAAATATATATGTATATGTTCCACTCAAATGAGTTTGTCCTTGTTTAAACTGTAAAAAAGGCTAAGCAAGAAATTATTCAAAATATGATATTATCCAAAATTGGATTCATTGTTGTATTTACTTTTTTTTTAACTATTTTTGGCAGTCCTATTGATAAAAAAGAAATCCAAACAAATTTTGACCTTTCAGATGATACGCATGATGATACTGATTTCAACTTAAAAGATGGACTTGAAGATTTACGGAGTTTAAGATTAGGACAAATCAATTTTTTACATACTACGGATACTCATGGATGGTTGGGTTCACATCCAAATCAAATAAATTATAATGCTAATTGGGGTCATTTTATCTCTTTTATCGAATTGTTCAAAAGATATCGTATTGATAAAGAGAAACAGGATATATTAATTATTGATACTGGCGATAAACATGATGGTAGTGGGCTTAGTGATGCAACTGCACCTAATGGAATAGCGAGCACTAAAATTTTTAATGAAATGGACTATGACTTATTGACTTTAGGAAATCATGAATTATATAATAAAGAAAGAGTTGTCTTAGAATACTATACTACTGCTTTATCTTCTAAATTCAAGGATAAATATGTAGCCAGTAATGTTGATTTTATTTTGAAAAATGAAACACTAGTACCCTTTGGAAATAAATACGTTTATATGGAGACCCCTGTAAATCATTTAAGAATTATAGCTCTGTCTTTTATCTTTAATTTTCAGAATAATAATCCAAGGGCCAAAGTAACTCCAGTATTGCAATCTTTACAATCTGGGTGGTTTCAAAATATTCTTACCCAATATCCAGAGTGTAAATTAGACATGATTGTTATATTTGGCCATATTCCTGCTAGAGATAAGGAAAATCATGAACTTAAAGATTTACATGACTTCCTTAGACAGTACTATCCAAATATTGTAATTCAATATTTTAGTGGCCATACTCATATTCGTGATTTTGTTGAATTCGATTCCAAAAGCACGTGCTTGCAAAGTGGAAGATTTTCAGAAACTGTAGGCTTCTTATCTATAGATAATGTGACTGATAATCAACCAAATTTTTCCAGAAGTTACATTGATTTTAACAAACAATCTTTCAAATTCCACAGTAATAGTTCTCATTTATATACAAAGAGAGGTTCCAATGTCATTCAAGAGATAAATCTATTGAAAAAAAGCTTACAATTAGACGAACAATTTGGTATGGTTCCTCAAAATTACTATATGATGACACGACCTATTGAATCTGAAGAAAATATTTATCATCTAATAAAACATAAAGTGTTACCAAAATTGAAATCCACCTCAGTTCCTGCTGATGAATTATCGTTTAATAGAATAGTTATGTTAAACACTGGTGCTATAAGATTTGACCTTTATAAAGGTCCCTTTACAAGAGATACAGAATTCAGTATTTTACCCTTTGACAATAATTGGAATTATTTGAAGTTGGAGAAATGGGTAGCTATCCAAATTGAAGATTTCTTAAATCACCGACCTGTTATTTCCATGCTAAATTCTCCGGAACAACACTTTTTACATGATATAGTATCTGATACGGAAGCTTATATCCAAAGTGACAGATACAACCCAAATAAACTTCAACATTGTCCTTTCATCAATAATCCTAAACTAAGTGAAGGTTACACAACTAATGATGATTATGGTTGTGATGGGGATGACACACCTCACAGTTCTCAAAGGATATATCCTATGCCAAATGTGATTCAATCAAATACTTTCTCACCAGAAAAAGGAGAGAATAATAGAAATGAAATTATTGATTTTATATTTTTCAGCTATTTGAAGAAAGATATTTTGCATGCACTACGCTATATTGATCCATCAAAGAGTTACGATGAAAGTGAAGTCAGGGATTATGGAGGTAAACCTCTTAAACAATTACTCCGTGATTACATTGTTGAAACTAACACCTGAGACACCTTTAAGAAGAATGGAAGGAATTCCTTTTCTGATATGTGATTATATTCTTTTTAAGTATTCAAATTTATGACTTACCTGATAAAATTAGACATGTATGTAACATAGCTTTTTTTTTTATAGAAAATTGCTTTTGCCAATACACTCAACCTCGAAAAAACAAGATCTCACTTTAATATATAGATGTAAATATATACACAATCAAATCCGTAATGCTAAAGTATTCTACTTAAATTTTATATGATTGTTGTTATAATTAAAATGTGAAGTCTGCCATAATATATTCAAATTTTTTTTAACAAAGATTATTAATATATAATATTAATTAATTTACAAACCTTGTTGAGCTCTTCTTCTGTCACGTTCTTCAGCAATGGTCAACTTGATACCCTTACCCTTTGGTAAAGAGATGTATGGCTTACCTTGTTCACCAATGATGAAAACGTTGTTCAATCTGGTAACGAAGGTGTTGTCTAAGGAGTCCTTGATGTGGACCAAATCGAAACCACCATCGTGTCTTTCCTTGTGGACAATTGTACCAACACGACCCAAGTTACGACCACCAGTAACGTAAACTAATTTACCGGTGTCGAACTTGATGAAATCAGTGATCTTACCAGTAGCTAAGTCAATTTTAACAGTGTCGTTAACCTTGATGTTTGGATCCGGGTATCTGATGGTTCTACCGTCATGAGTAACAACGTATGGAATACCCTTCTTACCCAATTGGACTCTCTTGACCTTACCTAACTTGTAAGTAGCTTCTTCGTCAGTGATTCTGTGGACAGCGAATCTACCCTTAACGTCGTAAACTAATCTGAAGTTTTCGTTAGTGGCTTCTAAAGTGATGACATCCATAAAACCGGCTGGGAAAGTGGTGTCAGTTCTGACCTTACCATCGACCTTAACGTGACGTTGCATTAAAATAGCTTTAACTTCACGACCGTTTAAGGCATACTTTAATCTGTTTCTTAAGAAAACAATTAATGGTAAAGATTCACGCAATTTGTGTGGACCAGCAGATGGTCTTGGAGCGTAACAACCGGATAATTTGTCTAATAACCAGTGATGTGGAGCTGCTAATCTCTTAAGATGCTTCTTTCTGTAACAAAAATATAAAAATAAAAGGGCATGCCAACATAAAAAAGATCATGGTCAGCAAATATCAATTTGTTAGTAAAAATTTCTGTTATTATTTAACTTTAAAAAATACTATTTTGTTTTCTGAGAAAGGGATTGGAAGAAATTTAGTTTATCGGGCTAAATGTTACCATTACCAATTATCCTGACTTACTAATCATTCATTTTTTAACCACTATTAACCTTGGCAATGATTCTCATTCCTTAACAACGTATAACTTCTACTATACAAATTTACTTGATTATAAAACTTATTAAATTACCTTTTCTCACATTATTAATCACATTCTTTATTCAAATATCCCACATATTGCACAAAAGAAGTCCAAAGATATTCCATGTCTCATTGATTCTATCCTAAAAATCCAAATTCAACATACGGTCCTCTAGCCATCTTTTCTTAATCGGTTTGATATCAACGGTATGTTTATAAGGGGGCTGACGAAAGTAGGGAGTTACTGTAACAGCCATATATATAATTTCAGGTATCATTGCCTTTCAAATATCACCTATCTTTTACGTATATGCAAGGTATTACTGATAAGATGAGAGATACCTATTCCAGAGGTTTGTTCTGACTTAGAGAGTACAACAGTAACAACTGGTAGGAGGAATCTCTGTTCACACAGGATGTTTACTGTTTACACATTTGGGAGCATCTTCTTCCTAACAGTTGGTGATCTGACCAAATTTTCATGAACTAAAGGATAGACTAAGTAATTTTGCATCTGGAGACTAATTTTCCTTCGGAAGAGGACTGCTTCTATGTTAATGAAGACATGCCAATCGAAAACAGGAACTTTTTCTTAATACTTGGTTTCCTTTTTTTCCTAAAAGCAAACTCTTTTGAAAAAATCCAAAAAAAAAAAAATTTTTAAAAAAATTTCTTATCTTTAGATATATGTAATGTACGGATGTAATAAAAACAGTCATATAACTATATTAAAGCTATTTATACCTGTCAGATGGAAAACACAGGATGTTTTAGCAAAAAAACCTTTATAAAAATAACCGCCAATACTTTTCTCAGTTACAGAATTTGACTAGGAAGGATAAGAATATTCCACCATGAAAGGGGCTGACAATTTTAAAAAAGTTTAGCATCTCTGTAATAACAAAATGGTAGGTTTGGTAACGAATTTTTAGATTATAACCAGTTTGTATCAAGCTATTTTTAATAACACAGCCAAGTTCTGATTTATCCTACATTGAATAACCGTTTTCCTTATATTAATAAATCGTATGCCATTCATTTCTGTCACTTGGTAATAATTAACATATCGGTAAAATAAAAAAAAACAAATAAAACATCCTATATTAATAATATTTAAAATCTTTCCTTCACATCGTTTATATTTGCCATATATATGGATTTCAAGACTATCTCAATATTTACTTGTTTTCTCTCCTGAAAAAAAAAAAACAATTTTTCATTGAACAGAAATTAATAAAAAATCATCAGTGTGTCTTAACGAATGAAAACAAAAACGTATTACACTCAACCCATAACACAAATCAGCATATTTATCAACAGATCCTAAATCATATATTCTGTTTATGAATCCTAGTCTCACCCCGAATGGCATTTAAAGAATATTTAATTTTTCCCATTATCTTTCTACTTCTGTCTTATTTTAAGTTAGGATTATCCTTTGAACAGAATATATCACATCATGAAAATCCAAAATTGACAGATTTTTCTTACTCCTTTACTAATTCTGAAATACTAAAGAAACGTAATGAAGTAAAAGATTTGATCACTTTCGCATTGGATAGTTACTTGGATTACGGTTGGCCATTTGATGAAGTTAAACCCATCTCATGCATTCCAAATCAGAGAAATTGGGATGATTCTACAGATATCAATAAAAACGATGTTTTAGGGAATTTTACCATAACATTATTTGACTCCCTAACCACTCTGGCAGTTATTGGTGATGTAGATAGATTTAAATCAATGGTTCAATTAATTAATTCTATATACAGACCCCATGACTACTCTTTTGATAGTGATGTGACAATTCAGATTTTTGAAACTACAATACGGATAATTGGGTCTTTAATTTCTGCTCATCTGTATGCCAGTGATCCAAGAAAAAAAGTATATTTAGGAAGTGAATACTTGAATAATCCTTTCCTTTTAACTTTAGCAAGGAATATGGCAGATAAGCTATTACCAGCTTACTTAACAGAAACTGGACTACCGTATCCAAGAATCAATTTAAAAAATGGAATTAAAGGAATACCTGAGGAATATCTAGACGAAAATAATATTGCAGGAATGGCATCGCCAATGTTTGAATTTACTTTATTATCGTATCTTACCTATGATTCAAAATATGAATTAGTCACACGGTATGCATACACAAAACTTTGGGCCACGAGAACCAATTTAGATTTATTGATTTCCTCGATAAATCCTCAAGATGGACTTATTCGCAGTATGATAACAGGAATTGGTGCGTCAATTGATTCATTTTATGAATATGCTTTAAAGGGAAGCATCCTTTTTGACGATCCTGAATTATATCAAATATGGCAACAATCTTATAACGCACTAAAACTCTACTCACGCAATGATTGGTTCTATTCAAATATCATGGTTGATACAGGATTTCTAGCTAATGGTTGGATTGATTCCTTAAGTGCATTTTGGCCTGGTTTACTGGTATTAGATGGTGATATAGAAGATTCAGTACGAAAACATTTGTTATTTAATAAACTTTGGAATGTGTTTGGTGCTATCCCAGAAAGATGGGCTTTCAATCCTACTCCCGATCAAGTTATTAAACATGAAAAAAAGATACCATATAAGAGCTATGAAGAGTATGTATATGGATGGAAATCAATTATACCTTTAGAATGGTATCCGTTAAGACCAGAATTTGTTGAATCCACCTATTTTTTATATAAAGCTACAAAAGATCCATTTTACTTAAATATTGGTTATCAAATATTAGATGACCTACAAAATAAATTTAAAGCAAATTGTGGCTTTGCTGGTATTCAAAATATTGAAACTGGTGAGAAACAAGATAGAATGGAAACTTTTGTAATTAGTGAAACATTAAAATATTTGTATCTTTTATTTGATGAATCCAATGAAATTCATAGCAGTAGAGATAATGTCATTTTTAGCACCGAAGCACACCCTGTATGGTTGACAAAAAAAATGAAACAATTATATAATAAGAACAAATATTTTAATGACACTCTGTATATTAATCATTTGAGACACTGCCATGAATATGATAGACAAGTGAAAAATATTGACACTGGAAAATTTGAATTTCTGTATCTAAGATTTAAATCAGAAAAGTATATGAAATCAGATACTTTTTATATTCAAGGAACCTGTAAAAATATTGAAAAATACTGGCAGAACACTAAGAGATCGTTACCATATTCTTTTATCCTTAGTAGGACACCTGACCTTTTTGAAGTAGAAACTAGGTACAAGATTTCCTTCCCAAATTCATGGAATTATTCAAAATCAATCGAATTGAATCCATCATTTTATTATCAATGGTCTGATCCAATTTATAGCAAGTCAAGAAGAACCCCGACTACAGAAAGTTTTGAGATATTATTATCATTTGATAATAACTATACTCCACCCATAATTAACAAGAATCATTATAACAAAATTTTCAACTTTAGTTTTACCTCTGGTATAAAAAAGTTTAGACTGGAAAAAATAGTGCCTGGACAAATTGACACATATAATAATGTGTTAGATACAGATTTTATAACTAAGACAGACCATTTTAACGTACCTGATGAAAAATTCTGCGGCAAAAGAAGAAGTGGAGATAATGGGAAGAAATCTTTAAGTATGGTATACAGAGCTAGTGTTGTAGATGGACTAAGATTAGAAGAAAATGATATAATAATATTGAATGGTACTAAGATTAAATCACAGATTGATCAGCAGCGTTCCTCTTTCTCCTCCTTTTTTCAGAGAAGAAAATCTGAAATAGATCAATTTCAACTGGGCTATAATCGTGATAACCAATTGATTCTGGGTTGTGTTCCTGTAGTCAATGTTTATTTAATATAACACACAGAAAATTTATATGTCAAATGCCTTAAGGCTTGTAATTATAATTATCAAAATACTTCTATTGCATTAGTAAACATATTTATAGTTTAAATCCGAACAGATTTTAATCTATTCATTTATTTATTTATTATATCTGTTTTTTTGCTCATGATGTTTCTGTCTTGTTCGGTCCAAAGACAATAGATTACAGAAAAAAAAGAAAAGAAAAGTACTAAAAAAAAAAAAAGAAATTCCAAAGATAAAATGTTTATTTTTTCTTTTTGTCAATTTACACTGTGGAAAGGAAAAAAGAGAGACAGAGGGGAGGAAAGATATATAGAGTCAAAAGGATATTGCAATATACCAAAAGTTCTTAGGTGAACTCAAAGCATTCTCTGTGAACTCCAGTAATTCCCCACAAATTGTTTTCGAACGCTTTTTATTTTCGATAGACGGGGGAAAGAGAGTTATAGGCTTAATATTAAACTATATTTTTATATTCTATCAATCACAGAGTATTAGAATAATACTATCATATTTTTTCCAATTTAGTATAATTTCTGCTTAGTCATTCCAAACCTAAGCAGCCAGTCTCAATATTATATGGGAAAATAACATAAGCCAACAATAAAATAGAAAATTTAATCATCATTCTTGTGCGTTGGAATTAACATATCAGCTAGTTTGATATAGTTGATATTCAAAACTATTGATATATCATCCTGCTTCTTTTTTTTTACTAGCTTATTTGCTTTATCATCATTCAACCTCGTCTCGGTCTCTATAAATATATTTATCCATTATTTATTTAATAACTATCCATATTGTGTATCATTAATAAATATTCAAAAATTCAAGACAGTTAACAACATATACTGCATTGTGTGTTTTGAAGCTGCAATTTTTATTTTGATTTATCATTTCTTCTCAAATAAATAACATTTTTTTATTACTTATCTGCACTAAATAGTGAAAGTGCATACGATATTTATCATTAAATTACTCAACCTTTATTATTGATTGTCATTACCTTACAAAAAAAAAAAACAAAACAGCGAAAGATTTTATTCATATTTTATCAATTTATTGATCTGCTTATTTATTAATTTCACTTTAACTTCTCAATATTATAGACTTATTGATATTACCTTATATTCCTGCATCATTTAATATTTCACAGCCTTTATCTAATCCAATATCAATATGAACTTTTTTGGTGCTAGTAATAAACCACAACAACATGGAAACCCTACTTCATCTACTTCGAGTAGTAGTAGCGGATTTTATCCCAAATTTACCTCTCAACGTGCCATACCAACTATTGCCCTGAGTTCAAATTCTTATGCTATAGGTACAACCGGTATTAACACTGAACCTGTTATGTCACAAATGAATATACAAGAGACCATTCAGAATAATAATCACAATTCACAATTTATTCATGGTGACAGCACTTATGAGACAAATACTCAATCTAATTCAGGTAGCAATCACTTTAATCCAACAGATTCACCGAATGGAAGATACTCTGCCAAGCAATCTCTTGCTAACGCCACATACGGCTATCAACAAAATGATATGCCTACCACAACTCAAGAATCTCAATCTCATTTAAGTGTAACAAAACCTAACCCAATGACCACTGCTACTACTACTACAGGAGGTCCTTCTAGTGGTATCCCAAGAGGGAAGTTAGAAGTTACTATTGTTGAAGCCAAGAATTTATCTACAAGAAAATCTTACTCACAACCATACGTTGTTTGCACTTTCGAAAGTTCGGAATTTATATCAAATGGCCCCGAATCCATGGATAATAAACCATCGTTCAACTATCATCATCAATCTGGCAACCGCACTGGTCTACCAGTAATAAAAGAAAATTTAATTAAAAAACAACTTTACACACATAGCTCGTCTTCTCAATTGAATAAGTTAATGGATAATTCTGATATGATTACAACTCTTGGATCTGATGACAGTTCTGAGAATTGTTCTAATCCGATATGGCATCATACAACCACTTTTGACGTTCTTGGAGCTCATTCAGAACTAGATATATCTGTTTACGATGCTGCTCAGGATGATAAGTTCTTAGGTCAAGTCAGATTATATCCAAATATTCATTCTTCGCAAAACATTAAACATGAACAGTGGTATTCTTTACAAAGTCGTGTCCTTGATGAGGCTGTCAGTGGTGAAATTCTAGTTAAATGGCATTATAAAGCTACTAAAAAAAGGCATTATGGTCCACAAGATTTTGAAGTATTAAGACTATTAGGTAAGGGTACATTTGGTCAAGTTTATCAAGTCAGAAAGAAGGATACTAAAAGAGTTTATGCAATGAAAGTTTTATCTAAGAAACTTATTGTTAAGAAAAATGAAGTCGCCCACACAATAGGGGAGAGAAATATTCTTGTTAGTACTGCTACAAATTCATGTCCGTTTATTGTGTCGTTAAAATTTTCATTCCAAACACCAACTGATTTATATCTGGTCACTGATTTTATGAGTGGGGGTGAATTATTTTGGCATTTGCAAAAAGAGGGTAGATTTAGTGAAGATCGTGCAAAGTTCTATATTGCTGAATTGGTATTGGCATTAGAATATTTACATGATAATGATATTGTTTACAGAGATTTAAAACCAGAAAATATCATGTTGGATGCAAATGGTAATATTGCATTATGCGATTTTGGTCTTTCTAAAGCTGATTTAAAGGGTCGTACAAATACATTTTGTGGTACTACTGAATATTTAGCTCCAGAATTGTTATTGGATGAAACAGGATATACAAAAATGGTCGATTTTTGGTCGCTTGGTGTGTTAATTTTTGAAATGTGTTGTGGATGGTCCCCATTTTTTGCTGAAGATAACCAGAAAATGTATCAAAAGATTGCTTTTGGGAAGGTGAAATTTCCTAGAGATGTACTATCTCCGGAAGGTCGTTCATTTGTTAAAGGTCTTTTGAATAGAAATCCCAAACATAGATTGGGTGCTATTGATGATGGTAGAGAATTAAGGGCACATCCATTCTTTGCCGATATCGACTGGGAAGCATTACGACAAAAAAAGGTGCCCCCACCATTTAAGCCTCACTTGACTTCAGAAACAGATACATCAAATTTCGACCCAGAATTTACTCAAACATCAACATCTTTTATGAATAAACCACAAATAGCCGCCACCCCACTATCTCCAGGAGTACAGGCAAAATTTGCAGGTTTTACGTTTGTAGACGAATCAGCTATGGATGAACATTATAATAACACTTATAATAACAGAAAATTTTTGCAAAACTCATATTACATGGAACCTGGTTCATTTATTCCAGGTAATCCAAACCTTCCACCTGATGAAGATGTCATTGAGGATCAAGACGATGATATATACATGGGTTCATCAAAAGGTGTTCATAATGTTTCACATATGGATTTCGATGGTGATCAACATATGGATGATGAATTTGTGAGTGGAAGATTTGAAATCTAATTTACAGGTCGTTCTGTTACTTTAATTGTTTTAGGTAATAAGAAGCTTATTATTGAACTTATTATAGACATGTTGAGATGATAAATGAGATATCTATTGATGGTCTATATCCATCTTACTTTTCCATTTTCTTCTTTTTCTGATTCATTTTTCTCATTGTTAATGTTTCATAGATACATCTGTTACATCTATTATTTTTTAGTTTTGTAACATATAAATATACGTATATATTTGTACACACAATTTTACCATACAGTAATATGTGAATTAATATGACCCATAAATCGCATATATTTTATCTGGTAACATTCTATTCTCCTCTGAGTAAAAATTATTTGATGTGATAAATGAAGAGGATTGAATCATTTAAGAAGTATACTTCACTCTTTAGTATGTTTGCTCTCATTTTGCCGGGAACTACTATAGTTTGTTTTTAATAGGACACTGTAAACCAAGCAAAACTAGCATTTGATAATAGCATATGTTTTCTTCAAAAGAATGAAAAAAAAGTAACTAAGTATCGACACACATAGATATTGATATTTCTCAATCATGACATAAAAAAATTAATATGATGAATCAAAATTTTCCCACAGAATAGGTTCTCCTTTGTACGTAATACTGTGATTTCCTTTTTTTCTATATTCTCTACACTCGTGATAATTACCTTAATCAATTCACAATAAATCCAAAATGAAGTCATTAACATTTAACCAAGCATAAAAAATGTCACACATATATAAATATTTTTAAAAGATGCCAATTTTTACTTTTTTTTCTCTAAATTTATTTCCACTTATTCATTAAAGAAAGTTAACATATTAGTGAAGAAAAGAAATAATAGTGAGAAACTTTCAAAAGCACATTAAGTATAAAGATACTTAAAATATGAAAGTAAAATCATTGTGCATATATTGGTAGAAACTATAATATTCTTATTCAAGGAATAAATTATTAATTGATCTAAAGATCCTTTCCTGAGTTTAATAGTCAAACAGTCTATCTTAACAATATTATTTCCAGTAAAATAGTATTAGAGGTAAAATAATCGTATCTCTATATTGTATTATTTAATAGAACGATTAACTGTGTATTTTATAGGAATATCTAAATCATTTTAGCATAAGACATATTTTTTAACAAACGATAAAGAATATTATTTGAAAGGCAAGAATATTACCCATTATATGCTAGAATAATGAATTAAATTTACACATGCTATTTTTAAGATTACAAAGTATCAGAGTGAATCAAATCTCTTGTATTAGTGGATACATAAAAAGTACTAACATAATATGAACATTTTGTTGTCTATAAATGCAATCAGTGATACAATATAATGCCATGTGTGGTATATAAAAATGTCACAACAAAAGCCTCATTTTTTCTTCTTATCATAAATACTACAGATATATCTTCTCTATTACCAATCTAATGCTCACATTATGTAGCTTACAACTATATCACTAAGAAAAAAAGAAATAAAAATATGACCATTATTTTCACATATATCCACGTAATTCTTCTAAAATATTTACAGATGCAGCTAGTCTTTCACATGTTATCATCAATCTATTTTGTTTCAAACAAATTAAAAGAGAAACTTCCAATTTACTCAGTAATTTTTTCGATATTCCACAAACTTTGCAAAAATACTGATGTGAATGAACGAAGTCTTCTGTCAACTTTGCACCTACTCTAATTGTTGCAATTATCATTCTATGTATTTCGTCATGGTGTAATATGTGCGTACATCTTAGATTTTCCTCCGGTTGACTTCTTCTTAATAAAAGAATTTGAAACAAATATGTTGCAGTTTGATAGATAATCGATCCAAACACACATTTTGATTGGATTCTTTGTAACAAAGCATGATAGCTTATTGATGGCATATTTTTCATACAAAATATATGAAATTTATTTGTATCAATCATTTGATTGCCCAACATATTATTTCTATGTGACAACTCACTAATCAGGTGTATTGTTTCTTCAAAGTTGGCTATTGCTTGCTCTACTGAAATAGTCACATTTTCACCATTGATATTTTTTGGATCATAAAGTAATTTAATTGGAAAATTGTCATTATGTTCATTCATATTTTGTATATAATTTTCTTTTTTATTGAATATATAATTTTGAATAGAATTTCTACAACTCATCTCTGAAAGATCAAAAGAAGGAGTGGAAACGGATGATTGATTGCTTGATGTAGAATTCTCAGTATCCAAATACGTGTGCTCCATATTACTAATCTTATTGTCAATAGTAGCACTATATTCTTCAGATTGGCATGATTCTCCGTCATGTAATACATTATCTAATGTGGCATTTATGTTTTCGAAACTATGACTTCGAATTGTGTCTAATTCATCTTCACTTAAATCGAAATTTGATAAAGATTCAGTTCTATTTGTGCCAGCATCACTTAACATTTTATAAAGACTATTTCTTATACTTGGATTACTGTCTGAATTGAAGGTATTTAATCTATCTAAATTATCTCCAATAAAATCATTTACCTCAGATGCATTTTGTAAAAGATCCTCAATACCACGTTTACTTTTATACATATTATTATTATTTTTATCTGACTCAGTATCAAATCTGACTCTTTTATCATTATTTACAGAATCATTAATAGCCTTAATTTCGCTATTTGTGTTATTACTTTTACTATTAATATCATCGTTACTACTATTCTCTTGAAGAGTAGTGTTGGTTTCTGTTAATAATAAATCGGGAAAATTTGTATCATGATTAACCAAACTGACCTTGATAGGTAATTCAAAATCATTAATTTCACTTGTATCTTCATCTTCATCTAATTCAGATAAACTCCCAGTAAGGATAGTTTTGTATAACAAATTCTTTGATTGTTCGATCATTTTTTTCAAAAGTTTTTACAAAATTTATAAATTGAAGAGATAATGCAAATCTTTAAAGTCAAAAGGAAACTTTGATATGAGTGATATTTGATATTTGAATATTTACCCACAATATCCTAATAATTAAAATGAAAGATGTTATATTATAATGAAAGATACCTTCAAAATAAAAAAAAAAAACTAGAACTGTTTCAATATATTAACCTTATTATTTTACTGTATAAATACTTCTTTAAACAAAATTAAGCAAAATACCTTTATCCTTATCTTTTTAATATTTTTTATATTCTCGTCAACTCGGAATTTTTCTGTTGAAGCTATAAAGATTCAATTAAAATCAGAAAGCTATCTGTTTTCCTCGAGATGAGGTTTCTATAACCAATGTTTTATTATTATAACTTTCCAAAATATTTATTCTTGATACTTTAGCTGAATAATCCTAAATTTGCAATTGTATTAGCTAGTTTTTTTTTTTTGTTTAAAGCATTCTTTCTGAATTGTTCCTTCAATATTTTTTTTTGCATACTGGAGATTAAAGAATGAAAAAAATAATTGTTTAAAGTTAATCAAAAAGACTTAATATTAGGTAAGGAGTAGAGATAATTATTTTTTTAGAAAAAACATCAATATAACACAGGCCTAACTATTCATTTAATATACCTACAACATGTAAAAAGATCGTATAAGGGAACTTACAAGGAATAGATAAAAAGAGTTACAAACAAAGTGACCCAAAGTTTGCTAAATGCAATGTTTGTTAATGTCACCTAAAATCTGTTTGTTGTTTGACATCCAGTCAGCAGTATACAGCATAGAACGCTTCCACTTTGAATTAGACAATTCAAACGTATATTGATCAATTCAGACAAAATATACATATATGGCAATACCTAGATTAAAAATATTATAGAAAAACTAATTATAAATATATCTACATATTTCCAATACACTTAGTATAATCTGAAAGCTGGACCCATAGTAGACTTAATAACTAAGGAACCAACGTTTTGCCAGTGCTTCTTTAATAAAGAGACTAAGAAGTTAACAGCCATTAAAATTTGGTTAACTAAAACGGATTCTTCCATTTCAACGTTACCAACAGCGACAGCTAAACATAGGACCTTCTTCAATTGGAACTTGATGGTAGATCTGACATCAGTGACCTTACCAAGTAAATCATCATTGTGGGAAACTGGGGTTGGGAACTTACCGGCCTTAGATAATTGTGGACCTAAAAGTCTTGGAACTTGCTTAATTAAAACTTCAGAAGCAATGAAAGCACTGTACTTCTTGGATAATTTCTTAATTAACTTCTTATTCTTGTTCAACTTTTTCAAGTCATCAACAGACATGGCATCAACACCAATGGACTTAGCTCTGTCGACATCGAAAGCATCACCAAAGATACAGATAGACATGTTTGGTCTTGGACAGTTTGGTAACTTCAAAGAACCAGAGAAACGCTTGTCTCTTTGTGGGTCATAGTTCTTTAGACCAACTTGTAATTCGACAGTTTCCAAGAAGTTTCTCTTCTTAGTTTCAGTGGAATATTTCAATAATTCTCTGACGTGTTCTCTAACTTGAGAGGAAGAAATCTTAGACATCTTTATCTATGTATAATTTGGTTTGTTAGTCTTCCAAAAGATTTGGTATTCCTAGAGGCTTTCGACTTGAACGGTTCTTTTGAACTTGAAGAAAAGCCAAGATTGAAGTACGACAAAAAGAATGAGAGAACAAGAAGCTTCTACAAGAAGACTAAAGATTAGTCTTAATCTATCAAGCGAGTGAATGTAAAAATAATAGTTGTAAGCGTTGTTATCAGTGGATGAGTTTGCTAATATTAGTTTGAATTTTCTTTTTAGAAAAACGATTGCTGCGAAATTTCCACAATAATCAAGACTTTTAGAATTTCGTATTTTTTTTAGTTTTTCGATATTTTTATTTATTTTTTTGCTCTTGCTATTTCCACTTTTTCTAAGAACACGTGCTTTTGAAAAAGAAAAAATAAATATTTTCCTATTTAAGTATTACACAATACAATACTCAAGTATATATAGAATAAGTTAATGTTTGGTGTCCAGATGTTTTTGAACCGTCTCAAAGTTTGACTTTTAGAGCAACTTTTATAGGAGCTAAATCTATAAATTTTGTATTGTAAAGATACTTTCTTGCATTATTTATAATATTGAATGAATAATCTTGTATAGTAAGACTATTAGATATGATGTAATATATATATGTATGTATATGTATATGTTGTTCATTTAGAAAGTATAAATTGTGCAATGTATAATCTTTGTATTATAAAAGTTATTTTAAAAATCCCTATATGAAGTGAAATATCACCAGCGACTAAAATTTGCAATGTTTACAAAAAACGAAAGATATAGAGTGATAAGAAATTATTTCCTATAATATAGTAAAGATACAACTCTTTTGGTATTTGTTTTATAACGTTTATATTTTTATGTTTTATCGGCTAAATTGTCTATTATAAATAATTTTCATGTAATATATCTCTTGACCGCATAGCTTGAGGGTTATGATTAACACTATCTAAGCTGAAATCACGAGGTAGTTCATTGTTTGAACTTACCGAGAATTTATCTGTGGAATTAAATGGATTTGAAAGGGGTGCATGCAACATATTCTGTTCATCATCATCAAACGAATCTATTAATCCATTATTAGACATTGAATGCATCCTTGTGTGATTATTGGCTCCAGGGTAAACCTTATTTTCGCTGGACGGAGAAGAAGAAGTTGATGTCATTGAAGCTGAGGGTGTTTGTGATGATGAACCAGTTGGTTCATTTGTCACATTAGGGGAAACATCTACGACATCAGTGTGACTTATTATACTGCCTCCTTCATTATTTGAAGGGAAAAATTTACCAAAGATTCTTTCCTTTAAAGTTGGTTTTCTACTTAAATGATTTACAGCAGAATCAACATTAACCAAATATCCTTTTTTCTCATCTTCCTCATCAGATCCTAAAAAGATATTCTCTGGTGAAGATTCTCGTAGTTGAGCTTCCCAATCTGCTTCATGATCTTTAGCAACATTACCTAATGCTAATAATTCATTAGCAATAGAATCTGGAACATCATTGCCATTTTTAGCAGTAATTAATGAACATCTCTGGAATGAAGTTCTGTCGTCCTTGGCAGGTTTAAATCTTAAATCTGGATTCTTAGAGAATATAGCAATAGCCGTGAATGTTAAAATCATCATTAACAATATAAAGGAGAATGCAGCATTCATAATGAAGAAAATCCATGCCATAACAGCAGAAACACTATATGGTTGACCAAACAGATCCGAAAAAAATAAAAATAAAAACGAGTTAATGGTGATTACTACGTTAATACAAATGTTCAGAATATTTGTTAAACGATCTAAATATGGCTGATAATGGATGATAGCACCTAAATACCCCATATCAAGTATCCATGTAGCTAAAGCTTGGGTCTTACCAGAAGCTTGAGCAAACCCTATAAATGCAGCCTTTATTAAAATATAGGATAATAAAACAAAATTCCACCAATAGAAATCAGCTTTAAACATAGTGTAGAAAAAACCGTATTTATGAAGCACTTTTTCGTCACCGTAAAGTAGAGCAGCAGGGTTATTATAAATTTTGATAGACCTTTGGGCAAAATACCAAGATCTATAGGCAGCCCAAATCATTAATCCAATAGATAATATCAAAAACAAGCATGCAATCACAATGACTGCAGCAGAATCTCTTTCAGTAAATTCCCAGAAACTTAATATAGTCAACTGAGTAAAACCTATATAAATATATCTTAGTAATGCACCTTTTAGAATGATTCTCCAATTGTTTCTAAATTCTAAAAATTTATTTGGTTGAACCCATCCAGCTCTTATGCACACTTCAACACTGTATTTGCATACCATGATAACACCAGCTAATACATACCCACATAATACAAAGAATGTAAAGCCTGTACAGACAACCGAAGTATTTTCAATCCCCATATCATATGCAACTCTCTTAATACCTCTAAAAATCAACGTGTTTTGATTCCCATATAGGATGTTTGCTGCTCGTTTATATAATTCCGTATTTTCAAGATAGTCTAATGATCTCTGTGTTAGCACACTCATCGTTGTAGCTGTTAAATATAGAGATGCAGTACCACCTGTAGAATCAACATACCAACGGAAAATCTTTTGCATGAAATGAATTTTGATCAACCCCATTGACCAAACTAGATTTTCAGACCAAGATGAAGCAATAGGGGGCACTGAATGAACATGTTCCATGGAGATAACTGCGACAGATTGGAAATAAAGAAAAAGGGACATAGTGTTGGCGGAAATGTGCGAGGCGGCAATGGAATTACCAAACGTAGATAAGACAGCGGATACTAACAGACCTATCCCTGCAACCACCGCGGTTGCCCATTTGACACCTGTTTGGGCGACAGATTTACCATTGGAGAAGAATATCTGCAAACATGCCACAGGTTGACTAACATTGTTGAAGACGTTTATTCTAGCATAAGCATCAATATCTGGAACTTGATATGCAATTCCTGGAATCATATCTACATATTCTTTTGACACATATTCCACAGAATCAATTTGGATAGTACCTGGATGTAAGGGACAAAACTGTTTCCAATTTAGCGAACATACATCAAAGCTCTTAGTGATAACTTTAAACCCATATGCATAGACGTCAATATCAACAAAGACAAAGGTATCAACAGTAGTAAGAACATCTAAGGAGTAATGTAAAGATCTATCATCTGGGTTGAACACGATATCAATAGTGTTTGCAGAAATTTGTGAATTTTCCATACATGTGACCAATGAAGTAGCAATTAAATTTCTCTTTGCCCAGACTATTGATTGAACAAAAAGACTAGAATATATCCACCAGTTAATAAGAACATTCATACTGATGACTATAAGTTATTTTATGGAGGAAAAGAAGCTTAATATAGTGAAAAAATAAAATTAAAAAGTAGCAAAAAAGGAGTTCAGTATAGTTTCAAATGGGAAAAGAATATTGGTACTAATGTGGTTAGGATGCTATCTAAAATTATATGTATATATATTTAAATATCAACAAAATATCAAATATTCACTAACGCAAATATTATTGTAAAAGATGGAAAGGGTTGCGCACCTTTAATTCATTTAAAGGATTTCTAATATGTAAAGAAAAGATTTTTGATAAATATTTTCCACTTTTGTTCTTTTGTAATAAAAGTCAAAATATGTCTATAATATAACCTGTCTCGATACACAAAAAATGATTGTAAAAAGCAGCAAATGCTAGTGTGTTTACTTTTAGCCTGTGTCGCAGACAAGAACTTCATCATCAATAAAAAGAAAACAAAATAAAATAAGTAGTGAAAGTTTTCTTTTTGATCTGCACAGATCCTGGAAATTTTCTTTTTCTTTTTTTTTTTTCTGGTTACTTATTTTAACACAACTTCTAAAATTGATTCTTTCTCGACTGCAACGGATTGTGGGGGAAATCCCGCATAACAAACGTGGAATTCAATGTGGTGTCTGAATTTATTTTGATTCTTTTGTTATGGGAGTGCAGCATTGTTTTTCTTTTGTTATATATTTTTCGCGTCATTTTCTTTCTTTTTTCTTTTGTGCCACATTCATTCTATTCTACACGTTTTTCTTTTCTTTTTTAAACTTCTAATTTTAGCTTTTATCTAATGAATATTATTATGATGAGTACAAAAACACTTCACAATATATAAGTATATTTACGACAAATAATAAGATCGAATCTGTATAGCAAGTTGGCGTTTGTCTCAGTGCCATAAACTATTGTTAGGTTTTCCGAGGTGCATCGCTATTTTGCACACCTAACTTGTCTCGTTCTATAATTTACAACAACTAGCAACAACCATTGGCTCAGCCTGTTTGGAGTCTAGCATATTTTTTGGATGCATATTTTTTAATTTAGAATTGGAAGATTCTGTGGTGGTCTGTAAACTCCTTTGGTGGTTCTCAATAAAATTTTCTCTTTTACTATATTTCTTGAATTGGATGTCGGGCCACACCAATGTGAGAGCATCATATATGTCATTGATATACATTAGCTCTAGTCCAAATTTCTCTTTAATGAGCGTCAGCTCATCGATTTTTTTTAAGTCATCTGTTTGACTGCTTGGTAACAACTCTTCATCAAAATTTGTAACACATTCAATAACATCGTTACGATTTCCTTGTGGAATCAGTACTCTTTTCATACCATACAATTTAGCACCTAACAATTTTTCTTTTACACCACCAATGGGTAAGATCTTACCACGTAATGTGATTTCTCCAGTCATACATAGAAGAGGATCTATAGTTCTTCTTAATGCAACAGACGTCAACCCCACAGTGATTGCAACACCTGCACTAGGGCCATCTTTTGATACACCTCCCATAGGGACATGCAAATGAAACTTTTTACGTACAAACTGGTTATATACATCCATGTTTATAACTGAGGTTATTGAGGTACGTTTTAAAATAGATTTTACCACACTAAGTCCAATATCTATTGATTCTTGTAAAGTGGTGCCGAGATTACCTGTTGATTTCATTTTTGGTCCATCCATTGATTTATCTTCACCAATTTGAATGATTTCAAAGACTAATACGCCTCCACTACCATCTGAATTATATGATAAACCATTAACTGTCCCATAATTTGGAAAATATGGCATACTAGATAATAACTCTTTTGTAATTGGATGTAATGGGAAACCTAAATATTTAACTATTTGATTTGATTTGATTCCATTATCAACAGGAAATTTATTTCCATTTTCCACAAATTCCACTACTTTCCCTCTAACGATTTTTGATATTTTTCTCTCTAATTCACGAACACCAGCTTCTCTTGTATACTCGTTAATGATTGATTCCCATGTTCGATAGTCGACTTTGAATGTACCATTTTCACATTTGTCTAACCCATTTAATTTAATCTGTTTTGGTAATAAAAACTTGTCTGCAATTTGAATTTTTTCTTCTAACGTATATCCAGATACAGTGATAACTTCCATACGGTCTAATAGAGGTCTTGGAAGCGACGAAATATCGTTGGCTGTACAGATAAATAATACTTGGGAAAGGTCAATAGGAAATCCAATATAGTGGTCTGTAAACAAAGAATTTTGTTCTGGGTCCAAAATTTCTAATAAGGCGGCAGCAGGATCGCCGTGACCACCACCACGAGTACTAGTTCCTCCGTTGTTGTTCATGGTACTTGCTATTTTATCAATTTCATCCAAAAGAATTAAAGGATTCATTGTCCTACTTTTTCTTAATGAATTAACGATATTACCACACATAGATCCAACATAAGTTCTTCTATGTCCTCGTAAATCGGATTCATCACACACACCCCCTAGTGAAATTTTTTGATAATTCTTATTCAATACGGTAGCCACTGATTTTGCTATTGATGTTTTTCCTACTCCAGGTGGTCCTACTAACAAAATAATAGGTGGTCTTCCCTTATCACCTAATTGTGCATTTAGTTTTAATACACATAAATATTCTAATAGTCTCTTCTTTACCGAATATAAACCAAAATGATTCTTGTCTAATTGTCCCTTTGAATCTAAAATATCTATCTTTACCTGCTTTGAATATGTATTGAAAGGGATATCTAAAATAATATCGAAGTAATTTCGAATCACTTGATATTCAGCACTTGTGTGTGACATATTAGAAAGTCTTTTGAAATCTTTCTTTAGCATTTTCTGACCATCTTTATGTACACCTAAACGTTTCATCGAATAAATAAATTTTTTGATTTGTGAGGTCTCGTTGGTATCTTCATATTTTTCTTCACTTTCCTCAATATTTTCATCTTCTTGGCTGTCATGTGTAGAATCCTCACTGGACTTTTCATTGGTATTATGATCAATATTTCTTCTTTCCTTGAAGTGTGCATTTTTCATAGCATCATTTGAAGCCGGTGTAATTGGTTTGTATGTATTAATTTTCTTTCTATTTGAATTTTTAACGTCTTGGATAAATACTTTCAATGATCTTAATTGATTTGCAATAAGATGAGCCTTTTCCAAAGTAGATGCATTATTATAATATCTATTAATATACTGCAGAGAAAAAAATAATTGATCAAACATTTGATTAAAATCGCATATTATTTTAAAAAATAATTCAACACGACTATTTAAATCCAGTGCAGATAGAAATTTTAATTTCTGTAAAGGTGTAGTTGGAAGGATAGTGACTATAAAATCTAATAATTTTAGAAACTTAAACGAGACTTCTATTGGCACATCCTTTGAACATGCATTTTTCAATGTTTGATATTCATTAAAGATTAATCCCCATGAAAACTTAAATTGTTCTTTATTTAACTGGAAATACAAGGTATTTGATAATGGAGTCAACAAAAGCATATGCTCTGTGGAGGTAGATTTAAGCGCTTTTTTGTATCTGTTGTTAAAATCTGAAATATATGATTGTACCTTTTCAACACATTCCATAATTTTTATTGTTCCTAACCTTATTTGTTCTCTTTGTAGCATATTTAATTTATCCCAATCGCTGGGTATGATAAGTTTAGATTCCCATATTTTCCTTTCAGAATTATAGTTTGGTGTTGCTACACTGCCTCTAGTCAAGGCTTTAAAGGATATTATGTAGGAATCAGGATGTTCAGTAATTACACTATAGATTTTACAGATACAACCAATAGTGTAATCAGTGCTTTCTTCAGGTATTAAACAAATGTATTTACTTAAAAGTAAATAATTTGGATATGTCGTAACAGTAGGTTTATGAACAACTTCATTAAATTTTGTAGACACCAGTGTTGAAGCAGGTGTAGCATTGTTGGGATTCAGGTTGGATTCGATTTCTTTAAAAGCATTTAGATTCTGTTTGGAGTTCTTCTTAAAATACTCAATGATATTATCACTATCTGTTTTATTAAATGTTATATCATATCTTACACCTGGTAGAATGACCAGAGATGGAGTATCATATAATATTAAACAGGGTAAAGTTAGTTTAGACATCTTTTCTTGGTTCTTTTTGCGATAAAACATTTTGTTTAAAAAAAAAAAAACAAGAAAAATAAAAATGGGTATGTTTATGTTTCAGATTGTAATTATACATTACTGTACTAAACAGAAGTTCCAAATCAAAACAGTGAATTCTTTGATATACATGAATATAAATATATGAACAGTGCCTACGAGTAAAGCAAACCAAACCAAGCCAAACCAAAAATTAAAAAAAAAAAAAAAAAAAAAAAAAAAAAAAAAAAAGAGAATGAGTTAAGGAGAAAAAAAGTGTCTTTTTTCTGCTTTTTATGTTACGTGGTATTTAGGCCCTCTCTCCTTCTTCTTTACCTCTTTTATTTTCTGTATGCTATTTTCTAAACTGAATCTATGATATGTTGTGGCATGAGTAAAAATCATCGGACGGGTAAAGTGAGACATCCCTGTTTTTTTAATTTTTTTTTCTGCGGGGGGAGGGAGGAAGGAAAAGGAATGACGTAATTGAAAAATTAGGGTTTATTATTTAAGTTATTTTTCTTTTTTTAAGGCTAAAACGTTATTTTATACTTAATTTCGTTGTTGAATTTGTTCTCCAGTGAAGTAAAGGTTTAGATATACAGTATTGCGGCTTGGGATAATGAATAATTGGGGAAATCGCGTTTATATATTGAGACTTTGGAATCTGTACTAATAAACGGTTAATATCTCAAGTTTGAGCTTTTTTGCTGTTGTAACCTAGTTATTTCTTCTTTTGCAGAAAATAACTTTAAATATATATTATTAGATAATAAATAAAAAAAGCTGTAAGGGATTCGACATCAATCATTGTTTTATCTTTATAATATTTAAAAATCAACAGAATATTTGTTATCATCGATCTTCCTTCTTTGTAAATAATATTAATCAAACCCTAATTACTAAATTTAAAAAAAGAAAAAAAATATAAAATCAAAAATCCTTATTTACTTCTTTTAAACAACATTTAAGCACATAATGAGCTCTTTCAATGATCTGATTAAAATAAATTCTATCACGTTAGTTCTAAAAAAATTTTTTCTTTTTTTTGTTTTTTTTCATAGCAATTATAAAATCAAAATTAAAACCAAAATCAAAAAATAAAAAAAAAAAAAAAGAAATGAATGAAACTAAATGAATATTCCTAATAAGATTTGAAGAGTTCTTGCTCATTGAACTTAAGCTTTTAATATTCTTCTATATCAAAACGCAAGAAGAAAGTTATCACTTATTGGTATTTTCTATTTCTCTTCGTCTTTCCTCTCCCTCTTTTTTAAAATTAATGCTTAGACAATAGCGGTAAAAGAAGGGAAACAGAAGAAGTTGATAATGGTAAAAAGAAAAAAAGGACCACATTAGACAATGAAAAATCATTAATTGTCTGGCACAATAAGGGAGGAAAAAAACCAAAAAATAAAGGTAGCAGAAAGGTATATACAATACTAATTAACGACAAATTTTTATTGTTTAACACTGATGTGTGGACATATTACATCGCTATTGACAATCCCTTTTCAACCTTTTTCTTTTTTTCTTTTTTTGTGTCATAACCAACCAGATCTACAAAACTTAAAGTAGATTGAATACAGCAAATATTAAAAATATTGAAACAATGCAATAATAAAATTTTAAAAAAAAAAGATTGCTAAAGATACTACTGACTCTTTTTCTCCCTCTTTTTTGTCGTCCTCTTTTCATCAGTATTGTTATTAATTGTTTGTATCTACACGTTTATAAGAATCTAAGGGATAACAAGGATTGTATCTTATTATCTAACGTCCACTGTTTAGTTAACAGTTCTTTGTAGTAACTAACATATCATAACTTTGTTTTCTTTTTAATAATCAGACAAATACTAAAGTTGGGAATTTATAATCTCCCCTCAATGTAACCATTCATTATCTCTATCCAAGCAATCCTTTAAATTATATCTTTTTGTTCCTATTATAATTATAATCATCATCTTAATTTTTGATTCTAAATGCCAATTAATATGAAGATATATGCACATGTGTGTATTAATATATTTTCATGCAGACTAAAAATTAACATTTATATATAAGTAACTGAAAAAAAAAAAAGAATATCATTAATATGTATCCCTTTAAAATAGATTCTCTTAGTTCATTTACACATGTTTTTAATACTAATATTTTTAAATATATATATATATATATATAGAAAGAAAGAGAGATATTTAAAAAAAAAGTAGACAGAAGAAGTACCTACATAGAAAAAATTTCACTAGTCAATTTTGCTTTGTTATTTTTTTTACTAATCCCTCACATTACAAGAACAATAAAATAAAAAATAAAAGAAGATGTCTAATCTATTTAATAAATTCGCTGAAAAGTTGCACGGTGATAACGACGACGACCAATCAAGAATGTCTCATCAACGGAGAGAGCAACAACAACAAAAGAACAACTCTATGCAGTCTGAATCATGGCGTGGTGGGAATCAAAGTGGTCAAGGTTACAATGATTACAATGATGATGATGATAATGACGACAATTTTAATACCGAAACTTTTGGTACCGCTGCTTCAACCACCACCGGCCAAGGTTATAATTCAGGTAATTTGTCTCAACAACAGAGTGGTGGTTATACAAGAAATGCAATGGGTCAAAACATGGGCGGTGACCGTGATGATGACGATTTTAATGACTCAGGTTTAAATGACGAAGAAGAGCAAATCGAAGCAGACAAAAATCAGTCTTTCGGTAGAAATATGTCTAGTGGGGATAGAAGATCAAGAAGAAACCAAAGTGATGGGAACAGGTCTCAAGGATATCAAGAAATGTATGGTGACCAACCTTGGTAGATAATTATTATCCGTTTTTTATTTTATTTTATTTTTTTTCATACTTTCTCTTATCACGTTTCGGTTTCTTGATTAGTTCAACATGATTATATATCAATCATAAGCTAATACTCTATGTGTTTTTTTTTTTAATTCATTCATCTGTTTGTTTGTTTATGTCTCAGTTATATATAATTCGATACACATTTTAATTAGTTTAATTATATTACTCTTATTATTATTATTATAATTATATATTCCTTCTAAAATATAAGATTGCTTTTCTTTTCTTTTTTTTTTTCTCTCTCTCTTTCTGACCTCACCAAACTAATAAAATACAAAAAAAAAAATGAATAAAACTCTGGGGGGAAGCAGATTCTTGAGGGTGTCATTTTTTTATTTTTTTATTTTATTTTATTGTGGGTTTTCGTCGTTTGTGTGCCATATTTATCTCGTTTCTTTTTCTGGCTTTTTCCTTTTTCTTTTTTCTTCTCTTTATTTTTCCTTTGTTCGTTCCCCTCGAGAACCAGGATTTGCTTAATAATCGTATACATATGTAGATAAATGTATAAGTATAAATATAAATATAAATATAAATATAAACACACACACATATGCACATATACACACACACATACATATAAATATATATACATGCATATTTATCTATATATACATATTTGTACACCTATATACCTACCTCTTCTCTATTAGTGGTTATGTCTCCATAATAGAGAATCCAAGGAATTGTCTATTAACAAGGTAAAATAAAAAAAAAAAAGTAACTCTTTTTTATTTGTTTATGAAATGTCAATCTAGTCACTATCTTTTAAACCGATCACATATATAGATATATACAATCATAAAAATTTACAATGTTAAGAACTTCAATTCTATTTATACCGACAAATATGTTTAGGTCGGTTGCCACGAAATCAAACATTTCTAGATATGGTTTCATATCTAATTTTATGATGACTCAAAGATTCCTGCTATCCACCACAAATGTTTCATTTGATCATAATCAAAATCAAATTAATGAAATGTCCCAAGGTTTAAAAGGTTTAAAAAAAGATATAGAACTGGAAAAACAAAGAAGAAAATTATTTGACAAGGACCCTTGTTTGCAGAAATTGGCCGAAGACTTCTCGCCTAATGAGCATATTCATTTAAAAGAATCAGAGACAGAATTTAATGACTCTTTTACACTCGACGCGAAACAACATGCAAAGAATATAGCATATATGTCTTCTTTGAAACAAAATAAAACAACACTAGATGATCATAACCATAATCATATATCATGTCATTCCCATTCCCATTCTCATTCTCATTCTCAACCGAACCCTTTGCTTGTACTAAGTTCAAATGAAATCAAAAGGAATCCTGCTGTTAGAATTACATGGATTGGTCTAGCAATGAATATAGGGATAGCATTAGGCAAATTTGTTGGTGGTGTAGTCTTCCATTCTCAAGCTCTTCTAGCAGATTCAGTCCATGCAGCAAGTGATCTTATTTCAGATGTCTTAACTTTGTTCTCTGTCAATTGGGCAGAACAGAGACCAACAGAAAACTTCCCATATGGTTATGGGAAGGTAGAAACTCTAGGATCCCTGGCTGTGTCCACAATTCTAACTATGGCTGGTGTGTCTATAGGTTGGAGTTCAATCTGTGCTATTGTAGGTCCTATTATTCCACACACCATTTTGGAAACAGTCACTGCATTCATGGGCCATTCACACGCACATGTAGGACATTCTCATGGCGTTACCACAGAAGGTGTTACCAATATTAACGCCGCGTGGATAGCTGCCGGGTCTATTGTCATGAAAGAATGGATCTTTCAAGCCACTAAAAAAATTGCTCTCGATACTAAATCAAATGTTTTATTAGCCAATGCATGGCATCATAGGGTAGATTCCTTGACTTCTTTCGTCGCATTAGTAGCTATTACATCAAGCTATTTCTTTGGTATTCAATCATTAGATTCAATTGGTGGATTATTGGTCTCTGGTTTAGTCATTAAAGCAGGCACTTCAGGTATTGTTGACTCGGTGAATGAACTGATAGATAAATCTTTACCTCACACAGATGAAAGGTATATCGAAATCGAGACTATCATAAAAGAAAGCTTATCTAAATTGATCTCTAACAATAATTCGGATAAACCCTATAAGATCAAAGACTTGACTGTATTGCTATCAGGTAGAAATATCAGAATAAGTACAGTTTTAGAAGCACCTTTGCAGAGATGGAATAACGTCTTAGATATTAAAGAATTAGAAAATGTGACTATATATTTAAGAACTATGATAAAACATAATATACCACATGTAACAAAAATTAATATCGATTTCATAGAAGAAATAGATCCATCGAAAGAAAATGAAGAAAACGGGCATGAATCCACTTTCGATAATCATTCTAGCCATGATGATAGTATTCATAATTCACATAACCATATACATACCCATACAACTTTGAATAACAGTACTCATACACATAAACATTAATTGTGGTTGATTGCATAAATTGAGTAAATAAATACTCGCGTATATATACAGATATATATAACATCAAATGTCAATATATACGTCCTGATAATATTTATTTTTTAAAGCTTTTACATTTGTATTTTCAATCATTAATGTCTGCATTCAAAATATAACTAGATTACAAGGTCACCTTGTTATGCTTACCCTATGTGATGAACTATTCCCCATTATGCCACATTAGTATCACACTATATTTAAGATAACTAATCTATTTTTTATTTATCTATCTTTTTTTATCTTGTATATAAATGGAAATTTTCATTTTGTGACGTCGGAAGGTTAAAGAATCTCAAGAATACAAAAAAAATAAATAAACAAAAAATGAAAAAAAAAACACTTTCAGAAAAGCCAAACAATCCTTGCAAGATGTATCATGTTGTTTTAAGTTTAAACCTCTAAATTTAAAAATACAAAGGGAAATACATACAATTGACTCAATCAATCGTATTTCTCAAATTACAATCTTCCAGTATTCTTCTTCTTTTTTTTCTTCCGCATTTTAATCCTATCTTTAGCTAGATTCTGTGTTATTAAGCATTAGTGAGTAAGAACTATAAATAACAACGACTTTTTGCGCGTTTCAACATGTCATTACTATCTGTCCTAAAACATCCACATTTTCATATATTCATTTTTACAGCTCTAATTGCTAAAGTTGTTGGTATTTACCTGTTGATATTTTTATTATCACATACACCACGGGATCCCTTTCCAGAAGAATTAGAATATATTACTATTGATGAAAAAGATGGTATAAAGAGGCATAAATTACCGACTTCAAGAGATGAAGCTATCGACTTGTCTGTGGTAGTTCCAAGTTATAATGAAACTTCTCGAATCCTAGTTATGTTAAAGGAGGCCATTGAATATCTACAAACAAATCTAAGGGACAGATGGGAAATAATAATTGTAGATGACGGGTCTTCAGATGGAACTACAGGATATTGCTTAAAACTATCCCGAGAACAGTTTCATTTGAAACCTGGTCAACTTCGGGTTATTAAATTTACTCAAAATAGAGGTAAAGGTGGTGCAGTAAGACAAGGTATGCTTCACATTCGTGGTAAGTACGGTCTTTTTGCAGATGCTGATGGCGCAAGTAAATTTAGTGATATCTCAAAATTACTCTCAAACATAAAAGCTATCGAGACTAATAAGGCCAAAACTAATGCAAATCCCGCTGCTGTTGTTCTAGGTTCCAGGGCACATATGGTCAATACTGAAGCTGTTATAAAAAGATCGTTAGTTAGGAATATATTGATGTATGGATTTCACGGATTAGTTTATGTATTTGGTATCAGATCAATTAAAGATACTCAATGTGGGTTTAAATTGTTCAATAGAGAGGCAATTGAAATGATTTTCCCATTTTTGCACACTGAAGGTTGGATCTTTGACGTAGAAATTTTGATTTTGGCTATTAAGAAGAAAATATCTATCAAAGAAATCCCAATTTCATGGCATGAAGTTGGTGGATCTAAAATGGATTTAAAGGTTGACAGTTTAATGATGGCTAAAGATTTAGTGATTATTCGTCTTGCATATATGCTGGGAATCTATAAGCCTACACATAAAATTTAGCCATTAGTTAATGTTTGTAGATCAACAAACTAGAAATGCGGTCTACGAACAGAAAATAAGCAAAAATGTAAATAGATCTGTACACGAATGGTATTCAAATAGATGCATATATTATCTCTTATACATAAGATAGAATTCTATTTTAATATTTAAACCTACAACTACAAAAAAACTGAAATTTTCATCAATACCACTAATTTATATGTAATCTAAATACACGTTTTTATTCGATTATGTTATTTCTTAGTACCTTCGAAAATCTCTGCTGATAAAGATGTCAACTTTCTCCTTATGATAGTTCCATTATTTAAAAATGTTCTAATTAGTTCTGCATATTGCCTACTATCATTAGTAATATTATCAAAGGCTGTTATTAGTGCAGGCGTGTTAATTTCTAATTCCACCTCATGTGAGATTTCATTACTATTTCTTGATGGATTTTGACTATGAGTTACGACTCTAGTAACGTCAATCCTAGTACATGAATCATTATGTATATAACTCACCCTTTCTTTAGTTCTGATACTAGTAGGAGTTTGTGATTGATATTTTTCTGGTGGATCATTATCTGGTACTGGCAATTCCAAGTTCAATGATATTTTCACATCATAACTGTCTTTTGGTGAGTACAAAAGTAATTGAGCAATATGCCTTTTCTCTATAAATTGTCCAATACGACCTGTTCTAGTATCTGTACTCATTCTTAAAAATCGAGGTCTTTGAGTAGCAATTCCTACTCTATAGACTGAATCCTTGGTAGTCGATTCAATTACACTAAATTTACCACTATTTTCAGTCATTTCTCCTATACCACGAATATACTTATTTAATTCCTTAAATAATACTTCATCGATGTTTGGTGTCATATGAGCATCTAACTCTGTATAGATAGCTTGAGAAGAAATTGGTGGATTAATACGGTCAGGCAAACCACCTTCCCTAATAATACCAAATTTCATTTCTAATTCTATAAATTGTCTCACTTCAGGGTCGATTGAAAATATTGTTGCATAAACCCAATCCTGTACAGATTTGGTTAAATCATCATCTGGTATAATATTCAAAAAGGATGGATCTAATTTAAAGTTACCACTATTAATTTGTTGTAAAGCATTCAGTGTCGGTTTCCATTTTTGCGCCCAAATTGGAACATTTTTATATTTATTTGGTTTGGAGGCTGAGGCAATTTCTTGAAGCATTTGTAAATCCTTCTTTATTGTATTTTTCTTTAAAGTGGAGGATGATTTTTCTTCAAATATATTATTTACCTTAACAGGCTGAATGGAATTTTCAAGTCCTTTTTTCCTTGTGTTTTCAGATATTTTATCATTGGGTGATTCACCATTATCCTGTTTTAGGTTATTCTTTTCTTTTTTCTCCTTATCTATTGGCTTGATTTCTTGGAGTTTATCATTCATAGTTTCAGTTTTGATATGGGGTGTTTCAACTTCATTACTTAAAGTTTCTTTATTATCAGTTATGCTATCTTTTTTTAGTTCTGCTTGGAATGTAATTGATGTCTGCTCCTTTGGTGAAATTGGTATCTCTTTTACCTTCTCATCTTGCTTTGTAGAAATAGATTTACTTGAGGTAATTTTATTAGCAGATATCGGAGATGATGACTTTTTTTTAGGAGAATCTCTATCTTGCTTGTCATAGTTAAATGTCATCCCTGCATCAAAATTTACCTCTCCATTACCAACGAATTCGTCATCTGTATCAGTTTCATCACTATCTATGTCAAAATCATTAGAGGACACAGATCCTGATATTATATCAGAACCATTTTTGAACTTATCATAATCATCATTGGCATTATCATTTGATATCTCTGAAACATTAGAAATATTTTTAGATTGTTCTTGTTGTGAAGGTTGTTCAAAATTTTCTAGTGACTGCTTCAATAATTCCTTTTCTGTTGAATTATCTATTCTGGATTGTAACGACAGTTGAGCATTACTACCCTTCTGTTCTTCTACCTCTTCACTTAGCTTTTGTAATTTATTCTTGTCATTCTCATCGTGATTAACTAAATCATCGAGAGATAGTGCACGCTTACTCATTGGTTAAGTCTAATTGTTAATTATATTTATTTGAATAGATTACTAATATTATTCTTTTGGTGATAATACCCAACTCACTGCTTAATGTTATTTTTAACTACATTTTTTTAATCCATGAATACCCGTTTTTAATGCAGTCTGAACTTATCCGTCTTTACCTTTAGATTTCTAAAAATATTCGTTTTGTCTATTAAATTCAAATAAGTAGAAAATAAAAGAAAAGTTGCATTTTGTGCGGGTAATCATATCTTTAAATCAGATGCTCTTTTATAAGAATATTATGTACATGTATTAGCAAGGAAGTTACGAATATTTAGTTAAAAACAAAGTAGTCGACTGAGAAGCTATATACGAATATAAAAAAGTGCATAATGTACAATTAACTTGAAAAAAAAGGACAATTTTGATACTAACATATTGAAAAAGAACTGTAAAAATGACGTGCTCCCAAAATATAATTGTATTATTTCCTACAAACATATTTTGTGGTAAAAATGGCATAAATACTATAGCCTGATTAAATTAAATTAAGATAATATTCGAGCATTGATATAATGTTTGCATATTTTTTTGTATCACATCTAATATCTATCAACTAACCAAATGTTCAACACTTATTCTTGAGTTATGTTCAGTATTCTCTGATATCGATATCCCATTATCATTTGGTATTTGCTTTTTAAATAAAGCATGGTTAGTGTTTGAGTTTCTGCTTGATCCCACCTCTTTTTTAATGTAATAAGTTAGATTCATTAATTACAATATGGATTGTCCCTATTGATTGATGATTATTGAAATGTCTTTCCTTAAATACTACTCAATTCAAAATACCTATTTTCTTTCTTTTTGAAGGAACCCCTGTATTAAATTGTTAATGGTGAAGGGGTAGTTAGTGTGGTATTGACGGTTATATTACGTATCCTGGTGTTGAGCGGAAATTTATGGTTATCTGTAGTGTTAAAGACAGTAACACCTGTCAATTGACTCTTTTTGTCTGAATGTATTAAGTCTCACATGTGATGTATTTTAGCTTTTTTTGAGGGTATCATATTAAGATGGATCATTATTATCTTGGTTTGCTTAACACTACCTTCATAATTGGTAGTATTACCATCAGGAACCATGTTAATTGTTGTATTGTTTTTCTTCGATGACATACTTTTAGTATTAATATTTTTAGTATTATTGGAATCCATTTTTTCTTAGAATACAGAATCTTTACGCTGTTTCAAATTAGTAATTGCACCAGAAATTTTTAACAAGTATCGTATTGGAATGGTTTCTCGATGATAACAAAAAAAAATTAAACTATATAGCTCTGTGTACGTATACTATATACTGTTACACTAGTTCTTAGAAGAAATGGCAACTGCAACAGATTGGAAATCATCATGAGAAATAGAAACCTTAACAGATTTGACACCAGCTTCAGTAGCAATTTGTTTGGCATTTCCATGTAATACAACTTCTGGAGCAGTACCATTTACCCTAACAATTTCAATGTCTTTTAAAGAAGCCCCAGCGCCTTGAGACTTAACACCTAATGATTTGAATACAGCTTCTTTAGCAGACCAGGTACCAGCAAACGAACTTTGGACTGAAGGTTGTTTTTGACAATAAGCAATTTCTGCTGGTGTGAAATTACGTTCAATAAAAGTTTCATTTTCAATGTTAATACTTTGAATCAATTCAACATCAACACCAACACCATTATCAGAGTCAGTAACATCTTTGGTTAAAGTTTTAATCATGGCAGCAGTTGCAGCATTCCTTTCATAACTGGTATCATTTTGAATAGACTTCTTATTGAAAACTAACTCACTACCAGATTTTGGATCGGTTGAGACACGAGCCAATGGGTCTAAGTAGACAGATTGTTCTAGATCTTCAGTGTATGGGGCATGTTCCTTACTGATGAAGATCTTGTTTTGTGTCATACCAGTGTGGAAGAATTGATAAGCAGCTTTTTCCCTGATAGAAACTTTCTTGACATATTCTTCGTATGTTAACTCATCGATAGCACCATATAAGTAATCTGGATGAATAACAATGATTTGACCACCCTTTTGACCAAAACCAAATGAAGTAACAGAAACAGCCTTAATACCATCTGTCTTGATTGTCTTAGATGGATATAAGACATATTCATATTGTTCAAGAACTTTATCAATATTGTCTGCATTACGATTACCTGGAACAATACCGGTGTTTAAGATTTGCAAAGCACCATTTAACATCCATGCACCTGCAGCACCCTTTGGATGACCAGTTAAAAACTTCTGGAAGACACCAAAGACTGGGTTACCTTCAGATCTACCCAAGTGTTTCATCATTTCGTTGATAGTAGCAGATTCATTCTTATCATTGGCCTTAGTAGAAGTACCATGGAAAGAAGCAACACCTAAATCATCTATAGTTAAGCCATAAGTAGCTAATGCACCTCTTAATGGCGCAATACGTGGATATCTCTTATAGAATTCATTACCCCATTGGGCTTGAGCAGCCTTTAATTGCTTTTCCCCTTCGAGTTTAATCTCCTTAGTACGTTCTTCAATAAATTCAGATTTATCGTTTTCTGGGATTTCTTCCATTTCAGCCTGTAATAATTCTAATTCATCTTCTACCCATTGTTTAATTTGACTTTTGCGGTTAGATAATTGACGTTTTCTGTATTTAATATCTAATAATGGAGAAGCATATTTCAAAGAACCATGGTGTTCTCTAGCAGTGGTTAAAATACCCTTACCTGGGGCTGGAACAGATCTACCAATTTTGTCAGTAGCTGTAGCAGTTAAAGCAACAATACCATATATTGGAACACCCATTTTCAAAGCTAATTCAGCAGTCATAATAACTTGGATACCAGAACCTTGAGCTTCCATGAAACCAGAACGAGTGGTGGTGGCAGGTCTTGACATTTCTCCAGGGGTACGGCCATGTTCAAATTCTTCAAGTGAGTTGGAAGTCGCTTTCATATTAGCGAATTCGTAAGAACCTTCTTCTTGGAAATCATCGTAACCACCAACAATACAAATCTTAGCCTTACCAGATAAAATTGTTTCAGCACCAATATCAACAGATTCAACAGCAGTTGCACAGGCACCAACAGGTGTTTTGATTGGACCGGAAGAAGAAATTAATAACATATTAACCCAGGCAGACATGGTATTAATGAAGGACTCTTGTAAGATATCGTTTTGAACTGGCATATCTTTATAACGGTCTTTAAACATACCACGTAAAGCAGAGACACCACCCATACCAGAACCAGAACAGTTACCAACTTCAGAAACATGAACATATTTGTACATCTCGTATGGATCAGTAATCCCAGAAGCAATAAAGGCTTCAGCGACAGATACTAGGACAAATAAAGTAATTGGATCAACTTGAGAAATAATATCTTCAGAAACACCATAAGTTTTGGCATCCCATCCAGTTGGAATTTGACCAGCAACTAAACGGTCGAATCTTAAAGCTTTTGGAATCAACAAAGTAGCACCCTTTAATAATCTAACAGAATACTCACCAGTCTCTGGAATTTGGAAGATATCAACCTTGTCGCCATGTTCAAGTTTGAATTGTTCGGCAGTTTCTTTAGAAGTTTCAAATGGTTCCATATCTTCTTCGACAATAACTTCTTGAATCAATTGCTTTTTATTTGGGTCATAACCGTTAAATAATTCAGGCTCGATTAATCTGATACCAGCATGTTCTAAGATCTGCTTTTCGTACTTAGTCTTGATATCCTTATCCTCAATAGGTTCCTCGGTCTTGGCATCTACCCAACCAGTGTATGGACGACCCTTCAAATTACCATTATGATACTTAATTAAATTCATAATCCAGGCCATTTCAACACAACCTTCAAGAGAGAATTCACCAAAGGCTTCCATCTGCCATCTAGTTCTAGAAGAACCCCATGGACCAACTTCAGAGAAACCAGTAATGACAACGATCTTCTCCAAATCTAACATACCTTCTAATTCTGGGGCAGCAATTTTCTTAATATCTTTGTAAGATCTCAATTCTGGGAAGCCTAATTGGATGTTAGCTCTTGGTTGAATTTCAACTTCTGTATAGGCAGCATCAGCTTTATCACCATTAACAGCTTTGTGTTCTAGTGCAGTCTCAATAGAAACAGCTTTTCTAATTTCAGAAGTTTCAATTAAGTCCCTACGTAACTTAGCAGTAAAGTCCTTTAAGTCCTTCAAATATTGTAAACCACCATTTAAATCAGCCATGACAGGAGCCTTCTGACATAATTGGGTAACTTCTGGGGTCAATAAACCAAGTAAGTTGAATGCCATTTCTTTCTGGGAGAAAGTACGAACACCCATCTTTTCAATACCTTCAGCAATGATGTTGTTAGCACTCATCAAACCAGTACCTCTGGTCCAACCAATGATAGCACCACAGACAGTTAATTGATTAGCCCAGGATTCGGAATGCCATCTATTAAATAATGTTTCTAAAGATAACTTAGATTCAGAGTATAAACCGTCGGCACCAAAAGTACCGTGATTTGGAGACATTGGTAAGATAACTTGAGCTGGTCTGGTTTCAATATCCTTGGCTGATTTATGTTTTGTAACATAACCCATGATTCTATAGATGTTGGTTAACATGATTCTATGAGCAAATTCAGATTTGGAATCAATATTTTGCAATTCAATACCATTTTCTGGAATAGCGGCGAATGGAATAATAGCATCTAAATCCCAACCTAAACCACCATTCTTTTCATCATCATAAATGTAGTCAATAAGAGCTTCACAATCTTTCTTGGAACCTTGGTTAAATGGAACAACAATTAAAGTAGATCCTTTAGCACCATATTTGGCGTATAATCTTTGGAAATAGTCTAAAGTTGTCTTATTAAAGGAGAAGGTAGTAACAACAACTTTGGCACCACCTTGTAATAAACCTTGCAAGATTTCACCAGCAATGGAACCTTTACCAGCACCAGTAACCAAGATATATTTATCCTTGAAAGTGGTACCGTTGATGGCAGCGTTTTCCAAACCGTCAATAAATATTTTAGACGATGTTCTATCGTATTTCCAGGAGCCGTCAGCTAACTTCTTCTTAATATGTAGGAATGGAACAGTAGCTCTTGGAATGGTAGAAGATATAGCACCAGTGGCCTTTGGTTTATTTGATAGAGATGCAACTTCCTTGGTAGAGTCCTTATCCAAATCATCATCATCGTTAATACCGGCAGTAGTTTGGGTTGCATCAATTTCCTTGGAATTGGATAAGAATTTGATTAATTCTCCATATAACTTTTCAAACTCCAATTTAGTTGAATCAGAAATATTGTGTTCTGAAGCTTGGGCATTAATAGCCTTGTAGACACGAGTTAAATCTTGTTCAATAGTTGGTTGATCTTCTTTGGATAATGGACCACCAAGGGCCATTTCTTGAACATATTGGGAGAATTTTCTGACTTTTTCCCTTGGAGCCTCTTCATATTTGATGTTACCATTCTTGTCAATAGTGGTTTTGGGACCAGTTGGCTTAGAAATATCTCTGTAAACAGGATCAACATCCAAGACCTGTTTACAATTTTCGATTAATTGTTCACCTAAAGACTTAGCTAATTCATAATTTTCACCCTTAGAGACATCTGTATGAGTAATATGATATTCCATAAATCTGATCAAAGCCTCATTAGATCTGTTCATAATGTTAATAGCTTCAGAGACTACTTCTCTGTCTACGTTCTTTAGAACACCATGAATGATTTCAAAGTATAATTGTAATAAGGATTGTTTAGCCCAGTTCCAGGAGGAATCAAAGACTCTAGCCTTCTTCCTAGAAAAGTTGGTGGTCAAGGAACTGATATAGAATTCTCCCATTTCTTCAGTCAAGAAATCTAGTTGCTCTTGTAAAGAAGTAACGGTATCCTTTTCCTTTAAGTATTTTCTTTCCCCATTATTTAGATCCATTTTCAAGTAACGGGCTAGTACTTCTAATTGTTGGCGTGCTAAAACCTTGTTGTCCTTAGTCAATTCATCTAGAGCGGCAGCATCGATCGTAGCACCACCAGCACCAGCACCATTAGCAGCTGTAGAAGAGGAAGCAACAACAGCTAAATTGATACCGACCATACTTGCATACTTTTGGGCTTGTTCATCCAAGAAAGCCTTTGCATCAGCTTCAGAGCCAAGACGAGAAGCGGGTTCGTTAGTCAAGGCTACCAAAAGAACAGAATCCTGTCTACCACTGGATAAACCCCAACGAGTTTGTAAGTATTTTCTGGCTACGGTGATTGTGAAACCACCAGGCATCTTTGAGGATATTAATCTGGAGATTAAAGATGAAGACTGTTTACCTAAAGAACCAGAGAAAGAATCTTGGAAAGTTTCAGCTAACTCATCTAATGGAGTCTCTTCTGGTTTTTCTGGAGTAGTGCCGAATTCTTTACCTAGATCACCAAGAATTTCATTTTGGACAGTAGATTTACCACCAACTAAATCTTTGATGGTTTTGGACATTGGAACTGCGTCCAAAGATTTTTTTAGTTTTTGAGCCACTAGAGTATGTAATACTAAAGCAGCAGTAGCTGGTTCATCTGGTATTTCAACAGCAACAGTTGGAGCAGGGGCAGCAGCAATTGGTGCTGGTGCTAGTGCCGGTACCGGAGCTAGAGTTGGAGCAGAAATCTCTTGTTGTTGTTCTGGTTGTTTTTCCTTAGAGTCTGCAGCTAATTCAGAAAGATCTGGAGTGTAATAAATTTCTTTAGCATCTTTAGCGTAACAAAGAACTTGTCTTTGCAAGGATAAAGCAGCATCATAAGATTCATAATTATTTTTTAAAGTTCTCTGGGCCATCCCAGCCAAAGTTGGAGAAGGACCGATTTCAACTACTCTTTCGGTGTTTAAATCCTTTAAAAAGACATCCTGGGTTTCAATCCATCTAACTGGAGATGCGAATTGGTAAGCTAACAATTCAGTCAATAAGACATGAGCTAATTCTTGCTCAACTTCAGGTTTCATAACCATCTTTTTCTGTATTTTTGTTTCTTTATTTTATTTTCTTTCCACCACTGCTGTCTGATGAAGCGGTTTCGAAGTGGATTGAGTTTATGAGCTAAACAAGTTATTAAGGTCGACAAAAAAAAAGCAATTGGGTAAAATTGGCAGGAACAAAGAGGAGACGAGTGCGACCGAGAAGGACCTGTTCTCGACTCAAAAATGCAAGTACACAAATATATATAGCTATAGATAGATCGATGGATATGTTAGTTGTTTAAATATACCATTTCCAATTCTACATAATTTTAGGACATTATACCACAGTCAAAAACTTTTGTGGGAAAAAAAATAAAAAAATAAAATAGTGCTGTCAATTATTTTGTCTTTTTTTGCATGTGCAAATATTCACTCAACAACTATGCATGTGAAAATACTAAATTCCCTTTCCTCTGCAAAAAAATTAAAAAAAAAAAAAAAAAAAAAAAACAAAAATAACAAAAAAAAAAAAAATAAAGAGAAAACTTTTCGTGAGTGCACCGTTTCTCTTCTTTTTTGCTGTTTGGTCTTGTGTTATTATAACTCGATTACTATAAAAAGAGACATTTCTTTTTTTTTTCTTCTGCCACTTCGTTGGTTTGTGTCTTCCTTACATTTAACGGTATTTGCTTGGTCAATTACTGTAAGAGTTTTTGTTTGGCTTGGTTCTGTACGGAACAGTATTCAGAATATTGTACCCAGAAGAATAATAACAAGCAAGTGTTGTTTATTTCCTATTGAATTTCCCAAAAACGTATAGAAAAAAAGCCTTTCAGGTAACTGTATAAATTAGCTATAGCTGGTTAACTCAATTCTAACTACCTATAGTTTTTTTTTCTTTAGGATCATTTACCGTAGTTGCGACTACACCAAATGTATTCACAACCCCACAGTTATGTAGTCATCATGAACAAATAAGAATGATAAATTATTTTGTTTATTTATTCATTTATTTGTTTGTTTTTGCTATATTTCCTGGAAACTAGTTTTTGGTAGATCGATGTGATTATTTCCTTCTTCCACCCTGACTTGTATATATATATATATATATATATATATATATATATATTAATTTGGTTACAGTGTTGGGACTAAAATATTAGGAATATATTTGTATGTAAATGTTCTCTTGATGTTTATTTTGCAATCTAGTAAAGTTTTTTATCGCATCGACTCTTGTACATTTTGTAGTTGAGAAGAATGAAGATAATTGGAAACTTGGACATATTCACACAAATTATTATATTTAATGATGTTACATATTACTATTGTTATTGTTATTAATATTATTATTTATAATATACAATAAAAGAAAGAAATGAACGCTTTATTTTTGGTTTTTTTTTTTGTTTTTTTTTATCTGTTCAATAAAAGAAATAAAACAAAACAAAATACAATCAGTTTACAGAAGTATTCATTAAACGAAACTAAATTATGGATTATAAATTACATTATACTGAGTTTATAATTCAGAATGTGATGGACAAAAGAAAAAGAAGAAAAAAGTGGATGAATGAATGGATGGGTGAATACATATTAGTATCAGTAATAATGATGACAATGGAAAAAGGGTTAATAAAAATAGTCGTAATAATACTGGTAATAATGAAACAAAAAGTTAATCAATATGTAATATAGACAAATGAAATATCAACGAGTCTTAACAACAGATGGAACAACAACAACGACAACAACCACTGCAAAAATCAAGAAACAAATAATGTAACATCTCATCTTGTTTCTTCTTGCCCTTTTGGCACTCTTAACAGCTTTATTAGTATGGCCTACACCTTGTTCTACATCTTGTTGTGCGTCCTCCACATTCTTATCTATAACTTCGATATTTTCTTGTTGTTCAATGACTAATTCTTCCATATCATTGAACAATTGGTTTAATTCAGCCATGGTCTTCTCCAACTTTAATAGTTCTTGATGTCTGGCTTGCACTTCTGCTAATGCAGTCTTAGCCTCACCACGTCTATTTGCGTTCAATAGAGCCTGAGAAAAGATTTGTTGTCCGCCAACATCGTTGATTGCAGCCTCGACTTCCTCGTCAGTAGCATCGGGTTGAATAATCTTATACTGTCTCTTTGCTTGTTCTTTATTTTCGTCTTTATAGTTGGAATCGATAATTCTATAGTCCTGAATCAATTTTAAAAATTTTTGTCTAGAATTCTCTGCCTGGGCATGCTTATTGGGATCATTCAAAGCCAACCTTTGCGCATTTTTAATATCGGTTTTTAGAGTGTACTGTAAATCTGAGGCTTGCGATATGAAATTGTCAAGAGAATGTCTTAAGTTCATTTCGTTCTCCTCACTGATTTCAGTCAGCAACTGTTTATGTAGATTATCGATTTGGTTGATGATTGATTCATAATTACTCAAGTTGTTATTGATGTTATTAATTTTATTCATAAACGAGACAAAATCAGTACCATCCTGCTGTTGGGAAGTGGACGTATCTTGGTTAGTTGCAACGGTAACTGGAGCTCTATTGAGATCTTCGTTCATTTCATATTGGTCTTCTTCATATGGATTTGTATTTCCATATGGATTCGTGGTGTTTGTGTTATTATTATTATTATTATTATTATTGTAACTCATTCTATCTGTGTTTTGCAACAAATTGCACGTGATTCTATAGTCCTTATATCAGTTATTTATCAATTAATCAAAACAAACAAACAAACAAAATGAATAAAAATAAAATTAAATTAAATTAAATTAAATTGAAAAGAGGATTATGGTTTTGGTTTGGTTAATTGAATGATATCTATCTTTTTTATCTTTGTGTTTTGTTTTATTATAATAGTACCTGCAAGTATGTAACTTTTTAAAGCAAGACGTATGTATATATTTAAAGAAAGAGGGCTGTGTGTAAGAAGCCATTTGAACGTAAAAAGTATATAGGAAAATATATAGCTGGAGAAAAATAAAATATACACAAAAATGGTAAAACAAAATAAAAGAGAGAGAAAAAAAAAAAAAAAAAAAAAAAAAAAGAAAAGAAAAGGAAAAAAAAAAGTTGAAAAGTCGAAGAATCGTTAGACCACAAATTGTTATTAAGAAAGAAGACAGAAAGGTACACACAACTCTACATGGCAAGTTATAGGGATAATAATGACGATAATTGTAACGATAATGATAATAACTAATTAATTGGTTGATAAGCTAATTGCAAAAACAATCAATCAGCCAGATAAACTGGACGAATTTCAAGACTTCAAAGTTCCTCAAAACGAAGAATAAAATGAAATAAAATGAAATAAAATGAAATCTGAAAAAGAATATATAACACGATAACAGCAGCGAAGATTGTGGGGCCCGCAAAACGGCGAAAGTGAAATACTCCAAACACCCATACACCATTCACGGTTATAAAGGACTCTTTCCCCCCCTTTTGCTTTTTCAAGTGTAATTTGTGTTGGTAGACAAAAGCGAAAAAACAAAAATAAAATAAAATAAAAAATTAAATAAAGAAAACGCAGGAAGCAAAGACAACAGATTTCCACAAACGGAATATTGAAAACAACAACAACAACAAAAAAAATGAAAAAGGAATAAAGACCTAAACAGAGCGGGAGAAATGGAGCTTAAAAAAAAAAAAAAAAATAAAAATAAAAATAAAAGATTTAGTGATATTTATCATAAATTGTTGAAGTTATCATAATGCAGGAATTGTTTTGCTCATTTGTGACGAGTATAATATTTGGCCCACTTATTTAATGTTGTCACATCTTCTCTTAGCTGTGGTAGTTTGTCTATACTCTCGTGCAACTGTTTAATTGACTCCTCTAGTGACTCACATAGTTCTGTTTCATTCAAAGCGTCAAAGTTTGTATCTACTATATTTTCGTCAATGGCACGAACGCTAGTGTCACTATTAGTTATCTTATTGATTCTTTTATCTAATTGATTCAAGTATTCCGTCTCTCCTTTACGATATATCTCATTCATTAAATCAGGCGCTCGTTGGCGGATCTGAGATACTTGTACACTATAATCTTCCCATTCTTGGTATTTTTGTCTAACCTCTTCATTTAACTTTACATCAAACGGTTCTAAATATTTGGCTTGTGATTCTCCAATCACATCCCCCAGTTTTCTTCCTGATATATCCATGTTACTTATTACTAATGAATATGCTGCCTGATCAACAACTAATTTCAAATATTCTTGTAAATTTAATGATATTTCTCTACGAATGGGATCATCTTGTAACGATATCTCATTGTCATTATCACTCCCTTTGTTTTTATTTTTATTTTTATTTTTATTTGCTGGCAATATCGTTTGAATTTTAAATTCTAATTGCTCCAACAATTGGTCACTGATATACCTAACTTGTTCAATAGGTACATACACTTTGTCGGCTCTATGTGATGAACTCATGTTTTATTTCTTGAATATATATATATATATATATATATATATATATTTCTTGTCTACTTTTATTATATTTTGCTTTCCCTTTCTTTTTATTCTTTTTTTAAAAATATTTAATGTCTTAATATTTACTCTATTAGTTTGATTCTTTTTTTATCTTCTCCATTTTTTTGCATTAGAACTTACTGTTCTAATAATTATCTGTATATGTTTCTATTTCTTCCATGTTACATCAAAACAAAACAAAAAGGTCAAAGAAAAATAAAAAAAATAAAAAAAAATACATAGAATAGATACTTTTTTTTTTCTTTTTTTATTTCAAAGGCATAAAAAGACAAATGTTAAAAAGAATCATATTGGAAAGTCTTGTTACTATGATTATTACAATGATCTGATATGGTGGGCAACCTTACATATAATTAAATAATCATACATTTTTCAAAAATATTTAAACTAGCACTAATACTCTTTTTAAAAGTATAGAAAAAAAAGCAGTTTTTTCTGTCCTGTTTTGATCCCTTTCCTCTAAGCTAAGAATAATACACAACATATATATCCCCGAAGATATACAAATACATTTCTACATAGGCTAAGATTAATAATGTCATCTGAAGTCATGACTAATCCGTATGCACCACTTTATGCCCCATTTTTTGGGTTCGCTGGTTGTGCAATTGCCATGATCCTATCAAATTTGGGTGCGGCTATAGGTACCGCTAAATCTGGTATAGGTATCTCTGGTATAGGTACTTTTAAACCAGAATTGATTATGAAATCTTTAATACCCGTAGTCATGAGTGGGATCTTAGCTATCTATGGTCTAGTGGTTGCTGTTTTGATAGCAGGCAATATTAACCCTCAGAATGAATATACTCTTTTCAATGGATTCATGCATTTAAGTTGTGGTTTGTGTGTTGGGTTTGCTTGTTTGAGTAGTGGGTACGCCATAGGTATTGTTGGTGATATTGGGGTTAGGAAATATATGCATCAGCCAAGATTATTCGTTGGGATCGTTTTGATTCTTATCTTTTCTGAAGTCCTTGGTTTGTATGGTATGATTGTCGCATTGATCTTAAATACTAGAGGTTCTGCTCCTCAGTAAGTAAACACGTAGGAGTATCAGATATACATATATATATATATAAGTGTACATATAAATATAAACAGATGTGAATACATTATCTTTCGCTTACTATCTCTTTTTAAAAATTATAAAGTAATATTAAAAAGATGATGATGACGATAGTTTCCAAGATAATAGGACACTCACTAATTTTGTAATATACAAATGACATAAATAGAGATGAATTTACCCCTTTTTTTCTTTCTTTTTTTATTTTTTTTTTTCATCTAAGCTTATATTTATTCAGTTGTGTCCATAGCACTGTCGTCAGTAATTGGTGCAGTTGCAGTGCTTGTTGATATGGTTACTTTCCCCTTATCGTCAATATATTGTGATTCATTTTCTTGGACATATTTCACTGATCTGGCACTATCTAAGAATAACAAATAGGATCTCTTAACATCTTCCACTTCTACAATATTGCTCTTCCTCTTTAATGAAATTTGTTGAGCAACCGAAATCAAATTACTACTATAGCGTAAACTTGTCTCTACCCCTGTCTTAGTTAATAAATCTAATGCATCTGGGGATAATTCAACTTCTTCCTCCTGCGCTCTGATTGATAAAATAGCTTTAATTTCCTGTTCATTGTAATTCGATGTGGTAATGATAATGGATCTGTCAAGTAAATCTAATGGTAACCCGTGTGGAGATTTGTAATTGGTTCCTCTGGTTGTTGAGATACCTCTATTCGTAGCCATAATAATAATTGGAGCAAATTCGTCTTCTAAAGCTCTATTGATGAACGAAAAACATTCAATGTCTAGCATGTGAACTTCATCAATAAACAACACACCAGGAACTATCTCTGCTTTCCCTTCTTCTTTCCATTCTGCTACTTTAGAATTGATTTGGTCTCTTACTTCAGATCTTATTTCACCAGTGTCACCAGTGAATAAAGCAAGGAATCCTTGAGTCCTAGAATTGATAACATCAATTTCATGTAATGATACTGTATGAACTACAGATTTTCTTTTTTGCAACTCACCCTCTGGACATTGAACAAATCTCGTGTCAGCTCCCATTGCATCGTAATCTCTTGACCTAGCAAAGGATCTACCTAATTTAGTAATTTTCCCACTAGCTTTATCAATAGAAATAACATCACCAGCTAAGACTTTTTCTTTCGTTAGTCCATCAATCATTTTATTCCCTAGCTCATAAATAGTCTCCATATCAGTGGTCTTGATGGTCAATTTTCCTTGTTTATGGCCACCAGTAATCGATCTGTCGATTTGAATCTCAACAACCTCACCTTCAATTAATTCAGTTTCTTCCTTGATTTTGATACCAATAGATTTTCTAAAAGCTTGAGTTAATGCTTCAGTCTTACTCAATTCCAAAGAGAATACTTCAGAGCCAGCAATGGTGGTAAATGGAACATCTTTGCCTAAAGATTGGGCAAGACCCATGGCCAAAGCAGTCTTACCAGTGGAAGGTGGACCAGCTACTAAAACAGCTCTACCAGCAATTGTACCATTTTGAACCATCTTCAATATTATACCGGCAGCACGTCTAGCTTGTAGTTGGCCAACCATACCTTCGGCAGACTCTCTTGGTTGTAGGTTGTCATCTAAACCCAACCCAGTAATATGGGAATGAGATGCAATCAAAGAAAGTGATTTTAAGGAGTCTGAGTTTTCTGAGTTATCACTAGTTTGAATGGACATTTAGTGAATTATTAATTAGTATTATGTAGTGTTCGATTATCTAAAGGCTAACAGAAATGTTCGTCCTTGTTATTATCATAAAAAACACTTCGGATAAAAATACAGAAGATAAAGGGAAGTAAGATGAGGTCTGAGTTAGTTCTGTGTAGAAACCCAAGCGTGTATATTAACATCAAGTTGAATAAACACATTACATTCTTACTTTTATTTCTAATGGATTGTAAATTTTTATTTAATATTTTTTTTTTTATTTTAGAATTCAATTTATTTTTCGAGTTTCCACATTGAGGGATGGATGGGCCCTTAAATTTTATGGAAGATTTCACATTAGGATTAATGAATTATTAAAATACCCTAAGCATTTTATGGTTAAAACAAAAAATTAAATTACTTTGTCCTTCAAAGCCCTAGTTCAATAACATAAAAAAATGTAAAGACAAAGAATTTGCTATTTTAAATGATTTTTTGAACCGTATAAGTAAGCAATCTGTCATAAATAACACAAACAAAGAAGCACAACTGATGAGTAATTATGTATCGTTTTTATGTACTAAGATGATTACATGGTCCATTGTGTGCATGTATATATAGATAAATTAATATATATATATAATATATTAATTTATCAAAAAAGCTTGCTTTTGTGCGATTTTAAAGTGTCAATAAGAAAATTTTCCATTATGTCTTACTTTCTTGGTTAAGGTTGTAAAATGGATTATCCTAAAACTTTATATAAAGAATTTGCTTCAAATAAGACTTGAAATAGCACAAATATATCCATCTATAGAAATCAGTAGTATGGAACAATTCTGGTAATTATTCAAGACATCTTCTTGTATCAGTATCTTGAAGGAAAAAGTTCATTCTTTTGAACGTGTTAAAGGAAAAAGTTACTCCGAAAAAATCACTTGTGTCTAAAGTTTATCAAAAATAAATAGGTTCCGATAAAAGAAGGAAGAAATTGATGTCTGTGATATGCTAGAACTAGCAAGCATATTTTGTTTTAGAATGAACTGTTGGTTATATTTATCATTTAAAAATGGGAGAAGGGTTGAAATGTCTATTTGTCCTTTTTTTAATTTGAAATTTAAATTTATATCAGCATTTATAGTATGCTGGAGTCAATTATTGATACAATATGCAGTTGTTGCTACCCAATTTGGGATCATTCAAATTCATATATAACAGTTAATGGGAGGAAATACAGATTAAACGGATTGTTAAGTGAAAATACTCTATCTTTCACATATATGGTTTCTATTCAAAATGCATCAAGTAGTGTACTGATAGATCAGGATTTCGACACTAATAGATTGGTATTAAAACAGATCATTTGTCCATTTGGAAATATTGAGAATATATCAGATGCCTTGACAGAGATTAAGAATTATAAGACTTATAATTCTAAATATATTATAAAATACATTGATTCTGAAGTTCTGCAAAGTTATGATGGTTCTAAAACCGTTGTAATTCTTTTACCTTATTATCCCAGAGGGCCTCTCAAAGACTTACTTAGTCTTAATATTTTAAATGGAGTAAGTAGTATGTCAGAGAAAGAAATAGTAAGGTTGATGATTGGTATATGTAAAGGATTACTCATATTACATGATCCAACTACAAATGAGGAGTTTCAAGATGAGGAAGATGAAACAAGTTCAGTTTTTATGGAAATCGATCGAGATGCAGCTTCATATTTAATTGATACTCCTTTGGAGATGGGTTTGTTATCATCTCCAAGGAGTAGCTTTGGTTCTTTGATACATTTGGATATCGAGCCTTCTTCTATTTTACTCTCAAATGAAGGTACTCCTATTATATCACAGTTAGTATCTATATTTTCTAATGATATGGAGTTTAAATCTGATGTTGATGTTGCTAGATTCAAAGAATGGGTATCGTGTCATTGTAATATATATTATACTGCACCTGAAGTGATTAATATAAAGAAGAATTCGATGATTGATTGTTCAGTGGACATTTGGTCTCTTGGTTGTGTTTTGTACACACTGATGTTTGGAATCTCGCCATTTGATAGAGAAGAACAGATAAATGGTCTGTCTTTGCAGCATAATATCTCTAATGGGCTGTATAGTATCCCTCAAGATGCCCCATATTCACAGGCTTTAGTAGACATTATAAAATCTTGTTTGAAAATTGATGCAATTTTAAGACCAACAACTAATGAGTTACTGACTCAATTACAAACTATATCAATTTGAATTTATTGGATAGAAAAGTACTAGAATGAAATACATACTTATGATATAATACCTTTTGTGATGGGAAATTTATGTCGTCGAAGAATATGGACTTTTTTTTGATACATTTATCATTAAAATGATTTGTTGTTAATCTTTAAAACCAAAATATCGGTGGAAGACTGGTTAGGGAAAAGCATAAACTAACTTAAACCTTTTATTTAATGTTTCAATTATAGCAAGAATTTTCAAGATAAGATTTATGGTAGGTTATTTCATTTAATTTAAAAAAAAAAAGTAATATCCTTACAAAAAATCATTATGTATATAACTATGATTTGCCTTCTAACTGAGATAGAGTTTTAAGAAAATAACACAAAAAAATTATACTCTTATAAGAAGCGTTAACCTTTCCAGTTTTGTTTTGTTTTGTTCTATTTTATTTTATTTTATTGATATGTATTTGATATATACATCTATATAGGTTCGGTTTAATCGTAATTTGATTATTATACTACAATTTGGTTTTTATAAATTAATTTTATGACAGATGGAAATAATTATATACGAATAATAAAGTTTGTCATTTTCTATTTTTTTTTTCTTCTTTTAATACTATATAATATTCATTAAAAGTATTCTCATTAGTAGTAGTAGTAGTAGTTATTAGTATGATTGTTTTTTTTATTACTATTATGTAAAAATATTTCTATTAGTTGTTTACATTTTTTTTCTCTTACCGACAGTGGCTTGGAAACCTGTTTTAATAGAAGAAACAGATCTTGTGGAACCACAACTCTTACAAACCATGAAAAATAATCTATTTGATTGTTCTTTCTTTAATTCAGTGTTGATACTCTTACATGTTTTACAAGTGACATATTCTAAAATGTATCTTCTTAAAACATTTTCCATTTGTTTAGATTGGAATTTACCTTTAATAACTAGCCTCTTCTGCCCGTCCACGGAGCCGGATGTACCCAATTCAGCGAATAGATATTGGATTAAATGGTCTGGAGATCTTTGTAGTTTTTCAGAGATATCTTGGATATTAGAGAAAATAGTCTTTTTACCATCACGCAAACAAACTGGAGGTGGGATTCTGAACTTGGGACCAGAACGATCACCAGCCAACTCTGGGTTATTAGTTCTTAAGATATTAAAAAAACGAGACAATAATTCGTTGTATGGTAAGCCAACCTGTTCGTTAGCGGCAGGTTCATTATTTGGAGTTTTAGTTTCTTCAGTGACACCAGCCTTGGCCAATTCTTTTTCGAAATCGTCAAGACTTGCTTCCTTGGACTTCTTCTTTTTCTTCTTCAAAGTTAATTCACCAAGGGCTTCAGAGACCTCATCTAAATCGGTGGAGGAAGTGGAATCCTTGGAAGAACTGTTCTTAGACTTCTTCTTTTTCTTTTTTAAGCCAGCAAAGATATCTTCTTCATCACCGCCATTGGTGGAAGTGGAATCATCTTTTTTGATTTCGGCATCAAAATCTTCTGGGGTGACTTTCTTGGACTTTTTCTTTTTCTTTAAAGCAGGGTCAAATCCTAATTCTGCAGCTAAATCAGACATGTTTTATTTCTATCTATTTGTTATTTTTTAGTTAATGATATATTTATAAATATAATACAATATATCTATTTATTTATTTATCTCTTCCAAATATGTGTAATATAGGTACACGTCAATACAAGTAGTTGCTCCCCACTATCAAAAGAGATGTCAATGACTAATAAGATTATTGTACAGATAGCTACTTTTATTAATAGTTTGTATAAGTTTTAAATCCATTATAGCTTATCTACAATATTCTACTGCCAGAATGAAAAAAAAAAATAGAAGGTTTCCAATTGAAATTTCTTGAAAAATTTTTCAGTTGAGAGTATTTCCTTTCTTTTCTTCTTTCTTTCTTTTTTTGTTTTTATGTTTTTTTTTGTCCTTTCCATCGTGAAAAAGAAAGAAAAGAGAAAACACAGAAAAAAGGACAGAGAAGATTGTTGACCAGACAATGGTTGTGTGCGGTGTGTGGGTGTTTCTGCCTTGTGAACAGTTGAATATTTTACTTTACCTCTAGTATTTTTATGTGAGCATATATATAAAACACAATTACGTGTGCATATTATATGTACATGCATGTATATGTATATGTATATATAACGTTGGTCAATATGAAGAAAAAAGACAGGGGCAGGGGTAGAACATGCAATGTCTCTGAATGTTTTCTATTAATTAGGCTTTCTCTTTTGCATATAAATGTATAGTATATAGGTATTGATATAGGTGTGGGTACAGGTATAGTGTGTATCTTCTGGTTCTATCTTCTTCTTATCTCGGGGCTTTTGAATTTTATCGCAAATTTAATGTACAAGGAGAAAAGATTTTTTTTAGATTCTTAATATTTTTTTCCTTCTATAAATGTTATTATTACTATTATTATTATTCAATATTTAAGTTTTTAGTGGCTTCACTTAATACTTCAGTAGCTTCTTTAGTGACATCTTCGATTTCTGTACCTTTTGATACTTGTACATCTCCTGCATTATTATCATCCTCTTCCTCGCTTGCTGGCTCCACATCGTACTTCTTTAAGAAATAAGTTTCAACTTCTTCTTTATTATTATTTTCTGCTTCAAAAATAGCATCATGGCCAAAACAGTTTTTGATAAACGGATCGGCTTCAAATTCATCACATAAAAGTTCAACAATTGGCTGATGTCCATTTAATGCAGCCCAATGCAATGCGGTATTACCTGTTTCATTTTGTAAATTGACATATTCTTTCAGTTGGTCCTTTGGTATTAGAGATAGTATATATTTAGTAGTCTCTAAGTGTCCATTACCACATGCCATGTGTAATGCAGTAGATTTGGAAATGGAGTCTCTACACGTTTGCAGCATACATGGATCAATCAACGTAGTGAATATTTCTTTTAAAGAATCTAAATCTCCAGCTCTGGCATCTAAAATAATGGCATCTTGATCTTCTTGGTCCAGTGGTTCTTTATGTAAACACATCTTTTATGTCCTGTAGTATCAGTTTTATAAGTATAGTTTCACAGTCAAACAAATATATATCACCTCTATGGTTGGATTTGTTTAATTGAAAATGAATATGTATAAATGTTAGTCACCTCTATATTGGTGATTGAGTGTATATGTCTTCAAATATGTTAGTAATTTATTTTATTTTAAATTTTTTTTTTTTGGTTTGGTTTGGTTTTTCGATATGTGAAATAAAAATCTTTGTCTTTGAAAAAAATGAGAAAAAATGAAAAAAGAAACGTTTTTTTTTTGACAGAGAGAGAAAGGGAGGGCTCAAAGGAGGATAGAAATTTGAGATGAGATCAAAAGTGACATTGCATATATCTGTAGGCGTATTTGTATCTAGTCTCGAAGAAAGAGGGCAGGACTTAATGGTGTATTTTTGTGTTAGATAATTGGTCATGAATGGAAATAGAATTAGACTAGAGATAAAAAGGTTACAAAATGAAGTAGAATTTATAGGTGGTTCGGAAAATGACAAGACTGATCACGAAGCTTTTATACGACTTCGAGATGAAATTATTCGGTTGAAACAAAAGATCAATCAAATGTCAAATAAATTATCTAAGTATGACTTAGAACATTATTCAGAAGATATAAGATCACTACTGAAAATTGTACAAAAACAAATGTTGACTTTTAATGATCAACCAAATAATAGTAATAAGAAGATATTGCATTTAAAAAGAAAACCAAAGTTTTGTGATACTATAAATAATAGGAAATTGTCAAGTATGACCCCACTTAATTCAATAACTACTAAAACTGTGAATGAAAAAATTGTAGTATCAGATAATGTCTCAATTTTACAGAATTTGAAGCATTGTCAAATCTCCTCAAGTTCGATAAGATGTAACGACTTAAGGGATATATCCGGTTCCCTTACCCTTTCACAAATAAGTGAAACTCGTATTATACTGCTTGATCTTCCGTTCACAAAAGGTAATATTTTCATTACAGATTGTATCGATTGTATAATGATTATACAGGTTCCTTCTAAAGACACAGTTCAGTTAAGATTACATAATTTACTAAATTGCAAAATTAAGATTTCTTTGAAAGAACCAATAACTTCAAAACCCGATAAACAGACTGTTGTTATTGAAAATATTAAAGACTGTTTATTTGATATAACATCCAAATCTATTATTACTATCGAAAACTTCAGTAATATTGATCAACGCAACAAAGAAGATAAAGATTATTTCTTTGGAGAATTTAATTTTAGCGCAGGATTAGATCCGTTGTCGTAGCACGATGTACATGTGTGTGTACAAAAAAGAGAGATTGGGGATCAGTTATGTATGATATTATCTTTTAAAATATAGGAAATAGATGGATAACTTATGTATCACAATTACTATGGTTCTTCTTCTTTTTTTTTCTACCTTTGTTTGGTCTCGTTTCTTGCCAAAAATAAATAAAATAGAATAAAATACAAGTAGTCTGATGCAATTATGTTTTCCAATTTGGGAAAAATGTAAATAAAGTAATAAATGAGGTTTGAGAAAAATAAAAACTTAATAGAAATATGCAATAAAGTAAAGAAATTGGAATATTGTTGGAGCAATTAAGAATAATGATGAAGTAAATCCTGTTGAACTCATAGTCTTCTAAGAGAATCTCTCTTATTTATTAATTAGCCTAGTACTCCTTGAAACTGAAGATTAACAAAAAACAAAAGCTAAAATCACAGTAACTTCATAATTCAAATAGATACTCCAGTTGTAATAATATCTTCATATATACCAGGTATATTAAAATGATTGAGTTGCGAGCTTCCCCTAATTCTAAGAATAAAAATAATCCCTTCATTGATCGGTATATTGGTAATTTAAACACCTCATCTGAAGCAATTACGCCATTGAAAAGTGTATCCCCCAATAAGTTGAATTTTCAGAAGGATATTTCAACTCCAATAAAGCCTATTAAATCATCTAATTATTTGTCTAGTACCAAAAATCTTTCTAGTAATAAAGAAAATCCATTAATTTACAATTCTAGAAGTTCTATCAAAACACCCTCTAATATTTCTTTTTCTAAATATAAACTAAATTCCACTGGTGAATCAGTAGATTTGTCAAAATATTCTAAGGAAGATCTCAGATATTATGAGTTTCTGTGTCGTGTAGCAGAAGTGAAAAGATGGATTGAAAATTTAATTAAAGAAGATTTACCATCAGAAATCGACTTGTGTGCTGGAGATGCTTTGAGAAATGGTGTGTATTTAGCCCAAATGGCACAAGCAATCAATCCTGATTTAGTTCTTACAATTGTACCTGCAGGCAACAAATTACAATTTAGGCATACTCAAAATATTAATGCTTTCTTCCTTCTTGTGGAAAATGTGGGCGTTCCCGATTCTTTTAGATTTGAAGCTCAAGATTTGTATAATAAAAAAGATTTACCTCAGGTATTTGAGACATTACATATCTTAATTACTATTATTACAAAGAAATGGCCAGGCAAAACCCCTACTTTGACAAATTTATCTGGACAAATAGACTTTGAGATGGAAGATATAAAAAAGTGTAAAAGAACGTGGCCTAGAATTCGGGATTTTAAATCTTTAGGAGTATCACCTTCCTCTAATTCAGTGGTCTCTTCCCCTTTCAAGGAGAAACCATCAGGATTAATTAGTGATTTCCAAAAATATGCTAAACCAGAGGTACATGTTAATGGACCAACAAATGAATTATTTACCACACCAACAAAAAAGATTCTTTACAGTAATAGTGAGAATGAAAAAAAAGGCAAGAGGAGTACAGATGAATATATCCTTCGAAGTATGCCAAAATTGAAATCGCCAGTATTTATTAGTAAGAATATTGCATCTCCATCAGCCGATTCTGATGCATATAAACCTTCATCACTTTATCTTCCAACACCGACTTTTAGAGATAGAAATATTTTTGAGAAAACACCACAACTAAGTTACAGTCCTATCAAAAATACAAGTCTTTCATATTATTCACCTTCAATATCCAAACATTTGTCATATGATACTGATTTTTTTAAAAGAAGAAGTCAAATAAGGAAAGAAGATTTGGAGTATTATAGAAGTTTTAATTACAGTCCTTCAAGATATTCTCCTGTACGCAGAGAAAAGATGACAGAAGATGAATACTTAGATAAAATTATTAAGTTGCAAAGTTATTGTAGAGGCTCCAACATTAGATTTGATCTTTACATGCAAGGAAGACTTATTGATTTATTTTATAATGACATTTGTTCATTTCAATCTATATGTCAAGGTTACAGGGTAAGGAAGTCATTAAACATTGGCAAACGACTATCATTATCACAGGAGGAGATCATGTTACAAAATAAATTGAAGGCTTTTGTATTAGGTAATCATACTAGAAAAGATTTGGATAGAGCAGGAATGAAATGTTTAAGAGAAGAGAAGATATTTACTAGATTACAAGCTATTACTAGATCAGTAATAATAAGGAGAAGATGTAATAAGGCCTTAAATGGCATGAAATCAATAAAACAGCCAGTAATATTTTTCCAATCATGTATAAGAGGTCATTTAATAAGAAAATCATCAATCAATGATTCATTAAAAAGAGATATTATTTGTTTGCAAAATAGGTTGAGAGCATCCATTATTAGGAAACAAATATCGATTCTTAGAAAAACTTTAACTCAAAAATTTGCTGATGAACTGCCTTTATTTCAAGCAAGAATTAGAGCAATATTCATAAGAAAGGATATTTTAAAACAAGTAATAGGAGCGAGAACATGCAATAAACAGATTATAAATCTATCCACAAGAATTAGAGGGATGTATGTTCGTCAAATATTTAACCAAATACAAATCGAAAGTAATGATACTTTTGATCGATTGGATAAATTTCAGGGTATCATAAGAGGTTTGCTAGTAAGATATGCACTTGATTTAGTGGATAATATTATTGAGAATAACAATCTAATTAATCTTCAAGCAAGTATAAAGGGTTTTTTAATACGATCATCACTCAATGAAAGAAATAATCTCTTCAGAAGGAATGAAAGATCTATTATGATGATTCAAAGTAAAATAAAAATGTATCTTCAAAGAAAAGCCTACATAGAGCTAATTGAATCTCCAAATCCATCGCTATATACTGTAAGAAAATTCACCTATCTTTTGAATAATATAGGAACCATCGAAGATGTCCAGAATGACTTAGAAAGTTGCCAAGCATCTTTGGATGCGGAGAATATGAAGAAAGAAAAGTTGCAAAAACAAATTAGAAAACAGCTAGACACATTAAAAGTGTTGGAAAAATATGGAATATTTGCTGATGACGATTACCATTTTTCTCATGCATGTTCTATTCCAAATTCAAAGTATCCAACAATGAGAAAGCTATTCTTTTTATTGCAAGTAAACCCAATATACTGGAGACAAATGTATATTAGTCATCCACAATTTGTTAAAGATAGTATATATCTTTCGTTTACTACTTTTAATCAAAAAATGGGGAATAGAGAAAAAATTTATTTTACTAGGCAAATTTGTGAGTTTTTGCAATATTCACTAAATAAATGTCACACAATTAATAAATTCCTGGTGACCTCAGGAGAATTTTGGGACTTTCTATTAAAATGTTTTTTTGAAAAGGAATGCTCAGCTTCATACACACTGTTCATTCCTGTATTAGAATATATTTCGAATACTACAATTAGTTTTGAAAGTGATCCAGGTATTATATATCAAAATATTTACGGTCAGCCTCCATCCGGTAATGTGGTTCCAATTGAAGATTCCCGTGTTAAAGAAACATTTATCGTAAATTTACGGAATTTATGGCATGGAATTGAAATAATTGCTGAAATATTTACAAGAAAATACCAATATATTCCAATCGAATTGAAATATGTTTGTACCAAAATGTTTGGTTGGGCGGCAGATCACAATTCAAATGAAATTGATTCATTAAGATGTGTTTCAAGGATATTAATAGGTACTTTTGTTAATTTATATTTATCAAAAAGCGAACTATTTGGATTTGAGAAATATCAAGACACGATTGTAAGGGATAAAATTGAGGTTTTAATCTCTTCGTTATCAACATTATTTGGATTTGTATCATTTGAAGGGTATTTTGAACCATTAAATCAATATAGTAATGAAATAATGCCACATATTAAGGATATTTTATATTCTCTCATGATTGGACCAGAATATGAACAAGATGGTGATAAAATGATATATTATGATATGTCATCAGAGACACCAAAGCTTGAAATCTTATCTCAAAAGGCTAAAGATATCTTCAAGATGTTTAAGGACAATTTGTATCAATATCCACAGGAAGATGTAATACACGAATTGTTGTCAAACAGTAAAGAAGACTTAACAATATCTAATGAAGGGCGTTTATTTTTAGAATTGAATCCATCCGTATATTGCTTTCTTGTGTCAGATGATAAAATGAGGAAGCTTTATGATCAAACCAAGCGTTCATTGGTATATATGACACAAATAGAGGATGTATCAACAAATTTGTTTGATTTAGTTGTTAGTTGTATTCTTCCAGAAGATGAGGTTGTTTTTCAGCATTTTTTGAGTGAGAATAAGCAAGTATCTGAGGATTCTGTCATTAAAACACTAGATAAAGTCAGTTATTTCAACTTAAAGCAATCAACCTTACGCAAAATCCATGAATTAGAAAATGCAAATATAATTTGTGCCACTGATAACAAACTGCAAAATATTCTTAATGATATTGCTAATACAATTAAAAATCCATACTATGCTATCAATTATGTGAAGCAAGAATTAGAAGTAACTCGAGTTACATTAAGTAAATTGTCGCACTTAAACAAAGAATTAGAAATTTATTTAAGAGAAATTAAAGAATTGATTAACAAAACGATTAAAAGTTTACAAAAATCAAGGAATTTTGTTCCTCATAATAGAAGTACATTTGGTAATATTAAAAATGCAGTTAGAAAAGTAGGTAATAAGGATATACCAGAATTAAATGGATTAAAATTCAAATGGACAGTGAGACAGTTATACGAGAATGGTGTAATTGAGAAGATTGTTGGCGAAAGACTTGGACAGCAGACAGTAAAAGTGTTTGGATCAAGTGGCCCCAAATACCCTGATATTATAATCAAAATATCCTCATCTAATGGTTCAGTTTTTGGGATTCAATTATTAGATAAACGTAAAGGTCCTGAAAAGAGACATTCGGATACAGTTGATTCATTTACTCTAGAAAATTTGGTTTCTAGTCAAGTTGATGAAGAGAAAAAGAAATTACAACTATTAAATTCCAAAGTAACATTCAACACTTCTAAATTATTACAATTAATCATTCAGACATTTTTTAAATAATTTTTGTAATATGTGTAGATAAGAATAATAACATATTAAGATTGGACTTTTAACAGATTAATATTCACTAGAACTATCTAAAGCAGAATTGTTGGTTGTTGTTAATTTGAGAGGTATATTATTATTTTAATCTAAAAAATGGGTTAGAGTCCTAATGTATTTGATTGTGCATTCTGCTTTTTTGTTAGTGAAAATGTATTTTTTTTATTTTTTTACACTTATTTATAATATGTTGAATTATTTAATTATAGAAGATAAATATTATAAACTTAATAATACATTCTAATTCATCAAGGTATTTAACGTCCAAATAAACCAAGAAAACCCCTTCTCTTAGGTGGTGTATTTTGTTTATTATCTGTAGAAGTGGATTTGTTATCAACTTGATTTAAAGTTGATTCAGGTTGTATAGGATTTTCTTGTGACTTATTTGTAATGGTCTTTGAGCTATTATCATATTGAATATAATTAAATGCAACATCAAAAAGTGATGGTTTAGCACCAACAGGAATTAACTGAGGTCTTAATGGGAATAAATTATCCAATTTTGCATCATTTAAAGTAATAGTTCCACCCAAAGTCAATTTATCTATAGTACTAAAATCGTATTTTGATTTTTCTACATTACGGAATTCACTCTCAAATTCTGCTAATGCAATGATGCTTGATAATTTTGCTTTTAAATCTGCAATAAAGTTTCCTAAAGCCTCTTTATTTATGATTTTGTGAGGAAGTAAGATGTCATCATTTGAAATAATTCCAGATTGATAATAAGTTTCAGTAATCTTTTGGTATGCATCTGTATATAAAGCTAAAGCTTCAATATTGAGATGTTTTAATTGGTAAAGATGGCCTAAACAAACAGCATTAACATGTAACGTAAAGTATATTTGAGTTAATTCCAACTGTGATAACAAATCATCATCAGAGTAAACACCTGGCAACTCCATTAAATCTTGTAAATATTTCTTTTTATTTTTCACTATTCTATCTAATTCTTTGTATTTTAGGATTTTATTTGTTAATAGAGGACCAATTTGTAACCATTCATTCCATAGTTGCTTAAATAAATCATTTTCACGAGAAAATGAGGTAAGGATTGTTTGATATTTAAGATATGCTAATAAGATTTGTTCATTTTCTTCGTCTTCAATCTCCTCATCATTATTACTGTTGTTATGATTAATATAGTTTTCTTGGTAAGACACACATGCTTCCCACTTAGCAATTTTATTACTGTAATCTGATATATGTTCCTTCGGAGCGTTTCTAGCTTCTTCAATCATTTGAGCTAAATGGTTATCATTAATAGTACATTTAAATGCTCTCCAATTGATATGTTTAATAGTGGTTTCATTTTCCTTCTTACTCATTTCAACGTCTTGAAAATCAATAGTGAAGCCATTGTTATATAACAAATTGATTAATTCATCCGTATATTGATTTCTTGGGGTTTCTTTGTTTTCTTTTATTTGGATTATAGTGTTGGTAATAAAATTATGTAAATCAATCGAGGACAATAACCCACCAGCATATTGCATTAAAGTATATTCGTATTTAGAACGAATAAAATCAAATAAATCTTGATTGATGATTTCCTTAGATACTAAGAATTGTAAAGCAGCAAAACAGGTAGCCAAGCCCTGAGAGATGTTATCATTTTCTTTTCTCTTAGCGGTTTTCCCATATAATAGATTTTCCACAACAATCAATTTACTAAAGATTAAATATTGGAGACGTATAATCCAATCCTCTTCATTTTTAGATAAATCCAATAAACGGTTAACAGATTTGACAGATTTTCTCAATCTTTCAGTGACCAATTTTCTTTCAGATTTTTTAAACTTTCCACGATTTCTTGCTCTTAACTTATATAATTCACAGATAGATAAATCTCTTTCAATGTATAGCAGTAAAAGCACACCAAAAAGCTTATTTTTATTGTCATAGTCTTCAAAGGTCAACTTAGAGAATTTTTCCTTTAAAGAGTAATGCTTGGTATCTCTTGTAGTTAAATTAAGCTTTCGTCTTAACTTCTGCAATTTTCTATTTAACTTAGAATGATATTTGATATAATCTTCTTGAGATTCCATAAATTGTTCCATACGAACACCGAATGTGGCGTTGATTGGAGAATATTTAGGTCTCACCATGGCTCAATCACTAAAAAAAAAAAGAAAAAAAGAAACTGGCAGTAGCTGAAAAATAATAATTGATTTAGTAATTGTTACCTTTATTTTTTGATTTCTTCTATAAAGAATAATATAAAAACAAGCAATTAAGGGCTGTGTTAAAAAAGTCTCTATGGGTAGTTGAGCAGGAAATGATGGTCAATTGGTAAACAGGTACCTATTTTTTCTAATGTTTGAAATAGCAGTGGTTAATCAATCTTTTCAAAACAAGTTTTATTTAAAAGTAAAAAAAATTTGTCGATTTTTTGTTTTTTGGCTGACCTTTTTTTGTTTTTCTCTATCCATTAGAAAGGCTGTTTTATTTGGTAGCGTCTACGCGAAAAAGAATCTGAGTGTTGGTCGAAGAAAAAAAAAATTCTTGAGCCGTCGAGTCGTATGTTATTGGTTATTGATTATTGATTACTATTACTGTTATTATTACTATTACTATGGTTGTCTAATGGTGGTGTGATGATAATTGAGAGTGGTATGTCAGGATTGCAAAGTTGGTAATATATGTTGCCAAAACAATGGATGACGATGATAATAATAGCCATAAGACTGGATAACACTCTGGGTCATTTATGAGCATTGTTATACTATAGTTGGGTTTAGTTGTTTGTTCGTGTGTATGTCACAAAAAGAGTAAGTAGTATAGGATTGCAGTTTGAATTTGTGACTTTTTCATTCCCAAGGGACAAAAATTATATTGATTAGTCTATAATATTATAAAATATATATATATATATATATATATTTTATAAGTAGATAGATAAATACTTATTACTTATCTTTTTTTCTGTTGTTTTTATTGTTTAATTTATTAATATGACAAGGCTTTCAAAGGGAACTGGGAAGGACAGAGGGAAAGATAATGAATTACAAAATACAAACATTTATATCCTATCCTTTTGTGTGATTGGTATTTATACCAGTTTTTTGACTTGGGCCCTAGTACAAGAACCCTTAAATACTAAAGTTTGGACTAATTCAAATGAAAAGTTCCAATGTCCTAACATCATTGCTGTATCTCAAGCTATTGTGGCTATGATCATGGGATATGTTTATTTGAAGTGGCAACGGAGTGAATATGATCCTTTGGACCTAATTAAAGATTATTCAAAGCAACTGATTTTGATTTCCTTTACTCAAAGTACTTCTACACCATTGGCTACTTATGCACTAAATTACGTAGATTACTTGACTTATATGTTAGCAAAATCATGTAAGATGATACCTGTATTATTGATTCATTTATTAATTTATAGGTCCCATATTAATAAAGAGAAAAAAATTGTAGCTATATTAGTCACATTAGGAGTCACAATATTCACTATAGGTGGGAGTAAATCTACTAGAAAATCTGTAGCTATAAATATTACTACTTTTGCTACTCGATTCAGTTTAAGTTTTTCACCTATTTGGTTTGGTTTTATGTTATTATTAATTAGTTTATTTTTAGATGGATTGACAAATGCTACACAAGATCATTTATTAAAAAGTGCCAACAAGAGCTCTAAAAATGACACAAATAAAGATGAAAATGATGAGAAAAGTCATACTAATCCAACTGATAAAAAGAACAAAAAAATAACTGGTGCTCATCTAATGTTTGCTTTAAATTTATTTATTATTCTTTGGAATATACCATACCTTTGTATTTTCCATAAAGAACAATTTAATAAAGCAATAAGGTTGATTCAATTAGATCCTCAGATTGGTTCGTATTTATTAGCATATTCTTTATGTGGTGCCATTGGACAATGTTTTATCTTTTTTACACTGGAAAAATACGGATCTCTAGTCTTAATTATGATTACTGTCACTAGAAAGATGATCTCTATGTTATTAAGTATTGTGGTATTTAATAAAAAAATTAATCTAACTCAATGGATTGGCATCTTTATTGTCTTTGGTGGTATTTGTTGGGAAGCAGTTAATAAAAGAAGAGCAATCAATTCCAATAAAAGTGAAACGAACAATAATAGTGGTTTTGGTATGGATAGGAAATTAAGATAATTATATTTATCTATCAATATATATATATATATATATATGTGTGTGTGTGTGTGTGTACGTACATAATTTTATAAAAGATGGTAAAAAAGAGAAATAATAGAAGAAAGGATTATTACTGCACCAATATCTATATTCTTTTATTTATGGTCTTTCTTTTATTTGGACAAAGTTGATTGCATAAGTCTTTTCCTTAATTCATCATCATATGCATAAACATATAACCCTTTTGTACCTCTAGTTAATAGAACATTTAGACTATTCATAATAATCTTTCTTTTAACATGTTCAGGATTTGATATATTCTTTTTTTTGGTGAAACCTGCGTGGTCGTCATAATATTCAGGTTTTAATTCCAAACAATCCTTTTTTTTATTATATCCTATCGATCTACCCAAGATTACACCAGCATAATTTAAATCAAACCCTTGTATAGTATATACACTACCAACTTCATCTATACTATCAGCTCTTTCACTCCATGGTAGTATTGCTCTTGGTTGATATCTGTCCCATCTCAATTTAAAGTTTGTCCCACAAGAGACAAAATAATCTTTTCCATCTAATCTATATGGGAAATCATATGTTGATAACATTCTACATTGGCCATATTTTTCGTTTAAAAGTTTTAAAGTTGAATACATTTCACCACAGTCATCCCATATTTTGAAATCAAATTCTTCACAATCAACTGGATGCTTAGGAATGACCCCATCAATGCTGATTTTGTTAATCCAGTTAAGAACATCATTGGGAGCAGCAACCCTAAATTGTTGCTTTAATGTATACCATTCCTTCATATCTTGAGGAATTAAATTATAAATATGATTTAAACTTGCGCCATTAGTATTAGTAGTCTTTGTATTGTGAGTATCTAAATCATCTTCCCAATATGACCCCATTCTCAAAGATTGTTTATCATCATAAACAATAATGATAACTTTTGTTAATGACATTAACTCTTTTAAGTGATTCTCACCATAGAATTTTTTAAATGGATCTTTTGAAGTAGCTAATAAATGGCCTTCATCTACAATAATTACATCTACAACTTTTTCAGATTTGACATTATTTTTATTTAATTTATTAACTAAAGAGGTTGGTCTTTCCAATGATGATTTTTTAATATATTTGAATTTTTGACTAATTCTATGATATAGTTTTAACATCTCTGGATGATTTACTACTAAATAATTAGTCGAACCATATAAGACAGAATGAGATTCTTCATTATCTTCGTGGTTTTTTACAATTGATAATTTTTGAATTTCATTAAACAAAGAATTTAAAACTACAGATTTGCCTGTGCCTGCATCACCTTGAATAACAAACATTGCAGGAAAGTTTGCATTATTATTATTATTATTATTATTATTATTATTATTATTATTATTATTATTATTATTATTATTATTATTATTATTATTATTATTATTATTATTATTATATTTGAGTAAATGTTTTTCAATGAATTGTATAATGTTATTTTTCAATTGCAATTGTTCGTCGGATAAAGTGACATTACTTAACTTATCCATAGAATTGGATTCGTGTAATTGTTCATTTCTATTTGTCTTGGCTCTTTTAAAACGAGCACGTTGTTTTGGATGTGACCAAGTCATCTTATCAATTGATAGGTAGGATGAGCGAAAACGGTTTATATCATTGGTTCATGTAAAAATACATAATATTGTCTAAAAAAAAGTCATTTGTATAGAATTATTATTTACTTCGTCATTAAATGGTTGTGACAATCATGGTTACATAATAGATATAGTTGTTGGAATTGATGTAGTTGGATAGGCCCCATCAAACTTTTTTTTTCCTCATCGATTTTCCAATTTTTCTCTTAAAAGATCAAAAAACATAATGACGTTTGTTTCTTTCTTTTGTTTTTTTGTGTGAAAAATAAAAAAATCTGAAGTTAGGGTTTTTCTAAATTGTGCAGTTATAAATGAACGTTATTATAATTTTCTATTAGGGTATGGGAAATATGTAAATCCATAGTAACTAAAATTTTACTCTTGGCGGAATTGTTAATTCGTTATTCTGGTTTTTCATTCCGTATAGAAATATTTGTTTCACGGTGGTGGGAAAAATACGGGAATGGAAAATCCTTAAAAAGAACTAAACAAAACAAAACAAAACAAAACAAACGAGCAAACAAGCAAGCAAAAAGGTGGAATGAAATAGAATAAAGATAATTTGAAAGAAACTTTCGAGGTTTCATATTTCATTGTAACTTTATTATTGCAACATTGTGTTTTAATGGATGTATGTTGCTTGTTCTACATGTGAATTAATTTTGTCTCGCAATTAGGTGCATAATAGGTAGATTGATTGATAGAATTGCAAACGTATAAGCAAAAAAAAAAAAAAAAAAAAAATAATAATAATAATAATAAAACAAGAAAAAGAAAAAGGTGAATATTAATATATGAAAGAGGCCTGTTGCATATGTAAGAATGGCGAAACCTATTAAATTCTTTAAACTGTATAAAAAATCATTTGGTGCGTTTTCAAGTGCTTATTTAATAGCTATTGTATTCGTATTTATCTGGTCTTATTGGGCAGATTCATGGTTTATTGATACTTCTTTTACACCAAATAATTTTTATGAGAATTTGTTATCTGGCAATATTCGTTTGATTATTACAAAAGTGACTAATTTTCCTTTAGATACAAGACAACACTATAGTAGTGATGGGACTAATAATTGTACTAGTTATTTGTTATGGGATTTATTAAATATAATAGTTTTGTTGCCAGGGTTATCACAATTTGAGAAGATATATGGTACTATTCATACTTTTTGTTTCTTAGGATTGATTTCACCAATTATTGGTGTTACATATTTTGTTATTGGACTAATTTTCTGTCCGGATAAACCTATTTATGGTATTTATCTTTGGAATTGTGTTATTTGGGGATATTTCATTGCACAAGAGAGCAAGCATGGTGCCACTTTAAATTTATTTGTCAACAGAAAGTGGAGAATCCCAATTACCTGGATCCCACTGTTCATTTGTTTAATATCCTCATTGTTATTTAATGATATCAGTGTTGTACCAGCCGTTATTAGTTTGATGATGGGATATTTGTTATTATTGATCAAGACACCAATATTGGATCTTTTGCTTCCACCTTCTTTTATATTAAGATTCATAGAAAACAAAATTTTTGGAAATGACATTAGTGGTAGCAGTATCTTATTTTATCATCATATTAAATATTATCCTGAGGTTTCCGTTAAGAAGGGCAAGAAATACAAATCATTATTTAGTGAGTATCCGGGCTTGCCTAAATCAAAATCGAAATTAAAATCGAAATTGAAGTCAAAGAATGGCAAAAAGGGAAAACTTAAATCCTCTAAGAAATAAGCAACTATCTGATACCCCTATAAAAGATATGTAGATGTATAATCAAAGTAGGATATCTGTTGTTATATTGTATATATGTATATATATATAGTAGAATAATGCGTTATTTGTATGAACTCGTTTGAAAGGTTGTTTTCTTTTTTTTTTGTTTTTAACTTTTTGACGTCGTGATTCTCATCTTCGGTTTTTATTTTCCCTTTAATTGTGTCAAAAAATGTTTTGAGATTCCTCGAACAAAACTGTCAAGCAAATAGATTAATGACTATGTAGATGTATAGTTATTAAAAATAGGTTTTGGTTTATGCTAGTCGGGTCTGACAAATTGTACATTTTATCCAGTCTATAGGTTTTAGAAAATTTATTGGAGTTTATTTATATTCATCTTATGGAAAGAAAAAGGGGGGGTAAAATTATGTTCATAAATAATAATAATAACAATAAAACCAACAATAATATGTCTGCATATTCTAGTTATAGTAACCTATCTAATTTAGATGAGGCCATTGAAGATAATATCACAAGTAGTAATAGTAGCATATATGTAAATCGCTCACCGATGTATTCCCCGTTAGATTATACTCACCCTATAAATAATATCACAGCTGGTAATATTTCAAATAATAATAATAGTAATAGCAATAATTTAAATGGATTTTCACAACAGATAGGCAATAAAAACGTTAATTATACTAAAAATGATCCAAATCTATTTTCCTCATCTAATGTTAATTATAACAATAGTATCACCAATAACAATAATAACGGATCCCTTTGTAATTACAAATTCCATTACCCACTATTTGGTTTAGATTGGAGTACTGATGATTTTGTCTGTGTGAGTTCATACAAAGAAGATAGTAAGAATAAATTGGAGATCATTAAATCAAATGACTTGTTTTCATGGAAATCAGTGGTACAAGCTGACGTCATTTATCCTATTAGCAATATTCAATGGTTACCTAGTCATATGCATTCAAGACAACTGGCTACAGGTTCTGATTCATTAAGAATTTGGTCCTTAAATGATGATATTGGCGTTTTACAAGAACAGATTAATCTATCTTTATATAAATATAAAAAGCAACATAATTATAGTATTGGTAATAAACAAAATTTTAGCACTGTCACAGCAAACACTTCTAATAATTCCTCATCCACTTCCCCTTTTAAATCTTCTTTTCCATCTAGAGTTAGCAGTGACGATAGATTATTAGGTGAACTTCCACCTGTTAGTTCGTTTCATTGGAATCCTATTGATACAAATATGCTGGTATCAAGTTCTATTGATACTACATGCATTGTTTGGGATTTACAAAGTACAAATTATGTAAAGACACAATTGATCGCACATGATAGTGAAGTTTATGATGTTAGATTTTTGACTAAATCAATTCATCTTTTTGCTAGTTGTGGTGGTGACGGCTCTGTTAGAGTCTTTGATTTAAGATCTTTGGCCCACAGTACTATTATTTATGAACCTTCACTCTCTTCATTATCAAATCTAGAAGATATCTCAGATATGACCCAACAGAAAAATGCATTATTAAGACTGGAACCATCTTCCTTTGATCCTAATATTTTGGCCACTTTTGTGGGTGATACTAACAGGATTTTAATTTTGGATATGAGAAACCCAGAATCTCCTGTATTGATTTTGGAAGGACATTTATCTGCAGTGAATCAGATTAAATGGCACCCAACAAAGAGGAATGTTTTATTATCATGTGGTGACGATTGCCAAGTTTTATATTGGGATTTAAATCTATATTTAGGTTCGCCAAATACCATACATAAGCCTATTCCTGAATCAAGTATTATAAGTAATGGAGATAAAAATATGAAAGTTCCAGGTAATGAAGTTTTAGATACACCGAATCTATTTTATTCTGATGATTCTCAAGAGATCAATAATATTGTTTGGAAACCTCACAGAGGTGATTGGTTTGGCTACGTAAGTGGAAAAAAATTCCAAAATGTCAAAATATAATTTGTTTTTTGATGGAATGATGAGTTTATTTTTTTTATATAATTATATATATATATATATAATTGTGTATGAATGGATATGTTTATAGGTGATTTAATTATGAATTCGTAATTTTTTCAATAAAAGATAGGCCAAAAAGTAATCAGTTTTCTAGTATTATCAGGTGTGGATAGTACATTAGAATCAGGTTTATGTATATGTTTCATATAGAATAAGGAGCAACCGCTAGGAAAGCTTTTGAAGTGAATGAGATGTGTTTATCCTAAAGTGTATTACTTAAAATTTTTTATTTTTTATGTTAGATCAAAAAAAAAAAATAATATACAAGATGTTAGTAAATAATATGTAAGGAATGTGAGAATTTATTTTCAAAAAGGCATCATAACATAATATTTATCGAATTTGCATATGTTTGTAATGCTATAAGGATTTACTTGAATACTAAGTGTGGTATGGTTTATATTAATGGTTATTACTTAATGTTTTATTTTTTTGTTGGCACATTATTATGAAAATGTTTATGCTATATTATTTTTATATATCATTTAATTTGTAAGTTTTATATTTTTACAATTCTTGATGACATCAAAGGTAGTTAGTACAATGGTTTGATCTTGCACTAGAAAGAAAAAATTATTATTTCCAAGAGTGATACTTATGATGCCTTCTCCTTTACTTAGCTCAATATATTTCATTTATTTTTTTATGGTTTACTTTTGTTTTATGTTTGTTCTGGAGTGGAATTTTTTAAAAATATAAAAATAAGCTAATAAGAATTTATTCGAACTTTAATGATAAAAATTTATTTTACTGTAATGATATTTACGATGGAATATGATGAACATTGAAAATAATTAATACCGATTAACATATTAGTACAGCTAAATTAATGATATTTATTAGAGTAACAGCTAAACGAATAAGGAAGTAATAACGTTGGTTTCCTGTTTCAAGCCTAATAAAACTTACTCTTGCAATAGATATGCATCAAAAAACCAATAATTAGCTTCTAATATATAAAAATTAAAAGTTCGGCGATGTTGAATACTTCATCCGAACTCTATTTTTAAGGACCTTTTTATATTTAAATAATTGAACAATATCATTGAATGCAAAGACAACGGAAAAGAACATTAGTAGATATAATTAATAATTTTTCATTAAAAACGTCCATTGTTAGGGATAATATAAGTGTTCATTCTTATCAATTGATAGCTTTCGTTGATGTTATCATTTATATAATTATTATTTTCATTAAATTGTTTTCTATATGTTTTCTTCTTATTTTATGTTTTTTTGTCTCTTTAGTTTTTTTTAATTTTTTTGGGGGAGAAGTGGGAAACGGTGCAAAACATAAAATTCTCGTATAAAAAACAAACAAAATACCAAAACATGTTTTACTTTGTCCTATCCTTTTAAAAATTAATACTTAAATGATTAAAACTTATTATAAGACTATTATGCTATATAATGATAATGCTATTACTGGAATATTTAGATATTTATAACGAAAATTAAGTAATTTTTTTAGTACGACTCTTAGACCGGTACCTTCCCCTCTTCTTTCTGGAAGTTCTTTTTGTTCTTCTACCCATTGTTGTGCTTTTTTTAGGTGTGGTTCTTTGCCCTGCCATATTAGTTAAATGATTCATTCTTATTTCTTGAACTATTTTTTTATTTTCTAATAATTCATTAGTGTCAAGAACATAAGTGGATTTATATATTGATTCATTGTTCTCGGAAAGCATATCCTTTTTATTCACAGGCCTCAAAATATTTTTAGATTTTCTTAATTTAAGTACATCAATGAAAGCAAATCCACTGGCCGCCGAAAATACTGTATCACATGATAACAAATTTGTGAAAGATGACTTCTTCCCTTTTTCCTTAAAAAAAGTCAAAGAAATAGAATATGCTGGATTTGCTAAATTTTTTGCATTCGGTCCAACTTTCACATAATTTGATGCAAAACCCATATTGTTTGTAATAGAATATTCTTGAAGAATTCTTAATGTAATTAAATGAAAAAAAATTCTTTCCATGTCTAATTTAGTAAATTCTTTCCCCTTACCATGTTGGGTCAAAATATCATGTCCAGCTCGAACAATCTTAGACATCTTTGATCCTCTCATTATATCCTGACAATAACTTACAGTGACTCTTTCTTTTTGAATTGATGACACTAGACCGACAATATCCTTAGCAATTGATGTAATATTCTTCTCTTCTTGTTCAATACTATCACTGATACTTTCTCCAGTTAATGTTGATTGCAAATTTTCTTTTCTAGAACAATTATCACAATTATTATGACAATTTTTAGAATCAAATGTTTCACCAAAGTAGGATAGGACTAATTTTCTTCTACAATGGATTTTATCATCACAATATTGCATAACTTCTTTCAATTTATCTAAATGTCTCAACTTGTTTTCTTTATCAAGACTTCTATCTCTTTGAATCATTTTCTGTAAGGTTCTAACATCACCTAACGAATAAAATGTTACACAATAGGAATAAAAACCATCCCTACCAGCACGCCCTGTCTCCTGATAATAATTCTCTAAAGTTCTTGGTACTGTGTAATGGAAAACAAATCTAACATCAGATTTATCGATACCCATACCGAATGCGATGGTCGCAATTATGACTTGTACTTGATTATTTTGCCATTCTTCTTGAACTGTAATTCTATCATCCTGATTCATACCAGCATGATAAAATCGACAAGGAATATTCTCTTTTTGTAGGATGATACATAAGTTTTCACATGAGGTTTTAGAATGACAGTAAATAATACCAGCTTGATTCGGAAATAATTTCTTAATAAAAGTGGCTATCAAGGGAACTGTATTTTTATCCTTTGAAATTATCTGATAATATAAATTATCTCTATTAAAACTTTGCTTATACATGACGGGATTTGTTAATTGTAAATTTTTAGTAATATCGTTTTGGACGTACTCATTTGCTGTAGCTGTCAATGCCATTACAGGTATATCTGGATAATCCCGTTTAAAAACATATAATTTCTTATAATCTGGTCTAAAATCATGACCCCAACTAGAGACACAATGTGCTTCATCGATTACGATTCTTGCTAAATGGCCTTTTTGATATAATGTTTCAATAACTCGTTGACATTGTTTAGAACTGCTAATCATTTCCGGAGATATATAGATCAGATCCAATTTATCATTTAATAAAAGGTTAGATGTAGCTTTCCTTTGTTGAAGAGAATGTTTGGAACTAAACATGCTTGCTTTAATATTCAATGATAACAGATTTTCCACTTGATCTTGCATCAAAGAGATTAATGGAGATATAACTATTGTAGTGCCACGTGTTTTACCTGATTTCATTATAGCAGGTAACTGGTAACAAAGAGATTTGCCTCCACCAGTAGGCATCAAAACAAAAACATCCTTCCCTTGTAATGTAGAATTTATTGCATCTAATTGATTTTTCCTGAAGCTTTGTAAATGGAATATGTTATTCAATTTACAAAATAATTCCTCTGTCCAAGGATATCTTTTTATAGGGGTTAATTGAGTAACTAAACTAGATTGACATTTCAAATTTTTATCATCTAATAACGGTTCAATTTCTATTATATCGTCAGATATAGGCTTCAACCGAAGTATGTCCATAGAGTTAATGCCATTTTTGTTGTTATTTGATTGAGTTGTATTGATGATTGTCAACTTATTTTTATGTTCATCATCTAGTATTTCAATTTGTTCAGGTTTAGAATCTGTATATTTTTCTAAAAGATCGATAACCTCTAAAGGCGTATCTTTAATTATTTCAAAATCACTATCAGTTTCATTATCCAATATAATACTATCATTCATGTTACTAATCTTATCATATTCAATGTGTCTACTATTGTTTCTGCTACTTTCAGATATTAAACTGTCATCGATATTATCTTCCATATTATATTGAAACATATCATGTGAGTTTTCACTACTAGTTACAAAATGTCTTGATTCATCCAGTTCACTAACAAAAGTCTCATCTTCATCTTCATCTTCATCTTCATCTTTGCTTTCATTTATGTATTCCTCATCATCCTCATCCAGACTGCTATCTTTCACCAATCCTTCACTATCTGTAACAATATCATCTTCATTGATCTCCGTATTAATGTACGTTTTAATTTTTTCATTCGATTCTAAAAGTATCTCTTCAAAAAGAAAAGGATTTTCAATTGATTCGGACTCGCTTAGAGTATCAGCAATCAGTTTTTGTAAATTATAAATCTTATTCTGCGATCTCAATAACTCTGGATCAATACTTTGATTTAAAATAATAGCCTTTTCATCCTTTGAAATATTCGTCGATTTAAATATATCATATTTTTTATTCAATTGGCTTATGTAGTTTTTCATTTCCTTGATTAACCTTGCTTGATTAGCAAGTATCTGATCTTGCATAATGGATCCATCGTTTGAAAACTTCGCATCATCGTTGGCCCCATTAACCAACATTACTTCAAGTTTAGCGTTCACCAATACTTAGAACGTGCCGAATGGAAAGAACATGATAAGAATATAAGTAACTAATTAGTACCTGTAAGAAATGATATGTTTTCTTAGTCCCAGACTACAGTTGCGTTTAAGATCTAGTGATACCTCTTGTCAAGATCTTTACTACCTCTGATTAAAATCTAACTAATATTTTACATTCTTTTAGCGGGAAAAAAAAACAACTAAAGATAAAACAAAAAAGATTCACTAGAAACTCTGGGTAAATAAACCCAAAGAGTGAAGGAAGGACAGGCAAAATTTGTAAATAATATATATCGATCGTCAGAAAAAGGTGGTTCATAAACTGAATGATACTTGAATCGACCATTAGATATCCCAATCAATAATAGTTATTGAAAACGAAATTTGATCTGTATTCCAATATACTTGTAAAAATGTCAAATATACCAGCACTTATCTTTTCGAACTCCTGCTGCATGATCCTTACTATTATTATATTCAAAGGATGACGAACTAAAATCTGTCTATTCCATTACAGATATTTTTTAAGCAAATATCTATGTAGCATTTTGATATAACACTTTTACAGAATCTAGATTGTCTATTCTTACTTTGCTATTATCAACAAGACTACTTCTTATTTCAAGATTATCATCTTTACAGAACATAATACAAATTACTTCTCTTGATATATTGATTAAGAATTCAGATTACTGAATATGTTCTTCTTCTTCTTCTTCTTCTTTTTTTAATTTTTTTGGCTCAGATAGTTGTTATCCTGTTATTATAGTCACTTTTTTCCTCTTGCCTCCCCTCTCTTCATCCTCTACCACTTCTTAGTCCTGTATTATCCTATATTAAACCACTACAATTATAATAACATGTCAGTCAACAAAGTCTCAGAAAGGTGCAGTAAATTACTTGTAAAGTATTTTTAACACAGACCAACAGCTTTCCAATAAAAGAGTGCCTATTATTAGTAAGATAAATGACGAATTTTTCTGAACATGTAACGTAATTAAATATGCTTAGAAAGATGTTATAAAAAAATTCAAAACTTCAAAAATCCGGAAACAAGAGAAATTGGAGGAGAAATAAGGAAGAATACATAAAAACTCAACACAGAGGTATCATTTTAGTTTTAAGGGACAACCTTTTACGTACATACACTACTCTTCACCACCTCCATCCCTCCACACATATACAGGTGTATATACATAACTGTTTAGATTATAAATTGAACACTATTATACTTTAAGATATGGCCAAAAGAAAAAGTAAAAAGAGTAAAAATAATAAAAGGACTCAAAACTCGACTGTTGTAAAAGCCGCAAAAGACCCAAATGATCTCGATCAAACTAAGGAAAGCAATATACCCTTAAATAATACAAGTACAAATGATAGTACTGATTCTTTAACTAATAATTTGGAGGAGAAAAACACAATTATAAACGAAAAAGATGAACTTGATTTTAATAGCAGTCCCCTAGATAACAATAATGAAAGTGACATCAGCAAAACTAATGAAAATAACCAACTACAAGAAAATGACACACATATAAGTATAGAATCAAACGTAAACCTTGATATTAATAATGATCAAACTAACGGTCCCCTTGAAAACTCAAATTCAATGATAAATATTAAACCCCAAGACAAAGAACCACCATTTGAACTTTTGACACAAACTATTGATAGTACTAATGGAGTACCTAGGGAAGTATCCAATAATATTGAAAATATTGAACCTTTAAAAGATCTATCTTCAGACAAAAATAACGATTTCTTAGATATCAATGAATCCAAAAATATAGAAAATATTCAAACTTCTCCAAAAACAGACCAGCCAAGCGAAAAAACCCAAATTAATTATTATACTGAGACTAAATCTAATAAAAAAATGTCAAATGAATCCGCAGAAACAGAAATGGAGATTCCTTCGAGATCAGAACTTAATTTCAAGACTTCTGATGTCCAATCAATTAACTCTCCTTTAATAGAAACTGATGACCCCACTATCCCTGAAGACTCTAACAAAATTGATGAAAATACACACAATGATATCAATCCTGAACCTTCCAACATAACTAGTGAAACCGAAAGCCAACCGTTTATTACTGCCAATAATACACAAGTTGAAACATCATCGACATCTCCCCCACCACTACCAAGAAGAAATCTATTTCATGAAACCTCTGACCTCGCAGATATGGAAGATATCTCACTAACAAATAATGATTATGTCTCAAGGACTGAATTGTCCCCAAGATTACCTCCAAGAAAGCCATCATTTGAGGAGAAAATACCTCCCAAGAATCCTGTCCCACCACCTTTATCAGAAGAATTGAAATCGCCTACATTTAGAAAGAATATGAAAATGTTTAATCAAGAACCAATGCCTCATCATAAATATGGACAGCTGAAACAACATCTTGTTTCAAATATATCTTCAATGCCATTGAATTCTAAGGAACCAAGTGCAGCCGATATCAATTTAATTGTCAACAGATTTAGAGTGTCAAGTTTTCAAATCGATGAAATAAATCCTTCAGTTAGAGAGGGTATTGAAGTCGGTCAAAATATATTAAAATCTTCATTTGACGCGCTTATGACACATGGTGAAGATTTGAAAGAAGGATTGTTAAACAATACTATACCCTCAGACAAATTGAGCGCCGAAGAAGAAAGAGAATTCAGAGAGGTTACCGGAACTAATTGGACTTTTTGGACTCGAGTCGTTAATGATTTTGCTACTGTTGCAAACAAAGAATTAGAACAATTAGAATGCGAGATTACTAAAGGAATTCCGAGACAGATTCGTGGTATCATATGGCAATTAATAGCTAATTCAAAATCACAAGAAATGGAAGATATTTATGAAACTCTTTTGGAAACAGAGAGTCCACATGAGGCAGTTATCAGGAGAGACATAAATAGGACCAATTTCATCCCTAAGGAGAGGTGTGAAGAGTTATTCCGTGTTTTAAAAGTTTATTCTGTTTATGATCCAGATGTTGGATACACCCAAGGTATGGCATTTATTACAACACCATTATTATTAAATTGCAACTCTGAAGCTGAGTCATTCGGCTTATTAGTATCCTTAATGAAATATTACAACCTTAGAGAATTTTACTTACCCGGAATGCCTGGGCTAATGCTAATGTTATATCAATTCGATAGATTATTAGAAGAAAACACTCCTACATTAGCTAACCATTTGGTTAGGGAAGGTATCCGTTCTTCTATGTATGCTACGCAATGGTTTTTAACAATATTTGCATATAAATTTCCATTAGAGTTTGTGTTAAAAATCTTTGACATTCTATTCTTTGAAGGTATTGAGTCTTTATTAAAATTTGCAGTCAATTTGATAATGAAAAATGAAAAATCCTTGATGTTTTTAAAATTTGATCAATTATTGAATTTTCTAAAGAATAAACTTTTTAATGTATATTTGGATCAAGAACATAAGAGCCTTAACAGTAGCAATGAGGAAGGATCTGAACCTGATTTTGAAAACAAACCAATCGAAATACAGAACATATCAAGAGAACCAAGCATACAAGCTTGTTTAAACTCTATCATTGATACCAATTATAACGCACATTTATTTGTTAAAGATGCTATGGAAAATATTGCTATTACACCAATATCTCTACATAGGTATAGGGCCGAATATGATAGTCTCAATCAAATAGAGAAAAGGAAAGAAACAGAGTATGATTCATTGAAGATCAAAAATTTCCAATTACAAAGAGAAAGAAAAAAATTGAAACATGATTATAAGGTATTGAACGAAGAACATTTTGCTATAGCCAAAGAATTAATTAAATATAGATTAGACAATGAAACGCTATTGGATGAAAATAACGATTTAAAAGACAACTTGAAAGCAATAAATGAGCAGATAGAAGAAGAAATAAACAAATCACAAGTGCCAAATCCAGATTCAAAATTACCTGTTGATTTGAAACAAGATTTGGAAAGGACAATAAAACGTAATAGTGAAGTCACTGCATTAAATAAATTATTACAAAGTAAGATAACAGAGTTGGAAAATAACATCAAGGAATTAAAATCCATTAATAAGGGCTTTGCTGCATTATCACCCATAAATCAATTAAATTCAGACAATATCGATCTGTCAAAGTCTGAACAAAGCGATAACCAATCATCAGCACAACCACAGTTAACATCTCTTCCAACCTATTCAAATGGTACACAATCAAGTAGCACGCCAAATGTTGGCAACACATTTAGTCATGGGTGGTCTGGTTTCAAAAAAGTGTTTAAGAAATAGAGCTTAAATTATCTTTATTAAGTAAGGTTTATTGCATAATACATAAATGCCAAATACATCTATATTCACTCATATTATTTTTTGAAAATTACGTAAGTAGTAGTATGCAAAAATTAATGTTTTCACTCTGAATACATATCATTTCCAGGACTGTGAACGGCTTCAAATACATCAGTACACTCGTAATTTTATTTTTACGAAAAGGCATGTTTTTTTTACTTTTCTAAAAAAGGAAAAAAAATTACAAGGTATTTTAACTACACCAAAACTAATGAGAAGGGTAGACTTCCTTATTAACAGAGAAAAGGAAAAAGAATAAAGACACTTGGAATAGAACATGCGGTACTCCTTGTAAAGAAATACATAGTCTTAGAAGGAATCAACGGGAAGACAGGAAAAAAACCAATAGGAAGAGAGTCAAGGGAAGGACGAGAGACTGTAAGTCTTTCTTCCCTTGTGAGAGGCAGGAAGTTTGTATACCCAAAATAGTAACATCAGTAAGTCCACTGCTCTCTTTAATACCCACCTCATCTACCATGGCCTGATTCACTGGAGAAGGGCAGGTAGGAAGAAATGATGCCTGGCTTTCACTGTTGGGAGGAATGATAGGAAATAGAGAGAAGGAGAGGGAGGCGAAGGAGAAGAGTTAGGCAGAGAGGCCATGTCTTTTGTTCTAGTGAGTGGGAGAGAGGGATAGACTGCAAGAATCCATGTTATCCTAAATGGTAGTATGATGGATACAGTGCCTTACCTTTTACTACTATGGACCTTCCTAGATGGTAACAACTACTTAGTCCCTTTCTCTCGAGTAAACCCAATTTTAAATGTATACAATAATAGTGCTTACTGTTATTAGTAGTACTACTCGGCGGTATTGTAGGTGCGTATTGCAGACGTGTTTCACTATATAAGACAGATTCTTCTTTGAAAAGACCGTACAACGAGAAACACAAATACAAAAATGGCTGCTAAGACTGGTATGTTACTAAACCTACTATTTACAACAGAGAAAAGGAAAGAAGATACGAATGGATTGTTTTAAAGTCGAAAATATGATTGAGGACGTGATTATCTGATGAGGAAAAGTATAAGAACATAGAAACATTATGCCAACAGTTGATTTAATTTAATATTGCATATATTGCACGTATATTAAAATGATATTAAAATAAGTTTTAGGAGATATGTAGGAATTTAACTACGACATAAGTGTAGACAACCATTGTGAACGATTACTTTAAGATATTTTATATATAGTTAGACACTTTGTTGAAAGATATATATTATGCTGGAGTAAAAAAAAAATTAAAAAAACACAAGGGACTATAATATTATGGCATATAACGAAGTTAATATTAGTGACTGTGGTTCCGAATAGGGATCAATTAAAAGAAGAAGATAAAAAACAATTTCCTAAATAGTATTTTGGACATTGATATATCCTCGTATTAATATTCCAATCTTTTTTATTCACCTGAGCTTTGATTTTACTAACAAACAAAACAAAAATTTTACATTAACATTGAATGAAAAAAAAAGAGGAGGGAGCTATGAATAATTTTTTCCTTTGGCATGCTACTACTTAATTAATTTCTTATTTTCTCCTTCTTTCTTTCTTTTTTTCTTTTTTTTTCTTAAAAAAAAGATTCATTTACTATGGTTTAATGTTATTTTATTGATTTTCTTTGTTTTCTTTTCTTTTTTTTTTAAAATAGGTATTGCTGTTGGTTTAAACAAAGGTAAGCAAGTTACTGCTATTGCCCCAGTTGCTAAGATTTCTTACAAGAAGGGTGCTTCTTCTAAGAGAACTGTCTTTGTCCGTTCTTTGGTCAGAGAAATTGCTGGTTTAGCTCCATACGAAAGAAGATTAATTGATTTAATCAGAAACGCTGGTGAAAAGAGAGCCAGAAAGGTTGCCAAGAAGAGATTAGGTTCTTTAAAGAGAGCCAAGGCTAAGGTTGAAGAAATGAACGAAATCATTACTGCTTCTCGTCGTCACTAAATTTAATAATATATACATTGAGGAAAGGTATATGATATAACATAATCTTAATATTAACATAATATAGTATAATACAATATAGTATGAAAAGTGTATATATATAATACAAGATTCAATAGTAATATATTATTACATCCATTATTCACACCTGCGTGTTTTGCTTTTATTGTGGAAAGACTGATGCGATATGTGTGTATGTGCTTCACCAGATAGTTACTACTCTGTTCCAGCTACATAAAAAAACAAGAAAAAACAGAAAAGAAAACATAGAGATATGTGACGGAGGAGGGAGGTTGGGGAACAAGCTTACTATACAATCCAATGATAACAATACCCTCACCCACACTAATTCAAATATTAATGTACTTCAAGTAGTAGTCAGTTTCACAGAAATCAAAAAAAAGGCAAACTTAGAAGAAACCCATTGATTTCCCCCTAAAGAAGTTTGAGACAAATCACTTATTTCTCACACCATCTCACTGGACTATATCTCATTTATTTTCCATATTGCTATCAGTTTCAGGGGGAAAGGGAAGTAAACTTTATATCAGATAACAGAAATAATTGTGTAGTTAGCTGTTGTACAGGCGAGTTTGTCCACATGCTTATTTCTTATCTTCACATTTTCTTGTCTTCCAGATAGTATTTCTTACTTTTATGTATGAGTACTTATGATTTTCTTATTTCTCATTTATTTTTATGGTGTTCGGTGGTTAATATACGATCTCTTAGATGAAAACATACAATAAAAAAAGAAAAAGAAACAAAAAAAAAAAAAGCGAAAAATAAAATTATAGAACAAGACGGATATTTCCATGTTTGAGACGGAATCAGTTGCGGAATCAGAAACCGTGGGACCAACACGACATCAAGAGGAAAAGAGGGGAAGGGAGGAGGAAGGGGTGCAAGAGTAAAAAATAAAAAAAGTCTCTTTTTCTTCTCCCCTGTAAAAAAGAGGAAAGTGAAAGAAACAGGGAAAACAAAACGAACAGGGGGAAACCGAGTCGAGAGTGTGAGAATAAATGAAAGAAAGTAAGAAGAGTCAAAGAGTCAAAGAGAGAGAGAGAGAGAAAGAGGGAAGGAAAATGGAAATGAAAAGAGATGGAGAAATTAAAATTGTTGTCCTCGTGGCCTGTGGAAACAACCAACAACCCTCGTGGTCTCCAAAGAAAATGAGCAGCCTTCTTCTCTTCCTCTCTTTCTTTTCCCCGCCAAGGGAGCAAAAGAAACAGGAAAAAAAAAAGAGAACAACAAATGGAAGGATATAGAAAAAAACAGAAGCCAGCGGAAAAAAAAAAGGGGTGAAGCAAGAGGAGCAATCGAAACGGAAATAAAAAAAATTTTTCTTTTTCTATGACTTTCCACAAATAATTCCGGGAAGTCCTCAACGGCGGCTTTCTGGTTGGTCTTTTTTTTTTTTCATTGTTCCACGGATTATTAGTCAGATTAATCAAAAAACAAAAGACACAAAAAAAAACTGTGTAAAAAAAAATAAACCAGAAAAAAAAAATAAAAAAAATCATGGTGTACTTGACTAATTTGATTATAATTTTAATTAATCCAAGTAAGAGGAGAAAACAAAAGAAAATAGAAGAAAATCATGGAAAGTAATAGAAAGGTTAGTAACCTAACGGCAGTAACTACAGGTTTGTCAGCTACAAGTGATTGTGAGACTTGGGTATTCTCTTTTTTATTGTTGTAATTGTGGTGGAGTTATGAAAAAAAAAAAAAAGATGATTGTTGGTTACTAATACTCTGTTATTTTCCTACTAATAATTTTTGTTTTTCTTGGGAAATGTGTCATAATGATAGAAAATGACTCTTTTGCAACAATAACAATAATAGTAAATGATATTTTCGCTATCTTTTGATTATCATTTATTCTATCTTATTTTTTTCTTCTTAACTTCAATCAAACCAAATAGATTATATATAAATGAAAGGTAGAGAATGTATATTGCAAATCAAATAACTTCTTGTGTCCGTGGTTGATACAAAAAAATCCTTTATTAGTATACTTTAGAAAACCAAAAATAAACCATACAAACAATCTTAAAAGATTATAAACATACATACACATATATAATAGTTTTCTCTTTTCTTTCTTTGCTATAACAAGAAAAAGACAACAATAATAAAAACAAAACTCATACAACAAAAGAATATTTTAACAAATAACAATGTCATATACCAACAACAACAACAACAACAATTATCACGATTTTTATTCTAATCCACAAGAAGAAGATTTATTCTCTTTAACATTCACACAAGATGCACCAATCTTATCATATGGTTCATCTTCAAGTATAGAAAACTCTCCAATTTCTTCGTACAAAGACGAATTATTACTAAATCATTATAATATCAATGATTATTTGAATTCAAGAAATTATAACAAAAATGATTTAACAATAAGTGATAACGATAACAGTGACAACAGTAACAATGACAGCACTCTAAATAAAAATGATCATTTAGTATTTGAGTTGGATAATGATTTCATTTCTTCGATTAAACAACAAACATCCACGGCAACAAATTTAAATCAAATACCTATGGGTACTTCTAAGAATATACCAGATTCCTTCGCTAATATTGCTCAACAAAATTATAAATTATGGCTATCTACAGTTTAAAATGAAATCAGATGAATAACAAAACAGAAGCTTTTCATACATCCTTTTTCTCTATGCCTCTTTGCCATTTCCAATATTTTTAGCATTATTAGCATTAATCTTTCGTCCCCTCCCTCCTTTTGTATATTCTTAGAAAAAAAAATTACCAAAATATTAGCATTCTATAATAAAACAAATTGTTTTTTAGCATTTTAACTACTATCATTATTTAATTCTTAATCTCCAAACCTATTTTTTTTTTTTTCGATTTTTTTTTTTTTACTATAATTATTACATTAAAAAAATATAATTATTAAAATGACAAATATCTGATTCTATATAATTTTATCTCTACGTATAACTTTGTATGCGACTATTTTTACAACTTTAATAATAATAATAATAATAATAATAATAATAATAGTCTGTTCTTTTTATATATAATATATACTAAATTGTATATAAAAGAACGTTTCTTGTCACCACAACCCTTTCTCTTTTCTTCTTCTCCAACATCTAAACTTCTATATTTTTACCTCATTCCTTCTCCAGTCCCTCATCTAATTCCTCATCTCTCGAGCAACTGAGATCAAACATTAAAATTTCCAAAGAAAGAGAAAAATCCGAAAGAAGTCAAAAAAGAAAAAAATCATAAAAAAGAAACAAAAAAAAACTCACCCAGGAAAAAGCAATCTAAAGAATTTCTAAATTTCTATTATGCTTTTTTTTATTTTCTTTTTCTTTTCGCAACTTCTCATTTGTTATTATATAATGTAATATTATTAGCATGAACACATTAGACATGCATATTAATAAGCAATTAGTGTGATACAATCATTGTATATCTAGAGTATCCCATATATTTCAACCATACATACGTACACACGTACATACACACACACATATATATATATATACATTTATATTTTTATATTCTTATAGACTTGATTACCCGTATTTTAATGTCTATAGAATAAAAACAGAACAAGTCATACACCCATTTTATTTTTACATCCATTGATATTTATTTATCTTTTCCTTTTACTTTATTTTTTTCCTCTGTAAATAGTCACCCAAAACAAGATATTATTACCTCCACTACCACTAATAAAAAAAAGATGTTTAAATTACAATGGAATCCCAATCTTAAAAAAAACATAATTTCTTTAGCCAAAAATAACCAAACAAGATTTCTAAATAAAAGACAATACTCTATACACCATCCCAGAATAAATTCTATATGCCTTACAAGATCACTCCCCTTAGATACCACTAGCATTACTAATACCACTGTTACCACTGCTACCACTAATAGTACTTCTTTTAAGCGTGAATTTTCGAATTTTACTAAACTACAACATGGTCACTTGACTAAACCAAAACCCGGTGAAGAGTTAAAGATAACATTTGTCCTAAAAGACGGTGAACAAAGAACCTATGAAGTGGCAGAGGGTGACACCCTTCTAGATATCGCACAAGGCCACAATCTAGATATGGAGGGTGCATGTGGTGGTTCTTGTGCTTGTTCTACTTGCCATGTCATAGTGGATCCCGAATACTATGACGCTTTGCCTGAAGCAACTGACGAGGAAGATGATATGCTGGATTTAGCATATGGCTTGACTGAAACAAGCAGATTAGGGTGTCAAATCAAGATGTCTAAGGATATCGATGGTATAAGAGTTGCCTTACCTCAAATGACGAGAAATGTCAGTAATAATGATTTTAATAAATAAATACACAAAAACCTTGTCTATACTTCTATAAAAAAATGTTTAGTTAATACTGAGACTTTATATTATTTAAGAGTTAACCTCTAGGATCCCTTGTAAAAACATACAGATGTAAGTCACACGAATGGTGTACATGCAGGTATACATACATACATACATATACATAGTCACTCACCCACACCCACACCCATATATTTATCTATCCATCTATCTATATCTATGTATATACATGTATACATGTGATCTCTTCTCTACAATCCAGATCAAATTCCAAGTAAATCAGTAGTCTTTTTTTTTTATTTTTCGATTCGTATTGTTTTTTTTTTACTTTCGAGAAGTCCAAAAAAAAAAAAACGAAAACTTTAAAATGTGTATAAACATGAATGTATATGTTTGTAGACATTATATTCACAGAACATTAATCACAAAAAAACAGAAAATATTAGTTTGATATAAAACAAAGATTGATATATGCTTTTATTTTAGGCATAATTTATACTTGTACATATATATATATATGTGTACATTCATTTGTACCTGTTGAATATTACGAACGAATAATGTCACGAAGGTTTAAAACCCACGAACTTTTTAATGATATAACAAATAATGACAACAACAATAGTAACCAATACAACACTTTTAATACAAATATGAAAGTCAAGAAACTTACTAATATAAACAACAGTAATAATTCCCCTATTATTAGAAAGTATCGTAACACTGGTAGTAAAAAGAAAAATGTCACATATTTAAGTAAAGAAATGGTCAACCAAATCGCTCGAGATATTAGGATCAAAAAGGAAATATCAAAAGAAACACATAATTTGAAAAAAGAAATTTCTAAGATGGATTCTGAGATTGTTAGATACCAAACTAGGTATGTTCCTGATATAAAATATGAAATATCTAAGAGACAAGTAATGTGTAAAAAATTACAAAACCAATATGATTCTTTTCAAAAAGAAATTGACACTATTGATGAACAAATAGGTAATATAGAGACCACTAAAAAGAATGCTGAAAAAGAGTTATTATTGAAATATGAAGATTTAGAGACTAAACAATCAATTGAGTATAAAAATAAAATAAACCAGTTAAAAATATCTTTTGAAAATGATATTAAAAAGCTGAACAATTTATCTCCAGGTGAACCATTGGAAAAGGAGATTAATGATCTTAGAGACAAATTACTAGATTACCTAGAGCAATCAGATAGCATTAAATTATCAAATAAACAAAAATTGAAAGACGAGGAAAATATAATTAAACAAAAGCTCGAAGATTTTAAAATTTTGAAAGAAAATGAGTTGGAACATTTCATAAAGCAAAGTGATGTTTTAATAAATGATATATCCTATCAAAACAATCAAAGAGATAAATTAAATGATGTGATTTCTAGCCTAAACGAAAATTTCCAAAGCATCCAGTCAAAATTAAATGATATTGAAAATGAATTACTCGAGATAAATAATCAGTATGATACTTTACATGAAAGTGAAAGGACTTTAGAAGATAGATTCAATCTAGCATATTACAATTTACAGGCAACACAAGAAAAAGCTCGTTTGCAAGATGAAAAATACAACGATTACTATAATAAGATGGAATTGGAATTAACTAAAAGAAAGAAATTAGAAAACTCAATAGATGAATTGAAAGGTTTGATTAGATGTTTTTTATATACTGAGGATTCAAATTTACCAGGTTTCACCATTGATTATTTAGATAATGTTGTTTTATTAGAAAATTCCAAACATATCGATAATAGTAATAATAATAATAACAACAACAGTAATTATGAAGAATCTATCGATGAAATTAAAGATGAGGAAATTTATCTATTTAGTAGAATTATTCCATCTAATGCATTATCTGTTCCACAGTTAATCTTTAGAGAATATAAACCTTACCATGATATGTGTATTAGTGGAAAACAAAATTTTACTTTATTTTCAATTTCAATTGAACCTTGGCTTGAATTTCAAACCCAATTTATTGAATTTCTGATTCATGAATATAGTAAGGACTATGAAATTAACTTCCAAAATGTATTTTTGTCGGATGATAACATATCTAAAGATCTATTAACTGTGAAAGATGAAGAAACTGTCTCAACAACTACTACATCATGTATCAATATCAAGTTTGATAATGAAAATAATCTTTTACTAAATACTATATCATCTCCATTAACTGAATATGTTTTCAATAAAAAAAACAAACAGATATCAATAAATTATGATTCTACCAATGGTATTAATATGTACAAGTTTCAATTCAAAAAAAGAGAATTATATCTTAATGATTCGAATGAATTTGATGTTATCAATTTTTATTTAGTCCAATTCGAAAATATAAATTTCATAAATAAGCTATCAAATTATATGTTATCCCGAAAATCCATTCAACCTAGCCATGTTGGCTATATGATCAATAGATTAATGAAAAACCTTAAATCATGTTTCTTATTTAATTTGAGTTCAATTTGTACTGCTTTGAATGGTGGACAACAAATTTCACGCAATGATATTCAAACGTTACTTGAAATTGGTACCAATATTGGTAAAATACCAAATATACAGAGAAAAAAACAAAATTAAGCATCTACCCTCCCATTTCTTTATAATCATACCAATATATAAATATATATATATATATATAAGTTGTCACTCGTCACTAAGAATATCTTTGATTAGCCAATTTAATTCTTCCCTAGTTCCGATATTTCTATCATCTATAGGTTTAGAGGAAGGCCGCTCGCCTTTAAATTGTGGTAAATCATCTATGCTACTTCTTGTTTCTACTAATTCATCTTCATTATATAAACTTATTGATGTCAGTGTTTGAAAGATACCTGTACTTGGTTCCACCAAATTAGGAAAAATAGTCAATGCTGCCTGAATATCTTCATTTGTTAGTGATATTTTGGGTTGATTATTCTCTAGATTTTCTTGTTCACCGTTATTTTCATTCTTTTCATTACTAATAGTCAATACGTTCTCAGTTAAACCAAAATCCATTCCAAGACCCGACACTGGAACATATACACCTTCATCGTTTAAATCATAATATTCTGAATATTTCTTCCTTCTATATCTAACTGAATCAATGGCAAGTTCAATGACTTTTTTTAAATAATGATCCAACGCTATTGATACCATATCAACACATTTTGAATCCACAAAACCAACAAGTCCATGCTCACGAGCAATACCAGTCATTCTTAAAGTCAAAGTATCGTTATCGGGTAGGGAATAACTATCAATGGATAATGGAGCATTAAACCCATTAACTATATCTTGAGACCACTCCAACGGGGTCTTTAAATTATTTTTTTTCACTCGTTTTAAAGTCTCTTGGTTAGTAACAATAGGAATTTTTGGTACATTATGAAGTCTATTTTGTAAGACGGTGCAATATATAAATCCTCTTTTCCCTGCTTCTCTAGTTATTGTTTTCAATCTATTTCTATCATTTTTAGGTAATGACATAACGATTTTTTTATACATTTCAATCTGTGAATTATGTTTATTAACCCTTCTCACATTCCTATTCGTGGAACGATCTCCATTTTGAAATCCCCATGCTTTATCGGACTTATTCATTGGAGAATCCCTCAATGAATTAGCAAATATACCTAATAATAATTGATTATGTAACCGGGTTAATTTATGCCGTTGTTCATGCAATAATCGGGACTCTTTATTGCCATTATTATTCGTGTTATCATTATTACTATTACGAGCATTATCGTCTGCTAGATTTTCTTCAAATATTTGATCCAGTTGTTTAACCAATTCCATTCGAGACAATTTACCTAATATGAAGAAACTTATCACTTGTGCATATTTAATCCAACTTTCCTTTCCTAATATAGCTATAAATTCTTCTATCCAAATACCTAAATCTAATCTTTGATTAGTCAAATTCAATTCTTTCTTAATCAGTGGGGATAAAGTTACATTGACACCAGAATTAGTATGCAAATTAATATTACTTAGATGTGATAAAGAACCTGTTGACGATATATGTTTATTATTTAACTGGTGTTTTGATAATATGCTATTGGAACTTAGCGTTCTCTTCATCAAAGAAGAAGTACCTAAAGAAGTCTGTGGTTTTCCTTTATGGAGTAACGACATATCTCTAGATTGCTCAATGCCTTTTCTTATTCTTTTGTTTTTCCTTTTTTTACTTAACTCCCTTCAACAATCCCAATTAATCGGGTATCTATAGTATGTTAAAAGATCATTCACCTTGTCCTTCACTTAGTTCTCCCATTCAGAGTAATATCGTTCTGTTTTTTTTTTTTTTTTTTTTTTTTTTTTTTTTTTTTTTATCTGTTCAGTACATCTTTAAAAGTGCTTTTTCATCTTTGATTTTTTTTTCTTTATTCTTTTATTTTTTTTTTTCAAATAATCAATATCGAAAATAAAGAAATACAAAAAAAAAAAAAGATATAAGAAGATACAAAAAAGAAAGATCCTTATTTATGCATATTAATATCTATGTACATCGTAGATAAATCTGTATAACTCTTTGTTTATATTTTATATACATTATATGTGATGATTATTAGTTGAGCTTAAACTGTGTAATTTCTGGTAAAAAGGACAGTGTCTTTTTTTTTTTTCTTCATTGTTTATATTTTTCTTTGTCTTATTTGATCTAAAGAATTAAGAATATTTAAATAAATACATATAGAAATAAAAATTAAAATTAACATATGCAGAGAAGATATTTTGCGTAACAATTAAATATAAGTTGGATTTTGGTTGATAACATTCCTCGAATCTATCATATTTAAAGAGTTTTGAAGTTTCGATATCTCTAAATGGTAATAATCTCTTTCATCGTTCATTTGGTCTCTCAATAATGCCACCTCGTTTCTCAATTCATCAATTTGAATAATTTTTTCATCTAATCTTATATTCATTTTATTAATCTGTATCTCTAATTGATTAATTCTTTGTTGTTTATCTCTAATCTGGATTTCTTGATCTTTATTTATATTAGTTAAATCATTATTAATTTTAAAGATATCATTTGACATTATTTTCAATTCTTTATACTTATCATTCAATAATAGATATTTATCTACTATTATTTTACATTGTTTCATTTCGTGGATCAACTCCAATTTAATTTGATTATAATCTACTTTAATTTTTGAATTCTCTTCCAATAAATCATTTACATATTCGTTAATTTGTATTAAAAGTTTTTTATTAATCTCCAATTCGTTAGACAATTCATTCATACTAGAATAATCTAACCCATATTTATTGTTATTATTATTAGAATCATTATCATTATCATTAGAATTAAAATTAGAATTAGGTTTACAATTATCGTTACTACTAGTTGTATTGATACTATTTACCTTTAATTTTTGCTTATTTTTAGGAAATTTTCCGGGGATAGGTATCGTGCCATTTTTAGTCAAATTATTACTTTCAATATTATTTAAATTTAAATTATTGATTTTTCTCATTTCTTTATTAAATAATTTATTTAGTAATGATGTATCAGTATCATTTAACTTATCATTATCATTATTATTATTATTCTTATTATTTCGATTATTATAATTACTTGGTAAAGAATATTTTTTATTAAGGAAAGTATCTGTTGGTAAATCTTTGTCATTTCGTAATTTGACTGGAGACATCAATCCACCATTAGAAGAGAAATATGGGAATTTACTACTGGTATTGTTGCTATTACTATTATTGATATTATTATAATTAGTAGTAGTAGCATCATCATTATATAAAAGTTCATATTTTTTATAAAAGGAAGGATCCAATCCATCTAATGATATCGATCTATTTCTACCAGTTGTTTCTTCTATGTTTATCTTATCAGTCATTGTTGTAGAATCATTAATAACATTACTATTATTATTATTGATACTGTTTTTAACATTATTATTAGTATTATTATTACTCTCCTTATATTTTTGAGAAGGTGATATCAGTCTAAAAACTGAATCTGCTGTCCATTTCCATAAACCACTAGACATAGTGGTGTTATTCTCCGACATATTATCATTATTATTGTATTTCCCTGTGAACATTCTTACCATTTAGTAAATTGAGTCCAAGGATACGCATGTACATGCTATATAATTTTAAAGTTGATTAAGTTTGAATAACATTGTTTTCTAATGCTTTATTCAATTTATTTTGGATTATCTCTTTGTGTAATTATTTTATTTTATTTTATTTTTTTTTTTCAATATTGGAAATATTTTTTTTCACATGATATTAATAAATAATTATGTCAAACTTTTACTATTTGCTTGCATTGAACGCAGTGAAAGTATAGCTATTCACATGCTGAACATATGTGGAAACAATTTTACATCATTGCTTAAATAATGAATTATTGCATATATAGATAACAAGTGGTATACAAATGGAAAAACCTTTACAGCAATTTTATAACTAAGAGTGTGTGTAGTATTTTTATCAGTAAATATATATATATTTTTTTATTTAAAAAATAGTAAGAAAACATGAATAAGGAACCATTATGTTTTGTTGGATATTGTATTTAGTATTTATTTCTCTAGTCTATAGTAGTGTTTAATAACGATGTATGTGTGGTGTTACAAGTATCAGTGTTCATATACTTGTCACATTACAATATCACTAGTTGGACCCACACATTTGATATCTTAGGGCTTACGGCTTGTTTTTCCTTTTGAAGAAAGAAAGAAGGGTTATTCTAAAAATGGGAAAAGTCAGTGGTACAATAATCTATTTGACACTTAGGGTTGGAAAGAAATGTTTTTCGTTGTGCCTTTTTTCTTCCCTCCACAGATAAATTTCCCTTATAGGGTGGATATTATATATCAGAATATCTCTGTTTTTTTTTTTTTTTTTTTTTTTTTTTATTTTTAAGTTTTATGATGATGGTTACCCAATTCGATGCAAATTACCCAAGTGAGTAATTCACACAGAGAAATGCGAAATTGTAGTGATACGAAAAGACAAAATAAATAAATAAAAATATAAATGAAACTTTTCGTGTTTGTCACGAAATAGGGGTGATCTTTTTTGTTTTGTACTTTTTCGTAGAAAGATTCCACGAATATTTTTTTCCCCCCGTTTTTTTTGAAACAGACACAAAACCTTTATTTATTTATCTATATCTGTATTTGTATATTTATTTAGTGAAGATTTCGTGATTTCGCGATCTCGTTTCATTCCTAATAATAATATTCAATTACAGGAAGGAAATGCTATAAACCCAAAGTGGTGGATGGACCAAGTTGGATAAAATTATACTATTTCCTTGATTTGTGAACTCGTTGATTTCGCAGATTTCGTAGAGTTGATTTGATTTGATTTGATTTGATATGATATGGATAATAATAATAATAATATGACTAGTAAATCAAGGTTGCTTCCATGAAGATGCTTGAATTTTGCTTTTTTGTGCTTCTTCATTCAAAGACATAAATCATTAAATAACCCTTTGTCCTGACGCCAAATGTGTATCATTAACAATACTAAGTTGTTTGATTCTGTGTCAAATACTATTTCAAGAACTTCTTCGTTTTGTTCTGGTTCTTCTCTTCTCTCTCTCTCTCTCTTTCTTTTTCTTTTTTTATTTCCTCTAGATCCAGTAAATATAAGATCATATATATAATTGTCTATCATGTATTCTATCTTTTTCTACTAAGAAAACACATACCTCCACTCAATCCTTTCTATCCCTCTCTTTCTTTATTTCCTTTCTCCTTTTTTAAAGAGATACATCATTCAATGAGACGATTCAATCAAGAGTGGTTTCTATGATATCTTATTGAATGATTCAAGGGAGAATATAATACAAATCAATAATAATATTAATAGTTTATTATAACTCATAATCATTTTTATTAACTAATCCGGTCGCTATAGTCATTCATTTTTATATCTATTATTATTATATAGATAACATATAGATACACACGTGCACAATTTTATTTTTACTTTTTAATTTTTAATTTTTGGTCTTTGGTTTTTAGTGTTTAGTATTTGTATTCCATTCACTTTCATTTATCTATCATGACTAGTTCTATTACCTCCTCATCTACTTCTTCAAATTATTCAACTATATCCGCTCATTCCTCTAATAATAAATCTAATATTTATTCCAATAGAAAGATATGTCATAATTCAAATAATATTAATAATGTTAATAATAATCAGAAAGATGTCAATATTAGCAGTAATATTGAGCCATTTAATATGGATAAGCTAAGAAATTGCAGCAATATCAATACAACAACAAAAAATAATATTCAATATTCCATGGGCCTTATAGTGAAAGCAAAACAAATGCATTATCCAATCGAATTATCCAACAGTGAATTATTGTCCCATTTTGAGACTATTCAAGAATACCAATATGATATAGTATCGGATATGATCCAAAAAAATTCTAATTGCAAACCATCTTTAAAATTAATAAATCAACAACCAGAAATCAAACCATATTCCATTAGACCTTTGGTCTGTGAATTCCTATATAAGTTGTCCAAATTGACTCGTGTCACAAATGGGATATATTTCCAAGCAATGAGATTATTTGATAAATATTGTTCCAAAAGAATCGTCTTAAAGGATCAAATCCATTTGATTCTAGGTACTTGTCTTTGGCTATCTGCAAAAACATATGGTGGTTGCAACCATATTATTAATAATGTAGTCATCCCACCTGGTGGCAGATTCTATGGACCAAATCCAAGGGCCAGAATCCCAAGGTTGAACGAATTGGTATATTACTGTCAACAAGCATCTTCAGGTCTTTCTTCAGAAAATCCAATCATACTGGATGAATCAATGTTTTTACAAATGGAGATGCATATTTTGGATACACTTAATTGGGAGATCTCTGAACCTACTTTCAATGATTATATCCTTAATGTTGATGAAAATTGTCTCATTCAATATGAATTGTATCAGAGGCAGGCACATATCTCTAATGATGATGAATTATATGATAAAATACAATTAATCTATTTGAAAAATTTCTTAATGGATTTGGTTACTTGGAATTTGGATTTTTTAAACTTTGAATTATTTGAAATAACCAATTCAATCTTCTATTTGATTAATCGCTTCACTAATGAAATTGATCAGTCTTCTCTATTGGATTTACCTATCCCATCACAAAATAAACAAGTCGCACTATTTAATATATTCGTTACCACAATAAACAGTGTTCCTGATCTATTACACAACACATACAAGGATTACATAGGCGTGTTTCAATTTATTAACAACATTAAATTATTTTATCTACAATCAAGACAATCATCATTATCTAAATTATCCATCAACACACCTTCCGTCACTTCCACTCTATCTCCACAATCTATTCCATCTCCCGTATATTCTACCCACAGTTCTACTCCATTGAGGAACGTGAGTGGTGTGTCAGAAAACTCCATATTTAGCTCATTACGTGACATTAATAACAGTCAACATACTATACAGGGAAATCATTCCCCATTGACTCCATCGATATATAACAAATCAACGGACTGGTCCTCCGCAAACAATTCTTCATTATCACTGGGAAAGAGATCATACCAAGAAAGAAGCTTTAATGACAGTGACAATATGATTGTTCCTCCAAGATCTAAATTTTTGAATACAGGGTTGTCTATTGATAAGTCTAATCACAGCAGCCGAACGTCTTTAATTTCATTAACTGTAGGCCAATAACAATACATATATATAGATGATAAATATATACAAAATGTACATATAATTATAAATATACTTATAAATATTAATATGGATATGGTTATTACTAAAAGAGAAGAAAAAAATGTAGAAAATACTCCGTCCTTTTCATAATACGAGCTTCCAAACCTGAATATTTTTCAAATCAGATATCGTTTTATATTTTTCTTTTCGTTTTGTGAAAACATGAAACGTTGGTTTTCACATACAAAACATTAAAGTATAAAAAAGAAGAACTTTATCTTTTATTTGACATATAAATAATGTTTAAAGAGTTTGTAATCTAGTATATCAACAAACAATTTTTACTGAAATCACCATCAGTAAAATAGCCTCATGTTGTTGATGAGTCTTTGCTCTTGTTTTCTTGTTTTGCTTCTTTATCACGAATAAACAAATTGGTGAGGAGGATTTTAATAAATTCCGCAATATGTTATCCTACGGTTTTCAGATTCCGCCTAAAGAAATTAAAAAGGCTTTTCTTTTTTTTCTACCTTTTTTCTTTTTTACTGTTTTATAGGACAAAAAAAGAAAAAACAGCTACTGAAGACTCTACAATTCCGTATTTTCTGCTTATCTCCCATAAGAGATACTGAAGATAGGCTGTGTTAATTTATATATCCTATAGTCATCTGGATAGACATAAGTACAAGGAAAACATTTTTTTACTCTACTCACTCCTATATAAGAATACTAAGAACATATTTGATTAGAAGACCATAGAAAATTATAAAATTATATATTCCCTTCCATTCCATTAGAAAAAGTACAACGAAAACGCAAAACTACTAGTACAATAACCAAATCCCATTGCAAAGTTCCTGGGTATAAAATGTCATCCACTATAATATCTGAATTTGAGGAGTTGGTAGATAGAGCTACTAGTGAAACTATACCAAACGGTGAGATAGATCTACCTGTCTCTTTGGAAGTATCCGACATCATTAGATCCAAAAAAATAGCTCCACGCGAATGCATGAGACTGTTAAAGAAAAGAATCATTTCTAGTAATAACAACCCTAATAGACAGTTATCTAGTTGGAGGTTAGTAGAGATTTGTATTAAAAATGGTGGGATACCATTCATTGTGGAAATTTGTTGTAGAGAATTCATGGATTTTTTGGAGAACACAATAATTAAATACAATAATGAGAATAATGAACTGGAAAACCTTACTAAAAAAATCTTTTATGAATTATATATTGCTTTCGAGAATGATTCACAACTAAGGTACGTTAGTACTGTATATGGACGATTGATCAATAAAGGGATAACATTTTCAAATGATTTAACAAGTAATATTACCGATGCAAAAGCAATGTTTGAGTCTAAGATTCCTGCAGAGTGGATGGATTCCGATGCATGCATGATTTGTTCCAATAAATTCTCCTTTTTGAACAGAAGGCATCATTGTAGATCATGTGGGGGAATATTCTGTCAAGAACATAGTTCCCATTTCATTGCTTTACCTGATTTAGGTATATACGAAAATGTTAGAGTTTGTGATAATTGCTATAATGATTATGATTCAAAGAAACATTTCAGTGGTAGTGGTAGTAGTAATAGTAGCAATAAACACAAGAAAACGAAAAGAAAAGAAAAGAAACATCCACGTCATACAGATTATAATAATGATGAAGACGAAGAGGAACAAATAAGAAGAGCTATTGAATTATCATTAAGGGAATCCAGAGGTCAGCCTATTGAACCAATTGTTCCAATAGTAAACACACAATTTAATAATACTAAATCTTCCACTGAACAAGATTCAAATAAATATCGGGAATATGAAGAAGAAGACGATCCTGATTTAAAAGCTGCTATTGAGGCAAGTTTAAAAGAGGCAGAAAAGGAAAAGATTAAACAGGAAAGAAAACAACAATCTTATGTAGAAACTTCTATAAATGAACCTTCCGTTTCGTCGTTTGAACTTTCCCCTGAAGATGAAGATGCCATATATTTGTTTGCTGCAATGGTTGAAAAGATGAAGACTCAGACTGGTGCAGAAATTTTACAAAATGATGCTGTTCAAAAGTTATATCAACAAATTTTATCTGCTAAACCTAAATTAAATCACACCTTAGCAAACACAAACCAACAATATAATTCGTTACTTGAAATGAATGGAAAGATATCTAATATAATGAATATTTACGATTACTTCTTAGAAAAACAATTACAGAATATTAATTTGTCTTCTCAATATACGATCCCATCCCCCTTACCAATTATAGAACGACCACAACCACAACCACAACCACAACCACAAGTACAAGTTCATCCTAACTTACAGAACTCTAATTTGATTTCTAACCCATCTACATATTACCAAGCAACCATCAGTAAAGTTCCAACAGAACAATCAATGAAGCAACCCTCAATAGCAGCACCTACACAAATAAAACAGTCATCAACATTAGATCAACTACGTGATGTAAATATACCACCTCAAGATTCTGCCTCTGTAATCTCATCTAACCAGTTGCCATATCCAACAGAATCACAAGAGTCATTGGACGAAAAATTAGAGCCATCTGAACCAGTTTATCCAGAGGAAGATAAAGAAAAACAAGTTTCACAGAAGGAGAAAGAGACCAATGAAAAAAATAGTATATTGAATGACCAGGATACAACCCATCTAACCAATAAAACTAAAATAACTCATTATGACTTTCCTACAGTACCAATACAGAAAATTCCTGAACAACCAAATACTATTGAAGCTGATAAGGAAAAAGAAGATCAACCACAAAAGGAAGAACCTATATTATTAGAGCTTTAGTAATCAAAAGTATAAATACAAGTACGACTACTGATTTATTTAATGTTAAATCAGTTACACTTTTATACTTTTCTTTTTAACTATGTTAAAAAATTGAATGACATCCAATTATGTACTTGATATATATATATATATATACATACACACACACATATATATATAAATTTAATAAATATGCAAAGTATTGAAGCCATTATATATATATATATATATTTGCTTTTTATTTATTTTACTTTTTTCAGTATTATGCAATACCACTCTCCAAAAAAAACAATAAAAGCTTCATTACAATTTTTACCAACCTTCCATGGTATAGTCATGTTCGATAGAGGGTGTTATACTTGTTATAAATTTCAAAAACACAATCAAATATTGATCAACCTGTAGAGAATCAGAAATATCATCATGTAAGTCCTCCCAATCATTAATATCGTTATCATTCGACGTTAAAAGAGTCTCCTCTTGTTTCTTAATCTGTTCACGTCTACGTTTTTTTACTAAACGTACTTTTTCTAACAGAATTTTCATGACGTTTGCATGTTTGCATGGATGTATTGAAATTGAAGTAACAGGAGTCTTAAAAAAAGGCAATTTTTCTATAGTAACTGTTTTATCTCTATATTCAGTGGTAATATCTTCAAACATCTCCTTTGATGTCAACGGTTTACCTTCAACATTGAACCCTACAATGTACATCTTTGGGACTCTATAAGAAGTAGAATATGTAATGTAAAGGTCATAATATCGTATCTTTGGATCACTTGTAATTATTATCTCATCTTCATCTTCATCCTGTATAAAAAATTTTCCCAGCTTACTGTCTTCATCAACTTCTTTAATATGCATATTATCAATCAGATCATCAATATCGTCAACATCTATAGAATTTTCATCTTTACCTATCTTTGAATCTGATGCTTGAACATCTTGCCGACTATTATTATTATTATTATTATTATTATTATTATTATTATTATTATTATTTATATCATCATTTTTAAGCATTTGAAAATCATCTTCATCAAAAGCATCATCGAAAGCATCATGTAAATTAAAAAAATCATTAGCCCTCAAAGAACATGGAACTTTTCTACAAACCAAGAATTGTTTTCCGGAAGGTAAAAAATCACGACAATTGACATTATCTAAGTTTTCAACTCCGTTCCATTTCCATGTTGGAAACATATGGACCAAATAATCTCCAGCTTGCACAAATTCTTCTGGAGTAATTTGTCCTTTTGATAGAAAATTGGACTTATGTGATATAGGTGTTAAATATTCCCTCCAATTACTGATTGCAGACCGCAGCATGTATACTCTCTAATTTATTTTTTTTGTTAATTAATAGTAGTTTATGACCTGATCTATTTCTGAATAGTCAAACCGAAAAAAAGTCCCCTTCCAATTTCTAAGAGTTTTCACCGCAGTATCAACAGTCACTTTCTTTGAATATTGTTGGGTACAATCATCTTTCACATTCTGTTTTGACACATTCCCCACATTCTTTTAAATAAAAATGCCATTTCGGTAAGAATACGGAAAAAAAGAACCCGCAAATGCCACAAATGCCGCAACACATTATCTCCGCATTCTTTATTCTTTTTTTTTTTTTTTCTTTCTTTCCTTCGAGGAAAAATCTTCCAAGTGAAAAATGAATTGTTCTGGGTTTTTGGGTTTTTGATCCAGATTTTGTTGTGTCACAAGAGTAAAGAAAGCATTAGTCACCGAGAGACTAACCCAACTCCGTTATCTCTTCTAGTAGATATTCAAACATCAATTATCCATTCTAAGTACTTCTCATGTCCAGATACATTTTCTCATTTTGGGGATCTGTGTTTTTGTAACGGATTAAAATTGGGAAACATTCCTCTATTATATACAAGCCCTTCTTTATCTTGACCATCACTTTTATTACTTATGTAGAGAGTACACAGAAAAGCCAGGCATAGCTGTTAAAATAATTTCATCTATATATCTGATATTTCTTTTTATTTAAACCAAAATGTCGACTGGAAATTCGGTCCAGGAAATGAGACGGAGAAGAAGAGAAAGTCTAAGAAGATCACAAGAGGCAGAAGAGATCCCAAAAAATTCATTCAAACGTCACTCCACAGAACCTTTCACTGACCTCCATTGGGATGACAACGTTAGCATTCATAGTGGTTCAAGCCATAAGGAGGATTCAGATATAACATCTGTTTCAAGTTATAAACCGACTATAAGCAGAAGAAGTTCTTTATATAACTCCAAAAAATACAGTCCCAGTAATGATCCAAATTCTAATCCCTATTTAACAGGTCGGTCAGATAATCATCATATGCATCAGAAGAAAAGATGGAGAGATTCCAAACGGTTCATCTTTTTCTTGGGTATCTTATTTGGATTGTTTGTTCCTGGATATTTCGGCGTGTCTCATTTACATAGTAACAATAGAGATCTGCTGGACAAGTACTTAACTTTTGATAACGTCAGGGGATATTTCGACGAATGGACCGACTCTATTCCGCCTGGATTTCAAACATTTCTTTCAGATATTCAAAGAAGAGTTATACCGGAACAAACTATGGAAAAAAATTTGAAATACAGTTTTGCTGTAGGAAAACAATTGATTAAAGATATTCACGGAATTGGCCCTAAACATCCTGTATTGATGGTCCCTGGTGTAATCTCCACAGGTATAGAGAGTTGGGGTGTAAATGGTGATGAAGAATGTGATAGTACACCACATTTCAGGAAAAGATTGTGGGGCTCGTTCTATATGTTAAGAACCATGTTTTTGGATAAGGTATGTTGGTTAAAACATATCAAATTGGATCCAATTACTGGTTTAGATCCAGAAAATTTTACTCTAAGAGCAGCACAAGGCTTTGAATCGTCTGATTTTTTTGTGGCAGGGTATTGGATTTGGAATAAGGTGATAGAAAATTTAGGTGCCATTGGGTATAATCCGAATAAAATGTCAACTGCTGCTTATGATTGGAGATTGGCATATCTAGATCTAGAGAAGAGGGACAAATATTTTTCCAAATTAAAATCACAGATTGAAACTTTTTATGATCTTACCGGTGAAAAGAGTGTATTAATTGGTCATTCAATGGGTGCTCAAGTGGTTTTCTATTTTTTACAATGGGTAGAAGCTGAGGGTCCATATTATGGTAATAGTGGTCCTGGGTGGGTCGATAAATATATTGGTGCGTTTATCAACGTAGCTGGAACACTGTTAGGCGCACCAAAAGCTGTTCCCGCATTAATTAGTGGTGAAATGAAAGATACTATTAATTTAAACACGTTTGCCATGTATGGATTAGAAAAATTCTTCAGTCGTAGAGAAAGATTAGAAATGTTACAAACATGGGGTGGAATTCCATCTATGTTACCAAAGGGAGGTAATTTAATTTGGGGTAATAGATCGTATTCTCCAGAAGATCAACTATTAAATAATACTGATACGTTTGGTGGTTTTATCAGATTTTCTGAAAGGTATAGCAATAATAACCATATTCAATATGATAAAAGAAAAGAAAATGATACAATACCTACAGAAACAAAGACTAAAAAGGTATTATCAATGGATGATTCACTTGAACTTGTCATGAGTCTATCTCCTGAATGGCTACAAGAAAGAATCAAAGATCAATATACTTTTGGATTTTCAAAGATAAAAGAAGAACTAGAATTAAACAAAAAACATCATTCACATTGGAGTAATCCATTAGAAGTCCCCTTACCGAATGCACCAAATATGAAAATATATTGTATATATGGTGTTAATAATCCAACTGAAAGAGCTTATGTATATCAAGAATATGCTAAGAAAAGCAATCACTCTTTAAATTTAATTATTGATTATGAAGCTGAGACGCCTGTTTTATTAACTGATGGTGATGGTACTGTGCCATTATTAAGTCATTCCATGTGTTATAAATGGGCAGAAGGCGAATCGCCATACAACCCAGCAGGTAGCAATGTTACTATTGTTGAAATTAAACATAGACCTGATGCCTGGGATCTACGTGGTGGTGGGATCAGTGCAGACCATGTTGATATTCTTGGTAGTTCAGAGTTAAATGAGTATATACTTAAAATTGTCAGTGGAAATGGTGACATGATAAAAGATAAAAAGATTACAAATATGACCCAATGGGTTCAAAACATGGATTGGCCTTTCTAATAGATGAAACATGAATATATTGAACACAAAGATAATCAGTAAGGGTGTAAAAAATAATGAGTAAAAAGAATCACAAAAAATATACATATCCCATACATAGATATATTTAAACCTTGAAGTATTTTTATTGCTGAATCTAACAATTACAAAAATTCACAGAGATATCTCTTTCCTTTTTTTTCTTTTTATTTTTTATATATATGATTCTGTAAACGTCACCATTCCACGTTTTTAGAACTAACTGCATATCATAATGTGATGCATTTTACGACTCTAATGATGTTCGTGAATGAAGCAATTCATTATCTTGATAATAGCAGTCTACTGTTTATATTATTAGTTTTGTTTATACTATTATTATCCAACTGATGCGTCAGCTTTACATTTAAGCTTGTATTTACGCGTTGATGTCGAAACAGGAAAAAGTTTTAAAACTTCAAGAAAAAGAAAGAAAAAAACAGCATCTTTTTGTTGACACAATTTCCTCTTTTAGACAAACACGACAACAAAGCAAAAAAAAAATAAAAACTAAAAACAAAAACAAGAAACGAAAGCAAAAATCATTTCAACATAGGCAGAATATTTTGCTTTGTAGAGATTCTTCATTCCATACCTACTAAGAAATATAGTTATAGTTTTCTTAGTCTTGGTAACGTGTGTGTCACTATTTGAGCAGAGAGCTACCATCAAAAAACGTTTCAACTTGTTGTCTGACAACATTTTAATGTATGTTTAACCTCTGATAGCTATAAGGGAGAGAAACGATTGAATAAAACAATAACAAGCACAATAAAAACAAGTGAAGTGTGAAGAAAGAATATACAGCATAGACACGTAACTTGTCTTCTTATTCTACCACTATAAGAAAAGGCATAACCATTCCACTATTCATGACCATTACTTAAATTCTATATCTTTTGAAATAACAAAATACGAAAAATAGACTAATATTTAAAAACAGCTGGTATGTCTGTACAAAATCAAAGAGTTCCATTACGTGAATATTCTAACATAAAATTGAATAGGATGCCGCTACTATCCAATGGAAACAACACCATCCAAAAATTTGATCGCAATGAAATTCCACAATTAACTGACAATTTAAATGAAAATTCACAACCAATTGATTTAAACACTAAGCTTAAAACAAATTCAAACCCTTCAACTGTTGCCTCTCCTGCAAATAAAAACACCCAGATGAGTATTCTTTTGAATGAGTCTCCCACGAATAGAATTCTAAAAACACTTATTCCAAATATATCTTTGTATAATTCTACTGCTAGCATCACCACCAGTAATAATAATAACAACATAGCAACTAATAAAACCACTGAAGATATCAATGATTTACACAGTTCCGATAAGGTAAAAACTAATTATACTGAACTGTCCAAACGGCTACAAATTAGATTACAATTTGCATATTATAAGTTACGAACAAAACAGATTGATAAGTCATTCTCAGATTTGAAACATAATATGGTTAATAGAAACTCTCAAACAATTAATAACTTTTCTAAACACAATATATCTTCAAACAGTGCTAATAAAATAATTAAAGAATCCAATAACATTAGAACTAAAAGAAGAAAACTTGTTGTCTCACATGGTAACTATAAAACTCCTGCTAAGAATCACCCTAAAATCATTATCGATGAAGTTACGTCTAGCGATACAGTAATCTCAACTCCTTCAACTATGGCTAATAATACAACAACACAAACTATCTCAGCTGATTCTAATAGAACTGGAATTTTAGTTCCACAGATAATCAGCACAGCAGAAACAACAACTGCTACCACTAAAACCGTAGTAAAAAATAATGATGACACTGACACCAATAAGAATATACCTATTGATATTAACACATTATCTCCAAATAATAACACAACTCTACTGGATTGCCATACAACACCAATCCGAGGTTCATTAAAACAGCTATCAAAAACCCATGTTGAACATGTCCTACCTAGTACTAACTCTGTTTCCATACAAGAAACGCCAATGAGAGTCAAGGCTGCCAAGTCATTAATACAATTATTCTCAAGTATTTCTAAATAAAATTGGTTTAATTTTTATTCTATCTAATTGCCAAGTGAAGTGATCACGTTTACAAAGATTGTATGAATAAATATAAAAATTCATCACCTCTTTGCACGTTATGATGATCATAAAAAATTCATCAAAAAATGTATATACAGAATTCATTATTTAACTAGCATAATCTTATAAACAACAATATCATTGTTCACATACATTTAAATATATAATTATATAGGCATGTGAACATCATAATGTAATATATGTTAATTTAAGTAAAAAAAATCTCTCCTTTTAAAATCTGTTAGTATCTCATTAATCATAATGTTTTTATCTAAATACATTCACTATTCGTTACCATCGAACTAAGACATGTCCATATATATTTTAGTTTTCTACTTGAATAATCAGCAGTTCACCCCTTCTCGCCATTTAATAGAATTCCATTTCAGACTCTTCGAGTGTACTTTTACCTTTCTAAAATGTTTAAAAAACGATAAAATAAAACCTAAAGAAAAAAAAAGACTGCTAAAACTGATAATGTATATTGCAAACCTGTATATCTAAATATAATTACATATCCCCGAACATCTAATATACTATCTATTGACACCACTATTAACTATTCTTAATTTACATCATAGAATATATATACTAACATTTTTAAAAATATTTATATTAATCTTAAAGACACATGGCATATAATAATCAAGGTTTGCAAGCCATTCAAGAAATTCTATGTCCAAATAATATTGCACAAGATACTGAAATCAAACACGAGAGTGATAATAATTCAATAACTGAGGGTTCTGATAAAGATCAGTTTACTGAAAATAATACTCAAAAAATCATTAAGGCTACCAACATATCTTCTTCAACAACCAACACTGAGTTCATACCCCAAATCTTTTATGGTTTGCATAATATAATGAAAAATCCAAATATCTCTAATCAATTGGAAACATCTACTGGGGTTATCAGGCATAAACTAAGATCCTCAAAACAAATATTAATGGAACATGATGATACCAGAATTTTACTGAATAAATCGATACCCACCTGGGAGAATTTTATTCAATTAAAGGAACGTGAATTAGCTATGAAAAGAAATGTTTTGAAAAATCTAAGCCAGAAGATCAAAGATATGAGTGAAACTACTACATTGTAAAAAAGTAGTTTGTCACTGTTTAGTCTATTCAAATATTAAAAACTTTAATAAAAATAAAATATTTCCTAATTACACATATCTGTTATTATTATTATTCTTATTATTACTATATATGATATGTACCAAACAAATTAAATAAACAAATAAACATAAAGGATATAAACAAAAAAACTCATCATCCATATATCGTACTCATTAATATGATTCAACAATGCGTTTTCTACCAGATAAGTGATCTGCAATGGAACGCAAAGATTGCCAGTGAAGAACTTTTGGCATTCTTTTATTAACATTCGTCTCACTATCATACACTTTTCTGACAGATGGAAAGATAATCCTAGAACCTTTAATACCAAGAATTGCAGCTGTTGAACGCATTCTTTTGTCAAATGTATCGTCGTAGAGTTGATCACTACTACGTTTGTTGAAAGTTATCGCCTGGCTATCCTCAATAAATGTAACTGCTCTTATGGCAAATCTAGTAGCTCTTGTCCTATCAATTGGTGATGGCTTACCTCCTTGTTGGATATGACCTGGAATAGCAGCTCGAACGTCAAATGTACCGCATGCTTCCAGTGTCATTACTTGACTCAAATTTTCCACAGTTAATGCCTTCGATGCATTTGTCGTCATTAGTACCAATTTTCCAGTCTCTCTATTTGTAGAATTTTGATCATCTATTTTTTTATAAGCTTCTGAAATATTATTGATGTCCTGTATTAATTGATCTATTGAAATTCCTTCCTCTGGGACATAAGATGCATGTGCTCCCACTGCAATACTCGCAACAGTTGTCAGATAACCTGAATTTCCACCTTGGCATTCTACAACAAAAACACGTCCCTTAGTTGATGATGCTGTTCTTTTTAATATATCACAGTAACTAGTCAAAGAATTTAGGGCTGTATCACTCCCTAATGTGTATTCTGTTCCAGGAACATTGTTTGATAACGTGGCTGGAATCAATATCATCGGTATTCTGAAACCAGGATATACATCTCTTGCCCTTTCTAATTCATTCAATGAAATTAAACCTTCAAATCCACCCACAATAATTAACCCATCAAGTTGATACTTCTGGAAATAATAAGCGATCATACCTATATCGGTTGAACAAGGTGTGTCACGATTAGTGCCTAATTCTGAACCACCACGTGTTTGCCAACCTAAAATCATATCCCAAGATAAAGAACGAATGCTTTCGTGACGACTTAGTCCACTCCATCCATTATATATGCCGTATGGTTTATGCCCTTGCGAAAGACAAAATGACGCCATGGAATATACCACCGAATTGATTCCTCCAGCTGGTGCACCAACATTAATAATGGCAATTTTCAATCTTTCATTTTTTGCTAGTTTTGGCTCATGCTGATCTGCTGCATTAATAGCTAAATAATTTTGATAATGCTCGATAAACTCAGAATCTCTCAACGATAATACTTTCTTAAAATCTTTTCTAGAAACAGCAGCTGATACAGATTTAGTCAATTTAACAGATTCAACCAATGACTTTCGTAATATTTTGTTTTCACTGATTGTTATGATAGGTGAATCGGATCCAAGTTTACTATCTAATACAGCCTTAACAGCTTCTACGCCTTGCAAAGTGGCAAGTACTCTGTCGTATGCAACTGCAGAACCACCCCTTTGAACATGTCCTAATGTAGTTATTCTTGTATCCAATTTTAATCTGTCAACTAGAGTCTGATAAATATCCGTTGCCGATACTGGATTCAAATCTTTATCGATAGCACCTTCTGCAACAATGACAATAGTGGTTCTTTTATTATGACTTCTATGATTTAGAATAGTCGTACACATATCTTCTCTCCAAGTTTGTGGATCAACAGCTTCCTCAGGAATAAAAATATAATCAGCTGAAACAGAAATTCCTGACATTAATGCTAACCATCCACAATTGCGCCCCATAACCTCGACTACAAAAGCCCTTGAGTGTGATGCTGCTGTAGATTCCACATAATCGACTGCTTCACAAATTCTATTCAATGCTGAATAAGCCCCAATAGTTGTATCTGTAGTTGACATATCATTATCTATAGAACCTACTAGACCACAGATATTTAATGTTGCATGACTTTCGGCTTGTTCTCTTGAAATCTTATTAGTATTTAATAATTCTGATATTAACGAGGGCCACTCAGACCTGAAAAGATCTGCACCTGTCAAAGAACCATCACCACCACAGACTATAAGGGAATCAATACCTGCTTCAAGTAGATGTAAACAACCTAGCATCCTGCCCTCTCTTTCTTTGAATTTACTACAACGCGCAGTACCAATGTTAGTACCACCAATTGAATTCCACCCACTGACATCTTCCCAGTATAAGGGACGAATATAGTCCGCTCCACCTCTTACAAGCCCTTCATAACCCTCCATTATAATAAATGGTTGACAATTCTTAAATATCGATGTCCTCACAACTGCCCGAACAACAGAATTCATGCCTGGTGCATCCCCACCAGATGTCAACACTGCTATACATTTCTTTTTATTTGGTTGATTTAAATTTCCAATTGGTAGTGATGGATAAGTTGTTCCTGTTTCAACAGAATAGTCAAGACTAGTAGAGGAATGAACCCTTGATATGGTCTTTGATGACATAACGGAAGAGAGTGTAGTAGATTTAGGTATCATAGTACTGACACTATTTTTTGTCGAAACAAAACCAACCAAATTTCCTTCTGGATCCAAGGAAAAAATTTGAGATGGCGAAATATCATTAGGCTGACACTGATAAGGAACACTAAACTCAATTAGGTTATCTTGCAGTACTAAAAAATCTGATACTGTATACGATACATATTCATCCATCATACTTCTCCAATCTGAACTCTTTTGCTTTTCTACAAACACCTGTCTTTGAACTTCAAAATCCTTATTCTTTGTGATATCGATAACTAAATTAATCTTCAGAGACAACTGCTCATTAGATAAAAGAACACTCTGAATAGGGGATACCTCAGCAGCTACTTTTTCCAAACCTAAAATTTTACTATAAAAAAGAACCATCACATCATACTTCGATTCTGAGAAAACTGTGATGGTACAATAAGATGTGCCATTGACAATGGGTAATATAGGATCACTTATAGAAGACATTTTTATTATACGTCTACTACAAAATATAACCTTATTTTATTAACTTCAGGACTTATGATCATAAGTAAAACTTCAACCATAACTTACAACAACCTTAAATTATATGTATCTGCATTTACAGACATATCTTATCTTTTCATATATCTTTATATATCTATATTCTTTCATCCACTGATGTCTTTCACCCATTTTATATTAAATCCTTGTAGGTCTTAACGGAAACCAACACATGCCTGTATCTACATAAAGGATCTGCATAAACAGAATAGAACAGATGCATAATATGTTTTTATTTTTCATCTAGATCCTATTGTTATTACCAACCCTCTTTTCTTCTTTTTTGAAGGGTTGGCAATCTCATTTATTTAACTGAGGGGATGAAAGATTAATAGTGACATGCGAGAAAGGAAGAGGGTAATCTGAATTATTCAATTAATTAAAAATCGTAACACCATGAGAGGACCAAACATACTATTTTTATTCGTGTTTTCACTATCTCCTTTTGTTATCTGACTGTAATAGTTTTTGAAAAAGTTGTGGTACCATTTCGAGTAACCATTTTTCATTTGGGATGGGAATACAATCTCTTACATATTCCTTAGATGTTAATATTAGCAATTGATATAAAACATATTTATTGGGTTTCATACCAAGTTCCTTGTAGTTTTTAAATACAACACTAGAAGGGTGAATAAAGACGCTCAAACCACCATTTTTCTTACCTATTGTATGATAGCCAGAATTACCCAATTGTATAACACTACTTGGGAACCCTGCTATGAAACTTCTGGTTATTCTTTCTATTCGATTATCATTTTGTAATTCATTAGTATTCGACAATTCCATTAATTTAAATCTTTGGCAACATTGATATAATTGATTTCTTACATTTCTAACACGACACATTGTCTTAAATTGAACTTTATGATCCTGACACCATGCTCTAGAAAAATTAGATTCTTGCCATTGATTGTATACCTCTAAATACAGTAAATGATCACTCTCAATGCTACTCACAATTCTTGATGTTGCTTCTCTTTTATTCCCAACAAACAGAGATGTAGTTTCATGTAGCATAGCAACTATTGTTAAACACTCATTTAACACCCCTTGACATAATGGATGTATTGCAGAAGTATGAAGAACTTTTGTAAATTCTGGTTCACATGGAAATTCACACATCATTCTACCTAATTCTGTTATTTGCCCTTTACTGTTTAATGCACCTAACATATACAGATTTTCTAGTGACTTAATTAAAGTTGGCACGGTAGGTTTATCCAGAAAGGCAAAATTTAAAAGGTCTTTGACTCCTAGAGATAATAACAACAATACCGTATTAGACAAATTAGTCCTTAATATTTCTGGTTTTGGAAGAAGTTCCAATTCATTTTCATAAGACCACTTCGTAAATATCCTGAAACATTTTCCAGGACCAACACGGCCAGCTCTACCAGCTCTTTGATCTACTGATGCCTTCGAACACGGAACAGTTAATAATTGTGTCATACCTGTAGAAGCAACATACGAATTTACCTTAACAAACCCTGGATCTATAACATATTTAATCCCATCAATAGTCAACGAAGTTTCGGCAATATTTGTAGCTAGTACTAGTTTTCTACAATTCTCTGGAGTTGGTTGGAAAATTAATGTCTGTTGGTCCTGCGGTAGATTTGCATATATCGGTGTAATTAACAATTGCGGTATTCTGGAACCTAATTTACTGCAGATCTCTTCGATCTTGTCTCTTGTATTTTCAATCTCTTCTTGTCCAGTTAAAAATAATAGAATGTCTCCTTTCAAAGGTTGGGTAGTGTGTATCTGGAAAACAGTTGTTATCGAGGCATTAAGGTAATTACCCTCTGGTTGCAAGGTATAATGGATATCCACTGGATATCTTCTTCCAGGAATTTTCAAAATAGGACAATTATCAAAAAAGTTTGAAAATTTTTCTGCATTCATCGTAGCAGATGAAATGAGAATCTTTAAATCACTTCTCTTATCAATAATGCCTTTTAACAAACCCAATAAAATATCTGTTGCTAGTGTACGTTCGTGTGCTTCATCAATCATAATACAAGAATATTTGGAGAACTGAGAATCTGTTAAACATTCACGTAATAGCATCCCATCTGTAGCATACTTTAGAATGGTCTTACCTGCGGTTGTTCTATCATCAAAACGTATGGAATAACCAACTTCTTGTCCTAACTTAACGTTCATTTCTTCAGCAACATGAGCCGCTACAGATGTTGCAGCAACTCTTCTTGGTTGCGTAACTACTATTTGATATTTCCCGTTTTGAGTATATCCATCCTCAACTAAATATTGCGGTAGTTGAGTAGTCTTACCTGAACCAGTTTCACCTACAATAATTAACACTTGATTTTCTTTTATAGAATTCATTAGTTTAGATCTGTATCGATATACTGGTAAGTTCCTTCTGGCTTGTTCGATAGTTTTTAAATCTTTCAATTTCTCAATTTCTCCATCTTTCAAACCACTATTTCTATATTCTTGCTGAACTTGTTCTTCACGGAGAATTTCTTGACTTATATTTACTTCTTCATCATCTTCTCCTGATATAACGTTCTCATTGTCCTCTGTAAAGGCCACTAAAGCCTTATTATCAAACACATACTCATATTCTTTAGAATTAGGAATACGAATTTCGTCAACATCTTGATTTGACACAGCTGATTTTAGTACACGCTCTTCCCATAATTGCTGTCTTGATTTTTTATCTTCCTCAGATGTAAGTTTCAATATAGTTTGCTTTTCAATTTTATTATTTTGCGGAGATACTCCAGAGAAAATGAGACTATTCACTTGCTCCATTAGATCCTTTTTTGATTCCATTAGTTTTATTAATTCCTTTTTCAAATTATACTCTTTTCTATCTCTTTCATTTATTTTATTCCAACCTTTTTGGGAAATCTTTCTTTCTAAATAACCCAAATCCTTTTTCAATCTTTTATATTTCTGAACTTCTACTGGCTCATTATTAAATCTACTTTTTTTCATTGCTGTATTTGAATTATATGATGTTTGACTTTTGAATGGTAATTTACCATGACTATTATTCGTTGAAATTAACCGCTCTTTATCTCCCGTATAGCTTTTAGGGGATGCTGCTTTGATCTCTGGCTTCCTATCAAATGATAATAAAGGAGGTGGTGATTGATCGGTTACATTCTCTTTATTTTGTTTCATAAATTCATATCCACTTCTAATTCTTCTTTTACCAGTCCCACTAATACCATCATTACACATTTTTTGTTCTATTGTTGTCAAGAGGTTTCTTTTTATCGTGTGCTTCTATATTAACACCCACCAAAATTCACATCAAGTTGTATTATTCACAACTTGTTCCTTCTCAATCTGCAAATATTCTAGCTGCAAGTTAATGTACTGATCCCATGGAACAGCAATACAACATACACAGTCAATAAGTCTACATCACGAAATCAAATACCGAAACTTAAAATGAGCATCTCAAAAATTTACAGACCATCAGAACATCTTTTTTTACCTTTTTTCTGAGATAGGAAGGTAAAATCTCTCGAGATCAAAAAATATTATACATCGTTAAATCCATCAACATAGAGAACAATGTTTCATACCATTTTTGACCTTTCAAGCGCTTTAACCCTAGAATTCTACTGAAATAGTTTTACATAGCAAAGGTAACACTTCTCATGTATATATATCAGCATCAGAAAATCCAGGATTTTTAATTACAATAAATATCTAATTATAAATGAATAATAAATGTAAAGATAATCCAACAGAACAACAACTAAATAACAAGCCACCAGAATTGAAAGATAAAAAAGGTGGACACAAACTATTAACAATTAGTTCAAATTCAAAATACACCCCACCTTGGACTACTCCCTATATTATTGGGATTGGTGGGCCATCAGGTTCTGGTAAAACTAGTATTGCTTCTAAAATTGTCTCGTTAATAAATGTTCCATGGACTGTTTTGATATCCACAGACAACTTTTACAAACCTTTAACAGACGCTGAAAGGAAAAAAGCATTTAATAATGATTATGATTTTGATGAACCTGATGCCATCGATTTAGATTTGGTATACAAATGTGTATGTGATTTAAGGGCTGGCAAAAAATGTGAAATTCCTGTTTATAGTTTTGTCAATCACAATAGAATATCAAATAAGAAAATCACAATATATGGTGCCAGCGTAATTATCATCGAGGGGTTATATACACTATACGATCCTAGATTATTAGAGATAATGGATTTAAAGGTCTATGTAGATGCAGATTTAGATATATGTCTTGCTAGAAGATTATCAAGAGATATTGTGTCTCGTGGTAGAAACCTAAATGGTTGTATACGTCAATGGGAAAAGTTTGTCAAACCAAATTCAGTGAAATACGTACTTCCTACAATGAATAATGCAAATGCTATCATCCCATCCTTTAATGACAATAGAATAGCCATAAAATTATTAGTTGATTATATTACTTCTAAATTAAAAAGAAAATCTATGGAACATGTCCAAGAATTGATTCGACTAGGCAAAACAGAAAAGATTAGAAGTTTGATGGACCACCCTATGGTATATATTCTACCCAAAACAAACCAAACAGAATCCATACAAACAATATTGTTAAATAAAAGAACAAAATTGAACGATTTTATTTTTTATTTTGATAGAATTACTACTATTTTGTTGTCACGTGTCTTAGATAATATCCCAGTTGCTAATTATAAGACAATAATAACCGGTTCCAACTGTGAGATCACTCACTGTACAAATATTGATTTCAATATGATTTGTGGAATCACTGTAATTCGATCCGGAGACTGCTTCATAAAATCTCTGAAAATGACTTTACCAAACGTACCCATAGGTAAATTACTAATTCAATCTGATTCGTTCACTGGTGAACCCCAGTTGCATTGTGAGTTGTTACCGCCCAATCTAACTCAATATAAAAAGATTTTGTTGATGGAAGCTCAAGTGATTAATGGAGCTTCACTAATTATGGCAGTTCAAGTATTATTAGATAATGGTGCCAAACTATCTAATATTGATGTAGTTGTATACGCAGCTACGGAAACAGGGTTACGTAGAATATTGAATGCATTTAATGAAGAAATACATATTTATGTTGCTATAATGATCTCAGAAAAAGATTTAAGAATGGGACGTAATTCATGGTGTTTAACGAGATTTATTGATACTAAATATTTTGGGTCTGAATAGTATTAGAATACACACAGAGTATCTACATAGTCATTTACATATAACATGCACAGATATATGCATATGTAAGTAAATAACTTGAACTTGACTCAAAATAATATTAACCGTAATAACAAATATCCCAGAGTTACAACGATCATATAACAAAATAAACTTGCAGGTACCCCACGACTAATGAAATTACCAACATTTAAATACCTAACTCCTACTTCATCAGTCATTGATATAGCAGTAACATTTGGAAACCCACTTGTTGGTAATCCCATTGCTGCAGAACTCAACAAGGCTGTAATCATAATTAAAAGACGTGAATGATCTTCTGGTAACTGTTGTCCAATTTCTCCCATTAGAGGAACCAAAATCATTGCTGCTACAGTATGAGAAACAAATGTAGCTATTGTAATAATACCAGCACCAAAAATTAACACTATTGAAAACAGTGCTTTTCCCTCTATATGGGACTTGATATATTCTGCAATTGTGTATAATAGACCACAGTTGCTAACTGCCTTACCCAAAGTGGACCCACCCATAGCCAAAATCACAATAGTCCACATAAAATTATTAAAATCTTCTGTTGATAGTATACCAGTACCAAAAAATAGTAAAATTGGAATAATTGAAATTATCCCCATTTCACCAAATACACCAGCCAGCTGGTTCGATAGACACCACAGAAAAATAGTAAATATGGAAGTTATTGTCACAAACCATTGAGTGGCGGTAAATGAATCTTTTGATGGATGTAATTGTAATATTTTGACTTTCTTATCTGGAGGAAACGTAACAATAAGCAAGATCCATATAGTTAAAATACAAAGAACACTAACTGGGATAGAGACAATAAACCACTCACCCCAAGAAGGATTAGGTTCCATACTACCAAATGCAAAAATATTTTGTGGGGATGCAATTGGGGATGCCATTCCACCAACATTAGAAGCTAATGCAATCCCTAAAATCAAAGCTTTTGAATATCCACAGGATGAAGGTAATGTTCTTAAGATAGGTTGGATCATTGAATAGCATAAAACTGGTGATGCTACATTTGAGACCCACATGGAGACAAACAAAGCCACAAACATATTTATCAATAAAACGATTGCTGGGTTGGTACCTGCAGAAGCCAGAATATAACTTGATAAAATCTTAGCAATATTATATTTAGATAAAGCTGCTGCTAAGGTAAACCCACCTAACAGCAACATAATTACACTTGACCACATTGTAGATAAAATCAACTTAGAAGATTCAGGAGGACTTAAAGGTGTAACCCCATCCATTGGATCCTTTAATACTGGGATAATTACAATTAGAAAGGGGATAAATAATGAAGTAACAAAAAGTGGCAAAGTTTCAGTGGCCCATAATAATGAAGCATAGACTAATATAGCAAAACAATTTTGTTCCAAGGGATCATTGAAAAAGGTAAATGCACCAGAAAAGAGTAACAATCCGAATATCACTGAGATAACGATAAATTTAATAATTGATGGCGTTCTCAATAATAGCCATAAACCTTGTGGCAAAGTATCCCAATGACGAACTTGCTGTAAAGGCTTTTCTAAAGAAGATGTTTGATTTTCGATTAAGTCTTGTCTCTTTGCATTATTAGATAGCCTTTCAATATTCATCATGTCTTTCCAAACTGTATTTCTTTCCCATGCAATATGATCCCTTAAATGGGATGATAATTCATCTAAAGCCTCATCATAATTAATTAACTCATCGTTTGAATCAGAAATATTGATATTTTGAGATAACTTAGCATATTCCACTACAGTTTCATTAATGATTTGGTTCAACTTCTTCAATGTTACAGAGTCAAAAACATGAGATTGTGATTCAATATATTTCAAATATTGGCTTCTTAATTTTGTATCCAAGGATTTATCAAATTTCTTACAAATCTTAGAAAACCCAGTATGATTCAAATCTATATAATCCTTTAATTCAGATAATTGTGTAAACATAGCAATTAACCGTTTACGTAATGACAATTTGTATTGAGCCAATGGAGATAAAGTATCACCAGCATTATTAATATTATCAAAATCAGCATCTTGTGCCCATGGGTGAAACAAATTAGCCCAGGAAATACGGGATAATTGTTCTTGAATTGGTATTGATTCTAAAGATAAAGATCCACGAGAATTAACACTTTCTGAATCTTCAGCTTCGATGTTATCGTTTATATTAATATTATTAATATTATTATTACGATTGTCATTATGTGAAATAGAAGATATGTTAGGTGATATATCAGTAAAAGAAGGAGTTCTATTTTTTTGTAAATTAGTATTAAATTCAGTGATGTCATCTTTTAGTTCATTATAATTTGCTAGTAATCCGGTTTCTTGAGAATTATAAAATTTTTCAATTTTGAACAACTCATGATTTAAAGCTTGAATGAACTGGTTCACATAGGGATCTTCTGAATTTAAAACATCAACATCGACAGAATCCTTCTTATTAGACGATGATGAGGTAGCTAATAAAGGTGTAGATTCAGTGTCTACATGAGTGATGTTTCCATTTTGTGTTATGAAAGTAGTTATAGGAAGTTTATTATTATACAGTTTTTCCCTCTGTAGAGTATAAATTATTTTTTTCAAATGAGAATAAGCAATATATTTAGAAGCCCATTCAGGGACAGAATTAAACTTCAAAGAATGTGAAAACTTCATATTCAAATTATAATAATATCAAAAAAAAAAGAAAAAAAACAAACAAGCAGCAAAACAAAAAGAATAAAAAATTTTGAAAGTAATTCAACAAAATTTTCTTTCTTTCACCCTCCTCTCCTCTCTATTTTTGTGTTTGCAATATTGTATCTAAAGGTCTAACCCCGATTCTATTTGGTAGCAATGTGGAGAAAAAACAAAAATACTTTTTATTTGATGAAAAGATATAAATAATATTTAAGTTCTTAAAAAATATTGTATTGTTTTCATCTTTTCCATCATTATTACTGCGTGTAATCAATCAGCATCGAGAGATCACTTGCCTACCTATCTTTCTATCACATAAGAAAAAAAAAATTAAAGCATTTGGAACTGTAGAAAAAAAAAGTAAAATAAAGAAAAAAAAGAAAAAAAAAGAGCTGCTGTGAAGAATCGAACAGCGGTCCGAAAACAAGACACAACCTATTTGAAATCGGAACAAAACAGAGATGTAAAAATCCGGAATATATGAAAACTCCGCGATTCTATTGTTTTGATTAAATTTGTTTTTCCCCCTGAAAGCACTTCGTATGTTGTTTTTCATCAGTAAATTTGATTTTCTTTTATCTCATGTAAAGATTATAATTCCCCTTAAGATATATTGTATGTCGTTTTCCTTTTTGGGAGATACCTATTAGAGGCCTTTTTTTATTTTTATTTTTTTTTTTTTTCATTTTCGGTTTTGGCTTTTTATTTTAATTAATTAACCTTGCAGCCATATCACAAAAAGCTCGCTCAAACTAAAAAAAGAAGTATTAAGGAAAGGATTTTTTTCTCAATGCAACAAACCTTTTAACAATAGTGAAAATAATTACTGTTCTCCTTTTTTTTCTTTCTTTCTTTTCTTTTTTTGTCGTTTATATTTCTGATTTACTGTTCCAAATATCACCATCTCTATGAGCCAAGTATTGAACAGTCATTTGCTATTAAATATTCTTATATCTACATAAATAAAAACTAATAGTGAGTCTACTCTAAATATGAGACTCAACACCATTTATTAGAAATTCTGACTTCTTATGTTTTTTTGATTATATAAAAAGATAAAACCAGAGCACAACATACCATAACAAGGAAAACACACTGAAAATAGATGCAAACACTCTATGAGCCATTCAATATTGGTTCGACTATTTCACAATCTTTTCTTTATCCACATAGTAATCTTTTGTCAACACACTATATTCTTTTCTTGTGTAAACTTTTTTACCTTATATGACAGTACATGAAAGTAAACAAAACGATAATATATATCCATATATCTATATATCTGTATATATGATATAAATTAGCCCAACCGTCTCAGTATTATCAAAATGTTTACATGCTCACAGATACACCAAAAGACACTTTCTATTGTTTCTAAAAGAGGAAATTTTTTCTATTCTGTTTATCACAGTTTTTATTTTTTGCATTTAATTGTTTTTTTGAAGTACCTATTGAAAATTATTGTGAAAAAACAATTGGAACGAGAGAGAAAATATGTTTTCATTAGTTATTGTTTACTTACCAGTTGCATATTTACTACTGCCTATTATATATATATATATATATATCTTGAAAAAAATATTGTGGGGTATTGTTAAGAAAAAAAAGATTTGACAGCAGTTGTAAATTTCTAAGATAATCTGTAAAAACAATCAGTAAATATAAATATAAATATATATAAATATATATATATACGTATGTGTGTGTGTGTACACCAGAACTATTTCAGCTGTTTGTTGAATAGAAATACACAAATACACATCCTGTAATAAGTGTGCTGTGATCATCACTTTACAGTTCTGTTTAATTTTTTTTCAACAAAAAAGGAAAGAAAAAAAGGTAAATATACTCACTAATATTTATCATCATTATTAATATCATTCTTTGCATTATCACTGTTTCTTATATATTCATGTTATTGACTTTCCATCTATTATATTAAATATACATCATGCCCGTTAATGAACCTGTATCAGTCCAATTGGTTGTCAAAAAATCTACCAATTCAGTTGATGTCATAAGGATTTTTCATCCACACAACATGCATATTGATATTAATAGTATTGATATGACTTTTAATAAATTATTATTATTGTCATATGATAATATCTTTAGGATTAAAAGGCATAGTAGAAAGAATTCTATCCCTATAAAATTTAATAAGGCTGCATATATTGAATGAGCGAATGAATTCTTCTTATCTTTATTACTCAATTGGATATAGCTGTATATATGGTTGTGTATATTATATTATGTGGATCTATATCATGTTAATTTATACTTCTTTACTGATTATGAGGTTCTATGTTTTAAAATAACTTTCTCGTATTTTATTTATTTTTTTTTGTTGGTTTCTTTTTGTTTTTATTTTTTTATTTTTTTTTGTTTTCAATTTTGGATATCATCATAGAACAATTGAGATACTGGAGAATTAAGTGAAAATAAAAATTTTTGATTATTTGCTGGGGTATCGATGATGAACAGTATAATTGTTGGTAAATAGACGCATATTTCACTTAGTCATTAAAGCTCACCACTTTTGATCTTATTCCATACACTTATATTATCCCACACACACACACACACACACACATATATATATATATATATATATATATATACATATAATCATACCTTAACATAAAAGCTAAAAACAGCAACAACAACAACTAAGGCCAAGAATATAATGTTTAAAGGTAAGTTATGTTTGGCTCCAATGGTTAGAGCTGGTGAATTACCTACCCGTTTACTTGCATTAAAAAATAACTGCGATCTAGTATGGTCACCAGAGTTAGTTGATAAGAAGCTATTACAGACAAATAGACTAATTAATGAAAAGCTGAACTCAATAGACTATATCTTACCAAATGGGAATATAGTTTTCCGCACGATACCGAAACTGGAAGCAGGTAAATTGATCTTACAAATAGGCTCTGCTGATCCAGACTTAGCTGTCCAGGCAGCGTCCAAAGTGATTAATGATGTGGACGGGATTGATCTAAATGCCGGTTGTCCTAAGCATTTCTCTATCCACTCTGGAATGGGTGCTGCTCTATTATCTACCCCGGAATTACTTTGCTCAATACTAGAAAATTTGGTAAAGAAGGTCGGTGTTCCCAATAAAAAACCAATCTCTGCTAAGATTAGATTGTTACCTGAACAAAAAGATACAATCGATTTAATTGAAAAGTTATGCAACACAGGGATAACAAATCTGACTGTTCATTGCCGTACTCGTGAAATGAGAAATAGAGAGTCGCCAATAAGAGATTATTTGATTGATATTTATAAAATGTGCAAAAAACATGATGTTTCCTTGATTATTAACGGCGACTTACAGACACGTTCTAATTTCCTTGAAGTTAGAGATCAATGTGGATTACCTGAGGAAGTGGGTGGGATGATAGCAGATGCTGCAGAAGTTAATCCAACTGTTTTTAATTGTAATGGGCCTAACGAAAAATGGTGGGCTATAATGGATGAATATATAAAATTAGCTACTCAATGGGAAAACAATTTTGGCAATACAAAGTATATGCTAAGCAGAATTATACCAGGCAAGAGTCCTGTTTTTCAAATAATACTCCGTTGTCATGATTATGAACAAATTAAATATGTCCAAACAAAATTAATAAATCCTGAAAGTGGAACTTTATTAAGAGATCCCAAGGATTTTATTGAATCCTTACAAAATAAAGGGAAGAAAGATAATAAGAATAAGAAAAAAAAGAGAAGTGCTAACGGCATTAATATGACAAGTAGAGACACCAAAACTACGACTAAGAAAGTTAAAATATAATGTCAACTCCAACTATATTGTCCTAGAGACTTGTTAAAACTTAGGCATCTTTTTATTCTTTACTGCACTAGTTCATTCAACAATAATGCATAAATTTTCCTTATAAGTTTGAAAAATTGTAAATCAGAATACAATAAAACAAGTGAAAGGAGCAAGACGAGTAAAACTGCACTAAAACAATTTCTCTTCCTATATAGATACTAACAGTATTTTGTTCAATGATTTTATATATTACTTACTATACCATGTACCTCCTCTATAAGTCTTTCTACCGTACAAGATGATGTATTAATGGTTAAACTGTCCTTTTTGTGATTATTTTCAAAAATTTTGTCCGTTTTGTTTTTCTTTTGGAGAAAGATTGAGAATAAATTTCTCAACTTCGAATAAAATGACTAACTGTTGTTGCATAAACACAAGAGCGATAGAAGGGACCCACAAAGAGAGTTAGATTTTGTAGCATCCACAACTTTCATAAAACCCTATCTCTATATCTACGGAGTATTTATGGTTTGCCCGTGTAGTGCTTAACATATTATTTAGTGAAAACCGGAAGACAAACAAAAGGGTAGTATATTTTCATTCATAAAGAAAGCATAACAGTTAGAGAAAAAAAATAAAACGGAGTAATCGAAAGGAAAAGGAAAAGAATACTTATATTGTACTTTACTTAGCACCATTTTTTTTATCTGTATTAATATAAAAATAAAGGAAATCATATTTTTCATATAATTTCAAATACGTTTCTAAAATGTCTTTAATGACGAGTAATAACGAACATAATAATAGTATCAACCATGGTACAGACACTACACAATTGACTAGTGTTACCACATTGCTAACTAACCCAATGGCCTTTGATACAGCTAGATTGCATCCTTTAGCTGGTCTTGACAAGGGTGTTGAATATATGGATCTAGAAGACGAACAATTGTCTACCATGGAAGGATCACAAGGTTTGATTCCATCTCGTGGCTGGTCAGATGATCTTTGTTATGGGACAGGGGCTGTCTATTTATTAGGTTTAGGTATTGGTGGCTTCTCTGGTTTAATTCAAGGTATTAAAGCTATACCACCCAACGCTTCTAGTAAATTACAGTTAAATACAATTTTAAATAATATTACTAAGAGAGGGCCATTCTTAGGTAATAGTGCAGGTGTTCTTGCATTAAGTTACAATATTATTAATTCCTCTATTGATGCATTACGCGGGAAACATGATACGGTCGGTTCTATTGTAGCTGGTGCTTTAACTGGAGCTATATTTAAATCAAGTAAAGGTTTAAAGCCTATGGGTTATGCATCAGGGTTAATGGCAGGAGCATGTGCAATTTGGTGCGGAATAAAGAATTCCTTGCTTGGGTGAATGAATCATGTACAATAAGAAAAACGTAACTTAACAAATCATTCATCAAAATAAAAGAATAGAAAAGAAAAGAAAACACAGGAAACATCATGATAATACAAATGATAATTCCACAATGTAAGTACTATAGTTAACCACATATATGCAATATTTTTTCTCGTTTATTATCATTGCACCTTTCTTTTCTTTTGTTCTTTTTGCTTCTGTAATAAAAAGTAAAAAAAAAAATGCAATCAAGCAAGAAATTCACATAAGCAACGAAAAATTATGACTAAGATAACTTTTTACTTTTCTTTAATTTTATTGCACCCCCCATGTATATATGCGTGTATATTATAGATATATATATATGTAATTATGAATGAATGATATATATTTATTTGTATACTATTATCAGTAAATACCGTTAATAGATATTGTCTTATCCCTCAATTACTTTTAGCACTCTTGCTTTACTAAGTAAAGACAGAAAAAACGTAAATAAACAAATAAGATTACAGAGAATGAAAAAAAAAATAATAGTTGTTTCTAGTATTCAATATAGTGCTATAAATCGAAGAAACCGGGGTAGGTAAGCAGAATTAAAGGATAGATAATAATAACGGTTGCGATAGAGATCATCAAGATTCACAAGCTGTTGAATCTAATAATACTCATAATTTGCTCAAATGCTTTAATTAAGTTGTTTTTAATTAATATCTTAGCATATCTGCTTATTCAGCAATTCTCCCTTTAATGTTTCTTAAAGTTAAAGTTAGTTCGCAGTTTTATCTTTATTTCGTCGAATCATTTCCATTTAATTTTTCCAGTTCACTTCCAAAGAAAAAAAAAACAAAAGAAAATAAAAGGGACTATCATATAGTCTCATTACAATAGAACCGGGTGAAATTATAGAGGCAAAAATGACAGTACAGATAAAAGCCATCACAAAATAATAGAATAGTTGGCAATGGATACTGGACGGGAGAACAAAGCATTAACAAAAAGAAGAGAGAAAATGGAAAAAATGGGATTTCGAAAGGATGGTAAACAAAAAAAAAATAATAGAAAACTGCATTTGAAGTAGATTTTTTTACTTACATAATCTGATTAAAAGTATCAAAATCATTGGTTTATTTTGGGTTTCAACAGTTGCTCGATATTTTTTTTTTCGTACTACTTCGCAAAATAGGGTTTATTCTTTGGTTTTTTTTTTTCTTTTTTTATTTCTGCAAACGAAAAAAATAATACAAAAAGTGGCTATATGACAAAACAGTTCTCGATTGGCTCCATTCAGGGTTTCTCCAAAAAAAACCTACTTAAACGAATATTTTTCTAGGGTTCATAGTGAAAATATATAATTGACCACTATAGCGGATGTTTCCTTTTTCAGTTCAGTTGCTCGTTTTTTTGTTTTCCAAGTAGTTAAAAATAATTTCACAAACACGAAAACACTGAAATGAGGCGATAATAAGAACATTCTTGCCTTCTTTTGTTGTTTTATTTCTTTTTATTTTCTGATTGATTCTATTTAGCTCCATTATTCAAGAAAACATATATATTATTATTATTACACTGATTACATAAGAAATTTATATATATATATATACGTTATATAAATATATTGATCTTCCGCATATATTTCCATCCGTCACCTTCCTCATCGCTTCTTTCTTTAACCTCTTGTGTTGTCCTCCTTCTCTTATCTCAGTAACCTACTTTGTATTTTTTTGTACTATATATATATATATATATTCGGAAATAAACCAAATATTATAAACCTATTTGAAACGATTTCATTTGATAGTAGTGTGCGTCTCTATCTGTTGCAATTTTTAGTATTCTGATATACATTACCCTTTCTATTTAGTGCATTGACAATAGAATCAAAATGAAGATTTTAACAGCTGAAGAAATCAGCGAACATAAAGCATATACTCTAAAAGGTGGTTTTCTAGGTTGTGTTGCTGGTGTAGCCATTTCTTTTGCTGGTTTGAAATATTTACCACGCAAATTCCCAAACTTTAAACCACGTACATTGCCATGGTCGTTACGTACTGCAATGTTTATTACTCCACCAACTTTATTAACTGCTATCGCAGCCGAGGAAGCGTCAAATAAATTCGACCAAATAAGATATAGTGGTGATTATAAAGAAAAAGAGGAAAAAGAACAAGAATTAGAATGGGCAAAAATGTCTTCCACCGAAAAAGCCGTTACTTCTTTGTCTAACCACAAATATAAAATTATCACTGGTGCTTGGGCCACGTCCCTTTATGCTTCGTGGCACATCATCAACAGAGATCCTATTATGACCAAGCCACAAAAGATTGTTCAAGCTAGAATGTACGCGCAATTCATCACTGTTCTTTTATTATTAGGTACTATTGCTTTGTCTACATGGGAAGCCTCTATGACTGCCGGTAGTACTGTTGAAAAGAGACAAAAACAAGAAGAACAGAGATGGAAACACGCTTTAGAAGCTGCTGAAAGAGAAGAAGCTAGGTTAGCTGAGGGTGCTATTAAAAAAACCGGCTTCCAATCTAATGAAGAAAGAATCAATGCTAAGATCTTCAAGAGTTAGAGAAAAAAGAAAGTTGATCAAGAAGAAAAGGAATAGAAAATTAGAACGTGTAGGATACTTAATATGATATGGTATGGTATGATTTTATTGATAATTGATTTTGAAACACGGTGCAATCCGCATTTAGTGTTTCTGTTTTATGCATATCATATGTATTTGTCTTTAACTTTCTTTATCTCCTGTAATAATAATTTTTAACGACATTATTTATGGGTACTTTTCCAATTTATTAATTTATTCATCCAGGTATATTATATATATATATTATTTTATGTTATTTTACAAATATTCTTTATTAATTAAACAGAGCTTAATGTTTTTTTTTTAGATTACCTGTTGAAAAATCAAGAATCACCTCTGAAGGTTTTTTGAGCAAAATTTTTCCTAACCCTTGTATATTTTCAGGAAGTTTCTCAAATAATTGCGTTAACCCTAATTTAAACGTTTTATTCGATTTTTTTTTTTATTTTTTTAAATTAAAAAAATGCATCTGACATCAAAAATCCGAAACAATAGAAAAAAACAAAAGAAAAGCAAAAAAAAAAAAAAAAAGAAAAAGAAAGTGTATACGGAAAAAATGGAATTATCGTATTTTTGTTAAGTATCACAAATTCAAAAAAAAGAGGCGTCAATAAGAATTATTAACAGATGTTTGAGTGCGCCAACTTTTAAGGGAATCAAATGTATAAAATGTAATATGGTACAGTTATAAAAGGACAAGAAGGTACAACCCATACACAAGTGTACTGTGAACCTGGATCTCAGTAATTACTAATCCAAAGACCGACAAGATCACAAAAGCTTCCCTGTTTAATTAAAGATGTCTTTAGACCAGGATAAACAATTTCAAGATATCAAAAGATTAAATGCAAATGATGAAAATAATCTAATTAATAGGAGAAAATCAATCACCGAGCAAGATATTGCTATGGATGGTGAAAGAATTGATGTGATTGTTACATCAACCTCTACCACCACTACCACTACCACTACAACAACAAAAAGTGCTACAACTGCTATTGATGATGAAAATGCTGCTACCATTACCACTGCCACCACTACTGTTGATAATGATACGGACCTCAACAATATGGATAACAATATTATTCAGTCTATGGAAGATACACAAACAACTATTTTCTCTAATAAGGATTTGAATGATTCTTTACCGCGTTATGTCAAAATATTACAAAGAAAATTAAAATTTAGATATCATCGTACTGATGATGATTTTATATCGTATTTTGATGATGTTGATTTCGATAGAAGACCTTCTATCTTAGATGGATCCATTAATGAACCATTCCATTTAGGATTTAAAGGTCCTACCTTAGAGAAAGAGATCAAGAATAAGGAAAAAACGAGAAGAAAAAAATTAAGAGCCATTAGTAAAACAAGTAATGAGTTACCAGATTTAACTGAAAGTGAAACTTTTGAGATTAATGATTTTACTCATTTCCATACAAACTTTGCTGGACTATATGTAGCATTATGGATGTCAATCGGATGTGGTCTTGTTAAGGTGTTATTCAATTTCTATTGGACCAATAATAATTCTTTAATGGATATACCAATCATCAATTTTATGACCACTGATCTATTTTTAGTAGGTGCTCTTGATTTTTCATTTTATTTGGCTACGTATTTCAGTTTTTTTATACAATGGCTTTGTAAAAAAGGAATAATAAAGTGGCGTCCATTCGGAAGAACTATTATGATCATTTTTGAATTCTTATTTTTCCTCTCCGGAATCTTAATTCCAGAACACATCTTTGGTTTACATTGGATTGCCAAGATTTTCCTTTTCTTACATTCCTTAGTATTATTAATGAAGACCCATTCTTATACTTTTTACCATAGCTATTTATGGGATTTATGGAAGGAATTACACTATTCAAAGGGTAAATTAAAAAAAGTTACGGAGAAAAATGAAGAAAAGTTAGATGATAAAACAATTGAAATCCTTGAAAAATCTCTGAATTTCTGCAAGTTTGAATTTAAATTGCAATCAGAAGAATCTAATGGTGTCATGGTAAAGTTTCCTGAGACTATCACATTCCATAACTATTTTATGTTTACTATGTTCCCAGTTCTTGTTTATCAGACCAGGTATCCACGAACAGATAGGATTAGATGGAAATATGTGGCAGAAAAAGTTTGTGCAATTTTTGGTATCATTTTTATTATGATGGTAAATGCACAAGTATTTATGTATCCAATTGCAGTGGAAGCTATTGAGGTTAGAGATGCTCCATGGACTTCTTTATTGGATCGTTTGCTTAAATGGGGACAAATAATGGTTGATATTGTTCCAAGTTTTATTCTCATGTATCTTTTAACATTTTATTTGATTTGGGATGCAATATTAAATTGTATTGCAGAATTGACAAGATTTGGGGATCGTTATTTCTATGGTGACTGGTGGAATTGTGTTAATTGGGGGGAGTTCTCACGTATTTGGAATATTCCAGTTCATAAATTTTTGTTAAGGCACGTTTATCATAGTTCAATCTCTGCATTCCAATTGACAAGAGGCCAAGCCACTTTTATGACATTTTTATTAAGTGCAATTTTCCATGAGTTAGCAATGTATGTGATTTTTAAAAGGCTGAGATTTTATTTATTTTTCTTTCAAATGTTACAATTACCGTTAGTTGCTTTGAGTAATTCCAAATTATTAAGAGATAGACCAATTATTGGGAATGTATTCTTTTGGATGGGTATTTGTTTAGGACCGAGTGTTATGTGTAGTTTGTACTTGACTATTTAATAACGTCATAATCCTTCGTCTTTTCTCCCTTAGAATTTTGTTTTGCTTTCTCTGAATTAACATACATATACACATTTATTCCAATATGCACATACATATACATACATATACATACATTTATTTATTTATTTAATTTGCACGAATATAGATATATTTACATGACATATAGAATAAATCCTTTAAATATATATATTAATGGTACATATATGGATAGATGGATATGTATTTCCTCCCTTTTTTTTTGTCTCTATTTCTATGACTTATCTATAAATTTCATCAAAGGGTCTTGTATCATTAAAACACGATTCCCATACTTCGTTTACTACTTTTGTAGCTTCTTCCTTTGATTTGCAATTTGGATTACCCATAACACTTAAGATGGCCCGTCTTTTAACACAATTTTGATGACCCCTATTTAGTTTAAATCCAGTACGCAGACCACGTCTTTTATATTCTTGCCAAAACCTACATTCTCCACTTAACGATGATGCTCTAATCTCTGAACAAGCATGGTGTCTCAAATTGAACCAGTTGACATCCCATTTCAAATTATCATACCAATGAATCAGTTCATGTGCCAACGTATCTTCTAGGTGCCATTTATCTGTTAATCTATTTTGACATAGCAAGATGCCCATCTCTGTATTGAAACCACCACTTTTCAATTGATCACAAAAATCACATATGATTTTACCCTCGTCGAATTTTAACGGTGGGTTTCTATTATTGCTAGATTTTTCGACAAAGAGTGTTTGGGGCAATCTATTTTGCAATTTGTTGATCTGTTGAATCATGAAAGTCACAGTGGGACTATATTTTAACATCCAGTCTCTGTATCTATAACAATCGTCACATTGCTTCCTTGCTAAGATATCCTTATAGTCCTCTTCGTATCTCAGTTTTTCCTCAGGTGTTAAACCTAGTCCTGTTTTATATTGTAATGATCTTCTCCACCATTCAAAGCTGTTTTGATCCCTTGACATTTAGATAGTGTAGAATGATACTGTTTGTTGATTGATTCAGTCGCAATATCCAAGTTATACATCGACTATCTTGGGAACATCCAAGATTTACATACTCTCTATGTTTTATCAAAATATAAAATAAAACCATAACGCTGGCTTACACAGAGATACACATTATACACTCTCAAGAACTACTCCTCTTTCCTCTTTCGTCCTCCCACTTTAATCTTTACCTTTACCTTTACCTTCATCTTCATTTTCATCTCTCGATGCTGCAGGTGCATTGTATCCATTTCCTATTTGTTTTTTTTCTTTTTTTTTGCAAGGCCAATTCTGGTGGATCATCCAGACACCCCACTATTCAAATTCATATACAATCAATTCCGCCTTGTTCCCGTAGGATTTTCAGGATATGTCGCAAGTACGGAAGAATTCAAAAATTTTCTGGACAATTCCGAAAAAATCCCGAAATATCCCGAGAAAAAACCAGCAAAAAAAAATTATTCTCGAATGGTTTGATCAAAGGGAAAAAAGAAAAAAAGAAAAAAAGAAAAAAACAAAAATAATAATAATAATAGTAATAATACACACAAACCTTTTAGGGATTTAAACATATTCAGAAAGCAAGGAAAGGATGCCCATAGTTACTTCAAGTGGTTAATACACATACATATATTTTGGAATATACCAATATATTGGACTATCCTTTGTCTATAGGAGTAAAACAGGAAAGAATATAACTTGTTAGCGATGTTTAAACCTACAAGAATCAACTATAGTGCCTTATCAAAACGTACAAAACGTGTCCAAGTCCAACTATTAAGGGATTTCCCCAGATTCAACTTATTTAAAGGGCAAGTGACCCATGTGAAACCATCTTTAATGATGAATTATTTATACCCCTATAACGGTGCTAAATATATCATGAAGCTAAGTGACATCCGCCCTGGTTTATTGAAACAATACGAGATACGGAAATCTGAAATGAAGAAACAAGCCGAACTAGATTCGATAAAAGCTAGTTCCAATATCGACAATAGCTCTAATACCAAAAGTAACATTGCTGATAAAGAAGATGAGCCTACACAAAGGAATAAAATATCTTTCTTGGGGACAGATATCACTACAAAAGATATTAAGATTCCTGGTTTGAATATTTAAAGTTATTTATAGAGATGCATTTTTACTTTTATCTACACTTGTCCTATATACAGATATACTGATACACACATCCTATTTATTCATGTATATGTATATGTATATGTATGTTTTTGTATATATTATGCCAATGTGTGTATTATTACTTGTAAATAATAATAATAACTGAATATCTTTGTTTGTTTGTTTTAACAGTTAGACAAAATGAAAATTTCTTTTTTATTATTTTATTTTTTATTTTTTTTTCATTCATTTAGTATTTAACTTTTATAATTCTTTCTATGAGATTACTTAACACACTTATAAATCTACAACTAAACTAACAATCAGAGAGTATATATAAACTATATAATAATAGGAATACTAGAATAATAATACAAGAATAACAACGACAGGAAAAAAAAAGAAAGAAAATAAAATCGAATTAACATTATTACAAAGAATAAAAATGAGTGGGAAACCTGTGGTTGGTTCAATGTCAAGTAGAGTCATGAATATGAAATTCATGAGGTTTGCTAAGAATAGAGAAAGCCTCGAAAATAGCCAAATCAATGTGTTATCAAGTTCAGAATCAATGAATGGTATTAGTAGTAGCAATACTGATAATGCTGAAAACACAAAAAATTTTCATGATAGTTCTGAATGGAGCCTGATCGATAACAATAAAAACATAAATGATAGCAACAAGAGTAATACTGGAGCTTTAAGAAATATAAAATTAAACATTAAAAGAAGGAATATGTTAAAAGTCAGAAATGGGAACCAATCTACAGTTGGTGTGACTATATTACAGAGAAATAATTTGTCAATTAAAGGAAAAACATTATTTAGTGAAGAATCTACCAGATCTTCTAAAAATAGTGATATAAGCACTAAGAAAAGAAAACTTTATGACAAAGGAAAGGTAGTTAGGAATAATAACAATGATGACGATAATGATGTTGCAAAGAAGGAAGAGGAAGATGGGTATGACATAGATAAAATATTTAAAGATACCATGAAAAAGAGTAAAAGATCTAATAAGAATAAAAAAAATAAGAAACAAAGAAGAAATTAAATTATTAAATAGTTCTGCAAATGATTAAAACAAGAGAAAAGAGAAAAAGAAAAGAGAAAACAAGAAGACTTAATAGTGACTCCCCTTACTACAACTACCGTTTGGATAGTAGTTAAAACGGATTATTTTAAAATATCACCCACCTATAAACATTATACACGAAAATTCTTTGTAGCATTAGTATTTTTTTTATTGTACATTAATACAAAAAAAAGAAAGGGAGAGAAAGAGAAGGTAGTGACATAGAAACATCATGCAACTAGGTTTAGATAGTCAAAATATATATCATGCTTTCTCAACACTTCTTATTCTCTTTAAGAATTACAAACAGGAAACGTTCTGGAGTAATTGTTACACATATAAGAAATGGCTATTAAAGGATCCTGCCTATCAAATAACATACTACAACATATATCTATATATATTGGGTGTGTATGTATATAGAATGTATTTTTTCATCATTCTCCTATTGTAGTATATTTATAAATCAACAAACATTGGGAATCAACTGGAACGATTCCAAAAACTGTGGGCACTATCAAACTTCCTATTTGGAAAATTTATCACGAAATTACCAAATTTTCCAAAAAATTTTTTTTTCAATTTTTCTGTTTTTTGTTTCTGTTCAATTGCTATTAAAATTTTGTGACGCGTCGCAATTTTCGTGTCTGTCACGTCTCAATTTTTTTTTTTAATTTGTTCATGTAACGCGTCTTGCCAAATTTCGAAATGTCACAATTTTGATTCAATTGAAAATAACACCATTGGTGGTTGCAAATTACATCAACTATAGTTGCTCCAATAGAATATGATGTGATACCAGATCATAATATATTAGGGATAAAAAAAGAGCAGAAATACTATTGTAGTAATGTCTTTTATTACCATTTATCTATGTCTTTACAATGCAACAATTTTTTTTGCATCTACTGATATATGTTATTTAAAAGAAGAGAGTTTAAAAACTCATTAATCTCTTAAATTTATGGTTAGTGTATCTCCTATTAAACATCAAAAGGTATACCAGCCATTACATGATATTCTTGACACTTGATTATGTTGAAGGGAAAGAGAAGATCATCTGACCAAATCGAGAGAATTAGAGATCACTTGAAAAAAATGATGTGTTGTCCATTACAGACAATTGAACTTAACTCAAATCAACTATACAATACTAATACTACTAAAATCACAAAGGATACGCACAGCTTACCAATAAATGGATTTGTCTCTAAGTATAAACGCAAAAAGAATTCAGCAAGAATATCTAAATTTCAAATCACATCGTCTTTAAATAAAAAGAATGATTCCCACCCTCAATGTGATAATAAGGTTCAAAAAAGTGGCAGATTAAGAAAATACGACAGGTTTACTTTATTTAAATATCTTCAACAAAGGAAACAAGATAATTTATCTTATGTTAAGCCTGAATTATCATTTGGTCAATTGATCTGTCTTGCAATTTTACAATCAGATGAAAGGAAACTGATCCTCTTCGATATCTGTCATTGGATATCAGCTAATTTCCCATTTTACAGATTGACTGATACAAATTGGCAAAACTCTGTAAGACACACATTATCGATTAACCCAAACTTTATTAAATTGGAAAGTGTTAAAATATCAAACAGTAATGGTGTTAAGGATAACGAACATAGGAAACGATATGTGTTTGTTGGTAAAGATAACAATGGATTGAATAAAGTTAATCAAAATGTTAGAAAATCAAGTAAATGGGGGGTTACATCTGACGGTATATCCTCTTTTTTTATCTGTTCACCAAATGATTTACATCTTTTCATTGATGTGGTTAAACAGATAAATCAACTCATATTTGAGACTGTACAACTGAAGGATAGTTATTCAACAGATTTAGATTCATTAATAGTTCAGGATCCACATCAAACAGGACCTTTTTCCTTGGATTCGTCATCACCACTTTCTCAGGTTTCCAATAGTTCTAAACCGCTATCCAATTCTTCCAGTATGACAGACTTAACAACCCTAAGTGTTGACGATACATCAACACTTGGTTTACCATTTTTTTTAGCATCTTCTGTAGACAGCACACTGGTCCAAAAGCTAGAAAAACATGAACTACCACATCAACAAGAAACCATATACGATATTGATTCGAAATTAGATTTACTAAAGACACCAAAATTTGACACAACTTCAACCAGATGTTATATTTTAAATGCATTTGAAAATTCTCTGCATAATAATAATTGTACTAATATTAGTAACAATAACAATAATATTAATATTGATAATTTCGATATGAATAGAACGAATAATGATTTCGTGCCGTCTTTTTTCACAGATTTGAATCCACCGTCACCAACACTTATTTTTAATGAGTCAACTCTATATCCCAACGAGACTACATCCTTCTCGATTTTGTAACAAACATATTGTTTTGAATAGTTATGTTCACGGTGAACTATACTTAAATAAAACATAAAAAACAAATCATAAATATGCAACTATATATAAATAAATATATATATATTCTAATTTCATAAATAAGACAGTTTATATACATATATAAAAATATTAATAAAGGACTCATCACATTTTTTTTCTTTTATTTGTGCAATGACTAACTTAATATCATTAAATATTTTCTTAAATTATAATTTTCTTAAAATAATATGTGCTTTGGAGAATCTGTTATGCTCATAAACCATCTCAAAAAACTTTTTTAATGATATTTTTAGTCCTATTACAGTTTTAAAATACATAATCTTTGATTTGAGATTTAATATATTGTTTATTTTCAACTGAAAGGTTGTAAAATACAATAACTAATAAAAGTATGATAACACTTAATACGAACTGCATTGATATGAACCCATTTGAAAAAAGATTTTTGGATAGATCTGGGATTTCAATAATATGGATGGTATTTGCTGCAGAAACACTAACTATATATTTACCATCAGATGATATGATCACTTTTGTAATTGCAAATGAATGAATTTGATTAAATATTGTTTGTATTTTAAAACTAGACAATTGGATAACTAAAATAGAATTTTCATTTGTGGCTAATGTTAAAAGATTATTTGATTCATTTAAATCCATTGATGTCACCCCCTTAAATTTATTACTTAATAGTTTTGATTCAACAACAGTGGCATCATTGTCGCTCAAAACAACTTTAATCAAAACTATGCCAGAATCTCTTTTCTTCCTATTATTACCATTTTTATATTGAGTAGCTGCCATTAGTAATGTGTTATCATTAATAAATTTCATTTTTGATAAGTTCCAACCTTTTGATATAAAATCTTGACTCAACCTGACAATAGGCTTACCTGTCTCTGTGGATATAACTTGTAAAGAATCTGATGTAATATATGCAATGTATTTACTATTTGGTGTAAATCCAATATCTTTAACCTCTTTTGCAATATTATTGATTTCAAATTTTTCATTTAACGTAGTTACTTCAATTAGTTTGATTAAAAAGTTTGAATCCACACAGGGAACAACTGCAGCCAATCGACCATCATTAGAGATTTCTAGAAATTTCGTATATTCTTCTGGGTTACAAGAATGAAACAAATCAATAGATTTAGTAAGTTGCAATTGAAATTTTTGATCTAATTGAAATCTACGTAGATGTTTATTACCTTTCCCTGATTTTATGTTGGCACTATTTTCATTGCAACCAATCAATATAATCTGGTCTGTTTCCAAATGAGAATTTATCACTGTTGGCGAATCATCCTCTTCTGGGAGATTAAAATCATGTAGTTTTTCCAATTCACTCTTTTGAGAGTCATATCTATATGAAGTGATCATGTTTGGTATACCATTCTTACCTTCACCACCACCCCCTGCCACTACAAAAATAGCTTCATTTGGATTGCTTTGAATGAAAGTGGCTCCATATAAGGGATACTCCGCAGTAAACTTGTGATTAATAAACTTCATTTGTAGTTTGCTTTCACTACTATAGTTGAACAGTGGTATCAAATATAACCTAAAAGAGGGAGGAAGGAATTAAACTTTAATATTATATGTTTATATATAATAATAAATGCTAATTTATTTTTTGATAAAAATAAATAAATAAAAAGTTTCATTTATAAGGAGAAAAAGAGCAAAGAAAAAAAAAACATTCAAATTAAAACGACAAAACAAACCCAAGTATATATACATATATCTAGCAAAAGATTACAATACAATATCAAAAAGAAATTAAGTTAACAAGGAGGACAACTGGAATATTACATCCACCAAGTTAAAAAACTATGCAAGTAACTAATATATATAGATTGATAAATATTACAGAAAGTTGATGCAACAGCAAATTACTATAGGAAGGCTCTTTCCATAGGAATAGCCAGGTTTCTCACATAATTTGTAATATTTATTCTTTATGCTGCATAAAAAGTATATATCCCACTAGATATGTAAGGATTTTTTTTCTTTGTTCATTTTTCTCTCTTCTTCTTATTATTATCATTTTTATTATTTTGGTTATATATGAAATAAGTTTTATATAAGTAAATGTCTAATGGGAAAATAGTTGTGTGCGTGTGTAAACATATTTACTTCTGGTTTAGCACGTCAAAAAGAATAATATATAAAGAATAATCATCTACGTTTACTATACATAGTCGTCGACTATTCGGCCCATCTTTCAGTTCAGTAATGCAAAAAAAAAAAAAAAAAGGAATTGGATATCACATTTTCTGAGATTAGCAGGCAATTTTGTTTGGCCCAAAAATTCTCGAGAAATTCAGGCAGATCTCACAAAAATTTGAAGAAAAAAAAAAACATAAAAAATGGGAGTAAAAGTAAAACGAAATAAACAAAAGCTTCGAAGAAAAGAATAAAGAATGTATCTGCATAAAAATTATAATCATACATAAACAAGTTTATATTTATCCTTATATATATTTACATATTTATATATTTACATATTTATATTTTTATATATTTATATATACAACCGTATTTCACAACCACATAAGCATTTCTTTGACCTATATTTCGGCAAGTGGTTCAGTGCTACTCCTTTCCTTCTCCTCCTCCTTCATAAGAGAAATTATGCTCTCATTTCACCACCTATTTGTTAAGTTGTTATTTGCCTTTATCATTTCCCCATTCTTTGTCAATGGTGCTCCTACTAACGATGTAAAACAGTTTACATTAGATACAAATAAGGTTTATCCACCAGATCCACCATCTTCTGTGCATGTTGTAATGGCTTTCAAATATTTCGACGAAGTCTTACAAAGAGAACGTGTGGTAGATTTCACCATAGCTCTATTCAATACATTGACTCCAAAGGCCACAAAAAATTTCCAAATGATGTCTAATGGTTTCAAAGTCATCACTAATCCAAAAGAACCAGAGAAGATTCTTTTCGTCACCTACAAGGATACCCCTGTCTATAAACTTATCCCAGGTGTTCAAGTTGAAGCAGGTGTAATCTTCTCTGAATTTCCATTCTGTTTATATGGTCAAAAATTCGAAGATGAAAGTTTTGCTTTGAAACATGATAGACCAGGTAGAGTCAGTTTAGTTTCTACAGGTCCTGATACAAACGAATCTAAATTCATCATCGGTTTGGATGCCAACGGTGCTCCAGAAAAAAATGGCAAAAATGTTATCTTTGGTCAAGTTGTCTCTGGATTGGAAGATCTAATCAATGCAATGAACCATGTCAAGATCGACGCTAATAAGAAAAATGCCCCAGAAAAACCAATGGTTATCAACTATTCTGTTGTCGATGAATTAAAAATTGCCAATATTGATGAAATGGCTAGAGAGTGGGAGGCTAATGTCAAAGCATTTGAACAAGGTGATCACTCAAAGGGTTTCAGATTTAAAAGCAAAAAAATTAAGAATAAGCAGTCAAATAACAAAAACACAAAAGGTTCTAAATATGATCAAATGAATCACACTGTTGCAAAAATTTTCATCTTGTTTGTTTTACTTACCTTTTTCTATGTGTTAATGAGATATAAAAACAAGATTATATCTTATTTACCACTAAATAAGCATGAAACATCTATTAGAAGTGACTAATACACTGTCTTCTCTTCTTCTTCCTTCTTCTCTCCTTTTCTTTTATTTATTTATTATTCTTTTTTTTCGTTTTATTGTTTATATATGTGTATTTTTAACTTCTATATGAATATATATATATATATATATATTTCATTGTGATTAACATATTATTGAATTTAACAAATTTTTGATTAATTTTTCATCCAAATATTTACCAATTAACACCAATTTACATTCCTCACTAGTACCAGTCTTTTCATTATCAAAAATATCATATGTGTCTCTGACGCCTTGAATAATTTTACTTCTTATTTGACCCTTACAATTGTTGTCGATATACGATATTATCCCTTTTGTCCTCTGAATTTCCCATTTTTGGATTTTATAATCATCAACTCCAAAATTCTTCCATAATAAAACTTGCAAAAATCCTTTGATGAAAGTATCAAATTCGTCTTTTGATTTTAATTTTCTAAAGTTTAACACTATAGTAGACATCCTTGGATCATGTAAAGTTTTAACATTACTGGTCATGTATTTATCCATTGCATTAAATGATTCATATGCATGTAAATCTAAAATGTTCTCAATAGATACTTCACCATATTGTGTTTCATATAGAAGTGCCAAAGAATTTATTTCCTGGATTCTTGATTTGATTATTTCTATCTCATCTGGTTTCTCTCTCAGTCTATCTACTTTGTTTAACAATATTCTATCTGCCATGGCAATTTGGAAATGGGCTATAGTTAAATTATTTCCATCTTCAATGTGTTTCTCCTCTTTCTCCTCCTCCTCCTTTTTCAAGGGTACAGATACTTTTTCACCATGCCAGTGTGCATCTGGAGACACATCATCTAAGCATTTCAAAATATGTTCAGCGTCCAACACAGTGATAACACCATCAATATAGACACTACTATTCAAACCTTCGTCTTGCCAAAACATCCTAGCTATTGGTGCAGGATCAGCTATCCCTGAAGTCTCCAACAATATGTAATCAATCATCCCAGGTGACCTTTCTACCATATCTTCGATTGCCTTCACACCAATATTCTTTAAAGAACAGCATAGACAACCGTTGCCAAGGTCCAACCATTCTTGATAAGAAGCTTCTCCGTTTCGTATAGTCATTGCCTTTTCTATCTCACTTGAATCACCAAATTCATTCATTATAATAGCTATTTTCTTATCACTACCTTTTAAGGCAATCTTTTCTAACAAAGTTGATTTCCCAGACCCTAGATATCCAGTAATTATGGTCACAGGGATTCGCCTTTTATGAGAACTAATTGATGATGATACAGAATTATCATATTTCATACTGTTTTTTACCATTTCATTTTGCCTATTAACTCGATCCACTTTTTCCATAGTCACTAAATTCCCACCATCACTATGCGATTTGTTTAAAATATTTTTTAAATCAGGTTCTTCGCCTGTCACTAATGTAGGCAATTCGCCATCTTCATCTTCATTAAATTGAAAGTTCTTTAAAGCTGACATGTATTTTATTTTTTTGTTTTTTTACTCTACTTAAGTTTTGTATGCTTATATATGCACTGATGCACACATCAATCTACATAGAATGATTATAAGTAGGTTGTAATACTTAGTTGAATGACAGATGTGTGAAGTGTAATTTGTGTTGTGCATTGAAACTTTTTGCTACTAGAAATCGAGTCGGTTCATAGATGTTATAAACTTTCAAAAGTGAAAAAAAAAGTTGTGTAGAACGGCTGTTAAACTGTTAGATATGTTTGTGAACAAAGATGGTGATATTATCCTTAAATTATATATATAAATGAATATGTGTGGGATTGTATTTGGTATATTCAACAGTCAGGCATTAGTTGATTATTTATAACTGTACAATCTTATATAGATATATATAGAAGAGCTGATCATAATCGAAATAGTAATATAATCAATAAATATGAAATGGTCATATTTAGATACAGCACTTTTAGTTGTAATATCCTATCATTTAGTTAATTCTCCTTACACTAAGGTAGAAGAAAGTTTTAATATCCAAGCAATACATGATATATTGAAATATGGAATATGGGATATATCAAAATATGATCATCTTCAATTTCCTGGTGTTGTCCCTAGAACTTTCATCGGTGCTTTGTTGATATCTTTTTTAACTAATCCATTTATTATCATTTCTCATATATTTAGTAAATCATCAAGTGATATTTCAGCTGGGTTTGAAACACAATTATTAGTAAGATCAATTATTGGGTTAACTAATGCTGCATCGTTAATTTATTTAAAGAACTCTTTACAATCTATGTTTGATAAATACATGCAATTAGAATCAGAACAAAATGAGAAAAGCACTAGAAACAATTTAGATTTAATTAGACATTTTTCAAGTGTTGGGAAATGGTTTTTGCTATTTACCATGACAAGTTTTCATCTCATGTTCTATGCAACTAGACCTTTACCAAATTTTGTCATGACTTTACCTTTAATTAATGTATCATTCGGTTTGATTTTAAATGAAAAGCTTAATTGGGCTTTAGCCTTATTATCCTTTACTTCTATTGTCTTCAGATTAGAAGTGTCTGCTTTAACCTTTGGCGTATTCTTATTTTCATACTATTATAATAAGCTTGATGGATTTAAAAGCATTAGATTTGCTTTAATGGGAGGATCGTTAGGGGCATTTTTAAGTATAGTTATTGATTCCTATTTCTGGGGGGACTGGACTTTACCTGAAGTAGATGCTTTTATTTTTAATGTTATATCTGGTAAAGCCTCTGATTGGGGAACAGAACCATTTATTGCATATTTCACACATTACCTGAGAATGTTATTCATACCGCCAACTATCCTTTTGTTGAATTATCTTGGTTTCAGATTTGCACCCTATAACTTAAAAATTGTCACACTGGCTAGTTATTTCCATATTTTTATTATGTCATTTCAGCCACATAAAGAATGGAGATTTATTATTTATTCAATTCCACCAATTATCATGTTAGGATCGACTGCTGCCTCGTATCTTTGGGAAAATATTAAAGTACAAAATTTGAAGAACGTTTTGTTATTAAGTTTACTTCCTTTATCTGTTATAATTTCAGGTACAATTTCACTTTTGTTTTCCAAAATATCGTCTATGAATTATCCTGGTGGCGAAGCATTAGCTAATTTCAATCAATATTTAGTTGATAAGAATATAACCAACGCTAATGTTCATATAACTGTACCTCCATGTATGACCGGTGTTACACTTTTTGGACAAATAGAATCACCGCTATACAATATTACTTATGACAAAACCGAAGATTTGAATAAATTAGAATTTAAGTGGAGCACTTTTGATTACATTATTACTCATCAAAATGATCCAAAGCAATTCCCATTTCAATTTGATCAATCAGATGATTATAAATGGGAATTAATCCAAAAAAATAAAATGTTCACACATGTGGATCTTTCATTTATTCGTTCACATATAAATCAATTTATTAAGAACAACAAAGATAAGGAGCTTGGCAGAATATTCTTTGATAATATAGAAAAATTACCAACTCTTCTAAGTGAACTTGTCACAACTCAATATCTTGTCAATATCTTCAATGAAACATTTGATAAGACTTTCATTCAAAATGATATTTTCTATACATATAAGAAAGTTAGACAATAATCATAAAAGTGATATTTCAAATTCTTTTTGTCACTTTCCTCCTTTAACGTCAATATATATATTTATTTTTTTATTAGTTAAATAGAAAAATGTTAATATTACATACTTCGTGTATATCAGATTATAGTAGTGTCTTCTTGATGAATTTTAATAATCACTTGTAATTATTATATATTATCTTGCACTGTAGATGAGACTGTACCTTCTGTATTGGTATCGGGTGTACCGAATGCAATTTCTCTTATATCAACAATCCATGGATCCATCAATAATTCAACTGCAGTAGCTCTCTTACGTGGGTCATGTACTAGGCAACGCTTCAAAAAATTCCTACCGCTTTTTGATACTTCATCTTTATTAGGTAACTGAGGAGTCTGTCCAGCAGCCACCTGATACATAATAGCCCATTCATTGTCTAAATTAGCCCAAGGTCTTCTACCAGTAATCATTTCTAATACCACACAACCCAATGACCAAACATCATCTGCACCAAAAGCACCTTTATGTTTAGATCCTGTGATAGATTCTGGTGCCATATACATTGGTGTCCCAATCATTCCTTGAACATTGGTTGTTCGGTCTTCTGTTATAATACTGCTTGTTTTTGTGTCTGATTCTCCTGTATGAACAGTTGATGCTATAGATTCACTTGTCATAGTGGAAGCAGAGTTGTTAACAGTATGTTTACTCTTGTTCATAGACATAGAAGCTCTCGGTATAACTGTGCCATTTCTAGCTATTTTTCTTGCTGCACCAAAATCTACATATTTAATAATACCATTGAAATCTAAAAGAATATTTTCTGGTTTAATATCTCTATGTACAATTCCAGATTCGTGCAAGTATGCTAGACCTTCTAACAATTCTAAAGTATATACTTGTGTTACCATTTCATCTTCAATTCTTCCATGTTCTAGTAAATTAGCAAGTGAGCCACCTTCACAATACTCCATAAATATATTTACCTTATCTCTATGGACTTCCACACCATAATATTGAATAATATTAGGATGATTCAACATTTCCATAACAGACATTTCTTCCTTGATACATGGAAAGATTTTTTGCATTGCCTTACTATCTTGAATTTTAATTTCTTTTACCGCTAATATATCACCATTATCTAAATTAATAGCTGCATACACAGAACCAAAAGTACCACCACCAACAAACTTTCTCTTTTGCCATCTGATTGAAACATTTGACATAGATGAGGCTAATGAAGTAATATATTTATTATCACCTACCTTATCATCTAATACTTTACCCACTTGACGTGGATTTACCTTAAACGTTTTTTCTAATTTCTCGATGTCTTGAAGTCTCAATTGAGAGTTCACATACAGCATCGAGTCTACATCAAAATCATCTATCAATGCAGCATTAGATCTCAAAGGTTGTTGATTATTTGTTTCTAATTCAGAGGCTCTTGCACCCATCACATCAAAATGGGAAATCAACAATGACATGCAAGCAGATATTTTTTGCTTTAATAATTTAAATTGAACATCATCCAATACAAGGATATTCCACCCGCTAATCATTTGCATTGCAAACTCCATGGCAGTTACACACCATCTAAATGTTTTTTGGTCTGTGGGATCACATTCCTCAGTTAAAAATGTTAACCATGCAATACCAATCTTCACCATTAAAATGATAATAATGGATTTCTTTTCACTGTCTGCAATATTATTCTTTAAAAAATTTCGACCAAAATCTCTAGTAAACAAATATATACCATTTAAAATTTCAGAGGATGACGATACTTTTTGGAAGGTACTTATTATCTTGTCATAATCGTTCAACATACTGTAAGTACATCCAAAGTAACCTTTATTTATACGATGGAGTGTGTTTTCAACATCTTCTACTAAACATTTCCTCTCTAAAAAAAAGACCGAAGGTCCAGCCACTTGTTGGAATCTATCACATTGATATTCTAAAGCATAACTAGAACCTTGTGTAATTAAAGTAATAGTATCTAACCCATTTTTAATATCAAATTTTTCAAAGTGGATAACAGTGTTCTCAGAAAGATTGTACATGCTTCCTTCCCATACAATAGGTTTACTTGGACGTAAAATTAATAAGTATCCTAAAGATTGCAATTTTTCTTCTAATTCTAACATCTCATTTTCCGCTTCCCTATTTGTGTCTAAAATTTTATGGTTGGAGTTTGTCTTACGATTTGTTCTTGAGTTGTTGTGTTTACGTTCTGCGTATGAATTTGCTCCCTCAATATTGTCTATAGTATTATAATTACTAGGATAAGATATAATACCATCACTATCGTTAATTAAATCAAAATTTGAAGATGCACAAGGTAACCCATTGTAGAAATTTAAACTATTTTTAATATCCAATTTCGGTAGTAAATCACAACCGATATTACGGCTTTCTAGTATGTTGACAATTTCTTCATCGCTAGATCCCAAAAGTTCCCGACTACCAATTAAATATATTCCATTATCTTCAAGGTCACCACCAGTATAGAGAAGAAAATGACCTGAATCTTTTAATCCTTGTAATAAAATATCATAGTCTTCTACATGATAAAGTACTGAATTTTGAAAGGCCTTAGTCAAAACATTCGTAAACCTATTAAGTTTTCTTTTAGTAGAACCTAAATTTTCAAAAATTTGTGTAACCCATTTTTCAGCTTCAAGTGAGGATTTTAAAGGAGGTGGTATATTTTGTTGCTGAGTTAAATAACTATGCAATCTATGCAATAATCTCAAAGTTAATTTACTAAACCCGATAGATATTACACTACCAGCACCTTTGATATAGTATCCAATGTTTTTCAAATCATCCCAGTACTTCAATAATAAATCAGGTTCTTTCGATGCCCTGAATCGTGTTGTAGTTCCATCAAGTATTTTTAGTTGTAATAATACAAATAAATATTTGATTGCTTCTATAATTATTTTTTCGAAATTATCATCAGCATCTATTGGAAGATTAAAATCTTTCAAATAAATTACTAGGGTGTACTTTAATTGGACAGAAAGTCTAATATACGAAAAAAAATCATCTATCATTTGATCAATCATCATCATTGTAGGATTTCTAAGCTTTTTGGCATATGCAATTCTAACAGAAATTATGTCTTTTAAAAGTTTCATTGGGAATAAAAGTAAAATAACTAATACTTCACCGGAAAATTTCAAATTCATGACTTTAATAGTAGAAATATTTTGAACATAAAAGAGTTTAGTTTTAAGTATCCAAGGTGCCAATGGATAGAATATCTTTTTTTGGAAAATAGCTTCAATGTCTTTCTCCTTCATTACTTGTTCAGCAAATTGCTTTCTTTTCTCGATAATAATCTTTTCCATTTCTTGATCTCCATCTAAATTTAAATGTTCAACACCTATCCACATTGCTAATTTCTTAGAGAGACCATTTAAGTTTTGTTTCACATTAAGCCAGCTTAACATTATGTCAACCTTCTTATTAAATTCATTAGTCTTGGTCTTTGGCTTATCTATTTGCATCTTTCTTACTGTAGGCCATAAATTCATCACTTTATAATATTTATTTATCAATGTAGATACAATCTCTTCAGTTTCTTCAAACGATGCACCATCTGCAACTTTAAAATTTATTATTTCTTCAATAATTAAATCCACCGAGTCTCTTAATTCTCGAAGTGATTTTTTTTGATCTTCTATAGATCTACCATTCATCCATGCTCTTAATTCAAGCCATAAGTCATCACTACGATCATTTTCTACACCATTGGTTCTTTTATTAGCGATTTTGGTTTTTTCACTTCTTACAATATCACCTTTTAATACGTTAAATAACATAGTCTGCCATTCTATACGTTCCATAATATTTTGATCACTAAACAATTTTTCCACTACAGCTTCCAATTCCAAAGTATCTTGTAAAGTGTTATTCTTCAACCTGGCAAGCTGAAGTCTTTCAATCAACTGTTTCTTCTTGGGATCTTCTAAACTTAACCATTCCATTTTATTCAAAAGAAAATTTGGGTTAACGCTTAACAAATTTTCATATGATGAACTTAAAAATCTATTTGGAAAGATTGAAGTTGTGAAAAAATTATAACCAAAACTATCTTTGTCATTGATTTTATTTGATGTAGAACTCTTCAAACCAAACATATCATCATTTTCTGAATCAATATCATCATCACTATCCATTATGGATGAAGAAGGAGCAATTCCTCTTGTATAATATTCGTCGTCCTGTAATCTATTTTTCATTCTTTCTAAATACACTTGTTCATTTAGGACATATTGTTTCTTGAAAGATCTTAAACTAATATTACTACTGGTATTTGTTGATCTTTGTACAGTATTTCCTGTGTTGTTATTAGTATTGTTGCTGGTGTTATTATTACTATTGCTGTTACTACTAATGCTATTATTGTTGTTACCTGTATTGTTATTTTGTAATAAAGTTGAAGGGCTTGAATGTAATATATTATCTGATTGAAATGATTGATTCATGCTAACTGGCGTTTTGTGTAATTGTGGTGATGAAGTATCATTTGGGATATTAGTTGGATTAACAACTGGAGAGATTATGGCAGTCTTTGAAAGATCTTTATTTTCATTGATTTCTTTTTCTTTATTATATGATTTCAATGTAGGGATACCACTGCCACTACTTAAAGAGGTCCTGATGGGAGGTAATTGATGTGTATAGTTATGTTGCGTGGAATTACTAAGAATAAATTTGGACATTTGAGAGCCTATTACCGACGGTCTTCTGCTTGAACGAGCAGAAGAACTTTCTGAACTTGAATTATACATTAATTGGGTATTTAGGAATTGGGGCGACGTAGTATTATTAAGGTTGTTATGTGATGGCGTTGATGTTGTAGTAGTTGGTGTCAAACTAGATAATGGCTGTAATTGGAAGTTGTTAAATTGAGTTGAAAGAGCTGTAGGTACTCCACCTATTCTATATGAAATGGACTCATTTTTATTTGTGTTAGTATTAACATTGGAAAAATTTGTAGAAGTATTGGTAGTATTGGTATTCATAACAGCATTCTGAGAAGGTGATCTTAAAAGATTTACTGATGGAGTTCTTTTCAAAGTGAGTACGCTTATCGGAGTATCTACACACACAGTTTCATCGTTTGGCGATTCAATAGATATTACAGGAGATTTAGGTTGTGTGGTGGAACTACTATCAGCTCTGCCTTGTTGTTGGATAAAAGTAAAGGTATCCTTTGAACTTATCATAGTAGTAGTTGTAGAGACTGGATTTGAAAGGACATGGCTATCTGTAACTTGTGGCTGTGATATACTTGAAGTTCTTGATTTTGCATTTTTAGATGATTTTCGGGTACTGTTTTCACTATGTTCGTCTTTATGCAGTTCAGTCTTAAACCCAAAATAATCTGGCATTATTTATTGGTACTTTTTACAATTCACAATTTTCAACTGTTTTATTGCAAATGTTTCTGTACTGGAGAAAAAAAATAATTTTATATTAATGCAGTAAATTATTATTATTATTGTTGTTGTTGTTGTTGTTGTTAGATTAGGTTGTTAAATTGTTATAAATTGTATATTTTGCTATTGAAAACCTATTAGTTAACTTGCTAACTTATTTGTAAAAATTGGTTGATAATTAAATAAAACAGTTCCAATACACTAGTTTTTTTACTTTGTTTCTATTAAGTTACTTATATCAACAATTCTTACTCCTTTTTAAATACATATGTATATGATGGCACCAGTAATTATATCAATTATTTGTTGTAACAATAATTTTTGGTTCTTTTTTTGTTGATTGTAATTTTAATTCACATAGTATTGCAGGTTTTAGTTTATTTTTTTTTCTCTTTTCCCTTTAACATCAATTTAGTATGAAAAATAGTAGTAGTAGTAATAACGGTAATAATAATGGTAAAAATGGTAATAATGATAGTACTAACAGTAGTTAAATTTGCTAATCTAAGAGTCTATCAATTATTCTTCATAGAAGAGGGTATCAAGGTCATACTGTCAAGAGTACTTCTCTTGTTGCAACGGAAGGTATAAATTCTTTGCATGATCTGTTAAGAATAGTGTGTTTGATAGTAGAATATAGGCATACATAGATTGGTTAAAAGGGAGAAAAGGTTAGGTATACATAGATAAATAGCGAAGTATGGAATTGGATAGGTGTCTTGAATTGCTATATAGAGGTCGGTTATTGCCAGAGGTGACTATTGAGGCATTGTGCTTCAAATTGAAGGAAATGTTAATCAAGGAATCTAATGTGATTCATATAAGTACTCCAGTGACTGTCGTTGGTGATATGCATGGGCAATTTCACGATATGTTAGAGATGTTCAGAATAGGGGGTAAAATACCTGATACAAATTATCTTTTTCTAGGTGATTATGTAGATAGAGGCCTTTACAGTGTAGAGACAATAATGTTATTGATTACACTCAAATTGAGATATCCAAATAGAATACATCTATTGAGGGGTAATCATGAGTCCAGACAAATCACACAGAGTTATGGATTTTACACAGAATGTTTAAATAAGTACGGTGGTAGTTCAAGAGTTTGGAATCTGATAACAGATCTTTTTGATTATTTGGTTTTGGCTTGCATTATTGATGATGAATTGTTTTGTGTTCACGGCGGTTTATCACCTAATGTACAAACCATTGATCAGATAAGAATAATTGATAGGTTTAGAGAGATCCCCCATGATGGGGCTATGGCTGACTTAGTATGGTCAGATCCAGAAGAAAATGGCATGAACACAAGAGATTCAAGTTTTGACAACAGTAATAGTGGTAATAGCAATAGTAACAGAAATAGAAATAATATGAACGGTAACAGTGATATTGCTGAAGATTTTTTAATTGAAACATCAGAGCACTTTCAAGTATCACCAAGAGGTGCAGGCTACACATTTGGACGAAGTGTAGTAGAGAAATTTTTACAATTAAATGGGATGGATAGAATTTACAGGGCTCACCAATTATGTAGTGAAGGGTACCAAGTATATTTCGGCGGGTTAGTAACCACTGTATGGTCTGCACCGAATTATTGTTATAGATGTGGTAATAAGGCTTCAATCCTGGAATTGTATAGTAGAGACAGTTTTTATTTTAATGTATTTGAAGAAGCACCAGAGATTAGAAGAAATACTTTTCATAATGATAGCAGTAATAACATTTCTGATTGGAATCCATTGTCAGACACAGAATATTATAATGAAGAAATGTTAACACCTCAGTCAAGCTCAATAACTACCCGCAAAATTATATCTGATTATTTTGAAGAAGATACACTGAGCCATATTAGCAGAAGAAATAATGGTTTCAGTTTACTGCAAGGATTCTCAGAGACAAACGAATTAAATGAGACAAATATGGGTGTTGATGTGTTTTCAGATTCCTATCAATCAAAGTCTGCATCGAATAGAAGAGTAGAATATTTTTTGTAAACACTATATATTCGTCTACATAAACACATACACACAAACATATATTATATATACAGCTGTATATAAATTTTAATTTAGCATTATAATTATATTCATCACGTATTTTACCTTAAATTAGAATATTTCTGAATATATACAAAACAACTATAAATAGTACAATTCTAGGTTGGTGTTATCATGTATTTCATAATCATCCAATGTGATGTGATCCTTTAACACCAGACCACCCTTTTGCAATACAATCTTACTTGCAATAACACCTAACTGCAATGACAAAACCTTCTTGAATTCACCAATAGTGTCCTCTTCAAGACATTTGACCCTGATCTTCTTCCCAAAACGATCATTACACACCACTTCTATCATTCTTCCTTGTGAAAGTACCGTTATTCTGTTGAGAAATGTGCAAGATATAGAAGTATACAGATTATTTTTTATGTAGGTCTGGCTGTGGAATAATGATACACATCAGGTTATTATAAAGTATAGACGAGTGTTTATACTTTTTTTTTCTTTCTCTCTTTCTTGCTCAAACCATTTATTCCATCTTCTTGTTCTTCTGTTGTCGTTGCGCTAAATGGACAAATGAAAACGAAGAAGTAGAGCAATCATGGAATAAACTCTTGATCCTTCAAATATGTGTGGTTATATGAGGTTATGACGTTCGGAATTGCATATATTTCATATCACCTTTTTTCAATATTACTATTAACATTAAGGTATATATAGATCTGAGATTTGATTTAAATAACTATACTCGTATACTCAGGACTAACTAATAATCTGTTAAGGTTGAATAATTTAAATTGATCTCTATAATAAAAATAGATAGGATGATCTCGTTTCATATCCTATTTATTGATTCGTATGATTCCTTTTGCTTTAATGTCCAAAGATTGGTTGAACAACAGGCTGCTGGGTTAAAATGTAATATTGAAGTGACTACAGTCAGAAATGATACCTTCAAATCCATTCAAGATCTTAAAAAGGTGATATCTTGTTTTGATGCCCTTATCATTGGCCCAGGCCCAGGGAATCCAAAGAATGGATACAAAGATGTTGGAATTTTAAATGATATCTTTAAGGAGGTCGATTTTAATGATGTCCCCATTTTAGGTATCTGTTTAGGTATGCAAACTATGTGTTTGTCTCAAAATTGTGATATTGAACAATTACATACTATAAAGCATGGGCAAGTGTACAAGATGGTTGTTACTGATGAAGGTTTTAAGTCAAAACTCTTCACAAATTATCCTTTGAATTTTAATTCGACACGGTATCATTCATTACATGTAATTAGAAATAAAGAACAGGATGATAATAATCACACGGTCATACCATTAGTCACGACAAGAGATGAAAATGGAGATCTGTTAATGGGAGTTCAAATTAAAGATAAACCATGGTTTGCTGTACAATATCACCCTGAATCTTGTTGTTCTGAATATGGTGATCTATTAATACAAAATTTTATTAAAATTGCAAAACATTGGAATCAAGACATTACTAAAAGATCTTTAAATAAAGATCATGAAAGGTCTCTTAATATAAGGATGTTGAAATCTCTACAATGTACAGTGGATAGGATTCCCCTAATTAAAAAATGTGATAATAACAAAAACAGTAATAATCTTCCATATGACAACATCCCTAAATTTCTTCGAAGGTATACTCTACCCCAAATTATCAATGATATTAAATTCACTTTAAAACTAGTGGATCAAATTGCACAAGATAAATTCATATTCGCATCATCTTCGTTATCTGCTAATCGTGGTGAATGGTCTATTATTGCACTACCTGATTCTACATCTGAAGTGTTTACACATTATAACACTTTTTCAAGGACAACTATACATAAATGGCAAGATCCCCGTTTAAATTACGATCAGTTGGTTGATGGGTTAAAAAATAATGTGTCTAATACTTCTTTAAAAGTGATCAATGAAGAGAAGGATGACTTTTGGAAGACCATTTCTGGTTATATGAGCGATAGGTTAGCCGTGTGTGATGGTTTGTTAGATGGACTTCCCTTTATTGGGGGATTTGTAGGGATACTTGGGTACGAAATGGGGTCATATATCTCTACAAAAGACACCCTAGAGACAAATGGGTTAAGGCCTGATGCAAAACTTGTATATATCAATAATTGCATTTTGATAAGTCACGTCGATGGAGAAGTATATTTGATATCTAAGGATGAAAAAATGTTTCCTCAAGAGATTATAAATTTATTTACTTCAGAACAATTATGGATCAAGCAAGAATTAGGATGGAGCAAAGAATTGCCTGAGTCGATTAAATATGATATTGTAATGCCTAAAACAGTATCATATAGCAAAGCATTTGATCTGTGTCAAGGATATATGCATAAAGGTGATTCATATGAGATTTGTTTAACTACACAGACAATAGTTATTCCAAAGATAATATCATCGCAAGAAACATTGACGCCGTGGCGAGTTTTCCAAACTTTAGTACAAAAGAATCCAGCTCCATTTACAAGTTATTTACAATTTAATGATCTGTTCGAAAGGCACGGTTCAGAATTATGTTTAATTAGTTCTTCTCCAGAACGATTCTTAAAGTGGGACCTTGATTCATGTGAATTACGTCCAATTAAAGGTACAGTGAAAAAATCAAAAATGATGGATTTGGAAGAGGCTACAAAAGTATTAAAGACACCAAAGGAGTTTGGTGAAAATCTGATGATCTTAGATTTAATCAGAAATGATCTTTATGAACTGTTACCAAACGTTAAAGTAGAGGAATTCATGAGTGTAGAAGAATATCAGACAGTTTATCAATTGGTGAGTGTTGTGAAGGCATATGGGATGTCCAAGAGTAACTATAATGGGATGGATATATTAAAGCATTCTTTACCTCCAGGATCCATGACAGGTGCACCCAAGAAAATCACTGTTGAGTTGTTACAAGAGAATATCGAACCTGTAGTAAATGAAATGATCTGTGGTGGTAATAGAGGTGTGTATAGTGGTGTAACTGGTTATTGGTCCCTGAACGGACGTGGAGATTGGTCGGTTAATATTCGTTGTCTATATTCTTATGATTCGGGCAAACAATGGATTTTGGGAGCCGGTGGTGCAATCACTGTATTAAGCACCTTAGAAGGGGAAAGAGAAGAAATGTTTACCAAACTAGAAGCAGCGTTACAAATATTTCACTAGTCTTCTTTTTTTTGGTTTTTTTTTTGGTTATTAAGTAGATATGTTCACAAATAGTAAATGGTTTTATTAAAATCTTATTAATCGAGATCAACGGGAAGTAAGTATATATACTAACTACTTCAGCTATTTCAACTACGTCAGCTATGTCTGCTACTTCAACTACTTCTTATTCTGGGTAGATCAGCCTGTTACCCTGTTCCTTATTCAATTAACTTCAGGGTAACAGATATTCTCTAGTAAAATGAAACCAAAAAAAAATTTAAGAAAAAAAAAACTAAAAAATGCAACGGAAAAAGTAATTGGAAAAGAAACAAAAAATTGCAAAAATTTATGTGGAGACGGTATTTGGTTCAAGAGAGTAAGAAAGTAGTATTAACAATAGGGTCACTCAGTGCTTATTAGCTTATTTGACACTTATTCTTTGTTTTGACGGCAAAACGTCTTTTCACTCGTCTTATATTAGTAAACGTTACAACCTCCTTTGTCTGTGATTGTGTACCCGTGTGTATGTGTGTGTGTTTGACGATATTATAATAAGATTTCAAGTCTGAGACAAGTTTCTTTTGTTATCTGATAAGGTAAAGAGTATTGCAAGACTCCCAGTTGAATAAACATATTTTATACAAATATTATAAAAAAAAATTAAACTGTTTTATTATATTGTATTAATCCTTTTCCCTTTATCATATTGTAAAAATTATAAAGACATTTAAAAATTCTGAATAAAATAATATCAATTTATAAAGAATAAATATCATGACTACTACTGTTCCAAAAGTCTTTGCATTCCATGAGTTTTCAGGTGTGGCAGAGGCTGTTGCTGATTATATAGTATATGCACAAAATGGAGCATTGATACCAAAGGAAAGAAGGCCATCTAATGTTAATCTTAGTGATAATAGTAGTATTTTAAGTGGGATTAGTACCAACACTACAAATATGAATTCAACTAATGCTTCAACTTCTGATATGCAAAGAGTTTATTCAAGTAAAAGTGTTTCTTCTACAAGAGAAAAAAAGGAAAGACCTAAAAAAGAATTAAGATTTAAGATAGCTATCTCAGGTGGATCTTTAATTCAAGTTCTTCATGAGGGTTTATTGAAAAGAAACGATATTCAATGGGGGAAATGGGATATATATTTTGCAGATGAAAGATTGGTGCCTTTTGAATCTGATCAGAGTAATTATGGCCAAGCAAAAAGAGAAATTTTCGATTTAATTGACACAGAAAAATATGGTACGCCAAATATTTATCATATTGATGAGGCATTAATTAATGATCCACAAGAATGTGCAGACAGTTATGAAAAAGTTTTAATTAAGGGTTTTGCAGGTAGAGACTCTGTGAAACTTCCGATGTTTGATTTATTTATCTTAGGGTGTGCTCCTGATGGTCATATTGCGTCTTTGTTTCCAAATTTTCAAGAAAATTTGCGTGAAAAGTTGGCTTGGGTGGTGCCTGTTGAAAATGCCCCAAGCGGTCCATCAGAGAGAATATCTTTAACAATCCCTGTTATATGTCATTCTCATAGGGTCATTTTTGTCGTGGAGGGTGCTACAAAAGCTCCAATTATAAAGACCATTATGGAAAGGCCTGAGAAAGGTTTACCAAGTAGTATTGTCAACGAAGGCGCAGCTGGTCGTGTGTCTTGGTTTGTTGATGATGATGCATTAACTGACGTTTTTGTTACAAAGAAAAACTACAAATACCATCAAAAATTAGAGTTCAATAACGATTCATTTAAATGATTTTATTCACTCCATACCTGATAGGCGGTTATTCTTTTTTTTTTTGTTTCTTTAGGTTGTATTAATTACCACTAGTTTTTTATAAGTTATTTTGTTTTATTTTATTTGACACCATTTCCATTCTTTTCCCTTCTTTTCTGCTTTACTATCATTAATCATATTTTTTTTTATTTTATCTTTCATATATATATATATATGTATATGTATATATATATCGTATTTTTTGTTCGATTTTATATCTACTCTATCTATATTACGTGTGAATATATACACCTTGTCAAGCAATTCTATCCTATATTATTTTTCATGAATATATATATATATATATATATATGTGTGTGTGTGTGTATTTCTATATATTGTCTAAATAATTGCTTAACTTGGACATACTAGAGTGATGGGTATCATTTTTAATAACTTTGGTTGGTTCATTCTCGTTAGAAAATATATTTGAATTATTAAAATTAATGTTATCTGTATATCTATTAGTGTTACTTTTGCTCATAGCTCTTTCAAAAAGATATTTACCGTCTTGTAAGGAATATTCAATATCATTCATATTGAGAATATTGATATCATTATCATTATTATTTTTTGTTATTGTAGAAAGTGCAGATATATTACTATTTATGCTAAAACGATGATTTGTAGAGATCGACACTCTTTCATTGTCAATACCACCTACACTGTTATGATCATTATTATGGCTATTATTAAATATTGAACCAGTGGATAAATCATTTTCTTCAAGATAAGCATCCAAATTAAACCAACCAAATATTTGATACAATGTATCGTCACTTATAAATTTATTCAAAATTTTCCATTTCAATTTATTATCATAATAAGACAGTGATATTGTAGTAATAAATATTGGTGGTAACCATTTATTTAACCAATTAACAATGGGTATCACCTGTATTTGATGATAAAGAATCTTACTGAATTGTGTCTGTTCTATGATACTCTCTGGCAAGATAGTCATAATATTGAAATATAAGGGAAACAGTAATCTATTGCCATATAATGTAAAATAGAACAGATTTATTGGATTTGATTGACCGTTTGGTGTTAGATGGAAATTTTGAAACTTAATAATTGTCATCGAATACAAAGTTATTAATTTATTGTATATTAGAATTACTAATAATGTGATGGGAATAGAACATCGAAATGATGAAATACGTTCCCAAAATATCCAGTTCGATAATCTGATAGGTAATATCTCAAATAAAATGATACAAAAAGATAATGTACTTGTTATAATTAAAGAAGAAAAAATAAAAACGGTGCGTATTAACTGGAAAGTAGTTTTTTTGTAACTTCTTGTTGAATAATTCAAATTCAAAGTTGAATCTAAATTAATAGAAGATTGCTTGGCTAAACGGTGAATTAACTGATTAATTTGATATCTATGATATCTTAAAGTATAAAAATTTGCAATAAATTTATTCCATTCTTTATTCAGTTTATTAATATTTTTGATGGGAACAAATATATTTTCAGAATCCTCTCCATTGTAGTCATCTAATAGGATATAATTATTTTGACTATGGTCAGTATCGTTTTCATCGTAGTTCAATTCATCTATTTTTACTTTAACTTTCTGTTGACACGATTTTAATAATCGATTAAATTCAACATCACCATTATTTAAAGGCTTAGACTGCAATATGTTAAATGAATGGTCTAATAGGTACAATTTTGAATCATTTAATTCATCATTCTGTCTTGATAAAAGTATATAATATTGGTTTATCAATTTAGATTCATTTATAAACAAAGAATTGTACAACGTTTTTGGCACGATTATTAGCCCCATAGATAATAAGATCAATGTAAAGGATAATGAGTAAATATGACATAGTGATATTATAATTGGCCATATTGAATGTATAGATAAAAATATAACAGAAAAAATGTACGTTAAAAATAAAACAATCAAAGAAATACCGCAAAATTTTAGGTTCTGAATGATGGAGCCGTATAATTGTCTTATTGGACCATGAATAGAGTAAGTAGAATAATTCAGTGAATGATATGATATTAAACATGGTAGTAAAAACCAACAAATTATGAATTGTAATGCATATGTGGCAAACCATAAATAATAAAGAAAAACGGATCCATCCGAATAAACGTCAATCGGTATTAAAAAATCAGATAATAGTAGAATTGTCAAGTTAAACCATGGAATAAGTAATATCTCAATATGATTATTAAGTGTATGTTTAGAGATATATCGTTTTAATAACCAAGATGATAAATATGACACAGCAAATATGGGTCCAATAAACCATAAAATGTTGATTATTGTCCCATTAGTCATTATTGATGTTTAAAATATCTTTTTATAAACAGGTTTATTTTTTGTTAATGGGTGTATAGTTCAAAAAAATGCATTAAAACCTCATATTAGAATGTATATTATTGCTGTTTAACTCGATATATAGAATATATGTATCACAATGACTATGGAAGCTTTGTGCTGATTGTGTCGAGATTTATTTGAAACGTTATTTTTAAATGGTAGTATGCTTTTTTTGTTTAGTAAAAAAAAGCCTTACATTAAAATAACGATTACCGCTAGGGTATTTCACATAAAAATATTTTTTACTAAACTTGAAATTCAATTTACTTAGGGTGCTTGAAATTTTTAAAGAGTTATCTCAGAATTCAAGTCAACTTAGGATTTACTTTTAGAGAGAAATGTTTACTAAAAGTGAAGGCAGAATCTATTAAAACTTGTAGCACGTTTTATAATATTATTTACCATGAGATCACACATAAAAGAGTATATATAGACTTGTATATATTTATGTCAATATATAAAGATTAAAAAAAAAAAAAAGATACCTGAGAAGACAAAAGACACAATTAAGAGACATTTAATATAAAGTCAGAAATGTCATGATAAGGAAGATTCAATCGTTTAATATACCATCTTTCTACCAGTTATTGTTCTTCTTTTATCATCTAGTTGACCACTACTAGTACCATTTTCTTCATCATCATTAGAATCAAATTTTGCTCTATTCAAGACTTTAATGAAATTATTCACTCTAAATCTCATTCTTGAATGCATGAATGCTTTTGAACATTTGATATGATAATGGAAATAATGTCTAAATTGTAAAAGTTTGCATACTGTTTTAAACTGGATCTCGTCATTACTGAAATGACGTGGGAATAAAACAAATGTTATAAATTTAGAATCCACATCCTTGTTTTGATTTGTAGTTATGTTAATAATTTCCCTTGGTGGTGTGTTTGAAAATAATACTTGTGGAGCAGATTGAATAGACCTGTTTCTTTTACGAGAATCGACAAATTCTTGTAAAAATACCTTACTAAAAATTTTATCAGTTTCGTCATTAAAAATGGTTTCAAAGATTACTGTTATTCTATCGTTTGATGGTTGAATGTAAATATTTTCATCCTCACGGTATTGCATTCTGTAGGTGGAGACAGCATCGTTTGATGGCGCAACTTCCATTGCTGACAACTGGTTAAACTTCTGGAATGATAATTGGAATGGATAACTCATGATATGGGTCTTCAATAGTGATAAATCAGTAATTGATTGGTTGTTCAATTTGGATATATCTAAACGTAGAGTCAAATTATAGCCTTGAACAGTTTGATTTTTTGGTAAAATTTCAATGATGTTAGAGTTATCACTATCGTTATTATACTTGTCGAATTTGGATTGGATATATCTTAATAAGAATTCCTCATTGCTACATTTACATAGTGAAGACCATGTCATAAGGACAATACTTAAGTACACCCATTGTCTATTTTCATTATCTGGAGTCAACAAATGTAGTGTTGTATGATCGAAATCAGAGACAATTCTATCTACAACCAATGGAGCATTGTTCAACCATGCTTCGTTCAATTCAATCAAAGTAGCTTCTAATAAAGTGTTGTTAGTTGGTAAGTGTAACATTTTTTTATTATAATATAAAATTTGGTTCTGTTCTATTTTATTCCTGTTTATCTTTTGTCCCTTAGTCCTGTATGAGGCTTTTGCATTACAGAATCTTTGAGGGATAAAAAAAAAAAAAAAAAAGAGAAAAAGAATTAATTAAAGACGAGTTTTAAATATAACTATGTTGTTAAGTTAACAAATCAATATAACCACAGTATTTATTGCAATGATTCTACCTAATCTCCTTGATCTTTCGTTCTCATTCTCTCTTTTTCTCCTGCTCTTTCTTTCTCTCTATTTTTTTCTGTCTTGTTTAACAGAAAATTTCAGCATAATTTTACAAAAAAAAAAAAAAGAAAAAAAGAGTAGAAATACATTAAAGGAAAAAAAACAAAAATGTTTGTATTTGTAGTTTAACCCTAAGAACGAATTGAGGTGGTAACATCGATAATTGAGGGAATTTCATTAAAGACCTATATATGATTAACGTACAATGGCGAATGGACACTAAATATTTAAATATATATAAATATATATATATAAAGGTTATGCACTAATACATATAGAGTCGAATTGTTCGGAATCGTATAGTATATAATGAGCTATTTACATGTCAAAATAAAAGTTATTCATTTCTCTGTTTAGTTACTTGTTTTTTCTTCTCTTTCCCATGTACGTTCATTTTTGATTTTGATTATTTCTTACTATCTTGGTTACTTTTTTTAACACCATATTTACTTCTTGAAGAGACTCTATTTAGTACCCCAGATAAATCACCACGACCTCTAATCAAGTGATATTTAACACCAGGTAAATCTTGTACTCTGCCGCCTCTAACATAAACAATACTGTGTTCAGTAGCATTGTGACCTTCTCCAGGAATGTATGCACTAATGTTTCGACCATTAGACAATCTTACTCTACAAACTTTACGTTGTGCACTATTTGGTTTCTTAGGTTTCAATATCATAACTTTTGTGACCACACCACGCCTCTGTGGGCAATTTTCTAAATCTGGACTTTTTGATTTTTTAGAAGATGTCTTTAATTGACTTTTCTTGAAAATTCCTGTTCTCTTTAACTGATTGATTGTAGCTAGTAATGAACTAGAAGTAGAGAATTGGTTGAGTCTATTGTAACATAATTTATTGGTGACCGAAAATAATGGATTATTTAGTAATGATTTACATAAACCAAGCATATTCAAAAATTTTTTTTATATTTGTAAATGTGTATGTATGTGTGGCAACGTAGCTAAGTTTATGTTAGAAAGCAGTTTAAGCAACTGGCTGTATAATTGATATGTATACTGTATACTCTGTGTCTCTGTGCCTCCTAAATATGTTTTTAATGCACCTAATTCACTATCTTTGTTCATTTGTCTCTATATTATAGCCAGTTTGGTAATATTTCTTCTTATCGTTTTCACTCCGTTTGAAAAAAATTGTATGCAGTCAACAGCGGGAAGAGAGAAAGAAAGAGGGGTGATTGATTTGCAAATGGACGAAAACTTTAGAGATCATATGTAAAGAATGTTTATGGATTCACAGGAGAAATGAAAAGATACACTTCAATGTTAATGTATGTATATATATATTTATATTCATATTTATAAACAGCATAGTATTATGTATATTAACTTTTCTATTTCTATTGAGATGGTAGGCAATCTATATTGCTGTATAGATATGCATGTATGTATTTATATATACAAGTAGCAGTAATTCGTATGGAATATAAACATAGTAATTGCAAAAAAATGGTAGCTTAAAGGCTTGAACTTTCTGTTTATTTTGATGTCTTATGTACAACAGGTTTTCTAGTCATTGCAAATTCACCAAGTTTGTGTCCAACCATATCTTCGGTGATAGTCACAGGTATATAATTCTTTCCATTGTGTATTTCAAATGTTATACCAACAAACTGTGGCAATATAGTAGCGGCCCTGGCCTGTGTTCTAATTGGAGTCCCTTTCTCGATAGCCTGTCTTAATGGTAATGATACAATGTTTGGTCCCTTCCATGCAGAACGTGACAGTAATGTTTTAGTGAATTTAAACATAGCCAATTCCCAAAAAAAAAAAAAAGTATATGTATATATATATATATGTATATAATATAAGTATGTTAACGCAATGAGCAGATAAAAGTAACTATCTGAATTGTTGATGATGTGGTACAAGGATAAAGAATATCAGAAATTCAAACAATCAAACAGTTAATACTTTGCACGCTCAAAACTTAGTTTGTTTTTCAATATAGTATAATATAATATAATGTTTCGTGTCGACTACATTTTATGCAGAATGGCCTTGTTTAGCATTTTTCTCTAAACAAAGCAAAAAAAATAAAAGAAAAATATGAAAACGCATAAAACAAAAAAGAAAAGCAAGGCGGAAAGTGTATTCCGTAAATATTCCAAGTGTATAGATGTATGGGTGTTCTTCAAAAATTTGTAAATAAATAAAGAAAAAAAAAAAAGAAAAGAAAAAAAAGCAGAAACTGAAAAATTATTGTAAGAAGTGATGAGTTTCAAGAATACAAGATGAGCTGAGATGGGGCGATTTTAAATGAAATCTGGTTATGCAGGCTTACGATAGTATTCTATTCAAAGAAAAACAAGGGCTTTAGGTCAATTATATCAGACCAATATTTTAAACTCGATACAAGAATTCAAAGTGTGAAGATAAAGTAGTTTAACAGTGGTCATTGGTGTTATTTCTCACAATTATGTTTGCTCAAAGATTTGACCCTAATAATATAATACCAGTTGAAAAAAATGATACGTCAACTTCTGAAAAATTATCTGTTGTCAAACCAAAATCCATATTACCTTTGAAAAGAACAAGATATGATAGAGTTTCATCAAATGACCATAAAAGTGAGGAAGAGTCTGAAGAAGAAGAAGATGATGATGATGATATAGATATAGATATAGATATCAGTAGTAAAAAGAGTGATAAGGATGAAAATTTCGGGAATGAGGAAGATTTGGATCATGAAGTAGAGATAGCTGTTGACAATAACACAATTATAAATAATCCGAAAAAATTTGATTCTGTGTTTAGTAGATTTCAACAAACTATTTCCTTACAAGATAAGTTGATATCGCAACAACAAGAGCAGCAAAGCATAGAAGATAATAACATTTTAAATGTTGATGATCAGAAAACTAGTCATGATTTAACTCAAATTCCTCAACCTGAAAGAATATACCCTACCTTATCAAAAGGCACAGACAAAAATTCTGCTGAAAGCTTAGCAATTGGTAAGATTGATACTGCATTTATGTTAACCAAAAGAATATATTATGATAAAGAAATGATTAAGCCATTTGATTACTTTAAATCAGATTTGGATCCTCGTCTTTTAGACAATATTATTAAAAACTTCTCCAATACAACTTTCCCTATCCAAACTTCTATGTGGACAAACATTTTACCACAGATTAATTCACTATTGAAAGTATCTAAGAAAAATTTTACGAGACGTATAGGTGATCAATTGATTAATGCATCTACTGGGTCAGGTAAAACACTAGCATATTCTGTACCATTGATACAGAGTTTAATTAACAGAAAATGTAACAAATTGCGTGCTATTGTTTTGGTGCCTACAAGATTATTAATCAACCAGGTTGGTGATACTTTATTAAAATTATCAAACAGAACTAATTTACTCATTATGATGACTAATTTAGACAAATCATTAAGAGAAGAGCACGAAAGATTATTAAAAATGGAACCAGATATCTTGATTGTTACTCCAGGTAGACTTGTGGATCATTTGAATTTAAAATCAATTAATCTTTCAAATTTGAAGTTCCTAATCCTTGATGAAGCTGATAGATTATTAAATCAATCTTTTCAGAATTGGTGTTCGGAACTATTAAATCATTTATCAGTAGATAAATCAAAGATAGATCCATTACCTGGCAATGTTATTAAAATGGTTTTCTCAGCTACTTTGACAACAAATACTGGTAAATTACATGATCTAGACCTTTATAATCCAAAGCTTTATATGATGAATTCAGTTAAATTATACAATTTACCAGTTAATCTAAAAGAATATAATATTAAGATTGGTACTGCAAAATCTATCTATAAACCTTTGTTATTATTCAAGTTAATCAATTCAACTATAGTAAAAAAGAACACAGATGAATCTCTCTCATCAACCAAAAAAATTTTAATATTTATTAAATCGAATGAAGCTGCAATTAGATTGAAATCGCTATTATCTATCATTATCGAATCCTTTTCCAATAGTATAACGGACTTTAGTATTGATTCTATTAATTCAAACAATACAAAATTGATTAATAAAAGAATTCTACAAAAATTTACTAGTATCAATAGAAATAATAGTGTTAACAATCCAGATACTCAAAAAAATGTTACACAGATTCTAATCACTACAGATTTGATGTCAAGAGGTATTGACATTAATAACATTACAGACGTCATTAACTATGATTTGCCAATATCATCACAACAATATGTTCATCGTTGTGGTAGAACTGCAAGAGCAAATAATATGGGGGATGTTTATAATATTTTGGTTGGTAAAGGTGAGCAAAGTTTCTGGTATAATAGTATTGATATTGATATTTCAAGAACTGTTGGAAATGAAGTTGATGACTCAAAATCTGTGGAGATATTGAAAGAAATTGATGCGGAAGCTGAATCTAAGTATATGGAATGTTTGAACACCTTCAAACAACAACGATAATATCCGCAAGGTTCCTCATGAACGAAGAAATGTCCTTGAAAATATGAATCTTGTTTTTTTTTAATTATGAGGAAGATATATTATATAAATGTCTATCTTATATAGAATAATAAAGTGAATATCTATTATTTCATTATTTAATGCTTATATTACATTTTACACTCTATCAATGTCAACTGTTGTTTCTGAATACGGTAAACATTTTCTAATACAGTTCTCAATTGCATTCATTAACTGAATTTCATCATCATTAGACCCACCTTGCATAGTAATTTTAATTAAAACAACATATAGATTAAAATTAACCTTGCATATAATCAAATTTTCATATTTTAACCTACATCTAGACTTGAATTCGTTTAGAGATTCAATCCTTTCAATAATGATAGATTTAATTCTGCGTGAATCTGTGCTTGTATTATTCCATTTTAATATATTTCTGTGCTGTTTGGAACATTTTTTAGATATACTATTAGACTCATTTTGATAGTTAGACGCTATAGGTAAACTTGTTAAAGATGTTTTTCGTATCAAATTTGTAGATGTGTCTTTATCTTTAAAGCTACCTTTATTATTTTTATCCATATCATCAGTTAAAGTGAAACCAGTTAACGTCGTTGTTGAAAATCCATTTAGTAGAATTGTGGATGTCCATTCAGATATGGTGAATCCATGGACAAGAATAAAAATAGCAATTAAACCTGTAGCCATATGATCTAATATAGTCGAAATGATCCCATGACCCACAATAAATGGGTACAAAGCTAAATATACTGTGTAACCAATGGTGATTAATGGATTTTTAGTCTTTAGTTTACTATTCATGTTTGCAACATATGTCTTATACAAAGATATATTTGCTAAGAAGAAATTTAAAGCAAGTAGCAAAAACCAAATTTGAGTGTCTTTATGATCATTAAATAAAAGATCGGAACTTGTGCTGTGATGAGAATGAGGGATTTGTGAGACTATTTCTTCATGTTGTGTCATAGGACCTTCTTTATTCAATAGCAAATGATCATCAAATGAAGATCTTTCTACAAATAATACAATAGTTTCTTCTAAGATATGAAACATTAAATCTAATCCAACAAAGCATAGTGACACGGCGGATGCAAAGCTTAATAAGACATCAAATCTATTTAGTCCAAAAGGGAATGTTAATGTTCCTATTGACCAAACTTCAAATTGCGACAAATTCTCAACAAATATGATAATTAAAGATCCAATGATATCATATGTGATAAAATGTGATAAAGTTAAAAAATTATTCCAATTTTTTGTGTGGCCCAGTTGATAGGTAACAAGGCACAGAGAGATCTGTAACAAGACGATAAATAATTGAATATAAGTCTTTGGCCAAATTAAATTTTCCTTTAGATCATGAAGATCAGGGATTGGTAATGCTTTGGCAATGTTTAATGGGATTTTGACTTCTGGTTCTTGGAAAAAGTTCATTGATACAGAAGAATGTTTGTATCTATGACCCTTACGAAAAGATGCCCTTGAAGCAGATGGGGGAGGAGTACTCTGATGGTTATGATGATTACTTGTTGGTGACAATTTTGGCATGAACTGCCCTTGTGAGAAAGCTGGTGGTTGTAAAGTAGAAGAACTGAAATTAAATGGTGACTCTAATAAAGCAGATTTCCTCTTGTTACTAGAATCATCAGGAGAAGGAGATCTTACAGGGGATTTATTTCTTGTTTGTGGAGGTGGTCCCACATTTCCCATTTGACTGAACTTAGCACTTGAAGGTAAATATTTGTATGCACTACGCCTTTTTTCTCTATTTGGTATGATGGAACTATTGTTCAAATTTGTCAAACTTGAATTATTAGCACTATTTGAGTATGGAGAAACTAACTTACCAAATATATTGTTATTGTTGTTGGAAGTAGCCGTCGTATTCATACTATTGCTAGTAGCAGTGGATGTATCATTTCCACCAAAGGTAAAAGTTGGATTATATATAATACTGGAACTTGAGTTGTTAGCATCTGACATAGAATAAAATCCTGAGTTTGGTCCTACTAATTTTGGTGATGCAAAATATGGTTTATGGAGTCCTGTTAAGGCAATATTAAATTGATCAATTGCATCTAGATTAGTATTTGATAAATTTTTGGCATTATCAAGGTATGGAGTCTCAAAACCAAATTCAGGCGAAGTGGGAGAGTCCTCTTCTTTAATTGCATTCATAAGGGGCGTCCCTGATGTCGAATGCAATAAGGGCTGATAATTAGGCGGTTTGTCTTCTTGAAAATCCATAGAATATTCAATTTTAATGTATCAAATTTCTGAAACAATTTAACAAATAGTGTTTTTGGTGATTTAAATATGTATGATTGTTTTTATATACCTTAGTCTTGAATAAGGTAGCTAATGATCACTATATAGAAAACTTAAATCAACCATATACCTCCAACTCTTTGTGGACTATACCTTTCGTATTCACGGATCCGCTCTCAATGTAGAATGTTTAGATTGATAAATGTTTCAGAACAATAGACTTCGTTGTAAGAGAACTTCACAAAGTTAAAAGAAAGAAGAGTTGTCTTGACATAGTGACCAGTTGAATCAATTTTTCACTCATTCATTCTATCTATAATAATTATTCAATCTCTTCTCTTCTTTTTGGATTTTTCCAGGTTCTCTTCTTAAAAAAACTGATTTGGCCATTATGGTAGCGTACGAATAAAATCTCCAAAAAAGGGAAAACAAACTTATTTGTATATAATTGGATTTGATGGTATAAGGGCTGATACAGTATATTATTAAAAAATACTTTATACATGGAAGATACTTAAAGAAATCTTGTGTATTGATGGTGTCAATGTTTATGCTAACTTAGCATAGTATTTATTGCCATTTTTCTTTTACTTTGCAATTTGTTAATCTCTTTATTCCTTGTAAGTGATACTACAAAGATAAATTTCAGATAATAAGGAAAGGAGAGTAGAATAGTTAATGCATTTCCTTATTATAAAACGACCCCAAAAATAAAAGCAAAGGACATGGTGACGACTTCTAGTTTATTTTCTATATTGAATGAATTGGTATCAAAGACTGCGCCACAATGGCTATATACATATAAGCCAAAGCCATGGTTGAGAATTGGATCTTTAGGCCTTTCTACAGTCTTAGTGGTCTATGGTGTCACATTTGCAGACATGACATGGTTATCTGCAAAGAAGAGATATGAATGGGCCACTGAAGAGGAACGACTGGATTGGAAATATTGGATAAAGACGTATGGACCATTAGGGTTGACTTTTTTGCCTTTTACTCTGTCCCTGGGGACATTATGGACTTTTTCTAGAGTCGTTACTAAAATTGAACTGGTATCTAAACACAGTAATGTTAATAGTAATGTGCCAATGTTTAGAGTGGTTAGATTATCTGCAGTTATGGGTAAACCCAAAGAAAATTTAATCAATGTTAATCATTTAGTAAAGAGTAAAAATTCTCGTATTTTTACAGGTAATGGCGATCAGGGTATTGAAGATAGGGGTACATTTTGCTTTTATTTGATGAATACAGCAGCTGGTGTCAAGTTTTGGGATAAACATTACATTATTTCTCGTTCTGGGAAAATTTGGAAATCTGATGGGAAATTGCTCGAGTCCTTATTTAACGATGGTCCAGGAACTGTATCATCATCTAAATCTAAGAATAGGCCACGACATTCTATACTTCAAGAAATTATCCAATTGAACCAAGAAAAAAATAAAAATAAGCACTCATTCCATATAAAATCAATTAAACAAAAAAATATTATAAAAGATATTATATTAAACACAGAAAAGAAATAGTCTAGTTTTTTTACTTGCAAGGTTTAATGACAGGAGCTGTAGGTGTATTATCAAAAATAAATATGAGAATAAAAAAGGGACAAAACTAATCTTAGAATTAAAATACGATGCCTATCAATAAATGATGATAATACTGGTGGTTATGTTGATGTGTTCCTTTTTTTGTTACAGAATACCAAATACTTTTAAGATGTAGTCAATACCAATGGCAAATGTGAAATAAAGGCCGCTATTAATATTACTTAGAAATGCTTTCCAGCAACTTTTTGGATTATTAAGATCCACATTTTTAATCATTGTAAATATTCTATAAGCAAATAGCGATAATCCACCAATAAATCCAGGTCCCCATAAAAGACCACTATTAACTCCTGCAATTGTGTATAATGCAAATTGACCCGCTGTCAAAGAATAACATATTTTCTTAGTCTTGGGGCCCCATGCTAGAGCAGTTGATTTAATTCCTGCTTTAATATCAAATTTCTTGTCTTGATGAGCGTAAATTGTATCATATATCATACACCAAAGATAACTACCTAGATACAATGGAAGCATTGTGGGCCAAGCAATAACGCCCATTGCAGGAAACCCTAATAATGCCCCCCAAGTGAAACATGCACTTAACGCAGCTTGTGGGTAATAAGTAAATCTCTTAAATAAAGGATAGGTAAATACAATGGGTAGAGATGCTAAACCTAACCACCAACATTGTGTAGGTAATAAACCTAGAATACCACAACCTATCAAAGTCTGTCCTGTCAAAAATACATAGGCCTGTTTTACGGTAACCTTTCCAGATGCAATCGGTCTTTCTACTGATCTAATAACTTTATTATCCAAATTACGATCACAAATATCATTGATAGTACAACCCGCACCTCTCATTATCAAAGAACCCAATCCAAATATAGTTAGCATTTCTAAAGTTTGTGGTATTGTTGCCTCTGTTAACATGCCTCCCATTAATATAGACCAAGTGCATGGGATATACAGCAGCCATGTCCCAACAGGTTTCTCCAATCTCATTAATTCAGCATAAGGGATCCATTTTTCAGGGAGACGCGATACAAAGGGACCTAGCCCCAAAAGTCTTTCTTTTTTAGCTTGAGCCAACTGTTCCTCAGTGAATGAATTAGTTTTTTCGATTTGATTAGTGGTTGAATAATTTTTTAATTTTGTATTACATGTAATAAAATTTTTGCTATGGGTAGTATTATAACGAATGGCAAAGCACCTATTATTAAATAAGGTGACCCCAGAAACATATCTTGTATTTGTGAGCTGGTATTTAAAGATCTGTTGTTTAATCAAAGGTATCTGTAGAAAAGATCTGTTATAGAATGACATGTTAGCATGTGATTACTTATTCCCCTATGACAAAAGTAGATATTACTTTTAATATTACGATTACCACTATCTATAATGGACGATAATACAAATATAATAGTAGTCAAGGATGTTTGTTATTTGATAGATTTGAATTGCAGTCTAAGGTTATTGTAGTTACATTTGGGTCTTGTCTTTATGTTTTTTTGTATATTATATATTATAGATAATATACTTACAGCTCTTCTTTTCCTCTTTAATTTTCTCGAGAAAAAAGGGAAGGTACTGAGACTTGAGAAACACAGATAAAAAATACAGGAAAATAGAGGAACTGTATGTAGCACATCATAAAATAATATAAAAAACTGTACACAATCAAGAAGATATTACACTGGAATAGTCGCATGGTATGATGTTGCAATTATTCATGTCATGAGTATTTATGGGTGGGTAAAAAAGCACTGATGTTAAACTTACCTTAATAAAGAATAATCTCTACATAATTTTCATCTTTAAGAGGAGTTTATTCTAATTAGATTAAATCATGGAAAAAAATTAAGTAGAGAGAGTAAAAATTTAGTGTATTTTACAAAAAATTTGGGAAATAATTTTAGTGATAGATTCTTTCCAAGATAGCACTTTTTGGACCAAAATGAAAGGAAAAGAATATCTTTTTCGGAAGAATTAGTGGTATATTATATAGAACATACGCTTCATAACGGGGGGACAGTTATGTAGTGGAGGATAGCAGTTGACTTACTAGAATTAAGAATCATATTGAAAAAAAACTGTTTATTTGCCCAGAAGATGAGGGATTGTCTTTTTTTTTGTCAATTTGTCAAGGAACGTGTCTATCAATTGATATAGTTACTCGATCTTAAATTTATTTGCCTCCTTCTTTCCTGCCAGAAGGTTTGAGCTTATCTCATAAGTTTTATTGCCTATGATTTTGCTAGATGATTTTGCAAGTGTGAGTATACTATAGCATGCAACAAATTAGCCACCAAACTGGATCACTCGGTCTTTTATCGTAGTTAATTGCAGCCATTAAGATTTTGTCTGTAAAAGTAGGGTTTTCACAACAACCCTAAATATGCAGTGTTTCCAAAAGGGAAGGAAAACTAAAAAATCTCTCCGATAAAATTCTGCCCGGATTTTATTTTTTTTTTTCTTTATTTCGGGTTCTCGAAGTAAACGACAAAGGAAAACGGCTCGAGGAATTTCAGTCAGGATCCCAAGCTTGGAAGATGAAGTTGTCAGAAGGTGTCTCAAGTAAAGTGATGGCCTTAGTTTTTGATTGAAAAAATTCTTTTAGATATATAGATACGGGTTTACGATTGATCAGAGGGACGTTGTTCTCATTTGAAAGTAGTCTGAGGTTATTTGTTTTATTAGCTGATATCAACAATCTCTATAATTGGAACCAGTGAATTCCGTCTACCCTCTTGACATTTGACAAAGTTGATATATAATTTCTTTACTTTGCATCAAAGTTGCACAAATTGTCATATAACATATATACACTCACATTCAAAATGGCTATTTATTCTGTTTCTGCTACCGCTCCAGTTAATATTGCTACATTGAAATATTGGGGGAAAAGAGACGTTTCTTTAAATCTACCTACTAATTCGTCCATATCTGTTACTTTATCTCAAGATGATTTAAGAACTTTAACCACTGCTGCCACAAGTGACACTTTTGAAGAAGATACTTTGTGGTTGAATGGTAAACTGGAATCTTTGCAAAGCAAAAGAACTCAGGATTGTTTACATGATTTGCGTCAATTAAGAGCTCAATTAGAAGATGAAGATAAAACTCTACCACCAATGTCCAAATGGAAGTTACATTTGGTGTCAGAAAATAATTTCCCTACTGCTGCTGGGCTAGCATCCTCTGCAGCGGGTTTTGCTGCTTTAGTGGTCGCTGTTGCCAAATTATATCAACTACCACAATCCATGTCTGAATTATCAAAAATTGCCAGAAAGGGGTCCGGGTCCGCATGTAGATCTTTATTCGGTGGCTATGTGGCATGGGAAATGGGTGAATTAAAAGATGGAACTGACTCTAAAGCTGTTCAGGTCTTAGAAAAAGATCAATGGCCAGATATGAAAGCTTTGATCCTTGTGGTCAGTGATATCAAAAAGGATGTTTCTTCTACAAAAGGGATGCAGTTAACTGTAGCTACCTCTGACTTGTTCCAACACAGAATCGCAAAAGTCGTTCCAGAAAGATTCATCTCTATGAAAGAAGCAATTAAAAATAAAGATTTTAATAAGTTTGCTGAATTGACAATGAAGGATTCAAACTCATTCCATTCAACTTGTTTGGATTCTTATCCACCAATCTTTTACATTAACGATACTTCAAAGAGAATTATCAACTTATGTCATCTGATTAATACATTTTATGAGACTAATATTGTAGCATATACTTTTGATGCAGGTCCAAATGCTGTATTGTATTATTTAAAGGAAAATGAGGATAAATTATTGTCTATCTTGAATGAAATCTGTTCTAATATTACCGGGTGGAATGATAAATTTTCTAAGGAACAAACTGAAAATTGGTCAAATACTTACGATAAGAAATTAAAGAACCATTTTGAATCATTTATTGTTAATTATCGCGATGACATTGATAAACATGTTACAAGAGTTATCGCTACTCAAGTGGGTTCAGGACCTCAATCTACAGAAGAATCGTTAATTGATGAAGTAACTGGCTTGCCGAAATAAACCAGTTTACTTTATATATAGAAGTATTTAATTTTATATACAGAGTAATACTATAAAATATAGTCTGTTACATTGTTTATGCACGTAAATTTGTAAATATTCGTTCATGATTAAAAATATACGACGACAAATTTATTTATTGAATATTCTTTATGCAACCAGACATCATTCTTATAATGTTATCGAAAGAATACAAGCAGATAAATATAAAACAATTAAAATATTTATTATATAGTACAAGTAGATATTGTTAAAGACATTATAATTCTATTTTGACTATTATATATAGGTGTGCAAGTACACAAAGGTAACGAGGGAAAATAGGTTCATGATCAAAATAATATAAGTATAAATAAAATAAGATGATAAACCTCCTCCTCAGTCTTTCATATGCTCCCACAATTTTGCTGATATATAGATGTGTTTCCTATTTTGTTTAATTTCATATCGAGTTTCTTATGTATTTTTTTCTTTTTTTCTCTTTTGGTTATTTATAGTAATTAAATGCAACTTGAATATATCTGATGGTTTCAAAAGATATGGATATTTGATCATGGATGTATTATTTTTGATTTAATTTTATTTTCGTTTCACAAGCTTTACTCTTATGGTTTTTTTTATTTAATTTTTCATATTATCTAATTTTTTACTTCCTCAATCTTTCTATCATCTTGAGTCTTGGTAAATTTCCAAATTCTTGCTCTACAATCGCCACTACCAGTGGCAAAGACTTGACAATTTGGACCTAATGGAGATCCATTAGCAACAGCAACAGAAATAACTGAATTTCTGTGACCTTGTAACATTAACAAAGGATTACCACTGTTTGTATCCCAGAACAAAACACCACGGTCCTTTGAACCAGACAAGACATATTGATCGTTGTTTGTCGTTGTTACAGATAAAACAAAATCTTTATGGCCAATATACGTTACTTCGCAAATTGCAGAATTGGATCTTTGACCATTTTCTTTAATGTTATGTAAATTCCATAACTTAACAGATCTATCTAACGATCCAGACACGACCTTTTTACCATCTTTAGTGAAAACGACACTATATACAGAATCTTTGTGGCCTGTACCTAGTTCATTTTCAGAGTCTAATCTCTCTACAAGGAAACCAGTCTCAGAATCCCAGACACGGACAGCTCTATCTAAAGATCCTGCAGCAATAAATTTGCCATCACCAGGTGAAACTGCAACAGTAGTCACGCCATCTTCAATAGATAAAATTAGAGAACACTGACCAGTTTTCAAATCCCAGATCCGTACTGTTCTATCTCCAGAACCTGAAACCAATTTATCACCTGATGGGAAATAATCTAATGAGTAAACATCTTGATCATGACCTTGCAAAACCATCACTATTTTCTTATTTTCGATATCCCAGATTCTAATCAGTCTATCTTCAGCACCAGTGGCTAAATATTTACCATCAGGGGAGAAACAGACGGATCTTATATATAAATCACTTGAAGCGGTACTATTATCGTTTCCATCCTTTCCATTGCCATTAGTGGAACCAGCAATGTTATTACCATTTTGAACAGATGGAGCACTATCATCGGATAATTTAGCAATAAGGGCACCATCAGAAACACGATACACTTGAGTGGTCTTATTACAACCAGTAGCCAAATATTGGCCATCGTTAGAGAATTTTACACAACAAACTACAGAAGAATGTTCTAAAGATGAATGTAGATCAATCTCAATATTACGTGGTAAAGCTGGATTGTATAAAACATAATAATCATTTTCCCTTTTCTTTAAATTTTCAGGGACTTGGTTATAATCCAAATCCAATAAGAATGGTGGAATTGCTTTCATTTGACTAGCCCTTTGATCAGGTGCAACCAAATATTTTGAATTTTCATCTTGAACAGAATTGGAAGTAGCAGTGTTTGTGGTGTTTGCCTCAGATTTAATGGAATCTTTGGAAGTGGACTTCTTTTTGTTTGAAGTTGTAACAGAGTTAGTTTTATTGTCATTTGCTGGTTCAGCGGTGGTGGAAGTTGTTGCTGTTGTAGTGGTGTTAGATACAGGGGTCGAAGTTTCATCCGCTTGAATTGTTTTAGCAACTTCAGTTACTTGTTGAGCTGTTGATGGTTCAATATTAGTAGCAGTAGGCTTTTGTGGTATCGATGTAGACGAGGTTACGGCTGGTGAAATTTGTGTTTCACTCAATGGTTGTAATTGAGGTGGAGAGACCGGTTTTTGCTCTGCAGTAGTATGTTGAATCTGGGGAAGTTGTGTAGTTTCATTTACAGAACTTTCATTAGTTGAGGTTACGTTTGGAGACTTCAATTGAGACCCCAACGCACTGATTAATGGAGCCAAAGCTGGACCATTTGGTTGAGTTGAAACACCATTAACAACTTGTTGCTGAGGAAGTTGTTGTAATGGCTGTGCTGATTGTTCAGAAACAGTTGCATTCTGTGATGTTTGCTGTATTTGAGTTTGAGGTAAAAGAATAGGTTGTGCAGCAGGTTGTGGTCGAACCGCAGAAGGTAAGCGTGGTTGAGGTAATTGTTGTGGTTGAGGTGGTAATTGGGATTGTATAATAGAAGGCGATTGTTGTTGTAATTGTTGAGTTAATGTGGCAATTTGATGATCCTTTTGGGTAATTTCCATTTTTAACTTGTTAATTTCCTCTTCATAACTGTCCTTCATCTTACGGTGAGACAACTCTAATTCATAAACAGTGTTTCTTATCTGTTGCATCTCTGCAAGATGCAAATTAATCTTATAATCATAATCCTTTTGGTTTTGCAATCTGGAAGTAGTAGCTTCCTTTGAAAAAGCAGCAAATTCTTGTCTAATCCCTTCAAGAAGCTCTTCCAATTTAGCTTGGGAAGTGGCCGCTGCGGAGGACATTTGTTTCTTTGATTTTTTTGGGCAACTTGTAAAGAGTATAATCTAGAATATTAAACTTATTTTTGCTTATCTATATAAGGTAGTTATAGTGGGTTGTTCTTATTATTTCCAATATTACTTGTTAACAAATGACAATAACAATTAAGTTTAAGAATAGGCAGGTGGGTATGAAAGAACAAACCTTAGAGTTATAAAACAAATAGGAATAATAATAAATATTTGATGCTGGTTCTTTTTTTTGTTTGTTAATGCTTAAACATAAACCAAAAGAAAAAAAAAACAAACCAATTCAAAATGTGGTTAATAACGTTTAAAAAATGTAACGGAAAGAAAAGTCTTGTTGTAGTAAATTGTGAATACACACTATCAATTAACTAGTCTGAGGGATTTGGTAAATCAATGAGAAAGTTTACTTTTGAAAGAAAAATAGATGTTTAAAGTGGTCGTATTTACTGTAACTTAGATAACTGTTGTTGATTGTTTATTATTTTATTTTTCAGGATACATAAATTTTTGAATTTAAATTTTATCTTTTTTGTTTTTTTTTTTTTTTTTTTTTCCTTTCGTTACAAAAAAATTTTTGGGATAACTTCCACAAGAACAATAGAAATAGAAAAACAATTAAATATCATTTCAAACGATATATAATTATGTCGAAACGGGAGAATAATATCCCAAAAAGGCAATCAAAGGTCAAGACTATACAAAAGAGGGAAGTGGTCTACTGAACAAGGAAATTGATCTTTTTTGGTTCATTTTTAGAAAAGTACATTATCCAATTGTTCAATTAAAGGGAACTTCCTATGAATGAAGTGTTTAAACACAGTGTGGTCGAAGAGTAATAAAGAAAGGGAATAAAGTGAGAAGAGTTAATGGAATAGCATAGAACACGTACAAAAAATTTGTATTTTACTTGGATTAAATAACTCTTTGCTTTTTTTATTTGCAATAATGTTTAAAAAAAAAACATATGTAATTTTTTCGTAAAAACTTTATTGTTTTTTTTAATTTTAGTTGATTTCACTTAGAAAAGGTTAATTTTAATAAAAGCAATACAAATTAATATTACCCCGTGAAATCATTTTATTAAAATTAGATATATCGATAATTGATGCTAATAATACATAAAAAAATAAATAAACACAGAAACCAACAAAAAAATTTTTTTTTTTAATATATCCCTTTAACTTAAACTATTTATTTTTTTTTTCTTGTTCTTCGAAGAAAATTTGTTTGAAATCCCCTTGAACAATCTATAATAACAAGTGAAATCAGTATTATAAACAACAGCAAAAAAGAAAATAGTTCATCGAAATCCTAAATATAATATTAGCAATTTAAGACTATATATTTTTAAATAACCCACATATATACAATTAAATAAAGTCATACCTGTAATAACCCTATTTTTATCCTATTATTTTCTAATATTAAGAATATTAATTTCAATTATATGCTTGATACCCTAAAAAGGAAGTCTTAACTGATCCTTTCCTAATTTTTTTGTAATATTTTAATATAGTGCATAGATATTTCTTCATGTTGACCTGTATGAATTTCATTAGAACATCTTGTTAATCACTTCTTGTAGATTTCTGTCTTGTTCAAAACATATAAAAGTGTGATTACAAAATTTAAAATACAGTATCTTTCAAATTGTATCTTCTAGGTACTTTTATCAATAAGTATTTTTAATTATAATATTACAACAATGGAATTTGTGTTGATTTTATGTTAAAACATTCTACAAAAATAAGACCTCAACAGATCAAATACTACCAAGATGCGTCTACAATTTCTGACTTTAGGTGTCTTAGCAGTGACTTCCGAAGTATTTGCTGATGAACATGATCATAGTCAAGATAATAATAACAACAATGAACACAAAGCTAGTTTAATAGGTTTCCCTGACAGTAGAAACAATGATCACTTTTGGGATAAACACCATGAAGGTAACCATGAAAGGGATCATGAAAAAGACCACGATAGAAATCATGATGGTGATCATGACAAGGATCATGATGGGAACCATAATAAGGACACTAATGGAGAACATGACAGAGACCATGATAGGAACCACGATAATGAACATGACAAGGATCACAATAAGGATCATGGCAGAGACCATAACAGGAATCAGGACAGGGACCATGACAGAGACCATGATAAGGACCATGACAAGGATCACAATAAGGACCATGACAGGAACCACGATAATGAACATGACAAGGACCATGACAGGATTCACGACAGGGACCATGACAAGGATCACAATAAGGATCATGACAAAGACCATGATAAGGACCATGACAGGGACCATGACAGAGATCATAACAGGGACCATGACAAGGACCATGACAGGAATCACGACAGGGACCATGACAAGGATCACAATAAGGATCATGACAAAGACCATGATAAGGACCATGACAGGGACCATGACAGGGATCATGACAAAGACCATGATAAGGACCATGATAGGAATCACGACAGGGACCATGACAAGGATCACAATAAGGATCATGACAAAGACCATGATAAGGATCATGACAGGGATCATAACAGAGATCACGATAGGGATCACAATAGAAATAATGATGGGGAGCATCGCAAAGACCATGACAAAGACTATAACAAAGATAATGATAGGAATAATGAAAGGGACCATGACAGGGATCATGACAATGACCATAACAAGGATCATAATAAGGACCATGAGAGAGATCACGATATGGATCATGACAGAGCTCACGATATGGATCATGACAGAGCTCATGATATGGATCATGACAGAGCTCACGATATGGATCATGACAGAGCTCACGATATGGATCATGACAGAGACCAAAACAAGGAATATAATCGAGATCACAATGAAGGACTTAATAGAGACTATAACAGGGATCCAGAGAGAGATGCAAAACATTGGGAACATAAAACAAAACATCATTCAAGTATCCATCATTCGTCCTCTCTTCAACCAATTTCAACAAACTGTCCATCTTCTTCACATCATTCATCCTCTTCACACCATATGTCTTCTTCTTCTCTAAAGCCAACTTCAACTCATCATTCTTCAAAATCTAAATCTAAATCTAAATCACAACACCAATCAACTTCATTTCTTTCTTCTTCTTTGAAACCAACTAGTATAATCAGTTTAAGTTCATCACATGAAAAGTCAGCAACAGTTTTCCCAAATACAACAATAACTACACATATTATATCAACAATCACCAAATGTGTTTCTAATAATTGTTCCACACAATTAACAACCATAATTCAGCCTGTGACTGTTACAAGCGAAGTTACTAAATTAACGATACTGACCAAATGTCAAGAAAACATTTGTTCTACTATTGTGACATCTTGCCCAACAACAGAAACAACTACTATAGTTCCACCACCAACAGAAGTAACTACAAATATTGTGGTATCACCAACTACTGCTGCCACTACTGTGTCTCCGGAAACATCATTAGTCACTACTACCAAAACTACACCTGTAGTATCACCAGTGACTCCTGCTATAATTTCTCCAGTAACCTCAGTAGCCACTCCTCCTACAAATGTTGTTGTTAATACTATTCCAAACATAGTATCTTCCGCAGCTATCCCTTCAACAAATACGGTTCCAGTTTCCATTAAATTTAGTACTACCTCACCAATTATTTCACCAACTACAGGTGTTGTCACACAACCTGCATCCATGACTAAGGTCCTTACCGCACCTACACAAACCACCGAAATACAATCACCAAGTCCATCTCTTTCTCCTTTCAAAGGTTCAGCCAAAAAATTAACAACTAATAATCTTTTAGTGGCTGCTGCTATGGCTTTGCTAGTATGAAATCCTTCATGTTTTTAAATTTGTTTACTGTCTCTGCTTAAAAGCAATCTAAAAGATTAAAATTCTTTTCTTCTATATATCACTTTATTCGTTTGTTTATCTTTCATGATATCTATTTGGTTATAATTTTTTAATTTAAAATTCAAAAATGATCTTTTAATTTGAAAAATTTCCAAATATTAGTTCTATAATGATATTTTTATTATTTTTTATTTATTCATATTTACTGTTTTAACATTACAAATATTTCGATTTTTTATTAATCTGACTATTATTAAGACTTGATTTGATAATATCCTACACACATATATGCTAACTAGCTTGAACACTGTATTAATTTTAAAATACACCAATATAAGGAACGTACTCTATTAGCTCCAATACCAAACATTATCTCCCCATTTAGATCTGTTTCATATAATTCTTTACATCGGCACTGTTCTATTATTTTTCTTTTCTTTTCTTTTTGAGGAAAAATAGATAGAAGGGTTTAAATCATGCAAAATCTGTAAATTTCCTGATCGGAAGATTTACATGAATTTGAGACACTTAATATTAAATACATCAACCTTTGAGGTTCCAATAAAAATAATATTTGTCATTTAATGATTTGCAAGAAGGTAATGAATTTGTATAATCTTAAAACTAATACTAAAATTCATTTTGCAAGATATTTATCAATAAATATAAAAAAGACAGTTTCAACAAAACAATTATTAAGCAAGTCCAAAATTAAGTTACAAGTAAACCAAAGATATCAAGGTGAAATAAAGGCCTGACAAAGATATGTGGACGCTAGGCTTAAAATTACTATTATTATCTCAACTTTTATCTAGTGCAATTGCACAAGATACTTCTCTTTCAACAACAACAGTTGCCATAACTGATACAACAACTACAACTTATTGTCCAAAATGTACCACAATAATTGAAACAATATTTAAATCTTCCAGTTTAGCTTTATCATCCTCCAATTACAATTTGGCATCAACAGTCACTTCCACCACCACTACTGATTGGACTGGCTCTTTCAGATCCACCTACTCTACAGAAACCACTATCATCACGGATTCCCTAGGATCCACCACACCTGAAGTCATCATCCACATAGAGACTCCAAGCACTTCTACTGCTCCTCTTACCACAATAACTTCCACCACCACTACTGGCTGGACTGGCTCTTTCAGATCCACCTACTCTACAGAAACCACTATCATCACGGATTCCCTAGGATCCACCACACCTGAAGTTATCATCCACATAGAGACCCCAGATATTTTCAATATTCAAACCACAAGAGTTATTTTGACTAGCAGTATCTTCCAGGTACCCGCAACATCTTCCGGTAAAAGTGTAGATACATTCACCTCATCTTCTATTAGTTCCAAAGATACAAACGTATCTTCTTCTCAAACACACACATTGTCTATTACAAATAGTTCAGTGAAATCCATTGTTTCTACTAATATTATCCAAAGGTCAGCCTCATCAAGTTTGATTACAATCGCTAGCAATAATCTACTATCAAAATCCACCACACATGTCACTATTATTTTACAAAGTACTAGCAACAAACAGTTGACACACAGTACTTTGAACAACAATAGCTCTCAAGCAATAAAGACAAGCTCCTCTAAACAAATAACTATAACTACTACAGATTCTAAATATATTACAATGATATCCACTATTACTAGATGCTCATCCAACTTGTGCGACATTTCTAATAATACAACATATAATCATGTTCCTTTTACTACCAATTTTGAGGACCTTATTTCAGTTAACAAAAATGTTTCAACTACCTATCTGTCTACACCAAAATTTACTTTGACAAGTTCTGTAACTTCCAGCACCCTATCAGCGAATCACAACATATTTACAAAACCAACAGTTTCCTCAGAATCCAAAGGAATCCCAGTAAATTTTAGTAACATTAGTTCTTCGTTAATGACAAAAAATATTTCTACCCATAAAGTTAATGTCACCAGTACATTAATTTCCACCCCTACTATTACTACCAACATGCCTTCAGTTATACAATACTCTTCATACGCATCACAAAATACCTCTAAACAATCCAAGACAACAATCCCTGGTTTAATAAGTTCGTCAATAACTGCCTACATCTATGAAGGCATCGGAAACAATAAAGTCTTCAATTTTGGAAACTCATTTATTGTTTGCATAATAGCACTATTACTTTAATCCTCTTATATTTATCAGAAGTAACCTCAAATCTACTTTGTCTATAATAGTTTATTATCTTAAATAAACATCATTTCAATATGGTATATATTACTAATGTTTTAATAATGTTGTTCTTAATTTTTGTATATTGCCTATAATTTATATATCAATCATCAATAACAAGCTATCTATTGTGTTGTCCAACTTTCTGAAATGGAAATTGAAAAGTCAATCCTGTTGAAAAGTCCAATGTTTCTCGCATATCATTTTCTCTAATACAGTATGTGACTATTTTCCAAGATTATTCCACAAAAAAAATTACCTACTGCAATACATATACACTCTCTATCTTATTTTTTTTTTCTGAGTTTTTGTTTTCTCATCGCTTGCACAAACTGATCTCTCGAGAAAAATCCTTACTTAATTCTCGCAAGTCACCATTTCCCCTGGATCACCTCTAGATTTTGAAAAATAAAATAAAGACAAATCCTTCAAGAGTTGAAAACCATGTGAAGAAGAAAGGGGCACGAAAGAAAAGGAGAAAGAGAGGGAAAGAGAGAGACAGAAAGCGTGTGTATGGGTAAAAGTACGGAGAAGGAAACAAGATTATAATTAGAAAACGAAAAAATTACAAGAACAGAAAATTAGCATCTGTTAGAATAGGTGGTTGTGATTTCAATCATATCCCTAGTATATTTTCTATATTGATGGAGATATTAATACCTTACAGATATTCCTTTTTTTTTTCAGCAAAAAAAAAAAACAAGTATTATTGTTTGTAGTCTTAAATTGACTGGAGAAATTATACTTTAGTGTGTGGATCTTTCTAGAGGGACACATCTACCACATCCGAAATAATATAATACACATACACCAAAAAAAAACTTGTATATACACATACCTATTGTATTATAATTTACTTTATCATATTAGTTATTCCCAAGAGATTCATTATGCCCTTTAAAGTTAGTAATATGAAGAAAACTTGGTTACGACTGTACTCTACTCTATCAAGAAGGCCACATTTCATTAGAAATAACCTTGTCATGGGTCCACGAAGGCCCAGTACCATTGGACGTACTTTATGGGGATATTTCAATGCTCCAGGGAATGTAATGTTCGTGACTACAAACGTTGTTTCATTTGCAGCTTTGGTTACGTATAATACTCTGGTGAATGTACCCTCTGATCGAATACTGCAACAAGAAATGTTGTCTGCTCAATTACTGTCTACATCACCAGCAGGACAAGCAATTACTTTTAATGAAGATGAACAAATAGATAATATTCCAACACCTATTTCAATGTTTCAACCCCTTGAGGAAAATACAAGTTTTGGCGAAATAAAAGATACTATTGTCAAACAGATACATGAAAGGATCACTCCACAAAGGCAGGCGTTAAATGATGAAATCTCAGAAGTAGTAGACACTCCATTCACTACATACTTAGATGGTAATGTTGAATTAATGAAACATGTACCTGTTAATAGTACAAACTCACTAATAGCGAAATTCTCTTTATTCAGTCTCTTCTATTCTTATCATCTATATAGCGATGTTGTTATATCTCAGGATTCAAAAAAGGATTACAATGAACAGATAACAGAAGAGACTCAATCAAGGAGTCACATATGGACCAAAGAGATTCAGCGGCTTCAGAAATTAAGTTTTCCTATATTAAAATCTCTACGAAATGAGAAGAACAGTTCTTTAACTATTTTTTATCGAATATGGAACGAAGCAAATAGGAAAAAAATAGAGAAATACGATACCCTTTATCAATTCAAATTCCCACGTTGGTCCCTTTTCCCGAATTCTTTGTCTAGATTATGCAATGAGTTACACGACAATAAATTTGAAACATTGGGTGATTTTCAAAGACTCTACGAACTGACGGACCGAACCAGCTTGAGGAAGTTGTTCAGGATGTGGCTTTATGATTATTCAAATCTGTTGAATAGGACTAACAATAATGTGATGAATGAGGCGATGTTTAACAAGTTGATTAAGGACAGTTTTAATGATATAGATCTTGATTCCTTTGGGAAATTTTCCTCGATTGTCTTGAAGCCGGAGGATAAAAGAAGGCGATTATTTTTTGCAATAAGGCCGGATTATCAAAGCTATCAAATCCATTTGGATACGCTATTGACGATATTCCAAAATTATGTACTGCTGCAGAAAAGAAAGCTAGAAAGTTTGCACCATTTGCAAGGCCATCATATGGAGATATTAAGAATGGTTCAGTTGATCAAAAACAATGGGTATTTAGGTAAAAATGGTGTTGCATATATTTTACTCCGACAGGACTGCCCATCATTCTCAGAATCAAGTAGAAAACGCTACTTTAGGAATTTGTCCGATAATAAACGATTGGGAAAACTTCTTCAAGAAGTAGCAATTTTACAAAACACAGCATCAGATAGTTAACTTAAAAGGTATATATATACATATGTAAGACTGTATATAAGTTTTATGAACTGAGTTCTTGTAAATTTTATGTTTCCAAGATATAGTTGTCGTTATTTTTTATTCCAAAAAGACCGTCTTTGGTGATTTTGATCTTAAGTTTTTTTTATAAAAAAAAAAAAAAAAAAAAAAAAAGGTTTGTATAATGTAAAATTTTCGTATATTTTATTTTTATTTTAATACATATCTGTTAATAACCATCCCTCTCCCTCCGGTTAAGGTTTAGTGGAATACAAACAAACAAGCAAACCAACCAACCAACTACAGTTTAATTATGAAGTTTTTAACTACCAATTTTCTGAAATGTTCTGTTAAAGCCTGTGATATAAGCAATTTGAATTTCCCATTAGAATACGATGGGAGCAAGTGTAAACTGGTTCAAAATGAAGATATTGAGTTCCAACCAGAGTTTCTCCTGAACATACTAGACAGGATAGATTGGCCTGCTATATTGCAAGTGGCAGCAGATTTGGGTAACACTTCATTGCCATCGCAAAAACCTGAGTTACACACTAATATGGATGAATTGAATGAGGAAGAACTTGTTATATTGAGAGATTTGCATACTTTGTTGTTACAGACGTCTATCACGGAAGGTGAAATGAGATGTAGAAATTGCGGCCATGTATATTACATTAAGAACAGTATTCCAAACCTATTACTACCACCACATCTAGCTTGAATTGTGAGTTGATTAGTCCATGACAAAATTGTTGTGTATGTTTTGTCAATACATAAGTAAATAAACATATGTATGTATGGGTAATAGAGGTATGTAAAAAAAATTAAAAAAAAAAGCTGTGTAATATGAAATAAACCCTATAGAGTATCGAGCTATATTATTTTTCATCTTTCATCTTTTTTTCTTTCTTTTTAATTATGTTCTGTCTTGCTACTGCATCTACAGCCACTTCCTCTGCTTCTCTACACTGTGTGTGCCAAAAAAAGACGAAAAAATCAAAACAAAACAAAACAAAGCCAAGCAAAAACACAAAAACACAAAATAAAAAAAAAGAAAAAGAAAAAACAAGAAGATAATCACATCTCTGCAGAGAAAGAAAGAGAAAGAGAGAGAGAGGGCTACTACTATCTTCTTCTGCCAACAATGTTGTTATAGTCCATTTGACTGAGGAAGATAAGGAGGAGGAGGAGGAACAAACCCGTGTCTTAAACCTACCGAATAAAAAAAGCGTAGACATTTCACACCCACACACCGCGCAAAACACAGCGAGGGGGGGAAGGGAAGGAAGACGAAACTTTTCTGTTTGTTTTACAACAAAAACAGAGAGGCTTAGCTATTTTTTTTTTTTTGGTTTTTTTTTCTTTCTTTCCTTCGATTCAATTTTCAGTTTCCAATTCAACTTCTGCGGTTGGTATTTTTCCGTCTCTTTCTGTTTTTTTTTTTTTTTTTTTTTTTATTTTGTGTTTTTGTGTTTTTGTTTTTACCCCGCATTTTATTCCATGAGTTTTCCGAGAGTTTCCCGCCAGTTTCCGCCAGCTTCCCGCTGTTCGTACCGTCTGTGAGGGAAAACAAAACAAAACAGAGGAACGAGACAAAAAAAGAAGAAAGGAAAGGGGGGGAGAGAGAAAAAAAAAGAGGGAAAATGTTTCATTAAGAGAGGAATGGCAAGATTGGAGAGGGATGGAAAAAAGAAAACAAAAAACAAAAAACAAAAAATAGTAATAATAATAACAATAACAATAACAAGAGTAAAAAGAAAGATACAGTAATCGTATCCCAGATATCCTAGACTATGACGTTTGTTATATAAAGACGTATATATGTCTACGTGTATTATTTATACATACTTAATTATTTGATCTTGTATTATCTTAAAACCATCCACTACCAAGTTACTGTCGATTTAATATATATTCTATTCGTCATATTATCCTCCTCTCACCCTCTCACCACACCTATATATTTATTTGTGTTTACATTTCTCCCATGTGCTTGTGTGTACAATGAGTTCTAATGGTGTAACACATGATACTTTCTCTAAACCAATTTCAATATTAGAAAGGAAAAGAACAGTTTCATTCTCCAAATTACTTTCAAGATCATGGAAACAGTCTAATAGTCCTGGTCCTTCTTCTGATACAAGTGACAGTCTTACAAGAAAAGATACTTCTTCATCCGTCAATTCTTCTAAATCCAATAATAGTAATAGTAATAGTAATAATAACAACAATAACAATAACAATACTACAACTAATACTACAACTACTACTAACACTACTACTAACACTACTAGATTCTCTAAATTTAGAAATTTTTTCCATTCCAATCCAAATGCCGATACAGAAACCCTCAATAACACAACTAGTAAAAATAGATACATTTATCCAATGACTCCTGCAGATAACAACAGAAAAGAAAAGGAACAGGTTTCTAAAAACCATATCACAAACAACATACCCAGCGTCCCCATCCATGCTCATCTAGAAAACCATTATCATCCCTACGATACAAATATCTCAAGCACAGATAATAATAATAATAATAAGTTCCTTATATCCAACAGTTCATATCCAGCCACCACAACAAATAATGATCCAACATCAAATAGAACACCAAAAAATTTAATTCCTAAAACCGTCTCCAGTCAGAAAAACTCAAGTAACCTTTCTTTAAACAAAATTAAAGAAGGCGAACTGGCCAATGACTTCCAAATAAGATCCAATTTAAACCATTCACCACCAAATGGTACTCGTGGAAAAACCCAGACTCCTATTGCATCCTCAAAATCGAGCAGTGAAGAAAATTCATCAAATCATGCATTCCCATCCATTATTGTTGGGTTTGGATCCGAGGAAAATACAAGTGAAACAACGCAGACAACCGAGACAACCTCCAAATTCTCCAAAATCCATGAAAACGAAACCCAACAGGATCCAGGAAAGGGGGCTACAATTCAGAAACAATTCGCATCTACACCTGATGACATGACTCGCCGTTTAATCAGTGAACTTGGAGAACCTAAGAGATCGAGGAGATTAAGAAACAAATCCTTCAGTAACAAATTCGAGGATATAAAAGTGTCTCCACAATCCTTTGAAAAGATAAGGTTGTTGGGTCAAGGTGATGTAGGTAAAGTATATCTTGTCAAAGAAAAATCAACAAATAGACTGTATGCATTGAAAATCTTCAGCAAAAAAGAAATGATCAAAAGAAAAAAGATTAAACGTGTCCTCACAGAACAAGAAATTTTAGCTACAAGCGATCATCCATTCATTGTAACTTTATATCACTCGTTCCAATCAGAAGATTATTTGTACCTTTGTATGGAATATTGTATGGGTGGCGAATTTTTTAGAGCTTTGCAAACAAGGAAATCTAAATGTATATCTGAAGATGATGCTAGATTCTATGCAAGTGAAGTCACTGCAGCATTGGAATATCTGCATCTATTAGGCTTCATTTACAGAGATTTGAAACCGGAGAATATCTTGCTACATAAGTCGGGCCATATCATGCTGTCTGATTTCGATTTGTCCGTTCAGGCAAATGACCCCACAAATAAAATCCCTTCTAAAAGAGTAGTGGTAACGCAAAATTCAATGGTTGATACTAAAGTTTTTTCGGATGGATTTAGAACTAATTCCTTTGTTGGTACAGAGGAATACATTGCACCAGAAGTCATTCGTGGGAATGGCCATACTGCTGCTGTCGATTGGTGGACTTTAGGCATATTAATATATGAAATGCTATTCGGTACAACACCTTTCAAAGGTTCCAATTCAAACGAAACCTTCTGTAACATTTTGAAAAATGAAGTCATTTTCAACAACAACAACAACAACGGCAACCACAGTGTGGAAATTTCAAGAAACTGTAAAGATCTTATCAAAAAATTGTTGTGCAAAAACGAGGCTAAACGTCTTGGTTCCAAGATGGGTGCTGCAGACATTAAAAGACATCCCTTTTTCAAGAAAGTTCAATGGTCATTTTTAAGAAACCAGGAACCTCCTTTGATCCCTAAATTAGCGGATAATGGTTTCGATTTTGCTAACGTAACACCGAAAACAACTAAAGAAGAAGAAAATGAACCATCATTGGAAGAGGTGGAACAAACCATGTTCGAGGAGCCGGTAGAAAATGATGATAACTTAACAGAGGATGACCCCTTCCATAATTTTAATTCAATGAGTCTCATGAGGCATGATAATAACTCACTGATATATGGAGAATCGAATTCATACGGTAAAATATCATATACCCCAAATTCCAACCGTTCAAGGAGCAATAGCCATAGGGGGTTCTTCACAATAAGATAGATAATAATGTTAATCTTGATTCATACATAACTGATATATTCCTTGCCAGTCCAAATACAATATCATTTATTCATTCAGTAATTCATACATCTACATACATATATATATATATATACAGATATCCATATATTGTTATTCATATAAAATGTTATTGCGATGATATTTTAGTCATTACTTTTACTTCTGTCACAAAAAGACTATTTTTTTTTACAATGTATAGTAGCACTGAACATTATAAACCCTACTAATCTCATGGCCTTTATTGCTTAAAATCAAACTACCTATCTTGATTCTTATCTGCCGTCACTTAGCGGCTGTTAATTATTACTTTTCGTTAATTTTTTTTTTCTGCCTTCTTTTTTTTTTTTTTCTATTTTTTTTTTTTCATTTCTTTCTGATCCCCACAGAATAAGAATAGTTGCAATTTTTCTATCAAAAACATGATGGAAATCAAATAAGCCACTAATGTGAAAAAGGGTAAACAGAAGGCTCTTCAATTCTGTTCCTACAAAGTCCTCAAGTCAATAACTATACAGGAGTGGTCGAATTAAGGACCCTAAATGATTTTAATACAACCAAAAATTCCAATCTGATACTATAAATTATCATACACATTCCTTTATATTTGATTAAGATGGGGTTTCAGTTGCATTTTCATAACATTAGACAAAATGGAGAAAGGAGGAATAGAAGACCATTGAATACCTCCTTCCGACAGCAAAGATTACGTGCTTGGCAACCAAATCTATCACCTCAAAGAATAATACCTTTGTTACTTATTGTAGCATGTGTATTTACACCCATTGGCGTTGGTTTATTAGTAAGCACTTTGAACACACAGACTTTAATAATAGATTATGAACAATGCCATTTACAAGCAAATACAAATTCATTGCAACTAATACCTACAAAATATGTACAGTCAAATTTCCACAAAAAAACCACAATACTACCTAAATGGCAGCTTATATACAATGATGAAAATGATACAAATAATATGACATGTCAGATTCAGTTTCAAATACCTAATGATATAACATCTCCGTTATATGTTTATTACAGACTAACTAATTATTATCAAAATTATAGAAAATATGTTGATTCCTTTGATATCAACCAACTTAAAGGGGAAGCACTGCTGCCAAATCAATTAAATGATAATTGTAAGCCATTCAAAGAAATAAATGGGAAGGCAATTTATCCATGTGGTGTTATCGCAAACACACTTTTTAATGATACTTTTAGCAAAACCTTAAATAATATCGGAAACAGCACGTTAGATGTCCAATTAACAAACAAAAATACAGCATGGAATACAGACAAGCATAGGTATAAACCTACCTCATATAATGTATCTCAAATCGTACCACCTCCAAACTGGTCCCACATGTTCCCTAATGGATATACCGATGACAATATACCGAATTTACAAAAATGGCAAGAATTTCAAGTTTGGATGAGGGCATCTGGTTTACCAAAATTTTACAAATTGGCTTTACAAAACGTTTCAAAAGATTTGAAAATCCATAAAGGTACATATTCTATAAACATTGATCTTCATTATCCTGTATTATCATATAATGGTACTAAAGCCATTGTATTAACCACAAGTCATATTGTGGGTGCTCGAAATATTTCATTAAGCATAGTGTATTTTATTATTTCAGGATTATCAATATTTTTTGCCATTATCCTCCTCATAGCCACATTGCTAACGCGAAGAGAAACTCCAATTCATATTTCCTCACAGGGTGTACATCCTGCACCAAATGTCAAACGAACTGATATAACTGTTTCCAAATTTACAGATCAGGACTCTCTGTATTCAGACAATATCCGAACAAGAGGTATTTTGTAATTATTTTAACTTCCAACATTTTAATATTCTGATTTTTTACATATCGTTTAATAGTGTTTATTGGTCCATCGTGATTAATAAGTGCATTGCAACATAAAATTGTACATATACATGTATACATTTAAATAATATCATAAATTGCTCATTTCACTTCAATAAAACAACATAATTTCTTCATGTAGTTAATAGAGTTAGATAGTATTCACCATTCGGAATTATTTAATTTTGGATCAAAGTGGGTTTCTGCCAGTCCTTCTCTTTAAACGTGCGCTCATTATATCAGAAGAGCTTTGTGGTGAAGCAGACGTGGAATTTGCTGGGGAATTAATTTGTGTGTTATTAGAAGAACTCCAACTGGGACTCTTGTGATAATGCTGAGTGTCATTGCCCATACTCATATACGGATTAACGTTAGAAGAGTTTGGAGACATCTGTCCTTGTCTTGTTGTTGTTGGTGGTGTTTCTAGAGGTAACAAATTTGTAACATCATCATTCTGTGATTGATAAATAGAACGGAAGCCCATACCTGCAGTTTTTCTTCCTCTTGATAGGCCATTCTCACTTCTGGTCAAACGTTGGTGAGGACTACCCTGACTCATATGTTGATGATGGTGATGTGTAGATAAGGGAGAAGAGTGTGCAGCCATATAATCTGAGGTGGCCTCTTTAAAGTTTTTTAATTTTGAGGGTTTTGATTGTTTTGCTAATTGCTCTGTTTGCTTTTTTAAAATTTTTTGTTCATCTGGAAGATCCTCTTTATGCCCTAACCAACCCGGAAATCCTTGGAATGGCTCTTGTTTTTTGTAGTAATGTACTAAAGCCTCATGTATAATAGTAGTTGTTATTGTGTCACCATCTTTTTCAGTCTTAGAGGCTAATTGCTTTGTAGAGTTTTTCAATTTTGACCACAAATCTTCTGAAGTTTGGGGTTTTAAAAAATCAGAGGCCAATGACATAGTTTTTTTTATTTGCAGTATGCTTATCTGATACTTAGTGTTACGTTGGTACCTACTGATTGTTCTATCCATATGAATAGTTCTCTATTTAATACAAGGAAAGCCATATAGGTTGTAGTATCATCTGGAAACCCTTTTTGTATTTAAAATCCTTCAAAGTTTAATGTCACTAAATATGAAAAAATACCTGTAATAGGGAAAAAAAAAAAAAGAAAAAGTAAAGAAAGTCCAAGTGTCGTAAATTAAACGACAATTGCTAAGAGAGATCTAAATGTGTGTGAAAAATAATACTACGCAACATTGAGAACAATAATATATTCAATAGTAATATTCTATATATAATTGGTTGATTACATAACATAAATTTAATACAAATATATAAAAAGAAATTACATTATTTTTCCTTCCTAGTTTCTGTACATTTTGATAAGAAAATATCTATAATTAATTAAACATAGCAAGAATTGAGGAACATATTATCAAACATGGAATAGATAAAACTAAAATAACAGGATAAAGAGTGGGGTTAAAAAAAACAAATTACAATACACATTGATATATTAATAGAAAATTTAACCAAGTGTCTTTTCAACTAGGAAAATATTGTACTTTTCCTTTAATTCCTTCATAATTGGATTATTAATTTCAGGAGAGTATGGGGCTATTAGACCTGGACCCTTAATAGTACCATTTAAGACTAATTTAGTAGCAACAGAAACGGGTAAACCGACAGTAGCAGCCATAGAACTGTAACCACCAACTTTACCATAATCAACTAAAGTAGAAGTTCTGGTTTCTGTCTTACCATCTGCCCATTCAATGCCAAATTTATGTTGTAAAACGACCATATCACGTTCACCTTCTCCATATTGCATTAATTCCTCAAGACGAGCACATAAGGTGTCTAATGGATTACCTCTTGGAGTAATTGGTGTGTTAGAGAATAAACCTAACCAACCGAAGCCATTTAAGATTCTTTCTCTTTCCTCAGCAGATTCCCATTTGGTTAAAGTATCAATCTTTGCAATCAAATCTTCCTTTGAATTAGATTTAGCACCTAAGTATTGGTACAAAGCATTATTCCATGGGGTTGGTTTAGTCCAAATATCAGAAGTCTCTTCCTTTAACATACCCATATCTACAAGAACCTTAACGAATTCTGGGAAACCTTGGTATCTTAAAGTACCTCTGATGACAGTCTCAGCCTCTGGAATATGATATAATTCTTTGAAAATGGTAGAATCTCTATTTGGATAACAGACAAAGGCGTAACCCGGGTAAATAAAGTATGGTTTAGCTGAAGCCATTAAATCTTCAGAGGAAACAGTTTCAATCTTTCCATCTTTCCAGTATTTAGCAGAATTTCTTAAAGCTAACAAAACACCTCTGGAGGACCAAGAAAACTTGTAACCTAATGGATTATCTGAATCTTCTGGGGCAGGCAACCCACCACAGTAGGAAAGAAACGATTTAATCTTACCACCAGCTCTGTGGACTTCATCAATGGTTTTAACAGCATATAAATGGTCGATACCTGGATCTAAACCAATTTCATTCATTACAGTAATACCTGCTTCCTTAATTTGTGGTTCCAATTTTCTTAAAGCTGGAGAAATGTAAGAAGAGGTGACAACATCTTTCTTACATCTAATTGCACTTCTGACAACGTTTGGGTGATAAATGTATGGGATTAAGGATATAACTAAATCATGTTGAGATAAAATTCTATCTAGTTCTTCATCGTTTGTAACATCTAAAGAAATAGCCTTTGAACCAGATGCCTTGGCCAAAGCTTCAGCATTAGCTAAAGTTCTGCAAGCAACAGTGACGTTAATGTTTGGGTCTGCAGATAAAGTATCGACGACGGGTTGGGCAACGAAACCTGAACCTAATAATAAAACGTTCTTGGTCATTATTTATATATTCAGTGTGTTAGTTTGTACAGTATTAAAGTGATTGAGTTGGTGAGATTCTTAATTGATTAAAAAAGAGAAAACAACTATGAACAAAGGACTATCCTAAAAAAAGTGTATAACTCAATACACTGTAAATATATCTCTTATATACGAAAGAATTGATTAATCCTATAATTGCTCATCATATATTGGTATGATAATCAAAAGGAGAAATTACAAAAGATATACTGATATATTACGACGGAATGAGAGTAGATGAATTAACTTACTTAATCATTGTCATAACCACTCACTTGGCAAGAAACCCGATTTTCCCTCAAAATGTTATGCGAAAATGACCAAAGAAACAATCAATCTATCATTTAGGTAGGACCAATTTGACTGCAAATATAATATCAACAATTACAATCTTTTATGTCCAATAATTAAATACCATAGGTAAAATTGAAAAAAAATAAAAGAATAGATCAAAAGTGAACTATAGAGAGACTGGAAAATGTGGTATAAATAATAGAGGATCAAAAAAATTGCACCGCAAATTTGTCTTTTATTCTTTACACTTTCTTTCTTTCTCTAAAATTGCTTCAGTAATGTATGCGGAGAGGAAAGAGATTCAATAAAATTCCCCCGGAATTTTTTGACAAAACACAAGAGCCTAAATGACGAGTGTTGAAATGAAGCAGATGACAGCTAATGGCCATTGGAATTCACAAACATTGGATAATACAACGCAGCAACAGCTGCTGATTGTTGTGTGCTATTTTTCGAATTATATAAATAAACTAACAAGTCTGAAACACCATGTGGTAGAGGGCGTACGTTGTGATTAGTATAATTGGGGTCCTCTTGGGTTTGGCCTACAAGCTGGTTAAATCAGAATGTAACTACAAGGGGGTTTGTAATTGTAATTGAATAATACTGCAAGGAAATGAAAAGCACAGAAAATTAGTTATATTCAATTAAGTAGCCTGTATCTGCTTTTCGTGTGTTCTTACTAGCATTATTACTAAGTTACTAGTTGAGCCATAGGCCACCTGTTGTCCTTAATAAGCTTAAGGTGAGTGTAAAATATTCAATCCACAAAGAATTGACAACTGCTATACCAAGTAGGATTCTATTGAACTCTTTAGCTCATCTTTTGTCTTTCCTCTTCTCCCTTATTGGGGAAATCTGTCTCGCTCTTTCTCCAAAAAAGTTACCCTGTTTTGGAAATAATTTCTGTGGTCATTTTTCCTTCGAGAATTTTTTTTTTTGGTAAAACGACAAAGAAAAAATTTTTCTCTTTCTATTTTTTTCTTAATGAAAATTGGAAAACTATATAAACCACTTAAGAATGAAGTATAAACTATCTTGGAAACTTAGTGCGTTCGCAGTCTTCTTACCTTGTTTTCATGTGCGCACTGCTTTGTTAAAAACAGTTCCTCCTAATTCTTTCTGTAGAAAGGTCTGTGGGACTTTATCTCCACATCTATGACATTATCTAGGTAGTTGTGGTAAACGAATCCCAGAGATCTAATTTACAGACCAGGAAGGTACATTATGAGGGAGGAGAAATTATTTTTTTTATTTTAAGAATGTTGTTGAATAAATGTGTTTTTTTACCATTTATTTAAGAACATCTTGATATATTAATGTGGTTTCTCTTCTGTTGTAATGTGTCGAGCAGAGTGGAAATATTGCGATTTATTTATTTAAATCTTTTTTACATTGTTTCCTTTTTGAATCCTTGTCACATCTGTTTTTTCGATCTATTCGATTTGTTTTGTGTTTATTTCTTTTGTTTTCTATTTATATTTTATATTTTTGTATTGCATCACAATAGTCTTGAAGTAATTGTCATGATGTGAGGTAAAAAGCCCACCCCTATAGGTTCTCTTTCTATTTTTTTTTCTTTCATATTTTATTCTAACTTTTTTTTCTATTACTGGTTATTTTATTTTATTATTATTTATACATCATCTTTATTTTATTTTTTATTTTTTATTTTTTATTTTTTATTTTTATTACTATTTGGTTATCTATTTGGTTAATTTTCTATATACTTCTATATTGTATGGGTTGTTAACACTTGTGACCATCAGACAATTATCTATAACTTTTCTTGCATATTATTACTATCTTTCTTGGGACAACAATTTTTGTAAAATCCAAAACAAACTATATTATTAATAATTTCCTGAATCTCTCTTCTTTCCGTTGTTATTATTGTTTTGGTACTTTCTATGAGTCTTTGTTGAACTTATAAACCCATCAGGCGATGTGGTTCTATTATTTGAATTATGTTGTAGATTTCCCTTTTTGCTTGTCTTTCTCTCGATACTGATTTCAAACCCTTGAATCATCATTTTTTTCATTTCTAATGCGGCTACTTGGCTATTATAAGTTTGAAAATCAACAACTGCAAAGTTTTCACCACTATTTATTTTGATTACTGTACCAAACGCTTTATTCAATGTATTCTTTAAAGCCTCATCGTCAATCCCATAAGTACCATTAATAAACACAGGATAGTATCCCTCTTTATTGGCACCATTAGAATTCTGTTGTTTTCTTCTATCTCTTCTGTTACTATTGTTATCCTTACGAGAGCCCATCTCAAACTTCTTATCATTAGTGTTAGCATTTTTTTTACTACTACCATTGTTGCTATTATTCTTATGTTGATTGTGATGGTGCTGATGTTGTAAGGAAATCGTTTCTGGAATAACTATTTTGGTAGCAGCAGTAGTCTTAGCCACCAAAATTTTCTTGGATTCTTTAGTTGGTTCAGCAGAAGACAATTTAGATGCCCATGAAAGTTTCACAGGTTGGGGTGTTTGAGACTGTGATACTGTAATAGAGGATGCCGGAGAAGATAGGACTTCCGATGTACTACTTTCTTCCTTATCCATTGATGATTCATCTTTATCTATATCTGGTATTGTCGCTTTATTAGTATCTTTAGAAGCATTTAATTCCTTTTTTTTCTAATAACATAGCTTGATCTTTTGTAACAGCTGATTCTATTTCGTCTTTAATAATGCTATCTTTCTTTTCTGAAATTTTCTTTTTTTTCCGATTCCCTTTTGGTAAATTCTTCTGTAGAATCATCTTTTTGCTTATTAAATTGTAATGGTTCTATTGTTTGTACCGTTATTGTTTCTTGATCATCAATATGTAAAGAAGAAGAAGAGGAGGTGGAGAAGGAGGAGGAGGAAGTAGAATCCTTTTTAATCTGTAATTCTTTCTCCTCTGGTTTTTGTTGTAATTCTTGACGATTAGGTTCATTTTCTTTACATATTATACCCGGTCTAAAAGATTTATCCTTTATTATATCATCCTCTTCCTTCTTATTAACTATTATATTTTCTTTTTGAGGGGCCTGTGAAGTAGAATCATAGCAATCATTAACAGTATCAACTCGCCTTACTTGTGATTTTTCATTAGCATTATCCAACTCTGTTGAGTTTTCTTCATTTATTGTTTGTATTTCTTTGAACGTATCCGGGGTAAAACGAATAATATCATTAGAAATATCATAAATATCACTGCTTTTACCTATCGGTATTAAAACAAATGTTTGACAAAACTGGTAGGATGGGGTGCCATCCCAAAATAACTCTCCTGTTACTACAATCAAAATATTTTTATGAGCAGCCCCCATAGTTTGAAAATCACAAGTGTCTAACTTAATTTTCAATTTATTTACTTTATTTTCATGTCTGGTAAAAAACTTACTAATATTATCTTTACCAGTTAATTTAATTGTAGGTATCATGTCTATAGCGTTGTTACCGTTATTGTTACTACTATTTTTATCATTATTGTCGTTATTGTTGTCATTAGAAGTGCATAAGTGAATGGCTGATGATGTTATTTGGGTATAATTAATATGTGTTAACTCTGCAGTAGTTGAATATAAATTAGATAGTTTAGAAGGATTAGATTTCATCCTTTGATAATAAGTCTGTAAAAATGCATAAACAATTTCTTGAACTGAAGCGGCGGCCATTTTTGAAGTAAATACTATTTCTTTTTGTCTTTCTATTGGGAAGTAAACGTTAAAATTAAAATTAAATTGTATTGAAATATAGTTGTATGCAGTTTAAATGTCTACTAAAATAAAGTAATGACAATTATATTGTTTAGAAGTTAGAAGAGAGAAAATAAATAAAAAAAAAGAATGTGTTGTGTTAATGTTTATAAATGTTCTTATCTTGTGTTTTGAATCTGAACAGTTATGAAAAATAAACTCAGAAATCTAAAATACAAAAAGTATAATTATGTACTGTTACAAATTAAATATATTCTTTTATTAGAGGCGAACGTGTTCGATGAGAATGTGATATTTTAATAATTCTAGGTATAATTAGAATAAGGGAAGGATAGAAAAAGAAAAAAAGAAAAAAAAGTTGCTGCAATGAGAAAAGAATGAAGTAACTGTAAATTCTATAAAGCCAATATCGATATAAGATTTGGAAGTCTAATGTACAATTGTTCGAAACAGCAAAATGCCTTTGTTCTCTTCTTCAAGATGGGTTTGAGTGAATTTTTTCCTTCTTGCAATTTTTTTGCAAAAAAATTTTTTTTCTTTCCTTCCTCCATTTTTCCAAATCATCAACAGATTCGTCGATTCTCGAGGAACTTTAAGCTGAAGACAAAAAGAAAAACAAAAATAAAAATAAAAAATGAGATATTTTGGCAGCTGATAAAAGATTACCCTCCCTTATGATGAAGCACTATGGACTTTGAAAAGTATAATGTGTATACAATGACACTTTAACTACACACAAACCTTTTACATATCTATCTTTCTATATATATATGTGTATCGTTGTGGTTAATAGGATATATACTCATGTTGTTCTTTTTTTTTTTCTTCCCTTGATTAAGCAAGGACCGTAAAGATTAGGGCTTTTCACCCCTCAATGCCGTATATTACATTCTTAATTGTATCAAAATCAGAGCCATCTGGGAAGGTATGCATAAACATTTTGTTTAGTTGGCAGAACGATAACAGTATTAGTAAACTTTGTCCACCTGTAGTGGTGAAAACTGGAAATCTTGGTAAACCTATATCGGTAGCTAAAGTAGCCAACGTGACTTCCATAGGTGGAGGCTGTTGTTGTGGTTGTAAATTACCTTGTGATGAAGAATACTTGTATCCACGAACTATTTTATATAATAAGTTTAAATCAAAAAGACTTGGCATATATTCATGTACCCACCATTCAAAATCTTTTCTATTGTTTGGCATGATATCATTCATCAATATGCTTATTAAGAAACCTAAATCGTATGCTGAGTGATATGTGATCCATGTAATATTTTCATCCATCAACAAACCAGACTCTATCATCAGTTGTGCAAATTCAAATGCCTTAATACCATTTGTTTTATGCATTTCAGGGTTAATTGCTAACTTTCTTAATAAATCTAGGGATTCACTAGATATCATTTCCTTACTTATATCAAATTCTAAATTGAATTGCCATGTAGATGGTTCGTTTTCTGGTTTATTCCCATAGACATCACTCAATGAAATACCTACTTGAATTGGATTCAATAAATCTACATTTGCTCTCATTGTTTGATAATGATAGTCTTCACGAGATCTGAAATTACCAATCGGTCTTGCCAAAGTACCAACAAATTCTGTACTGATTGATATATAGTTATACTGTGGAAATAATCGTCTGATTGTCTGGAATTCACTATAAAGGTTGTTCTTCCAAACATCCCTTACAAACAAATGATTTGGGGGAGGCAATAACATAGGTGGTATTGGACCCAAGGAATTTGGCACATTAATTTGCCCTGGAATTTGTTGATTGTTGATGGTTGGAATATCTGGTTGTGCTTGTGCTTGTAATTGTACTTGTATTTGTTGTTGTAAACCAAGTTGACCCTGCTGACATAACTGTTGTTGTTGGGTTTGTGTTTGGACTTGTGACTGTGATTGTGTTTGTGGCTGCTGTTTCTGTTGCTGTTGTTGATATGCATTCAATCTAGGTGGTAAAACACCCATAGGCATATTGAAGTTTTGTTGTTGTCCTTGTTGAACTTGATTTTGACTAGTGTGTCCTGCCACCTGATTCAATAATTGGTGCGCCAAAACAGGATCCATTTTCTTATTCATGACATACTGATTATTTTGATCCTGGTTAGTTCCCATAGCCTGCATATTTGGCAACATACCAGGTTGTTGGGTTAATACACCAGATCTATTCACTTGTGAAGAAAACATCTGTGGGATACCTATCCCCATGTTGGGTTGCTCATTTGGTTGACCTTGATTAAAGAATTGATCGGAACCCATAGGAATAACATGTGATTGAATATTCGAAGCTTGCATGGTCGGTAAACAGTTTTATTTTCCAATATTAGAAAGTAGTATGATATATATGTATATATATATATATTAATTCTTTTTTTTTCTCTTTATAAATATCCCAATGATTTGTCTTAATGTATATTATTAGGACTACTAAACTTACCCTAAGCTTACACTCTACTAATATATAATTTTTTTTGCAGAAGAGTAGTAATAATTACCTTTAATTGCTGGAAATAAGTTACGTGTTTTTTTCTTTTTTCCCTCAAAAGATGACTCTTAACAAAATGAAATATAGATTTGAAAGAACGTAAAGCAAAAAGACTGATACACTTTTAATATTTGTACTCTTGTTCCTTCTAAATAACTAGCATAAATTTATTCTTGTGAAAACGGACTTCCCCGTATCGTTTCGATCTAATAATTACAAAAAATTTATCTTCTTGTTTGCCAAAAATATTTGTTTTATTTTTTTTTTCTTGTTCTCAAATGTTTTTTTTTTCACCTTTGTTTCTTTTTGCAGGGTTTGTTGGTCTTGCTGTGTTTATTAAGAAAGATGAAGAGTATAGTAAAGAGGATGTTGGAACTACATGATACTGTGTTTGGAAATTAAGCAAACTAGAGATTTACTGATGTTGTCAAGGACAGATATTTGGCAATATTACTAATATTAATATAAAAGAAAAGATATAATAAGTTATTCTAATATACATTTACAGTTACGAGAATTGAAGTAGCATGATAATATATATATATATATATATATATATGTGTGTGTGTGTGTAGTTGTTCTGGATTTAATAGTCTGGAACATTGTATACTTTTTGATCATCTTCAAATGCTTAATTGTTAAATCGATTGTGTTGGATTTCTTTTATTATTGTAGAAAGAAGAAGAAGGATCGTGATATATAAATATTATGCTGATTTTATTCAGTTACAAGAAAATATAAAGAGAGAGAGACGTCTCTTTATATATTAATAAAGAATTCACATTTTTTGCTTCTTTGATCCAACAGTTTCATTTGAATCTTCGTTTGCTTTGTCATCAACTTTTCTCTTTAAAGAACTTGAGTTAGTGGAAGTATTTTCTTTATCTTTTTTATTTTCTTCTTTACCTTCTTTATCAGGAGGTAATACAAACCATGGAATTTTACCTCTGTTGAAATCATTTAAGATTTGTTTGGCAACACCAGATTCATCTGGTTCACCACCTTTCAAAAGTCTACCTTGTTTTCTTGCTAACATCTCTATAAATTCAGTAGCGTTTTTCCAACCAGATATTTCATATGTTCTTTCTAAATGTTTCACTTGACAACGTTTTAAAACTCCAGGAATATACTGCTCTGGATTAGAAACATGTTCCACTCTAACAACACCCCTAAACAAAATATCTTCTTCTGTGTCTTTACTGGATGGTGGTACAATACCGGGACAATCGATTAAGAAAATCCTTTTCATCAAAGTGATATATTGCCAAACTTTAGTTTCACCTGGAATAGGGGCAACTTGGCATACTTTCTTCTTTCTTAATGTATTAATGATCGAAGATTTACCTGTATTTGGGTAACCAATGAATCCGACAGATATTTGTTTTCTGTCACTATGTAATTGGGAGAATTGTCGTAATAATTGGATTAAAGACCCCTTACCAAAAGAGTTTGTAATAGAAGCATGGAATGCTAATGTTGGACGTTCTTTAGATAAATGTTTCACCCAGGCAGCCTAATAAAAAAGCAATAACATCAAATTTAAATAATTAATTACAATTTTTTCCCGCTATGTTTATGTAACGAAAAAAAAATAATAGTAATAATAATAATAATTGTTAGTAAATAATTCGAGATTTGGAAATGTATTAATCCACAAAGGTATGATATAACAAAAGTTTCGACAAATTGTCGGTGTTTTACTGATATCAAAGAAAAGTTATTCTAAAAGAAAAGAAACAAAATTCCATAGTATGAAAAATAATAGAGGAATTACGTTCTTTTATTTCTATCTCAAATGACTTCAGTAACCTGCAATTATAGATTTATTCATTGTAAATACATGTGGTCAGGATATTTTCGTATATTCTTGTAATAAAACTCTTGTTATCATCTAAACAATTACCTTATCTCTTTTTCATAGCTGGATTAAAATAAAAAAAAATGAGTGAATATTTCAATACATACTGCAACCCAAGTTGGAACTAAATCACATTTATTCAACACATAAATTAAATGTTTATGAGGTGTCTCCTTTTTCATGTACTCTTCAACAGATTTGCAACGTGTACCCATTGGATCTCTAGCATCTAAAACATGGATAACAACGTCTGATGAATCGATAACTTTATAAAGCTCATTCCAAATACGTTTAGACTGACCTTTACTAAAAATGTGTTCCTTGGCAGCCTGTGACCAACCATCTTGTTCATCAACATCATTACCCATTAGACCTAGAGTGGTACTTAATTCTTGTTTTTCTTCATATGCTCTAACGTCTTCTTCTGCTGCTTTGACAATATCATTTAAGCTTGAAGCAGCTACACGTGGTTTCTTTCTTTGGGCTTTTGGACCAAATGCATGTTCATAGGTTTCAGTTTCTAGTATTTTGCCTCTTGGTGATTCAGTGGTATCCTTTTCATCTAATAAAGATAATGGTAATTTATTTCTTCTTAAAAGAACTTGGTAGGTATCATTTTTGGTTTCTCCAAGGGCTTCTCTAAAATGAGTTAATGCGTCTTGTGATATTACTCTTGAATTCCCAAACCAACGACGATCTGGTTGTACTCTAGCATCAGGGATAGTAGAATCCTGTAATGGAGCAGCTTTGATTACATCACCTTTCTTGTTTTTGATGGCACCACCCTTTGTATACATGTTTAAAAATTTAACTCTTTTCGCATCTCTATAAAAGTTTTCACCTTTAACACGAAGGTTTCCATCTTTGGTGTTCCCCTCACGGATTCGTCTTTGTTTCTCTTTCTTAGCGGTACCCATCGTTAACTATTTGAAATATATCTATACTTGATAATAATTATGTCCCAATAAAATCTAAAAAACTGCTTCTTGATACGAGATAATTGTGAACAGCACACTTTGATTGTGATAAATCTGTATATGTATACTACAACATAAAAGAAGTAAAGTATTTAACTCTTTCAAACATAAATTTTGAAGATCGAAAAAATTTTTTTTTTTTTCATCTTCACTAAATTTTGCGATGAGCATCGATTTTTTTTTTTCTCTTGTTTCTTTTTTCTATGTGTAAGAAATTTTTTTCTTAAAGAACAATGACAATTGATAAATGGAACAACAAGAATACAAACTTTGTCAACATAATGCAGATAAAATTACATACCAAGTAGGTTACGTCAAATTATGGATTTTTCTTGCTTGTATAAAGGATGACTTATATATGATTACAATAGACTGTTTAAGACACTGTTTAATGTCTTGGATGAATCGTTTTGTTTTATATTGGAAGGGGCGTCAGCTCTATTAGTATTAACACGTCTCTGCTTAAACTTTCTATATTTGTTTTCAATTTCGACTTCTTTGGAATCTGATTTTTCTACACCGTTGTCATCTTTACTGTTAATTTTATTACCATTATTATTATCCAATTTTCTTTTCTTAGATTTTTCAATGTTTTGCAACATTTTACTCTTTTCAACATTTCTTATATATTCTGCATTCAATCTATTGGCCTGAGACATTTCTAGTTCTAATTTTGATTGTCTAATATCATTTTCTCTAGCAATTTGTTCAGTTAAATCGGCCCATTTGAAACCAGGTAAGTATTTAACATTTAAAATATCATCATGGTAAAAATTACCCTTTTTCCCACCTATAATATTACCATTTAATGTAGAAGCACACAATTTTGCGTCTCTTTTCCTGATAAATTCAGCCCAACCTTCTTCATATTTGATTTTTTTGTTCCCGCCACTTTTCACTCTTTGTCTATGTTTTGCTTCATCTTCTCTTTTCAAGAAAAGACGGTCAACTTCACCGAACCTCGATAAAATTTGTCTCATCTTTGCAGGTTTCATATATGGTGGTATGCTAGATAAATATACAACACCTGTTTTATGATGTGTTTTCTTTAAAGCGTTGACAAATTGTAATCTTTTTTTAAGTTTTGCAGTTTTATCATTTTGCTCTTCTATTTCTATGTTTTTATCTTTATTTTCTTCTTCTGAATTATTGTCCTCGTTGTTGTCTCTAGGAACAGATTCGTCAACATCTAATTCTTTTCTTTTATTCTGTTCTAACTCATTTTCTATCCCTTTTTGTTTTAGATCTTTTTCTTCCTCCTCTTCATCATTTTGATATGGAATATCACTTTCCTCATCACTCTCTACCCTGTTGAATGGGTCATGTCTGCTTAATTTATTTTTCTTAGACGTGATTAAGACATTCAATCTTTCTTCCTCATCAGAAGAATCGAAATCATTGTAGTCGTCGGAATCATTTTTACTCATTTTATATTCTCTGATTGTTAGTTGTTTTGTTGATGTGCTTATAACAGTTTCTTACTGATACTCTTGTGTTCTCATTTCAGTTATGGATATTGGGGATGTCACAGATGAGCTGACTTCATTTGCCAAATAATCTAGAAGCTAAAAATCTCATCAAGAAGAATTTTTCGTTCTTCGTTTTTCTTTTTTCGTTTTTCGTTTTTCTTTTTTCTTTTTTCTTTTTTTCTTTTTTTCTTTTTCTTTTTCTTTATTTTTTTATTTTTTTTATTTTTTTTCTTGGATTCTGAAAGGGAGGAGGAATAATCAATCTTTCAGACTTGAAAATAGAAGTAAAGATTGAATAAAGAGTTGATAATAACAACCAGAAAGATAAAGATGTTGTAAAAAAATGTATGCCCCTCCTCTATCTTTAGAAAATACGATTATTAATATAATAGACTCTTTCTTGGAAAAATTATTAAAATTGTTGACTGCTACCTGGTGTTGGGTATTCCCAATACAGTTACGCATGATTTAGACGCTATGCGTTTAAATAGTGCCGATGATGTCAAACCCTTTACTACAAAATTTAAGGCCACATTTGATAAACGGATATTTGATGTATCGAGTATGAGTATTGCTTTGTCTCTAATGAGCAGAGAAAATACTTCTACCATTGAGCGTGACCTCACAATTAAAAATTTGCAGCAACTAAATATTTGGGCTAACAAGATTCTTTCATCCCATACTAAGAATAAAAGAAAATTTGAATATCGATTCTTCAGGTCTTCGTTGTTGTACTTGTCGTTCCAATTCCCACTGGTCCTCTAAGTGCAGAAACAAGAAGACTGGTAGTTCTATTAATTTCAAATTGGCTAGCCAATAAGGCCAGGTCGGTAATACAATTGGTCTTGACATGTTGTATTACTTAAATATTAATTTGACAGAGAAAGTTACATTAGGCTCCGTTTCGTGGACTGTGATTCAAACAGAAATTTTTGAAATGTTTGCAATTATAGACACAGGGATTACAGCTAATTTTATATCTAGACATGTAGTAGATAAATTACATAGCAATAATGATAACTTTAATATACAAGATTTAAAAAATAATATTAAAGTCAATATAGCAAATGGCTCTCCAGTTTGAGTTAAGCAGATTATTAGTTTGAAGTGCATTATCAAATCTGAGGAAGTGACCATTGTATCGTTTATTGCAGATTTAGTTAAAGAGAAATTATATTTTAGGCGTTCTCTTCAAGGAATAATACAAAGATATAACAATACCAACTATTTCAAGAAAAGTTACTTTACTTTCTTATTCTGATTACGTGAAAGTTATCGATGGTGTTTAACGTAGAAGATTATTGCAAAATTTAAATATTCATGTTGAATTGTATTGGATTTCTGCAAACACTTTCGATAGCAATAATAACTGATGGACTGCTAAAGCTAAAGAGATTGAGACTGAGTTTTCAGACGTAATCGTAGATATATTATCTGATAAACTAGCTCCTTCCAGAAATATTAAACATACAATCCAACTAAAATCAGGTGGTACTCCTATTGCATGCAGACCCTACAGAATGCATGTTTCTGATAAAAAAGACCTTGAACGTCAATTAGATATTTTGCTTAAAACACACTAAATTGAAGTTTCTACCTCTTCTTTCGTAACTTCAGTTTTATTTGTTACAAAGAAAGACGGTACGAAATGTTTGTTCGACAATGTTAGAGGGCTGAACAACTCAATGATTAAAAGCAAATATCTTCTTCCTAAGATGAATGAATTGTTTGACCAATTTGTAGGCGCTTCCTATTTTCTTCAATTAGATTTAATGAACGGTTGTTATCAATTGGAGGTCGATTCAAGAGATCATTATAAGATTGCGTCCGTCACCCAGCAGGAACAGTATGTTTGGAAAGTTATCTCATTTGGTTTAACTAATGCTCTGTCCATCTTTCAAATGTTAATGAATGATACATTACAAGGATGCATTGGTCAGCGTGTCATCGTCTATTTAGTTAATATTTTGGTTCGCTTTAAGAGTGAACAAGAACACATTATGCAGATACGTCAAGTCTTTGGACAATCTAGAACTCAGGTATTATATGCAAAGAAATCTATGAGAAGGTTATTACAGTCTTCTATTAAGTTTTTAGGATATCAAATCGGTAAAAATGGTATTCATGTGGATGGAAGTAAAGTTGATACTAGTGTTAAATGGTCAAAACCTATGACACTCAAAGAAGCTTTAAGTTTTATGGCAACATGTTTATTTTTTAAAAGATTTATTCCAAGTTATCAACTTTCTGTTAGCAAACTTATATAAGAGATTACTAATTTCAGAAAGTTTTGGGTGAAAACCGTAACATGTTAGAAATGGAGTTGTCTTAATAGTAGGTTGGTAGGTATTATTGTGTGCAAATTCAATCATAGGTAGTACATCTACCCATTTGCTCCCATGTGGATCTAAGACAGAGGTGACCTTTTCTGCCAAGATTCTGTTTATTCTTTCAACTTGCCCGTCTGCTTGAGGGTTGTGACTTGTTGTCATCTGTAATTTAATACCAGCCCGCTGCATGAAAATTGTCCATGCAGTGGAAGTGAAGATTTTGTCTCGGTCTGAAACAATTATTCGAGGCATGCCATGCAACCTGAAAATTTCCTGAAAAAAATTTGAATTATATCCTCTGCTTTCGCAGATTTCTTGCAAGCAATAAAATGGGACATCTTTGTCAGTTGACAAGTGATCACCATGATATTGTCGCATTTGGTTTTTCTATCAGGTTTCATACCTGAAATAAAATCAATGTTAATATGTCTCCAACGTTCCTTAGGAATCATTAAAGGCATATACGTGTTAAATTGTTTACCAGTTCTATGTTTAGATTTCTGGCAACTAGAACAATGACGAACATACTGTTTAATAGTAGCACTCATTCAAGGCCAATAATAATGAGGGGACAAGTTTGTAAATGTACGGAATCCGTCACTATATCCCTCTACAGCAGAGCCATGAGCTAATTTAAGTAGCTCAGTTCTAATAGATTGTCAAAAGCTAATGTTTACATGTATTGAGTTAACTTAACCTGTTCAGCATTATATTCTTGTAATTACTAGATAAGTAATAGTATACAATCTTTAAATAAAATTGGTTGTTCCCTTTCTGTTTTTATATACAATATAGAAATATGATATTAGAAAATCCTTAGATTTAGATATATATTTGTATTGAGTAATTTTTTACGAAAGGGAAAAAATTAACTAAATAATTATTTCGACTTTAAATAATATCTGCTAAAACTTCATTATTTAATTTATATTATTCTGGAATACTCCATTTTTATAACCCCTTTTTTTAAAAAAACTTAAATGGTGTTTAGCGTTTGCCCCATAATGTAATTCTTAGTGTGCTTAAGTTAAATAGCAAAATCATATCATTATTCTGGGTTATTGGTAGATTTCTAGTATTTAATAAGGAAAAAATGTTCTAAAAAGAACAAGTTTTCAATACTTAATACAGTTTACATTCTTATGTTCATGCTTTTTCACTTGCAAAACAGAAAAGAAGATATATTTTAAAATATTTCTTGTGATATCAAAAACTGAAAGGGATTTGAAAGAAGTATAACCGTATATACTAAAAAGTATAGCTATGTTTGGATATATATATGATTTAGGCTGGAACAATTCTTTTTTTTTAAATTTTTTTTAACTCTTTCTTTTTATTTTAAGAAAATATGTATTCTATACATTGAAGAAGTACTAAATATAAAAAAATCTTGCATACATTGTTAAAATCAAATATTCTAAAATAAATAGGTAAGTCAATTATATTTTAGCAAAGATTAATTGATAACAAAATATAAAGAATATATTGCTTGTTTGTCACTTGATGTAAACAAACCATGTCAACAATTTACTGCCGTATGCCGATGAGATGTGTTAGATGTAAAAACACATAAATCCAACAATCTTTTCATATCATATCTCTTCCCTTGTTCATCTTTTATACATTATCACTTATATATCGCATATAGAGAAGAAAACAAAAGAACTTAAATATAACTTTGCATATTATATATATCTAATTATAATATTGAGAATGTTTCCTATATATTCAATTACTACAGGTGCTAATTCTCGACATATATTCATCATCTATTTCTAATATCACCTATTTATGTATGTTATAATTTACCCTCATGTTTTAAGATTTGGGCAGCAGTATCATGAATAGTTTTTCTTAAATCAATGAACTCAAAACCAAGTATCTTCTTAGTGTTTGAGTTATCAACAACACAACCTTGTTCACCAACACCAAGAACACCTGTTTTTGGCTTACCAACTGGAATCTTCCCCTTTAAACATGTAAAATCTTCGTTTAAGATATCTGCTATATCTTGATATGCGAATTTACCTCCATGCAAGATCAGTCTTTGGCCAATAGCTTCTTCCTTTTGGAAAGCGACCAAATGAGCTTTAGCAACGTCACGAACATCGATATAGCCACCATATATAGATGTTGGATCAAATGGAGCGTCCGCTGGTGAGTGAATTAAGGAGTTTACAAGCTCACAGGAAGTGTTTAATTTAGCCACAATATCTTCATCGAATCTTTGTGGACCAAACACATATACAGGATTAACAGTTGATAACTTGAATTTAACAACACCCTTGTTTTCTTTTAAGAATTCCCAAGCAGCTTGTTCAGCAAACTTCTTAGATCCACAGTATGCCCTAACAGCATTGGCTTGACACGTATTCCAATCATCTGGATTCCAGTAGTTCTCATCTACTTTAAATGTATTGTCACCCTCTCTTTCAAAATTTATCACAGCAGCGTAACTTGAAGTAATAACAACACGTTCAACAGTATCAGCAGCATACTTCTTAATAGCTTCTAAAATGTCCTTGGTTCCCTCAATAGCTGGTGTTAAAAGATCCTTGACGTAATCAGTAGTGTCAAAATGGAATGGAGAAGCAGTGTGTAAAACATATTTGATATCTTTGGCATGTTTCTTAATAGCTTCATCAAAGGCATGTGGCTTGGAAATATCTTCGACAATTTCCAAAGTTAGATTTGGATTATTACCAAATTGTTTCTTTAAATGGTCAACCTTAGCTTGAGATCTAGCTGTACCAACAACTTTATAGTTTTGTTCCAATAATTGACCAACGATATGTTTAGCAATAAAACCAGTAGCGCCAGAAATGAAGACAGACATTGTTATTATTAAATGATTTTGTATAAGATATTTAACAAATTGGGTAAATAATTGAAATTAATATTGTGTTGTTATAGGTTAGTAGAACACAATTAAATTATAATTAGCTTAATTTGTTATTATAACGCCATTGCTCTATATCACTGAAAAACGGTGTTTAATCATTGGATAAGATAAGTTTAGCTAATAAATATCCCCTGCTTTTATATAAAGATAAATATTTCAAGATCTGTTCCAACACAGATTTAAATCATGCTATTTTTTTGTTTCTATCCCAAATATTGGGATAGAAACAAAAAAAAAAAAAGAAAAACTATGGACACAGCTGAAGTTTCATTCGGCCGAACAAAACATGTTTTGATTAATACAGTAATTCGGCCGAACTGCAAATACAACGAAAACTAAAAGTAAAAAAAAATAAAAAGAAAATCGCAAGATATTTTTAAATTGCTTACGTAAGAAAGATTTTATAGTATTGAACAAAATTTTAATCTCCTCTCCAAAAAAATTAAGCAGGCATTTTCAGACTTCACATAGTCGAATAAATTTAGTTAAAAACTTAACTATTGCCAATAAAGAACAGGTGGTAACTTCTACATAGAAGCAGCCGAACAAGAGATTTTGCTGGTAGTATTTCATTGTGTTTTTATTGCTATTATTTCATGCCGTTCTTAATAACCAATCCTTTCTAAGCTATTTTATGTAAAAGAAATTATAGAAAATATTACTATAAACCATATGTACAAATTATATCCATAATTCCTCCAAAAAAATACCATAACCAATTAATTTTTGCCTAATAATATCTATATATATTATTATTCCAATATATATTTAAAGGTACTTGATGTAGTATTAACAAAATTAAATATAAATTATATATGCAAATTAAAAAACACCATTAATTACCAAATTCTTTGTCAAAGTCTGTTAGAGTAAATCTATATCTAACATCTCCTTTGTCCATTCTGTCAAAAACTTCTTGAACACCCTTTTCGCTAATTGGGACTGTTTCAACCCAGATTTTCAAATTCTTATCAGATACCAATTGTAATAATTGCTTTAGTTCTTTTATAGAACCTAGATGACTGTTACCAATCGAAACACCTACTAAACCGAATGGCTTTAAGGTCAGTTTTTGAGATTCATCTGGAATTGAAATAGATCTAATTGCTCCGCCTACTTTCATGATCTTTGGTAAGTTTGTGAAATCAATATCTGTAAAAGAGCCAGCACAGATAACAATCAAATCTAAAGTGTCATAATACTTCTCAGCCCAGTCAGGCTCTTCCTTTGTAGCAATGAAATGGTCTGCACCTAACTTCATAGCATCATTCTTCTTGGAAAATGATCTAGAAATGGCATAAACTTCAGCACCAAGAGCTTTTGCGAAAATAACACCCATATGACCAATACCACCAATACCCATGATACCAACTTTCTTTCCTGGACCACAACCATTTCTGATTAATGGAGAGAAAACTGTTAAACCACCACACATTAATGGTGCTGCTAAATGTGTTGGGATATTTTCAGGAATTGGTACTATGAAATGTTCATGGACACGGACGTAATTAGCGTAACCCCCTTTAGAGTTATAACCATCTGGATAATTTTGACCATATGTAGTAACAAATCCTTTACAGTAGGGTTCGTTATCATTTTTGCAACGGTTACATTCTAAGCAAGAAAACACCTGAGCACCAACACCAACACGATCACCAATTTTTAAACCAGAATTACATTTTGATCCTAACTTAACTATCCTACCGATAATCTCATGACCAACGACTAATGGCTTTTTTACATCACCCCAATTACCATTAGCACAATGAATATCAGAACCACACACACCACAGGCCTCAATCTTGATATCCACATCGTTATCATAGAATGGTTTTGGATCGTAAGTAACCTTTTTGGGATTTTTCCAATCCTTGTGGTCTAAAACAGCAATACCTTCAAATTTGTTTGGATAAGACATTATTATCTAATGTGACTTTTTTTAGAATATATATATATCAGCTTATATCGCTTGCGGTTTTTCTAGGTTGAAAGAGTTCAATAATCAAAACAAAATGGAGAAACTATAAATTATGGGAATATCTCAACAGCCACGAAATGAAAAATTCTTACACGCACCATATATATATGTGTGTATAGATATATCTTTAGATCTATAGATCTTTTCTTTTGAGAAATATCTCGAGATTTTTCTCGCGCAATTTTCAACCCAGGAGGTCATCGGATATTCAAAAAAAATTTTTTTGAATAATTAAAGAGAAGCTTAATCCACAAAAGAAAAAAAAAGAAATTAAAAAACAATAAGATTTGAGATTCCTTACTAACAAGAATGTCAAAATGGCTGAGTCTAAAGAGATGAATTAGCTAATGCTAATAGATCCAAAAATATAACGAGTATTTTTTACAAAAGCGATCCTCATGAAAAGGAAAGTTTAAAATAGTCTATAACTATATGATATGAGAATAAATAGATAACTTTTTATTTCATTTTTAATTTTATGCTATCTAGTTATTGTTCTACTTATAACCGAAGGTAATTAAACCTTAACAATTCTTTTTGTCAGTATATACTATTTCCACTTAAGAAAAGTTCCTTTTAAGAATCCTTATTTCAATAATAGTTCCACAATTCAATACATAGCAATATTATTCCAGTGATATGCTTTGTTTTTACCCCACATTAGTGAATGAAATATAATTAAAATACCACAATATGAAATATACAAACTATTTGCAATTATCTTATAATATATTACACAAATAAAAAATGAATGGAAAATGTTCATTTACAGAACACTTGCTCTGTATAATAAATATAACTGAAGTATAGCAAAAATAACCATAGACAAATTTATATAAACTCATTCTTTCACATAAAATGTACCATTCCCAGCTTGTAATAAATGCAAAAATTCAATGATACACTCAATAATAACTTCAAGTTCTATATCTTTGATAATATATGGTGGCATAATATATATTAAGCTTCTGACAGGTCTAATGTGAACCCCCTTACTAACTATCCAACTCTGAAACTTAGATGTATTAATGTTGTGAAATAATTCAACTACAGCAACTGCCCCCACTATAGATACACGCTTGACAATAGTATACATCAATTTATTTTCAGGATTTTTGATATATTGATACAATTTATTGTAAAACACATATTCAATATGAAAGACTTGCTTCTTCCAAGTGCCTTCAAGCAAAATATCTAAGGATGCATTAGCCACACTACAAGCTAAAGCATTACCCATAAATGTCGGACCATGCATAAAATAACCATGTGTAGGGCTCAAAGGATCAGTGATTCTTGCAACAACCCTATCATTTACGACTACAGCACTTAGAGTCATATACCCACCTGTTAATGCTTTACCAACACATAAAATGTCAGGAACAACCTCAATTTGATCCTCCAAAGGAATGCCCAAATAGTCTTGATAAGTGTAACAATGTTTAAAAGCAAAGATCTCACCAGTTCTACCGAACCCAGTGGCTATCTCATCAAATATCAATAAAACATTATATTTCAGACACATTTTTTTCAATTCAATCAAGTACTGTGGATGATATAACCGCATTCCACCTGCTCCTTGTAACAAAGGTTCTAAAATGACAGCACATAACTCATTATAATGCAATTTAAATGCCTCCTCAAGATTCTTTATACAATTAGGATCCCAGTTATTTTCAAAAGAATGTTGTGAGTATGGTAAAAGTTCAATCACAGGTGGTTCATCAATAAAAATATTTGTAGGAAGATAATTCCCATATATATTATGCATAGAAGATACTGGATCACAGACACTCATAGCACCAAAAGTATCACCGTGATAGCCCTTCTTAATTGTCAGAAACTTATGTTTCTGTTCTGAAGATAATAAATTAGCTTGAAAAGCAAATTTCAGAGCTACCTCCACTGCTACGGAACCAGAATCCGCTAAGAAGCAATATTTCAATTGTGGCTCATCAATCAATTGAATCAACTTCTTAACTAGATTTACGGCTGGTTTATGTGTAAATCCACCAAATAGAACATGTGAAAATTGATTTACTTGCTGTAAAATAGCATTATTTAAACGTTCATTATTATACCCATGAATAACACACCACCATGAAGACATTGCATCAATAACTCTAGTAGTGGTTTTAGTATCACATACAATTTCGCAACCATTCGCATCTTTGACTGGAAGAACAGGCAATGGATCCTTAAGAGAAGTATAGGGATGCCACATATATTGTTTGTCATATTCAAGTAACTGAGCCGTTTCAACACTGTATTCGAAATCCATTGGTGCTAATTAATATATAGGTATACCAATATTAACAAAAAACAAACTTATTTACTTTTATTTCGAAGCTGTAATAATAGTAGCTGTGATTCTATTATATAATCAAAGAAACATCAAAAGCAAATTTTTAACAATATTACTAAGAAATAGTTTGAGAATCATCACGTTACTGTTGAAAAATAGCCTAATTTATATACTGTTCTGATCATTTCTTTTTTAGTAAATTTCAAAAGAAAACATTATCGATGACCTCCAAGACGTGATATATAAAGGGACAAGCATATGAATAAAATGAATGTAAAATCTATCGACCATCATACGGCAAAAAAAAACAGATTGAAACAGAAACACAAGTAGAATTAATATCAACACAAGTAGGTCATGACTGAACAACCCATCTTTTTTATCACAGGGACTGGAACAGATGTTGGCAAGACTTTTGTAGCCAAACTGCTAGTGTACGGTTGGTACTGCAACTATTGGAAACCGGTACAAACAGGAATAGAATCTGATTGTGGGGACACCTTCACAGTGACTCATTACCCGATCGGGAAATGGAACACCTTGGTGTTTCCTCCGAGATACGAACTACAGAAACCGTTATCACCTCTAGCTGCCATGGAATACGAGTCAAACGATAACAATAAAGACATTAAGTTGGAAGACTTTCAAATTCCAGATGGATCGAATAAGGCTCCACTTATTATTGAAGGTGCTGGTGGAGTCTATGTCCCCATCACCAAAAAATTAGAAATTACCACTGATCTAATCACGCATTTAATTGAATCTACTACAAGACCATTCTATGTTATTGTGGTTGCTGACTCTGGTTTGGGAACGTTAAATCATTCTTTGTTAACTTGGGAACATTTAAAACAAAAAGTCTCAAAGAAAAACTTATTGGGATGTATTTTAAATGGGAAAGCCAATAAAAATAATAGACAATTATTAGAACAATATGGTATTAATATAATCACAGAAGTTCCAATCTGTGATAATCTGGAGATGTGTATCCAAATCATTGAAAAACTACCATCATTAGAATATGTGATTAACAAATATTAGTTTCAGCCGAGCAATCACACACATATATGAATATATAAACATATATAGGTAAACAGATTGTTTTAGTGTTATTTGACTTAGAACTAATATAAAAACTATTTTCTTTTTATTCTTAAATCATTTTGATGTTGTATAAAATATAAAACAACAAAACCAAACAATACTAAGGATGTTGGATGACAGAAACGTTGTGTTTGAGAAAAAATTCACTTGGCTCTCTTTATTTGGTATAGCTTTTTCCTTAAGTTGTTCATGGATAGGTATATCTTCTTCGTTAGGTGTTGGTTTAGCTAGCGGTGGTCCATTATTAATCATATATGGTCTTCTAATTGTTCTATTCTTTAGTTGTATGTGTGCAACTTCGCTTGGACAGTTTGCATATCTTATACCGGATAGTTGCGGGGTTAGTTTTTGGACTTATAAACTATTAGAACAGCAAACTGAAAACGATCACACAACACTAATTTCTAATGAAAACATAGATGTAAAGCAATCGTATGTAGAGACCCTTGTTAGTGTCCAAAAACCCACTTGGCGTTCAAGAATCCAAGTGTCCACTTCTGTTTTCGTTGCAATGTTAAATTATTTTGGTGCAATGTTTACTGCAGCCAGCATCTGTTCGTCACTTGCAATGAATTGCATAGGTATGCATAGTCTTCTACATAAAAATTATGAATACAAAAAATGGCATCTATTTGTTTGCTATCAATGTATCAATGTTACTTTAACATTTTTTAATCTTTGGTCAGGACCACTTCCTACTATTGGACAATTGGGTCTTTATATCTCTCTTGCTGCATTCGGGTTAACTTTGGTCATATCTTTAGTGACTCGTTCTTATTACACAGAAGAACCTTGGTTTTCTGCACACTATATTTTTGGCCATTTTGAAAATAACACAGGCTGGAATTCAAAGGGAATGGCATTTATTGTTGGTTTGATTAATCCTATGTGGGGATTTGTTGGAATAGATTCTGTATCGCACATGGTGGATGAAGTTGGACACTTTCAATCTCGTTATTTAGTGCCCAAAGTTATGAAGCTAACAGTGATAGTTGGATTCATAACAAGTTTTGTGTATGCAATTGGTATGTTCTTTTGTATTACAAATAAAGAATCTGTAACAAAAGCATTTTTCCCAATTCTTGAAATCTACTATCAAGCATGTCACAATAAAAATTTAGCTATATTACTACAGTGTTTTTGTTTCACTACAGGTTATATTTGTGGGATAGCATGTGGGACATGGCAAAGTAGGATCTTATGGTCCTTTGGAAGGATGTTTGGTCAAAGTTATGTACCAAACTCATTACATTCCAATTTAATGAAAAAAATCGGGACTCTGACAGAAAATTTTAAATCTCCATTATACAGTCACTTCATTTCACAGTTCGGAGTTGTTGTGATAGGTTGTATCTTTATGGGATCTGATACCGCTTTCAATGCTATTATCACATCATGTATCACTTTATTGATGATATCATATGCAGTACCAAGTGTTATATTTGTGTTTTTCACTGATAGGGAAAAGTTTGTAAAGGCCATTATTGAGAGAGAAAATCTTTCACATTATAAAGTTCCAAGCTTTTCAATTATCCCACACATCTGTTGTATGATGTGGGCTATTTTCTGTCTGGTTTTCCTCTCTTTCCCATACTCATTACCTGTTGTGCCATCTAATATGAACTATGTTTCTGTTGCATATGGGATTGTATTCATTTTAATAATATTCATTATTCTACCAATATGGATATCACCAGAAGCTTGCTCCAAACCATGTATTTCTATTGATGATGAAACAATGTCAATAATGGAACATGAAAATACACAATATTAGTTAATTTTATTTCTTTTGTCCAAGTAAAGTTTACCTTGATAATTTTTTCCTTATCCTAAAAAAGCACTGTTTGTTAAAGATCAGTGATTTTAACACTAAATTCTATAAATTTCAAACATTTTTATCCATTCAGTTCAATAATTACATTCTACATTCAAAGTAACATCAAAGATAATACAAAAAAAAGAGAATAAATTTTTTATAGTGAAAATCTTTATATAACATTACCAGAAAAAAAATTGGTTTCGTACTTAAGTGCTTGCAAATCAATTTATTATATTTTATGTCATATTGTGTATTTTGTTTATTAACAAATATTCTTAATAAATCTGCCATTCTAAGCCCATGCTTAGAGATAAATGTACTGATAAAATGAAAAAAATTTCTTAACACCTTATTTTAGCATTAACAAACAATCATAACCATTATTTACAGTATCATCTTAATCACGTCTACCTACGACCCCCTTTCGTATAATCCATTGAAATTTAACACCCATATATTAATATAGTGCCCTTTTCCCTCACTTTTGTTCCATTTTATCCAAACTCTTTCAAAACATTAAACAGGATTTATCATCATTCTTCCATTATCTTGATATACCAGACTTTTCACATAATTTAAACTCATATAGAATATTCTTTTAAATTTAACATATTATGATGATTGTATAATCAAACTGCACCATTAAGCATATCTACTGTATGATATTTCTACTAACGTACTATTAGATATTTATCTTTGTTAATTTTATTTTTATCACGAACATAGTTACTCTACAATTAATCTTTTACAATTTTTCTAATGACATATTGACAGTCAATACGTTCTCTTTGTTCTCCTGTATAATACTAGTGTTTATTTGTAATTTTCACTCAAGGAGCTCAGCAGGCCTAGTAAAATAAGACACAATTAGATACATATCTCTTCTACACTAGGTGAGCACACATTCGAAAATACGAAGGTGTCAATGTCACTTTAAATGAAAGTAACAGGGTCTTTTAACAATGTATTTCCAATTAAGTCTCTTTATTAAAAAGGCTGTTTTTTATTATGTCGTCAAGAATGATAGTTAAAAAAATATTTTTCAAGAGGAAAAGGTTTCAAGAAGAGAGTTAAAAAGATAAAGGATCAATTTGTATTTATCGATGAACATACTATATAATTGTGTACGTTCTTTGAATAGGCTTCTAATAAACCAGAATCTATTTTACTAATATGTTAAGTCTTGACAGTATTAAATACAAATACCACTATTTACCGAAAGCTAGATATGTTGTTTTTTTATATTAACTTTGGAAAAATTAGTGGGATTATCTACTATTCTACATAAACAAAGTATGTTCATCAGATCAATGAACACTATTTATTTTTATCCACTAACTGTGACATTTGCTTTTTTATAGGAGGTATTAGGTATTTCAAAAAGCCCAAGATTTAATTACTGGTAAATAATAAATACCGATAGTTCTCCTTAGTTATAATGTTATTTCACTTTAAGCATGTTAATTATAAGTTAGTGGACAGATTTAACTATCTCTTGTGGTAGGCAATTTCTTATTCCCTTTTGAATAATAATGATACTAGTAATATTAACGAGAATATTTTTGTTAATGGATTATTTATTCTTTTCAAAGATACGATAAGGACAAAAAGACAAAAATACACTATGTAATCATAAATGCTATATTATAAACAACTAATTAATCATCCCTAATAAAAATTATATATTATAAATATATTTATGTATGATCAGCGTTTTGATAATTAACTTCCCATTGATTTGCTCTCTCTGTAGGATTATGGAAATGACACGTATCATTACGCTACTAAAGGAATAGCAGTATCAATCAACTAAACCCAATGAAAATGATAAGTTCTTTTAAAGGTATTTTGGTACCTTTTATGTTTTTACTCGTCTCTACAGATGCTGTAACAATTTCTTCTGACACTTATTTAGGCAATATTTCTTTCTCTGTCCCCCTTACCGTTGATAAAAGTTATTTTTGGCGTTAGTAAACGGAAACTCTTACAGTTTCACCAAGGACTTGTTCGTGAAGGGTTCACTTTTCGTCGGGGCTTTAAATTCATATGATAATAGATTTAGTTCTACATTTGGTGGTTCAACTATTACAAATGACGGTTTGATTGTGGTTAATGGTAAGAATGTTACAACTGATTTAATGACTGTATCATGGAGTGGTTTCCCAATTACTAATAACGGAAAAATGTATTTTGATGGTTTGAATAGCAGTTCTAGCAGGTTCACATTAGATTCAAGTATATCTTTAACCAATACTGGTTTAATGTCTTTTGGTCAAAATGTATCTTCAAATTTTACTAATATTGTACACCTTACATCAGGATCTGTTATTAATATTGGTACTATTTGTTTGAAGAATGTTAAGGCATTTTTGGAAATTTCCATAGCAGGCGACGGTTGTATTACAATAGGTTAAGGTTCTTTATATGTTATAACGGATGCATCAAGCTCTGGTGTACTCGGTCCACGAACTATATATTTAAGCTCTCCTTTCTCAATGCTTTATATAGGCTCATATGGTAACACAGATAATATATATGTCAGAGGTTTTGGTAATGGTAATTATTTGACATTTCGTACTGTAATAGCAGGTTATGATTATGATCCAGGTACTGGTATTTTGACAGTCAGTGAGGCCACTATTCATAAAATTAATATTGGTACTGGTTATAACTAGCGTGGATTTTCGGTGAAAACTGTAGATAACTATGTTGGTTTTAATTTTATCAATAACGCATTAATATATAATGCAACTGCTCCAAACGGTTTTCCTAGCGCTTGTATGCCATGTAATCCAGCTCCTTGAATACCTATTATTAACTCCACTTCATCCTGTTCCTCTTCATTATCTGCATATTCAAGTGTCTCTTCTAGTTACTCCACTAGTTCTATACCATCTACTTGGGATTCTTCCAGTTTTATTACTTCATCATCATCACCAAAACTAAGTGCTATCACTTCCTACAATCCCAGGCATCATAGGCTCTGTTTCTGCTCAATCCACAATTACATCTTACACCACTGACGCCAACGGCAGCAGCGGCGAAGTTGACATTGTTGTTGTTGTCACTCCGGTTCAAAGTACTGTCACTGTATACATTGCAGGCTCAGTAAGTGCAGCTTCTGGTCTTTCCTCATACATCTCCTACACCACCGACTCCAACGGCAGTACCAAAGTCATTGGTGTTGTTGTAGTCGAGACTCCAATATATGGAAGCTCCACTATTCATGTTGGAGAAACTGGATCTATTTTAACTGGTACTTTAGTTGCTTTGACTACGGTTGTTAATGGAGTCACTATGACCACAACTTATTGTCCAGAACCATCTGAAACTTCTGAAACAAGTATGACTGCTATTATTGGACATGGTTCTATTAAACCTATTTATACTAATTCAAAGAACCAACAAGAAGAGACCAACTCATTTTCTGCTGTGTTCAATGCAACTCCAGTTACTTCTATTGCTTCTACCACTACTGGCACAGTGTTTACCAACAATGAAAATCAACCAACATCTAGAAACTCCAGAGAATCTACCACTGTTGTTGTTGGTTCTACAAGGGGTAACATAGATATTACTTCGGAAACTAGTACTGTTGAATCCAGAAGACCAGAAACATCTCTAACTACAAAGATACCGCAAGTTTCCCAATTCGTTTCTGAGCAATTCTCCTCATCGCCAGCCACTATGACAGCCTCTCATGCAAGTGCACCTTCTCTTGCATCATATAAGGGTAAGGGTAGCACCATATAAATGAAATGGAGTGTTGCCCATTTTGTTGGTCTATTATTATTTATGATTATTTAAATCGAATGCAGGTAAGGAATTCTAAAAGAAATAATTCTAAATAGTTAAATAATTAAATACTACTATCTAAACATATATAATACCCTAATATTATATGTATTGTGTATTTTTTCCTTTGACTCTTGTTTTCCAGTTTTGTTAAATACTTTGGCTATGCTTAATCAATAAATCTTGATTAGCGAACTTACTGTCATACAACTTTGAAATCAACTGATCATATTTTAGAAATATACGTATTTTAAACCCCTTTTAATCAAGAAAAATTGTAATTATGAAGATTTAATGCTAGTTTAATTCAAAGATCATAATAAAAGGATTGACACATATCTTAAAAACTATTATAATATTTCTCTACCTATGTTAGTATTCGAGAACTTGACTAGATGAGTGATCATTAAATGCGAAGCAAGAATGTCTTAAATCTTTTTCTTTCTATATTCCCTTATTATTTCCTCTCTTTCCCATATATATACGTACACACGGGGATGAAAATAAATAATATATATATATATATATTAGTTCGATAACATCATTGTCTCTTAAGTCAATTAACTACATATATGTATATATATACATCTACATAAATATGTCAACTCCTATAGCCTTCATTTTTAACTAATGATTCCACTTCTACTTCTTTTATTTTTGTAACATTATATCTGACCCTAAATGAAATAGGGTATTGAAAAACTATTATTTTCACGAATAGCAGAAAGATACCATAAAATTACTCCGACAATATTCAAAGCAATGAAAGTTTTTTTGATTAACACAAAAAAAGTGTAAGAAAATGAGGTGTCAAGATATTTTTCAAATACCCATAATTGCACACTGATGATATATTGTAATTACTATGTATGTTAAGAGCATTATACACAAATAATTCAGATATGCATTATATTGTAATATAGATACCCTTTGTTCTATAAATATATGGCATCTCTTCTTGTATTTTGCTGGATGTAGAGATTTCAAAGTTTCAAAAGAGACAAGAAAATTTCCCCTCTACACTTGAAAAATATCGTAATAACAATTATCCCAAGATTTTAATAATATGGGAACTTTCTTTTTAAATAAGGAACATGTAACAATATTAGAACATATTCATATTTTTGCAAATGTTAATCCATAGATAAAGTATGTCTTGTTATTTTAAAGTTATAATGGAATTAAATTCTTATTTTTTTTTTTGAATTTCAATAACTTCTCATCATTCTTTGTTGCAGTTAGAGGTCCATATACAGTATTAGATATCCAGTCATAATAATGTCAGACTAATTCTTAAAAAAAGTAGATTTTCTGAATAGTAAATTGAAAGATTAACATGTTAATACTCCACCATAGTATATTCTTAAATGTTGTTCAATGTTCAAAGATCGAGATAAAATCTCTTTTTATTACGTTATTTTTCAAATATTAAAATAAGATCATTTGAGTAAAAGATAGAACAAAATTGTTAAGCAGGGAAAGCAGTACAGTAAAATGAAATAAAAATATAATCAAAATATTATTCATTATATTAAATCAATGTGTCTTTTATCATCATTACCATAAGCATTGAAAATTAAACATAAATCAAATACATCCATAATAAGATTGGAATTAGTAAGGATAAATATCCAGTAAGATATAAGTAAAAAGATGATATAGTAAATTTGTTTATGGATATAGCATAATTGTATCTATGTTTATAACAGTTATCATGATGTGCTAATTTCAAAAGGCTATTTTCTGTGATCATAAATTATTATAACACTATCATTTGATGGATAATGAAGTGATATAGAAGATATAATTATATTTTTCATATTGAAAATATTAGTAAGGGATAGTGTTCATGTGTTATTGGAGAATTCTTAAATAGTCATATTTATTATGAAAGTAGTAGTATAACAGTAAATGAAAGTGGTATTTAATAAATAGTTTCCCTAGTTACAATATATGTATGGAGTAAGTTCTTTTGAGAATATTCTCTATAGCTACTTATGAATGATTATTAAGTATACAGTGGTGTAACTATACCATCTTAAATAGTGGTTTAGCAATGTTCAAAGTTATACCATATAGTAAACATATCGTAACTGTTTATTTATGGTTAGATGGATCTGCATTTTATATGGTTGTCGATGAGTGTGGTTATTATTGTAATTGATTTTTTTTTCGAACTATTTTTTCAAATTTTGAAACAAGAAAAATTGACAATTGAAATCTGAATGAAAAGAGATTGGTGGATAATGAAAAGATAATGATAATTGATGCTAAGAGTAATTAAGTGTGATGTGTTTGTGTAGTATCATTCTTGTTTAAGACATAATATCAAGAGAAGTTGTATATTAATGAGGAGTTCATAGTTTAAGAGTGATACCATACAATCTACCAGTTATTAATGTCTAAATGAAGTAAGCAGTTCAAGAATAAAGACATAATTGAAAGAAATAGTGGTTGATATGAACTTAGTCTACTATGTATAAATCCATAGTAACGATACATGTTGATATCATGATAGCAGATACAGTAAATAACATTGTATGTTATAGGTTTAAAAGAGCAATAAAATTTACTAGATGATATTACCATAATAAACCTAGAAATGTAGCTGCAAATATAAGATGTGATAAAATAACCATTGATGGATCAGATTAATCCAGTGTATTAAGTTTACGTTGTTTACATTGTTTCTATATCTTACACATGAAAAGAGAATGGTCAAAATTCATTGACTTATTTATCACAAAATAAATAACTCTATCGTTGTTATTTTTATTCATTCGAAAATTGTGGTTCACTCATATTTTGTAATTTAAAGAAAGAGATAGTGATATATATGTTTCAGAAACTTTTTAGAAAGAGCTCATTGTTTTGCTTACCTTGGTATAGTTGGTGGATTAAGTATAAATTGTTCATATAATCATTTGACATGGGAAATAATTTTTGCTCTACTCATGGGAAAAGATATATTGGACAGTTTCCAGAGAACTATGAGAAATATTCTGTGCCTAATAATACAAAATTATTTTCCAGAAAACAAGATCGATTCAAAAATAATCTACATGTTCTATATGCAGTGAAAGCCGCAAATTTGAAAAATCTGCTTACGTTTTTCATTTCAAAGAAGACTTTGATAAATAGATTTATGTTAAACACTATACCATCTTTCTACTGTTTATGATCAAGCATTTATCCTATGAAAATATTTAAAATGATATTTAATTTAAATAATCTTAATTGTTTATGGAAATATAGTTTTGTAGATTTAACATTTGGGATTAGAGTCTCAGGGATGCTAATATGGTATCTCCTGAACTATAGTAGACTTAAAGTCTAACGTTGTTATGTTTTAAGTATTTAGTAAATTGGATTTCTCGTTTATTGAAAACCCATGCAAATAGTATATATTGTATTTATTATTAAATACATATTAATCTTGCAAAAAAACCACCAATGATTTACTCTATTTGATCATTAACAAAGAAACGTGATAGATATATTGTCTATTTTTTAACAAGCAACATTAATAATATAGTAATTGAGCTAAGATACATACCAATAAATATTTAATACATATTAAATATGAAGTAAATTTATACAAAAAGGTAATATAGTTATATTTATTTAAGATCACTGATTTAGCAGTATTCTTTTATGTATGTAATCTGGTAATAATGATATGCTTTATACAATTTATTTTTCCTCACACACATGGAATTTTATATTAATATGTAAACATTTATACCCCAGCTGTATATGGGTGGTCCCTATAGTATTTTTTATTAAATGTCCATATAATCTATGTTAATTATTATTACATAATAGTGCTTACTAAGTAAACAATATCATATGAGAATATAAATTTATATAAGGCGTAATTTTATATATTTGTTGAATTTGAACGTTCCAGAATAAATAGATAGACAAATTAGAGTTTAGCACAAATTAATTGATAAGGTTTGAATATATTTGTTTTCTGGTAAATGTATATGTTAAGTCAATAGAGAATCGCTCTCTTGTGTAAATGTTTTACGTTTTATTTGTATTTGTAATATTGTATGATAACTTGTCGTAGCACAAACTTGCACATATTTATGGCTTTTATATTTAGAAGGAGCGCCGCTTAGATAATTTTAGTGCTTAGGGACTCAGTTTAAGAAAAGAACTGGTGCAGATGTACAAATAATCCATCTGGGTGTTGGAAGATGCTTTTAAATTCTTATTCGCAGGCTACTATTTACAATATATTCTATGATAATATTCATATTCTAAATAAAAATATTTGTATATACAAATGTACATATATTCTTTTGAAATATTAATACTATGGCACACAGACAATATTTTTATATCCACAATTGATAATAGCATAAATAGAACGCACTAGAAATGTGTGTACAACTATTTCATTTGATTTACTTTATATTAATAATAATCCTCTTCTTTAATAGTTTTAATAAATCTACAACAATTATGTTGAATTATTTTACAGTCAATTACTTAGAAAAATTTCCACCTATTATCTTTTTGTTATCAAACATCATGGAAGCACCTGGTTTTACTATAAAATTTTACGAAAATGAAAATAAAAAATAATCATTTTTTTTACCATCTAGACCTGAATGTATCTAAACAATATTATTCTATTGAGTTGATAATGGACCAGTAATATAGTACTACTATATTATCAATTACCTTTTCAAACAAGCATTTATCATTTCAAGTATTATGTTAACACATAATCCAATCAGAAGCGAAAAACTCAAAGAGAAAAAAATATAATTAGTGATACATAGAGATGGACAGGCATACTCCATATTATTACAACAATCCCACATAATCTGTCTTGATCTATATGAAAAAGAGCCGAAGATGGATATTCCCAAGGAATAAAGCGTTGCGCAGTAATTATTGGATACCATTTGCAAAAATATAATAATTAATAAGGAACATCCCATTATCCAAATGAATTTAGTCCGTGGAGGTTTTAACAAACATATATAAATTGAAAATTGTCTTTTAAATTCATTCATGTTTATTTGATATCATATGCCTTAAATTACATAAAATAAAAGGGTAAAAGGAGCTTGATTCTTCTTTGTGATGTAAATCAATTTGACTTTCCTTTTGCTTGGTCATAAACAAAAGTACACTAATTTATTGATTTTATATTCTGAAGATTATAAATCTTGACAAAACTTTTTCTTTATATGCTGAGCCTTTCTGTTTATTTATTTTTTTGACTTCGGATACTACTGCAGAATACAGATGAAATTCGTTTAACAGTAGAGATGGAACAATTGTGAAATAAAGATGCAATAGGGTCTCAAAAAGGAAATGATTTCTGTTTTAGATACATAAAAAAAAAACATAGGAACAATAGATTTTGACAAGATAATCATATAAAAATTTACTTCTACTATAGTTATATATTTTTCTATAAAAAAAAGTTTTATTTTTTATTTTTTTTTTTTTTTTCAATTTTCGATACTGTATGTTTGTAAAAAGCCCTAATTGGAAAACTCCTGAAATATGTAGTCTGCGGGTAGGGCCGAATGTCAAGGCGATGAAGTTGGAACAACCGAAACTCTGGATTTAAAGTTGTGAGTATATTCGAACAAAACAAACGATCGTCGGATGGACATTGGTGGCATATTACTGAGAAACTTACTTAAGAAAATATTTGGAGACGGTGTCAGAAATCCTTATAAGCATTAACATTCATATTCTATCTAAGAGGTTCTACTTAGAAGAATATCAATAGTAACAATAACAACAATAATAAGAATATTGATAGTAGCTAGAACTATTCTATTTAATAGTTAGTATCAACCAATTATATGGTTTGCAAGTATTTATATATATAATTAATATCGATGTTTTAGTATACTACTTGAGATAACCTTTTACGATGTTCTAATTAATTATTTTGTATATATCAAGATTAAATATGTATTAAATAATTAGCTTCCAGGACAGTATATTTTATATCACTTCCAAAAAAAAGTTGTTAATTTGACTCTTCTTTTAATGATATATAATTGTATTGTTGTTCAACTTGAAAACAAAATTAGATATCAATAATAAAATATATACATATTATATACATCCTATTCTTATGTTGACTTATTCTAGTCCCATGTATTATAGTTTTTCTACTTATGTTAATATTCTATAATAATGTCTTTCATAATCAAGTGATACAGAAATTTTCAAAAGTTTTTTTCACATCGATAACATCTTTTTTAAGTTGATATTTGTGAAGTTGTAAGAGAACTAACAATATAAATATAAGCTATATATTTTTTTGTCTTCTCTTAACAATAGAAAAATCTTAATATTTGCTGGGCTAATTGTCTTTTTTTATTGTGTACAATCATGGATTTCCTGTTTCTATATGCTAACAATTAAAGTTTTAAAGAACAATTCTATAAAGATATCAAGGTAAAGTTTTGATTTTATTCAATTCTTTCTATATCTGCAAACATAAAATTTTGCAATTTGGAGTTTTGTCCAAAGTTGTAAATATTTGAGAAAAAAAAATTAATAAGAAAAAAAAATTCATAAAAATGGCCTAATTGATGACAATAGACATGTAACTTCTCTTCTTATTGTGACATACAATGATTTCATAAAGGTCGGGCAATAGAATCCGTATTCAAAAATTTTTTTTTTGATTTTATTATATTTAAACAAACATGGCTGGTATTTGTTTTGAATATCCATACTATGTTTTTTTCAGAGAATATGAAAAAAGTAAAAAAAAATCAGAAAGTATTGTGTTTAAAAAAATAAATTATTGGGTCAATTATGTATGTGCATTTTTTTTGTATCAAGAATATTTACTAAATTATATAATCTATATTAAATAGGAAATTGCTTAAATTTTTCTTTTCCTTGTATTGTTATTTTTTCACAATCTCAGTTTTGATTAAAAATAAAAATTAACTCAACAAAGCCCAGCCCATAATATACATTTCTTTTAATTATATTATTACTCTTCTTTCTTATCTCAACTGAAAACAATGTATAATCAATGATAAGACTTTTTGCTCCCAATTTGACTATATAAAATCGTTCAAGACAGTTTTCAACAATAAAACATAAGTATTCGTTTTTAATAGACAATACTGGACATTGTCTCTGTAATGTCTTTATTAACTTTTATAATTAATTATGATAATAGCAAATGAATTTTTTAAGAATCTCAGATATTTGGGATGATACCTTTTTTATTATAATAATAATAATAATCGAAACAATATTAACTAAAAATATGAGTAATTTTTTATAAGCGTTATTAAAAACTTCTAAATGTTATTTATTTAAGTTTAGAAAAAATTTAACTATTTCGTTTATTTAAATTTATAGCCATATCTATGTATTATATATCTGTATATATTTAATTACTTTTCAACAAATTCAAAACAAACTCTATTTACTTAAAATTTAAAGTGTAGGAATATCTCTAAATATTGGAAAAATAAATAATTCTATAGAGATCATCAAAGTCGTAAAGGATTTGTAAACAAGCTTATTTAAATAAAATTGGTAGTAACGTTGATTAATACAACTAAAAAAAATATTTTTATTATACTATTACTTACTGTTCCTACCACAGCATATTTAATAAAACGTATTAACTGGAAGAGTATATTACTTGCAGCAGGTGTTACCTTTTTTGGATCTATTGCTTATGGGGCTAGATTAATTGCTCCTCAAATTTGCAATCCTGCTGCTGAAGTGGCAATTTCAGGTATTGCTCTTTCTGGACCAGCATGGTGTATTGGGACATATGTTATTGGTGCTGCTTGTGCTTCTATTAGTGCTGGTCTTTCTGCTGAAGGTGCTAGTAGTGGTTGGCAATGGTGGAAGGAGTCAGGTGTTGCTAAAAGAAATATTTTGTTGGAACATCCATATCCCGCAGCAAATTTAACTTTGGTGTCTGGTTCTTTACTTGAAGATCATGTATATGCGCTCAATCAGTCTTTAGGGAACTTTTTTGACAATGTTACAGGTGTTTCAGCAATTTTGTATAATAATGAGGGACCTCTTTATAAAAGAGATGGTAGCATCGATAATATGTTAACTTGGTCTATCAATTATAATGACACAATGATAACTACTGTAGTTCATCCAAGACATTTATTAGCGTCTGCTAAAGCATTTAAGGAGTTTACTACGCAAACAAAGACTTTTCACAAGAGAGGAGATGGTGAATGGCTTTCATACAACTTGTATGGTCTGAATGTTGTTGCTGCTGAATTATTCAAGGCAAATATGCAAAATGAAGCACAGAGTGGGGCGATGGGCATTGGAAATATGTTTATATCTCAAATTCAGCCATGTACTGATTTGCTTTGCTATGGTGTTCAAGATAAATTTTGCGCTTCATTTGGAGATAGTTCTATTCCAGGGGAAGATTCTATAATGGTAGGTGAGGTATATGTTGATGCATATGGTGGAATTGATAATGAATGTCAAAGTGGTTGAATATGTTAGTAATTTTTTCACTAATCTTATCTTTTTTTGAATAATGTTGCTTCTTTATATGTACTATCAGTGTTTTAAATAGTGTTTAGTTTTTTTAAAACAACCTGAAAAGAGAAGGATTATAAATAACATGTTTGTTGAACTTGTAATTATTTGATAAGTAGTAAACATTCTCAATGATATATTTACAGTTTGCAAAATTATGTTTAAGTTTTTCAATTTTCTTTTGTATATATAATACAGATATGGTATTATATAAAAAAGATATAAGAAAAGAAGTAGTTTGCACAAAGTTAACTTTTAGAAAATTATATATAGTTAGGATATAGAAATTAGAAATAATTTCTTTCACTCATTACTTTATATACACAATACGTAGTCTCGTATATAAGATTTGTATTATTTAATACAGTCAACGATTACTTATAAAAATTACAGTTTATAATGTTCCGTCATAACATATACGTTATTAATCCACACCTTCTAAAACTCAACACTCTACTTCATTACTAACTAAATCGTAATCATATATTACAATACACTTACTCTCTCCTTTAAGTATTTAATATAAAAATTATCATAGTCGCTTTCTTGTATCCATACCTATTGATATATGATTAGAGTTATGTTTGATGATCTAAATTCACCGTACTAAGTGATTAAAAGTTATAAAAAATTTATATTATAGAAGACTCGAAGATAATATGAGCATACTGTATAATATTGTATCTCGTATATTAGTTATGTAGAAAGAAAAAGACTAAGCAATAAAATAACAATTTATAGTACCACTAATGTCCTACTATTAATAGCAGAGAACTTATAATACCATCAATATCCTATTATAAGTTTATATCAGTTCATCGTGTTAATATTATAACAATTTTTAAACAAAGCAGATAATAAACAGTGAAACTATTTGTACATATTTTACTATTCGTGGAGGAAAATTACTTGATATCCATATAAATAAAACTAAAGATTTCCTCGTATCATACCTTAATTTTATTTACACTTTTTGTATATTATTAAAGGCGTGTTCTGCATAAAAAAGGAAAGTGAATGTTGCTATAATTTTGTGTACAAGTAGCTACATAATAGTCATAGAATATAGTTGAGAATATATCTGGTTTATTCAATACAAATAGTTGCTACTTCTCAACAATAATTTCTACTATGTCTCATAGATAATGCATTTAGTAAGAGTCCAGGTAGCTATTAACTATTAATAATTGTTGGTAATTAAATATGAGATCTAAAAAAAGTGTTAAGTTAGATCATGGATCCCATTATGTAATATGTATTACTTAGTCAATATTGGTTATATTGGTAAAGTTACATTTTTATTATTAGGTCTGGAGATATAAAGTGAGTCTACATCTTTTATCTATCCAAGTTATCTATTAATATTAATTCCAAGTCGACTATTATCAGAAATTAATAATCATAAGGTTATCACAATTGGTAGCGTTTGATATCATATCACTGAACACTTGAAACTTCTAAAGTGGTGTAATCTATCATATACAAATATAGTTAATTCAAACTCATATAGATAGTAGTTTACGATACAACAACTGCAGCCTGATAGAAAAGTAATAATAGTGAATAGGAATCAAAAAGGAAGAGTGGCAATTAATGACCTGTATCACATTGGATCCAATGAACCCAATTATCGGTGTGTGCAAGACACATACACCATGATATTTCCCAATCTTCATCTTTACTGTTTTGTTCCACTGTATACATTTCGTAAAAGTTCAGTTTCTATCTACTATTAACGCCATTTCCCAACAGCTCTTCCAACATACTTTGAAGTGAAACCACAACAAGGTTTATATTTCCAAGTAGTTTATCACAGATATGTGAATACGAATGACGTAATAGAAGATCATTGTTCTTCTATTAAAAATGCTGCCTGAGTTATGTTAACTACTTTGTAAAACACTATAGTTTTTCTTATTCAATACAATCCCATTGCATCCCTACAATATTCAGTAATAATTATTATACTAATTCTCACATACTATTATCATCTATTTCTATAATATTTGTTTTTATTAGCTTTTACTATATCTTCATATAATATTGAAAGTTTTTAATACTTATTTTAAACCGATTCTTGCATAGTATGAATATCAATATAATATTAAATATTCCAACCTTAAATTTATCTATTAAAAAACAAATGCTATACTATCACGTGTTGATTCTTCCATACTAATATCATATAGGTGTTTATTAACTACATCTCTATATGCTTTCATTGTACATATAATAAATTATTATACTTCTACAGAGTATATCCCTATAATAGCAATCTATTTTATGTCTGATCAAGTATCATATTTTGATATTAAGCAATGCTGTGCTATACAATATAAATAATACTAAACTATTTTTATACATATATAAAATACTTATACCATAAAACTTAATAAACTATACAAATTACTAGAATTTTAACATATATTTATTATTTCTTCAGGTTTAATTTTGTATCTTCTTGTTCACTAACTGATAATACCATCACAAATTACATCATTAAGTACTCTCCATCTGTTAGTCGTAACGAAATGATATGGAAAATTGTATATGTTGTGACAGTTCTAGTACCTAAGCTTATTAACAGTAGTTGAGTTTCAACGTGATCTAACAATCATATTTACTCATACCTAACATTAGCGATCTTTCTTTGGACAAGCATTTCAACTTACTTATTTAATTAACCCTGTGAATACCTGTTTTAAAATGCTTAGTTTCTATTACTGATTGTATATAATAATTTATATCTTTACAAGTATTAAACATATCAAGAATATTTACATATTTATTAAAATTATTATAAACACATATTGTATTTAATAATAATTTAAGGATAATATATACTTTATGCTAATGAATCATAGAAATCCATATAAAGGGTCTATTAAAATAATAACAAGGTCAATTATATTATACATTTTCTTAATCATTAAGTAGAACGGACAAGTCACTTTATATGAGGTATAAATAGTGAGATGATGGTGTGTAAAAGATAGTTCATTTTTCTCTATTATTTAGTTTCTTCATGAAATTCTAGCATTAGAAGTATTCTCTATATGGAATAGTAATAACTAAATCAAACCCTAACTAGCTAAAATACAACTGTGTTAGGATTGAATAATATTCTCTGCACGTCTTCTCTTTAATTATTATATATATATTATCGAATCAACTTGCTTCAGACTTAAAAGTTGTTAGCTTACCTGGTAGTTTATCCCCTAATTCCTATTTATAATATTCAACTCTATGTATATATATATCTTTTATATATTGTAATAAATATTCAATGGGATATTAATCAATATACTTATTATATGTTCATTTGTATTAATATATACTAATATAATATATAAAATAACAGCTTATATAAACATATATGTCCATATGGCATAGTATATTTAGTAAGTACTGATAATTAATAATCATCAATATATATTATAAGGATAGTTAATAAATCACGATATAAGGAGCTGTATATATCAATTGACAGTATTGATATGTTCATAAAATAGTATGAGGATCCATGTGTGTGAAGAATAATATATCGTATGAAGCAGACTACTAATACTAGATTATATACATAAGATACTACTGACAACACAGTGATGTTATTTAAATATATATACACCTTGGTATATAATTACTTTTAAATGTCCATTTCCACTTCACATTTACTGGAAATACTATCTCAACGGTACACTCTAAAAAATTCTTTTTATTACTGATCTCACATATAACTACATATATTTATCTCTCTCATTACTATTATCCATTAAATATTAATTTTTAAGAATATACAGTACAGTTTCAATATCACATATTGATATATCATCATTTCTCGTTATATACAAGTATCATTTAGTGTTCATGCCTTTCACAATATCAAGAATGTAATCTCCTTACCCTCTACCTCATATTACAGAGCTGTTGTGTCAAACTAAATCACCACATCTGCAATATATCAACCACATTTGTTTCATTCTATTAACAAGCACTTATTAAGCAACTACCACTCCTGCAGTTATTTTTACTTCCTCATAGTTTTATAGTCCACTTCTTTTTTCATTTTTTAATAATAATATTTTACAAGTTCTGAAATATCATCTCAAGAAACACAAGAGTAATATGATTCTAGCAACAAGAACACACAACAATATAAACTTACTTAGATTACCGTATTTTTTGCCAGTACATTATTTCCATATTTAATTGACAATGAAAATGCTTCAACACCTTTATAATTCTTTATTTGTTTATATGATTTAATCTTTATCACAATCTAGCAATATACAATCATTCTTATCCATACAGTTGTTGAATTATGATCTTGTTTTGTTTTTTGATATACTATTTGCATAGTAATATCTTTTTATATCATATGGAAATAATTAGCATGTGCATTCGCAATCAACAATCACTTTCATTTACTAATTCCTGCACATCAACAAAATACAATATACTCAACTATGTTACATCTAATCCTATTCTATATGTATTTCCTCTTTAAATTAGTTCAATAAAATTCAAAAAGCATGATCACGAGAATCTAATATTGTTCAAAAATTTCATGGTTGAATCTTGTTTTTATTTATAAATAGACAGTGATCTCCATTAGCACACTGTTATTAATTCTTTTACCAATCAATTTCTTATTCTAACAGTATCACTTTATTTATCCTATTTTATCATTTCTTATAACATCTTAATACCCCTTTTATATTGGTCATTTGTTTGTTATTTAATTCTTAGAAGTTCTCTTTTCTTACCATTGTATTTCAACATATATATTCTTACTCTCTTTCAAGAGTTATCATGACAATGAAATATCAACTTTACCAAACTACTATTTTTTCACATCCATCTGTTTGCTTCGTGAAATTCAGATATATTACATTATCTCTTCTTCGAATAATTGTTTCATATAACTTATTCTGTGTTTATTATTCATAATAATA